GGGGGGGGGTTGGGGGGGGGAAAGGGCACGAAACACGTCCCTGGAATCCTGTGTATCGTGTCCGACGGTGCATACTCCTTGGTACACACACATAGTTACCAAGTTCGTACGCGAAATGATGTGCCACGCAGTGATCGTCCTCTTTCAACATCCTCGCCTGTATCAAGTACCGGTCTGACGAAAGCCGTTGTGTTCGTTCCCCCATTTACCATTTACCACTTGACGGGTTACAACGGGGGCCCAGCGAGGGGGGATAGAAATCATGGCGGGTAAGATGGTCACCGCCGCAAAGGCACGTGGTTCAAAAAATCATACTTTGGCCCCGCTGTCTCTCTCCGTTCCTATACTGCCTGGAAGCGAGGTATGTATCGTGTCGCTCTTGCGAGGGTCTCGGAGAGGACACGAGAAAAGGTCTTCATGAGGATAGGCAGAGCTGAAAGGTTCATATGATGGAGCACACACCCCACACACACCATCAAGGACTCCAAAGCCCTGAGAGAGTCTTTTGCTTTTCTCGGATCCCGAGTAAACAACTTTTCGACTGGTCCTATCGCTGAAAAGATGTGAATTCAGAACCTCCATTCATCTAAGAGAGCGGCGTCCACACCACACCACACCACGCCAGTTCCAGCTTTCTTGCCCTGGGTTTCCTCAATGGCGATAAATGAACAACAAGCCAAGCCAAGTCAAGGAGTTGACTCACATGATGCAAATCCATGCCAGGAGTCTCTCACAACCCAACCACAGGCCGTGTCGATACCGAACAATGTTCGTTGTCATCATCGTCATCATCATCATCTGGGGCCCAACTTGTCCAATGCCCTAGCACCTTGTTCCTCCCACTCCTGCTTCGAAATCCACATATTTTCCTTATCGGCCATGATGTTTGCCAGCACCGCACCGCCCAAGAAAACCATGTGTCTTCGGCGCGGAGGATCCTCTATCCTGACTTTAAACTTGTTCAATCTCTCAGGGTTTCCACCCAGGACGCGCGTCAGCCATAGCTGTTTAAGCTCCTTCTCCAGCCGTGACGGTAGGCCCGGGTACATGCTGCTTCCACCGGACAAAACGATGGCCTTGTACAAACTACTCCGCACATCGACGTCGGCAGCTTGAATGGTGTTGAACAGGAACTCGGCAATACCCGGCTGTTCGACGTCGACTAGATGTGGCTGAAACAAGCACTCGGGAGCTTCGAAGCGTTCACTTCCAACCCGGATTACACGTCCGTCGGGTAGCGTGTACGACTCTACGAGAACGGTGGTATCTTCGGATAGCCGCTGGTCCAGTGCTAGATCGTACGACACGTAGCATAACTTTTCTTTGATCTGACGCACCGTCTCGAAATCGGCTGTTCGATTGAGCGCGTAGCCTCTTCGGAGAAGCAGGGCGATCAGGTTGCGCGTTACGTCCCGGCCTGCTACGTCTAATCGACGAGTGAGGTGGTTGAGAACGGTGGATTCGTAGACGGGGACGATGTGGGTGACACCGTCGCCTGAGTCGACGACTACGCCAGAGGACAGTCCCTGTGCATATAGCGCTAGCACGGCCTGAATGGCCACGTACACGCCGCCGAAGTTGTATCGTTCGAACATGACCTGGGCCATTTGTTCACGGTTTTTGAGAGGGTTCATGGGTGGCTCGGTGAGAAGGATCTTTCGTCCCGCAGGGTCAATGCGAAGTTTCTCGTAAAATGTAAAGTCCCATAGATGTTGCATGTCGTCCCATTTCTTGACGATTCCGTTTTCCATCTTGGCCAATTGTCAGTCAACCACGAATCTGGAAGGCTTGCACGCACACCGGCGCCGAGGACAGCTCGTACAGGGTAACTTATTTGTAGCATCGATCTTGCCGCAGCCGCTTCATCACCACACATGATGTCCTTGACCACAATGTCTCCAGCTCGTTCTTCGGAACGCAAGATTGGTCGCCCGACTATAGAGGGAAATTGGTGTTCGGGGAAGTTCTGCCACAGGATTAGACCCCTTCTGGAATTCTCACACATGCAGGTTGAGTCTTATGAGACGTACTTGGGCGGCATAGCCAACTTTGAGGAAACCGGTACCCCCATCGAGGACTGTAGAACGTGTGTCAGCATTCGATGCAATGTGGTGGCCTGCGGTTCAGGTACCAATGGGTGGCTCAGCCATTCTGTATAATTCTCAGCTCTCAAGTCAGAGGAGATCTTTTTGCAGAAAACGCGAAGAGTGGTAGGAGAAGGACAGGAGCAATAGGAGCCAAAGCAATGGGCAGGTTGAGAGGGTATAGTGGAAGCTCACTCAACTCCTCCTGCGGAATCGACGTATGTTGGTACGACTACGAGGTCACTCGGCTTCAGGTGTCGCAGCCCACCGATGCCAAGCCTATATCTCGCCGCTATACTATGTCATACCCCTCCTGCGTAGATAGCTTCAGGCCTGTGTTGCTGCTTTTACCTGTACGGTCTCCATGAGGCCCTCATGGATGGAAACTGAGGTAGGCAGTAGAGAGGAGACATTTACTCCAATTGATCACACCGAGGTCTGGTATGTACAGTGTCGAAAACAATTCTATATCATTTCAGTCGTCGTATCGTGTCTCATGGCTGCGTAATCGCACATACAACCCCTGACAATCGCACTCTTCAACTCTATCTCATCATGCTGATCGCTATGCCAAACAGAAGTAAGAACAATATTGTAGGTCGCCACCAGCGCTGATGCAAATGCCTGCCGTTCCAACGCCAACGCTCTAGATCTTTTCCATCACATCACCCAAAGCATCAAGACCAAAATTGCCAACTGTTGTGCGGGTTTTTTCCAGCTTTCTATGTCGAGGGGGGCTTGGAGTCTGTCCGATGTGAGCAAACCTGTTAGCTGAAGAGCTTCAACCAGACTTCAGTCGTAACCACAATTGCCAGATCTCACTAGTCATCATTGTGACGACTACGGGCACGACTTACCGCACGAGATCGTGATCGGTAGTCTTCGCTATAAGCAACGTCGTCGCGGATCATTTTTTGCCGACGATCAGAGTCCTTAATGAGATTGGAGTCGTCGTAATACCCTGCCGCACCGCCACCACCACTACTTCGATGACTCTCACTGCTCTGTGGAACAGGTCCATCGTAGTACCACTGCCCATCTCGACCTTTGTAGTAGCCGCCTTTTTCTCTGGCTCGTCTACGGCGCTCACGCTCCAGCCGCTTTTTATGGTGCTCTTCCCTCTCTAAAAGCATCTTCTGGTGTTCGCTGTGCTCTGCAGTGACCTCGTTCCACTCACTGACAGCACCTTTGATCCCCAATGCAGCAATGCCGATGGCAGCAGCATCTTGCCACCGGGCAGCGCGCTGCTGTTTGTGGGCGTCTTCTGGCGATAGCTGGCCTTCGCGGACTTTGGCTATCCGTTTGTCATGTGCTTCAATCGAAGAGTACACCTTCGAAGCCGCATGGATGGTCGCAACACTTGCTAGGGCGGCGGTAATCCATTTCTTGCGCTGCAGTTTACGACAATTCTTTTCCTCCTCAGTGGACGACAAGAGACTTTCGGAGGATGAGGAGGAACTTGAGGATCCCCGTCGTCGGCGGGACCGTCCTGAGGTTGACTTGGGTCGGACACGAGATCGAGGAGGGACGGAGCCTTCAGAATCGTAGTAATCATCCCGCGAGTCTCGACGACCATTTCGACGATCCTTGTAGGGCACCATGGCGGAAGCTCCAGCACCGACTGCGGCGCCTGCAGCTGCAGCTCTAGCATTGTCCATGGAGCTGGCTCTCCGTCTTGGTCGACCTGGGCGCCTCGGTAGAATATCTCCTCGATGTCTCACAACTTCCACGATCTCTTCGTCCGAACCCACGTCCCGCCGCCGGCGCAGAACCAGTCCTTTCTCTTCGGGGGTGCGCATTTCCCAGACACTAGGGTCATCTCTGGGCACTCTTCCGCGGGCCTTCTTGTACCGATGATGGATGGGATCCCAGACCTTATCATAGTGCTGGGCTGCAAACGGAACAGCTTGCAGGGTCAAGGGCAAGGCTTGATCCATTTTGAGTGACACAACGCTGGTGGTGCGGGTATGCTCGGGATGTCCGGAACGTCTTGCAGGGGGCGCCGCAAGGGCTTTGCAGAGAATGGACTACAGGTTGCGGTGATAAGCCGCTTTAATCTCCAACTGGCTGGCTGTTAGACGGTGACGTTCGAGACAGGCATGTTGCTGCAAGGGAAAAGTTTGGCGCTAGAGGAGGAAGAAAGCGAGGATCCCTGTACGCTGTCTGTTCGTGTCCGTGGAGGGGAAGGGAGCAGGACTGAAGAATAAAAACGTACACAAGCATTAAATAGATGGTGTAGATGGCAGAAGGTCAATCAATCTAGTGAAACAGGCACAAAACGTCATCGGGCGGCAGCTTCACCGCTCTTCTTTATGCCTATTGGTTGCAGAGAGATGAAGAATGGACGGGAAAGAAAAGGAGAGAAGGACAAAAAGCAGCTGAATGGCCGGAACGACGAGCGGGAGAAACGAGGAGGCGGGCACTTCTTTTGTACAAGTACGGCACAAGCCATGCTGAAATCAAGCATTTTCGGGTCGCGGCGCGCGTAGGGAAGATCCTGATCCCGGTGAGGGGGGGGGCTTGCGATAGGCCTAGAAGAGGCTTAGGGGGGGCGGGTTGAGCCTTGGACATGCTGTGTTTTGGGTAGCACAAAGCGTCCACGAGTTGCACACAGAGAGAGAAATCCAGACCGATCGTTGTGATAGGAGGAGCGGGATCGAGCAAAGTGGCGCCTGGGATGATTGATGCGGTCTTTTTGGATGAGCCGCAAAGTCAAGTGGCTGCTTGTTCTTGGGTGGTGGGAATCGGCGGCGAATGGACGGCGATTCTGAGTCTGGAATAATGTATAATACTGTACTGTACAATCGTACAAAGATGGAAGTCGCAGGAACATTACGCACTAAACTACAGACAGTTAGTGGGAGGCAGTAGTGGCAATCGGGCTGGACCATGACGTCGCAGAGCAGAGCAGAACTTCATCAGATCGCACCAACGCGTGTCCATCGACTGCAGAGGCCAAGTCGCCACCGTCTGTCTTGTCCTTTCACGACAGTGCGACTGTGGTAGACTCGCTCTAGTGACCAACTGGCTGGATCATGCTCCATACGGCAATGTGACAATCGCATCTACCGTTGTCCATCCTTGTGCTTGGGATTCCCACAATCCTATCGCCAAGTCTCATACGGAGCATGCCCTGTTCCTCCTACTCCCACGCAGCCCTGATATGATCATCCAACAGTCTTCTCGAAAGAGAAAAGCGTAACCGGTCATGGGGTGCGTCCCTACGAAATGGAGAATTGCAAAGTGCGTGGTGTTCCCCGGGGAAAGGTTACTGTGATGACTATGCTGAACAGGAAGTACGGAAATGGTCCAGAGGGAAATCTGTATGCTCGAAGGTAACAAGACCCCTCAAAGAGACATCTCGGGCCTGTCAATTGTCAGTTTCGAGCAGTGATGCGTCAATTTCAGCACATCTTCGGCACAACAACAGTCAATGAGAGAGGCTGAGTTGCAATTTGACATCCGTGCTTTTGAGAGGGAAACTAGGCCCTTGTAGAGTAGTGGAACTGGCCCTGTCCTTTGCGTCCGAGTGCACAACCTAGAATTCCAATGGAAGACCCAGGATAATAATTCGATTGGGATCTAATGTACAGCTCAACCGTCGTTTGGCCAACTAAAGCAGTCCGGATCACAGTTCGCCGTGGCCATTCTCGGCGCCAGTCGTGATACTCCTACCGGAGAACTGTGCACTGAACTCTCCCAAGAGGTTCTTGAATTCCGCGTAGACGGTATCATATCGAGCGCCCAGCATCCAAGCAACAAAAAGCTACAGTGATGTTAGCATCGGGAATCTCGAATGGCAGCGTGGTGCTTACCATAGAAAAAGCAACTACCACCAGCATTGTCGCCACGGCACCGAACAAAATCAACGTGTCACCTTTCTCACCAGGCTGGGCTTTGGCTTCCTCAGCCTTGCCCTTGGCAAGCACATCCGCGATCTTCTGTGATGGGAAGATGGATTCGATAAACTGCTCGATCTTGCCGCAAGCAATGCTGATCTTCAAGAAATTGGGGTCTTGTGGTCGGTTCTTCTTGCGGATTGAGTGAACATGCTTCTTGAACACATCACACACCACTTCAAGGTTCTGAGTAGATTCGATCATTAGCTGGCAGGCCTCGCCCTTGGTAATTTTGATGTTGCGTTGGAACATAGCATAGTTCCGGAAACAAAGGTCCAGCGTTGCAATCGCCATGGACTGGGGAATGGCGCAGAAGTTGAAGACGCTCTGCTCCCTCAGCCCGGCGAGATAGTACAAACATTCGTCTGCATGCTCAAGCGCATTCAAAACCATGTCAGAGCTGCAATTGAGAGCCTTCTCCTTGTTCTCGGGCTTGAACAAATCCTCAAACTTGTCCACATGTCTCGACCAAATCTCCTTTGGCCAGAATTTTCGATTGTCATCAAAGTCCTCGCGGATGTCTCGAGTAATGTTGACCTTCTGCAAGAACAATCCCATAGACCTGTGCAGATGCGGTCTCTCGAGAAGTGCTGGGTTGCCAAATCCGCTTTCGACAAACATTCTCGTCAGTCCTTCTCCCACCAATCCCGCGACGTAAAAGCAATACTGGTCATAATCATCGATCGTCTGGACCCCGACCTCATTAAATTCGGCATTCAAGCAGTAGTCTGCCATGCCGTTGCCCATCTTTTCTGTGATGTCTCTGATGACCTCCTTGTATGCAGGTTTGAGCTTCTTGTACTCTTCGATCACATATCTGAAATTGACCAACAGATCTCGATCCTTCTCCTCGGGCCTGTTTCCATCAAAATGCCACCCATCAACCTCGAGATTTTCATGGAATTTGCGGAGAAGGGGCTCTTTCGTCTTTGCGGCGATCGACGTATCATCTTCGATGGTGTCCAATCCTCGCAGGATCAAGTAGAAAAGGCAAATGGGTATTAGGAGTTCGGGATGTAGCTCTTTGATGACTGCGCTGAAACTGCGGCTGGTCTTATCAAGATATTGGAAGCAGATCTTGACTGACTCGGGCTCTTTGCTTTCGTCGCGCTCATGAACTGGATTATGCCAAACTTTCCTACATCTGCTGGTGAGCTTCCAAGCTTCTTGGTCAATGGTGAATGCTTACCATTGTATTATGGACCGCAGTTGCTGAACGTGAACCAAGTAATACAGGACTTCGGTAGCTTTTGGCATGTTGAGTTACAGAAAATGTGTTTGCTCTGGATAACACCGACAGGAGCGATGTCTGGAGGATAGGGGAGAGCACTCAACAAACGAGACGGAAAATATATACAAATGAGTGAAGTTCACCTGGTATTATGCGACTCTTTCAGAGCATGGTGTGGGCGGCAGGGTGGGAGCAGAAACCGAATGGTACGACTCTTTGGTCGCTCTGAGAAGCCCCGGAAGGATTTCATGTCCCTTGTTAGCTTCGGTTAGAAATTTAACCAAACCAACCACCTGTCGAGTGTCTGGTGTGGCCTCGATTGTTAGTGCGGAGAGCGCAATGCATGGCTGCAATAGGCATGGGCCCAGGTAGATTGCTGCCAGTCTGGGCATGAGCCTCAGTCCTTAGGGACCTAAGAGAACACGAGGCGGTGCTGTGGCGTAGCCCACCAACTGGCCGCCACATGCCCAGGAGCACCTAGAACCTTGCCTCCCCGGTAACCCTCTCTTGTCCTATGACTTCACATCCTCAGGCTTGACCTTCACTTGGACCCCGAAATACGCGGCGCTCAAGGCTGCAATAAATCCCCTTATCACTTTTCGCTATTGTCAGCCATCTATTCCCTCACGCTGCAGACTTATCCAAACATCTCTGTACCTCCTCCTTCGTCTCCTCCGCCTCTTCCGTCCAAAAACACCACCTTAGCAGACACAAAAAATACGCAAATCCTGCAACCTCTCCTGCTGACACTCGTATTGATACGGGGTAGTGTGTGGTGCTTGAGTTTTCGAGCTGCAGAAGGATCCCATTTCGACTTTCCCTAGAGTCACAACTCCCGAACTCAAGAGCGCCATCAAAACACGTTGGCGCATCGTTACATTCAGCCATGGTTGTTGACACAACCTACTACGACGCATTAGGTGTCAAACCCGATGCCACCGAACTAGAGATCAAAAAAGCATATAGGAAACTCGCCATTACAACTCACCCAGACAAGAATCCTGGAGATGAGACGGCCCACGAGCGTTTTCAAGCTGTCGGAGAAGCCTATCAAGTCCTATCTAACAAGGACACCCGTGCTGCATACGACAAATATGGAAAGGAACAAGCCATGCCGAGAGAGGGCTTTGAAGATCCCGCGGAGTTCTTCTCAATGATATTCGGTGGTGATGCCTTTGTCGATTTGATCGGCGAGTTGACGTTGCTTAAAGACCTCACCCACACAATGGATATTACAATGGAGCAGATGGAGGAGGAAGAACTTGCAAAGACGGCCGAGGAAAAACTGAATGTCCATGACGCCAAAGAACAAGAGGCCACTGCCGCGACAACAGCGGGTATGAGTGCGAAAGAGGCTGAAGCCACAGCACATTCTACAAACGATGCTGCATCCCCTCCGCCTCCACCTCCATACGTTGGCGAAGAAGCATCCAGCTCGACGGCAGCTCACGGCTCCGGCACCTCCACGCCTCGACGATACCTTGGTCAACAAGCCATCATGGACAAGTCTGAAGAGGACGCACGAATGGATGCAGCGGGGCTCTCGCAAGAGGAAAAAGACCTTCAGAAAAAGAAGAAGAAGGGGGGGTTGACGAAAGAGCAGCGGGAGAAGCTCGAAGCCTATGAGCGCGAACGGCGCAAGGCCCGCGAGGAGCGTGTCGACACCCTTGCCAAGAAACTGGTCGACCGCATCTCGGTGTGGACAGAGACCGACAAGGGCCCCGATGTGACCAAGGCTTTCCAAGAAAAGACACGACTCGAGGTCGAAAACCTTAAGATGGAATCCTTCGGCATTGAAATCCTTCACGCGGTCGGCCAGACATACTTACAAAAGGCGACGAGTTTCTTGAAGTCACAAAAGTTTCTCGGCATATCGGGCTTCTTCAGCCGCTTAAAGGACAAGGGCACGCTCGCCAAGGAGACGTGGAACACGATCTCCACAGCCATCGACGCACAGTTGACCATGGAGGAAATGGCCAAGCTCGAGGAGAAAGGCGGGGCCGACTGGACCGACGAGAAGAAGGCAGAGTACGAACGCAAAGTGACGGGAAAGATCCTCGCTGCGGCGTGGCGGGGGAGCAAGTTTGAGATCCAGGGCGTGTTGCGCGACGTCTGTGACAAGATCCTGAACGATAAGACCGTCAGGCTGGAGAAACGAGTCGAACGCGCCCACGCCCTGGTGCTATGTGGTACCATCTATCAAAAGGTATGTCCGGTAACGCTGTATGCGTATGATACTTGTTCGCATTGTCATTTTGTCAGATGGATTGAAGAGTTCGAGGCTAACCTTTTTTTCTCGCAACGCACAGGCTGAACGTGACCCCGATGAAGAAGGCGACTTTATGGCCTTTGAGCAGCTCATGGCAGAAAGTATGAAGAAACAAGAAAAGAAAAAGGAAAAGGAAAAGGACAAGGACAAGGACAAAGAGTCTTCTTCGAAACGCCATTTTGGACATAACCACTCCAGCAGTCCCGGCACGAGTACGCCGTCATAAAAAGAGAGAAAGTAAACATCTTCGTAAAGAGCACTTCGCCGCCTTTTGTTTGTCCTCCATGAAGGCTTTAGGGCCTCGTCCTCTCTCACGCGGGACACGTCGACAGATGTCCTCGGCCCAGTGGCAACTGGATCGACAGCGACATCGACATCGACATCGAGTACCACGCACGCAGGATAGAATGAGTCTCAAATCTCGGGCTTGTGAATCTAATGACTGTTCGATAATGTCAGGTTTGTTCCTTGGAGAAGTCAGCCTCCCTTTTTTTTACTACTATAATACCATCCACTTTTTTTTCCACATCTTGGTGGTCTTCGTTGTCGTGAGTTCCTAGATTCATCTGTAGTATCAAGAGACTGTCTGTCTTTCCATGACCGGTTTCGTTACTGGATAACCCATAAAGGCACATTTATGAGGTACCCTGCCTAGCCTTGGTACATATACATACACACAATATGTACCTGATGCTGTTGGTGAGAATCACAGGCTGTGGACCTAAGTCTGGATCTGGATTTAAAAGTAAGTCCTACTTCTCCATTTGATAGTAATATGCGAGTTGGGAGAGTGGATGGATATCATGTACTCGTCCTCAGTAAATAAGTGTGTAGGTACAAGTACCTACAGTCCCCTAACCTGCCCATCTCTTGAACCGTCGTTTTAGTTTTTTTCTTCTCCTTTCTTTAATTGTTTGCTCTGTCTTCTTCTTGTTCTTCTCCCCTGCAGTCTGTTTCGTTCATCTTCCCAAAGGTAGACACATATACCTGACCTAGGTAACCTAGGTATTCATAAAATTTGATTCTTGATGGCGCCGCGCCGTAATCTTTGACGCTGCCTGAACGAAAAGGAGAAAAGAGGTTTCCAAAAAAACCAAACCAAACATGGCAAAAAGAAAACCTTTGCAAAGGTCACCAATTACTCTCCCTCGCTATGCTGGGTATATGCCGCCTGCCGAATGTAGAGGAAAAGAACTGCCCCGATATACTCCGTTACTTAACACCCCGTCTCTGCAATGTCGTATAACTCAGACGCATCCCGCTCCCCCTCCCCAAAGAAAAACACAAGCTTCTGTCGGTGTCTTCCAACGCCTGTAGACCTTCGCCAGCTGGTTCGTAACGTTTCGTTAAAACAAACAAAAGGAAAACATGCCATGGTCAAAAAGTCAAGTTCCCGAGTACCTCAACACGACAGCCCCTGGGACCCAGTCTCCTCACTCGCCTCTCAACACGGGTGAAAAGGACTCCAGAAGCGCCGTAACCTCCTCAAGCGATGCAATGCCGGACTGTGCGGTACCCAGGGTTGGAAGAGCCTCGTCGGTCCGGAACGGCGTCTCCTCCAATTTCGCTTTTGCAAGACCGGGACTCAACAGCCCTTGTCTGGCCTCTGGCTCTTCTGAGCCAGTGGCAAATCCTCTCTCGTCGAGCTCTTCGTCGTTCAGCACCCGGCCTCCGAGCTTGACATCGCCTATTCCAACCCGATAGTCCAGGGCTTTGTTTCCTGCTCGAATCAGCTCCTCCGTCATTGTCGTGCACCGCTTTATGGTGGAGCTCAATTGCTGCGACTCGGCCAGAAGCTGTTGATGTCGACTGAGATCTTGCATCAGCCGTTTTTCGTCTTTTGCTCGCTGCCGCGATCTTGCCGACGCATTCGTCAGGGAACCCGATCCGTCTGAGATCAACGAATCGTCTTCATCATCCATGTCGTCAAAGTCGCTCTCGTCTTCGAGTTCAGACATTTGCTCGGCTTCAACACCATCCTCCGCGACAGTATCTAAACTGAAAGCAGATTGTCCGGATGCTGTCCTCACAGTGGCAAGGGATAACCGGCCGGAGCGGGAGAGACGGCGATACCTCCTCAGTTCACCATTCTGTTTTCGTAGCTCACGTTCCAACGTCTTGTTGATGGCCAGGAGTGAAGAATTGGATATTTCAAGATCCAAAACCTTCCGTTCGCGTCGTGCATTCGACGCCGCATCATGCTGAGGCTGCACTGGTGATGTGACCTGGTCAATTGCCATGTCCCCGGTGCTGACAGGTCTGGATGTTGGCTTTACCACCTCTGAGCCGTCAGTATCGCTCGTGACGGAGGTTGGGATCGTGTTAGAAGAAGCAAGACTGAATGATCGCGGGCTCAGAGCTTCCGGTGAAAGTGTATTGTTGCCAGATATCCGTGGAGAAAGGCCGGGCATGATCCCCAAGTCCAAAGGCTGGGGTGGTTGCGTCCGAATACCTTCAGTTCTGTTCTCAATTGTCATAGTTGCAGAACTCGCACTGATGGATTTGCGATGAACTAACGGTGAATCAATCGTGTTTGCCACAGCACCGCCAGCAGTGCTGTTGGGTCTTTCGATCGGTGTATGAAGGGGGCCTGGTGGCGAAGGTGTTGGCCCTAGCTGGATCTTTCGTGGTGAGGAGGGCTGTGACATTTTGTATGATCGTTTCGGAGATTGGGGAGGGCTTATAGCGTTCGCAGCATGCCTCGTATCCAATCCTTGTACTGTAGCTGCAAGCACTGGAGTAGGCGGTTTGGCAGCTGGGAGTTGATGCACGTCGTTGGCTCTGAAGAACTTCTCGTCCAGATCATTCTTAGGGCTCTCTTGCGGCACCTGCGAAGGCATATTGCTTGGATACGCTGACGAGCCAACAAAAAACTGGGCTCGTGCAGGTGAAAAGCGGGAGCCTTCATCAAATCTTGAAGATCCTACCGCGGACTTTGCCTCATCTGCATGAAAGAATTTGGAAGAATTGTCTTTGTTGTTGTCTACCATACTCTTCGCTCCGGACACTCTCCTATGGACGGTGACGACAGGAGGCCCTACTTTCGGTAGCGATGGTGTGCTTGCTGTCAATCGAGGGCTGCTGATTCCGAGCCCTTGCGTGTGACTTCGGAGGGCCCTGGGAGCCTCGGGTCTTTGGGATGGCGTCCCTTGAAAGCCATTATTGCTTTCTCTGACTGGAACAGGAGTCGACGGTGACTCTGTGCCAAATCTTGACTTCCTCGCTCCCGACCTGGGGGTGACGTTGTTATTCAAGGGTGTCGCGGTCTGATCGACCTTCCCTGGAGATCTCGCTCTCACAAACGGTTCTTTTCGGGAGGACAACGCAGGCGAGGAAGAAGTCGACCCCGGGAGTCTCGGTGTCAGGGGAGTCTTGACATTTCGAAAGTTTGAGCTGAGGGTGGGCGTCAATGGTTTGGACGAGTTCGCTTTGGTTTGTTTATCCAGTGGCATCGTGAGAGGGGCGAGGCTCGAGACGTTGTCGTGGATTATTGTTGTGACTGATCTCCCGCATGCCCGCAAGAGTGTGAGTCTGCAGCCAGCCTGTTCTCATTGTCGAGAAGGAGGGGTATTGCTGCTCGTGGAGGCCTACGAGCCGTCAATGCGAGATGGTGCAAGTCGAGAGTGTCAACACAATGTTTAAGCGGCCGTGGTTGGCTTAGTGCAGAATCGGGTGATGTTATTGCTCGCATACAAATAAATAGAGTGTGTAAGGGACCGACCACCGGGATCCATCACGCGTGTTCCACCCACCGATCCCTGCGCCCACCGATGACTCCGTGAGTCCACTGAGCCTGAGCCTGCGCCTAGATTTCATCTCTCGACGCGTTTCTTCGTGGTACGAGTGGGTAGGTGGTCGAGTCGGATCAGCTCGTGATCTCGACGACAACGATGAGAACCACGGTCTCCTGACTGCGATGACCCCTTCGGAAGATGTAGTCGACCAACCTATACCTGCCGACGATGCTTCTGTCGAGCCAGGGCGGTCCGCACCTGCGGATACGTTAGACGCCGAGATTGTGCCCAACGCCTCTCAACATCGTTCCCTCAAGCACCATCTGCTCGGTCCTTCTTTGACAAAATCTGGACAAGATGGTGTTGATCAGAAGAAAGTGTCGGAAATCATATACGAGGCCTCAAAAGGGTCGAAATTCTTCAACAATGAGGAGGTCAAGGACAAGAATTTGACCGTCAAGATTGAACGAATCCTAAAACAAAAGGCTCAATTGGAGAGACTCGATCTGAAATCAGACCTGAGACGAGCTGACGATTATATTTCCTCATTGGAGCTGTCAAGAGATCTGTCACAATACGTTGTGCATATCGACTGTGACGCCTTTTATGCGGCCGTCGAGGAAATCGACAGACCCGAGCTAAAACATGTCCCCATGGCAGTCGGGGGCGGTGTTCTCACAACGTGCAACTATGAAGCTCGGAAGTATGGATGTCGAAGTGCGATGGCGGGTTTCGTGGCGAAGAAACTCTGCCCTCAACTGGTTTGCTTGCCGCTAAACTTCGAGAAATATACGGCCAAAGCTAAGGAAGTAAGAGCAATCCTCTCAGAATATGATCCTCGATTCGAAAGCGCGAGCATCGATGAAGCGTATATGAATATCACCGAGTACTGCGAAAAGCACAACATTGCGCCTGAAGCCGCGGTCGAGCAGCTTCGAAACGAAGTCCATGAGAAATGCAAGATCACCATCTCAGCTGGGATTGCACCGAATGCTAAGCTAGCCAAAATCTGCTCCAACAAGAACAAGCCAAATGGACAGTTCAGAATTCCCAACGATCGAGGTGCAGTTATGTCTTTCATCTCTACCCTGCCAGTTCGCAAAGTCAATGGGGTCGGCCGAGTATTTGAGCGCGAGCTTGATGCCATTGGTATCAAAACCTGTGGCGACATTTACCCACAACGCGGCTACTTGTACAGGCTGTTTGGAGAGAAAGCGTTTCAGTTCCTCATGCAGACATCGCTTGGTCTGGGCAGGACGAATGTTCAGCCAGCTGAAGAATACGAGCGGAAAAGCGTCGGCACTGAAAGTACTTTCCGCGACACCAGCAGCAAGGAAGAATTGCGAGAAAAGCTTCGCCATACCGCCGAGGAACTCGAAAAGGACATGGCAAGGGTCGAAGTCAAAGGTCGCACTCTCGTGCTCAAGATCAAATTGCACACCTATGAGGTCTTCACTCGTCAGGTAGTTCCGCCCAAGGCTGTCCACCTCGCAGAAGACCTGTACAACTATAGTCTTCCCATGTTGGTCAAACTTGAAAAGGAAATGCCTGACTTCCGGATACGCCTCCTCGGTCTCCGTTGTACCCATCTTGTTAGTACCAAAAAAGATAAACCAGACTTCTTCCGACCTCGAATATCCAAAGGAATGTCCAATGATCAAGCCACCGATAATGGCGGATGGGAAGTCTGGCCGGATTCTGAGTTCGAAGAAGCTGTCCGGCAAGAACGACAGGAAGAGATGGAAGAACTTGAACGTCTGAGCCAAGAGCAGCAGCAAGCTGACGATGGCGGCCTGGAAAACTCGGCCGCTGATTGGCATGAACCTTTCGGCCGATACAAATATGGTAGCGAACCCAACTCTTTGGCTAAACACGGACGGGTGAGAAACGAGGGCCCGGGTTTGACGGCCAAAGAGAAACAAGAGCAGCTATGGGATTGTCCCATATGCCAGCTTCCTCAACCCGCTAACGATCGAGATTTTAATTCCCACATTGACCTATGTCTTTCTCGCCAGACGATCAAAGACGCCGTAGCAGAGGCACAGATATCTACAAATGGATCGTGTGCTTCACCTGAAGTATCAATTATGCCTGGTCGACCACAATCTATGCCTGGAGTTTCTTCTGGACCCAAACCAGCCTCGAAGCGGAAAGCAGCTACAAGTGTCTTGAATGGCATGACTTCCGACGGCGTCACCGGGAGAAAGCAGAAGAAATTGTTCTTTACTTGAAAAGGGTATTCCGCGGTCCCCTTTTGTGTTGTCTTAAATCATGTATGATTGATGAATCTATGAAGAATAGCGATATACTTATTTGTTCAAAAGACGCCCGAGCGCCTCTCGGCACCAGATGACATAGTAGGACTCGTCACATCATCCTCTTTACAGCTGCTACTGGGACCGGCAAGTCAGTTGAAGTCACAAGATCCCGAGAGAAGATCTTCGATCACACAAGCTTCTATGCACCTTGATGGAGACATGCATTACTAGGTGAGACTCGGCGTTCCAACATCCGATGATCAACCGAAGCGTTGCTTTTCTATAATACTCCGGCTTCCCCGTCGCCCATCGACGGAGAATGAATGAGCTTCTGTTGTGCTAGTTCTCTTATTCACGCTTGTCCGAGGTTCCGATGACTGTTGGATAGCATGGAGTTGCAGACAACACGGTCGAGTAGCCCCCAAAACCGTGACGTAGAACCTTCTGGCGACATCGTCACGACGGCAAATGATCGAGCAGAACGATTCCTGACGTCTCGAAATGTATTGAAACTCATTTGCGCTGGGTTCTCGTTCTTCTATGCTGGCACAAACGATGGCACCACCGGTCCTCTCATTCCGTACATGTTGCGCAATTACCATGCCAGCACTGCTCTGATTACAGTCATGTAATGCTTGCCTCAAATCCCGAATCAATGGCTTACCAGTACACATCTCAGTACCAGCTGACGCTGAATTATCAATAGATACGTGGGCACCTTCATCGGCTGGTTCATCTCGGCTCTCACAAACACACATCTGACAACGACACTGCGTTTATCTCTGGGTGCCACGCTCCTTCTCGGCGCCGGGCTGCAGCTTCTCGCTCAATTGCTTCGATTCTGGGGACCTCCGTTCCCCTTGTTCGTCATCACCTTCTTTCTCACGGCTCTTGGTCAAGCGTACCAAGATTCCTATTCCAATGCATTTGTTGCCAAAGTACCCCAGGCGCATCGATGGCTCGGCTTCATCCACGCCATGTACATGCTCGGCTGCCTCACAGGACCTTTTGTCGGGACGCTCATATCCAGCCATACGCACTGGTATTATACGTACGCCGCTGAAGCAGGACTTGGATGTTTGAATCTCGGATTTGTGTTTGTTGCCTTTAGAGACGACATTTTCCGAGCCTGGAAGAAGAGAGCTGTTGAGGGAAGAGAGTCCGAGACGGGTCAAGAAGAAGGCACTTTGTCCACTGACCATGACCCTGATCGTGCTGTGGATGTCTCCAGCAATACTCGAGCCAGAAACAAGCAAGCCATCAAGGAGATCCGGCAGACTTTACAGCTCCCTTCTGTCTGGCTCGTCAGTCTGTTCTTTTTCTTCTTTCTCGGAGCAGCCATTACAGCTGGAGGTACGTCTTTGGGGGCCCCGCACTCGCCTCGCCTTCAGCCCTCTTCGAAGCTTACCCCTACCAGGCTGGGTCGTCGAATATCTCGTCCGGGTACGCCACGGCGACTTATCTTCCATGGGCTACGTCCCGACAGGGTACTACGGCGGCGGTTTCCTTGGTCGCTTACTCCTCGCCGAACCCACGCATCGACTTGGTGAAAGACGCATGATCTTTCTCTACACTGTCATCTGCGTCGCTCTGCAGGTCATGTTCTGGACCATACCGAACATGGTCGCCGGCGCGGTCTTGTACTCTGCTTTGGGATTCTTCTCGGGTCCCTTTTTCGTCAGTGTAAGATACCGACCAAACGAACACCGCCAGTTGCCACTATCTTGTTCTCTAATCTTCTATTCTGATCCAACAGGGGATCTCAGTGGCGTCACAGCTTTTTCCAAAATCCATACAAACTACGGCGCTAGGTAAGTGACGAAGTTGAAAAAAACTCCCCCCATCAAAGCGTATTCATCTCGACACTCCTTCTCACGGTGACATTGCAGGCTTCGTATTTGTCATGGCCCAAATGGGAGCAAGTCTCTTTCCGACCGTCACGGGAATTATCGCGGCCAATGCGGGCGTCAAGGTTCTTCAACCAATGCTAGTTGGGTTATTTGTTCTGGTTGGAGCAAGTTGGTGGCTCGTACCAAAGGTTGAAAAGGGGAGAGGAGGAGAAAGGAGTGACTGATGAATCTATATCGGTAGTCGCGAGCGAAAAACCTCCGGTAGTTATGAACCTACATAGGTAGGCGGTAGGCTATAACAATATCCCCGATCTGATTACGGTAGAATATGGACATTTCATTGTCCCTCCGTTTTAACATTTGTACTCCTGCCCACCGTCTGTCGCGCAGTACAGTCCCATCAACTCCACGTTGATGCTTCAGGTACTTGAGGCTACGGTCCATAAGTACCTGAGATAGGCTGTACTGTATGTATGTTTACCTCGTGCTCACCCTGCAACGAACGAGGATCCTGGTTCAGTTCAGTTGCTACCCCATACATGCCTTGTACGTACTCCGGATTAATTGCCCCCTTTTGTTTTTGGTTTTTTTTTTTTTCAAAACGTGGTCTGTTCACCCTTCCCCTTCCCACACAACTGGATCCCGCCGCCCCCATATGTACGGGATACTCCAGTCGAAGAAGAAAAGAGACCACTACTGGGTAGGGTACTCCGTACGGGCACGTCCTCTTTCCAATCTCGGTACCATCTCCTACCTGATCCGTCGATGCCACTCTCGATTTCGTCGACCAACGCGTACCGTGCACAGTGCCCAGTGTGCATCAAAGCATCGACGGACGGACCGGAGAGCACATACAATACACCATTGTCCTCCACTCCCGTCCACATCGACTCCGGGGGGGCGTCTGTCTCCAACTAAACTGATCTAACTAGTTAGTTGGTGGCCTCTTGGTACCTACTGTACCCGTACAGTACACAGCAGACGGTAACTAACTAGTTCAGTCAGTCAGTCAGGCTGGCCCATCAATCTACCCGTGTAGCCCGTAAGCCCTGTGGCCTGAGTTTGGTGGGCCCGATGCTGTAGGGTAACTTTTTGTACGTACATGACGCTAACTAACTACATAGATAACTGGACCGCCACCAACGACACCGTGAACGTGAACACCGGTCGTGCTTTGATCTGTGCTCACGAAAGAAAACGCCCAACCACAAACTGGCTCTCCGCAGCAGCAGACTACGACGATTAATTTTTATCGAATGGACTACCCCCAACAAAGGGAAAGGGAAAAAAAAAATCACCTGCTCTCATTGTTTGATTTTATTCCGACTACTCGTAGTAACAATAGCCAAGATATAAATAACAAACAAGAGTGGCTATCCCCTGTCTTCAAGGACAGACCTTCAGCAAGCAGCAGCAGCTGCTGCTGCAGCACCTCTGTCTTGTGCAATAGGGAACCAGGGCAGCTCATCTGGCCCAGGTACTCGTAGTTCGCCAGATCTTCGTCTCACGCCAACACAAACTTGCGCAAGCAAGCCCTGCCACGATAATAGGTCCAAATGCATACAGCATAACCTTTGTTGATAGGTACATTTATCATGGCACCCCTCTTGGTACCACAGTCACTTGTGCCTCGTTTCACCGTACTTCATGCCCTTCAACCTCCATTTGATTATCCTTGGTCAGTCCCTCCCTGATCGTCTCCGGAGCAACAGCGGCGTAGGGATCTTCTGCTTCTGCTTCTGCGTCCGGGTCCACTCCCTTCCTGTCCCTCTCCAGAATCTCAGTCTCGGCATCAGACGGTCCACCGCTCTCTGACACGGTGTCCTCCGTGCCCTTGACCTCACCGACTCTGGTACCCTCAAACATCCCACCGAATGGCGACTTCTTACGTGCCACCTTTGGGCTGGGTTCACGCGCTTCGGACACGACCGGGCCGGTTTCTTTTGCACCATACTTCTCGATGAAGGCGTCCTTCAGGACTTCATAAAGGAAGCTGTACTGCAATTCATTGATGACCATCATCATCCGTTGTTCGCGCAAGGTGTTGACCGTCTCCCAGATGAGGTCGGCTTCCTCCTGAAAATCCGGAGTCGTCGCTTTAGGCGGTCCACTCCTACCCCAAGTACCATTTGATTTCGGGGGGGCTCTGGCTGTAATGTAATCCGAAGGTGGCTCTACGAGCCTGCCAGCGTCCAATTCATGAAGAAGGAAGTCCAGGGCTATCCAAGTGCCGGTGCGACCAACCCCTGCTGAACAGTGGACGATCCGTGGAGAGTCGCCAGCTACCTTCTTGGACACCTTGATCAATTCCACCAGCGCCCTACGGTCTTCGGCTTCTGGTTTCCCGAAATCCGGCCAGCCGTTGAACAAGTAATGATAAATGACCTTTGATTCATCTCCAATGGTCAATTGCAACTGTCGCACCTCACACCTGACTGTTGCGTCATAATTGAGGGACAACAATGTCACTGTGCCACACTGACTTTGCGCTCCACCTGCGGTTTCCTGTCGTGTGTTTGAATCTGGAGACTCGGCATCTGTTTCGACGCTATCAGTATCGGCGCTCAATTTAGGGATATCAGAGAAAGGATCACCATCACTCGCTTTGTCTCCAGGGGCGTCTCCATTGCCCTCTTCATGCGCTGGGAGACTGATTATGGGATGTTCCATATCCCAGGGAAAGTATTGTGCGCATTTCTCTCTTGCACCTTCATATAGCTGAGTGAGCATCACAATCGCCCCGACATCACCCGTGGTTTCTTGCAGAACCATATGCCAGAAGTGGGAAAATTGGCCTTCTTTCGGACCTTGAGTGGCAATATACCTGTATACAGGGTCGGAGGATCCATCAGGCGAAGTGTTCTCCAGAGCATGCGAAGTAGGGTGTTCCTTGCGCATTTTTTCTTGCAGTAAGCGACCAGAGAGCCTGATGGGCGAAGCATTGACATAGTCAGATCCCCCAATGGGCTTCTTTAGCCTAATTCTTGACAAGTCCCAAGGCTGGACATCCTTGTATCGATTACGGCTTATCACAGCAAGCGACCGATCCAAGCGATATGGAGAGGACTCCGGGTTTTGAAGGGCATCTTGCAAACGATATCGTTCTTTCCACCCAATATCGGCAAAGGCAGCCGTGATCCCTATGTACGGTAAGCCACCGATGTATCAGTGCATGTCCAGGCTAAAGTCATTCAAGACGATAGTACTCACTTGCTCGATCCTTGTCTAGATACGCCGGCACCTTGGCGAGATTCCGCTGGCTGGAGTTACCGCTCTCACCAGCGGACTCGGTTGAAGACCTTGAGTTGGAAGTGGATGGGCCAGCCGCATTATTGGGCAACTCCTGCGATCTCTGTCGCTTCACGGACCCTGATGTTGAAGTGCTGATGTTCAAAGATTGTGGCATGGTCTGAGTTATCTCGGCTACTGTGGCGGCATTGAAGTGAGATGAGCCAGGCCCAGCTCGGGTAAAGTCAGTCTGGAGAGGCGGCAAGGATGAGGAAGTTTTAGGTCGAATCGTGAGATTCGGGGTTGTCTTGGATTTTTTCCCAGAATGGATGTGGAATCTGTGAAAGATAGACGGACGTTTGGGTGTAGAGGTGGTGGAAGATTCCCCAGGAGCGGAATGAGAGTCCTGGGGAGCGGCGCCGGCTTTATCAGTAAAAAAGCTTGAGACAGTCGTTGTGATCTGGAGTGATGGATGAAAGGCGTGACCAAGCTGGACTTGTTTGATGGGCTTGAATGTGATAATCGGGGGTGGTGCTTGTTTGAAGAGTGAGGTCTTGATTTTGTCGTCTGAGATGATGTGAATTTCGGGCGCTCCAAGGGATGGGTATATTTCGTATATTGGTGCGGCAAAGAGTGTCAAAATTGATCTTCCGGGGACTAATGTCAGTGAACAATGATATCCAAGTTCCGCGTTTGCTAGTCGGTGGTGATAACTCGACAAACAGCCAAAAAGCCCTTGTTCGCAGGGCTATCCGATCGTGATCCCCTGTTTCAGGTGAGCTCTAAGAATACGTGTAGGTGCTTTCCTTCCGACAAACAATGGATCAATCGGTAGGCAGCTTCGTGCGAATGGTTTGATAGGGATTGCTAAATAAGCGAACGATGCCTGCTTCCAATCAACCAGATTTGGCGTGAGGCTGAGATTGATTACATGCAGATAGATTGACCTCATGTTGCAGAAGGCCGAAGTAAGGTGGGGAGGGAGTATGTTTACGTAAGCGAAGACTGCGCTTTTGCTCGCCATCGCCCGTTCGCAAAATGTCATCGCGGCCAGCAGCCAATTCGAGTATCTTTTCAGTGTTCCTGTTGCCATGATTGACAATCTGTTCCCATTTTGAACCTGCCTCATCATTCTGCTTCTATCCCGACTGATGCCTATTGATTTGTGATCCGATCTCCAGCAAACAGCGTTGCCACAATGACCTGGTGGTGGATGTTGGAGGTATGCTCTCCCACGCCATCTTCTTTTTCCAGCTTCTGACCATAGCAGAAACGAATGATCGAGATGGTACGCTATTGACCTCTTGCTTCCACCTCGAGCTTTTCCCTTTCTTATCGTTGTCAGCTCCTTCGTAGTCCATCTTTCCATCGAGGCGTGCAAAAAGTTCACAGAAAGGTCCATGAGTTACAACACGGCAAACCCCCGGAGTACTATGGGGGAACACACATTGACTGTACGTGGTAACACTGCTGTCTCATTTCCCTTGAGACTGGAGCTGCTCCCCCTCTCAGCCAACCGAGATTGGGAGACCTGATCAGAAACTCACACTTCTACTCGTACAGCTGAACAAGAAGCTGGCCGCGGCCTAAAAAGCCTATTCAAGTTGTTTTGGGAAGAACTCAAGACCGGCCACAAACCAGAACCGCCGGCGAAAAGATGACATCCATTCGCCTAGGCGACAAAGTCACGTTTGCAACGAACAAGTCGATTAGCAAGGTGTTTAGGTGTTCACTGCAATTTGATTCAGAGAAGAGATGATCTAGCTTCATGGGTGGTATCTTGAACTGTAACGGGCATGATATTGCGGGCGTGCAGACAGATGATTTGGAAATTCTTGCGACATCAGACGAAATCCAAGTTTTTGCGAACTGAATCTCAGCGTAACCGGGAGCAGGATCACCATTAGGTCCACACGGTATCTTTTCTCCTATTTGATGCGAACGCTCGATACAAAGAGATGACCGGATAAGAGCTCGAAAACCGCACCTTTGTCCAGGGCGGGCTCAGCTTCGTGCAAAAGGCCGGGGTCATGGCAGCGTACCGCACCGTGGTACAATGGACGCGCCTTCTCTGACCATCGACCTCTCGTCATGAAGGATTCTGTTTGTCCCAGCAAGTATCTGTCGTACAGCCGAGGCTGTTGAGCTTGGACAGATTGTCGACGGCCGAGCCGGAGACGCTTCCACTCAAAGCTTTTGTTCTTGCAGCAGTCCTCCCAGTCTATGATGCTCGGGAAGACTCGGCTCTGTGGGTATCTATCCCAGGTTCTACACATCTAATATTGAAATTCGTGTACCGGATACAGATTGGGTCGACTCATCGTTACTCCTCCATGCGAGTTTGACCCTCATTCCATCCGAAGAGCAACAGCAATCCCAATTGCTACGCCTTGATCAACCTCGTGGTCTTGTCATACTTGAAGATCAGCGGAAGAACCTCGCAACGCCGAGGAAACGGCCGACATCAATTCACCACCCCTGTTCTCATCTTCGGATACACACGGATCTCAACCCTTGCCCACGTGCCTTTTCGTTTCAGGGTAAAGCCACCATGGCACCGAAGCGGCAGGAGGTGATAGGGCCGACCTATGAGGCGTCGTCGATCCGTGTCGGCTCTGTTCACGACATGTGTCGTCCTTCCACTAGAGCTCACAAGTGGTATCTTTACTTGCCTCGATCGGCCTTTGTCCCGAGGCACACTGGCAGTTGCTTGATCAGACAACGAAAGGCAATAATCGATCGGACCCATGAAAGGTGTCGCACCGTCGATTGTGACTCAAGATCCTGGCTATGATTGCATTTGTCAGTAAATCGCTCAATATAAAATATTGAATCGGACCGTGCACGTTTGACGTTGTACCCAGTGACTGTGGGCGTTTCTTGCCCAAGGGGTCTTGGAAAACAGAGGACAAGAGCGAACGAGCCCCTTTGGGAGTGCAAATGTGGCGATCTGCTTTCTGTATTGATGCCCAAACACCTTAAATTTGCTTTTTCTCGTACATACTGACGATCTCTAACGCGTCCCGTCCAAGTAAGTACGCTAGCTAAGTATGTTGCCGCCGATCAGGTGGGAATGAGTTTTTTGGGTTTTCTCGCCCCAAAGAAGACACCTGCAGTGATGATCGAAGTGCGCCATCAACGAATCTGTACGACAGGGCAGCAGCCTTTTTCGAGATCCCGCTGTCATATCTGCACGCTTTTTCCAACAAGGCGCGGTCGACCACAGGGGAGATCTTCCCAGCACTTCAAACGTGGCCATTTGGGGCCGGGCGCCGGGAAAGGCCCGCAGCGTATATACGAGTACTCCCGGAACTGCATAAAGCCACAATGCAGCGAGTGACCGAGGCGTACCTACCTGTGTTGATCAACGTTCGAAACTGGCCTGCATGTCGCGTCCGCTGAGGTAACGGGGAGGGGGAGAATGGAGTGCCACGCAGGCAGACACACGAAGTCAAGAGGAACGATTTTGTTCAGCCGCTTGTTGTGAGGTCCGCGACGTGACCTGCTTTTTTTGTCTTCAGTTTGCAGCCGCCCAGCCACAATACAATATTGCCGTGGGTTTGCACTCTCGCGGCCCCTCGTACAATGGCCTGGAACGTGTCTGGCTCTCATCGTTGATCAGTCCTCGCCCTGCGTACCGGAAAGGATGACTCGGACGGGACTGGGCGGTCGAAGAAAGGACTCTCTCTCTCTCTTTCTCTGTGCGCGTGTGCATCGGGGCGAAAACTTGCCACATCAGCAAAGCAAACCTCCGTAGTCGTCCGAACGACGAATATGTGCCTGGGTTCCCTTTTTTTGTCAACCCTCTGGTTGGTGAACCCCATCGTCGTCGTCGTTGTTCGTGTGTGAGCGTGCGTGTGTAACGGTGCAACCATGAGTGACGGGATAAAAAGGACCGGTTTTCATCTAATCCGGATCCCATCCAGCGCAAATGAATTCCAGAGCTGACCGACAAACCCCAGAACCACGCGCTGATTTTGTTTCCCCTTGCACCATCTGAGATTGTTGACAGCTGCGGGCCATATATCCTGAGTATCTCTCGAATGCACGTAGCAGTTGGTGTGCGCGGACCTTCTCATCCTTCTTCTTGCGACCGAAGCCGAGCCAAATTCGACCTCGCCGCCGCCGCTGCAACCAAACTAACTGGTGGCCCGTTACCGGTACTGACGTGGGTTGTCGTCCAACCAAGAGAAACCAAGCCAATAATGCGTCATGGTACAAACATGGCCGAGCCCCCCGGTAGATCAGTACATATGTACAGCTAAAAAAATTCCCCCAATCGAATCACCTTACGAGTACATACTTATACTATACAGTATGGCATGGATTGCAGATGCACGGTCCCCCCCCGGCTCCTTTGCCTACCTTGGCTGCATTATGCCCGCGTACCTGGGGTATGTTTTTGTTTATTTTGGCTCAAGCCTTTCACCCAACGGCCCAAGAGGGAGACGCGCTTCTTGCCAGGATGGATGACTTACTGTACCTATATTATTGGCCATGCTATCACGGTACTACCCTCGTACGAGTACCACTTTGCCCTCAGAAAGCTCCCCAAGGTTTGGGCGAGGGTCAAACTAAGTTTTGGGATAGAGGATGGTGGCTGCAAGTGTAGTGTAGTTGTGGTCTGTAGATCCCTGGCTTTCGTTGAAAAGAAAAAAAGTCCACAATGATTTCATTCCTCCCGAGCACACAGTAATAAAGCGAGGTCCCGAGTCCTGACTCGGTAGCAACGACGATGCCCTGTAGCCTGTAGGCTGTCAACATGGGTTCAGGGCACACCCGCGCTGCCCTTCCCTCTTTGACGGGTCCTAAATTAGTGTACGAGTCAACTGTCGCTCGTGGTATCCCATTTGCTCGTCCGGATCGAAGATACGAAACAACAATAACAATATGACCTTTTATTTTTTCCAAAGCCAAAGCCTTTTTTTTTTTAGCTCCGAGATTAAACATGACGACTACACAACTGATGACCACACCCGTCCAATGGGAGCTGCCCGGAGATCTGTGAGCGAAAGTGAGAAAGCAAATCCCTGTACTCGTAAAGGTTCCACTTGCCGGTGCCCATCGTTGAATGCCTGAGGTTCGGGTTGTTGTAGCGCATCCAATAATGGAGTGAGATGCCACAAAATACCACTCAACTTCTGCTGTCCAGCCCGGGCCCCCGGCATCTCTCGAGAAGCAGGGCAGGAGAGGGGGAAAACTCCCTGTCCAGCCGAGAGTGTGGAATGTGACAGCCTGCTCTGCACCTGCACAAGAAACTCCACGGGGTCCTGTTGTGTAGCAGGGGTCGACCTCGTGAAACATCGGTTCAGGCATCTTCGGGAACGCAACGAGCGGTCCGTGCGAGTTTTACACTTTCACCTTTTGCTTGGGCCTGAAGCAGCCTTATTATTACGACGACTGTACGTCAACCGTGTTAACTCTGCTGGAGGACTACTGTATGATTGTAACAAGTACAGGTACCTAGTTGAGACCCGTGCCTTAGCTCCCTGTAGCCATTACCTCAGGTACGGTAGAGGGAGCGCAGGGAGCTTCGGCTGTGCCGTCCGTAGCAAGTCTGTGCGCTCCCTGCGTGCTGTAGGCTGCGCTCTGCTTTAGATTGAGCGCGACTCGAGCAAGCTCCGAGCTCCGAGAGATGCCGAGGAACAGCGAGCTTTGCCGAACGCACCTTCCCGGATCTGGATGGCAGGTGGAGACTAGCGGCCTTGGCAATCGGCGCATCGCAATCTGGGCGGGAGGGAAATCTCTCGCCACGTGCCGGTGGCGCTGCACCAGGCTTTGGACATTTCCGTCCCATCTGTATCCGTACTCCGTGTCACCGTCACTGACGCCGCTTGTGTGTCCTCTCCATCCCACCTCCATTTCATCAATCCGAACATTTTCCACTTTCGATCGCCCCGATGTGATCGCCACTCATCCCGTGCGTAGTATAAGGCTAGAATGCGTGATTACGTCCTGAAGCACACGACAAAAGGCAATCGGAGAGCGTCCAACTGACTAGATCACCGGTGGCTTCATGCATTCTTACCCGTGAACCCATCTCGGTGAGACAAGGCTTGAGGGCAGTCCAAGACCCAGGCAAGAGTGATACTTCCCCCCCTGCGACGGGGACGTAGCGCACCTCGCTTCTTGCTCCGGACCGGACATGCGCTTCTTGACCTCTTTCGTGATACAGACAAGGCAGAGATCACACTCACATCGAGATGGTGACCCCGCCGACGAGGCCATCATCTACTTGCCATTCAGAGTTTGTGGTGAACTGGAGAGCAGGTCACTGTTCCCACATGAGCTTATCCTTTCGTTTTGGAACCATGAGCCACTCTGTCTGTGTTTCACCAGTTCATCCAAAAGCGCGGGCGGATAGAAGCGTCGCAATGCGTGATCCGACCATGGTCGTGGGAGATTTTTGACAGCTGTCAAATATGCGACTTTCCAGCCTTTGCGTACCCTCCTTACGTGAACTGGGAAAAGACGACGCTGTGACTGACGTTCGACCAGAGGAACCATTCCATCCACAAGAGGGGACTTGCTACCGGGGGCTCGAGACGTATAGTTTTGGCCCGATCATTAGTCTTCTGTCAGTAGGACAATGTGTATCTGCAAAGGCCCCTTCGTTGTCGGTTTGAGATGTCGCCTAAGCCATCAAATCCACTTGTTGTGCTGCGGCGGAAGGCCTCTTCTTCTGTCAAAGAGGGAGAATAGTCTTTGTGGGAAAATGCGTGCTTCCGAGCAACCAGGAGACGCGATGACGAGCACAAATCATTGGAGCCCAACTTTCCCGCGTCACGAAGGGTTAAAATAATACAGATGAATAATCGGTCGATAAGCTTGCAGCCACATCGCTTAGCGAGATTCTGGTGTATTGTAGCTAAAGATAGCCGAAATCTCGATACAATAATAGTTGCGGATCTGGCAGAAGGCGAAAATGAAGCGAACAGCACGAAGCTTAGATCCAATCTCACCAGGTTCGCAGTCTTGACAACACTTGGGGGGTTGTACGTGCTGCCCGTAGATGACACACGTCGGAGGACGGCCGTAGCTCCATTTCTGGAGGGGGTGATGATGAATCTGGGAAAAGTCGAATCATGAAACAACCCATGCATCGACGGCACGCTGCTCTGCTCGTACCAGAACATGAGCGTGAAGGATCTGGCAAACGGCCGATGGACCTCGTCGCACGGATAAAGGCTCGATAAACTCTCAAGGCACTTTGGCTTTGGGCAGGTAGGTGTACAGTAGTCGCAGTACGAATACGCACAATACACACCATCGTAAATCAAGGCTGAGCATCAGGAGACCTTCACTGATGGCTTATTCATCTGCCTCCAAGATTCCAAATCGCAAGGGGCGGTTTTTGGGTTTCTTTTCAAGAATTCCGCATCAAAGGATCCAAAGGAGTGTGCTCTTGACACACTAATCCAGTCGGTCCCTGGATGTACAGTAGGAACCCGACGTGATGGAGGTGGTGCCTGTGTGAAGGGGAGCATGATGTGACGGGCACTGCAGCAACTTCAAGAGCAGGAAAGTGCCCCCAGAGGATCTAAACGATCTGACCAAGGAATGTTTCGGGTCACTCTTGAGTCTTGATTCGTGTTCCTTGTGGACTGACCGGAAGTGCCATGCGGTACGTTGGTTTCTGAGCCCTGACCAGGAGGCCGGCGCAGAGAGGATTTGATCATGATGGCTATACTCCGTACACAGAGCCTGCTAAACACAGGTTAGCCCGCGGACTATGGTTTCGAAATATGGGAACGAGGCGCCCTCGCTTAGCTGGGGGGTTGTCTGAAGGAGTACTCCGTATCGGCCTCGTAATGGTTTGCCGCACTACTAGCTTGGAAAGCCCCCCAGCGACGATGGATACTCCGCCACCCGGTACAATGACCTACTGTATGCGGTGGGAGTTCTTTTTCCGCAGGCATAGGCCTGTGCTCGTGCCCGACAGGAGTGACAGGACTACTCCATAGGAAGTGTAATTGGAGTGTAGACTTTAGTCAGATCCAAGTGCTTAGGCTATCCCGGCATCTCCCTTTTTTGCCTCTTGAGTCAGATTGAGGCATATGCCGCCCGCTTCTGTTTCGAACCGGCATCGTGTCGGGTCGTACGTAATGCTGTGGATGAGGAGATTGTTCCATCTGTGACAACGCGGTGATGAGCCACCGTTATCTGCTTCGAAACGCTTCCGGATTGCTCTAGAGAAGGGTGGGCTGGTGGAAGGCGGCGACAAGAGCGATTGATTGTGTGCAGTCCTGGGTAGGAAGGAATGGATGCGAGTTGTGAAGCCCGCAGAGAAACGACAAGGCGCACACTAGGCAGGCTAGTGAGACTGAGCCTGCAGCCGGGGAAGGTATAATGGTCTCCCTTAGCTACCTAGGTAGGTAGGGCGAATTAGCTGCCAACAATACAGTACGTACAGCAGGGTAAACTCATTAGAGAAGTCCAGACGAGACTCCGTACTCTGTATAGGAGCATCCGCACTTCGTAGCAGGGTCGATTGACCCGTTCGGAAACTCAATAGCCATCTGGGAGAGCTGGTAGCGCCCTCCGTTAGACACCTCCCTTGTACTCGTACAGTACTCCCTACAGAACCCGTTGTCACGAATTCACCGAGCAACTCGTGCACAAGCTGGGTTTTTAGTGGGTTAGGCATTATGATTGTTGTGCCCATCTCCAGGCAAGCCCCGGCCTGTCTCCCTGGCTCCCTGTCTCCCTGGCTCCCTGTCTCCCTGGTTCAACGGGTCACGGCACTGGCTCACCAGGCGGGCCCATCACACTAAAGGCACCCTACGCTAGGCCCAAAGTCTGAGCACACATGCCTGGTCCCTGGCATCCTGGCTCCTGCAGCCACCCCGAATGGCGACTGGCTGGCGTTGTCCCATCGCCATCGCCCATCATGATCGTCCATCTGGCTGCTGCTCGCCCCTGTCACCCACCACCAGTGGCCACAGAGCCAATACGCGGTGCCCGTATCCACTTGCTTGTCCCCTCCGAGTAATAGCCCCCCGAATCCTTTCACACTCCTCTAGGCTATGGGTGCCCAAACGCTATCTGTCTCTCCCCTCCCAAAAGCCAAAAGATCCCCCCGATCCACCTAAGCCTATAGGCTACCAGGCTCTCAGAGGCCGCGGTGGTGGTTCTGGGACACACAACTGACTGGCAGTGCCCCCGTCAGACCTTTCCATCATTCCCACGGCCCATGCTAGTGCGATCTCTCGATCTGTTCTCCGCCCATCTCGCTCTCCAAGACTCGCTCATTCTTTCCTTCTCTCTGCCTTGCACCCGTCACCATTCTCTCGACTCCGGATCCCGTCTAAACCTGCGTCTCTGCTGCATATCACCGTCAGCATCCTGTTCCGCGACTCTCTTTGTGTTCGACATCTAGGGCTCACAGTCTTGTCGTGCTCTCCTCTTCATACTCTGTTTTCTGCGCTCCTCCAGGCAATCGCGTTGGGTCCGATTGGTGCAGCAACAGAACTTCTGTTGACGGCGTCCGGAATTTCATATCCGCACCTACACATCAACCACCATCATTGCGGCACCGTCGGCGAAGAGACGCAAACCGTTCCCCTTGAGCATCTACGCAAACATCTTCTGAACCAGAGCCACTTCTGGTGTTGTTTATTGGCACGACCGCTCAAACGTCACGAGCCCTGCGTAACCTGGTGTCGGAAGACATTGAAATCTGCGCGGAAACCTACATTGGCAACACAGAAACCCTCTTCCGCCAATCCGCCCATATGGTTGATTAGACCTGCTCTTGAACATACTGACAGCGCTTGTCGAAGAGGGTACCAACTACATTGATAAGTTGCCGTCATGGCCACTTTGGACTTGGGTCCTAGGCAAAGGTGTGTGGACTATTCATGGTGTGTGCATCGGGTGTGGACTTTGTTGACGGACTCTACAGGGACACTCTTCCCCCAATCAGCCACCTAGACTTGGATGCAATCAAGAGTGATAGTAACGGGCAGTCTCGGTTCACCATGCTGAATGGACTCAGTATCTCGACCGCCCCAATGAGCAGTCCTACAACTACCATGTATTCCGGGCCTCCCGCTCCGTATTCATGCGCTCCTTCGACGGCGGGATCTGCGTCAGGATTGTCAGGTTATATCTCTCCTCCAGAGTCCACAACTCGACGCTCTACGCGGGACGAGAGAGAGTCACCAGGCCTACGCAAATCACTTCCATCGATACACGAGGCGCTGGGTGACCGATCAATGTCACTCTCTGGCCCTCTGCCGGCCGCATCCCAACAACCTCTGCTTGCGACTCCCACCACAACTGTAGGGCAGAGTTTCCCCGATGGTCCAAAGGGACCCGCCAATCCTTTTTCACAGCCTCCAGGTCCAGCACCTGTTCTCAGAGATGTCTTTGCAGCCCCTGCAAAGAACGGCTCGCTACCTGACAAACCTCCCATCCCTTCCGCTGACCCACGTCAACCGGTGTCTCAGCACTTTGGCTATCCTGGGTCTCCGCCTTCTCAGCCGCCACCGCCTGCATTCCGTTCCTCGTCACTAGCCAATACGTCGTTTTCCAACCACAACGATCACCTTCCAGCGACGTCACCTCAGTCCTACGATCCTCCCAAAACGCAGTATCCTTTACCTCAGTTCGGTGCTTCCGCAACCTCAAATGTCCCAGTTCAGCATGAACCAGTACAATTTGGCGCTGGCACCAAAGGGGATCTTTCCCGACCGCCATATTCCAGACCCGATGATATTCAGTTCAGTGACAGCGTAAAGCGACATTTGGACGTCTTTGATGCAGAACTAGGATTTAATGAAGTAAGTTTCTTACATTTTCTCATAACATTACCAGTCCTGACCGTCTACAGATTAGCGAGGCTTCCGCAGGGACGCTTGATTTCGCCAGAGTGTGGGCTCCGCGCTTCCACCACGGTAGCCGCTCTGGCTATTTCCACGAGGCGCTCCCAAGTCTGAGCGAAATTGATGACGCACTTCGCCAATCGCATCGTACTCTTGAGAACTTGACTCATCTGCGGGAGTTGGTTCTTGTGAATGAGAATGCAAAGATTGAAGAACGGGCTCGACAAGCTGAAGAATACCGTGGCTTGCCTGATGGGTACCGAAACCCCGGTCTAGCAGATAGAGGCGAGAGAGACGCCAAAAAACATCGACGTGGAGTAAGTAACGTCCATAGACGTGAGAAGAGCGTCACTGACTTGTGACCAGCAGAAGGCTGCACCACCAGGACGATGTCATAGCTGCAACCGCGCCGAAACGCCTGAGTGGCGAAGAGGGCCTGACGGAGCTCGCACACTATGCAATGCCTGTGGTCTACACTACGCCAAACTCACACGGAAAATGGGTCTTAACAAGGCAGCAGCCTTGACGGGCTCAGGCTTGCGGCCAAAACATCTAGACCAGACACGACCTTGACATTGGTCATGCGATTTCAACGACGAATCTAGTTACGTTCCATACGCGAGCTCTTTCAGGAGACGACGATGATGATTTACACGGCTACGAGATGTTCCTCCAGCCACAAGATTGATTTCTATTTGGGTTTTGGCGTCCCGGGAGGCAAGCTCACTTCGAATGTGCACTAGAAGCAATTAGGCGACGGTTGGGGCTGTGATTGTACAAAAGGGACTCACGCAAGAATGTCCCAAAAGCTTTGGGTCTGGAAATGGCGTATACGGCGTATGTTTGCACAGTGTAATGCCTTAGAGGCATTCGGAAGCATGAGCGATGATTTACGTCGCCTGAAAGGATGGACTGTTTCTGATACCCCAAACCGCTGCCTTATTAGAGGCTACATTGGAGCATTTTGGTTCCATCATACATGTCTTTGGTATTGTTATTATCTATTGTTGGACGGGGCTGGTAGGAGACCCGGTGGGCACGATTGAGTCAAATGAGAAGGGATGTCTGGGTTTGCTTTTTTGTGATGGCTGTCAGGACTGGTGACGGCGACACCAAAGCTGCACCTGTTCCCCCAGCCGACACTTGTCGGTTTCCACCAACGATGCACTGTAGCGCATGTCGCGTACAAAAAGTCAGACTCACAGCAGGCGAGGCGATGGTTATTAGTAGTCTCTCGCCAGCCAGCATTGAAGAAATCACTCTGATAACAGATTCCCTCGGGCTCTGCTATGGGCAACCATACATCGTGTCTGCTCTCTTCCCAAAACGATATCCGTACTGGTTCGTTTTCTCTATCCCCGGAGCGACAGTTGTACAGTGTGCCTCCGTGTCCCATGCCTGTGCAGCCGTCACAAGGCGCTAGTCACTAGGATGTGCAGGACGTAGTTCACAAGAACCTGCCAGTCACTCGGCTTCCGCGGGAGGCTGTTGTCCTGATGCGGAGGAGCGAGATTGTCTAGCCTGGTGATTTGGTGTGGTCAGATGCGGCGGATCGAGGCTACAGGGAGAACTCACGGAGCACTGGGGGCCGTCAATGCAGTGCAGTGCATCAGTCGACTCGTAGGCTGCACTCCACCCTGCTCAGATCCCTGCTCTCCGATATGCAGCGATTTGCATCTGTCTCAGGGACTCTGAGAATTAGGGCGCCGAGTAAGCACCACCAAGGAGAAATCACGTCTGGAGGACCGCCTCACCAACCACGCGGCTTGCACCAAAAGGGTCTCATTTCATCAGGCCACTCACCGAACTCTGTTACCACCGATACAGGCATTGTCACCAGACGGCTCGCCGTAGCCAGAATGGGTCAAGCAGCAAACTATCCTTTTCTCGCCTGGATCGGGTCCCCATCTGCTCGCTCAACGGCTGCCCGGCCTAGGCCATGGCCCATGGCGCTATCCCAGCCCGCAAACGATGGTGGGTGGAGGATCGCAGGAACACTGGATCAGCCGTGATCAGCGAGTTACCGACGCCCTCAAGCTCCCTCGCCCGTAATGATCGCACTGATCGCCGTGATCTGCACCTCTTGACCCTGTGCCACACCTAAACGACTCGATCCGACCTTCACGTTCCCCAGACCATTTCTCGCTTTGCCGGAGGGGAACACCCTCAGTGTCATTTCAAGAACCACGGCAAGTATGGCACTGGCCAGGGTCTCGAGTCTTGATCAGCTGAATACGAACATGCACAGCGACGGAGCCACTAGAGACTAGAGACGAGGAGGACAGCTCAATACAGGGCGAATACTCATGCTCCGTACGGTCTGTTGTTATACATTAGGACTATTTTGTCCTACACACGGTACGAAAACACCCCTGGTCGGACCAACCTGGCTCACTGCCTTGCAGGCTTGGCTGGGAAATACTCTGTACTTCATACTGGCCTCTTCCTTCGCGAAGTGTCGGAAAAGTGCATGGGACTGGAGAGGACGCAAGCCATCGTTCAACATTCGGACCAGTCATCAGAGAGCACGATGTGTCAGTAACACCAGACATGGCCCAGGGGTAGCTAAGGCGAATCATAGCCTGGAATCTCCCCAAACCGCTAATTGCTGCCTTTCCTTTTTCCAACGTGCCGCATGATGTATCAAAAGAATGGTCATCGACCGGTACAGTCTCCGGACGTGCCCACACTAAGCTGCTCACTCGGAAAGATGTTACCATTACCACGGTGTGAATGTCTCGACAGGAACGGTTGTGCCTTGCTCCTACACACTCGGTGAAACTAAAGGGCAGACTTGGGTGCTCTTGTGACCCAAGCACCCTGTTAAGCAGGGGTCTCAAGCTAACAAGTGCATCGAGGACTATCCAGGTGCGCAGTTACGTCAGAAGGTCCAAAGAATCAAGGTACAGGCGTTGTTGCTTTAGGGGTTGTCAAGCAATCGCAGCCACGGTCAGGAACAATCTCTCTCCACATCGCTCAATGATAGTGTCTTGGGATGCATCACCCTGACTTTGCTCAGTTTCGAAGTCTAGACCATGATTTGACCCAAACACGACAGGATCAGACATCGGTTTCCTTTGTGCTGTATACTGAGAAGCGCGGCACGCGTTTTACGCCCTGTCACCATGCGCTCAGTACTCAGTACTCGTAGCCCTTCGGTCACTTGAACCCAGGCGGGTTGCGATCAGACACTAGACAAATGCTTAAGGGATTGCCTATTGACAGCAGTCTTTTGAAAGGCTAGACTGTTTTATAGCCCGCCTGCATAAGGAAGCGCTGAATCAGATCCAGCCACCAACCTAGAGGCACAGGGGGTTCAGAACCTTCACAGACGGGGCTCACTGTCATGATCCCACTCCAGCTCATGCAGTCACAGACGGGAGACGGGTGATCACAACAAGACCCCTGCTTCTGAGTCTTGAACCACTTGCGATCTCTGGCTTGCCACTGACGACAGAATACTTGATAATAGTACGGATACGTCTACCGCCGTCTCTCAAGCGGAAGGACGGCCATCGCCCCAAAACGGACTGTCATGAAGTTGCTTAGTCCTCTGTAGAGGCGACCATACCGATACCGTCGCCTCCAAACAGCAGGGCCGCTCCCCCACCTGTGTAGTTTCTTTTGGCGAACCTCTTTGGTTGGCTAAAAGTAAGCAGAAGAACTGTCGTTCTTCGTCTATCAGCCCATGTTGCAGTTTTAGTACAAGTTCAGCAAAGGGCTCCTTAACAAGACAACATTCGAAGACGCAGACACCCACCCTTTGCCACCATAAACATGCTCTTGACACGGTGGGCCGGTGGCTGGTCACAGTAAGGTTATTTCCAAATTCCCACGAAGAACTCAACACAAGAGCAGGATCCCAACTACGTCGAACTTTTAACGACCCGGTCTCAATCAACGCTGTAAGCGACCTCCACAAAGGTGGATGAGAGATGCACGGGCGCCCCTATTCCCGGTCAGACTTGGCTAAGGTGGACCTTCCCTTTGCCGTCCAAAGTCACTTTATCGAGCCAGGGCGGGTGTGATCGGGGATCGCACTCTCAGGAAATCCTTTACTCCCTTCTTGTGGCGCTCCAGTCGAGATGAGATTGATAGGAAGCGAGATGCTAGGACATCTCAAAAGGGTGTTTCGACCGTTCAAGCCTTTTGAACGTGAGGCTGGAACTCTTTCTCACTTCCCTAGCCATGGAATGACTGCACAGTCCATCACAAATCATGCACCAGATCGACCTTTAGCATTTCAAACACTAGGAGCGACAGGCTTCTGCACTAGTGAGCAGGGGTTTTTTCGATGCTGCTAGAGGCCATGCTAGATACCAGCCAACTTTGTCGCACACTCGCGCGAGCAGTATCACTGCAAACTGGAGCACGGCATCATTCGGCCCTGTGGCAATACGAGATACCGACCGGGCTTTGCTTTCGTTTTCCCTGCAAACACCTCCGATGGCTGGCCTTACATTCGAAGTGTGCAGATTCGACTTCGACTGACCCCAGGGTCAGGATGTAGTCGACCTAACAGCCACAAAGTGTTTCAGGCTCCGTCGGCGAGCGACACAGGATGTCTGAGATTTTTCTCTGACCTCGTGAAGCATGAACTGGGTCAATCTTCCCGCTTACTGCTCCTTTGGTTGTTCTGGCCAGCAGACGTATCCATATGCAACGGAACCTTGTCTGGCATGTGCTCAGTCTCGTGAGTGAGTGCTGCAGTCTCAGCGTCGATTCTACGTACGCAAGTCAACTGTTTGAGACTTGGGGGAATCACTGTTCGATGATACTTGCATGGCCGCACTATTCCTCACCCAGCCGTCAGGAATTCTACGCCCCCATTCATTTCGTATTCATTCTCGAAGCGAGCTCAATTCGGCCGTTGCCCGGATATTCACAACGGTGAACAGAGTGTCCGGTGCCAAGCGCTTCAAGAGACTGCATTCTTACCGACCATCAGAGGGTATTGTCATTTGATACGCTTAGTTTCCTACCCGATTTGCGCTCAAGTCGCGTTGAAGGGAGGGTGTGGTGATCCTGCCCCTGTCTCATTGGCGCCGATGATACGTCTGCCGGAGGCATTCAAGATCTCAAATGTTGATTGCCTCGTGCATTGGTCCTGCTTTGACGCTACTTTCTGTGTGTCGCCTATCTAGAAAGAGTGAGACGCGCGTATCTTTACAGATCCCACCAGATGTTGCAGTAGTCTGTAACTGTCAGAATGGGTAAGTCTCCTTTGAGGTCCGAAACCATGGCCAGGGCCAGACTTTTACTTGGACAATTTCCCTGTCTTGTGCAACTCCTGGACCAAGGACTGCGAACGTTTCTCATTCTGCTTTGGCCACTCTGTACGAGTACAGCCACCCTTTACGAGCACACGGGGTCTAACGTACTCCGTACTCCTTACCGGTTCGGTCAGACGTGGATGACCCGGCCTCCTAAGTCCTGCACCACTGAGAGGATTTCACATCGCTTATTGCAGTAGACAAGGGGGGCAACATGGGTACTCAATGCAGTAGTGCCTGGTCAAGACAGTTGCAGATGAGACTACAGAGTGAGTTCCGTCCCCTTGCCAGCATGAATCATGCACGTCCCACATACATTCTTTCGATGACGGTCCCTTCTTGTAGGCGACGATCACGACTTGGAGGGAGAACCTCCAGGAGCCCTCGATAGAGACAAATCGTCCGCTGCAGCAGGGTGAGGGACTATGTGGATCGTTTTCTCGGGGGCCCATCGAGAGGAGAAGTTGAGGATTTCTGCCTTTTCTAGCATGGGTGGAGTGTTACGAGCTTGAACAGGCAAGACTGACCATACCAGCCCAGCCTTCGTTCTGCTTTCTTCCAGGCAGACCAGGGGCCGGCATATGCCATGGTGTTAGTTGATCTGCTTACTGGCTCCTACTCAAACCCTGGCCCATTGGTTTGTATATCGCAACCTCCAAACGGTCATGCATTAACTAGCCTACATTGCCCGTCCGTATCCACTGGGGCTGCATGAAAGAGCCACACGGCTGTTACGGAGTATCTTGTGACAACGCCTCTCTCATTCATGGAACCTAGCAGATGCTGCCGTGTGTTATTCCCCTGCCCATTGCTGCTTCTGTCACGAATTTCACTGAGCAGCGAAGCATTGCTACTAGATCTCTTAGCTTGGTGAACCCTGTCAGTCCGGAAAGTGGCCCTACAATACTAACCCAGAGCACGCTGGTCTGATAGACCCTCCTTCGTTCACACCTTTCATCGGTCATCACCCAATGCTGCTGATCTCTTTTGTTACTAACACTGTCCGTGGACCGTGGTAGGACGAAGACCTTGGCCACCCAGGGGTTCCTCGACGGGTTCATTTTCCAACCAGTAGAGTCTACGTGACAGTCCTCCATACTGTGCGTCTTTTTCCACGCGTGAGAGGATGTCGGTTTGACCTATGGGTCTGCTTCGGCTGTTCTTTCCCTCCCTCTCTCTTACGCACACACGCCTCCTCGATACGGAATACCCTCTACGAGCAGCAATATGCATGGTGACAAGATACACTCGACCTGGGAATTTCGCACCACACATGTTCTCCTTGCCTCTCATCGACTCTACGATGTCAACACGCAGGCGTCGTTGTTCTATGTGCGAAAATTGAATCATCAGTCGGGAGTCGAGAAAGGTGAGATCCAAAGACATCGTCGTGTGGTTGTCAGAGTTCAGCATTTTCGCGTGCTGAGGGAATTCCGTGCATTCGAAAGCTGCGCGTCTGTATAGCTGAAGTAGAATGAGTCTTCACATGCCACAGGGAGCGCTTTGATGCTTCCCCTACACGATCCATCTGGGCCACTTGCCATGACAAGCAAAGGGACATGCTCCGGCAAGCAACCTGCGGTTGACTTATCTTGCTTACTGTTGGCCTCTGGATACAGTTGACCCTGAATGTGTAGGATGACACCAGTTTCCTTTGGTCCCTTTTCATCCAAAAGAGACATCTGGCTGGTGAGAATATGGAGGTGGACAGTTGCGGCGTCAATGTCGTGCACCCAGTTGCAGGATACTGGCACAGAGTAAGTGATCTGAAGCATCCCATTAGGCATGGATTTTTTATGATTCTTCTGAACTGAGTCGTCCATCTGACTTCTTTCAAGATGACAGTCTCCCAGAACGAGTTTAAACTCTCTGTGTCTCCATATGCTACCCTCGAACGACCCGACAGTCAATACGGTGAACGCGGGGACAAGGGGAAGAAAAAGAACAAGCTCCCAACGTGACGAAAACTCTATTCCCTATTGTGTCCGGAAGTTAAGAACGAAGAAGGCGACTGGAGGTACATATCTAGATAATGAAGCAAGGCCGAGAGTGAAGACTGCAATACAGAGCACTACCTGCTACCAATATCCAGGGGACCGGGTCAGGCATCCTATCCTGTGCAGTCATCTCGACCAGTCCCGTCTGCTGCCCTTCGCAACCCCGTGTGATCCAGTACGTCTTCAGAGCTCTACCGACTGATACCACTAGATACATGACCCAGTACATAAGGTATATGTTGTCAGAAAGACACGCACAATTCGTCACTTCCCTCAAGCCTCTCCGAGAAATATTTCTCACACCTTTTGAGTCTTTGTGACTGCCGCCAACTCTATCTGAAATTTTACACCTCTGGCATTGAAGATTCGCGGACTTGGACTTTGTCAACCACCATCTTGGCCAACCTCGCGCCCAGAGGCAAAACAACAAAGAACTAAGCGACTCCGATACCAAACAGCATCCTAAGTTGGTAGGATACACCACCGAGGATCTGTACTCGTGACTCTCTGTTCTGTACGCCCAACTGCCTCCCTGGAGTGCCTCCCTGGGGTGCCTACCTGAAGTACTTACTATGCAAGTAAGTGAATAAGCAGGTAGACAGGCAGGGAGGTATGTTGAGAAGGCGAGCGAGTCAGAGCGAGTAATGACAGTCTAGGGAGAATGGATCCAGCTTGACGAGGCTGGGGGCTCTGAAAGGTTCAGCCTCGTATACCTGGTATACCATACCGTCGTCAAATAGGATCCACTTGCCCTCCCTATACCAACCAATTAGGCAGTTAGTGCGGCCGAGAGGAGAAAGGCGGAAGGGTATGACTCAAAAAAGCTTCACGCATGGGAACATATATACTATACTCAGGGACAATAGATAGCTATGGCATAAACCACATCATTTTCCGAGCGACAGCCAAGCACAACATTTATCACATTACTACAATCACTGCCCACTGCATCTGCCGCTACACTTTACCTCTTGCCCAGCGTCACCACTGCGATTTTTACTTGCACGCACCCGCCGCATCTAGAAGTCGTGAAAAGTTTCAAAGTGTCAAAAGCGTCGAGGAGCACCAAAAAGTACCCAACACCGTTCTTTGTCTTTGTCATCGTCCAACACACACACACACACACACACACACACACACACACACACACACACACACACACACACACACACACACACACACACCGGCCATGGCAACAACCGAGAAACACACCGAAGACACCCTCGACGTGCCCCTGGCTACGGGCGCCAACATCTCGACCACTTCGCTGGTCACGCCCCCGTCTCGCGTACCTACCACCGACGGCTCCGGCTCCGGCTCCGGCTCAAATTCAACACCAACAACACCACCACCACCACCACCACCACCACCGGCACGACCGCGAATGACGACATCACGGTCGGAATACTACCAGGAAAAATTGGCCGAGATATACTCCCGCGCGACGGTCGACGACGCCTTGAACGTGGTGTTTGAGCAGGACAAGAACGGATCTTCGACCGGCCCCGTCACGGCGTCGATGCTGTACCCCGCTTCACGGGCCCGGGTCGCGACAAAAGTCAAGGCGGGCTCGTTCGTGGCCGAGGCCGCCGACTTCGCCGCCGTCGTGTGCTGGGAGCCCCCCGACGCCGTGGCGCGTCCGCTCTCCGAGCCCGAACTGCAGGAGCTGGCGAAGGGCCGACCCGTCTTCGCGAAGTTCGTGCGCGACCAGCAGGCGGCCAGGGCCGCGACGTTCGGGACGGACCAGCCGTACTGGAACATGACTCTGATGGCCAGGGACCCGGAGCGCAGCGACAGGGGCGCGGTGAGGGCGGTGATCGAGCCGTTCGTGGCCCGGGCGAGGAAGGACGGCGTGCCAATGTGGCTCTGTGCTGCGAACGAGAGGGCGAGGGACGTATATGCCTATTTCGGATTCAGGGTTGTCGAGGTCATTTATTCCGTGGTCGAAGCGAAAGGCGACGGTGACGCCGACGGTGACGCCGACCAAGTAGATCAGCAGGGGAAGAACAAGAAGAAGACGATTGTCCCGACTTGGTGCATGTGTTGTAATTGGCCCGTAGAGCCTGTGCGCGAGAAAGAGGACGGCCAGAGCGAGAAGAGCGGGAACGGGAAAGGGAACGGGTTGTGATGGGTCTACCGTCGTGAGATTGTGACTCTTGGGCAGCGGCCTCAAGCGTCCAGAGACCCCAAATTGTTTTTTGTTTTTCCGCAATCCGTTGGACTTTACAGGGCCCGTTACATATTCTAGAATACATGCTGAGCGATGTTTGACGACGGCGAAGGTAGATCGTACAGGAATTCGATAAGAGATAGAAAGGTGATGGATTGCACCACATGAAAGGGATACATATAGATAGCATGGCACTCGTCATGATGTGTAAACTTCAATCTTGACGCCGGCTTTCTTGAGTTTCGACACGAATGGCATACCCAGACAACTCGGAGTGAGGATACCATACTGCCTCTCACCGTCTTCACCTGCTCGGTCCTGCTCGTCAGCACCCCACAAGTCAAGAAGGGCCATTGCTGCCTCTGCTGCGAGTAGAGCGGAGTGAAAATACATTGGCCCGTGGAAAGAGTATTTGGCAAGCAGATCTCTTTCGTTCTTCGTCACTGCTATGACTTCAATCTTCTCGCCCTGGGAGACTTCCTTCGAAGGACCGGTGCCGGGAGCAGGTTTCAGATATCCGATCAGGGCACGGACGGGCCCGAAGCAGAGCAGGATGATCATGAACCTGGTAAACACATGGATCATGATGGCTTGGAATGCGCTCGACGCAGGCATGAACTCGTGGTACGACACACGGTCTCCATACACCGACGGTTGGAGATGTTGACTCCTGTAGACCACCGCCTCGTTTCCCGGCGCGCCAAAGGACGTCGCCAGATGACCGAGACGCTCGTCTTTGCAGTGGCCAAGAAATGGCTTTCTGGTCGTTGGGCTGCGGGGTTTTTTGCTTGTTGAACATAACCGATACGGGTCTGGGAATAGCAACGGGCTGATGCCGTAGTGCGTTACGACCTCAAGAATACTAGACAGGGACCCTGCACTTATTCCATTAATTTTCAACTCGTATGAGCACCTGATATCCTCCACCGGTCTGTCGTGCATTTTGCGATACTGCACGGAGAGGAGATATGCGACGATGGAGGACGGCGAGCTGGAATTGCCTATCGCTGGGATGATGCGTGCCGAAGTTTGTTTGGCAATGTCCGAGTACTTTGATATCATTTCCTCCAACCAGGGCGTCTCGGTGCAAAAGTCCACATAGCTTGTCCCGCTCATCGCACACGCTGAGAGAACTGCCTCGCCATAACACGTATATGGCCCGATGGCGTTGATGAGTACTTTGGTACGCGATGCAAGTGTAGATACGTCGTCGATCTTGACGTTGGTCTGTTCGATGCCTGATTGATCGTTAATATGTCTTGCTCCAATAGGGAATTCCCAACGCTTGTGATCCAAGTTGCCGTACCTGGTTTTGAACGACCCGGGTTGAGGTCGAAGAGTTTTCCTCGGAGACTCTCGAGCTTCTTCGTGTCTCTACCTGCGACAGCCCAGCGGAGATCAATGGGCAAGTTCATAGCAATGTACTCCGCCACGAAACCGGCCGTGAAGCCCGTTGCTCCAAGGAGAACAATATCGTACTGGCGACTAGATGCCATTTTCTTGAATGTCGCTTCTTGCTCATCAGGCTGTCATGAGAGCCAGCAAATGTTGGGTGTGGATGAGTTATATATATGCTTGGTGGGTGGGTGGTCGGCCGTTCCGACATAAACAACCCGGAACTCCGAGTATCGACAATGGCTCGGCGGCACACGAGACACGAACACGGCAAATTCTTTCAGTCAATCGCGTTTACTAGATAGAGTCAGCCAGTGTTGCCGGGTCATCCGAAATCACCAAACGCTCATACCTTGGGCCATTAATACTAAGCCAAATTCGTCCGCTTCTTCGAGCCATCTTTGAGTTCTCTCATCAAGTTCAATATCAGGTTTGATCAGCATGAGCTCTTCAACACGATGTGCTCCACCATTGCGCCAGTAATCTAGCCACTTGTTGTAATGTCCTCTCCATTCCTCATCATCTCTTGCTTGCCACAGAACCTTGGGGGAAGGGGTTGGCATGAAGCCCACCTCCCGGCAGCCGAATGGAGGATACTTCTGCTGTAGTGACCATGCCCACATCAGCGTGTGTGAAGCCTGGATGGCGCGACGTTTGGCTTCAACAGCTATCCACGCTTCCCAAGAGGGCATGATAGATTGTGTTTCAGCGTTGAGTAAAAGACCGCTCTTCATGAGCGCCATAGACATGTCCTGTAAGCCCACCATTACATTCTCGTCTTGACCGGGATTGCGGGTTCTCCCATCTCCCGAGAATAGAAGAAAGATGCTGTATAGTATATATGCTTGGAACGCGGCTAGGAGCTCGACTTCATTATTGTATGTTTCATACTGAGTGTGATATAAGCTTAGTGAGCCAATACAGGGTCAGGGGGGGCAATCATACCTGTGCCATCAACGCATACAATTCATACTTGACAGAAGTCCCAAGTAATGAAGCCAGTTCTGGCCTGTCTGAGCCCGAAAATATCACCATGCATTGAGACAAGGTTTGAGGCACTTCGCCCATCAATTGAGTATGATGAATGAATGGAGGAGGTTGACCGTGCGCGAACATTCTAGGGTAAGTCATGAACACCCTGATTGTGTATCTCATAACGTGTTTGGCCATTGCGTGGGTATCAATTGTTGTGTAGCTCGTCGATCTAGGAGTGCTCATGCGAGAGTAAACCAGGGATGGTTCGAAGTCTACCGGTGGCGTCACGAGAGAATTCGTGCTGATGTGGTCTGGAGTTTCAGAACCGTCATTGTCAGCAGTAACAGGAGCAGAAACCACGTATTGGCATTGTATGCCCTTCAGCTTGCATCGCCCGCAAGTGGGCCGCCGCTCATCACATCTTGACTTCGAGATACAGCATTCTTCACACGCCTTTCGTCTTGTACGTCTTGGTGCATCAATCAGGCACCGTTTACAGTGGCGAGAGAGCGAAGAGCCTAGTGGCCGGGGTTGTTAGTGTCACAATTTTGGTTCTCAGAATTCCAAATAGCATACGTGAGGAAAAGCTCTTTGAACATTTTTCACAGTGCCATTTGTCCAGCATTGTGTCCGACGAATTCGTATGATATGGTGTCCATGGAGGATTCCGCAATCGAGGTACCACACTCGGCTCCCGCGAATACCCAGCGGCCCCTACACATGGGCCGTCAGATTTGTGGAGGTATCAAGTTGGATTGTTGTGCTGACTTGGAAATTCCAAATTATCTTAAGAATGGCTTACCGTACGATTAAAGCCGGTGAAAGGCTCGGACGAACTCCCAATATAGCAGACTATGTGCATAAGGTAGGTATGAGAGTGTGTGCAGGTGGGCGATTACCACCGCAGTCAAAGCTTGCAAGTCTTTCGTTCTGCTGACGAGGCTGAGTCACGTGCAAGGCTGGGTTCCAGCGCTCAGGGCTGTTGAGGCTGCTCACCCTTGGAGTCCGGGGTGTGGATGGCGCTGCCGCAGGGGAGACGGTGGTAGAACTGAACCCTGAAATCTCACACTAAGATCCCATTTGTATCCGTCAACAGACCATGTGTTGTGTTCATAACTGTCCCTTGCCGAACAAATTGCCTCCTTGTCTCTGTCCTCCCCAATTGTGTGAGTGCTGATTAGTTATACCACACCCTACAGGACAAGTTGCACCTACGCGTCGCCCCCCACGCCTCCGCCCTTAGCATCCCTTCCAAGCCAGTCAGTGGTGCTGGTGACTACGCCTGGTGACAGATTTGCTCTTCTGAGAGCAGGAATCTCACAAACACCGCATGGATGACCCGATCAGATAGCACCGACTCGACCGTCGACGACCTCACCTTCACTCCTTCCGGCACAGAGTCTCCTCTCCCACCTGTCCATCGACTGTCTCCCTCGTCGTCCTCCAAATTCTCATTTGCCCGCGCCCCCAGTCCTCTTCGATTCAACTCACTCCCGACAGGGATAAAAGAAGAGTTTGAACCGACCCGGCAACAAATACGTTTTGATGCAGACCCCCCCTCCGACAACGACGACGACGACGACATCATGTCCGGCCGCCCGTCTATGCACCGGCCGACCGGGCCTCAGTCTCACGTCCCTCTTCTCGCCGAAGACAAACGAGAGAACGCGGGTCGGAGTCGTGGCCGTTCTGAAGGAATAGCGAGTCGACAACAATCCTTTGCCTCTCACCGAAGTTCGTTCCGATCGCGCTCTCCGACATATGCGCAACCCGAGAATGTTGTCCGGCGAAAATACATCTACGCTTCATTCTTTCTAATCCTCTCCTTGATCTCTTTCGTCGTCCAGACCGAGACCGCGGTATACATCCAGCACGACCTCCATTGGAACAAGGCATACTGTATGATGTACCTGACACATGGGTCGTGGGTGTTTCTCTGGCCTGTACAGCTGGCGATTATTCGTCTACAAAACCGAAAACTCTCATGGCCTGTCTTCTGGCGACGGCATCTGGCCTTGCTCCGCAGTACGGCCCAGATGGTGCAATCACAAGACCTCCATGCGCCTGCGTCTCCGGTGCTGAGCAAGGTGTCGCCGTGGCCCTACATGATCAAGATGACTGCTTTCATAACCACGTGCCTGACAATGGCAGGCGGGTCGTGGTACGTGGCGGTCGATTTGACCAGCCCTTCGGACCTGACGGCGATTTACAACTGTTCGGCATTTTTTGCCTATGTCTTTTCGATTATGCTACTCAATGACAAGCTGCGCTTCGACAAGGCGATCAGTGTTGGGCTGGCAATCATTGGCGTATTCGTGGTTGCGTACGGAGACAAGGACGACTCTGAATCGGGGTCAGGAGAGGAACAGAAAGGGGTCGGCGCAAAACTAATAGGCAATATCATTATCGGTATTGGTTCGGTGGCATATGGGTTTTACGAGGTCCTCTACAAGCGCTACGCGTGTCCTCCTGAAGGGTGCAGTCCGGGCCGTGGGATGATATTCGCCAACACGTTCGGAAGTATGGTCGGTCTGTTCACACTGACGGTTCTCTGGATTCCTTTGCCGATATTGCACCTTACAGGGTTGGAGGTCTTTGAGCTGCCGAGTCGAGAGGCGGCGGGACTACTCGCGATTTCGACCCTGTCCAACGCCGTGTTCAGCGGGTCTTTTTTGGTCTTGATGAGTCTGACGAGCCCGGTGTTGAGTAGCGTGGCGGCTCTCTTGACGATTTTCCTTGTGGGTATTACAGATTGGTTGGTTACCGGGAAGCCGCTCAGTGCGGCGGCGTTGAGTGGATGTGCTTTGATCGTTGTGGCATTTTGCATGCTCAGTGGGGCTACATATAAGGAGATGAAGGAGGAGCAACGAAAAAGAGAAGAGGAAGAAAGCAAGGCGCTTGAGATGAGTGATGAGGATGAAGATGTCGACGAGGAGGACGAGTTGGGACGAAGGAGGGCAAGATTGAGTGACGGATGATTACCCATGAGCTGGGTAGGTGGCTTATCATTTTGTGCTATAGACTTTTTGGAAAGGTGAAGGGTTTGACCATGCCAGGGTGTCTAGGGTCTATTTGTACATGATGTCCATGTTTTGCAGAATCATGCTGCACGATCCTGGCATTTACGCATTTGAATGGCGTTTGGGGAGGTTAAAAGGAACACTTTTTGTAGACTCCGATGTACAGGGGGGTTGATTGGACCGAGTCTTCTAAGCATGCATCTCGACATGTACCGTATGATCGGTTAGAATACACACAAGTATTAGATATGTACCCAGGTACCCAGGTATCTACACACGTGCCTATAGTTTATTGTACGTGTTTCACGGGCAAGCGACATTCAGTGAAACAAGGAAGGAACCTCCAGATCGCAGGTCAGCATCTCCGGTGATTGATTTGGTTGCACCCCTCGGGTTATCTATCCAGGAGGTTTATTCTTGTTCCGGGAAGGACTATGTAGCGTCGTGGACCGAAATGGGCGTTATGTACGTGGAGTCGGCGATTCCCTGGTGCGTAACGTGTGATGTATTGTATAACTAGTTGTGTGTTTTACCCCCCCCCGACTTTTGACAGCCTTGTACTTCGGATATTCGAAGAAGTGTACGACACGTCTGGGGTGCTTCTCCGCATGACAGCCACAATTCACGGAACTCACTCATCGTCAGGAATACCTCGGGCGTCGACGCCAAGTGTACCACCCTTGTACCTTCGTACCCCTCAAAATCTTTTGAAAAGGGCCTTTGCTACGCAGAAGTATCGTCAGGTGGCTATCAATGAGCAGTCGAGACCGGGTCACTCACGGAGAACAGTTGGGGAAATTGACTGACCGAATTGGAGATCCCCTGGCATACGTGCCGATGCCGACCACATAAAAAGCATCGTCTCATACCTGAAGTTTCTACACGAGGTGTTGAGCTGAAAAGATAAATCTTTGTGCTCGTCCTCGGCAGTCTCGGTGGTAGCAGTACAGTTCAATCCAAAGGTAACCGAACATGTCTGGCAGATTGAAGGACAAAGTGTGCGTGGTGACCGGAGGAGGCCACGGCTTCGGCGAGGCCATGGCCAAGCGGTTCGCCGAGGAGGGGGCCAAGGTCGTGATTGCAGACATCAATCGTACCACAGGGGCGAAGGTCGAGGGCGAGATCAACGCCTCCGGCGGTGCCAAAACGGCGTTCTTCCAGGAAACAAACGTCACCAGCCGAGCTTCGTGGGAGAAGCTGCTCGAAGCGTCATTGAAGGAATTCGGCAGGGTGGACGTCGTGGTGAACAACGCCGGCACCACCTATCCCAAGAAGGCCTCGCACACGGTCACGGAGGAAGAGTACGACAAGGTCATCGGCGTCAACATGAAGTCCATCTTCCTGAGTGTCACGGTGGTCATGCCGTATTTCATGGACCGAAAGGCCGGAACGATTCTGAACATAAGCTCGGTCGGAGGCATCCGAGTCAAGAACGGACTGGTAAAAGCCGCCGAAGGATGAACTTCGTCGCGACGAGCAAAACGTGCTGACCCAAATACTACAGGTATGGTACGGCGGCACCAAGGCATTTGTCAACAAGGTAACAGGAAGGCTCCCTCACAGGTGGTGGTGGTGATGGTGGTAGTAGTAGCAGGGCGGGCCGTGATGCTAACGGTCGTCAGATCACCGAAGGTCTCGCGTCCGAATATGGCCACGCAGGAATTCGCGTGAACGCAATCTGTCCCATCCTCGCTTACACCGACTTGTATGAGAGACGTCCCAACATTCTGCCGCGGCCTGCGCCGGCGTAGCTGACTTGGGTGTCCAGGGCACAAGCATTCATGGGCGTCGACGACACCCCGGAGAACAGACACAAGTTCGAGGCATCGTTTCCTCGAGGCGAGGCTCTCAAACAGAATAGCTCGTTGGGATACGTGGCCAACGCCGCCGTTTACCTGTGTTCCGATGAAGCAGCATTTGTCAGTGGCATATGCATGCCTGTGGACGGTGCTGCAACGGTGTATGCTGCCGGCGGTAAGTTGCTTTCACTTGACATTGAGGAGGGGTTTTTTTTGGATTGACAACGACGCCAGTTGGGAAATGATCAGACCGCTGCGATGAGTTGCCGCAGGTACTCATTCGTACAATTCGGAGCTCTCTGGCCGCTGAGAGATGTGGTCAACACATATGTTGCTTCGACTGGCCGGGGAAAATTCGAGTTGGTTACGGACTGTGAGGGTGAGTGAGGAAGGGGAAGGAACGTGGATGACATAATCATGTCACGTGATTGGCTGATGACTAAGACGACCGGGGCGGATATACTAGAGCCTCCTTTGCGCGCCAACACTGGTAACAAACAAATATCGAAATTGGCGCTAACCGTGTCTGACGAGCTGGAACATCTCGCGCCTCATCATCTTGCTTCATCTTTCGCACTGACTCAAGCTGAGAACAAGCTTTCATCAACGATCGTTTCCAGACGCAATGACGTTCCCAGTGTTGGGCTACTATTGATCCTCCGGCCAGACTCGCCAAGTTTGGTTCGTCTCTAACGCAGGATCGCCCTTAATCACGGATCGATGCGTCAAAATTTTTGCACTTGTCAGCACGCCAGCGCTCACCTGAACAGACGGAGACAGACTCCCCATTGTGTACAGATCGTCTAGACCATCCAAGTATTTTGACATCGCGCCAATATGCTAGAGTAAGGCGTCCCAGCACCAGCCGGCGTCCCTGCACCAGCCACAGGGCCATATTCAGTACAAGAGACTCGCTGGAACTAGACTGTAGTTACTATCAACACCACACCCCCGCAAAATTCAGCCTTTTGCAATCCTTCAAACACCGACTCGTTACTAAAAGCAGAAGCCACTACTACACCAATGCTGTTTGTAGTACGAAGCGAGATCTCGGTACTCATTGCCCGCGTGTTTGAAGGCCCCGGACAGTGACGCCGCGTGTATGGGGGGGATAACGAACCCCTGAGCGCCCCCAGTTGAAACCACAGATCTGACAATCCATGCCTCACCTTCGCAACAAATCTCTCGGCACATCCACCATCCGCCCAATCTTGCTAGCTACATCGCTATAATAGAAGGATACCAAGCCCTACTAATGTCGATTGGGCTCTCTTCATATTCCAACATCCTCATTGCTTTCTTGAACAACGTTCCTTTTCTCGTGGTTTTTTTTTTTCATCTTTCATACCGCTGGTCGGCTCTTGACAACTTCTCACCTGCAAGACAGTCGTTTCGCTTCTATATCCTTCCAGCATCACATTCATTTGCTTTTCCCTCGTCAGATCGGTCTCAGCAGTCATGAAGGTCGAAACTGCAGCAGTCGCTCTCCTCTTCGCGACGAGCTCGCTCGCCGCCCCGAGGGCCAGACTGTCCGAGAAGACACTCAAAGAAGACCCGGACTTCGGTCTTTGCATCCCAACCATGAAATTCGAAGGTGGTCTCGGCGGACGGTCTGCTGGCGACTTCACCTTCCTCCCCACCGACCCATTGTGCGCTCGTGGCCAGCAAGAGGCATTGAACCCAAGTATGTCTTTTCCGTCGCTTTGAGCGAGCTTTGTAGTGAGAACCCATACTGACTCAGGTATCCACAGACATCATCACCAACAGAATCTGTGATCAACTCAGCACGGCTTGCAACGCCAACGAGGCGGCCAAGGAGCTCTGCCGTGACGCTCAGGCCAAGATCCGAACACTGGGAACACGCAACAAGTCGACCGCCGATACCTGGAATACTCTCCTCGGCTTTGGAGGAGCTCTGACCAACCCCGACGGGGGACTGTCGGAGCCAGGCTTCAGGAGCAAAGACCTCAAGATCAAGCGAGAGGAGGTCACCACGATCGAACGGCGCTTTATCGAGTGCCGAACCGATGTCTGGCTGGACGATTGCAACGGCTGGTCTGCGCCTGAGCCTGTTGTGAAGCGAGAGGTCATCGAGCCCGCCCCGGAGCCAGTCGTCAAGCGTGAAGCCGAACCCGAGCCCGAGCCCGAAGCAGCTCCCACACCTGCTGCTGAGCCTGCCGTGGTCAAACGAGACGTTGAAGCCGCGCCCGTCGAGAACAAGGCCAAGCGTGCCATTGAAAACTTTGTCGAGTGCAGCACTGATGTCTGGCTTGACAACTGCAACGGCTGGCCTTGAGTGCTGTAAAAAGGAGAACTGGAGTCGGCCTTGCAGAGGAGGGAGTTCATTCCTGGTGGGATCGGATGGGGCGCTTTCGATGTACAATCAACTGGTTATATCGTAAGCTCGCACGTTGAATGCTCGTTATAACCCTTTTTTCCTTGTGCGCCGGAAAGTGGGATGGACATAGATAGAATCATGTTTTGAAAATCTGAGCATTGTCATGTGGGGAGTGGTTCATGATGGTTTCGATCTGTCTCGCAGAATTTCCTGTGCCGTCTTCAATGCCTGCGCGTGCACGTCGTTCGTCGCCGCGACTATGCCGTGATTGTGTTGTAATTGCCTCCCAGCTCCAAAATCGATCGGGCTTCCGTCTAGGTCCGCGACCTTGCCGCCGGCCTCTTGCAAGACCAGGACACCTCCCGCGTGGTCCCAGGCCATTTCATGGTGCTCGTTGTCGCTCGGGATGCGGACCATGACGTCGCAGTGTCCGGCGGCCATGGCAACGTATCGCATTTGGATTGCAAACACCTCGGTGCCAGGCCAGTTGGAGCCCAGCTTTTCAGCGACGCCTCGGTGGGCGTCGAGGTCGCTCGACCGGCTCTCCGTCGACTCGACGAATTGGATCGGTCGTCCCGATCGTCGGGGTGGTTTGCTGATCCTGCGCACCTCGGAATCCAGAGAGAGCAGCAGTCCAGGCCGTGACAACGACAACGGTCTCACGTACGCCCCTTGACCACGCACCGCTGATATCACGACACCCTCGCCTTCCGTGGCAGCCGATGCGTCACTTACTTCTCCGCCGAACCGCTCGAGGTGCAGGTTCGGACACCCCAGAGTTCCGACGCGTTGCTCCCCATCTTCAATGAGCGCGAGAGCAACGACATATTGCCCTCCGGTCATGAACGCCTTGGTCCCGTCGATAGGGTCGAGCATCCAGATTCGTCCCGACCTCCCTCCGCGACCGCACCCGCGATCGATCGCGTCGAGCATGTCGTCTTTTGAGGAGATTGTGCCGAGAAGATGTTGAGTGTCTTGACACGCTAGACACGTCGTCCGAACCAGGTCCCATACTCTGTCGCACAGGTGTTTGTCGTGCCTGAGCGTCTCGGACGACTCTTCGCCCACGAACTCGTCGTTGGGAAAGTTATGGTGTATGGCGCTTATGAGAAGCGCTTGTGCACCGAGGTCGGCCACCGTCACGGGACTGTTATCCTCTTTGGTTTGGGCACCCTTGTCCACCGAGGCGAGGACGGTTTTTGTAAGGAGAGCGGCGCGTTGGACCGCTAAAAGACCGAGGTCCAGTTCCTTTTGGTACGGGGCGGTCATTTCTATTGGTTCTGTACCCCAGTGGACTACCCCAGATATCTCGACTTGGTGGATGCTTCAGTTGATATCTAATCTGGAGGCGGGATCGATGTTGTGGGAGTTCGAGGGTATTTTGATTTTTTCCTTGGCGCTGCAAAACGCTTATCAACTGATCTTCACGCGCCACTTGAGCTTTGATACATGTGGCTACATCACGATTTCCAAAGGCGGGAGTGAAGCAAAGCAGTCGCAGCATTCAGCATCCTCACTTACGTGACCGCTGTATCCTTCGAAATAAGAAGTCACACTCAGTTCTCGAACCATGGCTCACCCCTCTTCACGAACTCTTCCCAGGTGGTCAGCTTCTCCTTGACCTGCTGGAGCGTCCACTCGATTCCCTCGTCCCCTTTTGCGCCATAATACCCCAGCGACCTGTTCCTGTTCTTCAGACTCGCCTTGACCGCCTCGTTCATGTTATTGTCCGAGACGGCATCATCATACACGACCGGCGTGCCCGTGACGTCGGTCCAAGTATCACGAATCTCCCCGATGCTGAAATTCCGAGTGCACGCGAAGAACTGTTTTCCCGCGAACTTCTCGGGCTCCTCCAGGAACGGAGCTACGAATTTCCCCGCGTCCTCAATGTCGATGAGCGGCAGCTCGGTATCGAGCGTTGCGCCCGGGAATGGCTGCGCAAGGACGTATTCTCCGTTGCCGCCCGCGCGCTTCTTTGGCTTCATGACTTTGACAAAGTTCTGCATGAACCAGCCGGGCATGAAGAACGACGCCGTCAGAGGCAGGGCACGGATGTACTCCTCGACTTCGGCTTTGCTGTCAAAGTGTGCGAGACCTGTGCGTGGCAGCGACGACCAAATGTAGAGCTTTACGCCGGCTTTGACGGCAGCGTCGGCGAGTGCTTTGCCCTGGACGACTTCGACGGCGGGGTTTTTCGATTCGAGCCCTGCAAGTGGGAATCGTCAGCACCATGACTTCTTCCTTCTCTCTCTCTCTCTCTCTCTCTCTCTCTCTCTCTCTTTCTTGTGTCCTCTCGCAACTCAAACCTCTGGGACAGAGCAACGGGACGTACAATTCGTCAGCGCAAAGACGGTATGAGCACCGGTCATGGCTTTCTCAAGGGTCTCTGGCTTGTTCATGTCTGCCTGTACAGTTCACGTACAGTGGTACTCTTCGTCAGCAACTGGTCTCTGCCATCATCATCATCATCATCATCTTCTTCTTCTTCTTCTTCTTCTTCTTCTTAAGTTGCGCCACCTTGTCTCGCGGGAAAGATGGAGGAACGACAAGGGTGCATGTGTCTTACCTCGACGATTTCAACGCCTTTCTCCCGCAGCGCAACCGCCGCAGCTTTGGACGCATCTCTTGTGATGCCGCGGAAGGTATATTCCCTTGAGAACACAGGGTGGTCAAGGAGGTACCTGATCAGTGCACCTCCCTGTTGGCCCGTGACGCCGAAGATGGTAAAGACGTTGCGGCTCATGTTTGGGTTGCGCCCTATTTGCTGCTAGCTGACTTGATGGTGCTATTCCAGCTCGATGATGACGGTGAATGCAAGATCGAGGATCCAGGCAAAGGAAGAGAGTGCTTTTAGCAATTGCAACAAAAAGAGCCACGACAAGGTAAAACAGTCACCCGTCCTATCCTTCCCACTTCGCCAGAGGGCATGTCCTGCCTTCATATAGAATCTGCCCAGTGCCCCGGTAGCAGCAGCAGCCGTAGCGTGATTCGCCCCCCGTCGACTGACCAGATGGACGGACGTGTGCATCACCGATGGTCGGTTCAACGTGAATCCCGACAACCGGGGGCCGGTCCAGCAGGGAGGTTGGCCAATTTGTCGAATGGCGTACCAACGTAAACCTGTAAGTGGCTCGAACGGACTCTGGTGCGCAGCTCGGCCGGTGCAACGTCTTGCCCGTTCGTGCATCGCAAAGTCCGCGTGCGCGGAATTAGATTGTTTCCGCATCGAGTTAAAATCGTTCGGCCTACCAAATGCTGTCTGTGATGGGAATCATGAGATCGAGAGGGCATGAGTCGCACGAGAACACAAGGTCCCCGTGAAAGCCAGGTTTGTGGTTTAAAAGCCTCTCCGCGGTTGGGATAAGGACAACGGAAACTCGATTCGACAGGACAGGATTGACTTGTGAATACGAATCAAAATCAAAGCCGAACCCACGAACGAGAATGAGAATACGAAAAGAATGCAAAAGGGTACAGAGTGACATATGTATCCATTCCATTGCACAACACTTGTCCTATCCTTTTCGACTCGCTGGAGTCTTACTTTTCATGTCCATGGCGCGCAGATATCTTAAAAAAGAAAGCACGCCAAACTCATATTTTGAGGGTATATCCTATCCAAACCCGTAGCCCATAAAGGCGAGTCCCCTCAAAAGTAGAACGCCTTTCCAATGCTGTACTATGTCCGATTTTCATCCCAGAAAGTAGGGGACAGTATTTCTCACAGCTGTGGCCTGCACAGGTTGCATCCACGGTCCTAGGCAAACCGATATCGAAGCCAGAAACTCCACACGTGGGCTTGTTTCAAACTTTTCCTCAGCTCGCTAACTGGAAGTTGATAGCTTCCCGCTCCGGGTTTAGTCGTGCTGCTTTCACAATGCGTGGGTCATTGACGACTGGCCCAGTTCTTCCGAGTCATTCCCAGAAGCACGACTCTTTACTTCGCTTCGGGTTCCTGATGTACTTCGGTTGAAAAGGTGCCACGATTCTGCAACCCCCTAACTCAAACAATGTGTTTCCAAGAAGAACTCCAGTGATCCGGTGGGTGAATATTTTCTTCCGAAGGTGTCGTAAATACTTGCAAACAAAATAGGTAAAACGTATAACGTCGAAAATTCATGTCGTTGGCAGGCCGGCGAGGCGTGATCTGGCGTGCTGTCTCAATAGACCAGCCAAGCGCTGCCCCCGACCATAACGCAAATGACCAATACCGTGAGGATGCCGGCCCCGGCTTTGTCGGCGGTGGTGATGGGCTCCCTAGTGGCAGCTGGGTTACTGGGAGCATCTACACCGGCATTAGGATCGCTCTTCGAAGTCGCTCCCGTTCTCAAGGTGAGTGGTCGCATGTTCTCGGTCATCAAGTTGGATCCCATAACTGATAATGCAGCCATCTGTGCAAACGCTTTGTTAGCATATGTTTCGAGGACTTGTCATTTCGAAAGGCTACGCGAGAGACAGAGACAAGAGGACTGGGAGCTTACCTGTTGACCCACTCCACTGGTACCGTCCCAGGTTGCCGTGGTCCATTGCAGGCCGCACGTGCGGCCATCGCTTCCTCCGTCGCATTGACCGGCGGCACCGGCGGCACTTGCAGCCAGTTTTGGCTTGATGGTGGCCGCTGTGCTCGGAACAAGGACACTGGTGACGGCCATCCATCTGGCAAGATATGCCTTGAAACTCTTCTGATCTTGGTCGCAGTTGAGAGATTTCTCACATTCCAGTTCATACATGATATTGCCACCGAATTCTTGCGGGAAAAAGAGGGAGTAGGTGCTGTTTAAGATGGTTTCGACACGGTTCAGCCAGAGATCACTTCCGTTGGTGAAGTTGTACATGTAGGCGGCGCCGGAAAGCATGGTGCCATAGTTATAACTCCAGACAAAGTTCTGCACGTCAGTACAGTTATTGTTGCTGTCGGTGTTGTCCCAGATATAGAATGTTCCTGTGTTGGCGTCGGTCTGCAGCAGCGGACTTGATTCCATCCAGTCCCATACTTTATTGGCCCAGTCCCCATAGGTCGAGTTGCCAGTGATGTAGGCGAGACGAGCAGACAGTTGGAAGTTGCCTCCATTGGAGATCGAGTTCTTCAAGTTGTACCCGGCGTTGAACGAAAACACCTGCCATCTGAACCCACCTCCACAGGTCAGAGGATCCCACAGGTCATGTTGAAAGTTGAACACGGCTTGAGCAAGAGACAACCAGGAGGGGTTGTCACCACCGGCTTCGGGGAAGTTTGATTCCACGGCGTCCAGGGCAGAAAATGCCCAAAAGACCTGGTCGTCGACACCCATACTTCTTGACTGGTTGGGAGGGTTGTAGTTGTTGTCGGGACCTCGTTGGAACTGCAATGCATTAATAGTCAGGTTGTTATAGGTCGTGTCATTTGTATATTGCCAGTAGTTTATCAACGCTCCCCACATGGCACCTGCCTCCCACCAACAGTATGTGCCCTCAACATTAGGATTGCAGCTTAAAGAGCCCGGCAGCAGGCCAGGTACTTGGCCAGGCTGATTGCCGGTGTAGTAGGACATCATATCCTGAGCAACACTCGAAGTGGCCGACTCGATCGAAGACACCGAACTGGTATCGAGAGTAATGGCTGCGGCAAAGGGTGCCAGGTATAGAAGAGGTGAATAACGCATGATGAAGGGTTGTCGTGGATGAAGAAATGGGGTGAGGTAGTACGCGCCGAAGCAGCGCAAAGATCGGGTCCGAAGGACAACGGCGAAGATGAATAGATTGAACGAACGAATGGACAGACGGACAGACTCGTAATGTCAACGAGGTAGTACGAGTAGGAGTATATTGAGACCAAAAGAGTGCGAGGAGAGACTCAGTTGGCCAGTACGAAGGACAGGGAACAATGTCAACGAAAATGAAAACAATGACGGAGAATGAGAAGATGGAAGCGAAAGAGGAGAGACAAGAGATGACAAGCAATACGGAGAACGGAGAGATGAAAGGTGATACACTTCCTGTTGGACGTTGGACTGAGCACAATAGTCCATGACCATCAGCCGCAGGACGCGAATCCCCCGCGCAAAGAAAAGGGGATTGCCGGGCGTCATTGGGCGAGGGCTGCAAGGATCGCAAGGATCGCAAGGATCGTGCAGGATGCGCCCAATGAAGGGATTTTGTGGTGTTGCAAAATTAACCACGATGGAGCAGAATCTGTGTCCGTGAGTCTTTTTTGTTTCTCCGTCGCTTCTGGCTGGTGCGAATAGCAACGAGACCACACTCGCTCCACCAAGGACTGTACCTTGCACCATTGGGCTTTGGTACCTGAGAATTCCGCTTCCTCTCGCATCCATCAGGGTACTGTACAGTACAGCTTCCAGGCTACGGGTCCGGAGTCCAGACGGCTCAGGAACTGGTCAACTGAGGACTCGGTATGCACCTGTTTCATGCCCAGACCACCATGCGCAACAGCTTCTCGCCTACAACTTAAGCTTCAAGCCTGTCGTAGCCCCCGAACAAGCTCAAACAAGCTCAAACAAGCCCCGAGGTCGATGCTTTGGGCCGCTTGATTTGACGCCCGCGTCCCCTATTATTTCTGGTCTTTTGGCTGGCTGGTCCAGCACGAGCACTACTGGAATGTGGCCCTCGCTTGTGGGCGTTATTGTATGCTAATTTCAGCACTGCCACCGCCCTGGTTCCAAAAAGTCATTCCCACCTCCATTTCCGTGTACTGTACTCCGTACCATTGTAGCTGTCCCGTGCTGAACGCGACGCCGTTGCCGTTGCCGATGATTTGCGTCCTTCGTAGCAGTCCATCCTCTGTCCTCTGTAAAAAACCCCCAAGAGTCCCTAACAAAACCCCCGAAGTTTCGAGGTGAGCACCTCAGACTGCTTGCACCGTTTACAGAAAACTCAGCAGCACCGAGAATTTCTGTCTGGATCACGTGTCAGAGACCCAACAGAATTGGCACGTGACCAAGATTTTCTTCCCCCCAGAGTTGCAGAGTCCAGGACTGACCAACACCTCGCATCATCGTCAATTTTGGAATTGCAAGTGTCTGTGTCGACACTCGCACCTTATCGCCTTACTGGACCTACCTGTGAATGCAGACCAAGCAGATTCAATACCTGGTATTTTTGCATGGGAAAGCTATATTCCACCGGAATTCCCCCATGGGAAAAACTGACTTCGCGAGACAAAGATGACAGCCCAGGAATGAAACTAATCGTGGGATGGCGCATGCCGCTTCTCATGGCTGAACGTAACAGGTACCGTCCATCAATTGACGGCACGAACCACACATCTCATCGCAGTGCCGAGAGCGGAATTTTTCTCGTCTCAAGCTACTCATTCTCATTGTCCTCGTAGAGCATCAGGACGAAAGTGGACCACCACCCGCCCAGAAGTTGAAAAGTACCGCGACTGTCACTGATCGATAGCACGCGTGGGCACCCGAAGCTCAGCAAAGATTGTCGTGCCCAGCGACTTTGGCGTAGCGATGATGGGCGCTAACAGAGTCTAGATGCTCGTCTGCGGCTTAGCAAGTCATTGGTGGATCTTCAGATTCTTCTCATCCCGATCGCTGTTCGCCAATCCATCTTTGCGCCATCTCAAAGCGCAAGAGAGAATTGCCATGTTTTTGCTTTGAAGCCGGGTCAAAGCTTTTTACCTCTGTCAGTCGGCTCTCCGTCTAATGATCTTCGATGACAAAAACTTTTAGGTAGGTTATCTTGGACATTCGCAGCCGAGTTGGTTTGCACGTCAGGAAAGCCTTTCCGGCACGCTTTTCCCCCAATCAAGCACGCATGGCTTCAACGACGTGTGCCACACGGCAGAGATTGGATGGGCCTCGGCCAGTCCGGCAGTCGAGAAGACCGGTGGTAGAATGTCTTGCCACCCATGGACCAGATTCCATAGCCAGACATGACCCCTGAAAACTAAATAGTATATATCTCTTCCTTCCGGCCAGTCATCAGCTATCGTGACAGGCAGGCTGAAGGTCCACGACGGATTGTTGCACCACGTCGGGCCAGATGGGTGTACAAGAGGCAACCCAGGGTCCTGTGACGACAACAGAGGAGGTGCAGCCGGACAACGAGGCCATCCAGATCAATCATGAACATGCCGAACGTATGGATGGAGCCTTCCTGTCCATCGTCTTCAGCGCAGCAATCCCATGTGGTCTCGTGGTCATTGTTACAGCTATCCTCCTCGGCGTCATCTACGCCAAAGAGGTCGACCCCAACAGAGGCTGGCCTGAACTACGGCTCACCAGCAATACCACCTCGGCTTCAGGCCTGTACATGATTCTGAGCGACTGGAAGAACCTTGGTGGTGATCCCGCCGTGTTTGTTGACTTCAATCCTACCTCCTTGACGGCCATCGCAACCTTGACTGGTAAAGTCATACCATACCTGTCTAGTTCCATCATGGCACTGGTTGCTTTCTTCGTCGCCCGTCGAATCATCCTCATCTCAAAAGAAGACGAAGCCCGCGACCTCCTCACCCCACACCAGATGTCGCTCCTGATTCAGTTGCTAGGAGGAAGTAGCTTCACCCCGTTGAAAGATTGCGTGCACTATCACGTCAAGCACAAAAAGAGATGGATCTCACCAATACCTCATGCGTTCTCGGCTCTTGCTGCAGTCACAGCTTTGGGGTATGCTCCTGCGCCCAGTCCCGTACCATCCCAACTGCTGACAGAGCGCATAGAATCATCATCCCAGCCGCAGATACGTGGTTCGCCACGACTGTAACGCCACGCACGGTGGTCATGCTCGAGAAAATCACCAACTCCTCGAATTCCAACTTCGGCCGAGGTCTTTGGAATCCCAACGGCACCTGCTACGATTACTGGGCCTTCAACGAGACCTCGGATGGCGACCCATGGCCGATGCCTTGTAACATGAACTACCTGACCTACGACCAGGACATACACGATCCCCGAAAGTGGAGCTACAATGTGTTCAACGCCAATGAAGCCATGCTGACCATGACGGGTCTGTCTGAAACGAACATCGTTAGGACCTACAGTGACCCGGAGAATCCAAACGTTCAATACAAGTACTTGGCTGACAAGATGATGAACACTACACGGGACTTTCGCGCATTAACATTCGCCGTGAAGACCGAGTGCACCCCGATGACGACAAAGTGTTTCCCATGGGTCAGCGTCGACCAGAGCAAGGACAACTGGGGAAGTATCGGGACCAACTACACCTTCCAATGCAGCCCGGGCTACGTCGGCGAGTTGACCTCCAACGGTGCATCGCTCGCCACCGGCCTCCGTACCACATCCAATGTCTCTACGGGTGTCGGGTTTGCCCCTGACGCATCGTTGAGCCGCATGATCGGCAACGACGCCTCCAACGTCGAGTTCGCCGCATTCACCAACCCGTTGTATTTCGGTGCATGGTCACTCGGGTGGAAGAATGTGCCCAACGGCACAGACTGGGGGGAGTGGGAATACGACGAAGAAATATTCTATGACGACAACTACTACTACACCTGGATGCTGAACTGCAGCACATCCCTCTACGCAGTTAACTACGACTGGGTCAACGGCACCGTCCAGACCTTCAACACGTCCCTCTCGGACGCTGACGCCGGCGGTCCCGTCTCGTACCCCTTCGCGGCAGGCCTTCCCGCGGCGGACCTTTGTCTGGACTACGCGTCTGCCCGAATCCAGCAGGCCGACAACTCGAGCCAGCTGGCCGATTGGTGGGGGAACTTCTTCTCCAGCTGCGCCATGTACATGTTCTCCGCGACGCTGGACGCCCACGAGACCGATCTCGAGCAGACGCGCAACAACAACCACATCGCGACCCGCGTGCCCATCGTGCCGCTGTTCGTGCTTCTCGGGTTCAAGTTCCTGTACTGCTTCGCCGTGCTCGTGCTCGCCGTCGCCGCGTACCACTACACCAACCCGTCCGAGTCGCAGTCCGTCAAGGAGCGGCTGAGCGTCAAGGGCCTCGCGGCGACCTGTTTCGGCGAAGGGCCCTCGCACCAGCAAGTCGCGGTGAAGAACATTGAGCAGCTCTTCCAACCGCCAGCAGCAGGAGCAGCAGGAGCGGCCGACGCGACAAACAGGGACGCCAATGCCGAGGCCGAAGCCAACCCGCCGCCTGAGCAAAAGGTCGCCATGGTCCAGACCGAGATGGGCGGGTGGCAGTTTGTCAAGATGGCCGCGGGGAGGGTATACGACACCGTGGCCCCGATCGTCGAGAGACAGGTCATGTCCGAGGCCACCGGAGGTACTTTTGGTGCCGGTGGCCAGGATGCTGCGAAATGGATCTCTCTGGTCAAGAAATGACCAGGTAGGTGTACATCTAGATACGTATCTATATCTCTAATCATACATATAAAAATCACTTCGGACGGAAACCATCAACTAAAAGAAAAAGGTTGTGCTGGTCCGGTGACCGTCGATATTACAATATTATAGCTAATGATGTTATAGATTAGAATACCCCGCCTACCTACCTACCTACCTACTGATCAAATTGGTATCGGGTAGGAATAATGGCATAGCATTATTGATTGAAATCCCGATTACAAGGTTATCTCGACTGCCTCGCTGCCTGTAACTGACTGCCTTGCCTCTCTGAGGAGTGAAGTCATCAACCAAAACCATCGTCGTCGTCCTTGACGTTCCTCCGCAGGTGCCCCCAAGCTACCGTATGAACAGCAGTATGGTATGATATGCATTGTCTAGCTGAGGTACCTAGGTATCCAAGCTCGCAAGGTTCCAGCCAGTGAGGGTACTCTGTATGTTACCTCCCTAATGTTAGTGGTTTGATGGTGGGGTTTTTTTTTCATGCCCAAAGGCACGCGCAGACTCGGTATATAAATGATACTCCCACTTTTGCTTGACCCCGATCCCAACCCCGTCGTAACCACCGGCATGTAACACGTATGCATAACTACCTAAGAAGACAAAGGCATTCATAAATCGATTCGATTGCTCATGGCTGATTCCTGATACCACATCACACTGTTATGCGGCGCTACGCAGCTGGTGCTGTCTCCCCATCATTACTAGGGGCTAGACTTCCTTCAATCCTACGTTTCGCGTCTGCTCTTTCTTCAGCCGTGATTTTGCTTTCGTCTTTCTTCATATCTGGCTTATGTGGCTCGGCGTCTGGCGAGTGACCGATTGACATGCCGACGCGGACCTAAACAAGTAAAGTCAGTTGTGGGCGGTTGAAGGCTTAAGAGAAAGACAACGTCGTAGACTTACCAATGTTTCCAGAGCTCCGTTGCTGTTGTCGATCAGATCATCATCGTAAACCATCTTCCCGGGTTCGAAAAAGAGAAGCACCGTGCTTCCGCCAAACTTGAAATACCCTAGCTCTTCAGCTCGCTTGACCTTCTCGCCTGGTTTCCGCGTAATCACTGTCGATCCGACCATCATAGCACCAATACACACAAACATGACCCGGCCATGCGCGACAGAATCAATAGGTACCAACACTCGCACGTTTTCACCATACACGTCCAGAGCCGACCTGATGGCCATCGGATTGACGGTGTAATATTCGCCTTCAATGGTCTTGGGCGTTCCGATCGTTCCATCCACCGGTACGTGGAAACGGTGGTAGTCTTGTGGTGCCAGTCGGAAGATCCCCATGCTGCCACCCTTATACCGTTTTGCCTCAAGAGGATATGCATCACCAAAGAGCTTCTCGAGCGAATAGTCCCTCCCCTTGACCCAGATCCTCGTGGCATCGTCAATCGTATTGAACACTACCGTACGGCAGTCAGCTGGAGATACAATCACCTCGGGTCGGTCAGGGGCACTGCAAGGCCTTGCCCCTGGCTTCAGAGCTCTGTAGAAGAACTCGTTGAAGTTCTTGAATTGATCTGTCGGTAAAAGCACTTCAGACATGTTCAGGCGGTGGAAGTCGATGAAGCCTTCGATTTGGGATACTGATGCCGGATCGTCGTATTTCTTGCCCTGTTTGATAGACAGTGTCTTGAGCAGCTTCTTGATTCTTCTCTTTTCCATTTCTCGAGCTCCTAAAGCCTTGTAGAGGAGTCGAATGCCAATACGCACGTATACCGACATTCGTTCTTCGTTGATCTGGCCCGTGATTCGGTCTTGAACCAGGATGTTGGCACTGTTAGCTCCCAACTTATAGCCACCGTAGCTGATCTTAGTAATGACTTTCGAATACCATTTGCGTTGGGCTTGACTTTGAGTAACAAAGCCACCCATCACCAAGTTGTTCACCTGTCTCCAGTCAGAACTAGCGCAGGTTGCGATATGAGTGATTATGTCGGCTTCAGTCCGCTTGTTAAGCTTGGGCTGATGACAGATGGGGCATTCTCGAATTTCAATGACGTGTTCTTCACTATCGCCGACATCTTCGAGATCGTTGTCGAGTAGCTGTCCCTCCTCTCCAGCGGTGCCGGTGACCTTTTGCTCGATCACAGGAACTTCTCCAGGGAGTATCTGGCTTTGGACAACATTGGGATCTTCTTGTGGTTTTAAACTTGTCGGTATGGCGGCCTTGATCTTTTCACTCGTTGTCTTCTTGTCACTTCCCTTCTGCAGCTGCTCTTCAAGGCACATGACAGCTTGGTCAAAACTCAAATCAACCTCTCCGGTCTCTTCATTTTCCTCGGCAAATCTGTTATAAAAGCTATCGATGGTGGATTCTTTTAAAGTAGAGCCCAACGTGTCGAGCATTGTAGTGAATTCAATCTTACTGATACGTTTGCTATCGTCAGTGTCGTATTGTTTGAACATTGCCCTCCAGAATTGCTGTCTCAGTGCCTTGTAAGGCAAGTATCGACCGCGGATGTGTAACTCTGGATGGTGCTTGTCTTCCCATTGTTCTTTGTTCTTTAACTCTAGTGGCAAGACGTACGACTTCATGGTGGGATCTTCTGCTGGTTGTGGGCTGGGAATATCGGCTGTTCCAGGAACTTTCAGAGTACTGGCACTGCTGTCAACTGGCGCGCTCGTTGGGGGAGGCGGTCGAGCTTCGTTGCTCAGTGAAGTTGACAAAGATGACGACACCGAAACTGAAGAATCATCTCGCTTAAAGTTTGGACGAGCGAGTTTGGAAAGACTGCCTTGTGAAGAAGACCGAGACAAGGGGAGTCGGAATCTAGACTTTCCATTCTGGTTCGTGGCCACCGCTGCTGAAAATTCCGGAGGTTCAGGAAGATCGTAGAGACCTGTTTCTGGATCTTCCTCCGGTCCTGCTTCGATCATCTTCTGAATGGGAAAAGAGGTGGAAGCCACAAAATCATTTCCAGACAGCTTATCTCGGTCGATGACGGTAAATGTCAACGAGTACCCGGTCTCATGCTTCATGATCTGAAAGACCATCTTCTCGTTGTACACGGGGTTGAGGTTGTGCCGAACTACCTTAGTACGCAAGACCTTGCGACCCAGAGCTGTTACGACGAAGGGATCCATATCAAATGACGTTCGGGTCATATTCCGTTCCGGTGGTAAATCAGTGATCTTGACGATTTCCGTAAACAAAACGCCATTGACATCGTTGTCAGCGCCGAGGAAATTGTAGGCTCTTGCAGCAATGGATTTACGACGCAGGCGAGCCAGCCGTCTCTTCTTCTCCTTCTTGTCTGCAATTGTACCCTTGGGACCAGCTTCAGTCTCGGTCACAGACTCTTCCAAATCCTCGTCGGCATCGTCAACATCCTCGTCGCCGGCGTCGACATTGGTAGATACCCTGGACAATTCATCGTCTTCCTCTTCAGATCCGATGTATGCTAAGAATTTCTTGCGAATCTCCTCTGGACTGGCAGAAGGATTTGCCGAGTCGACGATGGAAAATTGCAACAAGACCTCGCCAGAAACTGTGCTTTCTTTCTTGCTTCCCACTCTTCTCGACTTGAGCTTGTACCATCTGGGCTCTTGCTGAACCTTGCCATTGGCAAAGATATCCTCAATTGCGATGTCAAATTCGCCCATATAGTCCTTGCCAAACCGGTCTTTGTCCCAGCACATACACTCTAAGAGGGGAACGCCCGTCAAAGGCATGTCAAGGCAGATCTTCCACTCTGGGTTGAGGGTCTTGCTGATAGAAGGGGTCGACTGTTTGGCGTTGCCGAGGGTGACAACAAGGTAAGGGTCAGAAGTGCCAGATTTATCTTTGGCTGCCAGGTTCCTTGCCTATGCCGAGGGTTAATGAGTGCCGTCGAGAGATACCCAGTTGCCTCACCTTTATGACATAGACTTTGAGAATGAGGGGTTTCGATTCGGGGGGTGTGAGAGAATAGTTGCTGCTGCCAGCTCTCGGAGGCTCTGGACGTTGAGATCCATTATTGTTGGAAGACGAGCCATTGTCTTTACTCTTGCCTAGATTATGGAGGCTCCGAGGGAGGGAAATATGGACCATGATGACAATGAGAAGTGATCACAGCTGTTCGTAGGAAATTCGTGAATAAGACCGGCGGGGTGAAGTAGTTGACAACCTGTATTTCCTTGACAAATTGCGAGGATGCCCAAGGCCTGGTGGCTTCGTATTGCCCTGGGCGCAGGCGTCAATTGACGAGGGCTGTGGTGGGAGGACAAACGAGGGTCAGGACAGGTTGGGAGAGCAGTTTATCAAGGTGAGAGAGGGCCAGAATCGACTGGGGCCAAAACAGGCTGTGAGGACGTCGACTTCATCCGTTAGTGGTGGTGGTTGCGGTTGCTTGCGATTCCCCGATTGACGAACCAACTTATGATGCCATCGCCAGCTCGTTCTTGGTACAAAATGCCCCTCGTTTACCTGTTGTGCCGCGTGTGCAATTCACCAGGGTCTACGAAGACTCCGTAGTACAACGAGTATCTACTTTTGTCTGCCCGCACTCCCTGAGATGACTACTAGGTGCCGAAGGGTTTTCAAGAGCCACAAACGCATGTTTCGTACCTACTCTGTGTATGCTCGCTAAGGCTTGTCTGTCTTCGCCCACTACAAACACCGTCGTCCTCCTTCAGCCGCACTGCGACGTACCCGTAGACAATTCTTCCTCGCGGCCTTGACTTCCTGACGTCTGAACTTCATCACCGTGTGATTACTCGTGCGTGCGTTTGAGAGAAGAAGGTTTCAACCGCCGAGACCCGCTGGTTCGTGTTTGAGGAGTCTATTACTCTTCAAGCCCAGAGCGCGTTATACAACGAAGAAGCCTTACGACCCCGGACAACTTCACGCACATCGAGCATCCTCTCAATCCGTCGAATAGAACTCTGCATGTAGCCTCCGGGCCATCCGTAGCTGCTTGAGAGTCTTCTACCCAAGGTTGCAGCACTGACAACATGGGGCTGCAAATGATACTCTGCCTAAAGCGGTTTAGCGTTGATAGAGTGCAGTCAATGTAAACACTGGGCCGGAGCCGCGAAGCGAGCACAATGTCAAGTCCTCTGCAACGATTTGCTTACGATTGCAAACTGCGCAACGGCGACAACCCGCGCATTCCTCTGTCCCGTGGCGGCCTCCACGTCTTTGCCATGACTGAAGACCGCACATAACAACACTCGCCGTGCATGCAAACCCCGAAGAAAGTTGACGCGCATTCGACCCGAGTCGCGGCACAACAGTCCCAATGACTGCGCTCGTTGCGCGCCAACCGCTCCAGCCCCTACCAATGTCAGCAACACAGAGGCCAAGCCGGAGACTGAGTGCGCGAGTTCAAGAAAAAGATGACGCGCCCACCTCCACCACTTCGGTGCAAATCAATGGTAATACGAAGATGGTGGGCGGCACATCCCACACGTCGCGAAGCCAAGGGGCAAGAGGTGGAAATGAAAGGAAGCGCAAAATTGGTGAGCCAACTCAACAGACCTGGGGCGAGGGAAATGAGTCTAACGCACTACCAGATTACGATGAGGAGGATGATGGTTTCATGTTTAGACGCGTCAAATCGAAACCCGACTTGAAGCCGATGACCGAGGAACAGCATGACCATGCTTCTGAACAAGGTGAACCTAAAAGAAAGTTGACAGAGGAGCCTAAAGTCCAGAAGAACAAAGAACAACTTGTGCAACGCCAACAGCCTACGAAAAGGGTAAACAGATTATCATTCTCAACACCCGATCGGAATGAACAGACCGCAGTTCGACGGTCGAAACGACTCTCGGGAGATAAGGCGAGGCATGCCAGTAGTCCCTCGGCTTCAGCGCATCCCAAGGAAAGGCGGAAATCGAAAGAGGGGCGGGCAGAAAGACCGCGCGACCGCCCATCCAAGGAACTCCCGACGCAGAGCAAGCCGCAGCATTCTCAGAAATCGCCCGACAGAGCCCAAACGACAGGATCCACAGAATCTCAGGCTTACGCCGAAAACAACAATATCGAGACAGTTGATCCAGGTGGATCTAGTCAAGCACTCGGTGAGGACCAAAACACGAATACGTCTATACCCCAGGAGAATCATTCAGCAACCAAGATTTCGTTGCCATTTGCCGATACCCCAGTCATAAAGCGCAACAAAGCCATGCGTGAAGGGAAATCAGGGAAGGGTGAGCGACGAAGTAGTTTGGGTCTTCGCGGGCGGAGAGCTAGTTCACTCATCGAGAGCGGGAATTCCAACGGTAGTGATGGCTTGTATCAGCGTGTGAAGTTGGACTGACCTTTTTGCAGCTCTTCCACATAAGGAAGTGGAGATCCCGGATTTTTACAAGCATATCGAAAGCGAAGGGCTTCCGGAACCACGGCGAATGAGACAACTTCTGACCTGGTGCGCAACCCGTGCACTGGACGAGAAGCCTATTGGGACGGACTTTGAGGACTCTAGTGCGCGATCTGCAGGTGAGTCCATGCGGTGTAAATTGTCGGCAGTTACTGACGTTCACCAGCGCGAGTGATCCAAGAAGAACTGCTGAAAGATCTTTCCACCGAATCAAAACTGTCAGACTGGTTCACGAGGGAAGATGAGCCGGTGCAGAAGAAACCACTGCCAGAGCGGCCCAATCCCAGAAATCTCCAGAACATGGAGAAAATCGCCGAGCTGGAAGAGCAGATCAAGCGGTGAGTTTTGTCCCATATTGGATCTGTTATAGTGCTAACTCAAGTGCAATCTAGGCTCCGATCAGAAAAGGAAGCCTTGGAGAATCTTCTTCGGCCTTCTCCATTATCCAGCACAGATCAAATCCAGGAGTCGATCAAATCCAACGACGGCAATTTAGACCAAAGGCTGTTGTCAGAGTCGGATGTTATAGCACTTGATAGCGTCCCACCTCTCCCTTCAACATCTCCTGATCAGATATCGAAACGCCTGAATGGGCTGTACGATTCACTAGGTCCCACGATCGACCAATTCGCCGACGGGGTCCATACAATAGGGCAATATCGCCAAGCAGCAGATAATGTCGCAAGTAGAGCCTTGGCCATATGTGCGGAAAGGCTTTTGCAACGAGAGAAAGAGGGCAGGAAGAAGGCTCTGCCCGACGCACAAGGCACACCTCCCAAGGATCTGGGTGGTGTATTGCGCAGTTTGAGCCGAGCAGAAAGATGACGATTTTTTTACTTCGAAAACATTGAACGAATGTTCCCTTTTGGGGGATACTTTGATATGAATGTATGCTTGATGAACTGTGCAACCCGTGTGCAACCTGTGTCAAACCCGTGCGATTTATTCCTGTAACATATGTAGAGAACAGATCCATCGATCGCAAACTATTCACTCTGTGAAGGGACAGATGGCGGAGCCCTATGTACATGCTAGGTATATCCAAGTAATCGTTCGCCAGGCCTTCTTTAGTTCTCTCAACACGAGGAACGAGCACGAGGCGCCAGCGTCGACCGGTCGATCTGCGATCTGCGATCAGCCACGCGACACAGCCACAGGAACGACGGTTGCTACGTCATTGTGGTGGTGGTGGTGGTGGTGATGGATCTCAGCTTGCGAAGAATCTTGGAACATCGGAGCGCTGCATCCACGGCACGAAGTATCGTAGTACCAACAAATGGTGTCTTGTTTCCATCCACTTTGAGTTTCCCAACGGAGCAAAGCCAGCAAGCGACGATGGACGAAAAAGCCTGCTTCTACCTCGTAGGACGAGTATTTTCTCTTGGGAACAGCCCTTTGTTGCTTGGCAATTCAATCTACGGGCCATTGACATGTCGCCGTCCCAGTAGTTGAGTTTGACCACCATCACCCAAGGTATCTGTCTGACCCGGCAGTGTCGTATGTGGCTGTGAGGCTGTGACATGGACAATCGCCTTGATTTCCTTACCCCTGTACCTCGTCGGTACTCGTAGGGAGTCTGTAATCTACGAGGACGAGTACCCATGCATTCTTGTTAGGTATGGCGGTCGTCCATTGACTCCCTCCCGGCGCCGACGGAGTAGTATAGCACGTACCCCTACCTGGGTATGTAACTGCAGGTCAGGTAGCTAGGGTAGGTACTCGTGCTCGTAGGTATATATAGACCCTGACCTTGCCCCCAACCAAGGCTATCTTAGCCGGCTTTGAGACTACTGTACAGTACCCATCTCATTTCACGGACCAGAAAACGTCATTGTCGAAGCTGTCGAAAGGCCATCTTCCACTACAGACATCTATCTACTCCTCTTCCCTCAACCTACAGACAGTACCTACCTACCTACCTACCTTGACGTACACACATTCATACAAAACACCTACCCACCCGCCCGGGGGTAACTTCTACACGCCCTCAAAAGAGACCCTGAACATTCCTACCGGCACTCCCCTGCCCTTGTCCACCGTATCCAGTATCCGATACTTGCGAGTGAGAGAGATATATATATCTATACATCTGCCTCTCGCACCTCACACGTACAGACGAACAATCCTGTACATACCCACGCCATTCGACGACGACGACCGGACGGCAAACGACGACATACTAGGTAGACACAAGTATGCCGTTCCTCTACACGAAAAACGTCGGCAACAAGCATGTGGGCGGTGGGTTCAACGTCTCCCGCCACGGTGTGAGGAGGAACCCCTTCAGGATCTCCTTTGGCCGATTCAATTGCTTCAGGTAGCTTGAACGGAGGGACGGTGGTGTATTCGCGCCGCGCGAATGAAGCGGGGCAGACGATGGTTTCAATCATGTAATAGCTATGGCTGAAACGGGCCTGATATCAAGCGAGAACTTTGACGTGACTGTATGATAATGGAAAGACGGTTGGTGCAGCTCCTCATCGCCAATGCATTCACTCTTCCTTATAACAGAAACAACTTTTGCGCGGCATTACGGAAGAGTAGATTAGTATAACAAAACCCATGCTGGTTTACCATGTACGGGACCTAAAGTAATAAATCAAAGGTTTCTTGCATACCTGGCCGCTAAAGGAATGGGAACGGTAGTAGTACATTCTGGACTCTCCTCGAGGTGTTGTTCCTTGCCCTCATACTTCATGTCGTCAATCAGAGTTGTTCGTTCAGTCCACGGCCTTCTTTTTAGATGGCTCTTCGCTGCCGACGGAGCTCGTTGAGGGAGTAGCCTTTGTGTGTTGGCTCGTCGTCACGTCGTCATCCTCATCCCATTGTTCATCGGGGGCATTTTCATCCCAGTTGTCCAGCTCGTCCTCGACGCTGCGAGCCACGACACCAGTCTCCTGGCCATCGTCCGCAGATCGTGAAGGTCGGCCGAGTTCGTCGCCCCCGCTACGCTCACCTAGCTCGAGATCTTCTCCTTCCACACCGTCGGTCGGGAGAGCGGAGTACTTGGCCATCCGGCGTCTTTCTGCCGATCGACGGTGGTATGCACTGCAGAGACCCAGCGCTGCCAGGCTGCCTATGACGTTCGCGAGGACATCCCAGGCGTCGAACTCGCGGTCGTTGGGCAACAGACCTTGGGCCACTTCGCTACCCACGCCGAGCGACAAAGTGCACACAATCAGTGTCAAATGGATGACACGCCGACGGCTGGTGTCGAGGATAAAATAGAAGGTTGCCGTGAGCGCAAAGAAGACCAGGAAGTGTACTGCCTTGTCCGACTGGGCTGGGATGTAGGGTTGCGCCGCCGCAGGGGTAGAAGGCAGCGAGGAATGAGGGAGCAGGCCGAGGGAGGATGCGAAGAGGAGGAGGATTATAAAGGCAACTGTCGAACAAGTTAGCAGTCGAGAAGGATACACAGGGTTGGTAGACTTGCTTGCAAAAGAGAAGCGGATTCGCATGGTGTCCTGGTGGTACTGGTACGCCGTAGGTGGCCTGCGCAAAGGATGCTTTATACAGTGGTATTCTGGTTCAGTGACTAGGTTCGAGCGGTCGCAACAGAGGCATTCTTCCAATGACCAAATCGTGTGTAGGGAGATGAGAAGACCGAGATGTGCCTGGGATCTCTCGGAAGCGTAGGGAGCCTGTGATGGAGTTTCGAATAGAAGTACCTGGGCAGCGGTAGAAGTCGAGGTTTAGTTAGGTTGCTCTTTAACTAGCGGTACGGAGTACGAGGAGCTTTAGGTACAAGTACCTTAAGTAAGATCGGGCTCACTAGGCTGGGGCTCGGCTGGCGCAGTTTGGACGCCCAGTTGAATGGCTTCTAACCGACCTACGCAGTTTCTTTCGACTTCACGTCTCAACTGCGCGCATCCACCACGTCAGATTGCCAGAATTTCTTCATCTCACAACACCCCTATTTCATCGTTTCGCGTCTTGTTTCCATCGGATCTGAAATCTACAGGGTCGCATGTCCATCTGCACACGCTTTTAGGCGTCGCCCACCCCTTTCCTCGCCGTCGCAGGGCATTCTTCAAACTGGAGTATCTACGAGACCCCTCGCTCACAGTCCGGGGGTTGGCACTGCCATGTCCGTAACATGGCCGCCCCCAAACAGCCAGAAACCACCAGACGATGAGCCTCTGATTCACTCCCTACACAGAGATACTCTCAATGGCCTGCTCCGCGCACCCTCCCGACCTCACACACCCAATTCTGTGAAATTGCGCAGTCTGGGCGCCGGCTCCCAGTCTGGACAGCCCGCCGATCCAGAGCCGAATCTCGACGAGGATCCGCAGATAATTCGATTCCGCGCCCTGTTCGAAGAGGCCGAGTCCAAGATCGCGAGCCTCTTTGACAATGTCGGCCAAGTTGTAGCACCGCAGAGGCACGCGATCGACAATGCGACTCTGTTCGACTCTGCCACCGAGCCTGCGGACTCGGCCGCGGCCCCTGCTCCTATATCAAAAAAGCGCAAACTGGTCGATGACGATGACTATGACGATTACGACGACGACGACGACGACGAAGAGGAAGACTCGACACTTGATGCTGTAAGGGCATCCCCACTGCAAGACAAGCCAAACAAGGTACACATCGTCGCCGGTGCCACGTCGTCGCCGAAGGCTCGCCCGGTCCTCCCCCCAAGTATCACTCCCGATTCCATAAAAGCTCCGGCGAAGACGAACGCTGCCAAATTAAAAGAGGATGCTGAAGATGCTCGCAAGAAGCTGGAAGAGGCCAAGCGCAAAGAGGCCGAGACTGTCAAGACATTGTCGCGCACCATGTTCTTCACCCTGGAAAACGACCGAGATGCCATGTTGGACCAGCAGAGGCTCGACGAGGCAGAGAGACGTGCCGAGGCCGAGGCTGAAGGGCACGCAAATCGCCAAAATGCCTCTATGCAGCAGGGGAGCCTGAGCAAAGCCAACCTCGGCGCGTCCAGCTTAACGCTAAAGAATCTGATCGCCCTTCTCGACGAACATCGTTCCATGGTACATGCGACCGAGTCAGAGCTGCGCGCGCTCATGAGTGAGGTTCGGAAGAATCGAAGCAAATGGGCAAGCGAAGACAAAGTTGGTCAAGAAGAACTTTACGAGTCAGCGGAAAAGGTCCTTACCGAGCTCAAGGCCCATACGGAGCATTCGTTCCCCTTCCTCAACCCTGTCAAAAAGAAGGATGCTCCTGACTATTACCTTGTTATCAAGCAGCCCATGGACCTGGGCACCATGACCAAAAAGCTCAAGCAGCTTGCTTACAAGTCCAAGAAGGAATTTGTGGATGACCTTACCCAGATCTGGAAGAACTGCTTGAAGTTCAACAGCAACCCTGATCATGTCTTTCGGAAGCACGCGCTCTTTATGCAAAAAGAAACTGATAAGCTTGTTCCCTTGATCCCTGATATCGTCATTCGAGACCGGGCCGAGGTAGAAGCCGAGGAGAGAAGACAGCAGATTGCCAATGGGGAGCTTGATGATGCAGAGGAGAGTGATGACGAACCGATCATGTCTTCGCGCGGTCGCAAGGCTCCCGCTAAGAGCGCAAAGAAAGGCGGTTCGACCTCTCGCAAAGCCCCGCCAGAGACGACTCCCGTTCCGGAGACTAAGCCGGTGCTGCAGTCGATTAGCTCCGTTCAAAGGGCTGAATCCGAGATCGAGGGTAGTCAAGGTCAATCCACTCCTCCTCCCGGTATTCTGACTCCAGTCGGAGGTCACGGTTCGGGGAGTATTGCAGGGGCTGGTAGCGAGGCCATGGACATGGATCTACCTGGTTTGCCTTCGCAGACCCTGGTTCCCGAGTACGAGGATGAAGAGTATAAGCTCTGGAAACAGAAGACCAAAAAGGACCGTGCAATGCTCGCTGCTACTCGACATAAACTCTTTCGTGGAGACAAGCTGAATGCGGAGGAGACTGCTTTGCTCCGAAGCAAGGCAGGCATGCGGCGATGGCAGCGGATTCAGCAAGAAGCAGCGGGGAAAGATGTTGCAGACCTTGGCACTAACGTCTCGGAACGAGATCGGACCCTCGCTGAAGGCATGGAGGCGGAAGAAGAGAGCACATTGCCTGATTATTATGATTCTCTGGCCGCCATACCTGACCTCAATCCGCGTTTAAGGTGGGAGCAAGACACTGAAGGCCAAGCCATTGAACATGGCGAGGAGTACTTGAGACTCCTTCCTCCGAAACAATTCGTAGCGCCTGAAAGTCGGCTGGCCAAGAAGATGGATGCGAACATGCGACAAATACAGGAGACCCGAAAAGTCGTTTCCAAGATCGGCGTTGTGAAACAGATGCAGCTGCAGTCTCAAACATATCAAAACCAGTTTCAGAAGTATCAGCTAGACCCTTTTGTCGAAGCTGACATTCCCAATCACGTCATGTCGGACGCAGGACCAGTAATGGCGCCCTACGTCTGCAAAGCAGCTTTTCAACGCTCAATTGGCAAGATTTTCTTCCATGCTGGTTTTGAGGAGTTTCAACCTTCGGCACTCGATGCGATGACGGACCTTGCGACCGAATTCTTCCAGAATCTGTGCTCCTCGCTGGCAAACTACAGAGAAGACTACCGGATCCCTGTGGCACAATCAATCCCTGCCGGGCAAGGACAGAAACGTGATGTCGAGTTCAAATGTCCGAACACGTTAGAAGAGGCGATCTTGCACTCTCTACACTCAAGTGGATTGTCGCTCAATGACCTGGACGTCTATGCTCGGGAAGATATTGACCGGACTGCTACGCGCCTGACCATGATGCATGATAGAATGAAGGCACATCTTACTGATCTCCTTCGACCTGCTTTGACGGACGATACAGCTCATGGTCAAGGAACGTTTGAAGATGGTGGCGAGCAGTACGTCGGTGGTGACTTTGCAGGTGATCTTGACGAAGACTTCTTTGGTTTCCGAGAACTTGGTCTCGACAGAGAGTTCGGCATGGCCAGTCTTACAGTGCCCTTCCATATCTTGCAGAATCGTCTTGGCATGAGCAACCAACAAGCCAGCACTACCGATGCCGCAGAGAAGATGTTTACGGAACCTCCTCGCTGGCCAAAGATCACTGCCGATAACGTGGACGAACAGATCGGACTGGTTCGAGATTGGTTCAGAAAACGTCTGCGCGAAAACGGTGATCGGCCGTTGGTGGAGGATCTTGAACTCCCTCTGAAGCAAAGGCCAGGCTATGGTCGGGCAAGGATACCAGCTAGCGGTAAGATCGGAGAGGGCTCTGCGAAGAATGCTAGCCCGATGAAAAAGGCACCTGTGAAGGCTGCTCCCGCCCCTAAAGCTGCGGCAGCGGCAACAGCAACTCCCGGTGATAAGGGGAAGAGGAAGTCCGTTGTCACCAATGGAACAGGTGAAGACGCTTCCATGGTCAATGGCATCAATCCATCAACGCCTGGTCCGGGTGGTGATGGTAGCCCAGAGAAAAAGAGACCTATCTTGAAAGCGAAGATGTCTACTTCAGATCTCAAGGGCTCTGAAAAGGACAACACTCCAGCAACAGATACTATTGATGGCACTCCAGAGGTGAACGGGCTTCCGAAATTAGACGGGGCAGTTGATGGCGACGCGAGTATGATGAGCCCGGAGAGCCTGTAACTCCCTTGGCGAGTTTCTGAGCGCAGTATATATGGGAATCGCGAAGATGGTACTAAAGATACCCTGTAGTGACGACGGCTTGACGGCTTTTTGGTTTGGTCAATGACAGGTGGGTTTGGCTGCTGGTTTCGTTGATACCCAGGAGTTTCCAGAGGCGGGTTTAAAATGGTTAGTCTCCTGGCTTCGTGCCCTTGTCGCTGCCAGGAGGAGTACATGCGGACTTGTTGCCTATCCTCCCAGCTCAACCACCTCATGGCCCAAAAGTGCGGGCATTATATGCCTCGTCACAAACATGATTTTGGGGGGACGATTGCAGTGTCGATCTTGCAATCTGTGCTGTCGTGGCTATTGTAAATACTTCACCGTAACTATAGTTTTTATTGGGAGTTCTAGAAGACTCATTGCTCGGACGATTGTCGATAACAGAGCCATTCTTTTCGCAGAAAACAATGTATAACTAGACAAATAAGAGGAAGTTCTCCACGCTCTCCTTTGAACTTTCTGCCGAGAAATACTTCCCTTGAGTGCTTGTCCTTCAGAGCTGAGTGGCACAATCTTTCTATCCGAGAGAATCTCCACGGTAATACAGACCATTCCATTGTGCTTCATATTCGAAATCGAGAGCCAGAGCCCCCATTGCAAAGGCTGTTCACCGCCAACTACGGAAACCATGTTCGCCCCGTTGCAATGAGGCCGACGATCACGTGACCCTGCCTATGACTCGCCCAATTGAAGCTGCGCGTCTTGCTCGACATTCATCTCAACTCACCTCGAAGGACCCTCCGTCTCCTCCTGACTCTCGTTCTCATTGTCCTCTTCAGGAAACGGGAGAATACTTCCATTGCCGTCGCCCGACTGTGTTTCGATTGATACCAGTCGCTTCAGTCGAACCTCCCAAGTTCTTGATCGCCCTCCGCTTACGGCATCTCTTTCGGCCCATAACGTATCCCGCCGAGAGCGTCCCGAAACATACGTCGTAGAACAACGGCCAAGCGAGGGTTGGTGGTATCGCTAGGTAGTGGCGGTAGTGGTGTCTTGATGGGCCCTAGGCAGGAGAAAAGTAGCCTGAAGCGCAACAGGGTAACCAAGACCTGCGCCGATTGCACAGACGCCCAATCTGACTTGCGATATAGCATAGCACTGGCGATGACCAGGAAATAAAGAAGCCCCGCAGATCCCAGAGAATCTCCTCTCAGACACAAAAGGAGAAAGACGTAAAGACACCACTCAAGAACCAATACCTCCCCTCCCCTCTCACGAACCATGAGTCGACCGTGACCGAGCCAGGGAAGGTAGAGACGGCCACACCTCCCAAGGCTCGTCCCAGTCAGACTCGCCAGGTCACTCCTCCATCTTCATCTCAGTTACAGCCATTGTCGTCACCGCCTCAAGACACACAGCCCTTGTCTCAGTTTGTCTATCCACCGCGAGACATTGAGCCTGATTTAGATGACGATGACGGTACCTGGGGTTACCTGTTCCCGTCGACCAATGCTGGCCATCGAATCACATTAAAGAGAAGAGCGTTTTGTCCTGCGCCCGCAGCGCCTCTCGAGATAAGCCGGACAACAGTCAAGCCCAGCAAGCGTGAAGAGACCGAGTTGAAAGAAGCTGAGGAACAGTACGAAACGGACAAGCGAATTGAGGGCTTCCCCGCCGGTGGCTATCTTGTCGGGCGGCATCCTGAATGCGACATGATCATCGACATTCCGACTGTGTCGAATCGGCACTTCCTAGTCTTCAACGAGAGTCGAAACGGCGACACGGTCGCTGTACTCGAAGACTTGTCGAGTAATGGAACCTTTGTGAACGACGCACTGCTGGGACGCAATAAGAGGCGAGAACTCGAGGACGGAGACGAGATCACAATCCTGGACGAAGCAAGGTTTGTCTTTCGATACCCAAGAAACCGTGATTCGAGTGCTTTCAATTCGCAATACCGTATCCTACAGCAGCTGGGCAAGGGTCATTTTGCGACGGTCTACATGTGCGTCGAACGATCATCTGGCTTCAAGTATGCGGTGAAAAAGTTCGAGAGGCGGTTCGGAGAGTCTCAAAAGTCACAACAAGAAGGCCTGCAGCAAGAAATTGCGCTTTTGATGAGCGTCAGTCATCCTAACGTGCTATGCCTGAAGGAGACATTCGACGAGCCAGACGGAGTGTACCTCATTCTGGAGCTTGCTCCAGAGGGAGAGCTGTTCAACTTGATTGTGACCAAGCAGAAATTGACCGAAGCCGAAACGCGCAAGATCTTCATCCAACTTTTCCAGGGCACGAAATATCTTCATGAGCGGAACATCGTTCACCGGGACATCAAGCCTGAGAACATTCTGCTGACGGACAAGAATTTGTCGGTTAAGCTTGCGGATTTCGGTCTGGCGAAGATCATAGGCGAGGAGTCCTTCACAACCACTCTGTGCGGAACGCCGAGCTGTAAGTTATCATGTGGCTCTCTATGTACGTAATTCGCTACTAACCGCACTACTGCTAGATGTTGCACCAGAGATCCTGCAAAACACACGCCACCGCAGGTACACCAGAGCCGTTGACATTTGGTCTCTCGGAGTCGTCCTCTATATCTGTTTGTGTGGCTTCCCGCCCTTCTCTGATGAACTCTACTCCCACGACAACCCTTATACCCTTGCTCAGCAGATCAAGATGGGCCGTTTCGACTACCCTTCGCCTTACTGGGACTCGATCGGCGATCCGGCTCTGGACTTGATCGACCGCATGCTAACCGTGGATGTTGACAAGCGCATCACGATCGATGAATGCCTCGAACATCCGTGGACGAGAAACGCAGGAAATATCAATCCAGCCGACTCGACTGATGGACTCACGGGCGCCATGCATGCGCTGGATTTTTCGAAGCGTAAGATTCAACGTGAGCGCACCTTGTTGGCCGACATCAACGATGTCAAAGTCAGCAAGGTTGTCGCGGTCGATGGCCAGCATCTCCCAGGAAAATCATCTGGGGACGCGGCACAGATCAAAGTCTGGCAGAAGAACCCGAACGGCAAGATTGTGCGAGCGACGGCTAAGAAAAGCAAAAAGAATGCTCAGGCGAAGGAGGAAGACCCGGCTGCCAACAGACAGCAGGAGGAGTTTATGGGCATGGGAGGCAAAGGCGACATGCAGCTCTTTGGCGACGATGTGTCGAGTCGATACCTACCTAACGAGGTTCCCGATGGTAAAAAGTAAAGTCGACAAGGGTGAACTGATCTGATTTGAAACGGCGGCACAAAACTGGGTATGAGCATGGCCATGAGCAATCAGACTGATCGAGTCGTATATTCTCGGTGTCTGGACCTGGACTGTGATTGTGATTGTGCCTGTATAAAGGAGACAGGCCAGGAAGGGGAGTCAACTTTTGGGACCGAGCATTTGTTGTTGGTGTAGTGGGCCCCATATCTTACGGAGCTTGCTGGCACGAGGCGTTCGTCGTGATCATCATCGTCGTCACCATCTGATGTTTTGTTTTGTTGGTTCAGGGTGGCAGAGTGTCTTTGTACTATTCTTCGTCATTATATCTCAGACTCAGAGTTGGCGGGTTCATACCTATGAGTACTATCACCAGGGGATACGGGGAAGTGAGGTTTGGGAAGTGGGAAGGAACAGCGAAGGGAAAAAAGAGGCCAGCTCGCCGGAAATGCATACCTACTGGGCACATACCGATGGTCCTCGGTGTATATACATCCCTTACCTAAGGTACGCTTACAAAAAGGGGGGTACAATGGGTACAAATGGTACAGTCATGGAGTTTTATTGATTTGGAATCCAAAAAGTAGGGGAGAAGGAATATTCCTAGGATATGGATGGAGCACAGACACGGCAATAGCAGTAGCAATAGGAAGAGCGGTGTGAAGCATCTTTGACCAAGATTCATGTGCCATGGAGTGAGTGAGTGAGTGAGTGAGTGAGTGAGTGAGCGAGTGAGTGTTGAGTCAAGACGACGTGGGTTGTTTCCTCCGGGGGTGTCTTCGGTATCTCATCGGTCACGTCCTTCCCAGTTCTACCAATATTAGCTAGCTTACAGAATATTGATGCTTCTTCTTCTTTCTATCTCGCTTCATCGTCTAGGTGGGTGGGTGAGGGTGTGATTTTGTTGGACTATGATTGTTAACTCGAGTAAAAAACCCCCTTCTCTCTCTCTCTCTCTCTCTTGGGTACCGTAGGCAAGGTACCTATCTACCTCTGCAGAGTACTTTGTGAGATGTCGGGGTCATCCATCCCTCAAATATGCCTTGTGCCTGCCTGATGGCCTATCCACCTACCTACATATACCATACACAGGTGGGCCACTCAAGGTAGGTTATCTACTTTACGTACCCAGGTCCTACATAGGTCCTGGGTACGTAGACAAGGATGCCCCTTTTCTGCCGAATACCTCTTCTGTACTACCTACGCACCTAGCTAGCTAGCCCTTGTCGCTGCCATGATACCGTATGGTACTGAGGATGGGTAACTGTTTTTCCAGAAACAACCTCTTACGGCCTGCTGCCGGTACTGGGGATCCGTAACCCTGCCTTTAGAATACCTTTTCCCCGGCTGCTTCTGGTATGGTACTGATAGTGAGGATCCGTCAGACCCAGATCTCCCTTTACGAAGGAGACTTTACGAGGCCGCGGGGTCGTCGCTCTCAGTACACCTAAGTACACCAGATGACTTCAGTGTACAGTCAACGTTCTGAGGCATTCGTCTCGAACAAATTCCTGCTGCCGTTTGACATTGCTGCCGCGCGTTATGCCACGCGCCATGGTCCCCTTCCGGTCACTCTCACTCGAGCTTGCGGCGGCACTTTCTGCAGTGCCAAACGGTGACGGCGTCTCCCCGTTTCGATTCCCATATGGCGGGGTGATTCATCGCTTCTGTCCCCGGCCAGGCCACTGGCTATGGGAAATCGGATCATTGAGGTCTGTGGTATAGTGGAATCGCGCTTCGATGCGAACGTTGATCCTAATTCCCACCCCGACGAACAGTGATCGTGGTTTCGCACCGGTGAACATCGGCGTCGTTGATACACCGTTTGCGTCAAATTCGAAGCTGTTCTTGAGTTCCAGCCACCCTCCGCAGAATGGTTGAAGCAGGATATGCCTATGCCTATTGAGCCTCAGACTCATATCTCTGCTGGAGGCTAGTGAAGTGGCTATTACGCGAGTACTGCGTTCTGTAATCGACCTCGTTCGAAAAAGGGCTTATCAGTCAGAGACAGAGTCATCGAGCCCCTTGAAATTTTCCATTGGTCACAAACCCAGAAAACTCAGGTTGATCTCATGAAGATCTCGTCCAATCCCTTCATATTCGAGAAAGCCATCCTCTTCGCTTGGATATTTCGTCCTCGAAGGATATGTCTGCCACTCTTTATCGTTCTCGTTTCGGCCGCTTGAGGTTTTGAACCCGCGAGATCTTCGCGAGCCGTACCCGATCGTCTCGGTTTTGATGCCCCCGTACTCGTCGCTGTTGCGTCGACTTCGTTTTCGGACGATGACGACGACGAAGACACAGGTTCATCCGGTGGTTGGGTCAGGGGTGACTTATGAAGAGGCAATGCACTTCTCACTGCCTCTCTCGTTTTTGCCTTCTTGTCGGCCTTTCGCAAAGCCTTTTCTTCTCTCCGCTTCCTCTTCTCCTCTTTCCTCTGTTTCTTTTCTTCCTTCCTCCTCCGCTTCTCTTCGCGCTCGTCTGCGTCTGACATTGGTTCCGGCTGTGTCTGGTCGGGCTCATCGTGAGAATTTTCCTGCGTGTCGGTTTTTGTGGCCTTGTCTTCGATGCTTCCCTCGAGGATTCCTCCTCTCACGAACACCATACCGCCCCACCGGCCTCGCGCGTACATGGCGAGCTTTCTATCCTCGTTCTTCTGCTCTTGCTTCTTCAGCTCGGCGTCGCTCTTTCCGTTGAGTCTGCCGAGAAGACCCTGGAAGGCATCGAGCCCGGTCCTCTGACCTTCAACATCTTGACTCTTTGTCTTTGCACCCAGTCCTAGATTGTTGTCCTTGAACAGGATACCCACGCGAGCAGCAGCAAGCCGGTCGGCGTCATTGACCCCAACATGGATACTTTCTCGGTTCCCCAGGGATTGACCTTCTTGCCAACCCTGCCGGTTCATGATCCGTTGGCCGAAGGAGGTAGAGGACTGCGACCATGCTAAATTTCGCGGATCGTGAGAGATCTTGCTGCGTCTGGTGTAGAAGTTAGTACCTGCTATAGTATCAAAATCGCCGACTTGGTGCAGACATGAAAGCCTCGAGTAGGTATGGATACCCTACAAGGACAGGAGTGTGTGCTGTTGGCAGATACGAAAAGATGCATCACAGGTGCATCTCGCGACAAGGAACAGACCTACCTCTTGGGTTCTGCCAGCCCCATTGTAAAGAGTGTACAAAAACCACGGTCGCTAAAACACAGAGGATAATACAATCACAGTAAAGACTGAAGCGCGCAACGTCTCGAGACTGCGGGTTGCGGTGTGATAAAGAAATTATGAGGGACGGCAGAAAATTTTGGGCGATAAGAAACGCCTAAAGAAGGTTAGAGTATTGAGGACGAGTCTGGAGTAAGGTACAAGTACGTACAATAGGCCTAACTAGTTAGTCTCTAGTGCGCCTAACAAATCTGCCTTACAGCCTACAGCTCCTCCGGAACGAGGTCCGTGGGGTGCTCAGGGATCAGCCCGGCTGGTGCGGCGGGCCTCAACTTAGCGAGGCTTATACTGTAGGTTACAAGCTATGACTGTACAACGACAGGCACTCGGAGCCTTCCGCGCCGAAAGAAGGTTCTCCCTGAAGACCAAGTACGAGTACTCAGCTCACGTTGCTCACCACGGGATTGTGTTTATGCTTACGTTACTGATTAGATGATGCCTCTCTGTCCACGGTTACACAACAGCAGCCTTACCACTCTGGAAGCAAATATGTCTATGGCAGCTTGAACGTCGCCAGGTCTTTGGGCGACGGCAAGCCAGTCTTTTTTACCTTCACTCGGTCGACTCGACGGGCTCTTGGTGCGCACCAAAGCAACAATCAACAAACAACCAAACATGGATTCAAAACCCAAGCCCACAGCCCAAGATACAGATGCTGAGGTACGACCCAGTGGCCCCAGACGTGTCTCTACCTATGATGCCACTACGGGAACTCTTGATCATGAACACAACGGTCTGAGCACGCAGACAGTAGTACTAGGTGAGTGAGGCCTTCTTTCCTATTCGCGACGAGGACACCTAGATTCACACATACACACCATCTCTCCATAGACGATGGACGCGTTGATATCAACATCACCCAGGAGAGCTCGAAACTCGCCGAACAGCTCAACCAGATCAATTTGAACTTGACCGAGATACATGAAGAACCAAACAAACCACCGCCTCCTCCGTTCGTGGACGATCATGGCGTACCGTTCAATCCGCCACCGCCGCTCAACGTGGTGATTCAGGTCGTCGGCTCCAGAGGCGACGTCCAACCCTTCATCGCACTCGGACAAGTGCTAAAGAACCAGTACGGTCATCGCATCCGATTAGCAACCCACGGGACCTTCAAGAAGTTTGTCGAGGAAAACGGTCTGGAGTTTTTCGACATTGGCGGCGATCCTGCAGAACTCATGGCCTTCATGGTCAAAAATCCTGGCCTGATTCCAGGCGTCAAGTCTCTCCGAGAAGGCGACGTTGGCAAACGTCGAAAAACCATGGCCCAGATTCTCGAGGGGTGTTGGAAGTCATGCGCCGATAGCGACGAGGTCAATGATTCCCAAGGCAGCAAGAGCGGTGGTGCACGAAGAAAGCCGTTTATCGCAAACGCTATTATCGCCAACCCGCCTAGCTTCGCCCATATCCATTGCGCACAGAAGCTGGGAATACCTCTACATATGATGTTTACGTAGGTTTGGGTCATGTTCCCTGTGCCACAACCAAAGGGACGAGTTATAAACTAACGCGATCTCCCGACGCAGGATGCCATGGTCACCAACTCGCGAGTTTCCACAGCCCATAGCAAACATCCGCACGTCCAACCACTCGACCCGAGGCGCCGCAAACGAAATGAGCTACACTCTCGTCGACATGATGACCTGGGAAGGGCTGGGCGACATCACCAACCGCTTCAGAAGAGATACCCTCGGCCTAGGCGTGCTTGCTCAAGCAGCAGCAGTAGACATGTTGTACAGGCTTCGAATACCATACACGTATTGTTGGTGAGCATAGGATCAGAGATGGCCTTTTTATTACGTTTCACTGATTCGAGCCACCTAGGTCTCCAGCACTCATCCCAAAACCCAAGGACTGGGGCCCGCACATCACAATCTCGGGCTTCTTCTTCCTCTCCATGGCGTCCAATTACCACCCGGACCCGGACCTTGCAGAGTTCCTTGCCGCAGGACCGCCACCGGTCTACATTGGTTTCGGTTCCATTGTGGTCCGCGACCCCAACGCAATGACCAAACTCATATTTGAGGCTGTGAGAAAGACTGGACAACGCGCGCTTGTGTCCAAAGGTTGGGGCGGCCTAGGTGGTTATGACCTCGGCAAGCCCGAGGGAGTGTTCATGCTGGGCAATTGCCCACATGACTGGTTATTCCAGCGTGTGTCCTGCGTGGTCCATCACGGCGGCGCCGGCACCACTGCTGCAGGCATAGCACTTGGTCGCCCGACCGTCATTGTCCCGTTCTTCGGTGACCAGCCATTCTGGGGTTCAATGGTTGCTCGAGCTGGGGCAGGCCCCAAACCCATTCCTGCCAAAGAGCTCACCGCCGACCGCCTTGCCGATGCTATCTTGGAAGCGCTCAAGCCCGAGACACTCGAACGGGCCCGGGAACTTGGCGACCGGATCAAGGAGGAGAAAGGTTGCGAAGTGGGAGCGGCAAGCTTTCATGAACAAATGGACGTCGACAGCCTTCGATGTAGTTTGGCACCGCAGCGACCTGCGGTATGGTCCATCAAGAGCAACCTCCCGACGAGCCGCGGGATCAGGCTCAGCGCATTCGCAGCTACTGTGCTTAGCAACGAGGGCCTTTTGGACATCAACGAGCTTCGCCTGTACCGACCGTGCGAGTACCCCATCGAAGCTGGCCAATTTACTTTCGACCGCGGACCGAACCCTGTTCTGAGTCACGTCGGATCCGTCGCATATACAGCCTTGCACTTGCCGATCAACATCGCAAAAGCTTGGAGTGGAGTCGTGTACCAGCCCTACAAGGGTGCCAGAGCGGGCGGGTGGAAAGGATTCAGCAAAGGCATCCTTAAAGGCCTAGAAGGGTTCTTCATACCGCCGAGAGCGATTACCGTAAACGGCAGAAAATTCGGCCTTCGAGCCGTGTATGACACGTTGAAGAAGCAATACGGCGACGACACACTGAGTTTCATCCTCGCGGCACACTTTGCCGAGGGCTACGAAGACGCAAAAGCCTCGAGTGAAGAAGAGCGGAACGACGTGCTAACGCGGTGGCATGGGTTGCAGTCGCAACTGCAGATGATGCCGACTCAGTCTAGACGGGCGGCGCCACCAGACGTCGCAGCAGCGTTGACGGGAACCGTGCCATCGTCGAAAGAACATAGCTGAGTCCGTTCCCGTGGAGTCAGCCACCAAATCACCCAAGCAATCCGCCGTGTGGAAGAAACTCTGGACCTATGCAAAGGTGCGGTCAAGTCAAGTCCGACGATGCCGGGATGGTATCATCTGACCCTGGATACCTTTTAATTTTTGTATACGCCATATACTTCTCATGCCCTTCATAGAAAACAGCGAGCTGATGACGACACAAGCACCGGTCATGATGGGGAAGGCATACGGTGCGTCCTCAAAATAATTGATCAAGTTCATACCGAACAAGCCGGCTATCAAGGTCCCTGCCGCGACGCCGAGAGTGTGAATGGCGACTTTCGCCTCGAGAAACATGATCTGATTGCGCTGCACGTCGAGGCTCGACCTGAAGGTGTTTTCCTTTTTGCGCATGACGTCCATGGCCGCACTCGCCGACTCGACCAGGGCGTCAGCGGCAGTGTGGTACGCTTCGAGCATGTACTCGGCCTCCTGGTGGTCGTAGATCTCGTGAACGCGGCCCGCCTTTCTGTCGGACAGGTACATGGCGGCCAGATCCTCGTCCGTGTCGAGAACCCCGCGGATCGTGTCTCGCACCAGCCGGGCCTTTTGTTCGATCTTTCCCAGCTGTCGAGAATGCTCAAATAGCAAATCAAGGCCAACGGCCGCGAATCCGGACTCGAGGTTCAGTTTTCGCGCGCTCTCCTCGGCGTCTTGTTTGGCCTGGACGAGTTCCTCGCGGATGATGGAGAGGACCGCCACCAATGCCGCCTCAACCGCACGTAGCTCGTACGGCAGCTCAGGGAGATCGGCGGTTTCCTTGGCCGACATGCGCCTCTCAAAGTCGCTGTACATGGCCGTGGTGCTGCTGCTGCTGCTGCTACCGCTGCTGGCGCCCTCGTTTCCATTTTGAGAGTCGTGCAGGTTGACAAGAAGAGCCTCGTCCGCTTGGATAATCATGCACAGGTCGAAGAATTGCAAAAGAATGGTCGCCGGTCGGATGAGGATGCGCGTCACGGATTCAGAGCGAAGATCGATGTCGCGTAGATCTCGATGTCGGAGTTCGAATTGTTCTGCTATCTTGCTCTTTGTGAGCTGCTTGTGCTCAGACAGCAGCGTGCCATCCTTGTCGAAATACGCGCATGTCAGTTTCGTGTCTCGAGAGGTTAAATTAGGTTTAGTAGGTGATGGAGTCGCGAATTCGTAGATGGATGATCCGTCCTGGTCTCTTGGTATCCTTCGCCGTAGTCCAGATAATTGACACGTGGAAAAACACTGTGACTTTGTCGTTCGTGTCGCAGTCGCTCGAGATGGTGTCGTTGGACCGTGGTGGATGCCAGTAATGGTACGGAGGGTATTTGTGTGGTGAATTGGCTTGATGCACCTCAACGTGGGTAGAGATAAGCTTGGACGCAGCGGATGAACGGCAGATGCCGCCAGTCGTAACGTCGTCCTCATCTGGGGACGTCTGAAAGCTACAATAACAATGCTGACATTTACGTGTGCAGTTTCCGGCAGGCCGTTGAGATGCGCCTGAAATGTCACGGGTTGTTCTGTGCTTGATTGCGTTGTGTACTTGTGTGTACTCGTGCGTCATGGAAGTCTGATTTTGGAAATACTCGGGCGCGTCGAGGGTACGAGGTTCTTACATAATCAGGTCGACAAATGTACCGGCGACGTCATCAGCCCAACAAAAGGTCTCCTCAACGTCCAATTTACACAAGGGCGAAGGGTGCTTCCCTGAGCTCCTCCCAGTATGTCGAAGTAGAAGGAGAAAAAGTAGGTGAAAAAGGATGGAAATTTGGATGGAAATTATTGAGTCAAAGGGGGGGGAGGGGAAAGTCACCATTCCCATTCGCCCTCTCTTTCTGGCTCAAACGATGAACAGTTGCAAACATGACGAGCGCGCCCCTTCCTATCCGTATTGTACGACTCATATGCTCTGAGCCCGTACGGAATAAAAGTGAAAGGGAAAAAAAACGATAATCAGTCTTCGTGTCGTCTCAAAATCACCATTGCCTCACCCGACATGTATGTAGCCTGGCCGGGCACCTCAGGTAAGTCATGTCGGCACAGATTGTCGTATGGTAGGTAGTAAAGGAAATTAAGGCCCACGATTGACCATAGCGAGTTTGCGTTACTTGGGATTTTCAGATGCCTAATAAGAGACTTTACTGAGTCCTAATGAACGGGTGCTTCAGGCCCTCCGACATACCTTATCTGAATATAGCGAGCACATAACGAATGCTGTTCTTAAGTCGAGACTCAGGACTCCGATGCACCTATGTCAGACCTCTAGCTTGTAGGTACGATAGGTGAGGACCGGTTCCGCCCATCATCTACAGTACGCAGTGCTCGGGATGGACTCACTGACTACCACGGATGCTACAGTACCGGGCCAAGCTGGCTACGTGTTGTAGGTACAGCAGCACCTAAGCTAAGCTAGGCTAAGCTACACCAAGCTTTTCTTCCACGGCCACAAGGTTTCGAGGTCCGAGGCTTAGCGGTGAACAAGCTCTTTTTTTTGGTTTCGGGTGACGTGGGTGGGATAAGCTCTAACTAAAGCAGACCAAACCACTCCTTCTCTATCCAACCACACGAAACGTTTCTCCTCCTAGCAATGGGGGTTATCTCTTGGAGTGGTACTCCGTAGATCCATGCATCTCCTCATCCCGGGGGCCGGGCAGTAGTAAGTCCTCTAACAAAATTTCAATGATCAGAACTCGTTTCACTCGTAGCGCACTTTTTTACGTGTATCCGCTGCTGGGTCATCCCGACCTCTCCGTGGGTAAACTTTTTTTACTCAGCCATCAAACGACACAAACCCTTCAGCGCGTGCCGGGCCACGTCACCACAGCGTCGAACCTCACATGGGGGCTTGTTGAACTTTCGTTCTGCCAACCAAGTTTTGTTTAGCCTGCACTCCGTCGTCCTGCCGCGACAGGGGAAAACCAACGTGCGTACGTGCCTGTATGCGTGTGGTCACCGCCAACCGGTGAAGATGTGTTTGAATTGAGACTTGAGTTGGGACCTGACACCTTTCTTCCGGCGAGTACCTGTACTCCGTACATCTCTGGTCTGGCCTGGTCTGGTCTGGCCTGGTCTGGTCTGGTGTGGTCAGTGTCAGTTGTCATACATCCCAGAACCGAGGACCAAGGTACGGTAAATCGTCCAGGACAGTGCTCCGACCCTTATTCTCTTCGGATCTGGCGATGACCAAGTTTTTTTTTTTCGACAAACAACAACATCAGATCTGCACCGCGAGTCGAATGAAACTCTAGCTAGTCCCCCCCCCCTCGTATGATGTATCCAAGCAGGGGCTGACTGGGCTGGCTGGCTGGCTGGCTATATTTGGTTTACGGAGTACGACAGTACTAGATGTTCCTCTTATCTTCTTCTTCTTTCCCTTTCTCCTCTTCTCCTTGCCCTTCTTCACCTGCAAGTTACTGACCGTCGTTTTCGTTGTCCCTGTGCCCAAATCAATCACACATAAAACCCACAGCTCAACACCCACTTTGCTCCCTCGAACTCCTTGGATCTCACAACAAACAAACCGAAACAAAAACACCCAAGATGGACTCTCGCGCCGAACCTCAACAACAACAACAACAAAACACCCAATCCGAAGCGGTGACTAACAACGTCGTGTCCGAGCAGCCCGTAAGCAATGCCTGCCCCCGGTTGTTGTTCTTGCTGTCTCATTACCTTTTCTCGCTTCCTGTTACCCGCTATCCATCCCGCCTGTGTTCATCATTCCTACATACCTTTTATGTGTATACTTTTTGTTACTGACACGGCTCGACTCCGTTTGTGTCCCGATACAGGCCGCTGCCCCCTCGATGGACCCGACAAAGGCACCGACCAGACTTGGTCTCCGCGGCGGCGGTGAAGGTGAAGATGTCTGCTGTGGCGTGTAAGTTGCTTTGTACCTACCACTGCCCGTTACCTACCTACCCACCCACCCCCCTTCCCACCCAGAGAGCATGCCGAGTTTGAATACTGACACGCACATTTACGTCGGGATCAAATTCAGGTGCGCCGGTCTCCTCTGCTTTGAATGTTGCAAGGACTGCTGTTGAGAAACACAAAACGCAACGAACCCTTGAATGAAACAAGACAGTTCATTTCAGATCGTGTCCGGGCGAACCGAAGAGTTATCTGAGAAGGGGGGAAAGAAGAAGAGACAAATATCTGATTCGGACCAGAAGAACAGTATATATATATATACCCATCACGTAGATAAACTCGCATGGTACTCGGTACGAAGTGAAGCAAACTAGATACCCAATTATGCATGCGTGTGTGGAAAATCAATAGGCTTGTTTGTTCATTTGCTCATTTCAGAACCTATACTGGCCAGGCCCTTCTACGCTCATTCTCATGCTCGCTGTCGTCCATGCTCTGATACTCTGATGCTCAGCTTTGATGGGATACTCGTACACACACAAAGACACAACCCTCGAAAAGAGGAGAAAGAGGACTCCATACTACCCACGAATACTCAGTACGTACTCCGCCGTACCAAGTAATAATAGTTCCCGAGGTCCAGTTCACACAGCCTCCTGCCTTCCTTCAATCTTCCGGTTCAGACCACTCCAGTTGATGAAAACCCCCACCGCCCCCGATCAATCGATGGATGTAGTAGAGTTGTTATTCTTGTACACCCCACCATGGACCGCGGCCGTGATACCCACTGCGATACCCACCATGGCACCGACAATGACCAGGGCGATGAGCACCTTGACCATGATCCGTTGACGTTTGGGCATCTGCTTCAACCATGCACAACCACGTTGTTTTGGTTTCGTCATGCACTGTTGCTTCTGTGGTCCGTGCCAGAACCGCCACGACTTGTTGACGAGTCTTCCGCCGCTGCCACCTGCCTGTTCACGGATGTTCTTCTGCTGTGCGTCTCGCTTTTCTTGGGTGACGGTCGGGGATAGGCTCGGGGTAGTGCCATCACCGCCGGCTTCGAGGTCCTGGAGAGTTACTTGAGGAAAGGACTTGAGGTTGACGTCGAAAGATGGGCGAGGCGAGTCGTGGTTGTACGTGTAAAAGGGTGAGGTGACCTTGGCATTGGCGCAGGGATCATAGTCGTCAGTGCCTGTAGCCGAGGCGTCCATCTTGTTGTGTTCCATATCGACGGTGCTGGTGTTGATGATGGGACGGGCTTATGGGCTCTTCTTGCAAAAAGGATATGATGTAGGAGGGTTGGGTAGAGACGACTTCTGCTTTTCTGCCGATCTGGGGGCGGCAGACGAGATGTGTGTTTTGAGGACCAGGAAACTCGCGTAATCGTCGTCGTCGGCGGCGGCGGCGGCGTCGGAAAGGACTGATATTTTAGTTTGCAGCCTATGGGACCATTTTTTGGGTGGTGGTGGTGGTGATGATGGTGTGTTGATGAGATGAGGTGAGGCTGAGCAACAAATGTCTCTGAAGAGAAGCGAGTGAAGAGTGAGAGTTACCACTGTCTTTGATGCACACACGAGGAAGGCTGGCTGATGTTCCAAACTTTTCAGTTGATTGTGGCTGCGGTTGGTACAGAACAGGGCTCAGTACTGGTGCGGGTCAAGACTGGAGGCAGGAGGCTCGTGGTGTGCGTGCGTGTCAGTGTCAGCGGATTGACGAGGTCAAAATCACTTTGACTTTTCTGCAGACCAGAAAAGAAAAACAGATCAAATTGACTGGCAGGTTGGTGGAATCGCAGAAAGGAGAGAAAGGCTGGGGAAGAGAACAAGAGTACGAGGATCGTGCACATGTCCTCCGTATGGCATGTCATTGATGGGTATGGAGTACTCCGTACCGTACCTGGTCGACGGCCTCGGGACTCATCACTGTCTCGTAGTCTCAGTACTCTGTATCCACTGAGTCGAGATGTTCGGATGATGGTGGTGGTGATGATGATGGGAAACGCAATCAAACACTTGGCCAGGCCTTTTGATGAAGCTCGACCGGGGGAGGTTGACAAGGCGAGGGATCATCCAGTGATTTCTATCCATTTTGCGGAGAGAGGACGAGGGTCCTGTGTCCGTACCGTAGCTCTTCAACTAGTAAGTTTGGCTTTGGCTGTGTTATGGAGTCCCAGGCTGTTTGAGCTGGGGAATTATATATAATCCATTCCAACTGTTGGCTCAAGAGCCAGTGAGGCCCGTACTGACTGTCGGGGGCCCATTAGGCTAATGCACGCCTATGGAGTGTCTGCGACGAACAGAAAATCCACCCAGAGTCTACCGACCTTTACCTCTTTGCTCGTTCTTGTGGTACCTGTGTTCTCTCTCTACTCACAATCACTGTCGACACGAGATTCTTTAAACCTATGTCTACTCGCCCAGGTAGTGTCCCCGGTCAGAGACCTGCTTGTTGCAGAAAAGACTGCTCCCCTCTCCCAAACATCCGTCTCGGTTGAGACTAAGAATACTGCCTACTGCAGTATTACTGAGCTGTCAAAACCCACTGGTCCTGATAGCAGCGTGGCCGGGTGGTGCCACTGGTGTGTCACGCTCTTCGCCTCTGTGGATCTGTTGTTGACATGTTGCATGCTGGTTCCTGGTTGATCCCACTTTTCAAGAGAGGGCCGAGCAGGATCTCGACCATGATGGGCCGTGGCCCTGACATTCAGCTGCTCACTCATCAAGATCAATTTTATAATTTCGGCCCTCCCACTCCATGTTTCACGTGCAAGCCAGTCCCTGGACAGATCTGAGATGACTGATGAAAAGATATCACTACGAAGTTTCCTTACGAGTCACGACTATGGAGCAGAGCGAGGATGAGATCCAAACATGTTGTTATTTTTCTTCATCTATCCGAAAGGAGTTATCTCAATCAGTGCCACAGGCCACCCAAATCAAACCAGATCCTCAAAGATTCACTCTATGACTCTCGGAAAAAATCCTCCCTCACGATGCGGCTCTTGTCGCACATGCTTCGGAAAATCCCATTGGCTTCAAACAGGTTGATCGGTGTATCAAGCTCGGCAATTCGCCCTTGGTCCATCACACAGATTCGATCATAGTTGATGATGGTCTTCAGACGATGGGCAATGCAGAGAAGGGTCTTGCCCGCAAACCCCGTTCTCATGGTCCTTTGAATCTTCTCGTCCGTTTCAAAGTCGACCGAAGAGGTGGCTTCGTCGCAGACAATGATTTGAGAATTTCGAACGAGAGCTCGCGCAAGAGCCATCAACTGTCTTTGACCGAGAGAGAAATTCAGTCCTTCTTCTTCCACCGTGCTGTCAAGGTGGATGCGGCTTGACCCTGTCGTCTGCTCATTGCCATTGGAAGTCGAAGTCACAGCTGTCTCGGCCGTATGAGGACGGTCTGCCTTTTCGTTGGTCGCATCCTCGCCGACCAGACCGGCTTTGCGTAACGCTGCCCAAAGATCGAGATCTGCGTGTTCATTGAAAGGGTCCAAATTAGATCTGACCGTACCACGGAACAGGGTCGGATCTTGAGGAATGATCGACAGCCGTGACCGTAAATCGTTCAGGCCCACAGTCGCAATGTCAATGTCGTCGATTCTGATCTGACCGCTCGTAAGTTCTGTCAGCCGGAAAAGGGCAGACATGATGGATGACTTTCCAGCCCCAGTCCTACCGACGATGCCGATTCTTTCTCCGCCTCGGACACGGAAATCCAACCCCTTCAGCACAAGCGGCAGGCCCGGTCGGTATCGCATTTCCACTTTGCTGAAGCTGATGGCCCCTGCGTCTGGCCACGACTTCGGGACATCTCGAAGTTTTAGAGGCGCTTCCTGATCGAGCTCGGACCCGTAATGGTGCAATCGCTCCGTTGCATTCATGTTGTTCTCAACTTCTGCTAGCTGTCGTACTGTGAACTGGATCATTTGCACAATCGCCAAAATGTAGGACAAAACTAAGCCTGCTATGCTCGGGTTGACGTCGAAGCGATCGGTCACGACCAAAATGCCCGTGACAAGGACAAGAACGTTTCCGATGGCGTCCAGTCGTGTGGATAGCCAACGTTGATTTGCAAACGTTAGATAGTATGCGGAATCCATGTCGTCGATAGCTTCCCGAATCCGGGAGGTGAAATACTTTTGTAGACCATATGCCCGGATAGATGCCGTCCCAGAAATGGACTCTGAAAATCGTGCAAACACCGTAGATCGTAAGACTGCCTCGTGCCTTTTGACCTCTCGTGCAGATGCTCGGTAATAGCTGGAAGCAAATAAGAAGAGGACGAAGAGCGGCCCCAAGGCCACTGCAAAATAGTGGAAATAGGCAATGATCAGCGCGAAAACCGACGTGATCATGGCACAGGTCAAGAAGTACATCCTCATGGCATCTGTCAGATTGTTGTCCATAGAGTCGACGTCCTTCGAGAACCGGTTGGTTATGCGCCCGAGAGGTGTGGTATCAAAGAAGGACATGGGAGCACGTAGAACTCGGGTCATGGCCTTTTGCAGCAACGCCTTGCTAGCATTCGTCCCACTGGTGGATAGGATGGTCGAGAAGATGAACATGAGAACCGCTTGAGAGCAGCCAAGAGCGGCATAGACCCCGATGTATGCTCCTTCAGAGTAGCCAAACTTGTTACTAGTCCACCAACTGAGCCACAGGCTGGTGGCAATGTTAGCCCCCTGAGACAAGACCAAGGAGACGAAGATTAACGGCCACAATATGGGTGAGCCGGAGGCTTTGATGTACGCTTTCCATACTCCCCAAGTGACGGAACTGGTTGCACGCTCCTCTTGCTGCATGAGAGCCTTTCCTTTCTTGAGCTTCTTTTCGGGCTTCTTCTCCCCTTTTTCTTCATCTTCATCTTCACCTTCATCTTCAGGTCCTGTGGCCTTAGTACCTTCCTGGGAAGTCGTTGCCATCAGCTTCTGAAAGTCAACGCTGTGAGCCATTAAGTTGTCAAAGGTGTCGATGGCCTGGATGTGGCCTTCCTCCATCCAGATGATCCTGTCGCACCGAGACAAGACATGTAGCTGATGAGTGGCAAGAATTCGACATTTGTTTTTCATCAAGCCACAGATTGCCTCGTCCATAATGTGACGTCCGACGTGAGCATCGACGGCAGACAAGGGATCGTCCATTAGGACAATGTCGGCGTCAAAGTAGATCGCGCGAGCGATGTTCAGTCGTTGTTTTTGACCACCCGAAAGAGTGATACCGCGCTCTCCAATCTCAGTTTGATCACCCGCAGGGAGAATTTCGAGATCGGGTCGCAGAGCACAGGCGTCAATCACATCTCTGTACCACTTGGACTTGTACGGTTTACCAAACAATATGTTATCCTTTAACGTTGCATTCTGAATCCAGGCATATTGTGGGCAGAAGGCTCGCGTTGAGGCCATTCTGACTTTGCCGCCCGTCTTCCTCATATCACCTGCTAATGCAGCAAGCAGCGACGTCTTGCCAGAACCCACAGTGCCAATTACAGCCAGTAGCTCGTTCCGGCCAACGGTAAAGGACATATCGTGCAATTTGAAAGGCTCGACTTCGGTAGTCTCGCTTGCGATATCCTCTTTGGATACAAGAGGTGATGTTTTGCTCTTTTTAGCTGCCTTTGCTGCCTTCTTGTCGGCCTTCTTCTTCTTCTTCTCGGCCATTTTCGTGGCCATAAGTTGACCTCTTGTCTGGAAAGTACCGGGCTTTTCATCGTCTTGAGATGCCGTGCGTTCCCAAGTGAATGAGGCATGTTCGACTTCCACCGCATGCTCAAGATCTTCGTCCCAAGTGATCTGGTCCTTCTGTTCTTCGGAAAGGAGGAACTCCTGGATCCGCTGCAGAGAATTCTGTGCATCGGTGACTTGACCCAAGACAAGCGGAAGCAGATTGAGTGGCATTCGCAATGAATTGAAAAGTGCAAGCGAAGAAAACACTCGTGCGGGAGCCAGACCGTGGTCCGACAGTGAGTATGTGATGAAAGCCAGCATCGAGGCAAAGACTGGCATGGACATAGAAACCGCATTGATGGCGTTTCTGATGGACAATAATATCTGTATAGCTCTGATTTCTCGTTTTCGAAGTTCTTTGAGACGATCGAGGAAGCTTGTCTCCCAACCGAAAAACTTGACGAACCGTACCGAGCCCAAAATCTCTTGTGTGAGCGTGACACGCTGGTCAGTCACTTTGTTGATTTTCTTTCGGCGCATCAGCAACGACTTTATTGCCATGGTCAACAGCGGAAGCGAGATGATCAGCAAAGCATACCCTGCAAGAGCACTGTATCCAAGGTTTATACAGAGCACGACGAGAACGACGATGACTTGAACCGGGGAAGTCCACATGATATGGAACAAACCGGAAGCCTGATCCACGCGATAAGTATCAACACTCATCAGGTTGACGATCTTTGCGTTACTCCAGCCTGTCCCATCCCCAGCGACACCAGTCGATTTATCTGGAGTTACCTTTGGACCGCCTTTCGGGTGCAGCTTCTTTGAGAGTACCCGAGAAAGGAGGGGGCGGTCCCTGACCTTTTCGCTCTGGGTGTCGTCAGTCTCGTTGGAGGGTTCTTCTTCCGTCAGAGCTTTGCCACCAGCCTTTGCGCGGCTGGAGATGACCAAAGATTTCTCAAAAATTGCGTTGATGAGGGCGGCTCTGGCCTGTCCTCCGACCATCATACCGCGATAGATGAAATGATTGGTGGATACCGACTGACATATCTGCATAAAGGTAATACCGAGCACCAGGCCCACGCCTCGTCCGATATGTGGAGCAGGTTGGCCCGTCTTTTGTGCAACCCAAGCGTCCGTAGCAAACTGAATGAGATATCGAGTTGTGTAAGGAGAGAAAACCTGGAACAGAGCCGAGAAGAGAGCGCACAATCCGCCAAGCAAGAACTCGCCTCGGTAGGTGTCAAAGAGCGCCCAGAGCAGTGGACTTCGCTCTCCTCGTGCAGTCCGTCGTTTGAAAGATGCCATAAGGAGATCGATCATAGTAGCAGAGCTTCGGTCGGGATTGACAAGCCAGATGTCGTTCAACTCGACCGTCCGTTTGTACCCGGTGGTCATGAGGGGGTTCATCCATTGAAAAGTCAACAGGCTGAGAAAGCTGGCGGTGTACTCCCGGGACACTGTTCGCTCTTCGGGTACTGGGGGAGGCTTGCCTCGGAGCGGGTTTATTCTGTGGTGCCATGGCCTTTTCTCCTGTTCTCTCGATTTAACAGGAGCAGCAGTACTGGCCTCAGTGGCGGTCGTAGCCACGGAGTCGATCTTCTCCAAAGGTGTGCTGTCCTCGCTCTTGCCACGGCCACCTCTTCTCAAGTCTCGAGGAACCTCCAGGAACTGTGACGGTTCATCCTTCTTCTCCAAGTCTTGTTCCTCCACGTTGTCTTGCGACAGCGCACGACTGAGGTCATCGTCCTCACCTCGGCGCGCCATTGCGACAGGTGACTCTGCTCTTATTGTCGAGAGGGTGTGGGGAGAGAAATTGTATCGTCGGTTGAGGAGGCCATAACACTGATGGGAGAAAAGTACCCCATATGTAGAGGCGAAACACGGTCGGAATGGAACGCAACCGGTAAGGACTAGGCGCATACAAGGACATCTTGTGCACTGTCGTAATAGAAAATACTGGACAAATTGATGTTTACGGCAAAGCGGCACAGCAGAGCGAGGGGACGAGAGTCACCAAACGCCCCCGCTGGTGGAGAAGGGAAGTGCTGGGGCTTGGATTGGCTGGAACAGGCATTGCTTGTCGCCTGGCGAACCGCCATCGAGGCTCCCAACGAGAGTTCATCTGCACCGTCCAGGCGCCACAGAAGCTTGGTGCGCAACACTTGCCCCTAAAAGGTTTAACTGGAGGTGAGCTTAGCAATCGGTCCCAGGCCTTTCGCAGTGCTTTCCTCACCTGGACTCGGCACCCATGGATAATTGTCCAGCACCAGGCACACTAGGCTCAAGAGACTCCAACAGACTAGATGTCCACTCCAGTCTACCGGAGATAAGAAGCTCTAGTTTCCATTACCTAGGTATGTATTGTACAGTACCTACTTGCCGGCTGTTGTTGTCTGTACGGCACGGACAGCTTTCTGCTCTTCTACCCTTCTACTCTTCTTTTCCGCCACATGACGAACAGATTCCGAGGCTCGCGGGCTCTCCCTGTATAGGCATAGGCCCCCGCATAGCTGAGGCGGTCAGTCCATTTATCATTTTGGGAAGTCCGGCTTACCCCAGGCAGATACCCTTTGCCATTTGCGCTTCTGCCGTACCCACGCGGCCATGCCCTTGTCGACCTCCCGAGGTAGGTATTCGTGGACTGAACCCTAGCTTTCGGCGCCGAAACCGAGCTGAAGGCCCGGTCCAACGAGTCCCAAAGGGCTTTCGCTAAAGCTAAACGTCGATTGCATCTGCACAGAATAGGTGCCTGAGGCTGAACTGTGGAATCAAGCGAGTTCTTCAACCAGGTCTTGGCGAGCAAGCTGATATTGTATTGTACTGTTCCATGACTAATCGCGGCCTTGAGGTATATCCTTCCTGGATGCCAAAGCCGAGAAGTCTATGGCTGTGTAAAAGGAAGAGACTCACTTTTGATTATTTCCTCCGCGAAGTAGGACGGCTGGAGCCTTCACAAATTTGTCGATGCGGCAACTTCTTGGATGAGATCGGCACTCCTCCTCAGCTCATTGATTTTCAGGTCAATTGCCTTCCAGCAGTCTGGTCCAAGAATGACCCTGAGTATTTTCTCCTGCTCAATGAGCTCCCCCGCCGCTCCTTGTCCAGTCGCTGCCTCAAACATGACCTTTGCTGCCTTCTCCGGGGAGCCCATGGCCGTTCCAAGGTATTTCCTCACTTGGATCAGTCTCTGATTGACCACTTGTTCCCCTGCGTATGGTTTGGACGGTTCGATGTATTTGGCAGCGTTGGGATTTGCAAAGCCTGTTCTGAATGCGCCAGGCTCGATGATGAGGACTCGAATACCAAAAGCCGCAACCTCTGCTCTGCAAGCTTCGGACATGGCTTCCAACGCGAATTTGCTCGCAGCATATACGCCACACGCGTGACTGGCAACAAAGCCCTGTGTACTTGACACATTCATGATGGTTCCAGATCGCCGCTCTCTCATTCCAGGCAAAACTGCCTGCATGATTCTGACAGGACCCAGAAAGTTTGTCTGCATCTGCAAGACAATATCTGCATCTGGAAGATCTTCGACTGCCCCCAATACACAAAATGCAGCATTGTTGACCATCACATCGATCCGCCCGAAGAATGATTCCGCTTGTCGTACGATATCCTTGATCTCACAAACTGTCTGAGTTGTGTCAAGAGCCAACCATTTACCGCCTTGGCTTGAGACTTCCTCCACGAGTTCGGGTGTTTTGCTTGGGTTGCGCGATGTTGCTATGACCCTGTGTCCTTGAGAGAGGGCATATCGTGTCAGTGCCAGCCCCAGGCCGGAACCGGATCCCGTGATGAGCCAGACAGACTCCCGAGAGTTAGAGGACATGCTGTCAGCTCGACTCTCTTTCTTGCTTGATGACAATCGAAATGCTCTTGTTAGGACAAGGAAGATACTATTATTGCAAGAGCGTTCCAAGAAGTTCAAACCATAGATTGTTGTCTTATAATCCCACAACAGGGTCTCCTTTATTTGCAAATGAGTCTAGTCTCCCTCAGTGGCCCCCCGGATATAGAGAAAACTATGTCCGGATGATCCCTCAGGATACTGTAAATGTCGGGTTGTCTTCAGCAACAGTCATCGATTTTCGATCACTCTCCTAGACGATGCGACCGGCTGACTTGGCCTGTGGAGCGTCAAAAGGACATAACGAGGGTTATCTGCGGAGATATCGTGAATGAGTCCCATGCTCAGTGATCAAGTAGTCTTTTGAATCCCAGCCTTGTCCACAACTCCACAACAGAGTCCGAAGCTTCGTATTGATAGACACAAAGATTCAAGCCCTCTACTGGCACTTCTCTTTGGAGCGAGACAACGCTTTCGGAAACACACCTCTGACCATGGTCAAGTGGACTTACTTGACCCTGAAAATAGTGGCTGTCTGGACATGGGACTCTTCTCAACAAACTACTTCACGGATAGCAGTTATTGAATGTCACATCCAAAAGACTTGGACTTTGTATACAATGTATGTTCTGTTCATACCTACCTATACAAAGCGTCCCCGCGTCCGGAGTTGGACAGCGAAAACTCCCTCTCCCGCGAAAAACAGTCGGGCCTCGGAAGTCGATCGGAAGAAGACCTCTCGGCTTGGCAGCATCTACGATTATTTGCGGCTGACTTGATTGGCCGTGAGGTTGAGTAGAGGTCATTGAACTGTTTGCCGCTTCGTGTCGCTCTCGCTCGTCTTCAGTTCCTGTGTGCTCGCCATCACTTCTCGCTCTCCACTCCCCTTCGCTGAGGTCTCTATTCCCAGTAGTTTGGCAATTCAGTCCGCAATGGCAGCTCTCAGGACAGCTTCGCGCCTGGTCGCGCCCTCTCGGACCGTCTTCAGATCCTCCCTTGCCGCCAGATCCTATGCCACCGTTACCGAGAGCTCCGTCTACGATACCTCTGCGAGCCGGCCCCCTACTCCGGCCTCGCAGACCACAACGGTCGAGGAGCCCGCGCCGAGCAAGGCTGCGAAGATCAAGACCTTCCACATCTACCGATGGAATCCGGACGAGCCAACCTCCAAACCTCGGATGCAATCCTACACCTTAGATCTGAATAAGACGGGACCTATGATGCTGGATGCTTTGATCAGAATCAAGAACGAAGTTGATCCTACCCTTACCTTCCGCCGAAGCTGCCGAGAGGGTATTTGCGGTAGTTGCGCCATGAACATTGATGGAGTTAACACACTGGCCTGCCTCTGTGAGATTCGAAACTCAAGTAGCGGGATGAGCTGCTGAACTGATACCATTCCTAGGCCGAATCCCTACAGACACCGCAAAGGAATCGCGGATCTATCCGCTCCCTCATACCTATGTGGTGAAGGATCTTGTGCCAGATTTGACGCAATTCTACAAGCAATACAAGTCTATCAAGCCCTATCTGCAGAGGGATACCAAATCTCCAGACGTAAGTTTGACCGTTAGAGTCAATGTCGCCGAACTCAGCTAACCCGGTACAGGGCAAGGAGAACAGACAGTCCAGGGAAGAGAGAAAGAAGTTGGATGGTTTGTACGAGTGCATCCTGTGCGCCTGCTGCTCGACCTCATGTCCCTCGTACTGGTGGAACAGCGACCAATATCTCGGACCTGCTATTCTGCTGCAGTCTTACCGATGGCTCGCCGATTCGCGTGATCAAAGAACGGCGGAACGAAAGGAAGCTCTCGACAACAGCATGAGTTTGTACAGATGTCACACCATTTTGAACTGTTCGAGAACATGTCCCAAGGGGTTGAACCCGGCAAAGGCGATTGCAGAGATCAAGAAGATGATGGCCAGTGCATAGGGATGACCATATTATAGGTGGGGAGACTGCATAGGATGACATGGATTGAGAGCGCTTGATTGACATTTTTACTTGCACTGTCTAGTGCCACGAGCGATCTCGCTCTGTATACAATACATATGGTCATGATTCATTCCGCTGCGGTTTTCAGTCTGATAGATCGCGTCCTACACAGAGACCATACCATTGGCTGCTCCAGCAATGCGATAACGTTGTGAAAATGCACTAAGAACGCCTCGGCCCAAAGTTGGTCCGGATGTTGTATCCAATCTGATTAACAATACAAACAATTGCAATCGTAGCCCAGTATCACACCTTCATGCTTGCAAGATATCTACTTATTGACCACATCAGGTAGATATATGATATGGAAGCTCCTGACGAAACATGTGCTGCAGCTTTGTCGTGCTTGCGACAATGGTACGACTCGATCAGCATCCTGCCAGGTCGACGTGCAAACTATGACGAACGCATACCGGTCACTTCGCTTGAGAGACAACGCCAGTCTCTTAACGACCATCCCTTCGAATCCCCTCTGTCGGCCACCCAGGCACTGAACAAGCCCGATGCCACCTCAGTCTTATACCTGGGCTATGGCTCCAACCTTTGCGCAGAGACGTTCCAGGGCAGGAGAAACGTCAAGCCTCTGTCGCAGGTCAATGTGGTGGTCCCTAGCATGTCCTTGTCCTTTGACTTGCCTGGGGTACCCTACTCTGAACCATGCTTTGGGAACCTCCGTCTCCGAGATGCCTCTGCAGCTGAAATAGCACGTCAGGATTGGAGAAATCAAGATTACCACAAGGACCAGTGGAAGAAAGGTCTCGTTGGAGTCGTTTACGAGGTGACAAAGGAGGATTTCGTGAACATCATTGCGACAGAGGGCGGTGGCTCAGGCTATAAGGATGTGTTGGTTGACTGCTTCGCATTAAGTGGTGATCCCACAGAGGATGTGCCTTGGAAGCCACAAGGCCAGCCTTTCAAAGCACATACTCTCTTTGCTCCAGCAGATGTAGCCAGGCCAGATCATTCCTACGCCCAGCCCAGCTCCAGGTACCTCAAGCTCATCACCGACGGCGCTTCTGAACATGCTTTGCCCCTGGAATACCAGGCTTTTCTCCATCGGATCCGAACTTATCATCTGACCACCACAAAACAGCAGCTGGGTTCGTACATCTTCCTCGCCATCTGGTCTCCGTTCTTCCTCTTCATGTTCAGTGGTGCTGCGGTATTTCTCCGGCCAGATGGCACATATCCAAAATGGCTAGCGACATTTTTTAGAGTTATGTTCACTGCCGTATGGGCGAGCTACGATAACTTTTTCAAGCCGATCTTTGGAGACGGCGAACGAACGATAGGAGACAATGAGGAGGATGGTGACGACGCATTGGATGAAATGAGATATGAAAAGGTACCGTTGATTGAGCCTGTAAATCAACCGAAGTATGGGTCGGTGGATGTAGCTGAGCGGTTAGTTTGATCGTGGAGGGCAAGAACCAAGACCCGCAAGATGTTTCCCTGCACCTCCTCCAACTTGCTGTCGATTTACACCATATCTTTCGCATCACCATCCCATGTCAAGTGTGCAGTCTGCATGCCACTGACTGCCCGATGATTTCCGTTGTGTGATGCGATCCTCTCTTCCTCTACGTCAAGCCTCCACTTGCAAACCAGCGGCACCTCACCATCCTGTTTGGCCCTGTCTAAAGTCCTTCAGAGACGAACGGGAGAGAGATGTCGTCCCTGGGGGAGAGTGAGGATCACCAATCCTCGTCCAGCGTCTTTGCCATGCTCGTACAATTTCTCGAACGGAGCTTTCGGCAAGACGGGGTGGTGAAGTGAGTGCAGCCTTTGCATGGTACAACGACGGTTGTTGATATCTCTCACAGCATTCCAAGTGAGGTCGTCTCGCCTTTCCAAAAGACGTCCCTCACAGATTCAAACTTCTCTCTCCGGGACCTAAACAAGGTACTCGAACATGGTCGTCCAAAGAACATTCTTCGTCTTGCGCCTGCCTCCCTTTGCACCGTCGTTTCAATCGTTCTGCAGGTCCCTTATTCTCTTGTGCAACTGAAGCTCCTTCATCTTATCATGGTATGGGGATATCCACCATCTCCACAACCGCAGCACAATGTTAATGCCACCTGCAGGGCGTTGTTCGGCAACACAGGAATGAGGATGCCTTTGCTGCAGCCTTGACACGAGCACATGGAGTGTCTGTTACGCCGGTGGCTGTTAAAACACAGAAGGATATCATCTGCAAGAATATAGCGAGCTGTGTCCTTCGTCACCTCACAAGTGCCGACAAAAATCAGCGTCTACGTTTTACGGTAGGCACATTTTCGTCACAAGAATAGAAACCCACTGAAGATTGCTCCAGATGGCCCAATTACTTGCAGTTGTGCTCTGCACGAGTCCCATGGCGAGGGAGAGCGTAGCTTCAGCTCCTGAATGGTAATCGGCCCTCAAGAACAAAGTTGTCCTGTTCTAACACAACTAGGCGTGCATTGGCCTCTCTGATCGCAACGGAAGAGGACTGCTTGCTTCGTGTCTTGACCGCTAACGCTGTACGACAAATGCTATGTAACAACGTGGAAAGCGCAGTGTTCAAGAAATCTTTGAGATCAGGAGGAAATCTTGACGCATTGCCCATATCCGAAAGCGCAGACTCGGACTGGCTGTACCGTATTATGGATTATGTGAACAGTACGTTTTCTGGACAGTATGGGACCATGATTCCGGCTTCAATATTATTAGGCTGATTAATGCAGAAAGGAACGTCTTTACAGAGTCATGCGCTTTGAATGCCCGCAAGATTCACCTCAGGCCGCGGCAGACTGTCCTGTCCTTATTGCCGGTGTCTCGAGCGACATGACGCTCCTTATGCCTGAGGCTCCTGAGGCTCCTACGGTGATTTCAGTACCGTTAATGGAGTGTACTTCCGTGAACAGGGTTTTCTCAGAACCGGACTCTTATGCCGTCGAAATCAAGTTCCCTGACAACGTTGGCTACAGGATCAAGAACGGGATCAAGAATGCTGTGGACAGCATCACAATTGTACTCCAAGATGACGAATCTGCAGACTCGCTACTGCGAAAGATCCAGGAACGACAGAAACTTGGTCGTCCATCTATACATGAGGCGGTATCTACTTGTGAAAAGAATGGATATCGGGCATCTATTTCGGCGACATTCGTGGACTTGCATATGGACTCTTCTGAGGCGTTTGCAGAAGAGCCCGAAAAGCTTGAAGCATTTCGTACTGAGGCACAGCCATCGGAATTCGAAGTCTCCTCTCCTCTTCAAGATTTATCGCAGCGAAGTCTCCAAAAGAAAGCGAAGCCACCGCCAAGCCTGGAAAAGGTGGAGGTAAATGCTTCAGTGAATACAGACGCGAAGAACAGTGGCAGTAATGCAGCTTGCGAGCAAAACGCAGGTTCGCACTTTGTCCGCGACCCTTCTGTGCACGATCAAGGATCGAGAATGCTTGATGGGGAGTCAAGAATCGACGTGAAGAAGCTTGAAGGACTATTGCAAAGAACGAAGGGTTCTTTCAGCGATAAGAAAGGAATGTCTCAGCAGGTAGAAACCTCCGAATTGTCTGATCCCGGACGAGCGCCGTCGAATGGATCTTCGCCGATTCTGAACACAGCAGAAACTAATGAACAGGCCAACGTCAAGAAAACACGTACCATATCTTCTGTGGCGCCCGGAGCAAGCGATGAACCACCCGTGGCGTCTCGCACGTTGAAGCCAGCAACACGAGATCAGCACGATAAAGTTTCATACAAGTCTGCACACACACCAGTTCCGATGGCCTTTCGGGATGGAGTCAAAACTCGAGGATCTCCTCCCCCAGCTCCAGCAAAGCCTGTACTCAAAAAGAAACCATTAAAACAGTCTACTACGGGTTGCAGATTGCCTCGGATTCAAGCTCCTCCGGAAGCTATTCCCAACGAGTTCGATCTCCCCTCTGCCGATCAGGAGTTGGAACGGCCAAAGAAAAAGGTCAAAATCAAGAGCTCGAAACAGTCCAGTAAAAGCTCAGGGACTACAGGTAGCACGGGACGGAAAGGAACTCCCAAAGTAGCTGCCCTTCAAAAGCCGGGGGGTGAGAGGAGCAGAGGACGGAACAAGGTAGCTAAGGCACCTGATAAGGAAGAACCTAAGACTGTGGCTTCCACACGAGCCAGGCGCGCGGTAAAGATGCGTGCATATGTCGAATTTGATAACAGCCGGAGTGAAGATGCTCAGGAGGACTCTCATGACGCCCAGACAGAGGCAATGAAGGGACGCACTGAGGACAACACAGAATATGCCGAAGACTCGTACCCGGTAAGCAAGGAACAAGGAGCCGCGGCCCTGCAAGGTTCTGTGCTCAATTTTGATTCCAATCTGAAGAAGATGGTTTCTTCACCAGGACGGAAAGATCATGTCAGTCTCCCAAGGCAGAGTATCGACACAAGTGAACCTAGCCTGCAGCCGGCTCCTATGCGAACAATACAACTCATCAGCGAGAGCGCTATCCCGCCAGTAAACGAGAACAAGCTGCGTAGAACTTCCATCGTTCAATTCGGCCCCCACGGACCCAACAATCAAGCCACCCCAATCACACCGGGAGCAAGAGGAACAAGTAATGCTGCCGAGCGCCACGATCAGATCACACCTGGAGAGTCCGGAAGACGTGCAGTTACCGGCAAAGGGAAAACAGATGAAGACCCGAAAGGTGATACGAGCAAATCGAAGGCGAGTGGGAATACTGCGAGCTGGATTACTGAAGTTGAAAACACAACAATGGACTATGAACAGCGCGTCGACGCTGCAATGGACAAGCATAAAAGGCTTGAAGCGCGCAAACGTGAGCAAAGCGCTATCGAAGATGATGGCACGGAAGCCCAAAATCCTCCTAATAAGAGCACTCATAGCACTTTTCTTGTTGACGAAGATGTTCTCGACGTCGGCGACATCCAGGACCAGATCATCACTGACAATGCTGTCTTGGAGTCTCGTGTCAACGAAAGCGAGGCCCGGAAAGCTGCTGCTGGTCTTCCTCAACCTTACGAAGTGAAATCTTCCTCTGAATGCATCCTGGTCGATACAAGTCCTCACAGCCTTGCAAAAGTCAAACCTACCAGCAAAACCAAGAGAAAACAGATCAATGTGACGACAGATTCTCGTGACTTTTCTCTTCCTACACCTGCAGACGCTAACAGGATACATGAGGAGGGTCTCGATCTCGACTCGTGCGCAGATAAAGATGCTTCGCCTTCAGCGTCATCATCCGAAGATATGCCCAGGCATGACTTTCCTGAGTATGTTGCCTCAGATCCTTCTGATAGCGGCAAAGCCATTTCTCCTGCCACTCATGACGCCGTATGCCAGACTACGCGGAACACTCCAGATTCTTTGCTTCTTGATGTTCGAGCCGGGCCGCGACAAGCTGCCCGTCCTCAACAATATGACCGACTTTCCATTGGAACCTCAGCTATCATTGACGAAAAACACCCTCACGCGGAGGAAACCATAAACGTGGATGATATGGGTTCGGCTTTGCCGTTGTGGCCAGAGGTAGAGGACGCTCGTGCTGATGGAGACTCTGTACCACGAGGGGCACCACCCAACAGAACTGATGCATCTGTACGACTTGATCGCTGGAGAGGCAGAACTGCACAGCGGACCGGTGAGTTTTCAAGAGGCGCACAGCCGTCACGGGAAGACCTGGCGAGGGAAAGTGGTAGTTCGAGAAAGCCTCCTCCCCCAAGCATGGCTCCGCCACCACCCGGCGATACGAAGATTAAGGCTCATGTCAAGATCCGTCGCGCACCTGCCTCAGATTTGGCAGTTGCGCCTTCCTCTCAACATCAACCGTCTCGAGCCAGCACGTCCATTCTAGACGTAGCAAAAGAAACCACAGAACCAATGGCAAATGTACCAGTCCGCGTCAAGAAGACGTTGCCTTCGACAAAAGAAACTCAAGAAGCCACCATAGCTGATCCAAATGTTCCTCCTGGTACACCCATGTCTTTTTGCACCCGCTTAGACATGCATGCATCAGCCCTAGACGTGGGCTTCGATGAGCCAGAGTTGGCAAAGGAAGCTCGACATTCGGCACGTCAATCAGGTGACGGAAGCATCACGCTGGTCAATGATGATCATGCTTTCTTGGATCGCTCTCCAGGACCATCTCCAGGACCATATCGTTCTCTGATCCTACGACGGTCGGCCTCAACAGAAGCCATGTCTCCATCTGCGAAGCCTAGGAGGAGCCCAAAACACATGAGACCTTGGCCTGGAACTCTGGATGTCAGGGGCAGTCAACGTGGATTATTCGACAGTATCATGAAGATCACTTCTGTAAGACATTTGGACCTTGGAATCTTGTCTCGAGAAATAGCTGACCTGGCGATAGGATGTGCTGTTGCGTTTAGGACAAGAGGAAGATGCTGTCAAGTCCAAGGTTCAGGAATTTTTCCGGGGAGGCGACGCGATCATCCAGACACTGACTGATAGCTGGAATGACCGTCTGGGTCACGAACATCTGAACGTTTTGACTAGCCTGAAGGAAGAGAGGGATGTGTTGAGAAAAGCTGCCAAGCTAATGAATGAACAAGACGAAAGTTCGTGGAAGGGAGTGATCTGCAATGTGGTCCGGCAAGATGGAAAGGAGAGCTTGACGGCAAGAATCGAAGCATTCAAGAACGGACATTAGCGTGGGGTTTGAGGGGGGGAGAAACAGTGCAAAGCAGGATGAGATGATACTGTTGACTGTGATTTGAAATAGGGGGAGCCTGGAGTATGGGATAGACTTTGTTAGAATTCAGTTCTTCATTTGTATGTATGTTAGCAATGGTAGGCAAGGAAGGTTGTCGTATTAGGTAAGGGAACGAACATAAGCATAGTGACTGTCTAGCTTGTATGTGAGGGTTTACTGCACATCAAACCATGGGACTGACATGACGGTGTTCAAAGTACATTTTTAGATCGATGTTTTTTACTTTGCCGAGCTACGGAAGATTTGTGTATTTTTATGTACCTCTCTCTCTCTGTCTCCCTGTTTGTGTGTGAGAGTGCGTGAGTGTGTGTGTGCGGCTCTCCTGCTCTCCAGGTGAAAGTCACATTTAGAAACTCTTCCCCGTGGCCGCCTGTGCCATCAAGTCCAGAGGCAAGTGGACGGGTTCGACGGTCACGTTCCCCCGCGCGTCGACGAGCAGGGCGTGGTTCTTCTCGATCAGCGTCCACTCGCCCGGCTTGTAGGTGGTGGGCTCGCTCGCGACGATGACGTGCCTCCCGTGCTCGGCGGGCGCCTTCTTGGTCGCGTCGGTGTCGGTGTCGGTGTCGGTGTCGGTGTCGGTGTTGTTTTGCTCGTGTGCGCCCGCGGCCGAACCCGGGTACTTCCTGTTGAGCGTGACGCCGGCCGTGGTCGAGTAGTACAGGCTGGGCGGCTGCTCGGTGGGGTGGTTGCGCAGGCGCACGGCGACGAGTTGCTCGCCGTCGGTGCAGCACACGTTGAGCGAGCAGGCCTTGACGTTCTCGGCGCCCAGCGTCTCCTGTTGAAGTGCGATGACGGATTTGAACGCGTCGACCAGGGCGCTGAGCATCTCGGAAGGCGGGTACGTCTGGGACCATGCCGTCGCCAAATCTGAACTTGGACTTGATTTTGATTTTGATTTTGATTTTGACGAGGATGTGCTCGTCGGGGTCGCCGCGGCGGCGGCGGCGGCGGCGGTGGTGGCGGATCTAGGTCTGGTCAAATTCGTCATGTAGAGCGCGGCAAGGTGCTCCGAGTCCGTGGTGCCCCGGACGTTCTCGTACTCTGCCTTCGCGATCAGGGGGAGCATGGCGCGACGCACGTCTGCAAAGTCGGAGATGAGGCCGTTGTGCATGACCGTGTGCCGGCCGAAGGTGAACGGGTGGTTGTTGATGGTGGCCACCGACGACGCGCCCGTCGCGGCGCGGATGTGCGCGAACAGCGCCGTCGTCGCCGTGTTGGCGCAGATGCTGTGGAAGTTGGCGTCGTTGGTCGGCGGCTGCGAGTTCTTGTACACGGCCGGTCGTGGGTGAGCTGTGATTCCTGTGGTTCCCGTGGTGGTGGTGGTTGGTTTTTCAAAGTCGGACCGCGCACAAGTGTACCATGCCATGCCGAACCCGTCGACGTTGAAGAGCCGGTTGCGCAGCGTGATCTCTTGGCCCGTCGTCTCCTCGCCCGGCGTGTGCGAGAAGAGTTTGGGCAGGTAGTGCTCGTGCACTTGCTTTGCCAGGCCGTGCGGCGGAGTGATCAGGACGTCTTCCAGGAGACATTCCTCGGACGGAGAGATGTATGCGAACCATCGACACATTGTGGAGATGTGATGTGACAGATGCTAGCTTCGTACGGAACACTCAACGAGAGATATGTCAACGAGATACCTACCTACCTAGGAAAGATAGGACGGGTTAGGTGTGGGAGTGTTGCGCTGTCTGGTGTAGTTGTATTCTGTACTGCACCGTGGTGTACAGGGGCGCGTGTGTGGCTGAGCAGTCAATCAGTGTGACGAGACAATCACCGTCTTGCAAAAACCCTGATATGAAAAGGAAGAAAATAAAGATAGATGGAGATGGTCGAGACCAAGTTCGATGTTTGTAGCTTGGAACCGCAACCCCGAACCTTGTGTTTTCGTTTCAGCAGCGTGGACAGCAGACGACGGCAGGGAAGAGGAGGAAAGTCGTCGTTGGCAGGCACAAAATATAGTTGGTCGATGATGTGAATTATGCAAGGTACACGAGTATGGACAAGTAGAAATTTGATGACTAGCGATCTCGATTAGCCACGTCAGCAGATGTGATCATCCAGTTGCATGAAGCTTGAAGCGGGTAAAGGTATGCAGGAGGTAAAAGCATTGACCGAGGATGAGTCGAGAGGAGCGCTCAGGCTCGACGTCATCTGTTTACCTAAAACCCTCCAAGCTCGGGCCAAGCTTTTAACTAACTTTATCCCTAACCTTATCCTTATGAGACCTAAAACAAAAATGAGACGATTGGACTCTGAATGTTCAACAAGCAAGAGCTGACTTCATACCAGGACAACCTCTTGAAAATAGAGGTCTCCATTTTCGGCCATTCCTGAGGCCTCACCATGCATGATCCCGTGGATATACGATTCTCCAATCAGCATGTACCGATTCGAGACCGACGAGGATTGTCCTTCAGTCTTCACCTCGTTGCTGTCGACATGTACCACTCTCCTTAAGACAAATGGCACATTAGCACCCTCAAAAACGCAACACACATCACCCGCCTCGACCGCCATATGACAAATCCCGTAATATCCTTTCGAGGTCAAGTAAAATCGCCTGTTATGAAGAGCTCGTCGCTGATTGGTAATGTACGTGACGACATCTCTGTTCATCTCGTTGCTGGTTTCTGAATCTACTGTATCCTGAGCATCTCCCGACAAGATCGCTTCCTTATAACGTTGATAGATGGATTGGTGAAGAGCCAAGTCTAACTCGGCGTCGTCATCGTCTGTGTTACGGCCTGCGACGACAGTGAGGCTGTAAGCAAGTTCGCGCTCTTCGCTGGTTTTACCGTATGGCGAAGTCCTGTCCTCGTGTCTCAATTTCTCGAGCTCTCCCCATATCAGCTGAAAAGGCCTGTTCTTGATTTGTCCCGGAGGTAACAGGTCTTCGCTCTGAAGGATGTCCGAGCACCAAACAATGTCATCGAGAAGCAATCCCGACAGCTCCAGAATTCCCAGAGATGGTGAAGCTGTTGCTTTGAATTCCTTCGATGAATCACCACCTGCTCTGTAGTACATGGTGGGATATCCGAACCAGTATACGCGCCAATTTTCATCCCAGCGAGGGATCCAAGAAGGCCGTTCACCCTTGAGTGACGGTGAATCAATGATGTGATCGACACATGAGAGCAGAGTCCAGGGGCAAGGATCGTTGAGCAAGATGTGTCTTGCAGCGTCGTGGTATACTTCGTCCACTGATTTATTGTAGTCGGCTGACAGTGCCCCCTTTTGATCGTGACCGCTGACGCTAGGATGAGCGAGAAATGCATAGACACGGTCTCGTGGATTGGTAGCCTTGTATTGCCGCCCGTCATTCAGAATGTCAATGAATCTTCGCAATGTAGCTGATTGATTCATGGATCTGGTCAAGGGAAGCTCATTCCTCCATGAGACGGGATTCTCGTATGTCCGCCATATGTCGTCGAACACGTCCCAGAACAAGCCATGCCTCACATTGCCAACAAGTCTTCCAATGTCAGCACGCAAAGCCATCATCAACATCAACTCTACAAGATAACTCCAGTTCATAGAAGCCTCGCCATAAATCAATAACGCAGATCCGGCAAGCCCCACCTCCTGAAGTACCCAAACACGCTCAAACCACTCCAAATAGACGAGACGGTGGACCGCGGCCCATATTTCCGGCCTTGGGTCGATGATTCCCGAGTTCTGAGTGACAGTAGGGATTTTCTCAATGCCACCATGTTTGGATGCAATGTCTGCAAGGATTTTCACTGTGTCCTGCACAACGGCGAAACATTCGCCTGCTTCATTTCTTGTATCCTCTCCTACCCAGATCAGCACTCTTTTGGCGCTTTCGTACAAGTTGCCCATCTGACGGACTTGATGAGATTTCTCATCTTTGTCACGTTGGTTGATACACGCAGCATCGACCCAGAGCAATCTCGGCTCCGTGCTATCGCGCAGACGGTGTAGAGCAGCTGCAAGGTTGGGTCCGATCGATAGCTGGCGCCCCTCGCATTCGATGTTTATGCCATCATGTTGCAGCCCCCACACATACGAAAGGGCCTCGAATGTTGATGCCACCTGTTCGAGTTTGCACTTTTCCAGACGGCATGATAGCGGGCCAGTGCCCGGATGTAAAACGAGAAGACGAATCCAGCCTTGTTCTGGCAATGGGTCATATACGTAGGTCAAGGCGGGGATGGAATTCGTAGTATGAGGCGAGGACGGCGATTCAAGTTCAGTAGTAGATACCGTGGGGAGATGTTTGACATTAGGCAACGACACACGGTCCTCGCCGGGAGCTGCATGATATTCCATGATCAAGTGTCTGTGAGCGAAAGGGACATGATAGTAGCATCACAAAGGGTTGCGAAGAGAAGGGATGATAAGAGGAAGAGCGAGGTCGCAGCTGCTGGACAGCCTCATACTTACACAGGCTGTAGGACCTCGCTTGTGCAAGGGGGAAAGGAGAGTCTCGCGACCGACCGAGATAACCAGGTTGAAGAGGCAGCGGAAGTGACTGATCCCTGGTCGGCATCATGCATATCAAGGGTTTGGGCGACAGCGAGACCAATGGAATCATCATAACAACGCCCGTTACTTGGCGTCCGGTCCAGGGGGTCGAAGCAATCTTAAGCTTTGTTCGCGTACCGTGCTTGGGCTGTGTCTTTTTCGTCGACGTTCGCCGGCTTTGCCAAAGCTCGGCGCGTAAGAGACTAGACTGTTCTGAAGATGATCAGAAATCGATTTCCGACTGGATATAGTATGGGACTTGAAATGGTCATCCTGAATCTCTTGTACCACACTCTCTACCTCTCAACTCAACCTTTCATTCTCCTGTGCAGTCCGACTCGCTTGCTACGTCTTTGCGGAGTCTCATATGTGTAATCTTACCGTAGCAGTCTGGCTTGATGGCGATTCTTCAAACCTACCGTTCAACATCCTCTACTATCCTCGCCGTACCCGAGCCATGTCGGCTCGGGCCCGTTTCACCACTTCTTCGAGCGAAGGAGACGAAGAAATTGATGTCCAGACCGTGGCATTACACCAACCGTGGCTAATGGTAGTTTGAATACATGGAGTACGAAAATGCTAGGAGAAAGATTGAAGCTGTTAAGCGGACTTAGGTGGATGGACCTAAGTACGCGGACGAGAACGACAGCACCTCTTTCCGCAAACGGCCAATCCTACTATTGCGCACAGCGTGACGACTCCACCAGCCACGAAAATCGAGACTTTGTACCCTATCTTTATAGCATCCCAGGCAGATCCCTGAGCCACCGTTTCAACGGGATCCTGCCACCAAGGAGGGTTATACGACTACGTGTATGTGGCTGGCTGTGGAGTAGAGTATTGGATACTACTCATGGAGTAGTAAGAGGTGAATAGGGTCGTCGGGTCATCATAGTAATCGGAGTACGAGTCTGGGTTGGAGTTGTTAGCGAGATGGACGAGATGGTCGGGGGAGAGAGCTAAAGCGTACACAGGCTGGTATCCTCAGGAAATGGCGAGGCCGTAGATTCGTCACCGTATCCATCATCTGCGTCAGAGATTGATGTTAACCATGACCTGATGAGAGAGAGAAGGGAGAGATGAACATGTGCTACTGTCAATGCCGGTAGAAAGCCAGGGCGGCCGCTGGCGGACGTGAAGCTGTGGTGTCTCTGTGGAAGTAGGGGTAGAAACTAACCGCCCAGCAGTGACACAAGCGCCATTGACTCCCTCGAGAAGGCTAATAAGCCATATCATCATCACCACCATGACCATCACGAGCGCCATATCTGGCCTGTAAGCCCGAGTATTGTTTCAGAAAGGAAGCAAGAAGTACACCGAATGATCAGGATGGGAAAGTTGCTCATCTCTTTGGGAGATAAATTCCCAGAAGGCCGGTGCAGTATTATCAGGTTGACGGAGAAGCAGGCAGCAGGCGAACTCTCCTACCTAGACATCGCCTTGCTACGTGTGAGGATGTCACCAGTCCTTCGTTCTCGAGAGCAATTGGTGGTGGTTTGGCGGGATCGATCCTGTTGGCGCGGGTTGGTAACCGGAGCAGGATAAGCACAGTCTTGGCCATGGGCGCCATTGGGCTTGTCCAGCTCTCAGCTGTACTCGTGTTCGCTGAGGGTTTTAGCATTTCATTTCGAGTACGAGGCTCGGCGGGGAGATGAGAGTTGTGAGCAGCAGCCTTATGCCGTTCGAGTCTGACATGATGGGCAATGCTTAGCAGCTTGGAGGAGACTTGACCAGATTTCGTCCAACCGGGCGGCCATTGATTTCGTGTCGGTGTCGATCGTGGATGGACTGCGAACTGCGTCCTCTCCTACCCTTGCAGATAGGGGGATCATTTGATATCGGCGCCGATACATATGCCTTGAGTTGCAGACGCAGTGTCAATTTTGGTTGCAGTGAAACAATTCCGTCCGCACCAGTGAGTCGTCGTTGGATTTAGAGCGCCGTTGGTTGGAAGTATTCTGCTCTGGAAGGTAGCTGTCTTTGACCGTAGAGGAGAAACAGCTCCCAAACCGAACTATTCAAGGACAGAACGGTGGACGAGGCACGGGCCGTCGCTCGATCGGCTCACGCGAGCGGGGGGTATCAATATTGATTGTATCAATAAGTAGGGCGGTCCGGAGGAGGAGTAGGGGGTAATAAGTTAATAACTGCCTAAGTTACTCCGTAGTTACCTTAGATTAGACATTCAGGCTCTTGGCGAGGTCCGGCCAATTATTGTGTTCCTAGACTGGCCGTGTAAGACTCATCACTTCGTCGCTGTACCTGTTTCCGATTCCTTGGTAGTTAATCTCGCCACTGTGCTGAACTTCGACGGCTGAGCCGAAGAGGACTAAGCAGTGAACCTCGATGACGGTACACTTCGATGTGAGTACACTTGTTCCCTTCCTACTGCACAGGCCTTTTCAATTGCGGCTTCACCTCTACATACACTCAAAATTATTTGAGCCCTCATCCTTCTAACACACACCTTATCCAGAACCAGGCTATAGAAAGTCAAGCGTTGCATCTGTCAAAGGCCAATGGCCACGAACCATATTCTGGTCACATGTGAGACATGAATTGTCGTGGGGGCCCAATGTTCAAGTCCAGGATTGCAAGCCTTGTGTCGAGCCGTACCAAGCTTCGCGTTTCCTTGCCACAGCCACCGTTCAAGGGTATCACTAACATGCGGCCAATCACCCAGCCCAGAAACTGGAAGATGCCTACCGCTGGCCTTGGACTCGACGATAGGTCCAATTCCAGCTGGGCGCATGATGTTCTCGTATTTCGCAGCCCCCATTCTCGGCTTGAGGGGTCCAGAACTCGTGTTTTGGCAAAGCTTTTAGGCAGAAAAGCCTTTTGACTCGTTGCTTGATTATACCATGGCCTCGACAGAGGCTGGACGACCAGTTCAGCTCCGATGAACATGTTCATGTAACTCAGGTTAGCATGCAGACTTGTCTGCCTACAACACGAGAGATAAATCCTTCAGGCCTTCCATGATGCATCCTAATTCGGAAACGTCCCGTTGCAAGGCCCAAGGTCCTTCTGTTATATCTCCCATCTCAGAAGCCTGAAACTGCTTTCCTCCTTCAGTCGAGCGACCCTGGACCCCCTTATATGGATGGATTGACGCGGAAATCTTTCCCCCATATTTCTGTGAGCAGGCGGTTCTCGAAAGGTACTGACTCTGATAGAACACTTCTACACCCACGCTATGGATTCGGAGCCGACGTCCAAGATGGCGGCCGTTGACCCATCTGAGCTGGGGCAGATGAACCAGCTGCATGTCGCGAATACCACTTCGACGACAAGACCTGAGGTCGCAGCCGGTAAGTCCAGCCACCGCAGCAGATACGCGCCGCTTCTCTCTCGATGGATGTTCGATCTTTTCTGTGCCTTGTGGATCGTGCCCATTGTATTTCTTCTTGTCCAGAACTACCGAAATTGGATTGTCGGCGCCGGTGTGGGCTGCCGCCTCTCCTGGTTCAAACACAAATGCTATATCGATCTATTGTCCATCGACGGATCGAATCCGGAATCGAAAGCAGCAAAGCTGGACCAGGTCGACCATGAAATCCTGGGGGCCCTGCAATTCGTGGCCAAAGCCCTTGAAGTCTGGTTCGGAATTGTCGCCACCAGTCTCATCTACGACTTGACAATGCTCCTGGGAAAGCATGACCATGGACTCCCGATTGCATATCTGCTGACGCACGTGGAATTCGGTGACATTTGCATGGTCGTCGACCACAACTTCTGGAAGTCGTCTTGTCTGTTGAGCCGCCAGGGAAGACGAGGGGTGTACTTGTTTGCAATCTCTGTTGCTCTCCTCTGCATTATCTGCAATCTCATGGGACCCGCCACCGCTGTTCTGGTCCTTCCCACCCTCGGATGGGCTGAGACCGTTGTCCCCAACCCGCAAAGGCTTGGGCAAGTGGCAAACTTGGAATCTCCCAAAAATCCAGCAATCGCTCCCGGCTGCGATGCTTCCGCCCTCGCCGCCGGCAATTTCACCTGTATGAGTTACTTCCTCCCCATCCTAGATGAGATGTCCCTGCACCAACAGTTTGGCCTCCAAGAACTCTATGACCAAGGTTATCTGATGGATTTCGGCGTGTTCAGAGAATCCGGCTTGTCATATACTTTCAACATGACGGCTCAAGCCAATCTGTTCCCTATTTGGTCGCCAAATCGTCAAGTCCTACGGGAAATGTCCAATGACTACGTTGAATTCCAGGCCACTCAAGGGGCCAACAGGACATTCGAGAAGTCAAAGTCTATAGCGGCAAAGTTCAACCGCACGCTGGATCGTACCCTCTACGGCGCCTACAGAAATGTGCTCGACGTCACTTTGGTGCGTCGGGGCCCTAGCCTCGGGATGACAGAAAGTTGCGCCAGGGGCAACGTGACCGAGATCATCGTCTCCGAGGCGAAATCAGTGCGCTGCTTCTATCGCAACTGGTCTCTTGATGGAGTCGACAACGGCTACGAGTGCATTCGTGTTGGCACCGGTTGGAGTGACCCAAACCTGGCGAATTCACAGTTCTCGATCGGAAACAAAGACAACGCGGCAACGGGTAACGTCACCGTTGACGTCTACATGGAAGCCGAGAGTATTTGGCTCAGAGAAAACATTCTGAAATGCGTCTCAAACAGCCCAGACGCTGCTACATCCTGTGACTGGGACAAGATGTTTTCCGGCACATCTCCCGACGTGGAAATCTACCTACAGAGTCAACAATGGATGACATACACCTTGCCACTTCCCGAAGGGGGAACCGCCGTCGCAGTATGCCACAGCTACACGTTCCTTGACACAATGCCGTACAACATCGACATATCCCCCACCACAAACGCTCTGGGCCTTGTCAATCTCCTCGCCCCCAGCGTAGTGGGTGATCCCATCCCTCTGCATCCAGATTGGCTGCTTGCAGCCTGGGCGGTCACTAGATCCGGGGTAGCGGATGGGGATCGAGCGGCCGCAACGAACCTGGTCACCACGTTGAAATGGGCTGCCAACAGTGAGCCCCCGGAGACGCTCGACGACGAAGATTTCCCCATTTACGTGCTCAACAGTTTACACCTGACCACGATCTTGCACGCCCTGACCCTGGTCGACTTTTCAACCTTGAACGCCACCGGCTCGACAGCAGCAGCCGACGACAGAGCGGCGCTGATCGTGTCTCGAAGGCTCCGCGTATGGGCGTACGGACATTCGTCGCACACCTTCCGCGTCGGGCTGGTGGTTGTGGTCTGCGGTGTGCTGTGCGTCTTCCTCCGCCTCGGCTTCGGATGCTTCGTCGCGTCGAGGCACCGGTGTACTCTGAATTTCCTCACGGCAGCGTTGAGATACGCACCAAGCGGGGGTGAGTTTAACGGTGCCGGCAAGAAGTCTGATATAACCCAGGTGTCCGTGAGGGTGGTGGATAAAGGCGGAGGGGTCGTAGATATTGTACGGCCTCATGGGAATGTAAGATATCGGCCTCTACGAGGGTTGGTGTAATTGATCCCCCGGCGCCAAAAAGGAGAATACGGACGTCTGCGGAGAGTCCAACCCTCCATCGAGACAGTGAGCGGATCTGAGCCTACGCACGAATGTGGGAAAACCTCATTCTTAAATTCCAGTTTGGGGCTCTCATTCAAACCGTGTGATTGACGGAACGTCGTAGCCGACATGTTTGCGCAGCTAATATACCTCCGCTTCCATCCTTTCTCAGAGCGCTGGTGGAATGTATCCCTGGCATCATCATAACAATAATCTTGACCAAGTGGAGGAGAGTTTTGAGTAGAACCCACTCAATGTTGTCCCTCAAGAAAGCGGAATCCGTGGAACAAATCGTAAAGCAGGCGTCCGCCCATCTCACATATCCCCTTTGTGGGCCCTCCGACTGACTTCCATGATGCACTATACCCATTCAGTCACAATTTCCTGATCTGGCAGGACTGTTTCTCCACCACGAACGGACTGTGGCCCAAGATCTCAAGCGTTCCCAGCCGGGGCGACGTGGAGACGGGACAACATTCGACCTTGAGTGTCGAACCCTACGACCGAAGTCGACAAAACCACTTAGGCGTCATCTTCGAATCCGACACGATTGGGGACACGGTCTGGCCAGTATGGAGAAGTTGCGCGTCAAGAAAACTTGCTCATTTCACGACCACACACCGCCCATGCGTGTGTTAGCGACCCGAGTGTCGGACGATGCTCAGAGAGTCTCCCAGCACTGGGAGATTGGCCATTTACCACACCGTTGCTGTCGGCAATGAGAAAGGAGTCGGGATCCTCAATGCATATAAAGAGACATCAGGACACTCTGCGTTTAACATCCTCGACACCAACCAACCTCAAGACACGCAAAAGAAAAACAAGAACCTCTACACCAGGAGACGAATCACTCTGATCAGGAATCACCTCCTTCATCATGTCCACGTCTTTCGATCTCTCGAAACCCAATCGGCCAATCCACGTCGGCGTCATCCTCGTAGACTCGTTGAGTTCCAACCCCTTCCTTCAACAAGCGTTCCGGTCAATATCAGGAGAGTGCTGACCCGTTCACCCTCCCACAGGATCACAGAGCTCCTCGATATCGCCGTCGTCGACCTCCTCTCCGGGTTGGACAAGTCCATCGCCGCCACGTTCCCGGACGCGCTCATGCCTCCACACGTCAAGGCGCATGCGCTGGATGTTGAAACGCACTGGGTGAATCAGTCGGGCAAGACGGCCAGGTTGTCTGGGAACATTTCTCTACAGCCCACGGTACGTCAAGTTACCTGCTCTTTTTTTTTCTTCTTTTCTTTAGTTCTTGCCTTGCCTTGCCCCCTGCCTTGCCCTTGACCCACATCGAGCCGCGCGGAACGTGGACCTTCCCCTTGTTCCCCAATGGCAGGCAGGCCACTGACGTCTGTCTGTCGACACTTTTGTCTTCACAGAACGACTTCACCAACTGTCCACCACTGGACATTGTGATCATGGGCGCCAACGAGTTGGGGTACAAGCCCAGCGAGGCCGAGCTCGAATTCGTCCGCAGGAGCTACGAGACGTGCTCGGCCTTCATCACCGTCTGCGGGGGCTTCGAGGTGCCGTTCGCCGCGGGCCTGTTCGACGGCAAGACGGTGACGTGCCCGCGGCCGTTCCTGCAGAACATGCGCCAGGCCGGGCCGCAGACCACGTGGGTCGAGGAGCGCTGGCACCGCGACGGCAAGTTGTGGACGAGCGGCGCCGTCCTCAACGGACTGGACCTGATCAGGGCTTTTGCCACCGAGTACTGGGGCGGCGAGGGCTCGTTGGTCGAGTTCTTCATCGGCCTGGGCCACTTTCCGAAGCGAGATCTCAATTACGCCGACGCCGAGTTTGCTTTGTAGATGGCTAATCTTCTTTCTTTTTTTTTTTTTTTTTGAAACCTGCCTCTCAACTACATCATGTACGCGGGAATGAACGGGTAGAAGGGACGCTGTAACTAGTCTCAGAACGACCCAAACCATAGTGTCAGTTAGCCCCCAGGGTGGATGGTGAAGGTGAGCGTGAGCGTGAGGGTGTGGGTGAGGGTGTGGGTGACCTGGCATTTTATTTTATTTCTGTACATAGATGATATCAAGAACAACCCTTGTGCAGAAATACTCGTCACGGAACTGGGGTCTCCCTGGTACTTTTTACGTTCAATTTTTATATTTATATGCCACCCGTGGAAATCCTTCATCGCCAATACGAAGGTCCCTTGTACGCAAAAATCTCCCACGCCTCGTCTAGAGCCTTGACTACCTCCTCGGGCAACGGACCCTTCTCCAGGTCGGCCAGATTGGTCTCGAGTTGGCTTTGGCTGCTCACGCCGATTATGATGCCGTCGTTGCCCTTGTCGCCAAGCTTGAGTATCGAGTGGTGCACGCACCATCGCAGCGCGGTCTCGACGAGGGTGAGGCCGGCCTTTTTCACCACGGGCTCGACGTGCGAGAGAGCATGGAATGTCGTGTCGTGGAAGTATCGGTCTCGGTACATCTGTGAAAGAGAAAGGGGGGGTGGTCACGTCAGTCCAAATCGTCTTGCACAGTCTGAGCCATCACCCATGGAGCCACGGCAAGACAGAAAACGTGAACTCTCAAGGGGATAAATGGAGCACGGGACTAGTTGGCAGCTTGGGTCAAAGTGACTCGGGTGGTACCGTACCTTGCCATTGTTCGCAACATTGGCGAATCGTCCTTCGGCCGGGACCTCTTCTTTCGACTTGTATTTGCCGCTGAACACGCCTCCTGCGAGCTGTTCCCGAGCCGTTAGCACACACACCCACAGTTTATGATTCCTCACTCTCCATCACTCTGTAACTTTTGCGATACGGGGTTGCTTACCGGGTTATACACGACCAGATCGATGCCGTATCTGTGTTTGCGCACAAAGGTAGTCAGTCATCATGCACATCATAGAATGGGGTGCCAACCCCCTCGCAGCAAGGGAAACGTGTCGCGGTGTCAAGCACAAGAGCAAACTCACTTCCGGCAACACGGGACCAGCTCCTTCTCGATATCCCTCGTGATGGCGTTGTACATGGCCTGGTAGATGGTGGGCTTGACCCATCCTCGCTCGTTCGCGATGTTCCAAACCTCGCTGACCTCCCAGGCGGCAAAGTTGCTCAGACCCAATTGGACGAACTTGCCCTCCTTGAACAGCTCGTTGCACGTCTCCAGCGTCTTCTCAAAGGGGACGCTCCGGTCCGGGGCGTGCAGGTAGAATATGTCGACGGTCTTGGTCCCCAGCTCTTGCAGGCTCTTCTCCAGACTGGCCCGCAGCTTCTCGGGCGAGTGGTCCCCGGGACTGGCGGGGTAGCATTTGGTCGCGAGGGTGAGGCCCCGGTCCTGCCACTTGGCCTGCGCCGTGAAGCCCTCTTGCTGGCCGCCGATGTACGTGCGCGCCGTGTCGATCTCGTTGTACCCCCGCTGCTGGAGGTAGTCGAGACACTTGTTGTACTCGTCCAGGTCGGTTATGCGGGCCCCCTTGGGCTCGGTGCCCGGCGGCCCGAAGGTCATCAACCCTAGAATCACCCGGGGCTTGTTGCTCGACATCGTGGACGGTATGAGGGGCATCTTGCGGGCGGCGGAGGAAGAGGAGATCGGAGAGATGTGTTGTTGCAGGGATGCGAGTCGGGAGGAGGAGGCAGACGAGGCGCGGAATGACAGTGTAGATAACGATTTGAGGGTTTTGTGCATCAACTGTACGAGTGTGACTGATTGACGACGAGGTTCGCCTTGCAGCCGCTGTCGCAACTTTGTTATTGTCGCGAGCACGACATTCTTATACACTACTTAGCACTTTACCCCACCGGCGTCAACCCCGATCAACCCCAATATCTACGACGTCAACTCGCCTGCGACGCTACGACTAATAACAAGTTACCACCCTGTGAACGGCTCACGGACATATGCCTTAGCTACGGACGGCATTCTCTCTCCTCCTGCTCATCAAGCAGTCCTTAGGCTGGTGTTGTGCTACAAGTCGTACGAAGCCTAGCGTGCCCTGGCTTGACGCCAAATTTGTATTCCGAAATGTTGATACGCATTTTGGAACACCACTTGGGTTGGTGCATCTCAAACTAAAATGAAACCTGATGCCTACACACACTCGATCCACTTCCTGACGCCTGAGCTAGCTGCTTCGCTCGAACTTTCCCCTCTGACAAATCTAGGCTGCTTATAATGACATCCTAGCAAGGGCAAGGAAGATCCCCTTCCTTCATCACGACCAGAATGCGCAAGTGCGATTTGTGGTCGGCTATAAATATAGTAAGTCTGGACTCTGGAGTGAGGCTGATCGATTTATTTTGCGTAAGGGGCAGAGCAAGTATCATACGGCAAGAGCTATCATGGAGCTCCCCAAATCAGATTGACAGTCGGCGGCTGAAGTCAAAGACCATCAAATCAGCTTCCCAAGTAAATGACGCTGTCAAGGTTCGAGGCCGTGGCTGCGTAATCTCGTTTTCACGGAGTCCACTGGCAAGGTTGAAAGCGTTGCTCGAGACACACCGCATTGCCTCCTTCATGACTGTGAACGATGTGCTGAAGGCACTGCTCTGGCACAGTATGGTGACAGCTAGAGTCCCATCGCTCCAACGAGATCCTCCCATTACAAGTGCTAAGCTACCCACCCCCATCAATATCCGCATCAAACTGCAAAAACCACTTCCAGATTCAAATTTTCGCGCAGCGATTGACTTTGCTTTGGTCTACATGCCACTGAGTCATCTGAAAGATATGCGTTCTCCTTCTCTTGGTCAAACAGCACTGGAAATACGCCGAGCGATCAACAATATTGACGAACAGTACATCCATCAAGCCGTCGCCCTGGCTAGAACTACAATCGACTTTCGAGATCAGGCAAGCAACATGGATCGCGCTAATGGAGCTGATGTCTATGTCACAGGCTGGCAAAGCTGAAATGCTATGAGGCTTCTTTTGGGCTAGGACTGGGATGACCACATTGGATGCGTTGACTTGGGAGTCACTACTCGAAGCCCGCTGTCAAGCAGCAGCAATAACAACTCAAACACCTTGGCTCTCTCCTGCCGGAGTCACCATGACAGTCTGAGCACCACCATCCACCGGCGAGACAACCTTTTCACGGTTTGGCGGACTCTGCGTCGCATCCGAAGACCCGCCACCCACAATCTCGCAGAAGGGATCTTTCTCCGGTTTCTTGATATGGCCGAAACTCAGGAGCAGGGATCCATCTCCTTTGACCCAGTCTCTGGACGATTGCTCTTTTTTATCCGGCGTTGGGACGAGTATGCCTGTCGCAAGTCGGCCGGTGCTGGTCTGATTGTACAAGTTCTTCAGGGTTTGTAGGAGGTGCCGTGTCGAAACGAGGATCGCCAGGGCCCAGATAAGCGCGGGTAGGAGCAATGAGAGGACCATCAATGCCGGGATTGCGTAGCGGATATCGTACCTTAGGGCTCGCCTGTATGCTGTTACTCTTGCCGAAGGGTAGCCTTGCACTGTGTCGTCCACGGCGAGACTCGCGGGCCACTGGACGTATTTTGTGGAGATAGAGGTCTTCGTCCCGACAAGGCCTGCCGCGAACCCATCCGTCATGATCAAATTGGGTATTTGCGCGGCATCGTCTTGATTGTGGGAGAGACTTTGGAAACGTTCTAGCATGGTGTAGTCGTTCTTGCCGGAATAGTCGGGCCCTCCGAGAGCGTCCGCGAAGCCGTAGAGATTCGCTAGGCGACGAGGGAAGCTTGATACGGCGGCCAGTGCGTCAAAGCCGTCTGTATCGCCGAAACTGAGGCTAGGGGTAGGAGTGGCAGTGAGCCAGAATTTTTCAGCTCGCAAGGTGTAAAAACCTTCCTTAAAGCCATAATTTTCGTAACTGTCGTCGACAATGCCCCAGAGTGGGTCGAAGCGCATGGCCTTGTCGTAGCTGTGCTCTCCAGCCCATAATGGCTTTGACTTTTCGTTAGGATAGACCTTGTCCGCGATGTCCACGACCTCGAGGTTCTCGAATCTAGCTCCGGTCCCATTGTATAGAAACGTGACAGTTTTGACACTGGCTCGTATTGCCGATGCGCAGACGTACAGATTCTTTTGGTATTCTTCGATACCGGTGTATACTGATATGGTGAGATTTTCTGTTCTTTTCTGGAGTGGTGCACCGAGCACGAAACCGCATGAGACAAGTGGGTAGGTGATATTGTTGGCGCGGTAGTCGAGGTCCACATAGTCTATTTCGTAGTAACCTTTACAGATCTCCGTAATGGCTGAGTAATTGAGGGCCAGAAGCTTCTTCCATCCATCAGGATAGTAGTTGACGAAAGGTGTGGTTGAGTTGTAGGCGTATACTTCAGGAATCTCAGGTGGCGCGCCACCGATGCCCGTCAACTGTCCAATCATGCTTTGATCAAAATTGAGTGCACTGTACATAGGGGCCGATGCTGGTCCGGGATCCTTCATGACCATCTTACCTAAGATGTCTTTGGTGGGGTCGAGTGGCAAGGTCAGATTGAGGCTGGAAGCAACGAACACGTTGTGCATGCGTGCGGCTTTGTGAGCTCGACCAAATAGATCAAGTGTCTGGTTGTCATTCCAAGGGGGTGACTCCAAGGCGCTCACGTTGAGTCCAACGAAAGCGCCGCGGTCGACAATATAAAAGGTGGTATTAGTGTCCCATTCCTCTTCGGCTTTCTCTGACCGGAGCGCAATAGATAGGTTGCTGTCGGCACATTTGGTGACTGGCTCGGCCCACGTAATATCTTCTTTCCAAGTGCCCCCATGGGACAAGCCTACGGGAATGGTGTGGTTTCTGAACCCGACCCCGGGATTTTTCCTCATATCGACAATGAGGCCTTCGACAAGGACGACTCTGTCTTGCGCTATCAAGGTCCCAGTAAAGCGGCTGTTGCCTTGCACGAATGGCCGACCTTTGTTGATCATTCCGATCTTGTTAAATTTCCAACGACGGAATTGGATATCGAACAGGCCCGAGATGGTATTCCCTTGATCAGAGGTTGCGCTAGTAAACATCGTGGTGAAGTTCGCGGGAATGGTGGTATTGATAGTGGAATTCTCGTCAGTTTCCACGCTAGAATAGACTCCGGGTTCTGTTTCATTCACGTAAACGCTTTGGTATTGGCCAGGGCAATTGATGTGCCTGCCAAATTCACAGTATCGAGTGAATTCGGCATACGGTCGAGCCATGGTGACCGAGCCAAATGGGCCCGGATCGCGAATATATTGGAACTCGATCAACTCAGATTCGCCCAACACGATTTCATCGTGGAGCCCAAGGGGCGTGACAACACCAGCCACGACCAACAACGCGGCTCCAGCTGTCGAGGCCCAACTCGGGACTCTTGTTTTCCAGGTAGTCTGGAGACTATTGACAGCGTCGGCTCGAATAAGATGCGGCCAGATTGTAGTAGAGATTGCGCGGTTCACAACGGACCTGATTATGTCAGTTCATTCATTTTGCACTGAATTGAGACTTTGTATACCAGGTCACAGCACTATTCTCGGTACCAACATATCTGACCAGAATTATTACCAATGCAGCTGGAAGGCCATACTGGACTGACAGAGGCGTCAGTAACGATCCCGACATAATCCCATACTTGTGTAGAAGGTCGGATCAGGCATACCAATCATCACTGCAGCCGCGATGAGGCCCGAGGCCTGGGCAATACTCAACATTTTGGCGGTTCAAGTCTTCGCGAGTCTTTCATTCACTTGCGCAATGTGCAGTCTGTTCATCTCTGTCTGTCCACAAAAGATGGATCATGCATTCGGTAAGCCTCTGAGCTCACAAGATGGAGTGAAACATGTCGGATTCCTTGCTTTATTGACAGCTGATGTCGAAGACACTTGCATCCTGCCATTCTGATACAGCCACTGATTTGACAGGGCGCAGTCGCCGCCTGCAATTCTAGGTAACGTACCCAAATGTCGAGCAAGCCCTGGGATAAACGCCTTCGAAGGTAGATTGTTGCACGAACAAAGGGGCAAAAAGCCCTGTTGATGCCCGTTGATCCACGAACCCAGGTACAATTCGCTTGGCCCTGCGGGTTTCGTGCACTCATCCAATAGAGAGTATAACAATCTTGCTTTAGCTCGCTTTGCAATCTGCCTGTCACACGCGGGACACTCTTCGGCAAACGCCTCTCGCCTGCTTCCCGCCAAACTAGCGAGAGGCTTGCATAACCGGTCAGCCAACAAGGCGTATTCGTGTCAGGCATGTATCGAACAGGCACAGGTGGAAATTGTGCTTCCCCGAGGACTTGGCAAAGATTGTCGTCGTGCAAAAGCGGTGTTCACCTTCAACTTGGGGGTGACTATCATCGACCACGCGGCAACCGCGAATTGAACTGCCCCAGCTGACAGTAACGAGCAGCTGGCAATAGCAACTGACACTTTGTGAAAATGACTACAAGTCTGGCTTACCCTGATTGCCGCACTGAGCTAGACGGACCCTGCCAATTGGCGACAAGTTCAGAAAATGCCTGCTCGAGAGAATATGGAGGAGATTCGAGCATCTTCCAAAGAAGATATTGCATGTGTACAAATGGCTACTTGACTCAGTCCTCATTGTAAGACAGCCTCCATCTTTCTAAAGTCCTGACGATTCTGATATCAAAACGCAGGTGCTGGAATGACTGCTATCACTACAGCGCAACCTCCACCGACTTTGCTTCGATTAGCCGCGAGTCCAGATTCGTGGATATTGAATGTGAGAGCTACTCGCTCGCAATTGAGAGTGAATCGGCCTTCTATGCCAGTATAAGTTCGAAGAGTGAGAGTATCCTGAACGAAACTTTGACGAGCTCTGCCACCAGTTTCGCAGGGCAGACGAGCGCTTCATCGCAAGCTACAACGTCATCTATTGACGCGACACAGGGAGCGACTGCGAGCTCCATTGCACCAGAAACGACGAGCTGGGCCGAGAGGCCTAGCTCGACAGAGCAACCTCAGCAAGGCAGTGGAATTTCGCACCGCAGAATCGTCAAATACAATGCTATGTTGTCAACCACGGTTTTCCTTGCATTGTCTCTGGTTTTCTCTGGCCCTTAGGTCTTCGTACTCACGGCCTCAAGCAGGCTCTGTCCTCTGCACAAAGGAAGGATGGCTGAGGCCTGAAGGTGTTAGACCTCTAGCGACAGAGAACGTACTGTCAGTTGAGGGCTCCCTCAACCTACAGAGAAGTTTTCACATTTGGTGGCAGCTCATCTCAACGTCCAATGCCATTTCGGCGAAGTGCCAGCAGAGGCGGTTCCCATGCCACGCATACCTATGGACTTCTGTTTGTGGACCGTGGGCCATCGTCAAAGGTGTCTCCAAGCGTCTGCCACCCGCTGATGACGTCGCCTCAGGGCCTATACCTGAGTCCGCCGTAGCCCATGTCTGCGAACATAACGGCCACCCAACCCGGATGATTTTACAGTACTTGGCTTTCAGGTCGATTATACCAACCACCAAGTTAGCACCATCAAGCACGTAGACGCCAAGGAGGAAACTTTAGACAGATCCATTAAGGTGCTCGGAATGTGGCCGGCATCAATCTTATGGAAGAGGAGCAGCACGAGGCTTGTTCCAGAACATTACGCCGCAGACACGAGTGCCAGTACTCTTCTAGGTGGTTCCGAGAACAATTATGGTACCTGCTTCCACTTCTATGTCAATCTGTATCGCGACCCAGAATCAATCATAATATTCACCTCCTGCACCAGCATCGTCAGTCGTTCCTGCTGGGTGTTGTCTTGATACTGTTCCACAGCGACGGGCAAATATGGACCAGTTGCTGAGCAGTGATCTCGGTGGGTATGTCAAATTACCTCCCCGCCTCCCACAGAGCCATAATTGATAACGGCGTATAATACAAAGTGGTTCGACACGAAATGTTCAAGCTACTGCACCCACAGGCCTCGATGCGGGACGTTCAGAAGTCATATCGCGTCGAAGTCCAGACTCGTCACTTCGTATACTTTTCTCCAGTCTGAGCTCCATATAGTCAAGACTCAAGCGGGGTGAGACTTAGCAGGAGTTTCTTGGATTGTATCGGCTTTTATGAATATGTAGGCTTTCGCCACGCAAGCAATGGTCGAGCTGCTCCGAGCTCTCTGCACCATCACCTTCCGTGTAACGATTCTAGCTCCTACCTAGAGTAAGGAGACGCATCAAGGTCCTTTTGCTGAAATCAACACAAGGTTAATATTTGTTTGAAGGCATCACCACTATCCGCTGAAAGTGGATGCTCTACAAATCCTCCGTTCTTCAGGCCACTTCTTTTTCTTTCTCTCGCTCAGCCTCACCCACAATTCCCTGCATTCTTCTGTGAATGGATGTGGTCAGCTTGCTCTCCAGTGCAGCCCCATCGAGCAGTATCGCGGTGATTATAGAGATTATGCCAAAGGCGATCGCCACGTAGAACATGACCTGGAACGACTTGTGGAAAGCAGTACGCATACCGGCTACGACGGCCTCGATGACAGTGGGTGTCACCCCTGGAATCTTGGCGGCATCGGCAACATCGTTCGCCATAAGTGTCTCCAATAGTTGCTCAGTGTTGTGCAACACTCAGTTCTAGGCGATGTCTGGGGGCTAAATGTGATGCATTGACGAGTCTGACCTCCAGGACTAGGAGGTCGCTGTTCTATCTATTTATATGGTAAAGGAGCGAAAATTTCTTCATCCTGCTGGAGGAGGTTCTCTTCCGGGCATCGGCGGCGACCGAGGACGTCGTCGTCGGAGGCCGACGCCCTTGCGTTGGCGAGGTCCTGTTCCTCCATCCTGAGGACTATGAAATGGCAGGAATGAGTGAATTCATGGTGTTGCAAGGTTTGTAAGGAACGTGAGGGCGTCGGCGTTCCGCCGGAGGCGCTAAGGCGCTAGGCGTGAGTATTTGACTTGTAAAGACGGTGACTGACATCGCCCGCAACTCAGCCTAGTCCAACACTCAGCTTCCTGCTCACTTAGGCCGTTCTTGATTGCCGCTGTAATGGGATACTTACCCATGTTGCTGTGTATCTTGTTGTTGAGTATGCTGACGAAGATGGCAGCTAGACTTGCATCAGCATTCCGTACCAACGAGAGATGTCAAGGTCAGGGCAGAGGTGAAGACATACAGGCACAGGCGGAGAAGAAGACACGGCTGCTATACAACGCCCCTATGGCAATACCGAAGTCCTTTGGATCAACCATCAGAGGCGCACCCGACACCGTGGCAACCTCCATATGATAGCCTGCCAACGCACTAAAGAGGGCGGCGGCCGAGACAGACACAGACGCAGCATTTGCACCGCAAAAGGTGGTGAATAGAACGCAGGAGGCGATAACCTGCCATCGGATGTGTCCGAACAATTTGATGGTGAGGCCGGCTGTGCACTGGCCTGCCAACACTCCCGCAGTCATCGAGCTCTGTCGGCGAGTCAATCAATATACTCAAGAAGGGGACAAAGGGACAGGAAGGGAGCAAGCCCACATACGGCGTACCAGCCGGATTTGTTCTCCGGTTGCCGATAAAGGAGCACGGTTTCCTCAGGATAGGTAATGCTCAGAGCGTAGAACAACATGGCTCCCATAGCAGAGCAGAACAAGATACAGACAAAATTGCGACTTTTGAACAATTTGAGCGGGAAGACTGGCACGGCCGGATCTGCGTAGTATTCTGGTATGAAGCCGTCAGCATGTGTTTTCGCATGAACAGGAACAGACGTTCCGCATACCCCACAGGACAAAGGTAATGAACGTAACACCACCGACAGTCAACGTTGCTATTACCTTGGCCGAATGCCATGCTAGTCTCATTAGCCTAGATCGACGATTGCACCCCAGGAGGACCCTTACGATATCTCTGGCCAAGAAACTCCCATGAGGAATAGAACACCGCCAGCACAGAAGAGCAACAGCCCTACGTAGTCAAAAGACTTGATGAAGTGCATTTTCGAGTGTCTCGTGTGCAGTTGGTTGAACTTTGGCGGATGGTAGCAGAACAAGAACAAGACCTGTGCTGTGGCTGTGACAGCGGCCAGTAGGTAATAGACCGCCCTCCATCCTGCTGCACTGCGACATAAACTCGAGGCTAAACGCGGTCAGTCAACCTTTTGCAATACTAATGGGGTCTCGGTGAACAGTGACCACAAGGACTCACCAATGCCGGGGGAGATTGCTGAGATGGGTGCGAAGACGAGGACCGTAAAGCTGTTATAGAGAAAGCGGTGTTTATTTTGCAACAGCTCTCCACCCACGACCGAGCATTGGATCTGGACGGCGGAGCCGACGCCGATGAGGATGTTCTGCTTCCAGTGTCAGCCACGATCGCTCCAGCACCGTTGACGAATCGGGAAACTGAAAGCCATACTGCGCCAATCAGGGAGTTCATGTCGGGAGCTCGACTGGCGGTAATGTAGCCCGCCAGTCCGACCATGCCATCTCCGATCTGGAACCAGCGGCGGCCAAATAGATCAGACAAACGGCCAAGCACAGTGATGGCCACGGCTTGGACGACATTCTGAGCAATAATGACCCAGATTGAATCGAGTGGATCTCCTGATTCGTCTCGATTAGAGAGGAGTGATGCGAAGAGAGATATCTAGCGTAGACCCACCAAGATCGGCCTTGATGTAAGAAAGTGCGAACGAGGGCATCACAAAAGCCCAGAATCCGACTGGGAAGCTAAGTACCATTGCCTAGTTGACATCGTTAGCTCAATGCTCGTCGACCCGAGGTTAGAGAAGCGGACCAGCAAAGAGCCAACAAAGCGCCAGTGGTAGAAGTAGTTGTCAGGGAGCACAGCTGGAGATTCATCGCCGATCGCTTCGTCAGCAATCGAATCTGTTTCCCAAGTCTCGCTGTCGTCTCCTCCCGCTCCATCCCGCGAACCAGGGGCAGCTTCGAGGTGGCCCTCTGGTGCTGGTTGGATTGCATCCTCTCGTTGCTAAAAACTGGGTGCGTCCTCTTTCATTTTTGCGATAAAAGAAGTTGCTTGTCTTTGGACCCTGGCCAACTAGTAAGACAATCACTCCCTTGACTGGTACAGACGACGCTTTTCAGAGCAAAGCTGGACAGGAAGCGTATAGGGATCTGTGATATTTATGTCCTGGGAGGCCGGGGCACCATTCTGTGGGGACCCCGGATTCCGGCCCAATACCCTGGTTATGCGGGCCGATTAGAGGCTAGAGCAGATCTAAGAGTGCAGCCCGCCCGGCAATGATGAATAATTTGTCCAAAAGTTCAGGGCCACCATATGTGGGATCCTCGTATTCTGGTCCAACATCCTACGCCTGCGGGGGGACCAGAGGCTGTAAGCCTAGTAAGTCTTGCAAACAGCCTCTGGGAGTTCTTCTCACCACGCTACACTTGACGGCCGAGTATTTCAGGCTTTTAAAGGCTTCATGAAGTTGGCAGCCCCCGGCGGAGGGGTTACGGAAAATCACATCACGTAGATTTCAACTCGTCAGAGATATTCAGTACGTATTCAGTATTCCGTGTACATCGACAGCAACATGCTACTTACTTTGATGTTCTACCATGGTTTCTAGATCGTCTTCGAGGCCAGCCCGCCCTAGGTTCGCGCTTCTGCCGTGGCTGACCACTCCAGGATAGAGAGTGTCAAGACAGGTTGCTTCAGATGGTGTATGGCTGCTCTTTGAAAGCCAGGGATTCAACGACAGGAACTTCACTGCGTTTGCGGGCCTGTCGGGACATCCAAGTCAAGGTAGGGATGTTGTCGGCCCGCGATCGTCAGACTTTGTAGCGACCGACAGATTTGATGTCATGTTGTGCCGGACGTCAGAGTTCACCATGGGGAGCCCTCTAACTCAGGCTCCGGCTTTTTGTGGAGGAGGGGCACTTCTTTTACTTTGACTAGTAGGCGGCAAAGTTTTCTCTACACAACAGCATTCGATCAACACTAACTAAGCTCTATCAAGACTCCGACCACCTTGGCCGCCTGCTTTTCCATAGCCTCGTCCCAGGGAGTGGAGGCCCGACAGGCTCGTTCGGCCCGGAATGTTGTGTTTTATAAGATTTGATAAGCTCCATGTTCGGGAAGGCTGAGCAGACGACTCTTGATCGGTCGGCCTGTATTCATCAACAAAAGGTCTGTTCTGAGTGTAGACAGAATTCTGGCCATGGCGTCGTCACTTTTATGCATACTTGTATTAGCACCGGCAGACCCCCTGTGACCCAGATGTGATTGCCAGCGCGGCAGCATTCATGTAGTTGTATCCGGCGCCATACCTCGTCCCGCCATCCAGAGTAGCGAGGGAGTGTGAAAAGAGAATTGCAAGATAAGTATCGTTAATCTTCGTAGGCTTACACCGTCGCCCAAATTCAACCAACTTTGCGACGTCACCCTATCGTGTGGTAACGACCGAGACCGTGATACTGCAACCAAAACACCCAGTACCTAAAGTCTGCATAAGTTGGGAATAATGAGCCTCGGACTCAAAGGGTAAAAGTCCGCCACGCCGAGCTGGGGCGGCTGGGTTTTGGGCCATGCACGACTAACTTTTGTGTCTTTCAGAGTGGCTTTCATCACTGGAGCCGGTGGTGCAATTGGACGAGCATGTGTAACACAATTCGTTCGCGATGGATGCAGACGCATTCTGGCCACGGACATCAACAAGCAAGGCCTCGTTGAAACTCGCAAAATGGCCGAAGCGATCGATCCCGAAGATAAAGTGTTCACTGAGCCGGCCGATGTCAGTGACGAAAAGGAAGTCGACCGTTTGATTAAATTGACAGTCAAAGAATTCGGTCGCGTCGACTATGGAGTCAACTTTGCTGGTATGAAGGCACATCAAGACACCGTCTGTGGCCGATGGAGTCACACCGCTTACTCTAACCCTTGGTATTCTGTAGGTGTCGGCGGCAAACAGGGCCCGATCGATGGTCTGACTCTTGATGACTACCAATTTATCGAGCGCATTAATGCAAAGGCTGTTTGGCTCTGCGAACGTGCACAGGTTTCACAGATGCTCACTCAATCACCCCTTCCATCACAGTCAGTGTCGTCGTATTGCTGAAAGAGGTCAACCAGACTTATTGACATACCATGTCTAGCGACGGACGTCCGGGAGCGAAAGGATCCATCATCAACGCCTCGTCGCTCTGCGGCGTGGTCGGCTTTCCCGGCTCGACCATCTACTGTATGTCTAAACACGGTATGTTCAGCCTTTTCCGTAGCCCGCAGAAGCAAAGCTTGCATTGATTGACAAATCTTCCCACAGCGGTAATGGGCCTCGTTAGAGCGGATGCTGTGACCTGGGCCGCCCAGGGAATACGCATCAACGGCGTCTGTCCTGGGTACTTTCTTCTTCGCACTCTCCAGCCAGCCCACGCTGTGAATGCCATAGATTCTTCACTAACCAAAGTCATTGGGGTCAGTTTTATCGACACCGCGTTACTCCCGAGCGATGACCGACCTGGCCTGGTCCGATTCGTCGAGTCAACGACACCGATTGGGCGTTTCGGTAGCCCTGAGGAGGTGGCAGACGTGGTCGCTTTCTTAGGTTAGTTCTCCTCCAGAAAAACTTGGGGTTGTCCACTGAAAGAATCCAGCGTCAAGTCGAGCTAGTTATATCACTGGTGCCGCTATCTCGGTATGCTATCTACCCCCCAGGATATCTCGCAAGAACACACTTCATCTAACGATGGCGGCGTAGATTGATGGTGGCCACAGTGCACAGTAGTTAGCAGACCAACCGCCATGATTTGGTTGGAGGTTAGGATTGAACAGTTTGTAGCTGGATCCACTCACCCACATCAGAGGGCTACGAGGCCAAGGCCTACTGATACCTGGTAGACAGAAAGGTGGTAAATGGTGAAAATGAGAAGATTGGAATCGCGATTAGGAGCGTAAACAATCCCGGTAGATGGGTAACCTTCCTCTGTCCGTTTTACCTGTTGCCGCCCCACGCATTCTGGCTAATTGCCCCTTTGAGTATCTTGCCGAAAACACCAAAACATGGTTTGTTGGAGCGTCTGAATCATCGATGTCCGCAAGCTTACACTATCAGGCCGCCCAACTTGGCATTACTCCGTAACGAATCCCTCACAGGAGCTACTGGTGAAAGAGCCTGTGCTATCAATGACCCCTCGCAGGCTGCAGGAAGTTGTTCGGACGAGTTGGATTTGATCTGCTCGTCCAATTTGAGATGCATTTGTCCGCACGAGGCGTATATTTGATTGCATACTACCGAGAGCCGAGTTCAGACCCGCCGTCCGTGAAATACAATTACTCGCTGGTACTTCGTTCACTTCAAATATATCTGTGTTCCCGTCCATGTTGTCTACTTATTGATCGTCTTCAGCTTCCAAACTTCAGCAAGCACTTCAGCCTCTTGTAAACAGACCACCCACAATCAACCAGTTCTACTCATCCACGCCATCGACCCCGACCCTTACCATCATGTCTTCCAAACCAGCCATCCTTCTGGTCACGGGCTCCTTCTCCTTTGCGGGGATGTACTACCCGTTACAGGACGCCATCAAGGCCCAGGGCTACGAGTGCTTCGTCAACAATCTCCCCTCGGCCACGCGCAACCCTCCCGAGGAACCGGCGACGCTGGAAGACGACGCCGTGTTCATCAGAGGCATCGCCGAAAAGATCGCCGACCAAGGAGGCAAGGACATCGTCGTGGTCGCCCACTCCTACGGCGGCGTCGTGGCCACCGAGGCCGCGAAAGGCGTCCTCAAGGCCGACCGTCAAGCCGCGGGCAAACAGGGCGGGATCGTCAAGATCGTCTATCTGACCGCCATTGTTCTCCCGGTTGGCGCATCGAACTTTAAGGACCAAGGTGATCCTCCTGCTGCATTGGTCGAAGTTGGAGAGGTGAGTGGCTAGTCACCAGACAGAGAACCCCCGTTCCTCCCCGGTTTAAAAGCTTGCAAGAATGGCATGAAAGCAAGAATGCAAGAATGCAAGCGTGCAAGCGTGCGCATGCATGACCTCCTCCTCCTCCTCCTCCTCCTCCTCCTACACTACTACCACCATCATGTTTTCCTTTTTTCTTCCCTTGTACGTCACCGATACCATCACTTCATGGCATGCCATGTCCATGGGGACCCGGGAGTGAACTTTCTGTTTTCTTTCAAGAACTTTGGGTGTTTCCTGGAAAGAAGACCCCAAAATCGAAGAGCTTTAAAAAAAGGCCAAATGCTAAAAAAGAAGTTGAATAACTTATAGGACGGCTTTATGAAAATCACCGGCCTCGAAATCTGCGCCGGAGCAACCTTCAACGACTGGGACTTTGAAAAGGCGCTCGTCATGACCAAGTCCATGTCCAAGCACTCCTTCCCCAGCTTCAAGAGCCCGCTGACCTACGCTGCGTACGAGCATGTTCCCACCGCGTACGTCTTCTGCGAAAAGGACATGATCCTCCCACCCGAGAAGCAGCGCCAGTTCATCGACCAGATCAAGGCGGGCACGGGGAAGGAGGTCGAGATCCACACGCTCGACACGGGCCATTGCGCCCCCGTCACTGCTGTCGAAGAGACGGCCAAGGTCATCGTCGACATTGCCGGTTCGGCATAGACGGCTGGACGGAGCGTACCAAGACGACGGTGTTGTTGTTGGTGGTGGTGGTGGTGGTGGCGGCGGCGGGCGGTAAGGAAAGGGGAATCTCACCTACGCTACATATGATGTGACCTAGAGAACAAACAAAGACGATGATCAAGTAATGAAACTATCAGTGAATTTGTGTTTCACGGACCATATGGACCTAAGCTAGTCTGTTCTCAAATGATTGTCGTCGTTCAACCATGGTCTCAACGTCAAACTGTCTTCGTTCGATGGCAGTGGCGTCCCGCTCACTTCACCACCGACCAGTCAATGTCCTTGCTCTCAAGACCCGCAGTGCCCAATCTTCCAGCGAAGAGAAGCTCTGCAGCATATCCCGTCATGACCGTCTCTGGTGAAGCAGGTAGAGATTCAGATACGTCGCCATCACCAGTCGCAGCGTCAAGCTCACTCTCGTTAACCAATCTCGTGCAGATCGAGTCAATCACCCTGACGGCCCACTCTGCCGACTTATAAACGCTCTGAAGATGGATGAGCAGCATCTTCGTCTGGTCGAAGTACCCGCGTCCACGGTTGCGGGTCGTAGTATCACCGGACCGAACATCACCGACGTGTTCCCTGGCAGCAGTGAACAGTGCCGTCACCCCTACCGGGGGGAGAAATCGGAGTAAGTGGCCTTCCTGAAGAGGAGTAGCAATGTCAGTGATTCTCCGTGCCGCTTCGTTCGTGACAGCCCCAGAAAATTCTTGGAGAAACCTGGCCGCAGAGTTTTCCGGGAGTCGGAGAGTGGCGTGTGGGCGGTGAACGAGTATTAGCGCAGTGTTGTACAGCATCTCGACTATGGCCGAGTGCACGCCGACCACGCGTCCGTTACGGCGGTGGTCCCGGCCGACATTGCTCCCTTCGGTGGTGGACAGTTCTGCATACCATTTGCGCAACTCTTGATCTAGAGCCATGCAATCTGGGGCGATCTCGGTCGAGGTCTGGGGAACGAGGACTGTTTTGGTAGTGAACGTGAGGGTGTCCGAGTAGACGACAGGCGTGTAGAGCGTATTCAGGATGTGGTCAATTATGCTGTAGATTTTCGTATTCATGATGCTTAATTTTCGTAAGATCCTCGCATCCGTTTCGCGATCTCTCATATAGTACCGGTCAAGTGCATCGTTGAGATCCGTGTCGTTGAGATCGCCTAGCTCCAGCGTATGAGCGGTGGACTTTCCAGGATGGATACATGCGACTCGACGTTCACTCATAGATACAAATTTGTCGACGATCAGACAGCATGACCATAGTCTGCGACGGAGCTTCCGATGCGCAACCGGAAACACCTCCGGTTCAGGGGACCCGTCGAGTCCGGTATCTGTGCCGAAGGAGCACGCGGCTGTCAGTAGGTGATGTCTCCCCTTCGTGTGCCCTGGATCATGGTGATAGTACGTCATGAGGAGCAGCGCCTGAGTCAATGTGGTGGGATCGGATTCAATGTCGGCATTGTACAATAGCTGGGGTTCTGTCATTGACAAACACCTAAAATAGGCTTTGGAGGCGGTCAGCGCATACCTGGGATCTATCAAATAATGATGTGCAAGCTTGATTGCGATTTTGATATCCGGCTCTGCTCAGGCACCCTTCATTGACGAATGTAGCGCCGGCAAACATGACAGCTTGGAACAACAGGAGGCTAATCTTCTCATTCTCCCCGTCGCTATCGACGGCTCGGATGAATGGCCTCATATCCAGCAGAGGCATGAACGGATGTATGTAACAGACATATGCCCCGATGAGCTCGTCTATCACTTCTGCCGTGGGGATCGACAAGGCCCCTCTAACGCGCAGGAACTGAAGGGCCTCTAGGTCGAGACCTGACGGTAGTGCAGTGATGTAGCCCGGGATGCCTAATCGTGGGACTTCTTCGACATCTGGGGTAGCCTCTGGGTTGAGGAGAGAATCCAAGAAGAGAGTTTGCTCTGGATCCGAGACGGGTAGTGGATCGGGGAAGCTCTGGGGCTTTCTCACACTGGTTTCTGTCTCGTTAGATCTACCTAAATTTATCAGAGAGGCCTTTACCAGATGAAAGTAAACGCGACGAAGCAGCGATACCGCTGTCTCTTGCCTCTGAATTTGATGCATTGTCCACAGAACCGTTCCACTCCATTGGTAGCAGGCCGTCGTCATTCGGCAGGTCAACTTCGAAAGTATGGACATTTGACTCCGGGACGGTGTCGGTCTTCGCATGTTTTCCAACCCGCTGCTTCCTGGCAAGCACCACGGAACATTGCGATTTGGAGCGGCTGCAATTACTGCAGGGCAATCCGTTTTGTAGTACGTCGCACTTGATTTTCTGGCTTCGGCAGGATAAGCAAGCTCGAGGGGCTCTCCTCTTGATCATCTCCAGGGTATAGGCGACTTCGCGGAACGAAGGATGCGACTGAGAGACCCCAGAAGCGTCTGACTTCCGTATAGTCGCTTCACCGGAGAGTTCGTTCGACAACCAGTTCTGCAGCAATTGTAGTTATCTGAGGACTTGGAAGAGGCTAACTAGTTAGTTAGTTAACTAACTAGTTAGTCTTGGAAACAGTGAATACTAACTAGCTTAGCCTAGACGCGCCTAACTTAGTGGATCAGTTCTCTCTTGCTCGTCAGCCATCAGCGAGATAGTCACACATAGTGCTCCGTTTGCAGATTCTATACCAAGGCAGAAGGTATTTTGCAAAAGTACATGGCTGAAGTTGGTGCGGAGAACGGCGGACTCAATAGCGTCTAGAGAAGGCGCCCAACCCGCCAAGAAGGAGATGGCTATTGTATTGTACCCAGATTACTCGGTACTGGAATCCGCACTTCTGGTAGTCCCGAAAAACCATCGTCTCAGTCCAATCGATACGTCCTTCCAATGACTCGCTGCGGCTACGAGCAGTTGCTGAAGCGACGATAACCTAGATATCAACAAAACGGCCTCAGAAGTAGCGCGAGGTTGACTGTTCTCTCCCGCAAGGATCGGGACGCATTTGCTTCTTATCGCGGTGGCGGGATGAGGCTGTTTTCAAGTGTGGCTTAATGTGGAATTGAATATTCGAGAACAGATCCCTCATTCGCTGTCCCCTGCCACACTGCCCACAAAATAGCATCTCCCCTGACACCCAAATCATCAAGGCTGTCTCGGACACCTAATGGGCATTCTTCAGCAAGCCCGGAGGCAGACCATGACAAGAAAGTGCCCACCGACAATTGATACTCACTAATTGACGGAGAGAAGGGAGGAGAGACTTCCGACGACTTCGAACGAGACGTCTGAAACAGATGGCGCGTTCTTCTTCGACTGAGACGGTGACCTTAAACTGGAGTCGTTGCTGAGGTTGATCTACCAGTGACATTATAATAACCGTGCTGGTGTCGGTCGCCGTCGTGGCTTGGACTGCTGTAATGTACTTGTACCCACCGACTCTCCATCCGGAACCAATTGAGCCGGATACGCCTATGTATTTCGCAGGAAAGTTGCTCAACCGCCGCAAGCTTTGGGTTGGAACTAGGGGCAGTGTATTCGGTAGTGCTTAAAATATCTCAAGCTGCCCGCAGGGTCAGGGGTTGTTTGATGTGAAGCTCTCTAAGCTCACGGTGTAGAGAAACGACGGTGCCCAGCTCCAAAAGATCTACAACGAGACCTTCACAGCTTGGTGCTGCTGAATACCCAACAAAGGTGCCACGATAATGTGTTGGTAATACGAATACGAGGGCTGCGTCCTCGTTCAACTCGAGTCTCCTCGTCAAGCACCCCTCCGTCAATCGAGCCGTCCTCTGCTGATGTGACAAATGCAATGGCTTCTTTGCAATGATGCTTCCTATCCTACAGCTTACTTTCCCACATCCGCGCAGTTGCCCGATCGCATCGATGTAGCTCAGCCCGACAAGGTTTTCCCAGTCACATGCGGAGCGAAAATCTGAAACCAAAATGTGTTCCACAATGAGTCGGGATATGAGACCAGCGTTACTGAGTGGGCAAAGCGACGATCAACTTCGTATTCGATTCCTATCTTGTCGATAGCGAGCTGCTATCTTTCGGCAAAAGGCTTGTCTGGAGCTCGGATGCTTGTTTTCCGTATCTACCTATCGCCTTGGGGGGGGAGGGGGGAGGGGGGGGGTCTGCGGAGAAACAGACTACACCTTTGGCAATCCCCATTTAGGGTACGGCTAGATCTGTAGAGGTGATGCCTGGGCCAACGAGGACTCATTCGTGGCGGTGAATAGCAAGTGCCTCCCACGATAAGAGTCTCAACTAAAGGTCCAAGGGAAGTGTTTGTTCCGTGGACTGAGGTTGGGGCAATATAGTCAAACGCCTGCACCTCGAAATCGGGCGCAGCCACCTTCTTTCCTGTCTCGAAAGGGAAGAGACTGAGCGCTGTGTGCTGAGCTCCGACTCTCTCGAATGAATCATCCAGGCTAAGTTAAGACACGGGGCGCGCGACCTAGACAGAAGTTGCGACAAGCATGATTCATCTTGAGCATCTACTGTGTATTCTAACAGCAATGGCTCGCCAGAGGACCACTTACTAGTTAGTGCTGTCGACTCATTATAACTGAGAGGTTCTCCTCGCGAGCTATGAAATCTTTGTGAGCTTCCACAAAGGTTGTGTTGACTTCCACTCCATCCACAGAGCCACGCAAACAGCATTCAAGGTGCAAACATGGCTGTTGTCCGACAAATCTTTTACCTGGCCATCGGCTATCTGGTTCTCATGGGGCCACTAATTAAAGCTTCTCCCATCAAAAGGTCGTCGCCAGTGCTGCCATCGCCTTTTATTCTCAACTTTCCAGTGGGCGCAAAAGGACCAAAGGCGCCGGTGGTGTTTCCCCTGTCCAACGGCTTCCCTAATATCGCCAACGGCACTACTGCATTCCAAGATTTGACCGTGCAAGCCCACGGCTCAGTATCAAATGCACCTCCCCCACCTTCTTTGGAGCCCGACGACCTTCTCAGTCTGAAGGTCATCCAGATCCAGGAACTGTTCGAAGTCTACTTCTTCACTCAGCTCCTCCTCAACATTACGAACGGCGTTTCTGGCTTCGAATTCAGTGACCATAAATTGAAGCGCGACATTATCCGAAAGCTCACGGTCGTCCAAGGGCAGGAGCAGTGGCATGCTCTCAATGCCGGCGGCGTCCTCGAACACTTCAATGTGCCTCAAATCCAACCCTGTGTTTTCAAAACCCCCGTCACGAACTTCGCCGGGGCAATCGAGCTCGCCGCTAACTTCACCGCAGTGGTGCTCGGCACGGTGCAAGATGTTATGGTCCGACTCGGGCAAAACGGTGATTCGGCCGTCATCCGCGGCGTGGCCTCCGTGGTCGGCCAGGAAGGCGAGCAACAAGGCTTCTATCGTACTTTAATCAACGACCTCGTCCCATCCGAGTCGCCGTTCTTGACCCAATCGACCCGGGAGTTTGCGTACTCGGCACTTCAACAAAACTTCATCGTGGCAGGAAGCTGCCCTAACGCCAACACCATTGACGTCCCCATCTTCGGCGCGTTGAATGTCCTGACTGAAAACATCCAACCTGTCGATCAGACGCTCACCTTTAGCATAGAGAGCGGCTCCACGGCGGGTCTTAGTTTGGTCTACATCAACCAGCAGAACCTCCCACTCGTAGAACCAATCAACTCCACGGGTACAAAGAACGGCGTGACGACTTTCACTGCCAATTTCCCTTTCAACGCGAAGTCCTTGGACGGTCTTACGATCGCGGCTGTGGTCAATTCGACGGGACCCTTTGGAGATGCCAACGACGTCGCCGGCCATACTGTGTTTGGCCCTGGCTTGATCTACCCAGGAGGGCGGGACGACAAGCCTCCTCGGTTGTCTTTTCAAGGCGTGTCAGATTCAACTGTCGTTGGCACTACATCAGGGGCCGCACCCCTTTGGCGCCCAACATGTCGATACGCATTGTATGCCAGTGTAATGCTTTTGTTGATCACCTTAATGTAGACAGTACTGTATAGGTAGTAATTAGGACATAGATAAAGTTGAGCTGAATATAAACAGTCGTCAAGGTCCGTCCGGAGAGAATCAAGGTCTCAAGTTCTCGTGTCTTTTCTCTCTGGCCCCTTGGAAATCCCTCGGCAGCCTCTCTAAGAGTCGGAGACATCGAGCTGCCAAGCCTCGGTACAAGGTTCCCCCGGTCTCATATGGCGCAAGGACAATAACATCTTTGGTTGCAAGGCGGTGACAGCGACAGTGACTCAGAGGGGGGCCTCTTTGGCGGGAACTGCAACAACGGCATGCGGCAAGGACGATGAAATGATATTCCGGTACTGATCGCGACGAGCTTGCCGTATCCAGCATGGAAATGCCCTATCCTCACAACATCCCAACCCAACGACGCTCATGTGATGTACTATGTGAAGGTGTGTGGGATCGCCCGGTATCCTTAAAGGGGTCCCATCGTCGAAAGTTGACGAAAATGTTGGTATTGGAAAATAAAGAGGAAGAAAGAAGGATCCAAGTGCTCAGGGAGCAGCAGAAGGTGAGTCGAGAAATGAGGCAAAGCGGCGAGCAGCGAAGTAGAAAAACGGGAAGAGGGCAGCAAGGATTTTCGTCAGGCTACCTGAGTACGGAGGATGAACGGGTGTTTAACTCGGAGAACATCATCACCGAAAGCTGTCATTCATCCTCTTCACTCTTCTCGCCAAGTCCACGTCCGTTGGAGGCTTGACAACCTTACTCGCATTCGTGGAACATGTCTTTCTTGTGCATGAGCTTGAAGGGACGTTGACGGCATTTTTAGAATATGTCAACTTCTCTCAACCGAGAAGACCTCGAGGCCTGACATCCACGATTCGCACCTGACTCGAGTGAAACATACGAGAAAGACAGAGGAAGCAAGACGTGAATTTCGTCCGAGAGGTCCTCGCCCAGAGCTTGAGGCAAACTCCTCCGTATGTGGTACGTAGTATCTGGAGTACACTAATAGTTTGTGACGGCCAGGTATGACTACTATGGGTAGCGGAGCCGCATGAGAAGGCCAGGCGGAAATAGATCCTGAGCTGGAGACCACTTTAGTGCCCATAAAGGTGTCCTTCCGTGGTAGCATTGGGACCGAAGTGGCCTGACTGATAAGGTTCCACATGTTATTGTCTCCAAATACACAGGACATCTCAAGCTTGATGTGCGAAGTCTCAGTAGCTGAACGCATGTGAGGAAGGCACAAGAGCTTAGAGCATAAAGAACCCGTCTGATGACCCTCATCCCATCGCTACCTTCCACTGTACCTGTCAAAATGGCTTGGTGGCAACAGGAACGCCGCCAGAATACAAAGCCTTGTCGCAAAATCGGAACGTGTGCCCAATAGGTTCCTTGCGCGTTCGTAGATTGAATCGTTCAGTGGGAAGGACCGTTGCCTCGAATGTTGGCAGATGCCATTGGTTACCGGAAGTGAAGGACAACCCGGAGAGTGGCTGGAGGTCGGAAGCCTTGAGAAACGTTGTCTTGACTGGTCGACCTCTGTCAGTGACTGCGGACCTGGGTATGACTGTATGTCGTATAAACATGTCTACCAATATTGGAGGGACGTGGTACTCGTGGCGATCATGGACTTCATGGTAACAACCAGGTTTTCGGAAAGAGGCACAGATATCATCACTTTCTCCCAGCAATATGTTGGGTCAGGTGGCTTGCCGCTGTTCTGGTTCGGATCCTTGTTTCCATTCAAATTCTCCCATTGTTAGCGTATGCAGGCATAGATAGGAAAAAGGGGCTTACTCTGTCGACACATAGGGCATAACCCCTTCGCGGAGTCTTGCTGGATCCATGTCAAGAGGCAGTGCTGAATCTTGTAAGCTTCCGACAGCCGGGCAGATTCCGGAGTCATATACACACCATGTGGAATGAGTGGCCACATTTCCCCATCAACAAGGTACAATCGTCGCCTGGAAACTTGCATGTTGGGCAAGTCCCATCAAATTGCACACGACAAATGCCACAGACTTCATCTTCTGGCATATCCCATCGCCAGGTGGCGACGGCGTGCCATTTCTTTATCTTGACCTTCATCCTAAGTAGTGTCCAAGGGCAGGATAGGATTGACTTGGCCTTTTGGCAAAAGATTCATCAAGGTGGCTGGTGTTTGTCAACCAAATGTTGACGCGACGCAGGCCAGCGGCAACAAATGGGGACTAAGCGACTAAGTGACTGAACTGGCTTAGTGAACCAAAGAAGAAATATAGCCGAGCTACGAATCTGGTGAGGAGGATTGCGACAGTCAAAAAGGTGGAGTAATGGTGAGAGCAGCCGTACCAAGGTCGGCATAGATATGGACAACTGATCATAAATCACACTCAGGATTTCTAACTTCTGCTACCGGCGGCATTTTCTCTGCTCACTCATTCAGCCCACAGTTTCGCGGGCAACTTGTCTGCAGCCTCCTACTAGGCTCTTCTTGTTGTAGCAGTTCCAGTACCCCTGCAGCATGAAGTGATAAGCTATCACAGCTTCACCATGGTCACAAGCATCCTCGCGCGGCCTCTATGGCGGCAGCAGGCCCCTCTCCTCCGAGTCGGCACTCTACACCAGAAATCCTTCATCTTTCAGCGGCAACCCTTTTCCTCCTACTTTGTCACCCCCAAAGAAGTCAACGAGGCACTTAGTAAGAATGCTCCCACAGCTATATCTACGGATCCGAAAGTCGTCCCGATCTGTGCAGCCTGGTTCATGCCGAACGACCCTGAGAAGAGGACCGGCCTTGAGGTTTTCAAGAAGAAGAGAATACCGACAGCGAGGTTCTTTGACATTGACGAGATAAAGGACAAGGAGTCTGAGTATCCGCACATGCTCCCTACATGTGACGAATTTGCCGATGCTATGTCCAAGCTCGGTGTCAGGAAGCATGATGAGCTGGTCATCTACGACACTGAAGAGCTAGGATTGTTCTCGGCGCCTCGAGTTGCGTGGACGATGCGCGTCTTTGGTCACCCAAAGGTCCACGTACTCAACAATTTCCGTCTCTGGGTCAAGGAAGGCTATCCTGTCGAGACTGGACCACCTCAGGTTCCGAACATCACTAAATACCCAGTGCCCAGCTACAACACCGATATGGTTGTAAAGTTCGCCGAAATGAAGACGATTGGCTACGATTATGGAAAAGAAGGCGCCGAGGAGATCCAGATTTTAGACGCCCGGTCAAAGGGCAGATGGGAAGGGACTGACCCAGAGCCTCGACCTGGTCTCAAGTCAGGACATATGCCAGGCTCCACAAGCCTCCCGTTCAATGAGCTCCTTGACCCGGAAACAAAGGCATTACTTCCTAAAGAAGAATTGATCAAAATCTTCGAAGCTAAGGACATTGATTCCAAGAAGCCGATCATCACCAGCTGTGGCACCGGAGTCACTGCAGCCATCATTGAAGCTGCTCTCAAGGAGGCGGACTTTGGAACAGAGAATGACCGAAGGCTCTATGATGGCAGCTGGACGTGAGCATCCCCCCCACCTCGATTCCGCTCGGTTTACAAACTAATGTTGTTCAGGGAATGGGCCTTGCGCGTCTCGCCAACGAGTGGCCTCATCCAATCCAGCAAGACTTCAAAATGAGGCAGCGGCAGAGTGCTATTCGTATCTTTTCGAGGAGGTATTGAGCTTCTTCGTGCAACGAGTTCGTTACCGTATTCGACCGTGCGGTTGCTTGGGACTTGTATTGTTAGCGACGGCGTAACGGGGTTGATTTGCTCTCAGTCCATGATGAAATAGCTTAAGATCGTTCCAAAGTCCACTTCTCTCCTCCAGTCATGCCGTACAACTTCCATAGCAGCTTGTATCTCGTGTTCGAAAATGTTCATCCACTCCCTCCTGGAGATAGACACGGTAGAAATCCGATTGGCGGAGCGAGCTCGTTCCTCCGCACGAAATGGTCAAGCTCTGGCTGCAGCGCCTGAGAATTAAGTATCCATGCTCAATCCTTGACTCAAGTCTCGAGCGCAAAGCCATTCTCTTACCCGCGTCGGCCGCGTTTCCAAGGCTCTCGCAGCTTCCCGACTCTGTTTTAGTGACTCTGGTCGATGTCTCGGGGACATGACCCAAGTAGCTAAAGATGCGGCCAGATTTCTGAAGAGCACTCTACGCCTGCCTTCGTCGACATTTCCACCTCGACCTCGTCCTGCGGACATCGCCAAATACCTTCCAAAATGCACAGATGAGCTCTATGCCTGGCAGCGCCGCGAGAGGCCTGCTTCCAACACGTTCGTGCTGCACGATGGACCGCCCTATGCGAACGGCGATCTGCATGTCGGACACGCGCTCAACAAGATCATAAAGGATATAATCTGTCGGTCCCGGCTGGCAGAGGGCAAAAGAATAGACTATGTTCCTGGATGGGACTGCCATGGCCTGCCGATTGAGCTCAAAGCGCTGGAGCACCATGGCTGGGCGCGGGGACAAGGTGTTGATCCAGTGGCGATACGCAAAGCGGCGCGCAAGTTTGCCTACAAGACGGTTGAAAGGCAGATGGCCGGATTTCGGTCCTGGGGCGTGATGGGCGACTGGGGGAACCACTGGCTGACAATGCAGAAAGACTTCGAGCTGAGACAGCTGTCTGTCTTCCAGACGATGGCAGAGCATGGCTTGATCTATCGCAAGAACAAACCCGTCTACTGGTCGCCGTCGTCTGGAACGGCTCTCGCGGAGGCAGAGCTCGAGTATCAGGAAGACCATGTGTCCAATGCCGCTCTAGTCAAGTTCCAGTTGAATGGGGGAATTGGTTCTGTGGTTGAGCCCGTTTACGCATTGGTCTGGACCACCACCCCTTGGACCCTACCGGCAAACCAAGCCATCGCGATTCACTCAGGACTACAGTACTCCCTGGTCAGGTTGGGCCGGCATGGTTTGGTAATAGTAGCCCGGTCAAGGTTACCATATCTCGAAGAAACAACTGGAGAACAGGCTGAAATTGTGATGGAGGACATCCCTACGGGTGAAGTCCTGCAAAGCACTTACTCTGGCATTCAACAGCTAGCAACTGGCCCGGAAACGAGACCGATCATACACGCAGACTTTGTCTCTGCTGACAGTGGCACTGGCCTTGTTCATTGCGCACCAGGTCATGGTATGGAAGATTACGAGGCCTTGCAACCTCTGATCAAAAGCGGCATCGTATCTGTAAAAGCACCGGTCGACAATAGCGGCCGCTTCGACGATAGTGCGTCTCCGAGTAATCCCAGCATGCTTGCAGGAAAGTATGTCTTTAAGGAAGGGAACCAGGCCGTACTGGAAATGTTGAAAACAGAGAATCTTCTCGTGCACCAGCACAGCTACAAGCACAAGTACCCCATTGACTGGAGGACCAAGGAGCCTGTCATCATTCGTGCAACTGCACAATGGTTTGCCGATATTTCCAAGATCCGAGCCGACACCCTGAGCGCTCTGGACAGTGTGAAATTCTTGCCTGAAACGGGAAGAAGTCGCCTTCGGAGTTTCGTCGAGAACAGAAGCGAGTGGTGCATATCTCGTCAGCGTGCTTGGGGAGTGCCTATTCCTGCAATCTACCACAAAGTCACGGGCGAGGCGGTTCTGACACCAGAAAGCGTCACACACATCACCAATGTTATCAACGAACGGGGTATCGACGCCTGGTGGTCGGACGCACCCGATGACCCAGCGTGGATTAGCCCTAGCCTTGCATCCGACACCTCAGGCTTCGTCCGTGGCACGGACACGATGGACGTTTGGTTCGACAGTGGCACCAGCTGGATGTATATGCTCAAAGATCAAGACGATTCCCAGCCTCAGTCCAGACCGCTAGCTGATGTGTACGTCGAAGGCACCGATCAGCACCGAGGCTGGTTCCAGTCAAGCTTGCTCACCAACATTTCCTATCAGAAGTCTATACATCCGGATGCTTCTTCGTCCTACGCGCCGTTCCGCATCCTCGCCACGCATGGTTTCACGCTCGATGCACACGGGAAAAAGATGAGCAAGTCTCTCGGCAATGTGATTGCACCCGACCAGATCATCACTGGCATCGAGCCAGTTCTTAAGCCAACAGCTGCAAAGAAGCAGAAACGAGAGAACCACCCCCTGGGACCGGATGCACTGCGGTTGTGGGTGGCCAGTAGTGAATGGACGAAAGATGTGGTCATCAGCGAGAAGGTGGTTTCAGCGGTGCACAACGCACTTGACAAGTACCGGCTTACCTTCAAGATGTTGTTAGGCATGCTGGCAGACTTTGACCCGTCTATGGCAGTTTCTTACGATCAGATGTCACGACTCGACCAGATCGCCATGCACCATTTATACTCTGCAAGCACGGCAGTGCGAAGGGCATTCAGCGATTTGGAATTTCATAAGGCGGAATCCAGCATCTATCGCTGGGTTGCGATGGACTTGTCGAGTTTCTACTTTGAGGCGATCAAGGATACAATTTATTGCGACAAGCCGAACAGCGAGCGGAGATTAAGCGCCCAGACAGCTCTGCATCATATTTTCTGTCAGTTGCAAGAAATGTTAAGTCCGATCACTCCGTTGCTCGTCGAGGAGACTTGGGCATATTCCCCAGAAGCGTACAAGACAGGTGTGCAGCATCCACTGAAAAGGGTATGGGAGAATCTACCGTCAACGTGGTATGATCCACGTCTTCAGAGGACGCTCCCATCACTCATGGCCATCAAATCAAGTGTGAACGGGGCGCAAGAAGCCGCCAGAACGAGCAAACTGATGGGACAGTCATTAGCGTCAGATGTCACGCTCTACCTCTCAAGCGCCGTGGACGTGTCCAGCATTCCGGAGGAGACATGGAAGGAGATTTTGGTTGTGTCCGGGTTTCACATCTGTAGAGATGGGGAGCAACCCGGGAATGTGGAGGATCTGAATATGCAGGATGGGAGCGCATGGGCAAGGGCAAGTGAGATTGTTTCGACTGGTGGAGAGAAGCTGGGGGTTGCTCTTGTTCAGAGCCCTCAAAAGGACAAATGCTCAAGATGTTGGAAGTATGTGGTGGAATCCGAGGAGCCAGCAACAACGTCGGACTCAGCTGAGTTGGAGACCATGGGAGAGCCTCCTCTTTGTGAACGATGTACAGATGCTGTTGCTGCATTTCGCAAATGAGGCGACTGGACGGATCGAATGCAGATACCCTTGTGTCAATGTACCAATAGTATTATTACTGTGTATAGTTAGCTTGTACATCCTCTCTCCAATGTCTAGAAAAATTTGTGCCACTACCAAGAGTTTCCGTTTGTCATGGTACGAGGGGGATTGACATGGAGCGTTGCACTTCTGGGATGGTCGATCTTCGCGCCACAGAAGCAGGACAATCTCTGCTGGTCATGGGATTTTGACGTGAAGTGAGAAACACCAGGGATGAGTTCGATGTGTGGGGGAATGTGGCTGAACTTGTTAGCAAGTAACGAGGCTCCAATCGACAAACTTCTTGCTCGGGCTGGTGCGTCGTTCGATGGTGGTCGTATGGGAGATCAACGAGTGGTGATGATCAAGATCTGAGGACAAGAGCCATCGGATTCTGATACTCGTCCACGCAGTCCGTAATGTCTGGCTCCACGGTTATGTCTCAGCCATGGAATCTGATGCTCGACTTCTTGGTCTTTCGACGTCATGAAACGATGCATTCTGGATAGCTTGGGAGTCTAGCCTCCCGCGGTCGTTTGTGTTTGGGAGAGCATCATGCAGCTAGCCGTTGCTGGGGCTTGTACATCAAAGTCAATAGCTGCGGTGTGATGCGAGGAGTTACTTCATACCTGAGTACGGAGTCTGTTACTCGTATCCTGGCGAATCAACCACACTGAGGTCGTTCTCGTGGCCGAACCTGGTGTGATTGTTGGAGGAGATGATCGTACTGCGCGCGTGCGGTGGGTGCGCAGTTGGGGTTGAGGGGAGCAGCAGCAGCAAGGTACTGTACGAGCTCTCCCGGGTGCCACTAGAGGTACCCAGGTAGGTACCTAGGTATACTTTTGGTGGCGCGGTGGGAGTATCATAGGCGGGGCTGGACCTTGCTAACCCCCTAAGGTATAGGGAGTCAGCTGGGCGTGGCTGGTGCAGCAAGCACCGCTCTTGAATGGCCCGTTCGAAGAGTTTCGCCCCCTGGTCGATATAGCGCTGCCCCGCATCATGCAGAACTTTGACCTCATCGACAGTTTGCAATGTTTTTGCCCTTGGATACGGAGTTGCAGGCCAGTAAGTCACAGCCAGTCAGACGTCAATCGGCGGGTTCTAAATGCGCGAGAACAAGACACGGATGATGGGATGATGGGATGATGGATGATGATGGCCTCTGCCTGCATGAGCTCACCAGCCAACAGGCCGTCACAAACCAGACTGCTCCTCCTCCTCCTCCTCCTCCTCCTCCTCCTCCTCCTCCTCCGCCTGCCTTTTCGTCATCGTCACCTGTACTCGTATGCCTGCCATCGTCTCCTCAAATAGACCACCAGCGCCTTCCCAAAGCACTGACTCGTTCCTGGTCATCTTGTACTCTCGTATCTTTTGACTGCTGCCTTCTGACTTCTCTTCCTATTTTCGACCTTCATCTCAGCCAAGTCACACATCCCTCGACAGCGTTGACTCTTTCTACTTTACGCTCTGCACAAGTTGTGAACCAGTTCTCTCTGCCCTCTCTCGACTCGCCCTCAACATGCTTGTGCATCCAGACATGCTCACGGCGTTGACTCCCACCTCTTCGGTGGCTCCCCTTCCAACAGTCATCCCAAACCCCGTCATCACGGTCGAGGCCGGTGATGTCGGCAGGAGAACTCTCTGGTAGGTCTTCTCGACGCTGTCAACGAATCCAGCCACTGACAGACGCTCTTCAGGGTTGTTGTCGTCCTTATGGGCCTCTCCTCTCTTGCCTTCTATGGCATGGCTTTCCGTGTGCCTGTGGTATGTGAAGCCATGCCTGCGCCAAGCGAGCAGCCTCTTGCTGACAGACTCGTAGCAAAAACGCCTCTTCCATATCCTCACTTCATTCATCACCACCTTTGCCTTTCTCTCCTACTTTGCCATGGCTACCGGTGACGGTGTCAGCTACAATACCTATACCGAGACCATTCACCACAAGAAGGTCCCAAATACCTACCAGCCCTACCAGAGAGAGATCTACTATGCACGCTACATTGATTGGGCCATCACAACTCCTCTCCTCTTGCTCGACTTGTCCCTTCTTGCTGGTCTGAGTGGTGCCAACATCTTGGTTGCAGTTGTTGCCGATGTCATAATGGTGTTGACGGGATTGTTCGCTTCATTCGGCAGCAAGAGCAGCCAGACCTGGGGATGGTATGCCTGGGCCTGCATTGCCTACCTCGTGGTCGTCTACCAATTGGCCTTCAATGGGCGCACGGCGGTTGCCAACAAGGACAGCAAGACCAAGGCCTTCTACGCTTCTATTGCCGGTTTCACCCTTATTCTGTGGACCATTTACCCAATGTGAGTGATATGGCATGACGATGGTGCATTTGCTGACATCCACGCAGCGTTTGGGCTCTGTCTGAGGGCAGTCACGTCATCAACGTGAACCAGGAAATCATTGCCTACGCCGTTCTAGACGTGCTTGCCAAACCGGTATGAGTTATCTTCAATCGTACTGGATTTTTGACTGATTCGGTTTAGGTCTTTGGTTTCTGGCTCTTGTTCACCCATGATGGCATGGCGAGCACTTCTCCATCTCTTGAGGGCTTCTGGTCTCAAGGCTTTGGCAGCCAGGGAACTCTGCGAGTGGGTGACGATGATGAAGCATAAGTGCATCTACTGATCTTGTTCAGGTTGGTGATGACGACTAAACTGCTCATCTTACTCGTAATTACCAATGACTGTCGATCAGAAGATTGACGTGATTGAAGTATCCGCAACGGGGAAAAGGCAGGGGAATGGGGGAATGACAGGTGTGGCTTTTGTGGTGGTACTGAGGAACAACTCCATGATAGCGACGATATGCTCATGTTGCACGACCAACGGCTTTTTACATTTATCATGACAGGGGGTTACCAATGAGAGACGGTCTGCATTCTGGTGTTTGCGAGCTTTTGAGGGTTCGTCAGGCTCTACCGACCAATTGTACATCAACATCCTTTCGTTAAGGCATGATGGGAAAGGGCGTCAAGGTTGTTTGACCCAAATATTATGATTACTGAATTGAACTTACGCGGTGAACAATGACGCCGGATCCGAGCTTCTCTAGGAAACATCATGCAGCAGACCTGTAGGGAGCCGGTCACTCAGGACTCGCCCTTAATGATGTTCGAGCAATGTAAGCAGATGCTGAACATGTACGAGGATTGGTGACTTCCTTCCCCATAGAATCTGTGCGATCCTTTACGGATTCATTGGCGGATGTCTCGCTCAATCCCCGTGACTGTTCCTCTTTTGATTTGTTTTTGAGCCTCGTTGGTTTCGTCTCATCCATCTAATATTTCCTCCAACATTGTTTGTTCCATGCGAAGAAACACATCCACACACAACACCAGAATCTGTCAACACTCCTCCTTCCTATTCCCTGTCTCGTCATGCTCTTTTCCTTCTTCTGGTTCTGGCCTATCATGACCATGGCAGCCCTCATGCTTCACGGACCGGCCATAGCAGCTCAAGTTGATGTCCGGTGGGTTGATGGCTTTCCCTTTCGCTTCCACGTGGACTACTAGCAATGATTCTTGTGATACTGGCATGGCTGACATGGACACTAGAGCCGTGTCGACCAATCTTCCTGCTCCGGTTCCAAAAACATCCTCTACAGGAGGTTGTACCTATACTGCTTTCACCGAACCGGTCATTGCAATCGGACCGACCAAGACAGAGTACACGTTGACGACTTACACCTCGGCTCTGTACAATTGTGGTGGATGTTCCAACATTGACGTGGTCGTCCTTGGTCATATTTTTGTGGTATGTACAGAGCGGTGAGCAGTGAGCACTCTGCCACTCTCTCACAGCATCTTTCTCTTTCCATCATCACGCGTGGGTCTGTTGTTCACACATCCAGCCATTCTCATATGTGTACTTTTCGTACTCCTTTATACATGATGACTTTACTAACTTTCTCTGGTTTCCGGTTTCATGTAGAAAGTAAGCTTCACAGCAACCGTTACCGCTACGAATGCTACGACCATCACCACCGCTCGATGCAGCCCAACTCCTCCCCCTGCTTCTGCCTCTCTTGTGTCTACGTTTGGACATGGTCGTGGAGGTTGAACTGTGTTGTTCTGCATGGCCATTGTTCTTTAGAACCGGAATGGGAATAAGAACCACATTGTTATCGAGACGATCGACTCACTCGGCCACGTCACTTCTGTGACTGAGTTTTTTCCTTTAGGAAGAACACAGAAGACACAGTGGCCGTTGCATTCTCGAAGAGTCGAAAACATAAAAGCATAAACTTATCTTCTATGATATGCCACATTTGCGTGCCAGAATACATCGTTAGTGGTACCTTGAGGTGGGCTGGACTGATGCCAGACTCATTCCCTTACCAAACGTGCTGGTGCTGATTGGGGGGTGCCATGATGTGGTTTATGATATGAACATGGAAATCCGAGAGAGCTGGACAACAAACAAGCCATGGGTGTCGGTGGGTTGACCGAAGAACCTCAGAAACAGTGTGAAGACACTCAGATACGGTCATACCTCTTTCAGAAAGGAACAAGATGAAAGGAAGATGATTGCGACAGACAGTAGAGTCATCTCCCGTTCGTAGCCCACCAAGAATTGGTGGTTGAGAAAACAAGACACGGGGGGCCAGACGAAACCCAGTTAGAAGAATCTTATTATTTCCAGAAGCCCAGAAGGGTGTAGGAGGTGACCAGTCAATCATTCAATTGGTCTGTGGGCCGAGTTGCTGACCGCAGACTGTTGACCGCTAACCGCTGATCGCTGACCTCCTGAAGATCTTGATATCTCAAGCACAGTATCAGTTACATGGTAGTTTACCAGCTACTTACCTGATCTACCAACAAGTGGCAGGTACAGTAGTTTACCTGGGCAGTTAGTTTTTAGACGTGAATGTTACGAATGCGCTGAATGACATGATGTATAAACCTCACGTTGACAAGCACACTTTGGTCCTGGTCGTTCTTTTCGTTGTTCTTCTTCTTCTGCTGCTGTTGTCTTCACCATACATATACTCGTCGCGCGGAGTGATCAGCTGAAAGCATGTGGTCACTGGTTGATGCCGAAGCCCAAACTCAGAGGGCGACAAACTTTGACCACGTGATTTCGGGCGAAAACAGCCACGAATACGAATACGAACAAATATCCGGGGCAAGGCTCCATATTCTCGGACTTTTGGCTTGACGAGGCTGAGGGTGATTTAAGAGTCCAATTGGCGTTGCGTGCTATTCGGCCTAGGAAGCCCAAACATGACATGCGCTGCGATCCATCGCAACCGCCGACAAAGTCCACTTTAACAATCAAACATACAACACTGTGCGGAGTACGGAGTACCAGATCATCCATCCCCTTTGCTTCCCACGTTTCACAATATACACAACGTTGAATTACTTGAATTCCGAGACATTTACAATATCCACAACAAACTTTCCTACTAGGCCTTCTGCAGTCACAACGCTTTTCACTCGACACTTTTCGGCCCCAACCACCCTCGAACCCGGGCAGCTTCTACAACCACAGTGACGCCGGACATCGATAATCAGAAACCGGAAATAAGAACAAAAGGCGGATTTGAGTTACTGGTTGGGGCCTGCGGGGCGTCAAGCTCACGCATAACGAAAACCTGGAATGCGAAAATCTGTTGGGTGCGCTCCCACTCACTCTTCAGTCAACATGTTGGTGCAAGAAATGGTACTCGACAACGACTCGAATCAGTCACGCGATATTTACGGGCGACATTTTGTACCCATGTCCAAGAATGCCCGATCAGACGTCTCATTCCCTCTCGCTCCGCCTCGAACCCGCGCCCCTTCGATGGCATCGACTGTAGATTTGGGAGAGAAAGACGGACAGTCCATGGGGGTGTTCACTATCAGAGCGACAGACTCGCCTGTGCCAGAAACTATGCGCCACGAGCGGGAAAGGGACAATCGTGTCCCGGACAAGACTGGAGAACCGCGGCCGTCGCTGCAAAATCTTCCGTTAGAAGTACAAGGTAAAATCCTCGACTTTATCTTCGGAGACATGCATTCGGTCTATGCTGGGTCTACTTCTCTACGCGGCAAAAGTGTCTCTTCTTTAATGCGCCATCCGAGGAGGAAAGCAGTCTCAGATTTTGCGCTGGTTTCCCCAACATGGAGGGAATTGGTGCAGGAACGAATATACCGCCATATCAAAATCAAAGGGACGAGAGCCGGGCTGGATGAAACCCAGGAATTCTTTCTGGAACACATGCATCTGACCAAGTATGTCCGACATATCGAGTTCTGGGTACCCGTCTGGGGCGACAAGGCTTCACTTGACGACCACATATACAACCCTCTGAACCCTCTCGGCACGGATCGCAATACCAATCTGCATCTCGCAAATCATGTTCATGAAAACCTTCTCCCTGTGAACGACTTCATCGGTTACAGTTTCAAACTGTGTGCGGCCTCGGCAACTCTATCCCAAATGTTCAGCCTTGTCAATTGCTTCTTCTCTAATGCACGGGTATTTACACTCGAAGGAGGACACTGCAAAAAGTCCAACATGATTCGTCATTTCCCCCAAACGTTGTTCCCCGACCCCAATCAGCGCCTGGAAGAACTGCACAACATTCGGACTTTTGCTATGCGCGGAGCCTGGAATATTATGCGCAGTTACTCGCATTGGAAGACCATCGAAGCTGCATTACCGAATGTCGAAGAGTGGCACTGTGGCTATGCCAAGCCTAGGTCAGAAGCAGACTCAACCATCGATGCCATTTTAATCAATCTCCCTCCCCAGTATCGACACGTCAACATCTCCCTCGACGGGATGTACAGCAAGGATCCGACAACGCTTGGCTCGAGTCATCATCACGGACAGTCACATCTGTGCGAGCGACTGGGAAACGTCCTGCCCCAACTCGAGTCATTGTCATACACAGGCAAGGTCTGCGATTGTCTGTGGAGTAGTGCGTTTTCGGCACTCTCACAGAGCAAGGCCGAACCTCGACTCAAAGCGCTAGAGATCGTAGTCAAGTCTTGCTGTCGGCAACGCGTTACAGACACCGACCTCGAGACCGGCGAAACCATCTATCACGAAGCAGGTGGCGCAGGGATTACAAATCTGATCTTCATCCGCTCGTTTGAACGTTTGGTCATGAAGACGGTCGAGGCATTACCCCTTTTCCCGCAGCTCAACTATGTACGAATACGTTTTATCGACCTCGATTCGCCCTGTACCTTGCTTAATCCCTACTGGCAACTCGAAAATGGGAAAGTATCTGGCATCTGGAACGAACAGATTGTAGAGAGATTGGCGGAGTTGCGTCCGGACATTGGGTACATCGAGCTGAGCGATGGGATCGAGCCGGCAGGTTGGCATAAGAGGCCGAACTTGCCTACAGTGACGGGCACTGGGGGCCGACACTTTCAAGATGTGCCGACCAGCCCTCTGAGTGTCACTGATGCCGTTGTTGGTAACGGATGCAGTTTGTATCCGAAGACCAAGCCGAAGAGCATCAAAACGAGTAGTTACAAACTCGTTGCTGAGTCGCGGGGAAGCTGACTAGGTGAATAGAGAGAATTTCCGCCAGGTAGCTGGGATGGCGACGACGAACGAGCGTTCACGGGCACCGATTTTGAGGAGTCCTGGGAGGTTTAAGTGCTTCTTTGCACGCTATGACCAGCGGCGTGTTGTGACTGCCGCCTGGCACGACGTTATGCATGGCGTTTTGGCTTCATATGAGATCGAATAGCGAGAGATCGTGTATGTCACATGGCACAGCTTTAACGGTGACATGTGGGCTTTGTGTTTGAGACGGATCAGATAGGGATATGGGCTCGGACAGAGATATGGGAGGCGTAGCAGGGAGCTTGATTCTTGGAGCGAGGCACTCATGACCGCGCAGTTCGGGTGATTATGCTGTGCAAATTTGGATCAAATGATGACGAGTTGCTCATGACATGCTCAAGGCCTGCGCCACATTCACTCGATCTGGACTCGGTCGTAGTTATCGGACCGTGTTGAATATTCAATAGAATACGAAGCACATCGAAGTCAAGAATGAGCGAGATTTTTATACCTGTTCCACTTTCCGGAGTAGAGAAGACCGCAGTTGCTAGTATCAATTAGGTTGGAGGCATGAAGCCTGCTGTCAACAGCACCGCAGACTTGATGATCGTAAATCATACCTGGCTTGGACGGAGAACCTGCAATATCGACTTATGTAAGCAAGGCTGGATCCGAATTATGTCCCCTTCACGCTATGCGCCCCAACTCCAAACAAGACGGATACTTCCTCCTCAGACGATCTTCCTGCTCCCACCACAAACTCACGAGGTCCAAGATTCCGACACGCAACATATCAGTTGCTGTCGACCTTGATCCCTCTACCCTGCCTCTCCAGTAGGGGCTCCGCGGCATGCAAACCACACGATGACCTCGCACAGCCGTTCCCTCTTGACCTCTCCGACTTTGATATTCCTGTTGGCCTTCCTCCTCCGAGCTATCCTCCTTGTTTATGGAATCTATCAAGACTCCGTGTCGGCGCTGAAGTACACAGACATAGACTACTATGTCTTCACAGACGCTGCCCGAGCGGTTTCAAATGGATCTTCACCGTACGACCGAGCTACGTATCGGTACACCCCTCTCCTTGCCTGGATCCTCCTTCCGACGAGCTGGGGTGGGCTATGGTTCCATTTCGGCAAAGCCCTGTTTGCCCTGTCTGACCTGATAGCCGGATGGCTTATACTGCTACTGTTGAAGAGGAGGGGTCTTGAAGAAGGCAGAGCGCTCAAGTATGCCAGCGTATGGCTTCTCAATCCGATGGTCGCCAATATCAGCACCCGTGGGAGCAGTGAGGGGCTCCTGTGCGTGTTGGTCATGGCAACACTGTGGGCTTTTGAAACTAGAAAGACACTTCTAGCAGGTTTGCTGCTGGGGCTGAGCGTACATTTCAAGATTTACCCCTTCATCTACGGTGCGAGCATGCTTTGGGCGCTCGATTCGACCGCCTCAACTTCTGGCGCATCAGGCGTCCTCCAAAAAGCGGTTCAATTCTTCCATGCTAAGCGCTTGTTACTCCTGTTCACCTCAACCTCGACCTTTGCTGCACTCAATGTTCTCATGTACAATATCCACGGTTTTCCCTTTCTCCAGCATACATTCCTCCACCATCTTACTCGGATCGACCATCGACATAATTTCTCGCCTTACAATACCCTTTTGTACCTGTCGTCAGCACAGTCTGCAAGTCACAATCCAGCAAGCTCGTCGTTGTCCTTTGAATCTTTCGCCTTTGTACCACAACTTCTCCTATCGACTCTCCTGATCCCCATCACCGTTGCCAAGAAAGACCTGTCCAGGACAATGCTCGCTCAAACTCTAGCATTCGTCACGTTCAACAAAGTGTGTACATCTCAATATTTCCTCTGGTATCTCGTCTTTCTTCCACTATACCTACCGGACTCGGGCCTAATTCGATCACCGAGACTGGGTCTGACAGCACTCGCTCTCTGGGTGGCCGGTCAAGCCGCGTGGCTACAACAAGGCTATCAGCTGGAATTCTTGGGGAAAAGCACGTTCGTCCCCGGTCTGTTTGCAGCGAGTCTTGCATTCTTCGTCGTCAACTGTTGGATTTTGGGAGTTATCGTCTCCGACGAGCGTGTAGTAGTCAAAAGGCACGTCAGAATCGACAAGTCGCAGCGTGTGCTGGTCATGCCACCTGTGTTGGAGACCGCTACCGCTAGCTCTGTGGCCAAGGAGAAAACCCCCGTGCGAAGAACGCGTGGGAACAGCAGTGTCGACACGAGCGATATTGCAAAGATACATTTGGGCCCGAGGAACCAGGTGCTGAAAAGTAACTAGATGCTGTATAAATACCTGGCAAAAGTCTCTCGAATGCCAGGGTGCTTTATATGAAGGTATCCACGCTATATGATATTTTAGTCCCGTTGCTCGGGTGTCCTCAGGCCGTAGGGCAACTGAAATGATTAGACGGCTACTTTATTCCGGGTGACAAAACGTGCTCGAATTGTTGTACCTTTGATGTCTGTATAGAGTCTTGAAAAACATGGCCATATCGAACTGAACAGTAATAGTACTCATTTCAAACTTGTCAACATAGTCCCTACAAATCATTGCGTTCGGATCTTCACAGGGAATACAAGGGCTTGGAGTGAGACATTCCATGGGCAAGAATTGGCAAGAATAGCCGAGACGAGGCTAGTTACACGAACTTCCAACCACCATCAACGGCGTGGGACAACAATTGCAGTTCCTTGGATATACAGTACAACCTAGACTTTACTTTTTTTAATCGTTATTACACCAGCTTCTTTCATCTCTTGGAAAATCGACAGTTCACAGATGGCCGGGCAAAAGAGACGGCACGACGGCATGGAAATCGATGCCCAACAGTCCTCATCGCCATACATCTCGATATTCGAAACTTTTCGGACAGAGTTGGACGAACACCATGATCGAAGAGAGAGGATCATCAAAGTATCGCGAGACGTCACGGCACAGAGCAAGAAGATGTGAGTTGCCTCCATGAGACTTTCCTGTAGCTAACGTGAATAGAATCTTCGCATTACAAAGGTACGCAGTCGCACAGCGAAAAGCAACACCACTTCTTTCTATCTTCCTCCCCCAGCATCTGCGCTCCAACAATGAATGACCGGGGTGTTTATTTTCTTGGAGAGTGTCGAAAATCACTTGACAAGTTCAAGTCACCTAGTATTCTCTCTACGAACACAACACTTTCTTTGTTTTTGAGGATTCATTCTAACAGTCGCAACAATCCTCTCCCTGACCTTTGATGACTTATTTTGTGTAGAGTCCGCGAAATCAACCGGCCGATCCACGCCGGCATCTCCAAAACCACGACGCCAATGTACGCCACGATCCGCCAGCTGCTGCAGTCCATCGTCCCCGACCTGCAGGGCCTGAACGCCCAGCGGTACAGGGGGAACATCTCCGGCGGGATCCAGGAGTACATGGAAGCCGTCCTGTTCCACCATTACCTCGAGCACCGGACGCTGATGGGCTTCGAAGACGCGCAGGGACACCTGCCCGAGGGCGTGCTGCTCACGTACGAGGACTACGCGCTCGGCGTGTTCGACATGACGGGCGAACTGATGCGGTTCGCCGTCACGTACCTCGCGACCAACGGACGACTGCCTGGCGTCGGCGGCGGCGGCGGCGGCGACGACGACCAGCGGGACGGGTCGATCCTGGCTGACCTGCAGCGTCTGAGGAGCGAGTTGGAGCAACTGGATGCGAGTGGCAGTTATTCCCTCAACAAGGAGTTTGCGATGAAGATGAAGACCACGAGGGCCAGTGTGGAAAAGGTCGAGAACGGCGTGTACAGCATGATTGTCCGCGGGAAGGAGAGGCCAAAGGGGTGGAGACCGGATCTAGGTGAGGATCGAGATAGGACCGAGGTCGAGAGTTATTGATCTTGTCTGAGTCCTTCTTGTTCTCATATTGGCAGACCAGATGAAGCTCCTCGCCGTGAGAGACACTGTCACTACTTGTACGATCAACACGGGTTTGCCAGAGCCTCATTGGGCTTGAAAAAGCATCGTAGGCTCATCGAATGTGATCCATGCATCACACAGGGATCTTAATGCTCAGTAAAACAGGTAAAATCTACGAGGGCACACGAATTATGTAGGAAGTGTGTCAAAATGCTGGGCTATGTTGTGAGCTACTGAAGCATTTACCTGACTGCTGATTGTTGTCGACCTTGCTGACGATACTCCGACGACTTGCACCGATATCTCGAACAGGAAGAAAAACACATGTCACTGTCTCCTTTCGTTTGTTTTTTGTTTTACCTTGCGGTGGGTTTACTCCTTGAGAGGATTCTCATCAGCTTCCAAAATTCCCTCTTTGACGAGTTGTTCTGGCTTGGGTCTCTGCTGGATCTTCTGCTCCAGGCTGTCCGCGCGCATGTGCTTTTCGAGACTGCGTTGGTTGGCCTGAAGGGCCGGCGCGGCGGTTGACTCGGGAAGAATGTTTCCTAGAACTCGAGTGTCAGTGCTTGCTCACGGGATGTCGACGGCGACGGGGATTTTTTCGTAGATCTTACGCTCGACCAGTTCCTCTCGATCCGGTCTCTTCTCGAGGTGCTTCCTCAGGTTGTCCGACTGTTGTTGTCTCTCGAGCTCGTGCTGCTTGGCCTGCAAAGATCTTGGGGGGCCGGTCAGCCGGGTGGAAGACTCTAAGAGAGAGTGGGCGGCCGACGTAGAGGAGACAACACTTACGGAGCAGCATTGGTGTCGAGGAGGATGTGTCTGTTCTTCAAGTCCTGGGCGTCAGGACGCAACTGAAGGTGCTTCTCGAGAGAGTTGCGGCGCTCGATGGGTGAGATGGGAGTCTCGTCGACCTTGAGATCCGGGGTTGTGGCCTCGGTGAGATCGTTAGACATGGTTGTTTACTATGCTCTTCTTCGTCAGGTGGAAATGGAGATGGTATGGGTTTCGCAGAGGGATCGGTCGAGGTGGGCAAGGACAAGATGCGAGTATAAGTTGTCAGAAGCTGAGGAACAAAGGCCAGGCCCTGTGACTGGGATTGGGCTGGCTGACGTCGCAGTCTTGCTTTGATGACTTTGCAGGGGATTCGACGGTTGCCAATGACAATACGCTCTGTCTGGAACGAGTCCCGGCCCTGCTGATCTCGACAAAACAACAAAGTGCCCCGCATCAGCCGCCTACATCATAGTGGGGGATGAACCTCTTGTTAGGCACCAGGCCGCTAGTGATGGGCTCTAGAACGCCTAAACTAACAAGTCAACCCACTAAAATCTTAGGGGCCATTCTAGCCCAGAGACCGTTTAGGTGCTGCTAAGCACTGCGCATCCACGCGCGTTAAGTTCATCCATCCAATATCTCAGCAGCTGCAGGAGGTGTTTGCCTGCGGTCAATAACCTACCTACCTACACTCCAAGGTGGAATGTCCCTCGACTAGAAACACAATGATTTTCGCCTCCAAGCCATGACACCTCACACATCTCATCCAATGCTGTCACCATGTGGATCCTCGAATCGAACGGCGACTTTCTTCAAGGCAAACGCATGTGGTTGAAGCCTGGCCAGAAATATTTGTTCGGACGAGTACGCAAAGATGGAGTGCTTTTCGCCATCGACCACAAGACAGTCTCCAGGAGACATTTCGTTATAGAGGTGGACAACGTCGCAGATGGGGATGCGGGCAATATACATGCAAGAACGAAGATCCGGATCATCGATCAGGGCTCAAAGAGCGGCACGACGGTCAATGGGGACCAACCCATGAAAGGCTCCTCCAAGGAGTTGAAGTACGAGGAGAACTCGGTCCGACCAGGTAACTTTCCGCAGGAAATCATAATCAAGTGGCAACCATGTGTTCTCACCTTCAGTCTACTCAAAAAGGAGATCAAATCTGGGGTGCTTAAGACCAAGCAGGCAAAGGTCCAGAGCCTCGATATCAAAGCCACGAGCGACTTCCTTCCCGAGCATACCACATATGTGATAGCGGGCAAGCGGAACACTGCCAAAGGGCTGCAAGCGTTGGTCACTGGGAAACATGTGGTGACTGAGTCATACGTCGATGCGCTACAGTACGCTGCAACACCTCAAAACATCAGTCAAGAAGAAAACTTGTCCCCGTTGGAAAGCGATTTCGACACAGCCTGGCCAGATCCGAGAGACTATCTCCCGCCTCCAGGGAAAGAGCCCACCATCAGGCCCGCAGAAGCATACCAACCGGATTCATTGCGAGCCACAATATTCGAAGGTTACACCTTCGTCTTTCTCGATCAAACGCAGTTCGACACCTTGTTACCCGTCATCACAAGTGGCCATGGCAAAGCGATGCTGTTCAAAGCAACCATCGGTGAAACCACCTCTTCTCATCTTATCGAATTTCTTCGGAATGCTGCGGGACATAAAGCGGACGGACAGAACGACCAGGCCTCTGAAGGGAAGGCTATATTGGTCCGGTGGTCTGGCAAAGATGACATCCAAGATTTTATGAATGAACTAGTGCGCGACACTGCGCTGAAGATGGACCAGCGAGCCATTGAGCAGTCCGAATTCTTGGATGCCATCCTTGCAAACGATGCTGGACTTCTGCAACAGAGCATTCCCTTTGAAAGCACAGATGATGGGAGAATGGCACCCCCAAACTCTGTCGTTACTCGACACTCTAGTGAAGTGCAAGAAAAGGCTATCACTCAGAGATCTGATTCCGAACGACCTCGATCTGCTTCGACTACGGGCAAGGCCGCTGCAGACAAAGAGGGAAAGCAGGCATCTGGCAATCCCGATCGCAACGCCACAACTACCCAAACATCTGTCCCGTCTCAGGAAAGCAGTAAGGCCGAAAGCGCTCCTAAACCATTTTCCGGACCTCGGTTTTCTCAAAAGACTGGGTTCAAGTACTTTGATGATGCTTTTGATCCTGATGAAATTATTGATTACGAAGATGACGAGGCGGATGCAGCAATGCCCAGTCCTGAAACCCTTCTCCAGACATCCGATATCAAAGAAGAGCCTCAGACGGAGAGGAAGAAGCGTCGTCGTTCTCCGACTCCGGATGACGATGATGCGTTTGATGAAGAGATAGATAACCTCCTACCTGCGGCTGCTGCTTTCAAACGACAAAAACTCGCTGAAGGCTCTGGACGAGTTGCAACAAGAAAAATGGAGGCAAGCCATGCGACTGCTAAGAAAGCAAAGAAAGCACGCGAAATTGATGTTCTGGAGGTGGTGAAAGCGCAACGTGATGAGCGGGAGAAAGCTGCACAACAAGAGCAAGAACATCTAGAAGCCATGGGTGATATTGAAGATAAAGGCCCTGCCAACCTCGTTACTGTGGTAAGCATCCAATTGCCTCTGAGAGAGCGATCCAAGAATATTGGCAAGGTCAATGGTGTTCAAACCGAGGATTGGGATCCAAAATGGAACGGTCGCAAGAATTTCAAGCTATTTCGTCGCAAGGGCGAAGCTGTACAGCGAAGAGGCCATGCTACGAGAGTCATCGTACCTGTCGTTCCAGTGCAGATGGGTACTCACGGCTTGGGCGAAGAGTACTGGCCCAAAACAAATGAGGAGAAAGAGCGAGAAAGAGAGCAGAGGCGAAAAGAGAAGTCCAGGAGCCAAACGCAGCAGTCGAGTGGTACTCTTAGTGGAAGATCTCGAACCAGAATAGTTGTTGAGGAGGAGGACGATGATGAGGACGAAATTGGAGCGGACGAAGTTCAACATCAGAACGAGTCGACCGGTCCTGCCGCAATTCGCTTACAGCAAGAAGTTGCCGAGATCGTCAACCATGGAATTGATCCCTTTACACCAAGACGGACTCGTGCTTCTGACAGGAGTCAGACCGCAAGTCATGTTGCCACTACGCAATCGAGTGTTCCTCCATCATCGCATGCCAAGGGGAAGAGACCTGCTTCTTCTGCTCTTGAGGCGAATACATCGAAGAGGCAGAGGACACTTCCTGTCAATGTTGTGCGCGGCAGTGATGACGAGGACGACGACGACAGTGACGATATGAAGTTTCGATTCGGCTCGAGGGCGCGTAGGGCCAGGGCAACTACAAAAGACAGATAGATGATGGAAAGATTCTGGGCGGCGTTTGAGCGACTTGTTCTTGAACGTGCGTATACCATTAAGCGTTTAACCTATCGAGAACAAGCATTTTGTGTCTTAGTCAGTGAAACATTTTTTTGGGTTTCTTTAATCCAACAGATTTAATTCTAGCTAATCCAAAGGTGCCGTGGCGGTCCTCCACGATCGAAGACCACAAGGCTGTCACCCCTGAAAAACGTCAAACTACAGTACTTCCACTATTTTATCCATCAACTCAGGTCAGGAAGCAATTGTCCGTACGAAGTCACCGATTTCTGATTCTTATATTTATTCTTACCGGCATGTAAATTGCGTAGCCTTTTTGACCCTTTGGGCCTTTTCACAATCGTCTATAGGTCCTGCATCGCCTTGATCGACGATGACGTACTCCGTCGGAGCTAAGTTCTTCCATTTCCGCCGGTCGTCGCGCATATGCCATCCAATACCCTGACCACAACTCAAAGGATCCCCCCTCTTCCTCTTAAGAGGGGAGCATATTGTATCTGCCTCGGGTATCGTATTCTCTTCTTCCGTTGCCTTCACACCCTCGATCCCGTCGCACGATGCCTTCAGCGGTATCACAGAGTCCTCCGCCGTTGCGGAAATGGGAACGACCTGCACGGACGAAGTACGATTTGGACTGGGCAGATATAGAAGTCATTGATTTATCGACCTTTGACGAGCCCGGAGGGAAAGAGAAGCTCGCCGACCAGCTGCGTGATGCTGTACGTCGGCGTCCCCGCCTCGACCCTATCATACCTACAACGGGATGGGCTCTCTGTTTTCCCAATTGACACTGACGCGTTTTGAAATGAACCATGGTGTAGGTCCACAAGACGGGATTCTTCAGCGTCACGGGCACGGGCTTGACGGAGGACGAAGTACAGCGCCAGTACGACATTGGACAAGGGTTTTTTCGACTTGCCGCTTGAGAAGAAGAATCTACCGGAATACCGATGCGATTTCGCCGAGGGCAATTTCTTCGGATATCGGGCTGTACGTATACACAAATCGTCCGTCCCTCTTGAGGGCCTGGACAAAGAGAAGTGATAATGGTTTGTGGTTTGTGAACAAGCTGACTATGACTCCTTTTCCTGTTGGTTTGAATAGGCTTACGAGAAGAAAATCATGTCGACGGACGTGACGAACATTGAAGAGTCGTTCAACGTGCCCAAGATCATCCCGGAGTACGAGAACGAAGTGCGTCATCCGTTCTTCGACCCATATCGAGCTGAGATAGCGGGCTTTTCGAGGGTAAGTAAGCCCATCTAATTCCTTGTTGGGTTCCGTGAAGTTGTGCGTACAGGCTATCTTGACCGCCACACACACACACACACACACCTCTCACCTCACCGTACTTCAGTTCTCCTGTCGTTTTCCCTTGCTTCCTTTTTCCTTGCTCGACGAATGAAACTGTGGAAGAACACTAATGGGGTCGTTTGGTAAGACTTGGTGGTTTTTGGTGCCCTTCCAGTCCATGAGTTGTTCGAAGTTGCTTCTCGCTAACGCACACACGGTGGTTTAAATAAAAAAATAGAAAGCAATGGCCATCGCGTCCAAGATCTTCACTCTGTTCTCCATCATCCTCGAACTGCCGCCGTCGTACTTTGCGGATCGCCACGAGTACGACTCCCCCTCGGAAGACCACCTTCGGTACATGACGTACCACCCGCGCTCGGCGGCGGACGACGCCAAGGTCCAAAACACCTGGTCCCGCGCGCACACGGACTTCGGAAGCCTCACGCTGCTGTGGAACCAGAACGTCGCGGGCCTCCAGATCAAGACGGCCGCCACGGGCCAGTGGAAGTACGTCCCGCCCGTGCCCGGCGCCGGCGCCGGCGGCGACGACGACAATGCCGGGACGGCCATCATCTGCAACGTAGGCGACACCCTCTCGTTCTGGTCCGCGGGGTACCTGAAGAGCACGACGCACCGGGTCGTCCGTCCGCCCGAGGACCAGACCGGGGCCGACAGGCTGGGGCTGTTTTATTTCGTGAGGCCCGGCGACGACGTCGACATCAAGCCCGTCGCGAGCCCGTTGTTGAAGAGGCTCGGCCTCGTGTCGACGTCGGACAAGCCGGGAGGAGGAGAAGGTGACAGACCGAAGATCACGGGTAGGCAGTACGTGCGTGAACGCGTCAAGAATTATCATAACCACGGCGACTATGCCGATATGAAAGGGAAGAAGTTCCAGATTGGTGGTTTGGAAATCGAGGATGAAGCGGCTTGAAAAACTGGAACACGTGTCTCAGTTTCTGTGCTGCCTCGATGTAGATGTAAAACGGAAATCATCACGTTTTACTTGTTAGAGAAGCTTCTCGTCGTTAGCCTTACGTGGTACTCGGATGACTTGCAACTCAAACGTCGCGTATCAAATATGTACCTTTCTCACAGATGGTCCTCCACCGTCTTTCCATTGCCTTAGCATTTGAGTGTGCCTCCGTAATCTAGCGCCAGATCCTCTATTGTCACGATATATGCACATAGATATTGTACCCCAATTCCAAAAGGAAAGAAAATGGGGATAGATAAACAATCGATTAGCCTCCCTTAGATACTCTTCATCCCTCAGGCATACCCATTGTTAGGTCTGCTGTAGTCGAAGCCGTGGTAAGGTAGAGGTGGCTGAAGAGGCATCGTGGTTTCGCCTGAGGGGCCGTGGTCATCCTCTTGGGACAAGATCATGTCGCCGTCCCTGTACGAGCCAAGGATAAAGTACCAGCTGTAGCAGAGGACCAGGACAAGCGCCATGAGCAGGGCGTCGAAGACGAACAAGGTCCACTCGTGCGTGAAGAAGTAACCCCTTGCACCCTCGGCAAACTCGATGACACGGACAATGTTCCGGACCGAGATGATGACGCTCACCACGTACAAGATCCAGAGACCCAGCTCCCATCTCATGCCCGAGAGTGCTTTGGCGTGTCTGGAGCTGACGCGTCGGTGCATGCGGAAGTGCCACTTGACAGCGATGAACATGAAGAAGAAGAATATCACGACTTGGAGGATGAGGCCGGCCAAGGCGATGTCCTTGCCCAGGTTCTGCTTGTCCTTGTCGTCAGACTTGGCGTTGCTGAGGATCGCGGCACCGATAGCTTGGACAAAGAAGCAGAGAATGTCGCTTAAGACGAAGATCTTGGTGAGCCAGGTGATGCGGACGGGGGACAGGTGAGTGCACCCCGTGGCTCGCATCAGGCGCCCAAGTGTCATGTACACGGCCGCCGCGAACAGGGCGGGTGCAACGAGAATGAAGATCTGCTGCGCGGCATAGAGATAGAGCTTGTCTTGGTGGCGAGAAGACAGGTCTCGGAAGACATACCCAGCGACCTCGACTGTGGTGTTTTAGTGTTAGTCCGATGTGGAACAAGGAGATGCAGCGAGGAAGAAGGATGTGTGACATACGGAGCGCCCCAAGTGCGTATGGCAAGCAGAACCAGTATCTTCGTATGATGAGGAGAATCAGATGGGCAATGGCGAGGATGGCAAAGACAACAGCTGCCACGTCGGCGAGCTTCCGAGAGGGATCGTACAGCCAGTATTGTTGATCGTCTTCGTCGTCCGAGGAGGCTCTGGCCACTTTGACCATCGAAAAGGTCGAGTCGATCGGGGTTCCGAGAGGCATTTTGTGCTTTGAATCTGTTTAACTCGTTTCTGGGTTGAAGCAAAGACTGGATTCTGTCGAGGGAAGACCTTGATGGAAGATATACTTGTTGAGAGACTGAAGCTTCGCAGGGCTGAGCTTGATACCCCAGTCATCTTGGTCCGCGCTATAGCCTAGCAGGAAGTACTCTGCCATGCTTCTCGCAGATCCAGACAAGTTTAGTAACAATACGTCACCGGGGATCGGCGGAGCAAGGGAGGCTCAACGGCTTATTTAGGTTGAAACGCTCCTAGGCGACAAGGTGTTGGTGCGGACTAGCTCCTGCGTTTTTAGGAGTTATGATGTTTCGCTGTTGGGGGCGTCGTATAGATTCGACCTACCGTAACGAGAAATTGCAAGACAGAGTTAGCAACAAGCTCTTACAAACAAGCTCTCTTGTAACGAAGCTTCTTACAACGAAGCACATGGCGTATGTCCTGATACGGGGAGTACTGTCAATGCATGGAGGGCCTGATAAAGCTCGTATAATTCGTATGATCTGGGTGGGCGATTGAACGACATGCGAGCGCTGCATACATCAGTATCCGGAAAGTGATCAGCAGTGGGCCATCGGATGTTAAAACGAGGACTCGAGAAGCACCAGTTAAAAGATACGACGGGCTCCATAGCGAGAGAGTGAGAAGGATCAGTGGATGAAGGTGTTTTTCCTAGCTTCATGTTAACGCCAACAGGCAAGAAGATTGAATCCACAACGAGGCTCATGAGGCTGCGCTTGTCCTATTTTGTAAGTACCAGATTTCAGGCCTCCAACTCCCTCCCCGTTTCTTGACAACACCAACTGACAACTACTGATCCCCAAGCCTCACTGTGGAGTTGGTCGTATCTTTTGACTGATGCTTCTGGACACACGATCAACAATCATCACCATGTCACTGCCATCTTTTCGTGGCTTGACGAATGTGATAGCAATCCCTTTTGCTGGCCATGGTTTCGGCTATCGACACGACCAATACGAATAATGCTATCATTATTGCTATCATTGCTTCCTGGAATACCCCCTGTTTTCCCTGGTCTTGTTCTCCCTTGGCATTTTTGGTCTCTCGCTTTCTCACGAAATGACCCAAGAGATCAGCCACGCGTATTCCGCGAATTGCAGCCAAGCGTAGCAGCAACCAAGAAATCCAGAAACAGCTCTTTGACTTATATGGTGACTACAGTGGATTTGCTGCTGACTAGCGCTTGTCGCAATGGCCAATCATGAAATCCATCCATCTCCCTTTCAAGGAGGATGGGAAGATCTCAACTGCCATATCCAGGGTGGATGTGCGAGCCATGCGTCAATGCCCTGGCAGCTACGAGTACGAGCCCGGAGTTGGTAATGGCCCGCACCTCAGCTCTACGAGACTGTGTCTTGATCGTTCGCGCTTTGTCACTTGCTTCAGGAACAACCTGCGGATGTCCTGCTTCCTCGTACCTGACTGCGCCCAAGCTCTGCTGTCTTCCCAGCCCGTCCACCACGGTTGTCGTCCCACACAGGCAACTTTGGTCACAGTTCTCTTCCGTCTGCATTCCAGTCCGCTCCCTCTGAAGCATAGCTACCTGGGGTTGTGTGTGCTCGGGGGCACGCTTGGTCCAGCGTCGTCATGACCTGCGCGCACGGCGTGGCTCCCATCTTGCTTCCTCTCACGAATGTCACAATCTCGAGCAATGGATATACACAAACAAAGGGCATTCAGACTGGCATCGGGTCTCCAAGCCAGGTCTTCGCCCTTTGGCCCGGTACCCTTGTCAACAACATAGTCGTCTCGAACTCGGCAGGTTGCACCTCTGCGACTAATTACACCTGTTACGGCTCGAGTGGCGGCTCCTTCGACACGGCAAGGTCCAGCACCTACAACATGATGACTCTGGCGCAGTGGAATGGTAGCCATGACGAGCTTGAGGAAGCAAGGCTCGGCTCTTCGTTCATTTATTTCCAGGACAGCATACGCCTCTCTGATAACAGTCTCCTGCCGGGATTCCCAATAGCGATGGCGCCGCCAAATTATGGTAAGAGCCTGATCTCGAGACATCGATGGTCTGTTCTAATCATACCGTAGCCACACAGGGTTCGATGGGTCTTGGCCCTGACTCGCCGTTTCTCCAGACTCTGTCCGATCAGAACATTGCACCATCGCGAACATGGGGCTATTGGGCCGGCAGCGTGTCACTGCTCGAACCTCGAGACGGGCTCCTCGTCGTCGGTGGCTACGATCAAGCACGCGTGGCCGAGGGTGCGACGTTTACAAATTTCACCTCGGACCCAGAGTATCTAGGCCACCTGACCATGCGAGTAACCAACATGACATACGACGCCGGCGACGGACCCGTCAGTCTTTTCAACTCGTCGTCGCAGGCTTTCACTGCCCTCTTGAACAGCGCAGTTGGGTCCAACTCGTTGCCAGCAGACCTCTTTTACAGATTCGCCGACATCACCGACGCCAACATCGACGAGGGCACTGCAATCCTTTCCTGGCCGTCATCCGATCATCCAACAGGCAATCTCACCATCACGCTAGACGATGGCGGAGACGGGTATCATTACGAGGTACCGTTCTATGAACTCTTCCTTCCCAGGAGAGGGTACAGCGACCAAGGCTCACTGGAAATCACAAATCAAAGCTTCACATTCACAAGCACGGCCAACGCCGATGTCTACAGTGCTGGCGTGCCCTGGCTGGGCTCCACCCTTTTCCAGTCGAATTACATAGTCAATCGGGGCGACGGCACGTTCCAGCTCGCGCCTGTCAACAGGTCCGACTCGTACGCAATCAGTTATCCGAACGGCGTCGATATCCGACCGATCTGCAATGAGACAGCGCTCGCCACTGCAGGCGGCGGCAGCGGGAGCTCGCTGACTGGAGGGGCCATTGCCGGTATTGTCATTGGATGTATCGCCGGTGCAGCACTGCTGGCTGGTTCCGTGGGCTACTGGTTCTGGCGGCGAAGGAGACAACAAAGACAGGCGGCCTCTTCAGAGGCCGCGGGTGCCGGTGCAACTGCACCTGGCTTGGTAGACCCATCCGGCAAGGTTGAGCTGGATCCTCAGTCGACCCAGTCGCCTGCGACGGCGACGCAAACCACTCCGGTAGAGCTGGCCCACGAAGACGCCATGAAGGTCGAGTTGCCGGCCGGATCGACGCCGAAGCCGAAAGAGATGACAGAACTCCCAAGCGACACCGCCACCGTAAGCACCCTTCCTCCGTACTCGAAACAAGAGATGGAGCCCGTCGAGTTGCCGGCGAAAAACCATTGATGGACCCTGTGAACGGGGGACTAACCACACCACACCTAAAACCTGGGACCGGGACCGTGACCAGTCTTGCCGTTCCCTCGCTCTTGTCAGGCTTCTTTGGGGCTTCTTTGGGGCTCATTTTACAGCTGCCGACAAGCTACAACGAAAAGAGTCGGTATCTGCCTTGTTCTTTTCTTCAGAAAGCCTGAGCCCCGGTTGTGTCCTACTTTTCGCGGTAACGCAATGCTGCATGTATGTTATGTTAAGTCGGAAATGGTAGCGAGGTGTTGGCAGGTTTTGGGATTGAAATGCAACTAAACCAAAATAAACAAAAGCATAGGCATATGATATGCCTGTTTGAGAACATACACTGAAGCGGACGAGATTTTCATTATCAATAGCACACTGGCACCATAGTCGATCGAAATCATGGCTTTTGAGAATTATATTCATCACACACTACATGTGCTTCAAATGATGCGTGGGATATATCGCTCGCTCTCATCCTCCATTCGAACTGGCGGTCACCATGATTCGAGACGCGGGACGTGTGAGTAAAAGCCACAAGGCGTCTAAGTCTACTCAAGCAACTCCATTCGTGTGCGCGGCTTCCCCGTTAGGAGAAGGCATTGGTATCGCGCCACCCGGAGAGTTTGGTAATCGAGCGGTCAAAACCTCGACGCCGTCGTCCGTGACCAGCATCGTGTGCTCGAATTGTGCCGAACGGCTGCCATCCGAGGTGACGGCGGTCCAGTCGTCCGGCCACGTCTTGTCCTTGTGTTGACCCAGACAGATCATGGGCTCGATGGTAAACGTCATGCCGGCCTTGCACTTTCCGACCGCCTTGTTCTTTGCATAATGCGGCACGTTGGGCGCGCAGTGGAACAGCGAGTTGATCCCGTGACCGCAGTACGTCTTGACCACGCTGAGGCGCTGTGACTTGGCGTGCTTCTCGATGATGTCGCCAAAGTCTGCAATCTTGACGCCGGGCTTGACGTGCTCGATGGCCTTCTCCAGGCACTGCCGCGTCGTCTCCACGAGGCGGACGTTGTCGGGGTCGGCCTTGGCCTTGTCCCCGATGTAATATGTCTCGTTGAGGTCGCCGTGGTATCCCTCGTGGTAAAGCGTGACGTCGATGTTCAAGATGTCGCCGTCCTGTAGGACTCGCTGGTCGGGTATGCCGTGGCAGATGACCTCGTTCGGCGACGTGCAGACGGACTTGGGGAAATGGTTGTAGTTCAGAGGAGAAGGATAGGACTAAACCCCCTCGAGATTAGCAAAGTGTGTTCGTACACATGTCGCCCAACGCAGGGTGCCGCTTTCTCGTGCGCTCTTTACCTTTCGTTCTATGCATGCATTGTGCACAATCTCGTCGATCTGGTCGGTCGTAACACCAGGTTTGGCTGCCGCAGCGGCGATGTCCAGCACTTCTCTCGCCAGTCTGCAGACCTTGCGCATTCCCGCGATGCCCTTCTCGTCGAGGACTTGGATATTGTTTTTCCGTACATAAGGATATCTCGGGATGCCATCTTGCGACCACTCCGGGTGCGGTATCGACTTTGGAATCTCTCGTTTCGGCGAGAGTGGATAGACCGGTCTTAACGAGCCGGTGAAGGGGTATGTGGGAAATGGGTTGAAGTGGCCGCTTTCTGGATCTACTTTAGAAACGACACTCGGAACAAGGAAATTTCGCAGAGGGTTCGTACTCTTGTGTAGCGTCTTGTGCTCGGCCTGGTTCGGTCGTGGTTAGCATCGTTCGTCCTTGGGCCATGTCTCCGAGTCTTTCTTACAAAAGACGAGGGGAAAAGATCAGCCTACCCAACTTCGCTTGAAGCAATCCTGGGAACAGAAGAAACTGTCGACCCCCATCTCCTTGCACTTTGGGCACTGTAACGTCGACGCATCGTTCTCGCAATTCAGTCCCGGACATTTTCGAGGTTGCTCCGCTGCTTGGTCCATCTTGGAAAGAGGAAAAGACTGATCTCGGATGACTTGGTACTTGCTGCAGGGTTGTGTGTCTCGGAGCTTCAGATTTGACTTCCCCAAGAGTGGCGAAGTATCTCAAGGGATCAATAGGCAATCTTATGGGTCCGCGATCCAAATGGCGAGCGATCCCTCCTCTTCGTCCAAAATATAGTGACTTAGAGCCCACAGGCATATGAACTTTTGGATCTGCATACGCCTCGAGAACTTTAAAGCAGCATCCAAGAACCCAAGGCAAAAAGTCCCGCCGTTCTATGGGGAGACACAAATTAGCGTAACGCACCAAAGGCTAACACTGCTAGCATAGCACTAGAGAAGATTTTGTGGGTCAGTCACGTGACACAAATCAAACCCTTATATGTTTGAAAGGCCAAAATTGTGTTGTCCTTCGGGACATTTGGTCAATTTGAAACGATACAGAGAAGGTTCGTATCTCGCGCGAAGATGATTTTGGCATTTGACTAACATCCAATAGATTAGCATGGCCCCTGCACTAAGGATGACACGCTTTTCAAAGAGTGCTACAAGTTTTTTTTTTGGTTTTGGAATATGGCTTTTGGTTCGAGTCGCGGACTGGTTGAGGTTTTTTTTTTTAATTTTTCTTGCCTCTCAGTTGGGCGAGAACTAGTATTGTCTCCGCTCAAAGGGACATAGCTCGCCCATTATCATCTTTGGGCGTCCTGCTAATCACAGGGACTAAACATATGTGTTTTCTGTGCTCTGTGTGCTCTCGCAGCAACAGGCAGTACCATCACAGGATAAGTCGAGTCACTCGCCAATTCGCATCGGCTACTGTATGGACATAGCCTCTCAGTTGAAGTGAGCCGAACTGTCTAGACAATTCATCATGCGTTGGATGTCCACTGTCTTGAACGCTTTGTGATGGAAACCCAACGGGAAGCTTGACACTATATGTCCAGCTCGCATGTCGTACATTCTATCTGGGTTTCTGTTATATTTTTGCGAGGTATGGTCTCTCCTGGATTTTGGTCCGGCCACTTTCTACCTGCGCTGTGAGTTGTTGATTCGTAATATCTGCTGCCTCCGGATTCAAAGCTTGCTTATCAAGCCAACCTCTGACACAAGCAACAAAGCTGTCAATCTGTTCTTTAGTGTTTCCCGAGTGAAGACAAACTCTGACGCGCTCAGTACCTCGAGGAACCGTTGGCGCAACGACCGGACGGACAATAAATCCTGCAGACTGGCAATATGCAGCCAGAGATCGAGGATGGGTACTTAAAATGGCGAAGATGGGTGATTCTGGACAAGTATCTGGAAGGGTAACGAGAGCCTTGGAGTGATTGTTGCTTTTTGGAGGTATTACGGAAGTTAGGGTTTGAAGTTGAGTGAAGAGATGGCTGATCAAATGATACATGTTTGCCGCAAGCTAGCAACGTCAGCTTGGCAAGCGATAATGAGACAAGGTCCTTACAATATTCGCCTTGCCCTGTTGAAGCCAGCGATATGCTGTTCTGATTGCGACTAAATTTGGGTAGGACATGAATGTGGTATATATCAAGGGTCGTGCGTAATTGATCAAATATAGGCGAATAACAGGAGAGCTTAAAATGATGGCTACGTATGATTAGCCGCTTTCATTCTGCATCGTTAATGACTCACCACCGTTGCACGCGAGAGCCTTGCCAAATGTATGCAGGCGAATGGAAACACGATTCTCGAGCCCAAGCTCACAGACTCTTCCGGATCCATTAGGACCGTATAGCCCGGTGGCATGGGCCTCGTCGACGATGAGATGAGCGTTCTTGCTTGGAAACATTGTTTCCATAAGATCAACAATCTCCGTTAGAGGAGCCAAGTCCCCATCCATACTGTAGACGGTTTCAACCGCAACGAAAATGGTTCGGCTGGAGTCCGCGGAAGTGACTGATTGCAGAACACGCTTCAAATCTGCGACATCGTTATGTTTGAAAGACAGCTGTTGCTTAGCTCTGCTCTGCCTCATGCCGTCATGTACACTGGCGTGAATGAGCTCGTCGTAAACGATGATATCCTTTTGGGAGGGGAGAAAAGCGAAGATGCTAACATTTGCATCGAAGCCAGAGTTCGTCAAGAGGCCGGCTCCGGCTCCATGGAAAGCCGCAATCTCATTTTCGAGTCCTTCAGCAACTTGTGAATTTCCGTCCAGCAGCCTTGATCCAGTAGAGCCCAATGGTGTGCGTAGTTTGTTTAAGGCTCCGAGGTAGTCATCATGAAAGTCCCTGTTGGTCGACAAAGACAAAAAGTCATTCGACGAGAAGTCCACAGACCCGGGAGGGCTGGACTTCAAGGTGCGAAGCTTCGACTGAGCACGACGTTTCTCGAGGAGGGCTGCAAGCCGTTGTTCCAGTGGGGATGGAGACATGTCGAGGGAATCCGCCGGGTTAGAGCCGACAGGTCGAGCGGGTCATGCAAAGGCCCTGGACTCTCAAACACATAAACCTGGACGCGTTCAGAGGACTACTCGGCAGAAACAAAATGCTCCTTAAACATCCCACAAGGCCAGCTGCTTGTAGACGGGAATTGTGAGAGAAAATGTTGGGTCAGCAAACAGCGGTTGATGTCTGGGAAGGGAGAAGGTCAAGCGAACGGGCCTCGGTTGGTCCCCAATAGGAGATTCGATCTGTCCCCGAGATCTGAGGCTAAAGGCTTGGCAGGGACAAAACTTCGTGAGCAGCGTCTTGAGGGCGGCGGCCATCTTCGCCGTCTGACTCACCCGTGAAGAGGAAAAGTGCGCGGTCGGTTGCTCGGGATGCTTTGGCGAGACCTGAAGGCGTGGCAGGTCTACGGCGCCAACACAGATGTCGGCAAGACCATCATCTCGACTGTCTTGTGTCGAGCTTTGCAGCGGCGAGCACCGCCGAATGGCTTGCTCTATTTGAAGCCCGTCTCCACTGGCCCTCAGGCCGAGGCTGATGACAGGTAAGCGACGAGCTGTCTGTGTGCACCGAAATACGAACACTCACCGGCGGTACAGACATATCAGACATTTCGTGCCTGGAATAGTGTCGAAATGCATTTCCCAATTCTCCAAGCCTCTGAGTCCGCACATCGCCGCTCAGCTGGACGGGAGTAGCTCGGTATGGTCCCAGCTAAATGGTGATCGTTCATGGGAAAAGTCTGCTGATCAAGCATGTACAGTTACCCACGTCTGACCAAGAGATTGTCAAGCAAGTAAAGGGTCTGCTTTCCCAGCACAGTCGAGAGGGAGGACGATATGTCATTGTCGAAACAGCGGGAGGGGTCCTTTCCCCTGGTCCCTCGGGCTCAGTTCAGGCAGACCTATACCGACCGCTGCGTCTGCCAACCCTCCTGATCGGCGACAGCAAGCTGGGAGGTATCGGCACGACCATCTCCGCCTTCGAGTCACTGCACGTCCGTGGCTATGATCTCGACTCGGTCATTCTGTTCGACGACCCGGCCTGGGGCAACTATGGCTATCTCGAGAAGCACTTCTCCAAACACGACATTCCCACCATAGCCCTCCCATTACCACCAGCTCGGCGACCAGACCCCAAGGACGACGAGGCAGTCCTGTCGGACTACTACCAGGAATGTTCCGAGTCAACGACCATCAACGACCTCGTCAACAACCTCCACCAGAAGCACTTCTCTCGCATCTCAAAGCTAACGTCCATGGCGGCCCAAGCTGACGCAGTAGTCTGGCACCCCTTCCGCCAACATAGCATCCCTCACAACATCATCGCCATCGACTCCGCGTACGGCGACCTCTTCCAAGCCTACAACCCCGAGACCGACCCGGCACTGACGACCCCAGCCAGTCCATCCCAGGGACTCACCCCCCTGGCGACGCAGACACCACCCGCCGAGCCTCTATTGACCCCCCTGTTCGACGCCTCCGCATCGTGGTGGACGCAAGGCCTCGGTCACGGCAACCCTGAGATATCCTTGACGGCCGCGCACGCCGCAGGACGATACGGCCACGTGATGTTCGCGCATGCCGTCCACGAACCCGGCCTAGACTTGTCGTACAACCTGCTCTCGACGCTGCAGAACCCGCGCCTCTCGCGCGTCTTTTTCACCGACAACGGCAGCACCGGCATGGAAGTCGCCGTGAAAATGGCCCTGCGCGCCTCATCCCAACGCTACGGCTGGTCCAAGGACGATGGGGGATCCCCCGTGGCCATACTAGGTCTCCAGGGAAGCTACCACGGCGACACGATCGGGGTCATGAACTGCTCCGAGCAGAGCATCTTCAACGACAAAGTCGACTGGCACCAGCCCTGGGGACACTGGTTCGAGCCGCCGTCGCTTCTCATGCGCAAGGGCAAATGGGAACTCACGATCCCCACCGAGATGACACCACCGACGCCGGGCCAGGAGAAGACGGTGCAGGAATTCGACAGTCTCGCGGCCATTTTTGACTTCGACTCCCGCCGGAGCGATGCGGCGCGGTACGAAGAGCACATCAAGGCCGTCTTGACGAAACTGGTCAAGGACCAAGGCAAACGCTTCGGCGCGCTCATCATGGAGCCGCTCCTGATGGGCGCAGGGGGCATGATCTTCGTCGACCCGTTGTTCCAACGTACGCTGATCACCACGATCCGATCGAATCCCGACCTCATTGGCGTTCCTGTATCTTCGTCGCCGTCGGAGACCACCACCCCGAACCAAGACACAGACTGGTCCGGTCTCCCACTCGTCGCCGACGAAGTCTTTACCGGTCTCTACCGTCTCGGCCGACCCAGTTCTTCGACGTTCTTGTCCTCGCCATCGCCCTCGTCATCGGCCCCCACGTCGACGTCCACAGCGTACACGAGCCTCGCTCCCGACATCTCGGTCCACGCGAAACTCCTGACCGCCGGCCTGCTTCCGCTCGCGCTCACGACGGCCAGCGACTCCATCTTCCGCACGTTCCTGTCCTCTTCGAAGACGGACGCTCTGCTGCACGGCCACTCTTACACCGCGCACCCGATAGGCTGCATGGTCGCGAACAAGGCTCTCGCCGAATACAACGCGCGGGACACCGACGGCTCGTGGGGCCACTTCAAGCAGGCCTGGGCCTCCGGCCCGTCAGGCTCAACTTCCGCAAGCCCTTCGAGCCCCGTTTATTCATTCTTCCCGCCCTCTCTCCTGGACACCCTGTCCCACCACCCCAGGCTGGCGGGCTGTTTCGCGCTCGGTACCGTTCTCGTGCTGAAGCTCGCATCTCTCCAAGAAGGGTCGGGCTATAATTCAACCGCCACGGCCTCCTTGCAAGCCCGATTACTCACAACTCTGGACGAAGACGGGTGTGGTATACATTCCCGTGTGTTGGGCGACGTCATATATTTCATGACAAGTTTGACCACAACCGCCGAACAGGTCGAGAGACTGGGCCAAACACTCTTACAGGCTTTGGAACGTGATTAAGCAACCGGGCCTCACTCCGACGATTTGTTCTTCGCGGTAGATACTCAAAAGTCAAAAGGGGTTTGTCATTGTAATTCACGTCTGGTCTGTCACTCAAGCTCAGAGTTCTTCCGGCAGGAAAGTCTTGGCTCTATCGACAGCATTGATCCAACCCGAGAAGAGTCTGTGGTACATAAAGTTGTCACTCCGCAAAAGTTTAACCTAAGCCCTGTTTAGAGTCTCTGCACGCTACCTAAATGGAAGCGCCATCTGTAACTGCCCAAGTCACATGTCCGGGTCGTGTCAAGAGCTCCTTGTCCTTGTCCTTGTCCTTGCCCCTTCCCTCCCCGTGCTCATTTGACTCGTCATCGTCCGATCCACCATGTTGTTGAACGTTATGAACAAGGCCGTTTTCCGCGATGTATCTCATCCTCTTGTGACAGATCCGAGGCGTGTAAATGCTGTGCAGCACCGCTCGTCCACTTTTGTAGAAGAGCCAGACTGAAAGCCCCCCACCCTCAGTCTGAACAGCAATGTCCTCTACCGAGTCATCTTCAACCTTTGCAATTACGGCACCGTTGACCTTTAAGGGAGTTTCCCTGGGCGGGGAAGAACTGGAGGCCGCTTCATTATCGTTGTTGGGTTCAGTTGTGCTCTTTGGATGGCTGGTCATCTGGGTGTCCATCAACCGGTCACTCTGCCCGAAGACTCCGGCGGTCTCGCTCCACATGTCTGTCACGCTGGACAACTTCTGCATGGCCCTGAGGATGTCGGACGGGACGTTGTAAAGTACGATTTGGCCATCGTCATAGGTCGCGACAAGACGCAATCCCCAGTCAAGCGCGTGTCCGGCCGCGTATCGCAATGGTGACCCATATTTGCCGTCTGGATGTGGTGGAGGGACGAATATGACTTTCCTTACGAGCTTCGTTGGCCCTCCAAGTGGTGAATCACTGCCCAAACACAACAGTCCATTGAGAGGATCTGTGAAGAGTACATGAGAGCCATCGCTTACTGGCACACCCCGAAAGTGGTCACAATCGACTGCCCGCAAGATGCCTTGCAGTTCTTCCTTATGCTCAAGTAACGGAGAGGCGAGCCGATCTGACTGAGGACTTGCATCGGTTGGGAAGGGTAGATGGCCAAAGAATAAACGAGTCAAGCTCGGTCGACGTCCCTGAGCTACCGAGGCGGGAAAGAATTTCCCAGTAGTAGGCGTGCTATCGTGTCTGAGCAATTGCGTAACAACTGGACCTGCAGCACTTGAGATCAAGCGGAGTTTGTTTCTCGAATCAACGCCCGGCCGTTGTGGCAGAAAGTACAGAAAGTCGCTGGGAGCTGCGAGTGGAAACCATCGATTTAGATTACCACCAGTGACTGCATCAACCCAATACAACTCGATACCCATCTGACAACCAAATGCAACACACTTCCGGTTTGGACATATGGCCACGCTTCGCGGGAGATCGTCCGGACTGCCTACGTTCGCGTACACCGCTGTTGGCCGGGTCATTGTGGAGATTCCTAAGCCGCCTGCATTTCGGTCACCAGATCCCAGATCGCTGCAGTCCCCGGGTTCCACCAAGCCAGAGATCTCTTGCTATGATGATGGTGCGCTTGGAGATCCAGTTGTTGCGCCGAAAGTTGACAACGCTCTCGCGGGATCGTATCTGGCTTCCGAGACGATATACGAGATGTCTCGCAAGTTCAGCATAGCTGGTTGCGTACCAAGATATGTCGCCGAGTCTTGTACGATTGTCTGCATCCCGAGGTCAAAAGTTTCACCTGGACTATTGCGGTAATGCATTTTGGAGGGCGTTCCAAGGAGATCCCAAAGCATGCCTAGCCGACCCGAAAGTAAGGCAACGACCGAATACCTTTCAGAGCTGGTGTCCATGCTAACTTTCAGCACTTCCCTTCCAGCAGCGAGCCGCGTGATTGGGAAGACTGATCCACCCGGAGCATGTAGATCGTACACGGTGATTTCCTCACTAGAGACTGCTAAGACAAAGTTGCCACAAGTTGAGACAGTGAATCGAGATCGTCCAGAGCATGCACCATGAAACATCTCGGAAAAATCAACCTCCTCGGTGATCGACAATCTTGATGACATTTCCGTTGTATTGGTCAGTGGAGGCCCGCCTCTCCAATCGGGGGAGATTCTGCTCTCTGTCGCCAACCGTTTGGAATACACCCATTCTTGATTGATGCCGCAACCACTATCTTCTAGCCCGGAAAGTAGTTGCATATCAACGCTGAGGGCAAATTGACAAAAACTAACCTTGGCGATTTGACCTTGGACACTGCGATTCAAACTTGCCAAGTACCACTCTCTGCAGGTATGACGGGCAGCATCAAATCCGCAGGGAAGCAAGTATGAATAGATATGTTGCAATATCTCTCGTGGTAGACGAACGACTACCGGAAGCTTGGGAGAAGGCAATGCTGTATTCCATAGTCGACACACCAGACGAAGAGCCTTGTAATCTTCAGAGGACAGAAAGCGCAATATACCAGAGACGACTGAGGGCGGAAGAAAACCACTTCTTGGTAGCGCTGGATCAACGGTAAATTTGGAGGGAAACGACGGAGTTTGACATGTCGCATCCGATAGTACTCCGAGTGGGGGAACGTTCTCCTGGTGATTATACCCAAAAGCGAGACGTGGTAACCGAGCGAGCGTATCTCGATGTCCTGGAAAGGCATTTGGACGGAGATAGATAGACGTGTTTGAGGAGGTAGATGTTCGTCTTGATGAATCGATGGCCTCGTCAAAGGGGTTGAGGAATGCACCGCTGTGGTCCACGGAGTCGCGTTGCAACCTCAAGCCTTCACCTGGTGGAGACTGCACCGGTGACTGCTGGTTAGATGGTTGCATCGGTGTCAAGGAGTTGGAGGTTCGTTGTGATGTCAGGAAAGGCATATCATCTGGATCTTCCGAGGTACCGTCCAAAGCGATTATTTTCCTGCTATCTTTCTGAATGCCAAAAAGCCTTTCATGCTGCTCATGGGTTCGGAGGCTACTCGGGGTAGACTGTTCAGGAGTACAGAGGTCACAATCTTCTGGCTCGAAGCCGGTGTGCGTGTATTTCCGAGCAGAGGCAAAAGCCGAGTGGTTGAGATCCCAGATCGGCATCATGAAGTATGGGCGTCTGAGAGAAGACGATGTGATCTCGGAAAGAGTGAAGGAGGATGCATGCACCCATTGCTGAGTAGGGTCTTGAACGGTGAGAAACATGCCGAAGGAATATACTGGTGCAATGCCTCGAGATACAAAGATCTCGAAAGCCAGGTTGTCGACTGACAGACTGTTTAGTAATAGATATAGGAAAGCAACTGAAGGTAAACGATGTTGACTGTGACTAGGTGCGAGTGATTCTGGACGAGATTCCCGAAAACAACTCAGTATACGAGGCCTCCACGATCTGGTCGTGCTTGCATTCCATGTCAAAGAAATTTGCCACAGGCAAGTGCTTCTTAGTATGTATGGAAGGCTCGATGAATCGCTTGATAATGTTCTTCGTGCTTTGCCGTCGGCGAAATTGATGATGTATGTAATTCTGATCGCAAATCTATGGGTATTTGTGCATGGAAATTTATACTGAAGAATCTCTGCAAACCAGGCAATAAAAAAAAGTGTACAGGGTATCTCAATTATCGCGAATTCAACCATCCGCTCGCTATGCTCGTATTATTAGGCCAAAAACCCATGTAGGGATTTTAGACCTGATCCGATTGAGGGATGCCATGCCCAGGCTTGCGAATCCATAAAGTCTCCAGGGGTTGCACCAAGTTCGGATTGATATAGCGAAGGCCAGTATTAGGATCTGTGTCGACGGTTCGACCGTAGTCTGTGTCTCTATCCCACGGAGTTTCTGAAGGAGTGGGAAAGTCAAGTAAGTTTTGTCGGTCGATGCTTCGAAGTGCAATGAATTTCATCAATGGGACATAGGTCCGCTGGAAGTACAATGTAAACCAGATAGTGATGACGAGTATAGGTGCCAGAACCAAGGAGGCAGTCAATGCGCCTCTGAGAGCCAAAGTTGCGGTCATTGCAACTTGAAAGAGGACCAGACCAGTAATGATGCGATTGCATATCATTGGCCATGCCTGACCAGTCGAATGTTGCCGGTGTTCCATGGCGTAAAGCAGCTGGTATTTGTGAATGAAGCCGCCGATGCAGAAGTAAACCAAACCGAACAGTGTTATCAACCACGAAGAAGGTAAAACACTATAGACGATGCAAATGATGAAGATTAACATCGTTTGCGGCAAGAAGAACCCGTAACTGAAGACAGGTGGTCGGGCTAGCTCGGCGTAGTCGCGAGGGGTTTTTGCGCCGATAAGATAGAATGGATACAAAGCCACTGAGCCGACTTCGAGCAGCCTGAAAGGGAACAATCCTAGGCCCTGGAGGATAATCAGATTGATATAGAATGGCGACAATTGTTCAAGCGCTTTGGCAACAGCGTACGCGATTCCTGCTGTGTCGCGCAAAATGTCTTGCAGATCTTGCCAAAACTCGTAAAAGTTGGTGGCCGATCCCCAGATTGTGAAGACGATGAACAAGTTGAAAAAGGTGAAGAAGAAGTTCTTGGAAATGACGGACAACTCGACATCTCCTTGCGAGGTCATACCCTGCTGATTCGACAGCCAGTCGTACAAATACGGAACTGCCAAGGCGAGTAAAGAGAAAAGCAACGTCGGCAGACCAGTCTGGACCAGTGACCGTATGATTTCATGTTCTTCCAACGCCGCTGCAAGCCCCGGAAGTACCTTGTCAATGACCTCAATACTGAGCAGACCTGCCAACGGAGCGACGGCAGCAGCCCAGAAAATGGTAAGTAGTCCAATGAAGATCATGATAGACCAGGACCGAATCATGCGGTGGTTGCGAGAGAGATACGTGTTCTTCCAGACAACGTCTGCCGGGGGTGGTGCCAGGCTTGCAAGAAGCTGACCAGGCTCTGGATCCAAAATTGCCTGAATCGCCATCTGGCAAGCAGCTGTTGATTCCATAGTGACAAAAGCAAGCGGCATTGGCTTGAACTCTGCTGTTCTCAACGTATGTATCCTTTCATCCAGCATTCGCAGTTTCTCCTCATAATAGTCGATTGCATCAATTTTCCTCCTGTAAATGTTCAGTGGCCCGTACCTGAGGCTAACAGTTGGCCGGGGTCGATCAGCTGGCATCACATGTGCTTGCTCCATCTCAGACCTAGACAGGAGAGCGCCATCCTCATCGGCATCTCCCAAACGAATACGTTGTTGATGTCGGGCCCGCGAATGTCGCAAGGAGTGGTGATGTCCAAGGTATACTGTCCACGCCTCTTCGAGTTTACGCAAGCATTTCATTCTCTGAAACATAAGGCTATCCAAAGTCTGCCAGTTGCGACACAGCATGACACTGTCGACTTTGCCAATCCCTAAATCCTCAATGAAATATTTTATCGCTTGTTCTGAGCGCATTTCCGACGGTATACCCGACAAACGGAGTGTTCTGTCAGTGATCGTAGCTTGGGTACCTAGGTATGCTTGCCGAATGCGAATGATATTCTTCGTCTCTTGAATCAGAAGGTATATGGCGACAAAGCTGTAGAAGTAGACGAATACAGTATACATCCAGAGGTAACTATTATCCTTTTCAATGACTCCCTTTTTGGGCTTCTGAGGGTCGATTCGAAACATCATCACGCTTCCGGCGTCTGGGTCAGTCCCGTTGATCGGGTTCGGAAAGAGCGGTTGGCCCGTAAATCTATAATTGACAGGGAGGATGACGGTGAGGGAGAAAAATAGGGTGACACATAGGTATTTGATAGCATAGCGGAAGAAAGACAGGAAGGCGTAAGCATCAAGGCCGGCTGAAGCGAGAACCTCCTCTTGCGAGATCTTGTATAGGACAGGAATCCATCCGAACAATGTTTTTGGCAGATCGGGTAGTCGAGAGGCAGCGTCCGACTGCTTCTTGCGGGCATGGTATAGACTTGTCCATTTTGGCCGGAGGACCTGAACTGATCAGCATAAGAAAGTAAGCTTGAGCGACGATGGCATACACAGAAAGAAAGGAATGCGCTCAAGCCCAGACCAACGGAGATGAAAATCTGAACCTTGATGTTGCGCTGGTTGATGTCCTTGAATTGATCATTCCAGGAAGCATCCTTCGAAGCATGCAGCGACATCGCCGGGGGTCGACGAAGATGAGACTGATGCGCTGCATTCAAGTAACCAGGGTGTTGGTCGTAGACTGCGCGAACACGGCGCATGAGCTCGACCGTATCAAGTAATCGAGGAAGACCGGACGCCGCCTAATCGGTGCTAGTGTAGTCTTGTCGTGCAGCCAATCAGATGGTCAGCGAATAATGCGCAGGAAAGAGCTTCAAAGCTTCTCAATTTCAACCCTCCGACACCACGCAAATCGTCGTTCGCATACTCTGTTGCCGCTTCACCACCGGGCATCAGAACCCAGTTTGCTCAGTTGCACGACAAGTCCATCATCTGTCGAGGGCCGGCGCCTGACCAACAGACACGATGCTGGCCACGTCGGCAATCCGCTCTGCTCCATTGAGGACAGCTGCACGAACCGTTGTCCGCAGAACAACCACTGTCAGTTTGCCACAATCTCGTTCGGACCACGAGGAAAACGGTGTTTCGATGTGAATTACTGACAGCAGGATATAGCGTGCTGCCTCCTCGAGCTCTTCCGAAGCGTCTTCTTCACCCTTCTACATCACAGCAGGTGCCTCGGCCGCAACAGCAGCTACTGTTGGCTCCATCGCATGGTACTACCATCTCTTCGGTCAAGATGCCTATGCAATGACACCCGCCGAAGAAGGGTGAGCTCAAAAACTCGATTTTGATGGATTTGGTGGCTAACAAGCTGTTCAGACTGCATCCGACACAATACCCGTGGGAGCACACAAAATGGAACAAGACTTTCGACCATGCAGCGTAAGCATTGAAAGGGTTTTTGCTGGATCACAAAATTCATATGTTGACTGTCTATAGCTTGCGAAGAGGATTTCAAGTCTATCAAGAAGTTTGCGCTGCTTGCCACTCGCTCAAGCGTATTCCCTATCGATCCCTCGTCGGCACGTTTATGACCGTCGATGAAGCCAAGGCACTAGCTGAGGAGAATGAATACGACACGGAGCCCAACGATGAAGGTGAAATCGAAAAGCGACCCGGAAAGTTGTCAGACTACCTTCCGTCACCATACAAGAACGACGAAGCCGCGCGTGCTGCCAACAACGGTGCTCTTCCTCCGGATCTATCGTTGATTGTCAAGGCTCGACATGGTGGCTGTAACTATATCTTCAGCTTGTTGACTGGTTATCCAGAGGAGCCGCCAGCAGGTGCCACGGTTCAATCTGGCCTGAACTTCAACCCATATTTCCCAGGTACCGGCATTGCCATGGCTCGTGTCTTGTATGATGGACTTGTTGAATATCCCGATGGCACACCCGCAACTACTTCGCAGATGGCCAAAGACGTGGTTGAATTCTTGAACTGGACCGCCGAACCCGAAATGGACGATCGCAAGAAGATGGGTATGAAGGTTATGATCATTGGAGTTGCTCTGTTGGCAATAAGTGGATGGGTGAAACGATACAAGTGGTCCCCGATCAAGACCCGAAAGCTCGTCTATAACCCACCATTGGAGGGCCGAGGCAGACGGTAAAAGAACTGAGAGAAGAAAAGGCTCGGAGATTTTTGTTTTGCAATGTGGTGACCAAAGCTCGACAGGCAGGCAGGTTGGGTCGCTGTTTGTACCAAAGAAGATATACAAATCCTATTACAAAATCAAACACGTACATATTGACTTTTTAACCCGCAGCTTTTATTCTGTCGTCACTCGTTACCGATCTCATCCGTCTGTATCCTATGACAGCTCGTTCGGGGTATCTTTGAAACTCGTATAAAGGAGAACTTCAAAATACTCTGTGAGGAGAAAAGACCGTCTCATCATCATCATCAAACAGTAATATTGCTGTCGTCCAGCCCCGGCATCAGTGCTTCCACAACTTCACCATTTTATCCTTTCCACCACTGGCAACACACTTGCCGTCCTGACTCCAGTCGAGGGCAAAAACCTCGTCCTTATGCCCTGGCAGATCCTCTTTTAACTTTCCGGTCCGCACATCCCACACTTTGGCCGTAGTGTCCTTGGATGCACTGGCGAGTAGTCTCGAATCACTTGACCAAGCAACCATGTACACGGCGCCGACATGGCCGCGCAGGGTGGCTATGAATTTCCCGTCTCTTGCATTCCACAACTTGACACTGTTGTCAAATGACGCCGAGGCGATGTACAGTCCGTCAGGAGAGAAGGATACATGCAGGACTTGCTTCTGGTGCCCTAGTAATCTGGCAATAGGCTTAACGGAGGCGTTCGAGTCGCCGGCAATAGCAGAAGGATCCCACAGGAATATGGTGTTATCGTCAGACGCGGAGAGAAGTTTTTCAACGAGTTTACCTTCCTGGCGCGCGGCGTCTTCGAATCTTGTCTTGGCTTTCTTGATCTTCTCCTCGGCTGTGTCGGGTACTTTGCCGGTGTGGTCGTGGTAGGCGGTTCTGAGGACAAAATCTGTCGACAGTGCGAGATGGTTGACCCAGTGTGTGTGCGTGGAGAGTGTGTGCAAACAGTTCCAGGTCTTGGAGTTCCAGATCTTGATCGTCTTGTCCTGAGACGACGTGAAGACACGATTGAACCCGCCCCAGCGTACGCATGTCACCGAGCCTTTGTGTCCTGAGAGTGTCTGTTCGACACGTCGAAGTGGCACATCCCAGATTCGAACTGTGCCGTCTTTGGAAGCAGACGCCAGGCGAGGCTTGCCTGGGGTTTGGTTGTGATAGGGTTCCCAGGTCAAACTGGTTATCCATTTTGTATGCCCTTTCAGAGGGCCACCGAGGGCCTCGCCAGTCTTTGGGTCCCACAGGCGTATAGTATTGTCCATGCTGCCCGTCGCCAGGATCTTACCATCCGGTGACCACGACACGGCAAGCACCCAACTCGTATGTCCTTTCAGGGTATGTAGGGGCGTACCTGTGTCGCAATCCCATATCCGCGCTGTGCTGTCGCCGCTCCCTGTGGCCATTCTCGAAGACGTTTCGGGTGAGAACGCAGTTGCAAGGATCGCCTCTCCATGTCCTGATATTGAGGCCGAACATCGTGTCACTGCTCGTACTCGGAACACTGCTTGGGGTATGAATTGGAGGATGATGTTGTCTTCAGTAGTCTTGTAGCCGGGCCGTATGACCGAGTGATATATATCATCCTGAACGTCGAGGAGGGTCGACTCATTGTCTGCAGGTGCTCGATCGTTGCGGAAGAAAAACCGGTATGGTAGCCGTTCATTGGGATCCTACGCATACATATCAGAACCATGCTAGCGGCGGTGTACATTGCATAGACCTCGTACATTGCCTTGAATCGTGTTGAGTAACGTCTCCAGATTCTTCACCGTGGCATCTTTCACCGGCACTGCTACTACAGGGCCCGTGGACTTGCCTGTACTCTGGTCGACAAAATGTACTCTCACGCTGCCTAGGTGTTTCGGTATTGCAGCATCTTCGGCCGCCTTTTCTGCCTTTTCAATGGCTGCTATCTTTTGGCGCTTGCTTGGAGGAGGTATGACGGTCGCCATGACGGAGGTACAGTTATCTGGTCCTGATTTGCTGGTGCTGATGTCTCGAACGAGCGACTACAAAAAAATATGGACGGAGCCTCGCAGCCTGACTTTGTCAGCCTCGTGCGGGGAAGATGCTCGGTGGACCTTCCCAAAAACATCACGAGCATTCACACTGTCCTCTGTTCAAACACACCTCACCTTCAATCTTCTTCACCCCGGTCCTTGTCGTGCCATAGTTGGTCGACAAAGATGGCCTCTCGAACAATGTCCATGACTCCTCATCCCACTCGCAGAATGCAAGGTGGGTCAGCTCGCGGCTCAAATGCGAGATCGCGGTCCCGACGTGCATCGACGTCTGTGGGCTATGCCAACTCTGAGATCGTCTGTGCAGTCACTGAGTCTCGCGGTCTGTCTCCCGTTGTTGGTCTTGCTTTTGTCGATATCTCTACCTGTGAAGCTGTGCTCTGCCAGTTTTCCGACACACAAACATATGCTCGCACCTGTCACAAAATCTCCGTCTATGGTCCTTCTGAAATTCTTTACACGCCCAATGCTGCGGACTCGAAACTCGTCTCTATCATACATGAAAATCTTGACATTGACCAAAACGATATCTCACTGCACGACGTTGACAGGAAGCATTGGTCGGAAAGTGCTGGACATGATTACCTTGAATTTCTGGCGTTTCCAGATGATCTTGACGCCTTGAAGATCGCGCTTACAGGCAACCACTGTGCAACATACTGTTTCTCGGCAGTATGTGATGTAAGCGACAAAAGACATGTATTTGTACTAACGCTACAGGCAATGAGATACACTGAGCTCGCACTACACAAGATATTTGCTCCAAAGACGTTACGCATCAGATTCGAAGCTGCAGAGGGTTCTGTGATGATGGACTTGTCCACCATTAAATCGCTCGAGCTCGTCCAAAACGTGCATAACGCAAAGTCCCGAGACTGCCTCTACGGCTTATTGAACAATACATTGACCCCAATGGGCGCTCGGTTTCTGAGAGTTAACATTCTTCAACCTTCAACTGACGTCGGGAAGATCAACAAACGACAAGACGCTATTGAGGAATTGTCAAATGAAGAGCATAGAGTATTTGCTCTTCGTGCTGGTATTGAATTCTTTCCAGGGCCATGGTCGACATCTTGCTGACCTCCAATAGCTCTGAAGTCTTTCGTGGACAGTGATCGCATTCTTGCGGCTGTCAGAGCCAAGGACCCTCACAATCTGATGTAGACTGATTTTTGCTAGCTTGTTGTCATGTCCACGAAACCCGACCTCACCCATATGGAACAATGTGTCAACCACGTACTGATGCTGAAAACCTTTGTCGACTCTATTGCACCGATCTGGCAAGCACTCGGTGGCAGCAAATGTGAAGAATTATCGAATATCTACCAGGTGTGTTCTTCGTATCAGGAATCAAAAGCAAGTACCTAAGGCTATGTCAAGCTGTGTAACCCAGAAAACTATGCGGGAGTTCAGCGGTTCATTTCCGAATCAATTAACGAGGATGTCCGTTACTCGACCAAGCCGACAGATCTTCGTAATCAGCGAGTGTATGCTATTCGTGTAAGTGTTTTATTTCTTTTCTGTGTAGCGCTGCTGATCGAGGTCAGGCCGGTATCAATGCTATGCTAGACGTAGCCCGCCAAACGTACAAAGAGATCGATGAAGATGTCTTCCAAATGGTCGAGGCGCTGAAAGGTAAGTCGCAGCGGTTGCCTCTTTTTGCTTCCTTCAGGCCGAGCCAACAATCATAGATGAACACGGTCTTCAATGTGCCGAACTCAAGTTCGATACGGCTCGCTACTACTTCCTACGCATCAAATACAAGGACTCCTTGCGACAAGCGCTTCCCGAAATCTTCATCAACATATTTAACGGGCCCAAGGTCCTAGAATGCCAGACTCTTGAGCTTGTCAAAATGAATCAAAAGCTGCGCAACGCCCACGCCGATATCATACATGTTGGCGACGGCGCCATCCGAGAACTCATCGAGACCGTCCGCTCGGAGTTTCACCCTCTCTTCAAAATTTCCGAGTCTATAGCCCTCCTCGACATGCTTTCGTCGCTCACTCAGGTGAGCGTATCAAACAACTACATTCGTCCGGAAATAACAGACACCCTCGCGCTCAAAGCCTGCCGTCATCCTCTGCGAGAGAAGATCCAGGCCGAACGCTTCGTCCCAAATGACGTGTACGCAACGCGGCAAAATCGCTTCCAGATCGTCACAGGCTGCAACATGAGTGGCAAGAGCACGTATATTCGCAGCATTGCACTGGTGAGTATCATGACGCAGCTGGGATGTTTCGTTCCTGCAATTTACGCGAGTCTCCCGATCATAAGAAACCTTTTCGCCCGTGCTTCGACGGACGATAGCGTAGAAGCCGACATTTCTTCGTTTTCGGGCGAAATGCGCGAAATGGCCTTCATTCTACGTACCATTTCCGAACAGAGCCTCGTCATCATTGACGAGCTGTGTCGTGGTACGAGCACGACAGATGGACTGGCGATTGCAATTGCGATCGCCGAGGCTCTCGTCGAGTCCAAAGCGCTAGTATGGTTCGTGACGCATTTCCGTGATTTGCCTAGAATCCTAGCCGAGCGTGCAGGCGTTGTCAATCAGCATCTCGAAGTTGAAATCAGCGCCGACATGTCCAAGATGAAGATGCAATACAAGGTATCTGACGGTTATGAGGATGAAAAGTTCTACGGCCTCGCTTTGGCCAAGGTGGTCGGTCTGCCGGGGCCGGTCATCGATGTGGCTGAGAAGGTATCGCGGCTGTTGAACGAGCGAAACGAGGCTCAGAAACGGAATCCCGAGGCCACAGCCGAGGCAAGACGCAGGAAGCTGATTCTTAATCTGCGCGAACGGCTGGTGCAAGCGAGGGATAGCTTCACGGCTGGCCAGGCCACAGCGAGTAACCTCCAGGCGTGGTTGAAGAGGTTGCAAAGCGAGTTTGCGTTGAGAATGAGGGCCATTGATATCGAGATTGGAGAAAGTATGAGTAGAGAAGATACCGCAGACACCACGATGAGTGATACATACACTGACACCACTACCGCTACCAGCGCCGACAACACCACCACCGACATCGATACCAATATCAACGCCAATATCCAGGGCCATGGCCAACACGAAGACCACCGACTCAGGCCAGGATCCTCGATGATCGAGGGCGGCGGACAAGGCTCTGATGATGGCGTGATGCAATGCAGCGACCATAACGGTCAGCATGCGGAGGAATCTGTCTCTGCCACGGGCTCTTCGGTAGTAGACGTCGACGCGTACAATGAATCGATCGAGAGGGACGAGGACGAGGTGGAGGTAGAGGTGGAGGAGCACCGCGAAGACGAGCATGACTCGGACACGACCGTCCACGTCGACCCGCATGATGATGACTATGTGGACGACAACAACTACGACGGCCACGACCACGACGACGAGGACATGATGCTCGATTTTGACGCATATATCGAGTACGACGACGACGACGACACACTCTGAACCTGTCACCTCGAGCGTTCATGAGAGTTGGACTGGTACGGGTATGCAGGAAAGACTGATTGAAACTGGTGTTGTTATCCATGCCATGCCACGCCACGTCGTGTCGTGTCATGTTTTCGAGGTACGGCGCCGTGTGTTCTCGGGTACTTGTTGTTTGAATCGTGAACACAGAGAAAAGCGAGCGAGTTACAAAATTCACATGTCCGTACTACCAGGAAGGACCTGAGTGCATGGTTGTCATCTGGGAGTCAACGAGATACACGCAATAGGCCTAATGTGCCTAGCCTATCTTACTTGTTGTTACTTCATGTCGATTCACATGTATTCATTGCGTCGCTTTCATCTCTTCGGATGTACCTGAGTTTCTATGAACGCTCAGGGGCCCCAGTACACTCCCCATACACTACCTAGGTAGAAGATACATGTTCCATGCCTTGCCATGCTCACCAATCTTGAGTACCTCTAGAGTGTCCAGATGACAAGTCGTCCATCGACACCACTGGTACTGAACTTCCTCACGCCGTTCGCCGAGCCCTCAAACACCCTAACGGTGTTGATGGTGTTCTGATGGGTGGTGTTGAGCTGCGTGTCGTCCTTGACCTTGCCCCGGAGATCCATCTGCTTGAACATGTGCAGGGCCGACTCTTCCCGCGCGCCGGCCAAGGTCGGACGAGTCTTTGCCTCGACGCTGCCGACCATCTCCCAGCCGGCGTCGGTCCCACGGAAGCGAAACGCCTCGCAGTCGTAGCCGGCGGCGATGATCTCGGCGTCGCCGTTCCAGATCAGGCTCGTGAACGGCAGGGTCTGGGTCGAGATGCTCAGCATGGCACGCGGCGGCGCGTCGGGCCCGCTGGGGTACACGACGGTGATGCTGCTGTCGTGGCTGGCGAACGCGAGAGCGTCGCCGCCCGGCGAGAACGCCACGGCGTGGACCCAGCCGGCCGAGTCATTGAGGTACTCGCCGCAGACGGTGTTGAAGGGGAGCCGCTCGCCCCAGACGCTGGGCTCGGGCCGCGCGTCGACGCCCTTGACGAAGCCCGAGAAGACGCGGGCGTGCGAGTCGGTCGAGCCGGCCGCGAGCAGGACGCTGTTCGGGTGCCACGCCAGCGTCGTCACCGTGCTCCGGATCGGCTTCTTCAGGTGCTTCGACACCCACCAGTCGTTCTCTTCCTCGAAGTAGCACACGGCGATCAGCCGCGCCCCGGACCCGACGGCGAATTTCTTCTCGGACGGAGACCAGCGCACAAACGTCGCGGCGCGGTTGATGCGGAGGAGCACGAGCGTCGGTTTCCACCCCGTCGGAGAAGGTTCCCAGACGTAGGCGTTGCGGTCTGTTGGTTTCGCACGGAGTGTGTCGGTCAGCGCGAAACACACAAATACTCTTCCCAAGGAAACAAGGACACCAGAGAACAAGGAGGAGAAACAAGCAAGGGCAAAGCGACCAAGTCAGAAATGTAAGGGGAAAAAAAAGGGGCCTTGCCGTTGCTTACCTTGAGAACAGGTCACAATCATGCCGCTGTTCGGGGCAATGTCGACACCCGTCACCGTCTTGTCGTGGCCCTTGAGCTCATCTTTCAATGTAAATTTGGACCCGGATTTGTGGTAGAGTTCGACATTGTTGTCTTTGGCTACCGCGAGCGTCTGGCGGTCCGAAGAGAACGAGTGGTCGGCGATGGGTGCGTGGAAAAGATGGTGAACTTCCGGGCCGGACATGGTGGATTGAGAGAGGGTGTTCCTCGCGATAGGAGTATAGCGCTCTACTATCGCTCTTGGGGGATTGGAAGGGGGGAGAAGGTTATGATTCACAGCTGTGCAAAGGTGAAGGTCGAGGTGAAGGTGAGGGTGGTGGTGGGAGGATGACGCGGAACAGGCTGATGGTCGGGAGGCGCAGTTGACGAGGCTGAACCACAGCCTCGTAAGGTGCCCGTAGAAAAGTGCCCGGCGACTTATTATACGTAACGAGGGGATGATTTCACGATGTAGCACCTTAGCATTCATGTACTCATCATCGGTGTCTAATCTCTCTCCGATTTAAAACGATGCGTGAAAATGCCAGGACTATACTGGACGGCGTTGTTCAAGACGGGCATGTCGGACCAGCACCTTGAATCTGCATTGCTCGAGTCTGGTCTCCCGTTAAAAAAAAACCTGTACAAACTCTTCAATGTACTCTCCACTGGGCCCTGCTATTGCGTACCTGTAGTCTCAGTAAGTCATCTCGGCCGCCAGTCGTGTCTTGAAAGCCTCAGCATGCTGGGTTAGGGTATGCCTCCGGATGAAGCTCGTCTTGACTACAAAGGAGTACCTATAGCGAGACCACGGCCATTCTGTCACGGATCCGCCGTACTTTGCACTCATCTCCTCCAAGACGGTCTCGGCATACCACCAGCACATTTCTCGTCGAAACCTGTAATGAGGCCGTCGCCGTGTGGTGGCTGCAAGAACGTCAGCCAAAGCGTGCATGCTCGGCATTTTTTCATGGCCGTCGAACTCCAGACTTAACAAAGGCAAGGGAAGTTTGTAATGGTCCGAGGGTGTCTCTCCCGAAGCCCAGTTCCACCCGACGAGGACCCAATCGCCGTCCTCTTCACGCCCGGCGGCAAGTCGGGTACGTTGACCACTTTTGACGTCCTGGACGACAAATTGCAAGAACTCGTGTGAGAAGGGTGACGCAAGAGCCTTGATCCAGGTAATCGAGCAGACTTTCCAGTCGGTGAGGTTCTCAGGGACGTTCGATAGGTGTCGGAGCCATTCTTGCGTTGAAAACTTTCGATAAGAGTTGAAACCCTCGGGCTGCCCGACGCAGCCAAGGCCCGAGGGTTCGTCTGCGTCTGTCGCGTTGGGAGCTTGTGCCGACGGTGCGCTCGACTGTGTCGGCACTGCAGTCGTAGTGGGCGCCACCGTCTCGAATGGGCCTGCGTGATAGAACAGTCGCAGAAAGAGTAACACGACCGTGTTGAACCGACTTGACCCGAACCGATGTCGTGGCAAGACTAAACACAGAGACATCTGCCGGGCATGAGGTTTGTCACAAGTGCATGTACTGGCGACCGCACGACGAGTATGGCTGAGATGCGCCGACCATGCCTTGCGCTTCAGACTGTGAGGCCGGCGGAGTGGAAGGAATGTATGAGCGAACGAGGCCATTGTGTGCAGCGGTTATGGCATAGCAAACCTCCAACCAGTCGAAAACCAAGAGATTTGTTAAACATACTTAAGGACTCACGATAAATATCTGAGGATAAGCCCACCACAATGAACAGAGTCTCGCCTGGGCCCTCCACGACCAGGAGGTAAAGTAAACAGAGAGGACTTCGTCGGTTTCGAGCATCAATCATGTCTCGGGCCAGTCAAATCTCGCAACCATGTCCCGTGGATTGGACTCGTTGGCCCACGCGTGTTAAGTTGATTCAAAGTCGACATCGACTCAGTCCCATCGCTCCTCGAACCTGACGAGACTGCGAAACGGGATTGGTCTGCTTATCCTGTCAATCGGGGTCGAATTTTGGCACGCAGCTTGGACATAGTTTGCAGACTAGCGGCGTCCTCGGTGCGATCTCGACTCAAACCGTCCCTGTATCCATAGAGAAGTGGCAAGCCTGACAACTCAGTGACCAAACTTAGCTGTCGCCGTTAAGCGCGGGACAGGGTGGGATGCGTTGGCAAAAGAGAGAATATGGTCAGATGGTCAGAATGGATGAAGAGAAGCACGACTCTGGCTGTGCTGAAGTCATACAACGTCCATCTCGGCACTTCGGCGCACTGGCCGCACTACAGTATAAACATCTCTAGTATGCTTCGTGCGCATTGATGTCTTGCTCACCAGACAACATTATATTTGCTGCAGGGTAGATCTCGACTAGGAAAATACGGTACAGAAGAAGACCTGATACTGACCCTGCCCATCGCATCAATGGAAGCAACCGTCGCAGGCGACGTCGTTGACGCCTGTCAGGTTCTGTTACCGATACAACATCCAAACCCATGCGGTGCCCTCGCAGCTGCTATACAGGTACATAACGGATCAATAATCCTTTTCCACCGCCCCAAGCAATGTCGCATTGTTACCAGGGGTATCGTTTTTATTGTCATGGCGTCGTAATTAATAAAACTTCACTTCATGCGTATCTTTCTCAACCCACGGCCACGTAGAGGTACATGCCTGCTGATCTTTTTTGGTTCTCAGACGATTGTCCTCAGCATGATTGGCTCGTCATAATAGTGCCAGCGCCAATAGTCATCTGGGTCGGGAGGGTGCGGCAATGGCTTCGCCTAGAAACTCGCCATTTCCAACCATGTGCCGATGAACGCCAGTCTTCCAAGATCAGCACTACTTTCCCAGCCTTCTGGGTCCTCATCGCCCGTAGACTTGCCCTTTGCACCTAGGGCATTGCCTATGGCATCCTCAGGAACCATCTTTCGTCTCAACTCTTCAAAGCTGAGTTTTGCAGGTCCGCCTCGCTCATCTGCTTCAGCATCGATCTCATCATGCCGGCGCCAGAGGTCGTACAGTGCCCTTGCTCGAACAGGATCGCCGGCAAGAGGATTAATCCTTGGCTTCACCGCGGGAGAAGACTGCCGACCCTCGAAGCTGGGCCGGAATTGTGGCAGTGTAGGGTCGTGATAGGACACTTCCGATCGAGACTCCTGGTCTGAGTCATTTGGCGTGCGGTGTGGCTTCGGTAAACGATTCCCAAACATCAACTCTATATGATCATCAGGGTCGTGCACAGCAGTTGTGTGCATCTCAGGCACCACGCTCGATTCAGGTCTCGTTGTGTCATTTTTGTCCTCATCAGGTCTCGCCGCAGTAGCCTCCTTGAATAGCTCTTCCGTTCGGAGTTGATCAGCCTCTTGCAGAGCCTCGTCCAATCGTGCATCAGCGGCCAAGAGCGCCTTCTTGTACTCATCCCTCTCCTTTTTGAATTCATGGCGATTCGCTCTTGTGCGAATAACTTCCAACCATTCATCTTCTTTCTCCTTGAACAGTGGATCCAGCAGCTCGTTGAACCCTTGCTGCACAGCCTGATAGAGGATATCTTTGCCAATGTCTGCTTCAGCTTGCCCAAGCTCATAACCACCCCATCGCTCATTGACGGGAATACTCCTGGAGGAGGCGTTCGATCGTGTTTCGTAGTCTGTATCGATGGCACTATCATCGAAGCGCACCTTGGAAGACGACCGAGATCGAACAGATGGTCTCCTGGGACTTGCCGAGCCTTCGCCGCTGCTTTTCTTAAGGGCCGACGGTAGGCCTTCTTCATCAGAGCTGTCTGGTTCAGCGTACCCAGGAGGCTTTGACATTCCTTCCTCCTCATCTAAATAGAACTGTCTGCGTCGCCATCGATCTCGAACAGCTTCCGCACGTCTAACTTGTTCTGTGCGGTCGGCTTCGTCATCAAGACGTTCAGATTGGGCATAGATCACTCTTGTCCTGTCGATAGGATCGGTGATTTCTTCTAGTGCTACTTCGTGCCCTAATGCTGTGATGATGTCTTCCACGGTCGGCGTCAAGGGCGGTGGCCAGCTGTAAGTCTGTAACGGTGGGTCTGGACCAGTAAGCTCCGCTTCAGAGGTTTCATCCACATCCTCCATGCCAGAGCGGATGAAGTTTTCGTCACCTGGAAGCAACATGACAGGCTCATCTTCTGGCTGGTTAGACCTGAAGGACCTAAAGGGATGACTTCTGGTCCGATTGCCAATTGCAAGGTTTCCGATGGCACGGAAACGATCCCCTTGCATCCCACTCTCAAGCTGAAGAACACCACTGGACCCGTTGGCCAGCTCAAGATCACCGGTTGGTCTTCGCTCTTTGTCTTGCCCGGCTCTCGAAGCATGGCCATTGAGAGTGCTACCACCAAAAGCAGCACTGATCGGGCGGCTGCCATGAACCACCTCATGCTCTTCCTCCTCGTTGAGGCCGTAGTCTTTTTGGGCGTTGAACATTTCGCGACTCAGCTCTTTGCTCAAGGCGTAATATGCGCGAAACATTCGGAGAAAATCCTTTCTGTCCACGTAGCCATCCGCATCCAGGTCATAACCCTCGAAAATACGTTCCAATCTAGCGTAGCGTGACTTCTTCTGGAGGCGGGCTAGGCCTTGAATGTATTCATCGAACCCGATGAGCTCGTTATGGTCAGTATCATAGAATGCAAAGATACGATCATAGATTAGATTCGCGGCGGAGGGCCTCTCGGCAGAAGAAGGAATGAAGTAGGAATCAAAACCTTTCCGGTCGATGGCATACCCGAGTCCGGTCGGGTCCGCAGGCCAGAAGCGTCCTGCGAGGCACTTGAACTGCTCGTAGAGTGCGTCCATCTCCGTACGATCCATCTTTGTCTGCTCTAGGAGGGGTTTCGAGACATTTTTGGGAAGGGAAGTAGGAAACGCATTTGGGTCTCCTGGGTACCACGGTGGCATCACTTGCTTGATGTCTCCTCTTGACGGCGCAGGGATACGGATTTTGAAGAAAACATGGCTGCTGGTATGGGCGGAACCAGCTTCGCAGCTCTCGCACAGGTCGAAGTCGAAGCAATTCGCACAATGGTAACGGATGCCCTGTATGGGATGCGTGCCGCAGTTGTTGCACTCGACACCGCGGTGTATGAAGCCCTCTCTCCGTGCCTGCTCTCCGGCAATATGATACAGCAGGTCAAGCATATTTTGACTACCCTCGGCATCGTCTTCGTTGTTGCCGAAAGAGACTTCACTTTCTACATCGTCGTCTCCTGCCGGATTCCGTAGTGCCTGCAGAGCATCTCGTGGGGCCATGTCCTCAACCTGTTCCTCGGACTGCACCGTATCATAATTTGGACCGTTTGGTGGTGCCTCCAAAGGATTCCAATCTTCGGTGAGTTGGAACTTGCCAGAATCAAAAGCCTTGAGGACTTCGTGAACGATTTCTTCATTCACTCCTAGCAGCTCGAGGCTCTGTGCGACAATGTAGGCATCTTCACCTATGATATATCCTTCTGGAAATTCTTCACGCAGGAAGTTTTGGGTGAAGATGCCGTGGACGTGAAGTCTCAAGCAGTCTTCTTGGTATGCAGACAGAGGCTCCGGAGAATGTCGCATGAGATGTTCGTAAATAGTCCGTAGATTGCATGGCAGCAGAGTCAAATTACTCCCTTCCGTATCCGTAGTTTCTGAGAAGAACCAGTTATTGCGGTACTCTCCATACCCTTCACCCGTATGATTGCGGTGTCCCAGGTTGTCAACAGCTCGTTGGGCGGGATCGTAATTGAGAGGTCTAGGTGCAAATCCGGGGCGCCAGCGACGTCGATGTCGGGGTCGGCGGACAGCATTGCTGCGATGTAGAGTCGGCGACTGGGTCGATTCAACATGTGGTTTGGTGGTGGTATAAGTGTACGCGTAAAACGCTACGGACAGCACCGTTGCCCCTGCCAGTGCAATTATCAATGGCTTCCGGTAATCGTACTTAGACATGATCTGGACATGATCGTGTCTTCAACGGCGATCTGTTGCCACAGGGTCGAGTCATTGAGGAATGTAAATGTACTTACCATACTTTTGCAGATGCGCAGGCATGAGCCAGCACCGAATAGTTTGGCGCACAGAATCGTATACTTCACCGTGCGAATTTCTAGGGCGGAGCATAAGACCAAGAAGCACTGATTTGTCCACCCAGAACATGCAATATCGACTCGCAGAGAAAACATTACGTTTGTTGGCTTCTTGATGGGACTTGCACACTGTACTCACACATCTTGTTCTCGTTCAATTGGTCGATCCAGAGATGGATAGTCAATACATAGTGTTAATCTGGGCACCCACATTGATCCCTCGACACGAAGGGATTTCTCTGGCCCCCTAATACTCCAGCCTCGCGTCTCGAGCAGGGGAGTGAAGCATTTTTGGAAGATGCCCGAAAAATGCCCTCTGCGACGCCACCAGGAAGGGGATGCCAGATCCTTAGCTCATATTGCCAAGAAGACTACCGCCATCATAATCCGTGACCGAGATACTATTAGCGATGAAATCACAGGGTCATACCACAAGTGATGCTGGACGGCCCCCCCAAGAGTTTCAGGGGTGGCTAGCGGCTGGTTGTCAACACAAAAAAAAAATACTTCCTCTCAAAGGGGCGTCCTGCGATAGGGCAGGGTTGGAAATCAGGCTCCTATGGTAGCATGATAGTACAAGATGCGAGAAAATAGTGTCCTGCAACGTGTCGGAAATGCTCTCGATGGTGTGAATGGGCTGAGAGAGGGTTCAGCCAGATTGTTTATTGTTACGAGCAAAAGAGCGCGGATGTTCGTACGCTTGCTTGCTATGCCTCTCACAAGCGAAGGTTTTTGCCAGAAGCACAGAGCATACCAGGGTCCCTTATTCCTTGTTTCGGTCTACGAGTCCTGCACCGACCTGTTCTGTTCCTGTGTCACGGCCTGCAGGGACTTTAGTGTAGCTGTCTTTTTTTCCCGCATCTTGAAGAAAACTTTCATGCTCTCCGCGGAGTTGTGCGAGGTAGAGGCCTGTGCGGCATCCTTATGCCTATTTCGTTCGTACAGAGAACCCACATGGTTGTGGCGTGTGGCGCAGTGGGGGCCACGTCGATCTTGGTTCTTGATTGTTGTCTGTTGTAAGTTTTTTCTTCTCTGGATCCCGTATTCCGGACTCCATCCGTGTACAGTAGTACAAGGGGAAGGGGGTAGCATGGGCGGACCGGCATTCCCCCCTTAGTCGCTCATAGACTTCTATATTATTTTGTTTGTTGTGACCGCTGCCATCGCGCGTTCTTTTCGGTGCTGAATAATTCGACTCTACTGCTCGATGAGCGTATGTTCTCATGTAAAATGAAAATCATCTGTGAAGTATGTGAAGAAAAGTGTAAAATAACGGGAGTTGACCACCAGGAGGGAGTTGCCGGCCCGGCCATGCCACCCCCCTCCGACACTAATCTCAGCCGGAAGACTCCGTGCCTAAAGTACGATGCCTCCAAAGATAAGCGCAGATCAGGCCGAACTTCGAATACGACGACTTGAATCCTCTCGTCCCGTTGGATCAGCCGGAAGCCGAAGTCCTGCAAGTTAGAGCTGACCTCCTACTCGTATCTTCTACCAGTGATTTACTCCGTACGAACTCGTATTCACAGGAAGCCCACTCCGCGCGAAGCTATTGTGGTCTGGATCGTCCATGTACTAACTACTTGTAGAAGGTTTTGTCGCCCCCACTCATAATACCCGTATTTCCGATTCTCCGGAACCGGCACCCCCAATAACATTGTATTGCATCGACACTACCAGGACACCATCCGTGGACCATGCGCCATCATTCAGCTGAGTACTGATCCTCCCCTCTCTCCGAGGCTCGTAGTGACGCGCCAGCAGATGCTTGGGTAAAAAGTCTAGACCGCTCTCTTGTCACGAGATGCTCGAACGGGTTGTACAGTAGATCACGCACATACTCCTTCCATACCTGCTCACTCGCTCGAGAGAGTGAGAGACGACGAAAGCGAGCCCCCTCTTTCATCCTCGAGAGCCTTGAAAATAAATTCTTTGGGTTTTTTCCCGCATCTGGCAGAAATCGAGTTTTTCCGAGCGAGGCCGAGTCAGTAATGTCACTCGGTCACTCACATAGCCGCTCACAAAAGTCGACTTAAAAATCAACGTTGGGCAATAATGCGCCACATCCGCCATCAACCATCGAGTAGCCCTACCAAGGAGGGGTGCATTCGCGAGAAATGGATAGGGATTCTTTGGTTGGGGGACGGTACTGTCCATGAGACCGGAAACTTACGTGCTGCGTCAATCTACTGCTAGCAAGCCATGTACAAGGGGTTAGCATGAACGGGCCGGCAACCACCCCCCCGGCCCCCTTCCCGGGTCAACACCCATTGTTTACACTGCTCTACAACCAGTTCAAAGACAAATTTCATTCTACATGAGCGCATACACTTATTGAGCAGTAGAATCGAATTACTCAGGTATTTTTCATTGAAGAAAAAGCGCCATGGGAGTGTTGTCAACGGACAAAATAATGTAGAATTGTATGAGCGACCAGGGGGGGTGCCGGCCCGTTCATGCTATTCCCTTGTAACATACATGATATGACATGATATCCTTTAAATCAGATCGAATCAGAAGAAGAAAGACAAATTAGGAGAACAACACTACCAGCAACAACAACCAGTCCATGTCCGATTGGACGCTCAGGCTCCTATAACCTTCACGACCTGCTGCTTTTCCAATTTAGCAGAATTTCTTGGGATTGTTGTGATTGACCGCATCCCTGAGGATGAACGAGCCGAATAACTCTGGTGCTTTGTCAAATCTTCTGTGGATTCACTCGTCCACTCTTAGAATATACCTATCTACTTACCACTTCACAAGCCTCGCTGACGCTGTAATCCATAGCTACTTGTAGTTTCGTCCTTCTCAGATTAAACAAACACCCCATTATTCCAAACCAACGCTTTTATTAAAGCTCCTTTTGTACGCTTTGCCCAAACTTGGATGATCCTGTGCTTCCTCACCTTGGTATCTCCTCCTCTGGGTCGGGGGAATCATAAAACGGCGCAAAAAATATAACACAAAGAACGGCCGTGAATTATGTACATGATAGTAAATCCCAGGAGTCAGCGCTTCATAGACCAAAGTTAATTACCAAAAGCTCCTTCTCGGTCATGACTTGCATCCAGTCAACATCGAGACTTTGTCCCGTGTTCATAAAGCGTTCGTTCTGTTTCTCGTACACTGTAGCTAGTGCCCTTCGTGTAACACTCGTGTTCCGTCCGATACTGTTTTTCTCCATTGCACGGATCAAATCAAGTGCTTGCATGCGTTGGCCTCCGTCCGTGCTGCAGTACCCTGCCATGAATACAGGGAATACCAGGTAACGACAATGATATCTGTCCTCGGCGTGCGCTTTCATTGTCATCTGTAGAATTTGATTGGACGCCACTGCAATTTCCGTGTCGTAGTCGGGAGATGTGTCGAGTCTTTGACCAGGCCACATCGACGTGTGTGAAAAGAGGATACATGCACGGTACAACGCCGCAGCGTGTTCGTAGAGCCGGATCGATCGCTCCGGGAGGCCGTTACCAATTTGTCCAATCATTGCGACGGCGGGATTGAGCCATAATTGCCGCAAAGACTCTTGAAGCTCATAGATTCGACTTTGGCGAATTTGCACGGCCTGCACCCTGTGTAAGTAATCCGCGGAGGCAAAAGTCGTGTCATGGCGGAATTCATGCGCAAGCATCGCCAACCGAACGGCCAGGATAGTGACTTCGTAGTCGAGTTGCAAGATGGTCGGCAATGACTCCAGTTCTCCGCTGTAAACAATGCTCGATCCGTCCATGCCCAGGGGATGCAGATGAAAACTGGGCCCAGGTATACTATCGTGTTGAAGCATGTATCCAACAAATTCGCCTCCTCCAGCTCCACTGAAAAGTGCGTCCAGATCGATGTTGCAGATCCACCAGATAACAAAAGGATATCTTTCGCCGCCAAAGACGTCACGTCGGAGCAGCGCAATCCGTAGAAGTGTCGAGAGATGCTGGGACCATAGACGGGAACTGTCAGCTTCGGCCGCGGCAATCTATTTTGTGCGTCAGTACTGTGCGTAAAAGTGCGAGATCAGCCATTCCCACCTCGTATACCAGCAACAAAAAATGGGTCAAGAAGGCTCCATCCGAGGATAAATCATCGGGTCCCCTTAGAACGCTTTGGAGTGCAGGTAGAGCCTGCTGATAGTGCTGTAACGCGTCGAGTCTAGAATTACTCTCTGTTGAAGCTAGACTCAGCGCAGCAAGGGCCATCATAGCATGTCGTAACTGTGAAAAATATTAGCACGATTAATATTGTGGGATCCTCCATGGAAATTTTATACCGGAGGAAACACCCGCGCAGCTGTCTCCAAGAGTTCAACACTGGATCGCTCCATCCCATCCATCTGATCAAGCTCCGCAGGTACCAGTTGTTTCCAGACCACGTACCGAAATTGTCGAGAGTATCGCTGTCCCTCAGAGTCGAAACCATCTTCCATAATCGACATCGGCTCGTCCACAATAGCAATCTCGTCCGATTCCTCCTCCTTGATGAATCTTTGTTTCGCGAGAGGAGACAGCTGGGAGTGTAGGTCCTTGGACGAACTGAATGTGTTGCGTCGTGCAATGTCCTCAAATCTCGGTAATACGACGACATTGGGGTCTCCTGCTAACGGGACACCTTCAACTGCGATGTCCCGTCCGGAAAGGCTTACGTGGGTTGCCGCAATTGACGCTCGGCGCAGAGGCACAGCCGGTTCTCTTTTGATGGCGGATTCGTCGTTGTACTCGGGCAGGTGTTGGAAACTGTCCTGATTGACAACCACGTTGTATGTGCCCGGACTGGAGTGTTCCGCCTTTTTCTCTCGTTCTTCGTCGGTCATCAAGGCCGCAAAAGGTGGCAGATCATCTACTGGTACAGACCCGGCGCTGGTGTCAGTTCTTGCAGGTGAGTTGGCTATTTGGAGGTCAGTAAGAGCCCTTTCGTCGCCATATAGAAGACTTACAGTCCCATATGGTGTTTGTAACCACCGTGATATCCTGCATCCGCTCTCTCACCCGCGGAGTGTCATCTCGAAATGATAGGCGCGGACTGTAGTCGCAAGTATGACCCAACCGACTACACTGGCCACACTCTGGTCGGCGTTCGTCACATTTCACCTTGCGCGTGCGGCATGTCCAGCATCCAGTTCGTGATCGGGGCGGTAATCGGGCGCGCGGAGGAATGGTTGGGCCTAATTGACCACTACGACTCGAGCTAGCCGAGGACGAGCGGTCATCCTTGGGTGCAATGACCGGCAGCCGCGGTGGTGGTCGCTTTGAGGATTCACCTCGTTTGTCGTCGTGCATCAGAAATGCGGTTGGCAAGACTGAGAAGAAACGGCCCTGATATTTCCTACGTCCTGATACCAATAGTCGGTCAAGGGTACATGTCGGCGTGCACGCGCTAGCCGCCACTGGTCAACAAGTCGCGACAGGAGCCCATTCCAGTGTCCACTGGGCAAGAATAGTCGAGACCACTGCGCAGGTCAGAGGGTGGGTATGGGTCGAAAGTCAAAGCACGCTGCAGGGGGGGAAGACTTTGCTTGGTCAGGGAGGTGGCGATGGCACGAAATGAGGCAGCTTTGTATAAGTTGAAGAAATCCTGGTCCCTCGGGCTCACAAGGGGAACGAGGCAAATAGATGTCTGAGAAGAACGAGAAGAAAACTGGAGTGAAAGACAGATTGGAAGATGGCGAAGAGCAAATGGGGCGTCCGAAGTCGAGAGATGGTGTCCCATTAGCCTGAGGGACGTCCCCCGTCCGTCATTCTGATCGCCAAAGGCCATGTCCGCCAGCCAAACCAACATCTTGGAGTGCCACACACATCATGGCTCCATCAGACGGTTTCGGCAGACCAGCCCGTTGAGACTAGGGATCCGATGTCTGGATCGGCTATAGCACAGGCCTCGAAAGAATTTTTGAGAGCACGATTGAAGAAGTCAAAAGGTGGATATTGGGTTGGAGGAAGAAAGAGCATGGAAGCGCCCCCGCTGAAAAAGGCTGGCCTCGCCAGCTCGAGCACCCTCCCGGGTCCGGATCGGAAAATCTGTTTGACCGAGGAAAGAGCCGAGCCCACACTTAATTGGCCACTACAGATCCCGAGCGGCTTTGTATCTTTTGTTGTGCCGGCCCTCATGTTCGGATGCACCATCTCTCTACACCCTTCTCCCCCCTAGTCTCTCCGACTCCCATACACCCATCTCCAACACTTCTCTTCTTGCTAGTGTCCCTTCGAAGCCACCAACTGCCACATGGTCTGCTAGCCTTACCTCCAAGACAACTCCTTGTTAGCTTTGCACGGAATAGTTTTCCCCTCATACCTCGTCTGTACACGATCCTTGCCACAATCTTGATGTGTTTCTCAGCCAATGACCCAAGCTGTGCTAAAATGATCCCTCGATCGAGTTATGTCCGAATACGGGACCCCAGTCAACCCATTACCACGACTCCAGTACTCGTACCCTAAACCAGCTGAAAGCCCACCCGCCTGGAAACTGGAGACGGACTTGTGAAGAGCCATGAATACGAGATATGCAAAAAGTGTAATCCCAGACCCATCGCTGGTTGGCATGCCGTGTGCTTGAATCATCCTACGCGAGTCAACTGACAGAATTTCGGATAAGTATTACGTCCCCCCAAACCAGGGTTTTGGACACAGCAGGAGGCAGTGATAGAAAGAGGCATGTCTCATCACAACGACAGGACATCCATTGATGATTCATGCTAGCGTCGCAACTTTGCCTGGTAGAGCCAAGGACGTGACGGTCCGCTGCATGCATGTCTTCAGCCCTACGTGAGTAGCAGTCGAACGCAGTGCTCGATCTGTTTGCCAGACGAACGGTTGCTGTGGACATCCTCCTCACCGCCGACGCCAAACGAGCCCTGACATTAAGTAATGCCCTGGCGCATGCGAGGCATTAGCGGGTTCTTTGGAGGAGAAGTTGGGCACGTTCGATGTCTTGACATAAAAGTCTAGACCGTTCGGTACGCGCCCAGTTGCCGAGGATCGCCGCTAACGGTGCGGATACTCGGGTGCCTCTTTCAGCTAGAGCCACCGCCAAAGCCACACGCTGCCTTCGCACGTTTTCTGGCTGGGAGCCTTGGCGATCGTCATTCTCGCCGGCGATGACCGCCAGTACAAGTGGCTCAAATCGCTCATAGTCTTCCCGGGGACCGCCGGGTTGGTCTTCACCAGCAGCGGTTCCGGCTCGAGTCAACGCTAATGCGCCATTTGCATTTTCCCTTTCTGCACCTTTCATTTCAACATCAACACTATCAATCTTCTGATTGACCGGCCATTTCTTGACGAAAACGGTTGCGTTTTCGTACACCGCCAGATCAACAACATAAGTTTTCATGGCCTGAGCTTTTTTCACAATTTCGGCAACTTGTTCCAGAACGTCGACATTTGGGTGTGATGCAAGTATTCTGAACAGGCACGAAACGATGGCGTTGACATTGGCCTCGGCCACGGTTCTAATAATCGCTCAGAGACGGTGCTTTTTGGTACCAAGCGGGGAGTAACTTACTTGTTTTCGAAGGTCTTGCCGCTAGTCTCGTCAACTTCCATCGCATCCTTATCTGTTAGCTCATCCAGTATGTCGGCCAGGTATGGCACTATGTCCTGAGACAGATCCAGGTCTTTTCGGACGAGCGCGAATTCGCCAAGCGACTCGATGGCATGGGGTCGATACGAAACGTTAGTGCGTTTGGCCTCTCGCACAGCAATCTTCCTCATCTGTTGACTGACACTCTTGTCACTCCATATGCATTGCGCTTGCTCCACGAACTTTGGGTATGTCTTGATGATTTCCTCCTTTCCGGCCCAGGTCTTGCCGTCGAGGGCCTCTTGAACCACCTTCCAGATAAGTCTCGCAGCACTCTCGGAGTACTTCTCACTGGAATCCATTGATGACACCATATCGGCCACAGCGAAACAACAGGCATGTTTGATGGGCCATAGGGTGGACTTGATATGTGCGGAGACGAGGCTCACGATCTCGGTGAGATAGAGGTTGATCGAGCGGGGCCCGCCGACATTCTCCTTCCATGGAATGTCAAATCTTTCTTTTACCTCGTTATCGGTGTCCTGGCGTCCAATAAATGCAAAGGGGAGAAAGAGTGATGCCGACTTCATAAAGACGTCGTTGGACGCTTTCGAAATGGCCTGGACGATTTCACCCGCCACAGAGCGGTGGACCAGTTCTTGGGACTCGAAGTACAGTTTTCGTGCGTATTCGCTGGTGGCTTGGATCTCTTTATCGGAGGCCAACCTTATCAGATATCCCAGGGAAGTGCTAAACGCCACACTAATGGTGGCATTGCGGTCGAGGACGTGTTTTCGTGTTAGCTGAACAAACCTGTCGACGTACGGTCGGAACGCAGTCGGATGACGGACGACAAGGGTGATCATGACCCTGCTCAAACCCACCTTCGATGGTAGCCCGATAGCAGCTCGGTATGCGCCGGCAAGTCTCTGCATAGCATCATCCATTGGTGACTGGCTCGGGGTCGACGGCTTCGATGTTGACACGACTCCTTCCATCCCATCTGGCTCTCCAGCGACAGGAGTGTCTGTTTGCATTGTGATGCTCTCCAAACACTGTTCAATGGCTTCCGTCACTGGTGACGCGTTGATGCTCGAGACACGCATCTTGTCTAATTTCTCCGTGGTCAAGCCATACTTGTCGGCATTGAGATGCAGGTAATTGATGCTTTCATGCTCCAGGGAGCTGAGCGAGACGATAAACGTCTCCAGAACCTGTGGGGCGTAGGGACGAAGAGCTTTGGGAGGACTCTTTTTCACAATCTCCAAAAGAGTGGCGATAGCGTACTGTTGGACATCTTGGCCGGAGCCCCCTTCCATCTGCTGTATCAAAAACGGCATAGCATGGCTGAGCATCGTGGCGGAACGCTTCGTGTTGCCGTCGCCGATCTCGAGATTTCTGATCAGCATGCTCGTCAGAGTTCTGCACAATTTTATCGCTGCCACGCGGACCGTCTCCTTCACATCATCCAGGACTTTGAAAGCTACTTTCCAGATCTCGTCAAGATACTTCTCGAACATGTCTACATCCCGACCCTGCACGAGGTCTGAGATGGCAGCACAACTTGCTTCACGTGCCCGCCACTCTTTGCCGGACACGATGCTCTTGAGCAGATCTTCCATAATCAGGTCGAAATTGCTGTTGATAACTGCGCTGGGGTCTTTGACTAGTGCCCGCCAGATCTCGTTCATTGAGCGTTGTACGTTTGGGTTGGGGTCAAATCGGTATCGGAACAGCTTAGGGTAGAACTTCTTGTTCTCAGCCAGGTAAGCCGAGTCGGCCAAGATATTACCCAACCCAAACCTGCCGAATGCTGAACGACTGGACCAGATGGCATTGCTCGATGCCAAGTTCATGAACTTGTACACCAAGCTGGGATCTCCCATTTCGGTGGCAAGGCGAACAATGTCTTTGTATGTTGTTACCGATTCGCCTTTCTCGGTTGGCAGAGCACCCGCTTCGAACAGCTGCGTGTCCTCGTTCACGGTCCCAGACATTTTGGCGTTGCTGCCCGTGAAGCTCTGCACCAGGTCTCTGACTAGGTCTTCCCGAAGTGCCTTGTCGCCGCGCTCGTACACCAGACTCAAGCCTCTAGAGCCTGTTTCTTGAACGATTTCGTCCCGGTCATTGAGGAGCTTGGTAAACGTCGCTTGGCACTCTCGTAATCTGGAGAGGACAGGCGATGAATCGCCGCAGTATTGAATGAGGCACAATAACCATATGGCCGTTGCTTTTTTCAGGGCCGGTTTAGTAGTCTTGGAATTCTCGAGGACTTTATCAACGATGTTAATCATCAGGTCTCCGCTGTATCCCCAATCTGGAAGTTCTGCATCGACGTCAAATTCGGTCATGGTAGAAGACGACCGCCATCCAGCGCCGGCAACCGCCAGAGCCTCGCCTAGTGCAAAGTGGAATTCTGCTCGCTTGACCTCATGGAGAGCAAGGACACGTGAGAAGACACTGTCGAATTCCGAGGCCGGTCCACGTGCATGTATGACACCGAGAAGCGGGCCGAGAGCAGCGACGGCGATTTCGCTCTCCTTCTTAGCGTCTGCTATCAAGGGATTTAGTAAATCGTCACTCGTAGGCGGTCCCAATGATGGTGGCGTGCACAAGGCAACCTGGCGTAGACTCCTATAGGCGGTATCCTTAATGGACTTGTCCGAAGTGGATTTGATGATATCGCAAACGAGCCGTGTCAAGGCTTGTAAAACCGGGTTGTCGTTGTCCATTCGTCGCCTGAGTAGACTCCGTGTCAGACAGAAGCAGACACGCAAAAGTTGTCCTTGACATCTGTTTGCTTGCTCTCCGACAGCCGCTTTCCAGCCTTGTACCTGCTCTAATTCTGCGTTGGCAAGAGTGGCGGCGCCGTCATCGGCCGACGAAACGATACCGAAGATGCGGGCGGCTCGAAGCTGTAGTCCCGGCTTCGAAACGACACTGGAAGAAGCGGCCAAGGCCGAGTCGCGTACAACGTCCAGTGTACCGTTTGGAGCGAGTGATAACACCTCGAGCGACACCTCAAGACATTCGCCAGACTCCCGAGAGGCGCCGAGAAGGGCCATTTTGAGGAATGTTATTAGTGCATCTGTGTTGACGTCGCGCAGATGCAGCTTGATCTTCTCTCGTACCTCTTTGTCGTTGTTAACAAGGGCATCGATGCTTTGTTGCCAGTCAGTCGAATCTTCAGGTCGATGCGTCGTCGTAGTTTCGAGCGTGTTGCACACTAGGATGTTACGGCAAAATCTGACCGCGGATGCAAGCTTGGTGGTGCTTTCATAGAGCTTCTTCTCTTCCGGAGAGCCCTCAAAGAAACGCTTGACGACGTTCTCGAAACGAGGCATTGTCAATTTATGATCTCCCGGGAGACCACCAGATAGCCGCGAGCTCGAGGCATGCCAATAAGGGTCGAGACCCCTCAGGCCTTCTTCAGCGACTTCGCGCCTGTCCGAGGTATCAAGAGCCAGGACATCGATAAACCGTGCGTCGACATCGCTGAAAGGCAAGCACTTGTTTGCGAATCGTACGGCAGGGTATTTGGTACTGTTGACAAGCGGAAACGAGAACGTGGGCTCTGCCTCTCCAGGTTGCGCTAGCATGTTCCATAGAAGAAGGTTCTTGAATCGGGATAGAGTTGACTCATCTAAATCAACCACCGTGTTCATGATGCGCCCGATCGCTTCTTCGATGCTGCTTTTGATGCCAGCAGTCGTATCGGAACCCAAGCTGGCAAAAAGCCACGCAATGAGGTCAAGCATACGCTCATTCGCTGCCTCATCCCGCTGGTCATCCTGTTTGACACCCAGCAGGCCAATGCTCTCGTATGCCTTGCCCCGTAGCTCGAATTCGATCGCAGACGAACGATCGTTCATTTCTGGCCAGCCTTGAGAATCGATGTAAGCTTTCATAAGATCCTGTATTTCGGTACTGACGTTTCCGAGGTTCGGACCAACTCGTACTACCCACATGAGGTAAGAAAACAGGGCTGCGTGTAGCTTAGACTTCTCCAGAGCGCTCGGCGTCGGTCCATGGCCGAGACTTCCCGAGTCAAGTTCCTGCCGTACAAGCTCCATAAATTTGTCGGGGTGTGATGCAGCTCTCTGGCTTCGCGAAAGCAGCGTCAGGATCCGAGTGCGTACCTTCGTTGGACCACCACTATAAAGTCCGAAGAGTGCGGTCACGTTCTGGTCATCTTCGAGATCAAAGTGGCACTGCTTGAACATGACGTCGCTCATGCTGACGGCAGACGCATTGGCGTCAACGGACATGATGACGGCAGGAATGAACCGCTGGCGATCGTCGAAAATTGAAGTGAAGAGGAACTTCCCCAGCGGAGGAATCGTCTCTGCCCGTCGTTTGTAGTTCTTGTCGTAGACCGATTGAAACTCAACACTACCCGGGTTGGATGGGTTTTTGGGATCATGCAGGACCCAATCGCCCAACCTCGAAGCAAGATGGTTTGTCTGCACCGGCGTGAGTGCAAATTTCTCCTTCAAGGCCTGCTCTTCCTTGCTGCCTCGTTCCGGTACTCTCCAGCGGCGAAGCACATCCAGCAGAAAGTCAAATACAAGAGCCCACGGCTTGAGCTGGGCACTGTCAACGACCTCCTGATTGGGCACGACCGACTGCAAAACAGATGAAAGCGCTTCAACAGCTTGCTCGTCTTTTAGCCGTGGCAAACCCAGCGTGAGGAAGAGGAGGCTGAACTGTACCACACCAGCAATCTTTGCCTCCGAGTAAGTCTTGACCACCGCAGGGATCGGCACCTGGATCTCGGAACCGATCTTGACACGCTGGTAGACATAGGTGCAGACTTTGGTGGCTAGTTCTCGATTCTTGGGAACAGATGTTGCTAGTTTGAGTAGAAGCGCCGGAAGAAACTTCTGTATTATTGACTCGAACTTTTCGTCTGTGGATGCTGAAGCGATCCGGAGTTCAAGTTGAGATATCAAGTTGTATTCCCTCTCGGGATCAGGCGGTGTAATCCAGTCCGCCATGTTTCAGATAGCGTAGTCTCTCAACTCTGTCGCAGCATGTTTCACTGGCAAAGTATGCCCAGGCAATCTGCTGGGCTTCTTGAACCCAATCAAGTGACCCAGGTATGGACAAGCACGAGAAGCACTACCTAGACCAGCAGACAAGTGCAGATTGAAGGAAGACTCATTCAAGGTTGATTTGAGGCTAGCGCGTGAAAAACACCTACTCAAGGAAAGTAAAGGACGGTATTCTTATAACTGTCACCACCCAAGAGGCAACAGAGGGTTCGTAATCCGAGCAGCGGCGTTTCTAGCATTATCTTCAGTACGGTTGCCACGTCCTCGAATGAAGCCTTGAGCTTGGGGCGAACACGCCAAGACTAGACTTTATTGGTTGCACAGAGGCGACGAGGCTGAGTGCATCGTTTGACGCCGGCTGTGTCTCGCTGAGACTTTACAAACATACGACATGCGAGTTTCTATGAGTTGGAGGCTCTTGGGTGGGATCGGTTGAAGGCGAAGAAATTACCGCAAAGAATGCTTTCTATCCTCTTGTGAAGATGCGCAACAGGAACAGGGGCTGGGTCGAAACTGTCATCATACTCCGAGACTGAAGAAAATAGGCACAGAAGAGTCTGTGTTGAAATGGAGTTCCAGCAAGGCTCCAGAGCGATTTCTTCGGCGTATATTTTGTCTAACGGTATCGATCTGAAACCGCGAAAGCATTCGCTTTCATGCAGGTAATTCTGTCCTGGCCCAAAGAAGCGTCACAAATGCGAACTCCTAATGACATCCCGCCGTGACCATCCTGGTCTTGATATCAAGAGACCGTTTCTTTTCACACCTTCGATCTCTGTTGTGACATGTTGCTCGTGCTGAAATGTATCATGTTTGAGCCAACTTTTGAAAAATGGACCTCGCATTCGACTTCACTATCCCCATCGTTTATCTCAATCGTCTGGCTTCTCTCTCGGATTCGAGCAGGCACAGAATGTCATCGACCTTGACTGTTGGATGAGAAGAATATCCGTCAGCTAAAACATTCCCTCACTGTATTACGCTGCATCTTGTTTGTGGTTAATTCATACCTGGGCCCTTGACGTTGCGAATGATGCTTCGGCTCGTGTCGTCCATGAACTCGACTCGGACTTGTGTAACACCACCTCGGGAGCCTGTAAAGATTATACCATTAGCCCATACTGATCACCTCCAATTCTTTGCATCCAATTTGCGCATACCGGTTCGGCCGAGGACTCTGGTGACCTTGACAAGCTTGACGGGAACCTTGCCAGCATCCATCTTGACTTAATTCGAGTGGTAGATGTGTTCTCGAGGAGGGGATTATGGGGAGCGATGAGAGAGTGTGGAAGACAAGGGAACTTTTCTAGTTGTTGCTGCAGATCGTAAACCGCCGTCGGACTGCGATGAATTTGGAGTTGTGGGCTGCAAACTGGCCGCCAAGAATGGCAATGCCAAGACCTGGCCCGGCAGAGGCGAGGCCTGAGGCTGGTGCGAAAGATCTTGGAGCATTTTTTTGACGAGGCTCTCCGCAGCACTGGCGCCCGTGAGTCAATAATTGGGTGACGCTCGTTCTGTCCGTGATAAAGCTAGAAGAGGTAGGCCTGTTGCAAAATTATCTACCTTCACTGTCTCATATGCGACTCGGACATCGATCTTTCAGAGAGATCAGGGCAGCAAGGAACAACCACCGGTCGTACGAATAGAGGTCACACATTTGGTTGCCGTTGAGGAGGATATTTTCGTCAGTCGTACTCCGCGGTTGTTCGCAACCGATAGGACAAAGAGTCTCGTGGATTCCGACCTCGATATACAAGGGCGAACCTTTTGCAAACATGGATTTGGTAAACCACCTCTCGGACAGGCTGCTTTTCGCTGTACCAAAAAAGGGCCGGCTCCAAGCTGCAACCCTAGACCTTCTCGCTGGCTCTGACATTCAATTCCGACGGGAGACACGGCTAGACATTGCGCTCGTCAAGAATTTACCCTTGGCTTTGATATTCCTGCCTGCTGCTGATATCCCTACGTTTGTTGGCGAAGGCAAAGTCGACCTAGGTATCACAGGCCGGGATCAGGTCGCCGAGCACGATGCGCATCTCTCCTTGGGCGAGGCGTCAGGTGTTGAAGAGGTCATGGACCTTGGATTCGGCAAGTGCAAGCTGCAAGTACAAGTTCCCGAAAAGGGCTCTTTACAGACGGTGGAGGACCTAGTCGGAAAGAACATCGTCACGAGTTTTACGGGCCTGGCAGAGGACTACTTCGCTCGGTTAGAAGGCATGGGCAGTCGCAAAGAAAGCATCAACGGCACGGCAAGCCCTGTGCCAAAGCTAAAGACAAAGATCAAGTTCGTTGGCGGGAGTGTGGAAGCGGCGTGTGCACTGGGCGTGGCCGACGGCATCATTGATCTCGTAGAGTCTGGCGAAACGATGCGCGCCGCAGGATTAAAGGCGATCGACACGGTTGTTGAGAGCACTGCGGTGCTGATCAAGAGCAAGTCAGTCTCGAATGAGAAGTTGGTCAACTTGATTGCCGCCCGGATACGCGGCGTCATCACCGCGCAGAGATATGTCCTTTGCACATACAATGTTCCCCGGTCAAAAGTGGCTGAGGCCACAAAGATCACGCCGGGCAAAAGAGCACCGACCATCACTGCCCTGGAAGAATCGGACTGGGTCGCGATTCAGTCCATGGTCGAGAAGAAGGATATCGCGACAGTTATGGATGCATTGACGACGGCCGGGGCCACGGATATTCTTGTCTTGGACATTGCCAATTCCCGGACGGGTTGAGGCTGAGATGGGTGGTCAATTTGGAACGAACTTGTACGCGCGCACGGCGTGATCATGCGGTAGCGATCATTTCGGTATAGAAAATTACAAAATGGATTGGGGTTACACGGCACCAAAAAGCTCATGATGCCGTTGAGCATTACTAGATTTCCACAGTATCTCGTCTTCAGCCGGGGAAGGCCGCGCAAGATTGTGCGCCAACTGTACCCTATAATCTTGGTCTATGTGCAACACACCTTCAGCAATACAAGCACCGGATTCCGCGGTGAGCGGGCCAGGCAGATACATTGTACAACTATACAATGCAAACCTCTGAATGGAGCACCGGTTCACCGTCGCCCCGAAGGGGAAAGGTCAAGCCAATCGCTGAAGTATCCGACGAAGCCAAACATGGACCCAAGCGACCGCAGTGACATTAAATCTAGGCGTATAACCTGACGTATCTGGCTTTCAGCCCAAGGCTTCGATGAAAGATAGAGCTCCCTGTCCGTGCTACAAGTAATATTGAAACCGCTCTCTCTCGCAGTAACACCAGCGAACGTGCGTCGATGTGGCGCGAAAGCACCTTTGGGCGAGTCCGAGGACTGACATCACCTTCAGTGACTAAGCCGACAACTCTCCTCCCTTTGCTGGCAATGTCAACTCGTTCCAACATAACCAGCAACACATTCCTCCCTTGATATCACTGCGGCTTTCCAGATATCCTGCCGCTCAAGGCGCGAGAGACGTATTCATCTTTGGGCGCCTGTCTCGAATCTTAGGAGGCCGCCAACGACTCTACCGACGATACCGACATATCCGGAGCAATGTCTGCAAAAACAGCGACGACAATCCCGGAGGAGTTCATCCGCGAATCGTTCTACACTCGATTCATAGTCGCGCCGGTGCTTTTTGTGTCATTCCTGATCTCGCTGTTTTTCATCGACCGCCAAACCGCGGGTGGCATATTTGGGCAGTCCAACAGCAAGCATGCCTACTACCATTCCCATCAACGCAAATTAGCCAAGAAGGAGATGGACGAGGCGTTCCAATTGCGACGTAAAGTCATTTTGGCACTATGCGTTCTGAGTGCAGTGGTCCTAGCATTTGTTGCCTGGGGGATCGAATGGACCGTGTGGAAGGTCAGAGCTTGACCGTGGAATGCCATGCTGGATCTGTACTGTACGTTGAGGAGCTACAGCATGGCTGTTATTTCTGGGATAGTATCACAACGTGACGGTGTTTTAGGCGATCACTTTTCTGGCGCGTCTAGAGGAATCAAAGTCAGCAATGCACAAGGACATGGACACAAGGTATTCGGGTTGCGTCACATAGCCACAATGAAGATTACAGATATGATGACCTCGATATTTTGGGCAGCGATGCAACGGCTCCAACTTACCTGGCAATCTTTCAATGACATATTTTCCCCTTGCGACGCTCATGATGGGTACACCAGGCACTTTGCGCACTCGCCTTTTGAGGTCTCTGTCGTTTGTGGCCACAATATAGATCTTGTCTCTTTGCACTCTGTCGACGATGCAGTCGTCGGCATAAGTCCCTTTATGTCCACATTTTAATCTTTCCCAACGTTCGTCTCGAGCAATGCGGAGGGCGATGCGATATTTTGTTCCCAACTTCTCGAGTTCAGCCATCTGCGGTAGCCAAGATTAGGTGAGTGATCTAGATGATGTTTTGTTCCAAGCACTTACCACGCAGTCGGTGATTACTGGTGTACACTTAGCATAAAGCGCATCCATCATTGTTGGTAGCAGCTCGAGCTTTTTCTGCACAGTGTGGGAGAGGAAGTTCGTGTCGACAAGGACGCTATAAGGAGGGACGAGAGCGGTGTTGTATTGGAAGAAGAGCGCCGAAGAGACTTGAGGTCTTGCAATCGTCAGCGGAGGGATACTAAACTGGGTGAAAAAGACCTACACCTCTCGTATAACATCGTCGTCATTTTTCTTTTTGTCTGCGGGTTTGTTGGTATCTTGGTTCTTTTTGAGGCGAGCGTCTCGTTGCCCGATGATTCTTTTGACCTGCGCAAATTTGCGAGTTTTCTTCTGCACACCCATCTCGAGCCAGTCGCCGGGTATATTCAAGGGGGTCTGAAAGAGTTGATGCTGCTGACAATAGGGATGTGATCGTGTCTCGGATACTGGTTCTATTATCTCTGTTGTTTCTTGCCGAAAAATAATTCTCGAATGTCACGGGCTTAACCAGCTCCTCGCAAAGCCTATTACCGGGCCTAACTGAACTCAGCCTAGTGGAGCTGGCGCATGGTTCGGCGCAGTTTGGGGGCTTGAAGGCTTTTACTAGGCGCTCTACAGGCCTTGGGTCTGGGTATTTTGACGCCTCTAGAACCTGGTCTCAGCCACATTTGCCCCCCGTCAGAGGCCGCGTCTACCCTGGTTCATCAGGCATTCGCCCCGCCCAGGTGCTCCTTGCCCAAAATATCCGCATCCCAGGCGCAGGGGCCACTAACAAACCCTCGCGATTTGAGACCTCATCATCCTCTCTCATCCGTACTCTGGTCTTGTCCTCTCTCTTCCTTTCCATTCCCAGCCGGTCTGCATATTTTGCATCTATATCTCGCCCATACGCCTATTTCAATTACACATAATGGCGGCTACCAACAGCAAGCTGCCTACCCTCCCGGGTGGCTACAATTATCCTCCGCCTACGGTCCCACCGAGAGCAGGCGCTCCTTACCTAGAGTCTTCCACTCTTCCGGAAAACTTTGTCTTTATTGTTGTAGGAGCAGTCTTAGGGTTCGTCGGCTTTCTTATCATTGCATGGAGAGTCGTCATGTCGTGGTCGATCAACCGAGCATTCAAACGCGATGCTAAAAGCGGTGCCGCGGGCGGCAACGTATCCTACACACCTCTTCCAGACCTCAAAAAGAACCCTGCCGCGCAATCTGGTCACGATATGCAGGATCTAAGCAAACTACCGCGGTCGTTCTCCAATGTTCCGAGTCTATTCTTTTCACCCACTGCCGAAGTTGCCAAGCAGTCTCAAAGACCTCCTTCTCAGCACTTACCTGCTGGCCATTATCGAGATGCCTCGGACACTTTCCGTCGATAGAACCGGCGGCAGAGTTTTTGCCAAAGTCTTCAAGATGAACGAATAGACTGGGCGCCTACCTCGCCTACCTGATACATGGCCGGTGCAGTTCGCCTCCTGGTTGTGCAGCCTGCGCATGCTCAAATCGTCTTGTACGAGTCAGACCACTACGCGGACTCTCGAGCCCAGACTGCAGTGAAGCCATGATAAATGTGTGGCAGGTGAAGAAAAGCCCGCTCGTGCAACATCAACCTCCCGGAATACCTCAGTCCGATTTAGGACACGGGTATATAGGCAACACGTTGTGCTCGATTTCGCGACAACAAATCCAATCAGCCGACAGTCTAGCCGGAGTTTTCTGCCAGATGTGGCAGTCACCTTTCTGTTGCTGTGTATCCAAATGAAGCAAAGATCAAATCCTGGGACAATGGACGTCCGGCGTTTGGAGGTGTTCCCCCGAAGTGGTCATTGCTATTCGCCTGCCACATCATATTTCGGCTCCGCTTCTTCAGATGGCAGCGATGGTAATGACTTTGTAACAATCTATGTCCGCACGATCCTGGGGTATCCTAGCCTGGCAACCCCAGGCCTTGGACTTGATTGCAATTCAGGTCGCCATCAGGATGTGTGGAATTGGCAGCTCGCCCCGGTCTACACTGCCAATTGAATCGGTTGGATCTCTAGGCACGCTTCGTGTTGGCTTCTGCGATTTTTCTCTTCCTGATTTTCTGTTTTAAAGCATAGCGAGGCGTTAGGGTTGGACTAAGCGCATAGCTTGGGTATCGCATTTGTTGCATTGTGATGCATGGGAAAGAGCCTCTTCCTGTCATCGATCTGTCTCTCGTGAATTTCTGACATTTGCTGTGAATATTACTCTTAATTACCATCAAACCTTGACGCCTGTGGACTGTCTCCTTTTCCATTGCTTACATTCGCTGTCTTTCCTTCTTTCCAACGACGTCTAGCCATGAATGTCTGTGTAGCAGTGCCGAGTACTGTTAGGATAGATACCTATGGTGAGTACCTCAGGGAGGAGGTAAGGTACATCTTGTATGCTGTGGTCCTCTGAAACTCCACAATTCCCCCACTCGGCCAATCGGCGTCCCTTTTTGCCCTTGGGTATTCCATGTTGCTTCAGAATCATACAAATATTCATTCTCTGTTTCCCTGCACCCACCCACTCACCAGGTACCTGACGCCTGCAGCCCGAGCAAACCCATCCGTGACCGTGTACTTTTACCCGTCACAGGTGCCTCGTGTGCAACGTTCCTCAAAATGGCAGCTCCCTACTCATTTGCCCTGCGCCGGACGATCCATCACTCGGCTTCCCTGCTGCGGTCGCAGCCGCAACGGCGGTACGCACGAGTCCACGACGTGCGCTTCGTCACGACACACCGCGACTCAACCCGGATCCTGGACAGGTACAAGGACAAGCTGGAGCGGAAGGCGAAACAGTATGGCCTCACCACATACACCTAACTGCACACCTCTCGATTTCGAAACTCCCGTCAAGGTTTCCTGCACACGATATTATCATGCGGATACTAACGATGCTTTTCAAATCCACAGGGAAGGTCACAACTCCATTTCGTCTCTAAAGGAAGCGTACGCCGAAAAGATCAACGAGTACAAGCGTTCAGCGACGGATCCTCCTACGGAGCAATCTACACCCGCTCCCAAACGGTCGTCGCTCCAGCAGCCACCGCCACCCGCACCTACGCCGCAGCCATCCGCTTCCTCTGTACAGAGTCAGAATCAAGCTTCGGAGGGGAAGCCCGAATCCAGTGCTCCAGGCATCAGGCCGTTGTCATCGTACCTTGACCTGGAAAAGGTCGCGGCCCTCTCCAACAAAGAGGTGGAATACATTTGGCGAGTCCGTCACGCAGACGACCCTCTGTCACTATGCGCAGTCATCCCCCTTGATACGTACAACCGTATCTACCGTACGGCCCGAACACACCCACAATTTGTTCTTCCACTTCCCCGACCAGTGGCCGACGATGGGAGTGGCGATGTCAAACAGTCGCCTCAGGGCTTCGAGGGTGGTGAACGATCTGCAGCAGATATCCATTTCCTCCAATGGGGCTTCCATCCCCCGGCTAGTGCTCCTGCGAGCCCAAGAGTCAACACTTTAAACTCTCATATAAGTACTGTTCTCTTCACACACTTGGCTGCTTTCAAAGTCCACGGGGCATATGCGCAGCCTCACACTACCGTCACACACCATCTTGACCTAGCAGATTCTCATGGCATTGTCTTGCTCAGTGGTTCTGTCGTGGAGAATCGAGGCGTCAGTGTCGAAGAGGGCAGATGGCTGCTGATGTGTCTGCAAAGATTTTATGATTATGAAGGCCACGGCGGTGGCATCGGCCGTGAGAAACGCCAGGGGTTGTTGGAAAAATTCAGCAAGGGTGATCAGGGCTTCAACATACAAGAATTGGTTGATGAAGCTGAAAGAATATCATGAGCTGCTGGCTGCTCAGCTCCAAAGCTCCTCTCGATGCACATTGGTATCTCCTCTCGAAGGTTCGGTGTTTCGGCGAGATACTCTTATGACTTCTTGGACAAGGAACTCCCAGATGGCGTCAAAGTAGCCGGGTTCTGCTACGGTGGAATTGTGATCTCCGTTCGGGAATTCTTTCCAGACCTTCTTGGTGGGACACGCCGTGTACAGCGACTTCATCATTGTAGGTGGTACGATCTCATCTTTCAGGCCGGAAAGAAACAGCACCGGGATGTCTGTTTCTGTCACTTTGGTCATGCACTCCTCTGAGTTCCACCGTTGATGGCACAGGGCTGCAATGTACTTGGCTGGGGGCATGATTGAGGGAATGAGCTTGCGAATGGATAGGAAGGTGTTCTCGAGAATCACTGCTGCAATATCGCCGACCTGCTCATTTGCCTGCAACAACTTGATGGCCACCGCACCACCTAGGCTTTGGCCGTACAATACGATACTGGTCCTTCTCAGCTCTTCATGGTTGCGGACAAAATTCAGGGCTGTTTGGCCGTCAATGGTCAAGCCGTCTTCGTCGGGAGAGCCTGTCGACAGACCATAGCCTCGATACTCAACCATAAATACATGACAACCCAGGCTCTCGGATAGGACCTTGCCTATTGGCAAGCGATGACCAACGTTTCCCGCATTGCCATGAAATGTAACTAGGGTGACATTGTTTTGAACAGGAGACTTGGGAGGCCGAAGGAGATAGGCATGGAGGGTCTCGCCATCGGGAGTTGGGAACTTGATCGACTCGGCCGATGTGATGTTGAACTGATCCGGCGTTGGGACGTTGGTTCTTGCTCCGGCGGGGAGATTTGCAGGATAGATGATGTCGTTCTGTTTGAAGTAGAGTAGACTGCTACCTAGCGCTGCAAGGCTAGACGAGACGAATAGAGGGACACGCAAGTAAGAAAACACTGAATTCATTTCGTCAGGATTGAGGAAGCGCAGGCAGTAAGTTCCCCGGTGGTAAGTGGCAGAGAGGGGACTGAGACCATGGAATCAAGGAGGCATGCGTAGCGAGATCGTGGCGCCTGGAGAAGACCTGCACAGCTGTCAAGCATGTAGGAGGAGCCGCCGTGAAGATATGGATATTTGAGGATGTTAGTCTTGAAAAGATGCGTGGACGATGTGCCATACAGTATTCCGGCTGCGACATTTATTAGGCAGGTAGCCCACCACCAGTTAAGAGCATGGTTGTGGTCGTCGCAAACAAGGCTGCGGCACAGAGAGCCTGGTGCACCTCGCAAGGCTGGCAAGGCTAATTTGGCTCATTGCTGCAGCTTTGCCGCCAATTGAGCTTCAACTCGATTTGGAGACGCGTTCTTGGGAGCCTTTCGTGCACTTCTTTGTCAGTTCATTACACAACTCTCTTCCACCACTCCTCATCTATCGAGCGTCAAACAAAGTCTTCTTTTTGTTAGGAATTGAATCACTGTTGTTCCAACCCTCCGATCTTATCCTCATTGCCACGGCGACCTTGCAACAACCTCTTCCGCCCGCCCTCGTTTCACCCGCTCTCCGCAATCATGATCGGCCCCGGCACGGGCATGTTGGGTGAAGATGGTATTCATGTGGATATGAACCATCTAAAGTCCGGAGAAGTCAACCTAGGAACATCCATCATGGCTATCAACTTCAAAGATGGTGTCATTCTCGGAGCCGACAGTCGAACGACCACCGGTGCATACATCGCCAACAGAGTTACAGACAAACTCACCCAAGTACATGACACAATTTGGTGCTGCCGGTCAGGATCAGCTGCCGATACTCAGGCCGTAGCCGATATTGTGCAGTATCATCTGGGATTGTACGGTATAATGAACAACGGGCCTCCAACGACACAGACCGCCGCTGCGCTGTTTCAAGAGCTGTGTTACGAAAACAAGGATCAACTCAGGTAAGGGCATCGTACTTGGGGTCGCTCAAACAATGCTGACTCCGTCCAGTGCTGGCATGATCATTGCCGGATATGACAAACGAAATGGTGGACAAGTCTACTCAATACCTCTTGGAGGTTCGCTACACAAAGGCCCATATGCCATTGGGGGTTCCGGATCAACATACATCTATGGCTTCTGCGACGCACACTGGAAAGAAGGCATGACTGAAGAGGAGGGAGTCAACTTTGTCAAAGAAGCTCTAAGCGAAGCTATCAAGTGGGACGGCAGTTCTGGCGGCGTGATTCGAATGGTGGTACTGACAGCAAAGGGGGCCCAGCGGCACTTGTACCTGCCCGACCAGGGTTATCGAGGACCAGGAAAGGATTGAAATGGCGAAGATACGGATCATGGCCGGCGTAATGGAAGGAGTTAGCATTGCATTGAGGCTGTCACCAGCTGGGATCGTCAGTATGAACTCCGTAGAGGTGCCTCATTTGCAGGTCCCATGCATGAAGTCGACAAATGAGACTCTAGGCCACATGGTTCGGTGACATGCAGGCGGAGGGCTGGAGGGCTGGACTGCTGGACTGCTGCACGGTGGCCTTTGTTGCTGTAAGGACCGGTGTATTAGATATCTGGGTACAGAAGTCGCAGGGTTCACTTGCAAAGTCATGCAAAATGACGCCAACAGCCGCCACGGGCGCAGAAGAAAAGACGTGGTGAGGCCCAAGCAGATGCGTGATCCAGTTCACAAGCCACCCACTCCTGTAGTCGGCGATTATTCGCCCTTGCAACTCTAAAAGCCTCCTGTACATCTCCATATCCCGCGCTTCTGCTGAACTCATACATTTGTTCTCTCGCATCACTTCTACGCCTCTCTCACCTGCTTTACCCGCTCGTCTCCGGCATAATCGCGACTCTTTCGTTGCCATTGCCCTCATCATCGCCTTCTAAAGGATTATTCGCGCCCGGGGACCTCATCAACACCATCGCAGCCCCTCCACCATGTCTTTGGTAAGTCGCCTTGATTCCATCCCCCACCGCTCAATCAGCACATGCTAGCTCCTGATGCCCCGGCCGGCCACACCTCCATGCCTGCTACAGTGTCAAAACGTCCACCTCCCTAGATCTCATCGATATCTCTGCAAGGATAGAGCGCGTCACCACCTTCATGCATGCGAAATTGCCCAAACCCCTCCCATGTGGGTCAGATCGTCCTGCCTGCGCGCTGCGCTGCCGCTGCATGTCTCGGCCAGGCTGGGAACAGTTGGGCTGGAAAATAAACATGTTTTGCACCTTGTTTGGGCATCAAGACGTTTGGAATCGCTAACAGCTTCGTCGACAGACATTTGTCACGACCGGTTGAGATGGGCTCATTGGTGATAAGCCAAGTGGCGCCGGGACTGGGTTATCATCCCTATCACCACCACATGATGGTCGACAGCAACCTCGAGCCAGATGAGGCTTCAGGCGCAGCTGCCCAAGGATCAAGAGCTAGAAGTGCGTCTGCTTCTGACACAACCAGGACACGGGGCAATACCGATGCCACAGTCCGTTCCAGCACACCTACTGCTCGCGATCCGTTCCCAGAATCTTCCACACCTACCTCTCATCCTGTAGACAACGAGCCTTCATCCGCTTCTCGACAAGCATCATATCACCCTCACAATGTCAACCAACACAGCCGAGGCTTCGACCAGTCGGGGTTTCCCTTATCAAGCGACCCTCGAGTAGTCGTGGCAGCCTCGCCTCCTTCTCCACGATTACAACCCACGTATCGATCCACGAGATCTTTAGGTGGCTCTGAAGCGACCTCTCCAAGTCGAATCAAGGTCAGAGACCTGTCTCATATCCGCAGCTTTGCGAGTGAAGAATATCTGGCTCGCCCAAGGCTGGGAACACGATCACCCAGCGTGTTTTCGGACTCCGGAAGACAGTATGAAATTAGTTCTATGCCGGTTACAGACATTATCGAGATGGTCGCAGGCCTCCTTACAAAGATCACCACCACAAACGATAGACAACACGAGCATCATCGACCTATGCCGTTGACCGAAGAACAAAGTCATCTGAATCCTCACGCGTCTTGTGTGTTGGCTTTCCATGGCAAGAATGTCCCAGGAATCACTATCTTGAGTTATTTGAGTCGGATACATAAGTACTGTCCGACCACTTATGAAGTCTTCCTGAGTCTTCTCGTCTATTTCGACCGGATGACAGATATGGTCAATCGAGGTCTATTGGGGCAATCTCAGCAGGGACCTAATGATTCACCTGCAACAGCACCCGAAAGCTCCAGTCCGACTGCATTCTCGCCTATGCCGCTGAGCGTTGATAGTCCTCAGGAACATCACGACATCAGCGACCCCGTAGCGGGGACTGCAGCGTCGCAGGCCCCCGGCTCACCCAATACACGTGATATTCCTGGCGACTTGTCACAATTCTTTGTTGTAGACAGCTACAACATTCACCGTCTTGTCATTGCAGGAGTCACTTGTGCCAGCAAATTCTTCTCGGATGTTTTTTACACCAATTCGAGATACGCTAAGGTAAGGGACTTTTAAGCTTTTGAACTTTGATCCAACCCAACTAACCATGAATCTCAGGTCGGAGGTTTGCCATTGGCTGAACTCAACAATCTCGAATTACAGTTCCTGCTGCTGAACGACTTCAGACTTTCTGTCCCCGTGGAGGAACTTGAAGCCTATGGCACGATGCTAGTGGAATTCTACGCAAGAGAACTAGTAGCTCAACAGCAGGCCGCGCAGTCGATGGCCTCTTCACCCCACTCGACTGACGGTATGTACATGCGGACACAAGCCGGGGCAAGAGCACCCGCACCAGCAGCCCCAATTTCATAAGAACCAAAAAGAGTCGGTCCAGCTGCATGACCGGTCGTTCTTTTAATGATGATGAATGACTTGAGAGAACGATAATTAGAGCAAGGGGCATCGCAATAGAGCTTTGGGGCTTGAATTATGGGGTGTCAGTTCAGTCAGTCGGTTAGTAGGTCAGTAGAAGTGGTGGTGCTTTGGGGGTGGGAAACGGGACGATATTCTTGCGTGTCAGTGTGTCTGTGTGAGTGTACGCGTTGGGGGGTTTGTGTTTTGGTTGTTACTATCAGGCGAGCTGCTTTATGGAGCGGCTCAACACGAGACTTGTCCATTTTGTTTTTTTGCTCCGGCAGCAGGGTTACCAGTCATGATCATCAGTACGACACGAATTGGTACGTCGGCGCCGAAATGATCATCCTTCAGTCCATCAATCCATCACATCATCATCACCATTATCAAATCCAAACCTCGTCAGCGTTGATTGCTTTCTTTTGTTCCCTTTGTGCTTGCGTTGCAGTTCTACACGCCACATCCACATTCGCTTTTCGTATGTGTCTGGTCGTGTTCAGGTCGATTACAGGTACAACAAGGCGCCTTACCTATTTCATCTACAGCCACGGGATGGACTCACCTGTTCTGACATCCACGCGTGATTTTATCTGAAAAGATACGAACGTCCCCTTTGTATCGGGTCCTCTGTATCCTCGGTTTTCTCACGGACAAAAAGGGGGCGAGGGCCTTAATGGGGAGGGAGGTTTGGAGCATTCTTCAATACATATACATCATCAAAGTACCAAGGATAAGGTCCCATAGGTGTAACCAGCCGATCCATTGGCGTAATTTCGTGCAACAAAGTAATACATTTTGTTAATGTCTTGTCTGGCTCTATTTATCTAATAACCTTCTGAGCTATCTCTTCTCATTGCTGTCTCGAGTTTAAAGCTCCGGATGCGCATAAACATGAGGGTAATGAGGCCTGGCTCCTCTGAGATAAAATACACCATTCTACCGTTTCCGTCATATCATACAATCTTTGTCTGAGTCATCATACATCACCATAAATCATCATCCTTTCATGCCGAGTCAGCAAGCTCAATGCACTTCTTCATCGCCTGGTCCAGCGTGTTCAGACCTCATTGCTGACAAACCGCTCAACTTCCGCGGAACAAGAACTGCATATCTTCTGGTGTCAACTTGTCCAACGCAACTTGATCGTTATTGACAGTTCCGTTGATCATGTTTGCCTTCTTTTCCTGAAGCAAGACCATTCTCGACTCGACTGAATCCTCAATGACGAGGCGTGTGATAACACAAGGACGACGCTGACCAATACGATGACAACGATCTGCTGACTGCCATTCTGCCGCTGGGTTCCACCATCTATCAAAGATTAGTCAGAAAATTGCAGATGACAGGAGTAGAATAGTCTTACGGATCAACAATGTAAACGCGACTTGCCTCGGTGAGATTGAGGGCAACACCACCAGCTTTGAGCGAGACCAGGAAAACCTCGACATCCACGTTGTTCATGAAATGGTCAATGGACTTTTGTCTCTGAGCAGGGCTCATGCTACCATCAAGTAGGACGGTGCTGAAGCCAGATTTCTGAAGACGCCACTGAACCAATTGCAACATCGATGTGAATTGAGAGAAAACAATACTCTTGTGAGTTTGCTTTTTGCTGCGGAGCTTGTAAAGGTCATAGACCAGCATCTCGATCTTGGTTGACGAAGTCCAGTCGTCCATCTTGATACGATTGATGATAGATGACTTTTTGACCGTCTCTTCATCCTGCTCAATCTCAGGCTGCTCCCAGTCAATCTGTAGCGGGATATGACACCGAGGGCAATCGGCGTCGCCTCCGCCGTCGCCGAAAGACTGTACATATGACTTGGCGCATTGACGACAGAATTCGTGGTGACATTTGGAGCGAATGGCATCTTCTGCGGGCTCGTCACAGATGCAGCACACCAAAATGTTCTGACCCCCCTCCGCATTACGGCGCAAGATCAGATCCGGGTGATTCGCAACTTGTCTCATTTGCATGATAAGGCCAAAAATGTTGGCATAGTTGTTCAACATAACACCTTGAGCCACGTATGTGTCAAACTTGCGTGTGGAGTTGGACATGATGCTCTGCGAGAAGTCACGTTCCATCTCCCCGAAGAAATCGTTGTGGATTACGATGTCTTTGGGTGGAAGCTCCATAGACGACGTGTGATCCCGCTTCATTCGACGCAACATGATACGATCAGTGATGAGTCGGAGCTTCTCCAAGCCCTTCTTTCTCAATGTAGTGTCTTCGTTCTGAGTAATCGGATTCAAGATTTCCTGATTGAAGACAGAAACATGGTTGAACCCGCTATGTTTGCAAGAAGTGCACATCTTCTGGCTGTCCTGGCTCCAATGAAGCTGGCGGCATTTGCACTGCTTGCAGAAGTAGCAAGCGAAGGGCTTAACCTCAAGGAAGCGAAGCAGAGAGAAGAATTCTCCGATGCGATTCTGGACTGGAGTTCCAGACAAACACCACTTGTAATCAGACTTGAGCGCAAAGCAAGCTTTGGCAACCCCCGTGGTTCGGGACTTGATGCTATGCGCTTCGTCAAGAATGAGCCGATGAAATTTGATGGCATGTAGCACGCTGTCTTCTTTGACAATGCCATCATTGCGATTCCACCCAGTGTGCTGCTTGCGATACATCGACTCGAGTCCAGAGTAGGAGACCATGATCACATCATACTTCTTGAGATCCTTCACTGTCATTAATTTGCACTTGGGATTGGCAGAGACGTGATAAACGAGTACTTTGAGCTTGCCGCTGGTGTAGTCGGCGATCTCGGACTGCCACTGCATCAGAGCGACGGGTGGGACAACGACAAGAGAGGGAGCTTTAGCAGGCCAGTCGGACATGATTAAGCTGACGGCCTGAATTGTCTTGCCCATACCCATCTCATCGCCAAGCAGACCTCCCTTCCAAGTGGACTTTTCCTGCTTGACCATCCAATCCAAGCCTTCCAGTTGAAAGCGTTTCAGTTGGCGATTAATACCAGCTGGCTGTGCAGCAGCCACGGGTGTGATAGGTTGGATAGCTTTGAGGTCATCCCACATAGTCTTGATTTCTGGATGTGCTTTTTCGAGCTTCGCGCGTTCTCGTTTGGCTCGCCGTTTCGCCGGGTCCATGAAAAGAGAGGGAGAGAAGCCGCGTAGTCTCCGACGCCGCTGTGATCTTGCAGCGAGTCTTCGACTAATTGCTGGTGCGGTGGTGCTTTCGTTGTCATCAAGATCGACACTCGCATCTGTGGCTTCCTCGGCAACAGAAAAATCATCAGAGTCGAAACTCTCTTCATCACTAAAAGAAGCGAGGGACGAGAGTTCAGAATCGTCAAGAGACACGCCTGTCCGAGTAGAAGATCCAGCATGTGGTGGGTTGGGAAGACCTCTCCGTGGCAGAGTGGAAAGCGCAGTATCCATGTCACTATCATCGCTGTCATCGCTGTCCGGAACCACAAGAACCTCAGTGCGACGACGTTTGGACAACGGCAGAATGTCGGAGTCGTCACTAACGGCGCCTGCTTCGTATTCTTCTGCTTGTAAGGCGCGAGCCAGTTCCTCGTCCGCGTCCTCTTCCCGGTCTTCAACCTCTTTAGCGGTTCGTTTTCGTGTTGAGCGCGGCTTCAAAGAATATTCCGAAGAGCGCAGTTCTAGTGCTCGGGTAGTCGCAGAGATTGTGTTTTTGGGTTGATATTCTCCTGCATTTGGCGTAGGGACAGTGCTTGTAGCGGGAGTTTCGTAATTAGACTCTAATGAATCGGCAATTGAGGAGGGTCCCGTAGATGTCTGAGATTCAACCCGGTTCTTAGTCGAGATGAAGACTCCCTGGAAGCTGGTTTTCGGCGCTGATGTAGAAGGCAAGGCCTCTTCAATCTCATCAGAGTCAGGAATTTCAACAATGTTCGCAGTTCTGGCACTGCGTCTCCGATGCGGTTTTGGAGTTGGCAGGGAGGGTTCTGGAGTGGCGGTTTTGGAGGCTGTCATAATGGTTAGTTACCGATGAGACGAGAGATTGTGATCTTCAGCGCAAATACGTACAGAATATCCTCTTTGAGGCAGAGGACCTCGTCGACCGGTTTCTCGCCACCATCTTGGCTGCTGAGGGAGATAGTCAGCAGATGGATCGAGGATAAGGAGAAAAGGCACGATGCGAAAAAGGGCGGGTAAGTGATATCGAGATTTCCAATGAAATGGCGATTAAATGCAGGGTTCACCAAGGCACAAGGCAGGCGACTGCCTAGCGCCTAGACGCGTGATCACGTGGACCAGACAAAGTATAGCAAAGTGGTTGCATATAGCGATAGAAGGGCGTTGGCCGGAGGAGGAATTTCATTGTTGCGGGCCCCCAGACACGCGGTCACGTGAGAGACGTGTAAAGTGGTTGCATAAAGTGAATTTCTTTGCGCCTGGACCGCGTAAAGAGTGGCGTCTGCGGTCAAGACGATTAGTACTCCGTAGATCAACTGCCTAACATCACTTGCTGCTACCCATTGTCCGACCTTTGATCGCTCTTCTACGTTTTAATAAGGCACTCCTATCTTGGTCTGCGTTCCCAAGTCACGCACGCATTAGTTGTTGCCGTCCACCTCATTGCCAACGATGTAAGTCTTCTCATTTACAATGCCCATATTAAACCCGCAACTGACTAGACCCAGGGCCAACCGACGCAACAACAACCCCGCGGCAAACCGCATCCGCGGACCACAGTCAGCCCTTACAGACTTCCTTGCTTCTCACAACATTTCCGCTGCCCAGATTCATAACGACTATCAGCGTAGGGTACAAGAAGCAGAGCGCCAGGCTCAGCAAGATGCACAGAATGCGCGCAATTCCACTGACAACAAGGAGAACGAGGATGAAGAGGACGAAGAAGACGTTGTAGAGCGCCAAAAGCGAAAGAGAAAAGAAGAAAAGGCCCTCCTAAAGATTAAGCAGAGCAAAGAGTTCAAGCGCCGCAAGCACGAACAGGATGAAGATTTTCGACAAGACGACGATGAGCTTGCTAGGAGCATGTTGGCCAAGTCCAAACCACTCCCAGGTCAACTTGATAACTGCGAGATCTGCGGAAAGCGATTCACTGTCACTCCATACAGTGGCACTGGTCCAGACGGTGGCCTATTGTGTGGCAAATGCTCAAAGGAATTAAAGGATGAAAAGAAGAAGGAAGCCAAGGCTGCGAAAAAGAAGACCCCTGTTTCTCGGGGTCGACGCCGACAAACTGAGAGCGATCGTATGATGGGAGACGTCAAGCCCGGTGCAAAAAGTCTGCTTGACATCTGTGTGCGCCACGTAGCGAATGTTGCTCACGACATTGACGAGTTTGGCGACATGCCTCAATACCTGTTGGACCGGCTGAGCCAGATCTTTTCCAAACAGAGAGTCATCACTCCTCGTGTCCTCGAGCTGTTTCTCCGTCCAGACGTGGATAGAATCAACGTTTATGACTGTGGCAAGCTTGAAACCGACGATTTCCAGAAGATCTTTGCATTCATGCCAAACCTTGAGACGGTCAATCTGCGATTTGCTGGCCAACTCAAAGACGGGGTCATCAAATACATGGCCGACAAGTGCAAGAAGATCCGACATCTGCAACTTGGTGCGACGAATTTAGTGTCCGACGATGCCTGGATTGAACTCTTCCGCTCACTTGGCCCTCAACTCGAGAGTCTCAAGTTGTCCGAACTCAATGACTCCCTAAGAGATGACACCGTCAAGGAACTAGTCAAAAATTGTCCCAACCTGAAGCGCCTCAAGTTGAGGTCGTGTTCCTACGTGACCGAAGAGTCTATCGACGCGTTCTGCGCCCTCGCCAAACTGGAACATCTGACACTAGCCGTTGCTCAAGACACGTCAGCCGACACGCTTGTCAAACTCGTCTCTTCCCTTGGCCCCCATCTCCGCACCCTGTGTCTCGAAGATTTCAGCGAGCTCGACGACGCCGTCCTCGACGCCATCAAATCTAACTGCGTCAAATTGAGCAAGCTCCGCATCCGAGGAAGCAGTCTCTGCACCGACGCTGCGTTCGCTGGCCTCTTCGACAACAACTGTCCCTTCCCACCGCTCGTCTATGCGGACTTTGCAGACAACCGGGACATCGATAGCATGAACCCAGAGGGTCCGCAAGATAATCCCGTCGGTTTCGGCTCGCTGGCTCTGACGGCGCTGATGAACCACTCGGGTCCACGACTCAAGACCATTGATCTCAAATCCTGTCGACACATCTCACACGCGGCACTTCTGGAAGCTTTCGACGGCCTCAAGAAATATCCCGCCATCACCGACATTGACCTCTCGTTTGTGACGCAGGTCGACGAAGTGGTCCTGGTCGGCATCTTCAAGAGTTGTCCATCTCTTGCAAAGCTGGCCGTCTTTGCGTGTTTCAACGCCAGGCAAGCCGTCATTCCCTCCGGCATCGCCGTCATTGGTCTTCCCAACGCGCAGGACAACATTGTTCGCGAGGGCGATGTACAGATGATTCTGTCCTAAGGCATCTGCAGTGTCCTAGGGCGCCTGGTATTTGTAATGATCGCCATGATCAAAAAAGGTGATGAAATCCGCCGTGAGGCCGTGTTTGATTATTGGAAGGAAGATGAGCGCACTGCGAACAGTGGTATTTCCCCCGTTCTACGTGGACCCGCGGTTATGACGACAACCACTCGCTTGGGTTATCAATTGAGGTTCCACGATAATGTATGAATTGAATGACGCCTGATGACCTCCTGGGACCTCCTGGGAAGATAGAGGAAGGCCGCGTTTTAGTTTCCTTTCTCCCGAAAGTCGTGTGTGCGAAACGGATTAACGTTCTTCATCGTTCTTGATTACTGTCCCTCTACATAGATAGATACCTTTCTTCCTTGAGTGCTTGTGTCTTTAAATGCATGCTGACCCGGGTACCTGACCGTAGCAAGGAAGTGTCTACCACCTGCAGCCCGACATCGATCCCTTCGTTTGACAGTCTTCACGCTTCGCTTCGATCTTGACAACACGGGCTGAAAAAATACCGAGTAGGTAGTCCGATGGTCAAATGGCTCAGGCAAGCCAATCCGTACCATCATCTCCTCATGTTCGCGTCGTCGGCCAGAGCTCGAATTTCCCGCGACAGTTAGGAGGAGTTCTACTTCGAGTGTGGTCGAGCATTTCACATGCCATGGGCGCTCAGAGCATCTCAATGCCCTCGACAAGCCATTCCAACCTATCCTCTGCTGCCATTCTGTCCTTCTGCTGACCCTGAGCATCTTCCAGTAACCACTTCGCCATACTCCCAACCTGCTTCGCCTTCGTCTTGTCCTCCAGCTCCTTACTCTTACACCTGGCCGTCTCGATGACGCCTTGACCCAGATTCGCCAACCGCGCCACGTTCAAACCATAACTCCTGTGCGCGACGCCCTCGCCAACCTCGTACAGGAACGTCACACTGTCCCTCTCCTCGTCCTCGGTGAAGCGCATGTGGACGTTTCGCAACTCCCCGTTCTCAAACCCGGCCTCCATGCGCGCCAGGACCTGGTAATGTGTGATGAACAGCGTAAGGCACTTCCTCTCCCGGACCAAATAATCGAGCACGGCACTCGCGATCGCCACCCCGTCGTGCGTGCTCGTGCCGCGGCCTAGTTCATCGAGGACGACAAGACTCCGCTCCGTAGCTAGCTTCAGGATATCGCTCGTCTCACACAACTCGACCATGAACGTACTCTCGCCGCTGAGCATGTTGTCAAAGGCGCCCATCCGCGTGAACACAGCGTCGAGGATGCCCAAGGTCGCAGACTCGCATGGCACAAACGATCCGATTTGCGCCATTATGCATACCAGAGCCACCGATCTCACGTACGAGCTCTTGCCGCCCATGTTCGGACCCGTGACGAGCAAAGCGCGAGTCGCATCGCTAGACAAAGAGATGTCGTTGGGCACATAGCTGTCCAGAAGGAGCTGCTCGACCATCGGATGTCGTGCCCCGACAACGTCAATCTTGATGTCTTTTGTAAAATTTGGTCTCACGTAGCCTGACTGGCTGCCAATGCTGGCCAGAGACAACAGACAATCCAAGGTTGCAAGGCTCTGGATGGTGTCCCTAAAGAGCTGATAGTTCGTACTGATATCAGCAAGGAGCGTCATGTACGCTTTGTCACATTCCGCTGCAAGCGATTCTTTGTGCTGGTCGCGCTCGCGCAGTAGCTTTACGACTTCAGGAGCATGGAACCGCGATACTTTCTTCGTGCCGGAAATCTTCACCCATGAGGCCGGAACTTTTTTGATGGTCGCAGACGAGTTCTCAACTTCGATGAGATAATCTATTCCCGCGACGGTATTGTAGTCGACTGGTCGCTTTTTGCCTAACCGGTCAGCAGCAGTAGTGCGAAATGTTTCTAGGTCGTGCTGGATGCTGGCGATGCCAAGTTTGTGTTCTGTGATCTCCGCGGTTTCAGCCGAATCGGCAAAGAAATCGTACTTGTCGTCAGATTTCGCCGCAGAGAGATTTATTTTGTCCAGATAGCCGACCACCTCTGTCAGTATCGAAGGGAGAGAAGTGAGGGCAGACGAGAGCAGGTGGGAAGTGAAACCTGTAGATGCTGCCTCGGTGACGTGGCCAAATTCCGTAGCTAGGAATTGTAGGGATTGGAGAACATTCAAAAGTTCAGGGCGAGTACATTTACCATAGTAAATGCGAATAAGGCTCTTTTCCAGATCGGCCTTCATTTTCGAGAGGACATGGCGTAATTTCTCGACGTTGACAGCTCTGGCAGGATCAAGAAGCTCCTCGATGGCATCAAGTCGTTCTTCGATAAGACGCTGGTCTAACAGTGGGCGACCAACCCATTTTCGAAGTAATCTGCCACCGAATTTTGTCTGGGTCCGGTCCATCATCCAGTACAAACTGCCCTTGGTAGACTGGTCGGTTTGATTTTGATAGATCTCAAGGCTTGTCAATGTGTTTCCATTCAGCAGCATATGAGATCGAGCTGAGAAAGGCTGGAAATACTTTTCGAGCTGAAACACATTCTCAAGACCGTAGTCAGACAGATGCTTGATCATAGCTGACAAGCAGACCAGCACATGTTCCGGTAGCCCTAGGATCTTGTCGAAGATTCTTATGGCTGTATTCTGCTCGGACCGGGTATCCCTCAGTCGCTCAGCATAAAAAGTCGACACATGGCCGTGTGCTTGTGCTGCCGTTGTCTTTTGCTTAGCGACACGCTCAACACGGATCTTGTCACCGAAGACGTTCGTCTTGTTTCCCGACAAATGGGTGATTAGTTTCTCTGTCGCTTTCGACACTTCGCCGACAACCAGAAATTCGCATGGTGCGATGTGGAGGAGTCTTGTCTCGATTTCACTTCGCATAAATCCGTCCTCAAAGTCATCATACACAATATCACCGGTGGCAGGTTGAACGGCAACAAGGCCAACATGGACTTTCTCATCATTGCCATATCCTTTAACGTTGACTTCAGTCATGCACAAGAGAAAGCCCGTTGATGGTGATTGGAGAGCAGGATTTGCTCGGTTGTCTTCCTCAATGCCCTCGATATCGTCGATGTAAGTACCTTTCGTGTACAGGTTGGTGAGCTTTCGCACGAACGGCGCGTTCCTGTTGTCGCCAACAGCTTTCAAAGCCGCAGTCTCAAGTTGACGAACAACTCCAACTTTGTGACCTGCCGAGACCAATCTCTTGACATGAACATGAAGTCGATGGACAGGGATGCTGGCAGAGGCAAAGCGGTCCAAATGCGCTTCAGAGTGGTGCTCGTCATAGCGGTACTTCCCAGGTATGCAAACGATACCCAGCTCTTTAGCGGCAATTCTGGCATCTTCACCAAAGAAGCGAAACTTGTAGCCAACCTCCACAACAAGCAGGGTGTCCATGTTTGCCTGTTTAATCTCTATGACCTGCTTCTCCATTGGCGTGAGTTTGCTACCACCCTTTTTGACACCCTTTGACCGAGCCGTAGGCTTTGGTGTGTCTTCAGTGGACTCTTCGTCGGCTTCATCGTTTTCCTCCCCATCTTCTTCTAGTGCTCGATTGCGTCTCTTGATCTCAGCTATGCTATCCGGCTTCCCAAGCTTCTTCACAAATCTACGGTGCAGTTCCTCCTTTCGCCGCTGGTCTGCACCAGTCTGGTTTTCCTGTAAAGGAGGGGAGGAAAAGAGATATTTGGAGGTGCGATCTGTCGAAAGGAGGTCTTGTGAGGCTGTGGCAATGTTTTGTTCACTCGCAGAGACAGGTCTCAGAGTCCGCTCGTTTTGGTCTTGCTCAGTTTGTTGAACTTCATCATTAACACCTTTGAGAAGGTCGTTTTCAATGGGAGTTATTCGCCTCCTCTTTGCAGTAGGTGGTTGTACGTCGTCATCATCGTCCTCCTCCTCGACTCGAGCCACAGTGGTGGGGGCAGGCTTCCTGAAGAAAGCCGATAGGGTCTGCTGCTTCTTTTGCATAGGCTTCATGTTGCCTTTCCACAGTCACTGATAAAGGACTTGAGTTGAACTGCAGGGTCTTGCGGTGAATTGTGCGCGCAATAACATCACTCCGAGGTGATATGTTCACGAACGAATGAAACGGCGCGACTTGCGGCGGAAACGCGTCGCGTAAAGTTACTTGGGGCCTGAACACTTAACCTAAGGCAGTACACCGTAGATACGCCGTGAGTGCTTCATAGCTACCAGGGGGTCTATTATATTTCCAGGGCGACCAACAAGCAAGGCGATGCAACTGTAGAAAATGATGCTGTCAAGCCACGAGCCGTTAATGCAAACGTCTGCAGAATCAGCATTAGATGTGCTTTCTATCTACTTCATACATCGAACTTTTGCTACCTTTCTGGTGTACTCCTATCTACCTGCTCGGACAATTGGTAAGAGAATGCTGCTCGAAGGACATGTCTCGAATCCTTGTTACTCCTTCTATGTCCCATTTCACCAGCTTCCCATCTTTGAAGGACATGCAGCGAGCAATCGATACATCAAGATCTGCATATCTTCACAGAGAGCGTCGGCCCGATTTACATATTCATGCCTTGATAAACCACATGCTAGGTATCTGCTAAAACTGCAGTCAATCTTCCGGCATATTCCAGCTTGGGCTTCGTTCTGACTCAATGACTGATAGCTGCAAGGGCGTGAATTTGCGGTTTCGTATCCTCATCATCTGTAGTGTTCTGCAGAAGAGATGGCGGCACCTTGGTATCTGTGCTACGCATTTCCTCTTCGAAATGCTCCAATGCATCAGCCAAGGGATTTTTGGTAGATACAAATGGGTCTTCATGAAGCGCCTCCAGGGGGAAAACACCGAAAATATTACTCAAGGGCGACCCCGGGGGATTCGGCAAGGTTATGCCATCTCGAACCGGGGATTTCCACGACAAAGGGTTTGTGGTCATGGTCCGATAATCTGATTGAAGACCGGCAAATGGAAGAGCATTTTCTTTGCCGCGGCCTGTATCGTAAAAGTCTTGGGAATCACGAGACATCGGTCGACAAACACTGTAGAGTCCTGCGTACTGCGCGCCAGCTTGGTGCTGTGGCTGCAGCCAAGACGCCGAGATAGTCGGGAGTTGTGGACGTTCGCTGTTCAAGTATGGCGGTGGTGGAACCTGGAATGGATTACGACGCTGGTCTGCTGGGGTGGCAGGACCATAGCCTGGACTGCCGTCATCAAAAATTGTGAATTGAGACGAGCGTTTCTTGCGTGAGCCGTTTCCGACCATAGGCTTCCAATCTTCCTCATCATCTTCCATCTGTAAGAATCCTGGACCAAGGGTATAGGATTCGCCAGTCGATGAACTTGGAAGATAAGGTAGTGGGGGTATGCTTTGGTCCAATGCTTGACGAGCCCGCTTTTTCAAAGGGGTGTTTCTCGATTTGCGCTTGACAAGTCTTGGAGCATTGGTGTCCTTCTCTTTGAGTGGCTGTCTCTTTCGTGGGCGAACCTGCTTCGTCTTTGGGATCGGAGATTCACCATCGATCAGGCTGCTTGTGTCCTCGAGATCATCAATGTGTCTGGCTTTCATCATATTGCCACTTGGAGAATAGACCACCTCAGTGGGTTCAACCAGAGCTGCCAGACGTTGCATATGTCTGACCACCGAGCCGTCTTTCTTCTGATTCCTCTTTCTCTTCATTTCTTCAGTAGCTGCATCGAACAAGTCCATTCCTGGCCATATGGTCCCTTTCAGCTTGCTGTGCTCTGGGGTAGCAAGGGGCTGGTGGCCTCGGGGCGCGGTACTGTCGTCATTGTTGTAGATATTGTGATTGACCGGAGAAACTACATGAGGGCGTCGAGGCTTGGATCGACTAGATTTGGTCAGTGTATGCATACACAGCGCTTGGGGCGGGCCAAACCCGTACCGTTTGACCGGACTGTATTCAAAGTCGCTATCGTTGTCGAGGATAGGCCTGCTTCGACGGGTTCGTACTGATCTCTTTTGTCTCTGGCTACGGCTTCCTTCACCTCTGCGTAGCTGCATTACCTGATCTTGTGGAGGTTGAGCTGTAGCCCCGGTCTCCGTGACATAGGCACCCTGTTCTGCAGCAGTCTTTTTTCTTCCTGCCTTTTTGGCCTGCTTCAGAACCATTCTCTCTGAGAGCAACCCAGCCAGGCCATGGTGATCGTACCATTTGTTGTAGTTGATGAGCAGCAAGCCCGCTTCGACCTCTTGGTGGCTTCGAACCTGGAGCTTGTGGAGGTGAGACAAGTGGCCTTTGGAGCTGACATGGGTAAGTAAATGGGAGACATCGCTGAAGGAGGGTTGCTTGGGGCAGATGCTGCACTTGAGCAGATCCAGCACAGCGTCCATGACGGGCCCCTGCAGCAACAGACGAATTGTAAGGAACAAAGAAAGTAAGTATTGCAATAGAAACACAGAAAGAACGAAAGCTCGCAAATAAACAAGGAACAACGCCGGAAAGTTTCTTCTGCTTTTTGCAGCATGGGAAGAACAACGAGACAACAGAAAGGACAAGGCAAGGAGCAAGGTGAGAACCAAGTGGAAAGGTGGCTGCGATGGTGCCCGAAGAACACAGCAGGTCAAGGGGAGAGGTGAAGAAGGGAAGAACTTGAAGTAGCGCAGACGATGCAAACGGCAAGCGCCATGAAATGACGTCTGCGTTCTACAAAGAAGGGGCTTCTCACTGGGTATAGCCACCATACTATTTGACTTAGTATGTCGCGCGCCGGCGGGCTTGGGGAAAAGAGTCAAACATGAGGATCACTAAAATCGTCAAGCTTGGGTATTGTACCATCATGACTATGATTCCTCAGATGTGAAGATCGTGGTGTGATGAAGCGGAAATAGTTCATGATGGCCTTTCCTTTTCTCTTGCATTGTATCCCAGCTTTCAAAGGTAACTTCAAGTGGGTTATTAGATTGCAAGAGGGGAGTAGACGCTGTTAAGACTGATTGTATGGTAAGGCCTGCACCACAACTCTAGGCATGCAACTGCGCAAAGACACCATCAGCACAAGTCCAACAACACTCAATACTCAACTTACTATGTTGGGTCGACCTCCACGAGTCCTGGGTATTTCAACAAACTCAACCCTGCAATGCCAAACACTGTGTGGAAGACGTCCACCATGTCACCTGGCCGATCAGAGATTCCGCCATGCTGCGAGTCCTGACATCTGAGAATGAATTTGATCAGTGCAGAAGAATCGATCCAGTGCAGCTTTCCCAACATGGCAAGGCTACTGAGAACCCACCAACTGTAGCAAACGTCTTCCAGCTTCTCTGGGCGACCATTGAGGCCACCATGGGGCAGTTGTCTCTCGCTCAACCACGCAGCCAGCCGATCGACGTCGACCAGATCCAGCCGTCGCGCAATAGTCAGTGCTCCCACGCAGGTGTAAATCTGACCGGCATGGGTTTCGGCTCCAGGGGACACCCCAAAGCCGCCGTCAAAGTTGGCACAAGCTTGTATATGGGACACTGCCTTATCTACATCCACAAGATGCATCATATTGAGAATGGAGAGACCGAGGAAAGCTGTGAACAGAAACCGGGTATCGGTTTCTCCCCATTCGTCGCCAGCAAATGTGCCGCTTCTTGAATCTTGGAGCTTTGCAATATCTGACGCTGATTAGAAGGAGTTTCTCCTCGGCATGGATGATTGAGAACCCACAGCTTGCAACGCGAATCTTCCCGCCTCTTCCTCCATGATCCAATTCTGATAATGCATCAATGGTAGCAAGGATCTGGATGGCGCTCACTGTGTACAGCATATGGGAGTCATGACCAGGAGCGGCGCCAAACCCTCCGTCATGATTGTAACAGGCAAAAATAAAATCAATGGTCTTGTCACGAGGGAGTGCATCAGGGTGGCCAAGGAGGTGAAGAGCCGTCAGCCCCCAATAAACCCCGTTCAGTCTCAGGTGTTCGGTCAACCAATAATCGAGCTCATCTTTTCGCTGGAGAGGAATCAGATACGAAAAGTCATTTGAAACTCACAGCGACGCACAGAGTCTAGGCTTTGAATATATGTGACGTGTTTCTCAACGACCAAACTGAGCTCAGGCGGCAAGTGATCGCTGGACGCTTTAGTTCCCCCTATTCCTGGTCCGGCCACGAGCGACATGAGGTTCAGGATAATGGAGGTGTCGGGTCCGAGTGTCGCAATGTGAGGATGCGAATGGTTTCGTAGTCTGGTTGATATTATCGATGATGGTAGGCGGAACGCGGTTCTCGCTCAACAGTGACGTTTTCCGTGCAGCTCTTGGCATTACCTGATCGCTTTCTCTACGAGAATGAGTTGGAACTGCTCTAGGCTAGTTGGTCCTTAGGGTATAGAATAGCCCAGTGGCCTTAAAGCTCACTAGGCTGCAGGTCTGGTGTCCCCATCCTGGCAGATCCCAAGCGCGTTTCAGGTTCGTCGAGAGACGTGGCTTACGAAAAGTTACGATACGAGGGTCCAGGGACTGGTTGTGCCACTCTGGCGCAATTATTTCGCCGATGCCAGGGAGGCGAAGCATGGATCAGGAGGATTACTGGCAGTAGTGCCTCCTAGCCTCTGTACCTCTATACTGAACCATGGATTGCAACCCATTTCTGCATGATGGCGGCTCAAGCACAAATAGACACTGAGGGTGATGGCTCGCTATGAGATACTGAGGCGTCTTACTCGGTCCCTACAACAACGAGGACAATACGAAGCTCAGAGCACATACGGATACCTGTGTCTATGAGCGTACGGACTCCGCGACTTTTCACCCGATGACTTCTTACCCGCCAGTTCGTGAGTGTGAGGCCATAGAAGCCCCCGCGCCCATGGGCAGTTGGAATCCCGGATCACGGTGCCCCTGGCCTGTCCCCTGAAGGATGGCAAAGGCCTTGAGTTAACGGTAGTTCGCCATGGCCCTTCAGCTAGTGTCATCCATCAACATCCTTGCAGCAGGTGCTGCCAGGCCTCTCCAATGCCAAACAGGCTAAAAGTTGGTAATGCTTCACCAGGTGAGCCATTAAAGGCACCATAGTCTCGAGATTTCTCGCATGGCCGTCCATCAGACGGGATGTGAAGACATTGACCTCCAGTGCCGGATCATCTCGCTCGTCGAATAATGCATTATGACTTAGTACGGAGTAGCTATTGTACTCGTCTCTGCTATCCTGTGCCGCGTCTATTAATACCGTCTGAAAGCGCACCCGAGATTCACGAGGCCTACAGAAGGTCAGGGTGCTGCGTAAGCGAAATGCTGTACTTTAGGAGGCAAAGCAGCCTCTACAGACCTCGACAGAATCCCCACCTGTTACTCCGTCCCTATTGCAGGTAGACTGTACTGTAAACCGTCCTGCATTGGGATATCTACAGCATCAGCCTGCGGGAATTTCCCTCCCTGCAGCACAGCATCGCACGAGCCCAAAAGTGCACCGTCTGTTCTCTACACTTATCCTCATTCTCTTGGACCCGTTCGTTTGCACGTCCAGTCTGCTGCCTCGAGTCTTGTCGCAACTAAAAGAGGATACCAGACACATGCAGCAGTAGCGCTTTTTGGCGCCAAACAACCTCCTCAATCTCGTCCTCACCGCCTGCACTCATACGCCGCCCGCTCACACACCTCACTTTGGGCCTGCGTCCAAGGAGCATCTTACCACCACCACCGCCAACACACACGCATACGACCGGCACTCTTATATCCCTATACCCACTGAATCCTTCAGTCCGCCTGCGTTCATCTCCAAGCCGTCCCTGACATTGTTGTGGGAAGCTTTGGCCGCGGACCTTTCAGCGCCCTTCCTTTCTGTCATTCCTTCAATCTATCATAATTCCTCCTTTGTTTAGCCGTCCTCCTTGTAAGGCCGCATAACGACCTTTTGACAGCCTCTGGTCCGTTACACAACGACGCCCTCCGACGAGACTTGGCTAGACACCAATTCATCCACGAACCCTCACTTTGCTTTTGGTTCTTCGTCACCCCAGCTAGCCTCAGTCAGTCTTATTTGGACACAACTAGGGATTACAGCGCCATTGGTGCATGCCGGTTCAAAAGCCCTCCTTGCGCTGATAGTGCATACGCGTCTTGTGTATCGACACATCCAATTTCGAAGGTGGCTAAACGGACAGACTGCGCCTGTGGTGGTTTGGACTCGAGCACATCTCCCAAACTTTCGCCCTCCTTTCAGCTTAACTTTTTGGATAAACTCTACGTCAGTTGGAAAGAGGTGGCACGGTCAGGAACTACATCCATCGGAGACATCCACGTTCCGTTGATCTGGGGCACTGAGGTGACTGTCCGACAGAAAGGACGGCCGGCTACTTGCAGTCGGCCCTGTGAATGACATCTCGGGAGACACAAATATGCCTAGAGCCTCGGGCTTGCCGTTCCTCAACCTGTCGCCCAAAAATGAAGAGTTCAATGGCCTGACGCCTGCAACGTTGAGTCCCCGTTCGACGGGATCGCCTCAAACTCCCGCTTCTGTTCCCGGTTCGCCAATGCTTCAGCAACCACCGACGCCGTCTGTCATGAATCCTCTCTCAGCATCCTCTCACAATGGAGATGGCAACCACCGAACTGGTTCAACCTCCCCTCGAATTACAGCCATGCCAGAATTCCCTCCGTCGCCTGGCCCGCTACCGCAGTCCCCGAAGCACGGTCGTGAGCCATCTAAGGGTTTCTTCTCTAATCTGATGGCTTCAAAGTCCTCGCACAAAATACAATCCTCTGAGGCAAGCATCCCAGAAACGAGTGAAAAACCAACTGGAAGAAGTCGCACGAGCTCCAAAGACCGATCTTTGCAGTCCGTAAAGAAACAAGGCTCGACTCCAGACTTGCCGAAGATGGCAGGGGGTACTGCTTCGGTCGCTGAGCATACCACAGCCCAGCCGGAATCATTCAATCAACAGACATCCACAGATTTTGCGCAAGGCCACAAGAAGGGAAAATCAAAGTTCGGTGGCATTCTGAACAGGACAAAGACCACAAAGCCAGACGACGTCGGATCGAAATCGAGAGGCGTGGTTCCTGGTCAGCTACATGTTGAAACGGCAAACAGTAATAGTGATAGGTTTGAAGGTTCGCCAAAGACAGCTCCCATCAAAGCCGACCATCGTGATAGAGCTTTTGGACAAGAGAGAGGCCATGCCACGAGAAACCATTCGGCAGATCGCCATGTCAGGGAAGAAATGAACATGGCAAGGAAAGAACGTCAAGTTGGCAACGCACCTGTCTCTTCATCCTTGAGAGAGGGTGCCACCCTTCAGCTGCTGTCGAACATCCACCAAACTAGCAAAGGTATGGGTGATCGCCTGGGTAAAGCTGGCAAGGGCTTCTTTGGCAAGATCGCGAGGAGCGGCAGCAGCAATGAGCGTGAAGTAATCACGGATGACAATTATGTCTGTACCACCATCAACTTGCCACTGGTCAAGCAAACTCGCAAAACTAGAATCGCTCGACGCCTTGAGCTCTCGAAAGACAAGACAGAGTTTTGGATGCCAGCTTTGCCATGGCGATGTATTGAGTATGTTTCAGTAAACCCTTGCTTTGGAAATGACTAACAGAACTACAGCTATCTGAACATGAATGGGTCAGAGGAGGAGGGTCTGTACCGCATCCCGGGAAGCGGCAAAGAGGTGAAACATTGGCAACGGCGTTTCGATACTGAATACGACATCAATCTCTTCGATGAACCAGACTTGTACGATATCAACACCATTGGCTCCATGTTCAAATCATGGTTACGAGAACTTCCTGACGAGATTCTACCCAAAACGGTCCAGAATAAGGTGGCTACTGAATGCGCTGGTGCTACCTCCGCGCCCCAACTCCTGAAAGACGAACTTTCCAAGCTGCCTCCTTTCAATTACTACCTCCTCTTTGCCATTACCTGTCATCTCAGTCTGCTTCACAGCTACGCCGACAAGAACAAAATGGACTATCGCAATCTGTGCATCTGTTTCCAACCATGTCTCAAAATCGACGCCTTCTGTTTCCAGTTCCTCGTAATGGACTGGAAGAACTGTTGGCAGGGATGCTGGACCGAGAAAGAGTATCTCGAAGAAGAATACCGCCATGAGCGAGAAGGATCGGCCGGCGACAGCGAAGATTTGGCGGTTGACGACAGGGCTCTTTCATCCAGCGGTAGCAGCCAGCCACCAACTGCACCGGTTCCACCTCGAAGTGCTGACGCTGCTACTCAACGTAAATCTATGGCTCCAAAAGCCAAGCAACGGAGTCTATCCTCGGACGCTCGGTCTAGAGACAGGTCCAACAGTGGACATGCAGCGACACAGAGCGTGCCTGCTGTACCCAGAATGGTGACTCCAGAACCTCCCAAAGTTTCACTGGATCAAAAACTGCCTGAGTTGACAGGCCTGTCGCCTATCAGGATGTAAAACGGTTCACTTCAACCTTTACCAGATACCCCTTTTTTCATGATGCATCACTGGTGCGAGTAGGACGGAGTCAACAAATGAATTTAGTGTTGCATCTTGATGAGCGATTGCTGATTGGAGCTGATGGAGCTCCTGAAAGATTTGGCTGTATTATCTAGCTGGCTTCAGACCAGCATTGACGTCTTTACGTTTGCATTGGCTTTTTCAGGCTGGGCTTTTGACTATGATGCGTTTGGAGGACAAGATTGACGACAGAAGAGCTAGAAACAAACCCGAGGTCATGATACCTCACAATTGTATGAATAGGTGCATGTAAAGAGCCACGAGCCTTCCAACATCGAATAGATGAAGCTCAAGATCGAGGAAAAATGGATATGCCGTTCCCATTTCCAACTGTTTCGAGTCGTATAAGTGACTGCCGCCGGTGTAAAAACATTTTAGTCAACCGCTACTTTCGTCACAACAGAGCGAACAAGTCGACGGAACTAGCCATTCAAACCTGAAGCCCATCGCCCGGTACGTACACCATACAAAGAACGGCGTCGTGGCTTCAACCGACTTTGCCCTTTCTATTCCTGCGCTCGTTGTTCCTCTGTCGTCGCTCCTGGCGCTTTATCCGGTCGACGCGTTCCTTTCGCCCTTCTGTCCGTACGTTCTTGCCCTCGCTCTCCTTGGCGGCCTTGTCGTCGTCGAGTTCGACGAGCCACTCGTTCTCAGCGGCCTTGTTCTTGCCCTTGTACCCCCACTTCTTGACCCACTCGCCGCTCTCCTCGTCGTAGACGAGGTTCTTCTTGCGGTCTTCCAGAGCTGCGCCGCCGTGGAGGTTGCCCGCGTACTTGCCGATGCCCTTCTTGCGGGCGAAGAGTTCCCATTTCGTGGGCGCCTTGGGTTTCGGTAGCGGTTTCCACCGTGGCAGGTTCGTGACCGGAGGTGGCAGCGACATCACGAGGCCGTCCGGCGTCGATGTTATGGAGCAGGTCGTCAAGAGCGTGTTGAGGAGCGATTGGGCGCCGTCTCGGGCGAGGGTCTGTAGTGTGGTGTTGCGGTCGGCGTAAGACTGAGAGAGAAGCGTGCTCGTTGACGGGAGAGGATTGGGGTCTGTGGCGGCGAGGTATGCGAGGTCGTAAGTGTATGGTGTCGGCTTCTCGACGGTCGTGGGACTATGGGAACTTGTTAGCATGGACGAGGGTTGTTGCATCTGCAAGTTTCATCGGAGTAGGAGAGAACAAGGCGGTGGACAGAGACAGAGGGAAATTCTGTCTAAATGCGAGGGAACATTGAACACCTACAGTCTGTCGGGCTTGGAGGAAGAGATGTCAACGGAAGGTACAGAGGCGTCGGCCATTGTGGTGTCTGCCGTGGTTCTGGCCATCTTGATGCGACTTGCGGTGGTTATGAGGTCCTGCTTGCTGGTTTGGCCCGGCAAGAAAAAAGTCACGAAGCGAGCGACGACGACACGGCCTCTCCGCACGCAGGAGAAAAAGTTCGAGTGGCTGCTTTTAGATAAGCGATAAGGGGCCTCCCACTGTACTAGTTAGTACTCAGCCTCGTCGGATGCCACAGCCTTGCGGTCCCAGCATAAGTCAAAGAACTGGGACTTTAGTTATTATTCTCCAGCATTGTCATGGTTTCTTTCGGCTTTGTTACCCATCTACTTGGGGCTTGGTTAATACAGATATTGATCCTCTTATCATTCTATACGAATTTCGCGCAGAGGGTAGAGCTAATCGGAGCAACAAGACAGTGGTCAACCTCGAAGTGTGAAATGGAGCGGCACGAGATAGCTCCCTTTCCCGGAATTTATCTCTTGCCGCGTTTTCAGATTTTCCGTGCTCTTAACCTTCCGCGTTTCATGATCGGACATTGACAGGGCTGCTTCACATTACTCTCGCCTCTTCGCAGCTGCGGTCTTGTGCCGGACAAGACACAGAGACCAGGCGCGATGTCGCTAGCTATCTGTATCGATTGTCTGTCGCGATTCCGCATCTCGACGAACACCCTCACCCGATCAGTCAAGACGGCAAGCTTGCTCCCTCAAGCAGCGTCCTTCCACACATCCCTAATTCAAAATGCCAACGTCGTCAAAGCCAAGTCATCGGCCTCGAAGCAGCACACCCTTAAATTTCGAGGATCTCAATCTGCAAGATTGAAAAAGAAAGTCAGGGAACGGCCGAAGGTACCTCCTGTTGGCGAACGCAAAGCCCAACGTCGGCGAATCGTCTTGAGTAACACCAATGCTCTGGAGGTCGCGGACCTGGAAACGTGGAGCAAGGAGAAGATGACAGACTCTCAACTAGTAGGGCAGGTGGTGGCTTTGGACGGAGAGCTGCTCGATCAACTCAGAGACGCCAAAGCCTTCAAGCGGACACAGAACTGGAGCTTGTTTCGAAAGCCTGCGACTTTGATCCGAAATGAAACAATCGCTATTGGCAAAGAGATCGAGGCCTTGACCAGTAGTCAAGACAACAAAATGGTCAAACATCTCGTGGCTGGAGAGACACATTCTGGAAAGAGCATTCTCATGCTTCAAACGATGTGCATGGCCTACATGAATGACTGGCTTGTTCTGAGTGTTCCTGAGGGTAAGATTGAACACACTTGTCTACCTTGTCTGTCAAGCAGAAATAGCTAATATCTTGCAGCTCAGGATCTTATGAACAATACATCCTCTTATGGCCCTCTACGCCAAAAGGAAGGTGCTCCCACCCCAGAAGAGCAATTATTCATTCAACCACATCTAGCTCAAGCGTTCCTCGAACGAGCTTTATACTCAAACGAAGCCGTCCTGAGTGGTTTGAAGATCAACCACGAGCTACCCAAAAACATCCAGCTGAAACAGGGATCAACACTGAGAGATCTACTCAAGGTCGGTGTGGATGATCACATACAAGCATGGCGAGTGTGGCAGGCTTTCTGGCGCGAAATAACTGAGCCTGGTTCAAATCCCAGACCACGGGTCCTCCTTGCGGCAGACAGCGTCGATCACTGGATGGGCCCCTCCAAGTATTTCGACGCTGACCACAAAGTCATCCATTCACAGCAGTTTGTGCTTATCCGGAATTTTACCAATCTCATATTCGGCAAGCAAAACGCGTCTTTTGCCAACGGTGGCATGGTCATCTTCTGCAGCACTGGGTCCAATTCGCCCGCATGCCCAACCTTCAAGCTGTTGATCAACCAGATGCGTGCCAAGGCCCGAGGTGTTTCGGCGACATCGCCCAAGTTTCCACTTCCCGTGCCTTTCAGCAAACCTGACCAGCGTGTCCTTGATCTCATCCCAGGATCTGACAATGTTGGCTTGGTTGATCTGAATGGGTTGAGTGTACCCGAGTCCAAGGGCTATCTGGAATACTTTGCGAAGAGTGGGTTGCTGCAAGCCAGACTTGACGATGCAAAGATTGCAGAGCTCAGAAGTTTCAGCGCTGGAGGTATTGTGGGAGAATTGGCCAAGTTTGGAAGCCGCATCAGGGCTTGAGAGGTATATTCGACCGTGTGGCTTTGTACGTTGCGCTCGATATATCTTGGCAGCGATGAGACAGCGCTTTGTGAGAAGTGATCAAATTCTTGGTGGACTGGCGACGGTTTGATGCGGCCATTTGTCCATATGCTGTGCCAGGCTTTACAGCGGCAAGGACGTGTACAAAAAGATTAAGTATTCTACATGTAAAGACTCGTAGATGGTTGGAAGGTGACATGTATCCTTGAACCTGTCGTTGACGGAATCTTGTACCTACATAACCGAAGGCGCTTCTCAAGTTCACGTGGTGACACGGTGCAAAAAGACCGTTTCCTGCAGCCCCCCCTTCATTCAGTTCGGTCTTACCTACACGTACCCAAGGTATGTATAATAAGAAAATGTACTTCTACACTGTAGAAACTACACGAGAGTACTCGTCGCATGAGGCTGGACCGATTGACGGGTTCGTGGACCCTGTAGAGTATGTATACCTATGTACATACAGACTTTACACGCCGGCCTCCCCTCCCCCCTCTCCCTCCCTTTCTTTCCCTCGCAACTCCCTCGTACCTTGCCAACCTCAACCTCAACCTCACCGGCCCCGTGGCCACCACCCCTTCCTCCCCCCGGCGGGGCTACGTGGGAGGGTATGGTGCCTGCTTCAACACGGGGGAGTAGGACAACAGCACCGGGCATTTGCCATTCTCTAGAAGATTGCAAGAGCATTCGGCGGGCTGCCGACTGATCCGGGGACGTTCAACGGACAACTGGTAAGTAAGAACTCGTAGCGGCCGACCTTTTTGCAATGCTCGCCCAAGGCCTTCAGGTCCCATAGCTCGCCGATGTTGAGACCGAAGCCGGACAAGAAGTATTGATGAAGGACTAGAGCGCAAGCAGAAAATTGTGAGAATAAGAAGAAGAGAAACGGGACGACCGGAGGGAGAAAAATGAAAAGAAAAGAAAAGTGAACGACAAGTCAAGCAAGAACGCTGATGATGGACGGGGGGGAGTTTGGCATAGTGTATGATATGAAAGACCACTCCTGGATCCTCGGTACGAATGTGCGCGCGCGCGTGGGTGTTTGTGTGTAGTTGCTCACCTAACTCATTGAGCCCTCCAACGCGATTGCTGTCCTCTTCGATGGTGGGAGGAATGACCTCGTAAGCAATGGCGTCGCCCGCGACGCCGGAAAAGTGGTGGTTCCACGTCCACCTCGCCATGGCCTTGTTCCCCTGGACGCCGACGCACTTGTGGCTGGAGAGGCGCTTGGCCTGCTCGTCGGCCGAGATGCCCGAGAGGTCGTCGGTGAAGCCGGAGCGGACGAGCAGGATGTCGCCGTGCTTGAAGGTGGTTCCCTGGTGCTTGGCGACGGCCTCGAGGTCCTCGACCGTAATGGCGTGGGCGTCGAAGCACGAGTACGAGATGCCCTTGGCCCGCGCGTACTCCTTGTAGTCGAGGAGCACGCCGCGGCCGACCAGGCCGCCCCGGTCGTGCCAGTGGTTCAGCGTCGGCAGGGCTCGCTCCGTGTCGAAGGTGCCAAAGGGTTGCACCAGGTCGTCCTTATGGGGCTTGGTGCCGTTGTAGTTGGTCCCCGAGCCCTGGTGCGCGTAGTGCACCAGACTATCCCACTGCGACGAGCACTGCGTGTTGAACTCGACCTCGTCGTCGAAGCAGTGGATCGTCATGTTGGGATCCTCGAACTCGAAGGGCTTATGGACGAGCCCTTTGCGGTTGAACCCGGGCGTCGAGATCGCTCCGATGGGCCAGTTCAGGGAGACGGAGACTCCGTCGCGCGCTTCCTTGCACGCCTCCTTGACCACGTCGGGGGTCAGGAGGTTGATGCATCCCAGGTGGTCCTTTTTGCCGTCCTTGTCGAACAGCCCCCACGCGCGATGTGGTACGCCGTCGACCGTGGGAAGGCTGTCGAAGTCAGGGAGGTTCTTGTAGTCTGCCATTGTTGGCGAAATTGTATGTTTCTCTGAATGGCTACTTTGACTTAAAGAGTCCTTGCAACGCGCTTGACAGGCTTGGAGATGATGAAGCGGGTAACACGGAGAGGAAAGAGAGACGACATTTCCAACAGAGAAAGGTGTCTCTCGACGGCACCTTTGACTTTGAGAGACGAGACCCTCGGTTGTAGAGCTGTCCGTGACCTACCTCGAGAACCTGGGGGAGGTGGGGTACGTGTGTCCCAGATACCCAGGTCTATATCACAATGAGGCTGTTTGGGGAAGGAATGGCGACGAAACCCCCTCAAGAATGGAGTTCGAGATCCAAACAGCCTCGGCAGCTTCGGGCGGTGATTGAAGTCAAAATGATCGATCAGTGTGGGCAGTCCCATACAAACCACCGCCCAGGAAATGGGATTGATGGGGCCCTGCGAAAGATGTGTTGGAGATGACACGGGCCTCCTTTGGACCGCAACCGAACCGCCGACCTTGGAAATTGTCCATTTTGGGATTGAAATCCTCAGGAGTAGATGAGCATAGTGTAGGTGGGAGTGAGCGGGTGAATTCGATGGATTTTGTTGTTACTTGGTACTTTCCAGGGACTGTGTGCCCCTTGCTGTCTCTACGGCGTCCGTCATTCATGTCGAGTCAGTCAAGTTTCTTGTGGTGAGGTTCAAAACGCCAACAGTTGAGGCATCGCAGTCCATTTAATGATTGTTCGATGCCTTTGCGCTTACTCAGGAATGTCTGGGCCTGATGGTTGACTTGATGCCTCTTCAGTCGGTACCTCGGATGCTACAGGAGAGGTATCTACCTACAGGACATGGAGTAGCTAAGGTCCATAGGTAATTACCGGCCAGATATCTCTGCACTCCTCCGTAGCGACCTACACATGTGGCCTCAGCAAGGTACCGAGTGTATGTATATAATCACACTCTGTCCTCGGTAGCACCAGCCGCAGCAGTGACGCGGCATGTTCAGCCACATTGCAGGACGACGCCGCAGGTTGAAGTTCTGACCGGGTACTCGTACCTGAGGTAATGAATTCTCTGTGAATAAATTGTCCGTAAAGAACACCTCATCATTACCGACAGGAGTATTTTTTTATCGACCTCATTTTGCCCAAGCCAGGCATCATGATGCGAGGTTTTGTCACCGGCAAGTGCCAATTGGCTTCAAGCTTCTCCAGCCCCCTTTTGCGTCTGTTCACGTCTCCACCGCCTCATCGACTTGCTGACAAGATAGAACACAACAAGCGAGAGGGCTGAGCGATCTGTCTCATGTTTCAGCAGCCAAACATCCAATCGCTGCCATTCCACTTTCTCTCGGCACGTCTCACTGATTTCTTGGGCACGCGACACCAAATGTCGACTAGGCATCTTACATGATCCTTTTCTTCAGAATAAAACTGCCAGAGCTTCGCCATCCAAGATCTGTCTGTCACTGTCGCCTTCGTTAATAAATATTTTCCATGCTGTCGCTTTGTTTGTTGCCAGAAAACGTCGCCCTTCTCTAGGCACCTCCTCCAGGTTGTGAATCACGCTCCCCGAGCATGGATCGATTGAAGAGGCAACTCAATGGCCCTTCGAGCCGCCGAGTTCCCCTGCGGGCCTTTATATCTTATGCACTGGATTATTTAATCATCATGTACGTGTCCGTCTTGGATCATCCGAGGAGTTCTCGACAGTGGTCTTCTAACATTGACTCAGCGTCCTCGCCATCATCTACGGCGCACTGGACAAGCTGGTCACGCCCTTCGCACAACACTTTTCCCTCAACAACATCTCCATACAGTACCCGTACGCGGTGAAGGAGAGAGTGCCAATCGCCTGGGCCCTGGTCATTTCAGGCCTCTTCCCGGCCGTCGTCATCGCCGTCTACACTCTCTGCGTCGATGGCTGGTTCTCTCACCAGCGTCGCACCACCCACACGAGGTCCAAATACAGCTTTGCGGACAGACTCTGGGAGCTCAATTGTGGATGGTTGGGCCTTCTCCTGGCCCAAGGTGCCGCCTTTGTCATTACCGGCTCCCTGAAGAACCTCTGTGGAAAACCTCGTCCAGACCTCGTGGATCGATGTCAGCCTCGAGCAGGCTCGGCAGATGGGGTACCATATGGCCTCGTCACAAGGGCAATCTGTACACAGACAGACTCGGCCATCATGCAAGACGGTAAGCTCCTCACGGCCCCTGACTCCCCCTTTCTCCCTGATTCTCGACGTTGTCTATTTTCTCCTCACTCGTTAACCTCGCTCACTCTTTCAGGCTTTCGCTCGTTCCCATCTGGCCACTCCTCTTCATCTTTCGCTGGGCTCTTCTACCTCTCCCTCTACCTTGCGGCCAAACTGCACGTGCTCGACCAAAAGGGTGAAGTGTGGCGGACCGTGATTGTCCTGATTCCGACGCTGGCAGCGTCATGCGTCGCCATGTCCCGCATCATGGACGCCCGCCACCATCCGTTCGACGTCCTTTTTGGCTCGGCACTTGGCATCTTGTGTGCCTGGGCTTCTTACCGCCAGTACTTCCCGCCAGTCAGCCACTCCTGGGAAAAAGGTCGAGCATACCCCATGAGAACCTGGGGAACGCCCGTCAGACGACCCGTGCTCGGCAAGGTGCTGGTCGACAGCGAAACACTCGAGGTCCTCGACGACAGGGTGCCCCCATCGGGAGTGGACTACGACGGTGTCGACACTTCTTCAGCACACGAACTCAAACCGCAGACCCTGGGCTCCCGTCTAGCGACGACGTCAAGCCATCAGCAGCAGCATCGTCTTCAACAATCTAATTTCGGGACTTCGTCGTCTCCCGCGACGGACGTCGAGACAGGCTACGCGGGTCCCGCGCAACCACCCTTTGGATCCCAGAGCAGTGGAAACGCTTTCCGCAACCAGATAGCCCAGAACCAGCGCATGAGAGCAGGATACGGCGATGCGAGCCCCGAGCGCGAGGCGGCGGCGGCGGCGGCGGCAGGCGGCTCGGACGACGAAGACGATCTCGCCTCGAGAAGACCTTTGCAGGGTCCTGCGTTGCGTTATTAATACTTTTCGGTTGAAAGCTCCGTACCGGAGGTAGAGGTGAGCCTGGTTTCGAGCTTCTTGGTTATTTGCAAATTTTGCACAGCATGGCATGTGGCATATGGCATATTTACTGGGCGTTCAAAAAAAAAGGCCAACAGGCATGCACGCATGGCGCAACGGGACTACTTTACTTTTCATATAGAGGAAGCACAAAGCCCAAAATATCCAAGAGGAGCGATGCATGTATGTGTTTCTGGAGAACATGTGTTTCTGGAGGATCTCGAGGGAGACTTCGGACTTTATCATCAACCCCAAAATGGCGTTTCATCTATAAACCTTGGTACGCTCGACGAGGATGTCAATGACAAAAATACGAATACTACAACTTAGACCTAGCTAGCTTGGTCGGTACCTAGGTAGACGGACGGATAGACATTGCTGAGACTATTCGTCCGTCGTGACAATGAGCCCTTGAACATCCCATGCAAGAACGGGTGCAAAACGAGCCATGGCACGCAGAGGAAGCCGAAAAAGACCCACGAAATCAAAAAACTCGAGAAAACCCAAGCCTGCACCCAAGCCTGTACCTTGGATGGAACAAGATCCCAAAGAACAGGGGCTGAAACTTTCTCTGGAACATGTCTGTCTGCATCAAAATCTGGCTGACAACACGCCTTGTATTCATCACGACTGACTGACTCCTTGATCCCCCAAATACCGATCAAAAGTTGTACCCTTGAAGAAATGTGTCACCGCAATCCTCCCCTCGTCGTCTATTGAGCTCATAAACTTTTTCCTCTTTCTCATACCTACATACCTCGGGCAGGCATACATAGGTCTATACCAAACACGATATGGTCGGAATGATGCTGTCGGGGGTCTTTAGTTCTTGACGTCGATCCTCGTGCCACACGAGAACAACAACACAAGTGCGTCTGACAATCTTTCAAGACTGAAGCGGCGGTCTCCGGTCTTCGAGACTGCCACAACTACCCAAACTCTGTAGAAAGACAACCTCCGCACAGAGTAAACAACATCTTTCTCTACTCCGAATGATCGCCGTCATCCATGTTCTCATCATCGTCATCCTCGTCATCACTGTCGCCGGCCTCGATCCAGACCAGTCTCGCTCCGTTATTGGCAAGTTGCCAGACCTGTGAGAAAACATCATCAGCATTGAGTCTCGCCAGTATACACACGCGCAAGCATAGAAAAGCGAGACACAAAAGGGAGAAGGGAAAACCCCAGGGCCAAAACTCACATCGAGAAGTTCATACTCCTCCACCGTTCGGGTAAGTTGATCCTGCGTGAAGCCCTTGGCGAGAATCAACTCGGTCACACGCCTCATGTTCAGCTCTCCTCTGGCCCCTCTGCTGACACTCGCGGCGCCAGACTCCCTCATGCCGCGGATGAGATCGTAGATGCGCGAGCTGACCGTCTGGTCGCCCTGGGCACGCTGGTCGTGGTACAAGCTCGCCTTGGAGACTTCAATCAGTCGCAATGCCTCGTCGACGTCCTCATTGACCACTTCCTCGCTGAACCGTAATCGGGCCAGAGCCTGCGACAAACGCAGCACGCCCAGCAATGTACGTGGCGATGTGTGGGTGAACTGCTTCTTGGAGCCCTCTTCGCGCTTCTGCTGCTGACGCATCCGCACATACGCACCCACCATGTAGTCGGAAACGGACTTGGGCACGTTCGGTCTGAAAGTACGAGCCTGCGCGATGTACTGGCGCACCTCGTGGGGGGCGAAGACAACACCCTCACCCTCGCGCTCGGGATGGGAGTTGTGCATGTGCACGTAGCAGACGTGGTTGGCGAGCTCCTCATCGGCCTCACGAGATGGTGTGTCAAGAATCAAGAAGAGCACGTCGAATCGTGATAGAAGCGCCGCTGGCAAGTTGATGTTGTCCACGGGAGAAATGCGCGGGTTGTATCTCCCGTAGAGCGGGTTGGCGGCCGCGAGAATCGATGTTCGCGCGTTCAAGGTGGTAGTGATTCCCGCTTTGCTGATTGAAATGGTTTGCTGCTCCATGACTTCGTGGATCGCCGTTCGATCGCCGTCGTCCATCTTGTCGAACTCATCGATGCAGCAAATACCATTGTCTGCAAGAACGAGAGCTCCGCCTTCCAACACCATTTCGTCCGTGACCGGGTCTCTCATGACAGCTGCCGTCAGACCGACACCACTGGATCCGCGACCGGTCGTGTAAACGCCTCGAGGCGCAACTTTGGTGATGTATTTCAGAAGTTGGGATTTGGCCACACCGGGATCGCCCATCAAACAGATGTTGATGTCACCACGGATTCGCATGCCGTCGCCCATCGTCTTGGTCACACCGCCAATCAAGAGCAAGAGAAGAGCCTTCTTCACATCCAGATGGCCATAAATCTCAGGAGCAATCGACCGAGCTAGGTACTCGTACATATGCCCGGTAGCCTTGAACGACTCGATTCGCCGAATGATACGGGGATCCATCTTTAGGTCCTGATATGCCTTCTTGTGCTGTGTAATGTTTTGTGCCTCGAGATACGTGTCGGTGAGAAGACCAGCTCGGATGGCTCTGAACCCTGTGTACGGAGTGGGCAAGAAAATACCGTCGATGTCTACGACGTCGCCAGGATTAAGCTGCCGCGCGAGACTGCCGTTGCAGTGCACAGTTAACGTTCGCGGAATATGGCCGACTGGGACTTGATCTGCCATTTCTTGGATCTTGACTTCCTGGAAAGGCAAGAATTTCGAAGCTCTGGTTGACGGGAATAACTGGCCCTTAGAGTCGTTGGCTTTGCATTCATCAGACGGGCACAGCTGCAGAGGAGTGAAGTTTTTGGAGGTGATGGGTTGGAAGATTTCACAGCCACATCGGTCGCAGGTGTACGCCTGTATTCGGATGCTGGGCTTGACATCTGACACTCTTGTAGTAATGCCGCGCACCGTGATGAGGTGTCCCAAATGTTCTCCCCGGACCTGTCGAACAGCAAGAGTCTTCTTGGCTCTTTCTGAGGCGGACGATGTCAACGGCTTGAAGTTCAGAGTATATCTTCTAGTCAATTCTGGAGGAAATGTCGAGACAGGAAGGGCTGCGTCGCTGTCAGCTTCGTTGGCTGCTGCGACTGTCTCATTTCGCTTCGCTCGTTGCGCCATTATGATATCAAGGACATCATCTTTGAATCTTTCATGGAATCAGTACGCGGCTGGTTGCGGTATGATCTTCTCACTCACGAGATGTCCTTGCTGGCCTTTGGGATGACCTTGTCTACCGCTTCGGAGAACAGGTCGACATAGTGTTTCGTGTTGTTGGTCACTGACTCTACGAGTCTCAAGCTTATGTCGCCCGGGAGCGAATCTTCGAACTGTAGGAATTATCAACTAAAGCCACTTTAAAAGTCTGGCGCGCGCACCTCTTGTAGGTCGTCTAGTTCAACCAGGATATTCTGTCGCTCGCGGTCTGCCACCTCCTGAAGCATTTCCATGTATTTTCTCTTTGGCCGTCTCCTGGAGTTGGAGTCATCGGTAATGTCGTCCATGAAATCGTATTCATCGCTTGTATGATCGCCATCGAGGTGGAGGCTATCAATGGCTTCGGCGGCTGCGTCTGAAGATGTTTTTGAGGTCTCAAACTTCTTCAAGAAGGATTCAAAGGCATCCAGTTGTTTCGCATAATCAGCGAGCGCTTTGTGTTGTAGGAGCGCCATGTTGCTTGCGATGTGTGGAAGGAAAAGTTGTTGTAGCTGAAGTGCTGGAAGATGGGCGTGGGCTAGTATGCTATCTCTCAACCAGGGGTTAGCTGGAGAATGCGCATGGACTCTCCCAGCGCGCGTCGCGTAGTAATTTTCGACGCGTCTTAAGTGCTGCACTAAAGGGCGAATGACCTGCAGTATGATGTACGGTGGGTTACTTGCCTCGCACTGCAAATTGTGGCTCTCGCGAGCTTGAGCCGAGGTCCCCGACAATCGGCGGCGGCGAGGCAAGCTGCCAATGTCCTCAACATCAACTCCTCATGCCAATCAATGCGCGGATATCATCAGAATTAAAGCGTAACACGTCTGTTCAAAGCCAAGTTACTCATTTCTCCCTAGATTTTTGTATCTTTATTGTACCGAGCCACGCGAGAGAGCTGCACATCCATGGTTTAGCCATACGCTAGCTCATTCCCTGCCACTGTCAACAATTAGGACATCATGGCCCCAGCTGTCCGAGCAGAGGTTGTCCTAGTATCTCTGAAAAACTGCTTGATCAACTTGCCGCCAGGTTTGATTGCGTTAATCAGCAACACGAATACTGTAAGAAATATCTCTTCGCGACAAATCCTGTGCTTACTTCCCTCAGCCGGCGCAAAATGTGGTGGTCGAACTCCAGTACAAGTCACAGACTTTGTCCTCAGGGGCAGTATCTAGCAACAACAGTACAGGATTCCAGAGATCTGCCTATGTCGGGTGGACAGGAATGCCTAGTCGGACACGACCAGCCTCAGTCCTCAACACTGATCGAGCACGTCCGGGCCGTGAGCAAGAAACCCAAACGGTCGAAATAGACGCTACTTTTGCCAAAGTTTTGGGCCTTTCCGAGGCACAGAAAATTGGCATACTTATTCACCTAGACCCTCCGATTGCCCATAGTGTCAATATTGAGCCTCTCACGCCCGCAGATTGGGAGGCCATCGAGCTGCATGCCACTTTCCTGGAGCTGAATCTGCTATCCCAAATTCGAGCTTTGCCTAACCCGGCCTTCAGTATCAAAGGGGCTGTACAGTCTGAACATACGCATCCACTCACTTTGCATTTATCGCCGACCTCGACTGCAAACATTATAGTCACATCACTATCGCCGCCGATTCCCAGTACATCGCCATTTGCAAAGATCGCTCCAGACGCTGAAGTCATTGTTGCTCCCAAGACTCGACCTAAGTCCAATCGAAGCACAAGAGGTGTTGATTCAAGAAGCGTTGCGAGCCGAAGAAGTGGTAAGAGTGGTGTCAGCACCGCTCGCACTACCGGTTCTAGGAGGACTCTTGCTAGGCCTACCTTATTTATGCGAGCAATCGACCGAGGTTGTGCGGACATTTACTTTGACGACACTTCAAATAAAACTCCAATTGACAAGCTCTGCGTCTGGATTAGTCAGGACGTTCTCAATTCAGGAGCTCTCAAAGCGGCAACCTGGGCGAATGTTACCATCATTAAACCTGCTGGCCTACGTGCGCAGCTTGACTCAACCCAGGTAAACAAGTTGAAAGAGGAGGAAAGCAGCGAAGTGGGACGACCAGCGGCAAAGATTGTTGCCCAGGTTCTGCCGTGGCTGGCTCCTGTTGACGATCAACATGTGGTGTTGTCAACGCCACTATGCAAAATGCTCGGGGCAGATGGCCTTGTTGGTGCAATAGTCCGTATCGAAGCTGCTGGGCCACCTCTTCCTCGCTTTTCCATCTCAAAATTTCAGTTTTATCCCTTTGTATCGTCACTCTCGAAGAAGAAAGAAGGGCTAAAATTCGGCGGTGATACCCGACTAACAAAGCAAGCAGTGGCTGAAAAGCTTCGGCTTACTTTCAACGGTGGTGAGGGTCTTCTAACAGGTCCTATCACTGATGGCATGCTCCTCCCGACGACCGGACACCCGTCTTCTGCTTTTCATTTTGACGGTGGCATTTTGAGATTTCGTGTACCGTCCAATCTCGCAGAAGATCATGGATCGGACTATTTATGGGTGCTCGGTCAGGAACAGGAATTGGAATTTGATGTCAAAGACGAAATCCCTCGGCCAATGGAACTGACTACCTTGTTTCCAAGCTTTGCGCACGGCATACCTGCGGAAATCCCGAATCTCGTTGGTGTCGATGAGGTTATGAAACAGTGTATGTCCAATCTAACACTGTGCTCTTCGGTACTTTTGACGGGTGGAGTTGGGTCTGGTAAAACTTCTCTTGCTCAGTATATCGGCCAGAGACTGCGTGAGGATTATGTTTTCAACGTGACATACTTTGCATGCCAAAAGCTTGTTACAGATGAAACCCGAGTGTCCACCATCAAGGAGACCCTGACTAGACTTTTCATGTCTGCTTCATGGTGCGCCAGACTGGGCGGCCAATCTGTGGTCATTCTCGACGACTTGGATAAAATTTGCCCGGTTGAGACGGAGCTGCAAGTCGGTAACGACAATGGTCGAAGTCGTCAAATCACCGAAATCTTATGCGCCGTGGTTCGCCAGTATTGCAGCATCCATTCTGGTGTTACTCTGTTGACGACCGCTCAATCCAAGGAGTCCCTTCATAACATTATCATTGGTGGTCATATCGTTGGCGATATTATCTCGATCAAATCGCCTACGAAAGAGATTCGCCGCGATATTCTATACTCTCTGATCGGTGACGCACATCCTTCCAAGAGCGGTCACGCGCGAAACCAGAGCGACACCAGCATGTCCGAAAGCTCCTGGATGGACCCGTCAGTATCTTCATCTAGACCCGGTTCATCCTCGTCCTCGTCCCGGCCCGATGGATTCCATGTCTCGCCCAGTCTCGATCTCCTGGACATTGCTGGCAAGACTGACGGCTATATGCCTGCAGATCTGTCCCTCCTCGTAGCCCGAGCACGCAATGAGACACTTACGCGCATCATAACGCAGAACGACAACTCTGACAGCCCGCCGATTTTGACGAAGGAAGACTTTGACGCGGCTTTGCGAAACTTCACCCCATCTTCCCTTCGAAATGTTACTCTAACGCACTCGAGCACAACGTTCTCGTCCATTGGTGGTCTGCATGCCACCCGCAACACCCTACTCGAGACACTCCTCTACCCGACAAAATACGCTCCTATATTCGCCAATTCGCCCCTCCGTCTACGTTCTGGTCTCCTCCTCTACGGCTACCCAGGCTGCGGTAAGACGCTCCTCGCCTCGGCCGTCGCAGGCGAGTGCAATCTGAATTTCATCTCCGTCAAAGGGCCCGAGATCCTGAATAAATACATTGGTGCCTCTGAAAAGTCGGTGCGCGATTTATTCGAGCGCGCGCAAGCCGCGAAACCATGCGTGCTCTTCTTCGACGAGTTCGACAGTATCGCTCCCAAGCGAGGCCACGACAGTACCGGCGTCACAGACCGCGTCGTGAACCAGATGCTAACTCAAATGGACGGAGCCGAGGGCCTGGACGGCGTCTACGTCCTCGCAGCCACCTCGCGACCGGACCTTATTGATCCCGCGCTTCTACGTCCCGGCCGACTCGACAAGTCCCTCCTATGCGACATGCCCGACATGAACGATCGTCTCGACATCCTCCGTGCCGTGAGCACGAAGTTACATCTCACTCCTGAAGTGGAGAACCGGCTACTCAGCGTCGCGCAGCGAACCGAAGGCTTCAGCGGCGCCGATCTACAGGCGCTGATGTACAATGCCCACCTTGAGGCGATTCACGACTTGCTGGGCGACACGAAGAACGCCGACAAGGACAAGGACAAGGGCAAAGGTCTAGCGAACGGCGTGAAGGAAGGCGGCAGCGCACGGCGCAGGAAACGTCATGGCGCCGACAAGCACGACTTCATCCAGTTCCTGTTCGACCCCGAGGAAGACGCGCGTGCGAGGAAAGCCCTCACCTCTTCGGCCATGGACTCCAAGGCAGCGATTGCCGCCAAGCTGGACGAGCTCAAGCTGGCGAGGAAGCGAGAAAAGGTAGCTTTGAGGAACAGTTACGCGCGAAGCACGTCGGCAGCATCCGCCCACCACGACAACGCGGACACCGGTGGTGAAGCCAAGGACGACGAAAATGCCAAGGACGAAGTCGTGATCGAGTGGAAGCACATGGAGAAGTCTCTGTCTACGACGAGATGTTCGATATCGCCCGAGGAACAAAGGCGACTGGCTGCCATTTACCGCGAATTCGTGGTGGGCAGGAATGGAGAGATGCCGAACGGCCAGGGTGGGAATGAAATCGGCGGACGCACAAGTTTGATGTAGTTGTTTGTAATTGAGTGTGTGTACTGCTCATGAGCTTGCTTGCGACAACATGCAACCATCCGTGCCGACTGGGAAAGTATGTACTCGAATAAACTAAGAAAATTTGCACATTAAAGCACTTGGCTGGGAGGATGCTGTTCTTTGGCGCGGGGACTCTAGAAGCAGTTAAACCGATATACGTGGTTCCAAGGAGTTAAGATTCGTTGAGTTCTACACGTCCCAGAGTGGCCTGATCGTACCGCCTTTGAACTATAAACTGAATCCCACAATCCTGTACAGGATCAGTCATCAATCAATCTGTGCTCGCAATAGAATTAAAAGTGCGATAAAGGGGTTCTTGGAAAAGTCAAATCGTAACAATAAAAAGGGGATGCAAGCCGTAAGCCGTAAGTATCGTTATTTCGATGTAGCGCGACTGATGGTGAAGACTCCAACGATGACAACTGCGAGAGTCACGATTGCTCCAGGCAATAGCAAATCGTTAGGCACACCAGCGATATACTGCGGTTCCTCTGACTGATATATTGACGCAGCTGGTGCTCGTTTCGACCGTATTGTCCTGGCTGGAACGGCCTCTTCTTCGTCACTGTCTGCATTGTCCGTTGCGTGTGCCTCCTTCATGACGGACTCGGGTGGTGTGGGAGGCTTCGACAGCTGTGGTCGAGGATCGATGGTTGCAATAATCGGTGGCTGCGCAGGATCGTGGACGAACAGATCAACTTTATCTCTCTTACTTTGTCTAGCAAGGAGAATCGCATCGAGAAGATCCTGGTCGGTTGTGATGGAGACTGTGTCGCCTTCATTGTCCATATAACTCAAAGCGTATCCAGATTTGCCCAATGTACCATCCTCAACTGTTGCTTCACCTCCGACGGCTTCAAGTTCAGCGCCAAGTTTCGCTGTAACAGAGCTGACAAGTTCAGTAATCCCGTTCTTCGCGACCACCTGGACGCGATGGACTCGGCCGCTCGGGGCTTTAAATTTGAATGGGAATGGTGTTTCTTCAGGAGCTTCAACGGTGGGGATCACCTCTGAGAGCACATCTCCTCCGTGGTGGGAAGCCGAATCATGGGGCATAACACTATCACCTCTTTCATACGGTGGACGAGGATGTTCAGAGTCAAGGACCGAGCGATGGCCAGGCGTTGTTGGGCGATGGCTGCCCTCTCCAGACATGACAGACTCTGTGTCGTTGTCCATGGAGAGCCAAAACTTATTCCATGCAGGTCCTTCAGATTCTCCGGTGTTCATGGTGTTGATTTGTTCAAGCGTCGCATATGTCAATTTCAAGACATCAACCATGCCGACAATCTCGCCAGTCTCGTTCATGACTGGCAGGTTCAAATAGTGCCCGTCTACTCTGATCAATAGTTGTCACGTGAAAATGGGTTCTTGGAGACTTACCATGCATCTTTCTCAAAGCTGCTTGTATACTCATGTCCGAAGGTGCAAAATCGGGATGAGGCGTCATGACTCTGACCACGCTGCAGTTGGCTGGATCCAAACCCGGCGCAATGACTCGCAACACCACATCCTTGCTCGTGAAAATACCAGTGATGGAGCCTTGGTCCTGCACCAGGACGGCGGTCGTATGGTTCTCCTTCATTAATTGAGCAGCCTCTTTGACCGATGTCCTAACCGAAACAGTCGTTGGTGGAAGGCCGTTCAGCACCGACTCCAGTGTAGGTCCGGACATTTTCATACGAAGGGCCTCCACGTATTGAATGATTTGTTGAGGCTGGCTTGAGCCGAGCTCGGACTGAACACCCTCCAAGGCATCATACAACTTCCGTGAGGAACTGTAAGCTCGCTCCAGCTTTTCCATAGCCTCATAAAAGCATTTGGTAATATCCAGGATACCCGAGATGTCTTGATTCTCGTCCATGACAGGGAGATGTCGGAATCCCTTCCTCACCATAAGATCCAAAGCATCGGTCGCGCTAGTGTCGGTCCTCGCACACAAAGGGTTCTTGGTCATGATCTGTTCAATGGTGATCTGGCTGGCCTTGACTCCGGCCCCAACAACACGAAAGGCAAGATCTTTGGCCGTGAAGATACCGGCGATCCTCTCGTCATCGTCCGTCACAAGCACACAATCCTCTCTCTTCGCAGCCATGAGCTGAGCAGCTTCCGCAACGGTGGTGCTGGGCTTGATCTGCAGGGCCTGGCTCGGTTTCAGGGCAAGGACGGTTCCGGGAGGAGCTTTACGAGTATTTCGAGCGCGAGAGGGGACTTGCCTCTTCTTGCTGAGGTCTGCTTCCATTTTGCGTCGAATGGCCTGATCAGAGATGTGTTAACCTGGTGCCTCACTACAGTTCATTGGAAACACGAAACCTACCTCGTCTCTCTTGCTCTGCTTCTGCCGACTGGCAGACAGTGTCGAAGTGCCGGACATCTCGCTCGGGGCCGTAGTATTGGTGGAATCCAACTTTGGCCGGGGGATATTGGAAGGACTGTCGGTAAACGGGAGTTGGCCGCGTCTATTTGGCGTTCCTCGAAATGTACCGTTGACCCCAGACATGACTACGGAGGTGGTGAATGTCTGCAGATGACCCAAATGGTCTGTGTGAAGAGAGTAAACCACCAACGGGCGGTTTGTTTGGGGAGATGATTAGATTGAAAGCCCAGATCCCGACGAGAAGATTGGACAATAGATGGCCATCCGGTTGCCAGGGCTAGAGGGAAGGGAGTGATTCGCGGCGCAGGAGGATAAAATAAAGCCCGAGGTCTGACGAGTCTGATGCTTGTGCTTCTTCCAAGCGACACTCTGGAGCAGCCAATACAGATTGATAATAACTTGATAAGGGCTTGTTTGAACAGCACACAGACAAATATATCCACTGATTCTTACAGGCGACACATGCGTACTATAGATAAATTTACTACTGGTACTCGACCCGTGGAACTTTCTGAACCTGAACCACGATAGCCTGAAGTCCCAATCCGCAATGTCAGACAAAGCCAGTTTTCAGGCCCTAATCAGGGAGGGTAAATACAGCGTCACTGGCCTCTACACGCCGCAGCAGAACTCTGAGTGTCGCCAAGCATGACGCCCCATTTTATTAATCAGCATCTTGTCCCGGCGCACTTGCCATTTTTGCAGAATCCGCACACAACGAATTTGTGACCTTGAGGCTTCAAGTGGCGACGACATACTCCCGTTTACCAGTCAACTCCTCGACAACCACCGCCCAAGGAAGATTACAGAAATCTGTGTCGCATACCACAGATTTCACCAGTCTCCCAACAACCGCAATCATGGTCAAGAAGCGAGCGTCCAAGTAAGTCCAGCCGCGTCTCCTGAAACAGCCTCTGTCGAAGCCGTCAATCTCGCCTCATGTGCTGACTTTTACTGCAGTGGACGCAACAAGAGTGGACGGGTTAGTCGAACTCTGCGAAGACAACATTATTCACGAAATTAACCTCGATACAGGGCCACGTCAAGCCGATTCGATGCTCCAACTGCTCCCGCTGCACGCCCAAGGACAAGGCCATCAAGAGATTCACCATCCGCAACATGGTCGAGTCCGCTGCTATCCGTACGTCAGATCGAGCCCTCTCGATACCCCCTTGAGACAGATCCAGCGACGGGTCGGGACTTCCCTAGAGCCATGTCTGACAAGAGTTTCTACTTTCCAGGTGATATTTCCGATGCCTCAGTCTTCACCGACTACGCCGTCCCGAAGATGTATTTGAAGCTTCAATATTGCGTCTCCTGCGCCATTCACGGCAAGATCGTGCGTGTGCGATCAAGAGAAGGTCGACGAAACCGTGCCCCCCCTCCAAGAATCCGATACAACAAGGATGGCAAGAAGGTCAACCCCCAACAAGCCGCAGCAAAGACCACCCAGGCATAAGACCTTTCGAACTCGAATGGGTGATGAGTTAGTGGAATGCGTGGTGATAGGTTACAGCTGGGAGTTTCGCATGCTAAGCCGAGCTGGTGTTATGGTGAAGATTTTTAGCCATCAAAAAGCTGAAGGAGCATAGCGAAGGCGACCGGCTCACTTCTGTGCCGGCAAAAGGGTTACTGTCGAGACCAGAGCATACAGAAGATGGTACCCAATCAAAAATAGCTAGAAAGAGTCAAAGCCAAATTCATTTGACAATCCAGCACTGGAGAGTGTCTTTGCTATTCGGTGACCTTATGCCCTGCTCATGGCCTCAACCTTCCTTTTCCGCGTTTGTCCCACCAGCTCCTGTTCTAAACGGTGCCTCCATGCAAGTTCCCCATGCTGATTCTGCTGAACCTCTTTTTGCACGAAACTCGTGAGAATCTTGACATGAGACTCGTCTCGTTCCTCAGAAGTTTCGTAAGATACCTGAGTCTCAGTATGAAATTGTCTCCTCAATCTTTCCCGGAAAGACCTCAGGTGGTTCTGAAATGAGTGAAGGCTACCCACCGACAGAAGGGCTACCGACAGGGCGAGTGGGGTACTGGGATGTGTTGCCTGCTCTGGTCATCGAATGGCCGCAGCGCCTCTTCCCCCTGCGATACCCTGCCCTAGGATAGCGCGCTCAAGAGCCCAGAATGATCATCTTGTCGAGCGAAGGACTCGTTTGCTTCTTCTTTGGGCGGCTTCGCTTCCTTGGGTAGCCTCGCGTCGGCGCTTTCCAGCGATTGCAACAGGAGCCCTTAAGTATTTTTGATCGTTACATACTTTTGATGTTATGCCCTTCAGGTCCTGATTACTCGGTGGCCTTGGATGAAACGCTTCCTTTTCTGCACTGGGGTAATGCTATCTCCTCTTCGCAGCTGGCAAGAGCGTGTCGTCTGGCAAGCCTCCTCTCTTCGTTCCGGGCAAACTGGATGTGTTTATGTCGTTCGACTCTGTGCTCACTCGTCTGTGTGGGTATACTTCGTTGAGTCCTTCAAAACAGTTATTGCTGACCCAGATTTTGCCTTTGTTTGGTCCCTCATCAGTGCTCCTGAAATATTCGTGGTGCAATGCCTGTTCTGCGGTCAAGCGCTTGTCTGGATCATACTCAAAAAGCTCGGAAAGGAGCTGAAATCCTTTCTGGCCTGGGGACTTGTCTGAAGGATAACTAGCATGTCGCAAACAATTGGTATACCAGTTTTCCAGGCCACTTCCGGCGTTACTTTGGCGATTGATGCTGCCTTGGGACGATTGATATAAGCTACCTGGCATTCCTCCTCTGGAAACAACAAGTGATTGCAGCTGTGGATACTCTGGCATGTCTACAAGTCCTTTCCAGTGCTCGCGGCGAGGCATTCCCAGGATTTCAACAATCTTGGCCATCTGATTTCTTTGGAAGGGGACAGTCTTTTTGCTATCCATCTTGGTTTCTTCACCTTTGAAAATCGGCCTCAAGCTCAGGAGTTCGGCAAAGATGCAGCCAACGGCCCACATATCGATCGCCGGAGTATAGTGTCGTGCTCCTAAAAGCAGGTCCGGGCTGCGATACCATATAGTCACAACCACTTTGTCGCCTGAGTAAAGCGATGACAGGGGCTTGTGGAACAGGCGAGCTAGGCCTAGATCACCGATCCGGACATGGCCGGAGCTGGTGACCATAATGTTTGCAGGTTTCAGGTCGCGGTGGATGACCCAATTCTGATGAAGATAGTACAGGCCGTTCAGCAACTGAAACAGGATGGACTTGATCATTGTCGCCGGGATAGGGCGTCGGGTTGGCTGAGTGTGGTGGTGAATTATTTGCAGCAAGTCGTGTTCGCAATACTCGAACACCATATAAACACATTTGTCTTCGAGAATTATCTCAGCGAGGTGTATCAGATTCGGGTGCGATAATTCGGTACATAATGACATTTCACGAATTGCCGATTGTGATAATCCCGTATATTGAACGTTGTCGCCTTCTTTTTCTGGTTTGAATCTACCGAGGTCAGCGATGGGCAAGCTTAACATGCTCGATTGACCTACTTCTTGATGGCGAACAGCTCCTTGGTAGGTGCTGCCCCGTCTGGAGTCGACGTACCACTCCGGGGATTCCTCTCCATGGCCTTGTAGACGCGTCCATATGTGCCGGAACTAATGAAGCCAATGATGCTGTATTTTTGGCTGACCTTGACTCTGGAAGTGTAGTTGTTACCTGATTGCTTTTTGTCTAGGCCTCGAGAACTCTCTGCCACGTGGATTAGTAAAACCTCCAACTGCAACTCAGAGTCCGGGGTAGTCGAGGCTGATCTGCTTTTAAGCGAGTCGAGCCTTGAAACCATTATTGCAATTTGATCACCTACCGTCAATTCCCATCTGTGTCGTCTTCCGTAATTGCTGCGCTATACTGAGACCTGAGCCAGGTCTAGACATGTTGAACATGGCTTCGCGAACAGGCGGCCAATGCCGGTTTCGCAGAGGCTGAGATGCACCCCACGCGATAATACGTAGGTCGCAATAGTGGCCCTGCCCTGTCTTCACGAGTCAATTTCAACTCACTGGGGGCCACGACCTATCGCAATCTTTTGCCTCAGAAGGCCGAGCGGAAGCCTCGACCAGTGGCGAAAGGAGACGGTAGAGATCGTTGATGGGCGTGGAATAACTCGATGGAGCGGGAGATGCAAGCACAGAACGTCGTCATTGAGGCACGAGTCTGTGAAAGAATACAGGGTCTATCAGGGTCTATCCGTACGAATATGTCGTCGACCATGTACGATGGAAGTGATGAAGTGAAATGGCGAATTACAGAGTGCCAGCGAAATTGGGCGGCTCGGCTACACATGCACTCCAAGGCTGCGCTTTCCCTCTTCTGGACGCCTTCCCCGTTTCCCCCATCGGAGGCTGCCGCTTCCTTGTATCTCCAGCCAGCAACAATGCAGACAATCATGATGCCTGTCCACGCTTCATCTGCACCATGACGCGTTGATAATACTGCTTTATCGCTGCGTCACTGCATCACTTATCGTCACTTATCATAATTCCGTTCCTCAGGGGCATCTTCTAGTCCATATAAGGTGTGTTGGAGTCCTGTGGCTACTACTCCTCTCCCCTCCCCCCGATCTCTCTGTGGCCAGAATAGATCGAGCTTCGCTAAACATGATCAGCAGTGGTGACACGTTCCTCAAGCAGACGTCCCAAAAGGGCTACGCTGTCCTCGCTCCGGACGGCCACATGGCTCCCTCACGTCGTATAACTCCCTTCCTCCTCTACCTCGTCTTCGTCGTCACTCTCGGCCCGTTGCAGTTCGGCTTCCATCTGGTGAGTCTTTGCATGTGGATATGTTCCTGAGGACAGCGACTGACAGAGATCAGGGAGAGCTCAACGCACCTCAGGCTGTCATTACCTGCAAAGTTGACAAGTTGCCGACCTATGGCGTTTACGGCCTATCTCGATGCATACCTATGACGTCTGGACAATGGGGTCTGGTCCAGTCCATTTTCACCATTGGCGGGCTGTTTGGAGCTTGCTTTAGCGGTTTCATTGCAACAAAGTTTGGCCGTTTGTTCGCTATAAAATGGCTTACCTTCTTTCTTGGCATGGGACCAATAGCAGAAGCGCTCGCAAACAAGATGTGGGTACTCACCATGGGTCGTGCGTTGTCGGGACTTGGGGCTGGTGCGGCTACAGTTGTCTGTCCGATTTACATCTCAGAGATCGCCCCTCCAGACAAGCGTGGTCTCTTTGGAGCCTTCACCCAGGTTCAGATCAATTCCGGTATTCTGCTTGCACAATTCCTCGGATATTTCTTGTCAAAAAACACCAAATGGCGTTGGATTCTTGCAACTGCCGGCTTCATTGCCGCAGTGGCCTTCATTGGCCTGATGTTGGCACCCGAAAGTCCAAAGTGGCTTGCGGCCAACCATCGACCTCGCATGGCAAGAGGAACCCTTCAACGAATCAGAGGAAAGAACGCTGAAATACGGGAAGAAATGGAGGAATGGGAAGTCTCTGGAGAGGGTGAAGAAGAATGCCTTCTCGGGCCACCTCGTGGTCCGGAAAGTCAAGAGAAAGCAGGGAAATCGGTCATTGATGTCGTTCGAGTCTACGCATATCGTCGAGCAGTGGTTGCCGTGACGGGCACCATGATTGCTCAACAACTTTGCGGGATCAATGCTGTGGTGATGTACAGTGTTGCAATTCTTGGACCGATCATGCCGACCCGTGCAGCTTTGGTCACAGTCGTCGTGTCGGCAATCAACGTTCTCGTCGGCTTGTTGTCCTCTCCCCTGCCAGACAAGATTGGTCGCAAGGCATGTCTCCTGCTGTCCATCTCAGGCATGGGCGCTGCTTCAATCATGCTAGCCATTGGGCTAGAGAAAGACATTCAATATCTCACCATTGTTGGCATTGGCCTCATTGTATGCAGCTTCGGCATTGGCCTCGGTCCAGTTCCCTTCCTCCTGGCTAGTGAGCTGGTAGGGCCTGAAGCTGTGGGTGCAGTGTCGAGCGTGGCACTTGCAGGCAACTGGCTCTCAACCTTTATGGTCGCGCAGTTCTTTCCCATATTGAATGCGGCCATGCCCGAAGGACGAGTGTGGTGGGTGTTTGTGGGGATATCCGGTTTCTTTGCCGTTTTCGTTGCAATCTTCGTTCCCGAAAGCAAGGGAAAGGCGTGTCCAGATAAGGTCTGGGGTGGAAAACATCCCTAAGTGAACATTGGCCAATCACCAATACTCCGGGAGATTGCAAGTTATCTGATGGCGAGCCCGATTCCTGTTTTGGAGGATCGGTATGAACCAGACACGTTATCCTAGATCAGGCGTTGGGGAATGCGAAAAGCGAAGGAGCACACGGATACTGTATTATTAGCGTATTGTTAGCGAAATGAAATAAGCAGCGAATGCCTGCAGACTTTTGACTGGAGTTGCGCCTGTCGTCCTTGTCAAGTCGTATTGTGTGGTTTGGCTGTTGTCACCGTGTGCACCAGGAAGGGTACAGATGACTATGATAGAGATACAGGGACTCATGAGACCTTGAGAAGCCGGGAGTTGCCAAGACTTACCGGTCGGCCCAAGAATAATCCGAGATCGTACGCGAGACGCTCTCCGCACTCCTTCATTTCCCAGCGTTTTGCCTTCCCCATGGGTCAAATCCGTTATTGCAACGTCGTGCCTCAGCGAACTTCTCCTTTAGGCCCACTAGTGCTCTCTACTTTAATTAATCCACTGATCTGTCCGTAGGACCTCGGACTTCGAGCACAAAAATCACGCTCAAAAGGGCCATTGTCGGCCTTCCAAGCCGGATTCTATCCGCCAACGATGCAAGCATCCTTACAAGCCTCCCTGGACCGACACCAGCCACCATCACCCTACGTGCTGTGATAGTCCAGGGAGGTCGTGAGTTGGATCGTCCGTGCCGCAAACGGGAGACTACGACATCCTTGTCTCGCTCCAGTTTTTGCTCTTCACTGAAGATTTGTTGGAGACTGGAGGAAATCATACGCCAGCCTCTGCTGAATTGGAATCTCTCCACCTCATTTTGTGATGCCGAGGCAGCTGTCCATGTTACCTGCCAAAATGAGCTGAAATACGGTTTTGCATGAATACGTGTGGATCAGTTATCGATGCCGCCCATCCTGACTACACCGCTTTGACAAAGGGGTGAGTTGAAGATGATTGAAGATGTTGTTGCGCAGGTCTCGGTTGTTGTCCTATATAACACTAATCACCCTGGAGCACAAGGCGTATTTTGCTGTCCGCGGACTCTCTGGATTAAGACGTGAACCAAATAGGTTACCACCATGGGGCCTTTCCGATTTTCCTCAGTCTTTGGCTTTACCTTGCTGTATGCTGTTCTCACGTCTGCTCAGAACTTCACTGCAACCAAAACTCTGCCGAAGGTCGACTTGGGTTATGAGATCCACCAGGCCATTAGTTTCAACGTATGTCAAGGCCTTTCATTGCTGGGGACAAGGAATACTGACCAGATATCCAGGAAACGGGTCAACTATACAACTTCTCAAATATAAGATATGCTCAACCTCCGGTTGGTTCACTGAGATTTGCAGCACCACTGCCTCCTGCTGGAAGAAATCCCGTTGTCCAGGATGGGAGTATCGGGCGAGTTTGCCCTTCTGCCATTCCAAACTGGTCTCCTATCGCCAATGTACTCGAGGCAGATATCTTAGGAGGAAATCTGTCAACCTTCGACTATGACGCTCTCAACGAGCAAGTGCAAGAGTATTGGTCGCAACACCCCCCTCCAGCTCAAACGGATGGGCGAGCCACTGAAGACTGCCTTTTCCTCGACGTCATTGTACCAAAAGCAGTATTCGACGGAGGCCGAAGTCATCTGAAAAGACGGTGGCAACCTGGAGGCGGTGCTCCAGTAGTCATATGGTATAGTTAAACCTCTACGGTGGTTTTGACTATGGCTCACAAGAGCAGGGTCTACGGTGGAGGCTATACACTCGGCTCGAAAGAACAATGGGGCAATCCCTCTGGTTTGATCAAAGCTAGTCAAAGCGGTGGTCAGCCGGGTATTGTGTATGTCACCTTTAATTACCGCCTTGGGGCTTTGGGTTGGCTTGCTGTAAGTCGTCTTCAGCTTCAAGAATCGTACTCTGGAAGACGAACTTCTTTACGTGCAGCTTGCTCAACTGTACACAGGGTCCTACCTTCCAGGCTTCTGGAGGAGTATCTAATGCCGGTCTATACGATCAACGACTGGCTATTGACTGGGTCAAACAAAACATTCATCTTTTCGGCGGCGATCCCAACAAGATAACTCTCCTTGGTGAGTCTGCAGGTGGTGGCTCGATTGTCCATCAAATTACAGCATATGGTGGAGAGAAAGGCGTTTCTTTCCAGAGAGCGATATCCCAATCTCCAGGATACGACCCAGTCCGATCGTCCTTCTATATGGAAAACATAACCAACAACTACCTATCGATCCTGGGCGTCCACTCCCTGGAAGAAGCTCGCCAGAAGTCATCAGATGAAGTAATCTTGGCGAATACCATCCAAATTGGGGGTTCCTACTATGGTACTTTTACCTATGGGCCCATGGTTGATGGGATCTTCGTTCCCGATGTGCCAGGTGTTTTACTGAGTACCGGTCGGTTTGCCAAGGACGTCTCTGTCATGGTCGGTCACAACACGTTTGAATCAGCAGGTTTTACACCTCCATGGCTGACCACCGAGGACGACTTTCAGGTCTGGTTAGAAACTATGTTCCCCGGCATAACCCAAGAGGCTGTTGACCATGTCCTGAACGACCTCTATCCTCCTGATTACGATGGAAGTCAGTCGTACACCTCTCCATTGGGCCGCATATTCCTCATGGTCAATGAAGTGATTTTTGTTTGCAATACTTTCTACGTCAACAACGGATTCAACAACCAGACGTATGCTTATGAATTCGAGATTCCACCAGCCTTTCACGGACAGGATATTGTATACACCTATTACAACGGCGGAGGGTCGAGTGCCACCGTAATTGCCCCTATCGCGGAGATGCTTCAGGGTTACCTGACCAATTTCGCCATGACTGGAAATCCCAATGGTGCAGACCTACCGTACTTCCCAGTTCATGGACCGAACGCTATACTCCAGGCGATCAAGGCCAATTCCACCGTACCAGAGCCAGATGAGACGTCTAATGAGAGGTGTCTTTGGTGGGGCAAGGGGCTATACGCTTGATTTGGCCATGTTCCTGATGGATTACGAGTGTCGAAGCCGAATGCTCAAGACTAGGTATCGTTCAAAGATACATAGGGGCTCTGATGGACCAATTTTCAGCCTTGGGCCTGTTTCGACGGCTTCACAATTGGTTTTCCTCTGGGACAAGGTATAGCATGCCGCTGTACTTAGGAAGGGAGCATTTTCACAATCCACTATTGGTGTTGACTTTATATTCACTGTAATCTTCATGTCATGGTTGCCCGACTATCTTTTACTAGCTCGTGCGGAGTACCAGGTCTGATCCCTTACGACATGCTATTCAATAAATCAACAGAGCCGGACTTCACTGACTGTAAACCCGTAATCTTTTCGTTTTCATGGAGTTCATTGTATTGTGCTGAAGCACTTCGTCTTACCATTTCTCAGAACGCTACAGACAAGAACGACGCGATCAACATGGAGCTACCGTTTCTTCTGTCCCTGACCCTCATGATATCCTCGCTCACGGTTCTTGGTCAATATGGAAAATGGTCCGATCTCCCAACCTGCGCTGTACGTTCTGATGACATATAATCTGGCTCTGTTGTCTGTTTAACCTAACGCGTGATTAGCTGGGATGTCTCGACCGCAGCACCACTACCATGGAAGAGTATTGGCCCAATGGTTATCTGCCTGTCATCTGCGGCTTGAGCTCCCCAGACCACAAAGCGTTCAAGCTTGCCCTGCGCAGTTGCTTTTATGAGTCGAAGGCTGAAGGATGCAATGGTACCAGTGGCCTGACGTCGCTCGTGGACGACACCATCAATCTCTTCTGCAATCTGTCAAGCAAAGACAGCACACTATTTGACAGCGCGAATCTTAACGGCACAATGACAACAACAAGAACTTCAGTTACACCTGATTCAAGTGTCTTGAGTGCTCAGGTAAGTTTCCATCTTGCCTACTTTCAAGAAATGTGCGCTGATATTCCTCCTCTTGCAGTGGATCCCGACATTGACGGCTGATAAAGATGTTAGTCAAGACGGTACTCCTGTGCCTCCCAGTCCTTCTGATTCCTCCTTTGCCACCGCCGCCGCCACCCCCACCGCAGACTCCGTAGAAACTTCAAACTTGCCCAGCATCGCGGTTTCGACTCGGTTCAGAAATTTGAGCTCCCCTCCGTCCACCTACACGAGTCGTCCTCCGCTACCAACATTGCCAGGGAATGAGTTGAACAGTTCAACCGAGGTCGAGGTGTCGACCATCTACTCCACTCACGTTGTCACGTTCAGCGGTAGCACCTCGACTTCCTTGACCACATCAATGTACCCGGAATCTAGCCTACGGACAACGACGGTGGTGGTGACAGCGTCCTCAGCATCAGTCTCATCAGCTGGTACTGCTTCTTCGGGAAAAATGGTCATGCGGAGCGACATGTGGTATCTGTTTGAGAGCTTTATCGGGCTAGTGATCTACGTAACCATGAGAGGAGAGTGGTACCTGGGCTAGGAAGTACAAACTAGGACTGGGCATAATAATGCTGGCCTCACTTGGATATCCAGCTGCATCGTCGACATCATGCGCATAAAGTCGCACGTCAGTGCGCCTCGGCTGACTGTATATCAGACAGCACATATTATGATATTCCTAGGGCGAAGGGCGAAAGGTCTGAGTTCAGAGCATGATAGAGTTAAGAGTCTTCAACAACGTGGTACTCGTAGTTGCAACTCGAGAACACTATGACCCAAAAGGGAAAAGCGTCATATGCAGAATTGTGTCATTCGAATCCTTTGCTTGTCGGCACTTTATCGACGTGTATTAACGAGGCACGGAATAGAGGCGTGAGTCAAAAATAATGTGTTTGGCTTAGTTTGTGTCACGCTCTTCACACTTTACCTTGTGCTGCTGACAGTGCTTCGGTCTCGACTTCGCTGCCTGAGCCAGAGATGATATATTCCTTGAGGCACTAAAAACACATCTCGTTTACGACTTGTCCCAGACACAATGGCGTCGTCAATATTGCCAGAGGGCGTTCATTCGTTCCTCGATACTGACTTGTACAAGCTGACGATGCAGTGTGCGGTCCTACATTACTTTCCTACCGTCGATGTCGAATACAAATTCACGAACCGAACTCGTCACATGCGGCTTAACAAACGCGCATTCACATGGCTAGAAGAGCAGATCGCGAAGCTAGCTGCAATCAGACTGTCACAGCAAGAGTTGGAATTTCTCAGAAAACACTGTCCCTACTTAAGCTCGGAGTACCTGGAGTTCTTGCAAGCATTCCAGCTGCGGCCTTCGGAACAGATTTCCGTCAAGTTTACCCCAGTTGACGACACTTATGGAGACGTGGATATCACCATTTCGGGGCTTTGGGTTGAGACAATACTTTACGAAATACCATTACTTGCCCTCACGAGCGAAGCGTATTTCAAATTTGTGGACACTGACTGGAGCCATGAAGGACAAGAGGCGAGGGCGTATGAGAAGGGGGTACAGTTGCTGGAGGCTGGTTGCCTTTTCTCAGAGTTTGGTTCACGAAGACGAAGAGACTTTCACACTCATGACCTCGTGGTCAAAGGTCTGGTGCAGGCGTCAAAGGCAAAGGATTGGCCGGGCAAGTTAACAGGCACGAGCAACGTATATTTTGCCATGAAACACGGCATAGCTCCCGTGGGGACGGTAGCGCATGAATGGTACATGGGAATAGCCGCGCTCACGGATGATTATGAACATGCCAATGAGCAAGGACTTCGTTACTGGCTCGACTGCTTCGGAAAAGGTGTCCTTGGAATTGCCTTGACAGACACGTTTGGTACGGCGGATTTCTTTGAAGCGTTCAAGAAGCGCATACCCGAAAAAACATCAGCGTCCAGAGGTGGCGCCCTCGACAAATCAATTGGGGGCACCTCTTCCTCGGGGCAACCTACCTACGCTGAGGTCTTCACCGGCATAAGACAAGATTCCGGAGATCCCCGAGAGTATGTCAAGCTCGCGAGCGGCTTCTACAAATCTATGGGAATCAGCGGGAAGAGTGTCGTGTTTTCGGATTCACTGGACGTGGAGAAATGCCTGGTGTACAAGAAGGTGGCAGAAGAATACGGCTTCAAGCCTTCGTTTGGCGTAGGGACGTTCTTCACGAATGACTTCAGCCTGCTTTCAGATCCACACACCAAGTCGAAACCGCTCAACATTGTCATCAAGCTGTCTAAAGCGGGAGGCAGACCAGCAGTCAAGATCTCCGACATTATAGGAAAAAACACCGGAGACAGTGCGACCGTGCAAGACGTGAAGCGCCGACTAGGCTACACGGAACGCGAATGGGCAGAGGGTGACGAAGCGAAGAGATGGTGAACACAGAACAGGTGATGTAAATCTTGAGGTGTCGGACCATCGGCGAGCTCTGGAGGGAAATGTCGCAGCCTTGTCAGCCCCTGACCACTTTGTGGGTCTCATATCGAGGCTCTGTCAAGGTGTGGGGAGCGACAGAACATGAAACTGTCGTGCGATTGGGGGCAGTCAAACGATATCTGCTTGAACTTTGCAGAGGCGTTGACTGTTGGAGCAAGTGATAGGCCTGATGGCATAGAAATGTTGGTGCCTGTGCTCGAACATCGCGTAGACAGAGGCGTTGCGTGACGCGCCACGATGATTACGACCCTTACACATGCTATAGCGAGCACAAATGGTATTGGAATGAACAGATCCTGGCGGAGTCGAGTGGCGAAGAAATACAATGCACAACTAACCACGTCCTATGGTCAGGAAGTCCGTACCCTTTTAGGCGGAAACCTACATGGAGCAAACGCTGGGCCATTCGAAACGCAGATCAATGTGACCACCAGAGGCCAGAACCCCCGGTACAGGAGAACTACTGTATGTAGCAAAGACAGTTAAGCTAGACGCGTTCTGATCGGCTAAAAGAGATTACAAACGAGTGATTGGCGGTGGATGGTCTCTCCAGGCTTCACCGGGGGTACTAGTTAGTTAGTCAGTACGTCCAAATGGATTACAATCTCGCAGAATAGATCGCAAAGCACAAACAAAAGGAGTAAGCGCTGACTGATTGCATGAGGGGGAGAATCGGTAAGAGGACGAGGTTGGGGGTAGGAGACTTGCACGGGCGTTACTTGACGCTCCCCAGGCTGCCTACTTATGAATTTCTAGGCTGCATAAACCCATGCTTCTAGGGTATGTACACCCAGGGTGCATATTGCCTTAGGCAATGGCGGGGCCTCATGACGAGGGGCGGACGGAGGGCCTCACCAGCTAGTTAGAGCACCAGTTAGCCACACTAGCCCTGCCTAAGAACCGAAAGCTAAGAACTAATCAAGAGCTAAGACCGACTGTAAGAACCATAAGCTGCAACCTTAGCTGGTGCACCTACAATAGGAGCCATGCATCAGCACAGCCTCCCCTAAGCTCCCACTGACACGGGGGGCTTTTGACACTGGCATCTGGCACTAAGTTAACCGGTGCACTGCATCTCGACACCCACCCCCCCGTCCCCTTGAGCCCTGTCCGCGAAAAATCCTTAACTTACACCTCGCCGTACCAGTCCGGAGCATCCTCTGCCATTCCGCCTTTGCCTGCGCCCAGACTCTTCGAACTCGACCTTGCCTTTTCCTGTCGCGCTACGGATACCGTCGTCTACCGCCAGCTGCAACTTCCTCTTCCCTCTCCGAAGTCGAGCTGACCAGAATTGTCATCATTCACATTAAAGACATACTCATCATCCCATCAATTTGTCGCTGCGTTGTTCCGTCACTCCAAACCCATCTCATCCCCAGCCGCATCTCTTGTTGTTGCAGCATCTTCCTCAGCATCACAAGTCGCCCCTTACGCGCTGAATAGTCTTGCTCTACAGTTACGCTCAACATCCCGTCACAGTATCTACACTGCGCTTTGCTACAATACGACTCAGCTGGGTCTTTTGAGCCTGTCTCCTCTCTCTAGCAATCATGAGTGTATGTTTTTTCCAGGCTCTGGGCGGTCCGAGGTCACCTTATCGATCGCCCCGACCCGAGTCTATTGAGATTCTGCGAACACAGCAGCATGTCGCCTGACTAGCCAGCTAACATATCTCCCAGTACAACCAAGGTCAAGGCTACGGTAGCTACAACCCCTACGGACAGTCGGGCAACCCGTATGCCCAACAAGATAGTTATAGCGACAACCCTGGATACAATGGCCAGCAGGGTGATAGACCACAGCCACAAGCACAAGGAAGTAGCTACTATGGCGATGAAGAGCAGCGAGCTGGCGGATATGGTAAGAATCTCTCAATCGCTGGCTGCCCAAAATCCGGCTCACCCGAGGTCACAGAGATGCGAAATATGAACGGAAACGATCCCAACCGAATCCTCAATGAATGTCGGGCTGTTGACCAAGCCATCGATGAGATCGAGGCTGATCTACAACGCCTCAAGGGCCTTCAATCACGCTACCTGGCTGATACGAACACGTCCGCTCAGTCGCCCCTGCGTATCGAAGTGGATAGAACTGGTGAAAATATCATGACAAAGTACAGAGGCCTTGTGAGCCGGGTCAAGAACATCAAGCAACAGCCCGAATCGGGGAATCCGCGCAACGCGCCACAAGTTGGAAAGGTGGATCGTCGACTGAAGACTGCCATCAACCAATACCAACAAGTCGAGCGAGAATTCCGGAAATCGTCTCAAGAGCAGATGGCCAGACAATACCGCATCGTCCGGCCAGACGCCTCGGATGCGGAAGTGCGAGAAGCTGTAGAGGATCCCAATAATCAACAAATCTTCAGCTCTGCCTTGATCCAGAGCGACCGTCGTGGCGAGGCCCAGACAGTGGCACGAAATGTGTCTCAACGTCATGAAGATATTCAGAAGATCGAGCGACAAATGATCGAGCTTGCTCAGCTCTTCCAAGATCTCGAAACCCTGGTCGTGCAACAAGAACCTGCCGTCACTCAGATTGAGCAACGAGGAGAAGAAGTCACAGAACATGTGGCCAAGGCCAACAACGAACTTGATGGTGCAGTCAAGAAGGCCCGTGCTGCCCGGAGAAAGAAGTGGATGTGCTTGGGTATTGTTGGTGAGTCCATATTGGTAACTTTGGTTTTTGGAAGCCATACTAATCTGTCCACAGTCCTCATCATTATCATTATTATCATTGTGGTGGTGGTCGCTGTGGAAGTCACCAAGAACTAGGATACTTGGTATATGTCCAAAGGCGACCAAGCCGGATACCGGAACTCCAATTCAGTTGCAACATTGTCCAGATCCGAAATTCAGAAATCACCTTGTATCCTGCCCCCGAAAAACTATGCTGTTTATCCGAGGATCAACGCGGGGTTTGTTCTCGAACGTAGTTCCAGAGTGAATAGGCAGCACTGTGATATTGGCAAAGAGGTCAGGATTATTTATTCCAGATGTCCTTTCTAGGCGAGCCTTGAAGGCATTTGGCACTCGGTGCCTTTTGAGTGCACGCACACAAACACACACACACACACACACACACACACAGAGAGAGAGAGAGAGAGAGAGAGAGAGAGAGAGTAGGAAGACCTGAGACTTCAGAGGTGTTTCAAGAAGTTTTCGTATGTTGCGAAAAGCCCGGCGCAAAGCTTTTTGTCTGTTTTGTTTGTACTTTTGTTTTCGCGGTCCCATTGCGCTGTTTTCTCTACTTTGTTGTTTGGACTTGATGGGAAAGTTGTACAGCAACGCACAGCTTAGACAAATTACTCTAATATTGCCAGTTCCTTGAACGAACTGAATATTCAGTGCCTTGAGGGGGGAACTGGTGTGAAAACAATATCTTTCCCGAAAGTTGAACTGATAATTGGGCCCGAGTACTCGTACTCTGTACCACAGGGTAATTGCTACGTTGTTGTCACGATGATAGTATGCATTACATTCAAAGTGGTACCTATTCTCGCGTTGGATAGCCAGTAGCTAGTGGTTTTGGAGGGTTTGTTTTAAAAGGTGTTGGGGTTAATCAGATGAACCATGAACGAATAATCCCACCATCTGATTGATATCAATGCGTCAAGAATTGGGATGTTCCATGCATGATTTGGTCATATGTTGCTGTCGAGGTGCCGAGTTGTTGAGATGTTGAGCTGTTGGCTTTGGACTTTGTTCTTTGTTCTATGACTTTTTTTTTGACGCAGTGTCGAGTAAAGAAGAAGAAGACGAAAGTAGTTCCGATATTGATTGACTGACTGACTGACTGACTGACCGACTGACGCCGCCGCCCTTGTGGGTCACGACCATGGTTCAGGATGGTGTGGTGTTGGTGCTGGTGTTGTTGGAGATCCGTCCTTCTTCCTCGGGAGTCTTTGTGCGCAATTGAAGGGCGTGGATGCCTCCCTGGGCTTCCATCTCGCCCTTGAGAAGGGCGTAGACCATGCGGTGGCGCGCCGGTTGAGGTTTGGACGTGAAGACTTCCGAAGTGATTTCGACGCTGGGAACGGGTAAGAAAGAGAAAATGAGAGTGTACAGGATCGTGACCAGGTAGAACCCGGTACGCACTTGGGACGCGGAACTTTTTGGGGAGGGGGGGGATGCAAAAGAAAAAAAGAAACAAACACTCACTAGAAATGCGTTTCTTTAGAAGTACTCCCCGCCATCGCCTTGTGGTGAGAATGGAGATGAGAGTCGTTTCGAATCTCGAGATGCGTGGGGTTGAGTGATTCCGTTACCTATGGGGACAGCGGACGTCCGTCGACGATGTGTCAGTATTTGGTTTTCACCCGTACCGGAGGAGTAAACGTAGGACTCGACCGATCGAGTATTTCTCAAGGGCAAACCCAACCAAAGCTGTGCGATTCGACATGATGCAGTACGAGCGCGCATGACAGAGATATATGCTCTTTTGGTAAAAAAAAAGGGGGATATGATGATGAAAAGAATTGAAAATCCAACCGATGAGTTGTCGTCGTTGTAGGAACTTTTTCTTCCACCTCTCTCGTCGTGGCTTGCTACTCTCCGCCTCTCTCTCTCTCTCTCTCTCTCTCTCTCTCTCTCTCTCTCTCGCTCGATCCAAAAGGGGGACCACGAAGCAACATGTCAAACCGTACATTACAGCCTCAGGTACGTATGTACGTATGTAATGTAATCTGAAGACTCGGCTGGGCTGGGCTCGCGCTATGCTGTGCTGTGCTGTGCTGTGCTGTGCTGGACTGGGCCGGGTTTCACTGACTCACCTTTCTCCGGATCGTATCCTCCATTGGCTTACTGGACGTACCGGACGTACTAGCCATTCTGTACCGTGGGGATGGCCGTGATAATGTTGATGACGATAATGGTGATGATGATGCCGACGGAGATGGTGAAGACGGTGGTGCCAATGACAGCGACGGTGACGATAATGATAACAACGGACGCCCGATCGAGCTTCGAAAGGTCGACAAAGGTCTCATTTGGCGTATGTAGAACGTCCTACTTTCCGTAGCGTACACAAACTGAAAAAGAAGAGAACGAGAGGTGAGTCTCGGAAAGAGAAGAGGTCGCGCTCCTGTTTGATTACATAAGTCGTATGTATATACGGATACGATCCTCACAGTTCCCTCCTCGCTGCCTACGGCTAGATACCTATTTTTTTACCTACGTGGGTAGATAGCCTTCAACGTACTATGTGACAGTACCGACCGCCGGTGACAACATGAGTACCTATACTACGTTGTGTGTCAGATATCATCCCGCCGAGAGCAGTTGTTGTAGGTTTCATGCTCAAAAATGATCAAACAGCCGGGGTCCGTTACTGACCTTTAGACAATCCTTTTCTTTAATCGCAACGAGGGAGCTCTTCCACAAAAGTCTTGAAAGAATTACACAAGTCATCAAAACCGATGAACCCGCTCAAACGTTTCTGTACAATCGCTTAGTTCAAAAGAATATCTGACGCCTGATACATGATTTATTGGTTTGTGTCAAAACTAAGTCCCCTTCCCAGCACAAACTGCTAGTCTCAGCAATGCAAGTCATCACCAGATATTCCATCCATCGTCAATGATTTGGTCACTCTAACCAAACATTTCTCAATTCTTCATCTGCGTTGCGCCTTCTGCACGCTTGATCCTCTCTTCGTGGTGGCTGAAAACTGTAGTGGATAGGATTCAAAGCCACGTCCCACTCTTATCTTTAGGCTTTTCAGATCATGTCGATACACCAGAACTATTCTCGTAAATTCTTGTCCTTTGATAGTTATTCTCGACAATTGTGTCAATTCTCCTTATGCATTAGTGTTGATCCTTTCACAAGGGTCCACACAGACGGCTGTTCATGTTCCAGGATTCCAACCTTTTGACGGTCTGGTCAAGAATAGCTTCCGCGTTCCATAATACGAGAGCCTTGTGCGCCCAGTCAATTGCCTTCGTCCTTGATGAGTGCAACAATCATGCTGTAGAGGTAGAAGAAGAACATGACGAGATGGAAACCGAGCTTGATAAATGATTCCTGGAACTTTGTCAGCTTCGAATCAGTACCGCGCTTAGTCTGAAAAATACCTTTTTATGCACGTTCAATTTTCGGAAAATCTCAGTGGCGTCGAGCAAATGTTGATTGTCCAGAATCCTACAGAAATATCTTTGTTAGCCCCGGTCACAGTCCCCCGAGGTTGAAGCTGGACCTACTTCTTTGCGTTGAAGGCTAGGAGAGGCAGGTTCAACAACAACGCCAGCCAGTATCCATTGATCAAGAAGAGGAAGGTCAGGAATGCATGGACGGCAGCTTCGGGAATGATGTAGGTGTTGAGGCGGTTGCAGAGATCGATAGGGTTGATATAGTCACTGTTGGCACCTGTCAGCACACACGAGCATGTACAGAGGTGTCCTGCATCGCGAAACTGACCATTCCAAATCGCTATACATAATAGTGAAGAAGACTTGAAGGAACAGGTTGACGGCATTTATCAGCACGGAGAGCAGGTACAACCACGCCTCGCCCGACATTGTGAAGGTATTGTGCTTTTTTTCCTTTGCTTCCGCAGGTAATGACGTGGATCTGTTGAGACTTCAGGGATGAGAGGTAAACGTCGCAAAGACTAAGGTGTGCGAAGGGAGAGTCGCGGAGTGCGCAGAGAAGGCTGGGAGGCGCCTAGGCAGGGAGGGGAAGAGAAATGAGTTGAGCGACTGGGAATTTTGTCGATGGGTTCGAAAGTCTTATCGCCGGGGATACAGGCCTCAACCGAGCACTGTTGCAACTTGTCCTTTTTGCCAGACAATTGGAGCTAAGAGGAGGTATGGACAGCTTGTAAGAGTGGTATGTATCGCACAAGGCCGCAGCAAGTCTAGGTAGTGGAGTGTGAAAAGTGCAGCAAAGTCAGGTAGCAACGGAACAACTGCGAGGAGAGAGGAATGAGATCAGAGGCCGTGGGGGAAAGCGAAATAGCGAAATACGAAATGTTGGCAGGAAAGCTTGCTAGGGCTTCTGGGGCTGTGACTTCACTACCTCCCTCTAGGCTACAGAGACCGCCTAAGCTGTAGGCTGTAGGTACCTGGGACACCTACGAGTACAGTGGTCGAAGTGACCCGCACCACTGTGTTCCGTATCTAGGTATGGAACTATTGCGCTGTTACAGGTGCCCAATGCATGCACAAAGGCACCTCTAAGTGCAAAATATGGCATCAACAACGCCATCGTGAGGTAAGGTATACATTGCATTATTCGTGGCCGTCAGCGCGATTTACAGGTAATGCCTCGCCTAACTTGCTGCTATCGGCCATCACATGCTGTCCAGTACGGCGAAACTCTCGCACTGGTCACGATATCTGAGTCTCGTATTTCCGTATTCCGTAACTCGCCCTCTATGTGTCCGTGGTGGCGTATGTTCCTGAACTCCGATAACCTGCAGTTGATTCTGTCTCGTTGTCCTCCGGTGCTCGTATAGTAATACACTTGTCATCCAATATCAGAGAGTCTTTGTTGCGATAACGCGCACACTCATGCTCTCTTTTCAATATCCCAAGCTTTTGACTCTTTCCAGGCCTTGGAAACCAACCCACACAAAACAAAGACTCACCTCCTTAATGTGCCCATGGAGGGAATCGGTTCATGGAAATAGTGATACTTCCCCAGTAACACAGTAACATCCAAACCGTTTGACCCAAATGTTTCAACCCACGTCCGTTGCCACCTGTGGCTCGATGAAATTGGAAAAAAATGACCCAACCGCCAAAACAAAGAAGTACTGCGCCAATCAATTCGTCGTTGAGTTCAAGGAAAGAGACGCCTGGAAGCCGTCAGGAAACCTCAATGCGTTCGGGCAAGATGGTTCGCAGGCAAGAGTGAGATGGAATTGTCTCGACTGGTCGATTATTCGTAGTTGGTACTGGAGTGTCGGATTGTGGCTCATGGCCTCAATGCCTCCTCTTTGCTCAATCATCGTCTGCAGAGCCCTTGCATGGAAATGCAGCTCACTCTGCTGGCCAAAGTCAGCCGTGTAGACCAGCAAAAGAAGCACCGCTTGGATATTTGCGTCTGAGCTTGCATTGTCCGCTGCCCGGAGCCGATTCCATAGTAGATTCGTTCCTCGTCCAAAATGTGTCTGTGCATCGACTTGATCTTGAACCGTTTCCGGACTCGAGTTCACTCTCCACCGAGCAGCATAGGCATATGCTAGCAGCAGATTTCGAGATGCTTCATGCTCACGCATGTACCTGATCGTCGTGTCCAACACCCCTCGGTCGCGACAATGCGGACAAAAGTTTGCAGAAACTAGATTTACAGTCAGTGGCTTGGGCCCTATTCCTATAAATGGCTCATACGGACAGGATTGTAATATAGAATCATCCGGAGAAGGTTGCTCCTGGGTTGTGAGGGAATCGCTTCGTGAGGCCGAAGCCCTTGCCTGGCTCATGTCGGACTCGAAATTGTTGGACGAAACGCTCGACAGGTCCAGCCGCTCAGGTAGAGACGGTGCTGGAGATATCGAATGGGAGCTCGTTGCGCTGCTCGTTGATGTGTCCGTGTCCAAGCGAGATGGACGCCTGCCCCATTCAAAGTATCGCGTCTGGCTCGCACGCTGAAGCAGCCTCGACCTTGTCTCTCGGCGTTGTGCTGCTGAATGGTACGCGGTGTGTCTTTGGATGGTGCTCCGTACATTTGGGTCCTGGCTGTCGACAAACTCGACGACGTTTTGGCGACGACTCGACGAACTTGAACTTCTTCTATCATCCCTTGTAGAGTTCTCATCTTGAGGAGCGCCACCCGTTGAAGACATCGATTTGGTAAAGTATGGTATGATTGTTATCATAGTGTGTCAAATGAAATATCAGGGAGTTACACTCCGCTGTGTCCTTGTCGTCTCAATTGGACGGACGACAAGTTAAATGTAAAAACAAGAAAGTATCATGAGATGGTTGTGGAGGGAGTAAACTCCAAGAACAAACACATGAGGGATACATTGACGAACAAGGCGAATTGAAAGTAGTAAATACCTTGTGATGTGACTGAGAAAGGAAAGAATCTAGGCTGAGGGCCACCGACGAGGCTCGGCAGGTTGAAGGGGTACTTACGGTCGTTGATATATAGGTTCTGGAATACTCACGAAGTTAGGAGCCCCATCTAGAGACAAAACGGCACATAGGAAGTGCTTTCGTCGGACAGAGCCGATACAATGACTCGTGATGGTGAGAGTGCTGAGCATTGTGGAGGCACCTGTTCAGTTTTCAGATGGACTTTCGGAGCCGAATCATCCTAACTCTTTCTTTTTCCTTCGCGGCAAGTCGGGGAAGCAGGAAAAATTGACAGCATGGTCTTTTGAGCATGTGGCGACATGGCTGCCCACTTTCCATTGTGGTTGTCCTGTCTTCGTGGTAATGGTGAAGTACAATTGTGGTAAGCGAGGTAAATATTGTTCAGATCCGTAGAGACAGCGAGATCCACCGATCGGGCTGCACTAAGCTGTTTTGGGTCTTTGATGGATATTTCCCTCGACAGTCATTATATAATAAAGTTCGCAGCCCTCAATCATCCGCACGCACTTTGTACTTGGAACGCATACCCGGATCTCGGGCCTCGTGAACGCCTAGAGCTAGGCCCCATTTACCTCGGATTTTTGACCGCGCTGTATGCTGAAAATGTCACGACACCTTCGTCGAGCGATGGTTGCCAGAATACTTAAAAGAGTGTGTCCTGCTTTTGAGACCACTTCGTCAGCCATTGCTTGTGGCCACGCAAGTAAACTTTTTTCTAGACTCGGAGTTTGAGCCTTCATGAAAAATGGTCGGAAGTTATCGGCCGAGGCTCTGTCTACACGTATAATCTAGCACTGCCCAGCTCGGTCGTTCCCCAGATTTGGCTCATCATCCCTGTGACTCGTGAGCAGCATGGCCGACGAGGCCAGGGTGAAGCGCGAGACGAGGTTTTAACGATGAGCCCACGATCATTCCACTTTGTGCAATTCACTCGTAATCGCCTACGTAGTGTATCAAACGTAATTCGAACGCACAGCCACCAGTACTGACAAAGAGTGATTGATTGAGTGGCATCCACGGTTCACTGCGCGAAGACCGACACGGGTGTTCCTTTCGGAGAGCTGACCGCGACAAGGTCAGAGTGGTCCGGGGAACATGTCTGCTTAAATACAATACAGTGTGGATCTCACTCGAGTGTGACAGTGGCTTGGGACGAGTGCAGGCCAGAGGAGGTTTCTGAAGGAACTTTGATCCTGCGGACCTCGCCACCTGCACTCCATTACCGACACCAAACTTGGGAGAGACAAGGGCCGGAGACGACAGAACTAGAAAAGACAGAAAAAAGCAGAAAAGGGCAGAAAAGGAGCATCCATTGAGGAGGGTCAGGTGATGGAGTCATGTGTCGCTGTGGGCACGGCACCATCTTCCTCGGTGGCGAGGCTGAAGACCCTGAACGGAAGTGCCATACGGAATTAAACCCATGTATGTACTCCGTACTCGATAGGGATATATACACGTTACCGATGAAGAGCCCTCGATAATGTGCATTGGTCTTTTCACAGCTATTGTTGCTTGTCGATCCTGCATGATGGGCTGCTTCAGCATTGACTATCACGGACCAGGAAAGAAATGAAATGTCTCCAGTGTCGGCATGTATCAACTACGCATGCTTGTGAACGTGGCAAATTTCGTGGCAGATCAATGAAGCAACGACTGCTGGAGACCACATGTTCACTTCAAACATGCTCCGGACTACGGTCACTCAGGCCAATATCACTCGTGGACCTTCCCACCGCAAAGCTTGAACAGTTGATGCGAGTAGAATATAATGTGCAGATCTCGGGAGAAAATGTTTTAAAATCATTACAACTAATTCCCCAGGCCATATAGGCTCATACGTGGGGTTGTTCAAAATCTATTACCTACTAACGCAAACAAGAGAACACTATGCATAAGTTGAAAGAATCCATACAGACCCTACCGCCCCCTCTTGGTTCGCCCTGTAGTCGCCTTCCCACTAGCCACAGGTTTTCGAGTCGTGGCTACAGCTGCGGCGGCGCTCCTCGTCTGGATATTATAACCCCCAGCCGGAGTTTCGTTGACATTAACTCGCACACCTTCGCCATAGTCACTATCTTCGTCATCATCATCCTCAGGTTCGGAGTCGGATGCCGGAGCCAGATACCTCATTACTTCAGGTTCTTCCTCCGGAGGGAGGAAGAGTTCGTCTTGAGGTCGACGATACCTAGCAGCATGGTTTTGCATCGTACTGGGTGGCCCAGAGGCTACACGTCGCTGTGGCGAAGCAAACCGGGGATCGTTAGGGTCGAAACGTGGTATCATGCCAGCGTTGGTCTGATATGGCAGTTGGTCCAGAGGAAGATTGACAATATTAGAGGCTGATCGTGGCCTGGGCTCCCAGTCTGGCTCAGATGGGTCGGGTCGAGGAGCACGCGAGCCTGTGGCATAAACGGCTTCGGGATTCGACGCATAGCGACCAGAGTAGTACGGGGCGTTCTGCTGCAAGTAATGTTGTTGCCTCAGCGATTGACTGGAGCTAGTCCGAGAGCCTTGACGTAGAGGGTCAGGCTGCCGGGGTCCAACAACAGATACTCCCTGGGAATAAGACAGGCGCCGGCCATAGTCGGACTCTGGCAAGACATAAGAGGTTGCTGAATCCTCGCGCCCGCCACGTGACGAACTATTTGACGCCACACTTCTACCACGATTTCGTCCGTCCGCAGGTTTTCCCTTTGGCGAATTACTCGCTGACTTGTCATTTCGGCTGGGTTTTTTGCGGACTTCAACGGGCCGGCGTCTGACTTGTGCTTCTTTCTTGCTCTTAGGGGCTGCCTTGGGTGCTGCAGAGGGACGTGGAGGGGTCTGGGTCCGCTCTAAACGTTCCAAGGCATCAATTTCTGCTCGGGTCAATTTGACATTGGGCTTACCCAGAGCCCGAGCACGCGCGATCCTGTCAAGAGCACGCTGCACCAACATGTCCTCTTTGTCTCTGTACGCCACCTGCATATCTTGTCGTCTGGCAACTCCTGTGGGATAGTCGTATTCTTCTTCTTCATCGTCAGAAGGAGTAAAGTCATCATCATGCACAACACCTGAACGCCTGCGGCGGACATAGTCCCCACCCAAATCTATACCGGTAAACCGGAGTTCATCGGAATGAAATCTCTCTTGATCCAGCCCGACCCCCTGAGAATAATCGTCGTCGGTATCGAGCTCTTCGACACGGGTATCGTATTCCCATTGTCGTTGCTGCAGTCCCCACAGCCTGTCGTCCTGCCTCCTCATTCGTCCCCCTGGTGGTGGTCTTCCCCAAGGGGGCATATCGTATGGAGTTCGCGGCCGACCACCTAGACCGCCTCCTCGGAAAAAGCATTCTCGATAGGTCTATCCATGAGCGAAGCATGACCGAGAATGGTCACGCCGGTCGCGCCGATCAGCCACAAAAATGTGCCGATAGGGGAAGCAATGAATGCGATTGGAACGGCAACGCAGGCCAAACCGGTGTAGAGTTGTGAAGTAGTAGCACGGAGAGTGCCGAGTTCAAGATCTCCGCCTTGCAACTTGCCAATCGCCCACATGCCACCAACTACGAGGATGATGTCGAAAAGGAGCCACAGATTAGTGAGGAGGCTGTAGATACTGAGCATGACAAAGACAGCCGCATAGTTGCTGGAAAAGTAGCTCAGGTTGTAGTTGACTCTGGTCTGGACTTCAGCGAAGTTGTTGGGCTTTGACAGTCTCTTGATATCCAAGAACTCGGAGATGGGCTTGATGTTGGCGAATCGAGCCGCAAGAGGCTGATTGCGGACGCTGCTGAAGCGATCGGAAAGGTTGAGGCGGGACGTCAAGGCGTCGAGAGGAATGCTGATGCGGGCCATTGTGACTGAGTGGAAGCAAAGTCGAGGTGATGAAGGATGGATTTTCTGGTTTGGGAAGTACTAAAAGATCGACTCGATGTCTGTTAGCAAGAGGAGAAATTGAGGGAGACTACAGGCGTACATAGAAGAATTTGTGTGCGGAAGACGCGTTTGTTGGTAAGATAAAGCCGGAATGACGAGTCTGTGGCGGATGCTACAATGAGAGTAGTATGAGTTGAAAGTGAATGAGTGTAGACAGGGGGAAGAGCCAGGCAGAAGGTTTTTTGCCAGAAGAAAAAGAGAATAAGAAGTACTGCAGAAATGGTGTTGAGGACCCCCTGTCGAGATAAGTTCGGGTGAGGGAGGGACAAACTTTGGAGAGATTCGCGGCGCAGGCGAACAGGGGGATCTGTCCTCGCTTGGGACACACTTGAAGGCCTCAGCCGGGCTGGCGCAGCCACTCCGGACACCCCCTAAAATTGGATATTGGTACGGGGGTGCTAGGCAGGAATGGGAGCCGAGTTGACCGGCTTTCGCTGATTCTAGACACTGTGGCGCTGTGCTGCCTCAACGCCTCGACCTCGACCTGCCCGCTGCAGGTTCAAGGCACAGTGACTACCATCGCTTGGTCTGATGTGTTGGGACTCGAGAGTGAGAGAGAAAAGCGAGCTGTCAAGTCGCGGGGGAGGACAAGCCTGCGATAAATACGTTTTCACTCGTCTCTCGCCTCTTCTTCCGTAACGCTGTAAGCTACTGCACGTCCTGCTGCACCCACGTTCCCGAGCCCTCTTAATTGGACCACGTTTTGGGCACCAGGCTTCACCCACAGACCCAACCCCTGGTGCCCGAGTGCGCACTGCAGTCCTGCATCCTCAAACTTTTTTGGGCCGACACTTGTACACGAGCACGATTCTCCAACTGTCCTGCGCTGGCTGTCCTTACCCTCTCGACGGGGGGCTAGTGGGTGAAGATGAGGCCACGAATCTTGCATTTCTTCGTCGTCCTCAGTTTGGTCCTTCTGGTCGCCGCCTGGACCAAGGAGGATTATGAAATCTTCCGATTGAAGGACGAGGTTGAAGCCGCCGAGGGCCCCGATATTTCCTTCTACGACTTTCTTGGGGTCAAGTCTTCCGCGACGGTCGAGGAAATCGGTAAAGCTTTTCGGAAGAAGTCGCGCGCTCTGCATCCTGACAAGGCCAAACATTCCTTCGTCGCGTCGAGATCCACCCCGACACCAAAGAAACCCGGCGAGAAGAAGAAGAAATCTGGAGTACACGCGTCCAAAGGGCCATCCGAAAGAGAAATCCAGCGATTCGTGAAACAAGCAGGGGAAAGATACAGTCGACTGGGCGTCGTTGCAAACATTCTGAAAGGACCTGAGCGAGAAAGATACGATTTTTTCCTGAAACATGGCTTCCCATCATGGAGAGGAACTGGCTACTACTATTCACGGTACCGCCCGGGCCTTGGGACGGTGTTAGTCGGCCTATTTCTTGTCTGTGGCGGAGGCGCTCATTACTTTGCCTTAGTCACAGGCTACAAGAGACAACGAGAATTTATGGAACGGTACATCAGACATGCTAGAAAGACTGCATGGGGCGACGAATCCGGTATACCTGGACTCGCAGGCGTCGGTCAGCCTGTCGAAGTACCCGTGCCCGCAGAAGAACCCGACCCAACCGCCAACCTGAACAGACGGCAGAAGAGAGAAATGGAACGTCAAAACAAAAAGGACAAAACAAGCAAGAAAAAGCCACTGCCCAAGGCTACTCCGGCCAATTCATCCCCTTCCGAGAACAGACGACGGGTTACTGCTGAGAATGGGAAAATCTTGATCGTTGACTCTGTCGGGAAGGTGTTCCTTGAGGAAGAAGACGAGGATGGCGAAATTCAAGAATATCTCCTCGACTTGGACGAAATTCCAAAGCCGACGGTTTGGGATACGGCCGTCGTACGCCTCCCGGTATGGATGTACAGAAAAGCATTGAACCCGTTCCTCAAGAAGGGCGATCCAGTGACGCCAGAAGAAACCTCTTCTCCAGAGCCCGAAACGCTATCTGGAAGCATACACAGCGCAGTCACAGAAAAGCTACCAACGCCAGACCTGAGTTCTAGTCAGATCTCTGACTCTGGTTTCGAGATTGTCGATTCATCAGGAATAGAGAAAGAAATCGAAAAGGCTTCTGCGGCTGCTGGCATCAAGAAGCGAGGCAAGAAGGGGAAGAAGTAGAGAAGAAGCCCAAAAATGACTAAATAGAACACGGGTTCCATTTCAGCACGGAATGAAAACAATGTCCAATGGTTGAATATTCTGATGAGTGATTTTGACTCTTGTGTATTGCGAAATATAGGTTTGTATTTGTGATCGTGAGGTCGTTACTGATATTAATGCCGATGATCCAAAGACTCGCTCAAGCTTTTGTCGATGAAAATGAGATAGACGACCACCATTCCGCTTATGATGCTTTGTGGTAGTCCTTAAACATGAGCGCCTTGGGTGCCCTCCCTTTTCCCTCCCTTCCCCCCCTTTAGATGAACATCTTCGCGATCCCCATCAAACTCGAAATGCTCTGGCCCATACCGCCGCCCATGCCGGGCAATGCTGTACCTGCGTCGAAATCCCTCGCACCGCCCCTGGCGTAGAATCGTTCCGACGATTGTCTCGTGGCGCCTCCCATCATCCTCTGTAGGCCAGGCGGCAATCTTATGCCGACCTGGGCGAGCAACTTGGCCAGCGCGCCGCCGGTGATCAACGGCATGATGACGAGCAGGAAGACCTTGAGCGGGTGCCGGCGCATGTACGAGTATATCTCGCGCAGAAAGCGGCGGATGCGGTTGATGAAGCCGGATCGAGGCCGGGCGCGGTGGCCCCGCGACGAGCCACCGGTGAAGGAGGAGAAGAACGAGGATCCGGAGCGAGAGTACGCAGGCCGCGAGGCGTAGTATACTTTTCGCGAGGGACTGCGGCTGCGGTCGCGGTCTTTTGGCCGTATGCCATCGTTCCAGAAGCCCATTGTTGTTGCTGTTGCTGTTGGCGCTGCTGCCGAGCGGTTTGACTCAATATGTCTGTATCCCGGTATCTTAGGAACTATCTTCCCGTATCCAGATCTTTTGGGACTTTCTCTCTCGCGGGACGGTGGCGTTGTGCCCCGTGCGTAGATAGGGGATACGACGGGTCTATTGACAAGCGTAGACCGGTATTGTTCCGGTAGAGGTGGACGGGTAGCAAGCAACTAGAGGGCCCTGATGTATGGACGGACACTGAGCTTCGGCCGGTGTACAGCAGGTATGAGAAAGTCGTGTCGATACTGCAGAGGAGCGACCGACCAATGCGAAAGAGTCCTGGCCAGTCACTGTCTGAACTTCGCTGGCGATGTTGAAGAAGCGTTCGCTTCCCGGCACACAATAGCAGCGTGCAGCCGGTGGTCTATGCTCTAGGAGGGATGGCAGATCAAGAAGGCTCGAGAGCGACAGGAGTTCTCAGGCTCTGGGTTTCAACTCTTTTACCCTTTGCTAGACAATTGGAGAGGCTGGAGAATGAATTGCACTAGCGAGGCTGTAGACCCCGTAGACCCCCTTCTAGTCCTCTAGAGATATTTTAGCGTGTCCAGCATCGATTTGGGCTGTGGCTTGCGTCTTACTTACATAATGCTCGAGATATTGGCCCTTCAAGCCACAGTGGCTGCAAATAGTTGTAGAAAACGTCATCGGTTTGCCGCAGGGTTTCTACCTACGCAACATGCGCCCTCTCTACCTGCGACACACACTGTCCATGCTCGGCCTGCTTTTCTATCCTTGTTCCGTGGCCTCTCATTCTTAACGATCTATGACAGACCTCCTTCTGACTCGTCAATCATATCTTCCGTCCAAGGCCAGGAGATAAGAAAGACTGCGTTGCGAGTAGCGAGCGCAAGGCGCCCACCATGTCCAGCCTTCCAGACTATTGTAAGTTTCCCTCGCTCTTAATTGACCATCCACCAATGTAGTATCCGGAGCCATTCGCTCTCGATAATCCTTGATAACGTGCGAGAACATCTACTTACTTCTCCACTCCCTATAGATGCCATTCTCGAAGTCCCGTCCAGCGCCACAGCCGACGACATCAAACGAGCGTACAAGAAGGCCGCACTGAAGTGGCACCCAGATCGAGTCCCCGTCGACTCGCCCGAGCGTCCCAAACGCACGAAACGCTTCCAGGCCATCAACGATGCATACTACACGCTCTCGGACGTGACGAGGCGCCGAGACTACGATGACGCACGCCGCTTCCACACCACGTACGCCGATGTCGAAGAGGAAGAAGAAGTCGACGAGGATATCCCCCGCACGCGCCGTACCAACGCAGGCGCAAACACATGGAGCAACTTCTTCTCCAACTTTGGCCGGTCGGGCAACCAGGAGGAACAGTTCTCGAACGACCAGTTCGAGAGCGCGTTTGCCGAAATGATGGGCGAAGCCGCCATGGCTGACGGCGAGCAGCAGGACGCAGGCGCGGGCCAACCCAAGCCAGGCACGTTCTGGGCCATGTTGGGTGGACTGAGCGGGGCCACTTTGGGCTTCATCTTTGCCAACTTTGCAGGAGCCATCCCTGGCGCGGCGGCCGGGTGGAAGTTTGGCAGGCTTCGGGATGAGAAGAAGCAGCCTGTCTACACGACCTTTCAGCAGCTACCGCAGGCCGATAAGGCGAAGTTGCTGAGCGAGCTTGCGTCGAGGCTGTTTGCCAGCGCTCTTGGTAGTTGAGTCGAGCGAGGAAGAAACAGAGAAATACTCTCGAGTGCGTGGTGCGATGAGGTGTATTTGATGTCCTTTTCGCGTACGAGTGTATATCGCCTGGATTGGAAGGGTTGAGCATTGGCGTTTTTGTGTTATGAAGTGCCCAGGTAACAATGTACTTTTGATTTATCGATGAGCCGTAACTTGCCCAGGTAGGTATGGGCTGAAGATGTGTTAGTCATATTGCTATCACAGATCCTTTAAGCCGATCTATCTACTTTTCAGAAATACTGAAGGATTATGCCTTTCTCCCAGATAGTGCCATGTAGATCAGGTATGTCAGACCCTATGTAGAGCAGAATCAAGGCCTTTACAAAACACCGAACATATTCCAAGTATCTTCTTTTTGAGTTTCTTTCCATTATCCCGTGAGGGTATTAAGTAAATATGTACCTGATGTCCGTACGTATGATGCGTATAGTCTGTGCAAGGTCCTTCCAGGGGGTCTTTTGATTGCCACGGCCCCGTCGTCCAAATCTTTATTCCCAAGGTTGATTTTGGATTGCCCTGAAAGGAGTAAGTCTCGGATAAAATGTATACGATCCCCCAACGCCATGCGATGCCGTGTAATGCGCTGAATGTATACCTCCCCTAGTCATGTATGTTCACATCCAACATAGCGCCAGAATTATTGGAACCTTCGAAGCCATTCGCATCCACAAAACGGGGCAACACGACTGGAGAACAAACAATATGACAAAAATCAAAAGAAGCCCGGACGAGGGTGTGGATGGAGGCTGGGAGACAAAATCATTTTTAGATCCTGAAGCGGCCGATTCCCCATCTCTTCTGTCTGCCCAGGTCGTCGTGGTGGTTGGTCATGGCGGTGCCTCTGTACGCGCCGGCTTCGAGGTCGTCGGCCGGGGTGGCAAAACGGGCGTTCTGGTTCGGGCCGGCGCTGTCGGTCGTCAAGGGGACGCCGGGCAGCTGACCGCCGCCGTTCGGATGGGTCGTCTTCTCCATCTCCGCCTTCAGCGCCCAGCCCTGCGGGGTGTGGCCGTTGGTCCTGATGCTGGGCAGCAGGTCGAGCAGGAACGAGAGGATGTAGAAGGTGAAGACGAGGGCGACGACCCACTCGAACACGGCGGCGACGTTCCTGTTGCCCGTCCAGCTCGTGCTCGCGAAGACGACGGCCAGGATGACCTCGACGATGATGAAGGTCAGCTTGACCCAGAAGCTGATCCTCAGGACGCGGTGCGAGCGGTAGTGGATGCCCAGGCGCTGGTACTCGGCGCACAGGAACACGGCCGACAGCACGTAGCCGGCGATGAAGAGGAGGAGGAAGCCGTCGTGCATGCGCGGGTGGTGGTACGTGTCGAAGATGGACAGGAGGATCAGGCCCGCGGCGCCCGCGACGGCGCAGATGATGGCCAGCACCGAGAGCACCTTTTGCGCCGTCGACGTGTTGGGCGCGAGGCGGCCCGCGTGCCGGAGCCAGCGCTCCGCCATGAAGCCAAGGTCGAGAAACACGGTCGTGATGACCGCCCCCGTGATGAAGAGCGGCTTGAGCCCGTACGCCCCCGTGTCGGAGATGTAGGCTATCGTCTGGCCCGATTCCATCGACGGGTAGATCGGGTGGCCTTCTGCTTCCCAGTTGATGAAGAGCGCGAGGAGCATGCCCAGCCACCTTGAGGATTTTGGTTAGCCGCAAGACCTCACGTGTGTGGGAGATGAGCAGGAAGAAGCGTGGGGAGCACTTACATGCATGCTGAGACGATGGGGAACAACCAACTCCCGAGGTACCACATGTCGAGAAGGCTGCTCCGAGGGAAGTCTAGTCCGTCTGTGGTTGGGTTAACGGCGTTTGAGAGGTCTCTGCGTGAAGAGAGTCGTCGAGTGGACGCAGGGAGATGTGACGAGTCTTCCTTGTGGCGATTCGAGAGTACAAAGATTCGTATATCCAAAAAGAAAACGACAGGTGGTAGTGGCTTGATGCGTTAATGGATGTTTAGATGATGTACATGTATTCTCCCCTTTCTATGATCGGTCGGCCGCGGGTATGTAGGCAAAAAGCCTGCCCTTACTCAAATGTAAACGGGAAAGAGACCGGGTGGTTCGAGCGAGGAGGAGGCGGAGGAAGAGGACAAGGAGCAGAGTAATGGATATGTACGACGGTTGATGGATATTGACCTTGACCCTTTACATCATGCCTTATGTATAGTACGACTATGGGGGGAGGTAGCATTCATTCGTTATACGGATGTCGGCAGCGGCGATATCTCTCAAACTCCTTTCTGGTCCATGGAGAATCATGCAGTAACTGTTAGTTCATGACAAAGCCTCCGCGGGTCTTGGTGATGTCGCTCCGCAACGGGAACGCTCGAGCAGGAGACTGTCGCGAGACCACGCACCCTCTGCCACCCCGCGAGGTATACAATGCGATATTTTCTCGCTCCGGACACGTACAGCCAAGAGCCTTGATTGTTCACAGCCTCAATGGGTGCGAGTACAGTATCTTGGTCGTTTCAGGCGGACTCGATCAACATTGAACAAAACGGCGAACAAATATCAACGTCACTCGCTGTCCAAGATTTTTATTGACGCAACCGTGGACCCGGCGCTGCCGGCAGCCAATCATCCGGCGCCAGCCTCAGCTCGTCCCGGTCGATCTGTGACCGGCCTCGAATGACGTCGGTTCAACGCCTCCGTCAGGTCCGTTTTATTCCCTAGGGGGGCTTTGCAATGGACCAACATCGTCTTAGTAACCCATTATTGATAACCGCCCAAGGTAAAAGTGATGTCTACCTATTGTCGTAGATGTACGCTGCGTGCACTGGAGGGTAGCGTTGCAACGGGCTGTATGTAGTCAAGCCTGCTACGCTACAGCATACCGCTTCGAGTAGTTCAACTCCTTCCCAGTCTAGCCAGCGTTGTGCTTCTGCGCCGGTCATTGACCGTGTCAACTACTCTAATGGTTCTTCTGCCGCCTAATGGAGACTTCTTGTAAGCAGGGTCATGCTGACCAAGGCAGAGGCTCCTTATCCATTTTGCGACAGTCTCTGTAACGTAATCCGGGGCTCAACCCCATCATGTTAACTCAGTTGGGCCGTCCTTGTCATGTGCGATCCTGGCCGGAGGGGTGTCTGCTCCCTGTGCTCCGGACCATTTAAGATCCTGAAGTTCTCGCTTGTGGGACCAATCACTCTATCGAAAGCCCTCATATCGATCTCATGGAATGCTTCTCAACATCCTCCTGACACAATCTCTTTGATCCTGGGCAACTCCAATCTTGTCAAGGTAATTGCAAAGACCCCCGTAGGTAGAGTCAAGATGCTGGACGACCTGCTCACAAAAGTCCGGCGGACAAGCTGCAAATGATTCGTCCAGTCCAATGCTCGATATCTCTTCCATCCTCGCTGCCTTTTCCGGTTCCAGCTCTGGTTCAGATCTGACATAGTCCTTGGAGATTGCATCCAAGCTGACATCGCAGAGGAGGAGAACCAACAGCACCACCATGCCGGTCCTATCTTTGCCCTGTGTGCAATTCACCATGATGGGCCACGCCTCCTGATCGGAGAGAACATCAAAGACTTCTTTGACTTCAGGACCGCTATGGTCTAGGGTATCTAGGCCAAGACCAATGAGCCCACGAGGTTGCATCAGCTCTCGTCCCAGCACTGCAATGCCCTCGGTGCGATAACCCAAGGCCATCAGAAACACTAGCTTGGCTAAGCTGGTATATTTCAACTGCCAGATGAGATGGCGTTCGAAACCTTTGCCGTTGAGGTTGATATTGGCGTAACGCACACCTGGAAGTTGATGTGACTGATTGACTTCTTGATCGGATGACGGCAAAGCAGCCGATGTCGAGTTGAGGCCAATCTCTGACCGCTTTTTCGCAGCATTGATGTGTTCGGTATTTGAGCGAAGGTCGATGATGGTCTTTATTTTCAGTTTCGCTGTCAGATGCTGACCGTCTGACGCACTGCATTCATCTGGCCGAGCGCTCCGGAAGAACAGGCCAGTGTTCAGAATGTTCGACCCAACGATGGAATTGATGTGAGCACCAACATCGCGAAAATTCAGCAGGCTATCAAACTCGTGTTCCTCAACGTCTCCCATGGTGCTCACAACGTGGCCGGAGGTACTGCGGCAGGAAACCAGCTGTCAGTGACGTGGTGCACCGGGTTCAAGCAACACCGGGCGGGTATGGGGCCAGGAAATGATCTTCTGGAGCTAAATCACATTTGTGGAGGTCACAGCTGGAAAGAATGAAGCTATGGTTCACAACAGCACATTGATGCAGTGTCCCAGACCGGTGCTGTTGTGGTCGAGACACGACGAAATTCCGGGTTCTGGAGCATGTGCCACAACGATCAACAGAATGCGCTCGATAGGCGAACTTCCGTCCAGAATTGGGTAAAGGGTGTGTAGCGTCAGCGCTGCTTAATGGCTCCTTAGCGAGGTCAACTCCGCCTTGTGATCTACGGAACATGCACGTCGCTGATATCACTACAGCGAGCTATCAGTACTGAATACCTAGGTAACTTTTTGTGAGTTTAAGCAGATCTACACGGATGGTGATGACGGCGGTGATGGTGGCGAGCAAAGTTTGATTGATGCCCACAAGCGCTGGCTGGCAAGCAGAGGGTCCCTCCCTTGGACACAAACTCTAACCAGTCGTCCATAGTAACCGAGATCGAGAATGAGAAGCTGGAGAGGCCAGCTTGTATCCAGTACTCGCAGTAGCTATAGCCTACAGGATGGAGAGAGGTGGTAGCTTATCGCCTGTCATCAGGCATTTATTGCACTCTCAGGCTGTTAGTTGTAGCCTCTAAGTGCAGGGTGTCGGCGTTTAGGGGCTGAGATCGGGGCTACTGGGTCTATCTGAGCCTAAATTGTAGGGGCCTCGGGCACACTAACTTAACTAGAGAGTCCCTATCACTACCACCCGCCCCGAGCTTCTAGCCAAAAGATGGTGGCTTGGGCTCAGAATACATGACGTAGGTGGTGTGGATGACATACACAAGCGCATGCTCTTGGTCATGGATGGCACCACTGCAAACTCGCCCAACACAGCGGGCAGTTGTAGGAGCTGTTGTTCTTCTGCTTGTGCATCCTTGGTCCTTGCCAGAAGCCTTACAATCCTTCTGTCCATATTTCCGTTGCTGTTGTGGGAGTGTCGCTGAGCGTGCAGAAGATCTTGCGTTGCTCAAAACCACTCTGCCCACCCAGCCACCGCCCGCCGTCGATTTCTCCGCCATGTCGGCAATCAGCCCTCCTCCGCGCTCCAACTTCACTCCCTCCTCCAGCAAACTGGAAGACCAAGGTCGGTCAATTGAGAGCCCCAGCACCTCGCGCGTCTATCGCAAAGAAGCTGACATTGTTTGCAGCTGCTTCCGCTGCCCTGCGCGAGTCCCGGGACTCGACTCGGAAACGAAGTTCCTCCTCGGTCCTTGATGAGGACGGGAGACTCTCTTCCGCTAGTGAGTGTTAACCCCGCCGTCGTCATACCACGACACCTCTAACACTTGTCTCAGGTGCCGCGCTTTCGCTGAAATACGCACGAGCTCAAGACCTGCCGTCCTATCCCTCTACGGGAGGGGTGAAGCTTGCCTCTGCAGGTGCAGCTGCGAGTCTCGCCGAGTCCAACAAGAAACCCTTCGAGCACTGGACTCCAGGACACATCCCTGCAGCCAACTCAGCAGCCTCAAAGGCAAAAGATTATGAGATGGATCCCTTATGGCGGCCCGAGTTAAGCAGGGTCGGTTCCAAAGCAGCAATAGCGGCACACAGAGACGCTGCGCCGGTTGAGATCTGGCGCGCGCCGGAAACGGAACATGGTAACTCTGCTGCGGCTTCTGCATTGCAAAATCAGTCGTCACCACCAGCCATAACAGAAAGACAGGTTTCATCTGATGGCCGGCAAAAAGCGCTCTTAGCCGCCACAAAATCAATGTCAAGTGGCAGGCGGCGCGCAGAGTCTGCTCCCGTGCCACCACAGCTAAAACAGGGCAACTCGGCATGGGCTTTGAAGGCTGCAGGATCGGTGCATGGTCGGAAGAGATCCGACCCGCCATCGACGCCTTCACCCCAATCCACCGATTTATTGGGCGCAGATGCAGCAAGAGTGCAAAATATTGCGCGGAACAACGTTTCAAGACAAATGTACACTTCCAATCCTCCAGTGGCCATCGAAGTGGAGGAGAAGAACAGACAGGATACGCTGCGCGCATCTGCAGTTGCTATGGCGAGAAAGATGTATGCCATTCAGCAAGCGCAAATTGATGAAGCGAGAGGAATACGTCGGTCAGACAGTCATTTCGCCGCGTATACTGCCCGTCAGCGAGCCCAGTCTGATGCAGCGAATCAACCTATACAGGAAGAGTTGCCTCGCTACGAGAATTTAGAGGATGCTGCCCGCAGGCTAGCGCACGAACGACTTGCAAAACTGCACGACGAGCACGCCGAGTATCGCCAGTATTACGGTCAGCAGTCGCCACCCAAACAGTCGCGGCTGACCCTGCGGCGCGGTCGGCGAACCTCCAACCTGCAGCGAGATGATGACAGCGACTCGGACGAAGAACAGTCTCGGAAGATCAGATCCCAGATGTCGATTTTCCAGAGCAAATTAGCAGAAGTCGACAGTAAGAAGCGACAAGCCGACCGAGATGCTTTACTCGCCATTGCGCACAAAAATGTGACGGCACGTATGAACGCCATTGATGAGAAAGTTTTTGGCGAAACGGGCAAGGCTAGCCCTCAACAGCGAGAGTTGTGGGAGAGACAAGCTCGTGAGCGAGCTCAGCGAGAGAGCGATGATCGGTTGCTCTATGCTGGCAAAGTCCACATAGGTGGTGGCAAGTATCTCGACCAGTCCGAGATTGATGCCATCGCCAAGGCTCGCTTGCAGCCAACGCTGGACGAAATTACCGAAAAGGCCGAACAACAAAGAGCGAGAGATGAGGAGCTGCGAGCAGAGCAAGAGAGAATCAAGGCTGAGCAGGAAGCCGAGAAGACCAGACTAGCAGAAGAAAAGGCCGAGCAGAAGCGCATCCAACAAGAACAGAAACATGAGGAGCGACGTGTCAGGATAGAGCAGAAAGCTGCAGAGAAGAAAGCACGTGAGGAAGCCAAGGCCGCAACAGACGAGAAGAAACAGTCTGGAACGGCAAAGGGCCGTCTCCTTCCCACTTTCTTATCTAGAGGTGGGACAGCTGGAGCCGCCGCAGGTGGTGCCACTGCAGCTGCTGTTGAGGGCACCGCACATGCGGCGGAGGCCGCAGCTGGTACAACGGTTGGTCCCACGGTCGAGCCAGGAGAAATCACTGGTGATACTGTTCATGATCAAGTTACCTTGGACCCAGCCGAGGCTGCCCATGCTGTGGCAAGTACTGAAAATGAAGAGCACGCTGCACCCAAACCAGCAGGGGAAACTGGTTTTTCAGATGATCCAGGATCTAAGGAGGAAGTCCGCGGTCATCCCTACACAGAAACACAGGAACCTACTTCCCCGGGTATACCTTCGACACTGACGTCGCCGTCGAAACGAGATTCTAAGGTCAAATCCTGGTTTAAAAGATTTCGGAGCGGTAGCAAATCAGAGAACGAGACGGACAAGCAGCCTGAAGACGAAGAAGCAGACCCAACGGCCACAACGGGTAGGACGACTGATCCCATTAAGAGCATCGAGGAGGAGGAAAAGGCTGAATCGGATTCTGTTCGGGATGTCGCCCTGGCTGGCCGACAGAGTGAGGCCGAGACTGACGATATGTATGGAGGCTCTGCCCGGCCAGCTGAACGAGTCTCGCCGTTGCACGACGAACCTACTAGCCATCAAGTGGTCACCAGTGGTGTGGAGCGCGAGAGATCAATCAGTCCGATGTCGGGGTCGTCAGAGCTCAGTGAAGATCCTTACGTGATTGCTGCTGATGTAGCATCGTCGAGATATTCTGAGCATGGGGGATCGAAACGAGATTCTGGTATGGACCAAGCCGGGACATTCTCTGATAGTGAAGACGAACCTCGTGGCAGAAAGGGCTTCCGTGAGCGTTTCTTGAAAAAGGTCATCCCTGGTAGACACAAGGATGAGGATAAGAACAAATCTGTTGGAGAATCTGGTGTGGTACAAGTGGAATCCCCTATTGCTGAAGAGACAATCCATGACCGGACGACATATAATCCAGCAGATGAGCCGACAACCGAGACTGAACCTTTCCGAGGAAAAGTCCAGGAGCCATCGACGACGTCGACTGATGGTGGAAATACAGCCACTACAGGCGCAACAACACCGGCCTTGACACACACTCAGACCAACGGTGATGACGACGATTTTGAAGAAGCCCGCGACACATTCGACGAGCAGAGACTCGGCCCACCACCCAAACTGGTAGAGGTGTCAAAAATGGAAGCTCCTCGATTAGTTGATGTCGGCGGCCCAACACAGAAAAAGGGGGGTGAATCTCCAGCTAGTAGAAACAGCATCGGTGGTGGGAGTCGATTTACCGAAGAATTGTGATGATATGGCTATTGGAATGAGGACGAGACAGGATCGATTTCGTGCAATCTGTGTACGTTTTATGAATGAAAGTTCACTGGGACGCGAGGGCGAGAAATAAAGAGGCGGATGGAGAATGAGAAGGTAAGATGGTTGAGATTGGGGAATCTGCGTAATAGTCGCAGCTTCTGATGAATTTCTTTGTGGTCCTTGGAAGTTGTGTGTACTGATTGCACTGAATGGTTGGTTGTGTCTGATGTGCCATGTTGTTTACGGTATGGTGTATGCGTGGAAAAAACGAAGACAGTTGAGCCAATATGTTTTGATTGATCGATACCAGTTGATAGCAGTTTTGACATCAGTTTCAGTTTTGACACCAGTATGGCACCCATTCCAAGCCAATGAGTATTTATTATACTATGCAGACGTCTCTGTCTAGCTGACTTGTAGTGCGAGGTCCATACTTGGTTAGTAGTTACCCCAGCTACAGGTAATGTTGAATGGGTTTGAAACGGACGATTTCGTCCTCGATTACTACGTACGAGGAAGGCAAGTAGTTACACAGTAAGCTAGCCAAATAATTTCCCCTCTGTTCTATTTTACCCTATCCAAACTTGACAAAAAAAAACCCTCCGTCCCATTTCGCTAATGCAATCAAAGTGCCGATCTGTTCATTCGACCGAACATGAACGGGTAAGTAAAAATAGATAAACCAGGTCGTGTTGAGAGGAAAAAAGAAAAAGAGAACGGCCCCCCCAATGAAATGGCACATCAGAACACCCACCGCTGGTGGTGGTGGTGGTGGTGGTGGTGGTAGTTGATATTGATGGTTGTTCTGTTTGGAGGAGCAGATCAGAAGCACAAAACGGCACTGACGACAACGAAAAGCGTCAAGGTCAGTTTCGTATCGACGAGCAAATCTTTGAGCGCGGCAACGCCGCCACTCGTCCCGGCGGTGCCACAGCACGAGTCGCGGTTGTAGGTGACGTTGTTCGCGTCGGCGGCGACCTGGAACACGCTCCCGTTGAAGCTGCCGACGTTGTAGTAGTCGACCAGCAGGAAGTTCGGGGGCCGGTTCCACATCTGGGTGCAGTTGTGGACGGCGCGGCCGGCGGAGCCGTAGCCGGCGACGGCGTTGGTCTCGTTGAGCAGGGTGGAAAAGGGCACGAGCAGGCTGACGCCGGCGACGGTGACGTCCAGGTTCAGGTTGTGGTTGGCCATGTACATCCTCTCCTGGCGCGTGGCGCGGGCCTGGGCGGGCGGGCGCTGCGCGGTGCAGGGGAAGTCGCGGTCCGTCGGGGAAAAGGGCGTCTCCCACATCTGGCTGAACTCGTCGAGGAGCCAGGGGATCGCGGTCTGGTTGGCCTGGTAGTCGAGCATGACCACGGCGCGCTGCTGCCGGAAAATCATGTCGGCGAGCGTCGGCCACGATTCCAGCGGCATCGGCATCGTTGGCGGCGTGTACACGTACTTGATGAGCCCCGAGTTGACCACCGGCCCCGTGAAGTTGCCCGGGTCCACGAGGTCGTAGTTGCCAATCAGGATCGTCACCACGTCCGACGTGTGCTCCCGGAGCCACTTGGTCACCGTCGTCAAGTACGCCTCGAGTGGGCCGGCGTTCAGGAGGTCGCACGACGTATGGCATAGGTACATTGTCCCGTTGAGGTTGTGAGCTTGGAATTGTACTATACAGAGACACAAACGCCCCTCACCGGGGTTGGTCACGGTTAGTAAAGAGCAAAAATATAGGAGGAAATAGGAGGAGGAGGAGCAGTAGCAGTAGTGGGATCAGAGCACTCTTTGAGGTGTAGGGAGGGGGCTCAGGGAAGTAAGGAAAGCAGACGGGAGTGTGAAAAATGAACATACACATCCGAATACCATCGTTGAGTTGCGTTTCGACGTCCAATTCCTGGTTTGCTGCGAGGTTGCCCGGCCGCACAAACGGACTGTTGTGGGCGGCAACCTGCGTGATGTTGCTGTATTTGCGTTGACAAAATTCAGGATGTCCGTTGCATGGTACTGTGTTGGTCGGAAGGATCGATGTCGACGTCGACGTCGACGTCGCATTGCGTGACGCAGACGTGGTGCTGTTCGCGGACGACGTGGTTTTGTGAGTGCCCGACAAGACCGTGACCGTCGGGCTGGAGGTGCTGTTCGTGGTGATGGTGGAATTTCTCGAGCCCGATGATAACGACGCTGTGGCGTTGGCGGTCGCCATGGCGCTGCTGGAAAAGTCCGTCATGGTGGCATAGTCAGTGGTGCCGGTGAAGGTGATGGTGTTTGTTTGGTCGGCATATGTGCCACTTGCATAGTCGCCCCCTGTTGATGTGGCTGGACTCGAATCCGTCTCTGATGCCGTTTCGCTGGCGGATTGACATGAGCCCTGTAGCACAAGACTGCCAAAAATGGCAAGCAGAGCCAACCGCATGGCGTGTGGATGTTGAGAGGATGAGCGAATGAGGTGGAAAAAACGGATAAATCGTTGAGTCCAAGAGTCAAATGTTCTGTTGGTTCATGCGAGACAACAATCTCTCGCAGTACCAGTGGTCTGGTGGTAAGACATGTACTGTAATGATGTTGGCTTCAAGACATTGGAAAAAGTCGCCTCATACGAGTGGGTATGTCGATCCCAGGAAGGAGAGGAGGAGGACAAGATTTCGTACAAGACCAGTACGAAGACTCCAGAGTAGGTGATGATATACTGGTCCTGTACCTCGTACTGTATGGAGTGACTGTAGGACGGAACCTGGGTTATGATCAGCTCGTGGAGTGTGATGGGCGTTGGTGGTGGACACAGACACAGAGCGAGTACGAGCCTTGAGGTGGATATAATACATGCAGTATTGTACACAGTAGGGCACGCAGTGAGACACAAAGTATCTTGATTGGATTTGTTCCTGGCTCGTAGAGTGTCATCTGTAGCATTAGCTACATAACAGTCTCAGAACGACATCTCTCTCCAGAGTCTCCCCTTGCCACAGTCTGGAATGACGCACGTTGTTGGCTCTTGGATGGAGAATTCCCAAAATTGCCTGTTGTGACAGAGACTTGACACTCAGCCACAGACGCGTCTTCAGGTGAGGCGAGATTGGTGTTCTGGGTCTAGATTCTTTGGGGTGTTATTGGTCTTCTGGTCTTTTATGCAAGCCAGCTCGCAGACAATTCCACCCTGCAGAAACCGCCTCCCTTTCCATCTGTTCCAGATAGAGGTTCTTCTTCATGCCAGAGAGACTGAGGATTCATTCCATTCTGTCTGACAAGTCGAGTATTTCAATGAAAGTCACGTGAGCGGTCTTTTCGCTTGACAAGATGCTAGTTCGACACTAGCGTCCCGGGACGTCGGCAGCTCCACTCGATCTAGTCCCTATCGGGCCCAAAACGACCCATTCGGACGGAGAAAACGATGTCATTAGAACCCACTCTCCCTCAGCCACGGGTCGATGCCAGGAAATCCGACCAAGAGCTGTTGAAGAACCCAACAACGACAGCCCTCGTACTCGTACCCGTAACATTAGCGAACGCCGAACAAACCATACAGGCAAGAAGATGCGATCGCTCTGACTGATCTGACTTCTCTTTTTCCGTTGTGGACACACACACTCACCTCCGTCTTCCTACACGTACACGTACGGAGGACTCCTCCATGCAAGATTTTCCCATGTCATAGTTGGATCGGGAGGATGACGCACCAAAACGGCGTCAAGGCACCTTAATCCGACCTTACAGTACGAAGTTTCGAGGGAGGCTTGTCGTCGTCGGTCGATTATTATTTTTTAGTGTTTTCAACACTCTTCACTATCTTTTCAGCATATACCGTACAGAACACAGGTGGTGTTGGGTGTCACACGAACACACGCGCGCATACACACACGCACCATCCTCCCCGTAATTCGGGGCATCTCAGCTCATCCGTCACCATGGGCGTCTTCTCACGTTCGAAGAACACGAGCCCGCCATCGAACGGAGCCAAAGATGAAAGTCCCTCCAACTACCGCAAACCTCGACCGACAGGTCTCCGGATCTTCACCAGCCTCGCCTACCTCCTTTCCACGGTGTTCCTGATCCTGGTGGAGATAGGCAACATCAACAACAACGCGGTGATCCGGTCGACGTACTTTCTGCGCATCAGTCTCGCCGACATCATCCCGGCGTCGTGGCCGAACGCCATCTTCATCAACAGCATCGCGCAGTCGATCGGCCTGCACGACTTCTACCAGGTCGGCCTGTGGAACTTCTGCGAGGGCTACGACGGCGAGGGCATCACGTACTGCAGCCCGACCGAGACGCTGTACTGGTTCAACCCGGTCGAGATCATCCTGGACGAGCTCCTGGCCGGGGCGAGCATCACCCTCCCCACCGAGGTCGTCGACGTGCTGAATCTGGTCAAGCTGGCCAGCCGGTGGATGTTCGTCTGCTTCCTGATCGGGACCGTCGTGAGCTTCCTGTGCGTCTTCGTCGCCCCGCTGGGCTTCAGCAACAGGCGGCCCAGGTGGCAGCACAAGGCCCGGCGGATCTTCCTGCGCCAGCTGCCCGTCACCGTCCTGACCTTTGCCGCCTTGTTGTTCACCGCCGCCGGGTCCGTCATCGCGACCGTCATGTTCGCCATCTTCCAGGACAAGTTCTCCGGCGCGGAGGACCTCAACATCCACGCACACATGGGCAAGCCCATGCTGGCTTTCATGTGGGTCGCCACCGGTTTCAACCTGGTCGGCTTCCTGATGCAGATTGGCACCTGTTGCGGCGTGTGCTGCTGCACAGGTCGGCGGAGGGCGGAAAGAAAGAGTCGCCGCGCCGGCGCCGGTGTCGCAAGTCCCGTGACAGAAAAGGACCGTGAAGACTCCCCGCGAGAACCAGGGAAATTCGGATTCCGGAGGAGAGCGAGATGATTTGAATGTAATAATATAGTGTAGTGCAATATAATGTGATTTACCAAGTCGCCCTCGCAGGTCTTCGCGCGTGTGTGTGTCGTGCCATTTGCACCTGTTGGAAATTTAAGTTTCTGTCGAAGACTTATTGTAAGATCATCATTGGCGGGCTCAATTGACTCTGATGGTATTGCGCTCACCTACGATGTGAAGTCGGGTTTTTTTTTTTCGTTATTGTCATATCGTCTGTCAGGTATTGACAGCAAGCAGAATCACAATGAATTTTATACCGGTAGGAAAAAAAGATACCCCGGATCAACAGCCGCACACACCCTAAAGACATGATCCAAGAGAGCTTGGAAACTGAATTTTGGCAATGCTAGATTACCTCCAGGTATCTTGTGACTTGTGAACGCTGCGTGGTGTATGCAGTCCATTCCCATTCCCATTCCCACCCCTGTTCCTGTCCCTGTCCGTGTTTCTGTTCCTTTTCATTGCTGTCCCGTGTATTTGCACATTGACATAACATTACACATTTCACATATCTTCGTACGCCTATCCTTATTCAGCGCTTGCAAATCCCGACATTGTACTCCCTGACAACCCCGTAAGCCCGTAGTCCAGTGCTTCAGTGCCTCCGTACTTGTTGAAGTTGGAATCAAAACGAAATCCACTCCTGAGTCCAGACTAAACCTCCACTCCCGCTCCCCATGTAACGCTCCGTGACTAAGCCGGTACCTCTCAACTTGCCACCAATCCCTTCCCTGTCGGGAGTACAGTACCTCAACAAAGCCCTCCTCTCGTCCAGAAAGAAGGTGATGTCAACCCACTTGGGCTCGAGTTCAGCGGGGATGGCCCCACAGTCGACGACGGCGTGCTCCTCGATGCTGCTCAACTTCTCAGCGATGCTGTAGACGCCCAGCTTGTCCCAGACGCGTTTCTGGATCTCGCTCTCCTCCAGCAGACTGGTGACCTGGTGGCGGACCTTTGTGGAGCGGCAGCGCGCGCTGCCGAGGTACAGGGGTGGGCCGATGCCCGAGTCAACGCTGATACTATGCTCCTCGTACGCGAAGAAGGATCCGCGGTTGAAGATACTCTCGCACAGAACCAGGATGCGGGCAAAGTGTGCGTTGAGCGCCTCCCGGCGCTCCGCGTACGTCCGGCACGACCGGTGGCAGTTGCACGTCTCGGGCGGGTCGCAGAGCGGCACGATTACCTCGCCCGTCTCGGGTGAGTGGAAGGCCATCTGCGTGAGGAGCAATAGGTATGACGCCTCGCGGTACGCCTTGAGTAGGTGGCCCGCATGCTTCTCCTGCGCGCTGGACTCGCGCCGGTTGCGCTCCGTCTTGGAGAACTCGGCATACGCCATCGACCACTGCAGCAGCCGCGAGATGTGGGCGTGGTGCCGCGAGAAGCCTGTGCCAGTCAGGTCGCCCTGCTCGAGCAGCGTCCAGGTGTGCCAGATCCATTTCGTTTCGGTGAACAGAACGTCGCGGGCTTGCGAAAGTGAGGTGAATCCTCGCGGGATCGTATATGGGTTCGGGTCGGGGAGGTACGCGAGCGACTCTGGATCGAACGGGTCGAGGGACGGCGGGGGGACGGCATCTTCTGGATCGCTGAGGATCGTTGCGAGGCCGCCGAATAGCCGTACGGATTCCAGTTCGAGCTTGAGAAAGAGCCGCCGCAGGCTCTCGTAGTTGAGGTCGACTGTGCGGTACTGCGTGTCTTTGTACGTGGTGCGCATGTTCCGTCTCAAGAGGCCCTTGAGGCCGTTGGTCAAGTGTAGCTGCGCGGTGTCGTAGTTGCCCTGGAATGTCTCGAAGAGACTGAACAGTTTCAATGTTACCATGTTGATCTCGGCAGCGTTGGGGACTTCAGAAGCCATGTCGCGCGATAGCATCCGTAGTGCCTTTTGGTATAGTTTGTCAGAGAAGTCGCAGTACTCAAATGCTTCTCGGGAAATGCCTAATTCAAATCTGCGATGGACAGCACCCACTGCGGAAGCGGCTGCTAGAACGGTCGGATGCTGGAAAGCGGCTTTGGTGACATATGTTCGCCATATCGAGCTGTCGAAATACGCGGCGAATTCGGGGCCTGTTCTCGATCGGAAGAAGTCGAAACAGAAGAAGTCATTGTCGTTCTCGAACATAACGTTTGAAGGCGGCCGGGACAGCACAGAGCGCTCTTCGTCGACGACAACTCGTGCTTTAGTAGGTTTAGACAGAGACGGAATGGCTACTTTGGTATTTATGCTCGTCCTCTGCCGCTTGGGATCTGGTTCACATGTACTCGTGGGAGAGTCTTCGTGAGAGGTTGGCGGTGATGGCTCTTGGGCGTAGCCATCGCATTTACGGCCTGTCGAGGTACATCTGCGGCAGAAGGGCTTTTCCTCGTCGCACTTCTTCCGCCGGATCCTGTGGAATCATGTCAGCTCGTCTTTCAGTCAACAGGTGTTGGAGTCGCGTCGCGCAGACGTAGCAACGTACTTGCAAGTCAGGCATCCTGTTCGGACTTTGTTGTGCGTTCTGCGTGTTCGTTTTGCTTTCTCGACTTCCGGCACTTCCTCGACCAACGTGACGGTAGCCATTGCGGGCGACCACGGGTATATTTCCAGAGAGATTTCAGAGAAGTCGACCCCAGGTTTTCGCAGGAGGATTGGCCGCAAGTGTATATATGCGGCAACTAGCACGAATGGACCCTGTTGGTGCCTGGACCGTCTGCAAGGCCATGACTCAATGGGTCAGTTCGAGAGCAAGAATCATGGCCATGTCTTCGTGGTGCACAATACCAGATATGCGGGGCCCGAAGGTCGCGGCCTGCCATTGGTCGGGGCGTATTTTTCGACGCCACTTACACCGTCTTGCTGACAACGACGGCTTTAATAAATCCACATGAGGTCGCATTGTCGCAGGCAGAACTGGCTGTTTGACGAATCGTTGGGCTTGGTGGGAAGCTCAGGGCCGGTACTATAAATGCTCTACAGCATTCGATCGTCAGGCCAGCTGCTTTGATACGAGTACGAGTAGGGAATTTTATTGAAAACCCGCACCTGGAGATGGTATTTTCTATATCCCGGAGATGTTTAATAGGGAGGGTCCTTGATGTATCGTACTACGTCAACGCTTGATACGATATGTCTACCCAACTTAGGTTTTCTGTTTACAGAGCGCCCTCGGTGCCGTCGTCGATGTCGGTGAAATATGATGGTCGAGGTTTCGGTGGTCCAGGAACATTCATTGGAAGGCCTACTGGTCTCTTGAGCTCCCTCGCCGGCCGCCCCATGAGCATATACAGCGATGCAGCATAAGTCTCGTGAGCAGGGATTGGCCCATGGTAAGATGCAGTCCCAGAATCAAAGGCAAAGTCAACAAGAAGTGCAATGCGTGAAGAGGAAGAGATAGGGGAAGGCAAAGAACATCGAGGGTCCAAAGCATGGATGCTGCGCGAGGATGTACTCAAGATGATGCTCTTTTTTTAAGGGAGCGTCACGAGCAGCCACAGCATCATACACGTGGTCGGGGCAGACACGAAGGCAGGGGTAACAGGAGGCGTGAGCAATGGGATGAAGAGCTCCCTTCTTGCTAGAGTGCTACGAGGCTGTAGAACGTCCGTGAGAAGAAATGCCTCTATGGGACTTCTGAAATTGTTGAACTTCTTACAAACCTTTTCGTCGCGGTGGATCTTCAGGACTGCGCAGATGTTGAAGTACATCTGTTAGCTGCCGCTGTCGATAGTGAGGTAATAGGAATTCTTCGGCGGCCAGGTGATGGCTATATCGAGTCCTACGATGGGCTTGTTTCGTACGTTTTTTTTCCCTCATCCTCCGCAATGGTAATGCCTCCATTGTGCAGCACCCGAGCGCTCTCGATGGCAAGGTATGCCGCCCGAGGTCAAACCCATCATAGAGCCTGTTCAACAGTCTCAGAACCTCAGTACTGTGCGCTTGTTGAGCCTTCATTCCTCTCAACTAGATCTCCCACCCCCAGGTGACGGCCAACCTTGACCTTGACCAATTTCTCCTTCTTTGCACCCTCTCCATTCACATCCTCTCCATCCTCGCCCTTCTTTCCTAGTGAGCCGACACCCTCACCTTCATCCCCATCGTCCTCCGGGACGTCCTTGATCTGCATACTTCGCAGGTCCATCTTCATCGCATATGCATCTTCTCCGTCGGCGTAATATTTGCTCTCGATCTTGTCGACTTGGAAACCCAATGTGTCTCTGTACAAATGTAGAGCGGCCGAATTTGACATTCTCACATGTAGGCTGACATAGTTGGCGTTGAAGACCTCGGCCATAGCTCTCTGACTCATTCTCATCAATCTTTCTGCAATACCGAGCCGTCTATGTGTTCGCATCACCGACAGACTAGTAATGTGTCCATGCTGGACACCGTCGGGCGGGTCCTCCTCCATCTTCGCTAATACATAGCCCACAACTTTCGGATATGCTGACGGTTTACCGCCCGGCCCTCGAACGACGGCGACAAAGGAGAGTTGAGGCCATGTCAAGGCGTGGTAGAGGTAGTATTTGAGAAAGTAGTTCTCGGGCAAATTGCTAAGATTGCATTGCTGTATTGATGGCAGCAGCGAGATATGTGAAGGGTATGAGGAGACTGGAACGATGTCAACCATTTTGGCGGAATGCGCTCCTCTTGAGGCACGAGAGTGTAATGTCGTTTGTCCTGGTCAGGAATGGTGGCTGGACATAAGAAGGGAAGTTTAACTGAAAATGCGGCCGGCAAAACTGCGGCCTCCTACGGAGTACTCGTATCTACCCAGCTCGGATCCTCGACGCGGATATATCATTCGTATTTTTTCTACCTACCCACGAGATTGATACTATATAGCCCAGCACAGTGAACAGAGATTGTTCAAGCTATCGACATCTTCATTCCCCCGTTTGCACAAATGACACTACCAGTGGTCCAACCACTTTCCTCCGAACAAAGCATCCCAATCACGCCTGCGATTTCATCGGTGAATGCTGGTCTCTTCCCACCCATCCCTTTCAGAACAATATTGTCATACTCCTCGGGATTTCCACCTGCACGGCTCTGAATAGCAGCATCGCCACCCTTGTAGTTCATCAAAGGAGCTTGGTCCACATACTGCTGATTGATCTTCCAGAACTTCTCCCCTGCTTGGCTGTACATGTCCCCCCAAACCGGTCCTGGGTTAATGGCGTTGACAGTACAATTTTCCGCCAACTCACGAGCCCATACTCTCGTCATTGCTTCAAGCGCCGCCTTTGTTCCTGCATAAATCGACTGTGACTCACACCCGAGAGAAGCAGACACACTCGAGACATTCACAATGCGACCCGAGCGATCCTTGGGCAGATATGGCTGACACGCTTGGACGAGCAGCAGAGGAGCAAGGACATTCACATTGTACTGCTTGTGGAATTGCGTCTCTTCAATTGGCCCCAACTCTGGGTCGTTCAACAGTTTGTTCCCGGCGATTCCCGCGTTGTTGATAATAATGTCGATCTGGAAGGCTCCAGTACGAGGATGAGAGAAGTTGTTTTTCGCGGTTGACACAATATGAGGAGCTGCTCGACTGGGTTCTGACAGATCTGCCTGGACCGAGGTGCAGACAATGCCATACTCGTTGCTGAGCTCTTCACATAAGGCCTTGGTAGGTTCGGTGGATGAGTCTGAGGTGTAAACGAGAAGCAACGAGCATCCTTTGGCAGCCAAATTGCGAGCTACAGCGGCTCCGATACCTATATCACGTCAAAATTCAATACTTCTTGTTCAGTATCGGGCGCAGTCACCTCTCGAGCCTCCTGTGACAATACCAATCTTGCCCTCGTGTGGTCTGTAGACGACGTCTTTTGGCATATTCGTAGACGAGAACGTCCGCCTCGCAGGAATTCTCGCAGCCATTTTCTATAAGTTCGGTCTTAGCAGATAAGAAGCTGAGACGCAATATTTGCGTCGCTGCGGTCTTTGGAGGAAGAGGAGTATATCGACTCGGTGGGATGTTCAGTGGAGAGCGACGCGGGGAGGAATCTCGTCGCGGTCTCCATCAAATAACGGACACAGATGGCCCGACATCTCTGTTGGCGACCAGAAGAACTGATTGAACTGTCCAGCAGCCCCATCCGGACCAGTCCATTCCTGCCGACTGAACTCATACTGCCGTCCTAGGGCCGCTGTCCTCACCAGCAGCGCATGGCCGTTCATGGACTTTCTCAAATCCGCCGTCGCCTCTGCAATTGCAATTTCCAGTTCCTTCCCAGTCACCATCGGAGATCGAATTGACGCGGGAGAATCGATATGGAGCTTGCATAACGGCGTTAAGAAGGTACCAAAGGGTCAGTGCAAGGCCGGATAGTTGCTGAAGATGATTTAGGATGACAACACTCCCTGCTGCCTCTTCACCTTTGACATCAACAAAGACAAAGCACGGTTACCCCTAGCAAAGAATGCTGCCCGAAAACTGAGAACATTGAGGCATCCTGGAGTCATAAGAGTCATAGATGTGGTTGAGAATGAGACGAATATCTACATCATCACAGAAAAGGTTACACCGTTGAGCTGGCATATAAAGCGCCAGAGTCTAAGCGAGGAGACCATAAAATGGGGATTGTACAGCGTATCCTCTACCCTGAAGTTTATCAACAATGACGCTTCTTCTGTTCACGGCGCGATCCGCGTCTCATCTGTGTATACTAGTGAAAGCGGTGAGTGGAAGCTCGGCGGCTTCGAATTGTTGAGTTCCATGAACGAGGACGATGCTGTCATCTATACATATGGAAGCCTGCTGCCAGACTCCAATCGATATGCGCCTCCCGAAGTGGTTAATGGCGGCTGGTCCGCAATCAAAAGGAACCCTCTTGGAGCGCCAGACGCCTACGGCTTGGGTACCTTGGTCTTTGAAGCCTTCAACGGCAGCTTCATGGGCAGTGATCAGCTCGGCCAACCCCGACGTGTACCTGCCAGCATGGTTCAAAGCTATAGAAGGCTGGTCAATGCAAACCCCAAGCTGAGACTACCGGCAAGCCATTTTGTCGACCAGGGAAAGAAGACGGGAGGCTTCTTTCAGACCCCTCTCATCCACATCACAGAAGAGGCCGACAGCCTAGGGTTGAAGAGCGAAGAAGAAAGAGACCAATTTCTTGCGTGAGTCTTTCGCTCTAGCCTAGCTGTTCCGCCTGACTGACTTGAACAGCGAACTTGACGAGCTTACAGATGACTTTCCAGAGGAGTTTTTCAAAATGAAGATTCTGCCTGAGCTTCTGAAATCGGTAGAATTCGGTGGTGGAGGACCAGGTGTCTTTGGAGCAATCATGAAGATTGGACTGAAAATGTCGGATGAAGAGTTTGAATCCAGACTCGGCCCTCTGATCATTCGTCTTTTCAATAGTCCGGATCGTGCCATGAGGGTGTGCCTACTGGACAACCTACCTCTGATGATCGACAGAATATCCCAGAAAGACGTCAACAACAAGATATGGCCTGCCATGACGACTGGCTTCACCGATACTGCGCCTGTTGTCAGAGAGCAAACAGTCAAGGCCGTTCTATTGGTCATTTCGAAATTGTCTGACCGTATCATCAATGGTGATCTCTTGAGGTTCTTGGCCAAGACCGCGAATGATGAACAGCCTGGCATCCGTACGAACACCACAATCTGTCTAGGCAAGATCGCGAGGAATCTCGGGGGAAGTTCTAGATCCAAAGTGCTTATTGCAGCATTCAGCCGAGCTCTGAGAGATCCCTTCGTACACGCAAGAAACGCGGCTCTGATGGCTCTGAATGCCACAATCGATGTCTTCACCGACGACGATTGTGCTACGAAGATCCTTCCGGTCATTTGTACGGTGCTGGTGGATAAGGAGAAACTGATTAGGGATCAAGCGAACAGGACACTTGACAGCTACCTCCATCGGGTACGAAAATTCGCCTCTACAATGCCAGACAGCGCCCTGCCGCCCGAATCAGCTGCCGCCACGCATACGCCAGCGGCCCCTGCCAGAATGGGAAACCAAAATGATACAGGGTGGGCAGGATGGGCGATCTCGTCATTCACGAACAAGATAGCTGCTGCGCGAGGAGAGATGGCTCCCACTGGCACGACAAATGGATCAGTGCCACAAACACAGTCGCTGCCAGCGTCCGGTCGGGCGACTCCAAGTGTAAACGTTGTACCTGAAAAACCGATATCTTCATCTAGCCGGATCCAGCCCGGGACGGCTAGAAGTTCTACCTCGCAGCCACCGGAGATTGAATATGTGTTTGAGGATGATGCTACGGCTGCCTGGGGCACTATGGACGAGGAAGGCGATAACTTCTTCGATGCATCCTCTAATCACTCGGCAAGGCCCCCAAGCCCTGGACCCGCAGCCGCTTTTGATGATGGAGGGGAGCCGGATTTCGCAGGGTGGTTGGCCGCACAGTCGAAAGCTAAATCCAAGAAGCAGTTGCCCAAGGGTCTGACCAAGACGACAGCCACTGGTGGAGGAGCCCTGGGCGTTCGACCAACAGGACCTCCAAGAGCTGCATCGGCTGGCGTCACCGTCACTTCCAAAAGACCAGCAGCCCCTGCCGTTGCGAAGAAAGAGGCGAAGAAGGAAGTCCCAAAACCGAAGGAACCGGATCTGAATGATGACGACTGGGGTGCTGACTGGGAATGAGCACGCTCCTTTTTCAGAGACAACGATACGAAACGTCTGCTGCATATTAGCGATGGAATCAATCAGAGGAGCGCACATGAACACGGTCGACGAGCAAGGCGTTGGGGTCAGAATCCGATTGTATATACACCGCGTTCGATCGTACTTCATATATGAGGTGCAAAATGAATCGTGTGTTGAAAGGGTTTGATCTCAAGCACAGTGGCGAATCTCGTCTGCGTTCATGAAATTTAAATCCACAGAGGGTGTGTCTCTCAACGTTTTCATCGCCACGACAGTCTACACTCACTCTGGCTCGTTACTGTCAGAACAGTCACTCTTCGTGCATGTCGGCAAGCATGGATCGTGCCGGACCAGACGACAACTTCAGCAGAGCGCTTTCTGAATTAGAAGATCTTGATGCCTTGAAAGAGGAACGACAGAAGGGGTCTCGATTCGCCATTGACGACGGCCCTCGACGCTCTCGAAGCGGTGCATCAGCGGCCACCACCTGCTCCTGACAGCCTGTCGGACAGAGTGGTTCCCCGGCAGCTCTCGACTTACATTGACCCGCCCGAACACCAGCAACGAGCCTATAACGCGCTGGGAGAGCCGGAACCCTCGCTGCTCGGGTCAGGAATGGGAATGCTGGGCGCTCAAAAGGATCATTCGGGAAGAGTTGGGCTTGGGTGACGACAGGATAAAATTCATCTCGCAGAAGCATAGAAGGATGCAACGGAACGATTGGGCCAAAATGGCAGCTTCAAACTACCAGGAGTTGGCAGGTGGGCAATTAAAAAGGCACCTTCTTTGTCTTGGTACCGTATCGTGAGCCAACCTGGCCCTTCGTGATATTTGTGAAACCCGTACTTAGTACTGGTAGAGAGATATAGTGTCATAACCATATGTCAGGCAACACAACAAGAGCGAGGTTGAGAAATGTACCGTGAGCGAGGAGTAACCGGTATTCGCTCAATCTCACTCACTCACGACCGATCCGTTTCTCGAGAGCCACCATCCAGGGGAATTTTTTTTTTTTTTAAAAAAAAAACTTCGTTTTCGGTTTCATTCGTATTTTAGCTGCAGGTTCTATACCTGATTCAATCGTACAGGGGAGGAGGAGTATGGGAAGTACCGAGGATGTATGGAGTACTTTGGGGGTCTCTTCATTTGATTCTCGAGTTGATTGTTCATTTGATTCTCCCATCCTTCGCCATCTCCCTCATGACCTCTATCGTCTTCTCCACGGCGAGCTGGGCCATCTTCCACTCCTTTTCCCTGGCGGCCCCGAGTGCCGCGTCGTCTCCCTCGAGGTCGTAATGGAGCCATTCGAAGGTGTACGTCATGTAGAGGTTGCCGCCGGCGTCCTGGCTGATGACGTTCTGCACCTTGCTGCCGTCGGGCTGGTGGAACTCGACCTTCATGGGCTCGAAGGCGACGCAGCGCTCCTGCACGCGCCGGCCGCCCTCGCGGAACACGACCTCGCGCACCGTCACCGGCAGGCCGTGCTCGCTGGTGGACTCGGAGATGACGTCGGTCGAGACGATGGCGGCCCCGACAAAGTCTTGCGCGGCGCGGATCTTCTTCAGCAGGCCCTGCCAGATCTGCGCGTACGTGAGCACCGGGCTCGCGCCGGGCGGGTTGATGGGCGCGCTGAAGGCGACGTAGTTGGCTGGTGCCGGGGTAGAACGTGTTCCACTCATGATGGGTGACGGCGATGGTGGTGGTGGTGGTACGATGGGTATAACAATTGTCGTCGACAGCCTTTGGAGACTGTACACCTCACGACAAAACGTTGAACCCTGGAAGATCCTTCAGGATTGATTGGGTCTTCGATTGGACTGTGGTCGGAGCCAAATAGGCAAAGTAGGTAGGTTGGAAATGCGGTACTCGTAGAAGATTACAAGCCTTTATTTAGCTAGAGCAGTTCCTCAGTCACTCATTCGGTGAAGAAGGAGGTGGTGGGTGCTGATGAGATGATCTTCTTTCTTATAATACGTCAGATTCGGGTGAGGCGAATACAAGTGAGTAGGTACAAAGTAAGCCAGGTAGTTACAAAGTCTCCGAGCGAGGTGGTGGTGAATCGGACCGTTTAGATAAGCGTCGGTGTTGGTTTATTGCGAAGGCCCGACGGCTGACACTTGAACGTTGAAGCAGCTCAGGTACGTGTGTATTAGGTGATGATGACGATGCGGGGAGGGGAGGCCAATGTGTCACCAGATCGATCCATTGACGAGTTGCTCGTACGAGTATTGTTTTTCCCTCCGTACGCATGGAGTACGAGATACTTGTCTTCACTCGTACAGTAATTTGCACGATCCCCGTAGCTGTTCAGCCTCGTCGGGGACAATCACGTGAGGGATCCCTCGTGGGCACACATCAACGCACTTGGAGAAACGGTGGAACAAGACTACAAGATTATTTTTATGCAGGAATCCACAAAGAGATAATGACATGCAGGTCGAGGGAAGCCACTTCTGATATTGACATGGCGTCCTAGCTGAAAACAGATAACGAAGCTCCTGTGCTGGGATGACGAGCTCTAGTCTAGCTGACTCACGCCCCAAAAGATAACTAAGCGGAGCCTTGGTGAGCATAAACTCATATATCGAACAGAACGAATTCTACCACCAAATCAACCAAATCAATCATTCAGGTTGCATCTTCTTCGATGGTGTAGTGGGTTCGTAGAAAATCGTTCTTCTATCGTCCGAGCAGTTCCTAACATTCGTTCAGTAACATCTCGGCTTGTCACGCCGAAGCCCGGGGTGTATGTTTCTCTCCTCCTTTCTCTCCTGGCATTCCGACTAATAAGTCATTCAGTCAATTCCCCGTCGAAGAGACTCGATTCTTTTTTGTTTTTTCCCTTCACAGAATATTTGTTTCTCTTTTTTGCAGGAGTGTGTAAAATTACCCTGTGGGCCTAGTGTACGGCGGGGCTTCGATTAGTTTTTTTGTACGCAGTGCGATGGGTCCATCCAAGGGTGAAGAAACTTGTGCTGTACATTGCATGCACAGCACATGTCGAACTGCCGTTGCCGATGCATTATCTCGAACGAACAAGGTGGCTACCACCCACTCACCTCGTCCTCGCCCTCGGGAGCCGTGTACTGCAGCCTTTTCGCAATACCGTTGGCAGTCTGCCAGACACGCAGGAGGTTCCCGCCAGCCACTTTACCCGCATCCGCATCACTGACACCCATCTTCAACAGTTCAGCAATCAGGTCGGGGTACTTATCTACTCCCTCCAGGCCTTCTGGAGTGAGTTCTCCCATGCCGTCAAAGTCACTGCCGAGTCCGACATAGTCATAACCGATCCTGTCACCCACGTAGACAATGTGTCGAGCAACCTGGTGCAACGTGTTGTTCTTCTCGTAGAATTCCGGAAGCACACTCGAGTTTGGCGGGGGCAGGCACGAGATGAAAGCTGGTGAGAAATTGATCATCACCAGACTCTTAGTCTCTTTCACCAGATCCAGGATATCATCGTGGACGTTTCGTGGATGAGGGCACAGGGCAAACGCTGACGAGTGAGAGAATATGACGGGGGCCGCGGAGGTTTTGTTGCTCAGCACGGCTTTCTGAGTCCAATATGAGGTGTGGGAAATATCCACCAGCATCCCGAGCCGATTCATCTCGAGGATGACTTTTCTGCCGGCAGGTGTCAATCCACCGCGGTGATACGGAGCAATCTTCGTTTCTCCCTTTGAAGTTATGAGTGCAGCGTCTGCGAATGCATTGTGACAATTCCAGGTAAGTGTTGCTGCACGGACGCCCAGGGCATAATACAGCCGGAGTGTCGACAGAGGAGCAGACTGGGGGACTTGATGCAGCCCTTCGATGCTTATCGGTGAAATCAGGGATTTTGTGGCACGGAAGTTGCTCAGAGCCACCACGAGTGGAGTGGTGGCAGAGGTGAAGTTGTTTGGATATTCATTCTGGATTCTCCGGACGAGGTCGATCTGCGACAAGGTATGAGCAACAGCAGTGGCATATGTTTCATCCGAAAAATCAACACTGGCATCATCGGGACAGCCGACAAACGCACTCCAAAACGATCCTCCTACTTGACCTGCTCGCAGTCGCGGCAAATCAACGTCCAGCTCCATTCCCCCGTTCTCGAACTTGTCTTTGAATTTCGTGGTATGTATTTTATTTTGATAAGCGATCCGAATGAAGATGGCCAGGTCATTGTGGCCATCTATGAGAGGAGTATGATTGAGGATAGCAGAGACTCTGTCCTCGATTGTCTGGGGAGGCTTTGTGGGTAGTGGCAACGGGTCCTGGTTATCTCCAAACTTTGGTCTGAGCACGGTGACTACAACAACGAGGAAGACAATCATCGTGAAGAGAAGCCCCATTCCCTCCGAAGTAGAGCGCGCAGCTCTTGACGTGACGGATTCTGTGTCGTCTTTTTCATCATCATAATCTTGGCTTGTTTTCAAGTCTGGTTCGGATTGTGAAGGCTGGATGCCGGCGTAGCCATGATACCTCGAGAAGCCGTCTCCTTGAATTTCTGGAGCGGGTTCATTATGAGGAAGGAGGGGGTTGAGTTCGGTGACTGGAGCCATCGTGCCTTGGATGACACCGCAAATATACAGCTCAGCAAGAGGAGGGATCGCGTTATACACAGTCCAGGCCTCGCCTCCGGTGAGATACCGCTCCTGATGCGAGTCCAACTACCTTCCAAAGGATCGAAGACGATGCCGCAGGCAGATGGCCGACTGCGCAGCGTCGAGCTTCTCGAAGGCGGAGGTTGGACAGCGGCTTATCGATAGCACGGGATCACAGTCAAAAGGTGGACCCGACAACAGACACCAGGGCACGGCTACGCGGTACGGGAAGCCCCAGGCTCCCAGGAGACGAGGCATGAGGTACGATGCGTCCTGAAGTCGAAGGCGGCGATCTTTTCTGGGCAAGGCCACTGTCAGCGTCTATCTAGACATTTCTTCCTTGTGGTCATCCCCAAAAAGAGCAATGGTTCGGTATCCGTAGGTGCGGAAAGTCTTGTAGCTGTCTGGGTCGGAGCCCCTGAATCCTCCAGAATGGCAATCGGTAAACATTGACATTGACCAGCCAACAATTCAATGGTGTTCACACCGAGCCAAAGCAACCATGAAGTCTGGCTGAGCTGGCAGTGTTCATTGGCGACTGGGCGGTAAATTTGAGTGTAACACGCCCACCAATCCAGGGATCCTCACCAAGGCCACCGCAAAAGCGAAGTAAAACGCGTCTCGGACGCACGACATGCCCCCTTGTTTGCTCAACCCCGGATCCACCACGTTGGCATGACAGACTATCAATTTCCATCGTTCCCTGGCAGTATCGTCTGTTGTTTTTTCCGCCGGCTTTTTTTTCCCTGCATCGCACTTGCTTATATGACATCCAGTTGCTGATTCGCGCCTTCATTTCGCAGTCATGTCTGCCAATTCTGGAAATGGCGGCGTGAGAAACCTTCGAGCTATGTTCGAGAACAAAGCGACCGACCAAGCCTCATCTCCCCCCAGTCGAGGTCGATCCCCCAATCCTTCTGAATTTTCGAACGGCAGTAGACCGGTCAGCAAAGTCAGGGCGAGCTTCGTCGCAGTCGAGAGGCCTGGCGAGAACGGTTCCGCCCCCATACTGGGCCTGCGGAGAACAAGTGACCTGAGCAACAGAGACGAGAACAAAGAAAATTCTTCGATAGCAGCCTTATCTCCCGAGCGACGACCTCTCGCAAGGGAAATGTCCTCATTCGACGGTTCTCGGAAGGAAGGACAATATCCCAATGGATCGACGCAGGGAGGATTGGGAGATATTTTGAAAGGATCAGCATTCGCCGACAATGGGTTACCAAAAGATAAATCGGATAACAGGGACGCAACCAAACTCGTCTCTGGACCTCAGACAATAAAGAAGTCGGTTGAAGCATCTTCTCAACCCAAGGACGCGACAAAGACTACAGGACTGGGCTCCGGGGCTCAGAGCAATGGGAAAATGTCCGGGTCAGCCCCGAAGAACGTACAGCCCGCAAAACCAACACAATCTACCAAACCACCACCTGTGAAACAGATTGTGACCAAGCCTCCACCAAGCACAAAGTCGAATCCTGCTTCTCAGTCACCTCTGACTTCCAAACCATCGCCTAAAACACCCACTTCGCCCATAGCGCACATAAGAGGAGGGCCTGCGAAAATCAAGGGTGTCATGGAATCCGCGAAGAGAGCACAAGAGGCCAGAGAGGCTGCAGAGCAGAAATCAGCGAAGACAAGTAAGCCACAATCTACAGTACCGGCCGCCAGGTCGAATCTACAAGCGAAGCAGAGCAGCCAGCCCATAAAGAAGGACCCGGCATCCACTTCGCCAAAAGTTCCCAAGTCTCCCAGAACGATGCGACCGAAATCGCCAACAAGGCCTGCAAGACTTCCAGCTGCAGCAACAGCTCCAACAGCGGCATCGGCGGCCAAACATGACGCACAGCATTCACCAACAGAAACCGCTCCTCGCAAGTCTATCACGAAAAGAGCTTCTACAACCTCCATGAAACCGCCTCGAGCTAGTATGCCGTCTTCGACGGGCCCCGGAATACTTGCAAAGAAGACATCACGTGCATCTCTCGCCAATGGTCATGGTCACGGTCATGGGCATGAAAGACCCACCTCTCGAGTGAGCACAAGCAGGGCCGATGATGGATTTCTCGCGAGGATGATGAGACCAACGGCGAGTAGTGCTCAAAAGGTTCACGACAAAGTTCAAGTCAACAGCCCACCTCGATCGAAAGCGGCGTCTTCCCACAAGCACAAGGATGCATCGAAACAGAAGATTCCAACGCCAAAGATGCATCGAGAAGTAGCCGAGCACGGAGCAGGGGAAACCAAAGATGATGCGCCAGTTGAGGAGGAGCATTCGCATGAAGTCGCTGGTCATTCGACTCTACAAGTCGTCGAAGAGGATACTCAGCCGTCGAATGCCGAGGCCGCAGCAACTAAGCCTGACGATGAGCCCACAGAAACAGAAGCCGTGCCACCAGCTGCAGAGCCCATTTCTGACGAGGCCAACTCAGATCTACCTATCTCTTTGGAGCCATCAAGTTCCGATGCCCCTGGTCCCATTTCTGAAGAGATCCCAACAGCGCCTGATGAAGTCAACGAAGTCGAGCCTGAGAAGACTGCTCTCATCGATGCGACCGAGACAAAGTCAACAATCGCCTCCGAAGATGCCGAGGCAAAGTCAGATACCCCTGTGGGTGAAATTGAGCCAAAGACTGCTGTGCCTACCGAGTCGGTAGAGCCAACAACTTCAACACCCGCTGATGTACCGGAATCGGTGACAGCTGCCACTTCTGCTGCAACTGAACCCGCCGACAAAGACAGTGGTGATGTTTAGCAGATTGCTTTCTTTTGAAGAATTCGATTCAGAAGTCCCAGATTATTTCATGATTCAACTTTTTCAGCGTTCAGCGATTTCGAGTTTCTTGCAGTACCTTCTTTAGCGACATTCGAAATGTCAATTACATATTTTGTCTTGACTGGAATGTTTTTGTTGTGTGTTGACGACCCTTTTTGACTTTAACTCAGGCTGAGTCCAAACATGGTAAGGCGTCATTGTTTCGAGTTTATTGATATGCACTTCCGGCATCAACATTCCCTATTGACACCGATTTCGGGTATAGCGTACCTATTCAAGTCGATTTCAGGTATAACGCTGCTGCGATGTTTCATTGTGTTCTGTATATCTGATCGGTAAGGTCATTATGTCTGTTATTCAAGACCTTTTGCGGAATTGATGATTTGGTTGTCCTCGTTCTCCGCTGCCTACGCATGATCATTTAATGGATCGCTGCTACTCGTGCGGTGCTGATTTTCCTTTATGCCTTTTGAACGTCAAAGGATGCCGGGTGGTCCATCATAGCAGGTCATAAAAAGGGCAAAGGCGTCGTCATGGCATGGGCTGTGATACCTCACAGACTAGAGCATATTCACCTCACAAACACAAAACAGTCTTGATATCAAGATTTCTTACAGAAAAAAACAGAAAACAACAGTATGCATCTATTGGCGGCAAAAGTCGCACTCATCCTGGCCTTCATCTCGGCTCAGGTCGGTGCTATCCCAGCCTCGTCTCCTCAAGAACGAGGTGTCGGATCCGGATCACACCACGGAGGGGCCGATCATCCATACGGTGGTAATTGGCAAGGGGGCACCGGCGGGATGGGGGGTGGACACACAGGCGACAAGGATGGACAGCACGGCGGTCCAGGAAGAATGGATGGAAATGGAAAAGGGAATGGAAACCAAGGCGGCGGTGGCTTTCGAGGCAAGCACGGCCCCGGCCCGGACGAGGACGACGATCTAGCTCGTCGTGACCTGGTTGACGGCGACAAATTTCGCCACGGACCACCGCCGAGCAATGGCGGCGGCGGCGGTTTGCATCGCGGCGGCATGGAATACGGTCGCAAGCCGGCAGGTACCGGTCACGGGCCCATTCCCGAGGAGGAATTCGACGACGAGGCGCCCGCACACCTGGATCGTCGACACGATTACATCAAGGACCCTCTCGCCGGATGGAAGTGGTGGCAGAAGCAACCCGCCTACGGCAAGATCCCCACGGGGAATCCCAACGCCGGGGTCATCGACATGAAGGACGACCCCATCATGGACAGGATCCCGCAGAGGAAGAAGCGAGACGGGGACGAGGATGCAGCCGGCAGCAACAGCAACGAGAGGCGCTCGTATCGGCAACAGGAAGATCGATTCTCCCCCGATCGCACGCCTCCCGAGCCACTCGACCACACTTTCTGGCGAGACTTCAAGAACGCTAAGCCTGGGAAGATGATTCCCAAGGAACACTAAGGAAGCAGCGGCAGCAGCAAACTACCTCAGGTGTGGGTATGTACCTGAGGTAGGTGGTCTAGGCCGATGGAAATCGTCAGCTGGAGTCGGCCTCTGAATGGGAGTAAGGGATACTGTAACTTAGTCGGTTCATCATTAGTTGGTCAGGCCATCACCGGGTCACACAGTCAGTACCAGTGCTCTCGTCATTGATGGGTTTCTTTCACCAAGGGCCGAGCAGGTCTTGCCCTTATTTGCACCTTGGTTATGCTTACGTGCGAGACTTTTGTCGTCGACGGTCGTTCGCTTCGCATTTCAGCACCAGTCACGAAAATAAAAGATCAAGGAAAAAGGGGCCAGGGCTGTTGACCTTTCTATCTTTTAACTCTGGTCTTCCGCCCGTTCGACCTTGGGGCTTCACTCAACCCTGGAAAAAGATTACAGACAGGACGGGACATGACATGGCGTCACTGGTCAGAGAGTCAGAAGGAGGATCCCGACCGAATGCCAATCAATGGCCTACTGCCTCTCTAACTACTCACGTCAGTGGAACGCGCTGCTGTGGAAAAGAAAAGATAGCAAAGCAATACGTCAACGCCAGTCGGCAAGACTGTCCTGTTGTGATATCTATCACATTTGTAATACCTCGAGTACCTGATATCTCGTACTTTGTTGAACCCATTCAATTTCAATTTTCCTTTTCCTTTGCCCAGGACCTTTGGAAACCCCAACGCGCCTCGGGAGATGTGTACACAAATGCCAATCCATAACGAAATAAAAGAAAAAGGGCTCCAATACCGGACTTTTTTGTTTTGTTCTCCTTTTCTTTTGCTCCCCCCCCTCCAATCCCATGTTCTTTCGTTTATCGTTCGCTCTCTGTCACCGTCTTTTTGTTCTTTCCGCAAAAAACATCTAAACATGGCCGACCTGCTTATCGTCTTGGCTCGTGGTTTGGCTCAATTAGGAGGATGCAACACCATTCACGGCCTTGATGGGACCAAGTTTCTCTCTTCGCTTCCGAACGGCAGTCGCGAGCACTTCGAGGACGGACTCGGTGTCTTCCCACCCTATACAGGCGTCGGTTATCGACTGGCCATATTTCAGACCTGCCTTGCCTTCTGGAGGGACTTTTTGAGTTCCTGAAACCGGAGGGAAACGCACAACGTCAGTAACCAAAATTGTCCTCGGAGCGCGGCAAGCAAGGCACTTTATAGCAAGCATGGCCAAAAAGCCAAAAGCCACAAAAAGAATCAAAACACTCACCTTCGTTGATATGACTTTCGATCATGACACCCATGATACCGTCCTCTCCGCCTTCAATCTGTTCGGCCAAGACTTTGGCGACCTTGGGCTGGTTCTTGTGTTGCTTCTCGCTGTTTCCGTGAGAACAGTCGACCATCAACCTCGGCTTGAGACCCTTGGAGACCAACTTTTCCTTTGCCTTTTTGATGCTCTCGCTGTCGTAGTTGGTGCCGGTGGTGCCGCCTCTCAAGATCACAAAGCAGTCCTCGTTGCCAACGGTGCCGACGATGGCGACGACGCCGGGCTTCGTGACGGACAGGAAGTGGTGCGGGTGCCTGACGGCGCCGATGGCGTCGATGGCGACGCCCAGCGTGCCGTCGGTGCCGTTCTTGAAGCCCACGGGGAACGACAGGCCCGAGGCCAGCTCTCGATGCAGCTGGCTCTCGGTGGTGCGGGCGCCGACGGCGCCGACGCTCAGCAGGTCAGCCAGGAACTGCGGGCTGATGGTGTCGAGCATCTCGCTGGCAATCGGCATGCCGCGCGCCGTCAGGTCCACGAACAGCTGCCGGCTGAGTCTCAGGCCCTTGTTGATCAGGAAGCTGCCGTCAATCTCGGGGTCGTTGATCAAGCCCTTCCACCCGACCGTCGTCCGGGGTTTCTCGAGGTACGACCGCATCACGATCACCAGGTCGTCCTTGTACTTTTCCTTCATCTTGAGCAGCCGGTCGCAGTAGTCGAGCGCAGAGACCGGGTCGTGGATCGAGCAGGGGCCGATGATGACCAGGAGTCTGCGGTTGGGGTCTGTGTCGTTGACGACGGCGACGCTGTCGTTTCGCCCCTGTAGCACCGTCGCCTTGGACTCTTTCGTCTGTGGGATTTCATGCTGGAGCAGGTCCGGCGGCGTGAGAGGGTTGTAGCCACGAACTAGATCGGACACACAAGAGTCAGAAACCCGCCACCCACGTCTCCGAGACGGACAGGTTGAAGAAAACCAAACGAGACGAGAACGTCACATACTCCGCCAGTCTTCCGAACTCTCTTGGTCGCCCACATGCGGGTTGGTGATGTAGTAGGACTGTTTTTGCGTTGTGTGAGTCAGTCAAACAGCCACGGCGACCTGTAGAGGAGAATGCGGGGGATCCAGGTCAATTGCGCAGTGGGAAAAGATCCGGGACAGGACACTCACAGCCATGATCCAATGTCTATGCAGCTAGGAAAAATGCAGACAGACAACAAACTGCAGGACAAAAGGGACAAAGGAGGTTCGAGGCGAGAGAGAAAGAGAGAGTGTGGTGCGTGTTGGGTCACTTGACGGCGGTCACCATCAAACTTTCCATTCTTCCATATTTTTGGTTCCTGGCATGACAAAAAAACTTCTCGACTCGCCGATTGGACACGGACCACAGTCGCTTGGGACAAGGTTAGCAACAGCTACTGTAACTATTACACACGAGAGTATGTGAATGGATGTATCAAGTTTATTCTTTTGGTCTTCTCTAAGCTTTAGGTCATCACGTCTCCTTTTATAAAGCCCTCATATCTCCTCTGATCTCGCCTCATGTCACGGGCATTGTATTATGTATTTCCGGCCACCGCCATGTCAACCGCCATCATGAGCCATTCACCTCTGGTGCCAACACAGATGCATCTTGAAACAAGTCTAGCAGACATCCCGCAGACCACGCTTGGGTAGGTGACTAGAATACGCTGTTAGTCAATCAAATCAAATGTTTTGCACCGACCTCACTTACCGAATCGCCGCAAAAAGACCCATCCTTGTTGGTCAGTTCCGTCAATCCCTTCCATGGGCTGTCCTTGATGGCTTGTTTGCATCCTGCCATCCGCTGGGTCACCTGTTGAAACGATTCTATTCTCTCCTCTGCTGTGTGCCTTCGCTTCAGGTCGAACATCAACAATGCTCGCAAGAAAAATCCTGTCGGCCACAGCCACTCCGGTCCTTGATGATAGTTTCGCCCCTTTGAGGTCGCGAAATCAGTGGAATCCTCAGAGTTGACGTAGTAAGGTCGATAATTCAGATCAGTAGGATCAAGGGTACGCATGCCCGTCGGGCCCCGAAGGACATCATCACACATCTTCAGCGCTCGTAAAGCTCTTTCTTGTGTAAACAGATCGGGAGCCACCACCATCGCAATAGGGAAGTTGGGTCGCAATTGATAGTCCTCATACTCCTTGCCTGATCGGTACAAATCTTTGTAGATACCCCGACGATTGATAATCTTGGGGTCGATGTCCTCTTCAACATCGTCCTTGGGGTCGACTGGAACCCAGTAACACTTTTCGAAGTTCGCCTTGATGCGATCCGCCCAATCTTGAAAGGTAATCCTCTCCCCTGAGTCGGTCTCGACACCTGAATACTGATATTTCCCGGCCTTGTGAAGCTCCGCTACCCATTTCAAAGCACTGTACGAAAGGCCTGTAATCTCGACGGCAGCACCATCACGGGGAGTACCAGGAACTCCTTTACTCCCAGCTCGTTCGCTCTCGCCCATCTTATCCATCCAAGTGCCACAATTGAATTGGCTGCCTCCAAAGATGATACCAGTATTCCAGTCGACGTGCACGTCGATCTGGAATCCTTCTGGCTTCATTTGCATATCCAAATTCGGCCCAGCATTGTGCTCGCGGAAGGACAACCCAAAAGCGTGTCGTTGGAAGATTTCCTGAATAATATCTTCCACGGTTGATTCTTTCGAATACGCTCGGGGATCGTCATGAGGAAACCACGTGTCGTCATATGGAAGGAATCGTCGAGGAACCTTCTCCTGAAGAATTGACAGTCCATTGGGAGCAAGCTTGCAGTAGTCTTGGATGTTCTGGAGGAAGAACCACGGTGAGTCTCGAGAATTGTATCTCGGGGCAGCCCCACTACTTAGAAGATTCGGGATTAGGCCGTGCTTCAAGACACTTCCAAAGGCTTTGATGTGCTCTTTGGCCTCTTCAAACCGACCGGTACACAAGTACAGACCTCGGAGAGAGATGAAAACATCCCGACCCCAGCATCTTGCCCATGAGACCGAAAAGTGAGGTAGGCCAGCGGCAAGAGAAGGCACACTTCTGGTCGGCCACAGTGATGCAGACTTGACATAGCCTGTCTGTTGAACGCTGACCATGGCCAGACTCTGCACGAAGTCTTGACCTCTTCGGATATTTGGGCTCATTAATTCAATGCCTCTCTTAAACGCGGCGTCGTAGGCGATCTGGATGACCATTGCGAAATAACGGGGTAGCAAGTAGCTCGGAATCTCTCGGCAGGCATCGAACCGCTCTCTCAGCCATTTCGCCGGCTTGTGCAGCCGAGAATAGCCTTCCTGCTTGGATATTCTTTCCATTCGACCAACGATGAAATCCAGCGCCCATTGCCCTTGACGTAAATGATTGCAGAGAGGGTGGCCGAGATCGTTCTTTCGGACAATGGGCTCGACTACACTCCACCAGCCTTGAAGGCCGGCATAAACAAGTGGCCCGTGACCGGGAATGTTGTAAACGCCGTCCTGTCCATTACTGGAGTCGCGCTCTTCTGCATCACATCGATACAAAGCGAAGTTAAGATCAATCAAGTCGAGTTCTCCGAAAGCCTCCTCAGTCCCGCTGGCTAAAAACCTGTTGAGACCAAGCGAATGCTCTGCAGATGGAACCCAAGTCTCAAACAGGCAGATAGATCCAGGCGGGAAGAAATCATCTACTTGAATGATCGTGTCGCCGTCTTCATGTTGTACTGTGGCACCTTTGATCTTCCGCACTCGGGATGGAAGGCCCACAAGCTCACGCTCGTCTTCCAACGCAGCCTTTTTCGCAGCCTCGCTCTGATCAACCTCCAGTACCCAAGCACCAAGTTGTCGTGCTTTGGTACCGGAAAGGTGGACAGGGCTCAAGCCACCGTTTCCATTGCCAGAGCCTGGAAACGCGGTGTGCGCAATGAGGAAGTAACCCTTGCGAGAGTCTGGATGAACACGATGGAGGGTAATTATCTCACCCTCATGGTGCAAGAAGGTCTCATCATAACCGTCCTTGCCCATCATCGTGTGAATTTGGTTCAGCAGCTTTTTGACCCCTGCGATACCCCCTTCCCCAGGACCCACCTGAACCTCACCTTCAGAACTGATGGACGCATACGTCCGCTTCTCGTGGACAATCTCGACTAATTTCGGGTAGATCTCATCGAAGCCCATGACACTGCCGGTAGCACAAGCGCACATGTTCACAAGAGCGGCCGTAGGCAGGGTATCTCTGGCGTCTCTCTTCTGTGCAGGCATCTCGTTGTCGTGAGTGCAATCCATGAACAAAGCATGCACAGGGCTTTCACGAATGTGCATAACAACCTCTTGAGTTTTGGGTGTGCTGCCGTTAGTTCCATTGAGCAGGTTGTTGACTGGTTTCCTGGCACGCTGAGGAACATTCAGCTCGAAACTGCCGATTGGGCGACCGCAATGTCGGTGGACAATCCGGCTCAATTCCTGTGTGCTCCACGCCTGCATGGCTTCGCGGATCAACGCACTCAGGCCAAGTCGTTTGACAAACAGATAATCCATCTGCTCATTGCCGGTGAACAATTCTGCAAACACTGCCAGATTTGGCTGGACCTCTCGGGCCCGATCAAGCAAATATTCAGCCACGTGAATGGGAGTCGAGTGGCAGTTGTCGATCCGGAAGGCAGTAAAATACTTTGCCATCAATTGTACGTATTTAGTCATGTGCTCCCACAGGAAAGGGCTGTCTTCAGGGCCTTTGCCGTATCGCAACTTGACGCAATCACTCCATGGAATGAGTTCCCTGCGAAGATAAGGCCTCCAGTCAGGACCGGCATTGTCTTTCATAGCATCCGCAGCCCAAATCCATCCATTGACGGCCAGTGACAAGACTTCAGGCTTGTGTTTCTTTGTCGTGTCATTCAACGGCAGCCGAGCGAAATACGTTTCGATCAGGGGGTTTTCCTTGGTGATGGGGCCCAACCTAGGACCGTTCGCATCGAGTCGGGTGTATTGAAGTCGACCTTTGACCTGGTCCTTGATGGCAGCGACGTCGTCATCATATTCGCGATAGAAAGGGAGATTGAGCTCGTTAAGAATGGCTTTTACTTCCTCTTCGGCAGACGCGAAATCCGATCCCTCGTCGTACCGGCCGTGCAAAGCCGTGAGCATAGCTGAGCCAATCTCAGGATCGACCTTACGAGAATATCTGCCATCGATCCGTAGGCCATTTAGCAAGCCATGGTCCTTGAGAAAGGCTGCCTTCTGGAACAGCGACCATGACTTGAGGGAGTCAAGGCCACCACCAATACCATCCCCGAAGCCTTCGCGAGGTATTTTCGTTTTGCCATTTTTCCACGCTTCGAGTATAGCCTGCGTGTCTGTTTTAACATCGCATGCAAAATATTCCCATAGACGAATCTTGTCGATAACATGGGGCTGAATGCCGGCAATGACGTGATCTAGGTCTTCGACGCTGGTAAGATTGGTGGGCATCCCCAAGTCTGCGAGCTGATCACTATATTCGAGGAGAGCATCGTCCAGACATAGGGCCGACTCGAGCCATGGCGCAGTTTCAACATTGTAGCCTGCCTCTGGGTGCTCTTCCAGCCATTTGCTATTATTGGCAGTATGGTTGAAGACGACATCAGTCAGCCCAAGCAGTTCGTGTTCTTCTTCCATTGACTTTATCATGCGGGCCACGTCCTTCTCTCCGCCCGGGAAGAGTTCTTTGTCGAACGCCAACTGATCATAAAGACTGTAGGGAGAATTGGATTCGCCTCTTTCTTGTAAAGGTGTGAAATGCACCATGTTATAGCCTCTGCCGCTGATGCCTCTCAGATGTTTGTCCCAATCCCCAGGATAGTTGCCCATGAATTTGGATACAACGGAGAATATCCCCAGAGCATCCAAGGGCAACCGTGAGCCGGCCAGACTCAAATTCGGCTCGATGTCAATCCAGTAGGTTTCGGTCCGTGTAGGCTGGGGAGATTTCGTGGGCTCGAGTGAAAACTCCGGAAGAGGAGTATAAGTGGTATAGAAGCTGAACGCACCAGCGCAGGTAACCGGTATGTCAATCTCGAGTGTTCGATTGAAGTCAGGGTGCAGCTTGTATTCTTGGAAACGGCTCCGATCGAATCGTTCCCCCGGCTTGGGGATGTTGACCCAGAGACTGCCCTGGCGGCATATTGAACTTGCTCCCTCGATAGAGAATCTCAGGTAGTAGGCCGGCTCGGTGGGCGCAGGCAGGTAGACATATTGGTTGGGCACATCTGGAGCTCCAGAGTCATCCAGCGGTAGCAGGTAGATCTTGCGGGAACCTTGGTGAGTCTTTGGAGGCATTTTGGCAGAGGTCGTAGAGGCAAAGGAAAATGCGAAATAGCTCTGGAAACGAACTCCGAATCTTCACTCTCGAAGGCCTAGCGCTTTTGAGCGCGGCGCGAAGCGATAAAAACGCTCGAGGGTGGCGTAAAGAGAAATAAGAGAGCACGACAAAGATAATGCAAGGATGCGGGGCCGGTGAAGTGCTGTTCTTGGGAACTAGGAGATGGCCACAGGTGAACGGACTCAGTTTCAGGACAAAGTCAGTGAACAAACAAACAAATGTATATCAATACCAGAAAAAGCGACGCAGCCGGTATCAAGCTACGGCGACAGAAAGTCTGGGAGATGCAAAACCTGGGCAAAGGTGGCATCAGTGCTGGTTCCTGCATTCCGCCGACTGTACTACCTTGAGAAAGCCCATGATGATATCATCGTCCATCATCATGGAGTTTATTCTTCTTGGGAATGGAGAGGATGGGAGCGCCTAGTGAGCCTAGTAGATTGATGGCCTACAATACAATATGGGCCTGGCTTGCGGGTGGTTTTCGGTAGCAAGCGGCGAGAGTCCTTAGCTAAGCCTAACTAACTTAGTCAGGCTTTGGGGGGAGCTTTGGGCTCAACGGGCTAGCATGCTCCAGGAGCCCACAGCTATTCGCTTCTCAATTCGCATGCACCACTAACTACAGTAGGTGAGATAGAGAGACGGGCCAGTCAGTACCCGACACTTGACCGAGACTGGTCGCAACCACAGCCGTCACTGCAAGTCTGCAAGTCATCCACCTATGGGCTTATCTGGAAGACATTTCTGACTGTGATGGTGGAAATCGATCATTCTGAAAATCCCAACACCTCACAAGACCCCTTAACAGGACTTCTTGAGGAGCATGTCGAACGCTGGGTGCGCCGCCAGGATTAAACCTGAAACAATATTGGACCCGGAAATCTCGAATCTCGAATCTCGAATCCTTACTAACACTTCGTTTCTCTGGTCTGAGAGTGTTAGATACCCAAGGAATGGGTAGCTGGAGTGATATTAATTCGTGGTTGAAAGCAGCAATCTACCTTCCTAATATCTAGATTACCTAATAGGTACAGGTACAAGTCTAACTCACAAGTGTCTGGACAGGATTATTCAGCACCCCGCGACCACTATGCATCCCTCACATATATTGTACTTCTACTCTATGCATAGTCGACTCATTTGCATTCCTTTTATCGCGAAGAACTGCAAAATCGTCTCGGTCTCCGACGCCCTGTTCCTTCAGATTCCACAGCCGGTGTATCCGTCTCAGGTTTGAGAGACTTCAACAGAGCGTCGAAAGACATGACCACAGTCATAGACTTGGTCACCACGTCAGTGCAGCATGTACGATGGCATCCTCTCAGCCGATCCCGGTGGTGAGGCCTTCTCCAGATGAAGAAGCGGTGTCCTGGGTTCCTCATAACAACTTTTCTGCCTGTGACTCATTCTCAATCACGGAGATGGTGTTCCATGTGATGTATGTGAACGAAGCCCTGAGGCAAGACATCATCGCCATTCCGGTGAACCGTCCTGGGTCAAGCTGGCCGATCTTTTGATGGATGATGCCGGAGTGGGTTTCACAGTCGGAGACTTCCTCATGGTAAACGATCGGATTCGGGTTGGTAATGAACGGCAACTTCATGCCTGCCTGCAGTACTTGCGGAATGCCTCAATGTTGAACTCTGATGTATACGTGTACAACTCTAACACAGCATCATCAGGTGTACCGCAGCAGCATGGATGATGCGTCCTTGGAGGCTAGCACCGGCATTTTCTGGTGAACTGGCGCAGATCGCGGGGCCTGAGAGCGACACGGCCTTCGTTCGATCCGCCGCTGGCCATGTGCGTTAAGGTAGGCATGGCACGTGTCTGGATCACTTCCATCCGGGGTCATATGCCGATTTTCGGTAGGATGCCGGAACACCCGAGGATTCATATTTACTGTACTTGTCTCACGAGCAAATCTGTCTATCAAGCACTGAGTCGGACCCTCGGGAGACTCTACAGATGTTCCCCAGAGCTGCCTTACCCCTATCAGACATATTCTCAATGCTCTATTGCCTCATCATCAACGCCTGCAGGTGTGCAGCACATAATCGATCATTGTCACACTATCGAGATCTATCTAGGTTCGACACCGTGCTTTGCGAAAACTTCCCATGTCGACAAATGTCTCACCCTCACCAACGCAGATCTTATCCAAGAATCTTGCGTACTCTGCTTGGGCCTCGAGATCAGGTGCCATGCCGAGTATACGGCCTTAGCTAGCTGCTTGGGCTGCAAATACACCATGACAAGAGCCAGGCCGGACATCCCCAATGTTTAGGCGAGACACTTGAAAAGCAGGACGATTATAGGTATCTGCACCACCTGTGGACAACTTCTCGTGTGACGATGTCAGCTTGGGTCTACTCCTGATGGTATTCCGTCGCATTTTGGAGCACGAGCGGAAGAAATTTAGATGACATCCTGCTCCTAGCGCTTCAGCATCCCAGGACGCCGAAATGCACCACATTATATGCAATTCCTCGACCACACCGGTCCAGCGATTTCCAGCCCATCAGCGCTCACGTATTAAGTCAGGGCGCATTTTGAACTGGCGCAGAGGAAACGCCTGATCGTACCCAATGCGCCGGAGAAAGGTAGCGAGCGCAATGCGACTTCCTGCTTCTTGGTCAAATGACCGAGCGAGACTCGTGCTTCAGCGCCGACATGACCATCAAATGATGTGCTTACCGCCTCTCTGTTGCAGTTCGTCTACGTCTCCTTTATGGCGATTCAATATCGAGCATTGGATCGTTCAATGGAAGTGTCATAGTCGCTCGCACGAGAGGGAGAGGAAAGGGGCTCACCCTTCTAGAGATGTAAACCTTCGGGCTCGTCAATATACTACTCGCTCTCCAGATTCGTCCTCCTTGTTACTGGGGTAGTTTAGCTAGTTGTAGAACTCTGTATCAAACCCTCACAAAGGGTATCAGGGAGGTGAGTTAGAGAGGTCTAGAGAGCTATTCCTCGACGTCCCACAGCCTGACGGTGTAATCGCTCGAGCCCGACGCGAGCCGCCTACCGTCCGGCGAGAACACGACAGTGTTGACCATGCTGGAATGGCCAGAGAGCGTCGACAGCAGTGCCCCTGAGTCGCTGTCCCACAGCCTGACCGTGTCGCCCGAGACCGACGCGAGTCGCCTGCCGTCCGAGAACGCGACGGCGCGGACCGAGTTAGAATGACCAGAGAGTATCGCCATCAGCGCCCCTGACTCGCTGTCCCACAGCCTGACTGTGTAATCGCTCGAGCCCGACGCGAGTCGCCTGCCGTCCGAGAACGCGACGACGCGGACCGACTTAGAATGACCAAAGAGTATCGCCAGCAGCGCCCCTGACTCGCTGTCCCACAGCCTGACTGTGTGGTCACTCGAGCCCGACGCGAGTCGCCTGCCGTCCGGCGAGAACGCGACGGTGTTTACCCCGTCAGAATGGCCAGAGAGCGTCGCGAGCGCTGCCCCTGACTCGCTATCCCACAACCTGGCTGTGTGGTCACTCGAGCCCGACGCGAGTCGCCAGCCGTCCGGCGAGAATGCGACGACATTGACCCCTTCAGAATGGCCAGAGAGCGTCGCGAGCGCCGCCCCTGACTCACTGTCCCATAGCTTGACTATGTTGTCGCTCGAGCCCGACGCGAGCCGCCTGCCGTCCGGCGAGAATGCGACGGCGTTGACCTCGTAGGAATGGCCAGAGAGCGTTGTGAGTGTCACCCCTGACTCGCTATCCCACAGCCTGACCGTGCTGTCGCCCGAGCCCGACGCGAGCCGCCTGCCGTCCGGCGAAAACGCGACGGTGTAGACCGAGTAGAAATGGTCAGAGAGCGTCACCAGCAGCGCCCCTGACTCGCTGTCCCACAGCCTGACTGTGTGGTCACTCGAGCCCGACGCGAGTCGCCTGCCGTCCGGCGAGAATGCGACGGTGTTGACCGCGTCGGAATGGCCAGAGAGTGTCGCCAGCGTGCGCGACAACCTAGCTTTGGATAGGAAGCGTCTCATTCGCTTATGATCTCTTTGAATCGCAATCAACCGAGGACTCGGCTCTCCAACTTCCAACTCTTTCTCTGGGAGTATTGTCAACAAGAGTGTAGCCACGTCAACATCACCCGTCTCCGCAACGGCTTGAAATGGGTACAGAGTTCTTTTTCCGGCCCAATCGTACAAGGGAAGACTGTATATCGACGTATTAACCTCGCGCCGCTGATCGATCGCAAGTGCTAAAAGTCCATAGTGCGAATTCATAATGGACCAGCTATATAACGAAGCAACATGCGAAGCGTGCGAGTGGTAGTGCCTCTGCCAGGGAAAAATCCACCATGCGTTATTATTCGACAGCGCAAGATCTCTAAATTTGGAATAGTGTGAGGAATCCGTGGTGATGTGTCGCGTAAGTGGAGTCCAGTGTTCTTTCGCATAAGATATGAACGATTTACGATCAAAGCCAAGGTTGACCTGCCGAGCTGGAGCCACTGAGCGGATCCCGGAGATACCGGATGATCGACGGTTTTGGTATCGAGAGAGCCATGGAAACACGGTTTTTGCGACAGATAATCCAATATTGGTCGGTACCGGTAGACGCACATGAGAGGAAGCTTGGCTATGAATGGTGAGGTCCTGGATTGGCATGCTTCGGTAGAGATGAGCAACACAAAGTTCGCCCAGTTCTAGCTCGATAGAACCGTGGTCTCCTGGTAGTGCAAGCAGGAATTGGCGAACTGAAGCATGAGCCAAAAGAACAAGCTCGTCTCCACCACTGGTATCCACTGAAATGAAGCTAGTACAACACGCCAGGAGGGCACCCTTTTGTATCGGATCACTCTTCAGTGCACCAGTTTTAGGATCGACCACTAACGCTTCCTGAAGTTGACTGACTTGAAATGGTTCCCTGGCAGCGCATACTAGCTTTAGAGCTCTGCTGGCAAGAGACTGCGTCCTTTTGTCCTGATTCGCCTTCTGAAAACAAGTTTGGTATATGTCGTTCAATTCCTCTGGCAGCTGTTGAAGAGATCTGTATATCGTGGCATCAACTGCGTCTTCTCCAGAGCAGTTATTCCAAAGCAGCTGTATTTGAAGTTTGGCCCAAAGAAACATGCGGTCGGCTTTCTTCATCAATTCCTGCTTGATATATGTGAGCATATTTTCACTCTCAGATATTTGACGTCCACACTGCATGCTGTCGACTTCGCACCCGATGAACAGCTCCATATCTGCCTTGGTCCTTTCGGGAGTGATCCGGATGCAAACAACGTCCGAAATTGATCTTGTGATATCAACTTCCTCACGACAGGCAATTAGCACTCTATTTGAGGGAGCACTAAGAAGCTTTTTGAATATTCTTAGAACCTCCGAAACCTCTTTCGTATTACATTCATCGAGCCCGTCGACGATGAAAGTACATTCACTTATGGTCGTCGAAAGCGGCGTTATCAGCTCGTCTATCACCTCATCCAGAGATGGAGGACGCTTTTTGGGCGCGTAGAACTCAATAATCTGACCAATAACAGCAGGAGGGCAGGGTTTTTGGATCGTCTGCAAATGATGAAGGAGTTGCTTTGTGTAACTCTCGAACAAAGAGCGCGCAGTAAGGTGTTGGCGGTAGGAGTGATGGAAAAAGTAATGGAGGACTGGTTTGCCAATCTTGTGGGCTTCGATAGACGTTTTTTGGGTCATAGAAGCTCTGATACATTGTCAGTAATTGCAAGTGGAGCGAGCAAAAGGGCACATGCAAGGTGACACTTTTACCAGAACCAACTGGTATGAAACTGTCAGTCGTGGAGCAATAACCGGAGGGAGAGCCAATAACACACTGATGCCGGTTAACCACAAACACCGAGATGGTCCGTTATAGAGCCATGACTCAAAATCCGGCTCCTTCAAGACCCATTCAGCTGTGCCCTTCAGCCTTTCGCTCGCTCGACGGTTATAATGTCTTTGGTAGTTGTAATTGGACAAACGTTCTAGCAGGTTGGGCCCGGGAATTCCTGCTAAAGTTAATGTGACATATATATTAACTTTCGCTGACTCACTGGATCGTGTTAATATGGCTTTCCACTCTGGCCGATCAATCACTTCCAAGTCAAGCAAAGAAGGAACGCTGGGGGTCGGCTCGCTCAGAGCAATAGCGGTATTATTGCCCTGGAGGCCGGGCGTCTGGCTTCGTTCTGCGAGCCATTAGCTTTATTGCTATACTCGGGGACTAGCACTGACCTGTTGTTGCTCCCTCGGCCGTACGTGCCTTCGCTACATCGTCCGCCGGTATAACTTCCAGCAAATCCTTCGCGTACGCTGCTGCCGTTAGAGCCGCATAAGGCTGCCACCTCTTGTTCTTATGCGAGTCTGCGTAGTCGCATATCCCGCGGATAACCAGGCATGGCAAGCTGTTCATCAGGCCCGCTGCCTCCATCTCGAAGCAGAGGGCGCCTCCAACCTCCGAGCTAATCTTGGCTCTGGTTGTGCCGTCCCTCATTACCTGGTTTCCCGAGGCAATTGCGCCGTAGTGCACTTCAGGCGTGTCCGTCGTCCGCCCATCGCGCTGTAGTATCCTTGCCTTGTCGCATGATGCGCAGGTGTCCGCCCCAACATGATCGTAGCCCTCTTCGAACAATATGTCATCACCCGCTTTATCTCGGTCGAATTCAGACTGCTTGCCGGGTCTGGAGATGTGTGATACAAACTCGCTCTTGCTTCGTCTGTGTTTCGCTTGCAGCTTCGACACGGCGCTGAGGAGGATTGGAGGAGGGGAATTCAGGAAGCCGGTTCGTTCAAATTCGTTCGGCTTTGACTTTCCGTAATCAAATTGGATGACTCCGCCGTGTCCTTTACCCGGCTGGCTCACCACAACATCCCCTAATCGAATATCAGCGTGCTCGCTTGGAATGCCACCTCCGATCCCAACCATCAGTCCAAAACGAATGGCGCGGAAGGATGAGTTCATCTGTACAGCGACCGAGGCGGCGGAATTAGTGCCGGTCCGTCCTGCGGGTAGGCAGGCAAGGACGACGTTATGCTTGCCAATGCGCCCAAGAGTGTATATATTGGGGTCGTCGCCGGCCCGGGGGAGATCATCGTGCTGTTCGTCGAGCATCTCTTGCGCTGCCGCGAGCTCGATGGGCAAGGCGCTCACCCACCCTACTGTGTAGTCGTCGTGGCAGAAGCGGCGTGCCATCGCGATTCTATGTTGGTCCAGTCGTGCATAAGGCTGGGTTTGCGCTTTCAAGCGGGCGGAAGCTATTGAAGCGTGAGCGCTTCATCACGCGGGTTTGCGCATGTGTGGTCTTTAGCCCTGCGCTTTGCGCGGTCGATAGTGGAAAATCGCAGCTCTTCAGAATTTATAGTGATGAACGACCGTTCGACACTGCTGCGCCTGGATTCAGCGCGCTGCTTTTGACAAGGCTCAAAGAGTAATGGGACGAGTTCTGTCGCCGTCCAAATGTCTGCGACAGAAACCAATCACAGTGGTCCGGGTCTTCCAGGTGACCACGGCGGCGCGGCTCGTGGCCCTACCCGGGTTGAGTCACAGGTGACTGCTCGCCTGGCTCGCGCTGGCCAGGGCAAGCATAGGGCGGCCTCATCTTCGTCCGGAAACGGGGGCGCAGATTTCCCCCATAGTGGCTGGCAAAATGAGCCAGTGGCGCGAAAAAACCGATGGACCGTCGTGCGCTGGGAGACCGCGATTATCGGCCTGGGAGATCTCCAAGCTTGCCCATGCGGAAGCGCAGTTGATGGCATACATTTTCGACCAGCATTGTCGAGGATCAACAGCACTCAATCAGCGCGGAAAGCTATCAATGCGACGCTAGATTCACCCGGCATATCATTCCACAATGGAGAGAGAGGTCAGGGTTAAAGAACCAAGTCAAGTCAAGTCAAAGCTGTAACATAGGCGCTCTTTGTTGTTGATGGTCTTCCTTCCGGCATGATGTTGAACCCTATCTCGATAGGCTGGAGGCCCCGAACGAGATCGCCGTGCTGGAATCAAGTAGACCTGATGCTGTTCCTTTCAGTCAAGTCGAGGGTGAGAGTGAACGAGGCGAAGGAAGATAGGTGACAATGATGTCGGACATGGCATAAACTGTCACCAGTCTGGAGGTGCCCCTCCCATTCCAGACCGAGCAGCTATAGCATGAGCAATGGAGCCTCGACCCTTCACGCAATGAGGAGTGCCAAACTATGAACGGTAATTGTCAGGAGTTGGCGCCTTTGCAATTTGCACTGGCGCCTCTCCGCCAACGAGAGAACGCTTTTGAGCCGCTGTTGATTGTCGGGGCTATTTAATGGTCAATGGGATCTGAGGTCGAGTGAGGAGCTGGAGTCAATCCACAAGAGGAATTGCACTCTCCTCTATCCATTTGCTCACTTTCTTTGCGTGATGGATAGTGGCGTTATCCTGCTTGAATAACCGTCCAAGGGACCAACAGCGAGGCAGTTGATCCTACAAAAACCTCGAAATGTGGGAGTTAGCAGTGAAAAGGTGGCCCAAACCACAACCGAGAGACACCATATTCTCTCCTTCCCCGCGGGCTTGGATTAACCTCAAGGTTATGGCGTGTATTACAAATCATCCATCTCATTTTGCAAACTGTATCACGACCTTTCTCTTTGTGATTGAAACGAACCATGTAAGTATCTATACACTATCTATACTGTACGATTGGAACATTTAGGACGCGAGTGAAGGGAGCAACTCCGGCAGATAAGGGCAGATACCTAGATAAACTGTCTGTGTCTTTGCTCATTGTGGATTTCAAATCATTCACCTAATTCCCCAACCGTATCACGACATTTCTCTTTCCCCATATCCACCTTCAAGGTAAGGCCCCTCCAAGGGAAGGGTATCATTCACCACCTTAGGTTCGGACCTGCTTATTTATATCTTAGATACCTACAACACGCTCTCCGACCATCGTGGATTCATATCTTCTTCTCTATACAGACGAGGAGTGACAAAAGATTTCAATATGGCGAATGCTACTACCACCACCACCACCAACGGCCACTCGGCCTCCACGCCTGAGATCATTCTTTATACGAACTACTCGTGTCCTTGGGCTCATCGTGCACACGTTGTCCTCCGAGAGCTCGGCCTGCCTTACAAGGAGGAGATTATCGATTTGGACCGGCCTCGCGATCCGTGGTATTTGAAGGTCAATCCTGTATGTATCATCGTCACCTTCCACCTCACGCCTCGTCCTTCAATGCAAAATACACGATACAATCACCCCCGGCCAAAGTTACCACTACAAACCATCCTCCAAAGTATCTATTGAGCTTCTGACACCATCTCCCTTGCTGGTCTCTGGCATGCGCAGCGCGGTCTAGTTCCAAGCATCAACTACAACGGCGAAATCATCACCGAGTCGGCCATCGTCGCGGGATTCCTGGCCGACGCACACCCGTCACACCTCATCCCTCCATCATCGACCGACCCTCTCCACCGTGCCCGTCTCGCCTTCTTCGTCGACACCTTCTTCACCAAGGCCATCCCGAAATTCTTCGCGACGCAACGAGCCGAGGGCGCCGCCGCCAAGGAGGCCGCCGCGGAAGAATTCGCCGAGATTCTGGCAAAGGAACAAGAACCTCTTTTCACCTGGGACGTGGACTCGAGTGCACCCTTCTTCGGAGGGAGCGAGAGGCTCACTCTCGCAGAGGTATGTTTTGGTCCCCTTTTCCCGGCTCGGTTTTCTTTTCGGTCGTCCATCTCTCAGTTCTGCATTCTCATCCTCATTCTCATCATCATCATCATCATCATCATCATCATCATCGTCATCACCATGTTTCCCTCCAAACCAACCGTGACATGTATTCGTCGCGTTCGTGTAACCCCCCCTCTTTAGCTACCGAGTTTTGAGTCCGACAGAGACGGGGACATACACCCGTTACAGACACAAATGTAACCCCCCCCCTCCGAGAGACAAGGAAAGCTGACGTGTGTGAAAAACCTCAATCACGAAAAACAATAGGCACTCACGGCACCATTTGTTCTCCGCCTCATCGCTCTGAGCAAGCCTGAATACGACCTCGTGACCCCCAAGATCGTCTCGATCCTCGAGTCGAAAACCCCCAAGTTCGCCGCTTGGGCCCAGAAGGTCGTCAAGGAGGAAAGCGTCACTTACATCTTCGACGAGAAGAGCATCGCTGAGCGGACCAAGGCGAGGTTTGCCAAGTTGGCTGCCGCCGAGAAGAAGCTCTAATGTTATCGTATAACTAACAGCCTTTTGTCACCAGACGATAACAGGGATCCTTCGCGCGCACTTTTAGTGATTTCCCATGTGCCCTGAGGCCTTATTCTAGCTATGAGATATCAGTTATTATGACTTGAATATGATTATCATCGTCATTGTCGTCATCAACGTCATCACTACAATCATGAGCATAACTATTGGTATCATGAACGGTATGAATCATCATAAGAGAGCTATAGGATAGTCCCTGAGCCTCTGATTGGGCGTCTCAGTCCGGTCTGATCCCGTCAAGTCATACATCCTATTAAATACTTCTCATACAGTCAAAGACGTACGAAATCGCCGGGGAATTACTCTCTCTTTTGTTTTCTCCGTTTCTTTCAACCGCCCCTTCTCCCCTTCCTCCACCATTACTGGGTAGTATTGTCACTCACCATCATGCCCCACCTTCTTGCACGCCTAATCACAAGGAATACCGAAACTCCGGGTTCTGGATGTCGGTCAGATCCTGAAACTCGTGGTTCTTCTCCAAGACGAAATCGTCGCCTCGTTCCGCCTTGGCCGCGTCCCTCTTCTTGTTGCGGTAGACGTACACGAGCCGAATCAGGCACAGGTCCACCGTGATCAAAAAGTAGAGAATGACGATTGAGATTTTGGCCGGCAGGTATCGCGGAGCGTCGCGGGCTTGGAACGTTTGTGGGGAGATGATGTTTCCCACCGTGTATGCTATCGTGCCTGTTTTTTTTTCCCCACAGATACACCAATTAGTAACCTAGCTCTCGGATAGCAACTGTGTGTGGGAGTGCGCGCGTGTGTCTCTCTGAATACGAGAAAGAGAGAGAGAGAGGGGTGGGACACATAAGAGAGCTGAAACGTGTGCTTACCTATGCATGTGACGGTAATCTTCTTCGTAGACCCGGCAACGTTTGTCGCTTGAAGTCCCAGGATGGTCGTCCAACCTATCGGGATGCCTCCGCTGAGGTAATACCCGACCAGGGCAGAGGCCTTTTCCGTCGAAGCCATCAGGATGGCACCGACGATGGACGGGATGTGCGTCAAGATACAGCACAGCAGGCGCTGCTTGGTCTTCATGGCGATGTACGTGACGCCGATAAGCACGACAACCTCGTACGCGCCCAGCGGAGTCACGAGCAGCAGCGAGTTGATTTTGGTGTACCCCATGCCCGTGACGAGGATGTTGCCGAAACTGGTGGCGATCGAGTTGGGGATGTTGGCGGCAAAGACCCAGAACGCGTACAGCCAGGTGTTGATGTCGGTGAGGGCCTCGCGGAACTGGTCCCACTTGAACGTCTTCGATCCGATGCCTTGCTCGTTGCCGCGGATGCGCTCGACGTGTTCGAGTTTTTCTTGCTCGGAGAGAAACCCAGCCACGGCGGGCGAGTCCGGCAGGACGAACCAGAAAATCACGCCGACGATGACCGTCAAGAGACCGAGGACCAAGAATATGACTTGCCATCCTCGCAGCGCGGCGTGGACGTCGCCTCCTACGTGCCGCGCGACCCCGTACGCGAAGTAGCCTCCGAACATCTGGGCGAAGCCACACATGCTGAACCAGATGCCGACGCGGAAGGCTTGTTCTTCTTTTCGGTACCATTGGCTTGTGAAGACCTTTGGGAAGGAGGTAGAGTCAGTGAGTATGCTTTCTGTTTCTCTGAAAAGTTGTCCAGAGGGGAAAATAAATACGTACAACCCAAGCAGGCACAATGGCGGCTTCCGCCACTCCAAGAAAAAATCGGCATGCCAACAGACTTCCGTAGCTTTTACACCCGGCCAACGCAGCTAGGACACCGCCCCAGATGACGACGTTGACGCTGACGTATTTCGCGAGGGGGAAAACTTGCAACAACCGGATCGTGGGAAACTCGAACGTCAACTGACCGAAGAAGAAAATCGACGCCACCCAGTTGAACTGATTCCCGTGAAGATGAGCAGATTCTCGGAGGCCGGTTACACTGGCGTACGACAGCGACGTCTTGTCGATATATTGCAAAAAGTAGACCAGACAGATGAGTGGCATGATGTGTAGATCGATCTTTCGGAGGAGTCGCCGTTGCCGGGCGGGATCGATGGGTTGTTGAAGGCCGCCAGTTTTGTTCAGAAGTTCAAGAGCCGCATCGGCGTTGCTTATGTCGCGTTGTTTCTCCGTCGGTGCTTTTTCAGTAGATGGCGAGGCCACAACGGTCTCCAAATCTTCTTTCGCCATTTCGCAGGTGTGCAGGATGTGTGACAGACTCTGATGGTGAGAAGAATCCGCGACCGTGGCTGCTGGTAGATTCTGCGTCACACAAAAGTACCATGTGTTAAACGTTTATATAGGATCTACCCGAAGTGAGGTATCCATTGTAGACGCCGTACTCGTGGGATTCCGCAAGGCTTGCAAGCACGCAATTGTGGGCCCAGATCTTCTCATGAGCCCATGTAACCATGCTCCTGTGCAGTGGTCCAAGCATGATTGGACCACGCTTAATTTTGCTTGTCTGGTTTTGCCTTCAGGTGTATTCTGCACCAGTATCAATATTGTTCATTGGTTGCTTCGAGACGGATTTGTCCTCATGTCCGATAACAGGTGTACCGTGGTGATGGATCATCACTCCACTGAAAACCTCAATCTTGCAGAATCGCGTGCTCTGCAAGCGAGGACGACTTCCTAAAGCCGAGTATTCTCCTGGAGATCCTGGTGAAAGTATTGGTGGTTGTGGCGAAGAAAATATGATGAAGTTGGTGATATATCCGTCCTAGCCATTCGCCCCGGTAGAAAAACGGGTGCCATGAAGGAAGGAGTTGCCTTTCGCGTGAGCAGCACAGTTCATAGCTTCTCCATTAGATCATATCGCCAGCAGCGCATCCTGTTTTCAGGGAACTCGGCGATCGGGGCGATATTGAGCACACCCCAAACATAGTTAGTTAGTCGATTGGCCGTCAAATTTGAGGCTGATGCATGGCATCGTATCCGAAATACTGTCACTCCTCCGGATGCCTCCATGCTCGTTAGTGTTTCAGAGATAGATTTCGAGGATATGGTTAGCTTCTAGCCACGAACGATAGCCGAAATCCAAGCGATTCAAAGATTCTAGTGGTCGACATTGATGCGCGTTGATCTTGCCATTGGAAATCTGTAATATTGTATCGGCAAGTTGCCTGCTTGCGTGACATTACACGTTCCTTTGTGCCTCTTTTGTTCAAAGGTCGGGTCTTGATTCCACATTTCGCAGCCAACATGGCGCATCTTGAGGTTAGCCGGTCCAGTCCAAACCATGAGTAAGTCACCACACAACATACTCGGCACTAGTCTTTCGGTTCGTCTCTTCGCTTGCATTTTGATGGCGACAAGCAAAGCCCTTACCTCTCTTGGCGGGCCAGATAGGAGGCTAGCTTCTGTAAATGCTGTACGGTTGTACCGATTCCAAACAAACCGGTGCCTTATAACCGTGTGTCGTGCTGGTTCCGACAGACGTGGTACTTGTCCCTTATATTCAGGTATCGAAAAATGCGGACCACCTATATCGCTTACCTGCAGCCAAGACTCACACACTGCCGTTCCCGCTTCTTTCCATCTCATGATCTTTACAGTCTTCCGGAGAAGACAGAGGTATCACGTTACAAAATACCGCGTTCAAAGCACGATGAATGTCCTGATGTGAGCTTCAGGATAAGAGGGGAGTGAGAGGGGGTGGTTGCTGAACACTCAGTCGCCCGGGTGTGGCTTACCTTGTTGACCAAACCGAGGGTAATGGTATTGGTCTTGCGAGGCACATGGCTGTGGTCGTCGCATCGTATAATCGCCACTAGGTAAGGTAGTCTAGTCTTATTAGCTTTAGACTGGAACTGCACATGCTTACGGGTAGATAGGGAGGGTTTTCGTGGCATCTCCTAGTATATCTGGAAGAGAGCCCTCCTTCGTATCTTGCGGCATATCTGGAAAGGAAGATATCTTGACTAGACTCCAAATGATAGGGTGGATGCAGATCCTACAGCGCCGAAGAGGTTAGACCAGGCCTGGAAGTGATCTCAAGATGCTGGCAACGTGACGCTACACATCGAGTGAAGCGGAGTGCGGACCCGGTACACCTGTTGGCTACCCGGCTTTCCTCTTGTGAAGGCGACCAGCCGACTCTATGGACGCCGTGGATTCTCCCCGTTCTCGTCGGGAACTTCGCCATGTAGACGCGAGGAAAACGATTCTCTTCGCATGAGCATCTGAAAAGAGATGAGGGTACAGCAACCTGTTAACAATGTACATACAGGTACAAAGGTAGATAGATAGGTCTCACCTTGCCTCCATGTTCGTTCAGAGAAAGAAATGTCTGGGCGTTCTTCGGCGGAGCACAAATCTTTCCACCACATGAAATCCTGCAGATCACAAAATCACCGATGTGCAATTCCTTTCTGAGCAAAGCCTGATCAAGCTTTGCTATGTATTACATAGGCCTTCATCCTTCTTACGAAGGGGTGCAATTAGTCGCGCATTTCTTACAATCTTGATGAAAGACACCTCAGAATGGCTGTGGAGAATTTAAACGCCCGTTGCCCTCGCCAAGGCCACCTGAGAGCTCCTCTCGCCTAAAGGAGCCCCCGACTCATCGCATCGCATACATTTGATGCATAAATCTATCGACGATGACACAGTCCCCTCTCAAGGTGATCGCCTTGATATCCGGCGGCAAAGACTCTCTGTTCTCCATCCTACATTGCACGGCAAATGGGCATGAAGTCGTGGCCCTTGCAAATTTACATCCCAAGCTCTCCAGCAATGTCGGGACCGAGAGCGGCGACGAGGGAGAAGACATGAACAGCTTCATGTATCAGACGGTCGGGTACTCGGTCATTCCTCTCTACTCGCAGTGCCTTGGGATCCCATTATACCGGAGAGAAATCACGGGCACGGCAGTACAGACTGGACGATATTACGACAGCGGCCACGACCAGAAATCTCTTGACGAAACGGAAGATTTGGCACTTTTGTTGCAAGATGTGCTCAAGGAGCACCCTGAGGCCAACGCCCTGTGCTCAGGCGCCATTCTCTCGACGTACCAGCGGACGCGTGTCGAGTCGGTGGCCGTTAGGCTTGGGCTCACTCCCCTGGCGTACCTTTGGCAATATCCTGCTCTTCCACCCCCTCCTGGCCGTGAAGACTCTTTGACAGGGCTTCTTCACGACATGTCGAGCGCTGGGTGCGACGCTAGGATCATCAAGATCGCCAGTGGCGGGATCAAAGAAAACCTGCTCTGGTCCAACGTCGCAGATGCAAGAACTCAGTCCAGGCTGGTAACTGGTTTGCGCCCATTTTTTACAGATCACGAGTTCTGGCTTCGCGGCGCTGTGCTTGGTGAAGGAGGCGAGTACGAGACGCTCGCCGTGAACGGTCCGAGACCTCTCTGGAAAAGAAGAATTGAGATCCCGACAGACAAAACCTCGACCTTCTACGGAGAAGGCGGTGTGTCCTATTTTCGGCTGGGAACGGCAAAAACCGTAGAGAATGACATCCGGGATTCATCGAGTGAGGTTTCGGGAACTCCACAGCCTCGCTCTCTCGATGTACAGTTCGAAAATGTGCTTGAGAGAGTCCAGACTCAAGCGTCGGAGATGATGGTGTCGGACAGTGGCAGGGGTGCAGCAGCAGTCCCTTCAGAGAATCAATCGGCGAGCTTCTCCAATGAGCTTATGCCTATGACTCAGAATCTGGCCGCAGCTTATCTTACCATTTCCAACATTACTGCCACAAAAACAGGCGTACCGTCTGATGACACTGAGACTGCCGCCGACCAGATGAGACATATATGCAAACAGCTCAATGCCGTGCTCGACTCAATTAAAGTCCCTGGAAGATTGACAACGTCAAACATTGTGTCCACAACATTGCTGCTCAAGGACATGTCACAATTCGCGTCGGTAAACTCAATATATTCGTCAATGTTCCGACCTGGGGAACCAAATCCGCCAGCTAGAGTGACTATCTCCTGCCAACTTCCACAGGGTGTCGAGGTCAGTCTCAATGTGATACTGGATCTTGGACCGAGAGAGGCGAGACGAGGCTTACACGTCCAAAGCCGCAGCTATTGGGCCCCGGCCAACATCGGTCCTTATAGTCAAGCGATCTGTGTACCAGTTCAGCAGTCTCCTGAAGCGGGAGTCAACGTGCACGATGCAGGTCTCCTCGAAATGGTTCACATGGCTGGACAGATCCCGCTGGTGCCCCAGAGCATGCTTCTTATGGATGGCGACTTCACCCATGCAGGTGTCTTGAGTCTTCAGCATCTTTGGCGTGTGGGACAAGAACGAGACGTAGACATCTGGCCCTGGGGGGTTGCGTTTGTCAAACAGGATCCCAACGCAGCAGAGAGCAATGCCACGACGGCTCTGCAAATATGGGAGAAAGCTCATCGCATAGGGACGAGGCCTAGGAATACTTCATCACGTGACGACGAGGAGGAGGAGGAGGACAACGACAGAGGTCCAGACGCCTGGGATTTGCAATTCAATCGTTTCCAGCTGACGATCTCGGCGTCACACGATGAAGTCCTCGGCCGACATCTTCATGTTCTGCCTAACAACACAGTCTTCGGCCAACGAGCAACGGCCGCCGATATCATACCTCCGTTCATTGCGGCAGAGGTGATATCGCTACCGAGGGACGCACCGGTGGAATGGTGGAGTCTAGGCGTTGCCAACGTAACCCAGGTGCTCGACTCAAATCCTGCAGCGGCGTCTTGTGGGCGAGCAGATTTTGCATGGGGCTCAATCAGCAGGACTTCCCTTCATGCTGAGAAGTCCCGAGAAGCGTCTTCAGCACGGGCTTCGGCCGTCCAGCATCTGATGACGGTTTTGGTCCGGCTGGCCTCAGACAGTGGCGATTTTCAAACAGGATATCATCAACATGTCGAAGATGATCTTCGCGCCTATCTCTTGCAACTCAACATCTCACACCAGCCGAAATCACCACTGCTCGAATGCGTCCACGGGACAGCCTTCGTGTCGACCGTCGGGGGACATCCGCAGTGGGCCGAGCTCTCGAAAAGGCAGCTCTTCGGCACCTTGACGGTCATACCATGCAGGTCGGTGTACGGTCGACCCGGGACGCCATTCTCGTCGATCGACGACGCGTCCGAGGGAGCGAAAAGCAGCGAGAGTCTCGGTCAAGTTAGGTACCCTGGCACAGGCGTCGCAGACGTCACAGCCGAGTCCGCGACGTGTCAACCTTTGGCAGTAGCCATGACGATGCGTATCGATTCGACAATCCGCGCATAGAGTTTGGGGCCCTTCCGAAGGCCCTCATGCTGGGGGCCTTGACAGCTGTCAAAATGCGGAATCCTCGTTGTCATCCTTTTTTGAATCTTTTGACTTGTGCCGTCAAGCCACCGAAGACTGGGGCCCAGGGCTAACTCGGGGCTCCACTGAAAACTGATCGCTCCACTTTCTGCACACAGACGTCCGAAGAGTCGTGAGGTGACTTTCAGAGTTCAGCCAACCCCTACCCCACAGAAACGCGACTGAAAGAAAGCACAGACATGCAGCGGTTAACAGTGGAGTACAAGCATGGAGCATCTCAAGTCTGGTCCCAGTATGAGATCAGTCGATGCTCCGTACGAGGGTACCTGATGGTCTGAGCACCGCGCGGGCGGGTGATGGAGAAAAGGCCACAAGGGAAAAAAGTCTGTGTGTTTACAGAAAGACGCGTTTCACAGACGCGACTGTTGTTGATATGGCTTCTGTCTGACCACGCTGAGACACTTTGACGGATTGCGCCATTATCATGATTTATTGCGGGCGACGATAACTTTCTGGGATCGATCGTATCGATAACGGTGATTCCACCATTCTCGGCCTCCACGAGTGCGTCTTTGTCCCAAGTCATGAATGCCCTCGATAGGCCTTAGCGCCCATAAGAGCACTTTTTTCGTACTTGCATTAGGTATGTGAAGCCCGTTGCTCTCCGACACCAACAGTAGGCGCACCATACCAAACGGGTTATCCGGTCGTCCCATGCCCATGGGGGAAGGGGATTCTTTGTTTACAGATGAGTTTCGCGGATGCATGAAATATTGATCTTGTGCAGTAGTGGACATTCGATAGGTGCTGCTACTAGCCAGTCATTAATGCATCGAGTCTCTATCCGATTCTTCGGTTATGCATGCAGTGCTTGTTATTCAACCGGGGGGTTGGTGTTGTTGTGTTAAGTTGTCCGTGTTTGTGGCAAAAGAGACTCGTACGGTACTCGTACCGTGATCCTTGTCCTTCATGTCAAGCCCATAGAAGTCCCAACAATCGAAGGGTCTAGGGTTGGTTGTCAAAGCAGGCCAGAGCGAAAGGCAGAGCGAGAGCCAGAGCCCACCTCGACCACTCGCGCAAACAAGCACTGACCATGCCATGTTGTTGGAGTGCACAAGCCACCATTCGTAGTCGTACACGGTACGAGTACCTCAGGTACTGACTGTGGTGCAGGTAGGCAGTGCCACCCCAGCGAGCGAGGGCCCGTCATCCGCAAATTTGAGGGCCACGTCTTCTGGATTCCGCGTACCTGAGTTGTTTAGTCTGCAACAGCACCCTCCCGCCAGCTTCTGACGTATTCCCCTGCCATCGTTGACGTCTACCGTCATTCATGACAAACAGCAACTCATCGACGACTTCGAGACGCGTCGTCGAAACGACACGTCCCTCGCGTCGAAAAATTCTGCACCGAGTCAACAAACATACACAGTCGTGCTTGTGAAGGTGGAAACGGCCCGGGCACTTTTTTCCTTACCTGCTTTTGGAGATTGTGGATGTAGCGGGGGGACATTCTGGCATACCGAGGGACTACTCGTAGATTTTTTTTGGTTGATCCTCCACAGTCTGGATCTGCGAATGGATTCTGTGAGGATCCCGCGATTCGTCAGAGTTATTATTATCGGAAAGGCCTGGGAAGACTCTGCTTCATCCGAGACAAGACATATGTTTTGTTTGTCTTGAGACGTGTTGTTCTGCATGCACGAGAAATTTTCCTTGCGAGGATGCATGCTTTGAGTCAAAAAGATGACTGGATTGTCGGTCGTATGGGTACAAAGACAATAGTTTTTGGGGGATCCATTCCTTAGCAAAAGAAGGACCTGTATGTTGAACGCATAGGTAGGTAGGGAGCACTCATGGACCAAGAAACTGGTACACTCACCCGGCACACTCAGCCGCCGCACTCACCGGCGCACTCACCGGCGTCCGAAGTTCATAAATACGAGTAACTAGTAGGTGGCTCAGCCAGGGCCCATCCCAAGGTCGGGGTTGATTTGTGTGTGTTTGCTGATTTTGGATACTTTGCGTGCAGGGATCTGAACGGGGAACAGTAAAATCCTGCAGAAGAGGTCTCTCTTAGGCCAATCCGGTCGATTTTGTAGATCATTGCGGTTGTAAATAAATTGGGACTCGAACAGCTCATGTTTTGGTGTGCTTCGGACCGACAAGAAGACTCACGAGTTGTGTGCCGTGTGAATGAGCACCGAGGTAAATAGGTAGGAGGTTAAATCTAGTTAAGTTAACTAGTGAAGCAGGCATCCCCCTTGTAGGCGTTGCGAATAGCTTGGGGGAACTATCGAGACACCTATGCAGGGACTCCAGGTCGTCGTCGTAGGTGAATAGTAGGAATACTGTATGTCGATCTCACCCGCATTGCCTCATTTCCGGGTCGTGTCGTTTCTGAGTCGATAGTACAGTAGACACCTCGTACTCGTCGAGAACTCACAGGTTTCGGGTTTATCAGAACGTACCCAGTTTATCGGTCTCGATTTGTCAACCGGCGACCACTTGGTATGGTTACTGGGGACGACGCGGCAGCAAGGGTACTCGTATGAGGGTCCGTGATGCTGCCTTAAGGCAAAGGTGTTTAGAGTGTACCTAGGTGATATTGCATGGGGCAACACAGCAATGATGCATTCGTTTCCGGGTGTTTATTCTCCTCCTCTGTGCGTCCGGGGATGGGGAGGGAAAGAAGTGAAGGCGCCATACATAGCTAGTTAGGCTGATAGTTTTTTCATTTACCTCGGGCACAATTAAGTAAAAAAGGGACCAGGCAAAGTGTTTGACGTGGTCTGAGAGGACACGGCAGAATTCTCTTCTACGAGCTTGCACAATGTACCGAGCATATTCAGCTTGTACCTGCCCACCTGGTGGTTACCTGATTCAGGGGTTGCTTAGGTATCTTGCCTTTTGGCACGGTACGTAGTATCTTACCTAAGGTAGGTATCTACTAGAAAGTACTGTACCTAACTAGTTACCTATAACCATGCTGCATAAGGTACCTAAGGGTAAGGGAACCCGTAGCGTGATGAGCCTCCAGGTGACTACTACTCGCCTACGAGGTACTTTGTACTAACTACTGTACCTGTAGGGTACTGTACCTAGGTGCTCTACTTCTGGGCCCCCTTCTAGAACAACCACCCCTCCTTCTCCCTCGCTCCCATTCTTTTTTCATCTTTCGTCCGTCGCTTCGCATGACTTGCTTCTTACTGTTTGGGCTTCCCTTGGGAGCTTGGTGGACCTTTCCAGTGTTTCAGATCCTGCCCGGCGGTGTACAATACGAGTACGGTTGTTTGTGTGTGGGTGTGTGTGTGGGTGTGGATTGGAGTTCCAGCGTGGTAGTGGTATCTTCTTCCCAAGCATGTTTCAGAATGGTTCCCTGCTTTTTCTTTCTTTTCGATTCCTTTTTTTTACTGGTCTTTTTCACGCGTCCAAGTCACCTCCGCCCCCCCAACACCTCACGCGCGCGTTTCCAGATCACCTAACTGCCGAGAGCATGGAGAACGGAGTCTAGAGTTCGGGGGATTTTTCTCTTTTGGTCCAAGTTTGCGTGGGCGTTTAGATCTCGCACAAATTCCTGTACAGTACCCGACTTCCGGAGTCGTCTGAGTTCTGTACTTGGGTAGTAAGCTTTTGTAACTTGCGGGTGCTTCGTAGTTGGTGGGCGTGTTCCAGATCTCAGGATCACACAGAGTTACGGAGTATTTCTTTTTTAGGGCTTTCCGGCACTTTCATGCAAGCACGAGTGCTAAGTGGCTACTGAGGTATGGAGTGTCGTACTGTAGGCACCTACTTACAGTACGAGTTAAAAGGTACTCGGCTCGGGTGGCAGTAGTGTCGTTTCACAATATGCGTGTCTCTCTTTTTTTTTCTCCCTGTGCCGCTGGCTGCACACACACGCGCGCGTAGGTACCCAAGGTATACAACGCTGAGAAAGGGGATCGACACACGGTCTCCAGCGGTTGTACTTCTCTCTTTTCCCTCCGACCTTTGGTTAACATTATTATTTGCATGCCTCAGGTACCTAAGGGTAAGGGGGGGGTAGCTCATCCACGCACAACAAACCCCTGCACCAAAAACTACGAGTACAGCGTGGGCAGACGCGTTGGATTACTTCTCTACCACCTGTGGTCTGCAGGTAAGGGACCCTAGTAGGTATGTAGGTGGCTTGGAGTAGGCCGTCGCCGTCGCATACGCATATGCAAATGCAAAATGCAAAATGCATGCACGCGCCCACGCACCCACGCATGCACAGTGCATGTACTCCGTAGGTTGGGTTGGTACCTTTACCTTATGCATGTTTGCATTTCCAGGTTTTCCTGGTCTCCATGTCCCTCGTATTGCCGCCTTTCCTTGTTTACCACCCTTTCCTACCGCGTCTCTGGGTACTCGAAAAGTCTTACTTTTCTTATGGAAACGCCCCCCCCCCCCTCGCTCCCCCCTGAACCACGCGGCGATGGATCAGAAAATCGATGTCATATGTAGCTATTTATTACACGGCCTGTACGAATGAGCGAGCCCGCAGGAAAAAAGGAAAAATTCTAAATCATCTTGTGGAAATTACTTTCTTCGTGTCGAATGCAATGAAAAGGAGATCCATCTTCGTGCACTCCGTTCTGTCTCTCGCCTCCCAAAGGGGAGAAAAGAACCTGAGGCGGGCCACCGTCGACCGAGAACTTAAGAAGGAGGAACAAAAACCATGTCGACGCCTATCTGTGCCGTTATCGAGACTTATCATGATCCGCATGGGTATCTATCGATAACGATAACCAGGCCCGAAGCTACGGAGTACATAGAACTTTCACATAGACTCCAGGTCTGTACTCCGTCCTTGTAGGGGTAGGCAGTATGGGCAAACAACCCCCCGAGCCTCCCGTAGCCCATGCCACCATCATCACCCACTGTACAATACAGGTTACTCTGGCAAAATACTAGCTTTCGAATAGAATAGCAACTTAGTTCTAGAATTCAATCTCTCTCTAATAGTACAAGTACAGGATGTGGGGGGTTTTTACAACACAAATCGTAGGTCAAGGATCCCTCGAATCCTCACCCTCACGCTGTGCACATAATACATCCCCCGTCAAGTTGCTGTTGACATCAATGACAATGGAAACAACGCTCGCTGAATCCTTTCTTCCCCTCTGTCTTCCACCATACCCAGAAAAGAAGGCCCAATCTGACATGAAATAAAAGGAGATGAGGCAAAAAAGGTAGGAAGAAAAAAAGTCATTTGTGCTCAGTCTCTCTCTCTCTCACACACACGCCTGCCCTGGCCCGCAATAAAATGGACTATAGAATACATAGTGGTTGAAGTCGAGCTTCAGAAAAACTCTCTAATGCACTTTTCCCCTCCCCAGGTTGATCCGCATACACAGTCCGTTCCGTCTTGCTTTGGTAGACTCCATGTGTTGTTCGTCTCGCTCGTGCACTTGTGTTATTTGCGCGAGAAGGACTTGTTCCCTGAAAATAGAAGGTTTGAATCATCATAAGGATCATTTCGTCGTCGTGTTGAGCTGGTGATTTTTTTGGTCTTCTGGGTTGTCATGATCTTTTGGCGTAGTATCGTCAAAACTCAATATTGGTATTTACAGGGATTCATCTCGCTTTCTCTTCTTGAGTGCACGCTTGCTGCCTTCAGACGACGACGAGTCAGATGCGTTGCTGCTGGAAGAAGATGCAAGGGCGGCGCGTTGAGCGGCCTCGAATAGGACATGGCCCATCTCTTCGTCGTATGGTTGGTGAGGTTGGAGCTCTCCGTTCTCGAGAACACCCATGACGATCGCTCCACTGCCGTGAGTACGGGCATGCTGAGCAAGATTATCTGAGCGAGAGAACTTCTTGCCACACTCGTTGCACTCGAATGGCTTGTCTTGAGTGTGGAGAGAGCGGTAGTGACGCTTGAGATGTTCCTGGCGGCGGAAGCGGCGAGAGCAGAGTGTGCAGACGAAAGTCTTGGAGGGGTCCTCGGTTAAGGACTGCTTGCGGCCTCGACGGTTCGCTGGGGCCTGTTGTGAAGAGCCGTCGGCGTTCACGGTGGCGCCGTTGTCGTCAACAGAGCTGTGCTGCTGAGAGGCTGACGAAGACTGACCCTCGGCCTGATGGTTCATTTGACCTTCGGCGTCGGTCATTTCTTGGTAGGTAAAGTCACTGTCGGTAGATCCGGTGCGCTTCATCTTGCGGTGAGTCTTCTTCTTGCTAGAGCAGCAGGAGCCCGAGTCCGAGAAGGTGGAGGTGGGAGGAGATGGGAGCCCGGCGTGGGCGTCCTCATCAAAGCTGCCAAAGCTGTGGACACTCAAGAAATCCTCCTCTTCGGTCAAGGACAGCTTTTGTCGCTTGTCGCCGTTGTAAGCAATCTCAGCCTCGGTGAAGTTTACGAATCCAAAGTCGTCTTCCGAGTCGAGCTCGGTGCAGAACGACGACTCAAAGGTAGGATTCTCAGAGAGGGTGAAGGGGTCGGCTGTGTCATGCTCGGGTGTCACTGGGAAAGCGCTGGCAAGGGCAAACTTGGGCTCCTCGTCTTCGGCCGACAGCGTAGGCAGAGGCGGGAAGCTCTGGACGGGGGCCGACAGCACAGGCTCAAACGACGAGGTCGACGTCAGTTCTCGCAGGTTGACAAATTCAGCGACGGGGTACGCAGCTGCAGGCGAAACCTGAGATTGGGGAGTTGCAGGGGTGAATGAAGGCGAAGTGCAGCCGCTGGAGAAGGAGTTGGTGGGCACGAGCTTGGCATCGCCGGGATGCGGGAAAACGTGAACTTCTATGATTAAGCGTGTCAGTTCGTGTTTCACAGGATATTAACGCACTCTCGCTTCACTTACGTCCGTTCTCCGACCACTCGTCCAAGTACTGCAGCGGATGGTACTCCTCCTTGGAGGCCTCAATGGGCAGGTTGAAGTAGCCAGGTCCGTGCACGGGCGTCTGGTGCACGCTGCTGGCCGGTGGGCTGCTCGCCGTGCTGGGGCACGCTGACAAGCACGGAGTTGGTGGTGAAGAGTGCCTGCTCTCCAGATACCTTCCGTGCTCCAGCTGGCCATGGCTCTCAAGCATCATCTTGGGCATGGGCATGGCCAGTGTCAGAGGCGGCGAGGGCCGCGCGTGGTGCATCATCTGCTGTGACATGATATGGGCATGCGTGAAATGAGGGTGAGGTGCTTGCCAATACTGGGCGGGCACAAATTGAGGATGAGGATATCCGGCCATGGGGCTGAAGACTGGTTGCTCGCCAGGCATGGGCGTGAACACAGCGTTATGTCGTGCGTCCGAGTCTGGCCGGTATTGGTAGAATTGAATCTGTTGCCCAGCCATTGGGTATGGGGCTTCCATGTCGAACGACTGAGGTGTTTCTGTTGGAGTTGTTTCTTTCTTTCCGCTATCTTCCCGCACAGAAGAGCAGGTGTCGATAGTGCTGTAGTACAAAGAGTCGGTACAGATGACAATGTCGGCCCAAGGAGTGGTGGACTCCAAGTCTCAGGGTTGCTCGTTGGAATTGGGTCGGAGTCTAGCTGTGCATGTAGGTTGCAGGATCGATATGCTGGTAACCGTCAAAGACACATACAAGAGAGTGATGCTGTTCTCGACGTTGGTAGGGAGAGGGATTATGTTATGATACAATGTTGGCACAGGCTTGGAAAGGAAGGACTGAATGCTTGTTCGTTCAATGGTACAGGTACAGGAGAGTGTTGTACAGGTTGAATGAACAAGATCCGGGAAGAGCCTGGTCACAACGAGAGATATAACAGAAGTAAAGAAAGTGTAGATCGCGGGGAAAAAAGAGCGACTGTCTCGATATGAGGAACGAAAGGAAGAGGATAAGAGCTGGGTGCAAGGACGAGCCATAAAGAGAGATCGCTTGATGCCCTGAGGGTCTTGTCAACCACTGACTTGGGCCACCGCTTGATGGGGCATGGTAGCTGCTGTGCAGGAACGGACGATGCGTTCGGGACCGTCGTCGCGACCCATGCAAAGGTGACCTGAAGGATGGTGGAGCTTTGCGCGGTCTCACCACCACCCCAGTCCGTCTCAAAGACTATCACCCACCTAGTCACCCGCTAAATATGATCCACTCTCGTCCAGCCGCTCCTCTTAGAGCAGCGAGCCTGTCCGGGTACTCGCGCCCCAGCGCCGTGTGTGCCTGGCACTTTCTGGGCTGTGCCGGGCTGGGTGACGCTGCAGAGGCCTGTCACAGTGCCTCTGATGTGCATGGGAAATTGCGCTGCGATGCTCGCCCACCACCCTTTCACCCGTCATGGCCACCCGTGATGCAGCATCCAGTGCTCACCTGGCATTGGGGCGAAGGCATCATGACGGACGTCCGTCGATGGGCGGCCCAAGAATCCTATACAGGTGAGCAAGGTGACCTGATCGGCGACCTTGACGCCACCATTGGCCTGTCCGGGCCAGACATATCACAATAGAGCGCTTCAAGTGCAATGGATGACTGGTTGAAATGGTATAGATATGGTACAGATACAGTACAGAAGGTGCCAGTCATGGCCTGGAAACGCTGCCATCAGCTTGCCAGTCTCGTCTGTGGTTGACCAGAGTCTGCCAGTCCGTACAGGCAAAAGTAGTTCGGATCCTCCGCAACCAACCGTACGAGTAGAATGCGGCAAAGATGGTTGTGACTTGTATCCCATCACTTCTCTGAACGACGTGTATCGCCCACTTTGGCCATCCGATTGAGAACGGTCAACTACACCACCTAAGGCGTTTGATAGGTTATGTCGTTCACAAAAGACATCGCAAGCCTACTCGAATCAGTGAGCCGAGACGTACTTGGCGTGTAGAGGCCTCGAAAAAAGGCGAGTGATAATGTTGCTCCATCCGCGCGCGCTCCGTGACTGGGCGAGGCGCTGGGATCTCGACGCCAATCAGGGACGTGACGTCTGAGCGCAGCAGGTGATAAGCTGCTCCTTCAGGGAGCAGAGCGAATCGCTGCCAGACCTGCTATTCTTGGAGCAGGACACACTGTATCCTCGCCCTCTGTCAGCTGGTCTGATTTCCACCATGGAGGCACCGTGGTGCTTTTGTGAACGCTGAGTCCGAATATTGGTTGGAGTTGAGATGGACGGCGAGCACGAGAAGCCCTACTGACTTCCTAGGACTACGGGACCAGCGACAGCCCGGAAGGATTCGTGCCTAGATAGTTGCTGGCATCCAACCATAAAGGGCAATGTCATTGCGTAGCAGACTGACAGTGACGGCACCATAGGATGCCATCACCTGAAGGCTGGAGAGTCTGCCTTCCGCAGCCGATACTTGGACGGGACATGCATGGTAAAAGGAAACTCGGCTTCGGAAAACTGTGGCAAAGAGCATCGGCTCCAGGCGGCGAAAAGAGTTGGAGCAGCGGCCGAAGGTTTGAAGGACGTGAAAGGTCGTGCAGACGTGCGTATGTGTCTCAGAGCCACTGCCACTGCTGTCCTCACCTATGCAGGTACGACAGACAGCTCGCTCCGTAGTGATCCCCAGTGGCGACTCGGACGTGAGGCTGGTCCGCGTCAAAAACTGAGCTTGGAGCTGCCTGAAGCCTCTCTCTCCACGACCGCGTCGCTGGCAGGCTCTCTGACGCGACTTCAAGCACCAAACCCAAGAAAAATGTTTGCTTTGAGACTCTGGACTTTCTGTCAACGGAATCCTGCCTTTCTGCACATGTATGTTGAGTCCGGTTGTGGACCGTTTACGAGTCAAGAGACTACAAACTGCTGCTACGACCGCGGGAGACCGAGGAATGCACATGCACCTACACCTACACCTGCATATCCAGGTACCAAACACTCGACTCCAACCGTGTTATCAACGGTCATTCGCTTCGAGTGCGTTGGCTACTTCGTATTGGGACGCGTGAGTCGTGATACGAGACCAAAGTCTCATCGGGGCAGAGATCTTAGCTGCCATGAAAGTTGGTTTGATCTGGATATGCATGGCAAGTTGGCCGTGTGTTTCATATTATGCCACCAGGGTCCAAATCCCTACTTTAGGCTTCTTGTAGGATCGATCGATGCGTCTTGAAAGTCTCAACCTGTAAGAGCGGGTCAAAGGTGTAGCCAGATCAGCATCAACCTCTCGCTTAACTTGGTCTTTGTTGCTTCGAACTCAGGATGGAGTACCGTATGTAGCCTGTACGTAGTATGCATCTCTCGTTCTCTGACTATGGTAGCGTCTCTTGTGTCATCGATCCGCCAGACTCTTGGAAGGCCGACGAGGTGTGGGATCTCAAGGGTTCACCCGCCCGAGACAGAGCGCGCGCTGGAACTCGCGAGTGCTTAGAACAGCACGGACTGGAGGGCGGGAAAATCCTTGGGCTCTAAAGAGAGCGGTGGGGTCAGACTCCCGGGCACGTATCGATAGGCATTGCGCTGGTCAAGCAAGGACCTTGGCCGTCGACCTTTTCGCACTGTGGCACTGGTGCTGCTCGTATTGTATGCTTAAGGGGCAGCACGAGGAGTCTCTCACAAGAACAGTGCGCGACATCGCCATTGGCCATCATTGGGACCTTCTTCGAGGCGAGCACTGAGCCGTGCCAGTGTGCAGCTAGTGCTCACCAATTCCGAATCACACGGTTCCCGATTGTTCGCTTGGGCGATGTGGTATCAGACTGTCAGTGTGGGCTATGCGTTCAAGAGGTGTTCCCGCTTTTCACAGGGTGATGCTGGCGATTGCGTGTGAGGGTGTTGGCTAATTACTCTGTCACTGTGCTCAATCGGTGGCCGTCGCCGAGGAGGGTTTTTTCCACTGGGTGTTCTCGAAAAAGCAGCACCGTCGTTGACTCGAAGAAGATGGTGGTGTGAGATAGTCATGGATATTTTCGACTGGCGAGATGACACCATGCGAGCCGGCCTTGCTAGGGCCTCTCAAGCAGATCCCACCTTTGTGCACAAGATACTCCGTAGGTCTTGCACCGGAGCATCGCGCATTATTGCACTTGAGAGCACTACACTGAGAGTATCCCGCCATCCGCGTCCCGTCGACCCACTTGAATCCCCTCGAGGTCTGTGCAGCGCGCCAGGTGGCCCCCTGCTTCGACCCGACGGCCCCAGCTCCCTAGCACAGTAGCTCGAGGCACCGTCCGTTTTCGCCGCGGATCCCATGGTTAGTGTCCCGCCATTGCAAGTCGCACTTGGGCGAAATGAGAGTAGGGCGTTTCCAGAAGGCCGTTGCTGATTCGATTTCAGAGAGAATCCTTGGTGTTGGGTCTTCCAGCGCGTGGCAATACTAGGATCCTCTCCCATCTCCTCCCCCGAAAGCTGGTGGAAAGGCCGGCCGAAGCACCTAGACAGACGCACAGTAGTATCGAGTGCCCCCCCGCCAGCCTCCGGCCCTGGACCCTAATGCAGGAACAAGCGTCCCATTCGACTATTTCCTACCCAACCTTGTCGCTCAATTGCATTCCACGATCGACCGCTGGTGCAGCTCGATCCAATCAGACTCGCCAGGCGACGCAGGTACCAAAGCTCTTTTCCTCTCTGTGGCCCATCAGCATCGATCATTTTTCCTTCTTGGTCGCCGAAACTGCAGCTTGTGTTTCATGTTCGAGGCGACGGGGATCGCCATGTGCTTGTGACGAAACAGGTTTTCCCACCGAACCAGACAGTTTCAGCTCGGCCACAGTTTCTGGATGCAACCTTTCCTGCCTCGACGATGCTCTTGCAAGTTGCTGGGTTTGTATGGGTACTCGTAATTACCCTGTAGGTGCTACCACCTTCTAATCATGGCTCCAACTTCGATTAGGGAAAAAAACTACCCTAGCTCAAGCGACGGTGGCTTAGACAACCCTAGACCTCCGTACAAACGAGCTAGAATTTCGATTAGAAGATAGAAGACGAACGGCCACCCCCGACTATACCAGGTCCAGGGTCAAACTGCTCTCTCTTCGTGGCGTGGGATTTCGCTATGAAACCTGTATGGCAGAACCAGATGGAAACCTCATGGGGGAGGACAGAGTAGCGCTTCCGGGGAAATTGGTATCCACCTGGTCTATCTTCTTATCGCCTACTGGCTTGTGTGCAAAGGTGTGACTGTGACTTTCTGCGTTGAGTTGAGGGACTCATGGACCGGACCACGGTGGAAGAGTAGCCCCAGTTAGACCGACTTCGTGTCCTCGAATATCACCTATTCCTAGATTCGGTCTCCGCTCCTCAAAAGACATGGTTCCCCATTGCGGTGGCTGCGCCAGGCCTGCACCCGGATTGCCGCTCCTTATCGCCTCGAAGTCTCTTGCAGTCGGGATGTTCTTCCTGTGCTCTACTGCCTTTGCACTAGATGATGCAACTTCTTAGCCTGGTCGAGGAGTCCGCACAGAGCACACTGGTGGCGACCCTGATTACCGCGTCCATAGACGAGAAGCATTACTGCATGAAGGGCTCTGCATGAGTTAGCTTTGTCCATGCTTTTTCGTGCCCGACACGGTCGTCCGTCTTAGCGATCGCTCCAGAAAAAATAAAGTGAGATGGATCTGCTCTAGCCTGATGAGAACTTAGAAAGTGTAAACTCTGTCTTTCCCGAATGACGATCGTTTACGTACGCCTGCGTTTAACCGCAAAGGGAATGTCTTTTCGTTCGTCTGAGAGTACGTCTACTCGAGGAGCTCAAGGAGAAGGAATCATTATCTCGCCACATTGTGGGATGATCCAAGATCCATCAAGGTCCGTCAAGGTCCATGGGTACATTCCGGCTGTGCTGGTTGGGTGGTTGGCTGATATCGCTCGACGACTCTATTGTACTACCAGATTGTTGGTGCTAAATAGTTCCACCACCCGGCGAACAAGCGGGACAACATATCGAGCATAGTGTTGACTCGAGATTGACGATCAATCTCAAGGTTTTGGGATTTGCCGGCCGAACACTTTCCTCGATTGTCAATACTACCGCGGCGTAAATGGAGGAGACGCCATGCGACGAGAGCATAGACTATGCCGTCGTCGGCTGCATCGAGAGATTTGAAGGCGTCCGTACTCACCTCAAACTTGTGCAAGCGGCCCGCAGGCCTCGCGGCTTTGATGATGAGCTATGTCAAAACCATTGAGGCCAACCACGAGCAACTTTCTCCTCAATGAGCGCCAATCAAGAAAAGGCGCAATCTTCTCAAGGTTCCAGCATGCTCATTGAACTTTTCACTTTGTTGGAATCTCTTGAGTCTTTCTCTGGGCAACGGAATGTCGTCGAAAATGCTCCGTTGGCATGTTCATGCCGTCTCCCCGGAAACCTTCGCGATGCGCGACGCAGCGACTCAGTGAGGACACCTTCCCCACCAGCACTCTTGAGCAGTAGTAGCGAAGTCGTCCCTGAATGTTATTTTGATATATTTCAATCGCAGAATTTCTGTCAACAACGGGTCGCACACAATGGCAGCATCAAGCAAGGACCCTGTCTGGATGGCGGTTGTGACTCTCAGGATCAGCTGTCGGGGACAGGGCACTGCCAACAGTTCCATCCTGCCCAGGGGGAGTGTTGCCATTGGGTTTCGGCGCACAGTGTTACCGCCTCGAATACCCGGTTCCGTCTTGGTTCTATTCACACAACCCCTTGTATGAGGCTTCATACAAGGTGGTCGTGGATGGGTTCTTTGTCCGTCGAAAGAGTAGAGGGTTTCATCTTTTGGTGGGTGTGTTTATGTATACATTTGCCTTCTCTAGTGAGTTAGTAGTCCCATATAGTGATGTAAGTCATAGTCGGTACCAAGACACATGTCAGCACAGCATCAAAAATAAGCGCGAGTCAAGGAACTTCCTTCGGATCCTAGTCGGGTGTTCGATTCTATGTGCTTTTGTCTCACCGGAGATTGTTTTTCTTCGCGTCCAGAACCGACCAGCATGGCACGGGGATGTGATTGTGATAGGGAAGGCGGGATATTGACAGTAACGACAGCAACAGCCAAAAATGAGAATGTTCACCTTGCTACTTGAAGAGAGCTGTCCCTGACTGGAGAAAGAAGCACTCGGATGCTGTGCTTTTTATAGTTCAATCTGCATTTTTGAGTCAACATACCTACCTACTGCACTCCACAAAGGTAGCCAGCCAGCTAGCTGTCTGCGCAGCTGCATCAAGGATCATCGTGTCGGATAGGTTGGTTTCTCCAGTAATCGTCGTACAGACATCCAAGCCATGATCCGAGCAGGACCGAAGTTACAGAGCCCTCCTCTTCCAGATCCCTCCTTTTCCTTTTCCTCCTCCCCCTCGTGAACCATGCCAATACCATTCAGGAACCAGACTCAAACTACCAGTACAGCGGTGGCTGCAGAGTATGAGCGGGTCCGAGGAGACTCGTTCAGGGTATGCGAAGTATCCGCACCCTTATCCGTACCAACATCATGAATCACAACGATCAAATTGAGGCTTCAGAATTTCGTCAAGATTTGAGATCATGGCCGAGCTTTGTATTTCCCACCACTTGAGAATAGAAGAATTCCCAGTGGACAGGAACCCGGCAATCATTCTCTTCCTATCGTTTGTTGTAAATCTTCATCACGAGCCCATCATTATAATTTGATGTTGAGATATGTTTTCTCTCAAGTCAGCTTGTCGTTGCAATTTTTCGATATTCGCCAAGCACCATCAAAACTACGCCACAACGGGAATAGTGCGATTTTCCTGGTTTGGCGCGCGCCCGACAATTTTTATATCTGCGGCCGACAATTTCTCAACTTCTCTTCCTTTTTTCCTTTCTTCGTGCGGCGCTGCCACCATAATCTATTACCCCAGTGTTGCTTGGCCGACTCTACAAACCTCCATGGCGAGTCCAAGTGTCAGTGGCAGCACAGATTAAAACAAATTGCTACCGATCTCCTTGACGAGAAGAACCAGTTTACCGAGGCTGGAATTCGGGCTCGTCTTGTGCCTCTGCGCTCGTAAATGCGTGGGGTCGGACAGATTTTCTTTCCTGTTTCATGATTGTAGGGGAGAACGATAGGATGCTACGAAAGACCAAGTCACTGGTGATGGAGACTGACTCCTCGAGAGAGGTCCAGGACGCAATCAGCCAGCTTGCGCATGTTCTGAAGTCTGTCTTGAGAATCAGGAATTTTTGCTAGCAGTCTTCCTACAGATGCTAGGATACCGTGATGCTATGATTGCGTTGCTCGTCTCTAGTTCTTTTTTTTAACCCGAAACTCTCTCAAGTCTAGTCTGTTGTGATTGTCTTGAAAGCCTTGCTTTTTTTGAATGCGATCGTTCCTCATGTCTCGTGAACCTTTTTGGTCCTTGGTTATTTTTCAATCATCAGACGCGACCTTTTCAATTTTGCCATCCCGCTTCTCTCCAGTCTCTCCTACGATTCTGATTCGGTCTAGTCTGACCTTCTCGTTGTCGCCTTCGCTTTCTACTATGAATATCACCACGCTGGACACGTTTTGGAACTTGACAATGCGCAGATCAATTTTGGCCGTGCCAGTTGTGGGATTCCAGTCTTTTTCTGTCAAGGTCACTTCTTGCGTGGGGGGTGCGCCGTCTGCTTCGTCGAAACCAAGGATGTGAGGCTTGTTGGTGTAGAATTTGATAAGCTTGGGTCGACTCGGAGACTCGTCGTCGTCGGTGTTGTCTGGAAGGGACGTGAGATGTACGGAGTGGATCTTCAAGGTAGATTGGAATGGAATGTAGAGCATCAACTGTTCGTCCGTGTCGCTTTGCACAAAGTCTGCCTTGGCTTCAGGTGTGGCTGGAATTGTCAGCGCGGTGTACTAGCGTAGCTAGAGATCAAAGACAGGTCTTACCCGACGGCTTGTCCTTGCTGATCAGTTTCCTCGCGTTGCCATGGGACGAGTCCCAGTTCAGCAACTCTAAGCCCAGAAAGTCGACCTGGTCGGTGACGTCGACGTATCCTCGCGGCAGTTCTGCGCCATACCACGGGCTGTCCGATGCAGAATGGCCGGCTTCCGTCGTCTCCATTGTCCTGAATTCGTCCGTAACGTCCTTCAGGAATTCTTCGAGTTCCTCAGCTCTTGGGTCTACAAGTGTTCCGACTCGGCGAGCGTTTTTGAATATCATGTAGGTTGGCGTGGTTGTCACGCCATACGAGTTGGCAATGTCGCTTTGATGATCGACTTGGATTCTCGCGAATGTGATCTTCTTTGGTTGTGAATGGCGCCTGGCTATTCTCTCATACGTTGGGGCAATTCTTTCAGATATGGAATTCTTGTCGAAGAATTCGGCGACGACGACAGGGGAAGAGGACAGCGCGGTGGAAAATTGCCTTGTGGACACCATGTAAATGATTCTATCGTCGGCCATGATGGCTGGTTGTGTTTCGTGGAGGGGCGCGAGTGGGGAGGAGAGTACGGAGGAACAAGCAGCGTCTGGCGAAGACGGGGTGGAATGCTACCGAAGAATGATGACAGCACAGGTGGCTGCCCAGGTGGGCAAGGTCTGATATCAGGCAAGTCCCCAATACAAAGCTTCTATTGACGACGAAGATGCGGTTTGGACAATCGCAAAGGATGTACAGATTAGCCATCGTCTGCGGTGGAAGCAGATGGCCATTGGCGCAGGAACATTATTCCACCAATGCTCCCGCCTCTGTACTCCTCCGTAACTGAATATACACCACCACTGTACCAAGAGTATCCTCGCTCTTGGACTCTCATTAATAGATGCGACTCGTGCAATCAAAAGCAATAGACGGGAATGCATGGTATGTTCTGGCCTCAAAAGAAGTATCGGCAACCCATCAACACATTAGTGAAGGTTCGTTCGGCAACTATGGAGTCATTCACTCTACGAACTGCCACGAGAAATATTCCACACTGCGCTGCAGCATGCCGCCGCAACCTCTTCTAATGGCCTCGCTTTATGTATACGGGATGACTCCTTGGATAATGCTCAGCTCATAGTTTGGCATTGTCTTTGAAGACATAAAAGGCCTAAACGAGGAAATGTCAGTTACGACATCCGAAACTGGATACCTACTGCGGCGGCGAAAGCTAGGAATCTTAATCAACGGAGTATGGGGCTGACCTCTTGCACACAAGTAGCAATCAGAAGACCCTTGTGGCTGAATATTCTGGAATGAATCACTGCTCTGCCGTCCCTTGCCCACGGCGTCGTCGTCTCGACATATACCAGTTCATCGGCACGAAAGCCTTCGTGAACGTGGAAGTGGATCGTGTGGTTCAGACTCGTTGAGATTTTCATCATCGTCGGCTGTCTCGTCCTGGTGTGGTCATTGAGAGGAAACAGTCCCAGCGAGATATCGTGTATGCGCAAAGGACAGTCCATGACGTGGTAGTCGGACAGGTATATTATGCCCAGCATATGCAGCGGTGAGCCTGCCGGCGCTTTCATCGGCGGGTCGACCTTTGCAACCACTGGAGCGATCGTCGCGGTCGGGTCGCTGGCTTCTAGACATACCCGTCCTTCTGAGCACCCGGCAAAGTCAGATAATGGGGGCTTAAACGGACTTACATACCTTGAGGCAAATGCGGCAGTCTCTGGAACTTCATGAAAGGACCTATGGGCGAGTGGTCGTCCTCGAAGTCGTCGAGCGTGATATCGGTGACTCGATCGACGGTCTTCATCGACTCGGCGTGTGTCATCGCACGACCCGTCCACGAGGCGCCGCTCACAAAGCTGGCAGTGATGGTCACGCAGATCTTCCCGTCCTGCTCAATGTGTATGAGACGTGCCACGAACCTCCGTCCTTGACTGAGACGCTGTACTTTGTAGACGAGCGGCTGGTCTGCTTTGGGAGCGAGCATGAAGTTGACCTGCAACGAGTCTATCCTGAACCCCTCGGCCACAGTCTTGTATGCGGCAGCGGCGGCTTCGGCCATCATCAACGGTCCTGGCACCGTTTGGGTGATGTGGAACAGCCATGGCGGGTGAACATTGGTGTAGGTGTCCTAGGTTTCGTTTTCAGATTTGATGTTAGAATTCCTCCCAGGACAATCAATACTCGCATCGTGCTCGGTATCTTTCAGATACATGGGATGCTTACAGGTCCAATTTGTCTGAGATCGATATGACTTTCAAAGTCCAGACTCTCGACCCCAGCCATTTTCAGCCGCAAAAACTCTCGATAAACGAGTGGTGATATAAGAAACGTCCACAGCAAACCTGAAGCCTCTGGTCCGCCAAATGAACTAAGGCATCTATGATACGGTCATCCACGATCTCGGGAGGAGGTGAGGCAGGGATCTAGAGATATTGGGGATGTTTGAGCCGAGGCTTGAAACCAATCCTACACGCTCTGTCGGCTATTTCGTTTAATCTGACTGATGGAGGAAGCTTTGTGCTGTCTGGGCGGCAGCATGTCCTCGTTCTACTATAGGACATAACGTTATGTGACTGTGCTTTCTTTCAGATGTTTACATTATAGTAAAGTAGCCAAGCAACGATGAGTAGGACGGGGTGAGGTTGAGGTGTCGCTAAAGGAAATAATGATCTGGGGGTTCGTGGCATTTGGCAGTGTGGAGGCCCGTCCAGTCCCAGGGCCGATTAAACAAATATTTTTGTCCTCATTTATATCCTCACCACACGTACATGACTCGAGATTTTCTTTCTCGACAACACCAACGGAGCCTTGTAGATTGACGGCCGGATGCTGCACCTCAAACGCCATATGGTACTGCATATAAGTCCGAACCCAAGTCCCGACTGACTAACAATCCAGGCGGCACCGATACCGGCAGGCGGGAACAGGTGAGGCCCCTTTCCTTCACAGTCCAAAGTCACGCCATGGATATAGATGCACGTACTCCAGATGTTATGAACAACGAGGACGCATATTGTGAAAAGTACAAAGTTGCTTTTTCGAAAATGCTTAGCAAGCGAGCTTCGATCAGGTTATCTTCACGTCCATGGTATTGGCTGCTGGCCGATTTGATATGATAAGGCGTCATCGTTTGACCATATGTCGCCATATTGGCTGGATCTCACGAGGGACCAGACCAAGGGTGTGTAAGTACCCTTGCACGTCTCCCACTTCTCTCTGAACCCTTCAACGCACTCTGATCATCCCCCTCCTCGAGTCGGATAGCCAACAGAGTCAGCCCAAGTCACGGGGAGAAACAAAAAAGGACCAAAGAGAACCGAAAGTTCCGCCGCCGGCCCCCCCCCTCCCTCAGAAACCCAGAAACCCAGAAACCCAGAAAGACCGTCGTTTCAAGATGCCGGTCGAATTCATCAGCGCGACGTTCCTCAACGCGTCCACGGAGCTGAAGCCGATCCCAGGCGCGAGCATCGACCCAGACTACCTGGAGCGGTACGCGCGCAACCTGGACGACTATGCGTTCAACTACACGCTTGTGCCGTACGACTCGTCGTACTTTGACCCGTGGACGGTCGGGGCGACGATAGCCTCGCACACGCGCAACCTCAAGATCATCATCGCGGTGCGGCCCAACACGCTGTACCCGACGGTGGCGGCCAAGGCGCTCGCGACGCTCGACCAGCTCAGCCGCGGGCGGGCGGTGGTGCACTTCATCGCGGGCGGCAGCGACGTCGAACAGGCGCGCGAGGGCGACTTCCTGACCAAGGAGCAGCGCTACTCCCGGCTGGAGGAGTACATCCGCATCCTGAAGCGGGCGTGGTCGTCGCCGGAGCCGTTCGACTGGGAGGGCGAGCACTACCGGTTCAAGGGGTTCCGCAACCTCGTGCGGCCCGTCAACGGCCACAGCATCCCCGTGTCGGTCGGCGGTTCGTCCGAGGACGCCTACCGCGTCGGCGGCTCCCTGGCCGACATCTTCGGCCTGTGGGGCGAACCGCTCAAGGAGACCAAGGAGCAGATCGACAAGATCTACGCCGCCGCCGACAAGGCCGGCCGCGCCCCCACGGACCGGCCGCGCATCTGGGTCACATTCCGGCCCATCGTCGCCCCGACCGACGACCTGGCCTGGGAGAAGGCGCACCGGACGCTCGCGGCCCTCGAGGCCAACGCCGCCCAGAAACAGAGCATCTTCGGCGGCGTCAAGGCCGGCAAGGCCGGCGACGCCGACGTCCCGCCCCCGCAGAACGTCGGGTCGCAGAGGCTCCTGGACATCGCGAAGCGGGGCGAGGTCCAGGACCGCGCCCTGTGGTACCCGACCGTCACCGCCACGAACGCCCGCGGCGCCTCGACCGCCCTGGTCGGCTCGTACCAGACCGTCGTCGACTCGATCCTCGACTACGTCAAACTGGGCTGCGAGCTCATCTCGATCCGCGGCTACGACAACCTGAACGACGCCATCGACTACGGCCGGTACATCCTGCCCAAGGTGCGCGAGAACTTGCCGGCGGAGTCGTCGTCGGCAGACACGAAGCCCGCTGCCGAGAATGGCACGAATGGAACCAACGGCACTACCTTGGCCTCGCGATGAGATATGTATACAGACAGCCCTACGTACCTAGGTACTTGCGGTACACAGCCGGGACAGCAAAAGATGACGGGGATTTTCCCCTGGCCAAAAAAAAAAAAAAAAAAACAAAGGAAAACGAAGGCACGAAAGCACGAACGACGCACGAAAGATCGAAAGAAAGAACGAACGAAGTCATTCGAGCCCTATCATATACATCCATACTGAAAACGTACGTTCAATTCATCAAGCGATCAATGACTGAGAGTGGTCCTAGAAAAATGAATGTTCAACCGGGTCATAACATACCTACCTATGGACATCATCATGTGTGTATATTTCATTGATATAGTTGGTCCGGCAGGACGTCCAACGCTCCTCGGTCAAGAAAGGCAGTAGAGTGTACAACCCACGGCACAAAACTACAGTATCAACGTTACCCATTACCTAGGTAGGTAGGTTCCGTGTGAAGGATACTCGTTCCTGTGACCGTCTCGTGGACCTGATCTTTGGTATCTTCCATTCCCGGTAGAGACTCTCTCTTATCGGCGATATAATCATCATCTTCATCGTTGCATTTCTTCTCCAGACCCTCCCCTCCGGCACGCGATGTTATTTCTTCTCCAGAGGTCTAGAACATACTGATCCGGTTAATTATTCCTTTTATTCCCGCGTACTTTTTGACTGCGACACCGGCTCGCGGATGGGTAGGGAGATACGCACCGGACGGATAACTAACTCCAGGTAGAGTAGGTAGCATACCTTGCAATTCTTTTGTCATCAAAACCAAAACCAAACCAAACCAAACCTCTTTCAGTAGGTACGGTATTCCAGATACACCGATCACCATTCACCCTATAAGTAGCATTCGTAAGCATGCGACCTATCCCGCCGTCACGGCACGTCTCGCTCATGTACCCCAGGTAGATAAGATACCTTCCTTTCAAAGTTCAAACCTCTACGAGGTACAATACCTACCCATACCCTGGGTATATTACCTTGGTATTTAGTAAGGTAGGTCCAGATGCTGGTATGCCCAACGTAACGGCAAGAACAGAGGATCAGCAAAGAAAATTGCCGTCCAGTATGCGCCATCAGCACGTGGAATGTCGCCATCGACAAAAGACCCAACCCAACCCAACCCAACCCAACAAAGCTTACGAAGGCTTCAACATTAGCTGCCACGCTTATCACATCTCGTTCGCTGGAGATAACGATATGAAAATCGTGGTGTCTCCCGTGACACCCTGTATAACAGTGCGCAAGTGGTGCATAAAACCGGGCAAGATGGAGGCTGGTATGCGGAGTCGGCTCAGAAAGACCAAGCGTCGTCTTATGTACACTGATTAGTGGTGCTATAGTCTCAATTGGCCGTGGGGATCCAGGTATCGACGCGTTCGTGGTGCCGGCGGTCGTGGTGATGATGGAACGAATGTCCACTATGTCGCCATATTTGCATTGTCCAAAAGTCGCACTTCACATCGGCAGACGGACATGGGACTGAACCGGATCCTGAATCTGGAGCATTTGCCTGGAACTTTGTGGGCTGTATTTATACAAATGCACCGCAGGTTCAATGGTAGGTATCCTTTTGAACTTCGCTATCGACTATCAATAGTTGCAACAGGTGTGAAAGCGATTTATCGATCACCTCAGTAGTTCCCCTCCCCAGCAGAATATCATTCCGACACGAGACGTACCTAGTGAGTCATCGATCGATCTGCCAAAAACATGTCAAAAGCAACAGCCGACCTGGGGCCGGGGCCGGTGCCGGGGCTGGAATCGAAAGGCAGTTTGGAGACCACAGTCGTCGCCGACAAAGACAGCAACACGGACTCAGTCCCTTCGCAGGATGAGCGGCTTGTTGACGTTCCCAAAAGCAAAGCACGCCGCGTGCTGCGGACCATCCAACGGTACACCTGGGATGATCCCGACCGGCCCAAGCACGAGAAATGGTTCATTTTCAAACTCGACGTCTTCCTGCTGAGTATTGCCTGCCTTGGGTACTTCAGCAAAAACCTGGACCAATCCAACATCAACAACGCATACGTCTCGGGTATGAAAGAGTCACTGCACATGGAAGGCAACGAGCTCACCTACGCCGGCAACGTCTTCACCGCGGGATACGTGGTGAGCCAACTCCCGGCGGTGATTCTGGCGTCAAAGGTGCGCCCGTCCTACTTCATCCCGGTCATGGAGATCCTGTGGTCCGTCTTCACCTTTTGCTCGTCCGCGGTCAAGACACCGTCGCAGCTGTACGCCATGCGCTTCCTCATCGCCTTGTGCGAGGGCACATACTTTCCCACCATGGTGTACATCATCGGCTCGTGGTACACGAAGCGCGAGCGCGGTAAGCGCATGACCATCTTCTACTCCACCGCGAGCCTCGCGGGCATGTTCAGCGGGTACCTCCAGGCAGGGGCGTACAAAGGCCTCGACGGCCGCCTGGGTCACCAAGGGTGGCAGTGGCTGTACATCATTTGCGGCATCATCAGCCTGCCCATCGGCGTGATGGCCTTCTTCTTCATCCCGGACTTCCCCGAGACCACGAGGGCCTTTTACATCACCAAGGACGAGGCCGCGTGGGCGCGCGAGAGACTGGTCGCCGACGGCATGAAGCCGCTCGGTGCAGCCGCGTGGAACCGCACAAAGATCTTCAAGATCATGGCCCAGTGGCAGTTCTGGGTGCTGCCGGTCGGCTACTTTCTTGTGCAGGCGAGTTTTCCCATCTACCAACCCGTCTACGCACTGTGGCTGAAGGCGACACACCACACCATCTACCAGATCAACGTGTGGCCGACGGGTCAGTATGCCGTGGCGGTCGTGGTGCAGATCGCCGCCGGCATCATCACAGATTCTCCCCTCTTGCGTGGTAAACGGTGGCAGGCCATCATCGCGATGCAGACGCCTACCGTGTTTGCATGCATCGTGCTCGCCGTGTGGGATGTGTCTGAGGGTTTGAGGTTTGCGGCGTACTACTTGAGTTATTCAGCCGCCGGGGTGCCTGGCATATATTACGCTTGGTACTCGGATCTGATCCCGCACGACCACGAAATGCGAGGTTTTTTGATCGCCTGCTCGAATATGTTTAGTTATATTCAATCGATCTGGTGGACCGACACCGTCTGGAGGACAACACTCGGTCCACGGTTCCATGCGGCTTTCATTGGTGCAGCTTCTATTGGCGTTGCGCTTATGGTGCTGTCGATCTTGCTGAGAATTCTGGAGAAACGCGATGGAAAAATTCGTGAGAAGCGTGCCTTGGCTGAAGTCGGCGTTGTCGAAGGACAAATAAGTGCATGAATAGATTTAAACAGGCGGGTTCCGAATGAAGAGAGGGAATGGCATCGATGACCTAAGTACTCGACCGTAGCAGACGGGCCAAGTGCGGAGGGAACTACGATGGAGTATAGTGCACAACTAAACACAACCCGTCTTTGTATAAGGCATTAATCGGTGTGTGCAGAATGAACAAAGCAAGTATAGTAGAAGTCGTTATTAGGTAGGTAGTCTCTCTGTGTGGTATTCAGGCTATTTGTACTGATTATGGCCTTTAAAAGAATGTCTGGAGTTTGTCGTCAAATCACAAAAAACAGAAACAACCTCTGTGCAATTTGCAGGGACAATCGAGGGATTGTGCAACGAATGAAGCCCACAAGCATTCTCGAAACTTTGTTCAAGGCCGTGGGGAGAATCAAAACCAAGACCAAGCCCTTCCGTGGCCGCTGCAGCTCTGCTCGCAATGCAAGAAATCCGACATAAAAAAATCCCATAAAGCAGTCTAGCCACCCTCGCTCCATGGTATCTGATCTCCCCTTAAATTAGGGCTCACCACCGCGACACAAGACTGTCATGAGATTTTTTATGACACACATTACTTGCAATCTTGACCCGAGATAGTCTGTCAAACACTGACCTAGAACAACTTGTGTTCAAGGGTCATGTCGGACTCAGGTTGAAGACCGACGCAGGCACGGAAGATGTTGGTCAAGGCACCTCGTTGCTTGGCCAAGGCGTTGACAACAGGGGTGCCGGGAGGGGTGAGTGGTGCCTATGACAAGGTAGAATGTCAGTTTCGAGTCTCTTTTGCCAATGTGTCTAGAGAAGATATTGTCTCCAGGTCGATAACTCACCTTCAGCATATAGCTCAAAATACTCAACACACTATGGAAACCCTTATAGTCGCCAGCTGCTTCACTCTTCCAGGAGATACGAGTCATCATTTCGGCCACAAGAACCAAATCAATGATCAATGGCGACGCGAGCAGAGAGTCCTCGCACACGTTGAAGATGCTGATGGTTTGGTGGCCACCCATGAAGATCTCAGCATAGTACTCATCGAGAGCACGCTTGTTGTCGCCCACGGCTGGCATGTACTTGATGACAACGCAGTGATCAGGATGCTCGTCCTTCTTGTACAAGACAGTGTTGGCTGCGACCATGTCGTCGACAACGTTGCTCTTGGAAATCTCCTTGGAGCGGAACTGCTTCTGCGACGACAAGTTCTTGCCGTCGTTGTTGCCCAAATGGTTGTAGCTGGAGATTGCGGTGAGCTTGATACCGGCGTTGATCAAAAAGTCAACCAGGGCAGACTTCATCTTCGTCTGGCCAGACTTGAAGTCATCACCACCGATGAACGCACCGTGCTTCTCAGCAAGCTCGATGGCACCAGGCACAAAGGTGTTCTGAGGAGAGCCGTTGATGAAAGGGACCTTGTCGAGAATACAAGCCACGGCAAAGACGGTCGAAGGAGAGACTTCTTCGTGGCCGGACTCGATAGCCTTCAGCAAGTTCTCGGCAGTGTCGTTAACGCCAGGAATGATATCGGCATAACGTTCCGTATTGGCGGTCCACATGACAATGACCTTGTCCAAGTTGTTCTGCGCCTTGAAATCGCTGTACGGGAAGATGTTAGCAGGCGTTCTGTGCTACGCCCTGGCACCCCAGATAAGTCGCGGAAGTGTCAATTGAGCTTTACGTACCTGATGTCTTTTCTGATCTGTTCCACGTGAGCCAAACATGCCTTCTGACCCGGCAGAACGTTGTCTGCACGATCACCCTGGTTGGCGGCAATGAAGTCAGGGTAGTAGATACTTGGCAATGGCTTCATCTGGGCCATCTCCTTGTACACCTGGGCCTTCAAGGTGGGTTCCAAGACCTGAGCGCGGTCCATGGCAGCAGCAATGTTCAAGCTGCTGATGTCCCATCCTCCCACGACGAGGTCGTTGGGGTGCACCATGGGCAAGACATTGTGGAAGGGGATGTTGATCTCCTCGGCCGTCTCGGCATCGGTTCCCAGCTTCATGGTCGAGCCCATGATGACGGAGCCGTAGTAGTTGGCGGCGCGAGGACCTTCACGGGTGTCCCAGACGAGGTTGCGACGGTTGGCGATGATACCTGCGGTGACGGTGGAACCGTTGTTGCCACCCCATCCCACCAACATCATACCAGTCCTGGGGACCTTGCGCTCGACCTGGAAATCGTAGACCGTCTCCTTGGGGGCGGCCTTGTATTTACCATCGGCGCCCTTGGTGACGGCGGTGGTGCGATAGACATACTTACTCTCGATCTTGTCATCGGTGTACTTGACATTGGGCGAGTCGACGGTGAAAAGTTCCTTGGGGGAGGATGTTGCCGTTGCCTGAGTCGCACTGTACCCGTTCATGGAGCCGACGCCGACTTCCGCGTGAGGTGCCATGGCGTCCTTTTGAATAGCGTGAAATTGGCCAAAGAAGTCTTGGAAAAGAATTTGAAGGTTTTAGACGCAGCGGTCTATTTTATAGCCAATTTACTGCGTTTTGGGTGCTTCCGATGCTCCTCCAGGAGGGGAAGAGCGTCGGCTACCGTTGAACGGGTGGTGAGACCTGTGATTTGACACATCAGCAGCCATCGCGAAAGCAAACATTGGGAAAACGAGGTATGTGAATGTGAGCATTTGGATCGAGACTGGCATTGTCGCCGATGGAAAAGATGTAAGTGGATCATACGGGCGGGCACCCGCATGTGTATGTCGAAATCGGACCAGACGCAGCACGATTTAACCAGGGCCAGGCGCCTTTTTGACGTGGGAGTATCCGGGATCGATGACATGCAGGTACCAGCACGAGTTTGGTAGGGAGCGGCAGGGCGCGGCCAGGGCTCTGACCAGGGCTCATTTGGGGCGTACGACGAGGGGCAGACAAATGGGGGACAGGGCACTTACGAGGGCAACAAGTTGGAAAACGTCTTGGCGGTTGGGCAGACCACTCGAAAGTGATCTGATGGATGCAACGGAAGGATGGAGGGTAAAGACCACCGCCGGGCAGCGATCTGAGCTGTTGTTGTTGTTGTTGTTGTAGTAGTAGTGTGAGGTTGTTGAGGTGTTGAGTGTAGAGGGAGAAAAGAAGAGAAGGGAAGAAACACGACGGGGAAAAGCTGCCTAGTTTTGTAAGTTCCCTATCAACAGGTATCCATAGAGATCCGGAACGTACAGGAGTCGAGTTCTGCGCATAAACACCGGCCCAAGAAGAGCCCACCGGGTACCTGAGAGAGCTGCCTCCCATACTGTATGTAACAAAGTCTACGGGCACCAAGCACGGGCAACAATTCCACCTTCTGGTGTCCTCCGTCTTCCGTCCTCCCGCAGATTCTCCCCTTACTCGTTAGTGCTCATCGTGTGCTGTGCCCGACTCCGTACAAACGTCTCCATTGTTGTCCAGTTGCCCAATATTCAGCGAGATGTTGCGTGTCCAGCATGTCCACAGCCCGGGTCTCCCTCTCTTCCACCCTCCACGATAGTGTGGGATGCTGTCCTGTCTCGCGTGACTAATGGGAACAGGACAGGCTGTCTCGTATACCCTCACCGCCAAACCCTCAGCCATTGATACGCCCGGAAGAGCGAGGAACGGGCCCACGAGAACGAAAACGAAGAGGACAGCAAAGCCCCCGACTCCATATTCTCCCTTCTCCGTAATCTCTGGGCGAAGGTGGCCCACGGGTTCGTTATCTCTGCGGAATCTTCAGATGGGTCAGGACACAAATCGTCAGGGTAGTGAAGCAGAGTCTATCATGGACATCTGGTTCTCGTTGTGGACGAGGGGCAGGGAAATGATTAGTTACACTGGCCTTTTGGCACTATCTGCGCCCTCGTTCTTCCCCCTCCCTCGTAATCGATAAGCGAGAACAACAGAAACCACCACCGAGGGGCATTACAATTTACAGTTATCAACCAATTCTCGCTTTTCTGTGGCCTGTTAAGCTGACATGTCCTCCCGGAAATCGATCCCTGCATTCCTCGATAGGGAAACAGCCAGGCCCAAATTCTCTGTACTCCCTTCGTCTGAGAGTCCGTACCGTCTTGCCTCGCACCTGACAATGGGTTCCACGCAAAAGCGCCGGTCTTCAAAGACTGCATTCGGCCTGCAGAAGAGTATGCGCCGTCCGCAGTGTCGCCCGTCTTTTTCTCGCCGCGACAGACCAATCATTCCACTCACAGGCCGTCCAAATCAGTCCTTTCATTATCTGGCTGAATCCCAGCCAATCTCCCAACAAACAGTCCTTCCATCTCCCGAGGGCGCTGGCCCTCATTTCCATTTTTCGTCCTACCTCTACTTTCTCACCGTCTGAGTAATCACCCATTCGCAACGCCGCTGATCACATGTCTCTGGCCTTTGTGCATGCATTTTCAGACACCTAGACGTACAGATCTTCGATCTCAGATCTCGGCATCTCGTGTTTGTGACCGAAGATCCGTGTATTCCCGCATCTACATGTGCTTCTTGGAAATGCCTTTGTCGATCCGCGCCCAAGCATGCAGACCGACACATCTGCAGAACAGACTACTGGCCTGGTTGGCTCCGATTTCGTGTCACACAGTCACCGCCCTAGCTTGCATGACACCCGAAGGAATCAAACTGGAATGAAGAGAGAGCTAGCTGCACGATTGGCGATTCCACGCAAGTAGTTACTTTCGAAGGATATTTATTATACGTGAGATACATCCACTGCTCCACTGACAACACTCACCAGGGTCTTCTCAATCCAGCGAACAACATACAGGAGCGGGCTTCTTGCAGAGCCCCTAGCCGTTCTGCAGGAATTATTCTGACATGCTGTTGGTAACCCTGGACCCCGTCTCACGTCGTGTAATCCTGAGACCATTCTGACATCTGGCCTGCAGAACATCATTGTCTTGTCACGGGAAAGGCTTCCATTCCTATCAAAACGCTCCCAAGCGCGCCACCCGCTAAATCGTAATGTACTGTAATGCAATTTGACAACGTAAACTCATGTCATGTTCATCAACCTGGTCACCCTCCGTTCCGGGAAGTTTCTTCCCTTGACCATCCCCGGATCTTGTCCGCTGCTGATGTATTCCCGAATCAAGGGACTCGGACGACTGGGCATATTGTCTCGCGATTTCGGCAGGCTAGCAAGTCGGAACGCATCCCGTTCGCAGTACACCCGGCCCGACAGTTCGAAGTAGTCGTGATCCAGCCGTACATGACAGGTTGTACATTTGAGGCACTCGGGATGGTGCTTTTCCTTGCCTCGACCCGCCACGTTTGCTGTTTCCATATAGAGGCCTTCGATTCCTTTGCCGCATGTCGCACAAAGCGAGTTTTCCAACTCGTGGTAGTGATATGCACAATAAGGGTGATCATCGTGGACATAAAACTCGGCAGTTGGAAATGATGCCTTGCATGTATGACAGACAAAGCACTCTTTGTGGTATCTGCCACTCAGCAGCCCATCCGCACTGGAAACCGACTTCTGTGTAGCCAATATCACCTTCGAGCAGCCCCGACATATACCTTTATTCGGAACCTTGCTTTTGGCTTTGGGTGTCGAGGGCGTCACAGGCTTGACCGGATTCTCGGGGGGGGATAAATCACCTTGCTGGGGAGCGGGCTCGGCAGCTGCGTCCGCAGGCACTGGTGGCACCCGCGGTCGTAGAGGTGCTGGAACGTCGACGTCCTCCGTCTTAAGCTGGCCGGAAATCGGCGTCTCAGAAGGATCAAGGTGCAAAGAGTCAATCTGAGGTGAACTAGACCTTGAGCTGGAACTATGTTCGGAAAACCCAATTGACCCATAGGAGGAGGCAGAGTCGGTAGAGTCTCGCCGCGTACTATCATTGTCTGGAACTATTACAGTGACCGGAAGTTCTTCCACAATGGTTGAAATCCGAGCATGCTTGATTGGCTCGAATGGTGTGACAAGGGCACTTTCGTGGGCCTCTTCTTCCGTGGCAGGCTCAACAACGACCACAGGTGCAACCGTTGGAGCAGGTATCTCTCCCTCAAGTGCCTTGAGAGCTTCTTCGTGCACAGGGGTCAAAGGGGTAACCGGTAACATTGGCGATGGCTCAGCCGTTAGGAAAGATTTATCACTGTCGGGACTAATCACACTTTGGCCGTCGGTGCGATCTTCGTAGATGTCTGGCTCGTCACTCAGGGCTTGCCTTACGACTGACCGTCGGGAGTTGGTTGACTGTGACGGACGACGCCCAAAAAGCTTTCCAAAGGTGGCTGAGAATACGCCAGGTGAAGCGGGCTGGGGGGCCGTTGGCGATCTCATTTTGCTGAGAGGAGGTAATGTCGGATGGCCAGAGATCGGAGGTGGTGCCTTGGATTTGTAAGAGGGCTGGCTGTCATTCCTCTGTTTATCCTCGATCCGTGACGAATTAAAGATTAAATCATTATTAGTTTCTGTTGGCTGTATCATAGTATTTTGGCTGGTGCCGAAGTTAAAAGCACTCAGACCAGGATCTGGGGTTGATGGTTGCAAGGGTGGTTCTGTATTAGCTCTGAAGAGCGGTGGTGGAATTCTCCCGGCTTGAAACATCTCATTCGACTTGGTTGGTGACGCCGTCATCGGCATTGATTCTTCTGATGGTGTGATCTGAAGCTCGGGGAGCTTTTCGAGGCTTTGCTGGCGGCTGTCGCTCCTCGTGCTCACCGAGTCTGCTCTGCTTGACGGCGTCGAAGGTCGGCGTCTATCTGAGAGCTGAGCGTCTTGGGCAGTCTGAGGTAGGTTGTTTGATGACCCTGCTCTTGACAATTGACCCACGCGGCTATGCTGCCTCGATGATGCAGAAGCATCTCTCGACCGAGAACGGAGTGTGTCGCTTCTCTGGGTCGCAGATCTGTCTCTTTTGGTCGTAGTGGATCGTGATGGGAGAGGGAACGGGGGAAAGGCACAGTCGAGGTTCGTGAGCTCCGGAGACGGTGGCCGGCGCGAGACTGGCAAAGAACCTTTGCGCACGACAGGCCATGGGGGGCGTGTCCCAGAACCTGCACTCAACGGTGAAACCATTGAGCTATGCTCGCTACTTGCCGGGGTAAGCTCGCCTTGAAAGACCGGTGGTCGAACTAACTCATTGTCAGCTTCTGCCAAAGATATGGGACCCAGGTTGCCACTAACAAGCAGCAGCAGCATCAATCTTCGGTAACAGAGGTCTTGTAGCTCTCGGCTTGCCCAAGCTTTGGGATGAATCTGTTCGAGGGAGAAATGGCTGGGGTAGAGATACCGCTGGAGAAGTCAGCATCGCGTGCCTTCGTAGGAAAAGGCGGTGCAAGGTTACCAGGCGTGCTTGTTCCGCATGTATGCTCTGAGATGACTGCGATATCGATATCTTGACCGCAATCCGAGCATTTGATGCCAGGGGAGACATTCGTATCTCTTGGGGGCGCTTGCATAGTTCCTTCCGCTCGCACGATGTGTTCCTATCCGCTCCTGTCTTCTCCTTGCGCCTTCCCACTTATGTCGATTTCATCCAGATTTCCGGCGACCTTCGCAAACATCAATGTAGGAATCCAGAAGGATTATCGAAACACAAGCTGGGATATGGCTCCGTTAAAGGTAGTGGCCACCAGGCCCGGAATCAAGCGTGGTGATCAAGCGAGATGGAGGACAGACTCGAGGTCGCCTCTGGTGTTCAAACAAACGAAATGACACCGCCCATTAGCTAGCAACGGAGCAACATGTATCTATTAGACGCCGGACATAATTTTGCCCCGAGCCAACAAGGCCTTTGGGAAACGGACCACTTGAAGACCGGGGTCAGAGATGAAGCTTGCGGAAGTTGGCGGCTAGGCACGACCAGGGTTGGGCTTTGAATTGCGGTAACGGACATCAGTGTCGATCAGAGTCTTGTCAAGCTCATTAGCCTCGATGCTAGCCAGGAGGAAATGGAGGTTTGCGACGCAGTGAAATTGGGTCGAATGATAAACACGCACATGCATTGACAGGAACCCTAGCTGCGAGGCTTCCCCTTGGTTGTTCTCGAACCGTTGGTAGATATTGTTACCATAGTCCTTACCTCCACTGTTGTATCCTTCGACGCGCGGTCCGAAACTCGCCTGCAGAATCCCTTCCAGGGGCCTTTGCATCAATTCTTCCAAGCTGCACAACTCAGTACGAGCTGGGAATGCGAGCACAAGCCAGAAATTGACGATAGTCTGAGCAAGGTGTCGTCGCGTCCCCTCTCCACCATGTTAGGCTGGAAGCAGAGGAAGCGCCCGCCACCAGGAGCCACCAGGACATGGGTGCAGTGTGACTTGTGGGGTGAGATGGGCCCAGGAGACTGATTGAGGTCGTCCCTTGCCGCCAACTAGACTGAGAGAGGTTTGGCACCAGGTCGAGGTTGTAGCAGAGACGTCCATTTTTCGTTTCTGGCTTGGACTGAATTGTCCATTGGCCCATTTCTCAGACTCGGGAAGGCCACGAGAATGACACTGACAGCGACGGTGGCTGAGAATTATTTGGCCGAGACCATCTAGGACGCCGCGTTGACGAAAACAAAATAGCCTCACCACGAATAATGCAGTTGCTTGCTTCTGGTCGACGAAATCGAGGTTGCTGACAGGTGTTTGAAGCCGCGCAAGAGAAATTTGATTATCTTGTCTCTCCGGGCGGTCAGTAAGCGCTCAATTGGTGCTGGCGCCTAGCGCAGTCGACTTGCTAGAGGCCCTAGAGGCCCTAGAGGCCCTAGAGGCCCTAGAGGCCCTTGGGAAGCCCTAAGATACTCTTAGAGTGCCTTTGGAAGCAGTTAGGGACCCTCACAGGCTCCTGGATGGCGACTTGAGATGCCTAGTGGGTGAAATGCTAAATTACGCGACTGGTCAACTTCCCCCTGTCCTCGGGGTTCGCAGTGCTCATTGGGCCTCCAAGTCTTCATTTCGTTAACACTGGGAGAAAGCCGCTTTACCAACTTCCAGTGGACTACGCCGAATCGTCGAGCAATCAATCGTCCATTTCTTCTTCTGAACCACCAAAGTCGGCGGTGAAGAATGCTTCTAGCCTTCCGCTCTAGAGCATTATGCTATCGTCGTTTCATGTCAAGATTGGTGTGCTCCATGGCACACTCTCCGACCACCATTCAGTGTTCATAGATCTCGAAGGCACGCGTTTTGTCCTCCGTGTCAATAGGAAACCGAGATAAGCCATCTCCAGACCAGGAGCCATAGCAATTCATTATCGCCCGACTCCTCTCTTGCACGTACAACTCCTCACCGCTGATCACTTGCTCCCGGCACGATCCTCAGACTAGCCACGACCTTGACAGTCGTTCTCGATTTGGGTCTGGAAGGTCGCAATGAAATGTGGCATCGCGTTGCGAAGTGGCCCGTTTAGAGCATCACGCAGGGAGCTTCCTCTCCCACTCCACCACTTCCTGCATGGACACACCGCCGATCCTCACCTTGCTAAGATCCCGTTCGTAGCCCTCTTCGATGTGTGGGAAAGGGCCCATGGGAGTGATCGCCTTCGGGTTCACATCGTGGTGGCTTTTAGTATAGTTCTCCTTGATGTGCCGAAAGTCTGTAGTCTCCTTGAACCCGGGAACGTTCCAGTACAGGTTCTTCAGGTAGTTGTTCAACTGCGGGTAATCATGCCTGATGGTGCCCAGGTTGCACTTGAAGTGCTGCACATATACCGTGTCGAAGCGTATCAGGGTCGCGTAGGCTCTGATGTCGACCTCGGTAAGCTCCTCGCCCAGAATATACGGACCGCCGTTCTCCTTGACCATGTTCTCCAGTTTGTTCAGCGCCGCAAATACCGGCACCACGTTCTTATCGTACTCCTCTTGCGACGGCGCGAACCCAGCCTTGTACACCCCGGTGTTCAGGTAGGTTTGCATCCAGTCACTTACCTCGTCGATCTTGTGGCGCAAATGCTCCGGGTACAGCGTGACCTTGGCATACTCTGGTGGCAGAAGCGTGTTGAAGCACGTCTGGAGGTCTCGGAGAAGCTCCGCACTTTCGTTGTTGACAATGGTTGAAGTCTCGCGGTCCCACAGAGCGGGCACAGTGTATCGCCCTTTGTACTCCGGGTCCGCTTTGAAATAAACCTCGTGAAGGAACTTGCTTCCGAACAGCCTATCCACGGTCGCCTCGGGATACTCGTCGTCGCTGGCAGGGAACCTCCAACCCGGCCAGCCGTGCTCGTCTCCCTTGGGATAAGGTTTGACGACGGATATGTCGATAACTTCCGTCAGACCTTTGAGATGCCGCACGAGATTGGCACGGTGGGCGAATGGACAGAACAGTCCAATGTACATGTGATATCTGCCTCTTTGTGGAGGAAACGGTCCATCTGGCGTGATCTTGCCATGCCATGATTCAGATGTGCCCGCGAGGTGTTCGGTCACTGTGGTGGGTCGTGGTCGGCCAGGCGCCGAATGTTCTGTACTCATGGCGCGAGATAACAGTTGTGTTATGGTTTCGTGGTAATTCTCTACTTGATTCACGTATAATAACCTGCGCTTATGGACCTTAAATTGAAATCGGTCGTTCGCTGTTCTGTATTGATTAATGCCTTGTGTTCATTTTAACCTTGGGGTGATCAACACAATATTTACGGAAATTCCGCTGCTGACGTAACGTGGGTTGAGGATTATTTATTCAGCAAATATACTGAACTACTGTAGCTATCCCATGCTCATGCAATGAAATGAAGCCGTTCGTAAGGAGCCATCATATCAATATCAGGGAAAGGGAATACCACGTCGTTCAAAGCACTGCTCAAATCTCTCCCCCGATAGCTCCTGCACAGATACCACGACTTGGGCATATCAGTTTTTCGCGTCTTCTTTCGCATTTTCCTTCAGCTTTTTTCCCTCTTCGACTTTTTGCGACAAGACCTTTGTGACATCGTCGATTGCACTCTTAACCAGCTTCTCAGCTTCCTTTCCGTGCTTTTGGCTTAGCTCTTGCAACTGCTGCAGCTTGGTTCCCATCTCAGAGCCACCGGGAATCATGTGAAGATACTGTTCGATGCCACTACCACCAGACTTCTGCGATAGGTTGCTGGCTTGTTCCTTGACAAATTTCTCGACATCTTCCGTGTTGCCGTTCTTAGCAGCCTCTTGTAGCTTTTGCCACAGTTCGCCAATGTTCCCCTGCAATAAAGTCGATTTGTTATTCTCGAGAAGCTCTTTCAGCTGAGGTTGTTTATCCAGGATCGGCTTTGCTTGCTCTATGCCCTTCTGCCACGCTTGATCGCCGTACTTCTTCAGCTGTTGAACTTTGTCTTGCAGAAGTTTTTGAAGTTGACCGACAGTGCCAAAGCCGATTCCTCCTTTCAAAATGTCCCGGATCTGATTGTAAGTCTCATCTACCATCTGCTTTGCCTCCGGTCCATACTGGTCTCCAAGCTGTTTCAATTGCTCGAAGCTGCCGCCGAATTTCTCCTTCAGCTGGGGGTGGTTATTGAGGATGTCCTGGCTAGCGTCAACAGCGAGAGCTGAAATGCGCGAGAAGCACTTCTGAATCACGTCCCAAGCCGTTGACACTGCCTCAACGCTGAAGCCTTTGTTCGTGACGCCTTTGAGTTCGTCGTATGTCTCTTTGATGATCTGGTCCACCTCGTCTCCATGCTTTTCTCTGATCTTGTCAAGATCATCAAATGCGGAGTCAACATACTTGGAAGCTCCAGGGATCATTTTGGTATAGGTCTTGACCGTTTCCTTCAGCCACTCGACAGCTTCGTTGGGTTCTGGCACAGTCTCAGTGGTCTTTTTGAAGGCCGAGTCGACATAAGAGCGAGCTTGATGAACACTATTGACAACAGACTTGGTTCCTGAGAAGTAATACCAAAGGTACACCGCGAGGAAAGCTGTGGCGCCACCCGCAATACCTCCGATAAGAGCATCATTTGTGGATGGAGACGAGGGTGAAGGGGGAGCTTTGCCAGGGTTTGTGGACTGAAAACGTGCATTGCGCGGCTGACGAGGTCGGACGGGCATAGGCTGTCGCAGCCTCAATGCGCGAGTCGACCGCACGGCGACTCTAGGTGTGCTTACCAGCATTCTGGAGGTGGGGAAGGGTATAACGGTAACTGTGATGACGGTAGTGTAGGTAAAGACGAGAACGTCGAATGTTTGGGTGTATTCTGGAGCGCTTGACAGAAGATTGAGAGACGGAAAAGAGGAGTCGGTGAAGAGCAAATGCAGAGGCGCCTTCACACGCCTGTCATTATTTATGGAAGAACTGAAGGAAATGACGTTTGACTTCACCTTGACCTTGTGCTTGACCCGCCATGCTTCATGATTGGTAGGAAGTGGGAGTCTGTGTCAAGAGTAATACTGTGCTCCGGACTTTGGTAGACAAATAGTCATTGGGACGTCATCGTGGCACAAAAAGTCAATAGCAGCAGACTCCGACGTCAGGACTCACCAAGCCACTTTGTGGGCGGGTTCGGGGAGACAATATCCGTGAAGCTGCAGGAGAAGTCGACTGAAATCATTCCGTATGCCAAAACTTTGGTATTATCTTTTCTCTCTGCAGCAAGGATTATAGGGGACGGTGTCGTAAACTTATCGACCAGGAACAAAGTCTCTGCTGTTTACTCCGTACAAGGCCAGAATGTGGAGTACCGAGGTTCCAGCTTCTAGGTACTGGGTAGTCACTTGTTAAACACCAAGAGAAAATGCAGCACTGAGCGGTACGGATAGTACTCTCCCTTATCTATAGTTATCGTTGATATTTTGACGATGTGTGTTACAAAACGAAGTCCAAAACCCAAAGACAGAAGATACCTAGGTAAGTAGCCTGGACCAAAAACAAAAGGCAAAAAATCAAGAATTCCCAACCGGGGAGTCGAACCCCTGTACGAATTTGTTAGCCGCTTGTAATGGAGGACGCGTTTAGTAGAGAGAGCTTACCGAGCTGCCGGGACTATTAAGTCAATAGTGGTTTTCGATGAAAACCGGCGATGTTAACCGTTACACCAGCTGGGATTATTTGCTCAAAAATTCGCCTCCAAATAATATCTACTTTGACATATTAGACCCGCATAGCACTCACCCGTCAGTGGCTCCTTTTCAGATGCTCCGCTGTTGAAAGCGAGGTCGACTGAGATCGAAAATATCACATGGCTCTTTTCTTGGCTGAGAAGTGTGTTCGATGGACCTGCGACAAGAGGTCGAAGGACCGGGTAGAGGCTGGTACGAATACGAGAAGAGAGTTCTTGCAACAAGAGGCATGCCTAGTGAGCCAAAGTTATACCTCGTACCCATGCTCCCACCAGAGCAAGCTTATGGGTGGTCGCATTGTACCTGAAGCAGAAAATATCCACAATACGAGGGAAGTCCTCCGTACTCGCACTTCTCATGGCAACGTCATGCCTCCTGCGCTGACTACCGTACGGAGTATGTACTCCGTTATTCTGCTTCATTTCTCAGCTGGGAGCCCGCCTCATTCTAAAAGAGCATAGCTGATTGAGTTCCTGCACTTCTCTTCGCGATTTTAAGTTTTTATCATCTTCCTGTGCGTCAAGATGTATCCCAGGACAGCTGCAAGATGTCTTTTGCGCACCATTGGTGCCGCACCGGTTAGAAACGCCATCCCGTCTCTTCGACCTACACGAGCTATTTCGTCTCCACATACAGCATCGACTCTATCGATTGCGGAGAGGCGACGACATTACCTCCAAAGCTCCTCCTTCCACACGTCCTCCACACTGCGGGCGCAGTCACCTACAGCAGATGCCCTCATGGAAAATCTGACTGACCTGTATGCGACGGCAAGAGACGAGTTCGAGATCGCGGCAGAAGAGACCGAGAAGAAGACGGTATATGCTGCGGACGACCGAGAGGCTGCGGTAGCTGCTTTGCAAACACTGAAAGACGCGTTCGAAAAGGCTGTTAAGGAAAGCGACCCAGAAGTGGGCAAAGAGATTCAGAGCAGGGTTGGCCAGAGAATAAGAGAACTAGAAAACGCCATCAAAGCAATGGAGCAAATGGCCATGGAGGATTAGAAGTGAGGAACTTGGATATCACGCCACAGGGACTGGCCAGTCTCCAATACTCGCGATGTATATCCGCTCGAGGAAGTTTCGAGCCGTGTCAAGGCGCGAGGCGCCTTTTGATGTTGCGGTCGTGTCTCGATTACAGATTACCTCACCTAGCATTTGCTGCAGTTCGCAGCTGGGAACGGTGCGACCGATGTGTTGGGGAACTCCCTAGTTCCGTCTACTTGCTGCTTGCGAGCATTCAGCGTATACCTAGGAACCATAGGTTGCAGCAGACACGAGAAAAGAAAAGAACGCCACCAAGGGAACCGCGATGTAATCGCATAGAACCATAGAATTTCTCAAGTACAGACGTGATCTCATCGTCCATACGCCAGTTCAAGCAGTTTTCGTACTCGCTGGAAAATGCCAAAAGACTATTTTGGGATCATGTCCGTTCTACTGCCTAGTAGCGCTTGCCTTCTCTCAGAACGTCACCATACTCCTCCAAAGGACTTCTGACGAGCTTGTTCTCCTTCCACAGGTTGGGGGTCAGGAATCCGTATGTGTTGCTGACAGCCACGAATGTAGCCTTGAGTGTGTTCTCCAGCGTCTTTGTGCTTCCAGAAGACGAGGTGTATGCATCCTGGACACCAGCAAGCTGAAGCAATCTCTTGACGGCGGGCGAAGCGACGAGACCAGTTCCTCGAGGAGCAGGAATCAATCGAACGTTGACGGAACCGCACTTTCCGGACTCCTTAGTAGGCAGAGAGTGAGGCTCACCAAGGTTGGTACCCCAGTAACCTCTTCGGATGGGCAGGACAGAGAGTTTGGCAATGATGATGGCAGCACGGATGGCGGTTGCGACTTCTTTTGAGGTCTTGATACCGAGACCGACGTGACCTTCGCTGTCACCGATGATAACGATGGCCTTGAATCGGGTTCGCTGACCGGCACGGGTCTGCTTCTGGACAGGTTTGATCTGAAGACTTCTGTTAGGGCCTGCATGACCTCGACGTACTAACTAGTCGCAGAAGTTGTGCGCGGGCTTACCTTCATAACTTCATCCTTCAGCTTGGGCAAGAACCAGTCGACGATCTGGTACTCCTTGATGGGGAGAGAGTGCAGGTAGATTTGTTCCATGCTTTGAATCTTTCCAGCCTTCACGAGACGGCCCAGCTTGGTGACTGGCTGCCATTCCTTCTCATCGGATTTCGCACCACCACGGCGAGGGCCTCGTCGTCCACGGCCACGATCGCCTCGACCTCTGTCACCACGGCCCCGGTCACCGAAACCACCACGTCCACGAGGAGCATCAGCCATATTGTCGGATTATGCGCAAAAGACTGGATTGGCGAAGTTGCGCTGGGTGTTGTCGTTGAGGTTGTGGTGTGTGCTAACTCTTGTCAATCGAAGCCCACAAAACTGCGGTCGGTGAAATTTCCGCCAAGACGAGAAAAGCCCTAAAGAGCGTGAGAATGTGTGTCACGTGATTGGGGCTGCATCCGCGCCGTCCAGAAGCAGCAAATCTTAGCGAGCATCGGCTCAGCCAGAAAGGGCGATCCCGCCGCAATCTCGCCGCGATAGCAATGACGCAGATGAAAATACTCCCCTGACCATTGTGGGTAAATGAATCTCACTTCTTTTGTTCTGTACCAGGGTTACGGGGGAGGACTAAGAAAATTATTATCAAGACCGAAAAAGTAGCATGACCCCCTGAAGTACTCCGACTATATCTCTAGCCAAACGAGAACACGGGACGCCATGTTGCGGTGGTATGTGTGCAACCTGGAGACTCCTGAGTGGGTTACTAAATCGTACTCCTAGGTATCAAGCCAGACTGGCCAGACGGCCTTTGTTGACTCAAGCCGTCACCACTGCCGTACGGAAGCCCTCTCAGGTGTCCATGCTCAGACTAACTGAAGTAGGTACTCTTCGGCGCCGGTGATACCCTGGCTCAGCAAGCAGTTGAAAAGAAAGGATTCAGCAACCATGATGTGACACGAACAGGTCGCATGGTGCTCTATGGAGGGTGTAAGTCGACATCATACCTCTGCTGAATCTCACATTGACCCAAGCAGGTATATTTGGACCAGCAGCCACCAAGTGGTACCAAATTTTGCAAAAGCACATCAACTTCCAGTCTCACAACCTCACCATTGCTGCCAGAGTAGCGGCAGATCAGCTCATATTTTCGACCTGTCACCTTGCATTGTTCCTGTCCAGCATGTCGTTCCTCGAAGGCAGTGACCCAAAGAAGAAACTCGAGAAGAGTTACTGGTCAGGGTTGAAGGCAAACTGGGCCGTATGGCCTGCTGTCCAGGCGGTCAACTTCAAGTTGGTTCCATTGGAGCATCGAGTCTTGGTTGTCAACATAGTCAGTTTGGGCTGGAACTGTTTCCTTAGTTGGCTCAATAGTTCGAAATGAGTTGGCCACGTAGAAGGGCGCGGGGAGCAAACCTCCGTCTGTGCCCGTAGAGGGACCCTTTGTAAGGCTTGTATCTCTTTTAGTATAGAAAGGCGTCCGGTGAATGCTTCAGATCATTGAATGATAACTGGATATATACCAGAAGCACAATAAATCGTATTATATGTACCTGACCTCAGGTATGTGACGTGTTAATAGAATCACGAAGTTCCATGCGGGAGCCGTTACCTGCCGGCCAGAAGATGAATACATGAGGCTAGCCCCGTTTGGAAGCCCATAGTCGCCTCAATTGAATTTTAGGAAACTGCGATATTATTTCCCTAGCAGACGCAAATCGACAACACCTTCTACTGCTCTCAAGTCTCTATTCTCGCAGAGCAGCTGCCTACGAATTCAGATAGCAGGTCACTTGAATTTACTTGAATTCTTCGGGTGGCTTCGTTTACGGTTTGCCACCGACAGCTTCGCATCGCCAATAACAGTAATTCTCTTCTGCTTAGATTCTCCTGCGATTCTTATTCCACAAATCCTCTAACTCCTCCGAACAATCTACTCAATATCACATCTTCAATATGGCGCAAGTTGAAATGCCGCAGCCTGTTCCTGGACCAGTCTCAAACGAAAACACCGCGCCCTCGACGACTGACGAGATCAAGACCGTTTTCCACGACGTCAATGACTTCAATGTCAAACATCCTCTTCTCAATGCCTGGAGTCTATGGGTGTGTGGCGCTACCCTAATTTTCTTGTTCTTGCTGACAGTCTTTAGTTCACCAAGCCGCCGTCGTCAAAGGGAGACAATTGGAACGACTTGCTAAAAGAAGTTATCACCTTCGACACAGTTGAGGAGTTTTGGGGAGTCTATGTATGTATAGCCCGAGTCCTGGAAACATCGTGATCTGACTTTTTGCGTTCAGAATAACATCACTGCGTGTTCCGACCTCAGTCTCAAGTCCGACTATCACCTTTTCAAGAAGGGAGTACGGCCAGAATGGGAAGACATTCAGAACAAGCATGGCGGCAAATGGTCGTACTCGTTCAAGGACAAGAAGTTGATCAACATTGATGAACTGTGGCTTCATACGCAGTTGGCCGCCATTGGTGAGACCCTCGAGGACGAAGGAGACAACGAGATCATGGGCGTTGTTGTGAACGTCCGCAAAGGATTCTACAGAATTGGATTGTGGACTCGGACTACTGGAAAAGCTGGTGGCAAGGACACATTGATGAAGATCGGTGCACGCTTCAAAGAGGTCTTACAACTGGGACCGAGTGATGTTCTTGAGTTCAGCGGTCATACTGATGCGGCTCACGCTGGTAGCACCAGAGCGAAGGCCAAGTACACTGTCTGAAGGGGACGACATCGGGCTCTGAGCAGCGGCCTACTTTCGAACTATGGTATTACGATATGTAATTTGGGTTGTACTCGAAGAGGAGTCCAACGGCGTTTTTCTTTCGGCGGATACGGCTTTCATGAGAAGGCGAAAAGGAATACCCTGCATTTTATCAAGCATAGCATAGCATCGAGACGGTTCAATCCTGAAAATATGATTGCGAACCTCAGTCAAGCATATGCCTTTGCTCTTCCACCACCGTGGCCGAATGCTAAGGAAGGGAGATCAAAGTTACCAGTCTGCAGGCACTAGAAACGAAGCATTCGGCTCGGGTGATGTCACCAAGACAGCACTCGAATAGAGACCTAGTGAATACGAAGAAAGGTACTTCAGCAGAACTATGTTCTGGCATCCCGCGTTCTATCTCCTCTTTGAATATTTTCCTTGACAGATACCTAACAAAGGGGTAGTGGAGGCTATGGCTGACGGATCCTTTTGTCCCTCCATCGGCCAGCTTCGCTTGCACCTCTCTGGCGCGATCGTCGCAGAGCCTCACAAGCCTGCGTGGGCGAAGACGGCTACACAATTACATTTCGTCGATCGATGTAGGGCGATGCATCGTTGTCGCGTTCTGTCATGTGTTCAGCTGGGTTGCGGTTAGCGAGAGCCAGTTCATGGGGGCATTTGGCCCCCTGTCAGTCGAGGACGAGCTGAATTTCCATTGGTAGATATCCTGACCGGTGAGGTCTGCCTTGCATTAGTACCTCTTAGTTGGATAGAAACCGACTGGATGCACTCCTCCATCTACTCGACCCTGCATTGGTTTCATCCAGTCCTTCCGGTCTTCTGCAGACCAGTTCGCTTCTTCAATCCATACATCCACTTCCTGTGTCAACATCTCTTTGTTGCACATGAACATTCTTCTGCCATCTGACCTTGCACAAGCTACCCCGCCATGCAGCTTGACCGCAGAGCCCTCCATGCCGCACTCAGCAATGCCCCCGAGTCCTTTGAAATCGGTCTGGACGTGGCATGATGGCTAGCAGATCAAGTCGGGGCATGCTATGATCGTTGACAACAGATTGTGAGTACCTGTTCTCTGGGGGGCTCTTTATATCATGCTCGGATCCCTCGCTTAATTGCCTCGTTGCCTGAACCTGTATCATCTCCATCCATCAGCCTCTGCCTGGCGATTGAGCATCAAGCAAACGGGCCTTTCAACTTGACAAACCTTGCTGATTACTTTGATTCTATCTAGACAATAACCCAGCCACGTTCACATGGGGCGTCGCCGTCGCCAAAGCGGTCATCGCCAGGCACAGCTTCCTTTTCTTCGGGTTGAGCCTAAGCCGGTAGGGGTCTCATCGACTCCGGCAACCTTCGCACATAGGCCGCGGCAGCGGTATTCCAGTATCCCTCCCGAAGAACTCCAGCCTGGAGCTCCTCAACATCGATACAACGAGGCCACAGCCCCTTCAAGCCCCGTCAGTAGCCGCTCAGCACACTCCCACGGTAGCTTGGGGCACTCTGTTTCTACTAGCTATACCAGCTACCTGGCCGACGCGAGGCATCTTTCACCCGACCCGCCTACACCCACAAACTCGACTATTTCGACATACAATTCAGCTCATCATGCAACCAATGGCTCTGGGAGACCGCGGCAGTATCAAAGCTTCATGTCCAGTGGTACCTCTGACCCAGATGTACAGATGACAGGTAAGGCCTCACAAATTATACAGTGAAGAATGATAGTTGACTTGTGCTTTATAGATGTTCTTGGTATCGACGTTCGTTTCTCGAGTGCTGAGACTCAGCAATATGTTGGAAGCCAACCCCAATATGTGTCTGATCGCGGATTTTCTCCCACCACTCATCAAAGATATCCGCACATGGCTGGGCCATGGGCCCCATTGCCATTTCGACATGAAGATTTATACATGGGCGAAGAGGGAGCAGGTCCTGTCCGGGAGGAAGTAGTCCCCGAGGATGCACAGACCCAAAGCTCGCGCGAGAAACGAGGAGGTCGCACCAGACCTCTATCACCATCTGCACGGAAAGAGGCCAGTGACGTTCGAAGGGTGGGAGCCTGCCTTCGTTGTACCATTATGAGAGAAAAGGTATTGTTGTCTGTCCAAGAGTAGATAAGTATTGACTTGTCGCAGTGCGATCTTCAAACCTCTTGTCACACCTGTTTAACCAAGGAGCGACGGAAATTTCCCAAAACATGCATTAGAGCCCATGCTGACTGGGAACGACTCAAGTCGATCATTTTCCCCCGTAAGTTGACCTCTGGCGGAAGGGAAGTGCGCTAATCATATCCCAGTTGAATTGACCTCATCATTGCGGCGTGACAAGCTCTTCCGATATATGTCCAAAGGGGCATTCACTCTATCCCCTCGACAACCTTTCAAGATCCCACTAGATCTGGGTGTGGGCACACCATTGCAGGTGATGGTACAGGAATTTCATGCGCTCACCACTGAGATTGAACACACATATCGCATCAAGGAAGATGGCAGTGGAAACAAGATTTACTGTCAACATCAAGTATGGAGCCCACCAATCAATGTGTTTTTCAAAAATGGAGAGTATATGAGACCGGTACAAAGTCTGAAGCACCAGATCAACACAATCTTTGAGAATGTGCTGGGCGACGAAAAGGGCTGGATAAACTGGACCATGGAATATTTCCCCTCCAAGGAGGAGAATTTCCAAACAGACATCCTCGGTTGGATAGGCAAGTACTACAGAAAGGACATTCATGAACATGGTATTCTCAAGACAGGGTTGAGCTTGCTGTGGTACGAACACTTGCTCTTGAGAAGCTTCGAAATCCCACCTGAAGCCAGGCCAATGTTGGAAAAGCATCTCGAGAGTTGTCGGCCGGCGGAGCTCAGTGAGAAGGCTGAAATAGCGCCAGAAACCATCAATCGATTCCTCAAGGGCGTTATCCTTCCTATGGCCGAGGATGCAGCAAGATCAGTACTGGAAACACTGCATGAGAAGATGTTCAAGATGGCGGTCAACTTGGACTTATCCAAAGCACGGACTGACATTGCACTCTGCCTGGCTTTCATCCTGTTGATATTTCTCGGGAGGACACAGCACGCGTTGGTTCTCCTGGCCAGCACGAGTGCAAAGGAATCTGACGGGATGTATTCGTTAAGCGACGCCAAAGCCAAGATCCAAGAAATGGAAGATTCCGTCACAGAATACCTGCTGTCCTTCCACAAATATACGTTGAGCAGGAAGTCTTCCAGATCGGCCAAAGTGTCGAGCGGTGGTGGTGAAGAGCGCTCAGCATTTGAGATGCATGCCCGAGACTTTGATCTAGTAGGTCGTTTCAGAGGAGAGGTCGGCGTTGAATACGGTAAGATCCTACTACTCCTGTACTCGTTGCCAATGTGGTCGCACCGTTTGCTGACAGACGAGGTTTAGCGGGCATCAAGCCAGAGGATTTGGATGTCGGTCCTCTCAACTACAAGACATTTCGACACATGAACGTCCGCCGACTGTGTTGGAAGCTGTTTCAAAATTTTGATGTCGACGCTTCCAATTAATGTGATACAAAAGGGCCTTGGAAGGATTGATAGAAAGATTTTCCCATGATTGTATGAAGTATATGCAGCGTTTTACAATTTGGAATCCGGCTCGGTCTACTACTGAGTAAAATGATCTCGAGTGTCAGGGATTGGACTGTTTACGATCTTTTTTAAGAGTATCTCAGACTTGAACTGAAAACTTGAAGTGAGACAGAGGTGCCTAGTGAAAAACAATATGGATTACTCCGTAGGTAATGGAGTCAGTGACCCAGGTCACTTGTACCTGTGGTTGTCTATATGTCGGGGGGGGGAGGGTTGGGTTGTCTACACGTGATCCAGCACGAGATGTACATGAACATGACGTCAGAAGAAGAAGCCCAACAAATACAACAAATGTCTTCAACACAACATGAAACCAAACCAAACCAAACCAAATCGACACCCCCTCAAAATTGCCAAACTGTTAAGCATGGACTGTTTCCATCTTCTCCTGTTGTTCCCAATGCAAAGACTTTGTTCCCGAAGCCCTCATCTCTTGCGAGAGAGAGCGAGAGTCGGCAGATTGCTCTCCCGGTGTATATCAATCATCCTCTTGAGAGCACTGTTGTACAATCTATGTAAGTGTGCTGTGCTGTGTGCTGTGTGCTGTGTCGCTGGGTGGGAACACGTCAAAAAGGTCCAAACACCAAAGCCGACTCCGAATGCTCCGAGTAGCCATCATGACATGTATTCGTGGGAGGAAGGAGAATAGGTGAAATTCCTGAAGGAGACCCAAATCAATGTCAGCCACGCACCAGTCGAGTGATGATCTGATGATCGAGGGAGAGAAACAGGGGGACCCTCTTACCTTCCTCTGCGTTTGTGTGGTTTTCAGGCAGCCATTCGTGGTTTTGTTTATTTGGATGATCCGCCCCATGCTATCCACGAACATAAGTTAGCATTTCCTGCCTTGTGGGCGCTCAGGTAGGTTAAGGAAAGGAAGGGAGACCGGGAAAGGGGGTCTTACGTCTATCTCCTCCTCCGTTGTTGCCTCCATTGCCCCGTGGAGGCGCGTTGTGAAGGTGTGACAACGTTGACTTTGCCATCTTGTTGGTGACTGGGAGGGTGATGATGACTGCGGTGGGTGACGACGTTGTGGTGACTGTGAGGATGAAGAGCCTCGCTGTGTATGTGTGTACGTGTGTGCGTGTGTGTGTGGGCCTTTGTGTGGTTTGTGTGTGCGTATGTGCCTGGGAAGGGATCAAGGCTTTATTTGTGGTGATGGGATGTGAGAGGATGTTCTGGACAGGTTGTGAAGAACCTCAGGCTCTTTAAGTATGCCTTCCTCTTATCCATCTACGGAGGGGGCGCTCAGTGGAGTTGTTTTGTTTTATGGCTCATTGAAACAACGCACGAGTTGTCCATTGACGATCGAGCACTGCAACGATTCGACCGACATCAAAGCCCCAACAACAGGCAGGACTCTTCTTTGCGGCGGTGCACGCGGAAGCCAAGGGGGACAAGGCGAGGCGAGAAGAGACGGAGTCACAGAAGCAGAGAGCGCAGCCTGGCATACAAGGCATGACGAGCCTCCACTCGAGGCAGGCTGGTGGCAATGTTTCGAAGGAAACAATGGGAAACGGAACGAGAGTGAGTGAGTGAGTGAGTGAGTGTGCGAGAGAGAGACGGAGTCAAAATGACATGACGGTAAAAAAACCCAGGCAACAAAAGGACCCTCCTGTCTACGATGCCTGAAATGATAGAAGAGGTTCCCGGCAGCCCAAGCCCGTATGGAGCAGGGAGACAGGCAAGCAGGCAGGCAGGCAGGCAGGCTTGGAAACAGGCAGGCGGGTAGGCAAACACAGTCACCAACGCTTCGTGTCATCGATGCGTCAATTCTGGAACGGGTTCAAACGGCCGGTGGAGCAGCCAGCAAGAGGGTGAAATTTGTTGAGAATGTGAATCATAAAAGGTACAGAAGTTCGGATGTCGAGGCGGAAAATGGAAGTGGAATGGATCGGATTCAAGTAGACAGAGAAGAGCAACAAAGGTTTCAACGAGGCTGATGATGGACGCGGGATGGCGGAGCAAAAAGTGTAAAAATGCTGCTAAAGAGTCGTGGGAAAAAAAAGGCAACCAACGGGTAAACTACCTATGCGGGTAAGTCGGTGACTTTGGAGTATCACGGGGGACAGGGACACAAGGGCACAAGGGCACATGGACACGGGAACACGGGGCTTTGGACAAATGAGTGCTGTAAATATGTTACTTATGGAGCCAGTTTGGATTCGAGGCTTGAAGACGTTGGAAAAGTAAACTACTCGGAAAAGCGTTGGAGGAATTGGGATGGTATGACGGACCCAAGGTACCTAGAGTCAGGCTAGCTACGACCTAGCTATGGAGGAATGAGAGTGAATGTGTACGAGTAGTAAACTAGTATCAGCCCGAGGTGAGTTATTGGGGATTTGCAACAAGGCAAAGAAATGGGCGATTAGGCTGGGGGGGGGGGGGGGGGGGGGAGAGAGAGAGAGAGAGAGAGCATTAGGCCAGGAACAGTACATTGTTGTCGGCGCAGGCAGGTGTCCTGGTACCTGCGGTAGCCTTGTAGGAATGAGATGGTGGAGAAGAGTAGTTACATACAACAGGTAGTTAGATCCCACCCGACAAGCAAGGGACGGACGATAGATATCTATTGGAGATCGACGGACGGGCAGATTCACAGGGATGAGTGTGGTGGATGAATCAGATGAGAGAGAAAATGAGTCAGGTACGAAAAACATTTGTGGGAAGGAGGAGCAGGAGGAGGAAAGATCGAATGCTGCGCCTCATATCTCCCCCTACGAGGAGGCACGCGAAGGAACAGTGACTAGTTAGATACACAACAGACAGATACGGATAGTGGTGGTGGTGGTGACAAGGGGGGGGGCGGGTGTTTTTGGATCTTGGGGCGGGTGGTGGTGGTGGTGAATCTGCAAAGTTTCTCCATGACAATCGACTAGTTAGTAGGTACAAACCTAGGTAACGTTGGTTAACGGAATCCCGAAGTCATGGATGGGATGGGGGGGAGGGGGCCAGAGAAACGACTCACGACTGACTGACTGACTGACTGACGAGAAGGACTCACGAGAGGACTCACGGGGACTCGTGAGGATGTGCGTCATTTGTGTGTGTACTCGTACTACGTTGCAGAGCGACCTCGATAGGACGGACGCAGGGACAGGGTTCGATGCACCGACAAGATGGAGACAAAGGTCCGCAGATGCAGATGTGTGCGTTTGTGCAATCGTGCAATTCGACATTGATCATTGAGTCCAGTACTCGTAGAAACAGACAAAAAGTCCCATTAGTAGATCGATCGATGTCGGGGGAGCAACCAAAAAAGTCAAACCAAAAAAAAAAATAAACACTGCCATTTGAATGGACGCCTTTTTTGTGGATAGATAGATATCGTGCCGTACGGAGTAGGAAGTAGGAACGGAGGACACAAAGTACCGACTAACAACAAACAAACACTCACGACTAATAAAAAACTAACCGACCACCTGAAAGGCAGTTGACTAGTTTTAGTTGGTTTGCAAAAGGTGTCAAAGTGAAAGAAAAGGCCCACACAGATACAGACACACAAGACACACAAGAGACACAGCCTTTGACACACGGCTTTGGGTCCTGGGTCTTTTGCCGGGGGGTTTCTGGACTGGACCGGCGTAAGGCAGAAACGGTGGGTGGATGGATTGAGAGCCAGCGTGTGGGCATCGGGCATTGAGGCATTGAGGCATTGAAGGGCATTGAAGCGTTGCGGCAGTGGGCAGTGAGCAGTGGGCAGTGGGCAGTGGACAGGTGGCAGTGCGGGCCCATTCGGGGGGGCTGCTAGACGACGAGTTAACTAGTTGGTAAGGCTACCTCTCACCTCTCACCTCTCACCTCTCTCTCCGTGTGTGTGTGTGTCCTGATGACGCACTCTTCTAGTGTCCCTTCTAGAAAAAAACACAAACACGGATAACTCTTTATTTTAGACGCAAGAGGTGCAGCAGAGGTGAAGGGTGCCTTGGGAACCGGTGTGGTGGTGGTGCGACGACTTCTTTACCACCACCCCTGACCCTTCACCCGTACTCCGTCCACAGGGAGAAGGTAAAGTGGTGGCCGCGGAGGAACCGTGACGAGAGTTGGCCACCTACTGCTGTACTGTACCTTTGAGAAGGAGTTCGCGTAAAATGCAGGGGGACTTTTTGTCAGTGTGTGTGTCCCAACTCTTTCAGCCATGGCACGGAGTACCTCGGGAGGAAAGGAAAACGTAAGTGCATTGGGCAATGGTGCATTTGCATTTGCATTGGCGTCAGATGGAGGACCTGGGAAATAAAGTACTGTACAGGTACGAGAACAGACCACTTACAGGGTTAGCCCAAGGCACAGAACTATACCCCCTTGCTCACCTATTGTACCTACAACACTAGTTAGTTAAAAGTCAGAGGGGCTATTTGTATATACTATTGGACTGGCCAAAGGCTAGATTATTGTATCTGAGAGGGGGCACTAACTAACGAACTAACTAGTACGAACTACGTACATACATCTCAACAGTAGGTGCCTCGGCCACGGTAAACCACTCCTGAAGATTGTGTGGAGAAGAGATCGCTTCGACTCTTTTTGATCTTTGATACTGAGAGACCGTTGAACTCTATCTGCTTCTTGTGGAATCCGTGGCTTCAAAAAGACAGAAAAAAAAAAGTCGAAACTCGACTATTTCGACTTTTTCTTTTATATATAGGTAATCTTCGAACGGGATTGACGGTCATCGAATGTGGATCTATGATTTGCGTCAGTGAAATCTCTCTTATGGGAGCTGGAAGAATGAATTACCTTGCAAATAATCTTTTCGAACGGTCGGGGATTCGAACCCGCGGCCCTTCTCTTCCTTAACTCGCCCGCGGCCCTCGGTGGTGTGTTCCTTGCTCGCCTCAGTGAATGGACGTCCACCACATAAGCCACGTGGTTTTAACCTGAGCCATCACTGCGGGGTCTTGGTGATTGAGGAAGAAAATTCACGGGTTCAATTGATATCCCATTGGAATATTCGGCGGTGAGTGAATGGATGAATGAATGGTTCTCGGGTGGGGGTCTCGAGATGTGAAGCGAGGCTGGTACAGCCTCGTCACTCAGGTGAAGCGAGGACCAGTGTGGTACGTGATGACCGAGCGTGGGCGTACAGTGTACAGTACCTACATAGGAAACTAGTGTTCTCGAGAACGAACATTCCCAATTGCCGTCGATTGCGACATCGCTCTCATGTCGGGCAGAGATATGCGTCGACCCTTCGCGTCATACCCCGTCCCGTCCATCTCGTCGACCTTCAATACACAGCATCAATCCCCTAATCGGCATCCTCGATGAATGCATCCCACGTAGCCTTGACATCGTTAGTTGGAAATAAAAACAAAATAAGACACCGCCAAAGCAAGGGAAAAAGGAAAAGACACATCCATACCCAGTCGAAATCGACATTTGACAATTCGTTCTCAAATGAGAATTCTTTCCAGTAGGAGTCTGCCTGCGTGTCTGAGGACACGCTCGTGAGGTCCACAGGTGCCGTCATCGACCCTGCCTGAGACGACGTAGATCCACCCCCGGACCCAGACGCGGAGCCGGTGTTGTTGACATTCAGATTCGAAAGCATACCGACAAGAAATCGATGGACCTTCCACGACTCATCGCACGCGTCCATCGCTTGTGCCCACAGCGTGCATGATTCCTCCAACGCGTGAACAAGAATGCCAGTATCCGGACGTACTTCGCCTTCACAGGGATCCTGTCGTCTCACTTCAATCTCCAGAAACAAAATCATTGCAGCGAGAATGAGGACCTGTCGAGTCTGCGACATTCGGTAAAACGAGGGTTCCACCACACGTTGAAAGTCCAAGGTCCCCAGCGCGGACGAGATGCATCTGTCTCGGGAAAACTGGAACTCGTTGTTGGATTTCCCGCGCGCCAGAAAGCGGCGGTGAAGAGTGCACATTCCCGTATGGTACATGCACAACAAACTCAGATTGGAGAATCCGGCCATGGTGCGGATGGGTAAGGACATGTCGTTGAGAGAAGGCACTTTCATGTGCTCTGGGAAATCGTTGTAAGCAGTATACACTGCCCGGTCGATCTCGAGGACCGTTACGTACGAGTCTGGGGTTGGGCCACTGTTGAAGTCGGAGATACGGCCTAAAGCACACAGGAGACGGCCCTTGACGATGAGATATGTGGTTTCAGTGACTTCTGAAAGGGGTCGTGACGGAGGAAGAGACGCGGTGGCGTCGTCTGAAAGTTCCCAGTCATGTAGATTGCGAGGTTCCTTAGTGTCGGAGTAGATCATCGACCTCGTGCGTGGGAATCCAGCGAAAAATGAGGTCATGTCGTCCATACTGATCACAGTGAGCCAAATGCGTCGGCGGTATTCGGCTTGAAGAACGGAGACGTTGGCGTTGGCTCCGGGGTCGCGGTGGTAGCCCATGTTGACGGCAGTTCGAACGATGACACCGGTCATGATCCATAGTCCGCGACGACTGTCATCTTTACGATTAAGCTCGGCGGTCGCGTTGAAGCGCAGCGTCTCGACCGTGTACGGTAGGCACTTGGCAATATCACCGCTGAGCAAACACTGCGCAGTGCGAGTTCGATAGAGATGGAAGAGTGATTCAGAGATACCTTCGTACTCGGGCGGTTCGCCATATTGGTGATAGGCTAGCATCGTGATACCCAGCATCGAGAACAAAAGACCAAGCCAGATGATGTTGGTTTGATCGGGATCTCTCCAATGGTCATTGTACTAGAGGCATGATTAGTGGTGCTCATAACCACATATCACATAATATAGTAGGACAAGCAACACTTACATGTTTCCTGAATGTCGGCTCATGAAGGATCGCTTTCTATCCTGTGAGTGATGTGCGCACCATGACTCTTGGGTAGCGGACCACTTACGAGGAACACTGATGGGGAATGATTGACGATCAAAGAAATACGAGACCAGCCTATCAGCCTGTGTCTTCGGCGGCAGAGCAGATAAGATGTCCATTCGTTCGACCGGTTTGACTTGTTGGAATAGTAGACTAGACCCATCTGCCGCGTGAGAGGCATTGGGACGAATGCTATCCTCACTCTCGTCGTCCTGCTCCTGAGACCACGTCTTCTTGATCTCCTTGATCTACCCTCGCTTAGTCCGAAACTCAAGGAAGGGGTTCTCCAAGTGCTGACGCACCTCCTGTAAAACAGTATACCAATCGTTCTCATTGTGGTATACCGAACGTGAAGCATCGATGATTGTAGCGGAGTCAGCAGAAAACCTTGAACCTGCGCCGGGCACTCCAACAGACACTGTTGATCCCACCTCGGGTTTAGGGCGCGCGGGAGTACGGGCCGCATCCTTACTGAGAGGAGAGAATCTCTGGTTCTGGTCGATGAGTCTTTTAACGAGGACCTCCAAGTGTTCGATACGTCCATGCATGGTGTCTTCATCTCCATTACCCCGAGACGATCCTGCAATCTGAGTTGCAGGGCCACGGAATTTGCACGACGATTGTTGATCCCGAGCCGTACAGTTCTGACATGGTTTCTCCCGATTACATTTCAGTCTGGCTGTCAATTAGTGCTCGCTCGTTGAGAGAGTGTAGTCAGCAGTCTACGCACTTTCTGGCACGGCAAGGTTCACACGATAGAGGAATGCGCGAGCGTCGACGAGCTTTGCGATGCCGCGTCTCACGTCTCTCTGGAGACACCCCGTGCGAAGACCGCATGCTGGAGTCGTCGCAGGCCAATCGATCTTGACTGATTGTACCCAATAACCGAACGGAAGAGGCGAAAAAGCCCAGTCGAGATGGCTGAGGTCGTGGTCACGTGCAAGACCTCGACAGAGGAATGTAGGCTTCATTCCCCTCGGGCTTGAAGAACGCCTTCTCTGACTGGCATTGCGATTGGTCTTGTGCTAGTCAATCCATGGTTCATGAATGAAGACGGATCAAGCGTAGATTGCTCTCGTCGTGCTCCTCCCGACTTTGTTTGATGCCAAGTCTTGTTAAGTCCGCGGACATGACGGGCGTCGTATCGCCGGCCACATATGCCTCGCAAATGCAAGATATAAGTCTGCTATAAGTTCGGGCAGGTTCCTGGAAACAAGTCTATTCATTCATATGTTCGTGTGAGTATAACCTCTGGTCCACAATCATGCCTTCATTCGGCGACTTTGTTCACACACAATTTGTACTTAAGATCCCCAAGCCTTCAGCGTCCTTCACGTCAAAGACCGTCATTATTACTGGCGGCAATAGCGGGTTGGGCAAAGAAGCAGCCAAACACATTGTCCGTCTCGGTGCAAGCAAAGTTATCCTGGCATGCCGTAGCCAATCCCGTGGCAAGAATGCCAAACAAGAGATCGAGGCTTTGTTGAAATGTAGCCCCGATATCATCGAAGTATGGGAGCTCGACCTCGAATCGCCCTCGTCCATCAAGTCCTTTGTCGAGCGAGCCAATGACCTTCCTCGCTTGGACGTGTTGATCAACAATGCCGGCATACAGACCATTAAGTTCAAAGTCGTCTATGACACTGAGCGTTGTCTCGCAGTGAACGTCATCGGCACTTTGTTGCTCGCTTTGCAAATGATCCCTAAGCTAAAGGAGTCGACGAGAACACATGGAACCACACCGCACTTGACCTTCGTTGGATCTGCCTTGTACGATGCGGCAAAATGGCCTGAAAACCACAGCGACGACATCTTCGCCTGGTTCAAGGAGAAGTCGCACATGGATCCGATGAATCAGTAGGTCGATCCCCCCAATGTGCGAGTGATTGAAGACGTCTTTTGCTGACAGTATCTTTGTGTCAAGGTACAATCTCTCCAAGCTATTGCTGATGTTTGCAGTCATCAAGCTGTCAGCTGCCGTCGACCCTGTTGAAACCTCCGAAACAAATCCAATCGTGATCAACACTCTCGACCCGTTTTTCTGCAAGACAGGACTCGCAAGCGAGTTGACCGGTGTCATCAAGGTCCTTTTCAAGATCTTCGAGGCCATCGCTGCACGTTCTTCCGAGGAAGGTTCACGTCTGGTGGTACAGGCTGCGTCGGCAGGCAGACAGACACATGGCTTGTATATGAGGGCTGGGGCGGTGCAGGAGTATGCACCAGTTGTACAAGATGACAAGAGAGTATCGTATGTCTGGGACCTGCTATGCAAGAAACTAGAGAAGTTACAGCCGGGAATATTGCAAAACATAAAGTCATGAGAAATCGAGCAAACTCGCAAGAGCCAGAATGTAAAGGTCGATAGGCGGCTGCAAAGTTCAAGCCAACAAGTGTGCGTTCACAGAAATTGAAATGCAGATCAGCTTTCGCAACATCGAGCCAATATTGACTTCAGGGCGGTAGAACTGCCAGCGCTGGTCGCCATGAACGCTGCTCTCGCTTAGAGACCTCACCTCCCTCTGGTCAAATCAACAAGTACTCACTAATCCTCAAGCTCAATACGTTATTCATCGACCCTGGCTTCTGGCGCGTCGCCCGCTGCGGAAGGCTGTGTGGGCTTGACCTTCTTCTTCTTCTTTTTCTTCTTGACTGTCCCAACGTCGTGCTGTGGTTCCCCTTCCACATCTGCGTCGCCGACTGCATCCACTGCTTTTGTCCGTTTCTTTTTCTTTTTGCGAATAACTGTACCTTCAGCATCTACACCTTCACCAAGAGTGGTTCTTCCACGCTCGGCTTCACGTTGCATCTCAAGTCTTTTTCTTTCGACTTCACGTAGGGCTCGAGCCATCTCGGCCTCTTCAGCTTCACGCCGAAGAATGTCCAGCTCATTTTCAGCAGACCCTCCCTCCAGGATCAGATCCTGGAGAGTCGATGAGTCAACGGTCAGTAAGCTCCGAGTTGGACGGGTAGAGGTTTTCCCACGAAGTTGTGCATTGGGGCTGAGAGATCGAGGACGACTAGCGGTTGGCGTTGATGAGTGAGAGCCAGCATTGGATGTCGATAGGGATTGTGACATTGGAGGAGTCTGTGGCCCAAAGCCAAGCGTTTCATCCGCAGCAATCACGAACTTGCGGGGCTTCTTCTTTCTGGCCGTTCGCAGTTCTGCTAGACCTGCCGTCTGGTGTGCCGCAAGAGTCTGCGCAGGGTCAATGTGTAGATCTATTATAGGAATTGACTCAACATCCAACTCTTCACCGCCGTTCGTCCCACTGATAATTTCGTGGATGCGGGGATCTGTATCATCTGCTGGTGCAATATAGAATGGATCATCTCTGGCCCGCGCAAGCCTTTCGGCTTTTCGTCTTGCTAACGTGGCTGGTGAATCTGGGGTAGATTGATAGGAGATGGGCTCGTGTTCATTTGCGGAGTCCAGTAATGCTGCTGCCAGAGGAGCTTGAAAAGAGGTAACTGCCGGGGCAGGTTCACGCTCATGGTAGAAACTGAAGAAGATGTCGTCACCAGACTCGTCTTCGTCAGCCACTTGTGACGCCTGAAGAATCGATGGCAGGTCAGGGTTGATGGGTGCATCCAGATCAAGATCGTCGGGAAGAGGCACTTTTTTCTGTGCCGCCGAGGAGACAGGGTTGAGTTCTAGGCCGGCAAAAAGTGACGGAACGGCAGATGTGAGAAGAAGTGGCGCCTGGCTGCTATCCCTGGCCTGTCCCGAGAGCGCTTCTGTTGCAAGCCGGAGGAGCTCCAAGAACTCAACACTTCGTTCCTGCACCTCTAGATTGGGATGAGATGATAGTTTCTCAAGAAATTCAGTAGCTCGAGCCAGTAACAAGGACATAGTGGTTCCCCTGGAGATATTCCATTCCCGATTGGTGACGACAGCGATGTGTGAGACTACCTTCGGGAGAGCTTGAATGAAAATGGCGAGCGTGCCAGGGGGAAACCCGTATGAGGACTCGTGGATCAGGGAGTTGAGAACTTCGAAAGGGTTTGAGAGATACTCGGCGTATTCACCACATATCCAGGCCGTGGCTTGCAGGACTTGGCTTTGTGCAGATCCGTGTCTCGGGTATGCGATCGCTCGGTTGGAAATGAGCACAAGCGTTTCTGCAGCTCTGGTAGTCTCGGGGCGAAGCTCTTTGACCCTAATAGCAATGTCGCGGAGTTGAGACCCTATTCGGGCGCCCAAAGAAGTGCTATTCTCGCCCATAGCCCTCGATTGGGATCTATCTTGGTCGGCTGCAAGATGCCGCACGAGATGGACGAGAATCTCAATGTACCACTCGAAGTCTGTGATATTTGCGTACGTGTTGTACGAGCACATATCCAGGATCCTGCCGATTACTTCATGTCGGTACTCGTCTGACAAAGGTGCATTCTCGGAACCTCTCTTATCAGGTACTAGCCTCTGTTCCATATCTGTTTGTCCCTCGTCGTAATGACCGTTCGCATCATTAGAGGAAGGCAGACTAGCGAGTTGCTTCATCAGCCTGTTCACGACAGCCTGAAGGCTGTCGCTATTGACCATGCCCGATACCAACTCTAATGCTTGCATTCTGATAGAGATGTCCGGGTCATCCAAGCACGCCATGATAACGTCCTGTTGCATCGAAACAAGAGCCGGATGCGTCCCGACAATTTTGTTAAACGCTAAAAGCGCGACGTATTTCAAGTTAGGATCGCCATCAAGGACAATCATGCCTCTCAACTTAGATATGCAGAGATCGGCAACTTCTTCCACGTCGACACCACTGTCAGCACCGTCGAGAATGCCCCCTTGAATAATTCCGCTAATGCACTCGTATAATAGAGACATCGCCGTGGTCTCCTGGATCAACTTTGTCAGGGGACGCACAAGTTTCTTCACAAGTCGTGGTTCCAGTGGCGTAAGAACAGCAAACAACTTGATGATCTTAATGCCCATCCAGTTGTTTTTCTGGGCAAGCAAGAGCTCGAACAGTCTGGGTGCCAATGGGAGGAAATCTTGTGGTCGTCGCCATCCCAGCTCACAGACGACATTGACAGTGGCGGCAGTAACGCTGCTGTCTTCCTCTTCATCCAGAAGACGCTCCTTTATCTTCGGCCATGCAACCCTCAGGGTTTCCGGGTAGACCAGTGCTAGTCTATACAGCGTAACTATGGTTTTCTTTCGGACTGCAGGCTGCGAATGTGACATTCGTGGAAGAAGCTCGGTAAGAATTGACAAGGCCATTGAAGAGGTGACAAAATGTGGAAGAGTTGTTAGAGGAAGCGAGAGAATTGGAATCGTCGGTGAGGTGAGATCTTTCTTGAGCAGGTTCTCGGCCAACATTAAAATCTCGGTTTCAGGTCGGAAGCTCTGGACAGCAGCAAGATAGCCTACTCGTTTTTGCATCAGTTTTGGAGATGCCATGACTTCCAAGACGTTGAAGGCAGCCCATGTCATATCGTAACCGAACATCTCCAGATAGATCAGTTTCAAGAGTGCTGTAGCCTTCAGATCCAGATCCTGTGAACGAATCTCGCTTCGACATTCCTTGATGGCGCCCTGGATATATTCCGCTTCATTGCCCTTGTGGCTGCGTAGACCTTTAATGAGGTCCACCAACGACTTTTCGAACATGTTGGCAGGCCTTAAGAGCAGCTCCGAAAGTCTGGTAGATCGTAATTTCTGGCTAGACCTCGCATGGCATCATTCACAAACTGCACTCCAGGCGAAGAAAAGAAGATAGTGTCATTTGGAAAGCAACATGTTAACTCATTTACTGCGTTTATCCCTCCAGAATGAAAAATTAAAATAAACCTCGCGGCGTAGTGTACAGAAGAGAGATGTGGTCGTGTGGACTCACTGCAATGTCATGAGGTGGTTTATCAAAGCGAGATGGCCAGGTTGCTGCTCGGATCAATCAATGCCAAGCGGAGTTTATCCGATTGGCACCGGGATCACCACATCAATCTCAGCGCTCCGCGCTCCGCGCTCTGGACCGAGCATACCGTATTGTCCAGAGGTGTATTTGTGCTGCCTTTCGTTCTGCTGGCCAAATATCTAAGTATCTCATTCACTTCGTTTTCGCTCCTACCGGAGAACGACGTGATTGACCGGCTGTTGATACTATACATCACCAATCACTCCCCTGCACTGACTACGAGACGAGAGGCCCAAAAAATGGCAGCGCTTACTCCCAACGACTACTCGTCCGACCCTGCTGCAGCGCTACAAAAAGCTCAGCAAGCTCCTTCCATCCTCTCCAAAGCATCATCAGTCAGCACAAGCTTTCCGGCTTCAATCTTCAGCTCGGCCGACTCCACGGAACTATGGAACGACCTAGAGCAACTTCTGTACGCCTGCCTGCGAACGGGTGACGACGAATCGGCATTCTTGTGTGTTGAGAAGCTGACGGAACGATTTGGGGCAACCAACGAGCGGGTAATGGCCCTCAGGGGACTATACCAGGAAGCTGTGGCTTCGGACATGACGGCCATCAAGAAGATACTGGAAGATTACAATAAGATTCTAATGGAAAATCCAATGAACGTGCCTGTTCTCAAGAGAAGGATTGCTCTAATAAGATCAATTGGTAGGCCGCAAGAGGCTATCGCAGATCTTGTGGAGTTCGTCGACTCTTTTCCTACAGACATGGAAGCTTGGTGTGAGCTGAGTGATCTGTATCAGACCCAAGGATGCATTTCACAAGCCATCTTCTGTCTCGAGGAAGCATTACTCATCACCCCCAATGCATGGAACCTGCACGCGCGGCTTGGAGAGCTGGAATACATGGCCGGAGTTTCGACAATCGATTCAGCTGAAGGTCGGGACCATCTATCTCTGGCTGTCAAACGATTCAGTCGCAGTGTCGAGCTCTGTGACGACTATATACGAGGTTTCTATGGTCTCAAGTTAGCCGCAGATAAGCTTCTCGAGACGAATACGACGACCAAGGCACAAGGCAACACTCATGTGACTCACGACAAACTCCTGAAGTTGAGCGAATTGGCCACGTCAAAATTGGAGGCTATCGTAGGAGACCGCACTACGCGCCGATCACCAGGGGTGAATCAGTCGGAATTGACAGCAGCCAAAGCTCTGCTGAGCAGATAAAACACTTGAAAGTCAAGCCCGGCGAGGATGAAAACCGTCAATGACCAAAAGGTTGCTGACATTTTGCGTCCTCTTCGAATGAGAAATCACTTTCTAGGCCACCTGCGTCGTCATATCACCCTCCACATCTCAACAAAAGAGGATTGTCAGAGAAGAAATCTGTGCGAGGCCAAAGTGCTTGACGGGAGACACCATGGTTCGTGGGAGGAAATGCATGCAGCGGACTATTAGTCTAGCGCCATGCAAGGAGAAATCAGTTGGGCAGCAGTTGGTTCCTTCCAACGTGGCAGCTTTTCTGAGGATGCCTCAATTGCCGCGTAACCCAACCTGCAGCAAATGGTAGCGACGGGCCCTCTACCGTATGGGTCTCCCCTGCCACGCTTTTTATTTTAGGTCCCGAGAGCCTCACCTCCGCCAGCACTACCAAGCACGAACTGGCCCGGTTTCGCAGCCTGGGCATCTCGTGCAGGGCAAATTTGCTGGTTCCTTGCACCATCTCACCATCTTTGTCGACGGCGCCGTGGTAGTTGACGTGAGTCATGAGAGACAGGGACTGTGTGGCACTGCAAGATAATATAACGGGTGTTCGCCAACACGCCCGAGATATAGATTGACACATAGACCATCGATCCAAAGTTCCGACTCAATTCGATTGTATTATGGCCGAGTCCAATGTAGACACTCTTGTCCTGTCCTTGCGTGCATGAAGCATTACCTACCTGCCCGGCACTTTCGACATACCCCTTGGTCTGCACCTCTGCATGTCTGCTCATCTGCGTATGTGCCTCCTGCAAGCTGCATACCCGTCTCTCCTTGCAGAGGAGTCTTCAATGTCTCATTCATCCGGAACTCAATTCAACCAAAGAAAAACAGCGCGCAAGAAGCGCTTACCTGATCCCAACCCCTAGATCCCTCTGCATGCCCGTTCAGCCCTCCTGTGTCACACAGCGTCACCTGAGGCAACCCAAGACTCCTGCACCTTGTTGTAGTGACAGTCGTTTCTGCCGCCAACACACACCTTTCTGACTCTTCCCTCTTTGACCTACCTCCCCGGGAAGAGGTGTAAGATCTCTGTGAAGCCCGCAATCTATATCAGACCAGATAAGATATCGCGGTATCTGGGCTGACGCTTGGTTGACCGCTGTTCATTACCGGACGAGTTTGAGGCTTGGAAGACCGTCTCGCCCGGGGTGTGAGCCATACGGATTGGGACTCGAAACCGGAGCAAAAGGGGATTGAGTCTCGGTTCGACAGATTCATACCGGCAAAGGACTCACCACATTGCTCGGATTCCTTTGATCGGTGCTCACCTTCGACGGATGAACTTGTCTCTCTTCATCGTCACCATCATCGACAGCAACATCGAGATCATCACATGGGGTTTCGTTCACTGCAACCTGATCATCAGACCTACAGTTGTTATTTCATTGGCATCATCGCCGACGTTTTGGAGGATTTTTTGGGATTGCGAGAGTACAAGTACGGAGCTTGTTGATCCGCATACCAACGACAGAAGTCGGAAGAAAAAAGTGGACGCTTAAAGGCTTCTGACGTCGACCCCCACTACGCACGACGCCCGAGGCTGCCCACAATAGTGCAGATAGCAGGCGGTTAGAGGGAGTGCTTAGGGACCGGGATCAGGCTCGCTAGGCTCCCCCCTCGCTATCCGAACTCTTGGTATTCCGCCGCTTGGGTGCTGCCGCTGCCCTCACCGACGAAAGGACAGTGCGCTCCAGGCGAGTTATTTTGCCCACGCCCGAGGTGCTGACAGTTACCGACTGACTGTGACTGACTGTACTTGCACTCCCACGCATTGGGTTCTGGATCTTCGGATTTTGCTGCCTTTTAATCTTCTTGGTGCCGTCAAAAAGTTGGGGGTGCAATTGGGCACCAGGCATTGGGCATCATTTTTCCAAGTTTTAGCGGCGTTATTCCCATTTCAATCACCTGTCACCAAACACACACACTCGCACTCGCCTTCACACTCACACCGCGCCAACTGGCTCCCCTTCGCTTGCAACATCGTCGGCGTCAACATCCTCATCTTCGCTGTCACACCTCTTCTCCCTCGCACTCATCCAACACTCTCCTTGATCCCAGCTTCAATTGTCGACACCGCCGCAGGTCTGAGCTTTTCTGTTTTTGCTCCTCGGCTGGACGCTTATGTTCCCTTCGCCTCTGGCCGTCCCTTCTTCCCCACGGATCCACCTTGTCGGAATTTCGCAAAGTCGCAGGCGGTCACCACCACCGCCAGCCTCGACCACCGTCCACCTGCGCTGAGAGACGTTGCTACAGCCATAGCTCTACACTGGATCTGGCCATCTGGACAGTCCTCGCAGCCTGAAGTCAGCCCTCTTTTGGTCCGGTTAGCTCCCCTCAACTAACACCACCTCAAGGCTATCTCGTTCAGCCTGCCCTGCGTGGGTCGGTTGAACGCGGTAATTCCTTGACCTCACTCATTGTCTAATGGGGTGCGTTGTATGCCACGGTTCTTCTGTCCATGCTAACCTTCTCCCTGCTAGGTCATCAAGCCGTCATAGTCACGTCCACGTCGACATTACCCACGTTCGCTCGCGCTCCCCTTCTCCTGCTTCACAAGACGACGAGCTCCACGAGAACGGCGTCCAGGTCTCTCCCGCCGAAATTTCCCCCCAATACTCTGTGATCCAGCCGACTCAGAGCCAGAGTGGCTCCTCTTCACATCCCGGTGACTTCGTACAATTAGATTACCCTCACGAACTGCAAGAAGGTGATGGCTCCGACTCAGCCTCGAGAGTAGATCATCGAGAAAGAGTACAACGATACGACACCAGATCAGACTCAACACGGCGGCAGCCGTCTCGTCGCCAACAGTCCCTCCGCGAACCTGCACGCAGTCGCACCCGAGAACTAAGAGAGGCTGCACCTACAGAAAGTGGTGACTCTACAGAAGAGTTTCTGCGAACTGATATCGATCCTCGAATGCCTCGACCTCAATCGTACTATGGGCCCAACGGGTATACCCAGAGCGCTTCCTCAGCCTCATATGCATACCCCCCTGTGCCTCATTCTGGTCAGATGATTCCTTTACAAGCACAGCCTATGACCATGCCCTATCCATCCCACTATCCTCACATGGGTGGCGCCCAACCAGTTCAATATCCGCCACCATCAGGTTACCCCGGGGGTTATTCTCATGCTCCTTCTCAAGTTAGCTCTCCGTATTCCCCCCCGTACGGCGCTCCCACCATAGTCAGCTACGGGGGGCCACCTGGGGGTGGCTATTTCCCTTCGCAATATCCCCCTCAGTTTGGACCCCAGCAATATCCTCACCAATATCTCCAATACCACCAGCAGATGCCTTATCCATACATGGACTATCGCATCCCACCCCCGCTAGTACCATCTCCTCAACCCGGATCTGTGAATGTTTCTGCCGACAAGCTCGAGGCCAAGAAAGAGGATCCGGAGGAGATGTTCAAGCGATTCGCAGACCTGTTGAAAGAACAAAAGGCGCAGGCAGAGATGACCAAAGAAGCACAAGCCGCCGAGAATGCCAAAGCTGCGGCGGCACAGGCTGAACAAGAAGCTCGCATTCGGCAGGACGCTCTGCGGCAGGCGGAGGAGAAGGCACGACAGGATGCCATCCGCGCAGAAGAAGAGAAGCGTATTCGAGATCAAGCACTCATTCAAGCAGCCGAGAAAGCACGAGCGGAAGCTTTGCAGGCTTCGGCACGTGCCGAAGAAGAGAGACGCATTCGCGAAGAAGCCATCTTAGCGGCCGAAGCCAAGGCCCGTGCGGATGCTGCCGCATTGAATGAACGTATGGAGGCAGAGCGCCGCATCCGAGAGGAAGCCAGACAGGAAGCCATACGTGCATATGAGGAGCAAGTCAGAAAGGTGGCGGAGCAGGCGGCTCACGAACAACAGATTCGTAAAGAAGCCGCCGAGGCTGCGTTGCGAGCTGCCGCTGAAGAGGCCGCTGCTCGGGCTGAGAAGGCAGCGGCCGAAAAGAAAATTGCGGACGAAGCTGCAGCAGCTGCCAAATCTCAAGCTGAGCAGGCAGCGGCGGAGGCAGCAGCCGCAGCACAAGCCGAAGCCAAAAAGGCACAAGAAGAGGCGGAGGCTAAACTGAAGGAGGCCGAGGCCCAGGCAGCTAAAGCAAAGGCGGAGGCAGAAGAAGCAGAGAAGAAGGCTGCGGCCGCAGCTCCTCCTGAGAAAAAGGCTCCTGTCAGATTCAAGGACGCAATTGGGCGCAACTATAACTTTCCCTGGGAGCGATGCCACCGTTGGCGAGTAAGTTGCGAGACAAGGACTGTCGAAAATACTGGGCTAATTCTTGCAGGACATGGAAGGACTGATAAACCAGGCTTTTGCCCACGTTGATGGCCTCGCTGATGCTGTCATGGCCGGTCGCTATGACTTGATCGGCCCTGACAAGGAAATCATCATGCCGAACTACTGGGAATCGACTATCGAGCCTGACATGCACATCACCATGATGTTGTGGCCGGTTCCGGAGCCAAAGGAAGAAGGGCCACCTGCGCCTCCTGATTTAGACCCGGATGCCATTCTCATGGTGGATGAAATCCTCAATCCTCGAGAAAAGAAGAAGCGTAGGCCTATTGATTCCCTTTGTGTTTCTGAATGTTCCGCTGACTGAATTGTAGCCCATCCCAAAAAGAAAAAACCGGGAGGACTCGCCAGCTGGATGCTGGGAGGGGCTCCGAGCCGGTCCTCCTCGCGGGCTTTAAAAGGTGAGAAAAAGCCTGAAGTAGCCGCTCGATCGCAGCACGGTGCTGCGGAACAAGATTCGTGCACCGTTATGTGAAGGCTGTTGTCTACTCGGCATGAGCGGTCGTAGTAATTGGTTTCCTCGGGCTTTCAAGGAGTGATGTTGTGAGAATCGACGACGAGAGGTGAACGCTTGGGTGGTACCATTGATCTTTTCATCCATTACACCGGTGTACACTTCTACCACAGTCACGACTCCCTCAGATCTTTTCCTACTCGACGTACCGGTCGACTACGATTCAAGTTGTCAGGATGAGACAGCCTATCACATAGGCTACATCAGGAGGCATGGCTTTATCCTCCCGAAGACTCGGGATTGGTTTCTCATGCCTCAAGGGGACGATGATATACAGTGGATGGAAAACCCCTTCTCTTATGTTGCGACGATTTATGAAAACGGGATCCAGCGGGAGTTTTGAAACATTTTGTGACATTTAGCGTTTTTGAGTGGAAAAAGAAAGCTACATTTTAATGGAGGTGTGTGTGTTGACCTAGTGATATTCGATGAATGTCATATATATGAGGATGAGGATGTTGGTCATTTTCATGGTTCGGGCGTTGTGGTGGATGTTCGAGATACCCCAAAACACATGGCAGGGTGGGAGTATTGCTGGCCAAACTCAGCCCGTTTCTCACCCACTCCTAGAAGTATTGTAGCAGTGAGGCCTTCTATCGAACTTGGATGTCTCCGGGGGTGAAGCTTTTTAGATGTTGGATGACAATATTGCAAAAGACTTGTATCTCCAGGTTTGCTCGCTCTGCTTCACGCGTACTGGGATCTTTAGAGTTGACGACTTAGTAAGCCAAGTCAGCTGACTGAGACTTTACCGAATTCGGGACTTTACTGTGCAACAATCAGTCGACGTCGACCATCGACGTGGCGCAAGACTCCAGTAGGTACATATGCTCACTCTACGCTGTTCCAGTATTCGGGGTTGTTTTCCTCGACCTAATATTACAGAGCCACTTTGGGCAGCTCGACATAGCTCGGCATTACTTTCGACAAGGAACTTCAGCAACATCGGACACACGACCGGATGCCACAACAGTCGACTGCTACTCAGCGCTTACGTCAACAGATAATGGGGATCTGAACATCTGTTACTTAGATTGGCCCTGTTGATACAGATGCGACTCTTCTGGTAGCCCCCAGCCATGTCCATGCGAGTGTTGATCCACGACTATCCTCATCGGACTGTGGCCTTGACGACGGATGAACATGTCCTGATCTTCCGACACTCCCACACACCAGCAGAGAATGGACGAATCTCGAGTTCGACAAGCTTACCCCTGTCTCTCAATTCGGCTCGGTCGAACGCAACGCCTCGTTGCATGGTGGAATTTGCAGAGAAGTCGTCTATTGATTTGAGCCACTTCTATCAACTCACAACCGCCAAGGGTACCTTGGGTCTAATTACCCTTAACAACGATGTTTTTTTGTGTGTCATTACGGGTTCCGAGGAGGTGGCCTCTGTAAGACGTGGCGAAACTGTACAGAAGATCTACGCCGTCGAATTTTGTGAGTTGATCGGTCGAGCTAGAACCTCCATGCCTAATTAAGAGCCAGACTGCCTCAACCGAGCCGATTATGATCACGGACATGGACCTTACCCGAACCCGTATCCTGACCAATACTTTCAGTCCGATGATGCTGATTATGGCGGAGGTTATGATCAAAGCGATTCGTCCGCTGAACACCCTTTCCTTGCTCTAAAAAAGCTGCTCAGTAATGGCCACTTCTATTACAGTCTGGATTTTGACCTCACACGTCGCCTGCAAGATAGGTACGATGATCGCCAACTATAGTTAAGAGCAGGACTGACCATTGCTGACAGAGCCGATGTTGACTCAGCAGTCGACATATCCAGCTTGGATGAAGGTCTTCTCTGGAATTCATACATGATCGACCCACTTCTCAAATTCCGAAGCCGCCTCGCTGACCATGAACGAACTGCACTTGATCACTCCCGGCTCTTGACTTCAGTGATCCGCGGTTTCGTCAAGAGTCTTCCTGTCCCGCCATCCTCGAATCCCATTCGCGGGGCGACGTCCGGCGTCCCAGCTACACTTACCATAATATCCCGCCTTTCCTCTCGTCGAGCCGGGACTCGCTTTAATTCTCGTGGTGTTGACGATAACGGTAATGTGGCAAACTTTGTGGAGACAGAGACCATCTTCTATACACCCTCCTCAGGCCTATGCTTCAGTTACACTCATATTAGAGGCAGTATTCCCATATTCTGGGAGAGCTCGTCCTCCCTAATTCCGGGACAGCAGAAAATCCAGATCACCCGCTCTCCGGAAGCCACTCAACCTGCATTTGACAAACACTTCTCCGCGCTCGAACGAACATACGGAGCGGTGCATATCGTCAACCTACTATCTGCATTCAAGTCTGGTGAGGTCGAACTCACGGAGCGGTATCGGTACCATGTCAAGCGAAGTCCCTTACGACGACATGAAGAGGGTGAAGAGGAAGAGCACAATCTGCTCAGGGAAACAGAGTTTGACTTCCATGAACGCACGAAAGGCGCGACGGGATACGAAGGGGCTAGAGCTATCAGGCCTTATCTCGCCTCTAGCGCGGAAAGTTTCGTTTATTTCCTCAGTGAAGAAGTGAACGAGGAGACTATCGTGCAGGGGAAGCGCATGATGACAAAACGGTCAGTCGTGATAATGCAGCAGAATGGGGTGTTCAGAGTGAACTGTTTGGACTGTCTTGATAGAACGAATCTGATCCAAGGCATGGTGAGTCAAATGGCTCTTGAGTTGTTCCTGGACCATCGAGGCGAGAAAGCGAACTCGGATTTCTGGATGCGGCATTCTACCTTGTGGGCTGACAACGGAGACACTTTGAGCAAAATCTACGCAGGTACGGGGGCGTTGAAAAGTTCGTTCACAAGGCACGGGAAGATGAGTCTCGCTGGAGCCATTGCAGATGCAAGAAAGTCAGCAACAAGACTGTATGTGAATCATTTCGAGGACAAGAACAGGCAAAACACGGTGGACTTGTTATTAGGAAGGTTGGTAGGACAAAACAGTGTAGATCTGTTTGATCCGATCAATGACTGGGTGGTTTCGGAGGTTGGAAGAAGAAGGGCTGAGTTCGAAACGCGAGACACTGTGAAGCTAGGCGTTGGAACGTACAATCTCAACGGAAAGATCAGTGGGGCACAAGAAGATCTCAGTCCATGGCTGAAGGCTCGTGAGATGGGACTGGACATATTTGTGGTGGGCTTCCAGGAAATTGTCGAGTTGAGTCCTCAGCAAATTATGAGCACGGACCCGAACAGACGCATGATGTGGGAAAGAACCGTGAAAGCGTGTCTCAATGGTCAAACACAAGATCAAGACAGTGAGAAACGATACCCATCTACTGACAGGATCAAGGAAGACGATTATGTGTTGCTGCGGAGTGGGCAATTGGTCGGGGCGGCGCTGCTCGTCTTTGTCAAGTCGAGCATTCTCAACCGCATCAAAAACGTCGAAGGTGCGATCAAGAAGACGGGCATGAGTGGAATTGCTGGAAACAAGGGAGCGGTGGCGATACGGATGGATATCGAAAGTACGAGCGTTTGTTTCGTCACAGCACATTTGGCTGCAGGATTCGCGAATTACGAGGAACGAAATCGAGACTATCAAACCATCACGTCTGGCCTGAGGTTCCAAAGGAACAGGAGTATCGAAGACCACGAGGTCGTTGTTTGGGCAGGTGACTTCAACTACAGGATCGGTCTTGGGTACGAGAAAGTCAAGGCGCTAGTCAATGAGGCAATCATTGGCAACGAAAAGGTTCGCGAGGAAGCATTGGGGAAGCTGTACGAAAATGACCAGTTGAACATCCAGATGGTGGTGGGCAACTGCTTTAATTTCTACCGCGAAGGGAGAGTCAGGTTTCTACCTACGTATAAGTACGATATCGGGAAGGACGACTTCGATTCGAGCGACAAACAACGCATACCAGCATGGACAGATCGGATCCTTTGGAAAGTCAACCACAAAGGTGCGCAAGGGGGGGAGATTCTGGGCACACAGATGCGGCAACTGGAGTATGACAGCGTGATGAAACTCAAGTTCAGCGATCATCGGCCAGTCTACGCCGTGTTTGAAATGGGCATCTTGGTAGTGGACGAGAGCAAGAAGGACGAACTCACAAGACGGTTGTACAGCAAGCGAGCCCAAGAAATGAAAGCCAAAATCGCCGCGGCAAGAGAGTCTACGGAGGGGCTATCGGTCTCTGATACCATCGACGGCAGTGATGAAGATGAGCTGGAGAGTCTAAGCGGATACAGGAGCATTCAAGAGGGCCTGCCACCAGCCAGCAGCGACAAAAGGAAGTGGTGGCTGGACGGAGAGAAGAGAGTCCGTAGTACGCTGAAACCACCGAACGACAGGATGATATTGAATCGGGATCGGCCCGCAAACCCTTGGAAGGAAAAGGATGGGGCGGAGGACGACTGGGTGAAAATCGAAAGGCCACAGAAGCCCGAAGCACCGCCATCGAGAGGGACGAGAAGAATGGTCCCGCCTGTGTGGGAAGGGGAGCGGAATGTGTCATCCGGAACCACCAAGCCGGGGACGGAGACGGCGCGAGACGCTGTACCGCCAGCGCCACCGCCGAGAGGTGTTTCGGCAGCGAGGACACGAGCTGCTGGGACGTCGGGTGCGGCGTCTTCGCCAGATACATCAGAGTCGGGTCGAGCGTCACCGCAAGTGCCTATAAGAGCATCTTCGACGACGACGAAGAAGCCGCCGCCTCCGAAACCCGTCAAGCCGTCGACGCTGACAACGTCGTCAGGTCAGGTGGCTGTGCCGCAGTTGAGTTCTCTCCCTGCACCAGTACTGGCCCGCCTCGCGGATCTGTCGAGGGACAATGTGGTTATTTCGCCGGAACCAATGGGGAGACCACAGGGGGATGGAGACCAAAAAGAACGACCACCTCCTCTACCTCGAAGGACGGGTACAATGAGTTCGACGGCGTCTTTCGTCAGTGCGCCAGACATGGCAAGTACGAGTTCAGACGGTGGTGGTCGGAGGAATAGTCTACAATTACAGCAATCACAAGGACAGGCACCTCCGCCACCTCCGAGGAGGGACGGATCTACGGCAGCAGCATTGCCCGCACCCGTGCGGAAATTGACCCCGTTGCAGCAGTACCAAGAGCGAGTTCGACAGGGGAGTGGTGGATTTGACCCCGGTGGTGGGAGTAGCAGTAGCAATGGGTCGTCGGCGCGGTTGCAGAGTAGTAGATCGGACGGAGCCACTGAACAGGCTGGTCCCCGTCTACCGCCGCGACGGAGTGGTACGGGCAGTGTCAATGGTAACAATGCAGGACTAATGGACCGTGATGGCGATGATGGCAATGGTGATCGGAAAGGTGGGAGCGTTCTAGACGATCGGTATAAACCTCTTATACCTGGGCGATGATCATTGGATTTGGACGAAACTGAATATCTCTGCTTATTGTTCACGTAGTGACCGAATGAAGTAGGCGACAAACAACATATGGGTTCATACTCCTCCCAGAGGGAGCGCACTATCGTATGTAGCTCGCAGCTCTCATGTAATGACACAAACCCTGTAAGCCCCACATCGCACTCACTCGAATCCTCCGACTCGTTCCATCCTTTGATCGTTTCCACTCGATTGTTGTCACTCAATACACCAGTCAGATCTTGACCTGTTCTTTTCATCAGGATTGTGGAGGACAGGCGTTGTTTTCGAAATGTATCCATTCATCTAGCCAGCAGGCAGCCTTGCCGTGCCGTGCCATATCCACTCCACCATCGTATTCGCTGGAGAATCGACCCTGGATCTCCTGAAATCCGTAGTATCTGAGCCATTTTACGGGCAAGAGTGGAGGTTTCTGTAGATGTTCCTCACACAGAGACGAGAAAATGGCGCTTTGTCCCTGGTCACAATTTTTGAGAAGACGGCAGGGTTCGTTCGTTCGCCCAGAGTCTATTCCACTCGTTCGACGCGGACTTCGAATCATTCTCGATCGATGGTATAGGCGCTTGTGAGACGTCCGCACAATCTTGTTGTAGCCTTTACTCCATCCCTTCATCAGAGAATGTGAAATTGTAGGGTTACTCTTCTTGGACAGTGCGTTGTTGTCTGCCAGACCACTTTCTCGACGCATGGAGTCCTCATATCTCCCGGGGGATGCACCGAAGTTTTCATCTTTTTTTCGTCCCACTGCATAGCTGCTCCATCGTTGCTTATGCACTTCGCTCAGCTTCCAGGCCTCTGTGATTTTCTGTTGTCGTCTAGTGATCTAACCTCCTGTTCCAGAGACTTGATCTCGCGGGTTTTCTGGTCCTTGATCTCTTCGGTCTCTAGCGTCAACCATGCCCAGTAGGCGATTTGGTAGGTGAGGAATGCTAGTGTGATGGCCTTGAAGAATGCCCGTCCATGTGTGCCGTAGAAGTTGATCGGCTTCTCTGGAGGCCCCTCGGAGGAGGACTGTGTTGGAGTCTGTCTGAAGGATCGTGTCGTGCTCAGGTATCGGGTCTGAAGGGCGCCTTGCTGTCGAGCGACACTAGATCGCACAGCTCTGGAGATCGTGAAAGCTCTCATCGTAAGGAGACGTTATCTTTCGTTGTGGTCGAGGTGAGTTGCTTCGTGACGAAAAAGATGGATGGAGGTTCGTCAAGCTGCCGTAGACGCAGGAGGTTGTCGTTGCGACCACGTGATCACCCTTGTAACATCCTCCTCCCTTTAGGTCTTCTTACTTGTACAACTAACCATCAGATAAAAAAGAGATATAAAAGTCTCTTGCAGTGTCACGAGCTTCTGGAAAACTCAGAGGCTGAAATCTACGCTTATGTCGCGAAGCATCAGACATCTCAATTTCCGTAAACCCCGGCAAGCAGAGGAAGAGCTAACTTCGTGATGCCAGTAGACGTCTTGGTATGCATATCGCATGATGCAGAGCTAGGCCACCACGATTTCTATCCGAAGGCATTTCACGAGCCGAGATGTGTGCGTCTTGTGGTAGCTTGCTAAGGTTTGGGTATCTATGTATCTGCCTTGGATAAATATCTATAACGTCCGAACAAGCTCTTCGACATTGCCAACACTCCCCACTGCCCAGCATGCTCTGCTGGCCTCTGAAGCCTGCTGCGAACCCAAGACTCGACCGACTTGATCAATAAATTTTGCTTCCAACTGCTCGTCGGTCATGGGGACTTCCAGACTCCCAATGGCATGCCCGACATGTTTTTTCAAGCTGGTCCCGTCTCTGAGTTCAGCCACAATTACAGTCTCGTCGGGTCCGAGGTTAGCATCCGCAAACGCGTCAATCTTATCTCTGACTGTGATGATCTCATCGCTCTTCACAACGGCGTCTTCGTAACCTCCCGGGCCTGCTTTTCCGAACACCAATCCGGCGGCTCCACCGTGGTAGACGCTAAACTTGGCTTGCAAGCCGTCTTGAGGTGTCTTCTTTCCTGTCAATTCAAGTACAAGAGGGTGAACCCTGCAGTGAACCCTTGCGATATCGCCCGCTTTGTACCCGGACGAGGTCATCTCGTTGTGAAGCTGAATACAACCGTCTATGACTGGGTGGACGACGATACCGCACGGGAATGGCTTGAAAGAGTTTTTCTCAATCTCCCATATAGAACCCAGTGTCGTTACTTGCTCGGACAGTATCTGCGTCTCGCTTACAACATGGGCCCATCCACGTTTTGCTTCGAGTGCTTGAAGAGAGCTCGTGTACCCATTCGAGGCAAGGACTGCGGCCGTCAATCCGTTCTGCGCCGCGCGGCCTACGTGAAATGACTTTGTGTCTGAGCCAAACATCTCGCGGAGTCCCGTCACTTGTGTCGCGGCTATACCGATCGCATGAGCCATTTGCTCAGGTGTGAGTTTGAGAAGCTTGCCCACTGCGACCGCGGCCCCGATTGAGCCTGTGGTGCTGGTGATGTGCCTGTTGTCAGAAAACGTGAGTATGCTTGCTCCGTGAGAGGCTGGGCGGTCGAGGTAGGGGGTCGGTGAGCGTCGTGCCTTACCATCCGATATCATAATGCTTCGGCCAAACCGCTAATCCAACCTTGCATTCCGTCTCGATGCCCGCGACGAGGGCGAGAATAAAATCCTTGCCACTGACGTTGCCTTGCGCTTCTGCCTGTGCGAGCAGGGCACTTGCCACGGGCCCTGTCGGGTGGATGATGGTTTCGAGATGGGTGTCGTCGTAGTCGTGCACATGCGAGGCAATGCCATTGATCAAGGCAGCGTGCGAAGCATCCGCACGCTTCGGTAACGAGTCTTCAGAAACATTGGCACGTCCAAGGATGGAGGAGGTTGACGGACCAAAGAAAGGTGAGAGGGCTTTGAGTGCCGTTGTTGTCGTGCGGTGGTTAGAGCCTCCCAATGCACAGCCAGTCCAGTTGTAGAAGCTGCGTATTGCAGCGTGAGTCACACTTTCTGGGAGAGATGTGTACTCTAGAGACACAGCCCAATTGGCGATGCTGAGCGTGGCCATTCTCGGAGTTGGCACGTCTACCGGGCTAGAATGACACCAAGAGGACAATGCTATCTTGAATTGTCGTTGGATGATGTCTTCGAGTCTGTCAATGCATTCATCGAGTCGTGTTGCCTACTGCTATAGATGGACATCACGTCGCCATCTGTGCCGAGTGAAACAGGACTATGGAGGTTACATACCGTTTGATCCACAGCCTCTTTACCCCACGGAGTTTGTGCGAAGAAACTCCAGTGTCTGCAAAAGACGAGTGATGGAGACGACATGGATGAGCCGGAGAATATCCCCTCACTGGCTCAGCAATGTACCTGGTATCTAAAACCCCGATATCGCTGGTTGTTGCGGAGATGCTGGGGTTGGGTGTTTTATGCAGTGTCAGCAGCCAGGTCGTCGCTGATCTCCAATATGAACTCAAAGACCGGCTCTGTTCAGAAACGGGTTGGTGAGCTCTGCCCAGGTATTATTTCATACGATACCTATAGGTAATTATCGAATGCTGTTGGCGTTCTCTCAGCTTCTGGCACAGTAACGGAGTACAGATCACTGCAGTATTTACATGGACATGAAGAGAAGCTTCGCCAAGATCATTTCTCTTTTGGATTAGCGTGTTTGTGGTTTTGAGAACTCGTCCAGCTTTTTTGATATTCCAGCAATACATAACATCCGGAGTTACCCAACACATCCTGAGACACGGATCTGCTATACTACGTGACACGGCCACTTATACCAGCATGTCAGCCGAACCATCCAGGAAACGATCGAGGTCTGTCGACGGAGCAGGTGACAGCGACGAATCTTCCGACGACGATTTTGGACCAGCGCTGCCCTCTACGGTGCCACCAAAGAAGAAACGCAAGCTTCCGTATGAGTCGCTGTATGTCGCGGCTCTCCCAAAGGGCCTGAAATATTCCAAATCGTTGATGCACAAAGACCAAATATCTACTGTGACTGTCGCACCGTCCCCTGTTGACTTTGTTATCACCACCTCGATTGATGGGGTTGTGAAGTTTTGGAAGAAAATAGCCACTGGCATTGAGTTCGCCAAAGAGTATCGGGCACACGAAGGTCTGATCATTAGCTCGAGTGTCAGCGTCGATGGGGCTTACTTTGCGACGGCCGGAAATGAGGAGGATAAGACGATCAAACTTTTCGACGTTGTTACTTTTGATCTCCTGTCGATCCTCAACCTAGAACAAACCCCTACTTGTATCTGCTGGGTACATCGGAGAGCGCAGGCTCCAATACTTGCCGTGGGTATTGGCAAACAGATTCACATCTATGACGGACGCGGAGACTCACAGACCCCCATACATACCTTGTCTTCGTTGCATCGAGCACCGGTCGTGGCCATGGCCTACAACTACGCTTTCGACTGTGTGGTCTCTGCCGACTCGAGCGGGATGGTTGAATATTGGCAGCCTGGAGATAGCTACGAAAAGCCAGACAGTGTGTTCAAGATGAAGTCAGCGACCAATTTGTTCGATTTCAAAAAGGCCAAATCGGCACCATGCTCAATAACAATTTCACCGTCCGGCCACCAGTTTGCAACCATTTCATTTCCCGACAGGAAGATTAGAGTGTTTGATTTCGCTTCCGGGAGGCTCTATCGATCTTACGATGAATCCATCGAAACAATCATTGCCATGCAGCAGGCTGGTACAGCTCTTCAAAAGTTGGAGGAGGTTGAATTCGGCAGGAGACTGGCGGTCGAGCGTGATCTTGACAATCCAGTAGTAAGACCAAGAATCAACGTGGTCTTTGACGAGTCGGGACATTTTGTTGCCTATGGTTCGCTACTAGGCATCAAAGTCGTCAATACTCTTACAAACCGAGTAATGAAGGCATACGGTAGAGATGAACCGTTTAGAGCTCTCAATCTAGGTTTGTATCAAGGTGCCCCGCAGAAGAAGGATGTGGTCACAGTCTCCATGGCTGCCAGCGCGAACCCTCTTCTTGACGAGGCCCAGCAACGAGACCCGATGCTATTTGCTACGGGTTATGGCAAGGTTCGCTTCTACATGTTCACCAATGAAGAGGATGTTACCAAGTCGACGCGAGACGTCCAGAATGAAAAACCAAGGACGGTTGGTGGCAAGAAGAAGGAAGCCAAGCAAGCTCAGTCTGGCACATCCGCTGTGCTGCACACGACGTATGGCGACATTCACATCAGGCTTTTCCCTGATAAGGCTCCGAAGACAGTGGAAAATTTCGTTACTCACGCAAGGAATGGATACTACAACAACACGATATTCCATCGTGTTATCAGAAAGTTCATGATCCAGGGAGGAGATCCGTTAGGTGATGGAACAGGCGGCGAAAGTATTTGGGGTAAAGAGTTTGAGGATGAATTCTCAGATCTTAAACATGACAAACCCTATACAGTCAGCATGGCGAACGCTGGACCTAACACCAACGGCTCGCAGTTCTTCATCACCACCGAGAAAACAACGTGGCTGGATAACAAGCATACCATTTTCGGTCGAGCATACCAGGGCATGGATGTAATCCATCAAATCGAGAATACGAAAGTGCGCAAAGAAAAGCCCGAGGAGGACATCAAGATCATCAACATTTCGATCAGCTGAAGCAGAGGACTAGATGGATAGAGCCGGTGAATGGTTCGAAACAAGGCTCCTTCAGCCTGACAGATGTCCAGCCTTGTATAGTTCGCTACCCGAGATAGTCAGCCAGAAGTGAGTTCTAGTGTTTAAAGCGAGCAGCTGCGATCACACAAAGATTTCTCGAGTTGTATCTGTAGTACTATAAACTTCTTCCTCTTCTGTCTTCTCTAGTGCGTGCCAGTAGCGGCTGTCATCGTCAGGATTTCCACGTCTACGAGGCTGAGGACCTCGCAGCCTCGTAGCCTCGCCTCTCTTTTTCTCCGCAATTTCGGCCCTCGACACCGGCGACTTTTCGACTTGTGAACTTTGTGCAACTTCTCTCTCCGTGCCTCGCTCGACCCAGGAACGCGTCTCGACGGCCACTGTGCCTGCGCTTTCACCATGGTCAAGTTGCGCGTGGCTGTCAGAGTCATATCTGAGGATCAATACCTGAAGCATGCAGATCGCCCGGCGCATTTAGCCATCGAAGGCGAGAAGCGCTTGCTTGTGGTGGTCCGAGAACCAGAGCGATGGCAAATTGGGACACTGGCCCTCGAAGTGCAACGAGCTTACAAGAGCTGTTACCAGCAGTAAGTCATTTCAATTTCTCCGGGTGTTCTGCTTCCTGACGTCTTCAGCGACTTGCCCACCATCAAATACCTCAAGGACGACGAAGACGACTACGATTTAGACCCTCAACTCTACGTTTCAGACCTGCTAGTAGATGAAGGCAAAGCCGCGAGAGACGGCGCTGATCAGAGGGCGACCATCAAGGTGATACTCGAACAAGGTCGCGCTGTAAGAGAAGGGTCCGTTGCGATAGGCAGCCAGTTGGACGATCCTCAATACCAAAGGCAATTACACAAGACCTCCCGACCACCGGTCCCAACGTTTTCGGGAGTCACTTCATCGCTCGGAAAACATTCTCTGCCGGTGGATGACAACGTTGCGAGGACTAATGGAGCGAAGAGACCACGGCAGGTCGAAGCACTGGGCTCTATCCGAGAGGAAAGTTTGGTGTCGTCTATTGAACGCGATGTATCGCCGGGGCTTGCTGAGGTCACACAAAATCAGGAGATGCATCCGGATCCGAAGCACGAGTCGCCGGAGCTGTTTAGGCACATGCAGGCCATTCCAGCTGCAACTCTTGACGAATTGGAGGAACTACCAGAACAGCCACACGACTTCGCTCCGCATAATGAACGAAGAAGAGATTCCAGTGGTCGAGGCGTGGGAGGCGTACTCCAGGAAATAACGAAGGTATTCTCGCCACTTGCAACATCCAGACAATCACACGCACAGTCTCAAGGACCCATCACACCTCCAACGGACGTACCCTCGAGACAGTCGAGCTCTTCAAGGATACAACCGCGCACTGCTACATCTGGTCAAGGGTCTGCTTCGGCAAGCAAATTCAAGAGAAACAATATCTACGACTTTCCTGCATCGGATATCGACGATTCTCAAATGTCACCACGGTCGAGACAGGGTCAGCTTGGACAGCCGAGGACGAGCGATCGGTTATCACATATCGAGCGTCTAGGCACACCAAATGACAATGATGATGATCCTGAACGCCGTCTAAGCACACAGGAGGCGTATGACGCTCTCGAGACCGAGTCCCTTCTTGACGACAACGGAATGCCAGATCGCAATGCCCTCAGAATAGGACAGGATACCGAGGGACCTGTTCAGTCTGAAGGCACAGATTATGCTATCTATGAGGATGAGGCAGTCAATGGCGATCCTGCCATTCCTGATCCCTCTGCCACAGAGCATCCAGATGCCGATAAAGAAAACAGCGCTGTCAGCGTCGTACATGCACATCCAGACAGAGAAGCCAGTGCGCCCCAAGAATGGCCAAATGAGCACCCAGAGCCAACAACAAGGGTCAATGAGATATCGGCAATGGCTGCAACTAACAAGGCCACCGAGATTGATAATGACAACGACCAAACACAGCAAAAGACACAGACACGGACGGCTAGAGGATCCACGTCTAACATATCTAGCGCCAGCAGCAATGATGATTTGGAAAATATCAAAACAAGAAAAGCTCTCCGGCCATCCGCAAAAGTTACTACAAAGCTGCCTGCTCAGACCAAAGTCAATGGCAGAAAAAGGGAGCGTAGCGGAACACCAAGCCTTGACAGTCCTGGAGAACAGCTTTTCCAAACTCTAGAAGAATCAGAAAAAAGGCCAGAGCCAACGAGCTCAGCCAAACCCAAAGGGACGAAACAGAAAGCAGCCGCTCGCCAGACCTCTAATTCAGCTGCGAAGAAGAAAAGCCTTTCGGGTGGCAATGTATCGCAAGCTACAGTCGACATTGCGACCACGAAGGACCCTGTCCTCGAGGGGAAACATGCTGCAGAGCGCGCTGCCGTTGTGGGAAATGTCGAGGTAAATGCTACACAACCTCGAGTACCGGCAAAACCCTTACCCTCCTGGGGTTCTGGTTCAACCACCTCGAGGAAGCAAGCGGCGAAAGACTTGGATCAGACGAAATCTCTGTCGACTACTCATCCATCGTCCGAGCCAAAGAAGAGCCCATCTGTGTCATATTCGTACACCGAAGAGGAAAAGAGGATTATGGAAAGCCGCGCAGGCATGACGGAGGAAGAACGTGCCGCACGCAAATCAGCTGCTGCCACGAAAGTTAAACCATCTCAAGTGCGGAAAGAAACACCTGGGAAATCCTCTAGCGCAGCTATCAAATCGATAACACCCCATCGTGAGACGTCTGTGTCGACCTCCTCAAAAGGAAAGCAATCGGATACAGCAGTTGCACCGAAAACACCGTCAGCAAAGACATCTTCTGTCAAATCAACTGTGACGAATACTGCCTCGAAGCAGCGATCGGCCAGCTCTGCTCCAAGTACAGGGCCCAAACCAGTTGCTTCTACAAAGAAGAGCTCGACGATCTCGAAGACCCCAGTTGCCAGCGCAAAAGCCAACATTCAGCCACAGGCGACTCCCAAGCCGAATCCGACTCTGACTTCTGTACAGCCCAAAGCACCGACCATCACTTCGGCCAAGAGGCTTACCGACTTACGTGCTGCGCTTCGTAATGTAGATCACATGGCCAATTCTACAGCAACATCTACGTCGCTCTCGCGAGCCTCATCAAGGGCACCATTAGGCCGGTCAGCACTCGCTACCTCCGACTCGGACGAGTCTGAATCTGACTCGGACAGCGAAAGTGACAGCGACAGTGACAGTGGCAGCGATCGCGGGAAGACTGCCGCGCAGAAGCCAACTTCCTCAGTCTCGCTAGGCAACAAACAAGTCAATGGAAGTGCTTCGAAGAAGGTCCTGGGTCGGCCTGATCCAAGCATTCGCGACAGGAGCGTAGATTCTGATGATGCTTCTGACGACGACGATGAAGACGATGACGATCTGTAGGGCAGAAACCAACGGCTTCCTTCTACTCCAGTTTCCCCCGGGACCTTAACCAGTCGCGAGTGGGAAGGATGCGACGATGAACATGTCAACCCGAACAAGCTTGTTCAGCATATTTCCGAGGACCATGTCTACAAATCCCGAACAAGAGATTTCCTGTTTCCCCGTGACTGGGAAAAGCGCGACAGCCACGTTTCCACCCGTGAGCACTTGATGACGCATGATAACGTTATTCACCACTGCAGCAAGTCGTATAAGTGTGTGTGCCGCAGCCGAATGTTCAACGCGAATGACCATGGGACTAAACACCTGCTAGCAGGCAAATTTCTCGAGAGCTGCGAAGGCGGCACAATGTCCCAGCATAAGTGCTACGCCGACCATGGCACCAGTGATGGATGGAGGGGTTTTTCCAGGACGGGAAGTCAGACGGAAAGCCCAAAAGAGTGATTGAAAAGCTAATTGAAGGAGGTTTCTGTCATGTTCAAAATTGGAAAATGCAAATACAGCGTCAAGAAGGGACAGGACTCGACCCAGTTTGAGTTCTGTATCGTGATGTGGATACAAGGAAAAGCCATCTGCTGGAGAACCATCGAGGATGGACAACGGCAGATATATCACTCACTCGCTGTATTGCAACCTGGAGGCAGGGTGGAATGGGTCAAGGCAGAGGTGGTCTTGGTCCAAGGTTACCAGGGAGGGAGACAGAATATTTGGTTTGGTTTGGAGTTGATCGATGCGATACGAGTGAGCAACTCGCTCGTACTCGTACTCTGGAATTGGATGGGTCTTGGAGGTCTAACTGGGTAGACAGAGACATGTATTTCCTGAGAGGAGGAGAGAGTGACAAAAATACATTCTGGAGCCGTAACAGCTACTAACTACCTCTGGTACCCCGTACGGATCTAGTTAGATATCTATCTTCTACCTCAGGTGCCGAGGTATGTTGGGTATGTCCGTACTTCTATCGACTACCTACCTTCTTCTCCTGAGAAAAGAGACCCGTGCCGGTGATCGTGACCATTGAGTTCAACCCCCCCTTTTTTTTTGTTTTGCATACACGTCGAGCACGAGCTGTTCACTCCGCGAAGGTCAGGGTAGGGAGGTAGGTAGATAGGTAGGTAGGTACCTAGCTTGCCCTTTCGAGAGTTGCACCATCTCAAGATAGTTTTGGTATATCTATCCACCACGACGTACCTCACTCACTACCTGGTTAACCTATCTAGTGTACTGTCGTGGAGGAGCCAGCTGGGTAAGTTAACTCTCTCTCCCTCTCTCTCTCTCTCTCTCCCCCTGTGTGTGTGTGTGTGTGTGTGTGTGTGTGTGTGTGTGTGTGTGTGCGTGCGCGTGTGCCTGTGCGTGTCTCGTGCATCTCTCTCGCCGAGTGAACTGAACTAAACTAAACTCAACCGAACCACTTCGGCATCGGCATCGGCATCGGCATTCATTGCCTTCGACATGGCTAGGCGCGCGCCCTGACGATCTCTGTCGTATACAACATAATAGGACAGGACATCGTTCAGGGCCTGATCGTCACCGCCATTGCCGGTTTCGAGCAGGTAGGTAGGTAGGTAGGTGTCCATTCATTCGAGCGTGTCCATTTTCCGCGGTTCTAGTGGGGGGGATTCGTCCTGCGTCAGTCGCCTGTCGTGTGTCGATCGTCGTATCGCATGAAAAGTAAAGTCTGTCGTCTGGCGGCCTGCCTGACCTGCTGCAATGACGGTTCGTCCAAAGCGCCACACACAAACATGTCGATCCCTGAGTTCTCATAATCGCAAATCAATGACACACACACACAATCTCATTTGTTTCATTTCATCTCATCTCATCTGATCTGCATAGCCAGCACTTGACGTGTGCTCTTCCTCTTCCTGTTCACCCTTCCTTGTACGGCCATTTCAGAAATTCGTGTGGTGTTGACCTTTTGTTTCCCACGCCACGCCATACTTCCAAAAGTGTGTACACACACCGTCTTCGCTGAGCTGGGTGCCATAATCTGCCATGTGTAAGGAAGGCCCGCCCCACGACGTGTAGCCTCTAGTCCCGGTCCTTACAAACACGCCACCACTTGCTTCTGCCGTGAACCAGGACGTAAACCCCTCCGAGTACCAATGTCATATGCTCTAGGAAACTTCTGGCTCAATGGTGTTTCCGGCCACAATGTTCGCCCAACCGATCAGACGCCAGTGCTTCTCGATTCTTCGACTCAGGGCAATCTTCTCGCCAATGGCCGTACAGGCAGGGTTGGTCAGAGTCAGCTTGGCGGCGTCGGCCTTGACGCCCATAACCTTCGCACCCGTCGCCGTGCTGCCAATGTTCACCATGAGCACTTCGTTCTTGGCCAGCTTCGCCACCTTGGCCTGCTTGCCGTCGGCCGTCTTGACGCCCAACAGTCTGCGGAGCAGGAAGTAGTTGACTTCGAGCTCCATGTAGATTTCGGGTAGGTTGCCTCGAAGACCCAGAACGTGTCCGACAAGACGATCGGCTCGGCACAGCGTCGGGTCGACTCGGGTACCGACACCGATCAGACCTCCGGGCACGGCGAATTTGAGATCGTTGTGCTCGGCAAACAGACTCACCACGCGAGACATGATGGGTCGGCAGACGGTCTGGCCGGTGGCGTCCTTGGTGATGATACCAGGTCGGATTTCGATCTCGTCACCGAGCTTGAGCACGCCTGTCAGGATAGAACCACCAGCGACGCCGCCCTTCAAATCCTCGATTTCGGCACCCGGCTTGTTCACATCGAACGATCGGATGACAATCATGTGCGGGGCGGCCTGGAAGTTTCGTACTGGCACAGGGATCTTGGTGACCAAATACTCGTTGATGGCATCGATGTTGTATTTCAGCTGTGCGGAGATGGGGATGATGGGAGATCCATCCGCGACCGTACCCTTGATGAATTTCAATATGGACTCGTAGTGCTGCTGGGCGCCTTCCTCCCGCATGAGGTCGACTTTGTTCTGGAGAATGATAATGTGACTGAGTTTCATAATCTCGATGGCGGCCAAATGCTCCGACGTTTGAGGCTGAGGGCACGCTTCGTTACCCGCAATCAGAAGCAGTGCGGCGTCCATGACCGCGGCGCCGGAAAGCATGGTACTCATGAGAATATCGTGACCGGGGCAATCGACGAACGAAACGTGGCGGAGGAGTCTGTACGTGCCACCACATCCGTCTCTTTCGCAGGGAGGGTCGACCTCCTTCTCGGACTTGAAGCTCTTGTAGCATGTCGGGCGGGGACATTCGGGGTTGTCGCACTTGTAAATCTTTGCATTGGCATAACCAAGCTTGATCGTGATGTTTCGCTCCAGTTCGTTCTTGAATCTGACCGTCTGGACGCCCGAGATGGCCTTGACGACAGTGGACTTGCCGTGAGCCACATGACCTATTGTGCCGATGTTGATCGTGGCTTGTCTGGCGATGATTTCAGGGGAGAGAGGAGTCAGTTTTGAGATATCTAGGTTTGCCGGGTCGGGTTGTTCTGGGAGAGGAGGGCGAGTGACTTGGGGTTCGGGTATGGATGCGGTTGTTCCCTTTTTCAGGGCCGACTTGGGAGGTTGATTTGTTTCTTCGATCTCCTCGACATCATTCTCATCCCCAGGAGGGGTCCCTGGCTGGGAAAATTCATCGTCCGAGGGCAGATCGCCGTTGGTGGCCATGATTGCGGTGGACTCTTTTGTTTGTGCTCGTTAGACAGAAGTGCCGCAGGGTGCAGCGACAGGGACAGGTACGAGGAATATCGTGAACTTCCAAATATCTGTGGGGGGAGTCGTCGAGTCGACGAGGGTGACTGCAGTGTGAGGACGAGGAGGGGGAGTTTCGTCGTTTGTCGGTGGTTGATGGCTGATGTCGATGTCGCGGGGTCTCAGCGTCCAAGTTGCAAAAATTGTGGCATTTCTCGCCGCCAAGAAATGACTCACTCGTGCTTATGTCATCCAATGTCCGGCGACTCGGAGAGGATACGAGTACGAGGATGCGCCAACAACAGGTCTACGGTATTGAGTAATTCACTGTATCTAGCATAGAGTGCAACACCCAACATCTATCAGTGTGCTGGCGGTGACACTGTCCTAGACGCTTTCAACAGTGTCGACGGAGAGAGTAGCAGGATGATCCGCTGACAACATGTTCAGCCGACACCTTTATCACAGCGTCCATCTGCACCGTCGTCCACGGCGTCGATGCTTCGACCTTACGCTGACAGCGAGAAAAGCACCCAACAGATATAGACGCCACGACTCTACGAAGAGAACCTCGTTCAGATCATCCCCCTGTTGGGCATGGCGCTAAATCATTGCCGACAGCTTCGATCATGAGTCTGCCGTGATCATCGCATTTGATGATCTATTCCTCATCCCCATCTTCTATAATTTCATACCCTTCACTCCCCTCAATGTCAACTGACTCACTCCCTCCCTCATCATCCGTCGCCACCTCGACTTCACCATCATCGTCGTCGTCATCCTCTTCTTCACCACCAATGGGCTTCAACCCATAATCGTCCTGGAAGTAGTTCAAGTCTCTGACCTCAGCATTGAACCCAGCTCCCTTCAATCCTTCCGAGATGGCCTGCATCACACAGATAGGTCAGCTCATTTTCGTCGTGTTCGCAGTGACACGGTACACCACAAGAACTTACCTCTCTCAACCCCGGTGCGCATGTGGTGAAGACGTCAGCTCTGCCAGGCACGAACATATTCCACACTACGTTCCTCAGCGCCTCCTTGATCTCGGGGACGCCCACGTCCCGAACCTTCTTCAACAGCCGCTCCATATGATCTTCAGGCAGCCCCTTCATCACTGCACGGATGAAGCTTGACGCCGCCGCACCAGCCAACGTTTGTTGTTCGTTCGCAAACGCCACGACGATGCTACTGATCGCACCTTCCAGCATGAGAGGGTCAAACTCGATTCCACCGTCCATGTGGCCCCTCACGACCTCGCGACTGGCCTCGAACGCCTTCCACGCGTCCGGCGACCGGTAAACGTCAAGATAGACGTATCCACTATCAATGTCGTAGCCCATGCTGGTGCCATACGCTAGCCCCGTACCTCGGACTGCCACCCACAACGGCCCTTCCACGGCATTCATATACGCCATGGCGACCATGACCGCAGGCATAGCGGGGTCGTCCCAAGATGTTGGACCCCTCGCACACGCATATGCGAAAGAACTATCGATAGTGGGCATCGGCACAACATATGCTAGTTGTCCAGGATTCTGGCCTGCCTCGCTTAGTCTTTCAATTCTCTTCCCAATTGGATTTAGTCCTTTCTCCGTGTCCATACCCTCCAGGAAAGGTTTCCAAGCGCTGACAGGGTCTTGAACCTTGGTCAAATCCGTAATGACCAGGATACGGTAGTTCTCGAACCGGCACATATGTTCACGTAGCCGTTCTAACTGGGTAACCACTTTGCTCGGGTCCGCAGCGAGTAGTTGCTTAATACGCTTCAGATACAGTGCTCTGACCAGAGTACTGCGTGCGCGACCAATCGATTTCGGTGCAAGGTGTGTCATCAGCCGGACAGCCACCATCATGTCGTCTCCAGAGCGCTTTGCATCGGGAACGTCGGCCAGGAGTCTGGTGTTGATCGCCTTGAGTCTTTCAATGTCGAAAATTGACTTGTACAGGAGTTCACTAAGCCATTTGATAGCCACCTTGTAGTGCTCAATCTCCACCTGGAAGCTGACCCGGATGCCTTCATTGTTGCCCAGACCACCAGCCGAATCAATATTGTAGCCGACAGTATCCCGCTCAAGTTCAACCACGACTTGTTCGAAATCTATGATTTTGTCGCCCCGCTTCAGCGGCAGATTGAAGAAAGATTCCATGTAGATGGAGAGTAGAGGTCGAAGCTCATCGGGCAGAACCTCCGTGGAGATAATGAGGTTGACCCGAGCAAAGTTGGTAGGAATATGTTCAAAGTCCAGGAACAACCGCACGCCAGCAGCATCGGAGTCAATGACCTGCTGGTACTTGTTCTGAGGCTTGCCAACCTCAAGAGCCAGCCCTGCACGAGCACCTGATGTCGTCACGAAATGTATTGACTCGGTCGATGGAACTTTGAATTGTCCCAAGAGTTCTCGTGGGATCTCACGGTCATTTTCGGCCTTCGCAGCGTCGAGTTTCTCCTGCATCTTCTTCAAGCCATCTTCGCCCAATCGTTTCTTCTGTTCCTCAATCCTCGCGGCTTCTTCTGTTTTGAGTTGTTCAGACAGTCTCGCGGAAGGGACACCCAGAATAGACACATGCGGCGCATCAGAGATATAATGCTTGATGAAATCCTTCCACTGTTGCTCGCTCCACGACGTCAGCGTCTTTGTATACTGTTCCAAGGACTTGATATTTTCCAGAGTCGACCCGTCACGCTTTCCGTAGAGGTAGTCGGAGATAATGTAGTCGGCAAATGCCGTCGAGGAAGCCTCCGCATTGAATTTGGACGTCCTAACTTGACGATCGATGCAGTCTTGCATGAACGCCATGTCCAGCGGGGCGTTCATTGCATCTTGGAGGACCTCAAAGAACCGCTTTTCGACCTGCGGCAGCCGTCCAGTCTCGACACCGGACATGGAGAAGGCCACTTCGGTTCGAGGGCGGCTGTCAATCTGGTAATACACGCCACTAGCCAACTGTTCTTTCTCCACGAGAGTGTTGTCGAGTACTGCCGCAGACGAGCCAGCGAGGTACAAGAGGACCACGTTCAGTGCCGAAGCAGCCACCAAATCGGAACAGTCAGGTCCAAGGAAGCGAATATCGATCTCCCCAAACGACTCATCCTCCTCTGGGAATTCCACGCGCGTTACAGTGGACTCGGTCAGAGCAGGTGCATGCTTGGATTCAATCCAAGGTCGTTTGAAAGGTGCATCTGGACTCGGGATGTCGGCCATGATTGACGACTCGAATTCGTCCAAGATCGTCAAAAGCTCCTGGTGGTTGACTTCTCCGAAGAGTGCCAAACACAGATTTCTCGGCTGATACATGTCGCGATGAAACTGCCTTATACGCTCAGCGGTCAGAATACGGAGTTGTTCCATCATGCCTCCGGTTTCGTAACGAAACCCGACACCTTCAGGATACACAATCCGTTTGGACTGCAGCTCGATCAGCTCGGAAGCTGTGTTCTGCACACCCTGCATTTCAGAGTACACCACGCCGGCATCGTTGCCGTTGCCGTCGATATGGTGGACTTCGGTGGTGCACCCTGCGTCGGTGAGTGTGGGAAGAATGACATGTTCGAGGTACACTGGCAGGATTTGGGCAAATCCAGCCCAGCCCGCCGTTTCTAAAGTGTAGGCAGTGTGATCAGTCGCCGTCCACGCGTTGGTGCCCGAGTATGCTCGAGTGGCCAGCTTGTCAAGGAAGCCCTTGTACTTGTAGCTCTTGGAGCCCATGAAGCAGAGATGCTCCAACGTATGAGGCGCGCCTGAATCGTCATGGATTTCGGTGGCTAGGACAAAAAACCCGTGCAACTTCGGCCCTTCCTGGTCCACCACGACCACACGCATGCCGGTCCTGTCGGATTCATACTGAGTGATCGTCCCCGGACAGTAATTGGGCTCGATCTTCTGGAGCTGCCGAAACCGAGGTTTGGCTCTAATTGATACCATTTTCGCTCCGGCCACGAATTGAGAGAAACAGTCTTGAATTTGCTTTATCGCTCGCAACTCTAGAGGCACATTCGAGTCAGTCGAGCGCCCAGCGAGAAAAGCAGCCAATCTCGTGAAATTTGTGCAGGCGAGCGTGATTGCGAGACAGGCAACGATTATTGAAGAAACCAGAAGATTCAGCCTCATCAAGAGAAGATGCCGGCAGGCTACAGTGTCCCCTCAGCGGATTAACCTCGTGTTTGCACCACAACAAGCACGCGATGGGCGAACTGAAAGCAGTCGGCTATTTGCCTCCAGCACGCAGAGCAATGTCGCAGTCAGACTTGACTTACCTTTCTAATTTTATTTTCTCTATCTCAGGATCCCAACGTCCGTGTTGCTGTTGCTTCCTGACCAAAGTTCACACAGGAAGACAATCCTCAAACGACAGATCGGACGGGACAAGGTGACGGTAAGCGGTAATGACCGACTTCGGATTCCTCCCTCCGTCCTGGCGAATGATTCCCCAATGAGCGTCGAAAGCAGCGTTCACTTTTGGACCGAACCAGACTTTCGCAATGTCACACGGCCGCCAGAGTCGCAGCAGTCGTGGCCCGTTTAGAGTATGGCAAGGTTGGATCCAATTCCAGGTGTCAGATCCTGTGGTCGGTATCTGGCTCCAGGCGAGAAGGCGGTGGCGACGCATCAGCCACATTCCGTGCGCCAGCCTTGTTACGGATACAAAAACGAGGCCAGCCTTGGCGTCGCATTCTGGGTGCGTTGAGAAAGTGAGGACAAGAAATAATATGCATCGTGAGGGGGTCATATTAGATTTAGATTCAGATGCGTATATGTCCGTCGGTTGGTAGGTACGTATCATGTAGGTTCCAACAAATCGTCTTCCTTTATATGCAAAAACTGCCACGGATTCTCCGCTTGAACCAATTACTTGAAATACTTTTCCTCGCTTCCTCAACGTTCCAGCCCGTCTCCCATGCAAAATTCCCACAAAATATGCCGCTCATTGCTCAGTCGAAAATTGTTGATTGTGAGACTGCCCATCTCCGCTATGATCCAAAATGGCGGTGCATGGTCGTGACGCCGAGGACCACATTATGATGCACTATTATACAATTCCTGTAAAGCGTTGTTGCCCTTGCGGAGGGCCCAGCTTTTTTGCTTCTTATCTTTCTTCATCTTCATCTCTGCCCAGCCTTGCTCGTCGTCCTCGTCATCTTGAAGTGCTAATGGAGATTTCCGGCCTAAGGCAGTCGTTGAAGGTTTAGCGGTATATGTAGAGGCGCGAGACGTGCCGCTGTTCTGATTCCAGGGTTGAAAAGTCGAGGATGTGAACGTTGAAGCCCGTCTGGTGGAAGCAACGTCGTTGTCCGGAGCAATGGATACTGGCCTGTACCTAGAAGCCAGTCCTATGTTGCTTCTCTCGGATGGTGCGATCGAAGCAGCATAGTTGCCGGTGACATTAATCGAAGGGAGATACGGTTGATTAGGGTTCCACGGCGCCATGCTTGGGTCAACAATACTCATCGGTCTATGAGCTCCTTGAGAGCCAGGTCGAGCTTGCAAGTGTGCAGAATGCGGCCGCGGCGTGGCAGATTGAGGCGGCATGAACTGGTTCGGATTGTGTTGACTGCCCATCATCTGTTGCATTTGCTGCATCCACTGCATTTGCATTTGCATCATCTGGGTCATTTGCTGTGACATTTGAATTTGAGCCTGGTCGCCCGGAGTAAGCATCGGAGGCATTCCCGGCATGCCCATTGGAGGATAACCCATTGGTAAGTTGCCTGCAGTCTGCGACCTGACTATTCCTGGAGGCACGGGACCGCCAGGGAATTCGTAGTTCCCAGATGGGTTTGGGCTGCCTCGCCTTGCAGCACGAGCTCGTTCTTCGCCTGCTATAACACCTACGAGTCCCGCGGGATGGATGGGATGGCTTGTCGATGGCCCGACACCTTGCGGGGGTGGACTAGCAGCGTGAATTGAGAGAGATTCACGGTTTGATGGATTGACAAGACTCGCACCGTAATACGGATCCTGTGGCAGGTGCCGCGCAAAGACTGGAAGATTGCCTCCGGCCTTGGGTGTTTGACTAGCCACGCCCGGTGCGGCCTGAGCCTGGCTGACAACCCTCAGGTTCGAGTTTGAAGGAGAACTTGCCAGCCGCGTAGGTGGTCGGTTCTTGTTAGGAAAGCCATGCGCTGCCAGAATTCCAAGAGGAACGTCCTCATCTTCGTCCTCATCTTCTCCGCTGCCGGCCCCAGTAACCTTCGGGTCCAGGGTTAAGCTTGAAAGCCGATGGTTGATGTCAGTTGACCCAGACCGTGGCGCCCCGAGACCACTTTCAGCCTGAGACTGTGAATTTTCACCCGTGACCTTCATCATTTGTTGGCGGTAGACAGCAAGATGCGCCTCTTGTTTTCGTCGTTGTTTGGCCATCTGGCGGTCACGTTCCACCTCGTCTTCATCATCCTCTTCACCTTCTGAACTGCTGTCGTCCGACAGCGCCCCGAGCCGGCGGTCCATCTCTTTCTGTTGCTTGTAACGTTCCCACTGAGCCGGAGTCATGACTTTATTGGTAGAAGCCGGTTTAGGAGGTGCAATTGGAGTTTCCTGATACATATGAGCAAGCTGAGCATCGGCAGCAATGGTGGGATCGAGAGTTGCGCTGTGTGTCGAGCTTGGGGATAACCTTCCCTCCGCACTTTCTGGGAACGTCGTCGGACTCGTTGATAGCAGGTTACTGCTGCTGTCTGTCGACTTTGCTTGCAAAAGTGGCGGTGGAGACTGGATGCTGTGATCTTGAGATGGGGCTCTAGGGCCCACAGGTCTCCTGGACGGCAACTTGGAGTGTGAAAGGTCTTTTTGAGGACTTTGTACCACGTTGTCTCTTGTCTGGACAGGACTGCCCTGGGTAATGGTCTTTGATGGACTTGGAGAGCGAATGAGGCCATCGCGAGAATTACTAGACGTCCAGGAATAAGGCGAGGACTCAATTACTTGTGTACGATCGATGTGGAGAGGTCGAGGTATGGGAGCTCTGTTTGGACGATCCATATTTGCACCGGGAAAGCTCGTGGGAGGATAGGTCGTCGGTGAGGAAGTTGGCTCCTATTACAAGTCAGCAAGTGACGGAGAACACTTATTTGCAGGATGTACCTCTTGCTGGATAAGCCTTACGGGGCCTGAGGCAGGACTAGACCCAATATGGTCAAACATGTTTTCGAAGCCATCCAACTCGGAGTTGTCCAGTGCGAGATCAGAGTCAAACAGCCGAGGTGGTGTAGCAGTACTTTGTGAACTGGTCGTGACGGCCCTACTTCGTGTGTTATCGGGATGAGGATAATCGCCTTGGGCTGAGATGGGTGACGAGCGGCTGCCCTTGATGACGCCGAAAGAAAGCGCCCTCGGGGGACTTCGTAGGAAACCATGGCGAGCTGTTGTGTGTGGTGGGGCAGGAATATCATTATACGGTTTCGAGCCCGGTACTTGCACGTTCTTATCTGAGCGAGTGTCGACGGAAGAGGGGTTCGTTGAAGAGGTGCTCAGGCGAGTGGAGGAGGCAGCACTGTCGAGGTGGACGGTCGAGCGAGAGCCTTGAGTTCCGGCACTGCCTCTGTATGTTGTCAGTGCGGGTCAGCACATGAAGACCAGCATCTTTCCGCTTACCGATTGCCTGCGTCCAGGCGTCCAGCTGTAAAGCCATCGTCGTCCTCGTAGTCTTTCGGAGGGGGTCTGGGAACGGAGGGCTCGCCCATTCTCAAGGACAGGCCGCCATCGAAGGATTTGCCCTTGCTGGCTGGTCTCTCCAGAACTCTAAACGACGAGCCAGAGCCATTCTCTACCTCGTCCAAAGCATTTCCCGATGATTTTCTTCTTTGGAACCCCTTGGGCAGTTTGATTGGCATGGGGGAGGATTCGACCGGTCGCGAGGTACTAGACCGGGGTGTAAAGCGAAGGAGAGTGGGCGATTGTCTGGGGGAGGTGTCGAAGGAACTGGAGCGTATTCACAGTGCCGGTAGCCAAAGGTGACCAGGATTATGCAATGCTGGGACTAGGGCTGAATCATGGGAAGCAGTTGGCTCGCGAACGGGAAGCTACATGAGATTCTGGTCAGCAAGAAAACCATGGATCAAGGTACATGGCACAATAGTCCTTACACGTCGCGAGATCTTTTGGCGTCAGCGGCGGGAATGGCAATCCTGAACACACGGGCCACGGATCTGAACGCGGTTCGACGGTGTTGATAACGCTGCTGGCTGGACCAAGCGTTTTATGTCAGCGAGCGATGACAGGTTTATTTTGGTCGACTCCGTACAGCGAGGGAACTTGTCCGTAGTGTTGAATCGAGGGGTGTTGTTGAAGTGGTGAGAACTGGTGGGCGGCGATGGCTTGAAAGGTAACGTGATGATCTGCTTGCAAAACAAGACACAATATGTAGCGAACGTAAGTTGCGATTGTCAGTTGAAGTCAAGGAGAATCATGAAAAGCAGAGCAATGAAAAAGATGGTCAGGCGGTTTGTTGTTCGTAAGAAATTCATGCAATACGATCCGAGGTGAGGGTGGAAAGGAAAAGACACGCAGGCACCGGTGCAAAATAGACGGAGACGCAGGGCACCGGCAGGCGAGGGATTGGGAGGAAAGATTTGTGGTTGACATGTGCATTAGCGTCATGTAGTGGTGCACAGGGGGAGGCCTTTAACCAAGACAACGCCGGGGAAAAGAGGCTATAGTGGCTGCCCGGAGGGTGGTCTAGCTAAGAACTAGTGATCTAGGGGCCTACGGGGCACAGTACTAGGTACCTGGTCTGGAGCCCGGAGGGATGTATTATTGCGAATGGGGGAGCTGAATGCGGTGCTCGGTTCGCTTGGTGGGAATTGTTTACTGCCATGGCCTCTGTTGGGCTAGTGACGCTGCCACTGATGACTTTTTATGGTGAAGCTGGGCGAGTTTCTTACTTTGTACTGTCCTGTCAGTCAGGGATCCCAAGAGTAAAAAGCGCCCAGTTGATGGTCGCCTGTGAGGCACTTGAGCCCCATCGGGCTGCAAGATCAGCCACCGCGATCCGGGATCATCCTTAAATGGAGGTAATGGTAAAAAAGCCCTCGTACGAGTACTGTTTGTATGTTGAACTCCCTAGCCTCTAGGCCACTAGGCTGTGTAGAAATCTCCCCTGGGTCTCCGCATCCTTATTTTTGTACATTCATAAAATCCTAATGTGGCGCCAAACCAAAACATGTTTTCGTCATCGGCATCACATCTTGGAATTGCAATGGAAACAAGCATTTGATGTCGCTTGTGTCTTTTCTTATCAATGGTTCGGACTCTCCACTAGCACCACCTACAGGCTACGGTCACAGTACTCCTTACCTCCGACGTCTCTTGCGGAGGTCAATAGTAGGCACCTAGGTACAGTAGGTACAGTAGGTGCCCTCGGTCGCCAACATTTCCTCCCTCGTGCCGCTCGTCACAATTCAGCCAACGGCCCTTGCCGCGGTCAAGGAACAATGTTCCGGATCCGTCTCCGTACTTAGAAAGCTATTGTAAAAGATCCCCCAAGCTACTGTAGCTGGTATTTATCACTATTGCAAGGCTTGTCTCCATACCTTGCCAGGAACCAGGGTGTACTAACTAGGATCCATCTTCATCTCCGGTCTTGACAAAGAGTCAGCTGTCCTTGTATTTTTGGTTACTCGAATCCGTAAGACAGACTTTGTACCATATTCAACCCCTGGTCGCTGTGGCACATTAAAGGGCGCTACTTTCTCCTCTTGTCACTTTCGTACCCCCCGGGATCCTCAACTAGTGTCATCTGTTCAGGGTCCACGTGTTGTAGCTTGGTCCAACCCCAGCCTGTTGCCAGCCGCGACGGCTACGTAAAAGCCACTGCGGGTGTACCAGGAACGCCAGACCATCGGGACGGTCAATTGTTGTCCGAACGGACATGACAACCACTTAAATGTTTTGTTGCCGCCAAGAGTGGCAATGTTGTGTTGCCAGTGGCTTCCCGAATTATGAAGAATCCGCAAAGGGGCACGGAGAGTGTCAACTCTTGACCAGTTGGTCCTGATGAGGCAGAGCGGTGAGCGTGGATGGCGGTGGTGAAGGCTGCTGTAAAAGATGCCTTGCATTTTCAGGTTCGCTCGTCGCTGCGATTGATCTGGACGGCTTTATCCTCGCCCGCACTGAGAATGCCCAGATGCTTGTCCCAACAAACAGCAAATACCTTGACTCCTTCACCAACGGCCGAAGCGGGACTGCCTTTTTGGCTCGCTCGAGGCAGGGTGTATAGACTCGATACAACACTCCCTTCTTTCTCTTGTCTCGTGCTTCGGACATCCCAGACTCGGCAAGTACCATCATGACTGCCGCTGACAATCGTGTACTCGTTGCCCGGATCTCGGGCGAGGCTCACGACTGAGTTCTTGTGTCCTTTGAGGGTCATGGCTGTAACCGTAGCCGCCGATGCACGTGGATCCACCATCTTGATCACCCGACTAACAGACCCGGCAGCAATCAGGGTCAACGACGGCATATGTTCTATACAGAACAATGCGCCTGACGTTGTCCGCGTATCCACAAGAGAGGCCGTAACCAAATCCCAGGTCCGCACCGTTTGATCCCACGATGTTGAATAGCCAACTGTGTGGTCATTGCTGTCAAAAGTTACACCCGACACCTGCCCGGTATGCTCCTTCATCAGTGCCACTGGGCCTCTGTTTGGGACGGATATTTCTGGGTTCAACTTTCTCCGCTTGCCGTCCTTGCCCTTGGACTTCGGAACGAGCTCCTCCGGGGCAGCAGGGGCATCCGATGTCCGCGTTGACCAGATGCCGACTGAGTGATCAGATGATCCCGAAAGAATACGGCCAGACTCGGCGTGCGGACATACAGAGTCCACTGAGCCTTTGTGACCGTAGAGTTCTAGTTGTGGTGTAATATGCGCAGAGAACCCATCTTGCTCCTCCTCATATTTCCATAGTCTTAACGCTCGGTCGAATCCTCCTGAGACAATTTGCTTTGGTGAGATAAACTTGGCGGACTTTATGAATGCTTGCCCGCTCTGTGACATTGCTGGAGAAGTCGCAAGAACTTGTGAAGACGCATTCCAAACTCTCAATAGCCCATCATAACTGGCAGACAGTATCCTGGAATTGTTCCCGGATAGAACGTCTACATCGCTCACCCAGTCATCGTGTTCAAAGGAAGCCGCGTATTGGGGTGGGATGCGCGCTCGGACGTATTCGATGTTCAGCGTCGTCTCGGTGGAGATGCCGTTGTTTGTGAGGTACTCGTCAATCGTGGTCCGAAGGTAAGTTCCATTGATAATGAAATCTAGCGGGATCGTCTTCTCGGTCTTGACAAGGTTGTTGACCAGTGTCGAAAGCTGAATGCGACGGAAGGATGTAGGAATTAGAATGGGCGCAGACTCTTGAAGAGCGAGGTCTGTGTCTCGGGTGGTGAGTCTGGCGCGCACCGAGACATTGCCAGAGGTGGCCGGAGTTGAAGTCATACTCAGGGCGCTGCGTGCGAATCTCTTTCTAAACTACTATGAGATGCGTTGTTCCATCTCAGGTAGGTAGATATGGAGATATTGGTCTGTCGACATTTCTACCACAGGCGGAGAGCAGGCTCAACTTTTTTCTACCTTTAACCGAAGTTCTGCCTTCGAGGAGGAGATCACCTTCCTCGGTGTTTTAGTCACGTGATATAGGGTTGCTGACTAATGAATCATCGCCTGCAGAGACAAAAGGTATTGCCCCTACGAGAGGTTACCTAAATTCTGGGCAAACAACGATTAATCTCGTCCAAGAACTCGGCGACGTCCTTATAACCGTCCTTCCCAGCCTTGAGTGGGTCAGACTCGCAGGCAGGCTTGGTGTCCCACTCCGGCCTATCTTGCTCATCATGTCGCTTTCCAGAGACCTCACTAGCCTGGACGAGTACCGGGACGATACCACCTGGTGGTAGAGAAACCGACTGATGGCCGACAACTCGTAGTATCGCCTTGATCGTCCCACAGTGGCTTGTCATGCTGATGTATGTACTTTCGTCGTGCGCGAAGATATCGTCAAGTAATGCACGAACACGTTTATCATGGCGCCCAAGCGACTCCCGGCGAGTAGGAGAGTGCAGCTCATCGTTCTCCGTGAAGGAATCTTCGATCCGGAAGTCAGGAAAGTTGGTCTCAATATATGATTTTGTTGGCCGTAAGTCACAGGATTGGATGCCGTATGCTTCACGGAGGAATTCTTTGACTACAGGGCGGAAGGTCCGAGTCGGTGGCACAGATAAGTTGGAGAAGGTGAGCTGCGCGGTTTGCATCGCCCGGGTGAGTGGACTGGAGTAATAGGTCTGCGGCAAAGGCATCTTCTGGATCGAGATCAAGTTGTGCCAGAATGTCGAGACAGTTTTGGCTTGGTGTATGCCGAGAGGGGTTAGGTGGGCATCGAGATAAGTTATGCTTGGGACGTTAGGGTCCCGGTCGAATGTGCCATAGTAGCAATACTGCTGTCAGTAACAAGAAACCGAACGAAAGGATCTTCAGTGCGCAGGATTGGATTTTGGATCTGGAAATTGGGTTTGGAGGGAGACTGTGAGACCTACATCCCACGCAGCATCTCCATAAAATGTTATGCCAACATTGTGATACCCTTGGCCGTGTCTCCCAAGGTAGAGGAGTCGATATGTCACCCCTTTAGGAGCCCTCTGATTCATCACTTTTAGTTTATGGGCGAATCGTTGCCATTGACTGAGAAATTTGCCGTTATTCGGCAACAGTTTGTCGGTGTCGTACCGTTGCTCTATCAGGTCGAAATCCTCTTCTGACTGCCACCATAGAGCTTGTCAAATACCGTTCCCAGCATTTGCGCACAGAGACGGCACATACGGCATCGAGTCTGCCTGAAACTGGCCTTGGGAGATCTTGACGAAAGAATCCGAGCACAGCACTGCAATCGTAGTGCCACTTCTGGCCCCTTTCCACGTCATTTTTCGTGTCCATAGTGGAAGCCTCGGAAGGTGACAGGGTCTTGATCAACGAGGATATGGTCTCAGTGATGACGAAGCTGAAAAGGTAAAGAAAGCATTAGGTCGATAGCGAAGAGGACGAAAACAGACTTTCGGGATCTGCACTCCCGCGCTACTTTGAGTTAGCGAGCGACGGCGAGTCCTACCATATTATCTGTCATCTGTTTGCTCGTCTTGCGCCCCATTAGTGAGTTAACAACGAACGAAACATAACCCGGGGGTGTTGTGGTGCGGGGTGAAGAAATCTGGGTGAGGCTCATCAGGCTCTCAGAATTCCAGGCGCTTACGCAGGCAAAAAAAGGCGTCAACTCATCAAGGTTTCCCTTCAGCAGCACAAGCGAGGCGCGCGACACATCGTGTATATAGTCGTCGACAATGCAATTGCTACGAGCTGCAGCCTAGATCCAATCTCCCCTTGCAATGCAACATACGATTTCGAGCGTATGCGGATCCTGCGACGAATGCCCACCAAGACCCATCGTTTCTATCAATATTCCCCTCACCGATGCGCCTTCTACAATGCAGCGAAAGTGGCAAGTTTATCTTGACCAAGGACTTAATTGAACCCGTCCCTCCATTTGCTATTCTTTCGCACACGTGGGCAGCAGATACAGAGGAGGTGACCTACCGAGACATTGTTGAAGGTCACGGCGAGACCAAGGCTGGTTACGACAAGATTCGGTTTTGTGGGGAACGCGCAAAGTGCGACAACCTAGAATACTTTTGGGTGGATACTTGTTGTATAGATAGATCGAGCAGTTCAGAGCTTGCAGAGGCTATCAATTCTATGTTTCGGTGGTATGGCAATGCGGTCAAATGCTATGTCTATTTGTCAGATGTCTCGAGACCTACCTTAAACATCGTCAACACGTCTGAAGAACCTCTTTGGGAGAAGCAATTTCGCAACAGCAGATGGTTTACTCGAGGTTGGACACTTCAAGAACTTATTGCTCCACGGACAGTCGAGTTCTTCTCCAAGGAGCGCTGTCTTCTTGGAGACAAGAGATCGCTAGAAGAAATCATTCATGGTACAACCGGCATTGCCCTCGAAGCTCTTCGAGGAGGTCGACCTTTGCAAGAGTTCGGTGTCGATGAGCGCATGTCATGGGCGAAGCATCGCAATACGTCACGGCCAGAAGACGCAGCTTACTCTCTTTTGGGCATCTTTGGTGTTTACATGCCGCCCATCTATGGCGAGGGTCGAGGCGGGGCACTACGTCGCTTGTGGAAGGAGTTAGAAGATCCAAGATTCAAACAATTCAGGTCGTCTTTCAATGATGCGCCTGTTGATCTGCTCTCCGTTCATTTTATGGACCGCCAGCAAGAGCTGACTCAATTACGAGATGCTCATCAAGTTTATGGAGAGAACGGACCCGCTCGTTGTGCTATCTGGGGCATACCGGGTGTTGGTAAGACACAGCTAGCAATTCGATATTCGAAAATGTTCATGGAAGACCCAACTGTGTCGGCAACACTCTGGGTGTCCTGTTCTACTTTAGAGAGGGTGCATCAAGGCTTCTCGGAGATGCTAGTCCTTATCGACCATCCCGATCAATTCAAACTGGAGCATAATGCGCGAATTATTGCAGCTCGTCGTTGGCTGGAACAACCGGAGGTCAGTGGGATATACCGTTGGCTCCTAGTCCTCGATAATGTTGACATGACAACCGTCGATTTTCTTCGCGAAAACTTACCACGACAAGGCAAACGAGGTCGAATCCTTATCACTACGCGCACTGAAGCCGTCGCTCAGGCTGTTTGCAGAGCTTCTGGAAGGTCGCATCCACACTTCGAGGTCAAGCCGCCAACTGTGGAGGATTCAGCTACCTTTTTCCTCAGATCACTTGGAGTGAGCCCCAAATCATTGTCGAGTGTTGGCCAACGCCAAGTTGCCGACCTAATGAAAAGTCTGGGATGTTTACCTTTAGCTGTTGAGCATGTTGCGTCTTTCATGAGCCAAACATCTCAGACTATCGATGTTTTCACGAGATTGTATCACGGCAAGCAGAAATCCGATGTAAGTTCGACTTTGAACCACCATTTGACCTTGCCGCATTGGGAGCGTCTAACGCGTATAGTTTTTTGACTGGGAAAACTTGCTCTCAGCGTACGAAGTAAAGTCGATCTCGAACATTTTTAAGACTCATCTTCTTGATCTAAGACGATCGAGTCCTGAGGTCTATGGCCTTCTGAATATACTGGTGTTCTGGGACCCTGAAAAGATCGAGTATGAAACAATTAGAATGGGAGCTTCCTTTTTGCTTTCTTTATCGGAGACGACCGAGACACCTTCGAAATCGGAACAAAAGCGGCATTGGACGCTATGGTTTATTCCGAGCCTGATAAAAGCTCATTGCTTTGGGTTCGCTTCCAACAGTCAAAGCTCTGTAAGGATTGCCTCAAACCTGGTTCCGGCAAAAGATGGGCTGCTATCTTCTGAGCTCAAATCCATAATCAACATGATGTCCTCTGAAGTACGACTTCAAAGCGCGTTGCAACAACTTCAGATGCTCTCTCTTATCAAACGCAGATCAACTGAAGGAGGAGGAGCATATAGCATACATGATCTCACCCAGACTTTGGTTCAAGTGTCTCTTGAATCGGAAGGTGCTTGTCTCCAATGGTTCAAATGCGCAGTCAGAATGGCTTGCGGAGCTTTTCGTGAGATCCGAAATCCTGATATGCCCGAGTATTGGCATAGATGTGACGGCTTGATCTCACATATCCTCTCGCTCACGAAGTACGGCGCATCGGTAGACCCCAGCAACACCGAACTTCTCTCAGCTCGTGGCCACGCAGCTGTGTACTGGTGCAAGCGTGGCAGATATCACGAGGCTCGTGAGATGTATCAGCAGATACTGAGTATCGGGCATATTGACGATACCCAAGCAATTCAGTGGAAACTGGGCCTCGCAGAAGTCAATTGGCACCTGAGCGATCACACTGAGTCTGCATTGCTGTACGAGCAAGTACGGCGGATTCGAGAATCGCAACTTGGAGCTGACCACCCCGATGTTCTGCATGTTGTCGAAAAATTGGCACTTGTGTATCGGTCACAAGCTCGGTATGAAGAAGCTCGCTCAATGCTGGAACATGTCCTCCAGAGTCGCAGAAAGAGTCTCGGCCAAGATGACCTTGTCACTGTTCAGGCTGTTGAGAATCTCGCTCTAACAGTCAACGAATATGGGGAAGCCGAAAACAATCAAGCCCTATATCTTGAAGCTGAAAATCTGCATAAACTAGCTTTAGGCTATCGAGAGGCTCAACTGGGTGCAGACCATCTTGACAGTTTGTGGACGGTTGACAATCTTGCAACCAACTATCGAGCTCAAGGCCGACATCTGGAAGCACTGGAGATCTACGAAAGAGTCCTCAAGGGACGCACGTCACAACTAGGAGAGGATCACCCACAGACACTGTGGACAGTCGCCAACCTTGGATCTACGTATACTGGTCTAGGTCGCTTTCAGGAAGCTGAGGCCATGTACAAGCGGGCAGTCGTTGCCAATGGGAAGCAGTTGGGCCATGACCATACGCAAACTCTGTGGGTGGTCGAAGGTCTGGCGGATGTCTACCGTCAGCAATCACGGTTCGAAGAAGCGGCAACTTTATACGACCGAGCGTTACGTGGAATGCAAGGTCGCGTAGGATTTGAGCACCCAAGTGTAATGCGGATAATGCACAAGTTGGCGAACCTCTACCGAGACAGCAACGACCTCACAGAGTCAATTAAGATGTTTGAAAGCCTTCTAGAGCTTCGTGAATCATGGCAAAGATCTGGCAATGCAGAAATGCTTCGAACGTATCACGACGCAGCCGCCACATACGTCCGCGTGGGAATGTATGCTCAGGCTGAGGAGTGTTACAGGCAAGAGTTTGCCAGAAGTGTTGAGGAGTTGGGAAGTTCTCACGTGGAAACCAGGAAGCGGGAGCGGAAGCTGGCTGACTTCTTGAAAGATCGGGAATTGCAGGGCAAAGCAGCCGGTGGTGGCATGTAGGAAGTTTTGGGAAGTCGTGAGGCCATGGCCTCTCAGCATAAAGTTGACAAGGAGACTGGGAGAATTGTTGAAGGTATGGTTGACGCCGTGTGTGTGCGGGACAACAACCCCCTTTCCCCCCTTTCCTGGTTTAGAGGCGAACGATAGTGCTTCGCCTGTGACCTTGTCTTTACTTGTATCCAAACACGAAATTCAACAATATTATTGCTCTTTCAATACATATCGAGAAATGCCATCGAAGAAATGAAGGTCAGCAGCGCATACCAATCGATAACATGCAATCCTGGCTTCCTTTAAACCCCCCCCCCCCCCCCCCCCCCCCCGCCATGAAATCTTCCTTACAAAAACCCAGACCGTCACATTCTACTTGCACATCCTCATCCGCAAATGATAGCCCTAATCTCAATGCTCGCCCTCTTACTAGTGTTCCTCGAGACCGAAGGGTCAATAAAAGATGTATGCGGCGCAACTACCGCACATCAGTCACCGGCACACACACATACTCAGCCCACAAGAGAGACAAAAAGTCCACTCAGAAATCGAGACTTACACTTGGCCACGCCCTCCAGATTATCATCGATCTTAAACAGCACAATATCATCCTTCGACATGCGCTTTTTGTAGTACCAGCGATGCGCAGGGTTGTACGTCACTTCGAACCCTTCCTCGCTGAAATGTGGGTAGACTATGTCGATTCTGTGCAGGTCCGTTGGGGTTACACTGCGGTAGTCGCAAACGGCAAGGGGGGCGTCAACGTCGGCGTCGGCGATACAGCGCCATACACTGTTTTCATAGTTCAAAATGTAAGCAGCACCTCCAAGTCGATCAGGGACCGGTCCGGTTTTGTACTCCGTAGGGTTGGTTTGCTAGCTGCCTGTAACAATCTTCACTTACTCTATATACCGGTAACGACGGCTTTTCATTGCCACTGCTTCAGTTGGGAATTGGAACTCGAGGCGCTTTGCGCAGGACTCGGGGGTGTTGTCTGTAGGGTTTTGAGCCCGTATTATTATATAAATCAATGATGGGATCGCTTTTTCTCCTTCTTCTTGAGGGAATTTCAGTTGCTTTTTTTGGTTTTTGGTTTTTGGCTTACCGCAGTGGACTCGGAATATGGGACTCCTCCATATGCCATCCCCTGATTTTGTCGTGTCGCTGCTTCGAAGCTTTTGTTGTTGGGGTGTGTTAATGATCATACGGCAAGCATCATAGATGATGGGGATAGGGAAAGTGTGCGCCCGTACATACGTTGTAATTGTAGATGAAGACTTTGTCACATTTGAAGTATTCCTTCAACCATGCTGATATGACTGGGAGATATTGTGATTGTACACTTTCGTCCGTCCATTCTGACACGTCTGTCGGAAGGTGCATGAATCGGAAGCCTGTCTCGTCGAGGTCAAATGCATCTTCTCTGCCTCCAATCTCGCAGACCTCGACAGCGTGGTCGCTTTCAACAAGATTAGTGCGAGCCAGCGTAGTTCCGCAGGGTAGCTGGCTGAAATATGGCTTCTGGGTTTTGTAGAGCTCCAGAGGGGCTAGATACGTGATAGTGGCACCTTGGACCCCGGGTAAATCAAGAGTAACTTGATCATCCGAGAAGTCTGTGGTCGGCGCTTGACGACGACAGATTCAGAAGTTAGACTTGCAGAGTTAATTCAGTGACTGTGGAGAGTGAATATATACCTCTCGTTACCATTGTCGTCGAAGTGAACCGTTTTCGACAGCTGCCTGCTTCAACTTTCATCAGTAGACTCCTGAGCCAGTCGCGCCACGGTTGATCGAAGGGCCGGTCGGGGTCGAATTGCCACGAGAGAACTTCTGGAAACTCAGATCGCATCCAAAAATCGAAGTTGTCTCCTGATCTAGGAGGCCAGAATGCTTTCCACGGTCTCCTAGTGATTTCTGTGGACGAGAAATCCTTCACAGACGAATGCTTCTGCTCTTCGGAATCATAAAACCACCCAAGATCAAGTCCACTTTGGCTTGACATCGTTGCAGCAAGACTCAACGGTAAAGCTACCAAAGGCCGGGTTTGAGAATCTAGGACAAAGCGAATAGTACGCGAATAAAGATTCCACGAACATACCAAACCGTATCTCAGCTTCCGGGGAGACACGACTTTCACCTTCTTTGCAGCAGCTCACCTAGCTTCTGCAGCTGGACGGGCTTGTCTCTTTCACATCTGGTCTAACGTCTCTTAGCCTGGATCCTTTTTGAGCCGCATTCTTCACACGCAGGCTATTCGTCGCGATGCTAGGCACTCGTGGCGTGATAACGTCAAAGATCGAGCTTGATGGTCAGCCTCACTGGCGCCCTGTGCTCTCTAGGCTTATCAGGACGTGTACCAGTTAGACTCGAATTTCTTCACCGGTTTCGAATTGGGCAAATCGGCGCAAGGTGACTCAGCATCCCGTGCATCTCTCAAATGGCATCGTGCAGGAGATTCTAAACCATCCCCCGGCAAGCGGCAGGATATCGACGCTGCACAGCGTCGGAGTTGTTTCGTTTCCTTTCGCTATTGGATCGAGTTGGCATTGCTTCGTGTCGAGGCTCAGCTGCGCAAAGACAGGCATTGCGCTGAGGACGTTATAGCGGGCTTGAAGAAAAGGGGGGAAATGACGAAGTGCGCTATCACTTTTTGAGTGCGATCTGTGGAGGCAAGTTCGGTCTCAATACGCTTAAAATAGGAGGAGAAATAGGTACATTGAGGAGTAGGTACAAAGTGCCTAAATTTAACGGTTCAAGGCTGCGCTTTTGAGTCCAGCTGCGACGAGGATACCAACCGATTCCCAGTTCTGGTCTCATTCGACCATGTACAAGCAGAGTATATGCAGACACCCCCCTAATCCATGGGATGAAGCACGATTTGACTAAGAAAATTCGCTGAGGCTGGAATGACCCGATGGTCTCCGTAGGATGCTGCATAGTGCTGAGGGTGTAAGAGAGACTATCGTAAAACAAGACCCTACCTCGCAGCACAGTGGATTGGCTGCTATAGAAACTGTTGGCCTCCTCGTCAAGAGGATACGGCGAGCTTTTGCCCTCTACACCCTACATCCTAACTATAAAATTTGTAGGAAACTTACCACCCAGTCCCTATTGTGATGACTCCGGAAGATTTTCCCAGAAAGACTACGGATTATAAGGAAGCTGGCAGTTTGGGCGAAAGGGGTGGCTTCTTTGACGAGCCGACCCCGTCGAGGCCCGCTGCAAAATCGTCGGTAGCCGGGAAGGGGACACAAAGGACCTTGAAAAGCTGTCGGGCGTAGATAGGATGGAGGATGGCCAGCCTTGACTGTTTGGATGAGCGGCACAGGCAATACCAGTTATCACCTTGATCGAATCGCGGAGACTTTGGAGTTCAACCTTCGACTTGTGTTGGGCAGACTCGGTGCTTGAGTTAAGTGTGTTTGGCTGGAAAGGAGAGCAGACACACCTTGTATTTCATAGATGCCAGTACAACTAAATTTCATGGAGATTTCTGCATTCGCTACTTATTCCAGTGGGAGATGATAAAGAACAGCAGAGCATTTGCGACGGACGAAGCGACTGATGTGGTGGGTTCTCCGGAATGGTTCTGCTGAACGATGTGGGCGACCTGAGGCAAGCATTATACTCTTGATCCAGGAATCATGTTCGAGGAACATGGTGTCTCATATAGTCACTTTGAATGGTTTGGGCTGGGAGCTCCACTCCGCGAGGTGGTGCGCAGTAAGAACAATGAGCCCGTCAAGCTTCTACCGGCCAACGGGGCCAATCGGTCCGTTCAAGTCTCGAAAGGGAGGCTCTGCGACGCCATATCCAGTAAGAAAATAAATCACTTATCTAGGTCCACTCAAGACGAGACACCCGACTCTAGCATTCATTCACTGCATGAGTCATCTCATTCCTAATTCCCTTGCAATGGCATCCCCTGTTTGTCCCTCGTTAACCTCGAGCAAGTACTTGTCAAACAGGCTCGTCTTGTCCACCACACTCTCCAATATTTCAAAGTCCAGGACCTGGTTCCGGTAGATTGCGAGCTGTCGCCCGATCGTGATGATGTTCCTGATCTCTCGGCCATTCAGAACATGGTCTGCCAGGTCCTCCACATGACGCATCAGATTCTCCAAGTTGACCTTCGACTCTTCCAGATCCTTGAGACGGCGGAAGAAGTTGCGCCAGACCTGTCGCCGCTGATCGTGAGTCAGCGGCTTGTAATGCAGCGCGAGCATAATCCGTGAGCGGAACGCCTCATCAAACCGGCCGACGCGGTTGGACGTCAGAATCAAGATGCCGTTGAAGTACTCAAGGACCCGAAGGAAAGTGGAAACGAGTGCGTTGCGCTGCACGTCGTATAGGGAACGTTCTTCGAGGAAGATGTCGGCCTCGTCGAGCAAGACAACGCAGTTCCAGATGTTGCCGAGATGCAGTACGTTCTCCAGATACGTCTCGATTTCCTTGGGTGTTGTGCCAATGTCGCCGCACGTCACGCGGTAGAGCGGCTTGTGTGCGATTTCAGCGACGCTCTCGGCCGTGAACGTCTTTCCGGTACCTGGTCCGCCGTGTAAGAGCATGGTCAGACCATTACCTTTACCCCCGATCAGGTCGGTGCCTTTTTCCGCGGCCACCAGATTGGTGACAAGGGCTCTGATGAGCTCTTTAATGCCAGTGTCAATCACTAGGCTATCAAAGGCTGTCTCGTTCCACTTGATTTCGGTGATGCGATTGACTTCTAAATCCACTGTGATTTGTGAGCAGACAGTCTTCAATATGGTCATGTAGAGGTGGTAGGATAAAAAAAAATCCCTTACCCCAAGACTTCGTCCGGAGGTTATAGCCCTTGATTTCGTTCGGCAGAAGGAGCAGAAAAGGCTGCTTTGGGGGCTCTTCGGCATTTGCCAAGGCTGGGTCGAGCTCCGAATCGGCGTTGGACGAGATAGGTTTCGCGTAATCTTTGTGATGGAGCCTCAGGTACGTCTTGAAGTCGATCATGTAACGGTCACTCATCTAGGAATAGAACCGTGCTGGTTAGACAAGATCCCGGAGATCGAAAGAAGATGCACTTACGAGGGTCGCCGGGTCGGTCTCCTCGGAAGAGACGTACGACACATATTGCTGTGTGCGGCATCTCCAAAAGACCTCACCTCGTTTCTTGAGCAACGCTTGAATATCATCTTCCGCGAATTCTAGCGGGTACACATTGAGCTCACTGATCGGAAAGGATTGGTTCCCTTTCCCTGGCTCCACAACTGACAAAGTCCGGTCCTTCTTGATGAATACCCCGAGATAACTGAAGCAATACGCCTCAAGGTTCCATACTCCAAATGATTTCCTGAAGTCCTCGGCCTTCAAGTCTTTCTCATCAAAGAATTTGGAGAGGTCGACACCGCTCTCGCGACAAATATGCTTAAAGTCATGGCTATCGATCGAGCGGCTTGTTGGCCACGTTGTGGACAGAAAGCCGAGCTGCACTTTGCCTTGTCGAAGGACCACGTGGTCCTGGGGTTTGAAGAGGTACTGAATGTAGCCCTTCGAAATCTGCTTCTGAGAGATGAGGTAGTCTGCCCGCTCGTATTCGAGCTTCTGTGCTTCAAGAATATAACGGACGAGTGGTTGCCATTCTCTGGAATCCCTGGGCTCGAGTTTTGCGGCGCAATCGTCCAGTGCATTACGACTGTGGTAGATAAACAGGTACGGGGCTTTGAGTTCAACCATTTCTTCGCCTTTGAGGACCGACACCGGATAAGGTAACAGCTTGTACATTTTCCGACAGACGCTTTTGAGGCGATCGGAAACAATGTATATCGATTCGCTTGATGGAGTGGGCAAGTCATCTTCATTGTCGGTACCATGGCCAACTCTGTACGTCCTCTGTACCAGGAAAGATACTTCAGGATGCCTCTGGGCAAAATTCTCCACGTTGGAAACAGGTAGAGAGCCTTGGAGAGCCTTCTTATCAAGTTCACCGTAAACCCATCTTGGATGGTCAAGCCAACAGTCGAATTTCTCTGTCTCTGCACGAGGTACGCGATGAATGATCCGATATTTCTCTTTGGATGTCGAGTAATTAGTGCCTTTCAGCTCGGCTAGCTCGGCCCTACACTTCTCTAACTCGTCAAGGACGCACGCGTCAATCGTAACCTTTGCGGGTTGCGTAACACCGACACCATTAGGTAGATGGCTGATCTCATGAGCTGATGCCTCCGCAGTCCTGGTATTGTCGCTATCGGAAATAGTGGGCCTGTCAAGCCGTTCCTTGTCCTCTTCTTCGACGGGCATCTCTGCATACGGTACAGTGGGTGATGTGTTACCGACACCCCAGGTAAGTTCCCGGGTAGGAACAACAGTTTCGGTTATTTTGGGAGAGTTTGCAGCAGAGCTCTCTGAGGCCACTTCAGGAAGCTTCAAGGTGTAGTTTCGTTTCGAAGTGCAATGAGATTACCCCAAATACCAAGATTCAATCTCTTCCCTAGTATCCTTCGAGCGATCTGCGGAGATGGTGTGCCAGGGAATTATTTCTTCCTTGGAGCTGAAAAACACGAAGTCGTCTTCGTCGCGGTACAACTGATTCATCGGCGTGCCGTACGCTGCAGCATTCTATTACTCTTGTCCGGAGTTTCCTGCTTCTAACATGTTCAGGCGGAGGAATGACATTTAGTCACACGACAACGCCCAAGGGTGAGACCTGGAGGAGGGCTGGGGGACTGAGACCCGGCAAATTCAGGATATCAAAGGCGGCATTGTTGGTCGAGCGGCCGCGGGCAAGTAGCTGAGATGGGGATGGGCGTACCATTTCTCCATCATGGAATGAGGCTGTAAAATCCAAGTCAGCCCAACCTAACCTCGATAGGTGCCTCCAGTCTAGGCACTGTCCCCGACGATTGGTGAACATGGATAATGGCTACGTGGCAGCTGTTCTGAGTTAGCCTAAGGCTGAATTGCAACCTGTTGGTATTAGTTACGGCCAACCAGGCAAAGCTTCGGACCGCGAGCTGCATGGCCGGCTCACTGCCACCAGCAAACAGCAGTATGTGGCCCAGCCATTGTGCATAAAGCTTCGTTCGTTACCTTGGAGAACCGTTATTTGACCCATGCCGCTGTGCGAGGCAGAAATATAAATCAATGCATGAGCACATTCCGGCGCGCAGAGTGGCGCTACCAGAAAGCCTGCAACCCCTCTAGCATTTCAGCCCAAGTGCAAGCCTTTGATGGATTGGAAAAGTTACTACCTCCCCGATGGCAAGGACGAGGGGGTTGCAACAAGGTAATGGAGAAGTGGAGTCGGCGCGGAAAAACAAAACATCGCTGACACTGTGTCAAGCGACCTCCAGCCCGACCCAGCAGAGGAAGCCTTTGAGAATGCTACAGCTATTCTCTCTTCAATCCCTTCCACCATCGACGGCAACGTGGACATCCTCAAAGGACACCACACTATCCAAGATATATTTTTCTTGGTTCTCCAGGCGCAGAATGCCTACGACAATAGCCGTTCGCGGGGGAAGGCGTGGCAGTGGCTTTCTGCGCTCTCGAGCCGACTCCATTATTACGCTCCGGTCATGGACGCATTGTCACAATTCCACTCTGGATACGCTTCGCTCGCCTGGGGTACCGTCAAATTTCTCCTCATGGTACGTGCTGCTTGTTTTTCGCGGCCGACCGAGAATTGAAGCTCCTTTAGGTGTCACGCAACCATGAAGAGCAAATTGCTACATTCTCATACGGTCTGTCCCGCATTGCGGACCATCTCCCCCGCCACGGACTTATCCTGAAGTTGTACCCTACCCATCAGATCAAGAGAGGAGTCTCCTTTCTGTACGCCAAAATCATAGAGTTCCTGATGAGCGCGCTAGTGTGGTACCAGGAAGGCCGGCTGAAGCGCATCTACCACGCCGTGACACAACCCGTCGACGTCCGTTACAAAGGCTTGTTCGATGAAATCAACGAATGCTCCCGCTGCGTGGACCGGTGGGCAGTGGTTGCTTCGCAGGCAGAGCTCCGTGATGTCCACAACACTCAGTCGGATATCTTGACCATTTCTGAGAGACATTACGATCTGACGCAGCGCAACACATCCCAGCTCGACGACATCAGGGCCGATATCCATCAAATCCTGCTCACTGTTATGCCTCCGGTGGCAGAAGCTGAGAGCCGGCGTGGCCTGCACTCAGCCGCGCTACTCAATACTAAACAAGTCGTGACAACCACGCAATTGGTTCAGATGATAGGACAAGTCTCAGGAGGCCCGCTGAAGGACCCTTTGCAAGTATTGCACCAAGCGTCTCTTCTGTATGTACGGCGCCAGGCCGTCCGTGGCGCTTCTCTGCTGCCCGAAGCTTTCTGGTCCTCACCCCAGCTTCAGACATGGGCTTCTGCTCCTTCTTCCTCGGTCGTCTTCTGCCATAGCTCCGTTGCATCCCGTTTCAAGCTGAAAGACTTCAGCGTGAATTTGGTTCAAACACTGACGCGATTGGACAAACCAACTTTATGGATCTTCGCCCATAGGAATCCCACTGACGGGACGCGTCCCATCCATAACATGTACAGTCTCATTTTGCAGGCGATCAAGCTATGCGAAAGATTTGGGAAGACTGAGACATGGCTTAGAGCAATGAGCCGCATCACTACCGAAACCAGCCAAGACGAGTGCGTGGATATCCTCTTTGAAATCTTGTCTAAGCTACCGCCCGTTTACATCGTCTTCGAGATCAACAGCATAGATGCTGCTTCTTGCGGTCCAGATCCCTGGTGGCCTTGTCTCGTCTCGTCCTTCCTTCGGCAGTTGCCGAAGGTTAAGGCAGTGAAGGTCCTTTTCTCCAGCTATGGGCGGACATCGCCTACTTGCCAACTGAAAGGTCATGATATTGTTTCGGATGGATGTTTAATACAAGTTGATTGTAAGAAACGAGGCCGACTTCCACCCCGTCGACAAGACCAAGTAGTATTGTCGCCCCGCAAGGCTATGCGTGCGGAATCCGGGTGTTCTTCTCGTTTTAAGGCAAGTCGGACAGTAGCATAGCCTCTATGTCACTCTCAACGTCTGCGAAGATTCTATTCCTGTTCTACATTAGCCCCTCTGAGAGACTTTAACCGCGGTTTCCAGAGCTGCTCCGTGACAGTATGTGGACGGCGAACATTCCCCAGGATTTCAGCGCGGACAGGAGACACTATCACCTCAAGGAAGTCAGTTGGTTTACAGGGACAAAGCGCATACCACGTAACAATGGCATCGGCGCAGGCTCATTCTCCCTGCACCCCCTGCCATGTGCTCAGTCAGGTAGATATATTGGAGAAAGCTCCTCCAATAAGTCGAAATCGGAATGACGGCCTACCTGGTGCAGACAACGCTTTGATATCGAATTTACTATACGGCGAATCGCTACCGATTCTGGAGCAAATCCTTCGCGGTGCATTCAGATCGCTGAAGACGTGGTCTCGGGTGGAGTATGTTTGAGTTGCGCAGGACGCCATTTTGCTCGTGCTCGTTGTTCAACAAAATTAGACTTCCAAGATACATTGGTGCGAACAATCTGCAAAGTCATGGTTGGTTACCAATTTAATCGCAGAAACGTCAGGAAAATCTCTTCGCCCCGTGAGTCACTTGCGAGAAGATAAATACCTCGACTTCTTCTCTCCCGTCCGTCCTACCTCTCCTTATCTTTTTCTCTACGTATAGCTGGCTCTACAAGATAGCAGCATAGCCGTACAGTACAACAGGGTGACACACAAGAAAAGGGTGATGATGACTTCTCTCTGAAACCTCGCTAGGGATGCGATGCACCTGAGTTGCGTAAACCAGCTGCACCCGTCCATCCTGCGCAGAGACAACCCCATCTGACTTTGGCATTCCATGATTCAGTCCCTGATCGCCTCCTTGCCGGTAAATGACAAGACGGGAGACCACTGCTATTGTTCTCGACAAGGAACCCGAAGCAGAGAGTATTCCTGCTCGACTATTTCAGTCTTCGTCCAAAGTGGCGAGGCTGGCACCCGAGGTGTCTTGGGTGCCTCGTAGCCCTGCCAGCCTTATCACAGCCCCTCGATGGGCCCGGAATAAGACCACACGTCGATAGACGCAGCTTAATGCACGTTTTACCCTTGTCGGTCCACTGTGAAGTCTGAGGAAGAGAAGATCCCGCACCACCGCAGCAATCTGATCAAACTTGGTGGGGTCTTCTTCACGCTGGGCCGTCGATCCGCCGGAGGATGACCGGCAATTCATCCTGCAGGTAAGACTCCCAGATCCCCTTCTCGCGGGCCTCCCAGCCCAGTTTCCTCAGACGAACCGCTCGGGCACGACAGTTCAGACCCATATAGCTCTCGGTCTTGTGCGCGCAAAGCTCAGGGTACAAGTCCTGGGGCGGAATCCGGGGCGTGGGGTCCTGGATTTTGCCCGCCTTGTACAGAGCCTGGCCGATGGTCTCTGCGGCTTCCTTCCACGTGAACTCTTCTCCGTTTTCGCACAGCCAGTAAGGATTTGCGAGCACGTCGCCCTGGCCGGCGTCTTCCAGGAAATGCATCACTTCGACGTATCCCCTCGCGAGGTCCATGACGTGCACCTGCGTCTCGAGCGAGAGGCCTTCCCCAATGATGGGCGCATAGCCATGCTTGATGGCGAAGCGCGTGAGGTTCGGAATCATCATCGACAGTCTGTCGTGTTTCGCGTCGTACCCGTACACTTCTGGCGGCAAGACGACAGCGAGCTTGAGGTGGGCCCTCAGCTCAGCTTCTCCTTCTTGTGCACGCACCAGGGCCAGGTCGACGTCGCGGTGGGGAGCCGTGTCCGCCACGCTGTCCATTTCCTCTCGCCTGTCGTCGTGGTAGACCTTGTCGGTTGCGAACATGCCTTTTGCGCCGTCGTCAAACACTTTTGCCCCGCTCGTGTGCACGTAGATTGTGTTCTTGCCTTGTCGGGCACGCTCCCTGATCCCCTTCAATATGGCCCCTTCGAGCGGCAGGTTGTCGCCGGTAGCTACCTGGAAGACTATGTCGCTGGTGGAGCACTGCTGTCCGATGAGGTCGAAGCTGTCCAGTTGACCCGTCACTGGCGTCGCTCCTGACCGCTTGAGTGCTTCGGCATGTTGCTCTCGTCGGGTCAGCGCGGTGACCTTGTACCCCTGGTCGATGAGGATCTCGAGGATGTTGTGGCCGATGAAGCCTGGTCCGATGATGAACACGTCTCCCTTGGCGCCCATGCTGCTGAGAGGGTGGCAGACGCACGAGTTCGACTGCTTCACAAGACTCGTGCTTGACGACTGCAGACGGATTGAAAGTAGTATTATGGGAACTGGAAAAATGAAGCCAGGATAGTTAGGGGTCAACTTCTCTGTTAAACGAGCTATGCTGTTCATGAGCCATGAAACCACAAAATATAGTACTCACGGTCTTCTTTACTTTTTTTTATGACGGCCATCTCCGGGATCAAAAGGCGTCATCTACTAGACGTAGTTTCACCAAGTGCATGTTTTCTGTATAAACCGAGGAGACTTGGTGACTGACTGCGGTGTTCAACTTGACACATCCTCGAACCTCTGCCTCTTGGACCAAAGAGGACGTCTGTCCATCGTAGCTAGCCATTGGGAGTGCTCGGTGTTGGCATGCTTACCTACATCACCTAACTTAGCCCTGCATACTCATCTTGACGAAGCCTTGCCACAGGACTATTATACGCTACCTAAGTCACGTTGTGTCTGACGGTAATTCTCCAAGTGTCTCCCACGGTTCGGCGTCTGTCAGACAAATGTGCATCGGCTTCCATGGCGGCGGGGTACGTCATCTGCCCTGCCCCAGTCCGGTCCATTCACTCGTGTCGAAACTGTGCAGCCTACACGAGGTGCGAAAAAGACCACCTAGAAGCACCGAACTTTCCCTCGATCCAACTCAAGATTCGGATTTTCCGTTTCATTCATGCCCATTACCCAATACTCCCAGATCCGACCTGGTCTCGCAGTCTCGATAGTCCTGAAAGCAGATCAAAAGACCGGCCGTCAAGTCCAAGGCACCGTGTCGCAACTCCTCACCAGTCACAACCACCCTCGGGGGATCAAGGTGAAACTCACAGACGGTAGAGTGGGCCGTGTCCAGCAGATCCTCCCCCTCCCTTCCTCCTCCGAACCTCAGACGCAGGCTCGGTCCCAGACTCGGTCTCGTCAGACCGACACGAACACGGCCGGCACCAGCGCCGGCACCGGTGGCAGAATGACCTCGAGCAACAACAATCCATGGCAAGACGTACCCAGCCAGGGGAACCCATTTACGGTGCAAAACTCCTCCTCTCGCTCCCAATCCCAGCAGGGCGCGGCGCAGTCGTACTACAATAACCAGTCCACTGATCCCGCCCATCAGCCCCAGTACCCTGCGCGGCCGAACCAGGCGTGGCCACAGCAACAGCAACAGCAGGGGTACGGCGCGCAGCAGCCTGGCACCGGCCAATCTCAGGGCGGCGGCGGCGGCGACGATCAGTTCTTTGCGGCGCAGGGTGACAGAGCTGCGCAGATCGAGCACCTGCAGCAGTACGAGGCGAGTGCGCCGCAGAGCCAGGCGGATCTAGATCAGGCGCAGCTGCAGAAGGAGTTTCCAAACATTGACGGGAGTCTCATTGCGGCCATATACAACGAAAGACCGGGAAACCTGGGCGAAGTACGCGAGCTGTTGCAGGAGCTTAATTCGTGAAAATTGACTGTGAAATTACATACCACCCCATCACGCGAAGGTGTGCGTGAGAAAAGAGGACTTCATATCCGTTAAAGCTGACGAAGTGATGAAAGTAAAATTCGATATGACTTGAGGTATTATACTTGTCGGCCTGAGCACCGTCCTCGTATGGGATCGGACTGGTTGGTCCATGCTATGTCAATTCTCGTCTCTTGCAAAGTGAACTTCGATGAAAATCTTCAAAGAGGCATAGGTTTTTTCGCCAATCCTTGAACAAGATCTCCAAGAAGATCTCTCTTCCTTTTTCGCCTTCTCTCGGCCTCGTCGACCGCTCCGTCGACATCGTCACTAACATTGCCAGCAGCAGTCCATATGGCTGGCTTCTTAGACCCAGCTCCCACGTCAACATCAACTTCTTCATCGTCGGCGTCTTTCGCAATAGGTTGCCACGCACAGATCCGTCCGTCGCCGTGTGCGGTGTACATCTCTATCCCTTCGCCTAGCGGTGCTCCGACGCGCCACACCATGCTGTTGATCCGCCCTCCACTCGTCAATCTAGACACATTGCTTGACCCAACACCTCGTCCTCCTCCCCCGGCACCGGTCCTGTTACGCTTGTTGGAAGCTTGCACTTCGGCGATCTTCACGCCCTCGGTGCGCAAGATTCTAAGCATGTTGCCCTCTCGCAGATGGTGCTGGAAGATCATACCACGGCCGTCGTCGTTCGGCCAAAACAGGCTCTCGCGTCCAGGCAGACACGTGCCCGGCGGCGAGATCAAGGCCTTCAGCTCACCTTGCCGCTCGTTGCGTATTCTCGGGCCAAAATGTACCAGGTCGTTTCTACCGCTTGCTGCGTCCCAGACACGTATTCTTTGGTCGTGACCGGCCGTGACCAGCTTGTCGCCGCTCGGCGTCCACTGAATACTTGTCACTGGGCCATTGTGGGCCACAGCATTGAAGTCAATATGGAGATTACTCGGACGTGCACCTAGACCGGTAGATGGAATCTCGCCTATGACGCCAACTGCATCGTCGAGGTCCAGCGAGGCGAATGATGCGTTGGCGCGGCGAATGTCAAAAAACAAAACTTTGCCGTCGGTGCTGCCGGAGCAGAGAACGTGCGAGGCCCGTGGTGACCAGCATAAGGAATAGATTGCGCCGTTGGGTCCAGATAGAGAGTGCGTGCTCAGGCCAGAGCGAAGGTCAAGGAGACGGATGGCTGGGTGTGCAGTGCCCACGGCTATCAATGGTGATGAATCGGGGAGGGGTGAAAGTGCGTGCGTGTAGGGTATAAAGTCTAGGTCAAAGGTGTGGACTGGAGTTAGGCTGTTGGGCGTGATGGTGGTGAGTTTGAGCGTCTTGTCGTAACTTGTGCTTACAAGGGTGGTCGGCGTAGGATCAAAAGGGTAGATAGAGAGAGAGGTGAGTGAGTGTGTATGTGATGAGGACGCACCACGAAGGAGAGTGGCCAGTGGGGTATATGTGGATGAGGACCCTTGAGCCTCCTCGAGGTCCCAGAGACGGATTGCGGAGTCGGCACCGCCAGAAATCAAATAGCGACCTTCATTTTGGTCAATCGTCAAACAATTGACGCCTGCTTGATGAGCAATTGGCGCATCTGTGCTGGAGGTCGCCTCGGACTTGGTGTAAGAGAAGTTGATGTTCTTGCTGTGGGCAAGACTGTTGAGTAGGATGGAATTATGGTCTCGGCAGAAGGATGCTGTGGACAGCGCGCCAAGGCGCTGAGCCAGGCGGTGTTGATTCATGCATCAGTTCTACTCTGACTCTTGCTCTCCTGAGCGATTGTTTTGTTCAAGAGAACTGAATGTGGTGAAGTGTTCTGTGAGGATTCAGTAGGCAGAATCGCCTTGAGCCGGTGATGGACGGACATGACGTCTGATTAGCGGTTCAACCATTTATGGTTCGCCGTACCAAGTACGGTCGATCATGACACCCCATGTACGCCGACCGCAGGGACATGTCTGCGCTTTGTCGGTTTGCTCAATGCCGCATGCAATCATCCAGCGAACAATCGGCATTCGGTCATTTTCTGAGAAATGGTGTTGGAGTTGCATGTATGGGGTCCAGCATTTGATCTGCCGTCTATTGATGGCCAGTGTTTGGCCACAATCTACTATCTGCGAAAAGCCCTCGGAGTGCCTGGAAAAGAATGGGTTCTGGTGCGGTCAGGCGAGCCTAGAGTGAGCCCTTTCAGGGAACTACCGGCTCTCAAGGACGAAGAGACATGGGTGGCGGGTTTCGGCAACATAGTATCATACCTCAGGGACGTTTCAGATGGACAGTGGGATCTTGACAGACGGCTGAGCGATACTCAACGAGCAGACTGTGCAGCATTTTCCTCGTTCGTCGAATCCCGTGGGCAACCTCTCCTCGATCTAAGTCTCTACGTGAGCAGCGACAATTACTTTAGCACCACAAGACCAGCTCTTGCACAGATACTGCCATGGCCCAACAGCTGGGTACTGCCGCACCACCTGCGAGAACGGGCGAAGAAGCGCACCGAGCATCTCGGGCTAAGCAGCCTTGATTTGGACAATGCGCAAGAAGATCAGAAGGACGACGTAGGGCTGAGTGCACATATTCCCAAGTCTTTGCGGAAACCGAAACAGACAGTTACGTCGCTGCTAGGACGTAGTATGCAAAAGAACAAGTTTCGACTCGATGCGATCACGGCAGAATTTCTCGAACCCATCGCCTCCATGCTCGGTGGTGGAAAGTTCCTCCTCGCTTGCCAGGAGAGCAGCCTCGATTGTCTGGTATTGGGATACTTGGCTTTGATGCAACGACCTCAAATGCCCCATGCTTGGATCAGAGACTCTCTACGAAGCAGATATGCAAGTTTGGGACGATGGGCAGAAGACCTTACTCTTCAGGTGTTTGCAGAGTCCACCGTGAAAATCACGTTGGTGTCACAAAGCCACACCGACAGAAGTATCATTCAGGTGCTGCAGTCGGCCGTCGAGGTATGCATTGGGTCAATGCCGGTAATTGGAGCTGGGTATACGGTGTCCGAGATCAGCCCTGGAGATGAACAAGGCCTTGCGAGATACAAAAGGAAGCAAGCGCGATTGGCGAGACTTCAGCGCAGGCGAGATCTCTATTTACAGACCCTCGCTTCGGCCATTGCAGCAACAGGTCTGGTGGGATGGCTTTGGTACAAGGGTGTAAGGCTTCTTCCGAGCAGGGCTGCGAAAGGACGCACTTTTGGGCAGGCTGGGTCTTTGTTCGGATTGAATTGAGCCGAACACTCCTGCTGTACATAGAGAAAGATAGTGTTTTTTGAGTTCATATATATTGTTTCATCTCACCGACTGATTGGATGCAACAGGCAGGGTTTCGGTATGTGGAGAAGTCCAAAAGTGAGGACCTTAAAAAACCCCTGCCACCCATTATCGCAGAGCCTGCTTGGTGATAGATGCTTCGGCGGTGCGTTTGTGTGTGTGTGAATGATGTGAGTATGGTGTTCAGGGCATGGCTCTGTTAACTGACTGCCTTGGAGTTCACACCTGTGTCCATGATAGAAAGTCGTCTGTTGCTGCGCTCTTCCTCAATCCTCTCTTCCGTCTTGACAGCACCTTGAGCCTCATTCCGGCGTCTTTTCTCCGAATCTTCAGCTAATCAGATCGACCGGGTACCTGACAGGGCCGCCAGCCAGCCAATCACAGCCCCCAGATTAGCGGGATTCCGCCGGATACTCGGCCTCTGATTGGCTCCGCCCGCCATGACGATAGAGGCAGTTTAAGGTCCTCATTCTGAATTCTCGCCGATTGCAGCGTCAACCGCGACCTCCTTCCTCCGCCTGAAGCGTGGGGGGAGGCCGGTTCTCCTGCTGGCACGCTGCCCTTCTTTGCTCGGGTCCTACACCGCCATCCATCTGTTTCGCGCATAGACGACAATCTATTGAAGTTATATCTGCATGGTTGTGAAGAACCACATCCCCCGTGCTGACCTGAACCATTACCGAATCCCAAGCCATCCGGAATCATTCAGTCGATCTATCTCGATACTCTCCAGCGGAGACATGTTGACCTAAGGAACCACTGCCAAGTAGCCAAGTGAGTCGAAGGTTTTCATCCGGAGAATAATGGGCACCTGGACTGACATATATCTACTAGCCGTGTGCTGCACTTGAGTCCCCGAGATCCAGCTCTCGCACCGACACGTAACCTTCCCGGAACTATCCTCTTCCGAGACACACGCTCCTATCCCTCCCAGAGCCATGGCTTCTTTGGGATCCTTTGCCTCCCTCGTTACGCGGCAAGAGGAGGCGGATACCACCCCAACCTGTGACACCGGCAACGAGTATGATGGTCGAATGGGCCTGCGGGTGGCCGCGTTGTTCATCATCTGGGTCACCTCTACCATTGGCGCATCTTTCCCCATTTTCGCAAACAGACACAAGGGCTTGAAAGTACCCGATTGGGTCTTCTTCATCTGCAAATACTTTGGTTCCGGGGTCATTGTCGCAACCGCCTTTATACATTTACTTGCGCCGGCAGAAGATGCGCTCAGGAATGAATGCCTTACCGGGCCCATCACAGATTACACCTGGGTCGAGGGTATTATTCTCATGACAATATTTGTGCTCTTCTTCGTCGAGTTGATGGTCATGAGATATGGAAATTTCGGGCAACCACATAGCCACGGCCATGCACATGGCCATTCGGATACCGACACCGAGTTGACCGCCGCAACTCAAGAAAACTACAAGGATAACCCTAGTGCCGAGTCTGCGCCTGCACGAACTCTCAGCGCCACGTTGGGTGAGGACCATCTCGGCCATACAAGAGAGCACAACGACATCGAAGAAGCAAACAACCCGCTCAGCCTCGAAGACTACAAGACGCAAATGACGGCCATTTTCATTCTCGAGTTCGGCATTATATTCCACAGCGTGTTCATAGGGTTGACTCTGGCTGTTGCTGGTTCCGAATTCGATACTTTGTTTATCGTCATCATCTTCCACCAGATGTTCGAAGGTCTGGGTCTCGGGTCTAGACTTGCAGTCACACCTTGGCCTAAAGACCGCAAATGGACGCCCTATCTACTCGCTGTTGGGTACGGTCTGAGTACCCCCCTGGCCCTCGGCATTGGACTCGGAGTCCGGAAGACGTATCCTCCAGAGTCCGCGACCACGCTCATTGTCAATGGTGTTTTCGATTCGATATCCGCCGGTATTCTCATTTATACTGGTCTCGTGGAGTTGATGGCACATGAGTTTGTACGTTTCTCATTCTCGCAATGCTTTGCGACTGACCATTCGGCCGTAACTGACACTTTTACACTACAGATGTTTTCGCCTTCGATGCGTAAAGCGAGCATTAAAACGGTTTTGTCTGCGTTTTTCACCATGTGTTTGGGCGCCGGCCTTATGGCGTTACTTGGCAAATGGTGTGTCTCTTTGTTGCTGTTGATTGATGGTTCGTTAATTCTAACACTTTTCCAGGGCTTAGATTCGCTGGGTCGGTGGATTCAGTCGACATGTTATAATACGATTAAGACTTCTGAAAGTCAAATCAATGTAATGAATGACGATGATACAGAAGCACGATAGAGGAATGAAGACAGCCTAGGAATCCCGTATTCAAATCCTAATCTTCTTCACAACTACGACTATCTTGTCTTTGTTCAACATTTTGCCTCGTTGCTTCTTCGATTGATATCGTGCTTTCAGGGAGGTCCTTGGGGCTGAACATGGGAGTTTTCGGGAAGGTTTGAAGGATGATTTGCGAAATATGATGGACCATAGTCGATTGAGATTGGCTTTTGGGGGGAGGGTTATTGTTTTTGCAAACTGATTGAAAAGGATAAGTTGAATGAGTGAATACATAGGTATGTATATATGCGCATATATATGTACAAGTATACGTTTTTTGGGGGTGGTGTCTTTTGCTCCTGTTCGCAAATACGTTCCTCCATGATTTCGTCGAGAAACTTTTTAATCTGCCTTCTGCATGCGTCGTGCTGGATGGATGGCCGTACACTTGGGACCATGTGTGATACATTGGTGGTTATATGTGTACCTTTACGTACGTCTGGAGTTTCCATACGCGATATCGTTTTGTTTTTGCTTGTTTTGTGCTGTCGGTGGGTGTCTTGTGTCGTTGCCTCGACTCGTCGGGTTGATCAACAGATGATATACTACCGACCTACCTACCTACCTACCTACCTACCTACCTGTAGGTAGCTACCCATCTGGGCCAGGTAGGAAGCGTTGTTCAAACTACGGGATCTCGAACGGAGAACCCGATCGCGACCACCACCACCACCACCACCACCACCACCAAAAGCTGCATGGAACGGTACAGGTGCATAGTACCCGCATAACAGATATCCTAGGCAGTGATTGGGAGAGGGTGCCCCCGTCAGCCTTCAAACGACATCATATCATAAAAACATAACCTCGTCATGTAAATCCTCTTTCCCGATCGAGGATTCCGAATAATCTGCTATTATCGACGTGGCAGTTTTGAAGATCCTGTTGTGCACAGTGCTTCGAGCAGTCTGAGGCGAGAGAAGGTTTCGTACCCGCGTCCGTATCCTTGGGATATAATAAAGTCTTGTTCCCGTTCACATTTCTCCCAGTCCCAGTCGCGTTACCGTTCGACACACCACCATCACCACCACCACCAGTAGCCGGTTGGCATCCGAGTTCAGACAGAATCTCCGAGGCAATGCATTCGTCGGTCGAGGGGAGGCCGCGCATGCTCGCTATGATCATCGCCGCCTGGGCGCATGACGTGCTGTTTGACCATGAAGCACCCGCGTTGGCGTTGTGATCATGACCACCGCGACCATGGCTCGGATTCGGCGTCGTCGTCGTCGAGGCGGTCTGGCTGAAAGATGCATATGACGCGGCCTTAAATTCATGTCTATGAGGTGTCGCTGCGCCGGACGGCAGGTGCTGCTGCTCGTCGTCGTCGTCCTCGTTCATGTCCATGTCGACCGTGCCGTCGTCGGAGATTGGCGGCGAGGCAGATCGGCTTCCGCTTCTTCCGACGCCGACTGGACCAAGGAAACTCGAAGTCTCGTCGTGTGGTGTTGTCATTGACGATATCGACGAGTGGTGGCCGAGGAAACGAGGGTACGTCCCGTATGACGAGGCGGAAGCCAAAATCTCAGCACTCGTGAGATCACGTTCGGGTTTCACGGCAGTCGACGTCGTGGTTGTCGTCGTCATCGCCGCCGCTTCATATATTTGCGGGGGCGACGGATATTGCTGTTCGGTTTCCTTGCTGGCCATGCTTGTCTGGCCGTAGGAATATGGCAAGCTGCTCCGGTGCGTGCCCGCCGCCGCCGCAAGGGATCCGGCGGCCAGAAGCGCCTCGAGCTCGGCATTTCTGGTTCGCAGGGCGTGGATCTGTTCCCGCAGCAACCGATTCTCGTCGGCAACCCGTCTGGCGGCTCGTTGGACTTCTTCGGTTGCTTTGACGCCGTGGGCCTCAAAATCCCGCACCTTGCGCTCCAGGTCGCTGACGTACGTCTTCCGCCTCGCTCTGGAAGCACGCTGGTTCAGTGTGTTCCGATTTGGGGCTGAAGACGATAGAGAAGACATGGTCATGCACTCCGTTACTGGCTGGTTCGGGACGAAAGCTAGATGTGGTGGTTGATCTTTTGTGCTTGAATGACACCGAATGTTGTGTGATTGTTAATCAGCCGTGGGGTGGGGGGTGGTGCGCGAGATCTTCTGGTTCGCTCTAGATTCCGTGCTGCGGCGCTGAACTGCTCCTAGTGGACAGTGAGAGTGGTCAGACTCCTGCGCATACAATGGATCCAACAAGGAAATCGATATGTCAAGGGACCGAGGAACAACAAGTGGTCAATAATGTTGCTTGTGTCGTTCGCGAGAGAAAATGTTTTCAGCACGAAAAATGGACTGACATCTCGCTCTCTCGTGATTGGCCAACAAACATGAGGCTGCAGCTTTCGGGTCTTGGCCGAGGCGAGACCGGGTTTGGGTGGAGATGCCAGGAATCCGACGACAACGCACTGTCCATGACGAGAGGGAAATGTCACGGTCTGGGAGCTATGGTGCAGGGCTCTACTCCTACGTCAACCAGTACTAGATGCAGCTGGAGCGTTGAGGGTTTGTATGTGTACGGTGTAGAGATCCCCATACTGGGCGAATACTCGGAGGGGGCAACCGAAGGTCTCTCCGCCATGTATGCTGCACCGTACAGCTACGGTCATCCAAATGTTCCTTTTGCGTCGACTCCTTGACAACTTCGAGGGCCTTTTCGAATTGATGTTTCGCACTTAACATCCGTCAACCGAGTGCATAGCGTTTCCATATTGGTGCTGCCTCACTGTATCCTTGTTCGGTCATGGTCGCTCTTCGTGCCGTTCAGCGAACCTTTGTCAGTGGTGTATCAGCGTTATGGTCATCTGGTGACCTGACCATAAGCCAATCGTCAGCCTGCCGTGACACCCTCTGGTCTTGATAAAGGTTGGTGTCGATCTGTCGTTGTTTTCTCTGTGTAGCCACTGTCCGGAAAGTACTCAATTTACTCAGACTTTATTCCAGTCGGTCTATGGGAAGCCATGGACAAAAACGCAGTCTATCAGGCCGTCGACAACGGCTACTCTTCGATTGCATCTGAAGCGTACAAGGGCTCCAACTCGTCGCAGACTTCAAAAAGCGACAACATCGCCGCCTCGTTCGGATACTCTGCTGAAGACCTGGCTACACTTCCAGCCGGCACCAACTTAGGGCTTTCGTGTGGCAACCCCCTCGCCACGGCGAACCTACAATCATCAGAAACAATGCTCGACCTCGGCTCTGGTGGAGGGCTGGACTGCCTCATCGCAGCGAACCAGATGCTCAAGGCTGACCCGGCGCCAGAGGGCAAGATTTACGGCGTCGACAGGAGTACGGAAATGATGTCACTCGCAAGGCGAAACGCGGCCAAGGCCAATATACCCGATGGGCTGGTCGAATTCGTCGAGGCACCCATCTCACAGATTCCTCTCGCCGACGCCTCGATCGATCTGATCGTGAGCAATTGCGTCGTCAACCTCGTGCCAGACGAGGACAAGCCGAGCGTCTTCAACGAGATATACCGACTCTTGAAGCCCGGTGGACGAGTAGCCATTAGCGACCTTCTGGCTCTCAAGCCCATGCCGGATGAGGTCAGGAAGGACGCGGCCTTGCTCATCGGTTGCGTGGCCGGGGCAAGTTTGGTAGACGAGTACCGAAGCTGGATGGTCCAGGCGGGTTTTGAAGAATCCGGAGTCGCCTTTGTCAACACGAACAAAGACCTCAACGTCTATCACTCTCAAGTCGCTGAGATCTCGTGCTGTGCCTCTAAACGCCCGTGTGGTGCCGCGGATCGCCGGGGAGACGTCGATGAGTTGGATTTCAATGCCTGGGTCGCTGCATATCAGATATACGCTGTCAAAGGCACACACTAGCCATAGAGAGTGTACAGTCATGTCACACTCGATGAATTCCCCTGTAGACTGTAGTACCTTACCTGCCAACAACCTCTGTTCAACCACTCAAGCGTATTATGTAAGCCGACATAATCATCGAAAAGGTACCCTGATAATGTCGGAATATCCGTAGTGCTGGTACGGAGTATCCGCACTCGTACTCGTATACTCTTTTCCTCCGACACACGCCATGATACGGTAGTTTTTGAATTCTCGTCCCATATTCCAAGGACAAAGTCGTAAGTTATAAAAGTCAAAAGCCGAATTCAAAGCTTCTCACCTGTACCACAGCACAAAAGGTGCCGTCCTATCTATCTCCCCAACTACGTATTTCTCTAGGTTTACACCCAACGAGTCTACGACGAAGAAGTATCTCGGGTCTGTGCTCTGCGGTGTACGTTTACGTTCGGGCGTGTCGTTGAAACACCCCGTGTCCACCGTCCACGGTCCCCACCATGCCTCTCTACGACGTCGAACACGTCACGCCGCTCACGCTCGACCAACAAGCCGGTCTCGCGCAGGCATTCAGCAGTCTCCACGCGCGACGGTTCAAGACGCCCAGAACCTTCATCAACGTCCGCTACACCGACGTCAGCGGCCAGGTCGTCTTCCGCGGGGGGAAGAGGGCAAAGTACAACCGCGTCATCCTGCGGACGAGGCAGGGCGAGCAGCGCACCAAGGACATCTACGACGATCACGCCCGCGATATCATCCGCGTCTGGGAAGGTGTGGTGGGTAGCCAGGGAGAGCTGGCCTTGAGGACGGTGTGGGTCATGGGCGCCTTGACGACGGCCGTGGAGTGTGGAATCGCCAGGCCAAAGGTGAGTGAGTGTGAACGTGAATGAGCACAAGTTGCTCCAGAGCAGTTTGGAGCACCTCTCTCACTGCCTGTATACCATGCTCTCTGGCTGTTGATCGCCTTCCAACCCAACAAGATCCAGATCCAGATCCAGATCCAGCTCCAGTGTCGTCTTCTTTCCTTCCGTTCCCCCCAATTCCTTCCCTTGTTCGTTCCGCGTACAGATAAATAATATGCTCGGTTGGACTTAAAAGCTTACCCCTTACCTATCCAGGTCGGCGAGGAAGACAAGTGGGTGCAAGACAACATGGACGAATTCAAGAGGTTGGCCGCAGAAGGGGACACTGATTTCATCGATCTGCTTCAAGAGCTAGAGGCGAATGGCAGGTAGGATTTGCTTGTGGTGAAATAACAGGTTGGAAAACAAAATTAAAATGAATATCTTGAATTCATCTGTTCTCTCCCTCCGAACCTACTACCTGGCTTGATTGAAGGAGTGCCAGGCATGGATATACAGCCCCACTCAAGACTTTGCCCCCTTTCACACAGCCAAACCGAAACCCTTCTACTTCTATACCGTCCTTCCCACGGCCTCGTAACCTGTCGTAGACAAAAGTGAATAAGAGCTCGCACAGCGAGGCAAACCCACGAAAAGAGGAGTGCTAGTGTGAAAAAATGTCCAAGCGCACCTCTTCGGGTGAAAGCATATTTGTGGCACAAATCTCTGCCTGCCACCGTTTACCTTTTTGGCCTCTTGTTCTTCGATGCTCATCATAGCAATCGTGGACTCGTACAACCCATGAAATCGTTCCCAGGTGCATCTTGGTACACAAAACATTCGTAGCCACATGGGTACTCAGTAAGGTCGCCCGTACATGCCGCCAGCAGCTGGAGAGTGAGGAGACATGAATCCACCTTGGGATCCTGCGGGAGGGTGCTGTCGGGAAGTGTTGGGACTTGATGTTGCTGCCATTGGAGGGCGATGAAACATGTCGATTAGCTTTCGGCCGACGCTGGGCTCGATCTGGGTGCCGTCGCGGGCGATCTTGACTTCGCGGTTGGAGTTCCAAGGATTCCTCAAGCCACGGGTTCTATAGAAGGGGAGCTTGTCGGTGGACATCCATTTGATCTTGAAAGGCTTGCCGAATGTTTGTGGAGTACTAGGACTCGCGGACTCGTATCCTTCGCCAGATGCGTTCGCATCGTCGTCGGCATTTTGTTCTTCTTGTCCTGACAAAGCACTCTCGGCTTCCCAGAATATGGTCCCACGAGCAGAGTCATCAATGATCCGCCCCTTCGGTGCAGTGGCGGTTGCTGGTGTTGGAATGGTCAATGGAAGATCGGATGGGCTAGGGTCTCGGGTCTCGGCTCTTGGTTGATAGTCAATGGCTGCCGCAGACTCTTCATCTATAGCTGACTCCATTCGAGCATAGCCAAAATACTCCCCGGATTTGTTGGCAGAAAATATGAGGTACACACTTTCCGCCGACTAGGGTGTCATGTTAGTCTTGGTCCACTGGCGTCTGCCAATTTGCACTTACCATGTACGCACTGTTGAGAGAAGCTTCGTTGTGCGCTTGAGTAGCCCACACCCCACTGTGTACGCTGCGCTCTAGATCTTCGACGGTCAAGCTTTTGACCACGAAGAACTTCTCTTTCACTCTTTCTATACTCTCTGGTTCTGAGGAGACTGTAGCGCCCTCGGTTGTGACATCCTGCACGACGGGGGCTTCTTGCTTGCTCTGGGAGGAAGAGGATTCGTCGGATCGCACGGCTGCAATCTGACCCTGAGGTAGGCCTTGTGTCGTCACAGAAGAGCTTCCGCGACGCAGTCTGCAAACGAGTCTAACGCCTTGAAACCGAGAATCATGAAACCGCGCCATTGCTGCTGCGCAGCTGGCTTCGCTTTTGTAATTGACGAACGCGCAGTTGCTCTTGGAGATTAGAAAGACACTTTCAATATCTTCCGTCGCGTCCTTGGAGAAATGATCTTTCAGGTCTATGATGTGTGTTGAAGGAGGTAGGTTGCCAACCCAGAGTGCATGGCCTGATTGCCTCGGTTTTCTGGGTGGTCCTCTCAGTGCGGATGTCTGGAGGGAGGAATTGGAACTGGTTCTCCGGATAGCTGCGTTGATCAGTCAATTCAAGTCTTCCACAGGAAGTCAGAGCACCCTCATACCTTGATCATGATGGTGCTGGTAGAAACCATGCTGGGGGGATTGTGTGAGGCTGCTATCCACGCGCAACTGGGGCACGGGATAAACGGCTGTCATTCTCGTAGCATATGCGGTTGCGTAGGCCGGGTTTGTGAAGGCTTGAGAGTACGTCACTTGTTGCTGGTGTTGCGCAGTAGATTGAGGGATCATGGATTGCTGCATCAGATAGCCCTGGCCTTGTTGCTGGAACTGTTGGGAGCCCCCTTGACCGGACATGTATTGCGTGTATCCTACATGCGGCTGTCGCGGGGGAGTACTCGTCATGAATTGCATTGGGTATTGCTGCCCAGGTTGTGGAGTGTAGTTGCCTGCAATTTGACCAGCAAACTGCGCACCCTGGTTATACTGATACATCACCTGGCCCGTAAGAGCTGGCGACTGGAACTGGTGAGGATAAGAGTGCTGGTGATATTGTCGTAGTTGAGGGTCTGGCAATGCCCCTGACATTCCAGACATGTCAAGAGCGCCAGCACCGGGGACATGGCCCATACTGAAGGGCTGTCGAGGATATTGTTCGGCCTCCATATTATTAAACTGTGCTACTTTCGGTGGACTTGATATTGTTTGCTGCAGGGGTGGATCTGGCGTAGAGTCGTTAGTGAGAATGACGCTGAATGCTTCATAGGAAAGTGAACCTCTCAAATCGTCTTGATGCTCATTCGAAGCAAGATTGTGCCGAGGAGGAGGCTCATCCCCCATTGCAAGAACCTCGAATATAACAGGAAGGGCGTAATACTGCTGGACCCAGTAGGAGGCCATGGGTTAGTCCATCTTACTTGTGCATGCTGGATAACAACATGCGAGACACCGGGCCTGAAATAGACATACCTCAGCTTGAAATGCAAATGATCCCCTGCCGAGCAGGAGGCAGGCTGAGCACGGGTCAGGGGGTTTCCGAGTGGTGTTTTTGGGCTATTCAAAGTCGTCGACAAGGTCTGCTCGTACCTGCGGGTTGATGATCGTATGTAGTCCACAGTGAAAGTGAACAAGTAGGTTGGCGCCAAAATTGGAAATCCAACCTTGTCAACAAGGGTGATCAAATTGTCTAATGGGGCTCGATGAGGAAGGCCCGCTGTCCTTGGAAATCGCGTAGAAGTAGATGGTATCCAGAATCATTGGTCTGGTCCAACGATGGAAGAAGGTGAGATGAAGAATGGAATCTATATCCAACAAGTCTCAAATGTGGCCTGACTGGCGTGGGAGTTTGTGACTGGCGGCAGTCGAAATGCACCTTATACTAGAGTCGGGTGCAACTTAGCAAGTAAAATTGGCGAATGGTACCAGGGTCCAGGGAGCCGGTGGCCAACATGCAGCAGAGCGCCTTGATTGGGAAGTAGTTCAAATGTGATGCCCGGGCGTGGAGTAGGCGATCCAGGTAGTTGAAAAGAAAAACAGCAATATGGAAAGATACCGACAGCACCTCAACGAGGGGGGAAGATTCAGGAAGACGCCTAGTGTGTCGAGGGAATTAGAGGTGCATTCATACCCGTACTGGAGTCATTGACATGTCCCGGTAACGGCTCATTCCCTCGGAGGTAAAAAAGCAGAGGAGGCGGCCAATCCACAGGGAACGATTGGCTGGAACAATGATGCGGTACCAGGGCGAGGAAACGCAAGGCAAGGCAAGGCCCGAGAAAGTCAAGCGCGGATAACAGGAGATGTGGGTATAGGCACGAGTACCGTGTCATGGACCAGAACACAAGTGGAAGTTGATCTGGGCCCGGCAATCTGCCTCTGTGGTCCTTTTTTGCACAACGTCTTGAGGCCGTTCCTTGGGCGCTCCCACAGCACCAACTTTTCTCAACATCTGAAGGTCGAGGTGAAGATGTGGCGGTGCTCAACCTCCATGCCTCGGATCTATGAGCCGGTTTAGGTGTCTTTGTGGCTGCTGTGTCCCACAGATTGTCTCAGAGCTGAGTAGAAGGAAGAAGCTAAGGGGACGTGAAAGCGAAGAACAACTGTTTTCCCACTGTGTGGCTCGGAATGAGTGGAATTTCCATGTACAGACGGGGAAACAAAATTGCCCATCTGTGGGTATCCACTTAGCCACGAGAGAGATGTGGCGATATTATCAGGGTCTTGCAAGCCACATGCCCAGGTTCCGGTTTCAGGTAATCCTCAATCCGTTGGAGAGAAACAAGCTTGACATGCGCTTAATGGCAATGATAGCTCGCAGTAGCCCCAATCATGGTTTCAGCGAACAGACGCTTCTTTGGGACCACTCGGTAGCGGATCGCCCAGTCCACAAGCAGTATGCTCTGGCGCCGCAAAGTGTCGAGAGCTTATTGTGGGCGTTGGAGGTGCAGGAAAACGGAGGGACTGCCTCCCAGGGTGGCGCAAACTGACAGCGACCGGCAAGATAAAATCCATGTTTTCCAGCTGACATAGACACGAATGGAGTCGAACGGGTCCTGATGTATTGGATGCTTCTCGGACGTTCTGGATTCTGCCGATCTTGCACTGAGCGAGTATAGCACGAGGCGCTGATTGCCAAGCGAAGCGGGATGAAGCCACATTTCCCACTTAAGGCGGCCTCCTGGAGTCCTGGTACGGAGGGTTCGGATGACCCTTGTAGACATCTCGACATGCCCACGTGAAGACTACGCATCTTGCTTCCGGACCACGCTACGGTCTTTGAGTTCATTCCTGAGGGTAATAATGTGCCTGAAAGACTATGAACCGCTTATCTGCGAGTACGGGTTTCGTGAGCAGCAGTCTGTGCGCACCTGGAAATCTCCGTGCTGTCATAATATGCACAACAATCCTTTGGGCATGAGATCAGCAGACGGATCCATCGCGCAAAAGTGAGATTTCTGTCAATTCGGAGACTGGACTACATGTCGATGAGATGTGGTTATGCAGTGTACGGCAGGGGATCCTGGCCCGCTTCCGTGACTGTAAACGTGCATATCTGAAATTATTCAATAGAGCCCCGTGCATTGCACTTGCTAACCACACCATGTCCTCTTGCCTGGGATGATAGATCCTGCCCAAGCTGATAGGTGAGTCACATTTGATGCATGGGGTGACAGGCCGCCAAAGCGAGCAGAAGCAAGGCGCCCGTATGTAGCTTGCAAAGGCATGAGTCGATGACAACTCGTTGCATCATGGCCGAGCCGTTAGATGTCATTTATGAACGCATACAGAGTTACTCTTAGCAGCGATGCAGGTACGTGATGCTGATCTTCTCAGACATGGGAAGATCGCTGCACCGTTATGCCCGTGACTTGGCTAGAGAAGGCAAAGCGATGTCTTGGGTATTTTTGGGAGACCTGGTGGCGAGAAGATGTTCAACAGGCATTGTCGATCAGCACAGCTAAGCACACGTAGCTTGTAGGCGAAAACAAGGACTGCCCTGCTGGGAGAGGAACTTGCCCTGGCTGTGGCTGAGCAGCGTAAGCCCTGTTCCCCAGACTTCCCAGGAGGATGGAATTTTCGAGGGTCAGGATGGAATTCGCAATACCCATGTCCCAAAACAGACTAGCGGGACAGTCGGAAAAACGTAGCACCGGTGGACCCTGAAGTTGCGTCATCAGCCTTGTTTCTTGTTCCAACCTCAAGTCTTCTGTAGCTTTGTTGGCTGCTTCGCGTCTCTTGTTTTCGGCGTTTTCTCCATTCTGACACCATCAGTGTGCCGATCACTTGCAATTTGGGCATTGATGAGCCCTATCGACGTGCTGTGTACGAGTTCTGGTGCAAATCTTCTACGAGCAGCTGAATATCCCTCCCTTTTTGGATCTCAAGCTTTCCCACAAATAGCACAATCGTCGCCCGGAACCACAGCCCATGACTTCCTCCGCTCCCTACAAGTACAACTGAGAAAATCAAGCGATACGCCTTTGAGGTGCAATTGGATCCTGGCTTCACTAGCCTTCCTTGAGGCTTTACAGCTACGAAACCGTCCCTCTATAGCGCCTCACAAGAAGCCGTAGTGGCTCCGCTGGACACGAATGCAGCCATCTGCTCCGGTCATGCACTACTCTGTCGTTTCCTAGCATCCATCTCGGGCTCTTTTCTCTCTCGCCACCTACCCACTCCGTCCTTTATACGAAGTTTGGGGCGTCCAAGTGACTTCTTGTCTGGTCTAGTGTTCCAACGGCGTGTCCGATGGCGTTTCAAACAGAGTGAAAATCCCAGACAGTGCCCTTGAGAAAAATCATGGGTATCAGTGTCAAACAGAACAGTATTACCTTCCATTCAGGGTCTTTCGGAGATGGCTAGCCGCTACCGAAAGTTCGGACATCCCGAGACAGGTGCTTCAACTTCGCATAATGGGAAGTGATCGCTGTCTAGGATGCACAAGCCACACTACTCTCCCCTCGTAACCTCTGGACTTCGAAGAACGGTACTTTCGACAAGGCTAAGGCTATCTTTCAGACCAAATGATACCACTTCGCTTACGGCTGTCACACCAAGAAACTTGTCATGACACTGTCAAGTAAGAGACTTCAGCGGGCGGAAGCGATCTACGTCCAAACCAGACAGCCACTCCTTCACAATGTATCAATGCGGCCCTTTAGCTCACTGAAATCCGGCTACAACGCAGCTTGGGTTTTTTGGTTTGGTGGCAAAGATTTACGCTCCACTACCAGGCTAAGAACGATGCCTTGAATCACCAGATGTGATCCCGGACTCTGAGCAATCAGGGCAAATACTCGCTCATCCGTTACCTACAATTGGGTTAGGCTGTCTACGCGGGAAGGCCTGTGTAGTGTTTTGAGTCTAAGGAATCCAGTGTCCGACATGCAACCCGTCGGGTGGTAGCCGAGGTCTTTTCTGAACTTTGACTGGCCTTTGCTGTGGTGAGAGGTTGGATAAGCGAAGCGAATCGGACCTCTCAATGCGCCCAAGAGATCTTTTTGACCATCACAAAGCGTGATGGATCACATGGATCCACCGCATCTTCTCGTCCTCCTCCACGACGACGACCACCGCCACTACCACCGAGGATCGCACCAATTCTTATGCGGACATGTTCTTTGGCTATTCAGCCGGATTCATTCGATTCTACAGTGGCCCGATTGTCTGTCTAACATAGCGGCTTCAATCAATTCTCATACAGCCTTCTCGATCTTCCAAGTCTGGAGTCCCCACCCCAACCCTGGTACTGCACTGATCCTTGCTTAACGATGCGATCTTCACCTAATAGGCTGAGGCCAAGAAGGATACCCTGGGCCGGCGCTTAATGATTTCCAGGTCTCAACGGCTGCTGTCGGTCATCCAATGGGTTTCTTCCTCTACCCGTAGTCAAATCTCGGCATTCTTTAGCTAGCGGAAGACGATACCCCGGAGTAGAGCCCTGCTTTGGATCAAGGAAACATCCCACGCCTGCCCCTTGCATATACAGGCAGCTTGTGTAAGGGTCTGGGCGCGTTGCAGAATGCCCAAGGTGGTGTTCTCGCCATCTGACTGGTGCACGACGTCGTCCGGCATCCAACCTTCCGACCCAAAGGGTTTTGGGATTCCCCTTCAGTATCTCCCATCCAGAAATTGAATGGTTCGACATTGCCATCGACACCTCTGCCTGAGGCTTTCCTTTGGAATGGCACACACGAGTCGCCGGCCGAGTGTGCGTTTTCACGGCCGATCCCACAAGCTAAACCCCCTACCTAGCCCCTGTAAACACTCTTTAACGTACTCTGTTCAAAGGCACTGCACCCCCCCCCCCCCCCCCCCCCCCCCCCCCGGGTCCAAGAGGAGTGCAAGGAGCACTTCCAATCCTCGGGCGAAGTGATGGCGGACAACGCCCGTGGGCATTCTGTGGTGAAACCTCAGTGAGAGAGTCCCGGGGAACAAAGTGCCAAAATGTCTCGCGACCGGCGTCTTGCCTTGCTGCGCCATGGCCCAACATAAAAGTTCGCATCCCGCATGTTTGCAGATTTGCGCAGCAACGGTGCCATGAACAAATGGCACCGCAGTGATGGACTTGAAGCTGCCTCTTGCAGGAAGATCTCATGTGTTTTGCCCCTGGTACTTGCGCCCGGACGAACGGCAGAGGTTTCTTTCCCATGCTGGGAATTGCCCCCGTGGATGACCCTGCAGTGTCCAAACATACAGCCACAAAGACGCTGTCGGGACCCCCTTCTTTTGGTGACCGACGAACGCTTGGCGGGCGATCTTCCCTCCTGCTGACCCTGCATCCACATGTGGCATGCTGTTCCTTCGTCCCCTTGTGCACTCAAAGGTCAACCAGACATCAACCCATTACGGCGGTCAATGCGTGGGACCACACCCTTAACAACATTTATGTATCGTAACACGAACCTTCTCAAAGTTTGACATTAAAATCGTACAAAATACCCAATAGTTCATTGTCGGCGAGAGCTTTTTCTCGTGGGATCCATCTTACTTTCCTATCCATAACCGCATCTTCAATGTGCGCTGTCCCATCAACTAATAATGTGCCGAGGAGACCATAGTCTTCAAACAGCCCATTCATTATAGCCTCACCTCCTAACCCACTTTGGGCCGTCCCAATCCAAAACGGCCATCCTCATCAGGGCGAGTAATCTAGTCATCGCAATCATCAAAACATATTTTTTTTGTCATAAATCCGTCTTGCTGCCCAAATACAAGACCCTGGCAGGAAAGGCCAGAGAATCTCCCAAACCTGACCTTACATCGGGCATGGAGGAGCTGCTCATCTCTCCGAGCGTGTCACACAAAAGTGGCATCGCAATGCCAATCTCGACCCTCGATCGATAACGGTTCTATCGTTCCCCCAGACCTGTAACCTTGCCGGCAAACCTCGCACCGGCACTACCTCTTTTTTGCAGCCGTGCATGGCCATCTGAGGCCAGAGGCGATACTCTAGAGCCCATGACGGGTAGAGGACCGAGCGTATCCCCATGGCCACCACCATTGGTTGGTGTCAACCGAGCGGTTCGCTGTTCAATATATAATTGCGCAGCTGATGACAAGGGTATTGCAGGCGGATTTGTGGGGATCTCTGCCCCATTTTGCACAAGCAATTCAGCCAAAGGGAACGCCTTCATCGTTGGAGACGGAGTGGCTGAGTGTGATGAGACTGGTCGAGCAGGGTCGGCAGCTGCTAATGCTAGAAATACGGCGTGTGTATTTCTCGAGCGGTCATGTGCGTTGACATTCCCCCGCTGGGCGATTCCTTGCAGAACGCCCTTGATATCATGCTTCTTGATCGACGTCAGCAACAAGTCGTCGGCTGTTCCATACTGCGAAACAGGATCGACGTAGGCTCGCTGCACATATTTCGACGTAATGAACTTCAAGCGTTGCTCTCTCGTCGCAGTCGGCGCAGGCTTCAATGCTTGATTTAGCAAAGCCTCCCAAACCATGTTGCTGATGCGGTTACCGATCAGCATCAACAGTTCGACAATATCGTTGGTGAAGGAATGAACATCCAAAGTAAGAGACCGGATCTTGGAGACGTGAGTACCCAAGGACCGGTGTATCCCTCCACATTCAATGCACAAAATAATACCCAAGTTCAATGATACCCATTCCACCTTGGACGTAGAACCGCAATCAGCGCAGGATTGATTTTCGAAATCGTGATTCCTAATTTGGTCTAAGAGCTTGGAAGGATTTTCATCGTAACTATTGCTGCTGGTTCTCATATAGGTAGGTCGAGCACCTACTGTGATCCTTCGAGAAACTCCAGAGCCGTCGGTTCGCTGGGTATAGCCGTGAGGTCCAGATTGCGAAGAGCTTTTGCCTGTGAGGACGTGACCATATTCACGTCCAGCGAGGTCTTTGGAATTCTGTTGGGACGCTCGTCCACCTGCTTCGAAGGCATTTTGCAATGCGTTATTGATCGCGTTGATCCAATTGTTCATTTCATCTTCGGTTGTCGCTTGGTAAACCCGCTTGTACTGAGGGGTAATTACCTCGAAGCAAAATCTCCTTTCGGCGTCGCGAGCCATTCGAACTGAAGCCATTCTCAAATCGATCGGGTCCCTATGAAGGTCTAACTTATCCTTCCAATTGCTGTATTCAGAAAGCTTTCCCTGGTCAAGGACAATCCAGAACCTAAAACGTATTAGACGCTGCCGACATCAAGGCGAAAATACTCACTTGTGCCAGGCCTGCTTGTTGATACCTTTGGGGTCGATGTGAGACCCAGGTTTGCTCAATGCCCAGAGCAATCCTTCCTTCTTGTACAGTCCGTTTGACGATCTGTCGCTAGTGGTCACTGAGCTCTCATCGAGGTCGCGGATGCCTTTGAATTTGTTTGTTGTTGGGGTTACCGACGAAGCCCCTGGAGATGTAGACAAGGCGGTGGTCGGAATTCCTTGTAGAGTTCCCGAGGGGGCTGGAGATAGGCCATTCGCCGAAGATCGACCAAATTGCGAGCTTGTGCTGTCTGCTCTACTTAAGTCTGTGTCTGAGGTATATCCAGTTTGTCCATTTGGCACTGTCGGCTGTGAATTTGTGCTTGTCAGAGGTTGATAGGGCGGATCACTCTCCACAGCATTAGGCCCATTTTTCTCAAGGTTCCGACGCTTCTCTTCTCGTTCGGTTCGTTGAAGGTTGTACTCTTTGTCAGCGTCACTGACCTCTTTCACCAGCGCCTCCAGTTGCGGTGTGAGACTCTCAACCTTTTTGGCTGCCGCAAGGAACGAATTCGCCTGACCATCGGCGTACTTGGTCAATTGCGAGAGAAGTTCTTGCTCCTTGCGTCCGCCGTGAAGATCCTGCATGAAAGTAGAGTAATCGAATCGTTTCAGCTCAAAGTTCTTTTTCTTGCTCTGATACTTTGAGTCGCTCTCTGCCCGTTTCTTATCTTTCAAGGAATCCTGCCGCTGGCCTAGGTAGCGGCTGACATAAGCGTAGTAATCTCGACTTTCATCCTCAAAATCCTTCTTTTTTGCCTCGGCCTGTTTGATATCGAGATTGTAGAGTTTAGATATAGGGTCGATAATCTGTTTCTGCAATAGAGAGCTGTTCTCTTTTTCATATTTTAATATTCTTTGCGCAATGTTGGTGAAGTAGTGATCAAGAGCTGGCTTGAAAGCAGTAGAATTGGATGCCGAGGCCTCCTGAAGTGCGCGCAGAAACTCGGCCATTGCTTGGTTGCACTCGACTTGCGCTTGTTGAGCCGCCTCGGCCTTCTTCAGGACTTTCTTGACTTGGATCCTCATGTTGCCAGTCTTTTGCTCCAGGGACTTCATGGTAGCTCTGAAAACGGGGCCATCCTCGACTGCACTCACATCCTCTCCTGGTCGCGCACACTGAACATCGATCACAGGGACAGAAGGAGCACTGTTTGAAGCTGCGACACTGGAAGCAGTCGTACTAAACTCGGTAGCCAACACTTGTGGGGACGGTGGATTCTGAAAATCTGCACGATCCTCTGAATCACTGACTGCGGATTGGTACGACTGACTTGAAACCATACGCCTCTGAGGGGGAACCTGGAGTTCCAGGTTCGGCGAGACCAATGGTGTTGCGGACGGCACGGCCGCATTATTCACCCAAAAGGTGAAAGACGCCAGTGTGTTCAACCGGTGAGCCCTTGAATCGTACTCGAGGAAACTGCAACAGTTCCGCCAGCCGCCACCCCTGTCTTCGTATGGCTTTGGAGGCTTCCATCTCCAGGTCCACTCGTAGGTGATGACTGGAGTTCCATTTGTCGAGAAGTCGCCGATGAATTGCACGTTGGAGTTCTTGTGAAGGTTGGGGTCTGCATGGAATTCCCGCGTTACCAAGGTGTCCAACTCTTTCGCATTTGCGGCATAGGCGAAGGTGAGGCCGGAGATGTTTGTATCAACTGCGGCTGTCGCGGTGGAGGGCGTCGCGGGTAGAGGCCCGGAGTTCTGTCGCGTCGTGAATGTGAACCGCACATCCAGTTCGTCTTCTAGGTCCAGTCGGGGTAGAAAGAGAAGGCCAGGGGCCTCGGGATCCTGGTGCACCAGTCAAAATGGCATCCAAAGAGCGACTCAGCCTACCCACCTGGATGAATGAAATTGGCCTGTAGTCAGCTGCATCTAATTTTCCCACAAGACGCGCTGCAGGATACGCATTTGGCACAGCATGAAGCACGACTTTCCGTCGGCCATTGCTTACGACGATGGAGGTAATGGACACTAGGGGTGTTGTGTGAGCGGCAGCGCAAGCACGACAAGCAGGGGACATACAGCGTCCTTGATCCTTCAAATATAGAATTGACCCGTCATCAATTCGGCTGCCGATATTCCCCATGACTGTCAGCCTGCATCAGGCCTGGGGTCAAGACTTCGCCAGGGCAGGCGTTTCAATTCGTGATGGCGCTGCTTCTGGAGATGCGTCTCTCCGTGTGTGGGCTGAACGATGTTGGTACTGGACAATGTTGTCTGACAGACTAAGACTATGGCTGTGGATGCAAGGACAAGGAAAATCCGTACAGGCTGATGGATGCTGAGAGAAGATTATCTGGATAGGTCTTAGCGAGGGTACAACACGACGGTCATCAGGATCGATCAGTTCATGGGGATGCGACAGCGGCGCCTGCGACATTAGGCGACGTGCAGTATCGAATCCGCTGCGGCGGGAGGCTGTGATCGTGACCCCAAGGCGCCAAGCCGCTATCTCCCTCTAAGTACGAGGCTCATTAGAGTTAAGCTTACGAGTGTAGGTAAACTATGACACATTATCATAAGCCAAAACGTTAGTGGCATCGCTACATTGGGGTAGTATCAACAGCACGGGTTCCAACCTTCTAGGCAGTCTAGCTACCCAGCCGCCCAGAGGATGAAGAACCCGACATGGGTACATAAGCACAAGATACTTGGTTTAGAGACAAGGCACTCTCATTATTGATTCGTATTCAAACTTTAGGAGTACGGTGGACCTCGGATCGACTGCGCGGAAGCCAGAGCCAGCGCTAAAGGATACATGATCCTGGTGGTGCCTGAGCTGTACTTCTGAAATGATTAGAGACCAAGATAACCACAATGCGCTGGAATGATCCCCAGCGACTCCTGCTAAATATAACACGGTAAAGACATTATCCAATGGGCCAGCACAGATATGTTCTCAAAATCCAAAACCGTCGCGGAGTGCCAGACAGGAGGGTAAGAAGAGAGAAACTCGCGGAGGTACTCATGAGTGATATGATGCAGTCTTGCCTCACACAGCCCCAGACCCCACCAAAACACCATTCACTTGTTATTCAAAGGCCATCAATTAAACAAGTGAAATTTCCCATCAAATCACCAAGACCCCTAAAGTGATGGCTCAAGTTAAAACTACATGGGTGGTGTAGTGGATGGCCATTCACTCAGGCGAGGAGGGAAGCAAAAAAGGGTCGACATTCGAATCCCGACGACAAACTGATAAACGAGAATAAATCTTCAACAATTATCGAACCGCAGTCAGGGTTAGAGCAAACCAGACAGGCTTGTCTGGAAGGCGTCCTGATTGTGAGAGGTGGAACAAAACTTGGGGGATACAACATCAGAACCAGGTCAGGGTTGGATCAAACCAGATAGGCTTGTCTGGAAGGCGTCTTGACTGTGGGCGGTGGAAAAAAAAGAAGTCTGAAAAACTTCACCTTAACTTTTTTTTGGACAGAGTCTAGATAGCATTTGCCAAGGGGTATTTCAATTCGTGAGCCGAAGCCAGAGTAAGTCCATACAAAACGAAGTAGAGCCAACGGCCGTCAGAAATCATAGCTGTACATTATTTCGCACCCTTGACAGCGTCAAGGGCTTCTTCCACTTGTTCTGAAAAATGTCAGTTCAGATTGCTCAAACTCGCGTGAACAGCCCAAGAGACTTACGTGTCATGCCATTCAACGCCTCAAACGCCATCGAATAATTCTGCAAGGCTGCCAGGACCCGGCCAATGCCAGCATAAAGACCTTCCAGACCTTTATCAGTCGCCACACTTCGCTGGTAGACGCATTGTCTTTCCAGACTCCTGTAACAGAGTGTCAACAGGGTATAGCAGCTTTGCATGGCACAACAAGCGAAGGCAGGCATGGTGCGTGGCGCAGGGTTCATTGAAGTTATCGATAACATCGATGGGCCGTAAAGTGGTGGAGCAAGCTGCATGGGATTCGGATATGGGAGAATTTCAAAGGCTCGTCCTATCGCCAATGCAGCTTTCATGCAGATTTTGGCTGCGATAAGGTCGTTGAAGGGTATTTCGCTGGCCAGTTTCGGCATGGGGTCGGAATCAGCAGGCGATATCGAGTTATTCCCGGATTGAATACTTTCGGGCGTCACCGTCGGGCTCACGGAGTGGCAAGAACAGCCCAGCTGTCGTGGCGCCGTCGGATCGGTAGGCTCAAGGTCACAATGTTTGCGCGTAAAAATTGGTAGATCTCGAAAGGCGTTATAGCGGTGGAGCTTGATTCGTGCGCTGTTGAGTTTGATATGAGCTTGAGCCCGGAGTGACCTGGCTAGGGTTTGCTCTTCGAAATCGGTCGACGATAGTAGTGGGACATCAACTGGCTGGGCAGCGTGTCTGTAAAGTATGGCGTCAATTTCTCTATCAAGTGCAGTCTTCTTCCCGCTGAGCTCGTTTGGGCTTACGCCAGCCTCGAGCGCCTTCTTTAAAGCAACTGTGTACTGGGTACACAGGCAGATGGTCTGCTGAGCTTCAAGGAAAAAGAGCCAGGCATCCGGATCCGACGATATCATGGGAAAGGGAGTCCTGAAATGAGTGAGGTCGGTTATCATCATGGGAGGGGTGGCAGAGACGATGGCGCACTGCATTGCAACAGTATACGTCATCCACCATGCTCTCCTCCGTGCTTCAGTGTATTCATCCGGTGCAAGTCTGGAGGTGTCGTTCAGTCCGAGGCTGACGGCGGCGTCATACGCCTGAGAGGCACGGTTCCGCATTTTGGCGAGATTCCCCCTTTGAGCATACTCATAGACACTCAGGACTACATATGCCAGGAGGGCTTCTAGTTCAATAGGTACGTAGGGATGTAGCGGTTCCCTTTGGATAAACGGCCGATGATTTTCTAGAGCCGCAGCTGGATTCGTGGTTGACTCGAGTAGTTCGGATTCAGATTCGATGCTTGCTATTGTCATTTGTGAATATGCATGCGCCTCCTGTCGTCTTTGGTACACTGATTCATCGCTGTCCCCGAAGAGGTCGTCGGGGTGGGGTATGAGAACCAAGACTGCCAGCAAGGCCATGGCCAACGGTGATAGAGGTTGAAGGCCTTTCGACTCGGACCCAGGACTGTCAACCTCCAACACCATGGGCGGAGGAGGCAGGATTGGAAAGTATGGATGGATGAAAATGTAGTAGGCATTGAGGACGCTTTTGTTGTCCTGGTAGTGTCGGATGAGCGGATTGTAGGGAGTAAATTGCAGCTGCGAATCAGGGACATCTGAGGAGTGATCTGATTTCGGCATGTCCGGAAATATACTGTCAAAGATCTCGTCGCTATGGCTTTCGTTGTCGAGGTCCAGAAGGCCCGCCCCGGGGGCTATCATGGAGCCGATCAACTCATCGTGAAGCGTTTCCGAGCTCAAAACCAGTGAACTCCAGTCGGCGTCTGGAGGCACCACCTGGCCGTTGAGACTATTACTCTGTTCTGCGCGCCGTCTTTGTTCCTCAGCTAGCAAGGCCTTCTTGCGCGACACGCGTGGACCCCCGCGATTGCTCTTGAGATACCGGCATTCTTTGCCTCGAACCAAACACTTGAGAAATATCAGATTAGGTAAGCGACAAGGTTTCGCGGGGACAGCTGCACTCACATTTTGGCAGATGGGCTTCTGGCCATCACATCGCGTTCGCGAAGCGCGGCTGCGCATGCATTGTCAATGGAAGCCCTAGGCACAAGGAGGTGTGGAAACTTACCAGGAGGTGCATGCCACCTTTACCGGGGGTTGGGCCAGTTTTTTCGGCTTACTGCCGTCGTCCATAGATGTTGCCGTGCTAGACATGACAGATATCTCCCCGGAGCCCGGAGGGCGAAGAAGTGGATGAGTGTGTTCAGCGTCGGGGAGGTGCTCGTATGATGGTGCCTTTGAATGCTCCCGACGGGATAGCAGTCGCAAACAGCCAGCGCTGGTGATTGCGATGAAATGCGACTTTACATGTGGTGGATGTCAACAGATCGATAACTGAGGCGAGATCAGGGTAAATCGTTCCACCGTAAAGAAACGTGTACGAGTCGAGGCCTCCCTTATTACCTCAGCTAAAAGGCACGGAGCAAGGCTCACTAGGCTCTCCCGGCACGGAGGAGGGCACCATGGAGCTGTTTCCTAGGCGCTTCTGGGCTTCGGATGGCGCCTTATCGTTCCTAATTTTCCTGTCACGGGGGCTGGCCTCGGCGCTCTCTCGGGTGCCAAGAGCGCCCATCGTGAAAAATGCATCGGTGTGAAGTCGTTGGTCGCTGACCAGCAAACCTATTCGCACTCACCTGATCTGCCAACGACCTCCCAATGTCCATGTTTCCGATCAAGGAGAGATCTTCCTCGCGTGGATCGTACCATATTCAGAATCATGTGCATTTGCGCGCGTTTATCCAGGCGCAGATCAGGTTCTCTTGTCCGGCGAAAAGCTTCCCCAGACCCGAGTCTTGAAGTGTAAAAGTCTGTCTTAAAAATACGGGGTACTGGGCAATTCGGCGTGGATCGCCAATCACCCTCATAAAATCATGGTCACACAACCACCAAAGCACGACTACGGAGCATTGTCTTCATCACAACACTTCAGGACTAGCAGGTAGGTTACAGGGGCAGCAGGTGTGGTTGGGATAACATCTCCCACCTCCAATCTTCTTCCTTTGGCACGAGTTTCCTCAACATCTTCGTCATTGGGTGGTCTTGCCTGGACCCGATCTGGCCCTTGACCTGCCTCTGGCCAACATTGCGCTCTTCGTACTTGGGCTTCTCGCCGTGTTCGAAGAGCTCTTGCAGTGGTTTCACCACGACGTCCGGCGAGGGTGACACAAAGAAAGGGAGCGAGAATCTTGGCCTATCGATTTTGCCAAACACTCTGTGCACGGTAGCAGGCCAGCGCCCGTTTGTCCACGCTTCAACGTAGTTCCCAGTGTTGACGACAAAAGCGTATGGCATTGGCGGGGCGGGAATCCAGATGCCGTTTGCGTTTAGGACTTCCAACCCCGGGACCTCATTTTGCAGCAGGAGAGTAATGACGCCAAAGTCAGCATGGGGGAAGAGCAGTTCCACCGGCTTCGAGTCAGGCGCCTGGGCAGGGTAATACTGCGCCGTGATGTCCGCCAAAGGTTTCTGAAAGTATTGATCCAACGCGGTTTCATCGAGGCCCAATGCCAGAGCAAAGATTTGAATCAGCGTCTTCGCGAAAGGATAGATTTCCAGGTCTAGGATCTATCAGTTTACATACACACATGCAGGCGTATGCAGGTCGTGATGGTTGGACACTTACAATAATCATACATGGCTTTGCGAAATCCAGGTACAGTGTGTTCGGAAGGCCATTGATTCAGTGACACGCTTCCATGTGGCGCGATGCTGATGTGGTGCTGTTCAGGCTCCGTATAGTCATTGCCCATCGAGTACGATTCACGGAGCACCCCGTTCGGACCGACCGTCTGTTGCGGCTGCCACCCTTTGGCCTCGTTGCTCTTGTTGCAGTCTATCTGCTTCTTGATCTCTTCGGGTTGAGTAAAGAACGATTCTAGCAGCTCAAAAGCACGATCGATCTTGGCGTGAGACACAGGTGCATTCTCGACATAGAAGAAGCCCACGTTTCGAGCCGCATGGCCGACCTGCTCGGCGAGCCTTTGACGGACGTTGGGTGTGGAAGATAGCACCTCTGAGAAGTCAATGATAGGGATCTCCTCAAATGTCTCTTTTGCATCCGGCCCCGTCAAAATGGGACGAGACCGCTGGAACCCTCCCGAGTTGTAGTACACACGGTTGGGATCCCTTTCGGGGACGTCACCCATAGTTCGCGGCGCAATCGCTATAAATTGATAACGACTTTGGCTGAAAGTGGAAATCCGCAGTGGTTGGAATAGTATTGCGGTGAAGGTGGTTTCAAGCAGGAAACGCTGGCCCTTAAAGAGTGCCAGAATCGGACAGGTCTATGAGGGAGGATAACGTCGTTTTGTTATCTCATGTCCAGCTCGGCACCCGGTGTCGTATCGGCTAACTCCGACCACGAGCCTTTGGAATCTGGCATATGGTGTGGAAAGGCATAGAGAAAGCACACGCGAGTATCTGAGCTTCTAACACCAATCGAGCAAACGGCTGGAAGGTGGTCCCAGAGACCAAGGAGATAGATATCGACAACCATATGGTCCATTTTCGCTTCCCGCTTGAAGCATGCATACATCGTACTTGTCTGATACTAGGGCTCTTGTAGTGAGTAGACAACATTTTCGCGTCTTGAACAGGCAAAATCTACAAATCATTGTCCATCCGAGGGTGTGGATGTGGACATGTATCCACAGTGGTCATTGTATTGTTGAACTCATCCGCTGATAAACCGCATTGAACTCTGACAGCATTCCTCTCCCTGTATTGCTGGCCGAGGATGTACAAGATAGGATCCTACATGAATGTGTCGAAACAAACCCCGGAAAACGCCATCGCTAACCTCCATTGCTCATCATACCGTCGATTGGAAGGTACATGCCGCTCAGACTGAACACGCATCAACATTTATCTGCGCCAACATCCAGTATTGTCAACATTGCCCATTTTCCTGGCCTTTCATAGGCAAGGTCCAAGGATCCGCAGTTCCCTTGACCTCTCTATCATATTACCAACACCGTGTTGTGATCCTGCTTCCTAAAACCTCCGAGGAACAGCGAATCCGTCTTGAGTAGCAACCTTGAATTTCGTATTGATACCAGCGACCATATCGGCAGCTGTCATCATCGTGTTGGTGCTTTGAGACTGCAGCTTGGGTTGTTCTGTCGGAGAAGCCATAGAGGCGCCATAGCTGGATAGTGGTCCTGTTGCGGGAGGCATACTGGCCATGTATGCATTAGGATTTTGTGCAAGATGTCCGGTATACGTCATGTGCATCGGCGTTGAAGATCGGCCATAAACTTCTGCGACATCGAAGCCGTTCGAGTTGGATTGCGTGTTTGAATTCTGGTCAGAACTATAGAATTGGGTTTGCATATCCATCTTGTAATACTCGGACATAGAGGGAGATCGAGCATAATACGGGTTGGAAGCCGTAACCGGTGGTTGTGAGGAGATTTGAGGTTGAGCGCCGTACGCTTTTAGCTGCGATTGGGAGTTCTGCCTCGATATTGGGATCCTGGGATATGCATGCTGTTGTGTGACATCTGGTGAATATTTGTATGTAGGATCCATTTGACCGACTTCGCTCATATGGTTCTGTGGCTGGCTCTGCGACTGATCCCTAAAACCTTTATCCGAGAACAGCGGAGGGATTGGTGCGTGCTCTACGGAGGTGTTGGTCTGTGTAGACGTAGGTGCCGTTGGCAGTGATCTCTGATGTTCATGACTCTGTGGTACCGGTGGGTTGTTCATGTATCGCTTGTTAGAAGTCGATGTTGATTTCGATGTACCCTTGAGGCCGACGGTATTCGCGGGTTTCTCAGGGGCACCAGTCGCTGGCGACGGAAACGTAGGGCTGAACGAGGAATCAGACTCTGTACGCCGGCGTTCAGGGACTCCCTTGTCCATTTTTGAATCTCCTGTAGCTGGTGCAGACACTCTATTGTCTGTGGCAGCAGCCGTATCGACCACTGCCTTGATGGGGGCGCTGGCTCGAGACAACATAGGTGCAGACCGTGTCGAGGGAGATTTCGAGGCGGTATCTGGTGGATTTTGTTGAGCAACACTTTCTACGGCCTTCAACCCGTTCTGCGGTGAACTTTGGGCAGACTTTGACATCTTATACTCGGCCTGCCGTTTCGCCCATATTTCTCGGAAGCCTCGTGCCTCATTTTCTGCTCTCTTTCGTGCGACTAAAGACGCAATCAGGTTTGGATGGGTCGTTAAGGAGGGAGTCTCGCCTGGCTTGAGAGCCGGCTCTTGTGTAGAGGAGGTGGCCGAACCTGGTTTGCTTGCATTGAACGACTGAGGGTTTGCCGGTGCTACGGCGCTCGGTGTGACTTCGCTGGTAGACGGTAAAGGGCGGGAATAGTGCTGGTTTGTCGGTCTCGCTGAATGCGTAGAAGTGGCATTGTACGATTGGGTTTGTGGCATAGGCTGAGGCCAGGGTTGGGCATCAGGGAACGGTCGGTTCTGAACAATGAATTGTATCTGCTTCGTGGGGTTTACACGATTCGTAGCAAGCAAGGACGCCGGTGCGACGGAGGAGGATTGGGACGAAGTCAGTCCGGGCTGTGGCTGTCGAGGTTGTGAGTGACCTGGAGAGGCAGCTTGCCTGCCGGGATCAGTGCTTGTCGCTAGAGCTCGTGAAATGGTGGAGAGGTGTTCGAGTGAGGCGGGGACTTCGAAGGCCACGCGTTTCTGAGATGCATCAGATGAAGCCGGATCAGAGGGAGTACGCTTTCGGCGTGCCATGACGGGCGACTGGGAACATCAGTAGTATCATCTGAAAAGACGAGGACGGAGTGCTGTGCGTGTCGAAGATGTTGGAAGGGATCAGAGGCTGAACTGGTGTGATGGAAACCCCATGTTGCAGATTCCCCCGATACAATGTACAGTGCGTCGGGCAGCGCGCATGTGGACTGCCCGGAGATCCTGTGATGATCTCCCTTCGGTTAGCCAACAAGCTTAAGGAATTCCCCGTCTAGGCCCGACCGGGGGGTGCGGTAGGCTGCTGTACGCGCCCCGAGCCAGAAATAGTGGGCTCTCTGCGCCTATTGAGCCAACAACAGCCAGCCTTATAGGGGTGCCTAAGAGAATTCGGAGTATTCCCACCTTAAAGGTCCTAAAATGCTCGTAGTGAGCGCGAATTAATCTCAGCCTCAGCCGCATGAGGCAACGTCAGTTCAATTTCACACGCTTATCAATCCCAAATCTCGCTGAAAAGCTGAGTCATAATTCAGCGATCTTGATCCAGCCTCGGCCAAAACTTCGCATTGTCTTTGCGTGGATGATGAGTCGACATACATACTGCGCCTCAAGAGGTCTGAGGACGAGGAATCAAAGCAGCAGTACTCAGTACGGGCCACATTCAAGACAAGGGAGACCATCATGCACAATCGCGATCCAGAGCCACTGCCCTGGATGGTCTGCATCTCCTATGCATCTTGATCTGCCAACTCTTTGGTACCTCCGGAGCACATTGATGCAGCGGGTAGCTGTCAAGAGTCCGCGAGATAATGAGCGAATTCGAGAGCCATCTCGAACTTGACTAACACTTGGTCGAAATAAGAATACGAGCTGTGGGTGCTGGTTTTGACGCAGTGCAAGGCTGGGCCCGACCCTTGACGATATCACCTCAAACTCGTTATCAATGTCGACTACTTCAGCACTTGATGCCCAGTGTTACATGCTGCACTGCTGCTTACTGCGACCCGTGCTTACAACATCTCTCGCCCCGGTCGTTGACAACCTTCTGCTTCAATGCCACCGACTGGCCTCGTGTTCAAATGAGGAGACACCCGAGGTTGACGTCGCGAGAGAGCTCGAGTCAGATATTCGATCAATACTCCGCGTCAACTCCTTTGGTGCGACAGCCCACCGGGCCACTGCCAGTGCCACCTTCAACTCCAAACTTCTCAGTTAGACCCTCACCTGGTCTGTCCGCTTACCCCGGATTCCTTCCACACAAGGCCGTTTGGGGCCACACACTGAGGGGAGAGGTGGAGACGATCGACTCGGTTACGCCAAATCGTTCCTCGCTGTGAACTCGGTTCCGCTCTTCGCCATACAACACGAGGAGATAGTTAATCCTTGTGAATTAGACGATACCGCCGGCTCTGCTGACATTAGTTTGCAGATGAGGAGTAGGTAGGTGCATCCTTTTCACCGGAGATCTGCCCCCTGAAGTGGGAGGGGTTCACCATGGTATAAGACTATGCCCATGGATGATTCATGGACTCTTCGGTAACAGGTGCATTGGTTTTGACCTACACTGCGAAACTGACTCTGGTATTTTACAATCATGGGTGATCCATCTGGTGCACAAGAGCTCCCCGAGCGTATTCTGCACCGCGATCTTTCCGAATATGCCCAACGACCTCGCACCGATGGACCATACGCTGATAACTTGGACGTTGACGTCTTGATCGTGGGTGCCGGATTCGCCGGGACGTATCTACTTTACCTGATGCGCCAAACAGGCTTCAAGACTGTACTGTATGAAGCCGGAGACAGTTTTGGAGGCACTTGGAAGTGGAATTGTTATCCAGGTACGTGAGCGGAAGGAGAATGAAGATTGGCCTCTTCTAGAGAGACTCAGACATGAAGCATCTTCATGATGTTGCCTATCTCAGGAGAGGATATTATCCCACACGGGGACTTTTCCTTCACAAGACGCTGTGACTATGAACTTGATCTGCTCCGAACACATGCATTCAAATACGCATCATGACTGACCAATTCAGGTGCTCGTGTGGACTCTGAAGTGCCCATATACCAACTTTCCATACCCGAGGTGTATAAGACCTGGACCTGGACGACCAACTACCCCGACTGGCGCGAACTCCAGGCATACTTCGACCATTGTGACAAGGTCTTGGGACTGAGCAATGACTGTGCGTTTGGAAGCGTAGTGACTTCGGCCGAATTTGACACAGACTCGGGAAAGTGGAACGTCAAGACTGCCGACGGCCGCAGTGCGAAATGCAATTATCTCATCATCGGCGCCGGGTTCGCCGCGAAGAGATACATCCCGGACTACGCCAGCATGGACAAGTTCAAGGGCGTGATGCACCACTCGTCCTTTTGGCCACCCGAGGGCGTCGATGCGCGCGGCAAGAAGGTCGCCGTCATCGGTACCGGCGCGTCAGGCGTCCAGATCATCCAAGAGTGGGGTCCCGAAGTCGAGCACCTGACCGTCTTCCAACGTACGCCTAACCTAGCTCTCCCCATGGGGAAACGGGACATGTCTGCCGAAGAGCAGCGGGCTTTGTATCCCGTATACGACGAACTCCTGCGCATGCGCGAGTCTACGTTTGCGGGGTTCACGTACGACTTTGCCGAGCGGACCACGTTCGAAGATTCGCCCGAGGAGCGCGAGGCACTCTACGAGGCTCTGTGGGCCAAGGCAGGCTTCGGACTCTGGCTGGGCAGCCACAAGGACTACTTGTTCGACCTGAAGGCCAACCGGTGCGTGTACGACTTCTGGCGCAAGAAGCAAGCCGCGCGCATCAAGAACCCCGAGAAGCGCGAAGTCCTGTGTCCCAGTGAGCCGCCACACCCGTTCGGCGTGAAGAGGCCGTGTCTCGAACAGAACTACTACGAGGTCCTGGACAGGGACAACGTGTCGATCGTGGACATTGGCGAGAAATCAGGCAACACCATCGCCGAGTTCACCGAGAAGGGTATCAAGACGACCGATGGCAAAGAATACGAGTTCGACATCATCGCGCTGGCGACAGGCTTCGACATCACCACGGGCGGCATGACCAGTATGGGTCTGAAGTCGATCCACGGCACAACGTTGAAAGATGAGTGGAAGAAGGCCGCGTACACGTATCTCGGGACCACCATTTCAGGATATCCCAACATGTTTCATCTATGTGAGTCCCCTTTTGTCTTCCATACGTGTCCCGCGATCATTCGCATCAGTGCATTCCATCTTTCCATCCCCGTGAATCCCACGCTGTACGGAAATGCTGACACGATCTGTTCCTCTGCGCGATTGACAGACGGCCCCCACGGCCCTACCCTGCTAAGCAACGGGCCGAGCAGCGTCGAAGTTCAGGCACGCTGGATCCGCGACGCCATCAAGCTCGCCGACAGACAGGGATTCAAGTACATCAACCCGACCGCCGAAGCGAGTCAGAAGTGGAAAGACAGAATCAACGAACTGAGCAACAGGACGCTCCTCCCCACCACCAAGAGCACGTACATGGGCGGCACCGTGCCCGGAAAGGCGTTTGAACAAGTCAACTACGCCGGCGGCATTCCCGAGTACGTCAAGGAGATCAGGGCAGTTTTGCCGGGGTTCGTTGGATTCGAGACTGTCAATGCCTAGCTACCTAGCTGGTAGTTTAGGCGCGACTGACGACGGCCATAACGAGAGAGAGGGAGGGGGGGGGGGGGGGGGGGGGGGGGGGTGAGAGAGAGAGAGAGAGAGAGAGAAAGGTATTCAAGTATTTTACTCGTACTAGTCCTATTACCTGGTGTACCTTACGGTGTGTGACGTGTCTCGTGGTCCAGACGCCGACGAGATCGAGGTGGGCGATAGCAAAGTTGGGGTGGGTTGGGATTGGGTCAAGGGTCAAGATCACCGACCTGGGGGAGGGTATTTGTACGGGGTCGGAGTTACAGTACAGTACGCTGATCTGATCACGCCTCGCGCAGAGACGGCAGAATCAAGAGCCAGGGAGCGTGGGAGCGACACGGAGAGAAGACAAAGGGAGAGAGATGTGTAAATATCTACCTGCTAACCCGTACCTATCCATCCATCTACCTACTTCTGCGATTTAGCAACCTGGCTTGAATCCATATCATGGTTATTTGGTTCTTTCGTCACTTCAGCTTCCTTCTATCCTTTCTGCAGAGTATATACACTGCTTCGGCACTTACGTAGGGTTTTTTTTACAGTATGATACTGAAATGTGTGGGATTGGTGTCATTCTGGCGTTGATATTCCTAACTACTGTAACCACCCAGTAACATTCCGTTCAATGTTACAGACATATACTTGCCGAGATAAGGTATTCAGGAGGTACTCAATATACACACGACTCATACTGTCTGCGTACCTTGATCGTGAATGACAAGTGTCTGGAGCAGAAGCAGAAGCAGAAGTAGAAGGAGAAGCGCGTTCTAACCATCAGAGAAAAAGATCAAAGTTGTAGAGTGCAAAATCAATTATCATGTAATAATCATCATCATCATCATCATTGAACGCGAGCGAGCATAACGATATTGGCCTTCAAAGATTGAGAGTATTGACCAGGTACCGTAGTTAGTCCGTAGGTACAGAATCCATTGTAAAACAATTCAAGAAAAGCACAGCTCAATGACCAAGTAGATCCCTTGCTCACGCCTCGGCAGTAAATATCCATTATGCCACGTTATTCAGTCATAAGTTGCAAGTCGTCCCTCCTCGTTCCAGAATCCTGAGAAGATGAGATGTAGTAGTATTACATATCGGAGTGATATTGTCGTTGAAGAGAGGGAACCCGCCATCCCGTCCTTGCTTGCAGCACCGTCTGTCGTCTGGTTCTTCAATGCCTTACTCCAAGATACAAGTACTGTCTACCGCCGTTATTTCTTGTTGTCGAGATACATCTTGGCGATGCTCGTAACAAGCGGTGCGACGGTCTTGTAGTGTTTCTGACCTTGTTCAACGAGGCCGCCAATATCGTCAAAGGAAAATCCCTTCTTCTTGCTTCGACCATCGCGGTCTCGGCTCCGGTCGCGGGAATCATAGTGTCGCCTGTCTCGATCTCGATCTCGGTCTCGGTCTCTATCGCGGTCGCGGTCACGGTCACGGTCACGGTCACGGTCACGGTCACGGTCACGGTCACGGTCACGGTCACGGTCACGGTCACGGTCACGGTCACGATCACGATCACGATCGCGATAGTACCGGTCCTTGCCCTTGTCGCGGTCAGAACGTTTGTGGTCTCTGTCCGAAGCGTAGCCATCGTCACGGCGTGAATGACCTCCGGCGCCACTGCGGTACCGGCGATCATCATATCGGTCATCGTCTCTTCGGTGTCTTGCAGAGCTCCGATCAGGGTCGGAGTGTCTATCTCTATCGTCTGGACTGCGGTAGCGACGGCGAGGAGGTTCATCGTAGGCGTCATCGCGGCGCTTACGATCCGGCTCTCGGTATGTTTGTGCGCGACGAGGAGGAGCTGGGTCGAAGTCGTCGTAGTCATCTCTTCTCCTGGGCTTCGCAGATCTGGCTTTCAGATCATCCCCATCGTTTGCATGCGACTCGTGGCGTGGGAGAGGGGCTCGATAGCCACGAGAGCGACCATAGCCAGCATCAGGGTCGCGGTGACGGCGCGTCGCAGAATCTCCGTCGTCGTCGTCATTACGAGGACTATGTCGTCTTGGTTCAGCAGTGTTGGACTTTGGAGCCTTCTTCATATCGCCGTCTCTTTCACTGGGGTAATCTCTGTGTTTTTTCTTGTCTGCGTCTCGTGGTTCAATGTCTCGAGGGTCGATGTCCTCCCGCCGGCGAGTCGCATCCGAGGCGTAAGGAGGGGGAGATTGTTCATAGCGAGGACGGTGGGTACCGGATTTGCGGGTGTCTGGGTAGTCGTCATCAGGATATCGTGTTCCCGGGTCCTGATCGTAGCGAGAGTGATCCCGACGAGACCGTGGAGCGTAGTCGTCATTGTGAGACATGGCTACGGCGACATGGGTTGGATGTTGTAATTGCTTTTGTTCTTGTTCCTATTGTGGATAACGGTGAGGTGCAGGAAGAGGGAGAAAGGGACCAGGAACAGAAGGCAATAGAGGGAGATTTAAATTGGAGTCGAAGTGTTTCGAATGGCATCAGCCGACAAGGTTTGTGTTCAGCTGCCACATCGAAGACGAGGACGAACGATCAGAGCCTCAGGTGCTTCTGGCTGGAGTCTGGAGTCTGGAGCCTGAAGCCTTATGGCGTCACAGGATCTTCTCGTCGTCAAGGGGCCTGGTCGGTGGCTGTGTCCTCTGCGTCCCTCTGTTCAGCTTGTTGCTCCTTCGATTGTTTTCTTCTGCTCGCTGATCAGCCAACTGCAGCGCAGCAACACCACAAGAGCCTGGTGAGCCTCGGAGAAAACAGGCAGTCTGGTGCCCACGGAGCTCACGACATTCGCCGAACGCGCCTCAGGAGCCTGATGCCAATGAGTAATATTCGTGTGGTACGAGGAGATGAGTCTCTGTCCTTTTGCTCCCTCCTCTCCCCTCTATCTACTCTACTACTCGACTACTGCACTCCGTACTCCTGTTGTCACTGCCGACTCCTCTCCGACCCTGCGCTCGGGCCACCATCTGGCTCTTTGTTTACACCCGTGCGCTGTCGGGTTTAACCCAAGCCGTGCGTCTCCCTCCATCATGGCCCATGGCATTGTCCTTATCGGCTCCATCAGACTGGACGGTCGCCTTGTCACGCTCCCCCCTCGGCCTCTGACTCCTTGTAGATACACGGCATCAGATCTCCCTTTTGGCCACCCTTCTGTAGCAGCAAGGCAAATGCGATTTGTGGCTCTGGGTTCAGAAGCCCATTGAGGAAGCAGCCAGCCGCCGATGATGCAGTGATCTGACACACAGTGCACATGAAACGAAGAGTTACTGGCGCCTCAACAGGCGTGGTGCCATGTGCTTGTGGTCACCTTAACAGTGCCGTAGGTGGTGTTCTCAGCCTTCTGAAGCTGAAGAGAAACCACCCGCGGGGAGATCATTGGCCCTCCGAAGCCGAGCAAAAGCCTGATCTCAAGGCCACACTTGGATTACAAAGCGCAGACCACATTGGGTTTTGGACATAGTTCAAGTTATTAGTAAGTTGATCTGGGGGACGACAGCTTCAAAATTGAATTGAGTTGCATTGAACCTGTACCGCCATGAAGAAGCAGGTAGTATATCATCGCCACTCTCCTCCTCGCCCTGCCGTAGAAGTATCTAGGAAGTCGAGACTAGCTTTTATGCCACACCCGGCATCAACCGACCACAAGGATGTCTATGGATGAACAGTTCACATTCATCAACTTGTCCAGTTCGCAAAGTGGGCTTGATGACCTCTGTCAAGATCGAAAGGCGCAGGTACGATCTCAGGTGATGAAAAATCTGCGTCGCAAGCAGAGATTTGACGCCATCAGAAGTCAGGCCTCCGGGAATCGTCTGCATATCGCCTACTCACAATAACTAGATTACGAAAAGTCTCTTGTGGATGTTACGACCAGCTCTCAGGCCCGGTTTTCTGCCCGCAGAAGCCAACATGACCAAACGATCGAGAACTTGCAACTTCCTCTGGTTTCCGAGGCTAGAAGGATTTGTGGCCCCAACCTGCAACACGGCTCTGGGCTTCCCCTATCGATGCAGCATTCCAAGCTTGCGAGGCCAGTTGTCTCATCATACGAGAGGAGGCAAGATCCGTTGTCAGCCTGTGGAACTCTAGCGCCAGACGCGAGAGAAGCTATAGCGGACCAGGAAGGTGGCTTCAAACTCCCTCTAACCTTGCCCGGTTGGCAAGTCGGTGGCTCGAATCCGCCATCGTTGGGTCAAGCCGAGTTTCACAAGCTGGTATCTATCATGGAAGCATGTGAGTCTCCAGCGGGCAACGTTCAGTACAATAGGTGACGGAGAGGTCTCTTTGCAGATACCACATTTCTCTCGAAGCCGCTTACGTTACTTCGAGCTGCGAACAGCACAAGGGCAATGGATCGTGCCTCAAAACTGAAAGCCACATTTGAGCAGAATTCATTCGACGAATTGACCTTGTTCACGACTCGATTGGTAAATCTCGGCCACCTCACAGCGATCAAGTTTCTTCGTGAGAACGTCCCGGTGTGTGCCTGTGCCAAAGCAAAGGCGCTCCATCAGATACAACGCTGGATCCAGGGGACGGGTGCCCTCCCTCCGAGCAATCTCATAAGTGCAGTTCTACTGGTTCTCTCATTTGAGGCATGTCCCTTCCAGTTGAACACAAGCTAAACGACTCTAATATTATGATAGTTGATTCGGGGGGATCGTGCCGTCAGAGTTCACTTGAACGGCCTCTCTCGCCTCGTAGACCTACACTATGGCCCAACGAACCTAGAGCATAACATGGACCCGATTGCTTCAGCCATCATTTCGTATGTTGCTTTGCTTAGGTTTTCTTCCTCGGGCTTGTGACGTTCTTCTGACACTCGTTCGCAGGTGCGATCTCATCCTTGCCGCCTGTTCCCCCGGAGCTGTACCGAGCTTTGTATCGATGGAGAGACCGGCTTTGACTCGCGCTTCTGGTGCCCAAGACGCGGTCTACTACCGCAGCTCGCCTCTGATGCTTTCCGAGAGCTTCAGTGCACTGCGGCGGATTTACGTCGACGTTCCCGACTCGTTGACCGATCTCCTCACTGCTTGTTTTCTAGCCACTAGAGATCATGTTACACCAGATGACCCCTACAGTCTTCCAGATGAGCTTGACTACTCCGCTGCAACGGCAAGGGTGGAATTACCACCTGTTGTGTTCGAGGCGTGCCGATTGGCAGCGGCAATATACCTCCGCACCACAACCCGTCGGACGTCATTCGACGGTGCGGACAACCAGGGAGATTCTCGCCAACTGGGCGCCCTTTTACATTCACAGGACATCTCCTGTTGGCGCGGCATACCATACATCTATCTCTGGATGTGAGTCCTCCTCCCGTCAGCCCTCTGCACCGGAACAATCGAGACTCCAGAACGGAATGAGTATCGTTTTAACCCAGATTTCTAGTCTCTTGACTGGCGCCGCTGCCGCTCAGGGACACCCCGAAAGGCAGTACTTCATGGCCGAGCTCGTCAGGTTCGGCTTCAGCGTTGGTCTGGAACAGATGGAGGATTTTAAAAGTAAGTTTGATTAGCTCCTCCTCCCACTCTCTCCTATTCTTGACACCGCCTTTTGCCACGGTGCCTCCCCTGTGATCCACCTGCCATGTCGACGACGGATTTATACAGTCTGTCCCAGAGGCAAACCCGGGTTTACGGACCGCTTTTTACTGACAATGACCGTGCATCTTGCACGTCCGACAGAGATGACGGTGAACTTTATCTGGCTCCGGCAGACGTGCTGCCAGCAGCGGGCTTGTTGAAACGCAAACCTTGCACCGCCAGAATCCATCGATCGACCAAAAAGTGACATTATCGTGTGGATTTTTCCTAAGTGGGTAGCCGGCCGCTCATTCGTTTCACGTCACATCGTGGCTCGCTATCCTGTCCAGACTACTCCTGCCGGTGGTACTGGCGGCACTGGTCACCACCAACTTAAGTTTTGGCGAGTGGCAAGAGATGGAAATTGATCTCCCTACCGGGCGATCATCGAGGTTGGACTTCAAGTCAAGATTTCGTTCGTTCTGTATAGCCCGTCCGGAAACGGTCGTCTCGTGTCGCTGCCCTCCGTCCATCCCATGCGCGGAGCCGCAGGTTCCGTGAGAAAAAGATAAAAGCAGTCCAGAAATCTGATGTACATACACCCTTTGTAAGATAATTGGTACAAACGTATCTTGGTATCGGGAACCTACAGAATTTTAAACAACGAAACTTGACCCAAAGTGCCTGGCCCTCCATGAAACAAGATACAAATAAATGCATCTACGCAAGGCTGAAATATTTCACCGCTTTTTACCTCATACGCATCTCTCTCTCTCTCCCCCCCCCCCCTCTTTTGCAAGCCAACACAAAAATGCTACAATCCATCACCTGGCCCTTCGACGATGATGTCGACTTTGATACCGCCGACCTCATCCTTCGGTTGCAACTGGAAGATGTGGAAGACATTCGAAGCAGAGCCAAGGGCAAACAACGCGTCGACGCCGACCTCGATGATTCTCAGTTGGCGCTGTCCCTGATGGAATCAAACCTCCTGTCCACGAAACGACTTATCGCCGATAGGCACATGTCTCAGAGCATTGCTACGGCAGTCAGAATCGATGGTCCAGTGATTGCACAATCAATGCAGCAAGAAGAGATCGCAGTTGGAGACCGTAACTTGGCCCGCCGGATGGGTGGAATGAGCAATGTCACACATGCCAATCAATGTGGTGGTTCCAGCTCTGGAGAAATAAATGACAAAATCCTGTCGAAACTCGCTGGGATGTACATGTTTGATGATGACGGTGATGCAGATACTGGTGGTGCGTGTCTTCAAAATACCGGATCAAACGTCGAAGAAGGTTCAAGTGCGGGAGAAAGCTCAGTCCAAGCGTCTTCTCGAAATTTCATGTCTCGGGAGATAGTCTGTGAAGCTTGCCGCGAACCCAAGAAACAATGTGAGGTCATGGAAAATGAATGTTCTCACGCCTATTGCAAGCAGTGCCTGCAGGAATTGTTCGATCTGTCTACCCGAGACGAGTCGTTGTTCCCGCCTCGATGCTGCAAGGAACCCATCCCTTTGGACGACGCGCGGATATTTCTCACCAAAGAACTCTTGGACCGCTTCGGGAGGGCAAGGATCGAATTCGAAACGACGAATAGAACTTATTGTTTTCGCAAAACCTGTTCAGCCTTCATCCCCAGCGACTCCATCGCAGGCGACGTAGCAACTTGTCCACAGTGCCTGACAGAGACATGTGCCATCTGCAAGGATGGTGCTCATTATGGAGACTGTCCGGAGGATACAACTCTGCAAGAGATATTGGCAGCTGCGACTGAGAATGGATGGCAGCGTTGCTACTCATGTCGTCGCCTCGTCGAGCTTGAGGTTGGCTGCAATCACATGACGTGAGTGGTCACCGCACGTTTCTTCCATTGCATGGAACAAGACCTGCTAACTTTTCCTAGATGCCGATGTGGTGCTGAGTTTTGCTACCTGTGTGGTGAGCGATGGAAGCATTGTACCTGTCCGCAGTGGAACGAGGAGCGGCTGCTCGCGCGAGCGAATGCGATTGTCGATCGTGACCTTCCTCACATGGATGTTGCCGATCCGATTCGTAGAAACAGAGTTGCAGATGCAACTGAGATGCTTAGGACAGGACACAACTGCCAGCATACTAGCTGGAGATACATTGCAGGATCCCACAGATGTGAGGAATGTTTCCACAATCTGCCTCACTACATCTTCGAATGTCGTCAATGTCGGATTCGGGCTTGTAATAGGTGTAAACGAAACCGCCTGTGAGTCAGGTTGATAGGTTTGACCACATTGTCGTGGTAGCCAGGGTCTAGGGTGTGTGTTGTGTCCTGAGGACAAGGTATTCATTAATGAAGTAGGCGGAAACATTTTTTCCGATCTGCATTTTTCCTTGAATCAGTTTCCATATCCTCGCTTAGCCCAGGTATTTTCGAGATCTGTCGCGAAGCGACCGATCTGGCCGAATTGCATACAGTTCCATCTCCTTCGCAACTCATTTCGTACCAGATCAATGTCCTCGGGTGTGCTCATGAAAAATCCCAGAGTGTAAATGGGCCAGTTGCCAATGTAGCATCTTGCCCAATGGCCATCGTTGCGGTGTAGCTTGAGGATTTCGCGAGCCTTGCCAACTTGCCAGCTCTCAACGTCATGGGCACGAGGTGGACCTGGCGCATGATGTCCTTGCATCAACTGCTCAAGGAGCATAGAAGCATTCAGAATGTAGAGAAAGGCGGCGTCCTTGTAGATTTGAGGTGCGCAGTTGGGTTCTTCGTCGCCACCGATGGCATCGACGTCCCGATCGCAGAGAAGTGCGCACTCCCAGTATTCCAGCTCGGCTTTATATTCTTCCAGGGTTTGAGTATCTGGGCCGACCGGGTTCTGGTACAGGGTTTTAATGGACAAGGCCAACTTGAAAAGAGCAAAAGGAATGCCTAACACCGGACTATTGTAGCTAATTGAACGATCTGGAAATAGCGTTGATCGAGACAATAGTTGTTCTGCTTGGGTCCAGAATTTGGTATCGAAGCGATCTTCGATCTCCGTGGGATTGGACCATGAGCCTGTCGTGGCAAGGAAGATCTGATAGAGGACACTCTCCACCGCCAATCGGTCGAAGGGGCGGCTGATCCCTTTTGGACTTTCTAGTAGGCGGAGAGTAAGAATTCGAATGGCCGCGTCGACATGGCGCGGAATGTCAGTGTACGTGCCCCTTCCCAGGCAGCCATGAAGATAGAGTAGCATGACCGTCATCAATAGGCCGTTGTGGTTCTCCACCTGAGAGGCCTTCACCAAGAGTTCCGAAAGACCCCTTAACGCCTGCGAATAATAGGTAAGGGCGAGCTCTTGCATCGTAGAAGAGTCATCAATAAAGTGGATGTGGGATGCAGCGTTCGCAAGGACTGAGTACTGGAGGCTCTCATGCTGGACCATGAGTTCCTGGATCTCTTTGATCCATCCCCAGTAGTATTCTGGGTGGCAGTTCGGTAAGATCAGTAGTCCATAATATATGTCCATGAAATGGCGAGAGATGACTGGCTTCAGGTCCTGCTTGAGCACCTGATGAGTAGTTGAGGCCGAGAAAAGACTGATTCTGGGGTCCAAGAGTGCTCGGTGTGCAGAGGTGACCTCAAGGCCTGCTGTTTTCGGCTCAAGGTGCTCTTGAGGAGAGACGGAGCGCCGTGTACGAGTCGATGCACAACGCCGATCGACGAGGTCTCCGGCTGTAGGCCATTCGCAACGTAGTCCGAGTGTTTTGCATCGCAGACACTCGGGGCGAGCTTCGTCGCATTTTTTCTTGCGGTTCCGGCCTGTGAAGATGTCTATTAGCAGCAGGTAATGGATTGGAGGGTCGCTGGTATTGGGCTCGCGTACACACTTGACAACCAGTCTTGGTTCGCAATCTGGGTGGTTGGCTGCAGTTACCCATGCCCTCGGAAGCGCATTGGCTCACGTCGACATCCCATGCTCGAGAGTGAGAGTGTTTAGATCTGAATGCGAGAAATGGTGGCAGATACGAGTGCGGCAGAAGGAAGAGGGAGGAGAGGACAATGAAAGAAGAGAGATAAGGTGGGTATGGGACACGGGGGTACCTAGGGAGGTAAGGTGGAGATTCAAGATAGGGCGTCTATGGGGGGTTTATGAGGGTATCTAACTACTCGTACTAGGCAGAAGGCGCCCTTAACTTTTAAGGGCCTTGGGTTCGGGTCGCCAAAGCCACTTATTAATTACTTACTACCTACTCGTACTAGAGAGTAGGGAGTAATCGCTGTTGCTCGCTCACTGGGCCGGGCGTATGGGCCGCTGGGGGGTCGTTCTAGCGGCGCCTAGACAGCCTAGCCGGAAGAGGTTCGTCGCTTAGAGTTTATACATGAAAAGTACCGCTTTCCACGCTGCTCTTCCCCCGCTACCTCAATCACCCAAGGCTTCGATCAATGATAACGATCGAGATAGTGCATTATGCATACAAGTGATTGCCACGAACTCAAGATAAGCACCACCGCCTATTAAGTCATGTACCGAGTCGTCCTGCAAATCCCGTCTGCTTTACAATCCCGCCCGGACCTTCGGATCAACCACTCAGGTAGCCAGCATGCTCGTCTCGGCTCTTCTGGAACCCATTGGCGCCTTGTTTATACGTCTATACGCTGCAAGTCCCTGTTGTTCCGCGTAGGGAAGGTGAAAACAACACAGCCCCGGGCATTTTATTAACTGGTGTCCAATGCAGCTGCTGCTGCGAATGGACCTCGGCGTTGATCTCCATCGAGCAGTCTCCCGTCGGTCAAGTCGAATGTATCTTGACAATGAAGAGATCCCGCGTGAGATGTGCCGCCGCCGATGTCCCCTGCCGAACGCAGCCTAACTAGTAGCCGCTGAGGCTCGGCCTATGACCAGTAGCTGTATTCTATCCCGGGCCCAGACCTGCTCCAAGGATGAGTGCGACAGGGTTATTAGTTGCAGAGGTGGGTGGATGAGCATGTCTTCTACACTAGAATATCTCAAATGAGAATTTGTTCATGATATTGGGTCAACTCTTGCGAGGCATCGAACATAATTATGATAATCTTTACCCCGAACAATGTGACAAGGGGTATATGTATATCAACGCCCTGCACACTCTAACGGGGCTGAAAATGTGGTGGAGAATGGTTCAGTGGCACTGTTCCCTACCTGGGAATGTGTTGACGGCATACACCCAGCACACAGATGGCTCTTCTGAGAAGACTAAAAATTCCTGACCTTCCTCCAACTCGATTATTTGAATTCAGCGGCCTTCTCTTCGCTAACGATTTCCCAATATCTGGCTGCGCTCTTGACCCGAAACATCTTGCCAAACTTGATCATGATGAAGAAGGCCGAAGATGCTGCCATACCGACGAAGGCAGCAGAAATGAAGCAGTTTTGGTAGCCCAAGTTCGTCAACCACGGCGTGATCCTGTGTGCTTGTCAGCGAGATATATAAGAAACGTATGGTGGACTTGACAACTTACCCGTAGCTAATGGCGAAAGACATGGTGTTGCGAACGATGATGACGGTCACCAGCGCATCTCCACTGATGTCGTGGTAGCTGTCAATGAGATAGTTGACGCTAAGTGTAACTCCGAACGTGGTGGTGCATGCGAGTGTGCCGAGAGCAAATATGAGGCCGAACCAATGGATGCCATGTGCAGCGCCAACGCCCCAAAGGATCAAAGACGCAGGCACGACAATCACACACAGAAGGAATGGCCATAGGCGGTGTTCAGCTTCCATGATACCGTTGTTGCGACGCGCGAGCTTGATTGTCAACCAATCGCTCAGTTTGCCAGACAGCAGGGAGCCCACGACGACACCAATAGTACATGACAGATAACTGAGGCCAACCATTGATGCCGAGAAATTGTATGGATCGCCGCTCAAGATGATGGAGGCGGTGGCGTTGAGGACGTTGAACCAGATCAGGTAGGAACCATAGGAAAACCCGGCATAGAAGATGACGGGCCAACCAAGATATTTCAGGCTTCGAATGGCCCGGGCAATCATGCTCTTTCCGGGAGTTGGATTCCATAGCGCAAGTTTCTGTGTAAAGGTCTTTGGGGGAGCGAAGACCTCTCCGTCCTCAGACAACGAGGGAACAGCGTTGGAGTTGGTAGAATTCGGGTTCTTCTCAGCATCGGCTGCCTCAGTCGACTCAGGTGGAGGCGTGTCCACCTCGGAGACGATTCCAGATGTTTTCCGGTTGTAGTTTGTCTCTTCCATGAAGAAGAACAGGAAGACAAACACGACCCCCAGGAAAATGGAAGCCCAGTAGAACGGCCATCTCCAACCCTGATATTCGGCGATGAAGCCGCAGATGACGGGAGTGAAATAGTTACTGCCTGCGAGTGTAAAGGCATACACACCCATCCACGTTCCTCGCTGGTGAGTGAAGTACTGCAGATCATGGGTCAGTATGTATAATAAAGACCACAGACTGAGGTGTCGGGAGGCACCACTTACAATATCGGTGACGGAGATCTCGGGAAGAGCCTCGATGGGAGCAATGAAGAAACCCATGAGAATGCACCTTGCTATCCATTCACCATTGCTTTTCACATAGCCACTTCCAAAATCAGTGCCTCGCCCGAGGACATACCATGGGTCCGCTCTTACCTCCACATGCTTGTACCCTGAGCCGGATGTCAGCTTAATTTTCTCCTCTCTTAGCATTTTTCAGACTTACGATACCACCAAGAATGGAGATGAGGTAGGCAGGACGTTTGCCGTACCTTAGAGCAAAGGGCTGCCAAAACAAGAGACCCTGAAAAGCTCATGTCAGTCGAGTTTCACACGCCAATGCATACACCACTCACCCAACCGAGGAAGAGAAACATATCTGATTGATATAGTCAGTAAGTAAGATACCTTGCAAGAGAATCTTGACTTACAGCCGGTCCCTTCGTTGAGCGTGGCCACAGAGACGCCGCTCTTCTCAGACAGCGGGACAAGCACTGAGTAGACAGTGGAAACAGCTACGCCTGTGAACCATGTGTAGAGATTCGAACAAATGCTGGACATCATCTTTCTTCGGGGGGACCAATTAAGAGGGTCATTGGGATCTTTGGAAGGAGTTGGCACAAGAATGATATCTTGTTGGGCTCCCTGCGCGTGTCGAGTGTGCATGGTATGGTCCAAGTCGACCAGATGAACCGTGCCGCTGTAGAATCAATGTTAGCACTCGACATCAACCCTTATACGTCGACCGGGCCATTCAACACCAGCAGCCGTGGTCGACGAGCATACGTACGGCACGTTCCCCGACATATCCCCTGTAGCAACCATGTTTGGGTGGGCGAGAAAGAACGCTGTGAGCAGAAATATCTTGATTGACTTGGAAAATAGAATGCCGGCGGCACGGACTGGATCAAGATACTTATACTTCTGGCATTGTGATACCGTTTCTCGGCATCCTTGGTTCAATGACAAACTCACGCCATGTTCGACAACCACGAGCCTGGTACCTGGTCCGCGCGGTCGCCTGCTCCTCGGCGCGAGACAAAATGCAAGATCCAAGCCACGGACTTGATAAGGGTGTCTCGCCCAGGGGAATAATTCCTCCCCGCCGCTGCGACCCCTTTGAGATTGTGTACAGCTATCGTGCTCCCTCTGTTTGGAGTATTCAGTCGTCCTGGGGTTCTGGGCCAGAGTACGCCGTATAGCCGGAAACAGTATAGCCTTATCGCGCGTAAAAAGCCGCGATTCGATGGATAGCTGGGTTTTATTGCTGGGAGTTTGGGTGTTGGTGCTGGTGGCGTCTCCGGCTCATCAACACCATTTCCGCCAAGGTTCGACAGCCTTCGAACGGGGCTAAAGGTCAGCGGAAATCCCTTCGATTCGTCGCTTTCAGAGTCCTATCTGTCTTTCAGAACGATGATCTCCGCGTTCAAAGAGATACTGCTGCATTGGCAACCTCCCGGATTGGGAGGTCTGTTGACTGCAAACACATCCTCCAGCATTCGGAAACACCAACCAGATCTCAGCACTGCCATCGTTATTACAAACCAAGACCCAACTTGAGCGATACAACAGGGCTCGGTGTGAAGCAATTGTGTAATAATGGAATAGCTACAACAGGAGGCGATCGACTTGTGGCTCTTTGTTGTAACCCACCCGGGCAATCAGCAACGTGCTTCTCGTATCGTGCTATTGGATTATCGATATATTGATATACCGATACAGTCCCTCATCTGTCCGTAGACATATGCTTCACCAGAATTCTCTGTAAAGCAACACTCTACCTCGCAATTGTTGCTGCTCTACACTTCAGTTCGAGCACGCTTGCACACTTTCCCTCAAGATGGTTGCCCGGCCACTACCCATCATTCAGCCAAAAGCTGTACCTCTCGGAACTCCGGAATTCGAAGAGAAACGAGCAGCACTGCTCCGAACGCTCGAGGAGTCGATTCCTCGAGAGTACTATCTACCGCAAGAGATCTTCGACAAGAAGCCTACGGATGTCTCCACGATTCCAAGCACATGTGGACTTTTAAGCTCCGAGGAGATTCAAATCACCGAACAATACGATGCCGTCAGTCTCGCTGAAGCGATTGCCACTCGCAAGTTCACAGCCGTGGCTGTTGCAAAGGCCTTTTGCAAACGTGCTGCTATCGCACATCAATTGACGTGCTGTCTGACTCAATTCTTCGAACCAGAGGCCCTGGAAAGAGCGGCCCAGCTCGACGAATACCTCGAGAAGAACGGAAAAACCATCGGCCCGCTCCATGGTGTCCCTGTCAGCATCAAGGAGCACATGCCAACGGCTGGACACTACTCGTCTGCTGGCGAGTTTTCTACGCTTGTCAAGGATGACAAAGATGCGCTCCTGATTCAAATCGTCCGCGAGGCCGGTGCTGTGTTTTATTGCAAGACCAACCAACCTCAGGGCATTATGCATCTCGAAACCACCTCGTTCTACGGGCGTACTCTGAACCCCTACAACATCAACCTCTCGTGTGGTGGCTCTACCGGAGGAGAAGCGGCCTTAATAGCCTTGAAAGGCTCAGTACTGGGGATTGGTACCGACATCGGTGGCAGCATCCGTGGTCCGTCAGCCTTCTGTGGCATATATGGATTCAAACCCACATCCTACACCCTGCCAATGACCGGCATGCTGCACGCACCATTCCCGGCCGAACTCAACATTCTGTGCTCGATTGGCCCCATGTGCCGCACCATGAGAGACATGGAGTTCTTCACAAACGTCATCCTTGATGCGAAGCCGTACTTGGAGGATCCAAGATTGATCCCCATCCCATGGACTGGTCTCAAGACCGAGGTACCCAAGAAGTTGAAGATCGGAATCATCTCCCACGACGGCTTCATTGACCCTCAGCCCCCGGTCAAGAGAGCTGTCGCATGGGCCAAAGAACAGCTTTCTGATCCCAAGTATGCAGATCTTTTTGAGATCAAGGACTTCACACCGTACGATGCTGCTGGTGCCTGGTCTAAAATCAGACGCATGTACTGGCCAGATGCCGCCGCGGGAATCAGGGAGGCCATCGCATGCACGGGAGAGCCGGAACTGTCACTCAGTTCGTGGATTTACAAAGACGCCGAGCCTGAAGGCATGCAGACCGCCACGGCCGTCAGCTATATGCGGCATGAAAGGGACAACTACCGCATGGCCTTCGCAAAGGCCTGGAACAAACAAGATGTCGATGTTGTTATCGGGCCATGCTTTGTAGGCCCCGCCTCGATGCATGACACTGCATTCTACTGGACCTACACCTCGCTGTATAACTTTGTCGACTACCCTGGCGTGGTGTTCCCTACGCCGATCAAGGCCGAGGCTGGCGAGCAATATGCGTCCGACTACAAACCTCTCAGTGACGCATGTCAGCATGTCAAGCAGCTTTGGGAAGAAGGGAACTTTGAGGGCGCGCCGATCAATCTCCAGATCAACGCACGGAAATATCATGACAATCAACTGTTTGGTGCTTTGACGTTGTTGAAGGATGCTCTGCAGTTGCCGTAGGGCACTCTTTAAGTTCTTAGTGTAGGTAGAGATCTAACAATGACTTGTTTGTTCTGAAAGCACAACTTTTGCAGGCGCCGATAGGGGGACCTCGTCTGAGTTCGTGTCCCAATACTCGTACTCGTTAGAACCAACACGGTGAACACGAGGCTGAGAAACCTCCGTACTGCAGCCTCGTTTTCGCAGCCCCTCGGGCAGTTGGCCATGTCATTGGCGGAATGATCAACACCGCAAACAACGATCAATGCCCGTCCATGAACCAACAGTTTTTGTTGCTCCCATACTAGGTGGGCTCCTCGTTCTTTTTTACAATCTGACAAAGTCTCGTATACTCTTTCTGAACTACGAAGTCCTTAATACGGTCTTCCTCATAAGCAGCCTTCCTCTATGCGCCCGTCTCTACGGCTTCTCGCCTCACCAGCCGCCACCGCCACCCCTCGACCTCGAACGAAGAAACCCCCACCGCTCTCTTTCGACCACTTTATCCAGCGTCAACGTGTTCTTGGGCTATGGCGCACGATCCTTCGCAAGCTATACAAAATACCACAGGACCGACGCGCGGAGCCGGTGTCGTATGCCCGCGGTGAATTCGAGCGCAACAAACATGTCAAAGACATTTCGCAGATTCGGTACCTGATCTCGACGGGTAAGGCCGAGTTTGACGGAATGCAACGGTACATCGATGAGCTGGCCTCGAGGAGATGAAGGTGGCGAAACAACGCAGGTGCTTGAGACTCGAGTATTCTTTGCTTCTGCCGAGTCGCTCCACTGATTTGCACCTCTTGAGATGATGGACTGCGCTTTCATATGAAGAGAGTTCTCATCTGAAGAATCCGCCCGAGACTTTGAATGGCAAAGCACAAGAAACCCGCCAGTGTGGGATTCGCCGAGCTATTGTGAAATATGTCACTCCAACATTCTTTCATGAAAACGAATGTCAGTCTTTAAACGGTCGATTACTCTTCCAAAGGGTTGGGGGTTCAGGTCTGCATTATCACCGCGAAGCCACGGCCAGTCACTCCGATTGTCCGGTTCCCGCCAGTGTTGGAGTTGAAGCTAGTAGCACCTGCGAAGCAAGGCATCAATCGGAATGAACGAACCGAAGTGCAATGCAGCGATGCTTCAATTTAGTTGAGCTTGACAGAGGTACCTCGAGTTTACCATTACAGCATTCTCCACGAGGCGCACGAAACCTTCCACCACCAGCACCTCCCACAAGATCGAGGCTAACGCTCAGACGTACCGAAGGACCTGGTGTAACTTTGACACAAGGAATGCGAACGACTCGCGGCCGTTGTATCGAAGTCGGTTCGGATGTGGTCATTAAGTCGAGGCCATCTTCCATCCTTGAGGTTACAGAGAACGTGGCCATCAAATGGTTGATCTATCTACATCTGGCGGAAATAAGAGGGCAACATCAGGATAGCAATAGAGTAGTGATATCATTTCTGACGAGATTTGCAGTGACCGCGCTTCAACCTGTGAACTTTTTGTACATACACATCCACTGGCCCTGCACCAGCTCCTAGGGCGACGTCCCGTGGGTTTCTTGTCTTGCGTTCCAGACTACTCAAAACCTCCTCCATGCATCTCTGGTCCTCGTCGCCCACATGCCAGGGCCCCATCCATCAAGCACAACCTCGTCCTTGACGCTCCTACTCCAAATATTCCAGCTCGACTTCTTCTTCTGCTCTGTCTGCTCAGGCGCAATCTGCTGTTTGAGACTGTCCTTGCCCTCGTCGAGGAACCTCTCCGTCGACTGCTTGACATCTTGCACACCGGCTCTTGCATCTGCGCTTGCTTTTTCGATGCGGTCTCTCCAGGCTCTGTCCTCCTCGTCTCGTGCCTCGAGCTCCCGGAGCCACTTCTCTCTCTTCTCCGCAGTCTTCTTCTCGTCCAGCGCGGCCTCAAAGGCCTTGCGCTTGAGCCGCTCGTCCTTGTAAAAGTAGCTTCCGGCCACCAGAGCCAGCAGCGTGAAGCCCTGCGCGTAGATACGCGCCCGGAACATGCGGTTCGTCTGGTGATGGTCGCCGGCCCGGATCGACTTGGTCGCCATGTACAGAGCGTAACATGTCGCCGCGCAACCGATGGGGATTAGAGGCTCTTGTCGGAGTTTCCGAGAGAACTTCTGGAAGCGGGACTCTTCGAAGAATTCGTTGTCGAAGCTGCTGGGTATGGTCGTCTCCGAGAGAGGAGAAGGCTCGGTAGCGTTTGGATTCGACATTTTTTGGGTTGTCTATGGGCAATCGAGGATGTAGAAGTTACAACAACGCTTGACCAAGGGTGTGATCAAGTACTACTCTGCTGGCGATAACTGATTGCTCCACGGAGTCAGGAAATTGACCAGGCGCTGCGGGTTCGCAGTTCTAGATTCGTCGTCAGAGTCGTGACGTCGATATGCAGGCCTGCTTGGGGGTCGGAAATGGTTCAAAAGGCTCGTAATGTCTCGAACGCCTTTTAGTGCTTCCCCTTTTTGGTGGAAGTGCTCGAGCACTATTCTTTGAGAGAAAAGAAGCGCCGTGATTGAGCTTCGCGATGATAGAGAGTGGTTCGATGGTACAAGTATTTCTTCCAGCGCCGCCGTAGATGGAGCCCCCTCGTTCGCCGAAGAGTAGGACAAGGCTGCGCTAAGTACAAGTACGCGAAATGACCCTCAGCTTCGCTAGCCTCGTCGCATCTGTGTCTTTGAACCCGGCCTGGCCCTCAGAACCTGCAGTCGACTTCATAGACGTCCTCTCTTAGGACACGCCTGCTACGTCGGGCGATAAAATCCGTAGGATACCCTGTGAGTTCTTGGTCCTGATAGGCTGTGATAGCGAAGGTACAGCAGTATTTCCGTTGCTGCCCCTCGCCTGGCGGTGTGTGCGGGTGCGGAGAGCTCGAGAATTAAATTTTGTCGACGGAGTCATTCTGCAAATGCTCCCAACATTGCCTCAGTCTCTCGGTGCCCAAACCCCGTTACCTAGTTGTCGAGAACCAGAGCGCTGCCTTGGCTCGTCCAGCATGGCCGTCGCAGACTCACCAGTCAACGGGACAACAACTCCCACTCCATCCACTCCGAGAAGAAATTCAGGTTTCGCCTTGACCGAGTACACCGCAGCTCCCACTCCCCCTTCTGAACGAGCAGACACTCCAGCCTACAATGTTCCACCTGACTTCCTTCTTCCCAGCGGCTATCCTGACTACCTCCGACTCATTCTAACGTCCCGTGTCTACGATGTCGTGTCCGAAAGCCCCCTAACACACGCCGTCAACATCTCCAATCGCCTAGAATGCAAGGTCCTCCTGAAACGAGAGGATCTGTTGCCAGTCTTCTCTTTCAAGCTGCGTGGTGCATACAATAAGATGGCACATCTTCCGCCAGAGGTCAGCTGGAAAGGTGTCATTGCTTGCTCTGCTGGTAACCACGCGCAAGGTGTTGCCTTTTCCGCAAGGCACCTTAAAATCCCAGCCACTATCGTGATGCCTTCTGGAACTCCCGCGATCAAACACATGAACGTTAGCAGAATGGGCGGGAGTGTAGTGTTACATGGCTCAGACTTTGACTCTGCCAAACAACACTGTCACGACCTGGAAAAGCAATATGGCTTGACCAACATACCACCATTTGATGATCCTTATGTCATTGCCGGACAGGGCACCATAGGAATGGAGCTGCTGAGGCAAACATCGCTGCAAAAGCTACAGGCTATCTTCTGTGGTGTTGGTGGTGGTGGTTTGATCGCAGGCATTGGGGTTTATGTCAAACGGATAGCACCCCACGTCAAGATCATTGGGGTCGAAGCAACCGAAGCCAATGCCATGGTTGAATCGCTCAAGCAAGGTCAACGGGTGATGCTGAAAGACGTGGGCATCTTTGCGGATGGCGCGGCTGTCAAGGTCGTGGGTGAGGAAACCTTCAGAATATGTCAAGAAGTGGTCGACGAAGTTGTGCAAGTCAGTACCGATGAGATATGTGCCGCTATCAAAGATGTCTTCGAGGACACGAGGTCTGTTCTAGAGCCGGCCGGTGCACTGTCACTGGCTGGTCTGAAGAAATGGGTCTCTCAGAACCCTTCTGCAGATGCCAGCAGAGAGTTGGTGGCAGTGGCCAGTGGTGCGAACATGAACTTTGACAGGCTGAGATTTGTTGCGGAGCGTGCTGCTCTAGGTGAGCAGAAAGAGGCTTTACTGACTGTCAGTATTCCCGAAAGGGCAGGCTCATTTGCACAGTTGGTCGAAGCGGTATTGCCTCAAGCAGTGACGGAATTCGGCTACCGACTTTCATCTCAAGATGAAGCACACGTTTTAATGGGTATCTCAGTGTCGTCCGCAGGGGCGAGAGCGAAGGAGTTGGATTCTCTCTTCGCTCGGCTCTCGGCAGAAGGTATGACCGCCAGAGACATATCGGATGATGAGCTGGCCAAAACCCACATTCGGTATCTTGTTGGTGGACGAACCGATGTCAAAGATGAAAGACTGTATATGTTTGAGTTTCCAGAGCGGCCGGGTGCCCTATTCAAATTTCTCCGGACCATGCGACCTGGTCAAAACATCAGCTTGTTCCACTACAGGAACTACGGTGGCGATGTTGCTAAGATTCTTGCCGGCATCCAGTGTCCAGAGTCAGAGAAGGGCGAACTTGAGGGTTTCCTGAAAGACATAGGATATCCTTTCACCGAGTGTACAGACAGTCCTATCTACAAGATGTTCCTGCGCAGTTGAACTCTTGGGCTTCGATGGTAACGGCGGAAAGACAAAAGGATATGCACATAGTGATGATACCCGTATGATGTTAATGAGAGTAAAAGCAAGGTGTGCGGTATTTCCTACTCTTCGTTCCCATAGATCTTATGCTCGACACCGTGAAAGACGGCGCACGTGACCGCGAAATATATATTCCTTCGAATGTTTTCTTTATTTCCCACACAATCACGTCTATATGACACCTTTTACTTCACGTTACAGGTAACGTGAGGTGTCGACGGTGTCACAGCCACCTGCTCCGATCAAACCAAACTATTATGCAGCTTAGGCATGGAACTAAGCACCGCTCTCGACGATGTAGGAAACCGGGATAATGTGCCATTGAGTAAGACTCAATTAACTTCTTCACCATCCAATCAGCCACCTGGATCACAGCAGGATGAAGCACGAACGATCCATGTACCATCCGCCCCAGAGAGGCTCGTACCAGTTCTAGCGGATATGCCATTCGCGCAGGGTGAAAATGCTAAAACTTACTTTACGCGCCCGAACAGGTACTTCGGTCCAGCTTCAACCTGGAAATCATGGACAGAGGAGGAGAGGACGATAACAGAAAGCATAGATGCTATGCACTGCCGAGATCTGGGAATACACCTAGTCAATTCTTTCGCCCTCAAACGGAAAGCGTCAGTCGCGATACTGTCTGGGAGGGGACGCAAGCGACGACGAACGACGGAAGGAAAAGACCGAGCGAACCCCGCAGGGTCTATGGACAACGATGCGGACACAGCTTCAGCACATGAAGATGCGAATACAACGGTGTTCTCTATGCCGAAGTGTTGGACTGCTTGGCCCCTGCCTCCCGACAAGGTGCCCAGAGAGGAATTTCTTCCAATGACGGCACTTGATATGGCATTTCGGTCTGAAGTTGACACGAGACCCAGCACAAATCTCGAACAATGTCTAATCTCAAATGCCACAAAAATCGCGCGAGACCGATGGGAGACACGCCAATGGGACAACACGTCCTCAGAACTAAAGACTGATACCAAAGCCCACACACCAAAAGCTGGATCAGAATTCGAAGGTAACAATGCGACAACGGAAAATGACGGCTCGGAAGGTGATGGACATGACATGGAAGAAGAGCAGTCATCTTCAGAGGATGCTCAGTTTCCCATGTTCTCCTCCCGAGCATTTTCAGCATCAAACTCGCCCGAACCTAAATGGCGTGGTCTTCAGACCGAACGCAATGCCGATCAGACATTGTTTAATGATAAGCCTGTTCCCATAGCCGATGATGACAAGGCCGCGCAGTACTTCCTTCCTAGTGCGAGACATGTCTTGTCTAAGCTTGATGATTTACTTCTTGGTCTACACAAAGCTCGGTATCCTTATGCATCGAAGCCGTACAGGAAGAGCAGCGTTAAAATTTTGAGTACATCAGAGGAAAGAGCTAAGAGCACGGGTCTCGGCAGAAGCAGCTCTCGATCTACGTTCCACAGGAGTCGTTCTGGAAAACCATCCCCAGCGGCAAGAGATTCGTCCAACTTTTCTTCCATGTCCCAGTTGTCAGCAGGAAAGACAAGACCACTCGCGGAGCTTGGCTTACGCGACTGGAGTGACGTGGTGGGCATGGCGTCGCTTACTGGCTGGGATCCTGCCGTGGTTGAAAGGGCAAGTGAGCGTTGTGGCCGCTTATTCGGAGAAAATATGCTGTTCCGTGTCTTCCACGAAGGGGAAGCCAAAGAAGTCGAGAAATCACATTCCATCGCCCATCTTGCCGTAGACAGTGAGGTCTCCGAAGAAGCAAACGAAGAAGCATTTGGAGCATCGCATACTTGTCCGCACGAGTCATGCCCCAGGCACAGTGTCCCGTTTCGGAAGACTGCGCATCTACAACAGCATCTGGAAGAAGTCCATGTTGCAAGTGGAGGAAACCGGAGTCGATCTCGGTCGAGAATGTCAGCATCGAGAGGCACAAGTGTCGATTTTAGTGACGTCGACGTCGACATGCTCGCACATCCCGACGTTATAATATGCCCAGTTGCAGGATGTAAACGTGGCCAAAAGCCATTCCCGACGGGCAGAAGGCTCTACGAGCATATTAAGAGAATCCACCCCGAGGTTGATGTGAAGACGGTCAAACAAATGGAAAGCAGGAGACGCGGGGAACGAAGAGGGAGATGGTCCAAAGAGAAAATCCGTCAACGAAGCTTGAGCCAAAGGAGGGCGGCGAGTCCTGAAGACATTGGAAAGCAAAGTCCTCTGGAGCTAGACGAGGATGACGACGACGACGACGACTAAGGCACCGAGGACCAACTTCGCATATCTAAGAAGGCCATGACTTGACTGAGTGATAGCGTCTCCGATGGCGACTCGACCGACACAGAGTCAACGCACAACGTTTCCCGCGTCATACTAGGAAGGATCTCAAAGGCTTCGTCTTCTCGCATTGTGCTGATGGCGCTTCTCTACTGCGAATCCCATGAGATTGAGGTTGAACTTTGCTACGCCTTCAATACCCCGTATTAGGTAATCAAGCAGTGCTATGACGCTTGGGAAGTTGCATTAGTCAGAGCCTTCGACCACCGTCTCTCTGCCGTTGTGTTACTGTACCACATACATACGCGCCCTCCTGAGCGAACACCATTGGTAGTCTTGAAGGATGCAATATTGATAGGTCGTACTCCTCGGCAATCGAATATAAGCCGTGGACGAGCAACTGAGTTCGCCGCAAGATCATCATCCCGTGCAGACTCGGCCTGTCTCACTAGTCACCTCTGCGAAAACCGATCTTCGTGCACTGTCTGCCTACCCACTTGAGGCAGCAATGGCTGCCTCGAATTCGAGAGTGTTTGTGGAGGTCAGAGGTGGAGCGGCTGGACTCAAGCAGATGCGCAAGGGCACAAAATCGTGTCTCGAATGTATGTGGCTTCTTGTTCATCAGTCTACCGTTGATGGTGGCCTTTTCTCGCTCCCGGACTCGTTATTCTTACTTACTAACTATAAAAAGGTCGCCGTCGCAAGATTAAATGCAACTATCCAGAGCAATCCCAGGGGGATTCGTCCTTGACAACCCCGTCTGACCAAGGCTCTGCCTCTGAATCTGGCACGGGACTGGTGTGCAATGAATGTAAAAGTCATGGTCGACAATGTAGAGTGCAGGGATTCGTCGCTTCTGATGCCACTCCGGCTGCAAACGTGGATTCTGGAAACAAGCATCAACCATCACGGCGACCATCAGCGCGAATTTACAAACGTCGAAGAGAGATTGATGATCTCACCTCCGGAGAAGAACAGCATCAGTCATCAAGGAAAAACAGGTCACGAATGGATATTCAGGTCAGCCGAATGGATTCAGTGGTTGAGAGACTTGCAAGAGAGCATGATGTTCCATCGAAACCCAATTCTACTCTGGAATTGCTCGGTCTCCCCAACGTCGATAACTCTCACGTACATACGAACTCTTCACGGATTCCTGCGGAAGATGAGGCTAGGAAAACGAGTCCTCTTCTGACCCAGCTTTTCAACAATGAAATGGTGAGTGTTTGACCCTTGACCCTTGACCCTCCTTCGAGCAAAACGTTGCATCTCCAACATTAGAGACTTACACCTTTTTGTAGCTTGCACAACACTGCATATCTCCAGCGATAATTACCGAGAAAGTTCAGGTCTTGACATTCTCTGATGCGACTTCCGACATCAACGCTGCTACAGATGCGGAAAAGTTACGTTCTACGATATCTTCGGAGCCATATCTGTTGAAGGTGCTCGATATCTCGATACATTGGTGGGTTGCCTGGCGTGACCAGAGTTTCGCTCTCCACGAGGTATTCTTCAATCCTAAAGGCGCTTCGGCTTCAAGCGACACGTCGTCCGAGAGTGGCACTCAGTCAAACGGCGAATCCCCTGGTAGTACGACGAGCTGGCCACATAAAGAAATCAAGCCGGTCTCACTACGCGATTTCGTCCAGACTAAATTGGCCGAAAACAACGCTGTGTCCATTGGAACGGCTTTGCTTTGTATTGCCATGTCGCTGCGAGATTTACGACCTGGTGTGGATGATGTGGAGCTCAATATTTCCACTGCGCCGACTGAAGTCACCGAGCGCATTGTGCTCGCCGTTGACACAGTTCTCTTGTCTCCATCTGCGGACCCTGTGTACAAGAGAGATCCTGGCTTACTGCTGTTATACATGATGCGAGCCAAAATCTACGCCGAGGCGAATCAGCTGCGAAAGTCTTGGCTCTCAATACGCAAGGCAATTGAAGTTGCAAGAGAGAGTGGGTTCACCAATGCCTTACCCTTCCAAGAAGATGGCGAAGTTCCGTTCCTAGACGAGGTTCATGTCTCTAGCATTCTACACCGTCAGCGATGGATCGGCTCAATCCTTGAGTTGGATCGACTAATGAGCTTGGTCCTTGGTTTCCCTCATGCTCAAGACGACAAATTCTCAGACCATCTCGCTCTTGCTGTCCTCCGCGGCCATATTGTCACAGCCGCTGGGGAGAGTAATCTGAGCGTACCGGTGGAACTCAAAATGCGTGCGTTCAGGAGAGTGGTCGCCGTTATCGCAGGTCGTGCGAATGATCGCAATGCATGTACTGAACCTGATGATGTGAAGTATCACACAACAATGTGCATTCAGTCGACTCTTGATGAAGCTGCTGCCGCAATGCCCACGCCTTGGTGGGATGTTGATTCCCACCTGAACTATACGGATCCATATGTGGCGTATCAACATCTCATGGCGCAGATGTGGTTCTGGCAGGTACAGGCGTTTCTGCACTTACCTTACATGTTGAAACCTCTTCCGAATGGTTTGACCCAACCTTATGAAGATACTCTAAACACTTCCGACTCTTCGATTGATCCGTACCAGCCAAGTCGCCTGCTTTGCCTTCAGGCCTGCCGGGGAATGCTTCGAATCTTCTATCTGATGCGCTGTGACCCGTCTCTGGCGGTATATATTTGTCCTTGTGAGGATTTTCAGGGAGTTTTCTGCGCCTGTATACTCACGGTGATGGTTCTTTTCCGTTTATCACACTGTCCATCCTCACAAGGATCAGCAAACCTCGTGATGGACAACCTCCAGGAAGATCTTGATCTCATCGAACAGATCAAAGATATCTTTCGCTTTAGGGCAACACACCTCAATGGCGGCATTGGCAAGCAAGGATTCAAAGTCCTGGATGAATTAGGAGGATTCCTGGAGGATTTTCTTGCTGGTATTGTACCCCAGACAAGAGTGGTCGTTCTACCCTACTTCGGTGCGATCCGCCTTGAGATGAAGCCGCTCTCCGATGTGCCTCTTGCGAAGACTCCGGTCTTTGATCACGAGAATGACACAGAAAATCAGGTCAATAACTTCATGTCTCCAGATATTCCTGAATTGAACGGCTCATCGCGAGAGCGGTCGTCGACAGCATCCCAACTCCTGCTGGGGGCTGATTGGGAGAGTTTTGAGGATCCAAACTTTCAATTTAATTTGCCAAATGCTGAGTTCGAGTGGGATCAATTCTTGTTCGGAGATGAGTTGAACCAAACATGGGATCTCAGTATTCCCGAATGGACACTCGACGACAATGCTTACCAATTCACATGATCTGTCCAAAGGAAGTTATTCTGGAAGACAAAACAATGGTCCCATCAACATTGATGTCTCAGTTCTACGAATGGCAATCTCACGAACCCAATCATCGCAAGGGGAGGAGACGCCAGGTTTTGACGACTAATAGTTCTGATCATGCCTCGATGAGTGGACGACATGTGCTGCCACCCATGTTGTTGGTTTTCTGCTGCCGGGATCGGACACTGCACATTAGATATAATGCCTGACCATAGTCCAGACTGCCCGTATGATCCAAGACAGCTGTACTAGCATCCTGCTCATCGACTCTCAGGTTCGCACCTTGTCTCTGAACCCACTCGACTGTTTCAACCATTTTTGGAAGTCCTGCATCTCCGGAAACTTGTTTTTGAACTCGTTTGGGTCTCCACCAAAGCCCTCCTCCTTGAACCAATTGAACATGACACCTAGCTGTTCGTGGAGGACGAACTTGATCAGGCGACCGACAAAGGGGTATGCCACAGGCATATCTATCCCGACCTCTCGTTTGAAAATATCATTGGCTTGCCGCAGAGTTAGCTCATCTGTGGCCAAGCTAAGGCTTTTTCCGGTGTACAAATCTGGATGCTTGAAAATGTCTGCGGCGAGAACTCCAATATCCTTGGAAGACACAAGTTGTAACTTGGTGCTTGGTTCATTCAACCTCCACATAGCCGTGAACGCTCGACCAAGGAAATCAGGGGTCAAATTGTCCATGAAGGCAACTGGTCGAATTATGGTCCATTCCATCTGATTTTCGGAGCGCTGGCATACTGCCTTCAGGTGGTTCTCAATATTGAATTTGGAGGCAAAGTGCTTGACTGCTGTCGGGTCGCAATCCGATCGTTCAGGCCCGCCTCGATCAACGGAAGTATACACGAAGTGACGGACACCATGTGCTGCAGCAGTGTCGATAAGAGCTTTCCCTTGCTGTTCCTCTATCGTTGGCCGAATGGGTACCTGGACACTGAAGACGCCATAGAAGGGATCTTTGCAAGATCGAAAGATCGGGTTGCAATCATCCAAATCGCCTTGAAGAACGCTGACGTTGGGCTTCTGAGCGAGTGCCTGGGCTTTTGCGCTCTTCGCGTTGCGAGTAAGCGCAACGAGGTGAAAGGGTGGATTTGGCGGAGAGTCCAGCAAAGCCGACAGGAGGGCACCACCCTGTTTTCCCGTTGCTCCTGTGATCAGTATACGCTTGAGTGACATCTTTGGAACCTTTTCGATCAGAATGATAACGGCAGAATTCGAATGCCATTTTCACATCATTGGAAAATGTTTCGAGTCTTTTATAGCAACCCCCTTTTGGATTTTCCATCTTCAGATTGGAACGATACAGGGACGTCATGCAGCCTTCAGTTTCGTCCGAGTGCATCATGTGGACATGGCCTCGAAGACGAATTACACCCTGCGCATCCTGTGAGCGTCATTTAGACAGTCGTCGAAAGACGGACAAGGTTCCACATAGAGATCAGTGACCATGACATTTCGTCCGTTCTCATATATGGGAATAGGTCGATTGATCCGCTATTGATGGATTATGTAATGCGTGTCGGCGGATTTGCTGCCGAGCTCCGTGTCCATTCGCTCCAAAACTTTTTGTGCAGGCGTCGCGACACTACAAGCAACTGACCACGAGGATGCGTCTCTATGTCCTACAGTAACCCTCTCCGCGCAGCTCAGCGCTGCTGGCACGTTTGTCAAAGTTGCCGACAGCAACTTCAGGCTGGCAATGTCTCTCGCCGTTCTCCGATCCCACTCTCGAAAAGATGGATCACTAGAAATCATATGCGCAAGATCCAGGAAGCCGAGGAGGAATGGCGGACAAGAGCACAGGACATCAAGGCGGGCAGGATGCAGTCGCTCTTCAAGACGCTTGAGGAGCGAGGCTACATCAACCAGACCGTCGGGTACGGACCAAAGTGAATCGCATGCCTAGTTGCAATAGCCTGACTGTTTGCGAATAGGTCAAAGGAAGAACTGGACGAGCTGATGATCCACCGCCGAGTTGGTGTCTATGCCGGGATAGACCCTACTGCCCCCTCTATGCACGTTGGGCACATGGTTGTCTTCATGGTTCTGGGGTGGTTTTATATTCATGGCTACGATACGCATTTTGTGGTACGCATTGCAACAAGCCCCTCAAACTATGGAGGATTTGCTGACCACCTGTGCCGTAGTTGGGCGGATTCACGTCGTCAATAGGAGACCCTACCGGGCGAACCACCGGCCGAGAAGCACAGTCGGCGCCGACACGCAAAGCCAACATTGCGGCCATGCATGCCCAACTGAAACGGCTTGGTGCTTCGATCGAGAGGCACGCTGAACGGAAAGGCTTTCAGAAAGAGTGGGCGTGGCGAAGGTCACTGGACAACAATTCCATTTGGTGGAATGCACTATCCGCTAGAGACTATCTCGCAATATTAGGTCGCAACGTGCGCCTGGGACCTATGTTGGGAAGAGATACGTATGTCGATTCACAATCATTGATTTGAGCAGGGCCAAAACTGACTTGTGAATTAGTGTCAAGACTCGACTGGAAAAAGGAGATGGAATGTCGTACGCCGAGTTCAGCTATCCTCTGGTTCAAGCTTGGGACTGGTGGCATCTCTTCCAGAAAGGAGTGCAGATCCAGGTTGGTGGTGGGGATCAGTTTGGCAATATTCTTGCCGGGGCGGACGCCGTCAAGCAGATTGCGAAGGACTCGCACGAATACCAGACAGCACTACGCAACACAAAGATCCTTGATCAGAAAAACAATATTGACGTTACCTCTGAACCGCTGGGGATCACCGTGCCACTTCTGACGACCTCATCTGGCGAGAAGTTTGGAAAAAGTGCTGGGAATGCTATCTGGCTAGACCCTGATATGACACCGATTTTTGATCTCTATCAGGCAAGCACTTTCTTCTCGCCTGACTTGTGTATGCAACCTCTAACATTCGTTGCAGTTCTTTCTTCGCTCCAGCGACGCGGACGTTGAACGATATCTCAAGCTCTTCACATTTTTGCCATTACCAGAGATCCGGCAGATCATGGAAGAGCATCAGAAAGACGCCTCGAAGCGTGTAGCCCAGCACACGCTCGCCCGAGAGTTTGTCGAGTTGATATACGGCACTGAAAGTGCCGAAGAAGCCGAACAGCAGCACCGACAGCTTTTCAAGAAGACGCTGACAATCAGTGACATCACATCAAGTGCTACGGATGCTAAAGCCACCAGTGCAGCTAATGGCGCAGCAAGAACCGCTCCGAATGCAAACTTTATGCACCCGTCTCTGAATAAGCATGCTCAACCGATGAGGATGGAAGACAATACGTCAACGAGGGTCAAGTTACCCAGGAGTCTTGTAGTTGACAAGCCGCTGGGTCAGATCATGTTCGCAGCGGGCTTGGTATCTTCTAAAGCCGAAGGCCACAGATTGATCATGGCCGGAGGAGCCTACGTCGGCGCATTGCCAGGGTCGATGAGCAAGATGGATGATAACTTGAGTTTCGCTCCAGCACGGACCAATACAGCTCAGGAAGCATCCAATTATATCATCGACGAAAAGCTGCTCATCTTACGGGTAGGGAAATGGAAGATGAAAATCGTCGACATCATTTCCGACGAGGAATATGAGCAGGCCGGATTGACCTGTGCTGCATGGGAGGCGATGAAGGCCGCTGAAGCAGCGGCTCAGGCCGAAGCTGGAGACAAGGAAACGCCACAAGAGCATAGATAGTCCTGTCTCTTCTCAGCCTTTGTATGAAATTGTACCAACATGCGTAGAACAATCACGACATTCACCTCCTGAACGCGTTGAAGGTAGCGGGCAAGGCTAGCATCCTACGGAGAAGCAAGGCTATGTCGGTACCTGGTACCTGTAATGGGTATGGCGTTTGAAATGACAGTAAAAGACACGCTGCGCCAGCCGCAGACTGGAGTATTTTAGGGTACGAATGATGCGCAGTACCCCAGTAGGGAAGCCACTCAATCTACGCGTGGAAGTCGCGCTAGTGACCCAGTACGCGATTGGCATCATTTATTTCACACCCTGCGTTTCTGTGCAGACATGCTACTTAACTCGTCTGTGATCCTTGTGTGCCGTTAAGGGCGTCTCGTGAAGAGGCAACTCGACAGCCGCCATGCCTCCCAAAAAGACGCCTTCGGGCCTGGTGTCAACACCATCACTGAAAAAGTCACAGTCCTCTGGCCAGAAGACGCTGCTTGGTTTCTTCCAACGCACACCTTCCACAGGCTCATCCCCTGCCCTTCCCTCTCGCCAGTCTACTGCAACCCCTGGCCCACCGAAGGGACGGGAGAGATCTGCGGCAGCGAACTCGACGTCGTCATTGACCCCGGTGCCCAGTAGCGATGGGCCGGAGCCGGAGACTGAGGACAGTAAGGGCGATGTGCAGGCGAGTTCGCCTCCTTCCAAAGGTCTGCCGTCGCCAGTCTCAGCTGACGAAGGGCAGACTAATGGAGTAGGTGATTCGAATGCAAGAGGCACGCCGTCGCGCAGGGTAACAACGCGTACCGTCCCTCGGACCGAGACATTCAGCTAACTTCGTTTAGGCCAAGAAGACCATCAACTATATCGAGTCCGATAGTGAAGGTACTGATGGCGATGATGTTTTCAAACCTAAACCTGCGATTCGTTCGAGACCTGCGAAGCGAAGAAGGCTGTCAGATAGTGCCGACGAGGACGTCTATCAGCAGGAGAATGAGGAGGTGCAAAGTGATGACGATGGTAAGTTTGTTATATGTATGGTCACACCTCCGCTGACCGTACCAGATATGGACAATTTCATAGTCCCCGACGACTCTGAAGATGAGGTCCGTCGACCCGTCAAACGCAAAAGACCCTCGAAGCCGGTTTCACGAAAGACCTCTTCACACTTTACACCCGCTGAGGATGAAGTGGACGAGCAGGTGGATGTCGAGGTCGACTTTGATGCGGATATGGATCTTGCAGAAGGGTCTACAGCTCAGAAATGGACTTATGACCCGGAGAACCCACAGCCTCTACAACTGAGACCGAATAATATCCCTTCGAAGAAACCGGGTAAACAGAAGGCTCATTTGACAGAACCAGAAAAACGACACGCTTGGCTGGAGGATATCCGGGATATGGACAGGAACCCTCCCGGTCATCCTGACTACGATCCTCGAACATTGTACATCCCACCAATGGCGTGGACAAATTTCTCACCGTTTGAAAAGCAGTACTGGGAGATCAAGCAGAAGTTCTGGGACACTATTGTCTTCTTCAAGAAGGGAAAGTTCTATGAACTCTACGAAAATGATGCCACTATAGGCCATCAGTTGTTTGATCTGAAGCTGACTGACCGCGTCAACATGCGCATGGTGGGCGTTCCAGAATCGAGCTTAGGGCTGTGGGCGAACCAGTTCGTAGCAAAAGGCTTCAAGATTGCACGAGTCGATCAACAAGAAAGCAAGTTAGCAAAGGATATGCGGGAACGGGCCGAAAAGGACGCAAGCGAGGACGCGATGACTGGCTTCGGCGGCAGAAGAGGTGCGTCTAAAGGGAACAAATCCGGCGGTGCGGCGAGTAAGAAGGATGACAAGGTCATCAAGAGAGAGCTGGCTTGTGTACTCACCGCAGGCACTCTGGTCGATGGCACTATGCTGCAGGACGACATGGCAACCTATTGTGTTGCAATTAAAGAGTCGGAAGTCGACAGCTTGCCTTCGTTCGGTGTGGCGTTCGTGGATACGGCCACGGGCCACTTTCACATCGCAGAATGGGTTGACGATGCGGACCTGACTAGATTCGAGACTTTTGTTGCTCAAACACGACCTCAAGAACTTCTGCTGGAGAAGGGTGGCGTTAGCACGAAAACGCTACGTATTCTCAAGAACAACACCGGGCTGACCACGATATGGAACTACCTGAAACCAGGCAAAGAGTTCTGGGAAAGTCATATCACCGCCAAAGAAATCGAAGCCTGTGATTACTTTCCAATGGACTGGCCGGAGGTTCTTCAACAGGCCAGAGAGAAAGAACTGCTCATGTCTGCTCTTGGTGCCTTGATTCAGTACTTGAGGACTCTCAAGATTGAACGAGAACTCGTCACTCTGGGCAATTTCACCTGGTACGACCCTATTCGAAAGGCAGGCAGTCTTGTACTGGATGGCCAGACATTGATCAACCTGGAAGTCTTCGCCAACTCTCACGATGGAGGTCCTGAAGGTACACTGTTCCAGCTCCTGAATAGATGCATCACTCCCTTCGGCAAGCGAATGTTCAAGCAGTGGGTGTGCCATCCTTTGATGGACACGAAGAAAATCAATGCTCGTCTGGACGCTGTTGATTCTCTAAACGCTGATACCAAGGTGCGCGACCGCTTTACTTCGCAGATGTCCAAGATGCCTGATCTTGAACGATTGATCTCTCGTGTCCATGCCGGGGCATGCAGAGTCCAAGATTTCGTCAGTGTCCTCGAGGGATTCGAGCAGATTGACCACACCATGTCTTTACTGAGAGATGGATCAGGCAAGCAACAAGATGCGGATGGTGTCATTGGTCAGCTTATAGCTGCCATGCCAGACCTTGAATCGCGATTGAAATACTGGACAGACGCTTTCGATCGCGCAAAGGCCAAGGAAACAGGCATTCTAGTGCCTGAGCGCGGCTTCGAGGAAGATTTTGACAATTCGCAAGACTTGATCGAGGAGATCCAAGAAGAATTTAATGTGCTCCTCCGAAAGTGGCGGAAAGAACTGGGGTCTTCTGCTATTTGCTACCGTGACAACGGCAAAGAAATCATGCAACTGGAAGTTCCCACAAAAGTCAAAGGCATCCCCAAAAACTGGGATCAAATGTCTGCTACACAAGCAGTGAAGCGATACTACTTTCCAGAGCTGCGGGCTCTTGTTCGGAAACTCGAAGAAGCCCGGGAAACTCACGCACAGATTTCCAAGGAGGTCACTCGCCGTTTCCAAGCTCGCTTCGACGAGAACTATGAAATCTGGCTGGCTGCAGTCAAGGTTATCGCTCAGCTTGACTGTCTGATCTCGTTAGCAAAGGCAAGTGCAAGCCTGGGCTATCCAAGTTGCCGACCCGAATTCGTCGACGACGATGATAGCACGCCTTCAACTTTGGAACTTGTCGAGCTTCGTCATCCATGTCTCCTAGCCAAGGTTGACGATTTTATTCCCAACGACATTGTGCTAGGCGGGGAGAATGCCAACATTAGCCTGCTGACTGGAGCAAATGCAGCAGGCAAATCTACGGTGCTCAGAATGACCTGCATAGCAGTCATCATGGCTCAGGTTGGCTGTTACCTTCCGTGTCAGTCTGCACGGCTCACTCCATTCGACCGGATCATGTCTCGCCTGGGTGCGCAAGATCATATTTTCGCCGCCCAGTCGACGTTTTTCGTCGAGCTCGCTGAAACGAAGAAGATTCTCTCTGAAGCGTCTCCTCGCAGCTTGGTCATTCTCGACGAGCTTGGCCGTGGCACATCCTCGCATGACGGTGTTTCTGTGGCCCAGGCTGTGCTTCACCATCTGGCTTCGCACGTCGGGTGTTTGGGCTTCTTTGCGACTCACTACCATTCACTCTCTGCGGAGTTTAAGGGACATCCCCAGATTATTCCACAGCGGATGAGTATCTTGGTCGATGACGAGAACAGACGCGTTACATTCTTGTACAAACTCGAATCAGGCACTGCAGAAGGCAGCTTCGGAATGCATTGTGCAAGTATGTGTGGCATTGCTCCTGGCATCGTCGATAGAGCAGAGGAGGCGGCCAAGGAGTGGGAGTACACTAGTCTCATGGCCCGGCGATTGAAGGGCGCAGATAATGAGGTTGGTACCGAAGGTGATGGCGGCCAAAGCAAGGAAAGAGAAGTCCCATTAGGATTGTTGAGTGATTTGGCTTGGATACTGGATGAGGAACGCGGTCGCGAAATCCATGAACGCGGAATCGACGCCCTTGTCAAGTGTATTGAAGCCTTGTGAGTATGAAGGAGTTGATTTGGTTTGACTTGATTTGATGGGCCTGTTTTCTTTACCGCAAACAAACAAAGATCGTGACTGAAGTGTTTCTGGTGTTGATGGGCGTGGAAGTGGCATACTTTTGAAGATTGTTGTATTAAAATACGAGCGCTTGGTGAAGGATATGATCTTTGTCATGTCAAATATTGTTGCGCGTGTCCGTCAATCGGCGGTGCCGTGTATGGTTGTTTGCTAAGACGTCTATGGCGAGGAGGATATGGGACATAGCAAGACACAGCCGAGTCTGAAATGGGATTCTTCTTTTGGTTTTTCAGATTTGACATGATTCGTTTATTGATGTGCCAGTAACCAGCACTACGTACGGGTCCATGCGTTGTGAACACAACGTGATATGGAGTTTACCTGCAGGGCAAACAAGACGGGGGTGTAGGAGTCTTAGTTGATCAATATTAGTGCGCGTGTCCGGAAGATATCTCGATACATGCAAGCAAGCAAGCAAGCAAGGCGGTAGGTAGGTAGGTAGGTAGGTAGGTAGGTAGGTAGGTAGGTAGGTAGGTAGGTAGGTATATGTGGTGGTGGTCCACGTAGTCTCGTATTGGGAAGGAAGGTAGGGACGGATTCGGGTAGAACGTACAGTGTGGCACAGCACAGGAGCGAACCTTTACACAGCTGTGGTACTCAACCACGGTACCTTGGTAGATAGGTAGGTAGGTAGGTATCCTACGCAAGGGGGAGGAAAAGAATGGGCAGCTGGCAGGTAGGTAGCTGGTCGTATAATCTACGGTACCTTAAGGTACGTAGGTACCCTGGGTATCTGACAGAACGGACATGACGGCAGCTGGTATTGATTTGCCTGCGGTATATTTCTACGCAGGCGTGCAACGACGGAAGAACGAGAAGGACAGGGGAGCGTAGAAGGGGGAGTTCGAAGACACTAATAAGAGCAGAGAAGAGAGTGGAGAGCGACAAACATGTCGAGAATCAACTCTTGCTCAGTTCGACGACTCATCGAGTAAGGGGGATTAGGTTTACCTAGACAGACGGTCATGTCTTCACGCCATCATGAACCTATCTAATGTCATTTTCGCTCAATCGCGCGTCCAATTCTCTTGTTCGATGCCGCCAACGGTGTGTGGTACCATGATTGAAATGTCCAAGGAGAGTGGAAGTCTGCCACGTAAAGGTAGACACAACTCGATATGTCATGATTACCGGAACAGGGGCCACCTTGATTGTGACTTTCAGACCTCAGAGTGAACAACTCAAGCGGTTTCGGTATTGACTTCTTCGGCCACGTCGGCTTCTTTGCGACCGTCTTCGCCTTCGTCTTCGCCTTCATCTTCGTCGCTATTCTCCTCTTCCTGATCGACTGTCGACGCGCCATCGCCAACAGCAACATTCTCGTCGCCGGCTTCAAGGTTCGGAGTGACGGTTTTCTTGCCGTTGAGAACATCGTTGGCCAAGGCAGCATCAGCAACGAGTTTCTCCTTTGTGGCTTTGTCTTTGGCGTCGGCGTCGGCATCGGCATCGGCATCGTCAACTTCAGCATCAGCGTCGTCGGATCCTTTGGCGTCTGCAGCAGCGGCTTTCTTGGATGCAGCGGCGTTCTTGCGTGGAGTTGCCTTCTTGGCCTTTGCGGGAGCTGCTGTGACTTCTCCGTCACCCTCAGCATCCGCGGCAGCAGCGGCCTTCTTTCTCACGGGAGTCTTGCGAGGTTTCTTGGCTGGCTTCTCATCCTTGTCATCACCATCAGCGTCGGCACCAGCACCACCGTTGGCAGCAGCTTCGGCCTCCTTCTCAGCCTTGGTCTTACGAACGCGCTTCTTTCCTGCAGCTGGAGTCTCGGGGGTTTTGGGAGTAGCCGCGACAGCTGGTTCTTCTGCTCACGAATATGTCAGTTGATCGGTTGAGAATAATTCAGGAACACATTCCAACTGTGAAAAATGAGGACGAGGAGGTTCAAAAAGGAAGAAAGTCAGTCTTACCGTCGTTGTTCTCGACTTTAGGAGTAGTGGCTGGAAGAGCAAGCTCGTCAGCCTCGTCGCCGCCTTCTGCATCATCCTTGACGTGAGTTGGGGTCTTCGAGGTCTTCGGGGTCTTCTTGGTAGAAGCCGGAGTAGCATTGGCGTCCTTTGGCTTGCGTGGAGTTCTTGCCTTCGGAGTGGATGGCTCGCCATTAGCACCACCAGAACCTTTCTCCTTCTTGGGAAGTGAGAGCTTCTTTCTGACCTCGCTCCAGCGTGCAGCGGCCGAAGTACCGTTGGCAACGCCGAGGGTCACGGCCATGTTGGCATAGTCGATCTGGAGGACAGTGTCAGTGGAAAAACACTTCTGGCACGTGGCTCATTGTGGTGTGCAAACTGCAAGTGTTGAGGACCCAGCTTGGTAGCCGGAAGAGGCCTTCCACTTACTTGGATATCGCCACTTTTGACATTCTGAAGCGCAGCGATGAGGATTTCCGTCTCACGCTGGGTCAAGACCGGCGCTGGCTTCTTGGTAGCCTCAGACATTGTGTCGATGTGTTGATGCGAAGAGCTTCGGTCGATTTGGGCTATGTGCGAGATCGAGTGTTGCAGTGTGTTGTAAGTGTGATGCAGAGGTGTGATGAGGCGGATGAACAGATGGCGAAGGTAGGGAAGGGATTAAATAGTAGATAGCATGGCGAGCCAATGATACGAGTATATAAGTTCAACGTGGTGAATGAACTGTTTGTGTTGATACACCCAGGCGTGTATGAGAAGTAAGTGAAACGTGTGTGAAGTCATCCAAGCGGCAGACACGCTGTATTTTGCTCGTCACCGCCTCCATCGAGCCACAGAACTGCTCTCATTTCCAGTCAGTCGCTCGTAAACCTGTTTCCAGATACCAGGAGTGACATCCCATGCTGCTTTTCCTCTTGCCGACTCTGCACGCACATAGAACTGGGTTGGATTTGGCCTGAGGAAACTTCCCCGGTGAACAAATGGCCCAACCCATTCGAAGTTTACAGGACGAATATGGCTCCTGACAGGCTTCGTGTGGTCCAGGCGCACCGATACATAATCAGACAATGTCGTTGCCCTCATAAACCTCAAATCCAGCACGGCGTCAGCAGGTAAACTTTTCGCGTACGCCATTGCAGCCTTGGGTGAATGCTGCGCGGACTGTGGCAGTCTGAGGAACACTTCGGTTATCATCGGCCTCAGGGCCCAGTGAATGAAAGCGAAAGGTACAAAGCCGGCCAACCATACTATTGGGGTGGGTGTCAGTCCTAGGACATGTTAGAAACGTGAGAATAAACGTACATCCCGCAACGGTGATGGCTGAGCTTCCATTAAGCCAGTGAGCTGGTGCAACGACAACCGTGGTCAAGCACAGGGCGAAGATGGCGGCAAAGCGCAAGAATGTGATGGCATAGATCTTGCCATTTCCTACACTGTATATCCGTAGCTTTTTCTTGTACACTGCCTCCGGGTCAACCCTCGTCCACCTGTAGTCCAGGTTTGAGATATCTACCTTTTGGCTCGGTTCGAGGAGGGAGGTTCCGCGTCAGCTGCTCAATGTGCAGTCGTTCTTTCGGCGACAGGGTCAAGTTTGGGGTGATGTCGGCTCTCGGTATGACTTTGAATGGCACCTCGACCTTTCGGCCATCTTGAAGAGCTCTCCCTTCCCCTTGGACCGGAACAAGGTCTTTCCTGCTCGCGGCTTGTCCCTTGGCGGGGGCATTCTCTTTCGCTGCTCGGTCGGTGAGAGAAGCCTCCTTCTGTGCTCGGAGCTGGCTGTGGACTACCTGGATAGGCGCCTCGACCTTTCTGCGCGGAAGCGGCTTCTTCAGTAGTGGTTGAAAAGTACTGAAACGAGTCCTTCTGGAGGCCACATGTTGTCTAGAACAGGTCTGGAAAGCTAGGCGGACCTCCGCGACGAGGACGAGAGGTAGGCCTCGCATGGATCGGCCGCTGGATATTTGGACGACGGGCTAAGAGGTCCCGTCAATCACGACCGATTGCGACTGGAAGTAGCTGCTTTGTTCCCTGCGTATCCAAAACTTTTTTGTTCTGCGCGTCCGTAGATTTCGGCTCGGCACGCGATATTGAAACGTTGAAACGATAAGGAAACTGCGCCGAGAGGGAGCAGGAACGACAGCATGTCCATCCCACTGAACTTTACTGACTCCCCAGCCGTTGCTTTGCTTCTTACAGGCTTCTAGCAGGAATGGTATGACCCTGCGCTTCTCAGGCCCTTCGCACAATGTGGCGGTGCTCGACGCGATGGCTGTTGACCTTGGTGCTGTCTTTCCTGCGAGTTGTCGCATATACACCATTGTCCGACGACACCATCCTCAATCGACTTCCCCTGCCGGACATTGCTGATTTTGATACACGGACGGGCAATATATTAGCACCGATCTTGATCCCGCGGGTCCCAGGTACGCCAGGGTCTGCACAAGTCCTCCAACACTTTGTAGACTTCTTCCGTACTTCCCTCCCTGACTGGACGGTGACTTTCCAGAACTCGACCTCGAAAACGCCTACACACGGGGCCAAGGAGGTTCCCTTTGTCAATTTGATTGCCACAAGAGATCCTCCGTGGTCACGCCCGGGGGATGTCGGTCGCTTGACACTGGTGGCCCACTATGATTCCAAATACAAGCCCGATGGCTTTATCGGAGCCACCGACTCTGCTGCGCCGTGCGCCATGCTCCTGCATGCGGTCAGAGCGATCGATGCTGCCCTGACGAAGAAGTGGGATTCTGTCCAGGCTCAGGAGGACTTGGATTTAGATTTTGCGGAAAACAAGGGCATCCAGGTCCTGCTTCTCGACGGTGAAGAAGCTTTCCAAAGCTGGACCGCGACCGACAGCATCTACGGCGCTCGATCCCTTGCCGAAGAGTGGGAGAACACCATGCACCCGGCCACGAGTATCTATAAGAATTACCTCGACTCTATTGAGCTGTTCGTATTGTTGGACCTGCTTGGCTCACCAGAAGATCTGCCAATTCCGTCGTGGCAACACTCTTCTCACTGGTCATACGTCAAGATGGCAGAAGCCGAAGAGAGGCTGCGAGATTTGGGCATGTTCAAAAGCAGGTCACGGCGTAACTGGCTCCTGGACAAGGATAAAAAGGAAACCGAGATGTTCAACAGTTATATGATGCAAGACGACCATATTCCATTCATCGCCAGAGGAGTCCAAGTCTTGCACCTCATTCCCGCTCGCTTTCCGTCAGTGTGGCATACTATAAATGACGACGCGGACCATCTAGATATCGACGTGGTGAAAGACTGGGCTCTTCTCACAACTGCATTTGCTGCTGAATATATGGAGCTTGAAGGCTTTTTTGAGGCCCCGCCCTCGAGGAAAGTCAAGAGAACTAACGAGACTGTCATAAGCAAGACAGAATTGTGACAGCGATTCTGGTTACATAGTCACACACAGACATACAGGGTCGACTTTGCTATACCGGATGTTTAGAAAGGTTGTCCACAAAAAATTCACGCCCACTAGATGCGCGACGATGGTGCAGAGCCTGTTGGTTTCTGCACAATGTTGCATCCCAGCAAAACATCATCTTCCTCCACGACAGGATCCTGTCGGCTTATTTCAATCAAACCTCCCCCCCGCTCGACTCTGCAGATTCCTTACTCTCTTTCGTGGAACAAGATGAGGCTCCTTCGGGGCGGCAGCATTACTATTGAAAGCATGATAACACAGGCTGTTCGTATGCGATAGCCGCTCTGCCATGTCCGCGTTGTGTCGACCGACTCAGTCGCTCCTTGGCCATGCTCTGGGCCACAGGACGTGGTCCAAGGATCACTGTCCCTGGGGACGAATGCCGCGAAGCAATAATCTCAAGTGAATCAAGCAAATCTCTCGGGCAAGTTGGTGATGTAAGTAGAAATCTCTATTCATAATCACTGTGACTATTAGAGCCGGTGTTTGTCCGGCCAAGGCGTCTTCTTGAGGCCCATTTGCTCTTGTTGATGATCACGGAGTTGTTGATTATCAAATTTCCTTGTATTAACCATTTTCCATTCCCATCCTTTTCTTTCTTCTTTTAAGAAGGAGACCCAATCTAGAAGCCCTTTTAAACGCCGTACATTTTTGAGCAAAAAGCTACATGCCTGACAACCACCTCCCTACATAATTTGGGGCCTGGCTAGATATCACTTACGGGTCCTCCGTATTCCACAATCTCCTCGTCTCCTCCCCTTGATCAAAAGGTCTGGCCAGGTCCGAAAGGACTCTCGCCTTTTTTTTTTTTGGAGAGAGATAGAGAGAGAGTCATACGTAAAACGTCGTGTCGTGTCGTGTTTTTCGTTGTTTGTTTCATCTCGAACTCGCTTCCCCATTCTCTCGCGGATCTGGTCCTCTCGAAGTCCCTCCGTAATGATGACCGGTTGCGATGATCTTCTCGAGCTCGGCTCTCTCGCCCGAGGTCTCGACCATTTCCCTGAACACGCCACCTTCCTTCAGCATGAGGTTCTTGGGCTCGTCGTACTCGAGCACCTTGCCCTCGCCGAGGACGAGGATGCGATCAAAGTCGGCGATGGTGCTCAGTCTGTGCGCAATCACGATCAGCGTGCTGTCGGTGAACTCCTCGCGGATCGACCTTTGGATCAGCGCGTCCGTCTCCATGTCGACGGCGCTGGTGGCCTCGTCGAGTACCATGATCTTCGGCCTCGAGACGATCGCCCTCGCGAGACAGAGCAGCTGTCTCTGGCCCTGCGACAGGTTCAAGCCGCCTTCGGAGATCTTGCTGGATAGGCTCTTGAAGATGTTGGTGTTTGAGTCCCGGGGGGGAACACCGCCGGCGCCGTTCGTCATCGGTGTGGCGCTTCCACTTGGACCAACCGACGCAGAGGATATGAGGTGTACCCTTGCCAGCGCCTCTCTAAGTTCTTCATCCGTGTGCTGGTCGAATGCGTCGAGGTTGGTCCTGACCGAACCCGAGAACAGTACTGGGTCCTGAGGGATGATGGCAAGTCGGCTTCTCAAGTCGAAAAGCTTGATCTTTGAAATGTCCACGCCATCAATCACAATCTGCCCCGCGCTTGCCTCGAGGAACCTGAACAGCGCGAGCGTCAGACTCGACTTGCCCGCTCCGGTTCGTCCGACAACACCAACCCGCTGGTTTCGGCTCACACTGAAGGTCAAGCCTTTCAGCACAGGAGGCAAGTCGTCAGCGTAGGCAACGACGAGATCGTGGACCTCGAGGTTTCCTTCTGTCGGCCAAGCGGCCGGCGCGTCGAAGCCCTCTTGATTTTCGATGCGGATGTTGCTGTATTCGACGATTCGCTCCGTGGCATTCATATCCAGCTCGACATTGCTGTACTGTCTGAGGAACCAGATAACACCTTCGGACATGCCGAGCGCGAAGCTCAGGGCAAAGCCAGCCAGACTGGAATCGATGGAAGGGATACTCACAATCAGTGCGGCCGTCACACACGCAAATCCGGCTCCGACCATATTCAAACGCCAGCCCATCCACCGATTGAAGAGCCAAAGGTGCCAGTACGCGCGCGCATGCCGATCGATGCGTGCGTACATTTTCTCCAGGTACGCATCGCATTTGTCGAATGCGCGGATCGTGCCGATTCCCGTGAGCACGCTTCCGAACTGTTCGAAGACCGGAGACTTTGCGTTCGACTCCAGCCGTTTCACTTCCCGGGCGCCGGCCAGATATCGGAGAGCGTAAAACATGCAGATTGCTAGCAACGCCAAAGCGAAGATGATCATGAGTGGCGATACAAACAGCCCGGCAATCACGACAGATAGAACATGCATCAGATTGTGCAACATGAAAGCCAAGTCCATGCTGATGCGACTGTCGAGCATGTTGAAATCGCTCGTGAAGCGGTTGAGAATCCGTCCGAGAGGGACAGTGTCGAGCCAACGGAGAGGCGCGCGAAGAACCGCAAATGCAAGGTTCTCGAACATGGTACGCGACGCGCGGATCGAGGCCACAAACACAAACAAGTATCGAACGGTGCCCTCGAGCCATGCAACGATTGAGATGGCAAGGTAGACGCCAAGATAGTAAGTTAGGTTGGGGTCTACGGTGGTCGTAGATAGCTCGGAGGAAACGTATCGGAATGCGTTGATGGGCTGCTGAATGAAGTGGCTGTCCTGATGAAAAGCGTGGAACGACATGACAGCTTCAGACCTGTATGCCCGAGTCCAGACACTAATCCAGTACGATCTAGCGAGGTATACAATGATCCAGAGCGTGAAGACGAGGAGAATGAAGAACCAGTAGGCAAAGCCGCCGCACGCACGGATATAGGCTGCGTAGATCTGATACTTGATTGCACCCGTGGCTCTCTTTTCTTCCTCGGTGAATTTCTTCGGTGTCTTCGCTTCATCTGGAATTGCGTGAGATCGACGTCGAGCGAGATCCTCCCCGTCTAGATTGGCCTCGCTGAGTGCGGATTTCCGACGGGAGCGATGGCTGAACATTTTCTGGAGACCACCTCCATCGTCAATGGTCAGGGCTTGCTCACGATCGAATTTTTCTTCTTCCTTTTCTTGCTCTTCAACATCTTGAGCGAGAATACTCTTGAGCTTGCCGGATCTTCGAAGATCTTCGGTACGGCCAGCTTGTTCGGCAGTACCGTTCGACAACAGCACGCTGTAGTTTGTCTTTGGGAGACAGAGGGCGACATGGTGTGTCACTAGGATTCTTGTGCGCCCTTGTCCAAGTTCACCTGTCAGGGCTTGTTCAAAGAGGTGCCGGCCCACGTGCGCGTCGACTGCAGAGAAAATGTCGTCAAGGACAAGTATACCGGCTCGAGAGTAGAGTGCCCTCGCAAAAGAGACTCGCCATTTTTGACCACCGCTGAGGTTGATACCATTTGCACCAATGTCGGTAAGTTCTCCATCCTGAAGCATTTCCAGGTCCTTGGTCAAAGCGCACGCATGGAGCACCTTCTGATATCGATCATTGTCGAATGGGAGGCCAAAGATAATATTGTCTCGAATGGTTGCATTTTCGATCCAAGGAATCTGTGCAACGAAAGCAATAGAAGAGTCGAGGATCCAGTTCCCTTTGTTGGCATTGTCATCGTGCCGTTGTTCGGCCGAAGGTGGCTTGGGGACTGTGACAGTGCCACGGAGGACCTCAGCCTCGCCAATTATCGACGCCAGTAGCAGACTCTTTCCAGACCCCGTCCGACCTGAAATGACGCTGAGCTCCTTCTTGGGGAATTCGATATTGAGATTACTCAGGGTGAATTGCTGATCTTCCTCTTCGGGATGATCGGACGGCCACGCCACGGTCGCAGCCTTGAACGAGACCCTATCTCCCGGTTTGCTGTACTCTGTGCGTTCCGGTGCATCAAGGTATTCTTGAATTCGGGCCGCAGAAACAAGAGCGTCTAGCAGGTCAGTCACCATCTCTGGAATGACTGCCAGTGTCATTTCAATCGCTTCAAAAACTGAAATCGTCGTGAAGGCGACTGACGCTGTTAGCTCTTTGTGTATGAGAGCATACGTTGCCAGGGATATCGCTGCAAGCATGACCGGGCCAAAGATCCAGATGCTAATAAGTGTGGTGTCATAGATGAAGACTTGCCATTGCGTCTTCAATTCCTTTCTCCTTGTTTCGAGTATCTTTTCGTACCAGTTTCGCTCCAATGCGCTGAACTTGATCTGACGGATTCCTTGCAAGGCTTCCGTCACCACAGCCATCTTCTGATCACGGTGTTTCATCAGATCATCTTGCGCATTGGCGTAGCGCCTCGCAGCAATGATATTGATGGGCGTGATGATGGCAGGAGCGGCCAAGCCTGCAAGGAGAGGAACTGGGCCGATCAGGTTATACAAGAAGGCGAAGGCGAAGATCAATTTGATTGCCGAGCCAAGGAAAATATAATTGAATGTTGCAAAGTCTGCAATTCTTTTGGAGTCGACGCCGACAAGGTTGATGGTGCTTTGACGAGATTTCTGGAAGTCTTCGTCATCATCGTTTTCGGACCCAGAATCTTCCCCTTTCTGGCCTGCTGCCGCTTTGTTGGCGACTTGCCCTGGAGTTGACTCTCCATCGTTCGCTTCAAGCTCCTCTGACTTTCTCCCTGCGCCCTTTACATCTTTACGTCGGATGGCCTTACCAAAAACCACAGCAGCTAGCTGCTCATAGATGGGCACTCCGAGTCTCATGAAAACAATGAAGAACATCCAAGCCTCGAGCCAGGACGAAAATGTGACTGCAGCACCCAGTGCAATGACCAACAGCCAAGCAGTGAAACCGACGTCCACACCTTGATCTCGGGCCTCGAGAGTGCGTAGAATGAAGTAAAGAGCAATTTGTGGGAGGAATTCTGTAATAGAACTGACGCATTGAATGCACCATTGCTGGATGAATGCCCATCGGTGAGACCAGAAAATGCTCTTCCAGAGCTTGTCCTTGTAGCCAATCGCATCAAATCTTCTCCTAAGTTCTCGGGAGCGCAAGTCATGGTCGATCTCAGCCAGATCGTCGTAGTCCAGGCCTTTGTTTTTGGCTGCGAAGGCCAAGATCGGAGATGGCCAGGAAAATGTGAACTTGCCTAGCACCGAAACAGTGTTCTGGCGGTCCACGACCTTTCCGTTATGATAGACATCCGGTCGTCGTGGGAGGGAGAAACTTGTTACACCCAAACACAGAGCTGCGACAAACTGCACGATTGAAAGAACAAGATGCGCGTTCCTTGGCTGTGGATGGACTTGGGACCTCCATAACGAGACATTCTCAACTGCGACGGCGATGGCTACCAACAGGCTTGAAAATCCAGACGAGATTCCAAGATTGTACCGGTGTAGAGATGATGGTGTCACAAAGATGACGATGGCTTGAAAGAGGACGAACAACTGGCAGGTGTCAGAAAATGCTTGCTCATGCGTGGAGGTGGTTATGGGCCGACGTTGTCAACTTACCCATGTTGCGAACTGCACCCACTGCTCAACCGCCAAAGGAAGATCAGGTCGAGTGGTGATTAGAACAGCGGAGGCCAAAGCATCCAGGCAAACAACGATTGAAATTAATATTAGAACTAAGCGTGGGATGAAGTCGGAGAAGGCTTCCTGGGATTCTTCTGTGGCAACACCATCCTTGTCTTCGTAAATCTCCGACAGGTGTTGATAGTGGTCTTTTCTGGCTCGGATTCGAGAAATGAGCTGGGAGAGGGCCGGGATTGAAAGTAAAGCTACGGCCACGGCTGCTGCTATTGAAATGGCGACTGACACCGTGATGTGATGCACTGCCATGTTGACTTTGCCCAATCGACTAAGGTATCGTTGACTGGACACACATTCTGACTGTGATAATGGAGATTTCGAGAGTTACAAGAGAAGGAGAAATAAGGCGCGCTGCACCGTGGTATTTGCTCTTCGACCGATGTAGCAAATGACCGTGTGACGAGGTTTGCTTGCTGGAGAAGTGGAGTTCGGATGTGAAGGGAAGATATGGGAAGAGTCCCCAGCGAGACTCACTCAGGTGCGTCGGATTCGATTCCTGGGAGCTGGTGAGTTATTAGGCCAGATGGATGGAGGAATGCAGACCGAGATGCAGCGTCCTTCTGTTCTAGAAATTTTTGCGTGGCCAGGGAAAATTATATCATGGTTACTTCTGGCTGTGGTGGCATTGGGGACGCAGGGGCCGTCATATGCATAACGGGAAGCTCGGCGGTGAAAGCCTATACACGTACTCGGTCCTGTGCCTAAAGTTACCTCAGGTAGTTAGCCCGCGCCAAACTCTCCAGGGCCCAGGACCCTGTAGTAGGAACTCGTAGGTGCCTGTGCCCATCTAATAAAAGTGTACAGTACTGTAAGCTTCGCGGGAAGACTTACCCACACTGTACGCGTCTGGGGCCACTTCATGCTCCCATCCACCGCAAGACACTCTCGCTGCAGATTGGCGAGGTTGGGATGTCCAATTGACAATCTGCCTATGGAGCTTCCCTAGCTTAACTACCTACCTATTAATACCTAGTCTCATAACCACTACCTGGGGAGGAAGCTCATCAACATTTCCCCCCTCTTTATTGGTACATTTTTGGCCTCTGTCCTGTCCCGGGTACACTAGACTGTCTGTGAATGAGTCACCGTGTACGGAGTCCTCGTACGTATTTCTCCGTTGATCAGCAGGGGATAAACGAAAGTGACTCTTCCAACAACACGAGATAAGAGTGTTGTTCATTGTGCCTGAGAACTACGGGTACGAGAACGACCTTCGTTGAGATGAACGCTTGCAAGCAAAAAGTTCGGTATAGCTAAGGATAATATACATTGACTACCTAGATTCCTGTCTTGATACATATTCCTTCAAGCATGAGATCCAAATCGGCTAGAGCCTTAGAGCAGGCGAGTCTTCCTATCTCAATCACTCCGAATCAATGATGACCACTTCGGCTTCTGCCTCTCCGATGCTTTCCACCTTGAGCGCATCGTTAGCATTGACATGAGTCACATATGCACCGTCCCCCTCATTCAGAATTTCTCGGCCGTCCAATCTGATTTTGGACTTTCCACCCTTCGTTTCAGGAAAGTGGACGTACACTTTTCGGTCGGATTTGGAAGTGACTGCATCTCCTCCGCCGACAGTGTAGGTAAATGTCTCGCCCGGTGGTATGATGCCCGCGGAAAACACGAGGTCCGCATGGACTGGAATGGTGCCCTCCTTCGCAGGAACAGCAGCCTTTTCCTCCTCCAAGGTGGCATTGACTCCCGCTTTCAATGGAGTGATGATCGTCACGAAACCTTTGCGCTTCTCCTCGGCCGAGAATGTGCTGGTGTGATAGATGGGAGGGAGATTTCGCTTCCAAGGCAAGGCCCATATTTGCAAGAAATGCGTCCACTCGTTGGTCCCTTGGCTGTCTTCGTTGTATTCGCTGTGGGAGATGCCCCGGCCTCCAGTGGTGAATTGAACGTCACCGGGCCGCATCCGGTAGAATTTGTCCTTGTCTGTGCTTTCAGCGCCTCTCTTTTGCATCGAGTCTCGATGTGTCAATTCGCCGGACAAGATGTAGCTGAAGATTTCAGCATTTTGGTGGAAGTGTGTGGGAAACCCTTGTCCTGGTTCGACTCGGTCTTCGTTGAGGACGCGGAGGGATCCAAATTGCGTATATCGAGGGTCGTACCAACCCGCGAACGAGAAGGTATGTTTGGTCTTCAGCCAGCCATGGTCCCCTCCTCCTCTTGTTTTGGACGGCCGCGGGACGATCTTTGCGTGTGATAGAGTAGACATGGCTGTTCTCAAGTTGTTCGTGGCTTTCATCGGTTGTTCTGTTGACGGTGCGGAGTTGTTGTTGCTGAGCATGTAGACGGCTGTAAGTGCTGCGAGTACTGCGGTTACTGTTGTGATGAGTGTGGTTTTTTGATGGAGAAAGTTGGACAGCATTGAGCAGAGAGGAGGTATAAGTACTTAGACCTGGGAAGACAGCTAGACCGTGGTGGAGGGCACGAGAAGGTCCATGTGGCTGTTATGCAGCATTTGGTCATTCATTTCAAATTTGCTGCCAGAGACAATAGGGAAAACGGGGGTTTACCAATTCTTGTGTAAGCGACGAGCATGTGTAGCGGAACAGGCCCTAGCACTAAGGCCACTAGCTTCCTAGCAATGGGCAGGCGCAGTGGCTGCGCTGTGTTAGTCATCCAACCCCACGTTATCTAATGACGTATCCCGCCGGATTAACCCCCAACTGCGAGATGCCTCAGCCCTCCACCTTCCCTTCTCATGAACGCGATACTCAGCCTGTTCATTGCGCGATTACTCCTCCAATCACCCCAGATGCTCTCTTGATGAAAAGACAGAGATCCGGCGTCATCGAGAACCCCTTTGTCAAGCCACAAAATCGGTCTTGGGAGATCTCGCCTCCAGCCTCGCTCACCAGATCCGTTTCGCCGCCGCCGACCAATCCTCGTCGACAGAGCAAATATGCTCCGAATGCGATTCGCCAAAAGTCTGATACTGCCGCAGTTGAAGCCGGTGAAGTCGAGATCAAAGACCATGTCTCATTCTTCTCGTCCAAGCTCCTGGCTGCTCGGCGACCTCACGTCCCGGGACAGCCTCGATTGCCACACCAAGAATGGCTGAATCTCTATCAGAGAAACTTGAACGACAGAGGCCATCATTTTGTTGTCCACCAACATGATCACCCTGTTGCTGGCACTCATTATGACCTCCGACTACAATGTAATGCCACGAGCTCTATCAGTTTTGCCATCATGTATGGCTTACCAGGAGACCCCAACAGCAGGAAGCTGAATCGCAATGCGACAGAGACCAGAGTTCATAATTTGTGGGTAGGTGTTGATTCCAAGTTCTATTTTAAACGAGGCTTTGTCTCATTATGCGTTAGAACCATCTCATTGAGACAGCCTCTTACGAAACCGGAACAATGCTCCTTTGGGATACAGGGGAATTTGAGATCCTACCATCGCCGTTACCCGATGCCAACAACGACAGCGACCCTGAATCAAACTCCATGTCCGAGCCCGACTTGCCAACTAGCCGCGAGTCCGAACCAGAAAAACTACAGCGTGCCTTTCAGAATCGCAAGATCCGGCTCCGGCTCCATGGTTCTCGGCTACCAAAGAACTATACACTCAATTTGCGCCTGACGCATGAAAATAACCGGCTTGCGCAGCCCTCTCCGCCAGCATACAAACGTCGGAGGAAATCCCACCAAGCAATTGCGGCGTCCCGACGTCAGAACCATGCCGAAACGTCAGAGTCGGACACAGATTCCCCATCGGAACCGAGCCGGGCATCGACGCACGACCAATCAAGCCAAAGTTCCCTCGAGAAGAACTTGCTTCAGCAGAAGCACGCTCCCAAGCTCAAACGCAACGTCTCGTCGCTGCTACGCAAAGCATCCCCTCCGCCGCCTCTATTGTCACGCAGGCCTGCTGATTTAAGCGGTATGCCTTCTTCTTCCTCCTTTGAACACCACGGGCCCCCGCCGCAAGTGCGAAACCTGAACAGAGATGGCGAACCAAAGATCAAATCGACTGTGGCAAAAGTACACCAACCAGACGACGTGACGAAGCCATCCAAGTCAAGAGATGACGAGGATGACCTCATCCGCCTATACAACGCCTATCCCGGCGCCACGAACAGCATCAACTCCATCCACCAGCGTAAATGGTTTCTTTCTCTCGACCGCGAAGCATGTGGTTTTCGCCCGACCAATCGTATCGAATTTGGCCGACGGGTCTGGGAAAGACCACGTCTCGACGACGCGAGTGGGACTCTAGGCGGCTTCGCTCCATTCTACGTTCGCGGTCGAGATGTCGAAGCCAGTATCCTGACGGGCCGCTTGGCCAATGATGTTGCGAGTGACGAGGGATTGGTCGCGTATAAGCCTAGAGGCGGATGGAGGGCTGTGACTGACTAGTTAATAATTGAGAGAATGGCGTTCCATCCACGGAGGTTGACTAGCATAGATCATTCACACAGATGCACCACAGTAGATGATTGACTGACTAGAGGATATACCTATAGAATCGTAATACCGTCTGCGGTGGCAATATACGTTCGTTACAGTGGATCCAGAGGTGATGATGATCGATTGCAGACTTGTATTTCTTATCATACTCGAGTGCCCCCATCATCTTGGTTCGTATCGTTACTCGTAGCATCATCGTCGTCGTCGTCGTCAAACTGCTCAAAGTCATCGACCTGGTCAGAAGAGCCTGGCCCCTCGTCGCCATCATCATCATCATCATCATCACTCGCAGCTGAATCAGAGGCATCTGACTCTTGATCTGGCTCCTCATCTTGGCCAAGGTCAGAGACATCTGCTTTTCTCTTTCCAGGCATCTCGCCGAGTCTGCCCTCACGCCCTTCTACAACCTCGGTAGACTCCTCGGCCGTGGAGGTTCCGGTCGCCTCGCTTCTTGGAGGCGGCGTAAACCAAGGAATCTTCCCACGAAGGAAGTCATTCAGCACCATCTTGGCGACGCCGTCAACGTCTGGCTCACCGCCTTTGAGCAGACGGCCACCTTTCCGCGCGAGAATGGCGAGGAACTCCATGGGGTCTTGGTTCCAGTCAGATGCCTTGATCTCGTATGTCCTTTCGACGTGGCGTGTCTGTGCGCGCCGCAGAACTGCCTCCACGTACTGTGCGGGATGCTCGACATTCTCCACTCGTACCACGCCACGCAGCAGGATATCTTCTTCGGTGTCACCCTGGCTGGGCGGCACGACACCCGGGCAGTCAATGAGATAGATCCTCTTCATCAGCGTAATGTACTGCCAGACTTTCGTTTCGCCGGGAATGGGCGCCACAGTGCACACACGCTTCTTCCGCAGGGTGTTGATAATGGACGATTTTCCAGTATTCGGGTATCCGATGAAACCCACAGATATCTGCTTGCGATTGGAATGTAGCACGGAAAACTGCCGCAAGAGCGTAATCAAGGAGCCTTTGCCGAAGCTGTTCGTCATCGAGGCGTGGAAGGCAAGCGTGGGGTATTCCTTCGAGAGCATTCTCACCCATTGAGCCTGAAGAGAAGGAGAAATCAGTATGTGTGAGACATTACTAAGAGCAATGCTATGAAACAAAAGAGCACAACTCAACTCAAACGAAACACGCGATGCACTGTGGCGACAGAGTTTCCAAGACGGAACCAGAGTCTAGTACCAGCCCCCGAAGAAGATGGTAAGTGCAGCTTGATGTACCAAAGCTGTAACAGGCGACTACCATTGAGAAAATTTGCAAAGGAATGCAGAAAGGCGCCTTGACTTAGCGATGGAAAAGAGAAACAACGGAAAAAACGGACGGAATCTGCAGCAGACAGAGAAGAAAAAAAATATGACTTACCGCGATCTTGGTAGGTACCAAGTCGCATTTGTTCAGGACGAAAATCAAATGCTTGTGTGGCGCTTCCTCGCGGATGTATTTCTCAACGCTGCGGCATCTTGTACCCTCTGGGTCTCGAGCGTCAAGCACTAGATGTTTGTTAGTGGAAGAGTATGGCTAGTTGAGGGACACGCTCAACATACCGTGGATGACCACGTCGGAGGAGTCGATGACCTTGAAGAGTTCGTTCCAAATACGCTTGCTCTGGCCCTTTGAGAAGATGGGCTCCCTTGCAGTTGTGAGCTCGCCATCATCCTGCCCTTCCATTTGCTCCGCTGTCTGGCCACTTAGCAGTTTGTTCTCTTCCAGCTTTTCGAGATAGTTGTCGTGCATCTTCACCGACTCGTCGGCCAAGTCAGCGACAGAGCTAGCACTCAGCTTGACTCGCTTGCGTTGAGACTTTGGACCGAATGTGTCCGAGAAGGGGGCCGACTCGACTGCAATCTTTGCCTGATGTTGTTTAATACCGTTCTTTGTATTCTCGTTGTCCCGGATCAGACTCATCGGCAGCTTGTTGGTCTTCAGAAGCACCTGATACGGGTCCGCAGCTCTTTCGGCCACCGCTTGCCGGAAGGAATCCAGTGCTCCTTGTGATATGACTCTAGTATTCCCAAACCATTTCCTATTCGGTTCGACTCGAGCCTTGGGAATTTCTCGTGATTGGTATGAGGCGGCTTTCGTGATTTTCCCTTCTGCGTTTCGTTGTGCTTTGCCGTCTTTCAGCATGTTCAACGTCCGTAGCTTTTTGGCATTTCTGTATATCAGTTTAGTAATGATCAAAGCATCTTTCAAGTTCCTTAGCATACCTGTAAAAGTTCTCGCCTTTCACCTTGACATTTGCCATGCCGTCGGTCGAGGTGCCCTGCCGTTCCCGGCGGGCAGCCTCCTTCTTACGGGCCCCCATGTCTGTGGGCTTCTTACCGGGCCTTTACTTGTCTCGAAAATGGACTGCCTGGGACAGTCTATTGAAGCAGGCGTTGTACGGATGTCGGACGCAGAAATCGACGTCTCGGCTGGAAAAAAGTTACTTTGCCAAGATACATATATCCGAAGTTTATCCGAGAACTCTGGTACCACTCGTACAGTATTATCTAAGGTGTCTGTAGTTTGTCATGTTGATGAGCTCTTCAAACTCCAGGGGCTTTCCCAATCAAGCAGTCTCTAATAAGAGATGAGCTCCCAGGGCCGCAAGCGATGAGACCGGAGACCGAGCATCTTGCGAATTTGGGCCTCGCGGTACCATCAACTGCCTCTTGGACAGGCCCTTCGAGTCCAGTCTCTATCATACGGTGTTCGCGTCCGGGTTGGGGAATGATGAACGGCAGAGCAACTTACTCCGGCTAAGCCAGGGATTTCAGAGACATGCGGCGGCTGGAAGGACAAAGTACATGTCTTTGACTCTTCACTATTGATAACGCAACGATCGACACTCAACCCTGACCTGTTATTGCTTGCATTGAGCGCGGGATGTAACGGCACCACCGGAAGCGTGAGCGGCAAGGAGGTTCCGCGTCAACTAGCAACCCTCCTGTTCCTCCATCTTCCACTACTTGCAGTGCTCTCAGGAGTCCAGAACATGCAAGCTGCTTTCGTGATTGCGCCGCTTGTGCATGACTAGTAAGTAATTGAGCATGTCAAGATATCGTGGCCGCCGGTGCTATTTTCTTGCCCGGGCATCTGGCGATCATAACTCTCATAAGAGTCTCCATGGAGCGTGTACAGGCTGGCTTGATCATTGGTCTGAGCACCTCAGGATCACATGAAAGCGTACTGGATATCGGCAGCAGCTAGAACATCGGACCCGATCAGTGGAAGTGCGTGCCATTCACCCCATTGCAACCCCAGGAGTGACAAGTTCGATGCTGCAATAATGCCGTGATTCACACTCTTGGCCAGCTTCTGGCTCCTACTTGTCCACTTCTCATCGAACAACGCAACGAGGTTTGTCTTCTTGTCATCAGGTTTGTGGCTTGATATCTGACCAGCAAATGGCCACACGAACCTGCGAGCCAGCGGCCGATAACAATTTTGGGCCTGTAGTAGCGATATGTGCTCGTTTGTTCGACTTTACGCTTCTTTTTGAGCAGAGCATCCTGTCAATCCCGACTGATTCTCTGTTTATCATAGTGGCAGGATGGAGGATGTGGCATCTGTTATTCACCGCTCGCAAGGTCAACCCCAATCGACTTCTGTCTGCAAAGCTGCTGGGTATATTTGGGGTGATTGGTGCGACTCTTACTGTTCTCATCCTGGAAATCACAGACGCACGCACCTTGACGCACGCGTCGATACCGTCGGCGGCCGTTGCGCTCGTGGCATCCGCGATGCTTCCAGCGCTGTCATATTTCGAGCATGTCAAGTCGATTCGGCCCTCCACCTTACTCAGCTGCTATCTTATGCTGTCCTGCCTCCTCAGCCTCCCAGAGCTACGCACTCTTTACCTATTGCCCGGTACACATGTATCTGCCGCGGCTCTGACAGTGGTGATCTGCTTGAAACTTTACCTTCTGGTGCTGGAAGCACGAACCAAGAGGAAGTATCTTGCGCCAGCCTATCGGGATCTTCCCCGGGAGATGACTTCCGGGATATTCAACCGCAGTCTGTTCATCTGGTTGAATGCTTTTTTCTGGTCAGGCTTCCGACGTCCAGTCGGCTCCAGGGATCTCGGGGTCACCGACAGCCAGCTTCACTCTGAGGCCTTGCATGACGCTGTGAGGCGTGAATGGAAACGACAGCAGCTCGACTGCTGTGCTCCGTTGGCAAAGGCTCTGTTCAGAGCTCTCAGACGGTCATGTCTCGCGCCTGTTCCTGCTCGACTATGCTACGCAGCACTTTTATTCGCGCAGCCGTATCTGATTCAACGGACGATCAATTTCTTGCGAGAGCCGCCTACGAGGATCGGAGACGACATAGGCTACGGTCTCATTGGCGCGACTGCGGTGATATATCTTGGAATAGCGGTAAGTTTCGATGCTCTATTCGAACGGCTCTGGACTCAAGACGGACATTGACCACAAAGTAGATCTCTAACATGTGGTATAAACATTTGGTCTACCGAAATATTGTCGTTGTTCGTGGATCCCTCGTATCTGTGATCTACTCCGAATCATTGGTGCAACTTCACAACGTGGGGGATCCACAGGCTGCAGTGACACTGATGAGCACCGACGTCGATCGTATCTGCCAGAGTCTCGCCTTCATTCAGGAGATATGGTCTAGAGCCTTGGAGTTGGGCGTTGGAATCAGCCTTCTAGCTCTTCAGATTGGCTGGATCTCCGTAATGCCCGTCGCGGTGGTCTTCATAAGTGGTCTGCTCGATGCTTGGATCACGACTTCAATTGGGGCGCAAGCAGGAGCATGGGCCGCTGCTGTACAGCAGCGTATATCATTAACGGCCGGCGTCTTGTCTTCTCTGAAGAGTGTACGGATGCTGGGTATTGAAAAACCTATGAGTCGAATGATTCAGGACGAGAGACACAATGAGCTGAGATTTCAAGCCAAGTTTCGTTGGTCCACCGTCTGGCTCAACACGATAGGTAGGTTCTCCTGACACGGAGCGGGCGCTGCTTTCTCTTTGAGCCCTATTAGTCTCATTGTGAGTTGGCTGACAGAGCCCAGGAAACGCGCCCACTGCTCTCGCTGCCGCCATCACTTTTACTACCTACGCAATAAGAGCACGAGTGGACAACGCGCAATCGCTTGATGTTTCTAAGGCATTCACCAGTTTAGCACTCATTTCCTTAGTAACGACGCCAGCAAACGAGCTTCTAAGTGCTGTTCCCTTCACCGTGTCGTGTTTTGGATCGCTCAACCGCATTCAAGAGTATCTGGTAGGAAAAAGACGCCAAGCTGGGAAAGGGAGCATAACCACAGCAGACTACTACCCGCAAGACCAGACTCGCATCCCTCCGGCGGAAAAATATCAAAGCAAACCCATCGCTCGGCTGCATAACGTGTATCTGATGGATTCTTCGGACGAAAAGTCAAATATCAAGGGAATTGAACTGGAACTCTATCCGAGTTCGTTGACCATTATTACGGGACCGAGCGGCAGTGGAAAGTCGACCTTTCTCAGGCGTTTCATTGGCGACTCTCAATATGTTCGCGGGACGCTCTCAGCTTTTAGCAGCAAAGTATCATATTGTCCTCAGTCACCTTGGCTTGTCACCGCGACCATTCGAGAGAACATATGTGGGCTCGAGCGAGCACCGGTCGACACGAGGTGGTACACGGAAGTTGTGAACTCATGCTGCTTGACCCCTGATTTCGTGGAGATGCCGAATGGGGACCTCACGGTGATCGACGGCCAGGTTGCAAGATTGAGTGGAGGTCAAAGGCAACGAATTGCCCTCGCGAGGGCACTCTACCATCGGCCAAAATTGATTCTCCTTGATGATGTCCTCAGTGCGCTCGATGCAGACACGGAGGCAAAGATAATGGAAAGACTGCTCGGACCCAGAGGACTATTCCAGAGACTCGATGCTGCTGTGGTGTTGGTCACACACGCGATCAAGTACGAATCAGCAGCAGACAATATCATATCTATCAATCATTGTCGGAACATTAGTGTCCGAACGGACCTTCAAGCTCATACAAGAAGTAAAACCCCTGGCAACGATGAAACCTGCTCACACGGTGAGAAATATGACCTCCAAACGGATGAAGATGGGCTTCCAAAGAACCAGGCTCCAGATCGTCCTGGCACGAATGCCACAGGAGAGGGCAACTACCGACTTGAGCGGACTCAGAAGAAGAAACTTGATGGCGATCTTGCTGACTACATCTACTGCTTCAAGTCGGTTCGCGGGGTGTGGGTGCTCATATTCTTCACATTTGCCTCAATCAATACCGTGTGCTACTACACGTCCCAGGTTGTTTTGCAGTGGTGGACAGCCGACAATGGCCAGCACGAAACGAAGTGGATGCCACTCTATGCTTGCTTGGCTTGTGGCAACTTGCTTTTCTTCGGACTCCTCTGCTGGGCCATGTTTCTTCGACTGGTGCCACAGTCAGCTTCATCGCTGCATCAGATCCTACTCGACTCCGTCATGGGTGCGCCGTATCCCTTCTTTGCAAGCGAAGATGGACAGGTGGGGACGATCCTCAACAGATTCAGTCAGGACCTGACCGTGGTTGACACGCAGCTTCCCACGGGATTACTTTGCACGGTGATCTATCTCTTTTGGACGTTCGGATCGCTTGCTCTCATATCAACCGGTTCTCGCTACATGGCGGTAATTATCCCGGTGGTTTTTGTGGTACTCTACATGTTGCAAAAAGTCTACCTTCGAACATCTCGACGCTTGCGGCTGCTGGACCTCGAGATGAGGAGTCCACTGTACTCACATTTCCTTGACACTCTCGCTGGTCTGTCAAGTATCAAAGCATTTGGTTGGGAGCACAGATTTTCAGAAGAGATGTTTGACAGACTCGACACCTCACAAGTTCCATACTATCTTCTGATCTGCGCTCAAAGGTGGTTGAATCTAGTACTCGACCTTATCGTTGCGGGCCTCGCGATTATTGTTGTCACGATGGCGGTCAAGTTGAAAGGTGCTTCGGATCCGAGCTCGTTGGGCCTTTCGCTCAACAACATTTTGAGCTTCAGCGAGATCCTCTCGCTGCTGCTGCAGTTTTGGACGCAGCTTGAGGTCTCGCTCGGAGCCATTACGCGTACAAGAGAGTTCGCCCGAATAACTCCAGGTGAGAAAGCACCAGAGCCAGATGAGGAAGGCTCACGTGGACGACCGAGTTCCGCATGGCCTGAGCACGGAGCCGTTGAAATCCAAAATCTCCAAGCTGGCTTCACCAGTGACAAGATGATCCTGGAGGGAATATCCTTATCAACTCGTCCCGGAGAGAAAATCGGTGTCTGCGGTAGGACGGGAAGTGGAAAAAGTTCCCTCCTCCTCGCAATCCTAGGTCTCCTCGAGCCCTCAACAGAAAGTTCGCTGTTGATTGATGGAGTTGACCTGCGGAGCGTGTCTAGAGGCATCATCCGGGAACGCATCATCACTATCCCGCAGGATGTGTTCCTTTTCGATGGGAGCGTTCGACAAAACCTTGACCCCGGTGCGGCGTACACCGACACACAACTGATAGCAGTTTTGTCGAAAGTCAAGCTGTGGCATCTCATTCAGACACAGGGTGGCCTGGACTCGGCTATGAGATCCGACACTTTCTCTCAGGGGCAGAAACAGTTGTTCGGGGTAGCACGAGCGATTTTAAAGACGTCAACACCCGCAATTCCTGTTAATACAGCCATATGTGGAATTCCTAACGAGTCCCATGCCGCTGCAGCAGGAGGAAAGGTTGTTCTTCTTGACGAAGCCACCAGCAACGTAGACCGTGAGACCGACGCGTTTATGCAACGGATCATCCGCGAAGAGTTTGCCACGCATACGATCATTGTGGTAGCCCACAGACTGGATACGGTCCTTGACAGCGACCGCATTGCCGTGCTCGACGGAGGCAAGTTGCGAGAATTGGACACGCCTCAAGCGCTTTTGGCGAAAGAAGATTCGGCGTTTGCGGCATTGTATAGAGTGAGCAGATGCCATGCGACGGCTGTGGAAAGTGAGGGGGCTTCGTCAGCCACCCATGGGATATCATCATTGTAACCACCGCAGAGGAGAACCTGACTTGCCATACCTCCATACCTAGCAATGACGCCTACAACTGCGACCCTACATTAAACCCAAGGTAATATTTAAATAGTACCTGTGTAGCTCCCAATCTGGCAGCGCGGAAGAAGAGCCAAGATGTACGGATAATACGCCGAAGTTTATCCGAACACCTGGTGGTCCAAACTTTTTCGAACAGCTGCGATTTGCGTTCTCCTCCTAACACAAGGGCGAACAGGAGTACTGACTTCTACATACCTACCCACATGTAATCTAGCTGGCGAATATCACCCAGCTAATTTCTCAAGGTATCCTGGTGCCCTGAGATTGTCAACAAACGAAAGGAAAAGGAAAAGATAAACAACACAATGGACACTCTCTCCGGTTCCGTATGTCGGGCTTGTCGTCTGCGACTGTTCCTCAATTCACCCTCCTCCTCCTTCTCCTCTGCTACAACCATCCGAACGTTTGCATCGACGTCGTCTCGTCTGCACATACCTCCGGAATCGCCAGCCTTCATTGACGTTCCCGAGCCTCACCAACCCGTCGGCGAGCCCAAGCCGCAGGTCAAGGGCATCCTGCCGGTCCCACGCGAGCTCTTCCCCCGTCGCCGCCCGGACAAGCCGGGGCAGGAATACCTCGCCAATGTCACGCGCGACCCCCTCCCCAAGAACGTGCCGCACCCGGACCACCTCAGCGAGACGGGCCGGTACAAGCAGCGGATGGCGGAGCTGCGCAAGGCCCAGCTGCGCGAAGGGCTCCAGGAGCTGCACAGGCGCAAGGTGCACATCGACGGCCAGATCGCCTACCGCAGCCAGGCGCGACAGAAGCAGAACGCGCGGCTGACGACGCAGGCGCAGCGCGAGGACGAGCGGCTCACCAACGCGACGGTGCCGAGCGCCATGAAGCTGCGAGGGGGCCACCACGAGCTGTCGCCCGAGGACGAGGACGCCCTCTACGACTCCCGCGTGCAGGCGTACCAGGCGAAACGGGCCGCGAAGCACGCGGACCGCCTCGACAGGCTGCACACGCTGTACATGAACGCCCGCCACTTCATCACCACCAAGGAGCAGCTGGCCGACGCCATCGACCAGGCCTTCCAGACCACCAAGAGCATCTGGGATCGACAGGGCCCGCCGGACACGGTCGAGGACATGATCAGGCGAGGAAGGGACAGGACCGGAGACCAGGGCAGAGGCGGCCTGAGGTTGTCGTCCGAGGTCAACGAGCGAGTCTTGAAGGACCAGGAGCGCATGCAAAAGATTGCTGAGAAGTTGAGCGGTGGAAAAATGTAGAGCGTATTTCCTTTTTGCGTCCGCACTATACAATAGAGCCATCATCACTGATAGCTCAGCTTGCGAAGAATCCTTCGGCGTCCGTTATCTTTGGGTTGACTCGGGGGGGTGAAAAGAGATGACGCAAAAGCCTACCGCTGCGTTGTCTTCAGCTTTGTGTTTCAGTTGCCAGGGAACAAAGGAAAGATACTCTCGGCGTGTACGAAACGAGTACAGGTGTGGCTATGTACAAATACTACAAGATTCTATTTTAGAGTGTTGATTTACATCCCCACGACATGATAATGGCTTGTTCCAGAAGACTTGCTCTCTTTCATCCTCGAGCGGCCATCAAAGAACCCATACCTGTTATTAAGCATAATGGTCATGGTAGAATTGAATGATGGCCGCCTCCTTCTTCTCGCGAGTGCCGGTTTTGGTTCTGGTTTGTGATCCGGAGACGTTCGTTAGAGTCATCGAGGCAGCTGAACATCATGCGATGAATTTTGTTCATCCGACGACCTGGGATGGTGATCCGTTTCCAACGCTTGGCTTTTGTGCATCGTCGGCGTTGTGGTTTGGAGGTTGAAGTGATATCCACAGGTTAGCCGTACCTCATTCCATGGCAGTGTTTTTTCCTCGGATCAACCCTGGTTGAATGATGATTTTGCTCATCTCGTCGTGCATGCGATAGCAGTCGCTCATAATTCTCAGCGGGACGAGCTCAAATGAATCGGGATGTTACCTTGCGCAGCCGTGACGACTTCTTGGGGGTGATGAAGTACCGCCAAATTCCAGCTTCTGAATGGTTATAACGTAGACTCGTTGAGCCTGTACTTTAGTGGTCGGTCAGCCCAGAGATCTTATACCAAGACCGACACTTTTGGTCTCGAAAAGCTCAATCAAGCCAGCTCCCAGACATTCTTCAACCACCCAGTCGAAGTTAAGGCCATACAGGTCTTTCCATTTCTTTGTCTTGGCTGGCAGGACCGAAGAAAATTCTCCTCGGAGACGCTTTGCAGAGGAAACACGGTTGTCCGAATCAACGGCACCATCCCATTTCTCTCTTAGGAGGTATAAGGGGCCTTCCTTGTATTTCGACTTGCCCAAAAGCTCAAGCAGGTGGGCACGTCCAGCGTTGAGCAATCTGAGGTACGGGCCCAGGTTTGGCACCGACAATGTCAAATCACCGCCCAAGGTGCTCTGGGCTCCAGACGTAGGACGCTTCGCACCACCTGTCCCGCCCAGATTTTCGAACGCTGCTTCTCCGCCTACAGCATTGGGAGTGCCGGACGCTGCACGAGAGATCTTTTCCATGCCCACAAGGGATGAGCCGGCTAACGAAAGATTGCGGGAACCAGACAGAGACGCAGAAACAAGGAAGCCCGTTCGTGTCAAGGCAGTCACATGAGAAGCGGGTAGAGCTTGAGCAGGGATTGATGTGGCCCTAGGTTGCCGGAGCAGAAGATTGCAGAAATCGGAAGTCACCTCTGCTGCAACTCTACTTTGCTCCAGCAAGAGTTGCAAATCGTTCATGGTAATCAGCACCTCACTCGTGCCGCTAATGTCATTACCTCGGCCGGCTATTCTGAGCTTGCGCACCTTACCAGCGGCCTGGAGTGTGGCAAGCTGGCGCTCGGTCTTGGAGGACGCCGATACGACAGCATGGACATGAGCCAGAGACACGATGGCAGGAAGGTTCTTCTGGAAGTTCAGCACCTCGGCGATGCGTACGCTGTTCATGCCCGCTCGATCTGGAAGAGCAGCGAACATGGTAGCGCGCGCATGCTGCATGGCGGAAAGAACATCCTTGGCCCCATCGACGGAGAGTGTGGGGAGGACCTTTCCAGTAGTCTCCAGCCATTGCTCGTCATCGTCGCCATCGTCGAGAGTTTCGGAGAGTGACTTGGCCCTCGAGGCGGATGCTTTGGTGCGAGGAATGTTCGCGAAGGGTGAGGCAGAATGTCGGCGGGTGCTGCTGTTGTTACTGGTGGACCGCTGGGCCGGTTTACTGACGCGCGAGGAGTGGGCCGCGGTCAGATAGAGAGGCATGGCCGAGGGAGAGATGGGAAGGGGAGTATCGGATGAAGTAGGGGGGAGAGAGAGTGGGATTCTCAACAGAAGACGAGCATATCCGTACTCGTACTCGCACTAGGCAGAGCAGTCCAATCAGTCGACACTGGGAAGCGCGTGCTTCAGGCATCTGTCAACAGGGAAAAGAAAAGTGGCATGAGACCTGCAGGGGGGAAGAAGATGCGAGAATCAAAAGGATGGACATATGGCCCCAGTATCCGTGCTCAGTAGTGGCCCAGGTAGAGAGAGATACGGAGTGCAAAGTCGGTGGTTGGAAAAGAGTTTGTCAGAGGCGATTTGCCGCCGCGGAATCGCTCGCCGGGCCACTGGAGAGGCCAGTACGAGGATGAGAGAGCAGGCTGCCACATTGATCATCTTCGGGCACATGTTCGGCGGTGGCTGAGTGGCTGTTGGGCGTTGTATTTCCGGGCGAGTTGGGGGGAATACAGGCACTTGGATTAGCTAACAGGCCCAGTGAGCCGCCCCCGGAGCCTATGCCGATACGCAGCCTTAGGCAGCGCTGATGATCATCGTAGGCTCACTAAGGTACATAGTTGACTTAGGCCTCCCCCAGCTTCACTAAACTTATAACTGTTAGTTTGGCTCGTCCCAAGCCTGTTCCTGCGGGCAGCTCATCAACATCCCCACCACGTGCGTCATCCAGCGAGTTTGGTGCCCAGAGGGAAAAAAAATAGTTGTACTCCGTCCTTGGTGTTTCTTTGTATACACCCGTCATCGGGCACGATCCTGCGATCGCGCGATACTTTGCTTGCAGCGTTCTCTCGCCATGACGGCCATGTCCCCATCTTCTCCTTAGTGTAACCCAAAGCACATACATACTCGTTCTACCGTGGAACCCGAGCTTCTCCCATCCTGGCGCGATGCGCATTTCTTAAGAGCAAATTGCTCCGCCCGGGACTTTGCTCCGGTTGAAGCCCAATCCATCCCATGCCAACATTCTTCGTGACGCTTGAACGACTGCTCACTGCTCAATGCTCTCTGCTCACTGCTCACTGCTCTCACCACTTTCCTTTTAACTTTTCTTTACTTCTTCTCTTGCTCTTCTGATTCCAACCGTTCTTTCCAATCCAGCCTCTCACTCTCTCTCGTCCATCGCTCGGACAGTCGCAGGTTGACGTCATTCTATTTTGCACCCTCGGGTTGTCCCTCTCCCAAAACGAACCTCGAAGCACTCGCCCCCGACTCGACGTGCGTTGGGCATTGTTGATACGCATCTTCGCCACATACTTGTATAAATCCCCTATGCCACAATGACGATTTTCGTGGCCAGCCTCTTCTTGCCGTACACGGTCAACTTTGACGGCCCGCCATCCTGGACGGCCTCGGGGCCTGAGACCCCAGAAATACCAAAAACAGGCTCGAGTCTACCAGGCAATTCGACATCTTCAGTAACACTATCGCAGACACCCAAAACAGACGGTCCGCCCTCCCTCAGCCTTTTTACACCAAGTTCAAATGCCGCTCTCTCTACGGTCCTCACCAAGACCCCAGACCCCTTGATTCAGACACCGGGGGCAACCACCGATCACGAGAAAATCTTCCGTCCTCATGTCGAGCGACCCTTGGCACTATCCCTTCCATCGCATGTCAAACAGAAGCAAGAGCAGGGTCAGAAGGCTGTGCAGCAAGATGTACCGCCGCAGACCCGGCCAGCATTGTCCAAGGACCTTCGGGGCATCTCGCGCCACGACATACACTCTCCGGGCTGGGGAAAGAGCTTTGTATGGAACCAGCCACCATCGAGGGCCAAGTCGCCTCCACCAAGTTCCATCCTGAAGCATGCTGCGGTCGAGGTTAAAGAGAAGGCTGCGGCTATTGTACACAAGGCGCAAAAGAAATCACCCCGAGGCGCGCATCGAAGATCAAGGACAGTCAGTCATGACCGCCGTTTTTCAGAGTTTGAATACTCCGTGGAGAAGGCAGTCATCGGTAACGGAGGTCTGTTCAACGCCATCGACGCGGCTACCGAAGCTGGCCAACTCGATGAGAAACTGTGGGTGGGCACGCTGGGCTGTCCCATTGATCTTCTGGAAGACCACATGAAGGAAAACATTGCAGAGAAGTTGGAGAATGACTACGATTCTTTGGCCGTCTATGTCAGTGACAGTGACCTCAACGGCCATTATGAACACTACTGCAAGACCATTCTGTGGCCCGTATTCCACTACCAGATCCCAGACCACCCGAAAAGCAAAGCCTATGAGGACCACTCATGGGTCTTCTATGTAAAGGTCAATGAAGCCTTTGCCGACCGGATAGCCAAGAACTACAAGAAGGGGGATATTATCTGGATTCACGACTATCACCTGCTGCTGGTTCCGGGCTTACTCCGACAAAAGCTTCCCGAAGCTGAAATTGGTTTCTTTTTACATACGGCATTCCCGTCGTCCGAAATTTTCCGTTGTCTCGCAGTCCGATCAGAGTTACTGGAAGGCATTCTCGGGGCCAACTTGATAGGCTTTCAGAACGATGAGTATGGTCATCATTTCCTGCAAACTTGCAGCCGGTTGTTGAATGTCGAGGCTACCAAACATGGGGTCATTCTTGAAAATGGCCGCTTCGTCCATGTCAACACCTGCCCCATTGGCATTGACCCGAAAGCCCTCGATCAGCAACGTCGGGCTCCAGAGGTGCTGGAATGGGTGAAGACAATTACGGAAAAATATCGCGGCAAGCGTATACTGGTTGGCCGAGACAAACTGGACAATATTCGGGGCGTCCGTCAGAAGATTCTTTCGTACGAGCTTTTCCTTAACAAGTATCCTCAGTACAAGGATCAGGTGGTGCTCATCCAGATTGCCACTTCTTCTACTGAAGACCCCGAACTAAGCGCAACGGTGGCAGACATTGTCACTCGTGTCAACTCGACCCATTCCACCCTGGCACATCAGCCTCTGGTTTTTTTGAAGCAAGATATCGAATTTGCACAGTATCTCGCTCTTTTGACCGTGGCCGAGTGCCTTATGATCACCAGCTTGCGTGAAGGTATGAATTTGACGAGTCATGAGTTTGTCATGTGTCAGGACGGTAAATTTGCCGAGCCCAAACATGGACCACTTGTGCTTAGCGAATTTACTGGTTCCGCAACTGTGTTTGGGCACGAGGCCATTCTGGTCAACCCTTGGCACTACACTCAGTGTGCTGAGGCCATCAAGCAGGCCCTTGAGATGTCTCCAGAGGAGAGGGAACGTCGGTGGACTCGGTTGTACGATATCGTCGTGAACCAGAATGCCACGACCTGGTACGATCGTTACATGAAGGCCCTCAATCATGCGTGGAAGGAACATTCGGTTCGTGAAGCGACTTCAGTGCCACGCTTGTCCGTAAGCTCGGTCAAGGCCAAATACCAGAACGCGTCCAAACGATTGTTCATTCTTGATTATGAAGGAACTTTGGCATCATGGGGTTCTCCGACCGACATCATTCTGACGACGCCCAAACGCGCAATCGATGTTCTGAATGACCTTATTGAGGACCCGAAGAACATTGTCTATGTGATGAGCTCGAGAATGCCTGAGGAGCTGGAACGTTTGTTCAGCCCTGTGAGTGGTCTCGGGATTATCGCAGAAAACGGCGCCTATGTCAGGGCACCGGACATGGATGAATGGGAAGAGCTCGCCAACTCGGAAAATGCCAAAGCCTGGAAGAAAGGAGTCCGCAGCATCTTGCAATACTACGCGGAAAGGATTGAGGGTAGCAGAATCGAAGAACGTCATTCGGCTCTCGTGTTTGATTATGCCGAAGCCGATGATGTGGCTGGAGCTTTCAAGCAAGCTGGTGAATGTGCGAACCATATCAACGATGCCTGTCAAGGACAGAACGTCTGTGCAGTTCCAATTGAGGACGGGTTATACATTTCTGAAATCGGTATCAACAAGGGACTTGCGGCACAGATGATTTCCGACAGTCTCGAAAAGCAGTGTCGGATTCGTGGTGAAAAGATGCCTGAATTCCTAATGGTCATTGGCGATTCCAGAGAGGACGAGTACGTTTTCAATTGGGCACACAGACTGGAATCGGCTGGCACGATCAAAGATGTCGTGACTGTGACTGTGGGAGCCAGAAACACTGAAGCTTCTGCAACCTTGACCCAGGGAGTGACTGGTAAGTCTTGATACAGTCCTGGAGGGGTCTCCTGTTTCGGAAAGGACAACGCTAACTCTGTATAGGCGTGCTATCAATCCTCGAGAAGTTGATACGACTTTCACACGGGTGAATTGATCACTGCTTGACATGGTCGGGACTATGCTTTTCAAAGCAATCTGAATGATGTCCGTACCGCCAAAAAAAAAGGTCGATGGGTTGGGCCAGAATGTTCACTATGAATGAATGAATGACGGGACGACAAACGAATAGACAGAACTGCATCTCTCCGATACCCTGTGCATTACTATAGGAATAGAACGAAGTAAGTGAGCTGTAATTCATAACGCTGTGCATGTCTTCCACAAACCTCGCTCGACAGCCCGTGAGATACGAAATACATCAGATAAGGAAGGGTAACCGGCCTCAGAGTGCAATATTGTTATGCCGAATAAGTTAACAGTGTCATTTTCACAACGCAGAGAGTGGCTGGGAGACTTGTTCAGTTCTTTTGACGCTTTCCAAGAGGCTGCTATTACATCCAACACAACTTTCTAACATTCAGTGTGGTTGCTGATCGACACTGATGCCTTGTAAACCGGTCCGATCCAGTATACGGTCCGCTGGGGTCCCGACGCGGTCCGCGCGCTGGAACCCGAGTCGAATCGTTGGCAGTCGATGCATCGAGTCCAGAATCTTCCCTGGAAACTTCAAGACCGCTTCCTTGAAGAAAACGCCACTCGTCCAGTCGTACGAGCACACGAGGACTCTCTCCATGCCGCCTTCGGTGCCGCAGGCGATGAGCGCTTGGGGTGGCCACGCCGCCCTGAAGACGGTGACGGTCATCGTGACAGTGTCAATCAATGAGAATATCTGGAACTCCGGGTCAGTCAAATGTTCGGGCGCGGACAGGAGCATTGGCCGTTGACGACTCGTACCTTGTCTTGACCCATGGCGCTGCGTCCCATCTGGCGCAACTCCTCTTGCGTGGGGTGCGAGCAACGACCCCTTTTCTCTCTGGCCTGTCGGCACTTTTCATCACACGGACCCCAAGGCTCTTTCCCAATTACGGGATACGTCTTCACACGCCGCGTGCCGTCCCTGGTTGTCACGTCCACACTGTCCCTGCCAAATTCACCTAGTTCGGTGTCTTCACTGTCCGACCAGTGCAATTTGGACTCCAACACCTCCGGCCCAGGGCCGTGGCGGGAGAGAGGAGATCCGTTCTTGCTCCAGCTGAGAAGCCCGACCGGGCCGCCGAACAACTTTTCCTCAATCTCGCCGATGCTCATGAACCCTTCGAACCCGAACAGCCGGGGGTAGGTGTTTCGAAGTTTGGCCCGACGATAACTACGCCCTAGCCACTCGGACCACGAAGGTACAATGGCGAAGCCAGCAAGCACGCCTTGGAAGTGCCTCCCGAATCCAACATCTGCGGCGCAAATGTCTGAAAATTTGTTGAGCTGGATCTTCGCCCCCCAAGCCTTCTCGATGAGCAGGGTGTCGTTTTCGCCGACACCAGACACCTGGATGCTCGGTTCGATATTCCACAGGCTGGCGTGGAACTCATCTTCCATTTCAGCCCAATTTGAGTGGCGACTGGGAGGCTGAAGACAGAGGAAGCGTTCCATGAGCCTGTCGTTATCCGCCGGCAAGGAAAGCCTATGACAAAACAGAAAAAACAGTCAGCCAGTCACTGACCAAGAAGCCGCACCTTGTTACTGCAAGTCACCTACCGTGCGAAAGCTTGCAAAGAACTGTCATGACAGTTCACTGTAGGCCGAAGGCGGAGGAAACCCATCAGGACATAGCTTATATCGCCTGGGTAATAGAGCTCGACCTTCGTTTCGACTTGCCGATGAAGCAGACATTCAAGGACAATTTTGACAAACTCAATTCGCGAGAGGTTTGTGCTGCCGTAATGCTCGACAAGCTGTCGGGAGGTCTCATTGTCGTTCCAGACTTGGATAGGGAACAGCCTCTTTTCTAACTCGTACCAGTTGATAGAACCCCCTTTTCTCCAACAGACCATAATTTTCTCACTGCGCCCAAGTATAACCTCGGGGAATGTCCAGAGGCGTGCTGCCCACTCTTTGAGCCTTTGTTTCGTGTCATCTCGCTCCTCTGTCAAGGCAGGCTGGCCGTCTACAGTCAGGTCTTTCAACGGCGGCGTCGGAGCCTGTCGGTCGGTAGGAGGGAGAACAATGATGACATGGTCTGCACCGCGTATTACATCACTGATTTCGTAGATCTAGAGTCACACAGTTAGCAGACGACCATCCATAGGACCATACAGTGAAGAGAGAAGTGTCTCGTCAAACTAACTGAGCGGTTTTGGATTTCCAGTGCATCGGTCAAGGTACCGTCGTAGGCACCGCAGGACATAGAACACCAGTAGTACTCATACCCAAGGCTACCAGCCATCTTGTTTGCCACTCGGGCGAGCTCAATTGCCTCATCTGATACTGTCCCAGCGGCTGTGTGGAGCGGGAAGTGCCTGAAGGAAAAAGCGATGAATACGTATCTTGCGGTAACCTGCGGTGAACAAACGTTCATTCAACCTGCGTAAGCATCAAGGTTCAAACGTATGGACACGGGGATAGTGGCCTAGGCAATGAAGGAGAGAGGAGCCGGGCTTACTGGTGGCTTTTTCACCAATTCGGGTTCTTTGTCATTGTTCCGTTTCATGAGTGTTCTCGGGCGAAAGCGTCGGTATGTCTGCTCCCCGATTCGACTAAACCCGTCTGTTACAGTATTCATCTGTCGCTCAGGGTTTCGGTTGTCACGTAAACTGGCCGCGACACGAGCATACCGGGGAGCTTCACAGTGGAAGGGCAGATAAGTCAGAGGCTGTTCGGCTTGTCGGTCGGGAATGCAGTAACGACACATAGCTCGCAGCAAGAGGAAGACCTATTCCAAAGGGGGGAGAATGGTCAACGCAGTTTACCCAACAAGGGCAATGAGGCTTGCAGAATGACTCACCATCCATTGAAGGACAGCAGACAATGCAAGAATCCAATTCAGTGCAAACACGAGCCAGGCTACACGTGGATCCCACTTCTCGGCAGCTGTTACCCTGGAGCGATTGGGAGCCTTTGAGATTTGCAGCGTCGTAGTATTGACGTCGGCAATATGATGTCTTTGCCATGTACTGTTGTCGGATCCCTGGAGAGCAGCCGTGGCCTGGACCTTCAGCTTTACCAGTTCCTTTCCACTGGCGGTCAATTCTGCGTCGCACTTCTTCCGCGCCGGTGAGCTTTGCTTCGCAGGGTTCAGCCGATAGATGTAGTTGTCAAGGTAAACCTGGCCAGGCTTTGTCTTCCACGTTGTCGGATATCCGAGGAACTGAGCTGATTGCTCTAGCCATTCCTCCGTTTCCTCCATGGCAGGAGTCCAAGTGTGCAGGCCTGATGGATACGCAGGACTTCTGCTGAGCTGGATGATTCGTTCTTGCCACAAGGGTTACGTTTGGTAGTAGTGGAAGAAGGATGTCAAGGAGGCAACACTTTCACTCGTCCTCAGACACTATGATCTGATAGTTGTGCTTGCGACGAGTGGTGGCGCTTGTGTTGTTTGAACCAGGCCGAGTCGTGTTCGTGGTATTGGTTGCCGTCTCGGTGGCAGTCTCTGCGGTAGTCTGTGTAGGAGCGTCCTGATCGCGGGAGCTTTGGTTGTCCTAGAGGGTACATGGTCTCGTTAAGCTCTTTGGCTCAAAAATACAAGCAGGACGCTCCACAGGTGATGGTATGATTCAGACAAAGAGAAAAGCATTCCATACCACTTCGTCGTCCTCCACGACAATGGTGCGGGAATTATGTGATGGCGTATCAGTCTGCGTAAAGCTCAGCCTTGTGTCTCTCCCTGCCAACAAGGAAAATATAAAGCGGCACCCAGGGCGAGACTTACATTCATTTGATCTCTGTAATTCGTCAGAGGGGCTCAAAAGAAGGAATCTTTGTCACAGAATTGCTCCTAGCAAGCATGAAAAAAAGAAGCTGAAATGCATCGGACTTTATAGTCTCCCACGAGGCTGCCACCAGCAGTGCTCTCAGAGATGGTGGTTGTACCGTGTACACCGTAACAGGTTCTCGGTTATTAAAGGGGCAAGGTGGAGACGGCGAAATTTGAGGCTTCGTAGTATACGAAGTATATAATGTGATATTGGAAAAGCCACAGCAGATGGACGAATCCTCCCCCTACTTCTAAGCCACTCAGCAACTAGGTACTCAGCTTATATCAGATCACTCCGCCAAGGGTCAACTTTTCACCAGACCAGGCAGAATTGACACAAAGTCCGTACACGGACATTGAGCCCCATGACATGATGGCAGCTAAAACTTCAGACTGCAACCTTGAAAACACCGTCCATCTACGACAGCCAAGCGATGGTACGAAGATTAGGAAAATCCCACAGCACCTTGCCCACTTACAGTCACTGGCCAGGCAGGAAGAGCCCTGGTTGACGTGTCAGCGCAGCGTGGGCTGTGGCCAAAGTCTGGACAAGGCTGGAACGAGGAGGCTAGTAACTAGAAGGCTGGCACAAGGAGCTAGGAAACCTTGAGAGTCGAGATTGTCACCGCACCTCCTTGCCTGGCTCTTTCTACAGTACAAGTCTGAACATTCATCGTCATGGCCTACCGAAACGGTCGCTCTCGATACCGATCCGAGGTTGAGGCAGAAGCCGCCTCCAGGTCGATCGCCTTATCTGACCTGTCTCAGGATTTAGACGGTAGGAAGGCCATCGTGTTTCTGGAATGGAAGAAAGGTGATGCTATTGCCGCAGCGTAAGAAACCAACTTTACTGACAAAGCGTCGCAAGGATGTGCTCAGGGGTCACGAAACCCAAAGAGAAATGTGTCTGAAATCTCTCTCAGTCCACAAACTTCGCAGGACCCCTGCGACTTACGAATCATGTAAGAGACGGCTCCTATGGCATTCCCTCCTCAAGCCATTTGTGACCGAGATTCCTAACAGTCACACAGTACAGTGCCCCAGATCAACTCTTCGATACCCGAGCTGTACCCTGGGTTCGACAAGATCACCGAAGTATTCGACGTCCCAGACACTTTTCTCGAAGAGCGTCTGCATCATGGCGCTTACTCATTTGGCTCGGCGCGACAAGGGCACTTGCAAAGTGAGTCTGGACTCTGGACCACCAAGACCGTAGCTATTACTTGCTGAGCAAACCGATTTTCGCATTGCTAGGGATCTGGAGCCATTTTTTGCTGAAGTATATCGGAACTGTTGACTTTTTGGACGCCGACTACGAGTCATCGCTATGGTCCAAGTCGTCTTTTCTTCTTTCGTGGGATACCAGGACAGGCTTCTCCTCTCTCGACGACTCAGCCTCCTCGCCCACTGCAAGTGGTCTCCAAATGGCTCAGGTGACACTGATCTGCTTCGGTGCCTTTCAGGATTTGAAGCATCAATTCGACAGCTTGCGTTTCTCAAACTCCTGGGAAGTTGTTTTACAGGATCCACACCTGCTTCTCACTTACATCTACGACTCTTGGTACAAGCGGGTGGATAAGACAGTGTGGTTTGCAAATGGTCGAGGGCGAGGGATAGAGGAGGCAAGTCATTCTGTGTCCGTCATTCCCAAGTCCAAAAAGGCTGATATGAACCAGCAAGCTGTGCGAGAAACTTCAGACAAGGTATTGACAAAGGAAGAATCAAAGGTAAATCTTGAACATCTCTATCGAATTACTCAGACCGTGATATACCTGCGAGAAGGACTTGATGCCACCATAGCTTCGCTAAGCTTGGCCGCTGAACACTGTCGAAAGTCACCTCGGCAGAAGGATTCGCACCTGCTGCGAGATAACGTGCTGTCGCAGCTCCAGTACCGCCGCGAAATGCTCAGATCCACGCGCTTGAGACTTATCAGCCTCCATGAGCGGCTCAAGAATATCAATGAGATTGTGGGTCGGACAATCCTCCTTGCCTTTCCAGACGCTTACACACGAACAGTCTTACCATCTCGTTGCGAGGAGAGATAGCTACGCAGCACAACGAATCAGCGAGCACATGAAAAAAGAGAGCTCAAGGATGGCGGTTATCGCATTCATCGGGATTCTGTTCCTCCCTACGTCGTTGGTGGCTTCGGTGTTCGGTGCCGTACACGATCAGAACTACACGATGCAAAAAGCCTTTGCCAAATTCGGGTATCTGGTGGGAGCAGCAGTGCCCTTGACGTTGTTAACAGTATTTCTTTACAGGCTGTTCGGTGAGACTGAATCGAGACCCATGGCAGAGAGAAGCGACAATGGGAGAAACGAAGGCTTCGAACTGCGAAGCTTCAGGAGGCGGATGTGGGGAAGAAGGACTGTGTCACACATGGCGGAAGACGGTGACTTTCTCTGACCGGTGGCGTCCATGCATGATAGCGACAGGATATTGATGCCGTAGTTCTGCAAGCTGCTCATGCAAAATGTGTCTTATAACGAAGGAGACGAGCTGCTATGGACCGGTAAATGTTCACTGCTGTACCAGACCGATATAGCTATCGAGGATTCAGCAACAATTGTGTGGCTGTATTTTGCCTGGTCGAAACTCGAGATAGTTCACGATTCTGTCAATGCCGACTGACACTATACACGGCCGCAAGCCTCAGGGCAGCCACGAGCAACTGCAGCAGATTCGTCTATCACGGTGACAGAATCAGACGGTCTAAGTGAGGAAAAGCCTCTTCATGACCGACCACTGGCCAGGCCGGCATGCAGCATGAGAGGTCTGTGGAGTTTGCTGGCGCAAGGTCCTCACTCCACTTTCGACGGGTTTTGGGTGCAAGAAAGACGGTAGAAAGGAACAAACATCCTCCATCTAACTAGCAACCCATGGAACGTGTGGCGGAGTGTTAGATATGCAAGTTACATCGCCCCTTTGTACTCCGTACTGACAGGGTAGTTGCCCCTTTCAAGGTGTGATAAGCTCGATCAGTGGCTCGCGGCTCCATACTCTAGGCTTGGGAAAACAGCACCATATGCACCATACAAGGGATGGAAGGGGCGCGAAGAGGAGATGAGCCACTGTCCACAGACCATGGTGAGCAATAAGAAAAAAGAAATGAGAAACTACGTGAAAAGGCGTCCGCGAATACGAGAAAAAAGGCAATCGCCAGGGTTGTACAGCCTCAGCTTCATCATGTCCTAGGAGACAGGTGAACCAAAATCAGATTCAGAGTGGCGAGCCACAACCTGTCCTTAGCCAAACCGGTCCCCAGCCATAACATGACCCAAGCAACACCTCAGATATCGTCCTCTGCCTCGTCGAAGTCGTCCTCAACTCCCACACCGCCGATACCTCTTCTTAATCAGATGGCATCATATATAGCTGAAAGGGATTACCTTCCCCACCAAGCACCCAAGCAGCTATAAGTTCCTGGATCTTTTCAATATCCAGTATCGGACCGAAGTTTGCGAGATCATAACTACCGTCGTGGGGCTTGTAAACTTGCCATCTCCCACATTGTGGCCCGTCTCCCAGATCCTGGTCAGCATAGAATCCGTCTATGGTAAAGGAGTTCAGAGTATAGTCGTCGCGCAGTGCCTTCAATATCAGCTCCCATTTCCCGGACTCCCAGACGTCATTGTGGTCGACAATGTTGAAGTTGCGGATATGGAGCTCGCAGAGGGAGGACTTGAAAGGTGCTAAACATTCGAGGAACACCCGCTCATTAGGTACAGTGAGGCCAGACAATGTCAATGAGGTTAGACTAGGCCAGTCAAAATTATCACCAAAGTCTTCGCTTAGTGACCACGAGTTATCTGCCCAGTTCCAATGTTCCACTGTGACACACATGGGGTTCTTGAGCGCCTTTAGTGCCTCCGAGACCGGCGCACTTTCATATGTGCCGTGATCGAAATCCCTATCTTCGGGATAGTCGTGTTTGACAATAAGCTTGAACGTCTTGAGCTTATGGAATCGTTCCAGGGACTGAACGAGTCTGTCGAAAGTGGGACCTCGGCGGTTTTCCACGGTCGTTCCATCCCAAATGTCATACTCGAACCCTAGCTCGACGGTAGCTTCCGTGACCACGTTTGAGTAGACGGGATGAGAGGCGATGGCTTCGAAGTGACTCAGAGTTGTCTTCCCATCTCCCAAGGTAGGTCTGTCATACAGCAACGATGGTTTGACCAACCCGTTCCAGCGCTTCTCGACCAGACGCGCAGATTTGAGATCAGCCTTCGTCAACTCTCCAAATATGATGAGAAAGGCGGTGTCTGGTAAATGGATGCTAGGTATTTCATCGAATTTGGGCTTCAGCTGATTTGTATTGTCAGAACTCATTGCGAAGATCGAGTTCGGGCCCAGATCTCTGATGGGTAGGGTCTCACAAGGTCGAGGAAGTTGCCGCTCGGATTTAAAGGATTCTAGAGGAATACCCAACTCAACTTGGACCAAAATAAGGGGCCTGGACACTCCTACCAGGCTTCTTCTGGGCAAAGAAGCATGGTACGTAGTACGTCCTGTATTATGTCACGCCAGTTAACCCTTGCTAAGAAGGGTTAAGGGTTGATTGATAAGCCCGATGACCTTTCTCTTTTTCTAGTGATACATCCCCGAGCTGCCGGTATAGAGAAGCTTAGCTATAGAAGCTTAGAACTCTAGGCAGATTCGCCCACCCAGGTCTGAACACCAAGGTAGGCTTTCCAAATGTACGCCTTCCAAGGGGCACATCCCTATACTTCGCCAACCATGTGCCTCTGGGGTACATACTAGTCCTTTTACAACATATTCGCTTACCCAGATTCCTCTTCCCCGGGCCCTGCTTTGGGCTCTCGGGATTTTAGGTCTCTGCCAACACCGTGGGAAGGACCTGGCACCTAATCACGGGAAAGGCTGTGCTGATGGATCTTATCTTAGTGGTGCGTTCCTGGAAGAGTCTTTTGGCTGCGACGCTGGGTGCCGCCTGAGAGACGCCGAGATGGTTTGAGACCCTCCGAACATGATTTTGTGCAGGGGGTCTCTTGAAAATACCGGTTGTTAACGCTAGATGGCCAGCTTTACTGGGGTGGATGTCAGTGCTAGTAGAGAGTTGATTTCTCGGACGTGGAATGACGGCTCAAGCAGAGAATAGGTAGGCGGTATACTCTGCGAACCTAGTCGACATGACTTGTCACGATTGACCACAGATCCCTGTACGCATAGCAAGAAAAGTTATGTCGCCATCTGACGGCCAATCCCAGTTGTCTCAAAACCATACATAACGCCGCGGCCTAGCTAAGCTGAGATTCACACCTACAAAAAGATGCCGATATTAGCTGAAAGCGGCGTCAACCCACTCTCTCCCATTCTCAATACGTGAACCCTTGAATAAGTATGGGGGTTGCGCTGGGCTTCGAATGAGCAAAATTGGAGATCACGGTATCTCTCATCCCATGTCGAAGGCGCTTCACCGAGATCATCCACGTATCTGAGCGCATGCGGCGGTGGGACAACGCCCTACACAGTTTCAATGACCAACTCATCGCCTTCGCACGTTAGCATTTCCGGTACGATAGTGTGAGAGCCAAACTTGAAGACCAAGAACTGATCCTGGTCCTTGGAAAGAATCACTGATCCGCCCGGATACTACCCATCGAGGACGTGCTCCAGCTCAACGCGGATATGGATCAATCTTTGCACTGTATGGCGGCCCATCTACACCGATACGGCTCTGAGCTCCGCTCTCTATCTCTGATATTCTCCACGATTTACACATTTGCAACGAAAAACTCGATGAGTTTCTCGTCGATCCTGTATCTCGACAGTACCCGACCATTGAATACGTGACGACAGCCTTGGATCAGGCTGCCTCCCCATCTGGGTACCATTATCTTGTTCAGAGATGAACGACAGCAGAAGATCGACGAAGTGCTTGCCCTGGTAAGTTCTGTAGACGCAGCTTACACTGCAATCTCCAACACGACACCAGTCTAATACCACAGATACCTATATGGCTTGTCGACAACACTCACTCCATCAATGAGGAGCTCCTCATTCAGAACAGCAGAGCAATGCGAGCCATCTCCCCCGCAACCCAAGCTGAAGCCGCGGCTTCTCGCCAAGTTGCCTTTGATTCGCAACGGATGGCTGAGGGAATGATGAGGGATAGCGCGGCGATGAAGACGGCACATCGTGGATGCCCCATACTAAGCGAATTATCTATGTAGGCTGATTCTGTTTTCTCAGATCGCGCCCTGCACGACATTCTTCCTCCCGGGTGACGTTTTACGCGGTAAGCACGCCGCATCTTCCTTGATGTTGATGAAATTCCTCATAGCTTACCATTGCTTGGGTCTTCAAGGCCATTTGATCCATCCCGTTTCTCGACCAAAGCACATGGCTCAATTGGTCTGGCAGAATCTGGGCATGGCTGGCCCTGACCCATTCCACCCACGCTACCATGCTTCTTAGTCTAATGCAGCTGGAGTCGGTCGCGGACGAAAGGCCAGACGATGGCTGAGAGACGGGGATGTCGAGATGAGGAATGGACATGAGCCTTCCTAGCACGTGCAATTCCGGTAGTTGTTGTCATCTTGTCGTCGGTTGGCCAAGCCTGGCATGCAAGAGTGAGATGTGCTCCGTCCCAAGACCGTGAATCGTCTAGCGGTGCTTATGGCGCTTTTCGCTTGATGCGAACATCCATCTAGCTTAATAATTTACTCTTTTTGGTGGCATGGCGCATCAGCCCTACTGGACTTCGCTTGCATGCAGGGCCCTTGTTCACCGAGTCCTTTGCTATGAGGGAAGGGTTGCTTAGCAGTGTCAGCCCCCACCTTCTGGCGGTGTCCGAAAATACGTGTACAATTCACTGCGGATACTCTGTGCCGTTCCCAACTACTGTAGTCACCATGGAGCAGTATGTGGGGTTGTACCTGAACCGGCAAAGCCAATGTGTTTGGTAAGTCGATGCTGTTAACCCTCTCTGGTCCTACGGATGTGACGAAACTACGGATATGCATGCATGCATGCGTGGATGACAATGAGGCGCAAGCAATTGACGGCCAACAGATGGCAGACAGCAGCAACTTGTAAGTACTCCGTATTGCGTAGGCAGCACACAAGTGGTCGTCGCCTTTTCCGGCGCCCCGTTCAGTTTTCCGTACCAGATTCGTGATTTCGTGACCTAGCCGAAGAACTGAAGGCAACAGTCAAACTTACACATATGTATATATATATCAATGCCGTCCAAAACAAAACAATATTTCGGCTTTCGACATCCTGCCTCAGTGCTTCATATCTGAGATATTGGGCTTCTTTCCGCAGTAGTCACCTACAACTGAACAACGTGAACGAGTCATCCACCGAGTCCAACCAGGATCGAGAATCTGTCACGCAAGAAGGCAACTCAATCTCTGGCCATAGAGAATTGAAATCAGACGACTCATAACGAACGGACGGGACGGTATTCAACAAGTTTTGCCTCTACCACTCCCACCATTACCGCCACGAAAGGAATATCTGATCTAAAATCGATACTTTCATACTTTTCAAGTCCGTTCAAGGATACTCTGAGTACTGGGTTGATTACCGTACTTTACCAAATGGCATCTTCATATTTCGCCAGAAGATCAATCTTGTCCACGTCCATGAACATGACGACCTCGACCTCGGCGGCGGCGGCGTCGTCCGCCGAGATATATTCATCTCGTCAGCGGCAACAACACCAAAACCAACAACAAAAACAATCTCGTGGGTCGGCGACCGATCCCATGGGCGGCAATGGAGGTGCAATTGAAAGTGATACGGGAATTGCCTCCGCTGCCACCACTGCGACGAAGACCGTTCCCTCCTCGACGAGAGCAGGACACGAGGCCCAGATGCCGGGGAATGAACGGAATAACAAAGGCGGTCAAGGGCCTAATGCCGATCCGGCGTCATGGTCCGAGTCAATGAGCAGTAGCAGTTACGGGTCGTACGGGTCGTTCACGAGGAGTCTGTACGCCAGAGGGTCTTGAAGATGTTAGGAACCGGCCGGACTATTTTGAAGCTGCAAGCAGTCCAAGCTGTCGGGGACTGTCTTCCATGAGTTGTGTTTTGGTTTGTTGAAGTTTCACCCTTGAGCGTGGGCGCGTGGGACAGGCTGGACAGTGAATCACGGTGCGATCTAATGTCAAGGTTCTGGTTGAGGAAGGAGGATCTCTTTGTCTGGATGAATAAATGTCAGGAGGGCGAAGAAGGAATGTACCGTGTGACGGGTGGGCGAGGAATTCAGGCGATCGCGGAAGCTGTTGTCGGGTGAGTATATATACATAGGAATTCAAGTCTAAGTCTAATAAAGAACTCACACACTCTATGCTTCACGGTCAACGCTCAAGCCGTTTCGGTTTGAACCTTTTGGGCCCTCGTTTGGCCCCCATCCCCTTTTCTCAGTCAAACTGAACACAATCGTTCATTCATACCCATACGGTATACTCTCCGCTGCGCCTCGGCGCCGGACACATTTGGCTGCCGCTTGATTTGCGCGGTGCACCGCGTTTGCCAGGTCGAAATCATCGATCCCTGCCCTGCTCTCTGAGGTGCTCGAATGAAGATGCGTTGCCAGCGCGGAAGCCAGATAGCCCACGAACGTGTCTCCCGCCGCTGTTGTGTCGACGACATGGTCCACTTTGGCCGCAGGAATCATGGCGCTGTGAATGCGCTTCTCCTGGCCTTCGCCATGGCTGCTACCATTCTTTCTTGCAGAGTAAAATACTCCACGCGAGCCGAGCGTCACGACGACCACGGATATACCGACCAGGTCGTGGAGGCGGTGTGCTGTTGCTGTGAGGAACGGCTCCGTCAGCAATTCTTCTTCTTCTTCCTTCTCCTCTCCCTCCTTCGTCCTCAGTGCCTCTGAGGCCATGTCCAACCCGAGTTGCTCGAGATGTCGACAAAGCAAAAGGCACTCGGTCTCATTGACAACCAGAACGGCGAGATTGCGCAGCGCTCCGAGCGGTATGCCGTCCTCGGGCATGGGTGCAGGGTTGAAGACGACGCAGATGTTTTGTGGGCCCGACTCCCCACTGTTAAACTTTTTGAGAAGCTCCATCACGACAGTGAAGGGTATCTCTCCTTGCATGACAACCACGTCTGGAGCTCGAGGGACCATCTCGGTCATTGTCGCGAGCACCTTGGTGGCATCGTCAACGTTGCCATTGGCTCCGGGCACGATGATGATTCGATTCTCTCCGCCGCCCGTTCCTCCCTCCACGATGATCGTAGCAGTCCCTGTCCCGACGCCTTCAATCTCGTCGATACCTTGGGTCCGCACGCCGCTCGACTCGAGGAGAGGCTTGAGGAGAGATTCGTAGTACGGATCCCTCGCGCCTACAGCCCCGATCATGCTGACCGCAACCGTCTGCTCCTCGCGGGAAGTGAACGCCGCCCTCCCGCACGCTACGGCTTGATTCGCACCCTTGCCTCCGGCCGAAACCGTGAGTGCTTCTCCGCGTAAGGTCTCTCCTGGCCCCGGGACGCGCGCAGTGAGCGTGACGAAGTCGACGTTCAGAGATCCTATCACCACGATTGTCGGCTTGGACTCCATGGTTGTTGTCGTAGACCCTTCTTGTGCTAGCTTTGACCTGACCTGTCAATGAGGTCTCCCAGAGGTAGGAATGAAAGGCTTCGATCGTATTTTGGAGCTTCGTCGACTCGAGAATAGATTTTAGTAATGTATTCATAGAACAAGAGTGAGTCGCCCGAGGGAGTCCGGGAGGTTATTGGATGAAACTGTGGGCTGCGGGTGGAATGTCCTTTATCATACTTCAGAAAAAGGGACGACGCCAGAGTCCAGACTTTATGTAAATATAAGTGGTTTCGCACGTTGGTCTTACCGTCGGCATGGACGTTTCTGGGAACTGCTCAACTTTTACGATGGACCATGCATATCCACACCTTGAACGTAAATCACGACAGGACAATTAAGGAGCTGCAGCCACTAAACAACTCGGTTCCTCGGAAGCTAGTGTTCGTATTCTTAACGTACAAGACCATGGTAGTCACACTCTCTACTTGCGTTGTATTAATATTTTGTCCTCGGCCAGGCGGGAGGCTGAGAGGTCGACGCAAGTTTAACTTCCTCGAGTAGACATCCTGGTCCGACTCTAGTGTTGTTTGATTATTTTCGCGCCAAAATAATCGCAGAATCAGACCGTCTCTTCTTTTGTCTCCTCCAGGTGGACGCCAACACTTTTGTGCCCGTCAAAAGCTTCCACGGGCAGTGCTTCCTTGATAGAATTGGTCATGCGCGTTGTCACCGAAGTGTGTGGAATGCGATATGGAACATCGGTTTTGTATCCACTGTTGAGTGTTAAACATGGGTTAGCTCTCTGGAATTGCACGGGAAAGTAAAACTGGGCCAGGACGTACAAGATGAGATCCATTTGGTCGATCGTAAGGCCTTTGGTTTCTGGAACAAGGAAGAACTGCCAGCACGTAGCGACCAGCATCCACGCTGCGAAGAAGAACCAGGTTCCGTAGCCAAAGGAGTCAAAGATGTACGGAAGGGCTTTGGTCATTGAGAATTGAACAGCCCTATCAAGATGGGTCAGCACAAAAGCATGCACAGAACAACCTCAGGACACTTCTACAACAACGTACCATTGCACCAGAGCAGCGAAGGTTCCTGAAAAGTTTCGTAACGCACCGGGGAAAATTTCGGCGGCGAGGATCCATGGAACACCGTTGAGACCGAAGGACCAGCTGGGGATAAAAGTGTTAGAGAGTTTTGCGGTATGAAGGGAGAGCTTCGCTTGACAAATGAATCTGAGGGCGGCTCACAAAATAGCGTAAATCATGATCATGCCTATCGCCATGCGGCCACCCGCAGCCGTAGACGAGGACAGTTCTTGGCCGGCTTTGATGATATCTGCAGGATGGCCAACTTTGACATAGGCCCCGACGATCCACAAACACGTCGAACACACGAAAGTCGAAACGAGCACGGGCCGTCTTCGGCCAACAATGTCGATGAAGAAAGAGTAATACATGATGGATGCGATTGCTGCCAACATTGATTAGCATCCAAGTGCATCCGAGGAAATTGGAGAGAACACACCCTTGACTAGTCCGTAGATACCGGTGTAAAGTGATACGTCTGTGACACCCAAGGATCCAAATAGCGTAGGGGAATAATAGTTGATTGCTAGTTTCCCTCTGATCAGCAAAGACGATCGTTTGATGCTTGAGCATGGAAAGAAATCTTACCCGAAGCTCCGGACAGGTTTTGAAGAGTGAAGGCGCAGAAGGTGATGAAAATGCGGTTTCTCATGCCCTTCTGAGAGAACTCGGACATGGCTCCCCGGAAAAAGGCCCAGGGGCCTGATCCATAGCGGCTGGCTATTTGGGCTTCCTCCTCGAGACGAACCTGTAGCGCTGCTATCTCTTCTTGGAGATCTTCAGCAAGAATTTGCATTAGTAACAGGATCAGTCACAAACAAGGGACAAGGAATAATCATTTAGGAGCGAGCATTTTCAGCTAGGGTTCCCCTTACATTGATGGTCTGCAGGGAGGCGACGCAGCACCTGCAGATTATGGGCGGCCTTTTCTGCTTTACCCTTGCGCATGAGCCATAAAGGTGATTCATGTATCCAGAATGCGCAGACAAAGAGTAAGCACGAAGGTACCAATTGGAAGCCCATGGGAAGCCTCCAGCTGGCCGAAGAGGTGACGTCCATATTCTTATTAATACCATAATTGATCCAAAAGCCAACGACGGATCCGACTTGATATGCAAGTTCAAACAGACCTGTAAGAATACCCCGAATAGAAGAGATGGATAGTTCAGCGATATAAGACGGTACGGTGGCGGTGATCGCTCCGCAACCCAGCCCTGTGAGGACTCGCCCAGCATCTAAACCGCGAAATGATGATCAGCATTTGGATCTGGGAAGTAGATAGATGGTACAAAGTTGTAAGAGGAAGAGACTGACAAATATATGATAATTCATTCGGAGTGACAGTCATCAGAATCGCGCCGATGATGAACACAAATACGTTGATCAGCAAAGTTATCTTACGTCCCCACCGTTCTGTAGCTATACCACGTAGTTAGACACGAATTCTGCCCACCAGGGAGAGGGAAGGGGAACGAACAGAAGAAGCAGAATACAGCCCCAAAGAAAGCACCGGCCTGGAAGGCTGAGGTAATGTTGCTGGAGATGCTGCTAGCTGACGATTTTGTGATGTTGAAGTCTTTCTTGAAGCTCGCTCTTGCGATCGTGGTCCCGACGAAGGCCGAGTCATAACCAAATCTGCAAAAGATCAGTCATGGAAATGGCAGGCTCTCCGTGAGGCGGCCCTGTACGCACAAGAAGGAACCCATTGCGAGGGCGATGGCCTCGAGGTAAAGCGTCCAGTTGTAAACCTCTTTCGGGGTCGGACGATCCTCAACAACGTGAAACCCTCCCATTTTGTGTTGACTGATCAAGGAAGCCGTGATCGATATGAGGTTCTTTCGCGTCCCGGCGAAAATGGAATGCGAACAACGCGGAGTGCCCGTCTGGGGAAACCATGGATCTTTATACTACCTGGGTTTCTAGTCAAGTCAGCGGCGTGGAGACTGGAGCCCAGGCTCATAGCCCCACGGGGCCACGGAATAAGACCACTCATCTCGCTTGATCTGGATTTGGCAATGACGATTACTGCAAGAAATCTAACCTCGCTCACCTCCGACTCCAACACTCAATCGCTGTATTTACTACCCTGTCGGCCTACCCCGATTCGGAAAAGGCGAGCCGACGACGAAGACCGAGGACATTGCCGGTATCCTCATCGCATAACCAGTAAGTGGTTGTGTAATATGGGATCTGAAAAACATCTCCTTCCGAAACCTTGCTATTTCCAAGACTTCAATTCTGTTGTTCCAACTGGTATTTTGTCGAATAAATCGTATACTCTCACCTCTAGGTTGCCATTTGTCTTTCCTTTGAAACTAGATAGAATTTCCTTGGAACATTTTTCATCATGGGATCCATTGCGATTGAGAATACACCGGCAGCGCGCCATTTCCCTTCAGGAATTCATGTTCCCTCTTTAACATGGTTCAAGGACGATGAGGTGCAGAGCCTTGATTGGGACGTTCAAGAACAACACCTCAAATTTCTTGTCGACAGTGGATTGCACGGAAGTAAGTTGCTCTGCGGAAACTTAGTTCCTCGCTCCAACACTAAGAATCTGCGCGATAGTTGTCATTGCAGGCACCAACGGCGAAGGTAAGACCACCAACGAGTCATCGTGGTCAAAGACTGACTGCCAAAGCTGCGGCACTTACCAGAGACGAGAAATTGGAGCTGGTCCGCCGAACACGCTCTATAGCTCAGTCCCGAGGAAAGCCGCAACTGCCCATCACGATGGGTTGCGGCGGCGGCTGCACACGATTAGTTATCGAAGAGACAAAAGATTCCGCGGCGGCAGGGGCAGATTTCGCCTTGGTTCTTGTTCCAAGCTATTTTCACTTTGCCATGGACAGTGATGCGATCATTGAGTTTTTCCTGGAGGTGGCCGACAAATCGCCAATTCCGGTGGTAATTTACAACTACCCAGCAGTGGTCGCTGGCTTGGAAGTGAACAGTTCGATGTTGGACCGGCTGGGAGACCACCCGAACATTGTCGGCGTCAAACTAACGTGCGGTGGTATCGCCAAAGTAGCCCGAGTTGCTGCTAAATTTGGTGCGGCCTTGGGGACAGAGACAGAGCCATCCTTCAAGGCACTGGCCGGGCAGAGCGATTGGCTTGTGCCAGCGCTTGCGGTTGGCGGAGCCGGTTGCATCACAGGGCTTGCAAATTTGTATCCGAAGGTTTGTCAAATGTCCATCTCGTGCTGAAGGACATGCTGCTGATGAATGACGCAAGACGTGCATTGAGATGTACAACCTTTGGAAAAGCGGCCAGACGAAGGAATCCAACCAGCTGCAGGTTGATATGTCGGTTTGCGAAATTGGCTTTGGCCAAGGAGGTATTAACGGAACGAAATGGGTTGTTGCGCACTTGAGAGGATACCCTGAGACTAGTGCGCACTGCCGTCGACCATACCCGGTGTTTGCAGACGAGAAGAAGAAGGCCTGGGTCCTTTCCACTGTCAAGTTGTGTAGCCACATTGAGCGAGCGTTTTCGTGAGCTGTGCATTTTTACTTCTGAGACACACCGCTTCTCCCCCAGATATACCAGTTAGACCACAGCAAAACACGAATTGTATATCTCATGCATGACCGTGCGGATGTCCACGCGCTGCCCGCACGCATCCTGTCTTTCGATGACGCTTTGTAGCACGTCTGCTGTGATGCTTGCATTGCTAATATTGTTCGACATCTTCCGTATCGATGACAAGATACAGGTCCGTTCCTCCGGGCAATCTTCTTCCGCTCCCCACATTAACAATGGCCACAGCATGTTCACGGGGAGAGATTCAGCGGAGGTTTGCGCCGCCTCCAGATGCCGAATCGTCTGCTTGATCATGACCATAGCATTTATCACGTCTGTAGTCCGCGGAAGATGCCGATATGCCACACGATGAAGATGAATGAAACTCGCGTGATAATTCGCAAGAGCCACGCGTGCGCTACGTGTGAGTTCAGTGGCCAGGCTAGAGGCAAGCAAAGGCGCTTGAAGGCTACCAGCGACAGCCAAATCTAGTATTGGGGGTCGGTGCCGGTATAATGCATGGTTGTCCTTCTGAATCTGTGCCGCGATCGTCATGACCTCGGTCTCGTCCTCGACTGTCCCACGACTCCGGTGCCATAGATCGATTTGGGTAATGCGACCCATAAATAACTGCGTTTTTTGGAAAAACTCCTGCAGGGGTTTGGAAAGCATGTCAGCTACTACTGCTTCGGCGTCTTCGTTCGAAGGTGGCGTGTTTCGTCCAAATTCAGGAGAGTCACTTCCATCACGGAGGAACAGGCCTTCACCACCAGCAGTAACTGCACGAGCGTCAAGGAGACGGTACCAGGAGATGAGGCGTCGTTCTGAGACGAAGTAAGTCAATGCAGCAAATAATACCAGCGATTGATCGTCGCACCTGGCCACTCCAAGGTTTCTGGGTCTAGATCTGAGACGATTCTGTGAGCTCTTCGGAGCTGAGTATGAGCACAAGCTGTTTTATTAGTCACCAACTACAAAACTAGTGAGCCAATGACAATTCGTAACCACTAGCTAACTTACGTCGATGTAGGTTAAGAGGAAGAGTGCAGTAAGAACATGGTTGACATTTGCACCGAGGATGTCGATTTTATTGCCATGCTCGAGCACGGAGCCCGCGATCTCGGTCTCGCTCAGATCGTAATAATAGCTGACAGAACTTCCACCTTGTTCTCTGCCCCGTCGTAATTGGAGAGAGGCAAATGCTGACACCGCGTAGTGAACCATGAGTGACGAGCGAGTCATAGACAGAAAATGGTCCCTCATCAGCGTCCAGCCAGAGCGGGTTTCGATTTGCGCAATGATAGGGGGAGCGTCAGAATGTGCGAAGTGCTCACGGAGCTGTGCTGCATCGGACACTTGGGAATCATTTGTGAAGGGCAACTGGGTAGCTGCTTGATCCCTCATCGAGCCAGACACTGCCGTCCTTAAATGCCCCGTGCCCCCCGCGTCCAGAGCTTGGTGATTGATCTGAAGCTCAGACAAGAATGGCGAAGTAGGTCGACTCCATAAGAAGCTGGCAAAATCAAAGACGTCTTCGAGACGGGAATTGCGATCAGGGACAGGAGCCGGTTCAGGCTGTGTCGGGGAGTTTATTGATGCATTTGTCGCATCCGCGCCCAGACTGTCAAGAGGCGTGGCTGATAGGGCGCTCGCTCGGTTCCCGACGCCAGACTGAGGAGCATTTTCATGCCGCGCTTGGTGTGCTGCTGGCTCTGGGGTCTTCCAAGCACAATCTAGCTGCAGACGAGAGCAATGTCCGCAACGAGGATGCTGTTGGTTGCATCGTACTCTTCGTCGCCTTGAGGAACGAAAGTTAGCCCGGCTGACGAGAATCCGGGACAGGGGTTCTCCTGACTTGCAAGTTAGACAGCCATTCTTGCTGCGATCGCTGCGACGAGGCTTGTCGGGATGTTGACGATGCCACGTGGCAAACATTACGATGCATGAACGTTACGATGCACGAACCACTTTACTCGCCCTTTCCCACGATGCTGGAGAGGAGGGAAGATGAAAAACCAGATCCACATTTGGTCGGTATTACCTCAAGAAGGCGTTGGAAGGAAATTTAACCTGGTGAAGCCGGAAAAGTCCTGTAGGCCCGACTCCGTGGACCTCTTCCACCCCCATCAATCCTAAGACGGGAATCCCGACGGTCTCGGCTTGACTTGTTTTGAATGGGGACGAGATCGATTGTGCAGCAGGCTTAGGGATTACTGCCGACACATCCCCTGACACCAGTACAATAGGTCTCACACCACCAGGCATCCCCATTTTCTAAATAGGCGTAACGTCTATCATGGTACACCTAAATGAGTGAACTCTAGTTAAAAGCTTTACCTAGAACGCCGCCTATAAGCACCCCCCCTAAAAGCGCACGCCGCTAAGCTCCCGCTAAGTATCTCGAAGAAGCCTATACAGAGCCTGTGTTGTGATCTGCGACTTGATTATGATCAGGTGAGTGCCTGTGCCGGTAGTAAACCCAGCCTGTGCCCCTGGTCGATCTCCATCCAAGTGTCGAGTATCTTCCAGCCTCGTGGGCACAAAGAACATGTCTTCCTCCAGAGCCTGTTATACTTCTCTTCGACGCGTTTTCTTTATGATATCGTGGAAGAGGGATTTACGAGTAAAGCTCGCCGTGTTTGAAGATTTATTATTATCCACAACCCATTTCATGAAGGTGCTGAGTTTTCTCAAAGGCATCGGGGCACTGCAAGAACTAGACAAATGACATTTTTGACCTAGTAACATTCGTTTCTGAGGGAGCACGCTGAAACTTATACACTGGTACAGTAAGTAAAGTGGACTTTGCCGTCGACTACATGCGTTGGTAGAGATCAACACCCGGCGGACGGGGTGATTCTCGAAAATCTTGTTACAATACAGTACAATTCCAGCATCATACCTATCCAGAAATCGCTGTCACCTACAGAGTGCAGACTCGGAAGGCGAAGGTGAAGGTCACCAACATGGAGTCTTCAAGTGGCGCCGTCATCCAGCCTTGTGGAAAATAAGACTTGAACTCGCCCTGTGAGATTCATTGCAATGATACGGAGTATCAAATTAATAAATGCTCCGTAATCAGGCGACAAATTCTCTGATCATGCCACCGACGACTGGGCGAGAAAGAAATTGATGGGCTGAAAAGCAGAATGTAATGCACAGGCCGTGATAGGCCAAAGACAAGGCTGCCACGAGGCTGGCCAATCATCGTCAGGCTAATTGTCAGACACCCAAAACCACCGACGTCACCGTGTTTTGTATATAATTCGCATTCCCCTCCAGCATTGACTGTAATTAAGCCATTTCCATTCCATACAACAGAACAAGACCGTTCTGACTCGACCCAAGTCCTCTGTCTCTCCAGCATTCCAACCACCATCCCTCTTCTCAACCACTCTACCAACCACATCCCCGTCTCCAGCCAAAATGGTCAAGCCAACTACCTGCTGCGGCCGCAGCGAGGACTGCGTCTGCGCCCAGAAGGCCACATGCTCCTGCGGCAAACAATCTGCTCTGCACTGCACCTGCGACAAGAAGTCCGCTGAAAACACCCTTGAAGGCGCCCGATGCTCATGCAGTAAGTGGCTGATATCATCTCTTATCATCCCGCACTCCACTACCCATGAGGAAACGAACATACTAACCTTTCTCTTCCTCCCACAGGAGCCCGTCCCGCAGGCCAATGTACCTGTGATCGTGCCTCAACCGAAAACTCAACTCCCGCCGGTGCCACGTGTGCCTGTGGTCAACGGAGCGCGGGAAGCTGTACCTGTGAGAAAGCAGCCGATGGTGGCCGGTACCCTGACGAGGTCGACTTCACTGGCAAGGCCTAAGTTGTTGTCGGTACCCACCCACCACTAGACGAACCGAATGCTGTACAATGCAAACTTCCGCTCTATTCGTTTGAAGGGATTGGCGTTTTTCGGCGGTACCATTGCGGGAGTTTGGGTTCAACTTGTACCAAAGGGAATGGAATCGAGGAGGGGACGATCAACATGAAGATTGAACGTTTAGAAAAATGATACCACCAATGAAAGAGAAATCAGTGACTTTGTCCTTGGCAAACAATGGATACATACGGCTCTGAAGAATCCATCTTTCGCAACAGTTGACGGTGTACGTGTGCGAGTGTGCGAGTGTGGAAGTGGGAATGGAGAGGTCGTCAGTAAAATGGCCCACTTCCTTCACATTTCGCCACTACCGCATGGCACCAGCCTTTCCTCGAACTCCACACGCCATTGCGCTCCTCGTCTTGCTCGGGATCCCACTCTATATTCTTTCCCTCTTCAGAGCCATGATCATTCCTCCCCCAGACCATGGTGAGATGGGTTGCGACTTGTGGACATCCTGCTGCCACAACCCTTGCTCTTACATCCCGCCCACGTGCTTTTGGACCCTTTTGCTCCTTGAACCGCCGTCGAGACAACTTTTCGAAAACAGCGAGAGTTCTCCACCACGAATCTCTTCGCCGTTCTTCCTGCCTTGGATTGGTTGATGCAATCCCCGTGAACAGACCTTTGTCGTCAGATGTGAGACCGTCCGGACGACGACGGACAAGGCCACAGAGTATTTTCCAGATCTTGTCATGTGCTTTTCGATTGACCAAATAGGAAAGCAGGGAAAGAACCCCAGCGCGTCCGAGACAGGTGGGAAGACCTCGCGGGACACGGATGGACAAGCTGCATCACCCAACACGGCATTCATGGAAGGGTCTCTGTCTTTGACGGTAGGTGGTCCAAGAACAAGAAGAAGAGCGTAAGTTGGCACATGGTTCGCCCTATGGAACACGGAGTACGTGGTAACAGGTCCAGAAATAAGCAGTTTTGGACATTGTGTGTGTGGAAAATCAGATGTCGTGACACAGAATGAACTGGACTCGTACCTCGTGTGCCCGGGGAAGGATCCTGAATATTTAGATTTATGGGCTCTCGATGTGGGATATTGTACATCTGTGGTCTAGCATTTATGTACAGAGTATAGCCTCCACCAAGGGAATCCGATTATCCCAGAATCACACCACGTCGGGCGTTTTGTTCTGGCTCTTCATTCCAGATGTTGACATTCCACCTGGGATGGTCTACGTACGGAAAGGTCGGTCAGTAAATTCCGCACCGAGAGTCGACGTACAGCGAACCATCGCTCGGAAGGTACTTACATGTCATTGGAATGTTGTAGCGCCGTGGAGTTTCGCCAATCTTGTTGACGGCAGCGACGTCGTCCTCGCCCAGCGTGACTTCTTGGAAGTTGGATTTGATTCGGCTTGGGGTGACAGACTTGGGAATGACTGAATGTCCACCGACTTGGGCCCAGGCAAGGCTGCGACAGGTCAGACGCGTGGCACAGCCAACACCAACTCGATTCAGAACCACTCACAGTACTTGCGCGGGCGTAGCTCCAATCTTGTCCGCGACGTCCTTTACGACCGGATGCTCGATGAGGAGCGGGACCCCGATGGTATTGTTGCCAAAGGCCTGTTTGGAGCAGAGAATTGGCCGGTTAGCTCGACGTCTGACAGGCCGAAAGAAAAAGATGTGTCGACGCGATGATGTGGTCTTCTCAACTCACCGAGTATGCTGTGATGTGGATGTTCTTCTCCTTGGCGTATTTGATCAAAGTGTCGTTCTGCTGCAACAGTGGATGCCTCTCGATTTGGTTGACGGCCGGGACAACGCCGGTAGCATCAATGACGGCTTGTAGGTGCTCGGGGGTGAAGTTTGAAACGCCGACGGCACGGACTTTGCTCTTGGGCAGCTTCACCACGGCTATTGGAAATTATCGTCAGCTTCAGCTCGCACAATACCTTTGCCAAGTCATGAACGGACCTTTCCACGTGTCGACGATAGAAACTCCGTCGTCAAGAACAGTTTCGTCACTGTCCTTTGCGGTCAGAGGGAAGAGCTCATTGGCGGAGCGTCTTTCAAAAGCCACGGGCCAGTGGATGAGATACAGCTGGGAAGAGAAGGTGTCAGTCCCATCTTAAAAGACTGGATCGGTATTTGGCGACAGCGTACATCGAGATAGTCTAGATCCAACTCCTTCAGGGTCTGGTCGAGCGCCTCTTCGACATATTCAGGGCGATGGGAGCTGTAGAAGGCAGTCGTCAATACTCAAGACATAGGTGATCTGGACCTGGTCGGTCGTTCTGACGTACTTGTTCCATAACTTAGACGTCTGTAGAAGTACAATATCAGTCTGGGATGTTCTGGTTTATCGGTTGCGAGTGTGACTCACGATAAAAATATCTTCTCGCTTCAGGCCCGGGATCTCTGCAAGAGCCTTCTTCAGGCCTTGGGCGACTTCAGGCTGGTTCCCGTAGCTGTGCATGGTGAGTATGTCTTCCCTAGCAAGACGAAGATGGAGTTGTCCACGTACACCTTTGCTAGATCCTGCGACATAAATCAGACTTGTCTTGATTTTTCATCTTCACGTCAGAGGGAGAGCCTTACAAGATGGCGGTACCCGGCTTTGAGAGCCTCATATACGCCAACCGAGACCTCTCCAGGTGCAGATTGCCAGGTGCCGTAGCCCAAAGTCCTACCAGTAGCGATCAGCACTCTTGTCGAACTCAGAACAGACTTGACTTGTTCAGACTTACGGGATTGCAGCACCCGTGTTGAGATTTACTTTCGTACCGCGAGACATTTCTATGGCTTCTTCAGGATTTTCAGTACAGATGAACTGCTTCTTGATCAGGAGTGTTGTTTGCAATGTCGCAAAATGCTTCAGAAATGCCTAATGATGACGATTGAAAAGCCAAGATGTCGGCGATGTCGGCGATTCGTCCGGGGATGAAAACCAAAGAAAGACACCGAAAGTTCCATATGTGGCAGAAACATCGTTGTCGAATCACAGCACCTGGAAGTCGTCCCTATTGCAGTCTTGCGGGCCGTGTTTCGGTCCGGCTGCCAGCTTTGTGATGTCGCCATAGCCGGTTGTGGAAGTTCTCGACGAGAAACGAGGACTATGGGGTCCACTCTTCCGACATATGGGCGGACCTTCGGCGCGAGGGGGATCGATGCAGATGCCGGGCGAGGTGGCCCCTAGCAAATATCTACTCTGGATCCCAGGCGCATCCATGCCTCAGGAATTGTCGGTTGGTGCACATACCTATACTCTAGACACCAGTATTGTATCGATACAAAGGCTCGGGAATCCATCCATTCCAGGCAAAAGTATCACTGAATCTGATCTACATAGCAGGAAGAGGATCCTCTTCAGCAGCAACGCTTGCTTCTTCCTCGCCTTCATCTCCCACTCCAGCTTCATCTTCTGCAGTGCTCTCAACTGTGATCTGGCCACCCATAGCCTTCACCTTAGCCTGCGTCATTTCAAAGACATATTGTCCCAAGTGCTCCACACCTTCCATCTCCGTGCCCGGAACATCGTCTTCCAGTTGCCGCTCGGTCGGGAACATCTCGCCCGTCGTCAGGACAAGTTTATCTGGCCGCTGCGTCAACAAGTCCATTGCTGGCTTCATCTCATAGCAGGACTCGAAGAGTTCCCTTCGACCAAGAATGTAGAGTCCCAGTCTCGCGCGTGATATTGCAACAGTGAGCCGGCGAATGTCTCGCAAGTAACCGACAGAACGTGTTCGAGTCATTGACACAATCACGTAGTCATTCTGTTCACCTTGATATTTGTCCACTGTGGTAACAATTCGAGGCAGTCCAAAGAGCTTATTGTTCTTACATCTGTGTTCCAGAACATCACGAATCAAGGCTCGTTGGCCTGCGTAAGTGGCCAAAATTGTGATGCTTCGAGCTGGGTAGCCGAGAAGCCGCATGTACTGGAACAAGGCAACAGTATATTCGGCTTCTCCGAGATTCTGAATGAAATGAGGCGTCGGCTCGCGTTCTCCCTGTCCTTGGTAGTCTGGAACGTCGATGAATTGGTAGTCGTATCGGAAACCTGCATTGGCTCGAACAAATTCAGGGTGATTTTCCAGATGAGGCAAGTTACCAAGGTCAACATAACGCCATTTGAACAACTCTGCTATGGAGGGTCGACAGCGTCCTTGTTTGTCAAGGTGTATCGCAGGTACCCCTAATCGCACGAAGCGGAGGAAGAGCGACTGCTCGAACTTCGCATACTGACGTAGAGCTTGATTTTGAATGACTGGAGAATTCTGGAGGTGATCCCCGACTAGCATTATCCGCTTCAGAGGCAGCTCCCCAGTCTTCGAGTCGGCATCTTGCATTGCACAAGGGATGAATGACTCGATCTCCGTGATTTGAGCTGCTTCTTCCATTATCAATGTATCGTAATGGAAACCAAGCTCTGCAATTTCAGACCTTCGCATAGCGGCATGAGTCGAGGTCATCGCGATGATCCGAGCTTCCTTCACCAGGAGATGATTAGCCTGATCACGGCCATTACGCAAGATTTCGAACGGCCTGATCGATTCGAGCTCTGAAAAGATCTTGTTGATATGGTGCTGACAGCCAGAGGCAATATCGCGAGCCTCTTCAAGAGAGCAATCAGGCGGGAACAAGGTCGGAACAGGAGCGTTTCTAAAGTACTCATAGAAAGGGAACGCAGCCAGAACCTCTGCCACAGATGCGTCGGCCACATCAGCAGCGTCCCAGAATCGTGCCCATGCAGGCTTGATAAAGACCTGATTGAAGTATTCGGCAGTCTCGCATGAACTGCCATGGGCTCCTTCAGCACCAATGGAAGCTGCCAATCGATGGACTTCGGCAAGATATATCTGTCGGTTCTCTAGGAAAGATTCGACACGACCATATTTGCTGTAAGAGGCTTCAGCCTCTAGCTCTTCTTCGCCATGACCAAGGCGTAGTAAATGTCGAGGGTCAATGTCAAGAGCAATGATCTTCTGGAAAAGCTGGTTGAGTGCTTGATTACTGTGCGCAACAAGGAGGATTCGTTCTGATGGGAAATTGTGATACAATAGGTTGATGGTTTGAGTAGCCACATCTGTTTTGCCGGTCCCTGGTGGTCCCACAACGACGGTAAGGCCGGGTTGTGCCCCGGATGCAATCGCTTCAACTTGTCTTGGGGTAAAGCGAACGGCATTCTTTTTTGGAATGTCCATCGGATATGGCCCAGTATTTGGTGGTTTATATGAAGACACCACAATGGTCGACGAGTCTTGTTCCATTTGCTCTCTTCGCCGCTTCTTTGGGTTTGTAGGAGGGACATCAAGTTCTTGTGGAGACGTCTTGAGAATGAATGGACCGTTGAAGGGCGCTGCGTGACCGGGAGCGGCCTCGATCACTTTCCCTTGGAAGCTGTCCGTAAGATGTTCCCAATCTAAGAAGGTGTCCAGATAATCGATTGACTCAATCCTGTTGGGCAGGGATTGGAAGGACGCCTCTTTGGGATCACCGTAGCCTAGGTAGACCTCTTGAAGCCACGATGGTAGTGAGGTCTGAGCACCCACTAGCTTTTGTATGGTTTCCAATACCGGCCTGAAGTTGTTCTCGCGGCCCTGCCTCCGAACAAGAACATTCAAAGAGGCAGTGATATCTTTACCGCCGCGCGCAAGCTGAGCCTTGTCATTGAAATAAGCCACAGCATCCAAGTCCAGCAGGAGCCTTCGCCTTCGTGCTCTTGGAGCATTCCCGTTCGCCTGTTGTTCTCTTAAAGGTCTTCCATTATCATCCAAGACCTGTACAACTTCCGCGGATCTCAACGCCACGAAAGGTCTTTGCTCCGCTTCTGAACTGGCAGTGTGGCCATTCGTGAGGGCACGAGTTTCGTCGGCAGGCTTGACTGCGAGCAAAAACACCACATCGTGAGGCCTCAGATTGTCCCATTCTCTTCTCATTTGGTCCGTCAAACGACTGACGTCTAGAATCACCTCCGCTCGAACAAAGCTAGGTCTCAATTCACCGACTTTGGGTGCACCGACTTCGATGATGGCAGGACTATTGATCGGCAGAGCCATCTTAGAGAAACCTTCAAATATCGTGCTGGCCCGGTCTCTGCTGGCTTTTGGCTTCATCCGCCTGATCACGCTTTCCATGTCTTTCCGAATACCGTAGAATGCTTCAGCTTGATAGAGCTGGAATGATCGCCACATAAAGTCACTTAGTGTTAGATACTGCAGATTCAGTTTCGGGAAGCCCAACGGCCGCGAGCCATCATATTGTTCGTTTCTGAGCAATTTAGCGTCGTATAGTGTGCTTTCGGTTGGCAGGATTGAAAATTTGGTCACAACTTCCTGAAAATCTCGAGGTTTTGAGAACGATGACAGGAGAGTCTCAAGAAGGATAGCCCGGCTGGTGGAAATTGCGGCAGCTGCAGGGTAAGCTGTTCGAAACCCCAAGTGGTGGCACAGGCTTTCCATTTCAGCATCTGAAAGAGCATCGAAATGCGATTCCAATTCGGTACGATTGTCGATAGATCCATAATTCGAGAGAGCAAGGACTTTTAGTTTGTTCTCAAAGTGCTGGAGAGCAACACGTTGCAAGCGTGCCAGAGCCTCGTAGTGAGCCTTTCGAATTCCATCATGTTCGGATTCGGAGTTACCCATGTCATCAATTGCGAAGCTCTGAAAATGATGGAAGAGGCTCACAAGATCTCGAAAGAGGGCAGCATCGTCCCTCCCAATCAGTTTCGAAGTCCTGATGACTGCCAAGGTATTGAGGTCTCGTAGAAGCAGGTTGGTGTATCGTCGGGTAGGTAGTTGACTGACTAAATCAACCAGGAACTCCAGAAATCGTTCGCAATAGATCATCTCTTGAGAAGTTGCCATTTTGGGATTGTTGAGTCGCGCAAAGAACGCGATCAGCATGGAATAGAGCCATGCTCGGTCAAATCGCAGCCGAGCCTGGGTGTCTTGATCTGCACCTTCGAAGCGTCTCTGAGCAGCCTTCCAGGCCTTCTTCCTGCTTGAACTTGAATCCAACAGCCTATTCCTTGCGGAGTCATCATGTAAATTGTGCCATATTGAAATCGAAACAAGCGGGGCGCATTCCTTGCGAACCTGCTCGGTTTCGAGCGACTGGAATGCGCCGATGACAAAGTTGAGGACGGACAGACGGGAGGTAATGTCTAGAGAGGAATCGAGATTGAGAGAGAGTATTCGACGAAACAGGGCCGAGAATTCTTGAGGTCGGTCTGCGAAAAGAGCCCAGTCTTGCAAATTTGCTCGTTGTTTGACGTTGAAGAAGACTGCAATGAGAATGACGTGATGATTAGAGGCATCGGCTGAGAACGTCGGCCACAGGAACCTTTCAAGAATCTGAAGGCTTTCCAGAAGAGCGAGGGAGCGTAGGGCGAAGGACTCTTGTTGCAAAGGTTCCCAAATCGCGGTCGTGATCAGTCCTGGTTTCGCTTTGGTGGGCACCTTGCTAAGCCAGTGTTTCTGTGCCAGCTCTTCCCAGAGCTTTTCAGAAGTATCTTGGGCGCTCGCAGTCACATCAGTCGCAGGCGCCATCGCAGGACGTAACTGGAGGCCCATTGTTTTGTCTGCTGCGAGGGTTCGAAAAGAAACTAAAATTTATGATTGTAGCGCATGGAGCCTTGTCGCAGGAAGATGATTCTCCGCAAACACCAAAGAATTCTCCGCAGCCTCGTCGTACGAGTAGTAACCACATCGAATCAATTCCTCTTTGCTACAGCCTTTGCTAAACAAAACGTCTGCTCAGATCGCCGAAATTCCTTTCTTTGGACGCGCCTTTCAAAGAACTGCGCTCGAAGGTAGCGCTTTTCAAGCCGTCTAGATGCGATACCGATAGCTCGAGATTCATCCCTTCATCCCTTCCTCCCTCTCTCCCTCTCTCCCTTATTATCACCTGCGGACTACAATATCATGTCTTCCACCGACGTCCCCGTTGTTGGGCTGTACAGGCCGCTCTTGGAGAGACACATTCAGCGACTGAGTTCTTCGCGTGAAGAAGCTGATTCCGACGCGCCTATCCTGGAGTCAGATTGCGTCGATCTTCTCGACGAGCTTCGCTCAATTCGCACTCAGCAAGAAGCCTCTGCTAGTGTACAACTACACAATGCCGCATTGGAGACCGTCTTCCGCGAGCTCCTCATCGACGTTGTTGCGAGAATAGACATCTCGGAACCAGCATTCTCCCAGATCTGGACCATGTTGGATATAACTACCATTCTCTCCGACAACGAACTATGCGATCCTGGCCTGGGCTTCTGGCTGGTTGAAGAGCTTCTCGATAGTCAAACAATCGATGGCTGTCGCAAGGTTTTCGACTACCTCGAGTCACGGCGTGAGCGCATGACCGCCAAACACTTTAAACAAAAGAGCTTGGTTATATTGCGGTGCTGTAACGAGCTCTTGCGTCGCCTCTCACGGGCAGAGGATACAGTTTTCTGCGGACGTGTCTTCATATTCTTATTTCAATCGTTTCCGCTGGGGGACAAGTCCTCTGTCAACCTTCGTGGAGAATTCCATGTCGAAAATGTCACCACGTTCGACCCTGCGCCGAAGAAGTCAGACGATGCTATTAAACCAATGGAAATAGATACGCAAACACCGCCTCAGCAGGGGACCGCTTCTGGTGCTCAGACCCCGTCTTCCTCGCTACACGAGGCAGATAAGCCCACAGCAAGGAACACACCTGTACCCACCAAAGCGAAGGTTGAACCCAAGGAGAAAGAGCAGCCACCCCCAGACCTCGATACCCTCTACCCAAAGTTCTGGACTCTTCAAACGCTCTTCTCCAGTCCGACCCGGCTTTTCGACCCCGCCAATATGGCCACCTTCAAAGATGGTATTTCGAGCACACTTGCCGTCTTCAGAAGCGTTGCCCATAGTTCCGCGGCCAGCACAGCCTCCTCAGATGTCAAGCGCGGCCTCAAACGTAAGCGCACATCGGCTGAAGCCGATTCTACCACGACGACTTCAACCTTCAACCCGAAATATTTGACGAACCGCGACCTCTTCGACCTCGAAATCCACGATACCGCGTTCCGGCGACATGTCCTTGTCCAAGCCCTCATCCTGCTCGACTTCCTACTCAGTCTTGCTCCTAGCGCAAAAGTAAAATTTGAGGGCCTCACGAACAAGTCAGTTCTATATTCGTACACACTTGGCGAGGAAGATGCGAAATGGGCGCAGGCAACACGTGCTTCTATTGCAGCGTATCTACAACAAGGGAATGGCAACGAGGGCAAGTTTTACTACCGCATGGTTGATACTGTGCTGTCCCGAGACAAGAACTGGGTGCGTTGGAAGGCAGAAAACTGTCCCCCGATTTCGAAGGACAGCATCGCCCCCCAAGCACATCTGGAGGCGAAAGACACACTGACGAAAATTGCAAACACGGCGAAAGCCGCACTGCCAAACCCGCCTGGCGCAGGAGACCTGAGTTTCCTGTCCAAGGTAGAGCCACTGGAAGCCTTAAAACATCCTTCGCAGCGGCACAAGGTGCCGACAATGGAAGAATACTACAAAGAAATCGAGCGGGATGATCTGGATCTGGATTTCGCCGTGACTGACGAAGAGAAGAACGAGCTCGAAGAACGCAAAGCCGGTAAAGTGTGGAGAGCTCTCCGAGCGAGCAAAAACCGGTTCGTCATGTGCGAGAAGGTGCAATACGGCGGAAATCTCAAAGCCCTGATCGAGGAGGACAAGTTGGAAATGGAGGGTGAAGAAGAGAAACCCACGGATGGTGAGGCGGAAGTCAAGCAAGAACCTATCGACGACAAGAATGACATCAAGGAAGAGTCTCGCGGCGTTGATGAAGGGGTCGATATAGGTGGCGAGCAGGACAAAGACCTGGTTGTGACACAAGCCGAAGAAGGTCCTGATGACGGAGGCGGTGGCCAAGAACACGATGCCGCAGATCACAGCCAAGAGCAGAAAGATGAGCTGGAAGATGAGGCGGTTGAAGCTGGGAGATCTTCGTTGGCAGAGACGGCCCATCCAGAAGCAAAGGGCCCAGGTGAGGATACGGAGATGCAGGATGTACCAACAGCCACCAAGGACGCAGGGGAGAATGAGGGGCAGGACTTAGGTACAGAGCGAGATTCTGGAGAGATTTGATCGATATAAAAAGGTCTCGTATCCAGACATTGTTGAATAGGTAGTCACAAGCGACAGACAGCCGTTTGGGCGAGTCTAGATAAAAATCATGCTTTCTTTTTCCATCACGTGCGACTCTTGTTTACACCCATGATGCTGGAAAAGAGATGTTGTTTTTCACTTCCAAAAGGGAAGAAACGGAGAGGAGGAAACCACGAGACTGAAGTGAATGGTTACGAAACGGGAAACTTTAAGTGCAAATTATATACAAAATATATACACCAACAACGTATAAGACACAGTGTTCATGCTTCAGCGCTCAAAATTCGACCTGTTGCTCCTTCATCAAAGGCGAATCCCATGGAAAGCCTCCCACGCGCGCTAAAAAAAAAAGAGATAGTCGTACATACATACATCCAGATAGGGTACCGCCGACCCCGTCTTGTTTTGATCCTGGGTCGCATTAGGTACATATTAGGTACATACCCTCTGTGTGCCGAAGTTTTGCAGGGCAGGGTAATTTATCGGTGATGGTGATAGGTGAGCTGCAAGCCCATAGGCGCGCGCGCGCCTCACAGATAGATCACTCGTAAGGGTTTCGTTGTCGGATCCGCCCTCCTCCACTCCACCACTCCACCCCATTCCAGAAGGCGATGAGAAAGACGGATCGAGACGACCCAACCACTCACATCTACTTCATCATCTTCGCGTGTACGTCGTTTGTCCAGGCGGCGCCGACGTCCATCTGGTTCTCTCGCTCGGTCGCGTTGGCAAAGTTTGTCAGGCTCCCGAATCCCTGGTACGGGGTGGTCGTCGGGCGGAGGCAGTCGTACCACTTGCCCTTGGGGTAGCAGACGTTGGCGACGCGTCGGGGAGCACCAGAAGAAGAAGAAGGTTGAGGTGCTCGAGAAGAAGACGCCGAGGAGGAGGTGGATGAGTTGCGCGATGTCATTTTGGTGGTGGTATGTGTTAGTACTGTCGACGGTAGGAGGAGGAGGAGTTGTGTGTGTGTGTGTGTGTATCCTCTTGTTGGGTTGGTTGTAGTCGTGCGGGACCTGGTACTGGTACTGGTACTGGTACAATTTCTGTATGGGATGATATGTAAGGAAAAAGGTACCGGTAGTAAAGGTAGGCTTGGATCGAAAGGGGTCAAATTGCTTGGTAGTAGATCACAAATGCTTGTTTTTTGGAAAGTAAGATATTCCAACCCCAGATTCGAGAGAGCGGGACCTGGCCATCGTTTTTATATGTGCCAGGGTTTCAGAAACATGGTACGAGGACGGCACCGCCCGAGTCAAGTCATCAAAAAGGGCCCGCGACAAAGGGATACGTCAAGTGAACGTCAGCGAGAGACTTTTTTCGTGGTCATTCAGGCACCGGCAACGTGGCCCCCAGGACTCGTGATTTGCGCCTCCATGGGAAGGGTCAGCGAGGGCATTGGTTGCCGTGCGAACATCCAAACCTTGTCGACTGGTCACTGGTCATGCAAATCTGAAAAATTTTCAGCGCATCGTCGTGACCAGGACTGCGGTCAGGGCATTGGTGGTCGATCGAGACTATGTGTCATGAATTACGTAGGAGGAATTGAGGCCGTGCAAAGAAAAAAAAGCCAGATGGAAAATCTCCATCCGTGCACGAGTGATAATCGACGCAATTATTAATAGCCGCACGGTAGCTTCTAGGTACGACCGACTTGCCTATGGGAAGATTGGAAAATTTGCGGAGGAGGGGCAAACCATTCTCCGGGGGAGAGGCTTCATGTTTTTGGTCGAGAGCTTCGCCTCTTTTCTTTCATTTTTCCCCTGAAGAAAGCTTCGTGCCCGTGCCCGTGATCGTACTCGTACTCGTACTCGTACAGGACAGATGAGAGAAATCCCGGTGGTTTGAGGGACAGAAAATTCGGTGTTCCCATTGCCACACCAAGCCTGCCCCCATGGTTCTCATCATGTTGGCGAATCATTATTGTTGCTCCCCTCGTTGGCATCGTCAATGACGAGCCAGTACGGAGGACGGAGTACTGTACGACTTCCAGATTCAATGCCTGGAGCGCCCTGGAGCACTGCGGGGTAAGGCTAAGCTTGCACACCCCCAAGAGTAAAGAGGGTCACCGCGGGTTGAAATCAAGTAGAGCTGTCGCTTGTGTCATATTACCGAGGCCTGGAGTATTGTATGGGCTTGAGAGAGGTGTCAGAAGGACACTAGTAAATGCAAGGTGGAACAATAGCTGAAATTATCTCATACAACCCTACCAAGAGGTACCGGCCAGGAGACAGGTCTAGCATCGAATACCCGTACAGTACATACAAACAGGTGGCATGAAGAGCTCCTGGGCACGGGCAATGCCTGGATGATTGATAAGACCCCTGAAGAGAAGAAGAGGAAGGTGGGCCTTAATTGTGATGGTCTTGCTCGTAATCGTGGGCTGTGGACAGAACTGCGCTGTGTTGACTCGAAAGCAACGCGGATACTCCGTACCCTGTTCAGTAACTGTTGCTAGTTGTTTTCCAAACACTCAGCTCATCGGTCTGTTGAGAAGCCCAGGGAAGAATAGGGCTAGGACGGAGCCACCTCCGTATCGTATAATCTCTGTTGCCACCCCCTACCCCTACCGCCACACATGGGGAGCGGTGAGTGTGCACAGGTCGACTCCGTGCAAGTGTGACGGTGTGAGTGGCGTTATCTGTACTGTACAGCATGTCGCAATCAGAGTGGATTATGACTTCTTCCCTAGTCTTGCAGCATCGGTTTGCGGTCCCAGTGTTACGCTTCCAGTAACATGACCAACGAGGCTTGAAGCGAGCCTCGCACTGGTCTGCACCAGGCTGTGCCGGCCATGACCACGACCACTAGAGCGGCCCATCTCCGCACACTAGTCGGGTGTGGTGAGCGTCGATTCGAGGCCAGGGCCCAGGGCGAGTGTAACCACATGGCGGCCGGCTGTGTTCACGCTCGTATCGCCAGTCTCTTCCTCCTGTGTCGTATGTTATCTCTTCTCCAACGGCTCAGAGGCTGGAAGAGGGGGGCGCCGTACATGTGGCGTCGCGGTGCGATTGGCTTCGGGCAAGGCCCAAAAGCACGCGGGCGGAGGCAGGACTGAATTCTGCGGTGGGTAGCGAGATGGAGGATTCGTTAGCCCTGTGTCGCCGGTCAATTAGCGGTCGTGCCCAAAGCCTTGTTCCCTTAGCCTCACCATGCTCCCCTCCCTCAGTCGCTGCGTACAGCCTCGGCAGATCCCCAGCGGCTGGGATTGGAGCATTTGTTGTCCTGGCCTTGCCACCTCTTCAATGCCGTCAGACGAGGGAGGTGATAAGGCATTGGTGGTCCTCCGTCGATGGGGCGAGGACGAGGGGGATGGGTGTCTGTGTGTACTCAAGAGTGTCAATGTGAGTCTGTGCCTGTGCGCATCCCTTCCCAGGGAACGGCTGTGAGTGAGTGCTCGAGGACAAGGACAACAGTCGCAACGCAGTGGAGTGTAGAGCCGTGTAGGGACTGCTGGTCCGTCAGTGAGAGGCTGAGGGTCTAGAGATAACGGCCGGCGGACGAGCTGCATGGTGTCGACTCTCTGTCCAGTCAAACCCTTGTTGACGGGCGTCTGAAGCCTGCAAAAACCACTGCACCAGGGACTGGATGTACTGACTGCGCTGACTTGACCAGCCTGACCCCATCATCCACCATCCCATCAGTCAATCCATCGTCTCCTCCCGACGCTTTTTCCCTTCTGCTTCCGCAGCCTTACAAGTTACAGGCTAAAAGCCTTGTCCAGCATCCCCTCATTCACCTTCCCTTCCTTCGTTCTTCTCTTCTTTTTCTCGTGTCATTCCCCCCTCCTGATTCTCTCTCCCTTGCTGGTCGAGCCCTCTTGCAGTGATTCCTCTTGCAGTGATTCGCATCGCTCGCATTGCTGCATCGCTGCATCGCTGCTGTATTTGTTGCGACCGTGCGCAGGTCCAGGCAAGGCTCTCAGTTCTCGAGTTGCCTTCACAGCCTTTCGCCGGCAGTGTTCTTCACCCCGACTTCACTAAACTCTCGCCTTGGCGACTCTTGTTGCGCGGCCTTGCGATAAAACTCGCCCTTGCCACAATAAAAAAAACCCTGTTCTCAATCTCGCGCTCTCATCAAACATTATCCATCCAATTGTCGCGACAGCGAGATTTTCCCTTTGAAAATGTGTTTGTCCCTCTGAGCGCGACCGACAAGCAAGCTCCGGACAAAAGCCTCGTCGCGCCCTGTCGCCACCTCCCGTAGAGCCTTGCTCTCTTTTGCTGCTTTCGGGCAACTCCGAGTCTGAGTCTCACCCACCACCACCGCGTTTATTCACAGCTCAACCAGCATTCATGATGGCGACTGATGCAAGTAGCATCAGCATCACGCCCACGTCTCTGCGAGGCAGCCCCTCCGACCGCATCATCAAACCCCGACCACGCAAAGACTCTCTGCAGTCCATTTCGGGTTCCGATACCCATCCGGGTCGAGTTGTCAAGCCTCGAGCTCGCAAATCTCCTGGCTCTGGTGCAAAACGCTCTGAACCTGCTAAGCGCAAATTCATCTGCTCCTTCTCTCACTACGGCTGCGATGTTGCATTGAGCTCCAAGAATGAGTGGAAACGCCATGTTTCAATCCAGCATCTCCAACTGGGCTTCTACCGTTGCGACGTTGGTTCGTGCAATCCGGACTTGAACTCCAACATTCCCGGTCACAAGAGAGTCTACAACGACTTCAACCGCAAGGACCTCTTCACTCAACATCACCGTCGTATGCACAAGCCCGAGTCTGGCCCTGGTTCTGCAAACTTCCCTCCCAATGGTGGTGACCCCAAGGATTGGCGAGCCTTCGAAGACAGCCTCGAAGATGTTAGAAGCCGCTGCTGGATCGAGAAGCGAAAGCCTCCTCAACGCAGTACCTGCGGGTTCTGTGGCCGAGTCTTTGAAGGCGAGGGTAGCTGGAATGAGCGCATGGAACACGTTGGAGGTCATTTCTCCCGCGACATTGTTGAAGCCAAGGAGGAGAGAGAAGACGAAGATCTGACCAACTGGGCCTTGGCCGAGAACATCATCAAAGATGCGGGAAACGGTCGCCACGTTCTGGTCGATCAACCACCAACCGCCGCCGAACGTCCCTACCTGAGCAGAGATCGGGATGTGACCATGACTGATGCTCCAAGCTCAGACGGCTATTCTCGCGACCCTGCAGAGTCCCCTTCGTTGAGTGCCTCGTCTCGAAGACCAGAGTCAGAGCGGGGTGACTACTATCCTAGCTTGGACAGCCCTCGAGAGCCTCGTCGCCTGAGCAATGCTTTGCCCAGCGCCAATGGCACTCCACGCGCTCCATCTGTCCCTTTGCTCTCAGCCACTCCTGGTAGTCAATCTGTTATTCCGACCGACCCAGCTCTGACAGCCCTCGGCTCGCCTACATCTCCTTCGGCACAACTGCAACCCACCCCAACGTCACCTGACCGCAAGGCGGGATACAATCTTGCACCGCCACCCCTCAAAGGACCAAAGCCAGACGGGGAGTCCAGCAGTGGTGATAGACTAGAAGACCTGATCAACCAGTTGATCAAGCCCAAGGGACCCAAGACTCATCGTCGACTCACTTGGAAATGCGTAAGTCTGAAACTCCAGACGTGGGAAAGAAAGCCGGACGCTGACAAAATGATTTAGGATTGCGCTGTCGAGATGTCGGTTGATCTTGACGAAGCAGACCAACAAACTATCAAAAACCTCCAAGAGATCAGCATTGTCTGCAGCAAGACATCTAACCCATATCTCAAAGCGTCCAAGCACGGGAAGTACCAGGTAATCGGTTGTGACGAGCTAGCAAGCTACATCTGGAAGAATACCAAACAGCCAATCGACCAGCCCAACAAACCAACCGAGGTGGCAGCTACTTGACGTTGCGGGCGCTTCCCCTTACAGGATTACGAATTGGATCGAGTGCTCCCCATGATCCGCTGGTGTTTATGATTGTTGGGTGCCAGGGTCGATTTCGTTACCTCAACCCGAGGCAAAGAATTATCGACTTGCTGGATCATACGTTCTAGAAACTTTTATGGAGGTGTTCAGGCGCGAGCCATCAACGATGCAAAGTGTGGTATTGATGCAGCATCGTTTGCTCAATAAATTGTGCATGATTAGGAAACAAGTTCAGAAAAGAATTGGCTCGAATACGTTGATACAAGACACAGTCTTGAACGTGGGAGCTATGAGGGCGAGGGAGTCGGCTGTCTCTTTCTACTGCTTTTTTGGTATCGAGTGTCAATAGTCAGATAGTGTGACCTCGCGGTACAAACACGAATGATCAAAGTCTGTTTTGCCTGGCTTCAGGAGTCGGCGACAAAACTGGCAGTATTCCCCAAACATTGACGGCGTCTCAAATAAATACTTCTGTGCCACCACCTTGTCTACGTGGGGATACGATATGGGGTACAAGATAAGGAGACTCTGAGGCGGTCCAATATCATACCACACGCCTACTGCGTACCGAGAGGTGTCCGCGGCCACCACGCGCCCCGGAATGGGCGACGAGTCCCCAGCTGTACCTTGCTCCGTACGGCTCGAGTCTTCTCAGCCAAACACTCGGCCACGTTCTCCCACGCTACGATGGCCTCAACTCTTCTCATCAGGATGTTGGTGATGGCGCTCACCAAGTCATCCAAGCGTCTACAAGAGCATCTTATGATGGTCGATGTGCTTTATGCAAAGCCTTTTCAGGACCTTCGTCTGAACAATGGCTTTGAGGTGAGCTCTTGTTCAGTTGTTTGCTCTCTCATATCTCAACACTTTTCATCAACCTCGTCCCGGAGATTCGACGAGGGAGCTTGTACTGCAAAAGCCGATCGCCCCCAGTGGCCATGTCCAGCCAGTCGACTTTCTATGAGACTGCTGACTGGCCCTTACAACCTTCCCCTCGAAACAGCGCCGCATCTTCGCTCAGTCTCGCTTCAGAAAATGCCAGTATACACTTCTCAAACTTCCCACTGCCACCCACACCGTCGACGTCTCGCCCTCCCAGTGATACGAGCAGAGTGTCCTCCAGCACTGCTGCGATTCACACAATTCACGTCCCACTCTCCAGGCCGTTCACCATGTATGTGACTCGTTGTCATGGCCCGCTCTTGATGCCTTTGAGTGAGAGTGCACAACTAACTAAGCCGGGTCAAACTGCCCACCGTAGCTCCTTTCTCAAGGGCAGCAAACTCTTTCGGTTGAGATTTTCGCAGATCGAGCTGGAAAAGAATGTGGCTGGATCTGTCAAACGCATTTTGCTGAGCGACTCATCAGCCACGGTCACCCCGATGATCCACTCATGTTGGTACCAGTGTCACAAATGTGTGGGAGGTATTGAAATTTAATGAGCACATAGTTTCCGACCAAAGGCTGCCTATCATACCGCACCTTGAACAGCCCGTCACATCGACTTCGAGCCACATCTCACGCATCTCGTTCCTGGAAGAGCAAACACTTCAGAGCGGGCAAACGTTGTTCCAAGCGGAACCTCAGTACACGTTCGAGGCCTGGGAAGGTAGGTCTTGATCTATCATTTGATCATAAAGGAATCTTATGGTCGCCTGCTCCTGCCGGAAAGCGGACACTAACTCTCACGTGTTTAGATTGTGTGAAGTTCCAGGAAGCCATCCTCGGGCAGACGATAGTGTTCACGGCGGGCATTGCGGAAGCCAAGTCCAAGGGGCGAGGAGAAGAATGCATCAGCCAAAATTTGCGCGTCTTGCGAGGGCGCACCGGGCGACAAGTCATCCTTTTCTTCACCAATTCTCAGAGGAGAGAGAGGAAGAAGTACATCACCATTCCCCGTAAGTATCCTATGGATTCATTTTCGACATCACGCTACTAATGTCCGTCCTCTGCTACGTGGATACACCGCGTCGAGTCGGCAGGGGGAGAGAGAGATGCTGATGGGTGAAGCAGTTGATTGTATCGACCGTATCGAACAGACCAAAAAATCAGGGCGCCCTCTCACACTTTCGTTACGACCCAATTTTGATCTTCTCACTCAACTGAAATCGCTGCAGATATTGTTTCTGGACGAGAACGGTATGCTTTGCTGAAGAGAGTCCCTTCACAGGTCGAAGAGAAGCCATGACTGACAACAGCCATCAGACCAAAAACGATTCTTCGGCCTCCTTTGTCATGGCGTAGGGTTTCAAGCGTAGAGCGAGCATTGGAAAGAAAAAAACATTTATTTAGGGACACCACCTGAGCGTACGAGCGATATATAAGATACCCAGCGGAAGCAGAATTCTGTTGCTTGTTCAAAATTACGACGAGTATTGGTTTGGAAGCAAACGGACGTGAACATGGGATGGACACACTGTACCAAGGTACCCATAACTGAGTACTCAACCAGGAGTCGCACAGTGCCCAAGGCAGCCTTGATACACGCCCGTGGTGAGGCACCTACAGCAGTTGGACACTGCGACGGAATGTACGGATATAATAGACTGCAGATGTACCTGTTGTTTGGTGAGACGAGGAGGCGTAGAGGAGCCATCCATCCTCGTGAGATTCTGTCAATTGCACGTGGGAGCTTCTGGGCTCTTTGACTGGCCCAGCGAGAGAAGCGTCGGCGGATTCGTTATGCACACTAAAGTCACTGTACGCGAACCACGCGAACCACTTTGCCTCTTCAGTCTTCACGCACCCCCTGCTGTAACAACCTGGCAATGTCTCTCTCTCTCTCTCTGGAACGCACGAGAGCCTTTCCATCGAGCACGACGAGGCGTTTTTCGCTCCCGCAGATGCAGAGCGGCGTCCTGGGTGGAGGGTCGGCGCCTCCCACCGCGGCCCCTGCCTTTACTGTACCGAGTAAGGACACCGACAGTGCCTCCCGAAGATGAGCACGCCGAGGGCTTGGACTAGTACGGAGAACTTATGGTGTGATACCGATGATGAAGCGACTACTCGCGATGTGCCCGGCGTTGTGGTCATTAGCAAATTCCGAGTCCAGGGGCGGATTGATTGACTGATTTTGATGCTCTTCGAATCCAGCCTTCTTCTCCGATGCTCTCGTCCTTGAACTTCGCGTCCCATTGGATTTTTCCTCCCGTTCGACAATAAATTCCTTTACAGCGAACTTCCCTCGCAGCTTGTTGAATGTCTACACCGAGGGTCTTTTCCGTCATGGATCGCTGATCACCCCAGACCCCCCGATTTTGGCCCCTACAGATAAATACCGCTCCCACTAGTTAATTGATGATGGGACGATGGCGAGGACGTCTCTACGCTACTGACAGAGCGCGAGACTTTGACCATGAGCGTGTGAGTGGCGACGATGCAGATTGACGCTTCTGAATACCTACACCTCTGGGCCACTATACTGATGTACTGTTTCTCCCCTTCGCTCAGGACCGACATGTCCGGGTTCGACAGATCTACGAGACTATCGACCGACAAGGCTTCCAGTGGGTAGTTGTCCTTGTCGCAGGAGTGGGATTTCTGCTCGATGGATTCTCAGTACGCCACAAGCTTGCCTCTGTTTTTCCCGTCGTCGCTGACGTGTTTCGCCAGTTGTTCGCGGGCAACGTTGCCCTGCCGATGATCGCATATGTCTACTGGCATGACGAGGTCTCGTCCTTTCGGCTGACGTGCATCAACATCGCTACTCTGGCCGGCACCCTCCTCGGTCAAGTCGCCTTTGGATACCTGGCGGACAGGAATGGGCGAAAGAAGATGTACGGTATCGAACTGGTTCTGCTGATCGGGTCCACCCTGGGGGTTGTCATGAGCTCGCGAGGATACAACGGGAGCATGAGCATCTACTCTTGGTTGATATGGTGGAGGCTCATGGTCGGAATTGGTGTAGGCGCAGATTATCCTCTCAGCGCCGTCATCACAGCAGAGTCGGTCCCTCACTTTCTTTCTTGCGAATTCTTTCTTCATCAAACGATGGGTGGGTCGTGCTGATGTATGTTTTGGTATTTTGCAGATTTGCTCCTACCAAACACCGGGCACGCATGATGGCCACCGTGTTCTTCATGCAACCTCTGGGTCAAATTGCCGGCAACCTCATCTCCCTCATCGTCGTCGTCATATCCAAGAGTTCCAACGCCGAGGATACCGTGCGGAGCGTTGATCAGATGTGGCGCTGGATCATCGGTCTGGGAGTCGTTCCTGGGGTGATTGCCCTTCTGTTTCGATTCGCCATCCCCGAAACTCCCCGGTTCCTCCTCGACATCGAAGACGACCCCGTCAAAGCCGAGTTCGACGCGACACAGCTCTTCGGCGGGACGGCCATGGACACCGAGTTGGAATCCAACATGTGGTGCGACTCGATTGCCGATATCGAGGAGTCAAATCTGTCTTCCCACAGGTCCGTCGACGAACATTCCGAAGGGTCGCCGTCGTGGGGAATCACGCAGGCGCCTCGGGCCACACTCAACTCTTCGTGGCACCTCTCAAAGGCCGACATCAAGCAGTACTTCTGGGTAGAGGGCAACTGGAAGACTCTCGCGGCTACCGCCATGTGCTGGCTGCTTCTTGACTTCGGGTATTACGGTATAGGACTGTCGAGTCCGCAGTTCCTCGCCAAAACCTGGGGATCCTTGAACACCTCTGGACCCCGGCCGCCGTGGCAGACCAACGACAGCCCCGACGCCAACATATACGACATGTTCCTCGACAGTTCCGTGCACGCATTGGTGATATTGAACAGTGGAAGTTTCGTGGGAGGCCTGTTGATGATTGCGGCCGCCGGCCGTTTGAACAGAGTCAGCCTGCAAAAGTACGGCTTCCTGGTGCTGGCGGCACTGTTTATCGCTTTGGGTACGGTCTTTATCACGATCCACCAGGAAGGAGCTCTTGCTATAACGTTGTATGTCGTTGGGCAGATTGCTTTCAACTTTGGTAAGTCTTTTGTCTCTCTCTCTCTCTCTCACACACACACACATGCTCTCTCTACACAACATACAGAACATCCTTTCTGATACCTTTTTCCCCCCTGCAACAGGACCCAACTCAACCACGTACATCATCCCCGCCGAGCTTTTCCCGACAAGGTACCGCGCCACGTGCCACGGCATCAGCGCGGCGGCAGGGAAACTCGGATCGATTCTCGTCCAGGTGTTTTCGGCGTACTACAAGTTCGGCTCGACGTCCCCGGGCGACGACCAGACCAAGCGGTACGGTACGATCCTGGTCATCTTCAGCGTGTGCATGTTCCTGGGCGCCATCATCACGCATTTCTGGATCCCAGACGTGCAGCAAAAGCAAAACCCGGCAAAAGTCAAGAGGACGTGTCCATCGTCTGTATTGGATCTCAGGGCGGTGACGAGGACCAGGCCCAGCAAACCCCTCGAGGAACTGGCGCTGGGCAAGTGGGGAGCGAGAAGCATGTCGGTGGTCAGGTCACAGCCGGTGAGAGATCTTGGTCTTTGATGTTTTGATGATGCTTTCGATGTTTTGGAGGACGGTGATGGTGATGGTGATGACGATGATAATAATAATGAACCTCTCTACTGTACCTAGATAGAATCCCGCGTGTGACGCACGACATGGACCCATTTTCCTTTTCCTTTTCCCTTTCTCCTTTTTTCCCGCTTTTCCCCTTTCCTGGCTCAACCCATCTTGTATACTTGGGGTGCACGGGGACGGGGGGAGGGCGCTCTCGCTGTACCCGAGAAGCCCAAAACTTGGGATAAGTAAACCGATTGATGTACCTCTTGTTATAAATATAGGTGTATATACCTGCCGACCTTACCTGACACCTCACCTGCACAGGTACGGTGCCTTGGTACCTATGGTAAATTTGAACTTTTGGGGGATTTTTGGGCATCCTGCGTCTCCTGTACAGTACATACATTGATGTCAAAATTTTTTTCCCTCTCCTTTTCCAGGACATTAATTCACGTTCACATTCACATTCAAATATCACATGTATTCAACCTTGCAGATCGTTCGAGATATTACCGACCGTGACGGTCTTGATGGTCAGATATTCATCAATTCCGTACTTGGACCCTTCACGTCCAAAGCCACTTTCCTTGACGCCGCCGAACGGACTGGCCGGATCGGAAATCAAGCCGGTGTTGACGCCAACCATGCCGACTTCCAAGTGCTCGGCGACTCTGTACACCCGTCCAATGTCCTTGGAGTAAAAGTAGCCTGCCAGTCCTACCTCGGACGTGTTTGCGGACTCGATGACTTCCTTCTCCGTCTCAAAGGAGATGAGACCAGCCACGGGACCGAACGTCTCTTCGTGGGTGATCTTCATATCGGTCGTCACGCCCGTCAGGACTGTGGGGGCGTAGAAGTTGGACCCGAGGTCTGGTAGTTTCTGGCCACCGATCAGAACCTTGGCACCCTTGCTCTGTGCGTCTTGAACGTGCTGCTCGACCTTGCTCACGGCGCGGTCGTGAATGACAGGACCGTGGGTCACGCCGTCGTCGAAACCGTAGCCGACCTTGAAGTCTTTGACCTTGGCCGCGAACTTCTTGGCGAACTCGTCGTAGATGCCCTTTTGAACGTAAATTCTGTTGGCGCATACGCACGTCTGGCCTGAGCTACGGAATTTGCAAGCAATGGCACCCGCGACAGCCGCGTCGAGATCAGGGCAGTCATCGAACACGATGAACGGAGAGTTACCACCCAGTTCGAACGAGAGCTTCTTGACGGTTCCGGAAGCTTGCTTCATGAGCAATTTGCCAACGCCCGTAGACCCGGTGAAGGAAACCTTCTTGATTCTCGAGTCTGTCGTGAGCAGCTCACCAATCTCGGCGGTGTTCTTCATGGCAGTCACAATGTTGACGACACCAGGAGGAATTCCCGCCCGTCGAGAGAGTTCCGCGAGCGCGTTGGCAGTGAAGGGAGTCTCGCCGGGTGACTTAGCCACGACTGTGCAACCTGCAGCCAGAGCAGGGCCGATCTTACGGGTGATCATAGCCGCAGGGAAGTTCCACGGGGTGATCAGGCCGCATACACCGACCGGCTGCTTGATGGTCAGCACTCTGTTTCCTGGCACCGAGGCTGCAATAGTATCGCCGTAAATCCGGGGTGCTTCCTCGCTGAACCACTGGAAGAAGTTGGCCGCATACGCGACCTCGCCTTTGGCGTCGGCGAGAGGCTTGCCATTTTCCCAGGTGATGAGCGTAGCCAAGTCTTCAGCGTTGTCCTGCATCAGGTTGTACCATTTACGTAGCATTGTGGCTCTCTCGCGGGGTAACGTCTTGCGGAAGGTCTTGAATGCCTCGGCCGCTGCCGTGATCGCCTTGTCGACATCGTCCCTGTTCAGTTCGGCGCATGCTGCGATCTTCTTCCCGGAGCCAGGGTCGTGGACATCGAAGGTTTGCGAAGTACTGGAGTCGACGAATTTTCCATTGACATAGGCCTGAGAGATGAGGAGCGAGGGGTCTTTGAGCTTAGGGACAGTAGACATCTTGGCGACTGAAGATATTCGATAAGTAGGCTGGGATGTTCGTAGGAGGGATTGAGGAACGCGAGGGCGAGAGGAGGACAAGAGAGTGCGAATATATGACGACGCTGGTGATGCCATTACAAATGTAGAGGAATGGAAAATGACGATTCGGCGGGAAGTAGGCGGGGAGTAAGGAATACACGGGAGAGGAGGCGAGGATACAGGTGCTCGTACTAGCTCTCGACGTGTCTCATGGCATATGACCCAGCATGCCAGAGAGAGACTCCAAATTATGATCGCTCGTATCAATGAAGTCAGTCACTGAGAGAAAAGAGAACATTTGCCAATTGGAGCGTAGACGTGCGGACTAATCCGTACAAAACATGCGGGTTGGAGAATGAAGGCTTGGAGCTTTTTTCGGCTGCAATGCCGAACGGAATACGGAGTATCCGTCAAGTAATCAGTACCTGCCCATCGGTACTCGTACTTGTACCTAAAGTACGGAATATCCATATTCCGTACTCGGGATTAACCGCGCGTCAAGTATTAATGATCCGACGAGTACGGCACAACATTACTCTTGGTGGCGACGGTAAAATACCAACAGCCAGCCTACCTACCTACCTTATTAATGTCGACAAATGATGACAAAGGCAGGGCGACAACCCGTTGCGCTGGGCTGCGAGATCTTACAGTAGCAATTGTGGTGTGCGACGTTGGTATGGCAGAACCAGACCGCAAAAGACCTCGAAGGAACGGGGACAGATCGAAGTTAGACGCCGCACCCAAGGAGAAGTTGGTCGAACAGGTCAATGCTTTATCCGGCCTGGAATTCTTTACCAAGTATGGAACTTCAGGAGCGGAAGGTACCTCACTAGCACCATGCAAACCTGTCAAGTGGACTGCGGCAGATATTCCATCTCAGGTGTTGGAACAATGCCTGAGTCTAATCGAGTCAACCAGCAAAGAAGACTATGAAAACTCCGAAATCAAATGGTCTGCCTCGAAGAAGCGGAAGGAAATGAAATTGCCAGACATGAAGTACATAGTCCTCTTGGACGAGAAGAGTGATGTCGCCGGCTTCATCTCTTTAATGGTCACCTACGAAGATGGATACGAGGTGCTCTACATATACGAAATACACTTCAAGGCCGAATGGCAGGGCAAGGGCGTGGGTCGAAAGTTGATGAGCGCCGTCGAAAGCATAGGCCGAAACGTGGGACTCGTTAAGGTCATGCTGACGGTATTCAAGGCCAACTCCCGAGCTGTGCGGTGGTACACCAAACTGGGCTACGTCGAAGATGAGTTTTCTCCTGGGCCGAGAAAGCTCAGAAACGGTACTGTCAAAGAGCCGAACTACATCATACTTTCAAAAACACTGAAGGGTTGACACCAATCTCTCTATATCTGTCGGACAGCTTTGCCTGTCATCTCAGGTCTCTCCAGCTCCCATTCCTCCCGCATCACTGCGAACAGTGTGTCGCCGACAAGGATGCACAACCCGAGGCTCCACACCAACGTAATGGCATAGAAGAAATTCGCGTTACCAGAACCTGCATAGATCCACAAGTGGTAGAATGCTGGGCCAAGGAGCGTCGAGTAGAGCAACACCGAAGCTGCGATGAAAGTGTACCTCGTCACTAAAGATCATCAGCAGCTGCTTGTCACCAGCGAAAAGGGTACTTACGCGGGAGTACATGTGAATACATGGGCAGAAATCCAAGATACAACGAGACATCAGCGATACTTGGATACGGCTTGAAGATAGCGATCAAGCCCAACAAGCTCGTGATGACGAACAACGGTTGATTTTGAAGCCGAAGTGTCATCCCTCCAACATAACCGACCAGGTGCAGCCAGAAAACTCCAATGAAGAAGTCTCTGAAAGAGTCGAAGATTTCGATGAAGAAGTACCACCATAACCCCACGTTTGGCGTTAAATCTGGGACTGTTATTTGTGCTCCGTAACAGGATGCGAGGAAGTCTTCGAAGCTGTCGGTCAAGACCAGCGTCGTGCCAAGTAGAGCTGCGAATGCTCCTACAAACGCGGCGACCGAGACCGACAACGGTGCAGATTTCCCTGCACTTTGATGAATCATAAGAAGCGTCGGTGGTAACAACAAAGCCGGGTACATGGATAGATACGAGCCGATGGCTAGTCCGAACATTGCTCGCAGAGCATTTCCAGACTGAGCATTCAGTATCGCTTGAATGATGGCCGCACTTGTAAATATGCTTGTAGACTTGCCCAGGCATGAGAGGATCGTGAACGGGTTGAATAAGTACGCCGCAGCAATTAGACTCCCATCCAAGTCCTTGAATCGAGGAGTCGGAATGCGTAAGTTGTCGGCTATGGTCTGTAGAGCCACCGCGTTGAGTACATCCAGAGATACAAATACAAGCGTCGAAGGTAGTATTTCGAATATCACCAGTAACAATGGTGCCTGGTGATAGACCCCGCCGTCATACGGCGAGAGGCCATGTTGGTAGAGGAACAGTCCTTCCTGAAGCCTTTTGAAGCTGGATACGGGTGTTGATATTTCGACCTGTGTGCTCAGGAAATTGGGTAGATCTGGGAAGGCAAAAACCACCAAAAGTCGAAGACATATAGCCCCAGCATATATGCCGATTGTTTTGCGATCCCACGCACTCGTCATGTCTGCGCCATCGAACTTGAGTGCATACTGCAAAAAGGAGTTCGAGGCTGGACAAAGTGGCTCGATTGGAGTTGGAGAATCTCGGCAGACTTTCCCTGTCTGCGACTTACCCCGATTCACTGCAACTTTTTTTCTTCCGCAAAATCTAGTCCGCAGGTGGCATTTGAAGCAATTGCGCCAATCTAGCCATCCGTCTCGACCAACAGAAAATCATGGGCAAACAGAAGAAGAAGGGCCAGTCCGGCCAGTCGAAGAACTATATCACTCGGACGCAAGCAGTCCGCAAACTGCAGATCTCGCTGGCCGATTTCCGAAGACTGTGCATCTTCAAGGGCATCTACCCTCGAGAACCACGAAACATCAAGAAAGCCAATAAATCGGCGACTCATTCGACGACTTTCTACTATACTAAGGACATCCAGTATCTCCTTCATGAGCCTCTCCTGGCTAAATTTCGAGACCAAAAGGCCCTAGACAAAAAGATTGCAAGATCACTTGGCCGCAACGAAGTGCAAGATGCAGTGCGCCTGCAGAAACATGGCTTGCCCAAGATCAAGCTTGATCACATTGTTCGAGAGAGATACCCTACTTTCATTGACGCACTTCGCGATCTCGATGATGCCTTGTCCCTCCTTTTCCTCTTTGCCAATCTCCCGTCCACTACCGCCGTGCCTGCAAAAGTCATCTCCCGCTGTCAGCGCCTCTGCCACGAATTCGAACACTATCTAATTACGACACACTCGCTACGCAAGTCTTTCCTTTCCATCAAGGGTATATACTATCAGGCTACGATTCAAGGCCAGGACATTATGTGGCTTGTTCCGTACAAATTCGTGCAGAGAGTTACGCAGGATGTGGACTACAGGATCATGGGCACCTTTGTTGAGTTCTACTGCACTCTACTCGGCTTCGTCAACTATCGCTTGTACACATCCATTGGCCTTGTCTACCCTCCCAAGTTCGACTCTGCCAGTGACGAACGAGGTGCAGAGTTAGCTGCGTTCACATTGGAAGGCCGCGGCATCACCGCCTCGACAGACAAAGAGGATGAGCAAAAGGCTTTGACCAACGGACATTCTCAGAATGGCAATTCCAAGGCTATACAAGCACAGATTGAGAAAGCTGCGCAAGAAGTAGGCACCGAAGAGGAGCCCAAACAAGACGAGGAGCCGGAAGACCAACAAGACGTCGGAACGATTGATACCTTTACGCAAGCAGCGCCTGAAGGAGACATCTTGCCACAGCCTGACATGACCGGAGACGCCGCAGCAACACTTTTCTCGAATTGCACATTCTTCATTTCCCGTGAGGCACCGCGGCACCCTGTCGAATTTTTACTACGAGCTTTTGGCTGCAAGAGAGTCGGCTGGGACGCTGTCCTCGGGGAGGGTGCGTTTACACATGACGAGAAAGACCCTCGAATTACACACCAGATCGTCGACAGACCTGCCCCTGCCCAACCGCTTCCCGCACTCCAAGGACAAGAAGTTTCGAACAAAGACCAAAATCTACAAGTTGTAAAGCCTGGCTACATCATGCCTGGCCGTACCTACGTTCAGCCGCAATGGGTCTGGGATTGTGTGAATGAAGGGAAGCTGTTACCTACCGATGTCTATGCGCCGGGTGAAACATTGCCTCCGCACCTGAGTCCGTGGGTCAAGCCAACCGGTGGACAGTACGATCCCAGGGCGACCTTGGAAGAGCAAGAACTCGAGGGCGAGGCGGACGACGCTATTGATGAAGACGAAGCTGCGGATGTTGAAGGCTCCGAAGGAGAGGAGATGGAAGAAGACGAAGAAGATGAAGAAGATGAAATCGATGGCGGAATGGACGTAGCGGGATCAGAAGACGATGAGGAAGACGACGACGACGACGACGAAAACGAAGAGGTTGAAGCTGAAGCTGGTGACGCCTTTGGCGGTTTCGAGGACGCTGTTGATGATTCTGCCGATTCGGAACTTGATGAGGAGGCACAGCACCAGAAAGAACTCGAGGCCGAACTCTCAGGTCGACCTGTCCCTGTACCAACAACCAAGTCCAAAGAGGACGCGCAGAAGACCAAAGCCCGTCAAGCCCGTCAAGCAGCCCAGGCCAAGAAGGACGAAGAGGTTGAGCGGCAGAAGATGATGATGAGCAACAAGAAGAGGAAGTTGTACGAGAAGATGCAGCACGGAAATGCCAAACGAGATCTCGAAGCAGAGAAGCTGCGCGCAAAGAGGAGGAAGTTGGAGCGTGCTGGAAAAAATCAAAAGGCATGAAAAGTTGACAGGGAGTCTCACACCCAGCCAGAATCGATGTCGTGTTGCACAGTGCGTGTTGCATGTTGATTTCACACATAGCGAGGCGTTCCAGGAGACTCTCTTCGCGATAAGAGATTAAAAGAAGGAATGGTTTCTGGTCGTCGTGGTCCACGTTCTCCCAAACACCCTTCCCGTTTCTGGCCACCGCTCATTCTTGCCCATGATCGCACACGTGAAATTCGTTGTGTTCCTCCCTGCTACGAGCTTTTGTGCCAGTCGACGTGAAAAGATTCGTCACTCAAGAGATCCTCCGTAAGCCTAAGGGCACCTGGGTGCATCATCCTGCGAAAACTTTCCATTGCTTAACCGAAACTCACTCATACCTACTAACGTACCTAAGATTCCTCGAGAACGAAAAACCGGTCTGCACCGTCCCTTTCGCCTTTTCGATTGGTAGATCGCCGCTCCGCTCACCCTCGGCTCACCCGCTGCTTCCTGAGCGCTTTCGTGCCTCTAATGATGGCCCTCTTACGCGGCAATCCGTCTCCAAATCAAGGCACCACGCTCCTAATCGCACTCGACGCCAGATTCGTGAAGAAAGTGACCGCTCCGTCCGGTCCGGTGGTGACATTCTGACTCGGTAGATGACACACCGACGAGAAGGAGCCGAATTCGGCCCATTTCCCCGCGACGACCTGGTCCCTGTATTGTTGCAGCGGGCAAGACGAGCCGGGACCTGATCTGCATGCTGGGACCGCTGTGCACACAGGCGGGATGAGAACATTAACATACGGGATTATTTCTTTTGTGTTTGTCTGGGCTTGCGCGGTCGGGGACCGACTGTACTGGATGGCACCGGCGGGGGGCCGGGGGGGGGGGGGGGGGGGGGGGGGGGGGGGGGGGGGGGGGGGGGGGGGGTGCTTGGCAAACTTACGATAGACCGCATCATCGAGGAGGATGCGCACGTAGAGATTGTTGGAGCAGTTTAGACGTTCGAACGCCACAGTGCCGCGCATGGGTGTGATCCGGCTACTGACGTAGATCTGGACGGGACGAGCAAACAGCCCTTGAGTCAGCTCGGATTCCGGATTTCACCTCTCTTTGTCCTCAAGAGGTTTGCTATCCCCAGGAGAGAGGGACACTTACCCGATTGCGATCTATCGACGTTGACGGCAAGGCTTTCTGCTGGTCAAATATGCCGAGTATAGAAGCCAGCTCGTTGATCTGATTGTCATGCGTAAAGGCCACAGTCAGCGGACCTAGGGTGTCATTCCCATGTGTAGACCCTGCAACCGATGTCTTTGGACCCGAGGAAAGAAGATCGACCACCCCCTGAAGCAAAGGAAGTTGGACAGACGCGTTTTTATACGCTCCGAGTCCCGTGCCGTACCAGTAGCGCAGGTCCTGGCGGTACTCGTACTGCAGCGTCTCCTGCTCGGTAAACACTGCGCAGAAGGGACTGATACTGCGCAGGATCTGGCTCTCAAAGCCGCACAGATAAGGGATTTTGCTGACATCGCTTGCCGTGAGGTTCAGGTTTCCCTTGAGCAACGCGTTGAGGCGGGTCGCGATCGGCGGGAGATAGACGTTGTCATAGACGTCAGCGTAGCCTGAGCCGGAACTGTCTGCGAAGGTAGGACACGAATCTGAAGTGGCCAGGGAATTTCCCACCGCGGAGGCGGCCTTTGAATTGATTGCGTAGACGGTGCCAAGTGAGGTTGAGTTGGGGCCAATGTAGCCGCGAGCAAATAGTCTACAGTCTCGTCAATCGAGGGCCAAGCATAATTCAAGTTCCCGAATTCACCTGGCACTGTCAATAGTCCGCGGATAGTCGTTGGTCCACACGCGGAAAGGCGCGCCGTATTGATAGAAGCCGGGGTATCGAGTCCTCAGCTCGACGCCGTAGTGATAGCTGGGTCTTTCGTCAGAAGTCGTCGATCAGAGTACACTAACAAACTCACAGCTCGTCGTAGCCTCCAGGCGAGACTTGACTGAGTTCAAGACTGGGATTGTCGAGGACAGGCTTCCAGTCACGGAGAAACGCAAGAGACCCTGTCGCCTGGAATGATGCGTTTTGGATCTAATGCCACGGTCAGTCCATCTTCCTCACAGTCTTGAGCAAGGCTACCTTGTTGTACAGAGTCACCCAGCCGTTGTATGCACCCGGGTCTGGGTATCGACTTCCATGACGAGTGATATAGACTGCTTGGTCGACCTTGCATTCATCCGGGACTGTCGCTGATATGCCGAAGACGTTTGGACCTAAAATATGTGAATTACTGTCTGGGAACGCCACCTCGAAACCAGTCGTCAAGGCACGAACCTTCAAAGTAAGGACTGTTGCCACCGAGGTGTTCCAGAGGGTCGAATGCCGTACTGCCAGGACTTGGAGCGTCCGGGGTGCCAGAACCAGAACCAGGATAAGGACCCGACCAACCCCAACCCTGGGAAGCGCCGCCAAACGATCCAGTGGACCTTGCGGTAGCCACAGCAAATAGAGCAGACGTGACCAGGACGGACTTCATGTTCGATGTCTCGCGAACGCCTCGACAAAGGTGAGTTTGACTGGAATAAGAGGGACGTAGCGATCATCCCATTGCTGAACAGCGAACCCGGCCACAAATACGTTGGAAGACCCCGGCATCATTTCAGAAGCAGCCTCATCTCCGATGCGAGCAGAAGCGAGGGAAAACACTGTTAGCGACGCGTTTGTGCATTTTGTTGATACACGACGACTCTAAACTTTGTTCGGGCCCGATCGTTGAATACATGAAGGCTGCCGCTTCCCGGTAGTAAACAGGCTCAGCACGCTGTACGAATGCCGGCTTCGCTTCGGTAGTGTAAGTCTCAACAGCGTAAGTGAAATTGGTGTTGATTAACGGGGAGAGGAAGGTAAAAGAAAGATACACGTTCCGGGCGAAAAGGCAGTGATTTGTTAATCTTCACATCGCTAGTTTTGTGGGCCAGCAGACTCCACAAGTTGTCACATCCACCCATAACTACATCACGTTATTAAATCTGAAATACTACGGTGAGCACCAGAAGAAAACCCTCAATATTCACGTCCATCCTTGAGCACAAATCTCTTCCACTCCGCTCAAAGCATGCACAAAGTCTCCGTCACAACTTCAAGACATGCTCCAACCGGGGTTCAGGATCATGCGGTAGACCAAGCAAACCCGACCAGGACCGGGTTGTGGTCAGAGAGCGGGTCTCCGTCCGGCTGGACGAAGAAGGCCGAATCGTAGGTCCAGCTGGTTGCGGACAAGCTGACGGAGCTCGAGGAGCGATAGCTATACATCTCAAGTCAGGATCCGAGTCACAAGGACACAATTGGCACGCCGTCGTAAACTTACAGGACCTTGTCCACGACCTCGCAGGAGTTGGACGCTGCGGGTACATCGCACGGGTTGGCGGTCGTCCCAGCACCGGGATAGACGCCTCCGTTGATGAGCTCGACCCAGGTGTCAGAGAAGCCGGCTGCGGTCAGGAGATTCAAGCTGACATCATCGTTGGTCCAGCGATCATTGGTATCGCCACCAATGATAACGGCTTGCCCGGCTGAGTGGGCGGAGATGTAGGACAAGACCTGTTTGATATCACCTCGTCGTGCGTTGCCGTCTCCAGTGTTGGATCTACAGAGAAGAATCGCTGTTAGTCACAGGCGGCGGAAAAGCTATGCGCACTACTCACCCTGCGTCGGAATGGAGGTTGTAGAGATCAATCGAGGCGGTTGCCGTCAGCTGTAAGCGTATCATGGTGAAACCTTTGGGCGTCAAGCAATCACCATCGTTGATATCGCACTGGCTCCAGGTGATTCGATTGAAGGCACTCCAGGTATAGTTTGCCACTGTGTTCAGCCCGCTACCAAAAGGTACACCGCCAGATGTGGCCGTTCGGTATGGGTGCGTATCAGTGGCGTAGATGTACGCGTGGTAATTGAAATCCTATTCTCCTTGAGCTTCACTCGAAGAGCACCGAGTCCGGGTCGTACCTCTTGCATATGAACGATGTCGAAATTTCCCGAGCTCAGTTTTCCTCCAATGAGGCCTGCGTTCGTGGCTTTGTCGCCTGTCTCATCATTGCCGTTGAGAATTGCTGGAAGCCCTGCCACATTGTAGGTAAGGAAATTAAACGTCCCGGAAGTCTGTGCGCAGGAGAAGTGGGCGAGGAAAGGGACAAGAGAAAGGACAGAGCCAGTAAGGACTGCACGGGCATGCATGTTTGTAACGAGTGACTGTAACGAACGACTGTAAATGAGTGAATGGCGCTGCTTGATCAGATTCCAACCTCATCAATCTCGAATTCTTGGCTCTTCTTATAGACGTCTTTCCTTGCAAAGACAGTCGATCTGCCAGTACCCACCATATACAAAGACATGAACGAACATTTCTTCGTCCGTATCCGAGATTGATCGTGCATAGGTTAGGTCGCAAGTAGATCTAGGAGAGAGTCATGACGCTAGCTGGGGTCACGACTTGACCTGTGGTGTGCTTGATGTCGAGCACAAGGATGGTCAAGAAGGCCGGCAGAAGTGCAAATGTTGGATGGAGGGTTTTGTAGAACATCAATCTTTCTGTAAGCGAAGTGGAACAATGCCCGAAGAAGTTGTCCAAGACTTGGCAATAATTGATATAGTGTTTCATTCTCGGAGATTGAGACCCCTAATCGAGCTAGAGGCACCGACAGAGACAACAGAGAATTGCTGTCCTTGCAGTCGATGCGAGTACAGCATAGCCTGATGAAGAACCTGGCCGATGAGATGAGCCCGTGCTAACGTCCATGAAGACGATTCGTGAGCCGTCAAGATGAACCGGGAAGGCGTACTCCCAATCGAGGCGGACCTGGTGGACGCGTATTCATCGATTGATTGTGTTCGTGTCAGCCGGTACGGAGTACAGGAGGACTTTTCTTCGGTTGAAGACGCTGTATATGATGCCTGTCAAAGAGACTACTCGGCACGGTCGTGGAATTGAGGCTCGAAGGACTGCCAGTCTAGGCGATCGACATGAATCGAAGAATCGAATATATAGTCACAAAGTGAAGTCTCAGGTGTCACTCGAATGTGTCCCAGGATCCTGTGAAGCTTTTCGTGCTGCGAGATTGCGGAAGATCGGTCCTACTGAACCCCCTTTCACTGGGTACATGTCTGAACCCACGCACTGGCAATGATGCGTTAGTACAGCATAAGTTTGTGCAGATACAATACAGAAGGTTAGCCGAACATGGACTTCTCTTTGAACTATGCCACCCCTTTATGACTACCGAGGTACGAGTCGAGCGTCGCCTGAATTGCAGCATGAGAAATCGCATTTCGAGCCGGTACGCTCCAACCGGACAGCCAATGGGCATTGAGCTGGATTGACGAAACGTTTGATGCTGGTAGAGGAGGTTGGGACTTCGTAACGCCTGCAATGCAGGTTGATCAACAGAAGAGGCCAACGGTCGAGCGGGTTCTCCAGCACCCTTGAATCAGGTATTTCTAGAGGAACTCGGGGATAGTGGAGGATATTTGCATCTGGCCTGTCACACTTTGCATACCATCGTACAAGGGGCTTCTGCATGGTGCAGATCGACTTTTTGGCACAGCCGTTCTTCAGCCTCACCGAGAGCCTTTCACCAAGGAACTTCGTCCATTCTCTTCGTCGAACTACGAGGTAGATCGGGTTGCTCCCAGACGCCTCATCATGGCTCGACTGAACCATGTTGGCTGCAGATGGTACCCCAAACCTCAGTTATCCCCGATTCGAGGCGGCGTCTCATACCGAACGTGATGTATGTTGCGCAGTCGACCGTTAACAAACGAGCTCTTCCGCGGATCGTCAGACCGACGTTCATACGACACGCCTGCTCAAAATCGGTACTGGTGATGAGCGGAGTTTGGATATCTTCGGCGACGATCGAAGCGCGCCGCCATACGCCATTCTTTCAGGTACTTGGGGAGAAGACGGAGGTAAGGTCACTTCCAAAAATCTGGAAGCCAAAACATACGAGAGCAAGGCTGGTTGTGAAAGGATCGGTTTTCGAGACGACAAGCACCTTTCCTAGGGCTCTTTGGCTTATTGAAGAATGGTGTTAAACTAAAGCGCGCGGCAAGGCGCCGAAGGCACATCCTGACCTATAGAACGGCCAAGCGATACAACGGGCTTGCAAGGATTGGAAAAAGGGTAAGCGACCACCACATACAGTCTTCTGTTTGAAGAACCAATTCTTAAAACAGGTAAGTGAGGGCTCCATGTTTCGACTAACCCCCGGGCGCTTCGCTCCTGTTCCTATTCAGTCAACACACATATACATTGATAAAATAGTACGTATATGGCCAAGTTATCATGTCCGCTTTTGTTTTCAAGATAGAGACTATTAGTTAGACTGGACTAGATCATCATCATCAATCTTCACGGCGTGGACGGAACCTCCACATGATGGACGCTGAAGCGGCTGTGATGCCGCCCCCTGCACCGTACAGGTATGAGCCCCTGGACTCCCCGATAAGCATTCGGCTGCTGGACTTATTGCCTGGCGCCGAACCGGATCCTGTCCATGTCGTTTTGCGCCAGGTTGAGTTGCCCGAAGATTCGGATACGATTGCCATGGCTAGCGAGGCATATTACACGGCGTTGTCGTATACCTGGGGACCACCAGATCCACAGTTTTTGATATACGTCCAAGGCAAATCGTACCAAGCTCGGGCGAACCTCCTGAGCGCTTTGAGTCACTTACGGGACCGTCAGACAGTCCAGACCTTTTGGATCGACGCTCTTTGCATCAATCAAGGAGATGTATACGAGAAAAATCGCCAGGTCAGCCTCATGGCAAGGATATACCGCACGGCGAGAAAGACGAGGGTATGGCTAGGGAGCTCCACCGACCAAAGCCTCATGGGAATTCAGTGGCTTGCGGACGAGTGCGACGATATTTCCAACCCAGCCTACGATCTTCGCGCTGCGCCAATACAGTCGCTGGCTTCCTTGCTGAAACAGGCCTACTGGTCTCGAGTGTGGATAATACAGGAGTTTCTACTAGCACGGACGATTGAGCTGCAGTACGGCAAAGTCGTCGTCGCCGGACATAATCTCGAAAAAGTTTGCCTCGCTATGCGACACCTCCTGCCGCAAAGTCAAGCGACAGCCTTGGTGAATCAAAGAACAGCTACACTCAGAGGTGACACCCCCTTGCAGAGCCAGACGCTTGAATCACTCATTCGAACATACAGCAGTTCTGAATGCACAGACCGGCGGGACAGGGTATTCGCCCTTCTTTCACTTGCCGCCGACTGTGCCTCGGGCACCGGTATGAAACCTGACTATGGAATTACCCGGTTTGGCTTGCTCATGCAAGTGTTAGAATTCTGCAGGCCAGAGAATCCAGTTGAGTTCATCTCCCTCTTGCTCAGAGCTTTGCAAAGGCATGAAGGAGACGTCCACTGGGGAGAAGCTTTGGAATTGTGGACCCAAGGAACACTCTCGCAGCTGGATCCGAGCGTCTGGGAAGGATGTAAAGCTGCACCGACGCCTCGGAACAGAGTCAAGCTGACACACTTCTGGACAGCCTTCAGTTTCTCCCGAGATTGGATTCGACATCACTCGTATGTAGCATCTTTTCACAGCCACTCTGTTCCGGAGCGTGTTGAAGCGCTGGCTAGTTTCCTAGCCTGTGACCAACGCGCTGGCAGCTCAGCAGGATACGAAAGCATGGTATATCGGATCGACGCTGCTAATATTGCTGTGAGACTCCACAGCTCCCACTTCGGCATTCTGTCTCGCAGCGAACTAGAGGCGGTAACGAATCCATGCATGTCTCTAACGCTTCACAGAGACAGTAGACAGTGCAACAGAGTCTCCTGCTCAGGTCCGAAACAAGTTCAGAATCTTGAGGCTAGCAGGAAGATTAACACACAATTGTATTCGCTGAGGATGAGAGCCAACCCGTAATCTCGCTCAATCTGCAGATATGGTTGTCTTGGTATCAAAATCATTAACTTTGCGATGAAAGGACAAATCTGAGCTTCAAGTCCAATCTGTGGATCTCAAAGCGAATCCATCCGTTCTGGCAACATGTTCAAGCTTATCGTAAAAGACATCGTCATCATCGCCATCGTCCTCCTCTTCACCGTCACTCGATACGACCACTTCCGCTTCTTTCCATACGTTTGCTGGTGATTCCACTAGTGTCGAGTCTGTGGTTATTCTTTTCTCGCCAAAAGGTTTGATAGGCGTCGCAGGGCCTTGTGCGCGCTCTTCGGGATGAGACGCAGCTATGTGATCTTTGAGTTTCTTCTCGCTGGCGACTCCGTTCCGATTGTAAATGCAACCAAGGTATGGGCAGCGCAGCTGATGAGTGGACTCGTGCGCGTCACGCTCCTGAACGCTTCTAAACCCTTGAAGACCACGCGGACAATTGCTTGTTCGGCAAATCAAGATGTCGGAGCCATAGGTCTTTTTGAACGACTCTAGCTCCTTCTCTTGTAGACCTGGGACGGAAGTTGCCTGGAGCAGTTGCATAGAAATCTCGTCATACTTTCGGCGTATACTTGTCAGGGGATGTTCGACCGAAGCTAGGCAGGACCAAAATTAGCAGCAGAGAACCTACTCAAATATTGATCTGTGGAATGACTCACTGGCACTCATCGACTCTGCCGGTGCAATACGCTGTGGCAATTGATCCACCAAGGCAGATTTAACGAACGTGCATGCCACTGGATGTTCGCTCAACGCATCGCAGCGGCTGTCGAGGCTTGTCTGCGAAAAGTCCGATTGGGGTAGCTGCGAGATCTTGGATAACGCGAGCGCCAGATTCTCGAGGGCCTGCAGTATTTTCGCCCTCAGCTCAACTTGCACTATTTCTTTTTCAGAGAGGTAAGACAAGAGGTGTTCCGTCCAATTCTGCACAGCATATCGACAAAGTCCATGGATGCCTTGGCCAATCTCGACGCGTCGTGATTCGTCGTCAAAGTCGGCTGCAACCAAGTTAATACCATGGTTCAGGAGATACGCCAGACAAGAAAAGGTAATGTTGCATCGAGCTTCCTCTAATCTGAACAGAGGTTGATGTTTGAGCAAGTACCTGAGCCGAAGTCAATCTTGGCACCTATTACGGAGGGTGTACATGGAGAAATTCTGACATACTCTTTAACGGAAGCATGTACAAATCTGATGGTTTCACCGCTCCCACTTTCCACGAGGGGTTTGCAAAGCTCGACTATATGCTCGAAGCCCCGTTTATCGCAATCTATCGTCGGGTGATCAAAGTCCAGGGCTATGGCATCTTGTATCTCATATCGCTTGAGATATCTTGGGCTACAAGCCAGCCATTGGAAAATGCGCGACGCTCTGTCTCTGTTAGTCTGCGACAACTGCAACCGAAATCTTGCAAAGATCTTGTCGTATCTGTGAAGGAAATTAGTGAGCGTTCTCATTGTGGGCTTTATCAGATACTGACACTTGATCAAGGCCTTCCGGGAGATCCTCGAGAGCCTTTTTCAGATCCCCGGGCGTGTATGTATTCTCCAACATTGTCATAACAAGACGCACCCATAGGAACATTCCTGCAAATTGTCAGTACATTTGAAGGGATCCAGTCACGACTTACCACCAGCCTTAGTCACCAAGGTCTGCCGAACTCTTTCTAGCTCCGACGCATCAAGACTCTCTGCATCTTTGAAAAGCGGGCTCTGTTCTATTTGGGCGCCAACAAAAGAGGAAATTGCACTGCGGACAGCTGTTTGCTGTTTACCGAGATCAATGGAGGTCCTGTTTCGTAGCTTTCGAGATATTTTCAGTACATCCTGGCTTGATATCAGGACCTTGCAGACGCTTGAACCAGTATCAACCTTGGTGACGGCGATCATCTCATCCAGAATCTCCTCCTGTTGTTTCAGATCGCATTCGTCCAGCCCGTCGATGATAATGCGAACGGAAGGATAGGCCGATACCGCAAGGTGGAGAAGTTCCCGAATTTTTGGTTTGGAGGACTTTCGGTGGCCTTTGTTGATGAAGTCAACCTGAACAGCTGCGCAGAGATGTGGCTGGCCCCGTATTAATTGCCATGTCAAGGATTGTAGTACAGATCGGGACTGCTTCGATTCAGGGAGCGAGTCGCTGCATAACACATACAAAACCTTTGTCCTTTGTGAAGACTGAATCTTTTCAATGAGCTTCGAGCACAGAACGCTTTTGCCTGAAGACACATTCCTTAGTGCATTTCCGATGCAGTAGAACTACATGGAACAAAATACTCACCTGAACCTGGGATGCCCTTAAGCCACAACACACGGTGATCATTGCCATTTCGTAACCACGATTCAACTATGCGATTATCGTATATCCAGTCACAGCTATCTTCATGAGATTTGTTCCGCAGCACGTCGAGCTCCTCTTCTTGGTCAAGTGTAGAGGCTTCAAGCCAGAACTGTGCATTTTGAAGTTCGCTGACCTTGCGATCTTCCTCATTTCGCTCCAATTCCTTCGTTGCTCTGTTACGAGAGTCTCTTGTCTTACCTATATCTCGAGAGGATTGCGCAGTCCTTAGCAATCGTCCACAAGTATTCAGATCATCGAGATATATCCGTAACCACGGCTGGAGACGTGCCCAGGAGGTTTGGAAAAAAGAGTACCACCCTCCAGCAGTGTCAGTGCAGCATGATCATGCAATCCGTCATTACCACCTACCATGCCTTCGAAGAACTTCATACGTGCGTCGGTGGAAGTCAAGCAAATCAGCGTAACAGATTGCGAAGAGCTGTTGTGTCTCGCTGCTTGTGGCATCCCCATCTTTTAAGTTGCCAAGTGAGGGAAATGCCTGCCCAATGCGTTTATACGCCGACACCAACTCTTTCAGGACAGCTGGCTCCTCCGAGCATATCTATCTGAGGTGAGTGAATGACGCTTTTCGACCGAAGAAAGAGGCAGACTTCAAGCATCAACTTCGCGGGCCCCTGGAGTTGTATCAGTCAAGTGGAAGAGTCAAGGACCCTTGGATCGTCGCACTTACCCAAGCCCACGCCATTGTTGTGGTGTCACATACAGCTCTCGCAGCTATTGAGAACTTCTCCAGGCTGGCAAAGAAGTACTCGAGCCTCCTCAAATTACAAACCTCCTTCAGGTTGAGCTCGATCTGTCGAGCCGCATTTTGCAAGTCGAAGAGCGTCGTCGACCGGATTGCAGTGGCATCTTGTGCACTAACAGTGTCCTCGAGGTATCTGCGAGCATCGTCAACCATCATAGAGGCCTCGGGGGCCACCTCCTCGCCGATGTCCATCTCAACGGCCTCGAGCGAACGATCAGACAGGAGTACATGCGCGGATCACAGTGGTGATTGTCTGCCATCGACATCCATCAGGATGCTTGCAGAATCGCAAGACTTAGTTAGGATTGCACGTTATCGATGACATGGATGGCAAGCGTCAGCAAAGTCGGGGCGCAGCCGTGAGGATGGCGCAGCTACGGTGTTTTGGTACAGTAGCGACGGCCCTTTGGCCAGTGGCAAAAGAGGTTAAATCAACTTCCTTGACAGTGAGCACAAAGTTCCCTACTCAGTCTGAATCTTCGGCACCGACTGTCGGCATCATAGCAATTTCGCGAGCATGCATGAAGTCTGCGCTCTAAATCAATTGCACCCGCGCGAACACGCTCAAGATTGGGATGGGTGGGCATAGTGAGGATGGTCTTAAATCCGGGTAGGTCTTGCTTGCGTCATTATCGATTTGCCCTACTCATCATTGGGTGCCAGGTACCTGAAGGCGATGCTCGGGCTGCCTCAATCGGCCATTCCCTCAACGAAGTCGAACGGTCCATGCGCCGATAGGCAGACAAAATGCAAGTTAAACGTTCCTCCCCCTCCAACAACAGGCTATCGAGCGTCGCGCGAACGTGGCGAGCCGCCCTCCAAGCGAAGGCGGACCGACGAAACATGTCGTGACGATGCCTTTACTTCCATCAAGCAAGATATTGGCGACTTTATATGGATAGACCAAGACAGCCAGTTCCACACTGCGCCTGTTCCACCTATCGAGGCTGTCAGCGCAGGAACCGAGGTGGAAGACCTCTTGAGTATCCTGCGCTTCCGAGATATTGGCCCCCAGACAGTCGCTCCTAGCTTCGAGGATGAGACACTCGAAAGCATTCGACGCATTCTCGCAGATGAGGATGACGCATTGTTCAGTCCAGCGACGGGTCAGAGCAACGGTTGTCAAAGCTCGGAGTCACCTACCGAGGAGGTCTGCTTTGGAACGGTCCGTGCCGTCAACAATCTCTTCGTTAATACTAACTAATAGACCACTCGCTGACTTGAGCGTTCCAGGTGGGCCCGATGCCCCTAGCCTTGAACCCCGATAAACCCCCCGTGTTGCCTACAACTCTTGTCAAGATACACGTGTTGCACAACGTCCGGCTCGATTACGATGATGGGTCGGTATTTCTCGACGATGGCTCGATCATCGGGCAGCTCGACTTGCGAACTGCTGAGATTCTTCGTGAGCTAGATTCGGATGCCAGGATATCGATACAGGTCCGCTGTGTCTTATCACGCGCCGATACTCAAGGCCCAAAACATAGGGATGGCCGTCTCTTCTCGGAAGTCCGTGCGACCCTGGCAGCAATTATTTACGGCCCTTATCTTCTGTACGACCAAGTGGGAGACTTTTTCGAAGACTGCGATGTCTGCCTGCAAGACCCTCCAGCCGGCTGTGCCCGAAACGTTCGATATAGAAACCCACACAAGCTCTGTGGCCAGGATAGCGATGCTCCAATGACAGTAGACACAGCACTTCTTGCCCGTCATGACAATACAGTCAACCAAGAGCTTTCAACAGAACATCTAGACCACCTAGACTTTAACGGGGATCTTCCCGAAGCAGAGGTACCGTCAGCCCTGTGCACTCAACTCCATAAACACCAGCGGCAGGGTCTCTATTTTATGAAAACGAGAGAGCGTGGCTGGTGTGCGGAAAATGGCCTCAAAGATATCTGGAAAACGACAGAGGTCTGTGGCGTCCTGATGTATTGGAACACAATCAATGATGACGTCCAGGAGGAGCCGCCTGAAGAATTCAGAGGAGGGCTTCTGCTGGATGACATGGGTCTGGGAAAGACCTTGACAGCCATCTCGCTCGTTGCCTCCGACTTGGACAGCGGTGGCACTGCTGGAATGCTCGCTTGGCCACGATCCTTCCACCCATGCAGCCAGGACATGCGATGCACCTTGGTCATTGTGCCTCCGCAATTACTGCAAATGTGGGAAGAGCAGCTGTCTACACATTTGCACCCAGGAAGGATGCGTTGGACCAAACATCATGGTAATCATCGTCTCTCTCAGCTCTCCCAAATAAACAATTTCGATGTGATCCTCACCACCTACAACACAGTCGCATCGGAGGCCAAAACCTCAAGCATTCTGTTTCAAGCTCGCTGGCGCCGCATCATCCTGGACGAGGCTCAAGAGGTTCGCGACCCACATACGCAGACTGCGAAGGCAGTATGTGCACTGAAGGCAGACAGACGATGGGGGATCACAGGCACACCTATACAAAACCATCTCACCGACTTCCGTGCACTTCTACAGTTTCTTAGAGCACACCCTTATCACGACCAGACAGTTTTCGCGAGAGATATTACCGACATCTGGCAGAAGACCGATCCCGAAGCTGCAATGCAAAGGTTAATGCGAATCATCGCATCCGTGAGCCTTCGTCGGTCGAGGAAGGCTCTTGTTCTTCCTGCCCGAATCCACCAAGATACCTTTCTACCATTCAGTCCAACGGAGCTCGAACTGTACGAGCCACTGGAGGCACAGGTCATGAGCATTCTCAACCAAGAAATAGCATCAACCGATACGTCCACGAAGAGAAACGCTTTGAAAGGCCTCAATTCACTCCGTCTGATATGTAATTTTGGCACCCTTGCAGACATGAAGCATTTCAGACCCTATGTTACCGAAGCTCAAGAGATTTTCGACAACCTGCTGATGGCCGGCGATACCTCCTGCTGCAAGTGCGCAACTAATATAGCATCCGCGACAGGACCAAGCGAAAATTGCTCAGGCGTCCCGGCATTCGAAGTGCTGACAGGAGAACCTGCTATATCTCACTGCGAGAAGTACCTATGTGGGAACTGCAATCTTGAAGCTCAACACAATGATGGTTTCTCCCTGGGGTGGTGTGGTCACAGTCCGCCCTGTACCGTACAGACCGTCCGAGTCACCGATCCTTCGTCATATCTGCACCGACCCTCTGTCGACCAGCTGAAACTCGGCGACTATCCCACCAAGATCCGAGCGCTGATCAATGATCTGCAAGCTTTCCCGACTGCAAAGTCCGTCGTGTTCTCAGCATGGCGAATGACACTAGACCTGTGCGATTATGCACTGTCACTTGCCTCCATCCCCTTTGTACGCTTTGACGGCACAGTCAGCGAGCCTGACCGCAAAGACGCACTCTCTCGGTTCAGGACTGATCCAGAAATCAAAGTCATCCTGATCACCATCTCATGTGGCGCAGTCGGCTTGGACCTGACTGCCGCTAACCGTGCTTACATCCTGGAGCCGCAATGGAACCCGACCGTCGAAGATCAGGCATTCGCTCGCATTCATCGCATGGGCCAAAAGAGACCTGTCACAACAATTCGATTCTTGATGAAAGATTCCTACGAGGAAGAAATCGTCCATGTACAGAAACAAAAGCGTGATTTTGCTGACTTGCTACTGAGCGAGAAGAAAGGCAAAAACGGCAAGGGAGTTCAGAAAGATATGTCCCTTGCATATGAGACCGTTAAACGTCTAATTGGTCGGCGGTGACATCAAAAATGTTGCCCCGTGTAGCGAAACTGGAACTCATGCTTTACATGATTGTATTTGTTTTATTTCGCAGGCGTTGAAGCATTATATGACAGAAGAGAGATACCCATGATTTTTATTATACCCATAGAGATATTAACATCGAAATGCTTGCAGATACCTTATACTGTATCATGTTCATTCCGGATCCTACAACACTATCCTTATCCACGCACCACGGCTGCGAACCATCAGGCTGCGGAAGCCAGCCACTCCAATACAACACACCTCCCGTCGTCACCCTTTCAGCTAGATATCTCGGACCCAGCGTTTTGCAGACTCGTTTGTCCTGCCGAAGGACGTTGTCGTCGTTGCCGTCGTTGCAGACCAAGAGCAAAATACGCAGCGAGGGTGTTGGCTCTCTCGACACGGTCATTTTCTCATCTCAAATGTTCGCCATCGGAAGATAGCGAGCACAGGAAGCAACATGATTGCCAAAATAGCCTAGCCAGCCGGCATAGGTGCTGACCAGAAAGTCCGACCAGATCTGTCCGGAGTTAGTTGTATGGGACACCCATTTCGCTGAGTACCTATGTCTATAAGAACGACACTGGAGGAGGGAATCTAGAGGGGATACAATAGAAGGGTGCCTTTAGCGGTACAGAAAGAAGGGGGTAGAGTAGAGCCCTGTCCCAGGGAAAGAAAACTACTGCAGAAGCGGGCCATGTCCACTGCCTAGCGAGCAGATATAGTGTGAAAGTAGGTTAAACTGAGACACGTCGCTCGCCAGGTCAAGGTGATGTGGAGGATGAGCAGGCGAGTGAGTAGGTAGCAAGGGTGAGAAGAGAGTTTGTGAGTTGAGAGATGGTGAGTTGCGAGGTGACGGTTGTACAGTATGGACGAGCTGTAATAAAATAAAAGATCCACCCAACAAAGTTTTGAGAGCCGAGAGCTGGTTTGGATTCCCCGTGCCCTTGGGGGGCAAGTTTTCCGACTTTGCGCATAGGCGCCATGCCATGTCTGGCTGGGTTCCTGCGCCGTGGAAAGAATGAATACCTACCTACCTACATACCTCTCTCTGTAGGTAATTCTGGCCCTGGTCTAGGTCCTCCGTACTCTCTCTCTCTCGTACCCCAAATCCATAAAGCGGGTGACAACGTCATTGCTTGCAACCTTTGAACAGAACTCCGGCGCGGCCTGGCTCAAAGGATTTCCGGCAAAATGGCACCACCGACGAAGCGACGTCGAATTGAACCTACTGCCGTCGAGGAAATCACCTTCGATCCCGCTGCGAGGCAGGATTTCCTGACGGGCTTCCACAAGCGAAAATTGCAGAGGGCAAAACATGCACAGGAGGCGGCGGAGAGGAGGGCCCGGGAAGAAAGGATAGCGGAGCGCAAGAAGGTAAGAGTCATTCTGCCTGTACCGATGCCTCTGGGCGGTGTGTCGAGGTCGAGGTCGAGGTCGAGCGCGGGCGGACATTTCATTCGAACACTTTACTTCCCGACGGATTAAAAAAAATTTGAATACTGACTTCTGTACCACCCACCACCACCAGTTACGAGAAGAGCGCAAGGCCGAGTTAGAGCGTCATGTCCAACAGGTCAATGCGATGCTGAGATCGGCGTCGGCGCTGAATGGCGCGGAAGATCAAGGGACAGCGTCATCGAACTCCGACGAGGAATGGTCAGGTATATCGGGCGAGGAGCCTGCACCCGTCGACCACGAAGCAGAGTACATTGATGAAGACAAATATACCACCGTAACGGTAGAGGCTATGGACGTAAGCCGAGAGGGTCTTTTCAAGGCCGAGCAAGCCAAAGACGAAGGCCACAAAACATACGAGCAAGAAACGAAAGTAGGCCAGGAGCCAGGGAAGGTTGCAAAAAAGCCCAAGTGGACCAAGGAGAAGCCAAAGGACGGCTCGGAGAAACCCAAGCGAAAAAAGAAGAGAAACTTCCGATACGAGAGCAAGACAGAGAGGAAAACGGCACGGTCCAAGGAAAAGTCCAAAGGTCGGAAGCAAGCGCGAGAACGGAGGGGTGGTGGATGATACGTGTTGGTATCCTTTCAACAAACTGTCAACGCTCGTCAATTACCGAATGCCCATGGTATCGTAGGTATGTGGTTGTCTATGCATCGTGCTGCCATCCATTGCCACACAATATCTCTCGTGGCCCTGTTTACACGACGTAAACACCCCTTGTGCTCGTCCAAATTAAATGTTTCCCATGCTCTGCTCCAATTCTTGAAGCTCCTTTTGAAGGTCTGCGTGCTTCTTGGCCATCTCCTCGTATTTGGCCTCCCATTCATCGCGTGCTTGTTCCAGGGCTTGAACCTTGCGCTCGAAATGGCCCGCCTTGACATCGGTTTGACGCAGTCTATACACAGCGTTAGCAAACGTGCAGCATCGTGGATTGCCTGCAATCTTACTTCTCGCTGGTCTCTCTCAAAGTCTTGTCGGCAACCTCGGCTTCTTCCTCGAGGACTTGAACTTTCCGCTGGAGAGCTTCATTGAGATTGCTGTGTTCTGAGGCTTGGCCAGCCGCGGCTTTCGCGTCTTTGATGGCTGTTTCTAGTTTCTCGACCTCGGCCTCCAGAAGGCCATTGCGGTGTGTGAGGGAAGTGATCTCTTGTTCCTTTTGAAGATTATCTTGCTCCAACTCTTTGACTTTCGCCTTGAGTTCTTCGGCCTTTGCAGCGTTCTCATCCGCCTCGATGCGGAGAGAGTTCATTTTCTGCTGGAAGTTAGCGAATGCGGTCGACATGCTGGCGATGTTTGGTGCGGTGCGGTGCGCTGGTGTTGGTCGGTGTGCAGCAGGACGAAGTGCAACAGGAAAGGATAAACAAATGCTCATAAAAGTATTGTGAATTGGACTGGTCGAGGCAGCAATGCTAATGCTGTGGCAGTCTCGATTGAGTGGTGCCTGCACACCACAGTGAAGGCAGGTGCGGTGGTTAAGGGGAAAGTGAATAGCACACGACTTGGACTTGCCTCCTTGATACGATCCATGGTGAATGCTTGCTGACAAGAATCCAAGTGAAGTGAACCAAATTCCCAGATCAAGATGATACTGTATGCGCCAACGGGTCGATGGGATGTGAACGCACAGATACAATTGTTGGTACGTGTATGTTCAGAAAGGAGAACCAACAGGCGGTCACATTAATTCACACAGTCAGGAGTCAGCTTTGCAGGTGGGATGGAGGGGGACAGTTCAAGGGGACCGGCTGTCAACTACAGGCCAATGACAATCCGCCTACGCGTCTGAGACTCCAGGCTTCGCCGTTTGCGTGTTTAGGCTTTGGTTTCACTCTTCCAGGGCCCAGCACTACGCGCCGGGAGACGCCGGGGAGCGCACAGTAGGCCACGGCTGCTTGTCTTAGGTAAGTTTTGAAGAGCCCCCAGGCACGCTAGGCGTCCCTCCCAATGCCCATCGCGCAGTCCGTGCTCGTTGCGCAGGCAACCAAGATCAACACCTTCACTCGCTTGCCTCGCGCAGTGGTAAGCTCGCGAACTCCCTACAACGTTCACCAGAAATCTACAAACACTGTACAACAGAAATAACAACAACCGCCATAAGGCGTCTCGAATCATGCTAGCTGCTCGCGATCAAGAGAACATTGTGCACGCACGCCAGACCGCAGCGGCAGGGAAACCTCTGAACCAAAACATCCGAAGCCTCCATCCGAAGACGCCAGGAAACTTGAAAACACCCTTTCGAGTTTCCAAAAACGATGAAAATGCACCCTTCACTTTCAAAGGACAACGAGGCCTGAACAAGGATGGTCCGAGTAAATCGGACAAGAATTCATTTGTGACGCCGTTAGGTATGAAGCCCAACAAGCATTGTTGATCAACTGCTAAGTGAGAAAGCACCGCGCAACAGAGCACCTCTCGGAGCAAAAACAACCAACGCCAAAGCCGCTGCATTCAAGACTCCTGCGGCCGCACCTCTAACCTCCAAACCAGGCCACGGTGTACCAAAGCCTTCCACCGCCCGTCGTTCCGGCCGGTCTAAAATCGTTGTGTCTCGAGCGGAACCAGCAGAAGCCGATGTATTGACAGCACCGCACGAAGAGGATGATGAACCAGACTATGGTTATGCGCCACCTCCACCAGTTGCACTTCCGGACCCTCCGTTGGACTTCAATTCTGAGGAGTTCCCTCCTCCGCTCACTAGGGAAGAACTTTCCAGAGAAATCGCAGAGTTGTACTTGAATTCGCCGAAAGACGAGAACGGCTTCTCTCTCCGTCTGAAGAAGGAGCAAGAAGAATGGGAACGATTTGACGAAGAGAGAATCAAGCATACTCTAAAAGTCACAGACATGCCCGTGGAATCCCCCGATAGACAGGTTGATGCTATGATTGCCGCAGGGCCAAAGAAGCAGAGACCTCCTTTGTCAAGAGTTGACAGCATGCAAGCCAAGTCAGCAGCAGAGGCGCTTTCCGAGCCTCAGCCCCGTCTGCCCTCGGCAGCACTGAGGCCAACACAAGCGTCTGAACAGAAAAGAAAGGGCATTCTTCCAAGCACCAAGCCGAGGCATTTGAGTACGTCAACAGTATCTGGCGCAGGCCGGACTACTCACGCTGCTGTCTCGAAGAACACTATTGGGTTTCCAAAAGCAAAGAAGCCGCCCTCCATCATCCCCAAAGGTGCAGGGACGGACAGATCGGGGCCTATTTCTGTGAAGAAACCTGCCAAGGTTGACCAAAGCAAGATTCATCCCAAAGACTTCCGTGACCTCTATGGGTCTCCCCCTATCGAAAGTGACATGTGGTTTCGTCTGAAGGAGTATGAGTTGCTTGAGAATGACGAGGACAAGGATGCGGATTTGGTTGATGACTTGTTCGAGCCAGATTTTTTCCCTTTTGACAATTCTAAGCTGGATGATGAGGACTTTCAACTCCCCATGCCTGCGTGAAGTGCCGACTCAAAGCATGGACTACTTCATCCATGTATGTACGACTGTTAATGAATCACGATATTGATACCCGCACTGAAAAAACATTGAGGTGTATTGGACTGAGACTCAAGAGCTTAACTCACACATGGCGCATCCCGGAACAGCATGTGGGATCCGCTGTACGAGTATTTAGCATATAGCTGCTTGAATAACATTTTGGGTCTTCCGAAGACACTGTCCCTGCCCGTCGTGAAACGCATATGTACAGTCCACTTTGTCCTACTTGAGATGGTTTTCCTTGTCTAGACTGTGGCTCGCTGATCCCCTTTTTGTTTATGTCCAAGACAACGGGAGAATATCAACATACAGATGGCTCAATTTTTTACGGTAACTGATCGACGCCGCCGTTTACACCCCCATTGGCGGCTTGCTTGGAAAACTCCTGGGTGGGCTCGGTGACGGTAAAGTTCCAGCCAAACTGGTCCTTCACCTTGCCCTGCTGAATGCCTTTCAGGGTCGTCAGGAGCTCTGTGCACACCGGCCCGGGCTCGAGCTTATCATTCACGGGGTATTCAAAAGTGTCCCCGCGAGACTTCATGGTGATGCTTTTGATGGGGACGAGCGATGCTGCGGTCCCAGCGGCCATCACCTCCTTGAACTCCGGCAGCTCTTCGTATGCAATGCGCCGCCTCTCGACGTTGTATCCGAAGACATCCTTGGCGATCTGGCACGCAGATTCCGATGTCACGGATTTGATGACATTCTTGCTGTCCGGGACGACAACGGTGACCTTGTCTCCGTCCTTGCGCACGCCGAGGAAGCCCGAAGTCGAGAACTCGTCAATCTCGGTTCTGGTCTTGCTGTCAAGGTGCAGGGTGATGCCGTAGCCAGCGTTGCGGGCCTTTTCGCTGTGCCGCAGCACGGGCGCATAGTTTCCACCAACCTTGGCGCTGCCGGTACCCTCGGGAGCAGCACGGTCAAAGTCCTCCAAGATCAGAGCATCCACGGCGTGCACGCCGTGGTAGACACCGGTCGGCATGACGAAGACCACAAACGTGTACTCGTCCGGCGGGCTCAGTCCGAGCTGCGCGCTGGAGCCGAAGAGCAGCGGCCGGATGTACATGGCGGCGCCGGTCTCGTGCGGCGGGACATACTCGGCGTTCATGGCCACGGCGAGGTTGACGCTCTCCACGAACAAGTCCTCGGGCACGGGAGGCACGGAGATGTACTCGGCGGATCGCTGCATGCGCTTGGCGTTCTGGTCGGGTCGAAAGATGGAAATGCTCCCGTCGGGTCGGCGGAAGGCCTTCATCCCTTCGTAGCATTGCACGCCGTAGTTCAGGCCGGGGGCCATGCCGTGGATGGACAGATGGGGAGACGTTACCCAGCGCGGTTTGCTCCATGTCGGATTCGACCCGGACGAATAGCGGAAGGTCGATTCGATGTGGCCGTTGACCTCGCGAACCTTGAAGCCAACGTTGCTCCAGTCTGGTAAAACGGTCAGAACACCTCAGAGTGAATCACACAAAACGTCGTCGATTCTGACTCACCGATCGTGCTGACGGGAGGTGGAGGAAAGGGTGCCATGATGGTGGTGGTGGTGGTGGTGGTGGTATGTGTTCTTGTAAGTACGAGAAGTCTGTAGACGGGCAGAGTCAAATTGAGGTCCCTGGTTGTTTGCCTTTTGCGTTCTTGTCAAGGGCGAAAGAATCGACAAGAAGAGAAATATAAAAAACGTACTATGCTCGGTTAAAAGTTTGTTCCTTTACAGCAAGTACCTCGTCTCTCTAAGAGTTCTGTCCAATACCGAACCACCAAGAGGCCGTTGTAAGACGTAAGCACACAGACCCTCGACGGCGACACGTCAATCGTTTTCGCTACGTTTAGGTCCACAGTCAGCGAAAAGGTAGTCGTCGTCTTACTTCAAGGTTTCGTGAGCGGTACCACCTTTTTTGCTGTGGAGGGCCAGCGAGATCGGAGTCTGGGGGTGGAAAGGCAAAGTGACGCCGCCTTAGTAGATCTTGTCCGAAACAGGGAGTTTCTCGGTGCCGTTTTAAGCACGGCACATGTGTCTCGCCTTGGAGACTGACCACTGTTTAATTCCCAGACACACATGGTGGTCTGCTTTGCCAAATGAATCATCTGAGTGACTGAAGCTGTTGAGGAGGCCGGGCGTATCAATCTCACTGACTTTATTTTCCATTCTCCATAAGGGGTACACTTGTCTCGACTGCTCTACCTCTCTATCTTCTGTCTAGTACAACCCAAACGTAAACAAAGCGGTGCTCGCCCATCATCATGCCTCGAGGACCTCCTCCTTTCCTTGTCCTCATTGCCGCCGTCTCTCTATTCGTGTGGTATGTCGTTTGGACGGCCGGCCCTCCTCGCGACATGACGGCATTCTCCTACTCGGACAAAATCCAAGAAAAGATCAAGCCCAAGCTGTCACAACACTTCGCCCCCATGGCGGACGATACCGAAGTTGTTATCCATGGCGAGCATGTGATGGGTAAGCTCGGGAACGAGACATTGAAAGCTGAACTTGGTCGTGCCGCGTGGAAAGTCTTGCATACCACCATGGCACGGTTTCCCGACAAGCCGACGCAGGACGAACAGGATGCTCTGAAAAACTACCTCTTCCTCTTCGCTCGACTGTATCCGTGCGGCGAGTGTGCCGAGCACTTCCAGAAGATCCTCAAAAAGTATCCTCCACAGACATCCTCGCGATCCAGTGCTGCGGCGTGGGCGTGCTTTGTACACAATCTGGTCAACGAGCGCAAAGGAAAGCCGATCTTTGACTGCGCCAATATTGGCGATTTCTACGACTGTGGTTGTGGTGATGATGAGAAGGATGCAATTTCTGCTGCGGGAGCGAAGAGCAGTTCTGTTGCCGCCGGCAAGCCATCGAGGCATGAATCTGTTGAGATCGAGGTGGAAGGTCCCACAAGAGGTGGTTGAGGTTGATGAATGTGGCTCCTTTGGTTTCAGCCTTTCAGCTTTTCATGGGACGCTGGAGGAACGCGACTATCCTCGAAAGATGGAACCTCCATGTACACTATCAGCATAACACTCGGGATATGTCGACGGACCCAAAATCCTCTACGATTTCGAGCCGGCGAGGGTAAGTCGTTCAAAAGGGAGCTTCACACCTGTCCTCCTTGATGCGCCCGCGGATTCTATGTTCCCTCCCTTCAATTCTGGTGGCCAGAAATGGACTGCTTGGGGTGTTTCTTGCACAACACGGGTTTTCGGCATTTCTCTTGAGCGTCAGTCGTCGGATGAATCGCAGACATATATTCCCGTCTTCTTCTTGAGTTGTCTGGGTTTGAATCAGCGATGGTCTGTCTTCTGGAATGGGTGGCTCTGAAGGAGACATCGGTCTGCGGGTATCGGAAGCTCGGTCGTCTTGAAATGGGTTGAGGGTTCGAAAACCGACGTCGAAGAAGCACCTGGAAGGAACGTGCCAGACATCGTCAAAGGCCGGGTCTGGAAGCTGAACTTGCGGTGATGGCATGCCACGATTAGAGCATCTTTTGCATGGATATATGAGCTGGATATTGACATCTTTTACGACACAGCCTCTGACGCTGGGCGATTCACAGAGTGTATCGCGGAACCGGTGCGTCGCCGGATGTTGGCAGAGGTACACGTATCGCTTTGTGGTGCACATGGTCGAGCCTTGTATCCTTTTTCTTTAAGGACCGGTATCGGGTGACCGTGGGGGTGTGCGTTCTATCCTTTTCGATCAGCTCGTCACTCGAGATCGTTGTTGCTCGCTGGCTGGTGGTGACGGATGTTTTCAAGTGTTTTGAATTACAAAGTCCTCCGTGTTCGAGGAGCATTCAAAGTAGGACGACTCGGACAGAAAAGGAAAAAAGAGATCTTACAAGAAAAGCATGACATTTCAGCCAAATGAATGTTGTGGGCTCCAAAAGGTCCTCAAATGCCTACTTCCCAAGATCAAAATTTTAGGCTCGAAGAAATGGGAAACGTACTTCATGGTTTCTTTGTCCTATTTGACCATCCATTCTTGAACTGCCTCTTCTCAAAATAGGGCTCGGGAACAAGAGCCACAGGCACACCCTCTCGCCAACAAAGCCCGCCCATAACAAAGAAAAAGAGACAATTGTTGCCGCGATTTGTTGGGGATGTCGGGACCTTTTTTTTTTACTCCATCCTTTGTTACCGAACGCCATGCTCGTGCCGACGCCGAAGGGCAGTACGGTAGATATCAAGTTGGCGGGTTTGGGGGTGTGTGTGTGTGTGTGTGTGTGTGTGTGTGTGTGTGTGTGTGTGTGTGCTCCGTGGGCTCTGTCTGGTGTTTGGGCCTGCACCGGGTTGAACCAAAGATGAGAAAAGCTTGAAAGACAAGAAACAAAAAAAGGAAGTGAGAGAACCGGTTGCACATCCCGTAGTATTGTAGAACCGACTCGTATCGCTCTGTGTGTTTTGCGATCAGGTCAGGTCAGATCCTCCAAGGTCGTTTGTTGTCTTTTTTTCTTCTTCTTCCTCGGGCACCCCCATACTCAGGTCTCTCTCTCTCTCTCTCTCTCTCTCTTTTCTACAAACGAGTAAAAGCAGGGATGTAAATGTAGACTAACCAGGTAGGCACGCGAGGTTGACAAAACGTAACAAGGCAAAAGACACGTTGACGGAAGAGAGGAGATAACATGACAATATTCCTTTTTGAAGTATCACTACCTGATTTTTGATTGGGGGTCATTTTGGTGAAGCTGTCTTCCTTGACCAACAACAAGGGGAGGGGAAAGGGGAACGAGAGATAATGATATCAAGTGTCCGTCCACTTTATGGATGGACACCCAGCCATCCATTCGATCTGATCTGGTCCCGTCTTCGTCTCTGGTGCCATTCTCGCCGTCGTTCCGTTCCGTCTCGTCGACCCTTTTTTTACTCCTTGACAAACGGCCTTTCAGGGATAGGATAGGCAACCTGGGCCGACATGGCGACCAGGGCGGAACTCTTCCCGGTGGCCTTTGGAGACTCGCCGATAAAGTTGGACGGGAAGCCGACGTCCAACTCGCTCTGGGACTCGAGGTACTTGATCTGGTCGTCGGTCAGCCTGAGGCTGAGGGCTTTGATGTTGTCCTGGAGGTGCTCGACCTTGCGGCCGCCGACGATGGGGACGACGTTGAGGGACGTCTTCTGCATGACGTAGGCGAGGGCGACGGTCGACAGGCTCTCGAGGCCGTGCTCGGCGGCGACCTTTTCGAGGGCGGCGCTGATCTTCTCCTCCTGGGCCGTCTGGGTGTCGCTGAACATGTTGCGCAGCCCTTCGCCCTGCTGCTTGCGCGCCTCCATCTGCTTCTTGGACTGGAACTTGCCGCCGCCGATGACGTCCCACGGCGCCAGCGCCATGCCAAAGTGCCGCGCCATCGGGATGATGTCGCGCTCAAAGTCGCGGACCATCACGTTCCACCGGCCCTGGTACACGCTGAAGGGCGTCTTGCCGTGCGCCCGGGCGTACGTGTTTGCCGCCGACACCACCCACGCCGGGGAGTCCGAGATGCCCAGGTACAGAACCTTGCCTTGCTCGACCAGGATGTGTAGGCTGTCCATGACTTCTTCAATGGATGTTGTCCAGTCCTGTCGTAATTGGGTTAGCAAATGTTGTGTTGTTGGTATAAAAAGCTCTCACGGAAGAGATCCAAGGCAAAGTCGTCAACAGCGATACGAAGGAGCAAGCAACGCTGTCTCATTCTCTGGCACCACTTACCCACCAGTGGACATACAAGATGTCGATGTACTCGGTTTGAAGCTTCTTGAGTGATTCGTGCACCGAAAGATACAGACTCTTCTTGTGGTTGCCGGAATAGTTGACGGATTTTCCAGCACCGAGGTCGTAATTGCGGTAAGCCGTGGTGTACCTGGAAAACGGACACCATTAGCATTAGTATTGTAAGCGTAGATAATTTACTAGGTGTTTATCGCTGGGATCTTACTTGGTAGCGATGACCAGCATGTCTCGGTTCTTTCTCTGGGTCACCCATTCTCCAATCCACTTTTCGGATTGCTCATCCTGATAGTTGTTCTGTAGTTGTGCGTAAAGGCTCGTTAGATTTTGATTCGAGTCATGTGAAGGGCAAACACAGGTTCTTCGAGGTTTTCCCGCCGGGGGGGGGGGGGGGGGGGTCCCGGGGATGGTGAGTGAGTGAGTGAGTGAGTGAGTGAGTGAGTGAGTGAGAGTGATTTTGGACTTACCGCCGTGTCGATGAAGTTGCCTCCAGCTTCATAAAAGGCATCCAACAGCTTAAACGACTGCTCCTTGCTCATGTTGCCCATAAACTTCCACGCGTCACCGATGGACATGGCACCGAGACATAGCGGAGACACTCGGACTCCCGCGGTGCTGGAGAGAACCCTGTACCGGCCCAATTCGGTGGGTGGTTCAGGAGCGGGTTTGAAGAAGTCCGACATGGTTCTGGCAGTGTGGCTAAGAGTCTATGAGGATGGAAGGGGACGATATTGTGTGCCGAGAGGATGAAGCGGATGAAGAGAAGGAGGACTGATGGTTGACGAGGGGATAGACACGGTCAATATATATATCTATATAATATGCGTCCCTGTCTAGGTGGACCGAGGTCTTAAAAGGGGATGATGGTTCGCGACAAGTTCGATGCACATACTGTATGGAACTTCATAACTTCTTCCCTACCTGACTTTGCCCTTAGCGCTGGAGGAGTTGTCCTCGAAACTCTCACTATTAGTCCAGCCCTCGTAGGCCAATTCGGCAAATGAACCATACAATCGAAGCTCTGGGCTGGATGTGCCTCTTCCATCGCATTCCCCACATTATCCCTTTGTAACTTAGTCGACTGTCCCAGCACATCGACAGGCGAGTCTTCAAACCGAGTCGGGATTTGGTCCTTGGTCGGCCGAAGCCCAATGCGGCCGGACGTGGTCTGCACGGGATGTATGTTGCTGACAGCTGCGACGACGACAGATACACCTGAGTTGATTTTGTCGTCGCGCTGCTCTGCTCGGACTTAATACACCAGGGACTTAGGGAAATAGCGGCGATAACTGTTGCCGTCTGCGGGAATGAGGCCGCTCGCTGGTGTCCCGACTAGTTATTGTACTCGTAGTGGGGGACGAGATCCGGATCGAGTTCATGAGGACGCACCAACGCGGACAAACTGGACTGGACGGGGCTGACACTGTCTGGGCCTCTCGTCTGTCCAAGACATGATGATGTATTCGTACTGTCGATACCTCATGGTCATGGACGTCACAATCTTCAGCTTCAGTGTCACGTCCGTCAAGCTCAAAGCCAACAAGAACTGCACAAATCAACAAGCACCAATGGACAGACTGCTCAAATCAAAAACTTTTTCTATTGCTAATTGTGTGGCCTGGCAAGCCTGATCTAATGCAGCCAGCGTAGACTTTTCCTCATCAAGTCTCGAGTGTTGTGTGTGCGTGCGTGCAAGAGAGCTCCGTGGAAGCCGTGCGGAATAAAACGCCTGGGAGATGCACATGTGCAAGTATCTTCCTTTTTGTCTTGCAAGTCAGATCATTCCCCTTCCCATTCATTTCCCGCCAGCCTCCCAAAAGCTCGCGATTGTTCGTGTCGATAAAGTCTATTTTGATCATCATGTCCCATAGGTCCGAAAGAGAGAGAGAGAGAACCCGCTGATAACTTTTGTAAGGTTGGAAAAAAGAATCTCGTCATGGGGTCAATGCCCGGTCGTGCAGCCTTGTTCTCCTGAAGAAGAGGCTTCACAAGAGTCTGTCTTCCATCCCATTTGGACCACTCTCTTTCGTTGTAAACCGACGCCGTGGTGTCTGTCGTTCATGCACACATCGTCTGTCCTCTGTTCACATGAGGAACCTGGACATGCTGGGGGTATCTGAAATCAATCGGAAAAGCCAACGCTATCTATCATGTATCATGCTGTGCCCGATAAAAGATTCGTCTCGGGAAAATTGCTCTGGGTCGTCATCAAAAGAGCAAGCTGGATGCAGGATTGCCTGCCGTTTGCTCTTCGACCACCCGATCACTCTTCCGAGAGTGCAAGTGCCGAAGGTGAAAAAAAAAACATGCAGAGAAAAGAGATGCAGGAAACTGTTCAAGAATGAATGAACGCCCCCGAACCATTTACCACCAAGATGATGGTCCGTTAGCACCGCCTGGGTTGCCATACGAGCCACCACCTCCGCTGCCACCTCCGTATCCGCTTCCATAGGCCCCGCCACCGGAACTGCCCCATGATGGAGCCCCACCGTAGTCTGTCGAGGGTGTTAGTATTCGGATCAAGGCAGGGGAAAGGGATGAGGACTTACTGCTACCGCCGCCGCCACCACCACTGTAGCCGCCAGAGCCGCCAAAGCCGCCGCCATATGAAGGAGCACCGCCCATACCGCCGCCCATACGACGCATGTCTCGAGTTGCAGAACCTCCACGGCCACCGCCACCACGGCCGCGACCACGGCCGCCGCCAAAGCCAGAGCTCTCGCGTGCGATGTTTTCCAAGAAGCTAGGAATCTCCTGGTGAGCCTCTTTGAGGAGTTCGATGAGCTCACGGACAATTCCGCGGTTGCCACGGTTGAAGAAAGCGGTTGCCAGACCGGTGTTTCCAGCACGACCAGTACGACCAATGCGATGGACGTAGTCGTCAATATCGGTAGGAAGATCGTAGTTGACGACGTGCATGACATGCGGAATATCCAAACCACGAGCAGCAACAGCGGTGGCCACCATGATTGGGCAGCGACCGTTGCGGAAAAATTCCAAGGCTCGCTCACGTTCGCGCTGAGTGCGGTCACCGTGGATAGCAGTAGCTGGGAAGCCTTGGTTGATCAAGAAGTCGGACAGAGTGTCGGCCATACGCTTGGTCTCGACGAAGATCAAGGTCAAGCCACCAGCGTGAGTGTGCAGGATGTCGAGCAAGACAGAGCGCTTGTCATTATCCTCAACATATTCAATCTTTTGGGTGATGTTCTCCGAGGTGGAACCAACGCGACCCACGGACAAAAACACATAGTCCTTCAGGAAATCACGTGCCAACAATTGGATGTCTCGTGGGAAAGTGGCTGAAAACATGAGTGTCTGACGGTTCTGGACGGTTGGCATGTCCTCGCCCTCGACGATTCGACGAATTTGGGGTTCAAAACCCATGTCCAGCATACGATCGGCTTCATCGAGAACCAGGTACTTGATGTTGGCCAGTGAGATACGACCTCGTTCTATGAGGTCGACCAAACGACCAGGGGTGGCAACCAACAGGTCGCAGCCTCGCTCAATGGATCGTAGTTGAGTACCAATGTCGGCACCTCCGTAGACAACGCATGGTCTGACCCAGGAGCGGTAGGCGAACTTGCGTGCTTCGTCGTAGATTTGGGAGACAAGTTCACGGGTGGGGGCAAGGATCAGTGATGTTGGAAATGCCTTTCTCTGGCGGAAACCACCTCCGGAGGTGGGAGCGTGAGACGGGCCGGTCTGGAAGGCTTGGGAGAGAATCGGGAACAAGAAACCGCCGGTCTTGCCAGAGCCAGTCTGGGCACAAGCCATGAGATCTCGTCCACCCATAACGATGGGGATAGAGTACTTCTGGACAGGTGTAGGAGTTGTGTAGCGTGCAAGCTTGATGTTGCTGATCAGGTGATCGTCAAGTGGAGGATTGGTGAAAGTGTTGACAGGTTCTGGTACGTCGTGGCCACTGGCTTCGACAGGAATGTCGTCGTAGTTGGCGAAATTGATGCCAGTGTGGGCCTTGGTCGGGTCATTTGGAACGCCGAACAATTCGCGCTCGACCTTTGGGTTGGCAGGGCCTGGGATGTGTTGACCGTCTCGCCATTGTCCATCTCCAGAGCCACGAGCAGAGCCGCCGCCATGGCCTCCATGACTTCCGCCACCTGAACCACCTCCGGGAGCACCGTAGGCATTAGGGTTGAATGGGCGCGCACCGTGTCCTGCCCAGCCGTTGGAAGAAGGTGCAGGCTTGAAATCTTGAGCATTTGCCCATCCGCCACCAGAGGCGTTGGCATTTGCATTGGCGCTGGCGTTGTTGTTGCTTGCCCATGCACTGCCGTTCAAGCCGGGGCCTGCAGCGGCAGCTGGCGCTGGACCAGCACCAGCACCATCCACGTTCATCACTGGGGGACCGCGGGAAGCCTGTCCACGCAGATGAGGAGGGATGTAGGTACGACCGCCGGGCATGGAACCGGCCGGAGCGTGTTTCGACTCATTCAGAGTGAGACCGTTCATGTTCAACGAGTCGGCCATCTTGAAATTTCAAATGTGATGGTTTTTGAAGGTTGCTGGAAATGAATATGGGTTAGTGACAGTTCGAGATAAAATACTCTGTGTGATGAAGGTTGAGGATTCTGGAAAATTCCAACAACCGCTTGAAGTGCTCAGGCTCAGGAGAATTGTGATTCGTTTCAAGCGCTGACTAACTGGAAAGGCAGTTGTTGCAGATGTGGCCAAATACTCACAAATTGATGGGTGTGAATGAAGGCTGTGGTTAATGTTTCTGCTCACGAGGAAGGACAGTGAAGGAGCCAGAGGCTGAAATTGTGAGACGAGGATGGCGTCTAATCGGTGAGAAGATGTGATAATAGTTGTGTCAGAAGCTTTCGTGTTCGCAGATAGAAGAGAGACGCAAGAACGCCTCTCCAAGTCTATCTGAAAGGAAAACGAAAGGCAGGAACAAGAAGGACAATGATGGTTGTCAGTAGGGGTGAGATGTGAGTGTTTGAGGCGAGGTGATTAAGAGGATAAAAAGTCATTGGGAAAAAGGCGCAGGCAGGACTTTTTTCTGGGCGTGAATGCTGTTGGGCGGCGAATTGCTGGAGTCGATACAATGTTAGGGCAGCATGAGAACTGGCGCGGTAGATTTGCCCAATGGACTCGGGAACACGGTGCGCCGAGTACCCGTACAGTCCACCGTAGCCCCTTGCCGCTATACCGTACCAGGACGCACTATCATTAGCCATTGATTTTTAATGAAGCAATCGTACTCCAGAGTGGCGATAGCATCATACCAGTACTCGGACACGTACTTCCAGTCCAGGTGGATGTCTAGAATCACTTTCCTTCTCCATTTACAACGGGGCATTTTCATTTTTTACAAAATCTTGTGTGTCGGTATCCCGACGGTGTACATGCAGGCTTTCAAACTCTGGGGAGAACCGCGGAGTCCACCATAGTTATTCGTCCTTCAACTAAACCATGCTTTTCTCGTCGGATTTGCCAGAATCGAGATAAGACTTCTGCGATTGATGTCTTCTCGCAAAGTACAAGGCAACTGCTACCAACATGAAGAAGCATACGACCTTCTGGACGTATGGTTGAGCGATCATCATCTCGGCTGAGCTGAACGCATCTGATTCTTCCTTCGTCTGTTCTGTGGGGATTTCTATGTCGACTTCAGGGACCTTGGCCCCTGTACCCGCAGTGATTTCTTCGTCGTCCATGAGCTCTGTCACAACATCTCAGTAAGCGGTCTGGACACAGCGAGGTGGAGAGCAGTACCGGCCCTCACTGTTCAAAGTTCGGCATGAATACCTTCCGCGGGAACCTCGATCTCTCCGCTCTTCACAATCTTGACCGCCTTGCTGGGCCGATCTTGTGCGCCCTTGGCGACATTCTGAATCTTGTCCACGATGTCGTAGCCTTCGAGAACTTCTCCGAAGACGACGTGACGGCCGTCGAGCCAGCTAGGGTTCATCAGTCACACGAACGGTGCAGACGTTCCAAGAGAGACTGCTCACCTCGTAATTGCCGTGGTGATGAAGAATTGGGAACCATTGGTGTTCTTTCCAGCGTTCGCCATGCTCAACAAGCCCTTTTTGCTGTGCTTCAACTTGAAGTTCTCGTCTTCAAACTTGTCTCCGTAGATCGACTTGCCGCCAGTACCGTCTCCTCTTGTGAAATCACCACCCTGGATCATAAAATCCTTGATGACACGATGGAAAGTCGAGCCTTCATAGCCGTAGCCCTTCTCGCCGGTGGCTAAGGCACGGAAGTTTTCGGCGGTCTACGGTGATGGAAGGTCAGACATGCAGTACGGTAAGGTAGCAGGGGACACACGTACCTTGGGTACCGTCTTTCCGTAGAGGCCCAGAACAATCCGACCCAGGGGCTCATCTCCATGCTCGATGTCAAAGAAGACCTTGTGGGTGATTTTGGGTCCTTTGGCCGCTTCCGCAGTCTGTCCCATGAAAAGGAAAGTGGCGGTCAAAATGACCATAAGCGAGATGACGACTCGCTGGATGTTAGCCATGTCGAAGAACATTGGTGTACGAATGGTGTAGGCAATGAAGAAGTTCCAGGAGAGCCTAGAGGGAGCAAGCTGCGAAGGACACCTGTTTGATGACCCCTACCAGCACAGGTCTAAGGGGTCTGGCACATGCTAAAAGCGGCGTCGCGTATGGGGTGCAGCCGCTCCCCAGCGCGCGAAATTCTTTCCATGGGACGGGATATCATACCTAGGACTGTCCAGTGTCGAAGTGATACTCAACTCTTAGTGGGCAGCGAGGAGGGCAGGAGTCATGGTGAGTTTCTGTACTGGCCAACTGTCCACGGTACCTGGGCTAACTTTGAGGAGGTCTTCATCCTAGGAGTCAATTTCCCCGAGCATCGCTTCTTGAAGGTTTGTCCGGAGCACCATGAGAAGAGCCTGAGGGTTTTCACCAGCTGACGTTATATTTGTGCAGCGTGCTCTCGAAAAGTTCTTCGGAGTCGGAGCTCACACTCGTGCTCGAATCATGTCGAAATTTTATCTACACGATACGATCAGAGTCGGAGAGCTATCCCAGAACCAGGTCCTCGATCTCACAGCCCATCTCGACTCCATGAAAATCGAGAACCATCTGCGAAGACAAATAAACCAAGATATCCAGCGACTAAGAGATACAGGCACATACAGAGGAAGACGGCATGCCATGAACCTGCCTGTCCGTGGTCAAAACACACGAAGTCAGATCAAGAATGCCCGGTTCTTCAACAGGGTGGAAAGGCATTAAGAAGTCCGGATCGGCCATTACCCATCCACTCTATCGCGGCTATTATTGCAACATCAAACAAGTTCCTGTCCGAAGCATGGCTACATGGCGGCGCTGCACCTCCATGAAATGTAGCCGACCTGAGCATTGACGGACGAGGCTATAGAAGGACAACATCCTTTACTTAGAAAGAGGCGGCTATGCGAAGTTGTCTTTCCATGGGCTGTCTGCAATGAGCAGCAGCTACTTGACGAATCTATGTCAGATCCTCCAACTTTCTCATCCGCAGTTGATGACCCTTTCTCACGTCTATAAACTGGTGGTAACAGTCATGCTGTTGCTGTGTACAAGAAGCGTCGGCGGCAACCCGCCTACCAAGACTTCTAGATTGCTGATGTATCCAAGACTGTCAGCTTCACTCTTGTATGTACCGTCGACTGGAGCTGGGAGTGTTGTAAATATCACTGCAGTATCTTCGCTATTCTGCGATATCAATTCATTCAATATCAAGTGTTGTGCCCGGCTCGGAAGGTCGTTAAAGGATAATGGAATAGAGGCAGCCGAAGGAAAGCCTGCTGGAGTGCGGGATCGCGTACCGTCTTCTGTGGTTCGCTGATAGATTGAGCGACCCGTACCAGGGTCAACTTCATCCACCGTCTGCCGTCGAGGATGAGGTTCATCAGCAAACATGATGGACGGCCCAACTCCCTCCTCGCCTGCCAACCGCGTCTCTGGCAGAGGGGAGGATGTGAAAGTTGGGGATCCGGGGCGTTTTGAACTGGAAACTTTTAGAGCTTCTGTAGACATGTGTGTGGCGGCTGAGCTGCCTGTGATGGCCGCATTGCGCTCGCGGGAGTCTTCATTCGTGCCACCCACAAGGTCCCCATGTAGAGGCTGCTTTTGAGATGACGAAGATGCTGATTCAGACGCACCTTGTTGCTTGGATTGCTTGTTTTTCTTCCTGGATCTTTTGGAACTCGCAAGGCTGCTCTTTTTCGAAGAACTTTTAGTTTTGCTTGAAGTTCTCAAATCTGCGGAATCCGTCTCGTGAAGCAGCAGCTCATCCTCGGAGGAGCTAGGTGAGGAAGCCTCATAGTCGGCTCCATCGTCGTATTCATCGTCATCGTCATCATCACTATCATCCCTCTCCTCTTCCTCTTCCTCTTCCTCACTCAAAGGGCCTGAATCTTCTGAGTCGCTAGGGTGAGAAGCATGCCGGCTAAGCATGTCGTCGTCTAAGCGTGAAGTCCTCATAGAGAGGCTGACTCCAAGGTTGGACAAATTTCCAAACGAAGACTTCCTTGTGGGTCGATTGAGGAGCTTCCGTAAACCTTCAAACCGGACAACGGAAGCTTCCCTTCTCCCTTGGAATGAAGAACTTGGCCATTCAACGTCCTCCGTCATTGAGAGCACATCAGCAGCACTTACATCGCCGGACTGGGAGTGACCGCGAAGTGTCTGGAGATCACGCCACCATGCCTCATCTTCCAACACCTTATCAGCTTGATCACGAGTTTCATCGTCCACCTCCTGGCCATTCACGATGAAATTATAAGACTTCACACTACCACAAGCTAACCAGAAGACGAGCACCTCGGCTTCAATGCGAAGATTCTCAAGCAGAGAGGTAACGCGCGACCGCTCGTCTTCCACGTCAGATTCGTACTCGACGAAAACCGCAACTCGGAGTTTGAATGCTCGCTTCCACGATTGCACCGTATGGAGAATACAGCCAAGTTGGAGAATAAGTGTATAGGTGTCAAAGTTGGTTGTGAGGACGTTGCGAGCTTCGCCGTCCGCCTCGGAGGTAATCTCAGCCGACATTTGAATCGGCCAAAGGTCGATATATTTTTTCGTAATGCTTTCTTGAGCTTTTGGCAACTCCAGCTCTCCGAAGCCAACGGCTATGGCAACATTTGTCTTGAGCTTCAATATCATATCTTCTAGCACCATCACATAGCTCTGGACATCAGTCCGTTTCTCGATATAGCAAGAATCGGTGGGAAGCTCTCCTCTCATCACGCTCTTGCTCGTCCGTCGCTTTTTCAAGGTACTGTGCTTTCTCTCGGGAGGAGGGCTGGGAACATCTACCAATGGCTGTTCTGCGCGGAATTGTTGTATATTATAGAAGCCGAAAATGACAATGTTGGGCCGCATGCCCCCGAGCCCCGCGGACAGGAAAATGTTCCTTGCTCCCCACTCGATAGAAGGCGAGATGGCGACGTTGACAAATGCTTTGATCTTGGAAAAGTCGATGAATTTGTTCCAGGCAGCCTGTTGGCGTCGAGCTTCAGGTACAGAGTCGCCAAAGTTCTGAGTGACGATGACATGTCCAATGATGAACAGCGCCCCCTTTTTCAAGGAATTGCAAAATTGAATGAGCTTGTAACCTCTTCTCGGGTCGTTCACGAACAGGAGCACCTGAGGGCGCCAAAATTTGACATGCTCGGACTTCAAGCGCAACAAATACTTTCTCACCTGATGGTAGATGAGTACTTCGGAAATTGAGCCCCAGGGTTTTGGTATTGTGGTATAATGGATTATCACAATCAGGACCAGGAGGATGGCGATCGACCCTGAAGCAGAGAGACCATCGACAAAAAACATGCTGGCAACGCACAGGACAGCGCCTGCTGCAGCCGTCCACCAGCTGAAGTAGTGGAAAGAGGGTCGGAAGTTTGGAGCCGAACCAATTCTTAGGAGGAAGGTGGCAACATTAAGAGCAAAGAATGTCCTGAAAGCGGTCAGCCGTGGTTCAGAATGATGTGCAGAAAACTCACATCAGATAAGTCATGGTGATTAAGGATGCAATCCTGTTGATATCGAGGAGAAGTGTAAGTTGTGCCACTAGAAAGGTGACACAAATAGCAAGGACAGGTTCGTCTGACTTCCGACTCCCCTGACCAAAGATCGCAAGGCCTGGAAAGACACTGTCACGAGCAATGGCCTGAAGTTGTTTGGCTGGACCGATGATGCCCATCAGGACGCTGAAAAAGGTTGTCGCAATTTCCCCCACCAGAATCAGGGAACCGGATACGTTCGTGTCTTGGACCACGTTCACATTCCTGTAAAATGATTCTCGCGTGACACTTGCTGCCAATGCAATGATGACTGAGGTGTACGAGACGAATGTCAGAGCAAGTCCGGCTAAGGTGCCGCGTGGAATAGACTTGCTGGGGTTCTTCAAATCACCGGACATGCTGGCTCCAGCTAGTATGCCTCCTGTAGCAGGGAAGAGAATGCCGAAGAGGTCCTGGTAGTTCTCCTTGCCATGTAGCTGACTTCCTGCAGCGTCTTTGGTGAACTTCGGCAGTAGATTTTCTTTCAGAGTCTCGATGCTGAATCCGGTAAAGTGGGTAAAGTGATTCTTGCCATAGAATGGTTTCACTATGACGGCCGATAGTGGGATGCTGAATGTGGCCAGCAAGAGAACAAACAGAAGGGCATTGCTTGCACGAGCGAATATGGAGCTCCCTGCAAGGCAAATGGCGACGCAAATCACCACAACCGCCGTGCTGAACAGGTACTGCCACCAAGGACCCTCAGGAATAGTATTTGTCCAATCTCCAGATTTGGAACCAAAGACATAATAAAGACAGTCGATGAGACCGGCCGCATTCATGCCAGTATTGAACACGAATCCCAGGTAGGAGACGAGTCCAATGGCTCCACCAAACTCGGGGCCCAAGGATCTTGAGATCAAGTAGTAAGCACCACCGCCACGAACAATACCGTTGGAGGCCACCGCAGAGATGGACATGGTCGTCAGGAGATTGATCAGGTAAGCCACGGTCAACATGCCCAGCATACCGACGACTCCGCTTTGGCCGAGGATGAAACCAAATCGGATGAACATGAGGATGCTCAGTACATTCAGACTTGTAGGGACAAACACTCCCGAGAATGTGCCCAGTTTGTCTGTCCCACCATTCGTCCTTGGAGCCACCGGGACTTGGTTGAATGTGAAATTCTCGGGTTTGGTGCTTGCGGAATGCATCGATCCAGTCAAGGTATCATGGGGCATAGAGGCTGCGAAATCGGCTTGCCCATTGGCCTGATCACGTTCTGGCACGTTGTGAACATGACTGAATGTCCCATATGCGCCAGTCGACGAGGCTGTCTGGGGACGGGAGACAGAGGGACTAGAGACCCCGGACGGAATGGGTATTGGCCTTGAAGAGTCGGGGACAGCGTCACCATGCTCGTGCGATGCTTGATTTTGTGAGTCTAACAAAGCCGGAAACGAGGACCTTCGCAACAGCTGAGCAGCGTCATCAGTGGCAGTCCTTGTCGAGAATGTCGGACGACTTCGTGGGAGAGTGCCTCGTCCCAGCATCGGCCATTCCTTTCCTCCTGTGCCAGCCATGATTCCTGTAGAAGCCTCTTTGGAAACGCCAGTCCATCATCAATACATCACTCGACGGCTGAGAAGATCGTTGAGCATGTTGAGCATGACGAGACCGGCGGATGAGGTATGGTCGTTCAGTGATTCGATGCCGGCGTTTGCAATTGAGATCTACACGCGGAGTCTTATCGATGTCTGTATCGCGTGGAGACAGGGAGATGCAGTGGCTTGAGCCCTTTCGTGACGGCCCGTCGACGGTGCTACGAGGTGGTCGTCGCCTTACAAGGTGTTGGGGCCTCGGGTGGAATTTATTACGAGATGTGACGTGTGGAATGAGACGAGGCAACTTGAGGGACTCAAACTCTGGGATGAAATTTTCTGGTCTGTCCAAGGCGATTGGGCGCGTTCGCCGCGAACTTTGGCTGTGTGGCGTCCGAGAGACTTGCGAGTCTGAAGTGTCCGTCTCGTTGTACGAGTTCACTTGTCACTTGTCGCCAGGTAAGGGTACCTAGGTACAGGTAGGTAGGAGGCCGAGGCAGTACATCTGTAGTAGGTAGAGGAGTCTTCGCGTGACAGGACTCTGCTGAGACATCCCACGTCCCTGGTCTCGCATTCTGCGCGCATGGCTCCATGTGGTGCAAACAATCGAGCACTGGTAATTGTAAGCGGCGAAGCCCGAGCCACCGTCGCCAATGACCTCGCCGACTTTCTTTGTCCATCTCGCTCGTACTCTGCACTCCATATCCCATACTTTGCGGGCCACTGTACTGCGCTTTGGTATTCCTTATTCTATCTCACTCGTTTATATGCCGCATCTACTCGCACCCAGCCTGACCGTCTGCTGCATCTCTGCTCCTTGATCTATGCCTCTCATACCGCTGGCCTACCATCTCTTGTGAATATGGGCTCGCCAACACCCAAACCTCTAGACATCCGGGCTCGACGTAGCCCTTCTACCACATCTGCCGCAGCCTCTCCCAATCTCTCTACGCACTCCAGACATGCCTCGATGGCCCGGCTCTCCTCTCCTGTCCCGTCTCATCGTCTCAATACTCCGCCAGTTGGCCAGGTTCCGACCCCCCAGCAGATGGCTGCCGACAAGCTTGACAACGCTTTGCCCAAGCTCGACAATGCCGGCTCGTTTCCTGGTCCCGGACAGTCTGCACTCTCGACCGCACTAGCGTCTTCTCTTCAAACACCTCCTCGCATTCAGACACCCCACATTGACGAGCAACCTCCGAGACCATCTGGATCTGGCGCGGCCGCGGCGTCGGGCAGCCATGACCGAGTACCGAGAAGTAATTATGGTTCGTTCATCGACGGAAGGGATATGGCTGGGAGCCCGGCTCCGACCGAAAATGCAGAAGTGGTGAAGAGGCATCTTGTGCAGCCAGATCAAGGTTCGAACAGGTACAAGGGCTCTCTACGTTTGGATCTGAATGAGCCGGGAGCGGGCTTGGACGAGGAAGAATTCTCTAGTCTGCGGCTACAAGGTGGCGATATTACACGGGCGGTCTACCGATGGGCTGAAGAACAAGAAGACAGTCAACTTGGTCGTGGAAAGAGGAGCAAGAGTTTCAGCTACGCCAGGCCGGAGCCCGAGAGTGAAATATTGGATATTCAAAATATCAAAGTACCCGGCGGGTTCCGCAGACACTTTCTCCGCCAGGCGGCCGAGAGCCCTGAGTCTTCAAATCGGGTCATGGACGTTGACGGTTCGGCGGACGATCGGGGCAGAACCCAAGCAAATGGGAAATCCAAGGCCAAACCCCAGCTATTTACCAACAACTTTCTCGAATTTCTCACCCTGTATGGACATTTCGCCGGTGAAGAACTCGAGGAGGACGACGAAGTATTGGAACCTGACGAATACTTTTCTTCTGATGCTTGGGAGGAGGGCAGCGATCGAGAACCTGGCGAGGACAGCGCTTTGCTTACCCCTGGAACCCCTGGCCGGCGGAGGAGGAAACATAAAGAACGAAAGACAGGAGGCACCAACAGCAGCTTCAACGCTGCATTGCTCCTGTTGAAGTCCTTCGTCGGCACAGGAGTTCTCTTCCTTCCCCGAGCCTTTCTCAATGGTGGCATGTTATTCTCGTCCCTAGTCTTGCTGGGAGTTGCACTCCTCAGCTTTCACTGTTTCATTCTTCTGGTCAACACGCGCAACGTTGTTGAAGCGTCTTTTGGCGACATCGGAGGTGTGTTGTATGGCAAATGGATGAGAGCGTTGATTTTGTTTTCTATTGTCATCAGTCAGCTCGGCTTTGTGTCGGCCTACACGGTCTTCACGTCTGAAAACTTGCAGGCTTTTGTCCTGGCAGTCTCGAAGTGCAAAAGCTTCATCGACATCAAGTTCATGATCCTCATGCAACTGATCATCTTCCTCCCCTTCAGCTTGATTCGGGAGATTGGCAAGCTCGGCTTCACAGCTCTCATCGCCGACGCATTTATTCTGCTGGGACTGGTTTACTTGTATTACTACGACATTGCAACCATTGTCTTCAACCGCGGCGTCTCCGACATCACCCAGTTCAATCCTTCCACCTGGACCCTGTTTATCGGGACAGCGATCTTCACCTTTGAAGGGGTTGGGCTCATCATCCCGATCCAGGAATCGATGAAGAAGCCGCACAAGTTCCCCGAAGTTCTTGGGATCGTCATGGTCATCATCACGGTCCTCTTCACCTCGATCGGCGCGCTGTCGTATGCTGCGTACGGATCAAAGACCAAGACGGTCGTCATCCTCAACCTGCCTCAGGACAGCAAGATGGTGAACGTGGTGCAGTTCCTGTACTCGCTCGCCATCCTGCTCAGCACGCCGCTCCAGCTCTTCCCGGCCATCCGTATCATGGAAAACGAGCTGTTCACGCGGTCGGGCAAGTACAATCCGTACATCAAGTGGCAGAAGAACATTTTCCGCTTCTTCCTCGTCTGCGTCTGCTCGCTGGTCGCCTGGGGCGGGGCGGGCGACTTGGACAAATTCGTCGCGCTCGTCGGCAGCTTTGCCTGCATCCCGCTCGTCTACATATACCCTCCCATGCTCCATCTGAAGGCCGTGGCCAAGCGCCCGTGGCAACGGGGGCTGGATTACGCCGTTTGCATTTTCGGGGTTGCCGGCTGCGTCTATACCACTGTACTCACCGTACAGCAGTGGGCAGGTGGTGGGGGTTCAGCCAAAACACCCGGGTATTGTGATTCTTGAACCCACCCGAAGGAGGGGGTGGGGGAGACTCAGGAGCAGGACAAGCCCAGGACAGGAGAAGATATAAGTATTATTATTAATTATTTTTTCTTTGACCGAGAATAAGAATGAGAGTAAGAATCAACCAGAGGGAGAAAGTTAGAAGAAGAAGAAGAAGAAAACCTCATCGGCGCTCTTTGTGTAAACGATATACCCAAGCTGTGATTGATGTATAGAGAATAAATACCAATAACGGTGCGATTTAACTTGTTCTGGCACCTCCATACGCACACATACCTGTAGATACCTGTAGGATGTGTACCTGCCTGCCTATTCCGTACGCTGGTTAGCTGATCATGTGTACGTACGTACATCGTGGACGCCTTAGGTGTCGGGTACTAATTTACTGTTTTAATGTGTACCTAGAGGAGGCAGGAGGAGGAGGAGGAGGAGGAGGTACTTTTTGCTTTTACACGGAGCGCACCCCTGACAACGCAAGTACTCGGGGTCCATGTTCACCGCAGGCGAACAGCCTCACTCGTACAGTAAGTAGTAAGTAAGAAGTTCAGCAGCATTCCGTGCTCAAGACATGGAGGTCTTCTCAGGCAGGTTGAGATGTAAGATATATATATAGAGGTACATATTGGGTGCAATGTATACAAATAACATGGGCACGAACTAAGCCCTCAAAATGACCTGCTGGAGCGGCGATTCGAAATTGATTGATTTAATTGTCCGAAAGAAGCATAGGGAACAACTGCGGTGCGCCGGCCCCTGCCGACTTTGCTTTCTTTCTGTTGTTGTTGTTCTTGCCCCCGTCAGTCGAAGGTGGAGGTTGTGCAGCGGCAGGGGCAGGAGGAAGACATCCATAAGTCCAGTCGGCGCCGACCCGGGCGTGGCCAAAGGTCCGCTTCGACTCGTCCACCTCCATCATGTCAAGTGCCACCTTCATCCGCTCCGGCATGAACGGCTGCAGCAGGATTGCGACGATGCGGATCGCCTCGGCGCTCATGTACACGCCGTAATGCGCCAGCTGTCGCTCCCCGGGGTCGGTCGTGTTCATGCGTCCCCATAGTGCGGCGTTGTGGAAGAACTTGTTCGTGGTCCTGATCAGCTCGACGATGTGGTGCGCCGCGGTTCGAGGGTTTGGCTCTTTCATCGCTCTGTCTGTCCGTTCTTGTATCACTGTTAACTGCTTACGTAGGCCCTGAATACTTTCGTGCAACGCTTCCAGGTCTGCATTTACATTCGCGTTTGCGTTGTTGGGATCGCTGCTAGGAGTAGCAGTAGTAGCGGCAGTCGTGGTGGTGGTAGCCGTGTCGTCGTCATTGCCATTGCCGTTGGACAGGAATTCTGTTGTTGATGTTGATGATGATAATGATGATAATGATGATAATGATGATGATGAAAAGATGCTGCTGGTGTCGCTGTTGTTCGCTTCTTGTGCAACCAGTCTGACGGATTCTCGAACATTGAATTGTTTGCTCTTAAACACCCGCTGCAGCAAATTTCCAAATCCGTCTTTCAGAACATGGTTATATGTCCCCGCGACTCGCGAATTCTCGTACATGGCATCGTCGACTATGCCGCCGTGGTACGCCATGTAGAATCGAATCGTGTCAACGCCGTACCTGTCCATGGCGAGAAACGGATTCACGCCGTTTCCCGATGATTTGGACATTTTCTCGTTGTTCATGGTCCAATGGGCGTGCGACAGGAACTTGTCGGTCACGGGAAGCTTCAGGGCCATCAGGAATGCAGGCCAGTAGATGGTGTGGAATCGAATAATGTCCTTGCCAATCACCTGGCAGTCCGGCGGCCATATCGAATCGGCCTTGTTGAACCTGCCGACCGGGTAGCCCGTCATGGTCAGGTAGTTCAGGAGGGCGTCTAGCCAGACGTAGATTGTCTGGCTGTCATCGCCTGGCACGCGAATGCCCCAAGACAGCCGAGACGAGGGTCTCGATATGGAGAGGTCGGTGAGTCCATTCTCGATCTCATTCTTCACGAACGCCATGCGTTGCTTTGGGACGATCGCGGTCGGATTCTTCGTGTAGTGCTCGAGCAGGGGTTCTCGAAACGCGGACAGTCTGAAGTGGTAGTTTGTCTCCGAAGTCCATTCGACCTCTTTGCCGGTCTCGATCGACACGATCTTGGTGTCGCCGGTCGACGGGTCGAGGATCCTCTGGACCTGCGTTTCGGGATAAAAGGTCTCGTCGCTCACGCAGTACCAGCCCTCGTGACTCGCCTCGTAGATGTAGCCCCCATGGTTGAGCTCGTTCCAGACGTACTCGACCACCTCTTTATGATCCGCGTCCGTGGTCCGGATAAACCGGTCGTAGCTGATGTTGGCGGCGTCGCAGAGTGCCTTGAACTGCTCTGCGTGACGATCGCAGAAGAGCTTCACGTCCGTGTTCGCCCTTTGCGCCGCTTTCTGTATCTTCATGCCATGTTCATCAGTGCCCGTCAGGAGCGTGGCTTTTTCGTCGCCGCACAGTTTCGCCCATCGTTTTAGTACGTCGGTGAGGACGAGAGTGTACAAGTGGCCGACGTGAGGCGCTATGGACAAGAATGTTTGGTTAGCTCTAGTATAGTACGACCAAGAGCAAGAGCTCGAGAGTTCTCCTGGGCGGCGGTGCGGTGCTTACCTGAATTGACGTAGAAGATGGGCGAAGTCACATAGTATGGCTTTTTCCTCCTCTCGGTGCTGCTGTCCGACAGAGGCTCAAGCTCAGAGGCTGTTGCGAAAGCGCGTCGCGGGAATGATGACCGATTCACCGCGAACGAGGATTGGTATTTGCACCGTGCAGAAGCTCGACATTGGAGGAAGAAACTCCGAGCACGGTGTTCAAGGGCGAGCATAGTTCTGCCGTTGTCCAATAGTGCCAATATTGACAATATCAGTCCGCAGTCTCCATACAGGGTGCTTGAGTGGTTTTCGTTTCTTGTGAGCTCCAGAAAAGAAAATATTGCCCCGCTTGGGCTTCGGGGATCGAGCTGCAAGGCTGGTGAGGCTGAGGCTGAGGCTGAGGCTGCTCGACAGTCCAGGAATTCTGCGTACAAGGCTGAGTCTCTCTCGCACACTCGGCCAACTGGCAAGGCCGCTCAAATCCTCACGGTTATCCTTACTCCCTACGAAGTTCTACTGAAGGCAATACCAATTCAAGTATAATACTTTGATTCCGATCAGCCCCTACAAGTGCAATTCATCGAAATCTCTCATATAAGAGTGACCGCAGACTCCATAACCATCAATCCGTCTGTGTTTGGATCTGCATATTCGCCTTGACTCGTTCAACAAGCTGAACCCTCGTCATGTTCTTCGTATCTGGCTCCAAATTCCGCTGGCAGACAGTAAGGTAAGAAGGGTATGCCTTGAGGCGGGAGTGGTCGTAGCGATGACTGTCTAGCTGAGACTTACCAGCTTCAACCAACGTCTGAGCTCGGTCTCTGTCCAGTACTCTGGATCTAAAAAGTCCACAAGTGTGTTTGTTAGTTATCTTGTCTTGTCTATTCTGTGTAAAGGAAGACTGTGTCGCTGTACATCTGCACCACACTCTTTGCTAGTTCAGGTAGGCATGTACTGGACCAGGTACATAGGGTGCTTGGAACACTGAAGGGTAAACAAACGGACCGCCTTTAGGATCTCGCTCGGCAGGGAACAATTCACCACCCCATAGATTCCACAGGGATGCGATGGTGACGAGGCCAGCGAAGCCTGCAAATAGTTGGTACAAGTCAGGCATGGCGCAAAGAAAATGGTTGGAACGTCAACAGAAGTATTGAGACGCCAGTAGTATTGAGCTATCGGAAGAATGGTGGTCGTGGGGGTGGCGGTTGAGGAGTAAACATACCAAAGAACAATCGCTAGGAGAAAGGACAAAAGAGTCAGTATCCGTATGTATAAATAGATGCTAAACTGGACCGAAATAACAAGTTGAAGGAAAAGGGGTTACCGAGTAGGTGAGTTGACTCACGCGAGACTGTAAAGCCCGATCTACAGCAGTGGGCATGTTATCGTGTCCTTGTCTGTAGAGTGAGAGGGTGGTGTTGGTGATGGATTCAGGGCCTGAAGACCAGTTGGGTACAGAGAACGGAACAGATATACCAGATATGTACTACAATACTGCAGTTATAGTCGTACAAGGGCTGAGAAGAAAAAGAGGTTGCCTGGTTGATGTCCACAATTCAATACTCGGGGAGGAGGCGAATAAAATCAGTATTCATTGGCTCCACGTCGTAAATGTATGTCTACTACAACCACAACAACACGTCACATGCCGTTTGAGATCGTAGAGAAGAGACACAGTGTCAGCAACTTTGTCTAGACAGGTCGTTGATTTCGATGATTGAGAGACTGTTTCTATCTCGTCTAATCTCGTACCTCAACTTTCCCCGTGGCCACGACCACAGTGAGCATGCGCATCGGCATGGGCCATCACCATTCCAGCCGATCATCACAAATAAGTTTCACATCGTACCGCTCATTCCTTCCCCAGACCTTGGTGCCGGAGTTGCAATCAGCCACGATCCTCCGTAGATCCGACACCATGCCACCTGGTCCACTCGCAAAAACCGATGTGGATCCGCGAACCGTCGTCCCTACAAAGTCGCGCACAAGGAAATCGAGATCGGGATGCCTTGACGCTGCACTTTCCTCCTCGAACGCGTGCTGGAGAGAAAGTTCCAGTGCGCTTGACTTTTCCGATGAGATTACACTTGAGGACATGCCTGCAGCGCCTTTCGTAGGTGGTTCTGAAGTTTCACCATCAGCTTTGTTCTGACCAGTCTCTCTGGTGACATGAATGCGAATCTTCAGATGGTGACTTCGCCGCGCTTCTTGCAAGGCTTTCAGCTCGGCCTGAATCCACGCCAAATCGTCGTTCCTTCGGATAGCCCAGATGAATTCGATATTTCGATCGGGCCGGGGAGGCTGCCGGATGAGATTGAACAGTACCGGTAAGACAAAAGTCACGCCTGTCCCACCTGCCACGCAGAGAACGTTCGTGTCTGGCAGCAAATGTCTGATGATGGAGCCGCCATAAGGACCTGTCAATATCACTGGCGTGGTCGAGGCAGCCTTCTGTCCCTCGACGGCGCATGCCTCCTTAGCCGCAGAAAGATCTGTGAGAGTTCTGGTTGCGCCCTTTTTAGCCCTGATGATATATGAGTGCTCCTGATGCCCGTAATTGTCGCGGGCTTCGCCGAAGGGCGTAAATGGGTGCGCCTGCCATATGCTCACTTCAGGGAAGCAAAGGTAGAAATGCGCACCGACTCCCCAGGCGTTCTGAGGATGAGTGAAGTCGAGCCGTAGCACAGCGCCGTTGACGTCGTCCGGAAAGCAAGATATATGAGCCTTGGCACTTCTAAATCCCATTCTGCCACCGTCCAGATAGTTGTAGTGCAGCAGACCTGTCCTGGCCAGTCGTATGCCCCGATCGATGAGCCATACGACGAGGGAAGATATGAGGTAACAGTTGAGTTTCGACCAGTGTCCCCAGCAGGCTCCGACAAACAGCATGGCGACCACGTAATGCGACTTGCGAAAGAACTCATAGCCGGTCTTTCGAATGGCCCATGGGGTGCTTAAAATGACGATGACAGTCAACAAAAACATCGCAATCACGCCCCAGATCATGTATCGTTGCTGGATCCATTCAAGGCCCGTCTCCGGTTGCGGTTGATACAGTCTCATCTCCACAACACACCAACCGATCGTATGGATTGCTGACTGCACGTATACGATGTAACCGAGCCAGCGGTGTAAGAAGTTGAAGTGTTGGTATGGAATACCAGTCGTCAGAGAAAGAAGAGATTCCCGCGAAGACAGCAATACTGAAAATGGTATCAAGGCATACGCGAGCACGCCCACGCGATCTGCAAACGGACCCAAACCAGTGCGCGTGTTGTAAACTCCAGGCATCTTCTTCACGGGGGTAACCCACTTCTTGTAGGTGATGCCGACGAATGTCCATATGGTCAGATACCCGGTCAACATGACCAAGACCAGGACCTGAAGGCGGGTGACTCGTCCAAACAACGCCCCAAGGCAGTCGGAGAGTAGATATTGGCGACCGAACGAGGCTACGGTCCTCTGAATGCGACGTATCGTATTGGGCGACTTTTGCGACGTAGACGAGAGGCGCCGCGCTACACCCCAAACAAAGAAGATGCCCAAAATGCTTGCCCAAAGAATACCGCAGTAGAGCATACCCAAGTCATGCGAGTGATACACACTGTCCAGATAGCTGCACGAGCCGGCATCATTGGTACAAGGAATGGCTCTGTCTGCATAACCCCAGTGGTGTTGAAGGGATTTCGCATCGCTCATATTCTGGATATGTCGCTGGTCCAACATGATTGCTCTTGAAGGAAGAGGCACTCGAATTCCTCAGACGACGCGATGAACTTCAAGAAGAAAATGTGACGGTAGCAACAAAGTCCAGTAGAGTGAAAGCGATATGAAGACATCTGGTGATATGGGACACTGGGACTTCACGAAGCGCCAACATCTTCTTGTCGGCCCAACGATCTGCTCCCTCGAGAGGTACTGAAAACGTGCTCGAACATGCTCGATCCCTGGGGCTTGATGTCAGATATGCTTGGTTTTGGAACTTGATATGCATGTGCTGGCCCAAAGACTTCAAAGCCGCAATGCATGGCACAAGGCTTGAGTTGCAAGTAGAGTTGCCAAGCCCTTTGAGCATATTTCTGAGCTGGTTGAGCACGTTTTTCCTGCACTGCAAATCCACCAAACCCTCGTTGAGAATGGATAGACTCTCCCTCAAAGCGAATGGCATCGCAGAGAGCGCTTCGCCCACAACCCACAAAGTTGAACCTTGTGGTTGTTGACTGTCAAGCCATAGAACCCGACAAGGTATGGTTCATGGTACCCCTATCAAGCCATCACACCACGGGCATGAAGCTCAAATGATTGACTCAAAGGATTCCCACCGGCCAGGTGTCATAGGCACCGATGTGAATAAATACCTGGGTGATCGTCCACCGTGCTAGATATCTTCATCTTGGTGGAGCGTAGTAGACCGTTCCCAATTTCTCGAACATCAGTCCTTCCACGAGCCTGACCATCTCACACAAACCCACGACTCAGAAATGGGCAGCTCGATGACCATGACCATGACCAGCATGGGTGACATGCCCATGTCAACCGCTACAGGAACCGCATCAGCGGCAGCAGCCACATCCACCGCGATGAGCTCAATGAGCATGGGCGGCACCTGTAAAATCAATGTGAGCCATCTCCTCTTTGCAACCAAAAAAAAGCCCAAGACTGAGAATAGTGCCTTAGATGCTTTGGAATTGGTACACGATAGATGCATGTTAGTAGTCATTTCGACGCCGCCAGCAGACAAGCGATCTAACATGATTCAGGCTTCCTCTCGAGCAGCTGGCACATCACAAGCAAGGGAATGTTTGCAGCATCGTGCATCGGCGTAGTGTTCCTCGTCATCAGTCTGGAACTCCTGCGAAGGATTAGTAAGGAATACGATATGTCCATTTTGCGTCAGTTCCAGCAAAACACGGCCTCTCAAGAGCTCGCCAACAAAAGTCGCAGCACGCCAGAAGGCTGTCCCTCGCAGCCGAGAGTCGTCGTCTTTCGGCCGTCTCCCATCCAGCAGCTTATCCGGGCAGTGCTGCACGCAGTCACCTTTGGAGTCGCCTATATCATCATGTTGCTTGCCATGTACTACAATGGGTACATCATCATCTGCATCATCGTTGGTGCCGGACTGGGGAAGTTTCTCTGTGATTGGGCTCCGCAGAAGATACCCGTCGGCACTGCTTTTGAGCAGCAGGGAGATGCCGCAGAAGAAGGTCCGACCATGTGTTGTGGATGAGACAGGCCCAACTTCGTACGGAGGAGGTCAAAGTGGCTGGGTTGAAGGAAAGGAAAACAACGAAAGAACTCTTCAGTCGTTAGACCGTAGCGGTTCGACAATTCCAAGACACACGGTAGTACGAATACTTTTCCATCGCTCAGTGACCCCTGAGCGCCGGAGTCTGTATTTCTAAGCCTCTCCGTAGTTACGTGGCATGTTGGATGTCTTCAATCGCAATCTTGATAATTGGGTATCTCATTCTGTAGTTTGTGGCTCATGATGGTCGTAATATCTGAGTCTCGCTAGCAAGCAATTAATATAATATACATAACAAAAGGGTGAAAAATATAGAAAGGTGTCTTTCCAAAGGTCAACCACGACGGGAGACTAGTTGGCACTGTTTCGAATGCAGAATTCCACAATCAACCTTTGCAAATCCATCAATTTGTATGGCTTTGTCATAAATCCTTCCATCCCAGTGCGCGTGGCTCGGTTGATGGCTTCATCCGTGACGTCGGCGCTGACTGCAAGCACGATTGGTGCGTTTGTCGCGTCGATTTTCGAGGGATCTGGGTTTTGAAACATGGCCAAGATGTGCTCAGTAGCCTCATAACCGTCCATTTCTGGCATCCACAAATCCATCAAGATGACATCGACGCTCTTCTTTTTATGGTTCGTGGCCGGCCGACCCTTTTTGGCCGAGTCATACAATTCTCTCATGATTCTAACTGCCTCCTTACCATCGTATGCTTCGTGGACATCTTTGTATCCCAATTTGCCAAGCATATTGACCAGAAGTTTCCTGTTGATCTTGTTGTCCTCGGCGACTAGGAATGTAAGCGGATGCTTCTGGGCAAGGTTTCGGTCATAGGATTCGGTTCGGACGGTTAAGCGGGTCCGCGCGGACTTCAGGCGAGGGCTTGTACCAGCGGCGCTGTGGTCGGTAAACTTGGGTACTGGCATTAGCGTGAAGCCGTTAGAGGCGTCGGGAGACTTTGATTGTTCATTCACATGCTCTGACTGCCGGGTGCAGCAGTGGTCTGGGGCTGACAGAACCGTGGCTGAACGAGACTGGCCTTTGATCAACTCTGGAGTCTTGCTTCTTGGTGTACTGACTCGACTGCTGGAATCACCTGGTTCCAGAGGTATCTTGATCTCGAATTCAGAGCCGCGAAAGGGTCCTGACACTTCCGACCTGACAAGAGTGATGTCTCCGCCAAGACGTCTGGCCAGTCCTTTGGCGACCAAGAGCCCAAGTCCCAATCCTTCTTTTGATCGAGTCAAAGAATCATCTTCTCGAGAGAAAGGTTTGAAGAGCTCCGGTTGAAAGTCCTTCGGAATGCCGTCACCGGTGTCCTTGACCGTTATGGATAGATAGCGTAGGTTGTTCGACAATCGTACTGAAATTGTGATGAAACCTTCTTCAGTAAACTTTACCGCGTTGAGAAAGACGGCAGACACAAGTTTCGCCAGGTCCCTTTCGTCTGCGAGCACGGTCTCTGGTACATCGTCTGCAACCGTCCACTCTATCATTTTCTGCGAGACTCGGCCGTTGGAATATCGCGATCTGACAGTAATTCTCTCGCCATTGTCTATTGGCTCTCCAATGGCAGAATCGGGTCGACCGCCAACCCTGAGAGATTCATGTATTACCAGAGGAACTAAGTCGCGTATCTTGCAGTTTTTGAGTCCAGGAGTCGGGAATGCATCACTGTCCATGGATATTTTAGTACACGGCGTGTTAAGGTCGCTAGGTGTGACGGTGTCAGGCACAGGGGTGAAGATGTTTGCCACGCGGTCATCGGAGGAGGCGGTATAGGGTGTTGTGGAATGAGCAGGGTGTGAGGTTACGCTCCTGGGGGAAACGTCCATGTGAGATGAACGACTCAATTGCCGAATCTTCGAGGTGTTCCCAAAATGCCACGCTATCGGGCTACTGCGCCGGCGCTTGTATGAGTGGTTCACATGGATGTCGCTGCCTTCTATCAGCCGGGCAGGTTTGTAGTCGAAATAACCTCCGCCACCGCTAGTAGCTGCCGCGGGAGGATCATTGTCGTTCAACGGGGTGTCTGGGATCTCCATGTTCATATCATATGCATGGACCACATTGTCGGCGGCTTCCACAGCTCGTTTCGAACTGTCTTGGACTGTCTCGATGTTCTCCTTCAAGGACTGGAAAACACGACGAATGTCGGGACTCGAGCAGCCTTCTATCTGCTCTTGAACAGTTGCGTGCATGACATCGAGCATTCCCACCACGCCTTGCATTGGCGTTCTCAATTCATGAGACATGCTCTTGGCAAAGGGTTTCAGAGACTGTGTTTTGGCCATGACCGCCTCTCGTGGGATAACCTGATTCGGTCGTGGTGTGTTTGTGCACTGAGACTTGGCAAACCCTTCGCCAGCCACCAGGCGCTGGGTGATTAGGTCTTCTAAAGAATGGAGAAGAAGCTCAATGTAGCTCCATGAATTCTCGCGTTTGTCGAGACCCTCCTGCGACCACATGAGGCCGAAATGGGCGAAACACTTGCCATCGGCAAACAGTGGCACCCCCATGTATCCTTCGGCAGGAAAGGGAAATGCATTGGGGTTATGTGTAATAAAGGACGTCATGTGCTCCGGGATGAGGAAGACCTTGTCGTGCTTCATATGGCCACAAGGAGCACCCCATGCCAGGTATTTGTAGTCTCGATGCAGGGCGGTCTGGCGGCCGCCGTCGTTGTAGTAGTAGGCGACACCTAAGAGGCACGAGCCGGGTTCACCCAACGGCGGCATCTCCACGGCCGAATTCTGGTCGTCTGTCAAGATGCGTTTGGCGACAAAGCCGTATTGAGCCTGGCTGATGTCGGTCATTCCCTCCATCAGTCTTCTCCAGAAGGTCTCGGTGTCTGCAGCCCTCAACTCCTTTTTCAGGGCCACCAGTTTCTCCGCGGCATTACTCTCAGCGGGAGCAAAATGCGTGGAGAGGTTCTCGACGAAGCCCGCGTCTCCGTGGTGCAAGGGCACACCGGGTTCGACACTGGGAAGGCATAGCGACTGGCGCTCCAGGATTGGAACCGAGAGCTTGTCGCCGACAGGTTTGTCCATTACCAAAATATCTGCGGTCCTCCTCCTGACTCTTGAAATGGTGTGGGATGAATTGTACCATGTGAGGGCGGGTCATTCGCGTGGCATGAAGTTTCGTTGTTCGGTGCGGTGTCGCTGCGCTGGATCTTGCTGGATTGGAGCGTCCGGCACCGACAAAAGCATCCCTAACAATACGTTCTGGTGGCGAGAAGTGGTTGTGCAGGAACCCGCGAAAGCAATATCGGCTGCCGGCTGGAAGATGAGGATGTTCAGGGTACGATTCTGAGTGGCGGCGAGAGAGTAGTGGGTGGATGCTGGATTTGAGAGGAGAGTGAGTGAGAGGTGCGGAAAGTGAACGGTGGCTCTGCGGTTGGCGATTGGCGGGAAGATGGCGACTTGGACAGGGTCTCTTTTCGGCTACAAGAAGCGAAGACACGGTGAAGGCTGCGTGTGGCAGGCCATGGAGTCCGTGTCGCACAATCAATGCAGATGGACGAGGAGATTGACGTTTAGGCCGGTCAGATGTGAGGAGGGTAACTAAAAGTAGAGAAAGACGCTTTGGAGGGGGGAGGGGGGAAGAGACTTTGCTGGAGGCGGATGAAGGCTAAGTTAGTGAGGCTCACTAGGCCGGTGGGCAGCGCAGGGGCGGATTTGGCGGATTTGGGCCTCTACAACGACCGCACTGTACGGAGCCTCTGGCTAAGGGGAGCCCGGCGAACACGAACATTGTACAATAGGCTTCCCCAGGTGCCCGGAGGTGCTCGGTACGTAAAAGCATCCGCCATGCACTGTGACTACAGGGATCTGGGACAAACGTGCTCTCGGCCTCAGCATCGGACACGAGTTAGAAATCCCATCCCCATGAAGCCTTGCGGTGCTCGTACTGTACGAATTAGGCGTCTGTGATCAGGAGTGGATGGCAGGAGTCAGCTAGCCGTGGCTTTCTCAATCTAGTTCTGTGGCGGAAGCATTGCAGCATGTTATTCGCATGAGCGGGTTAGTCAGATTGGTTTATTCAAGAGTAGATGTTCAATGTTGTACTCGGAACGGACTGCTGGAGAGTGGAAGGACGGTACGGATAAAGCTTCCTTGTGTCTGAGCACAAAGTTCTGACTGCAGGATCTGCATTTCTTAGGGGTACAACAGCTCACTGCTCATACCTACAATCGACGTTAACGGCCCAAGATACCGTGCTGTATGTACCTACGGAGTATATGCTCGAGTCTCTCCAGTCCACCACCTCCTCGCAACTGCAGACCTGCAGGGCCACCCGAGGTTCCTCGTCGAACTTGTGCAAGTTTTTGTGTTTTATTGCATGGCTCCGTAGCGTCTTGGTGCGATGGTTTTTCGATCAATCTTAAGTGTCGATCACACGTTCTAGACCGTCGTCGAGCAGCCTGGGGCCATTGGGCATGCGGCGCTAGGGCCGGTTCCGACGCCACCGACATCATCGAATGACGAAGCCTCTCGGCTAAGACGGCAATTCCTCATCGCAGCCGCCAGATCGAGACAAAGTCTCCGAGTGCACATTATTGTGGGAATTTATTGCTCGATGCATGGGCCCTTCCGCATCCAAATCTCCTATTGTGCAAGTGCGAGAGTCCTGTACTGTACATACTGTACAAATGCACGCTATCAGATTCCACCTAGCTTGGACCGGTTCCGGAATCACTTCTGCGCACCAGCCCCGAACTGGTAGAACTGCCGGAGTGGAATTACAATCCCGTCCGGTCACGTGCTGGCAAGTAAAATCGGATTTGCCGTTAGTGTTCAACAAGTCTTCTATTGTACAGTAGAATTTTAAAATGTGCATCGTGCTTCCGCAGGAGTGTCCGCAATCGCCTACAACGGATGGCCGTTTGGGTCGATAGAACAATGCGCTGTAGGAGTGTGAAAGGGGGTTCCAGACAGCAGCTACGAGTACGGGAGATCCGTCCGGAGTATCCGTGCTCGTCCTCGTACTTTGAGTTCATCCGAATTGCTTCTGCCCACGAAGCCAATCATGCTGACGCTTCCTACTACCCAAAACGCCAGGAAGTTATTCAATGCGAAGAAGAAATTCCCAAGGGACCTGCACCTCGGTGCCTCCGTATGTACGTAAAATGATACGAATACGAATACGAGAACGGCGAAGTACACGCACCAGCAGCGCAGTCGACCAAAAAAAGCTTCTCGTTGGAGTCACCGCTCAACTCCGCCGCAAGGGATTCCTTTTCCCTTGTGTCTTCGCTTTACGAGTACCCTTCGTCACGGTCCTTATCATTGCCCAGGCATCGTCTTATCTAAGTATGACAATATGCCTGTAATGACTGACGGTCCTTTTCGCCGATAAACTCGTTGGGCGCAGGCGGTGAATTCCCGTGGCCTCCAGTATCTCATTTCCCGTGCCACCATTGTTTCTTGCACTCTCTTTTTATTTTTGTTCTGTTCTAGTTGTCTGGATGCCACCGAGGTAGATGCGGCCAACGACTCTCCTTTGTCCGAGTAACCCTCCTCGATCAACGTCTGCATAGATCGACCCCGCGAACGGGATCGACCACGCTAAGCATCTCGCCAACCACCACAGTGTAACCACTCACCACCAACACACCCTGGCTTCGGCGCCCTCGAGCTTCCTCTTGCGTCATCGCAAGTGACCGTTAATTGTCGTGCATTCGTTGCGTGCTTGCTTGATGCCTCTGTCCCTGGCATCTTGATCGTAGCTCGTATCGGCGAATCCATCCGGCCAGGTTGCACAACTTGGGGCTGCATATTGCCGAGCTTCAAGCTCTGACCGGCCAAGGATGGCGCCGTCCATTCCTTTGTCACTAGCAACTCTTTTCTTTCCTGCATTTACGAGAGCCTCTGTGTGCATATTCACCATGCTGTCTCTGCTACAGCTTGCTTGTGCCTTGGTCTTGCCACCAATCTTCAACCAAGCCGCCGCAAACCCCTTCCCCAGGCTAGCACAGCAATATGCGCCCGACTCGTTGGGTGCAGTGGCCAGTGAAAGTAGTATCTGCAGCAGTATTGGTATCGACCTCCTTCGACAGGGTGGAAATGCTGCAGATGCGGTGAGTACCGTCCCCTGCCCTCTGGGATCAAGCTGACGGAGTTTCAGCTCGTCGGGACAGTCTTCTGCATAGGCGTTATTGGCTGCTATCATAGTGGCATTGGTGGCGGTGGCTTTATGCTCGTTCGTGGATCGAACGGAAGCTATGAGTTTATCGATTTTAGAGAAACGGCTCCGGCTGCTGCTTTTGAGGAAATGTACAACAACAATACTAATGCCAGCATATTTGGAGGCTTAGCAAGGTACGGCATCCCACACTATACCAGCCTGAGACACTGCTGATCCTACTCTAGCGGAGTGCCGGGAGAGGTACGGGGACTGGCGCATTTACACAACAACTATGGCAAGCTTTCATGGGAAACGGTGATGGCTGGAGCTATCAAGACTGCAAGATATGGGTGGCCAGTAACCGAAGATCTCGTGCGATACATGAAGTCGGCCAACGCATCTGCTCTCGTCCCGAATTTCTTAGTCGACGACCCCAATTGGGCCATTGACTTCGCACCCAACGGCACTCTCCTCGGACTCGGTGACACCATTACTCGGAAAAGATATGCCAATACCTTGGAGACCATCGCGAACAGCGGCCCAGATGCTTTCTACACCGGGCCGATTGCAGAAGCGACCATTGCTGCATTACAAGCCCAAAACGGAACCATGACGGTCGAAGACTTACAGAATTACACTGTCGCAATCAGACCTCCGGCGAACATCACATACCGAGGCTATCGTATGTTCAGCGGTAGTGCTCCAAGTTCAGGAGAGGTCGCGCTCTCCGTCATGAAGACGTTGGAAGGATACACCGACTTTTACGCCAATGGGGTGCTCAATCTCAGCACCCACAGGATGGATGAAGCCATCAGGTTTGGGTATGGTGAGAGGACAAACCTAGGTGATCCATCGTTTGTGAAGAACATCTCAGCGTATCAGGCAGAGATGCTAGACCCAAGAACTGCCTCCGACATTCGGAGCCGGATTTCGGACTCGCATACTCTCAATATCTCGGCTTATGACCCTTCAGGCATCGAATCTCTCGAGACTCCAGGAACATCCCATGTAGTCGCCGCGGACGCCTCTGGACTGGCCATCTCCTTGACCACCACTGTCAACTTGCTATTTGGATCAAATCTCATGGTACCCGAGACGGGAGTCATCATGAACAATGAGATGAACGACTTTTCCATCCCCGGCTCGTCAAACGCATTCGGTTATGTGCCTAGTCCGAGTAATTATATCCGTCCGGGAAAGAGACCCCTGTCCTCGATATCGCCGACCATCGTCGAGTTCCCCAACGGGACCCTCTATTATGTTATTGGAGCGGCAGGGGGTTCCAGAATCATCACCGCTACTATCCAGAATCTGATCCACGTACTTGACCAGGACATGACGGTGCCCGAGGCTCTCGCTCAGCCTCGACTTCATGATCAATTGATCCCGAACCAAGTCATCTTCGAGTACGCATACAATAATGAGACCGTTGACTTTATGAGAGCGCGAGGGCACAATTGCACCTGGGTCGCACCTGGCCTCTCTACCGCCCAAGGCCTCCGGCGGTTAGGCAACGGCACATTTGAAGCTGCTGGAGAGCCACGCCAAATCAATAGCGGAGGATACGCCATATGAATGCTACGGCCCGGGGGGATATTGTGGCTAAGGGACGTTCCCCGGGTATATATATATATATATATGTACTTGTGGCACGACTCATGAGATCTACGACGCAATGATGGGCTGGGCTCTACCTCTGTTCAGACAAATGGTGACACAGATTCGTCTTGATCTTCCGCCGAGGCCACTGTGTATTTTTCAAGGCCACAGATTACATAATTCTTGGCTCAAGGCACCCTTGTTGTCCGCGGAGAGACATAGTCTTCAGTGCGAATACTTGCCTAGCTTGGACCGTATGTTCAACATCATCGCAAGCTCAGTCCAGGCCTGACCAAAGAGGAACTCGATGGAGGAATCCTACTCGTACTAGACGAGTGTGGAGTACCCCCAGGCCGCTCCATCCCAACCGTTTCATCTTGGATGTAGCCACGTTGATAAATCGACTACGCGAGGGGTAATGGAGAGGTACTTATGTCAGTCAATGAGATCCACACCCAATCTGCCCTTTGTACTCCGTATCTATTCCTTGAAAAGTCAATGGTCACGTCTTCCGAAAACCCCATAGTACTCCAGCGCCACACCAATCAAGCATGATAGAATCTCGACAACAACTGCACAAATTTTTATGTATGCATAGTGACCAACCCCGCCTCGTTGACAGTTCATCCGTACCCTCTCAACAGAGCTCGGGCGGTCACATCGCTCCCGAGAAACCCTCAATTCACCGCAGTTCAAATAGCCGCCGCTCTGTCACTGGCCAGCAAAGCTAGACAGGAAAAGCAGACGATCATTCCACCGGTGCTCAGGACGGGTAATTGAATCATGCGTCGGCTCTCCTTAAGCCGAACACTGCTCCGATGTGGGGTTTTGCCATGAAGCGAAGCGAAGGGGCGTCCCTAACCCCGAATGCCGCAAGAGAGACGGTCTGGGTTATCGTAAATCCGCTTTTCTTTTCGACGAGTAAATAGGACGCTTTCTACCAGAGTCGCAGAATTCAATTCATCATCTTCAGCCCAGAAGGACGAGTTCGACATCTCATGGGCAAATCTTTTAAGCATCTGACAGGCTCAAGGCACGGTCCGTCCTGCGCGATCTGAGATCACGATAGATTGATTCCTTTGGTGGATGACTCGACGCTAGCGCGTCGTCAAAAGTACCTCCAGAGAAAAGCTTGCGATACAGTAAAGTAAGCAGGATGAGCAATATCCACCACAAGGCCGCTTTATAATCTGGAGACTGACAAGACGCTTTATGATATCAGGAGCACATGGCAGCTGCACAACCGCCTGGAAGTCGGTTGGGCTCGGCGAAGAGCGAGCATGACCAAAGACAGGCGCCCAATTCGACTCGTTCTGCAGAGAGCAATTCAGTATCCGACAAAGACGTCGATGTTCGGATAGATCCTGATGTCGAGCGTGGAATTCCCATCATCGACACTACCGACGATGTTGACGAAGAGAAGACAGCTGATGTAGCGGCCTCTGAGCAGGATCCCAACATCGTCGACTGGGACGGTCCCAATGATCCCGAGAAAGCCCTGAACTGGCCCAACAAGAAGAAATGGGGCAATGTGGCTGTTATTTCCTCCGTCACGTTCTTGACCCCTCTGGCCTCCTCGATGGTTGCACCTGCTGTCCCGTTGGTCATGAAGGAGTTGCATTCGACCGACGACACAATCGCGAGTTTCATCGTATCGATCTATGTTCTCGGCTATGCTCTTGGGCCTCTCTTTCTGGCTCCCATGTCGGAGGTCTATGGAAGACTACCAGTCTATCATGCTTGCAACTTCCTGTTTGTGATATGGACCTTGGCTTGTGCACTGGCTCCAAATATTGGTGGCATCTTGGTCTTTCGCCTGTTGGCTGGTGTTGCAGGTAGTTGTCCCATCACTATCGGCGGAGGCTCGATCGCGGACCTGATTCCACAGGAAAAGCGAGGAGCTGCGATGGCGCTGTTCGCCATGGGCCCCATTCTCGGCCCTGTGATCGGTCCTGTCGCGGGGGGTTATCTTGGAGAGGGCGCAGGCTGGCGATGGGTGTTCTGGCTGATCACCATTGCCGTATGTACCCCAACACCGTCACTTGTGTCTGACTAACAAGTGAACAGGGCGGCGTTGCTCTTTGCTTCTCGCTGCTCACCCTGCGAGAAACGTACGAGCCGATCCTGCTGGAGAAACGAACGAAGCGGCTTCGCAAAGAGACGGGAAATCCTAACCTACGATCAAAGCTCGACAAAGGAATTCCAACCAAAGAATATTTCTTACGCGCCATCGTCCGTCCGAGCAAGATGCTTCTGTTCTCTCCGATTGTTCTCTCGCTCTCGCTCTACATGGCCGTGGTCTACGGCTACCTCTATCTGTTGTTTACGACGCTCACACTTGTCTTTGAAGGAACATACCATTTCAGTCAAGGAGCCGTGGGCTTGGCTTATTTGGGGATAGGGATAGGCTCCCTGTTTGGGCTGATCACATTTGGAATCTTGTCGGATCGCATGGTCAAGAAACTATCGGCCAAGGGAGAGATGAAGCCGGAATACCGCCTACCTCCTCTGATTCCCGGCAGCTTGATCATCCCTATCGGCTTGTTCTGGTACGGATGGTCGGCGCACGCTGCTATCCACTGGATAATGCCAATCATCGGCACGCTTTTCGTCGGTCTGGGACTCATGGCGACCTTTATGCCGATCCAGACCTACCTCGTCGACGCATACCATTTGCACGCCGCCTCGGCCCTGGCCGCAAGTACTGTTCTCAGGAGTTTCGTCGGGGCATTTTTGCCTCTGGCAGGCCCCAAAATGTACGAGGCATTGGGGCTAGGCTGGGGTAATTCATTGCTCGCCTTTATCGCATTGGCCTTGTCGCCAGTGAGCTGGATTCTGTACAGACATGGTGAGAAGATTCGTAAAGCAGAGCGGGTTAACTTTTGATGGCTTTTGCTTTGTTTTTGTGTTTTGTGTTTTTAGAAGTTGTTGTTGAACAATATAGCGGGCATCCTCTATAAAAGAAGCTGGGTATCGCATTCATAAGGAGCCTAAGAGGGATGGATCTTAATTTGTGTACAGTATGGAATTCAGGCTCGCACGAATACATGTGTGTGGCTGTAAGAGGGATTGGGCATAGGAAGGGGGGAGACTCGTAGCCTCACTAACTAGTCAGCCTTAGGCTGATGCGATCCCACGCTGTCGAGGGATGTTTTGACTCTAGGTACGGAGTAGCGCCCATTGAATACCTACTGTACCTAACCTGATTCTCAGTAGCACCTGGTCAGATGGTGAGTGGTGAGTGGTGTGAACACCCATCCTTCGTGGCCCAACTCACGAGGTACTCTCGTACAGTATTGCACCTACAGGAGGTCCCTATACGAGTGAGGATGATGAGCCTCGTCAGGCCAACTCGTAGTACTCTCGTACTGCTCCTTCTTGCCCCTCCTCATAATAACTAAGTTACCGCCCGCTATTCCTCTCTCTCTCTCTTCCTGCTTCTCTCCCACTTCCCTCATCAGCGACCACACACCTGTCCTTCATTCCGTGGCGTTAACACGACAATTACGACAATACTCACGAATTCCCATATTGTCACCGTTGATTCGAGTTGCTGCCATTTTACCCCGCCAACAGTAATCATGAGCGGCCACAGTGCTTGTCCCAAGTGCGGCAGCAAGATTCAGTCGGGTGGGAAAACATGCAATTCTTGTGGAGCGGTGAGTCTTTTTTTTTTTTTTGATTTGCGTCTATCTCGATTCTTGTTTCTCTGTACCGGGTCACTCCTGAGGCGTCCCTGTTGTCAACCGCTCAGAACCGTTTCCTCTGTGTTGTCGACGTCTCGTAGCCGTCTCTTTTCTCCCCGTTGAGTTGGGGGCATCGGGATGAGTATGAGAGAGACGGATGTGATATATCGGTCTGAGCCAAGTTGGTTTGGTTTGCGGTGCTGAGCCTTGTATCCGGTCTACTCTCTGCCCTCTATCCTCTCCGGACGATTGTGAGCGCCTCCTCGAAAGATGAAGAAGATCAATCACTTCATTGCCTACACAACCTGCGTGGAAGAAGTGCGTTTTTGCTGATGTTAGGTCCTTGGTGGCGATTTTAGAGTTGTCCTCGATGAACGCCGAGCGTCGTTTGAAGGGAAAAGTGTTGAGGATGAGGAGGAGGAGGACGACGACGACGACGTGCTTCCTACCGACCTAGGTAGCTTCTCACCGCGACCATACAAACATCGAAGGAGTGGTAACGAGACGAGACGAGATTTTCTAATGATAACGAGATGACATTCATGAGTGATAACGAGATGAGATGTATGCATGATAACGAGAGAGATTTGTGAATGATAACGAGACGTATTGAGATTCACCGATGGTAATGAGATCAGGTTTCATGTCGATGAAGATGCTCGAGAATCCTTGTAGAGCAGTCCATGAAGTTGCGCAGTGATATCCAATACCATACGTGACTCCGTCTTTTTCTTTCTTCTCTCAAAAGGAACATACTTTCATATATCTTCTTACCTCAGTCATGCCGGAATGACTCGTTCGAAAAATCCCAACATGTCCCTCAATTCAGCAGCATTCATCGAGTGACCCATTCCTTCGTATAAATGTTCCTCGATACGCTCTTGACCTACTAAACGAGACAATTCTTCTTTTCCCTGCAAATATAGTCTTTTCGGAATAAGCATGTCTTTCGTCCCGTGTACATAAAACCACTTCCTCTTGTCTATTCCTTCTGGACTTGCAGCGGGTCTGTCTTGCTGCAACGCCTTGATCCTGTCTTTCAGCGGCAAGTAACCACTTAGACAGACAAGTCCCCCCACGTCGTGTCTGAAGCGTCCTACAAGACTCCATACCAGGCTCACGGCACAGCCTTGACTGAATCCACCGACGAGGATTCTCTCGGCTGGAGTGCCGCTCTTCAGCTCTTGCTCAACGAGTTCGTCAATAATGTCCGCACTCTTCAATATACCTGGTTCATCGTCGGGACTCGCTTCGTCGTCTTCTTCGTGGCCGGGGATCGGTGGCTTCATTACATTAGGTAGAGATTTGGGGATATACCATGCTCGTGCCATGGCTTCGTGATTATGGTCCGCGTTGGGCAGAATCCACTTCAAATACGGCATCCTCTTGTAGAACTGGAACTGCTGGGCCAGGCCCAAGGGAAGGCCCTCTGCGTCGTCACCGTAGCCATGGAGGAATATCAACGTTGCAGGTCGCTCGGAAGACGAGTCATCTGCTGTCGGAGCGAGGATATATGGGGCTTTAGCAGTCATGGTGGACGTGGATTGACTTGAATGCGCGGTCTGATGGAAGTCGATACTCGTGCAATTCGTAGCATCGCGCAGCTACTTGACCGGGAGGTATCAACTGCTATGTCACATGAAATATGCTAGTAGTATCCTGACCTGTCCCCATCGACAGGTACCTTGTGATACTCGTAGTTCTTTGACGGAGTGAAACCTCGCACCGGAATGCGCGCTGCTGTCTAAGGATCCGACACACCGTATGATCCACCGTACAATACGGGAAACGCAATTTACTCCGCAGGTGGAGGCAAGTTACAACGCACTTTTTTGGTTGCGCTCACTGTCGAACACACTTTGAAGGGTACAAGGTATTGCGACTTGCTCCTCCAAGATGAAGAGTCTCAAGCGGGGGCTGGCGGCTGACGCAAATGCTGCCAACATTGCCAGCAAAGTTTACATCCGATCAACTCGGAGTGGCAGGGTCCAGAAAATTGTGAGAGAACAATACCTGCGGACTGACATTCCTTGTTCGTCGCAGCTATGCTCTTCCTGCGCTGCAACAGCGGTGGCAGATGCCAGTGGACTGGGTGAGTTGGAATATGATGTGGCTCAGATCTGTTTGCTTTGGCTGACCGCGATCAAGTTCCTAAATTCATCCTTTCGAAACGTCCGGTCGGAACCAAGGCCTTTCCCAATGGCCACTACCTGATGCCTGACACCAACGTTCTTCTCAGCGGCATGGATCTCTTTGAAGAAACGGCTCACTTCCACGATGTGATTGTCTTGCAAACTGTCCTAGAAGAACTCAAGAACCGGAGTCTGCCTTTGTACAATCGACTCATGGCGTTGACGCGGAGTGAGGAGAAGCGCTTCTATCTCTTTTTCAACGAGTTTAGGTCGGAGACAGCTGTTCGTCGGACTGAAGGAGAGACAATCAATGATAGAAACGATCGTGCCGTGAGAACGGCTGCCTCTTGGTACACTAGCCATTTGGCCAAGGTCACCAAGAAGCCACCTACGATCGTGATGCTCACCAACGACCAGGACAACAGAAGGAAGACCAAAAATGAGGCATTGGTTGCATTGTCTCTGCGGGAATATGTTGAAGGTCTCGACGATTCAGACCGCTTACTTGACATGGTGAGCCAAAGTGCCGACAGCCAGGAAGCTCGTCTGGCACAGGGAGAGTTGTTCTATCCAGAGTACTACTCCATGTCCAGGATGGCCACGGGTATCAAAGCAGGCACACTACATCAGGGCGTATTCCATGTCTCTCCGTACAATTATCTCGAAGGCACAGTCAAAGTCCCAGCGTTTGACAAGCCCCTCCTTGTTCTGGGAAGAGAAAGCAGCAATAGATCCATATCAGGCGACGTTGTTGTTGTCGAAGTGCTCCCAAAAGAGCAATGGAAAGCGCCTTCGACCCAAATACTCGATGAAGAAGCGCTCAACCAGAACGACAATCCCGACGACGAAGAACAGGAGGAGAGCGTGGTCACCGAGAGCGAACGGCGAGCCCTGCAGGAAGAGGTTAGAAAGGCTCACACTGCCGGCGCAGAATCTCGAGCACAACCTACGTGTCGAGTGGTTGGAGTGATGAAACGCAATTGGCGACAGCTTGTCGGTACGATTGACGCTGCATCGGGAAGTGGTTCGGGCACGCGACAGACTACTGTGTTTCTGGTTCCCATGGACAAACGCATCCCCAAAATCCGTATTCGGACAAGACAAGTTGATGAGCTTGTTGGCAAGAGAATCGTGGCCACCATCGACGCGTGGGATAGAGATACGAGGTACCCAGTCGGGCACTACATCCGGTCCCTTGGTGAATTGGAGACAAAGGAGGCTGAAACGGAAGCCTTACTTCTCGAGTACGATGTGCAATACCGGCCATTCCCCAAGGCTGTGCTAGATTGTCTTCCTTCTGAAGGCCACGACTGGAAAGTCCCCGCGGATAAAGGACATCCAGGTTGGAATGGGCGGCAGGATCTGCGACACCTTCTTGTTTGCTCAATCGATCCACCTGGCTGTCAAGACATCGACGATGCTCTGCATGCTAGAAAGCTTCCCAACGGCAATTTTGAAGTTGGTGTGCATATCGCAGACGTGTCTCATTTTGTCAAGCCCAACAATGCCATGGATGCCGAAGCTACGTCCCGAGGCACTACGGTATACCTGGTTGACAAGAGAATTGACATGTTGCCGATGCTTCTCGGAACAGACCTCTGCTCTCTAAAACCATATGTCGAGAGGTACGCATTCTCTACCTTGTGGGAAATCACGCCAGATGCAGAGATTGTGTCGTCGTCCTTTACCAAATCAGTTATTTTGTCCAAAGAAGGATTCTCTTATGAGCAAGCACAAAAGAGAATTGACGACCCCTCTGCGACCGACGATCTTACCCAAGGTATGAGGACACTTTTGGCTCTTTCCCAGAAGCTTCGCCAGAAGCGCATGGACGCTGGAGCATTGAACCTTTCGAGTCCGGAAGTTAGAATTGAAGCCGACAGTGAATCGTCCGATTCGTTGGCTGATGTCAAGACAAAAGCACACCTCGCTACGAATTCTCTGGTTGAGGAATTCATGCTTCTCGCCAATATCACCGTGGCCAAGAAAATCCAGACTGTCTTCCCGCAGACTGCCTTACTCCGACGACATGCGACTCCTCCTGCTTCCAATTTCGCGGATCTCAGTGAGCAACTGAAACGCATGCGGGGATTCGAACTAGACGTGTCGAGTTCCAAAGCATTGGCTGATTCGTTGGACAAATGCATTGATCCCCAACACCCGTTCTTTAACACCTTGATTCGAATTATGGCTACACGGTGCATGACATCGGCGGAATATTTCTGCAGTGGCTCTCATGCTGAACCCGAGTACCGACACTATGGGCTTGCTAGCGAGATCTACACTCATTTCACCAGTCCCATTCGGCGGTATGCCGATCTCCTTGTCCACCGTCAGCTTGCCTATGCGATCGGTTACAATGGCGAGGGCAGTGACATTGTCGATGAGGGGCTTCGGAACAAAGGCAAGCTGGAAAGGGTGTGTCAAAACTTGAACTTCAGACACAGAAATGCCCAACTGGCCGGCAGAGCAAGCATTGAGTATTATGTGGGACAGGCACTTAAAGCACGCGCTGAGAAAACACCTGATGCGGCTATTGACGTTGACGGATATGTGATGCGCGTCTTTGAGAACGGAATAGTTGTCTTTGTGCCTCAGTTCGGCATCGAAGGACTGGTTCGCCTGGAAGATTTTGAGATGAAGTCTACTGAAGACTCGCGGAGGGAAAGCAAGTTCGATGCTGACAACTACAGCTTGACGGTTTTTGAGAAAGGAAGAGAGGAGGTGTCGGTCACCGTTGACTTATTCCAGCGGCTCAAAGTCAGGGTTAGTTCTGAGGAGAAGGGCGGTGCTAGAGAAAAGGGCAAGAGAAGGGTCAGGATCATTGTGTCTACGTAGAGTCTAGATGAGCGAAGGTCGACGTAGAATTCAGATGGCCTCGGACCACTTGTAGAGGTCTGTAGGTCTTCTTACCTGGGAAGTGTTTACTCGTGCCGTCCGTTGCCGCCAACAGCATAGGCTAGGCAAAGGTTTGACATTTGGACGATCATGTTGCGCCGTCGTTACAATATTCCAAGCTCTACAGGCCTGCCGCAGATCATCGTTTGAAATGGACCTGCAGCATGATTGTGATCGTCTGTACGACAATGCTGAGAGCTAAAAAGTGCCAAGACTTGATTAAATAAAAATACCATGGATCTTCCCGTGGCTCTAAGTCGACCGTCGCATCTGGCAGCGAGAATCTTTTTATGTTCTTATATCATCCACATCCTGGGTTGCCACTCACTGGCCATCTCTCCTGTACAGCAAATATTTCGACAGCTACAATGGCAGGCCCTCCCAACAAACGCCAAAGACGAGAGGAGTACAAAAAATCCCAGGCCAAGGTCCAGGATGGCAGGGTCGAACTGCCCAAGAAGAAATTCTATCGCCAGCGTGCACACGCCAACCCGTTCTCCGACCATCTTTTGGCATAGTGAGTTCTCCCTCCGGCTGTCACTCGGAAGTTGAGTTCTTGTGAGATCTCCCTGGGCTGACCTTTTACTCTTCAGTCCTCTCAGTCCCGAGAGCATGGACTGGACCGGGCATTATCCCGCCTTTACCCAGCCAAAACAGGCGGACGAGGATGCACCGCGTATGACGCGCGAAGTTGAAATCGCCGACATCGGTTGTGGGTTTGGTGGCTTGATCGTCGCACTTTCGACACTGTACCCGGAGACGTTGATGCTTGGTAAGTGTGCATACACACGACGGACATTCGAGACACCTCAGGTGCACGAACAGCCACCCACGGGGAAGGGAGGCTGACCGGTATCGTGCGGACAGGAATGGAGCTTCGGACACAAGTTCTAGACTACGTCATCAGTCGTATCGCAGCACTCCGGGCCCAGAACCAGTCGGCCGAGAGCGAATACTCACCTTATCAGAACATTTCGGCGGTGCGCTCGAACACCATGAAGTTTCTCCCCAACTTCTTCCGCCGGGCCCAGCTGTCGAAGATCTTCCTGTGTTTCCCGGATCCGCACTTCAAGCAGAGGAAGCACAAGGCTCGAATCGTCTCGGCGCAGCTCAACGCCGAGTATGCGTTCGTCACGAAGCCCGGGGGCATGGTCTACACCATTACCGACGTCGAGGAGTTGCATCGGTGGATGGCCAAGCATTTCGAAGGCGAAGAGGCGGGTGATTCCCGGGAACTGTGGGAGAGGGTACCGGACGCGGAGTTGGATTCAGATCCTTGTGTCAAGATCATGAGCGAAGAGACCGAGGAGTCCAAAAAGGTGACGAGGAACGGCGGAAAGAAATTCATCGCCGTCTTTAGAAGGAAACCTAACCCCGAGTGGCCATGATGGTAGCCTCGAGGGGAAGGGGAGAATCCAAACTACGCCCGAGCACGACATGATTGACATCATTCACGAATGATCTGGAGTCCGCAACGTGATCGATACTTTGAGCAAGCCGACAAACACACTGAGCCTCCATGCAGGTATTATTGACGCTCAAAACTATGAGCTCAAAGCTCTACGCAGAACTCACTCGCACCCGACAAATGGGCTCGGCTCCGAGTAGCCCTCATTCGGTCAGTGGCAAGGCATTGATTGAAGTACCGAGTTTTTATCAGATGAAGACCCCTCTCTCTGTTGACCTGAGCAGCATCCTGATCAAGGCACAACTTTATCAGGTTTGTCGCCCGTCAAAGTGTCTGCACTGGGCCTCAGGCCGTCTTTACTCTCCTCCGGGGCCATACCGACCACTTCACCGCTCTTGAGCGCATCGACATCAATCTGCGGTCCGGTGTAGTTCTGCCGCCCATCAACAAACCACTGAATCACCGAGACAATAAGGACAATCGCGAATGCCGCCACACAGTAGTTCATGTTGTTACCGGTTACGGGCAAGACCGGGGGAAACATGAACAGGACTGTGGTCAGAACCACGTAGGCGATTCCGACCTGTGTTTGGTCAGCATAATGCGAGGGGGGACAGGCTGCAGTGGGATAGTCTCACCAAGTTACACGTCCAACCCAGCCAGTTGGGGAGGATGAAGGGACGCGACTCTGGTAGCATTTTCCTGCCCCGTAGACAATTTATAGCGGGCGGAATAGCATATGTGATTCCGAGGGCCACTACAGAGGCCGAAACGATGGCGTTGCTATCGACCACGTCGTTAATTAGCTGTGACCAATTGCACCAGTCAGGGTTGAGAAGTGGCTTACAATGCACTGCTAGAGCCCAGGAAAATGCAACCGAAGATGACCACCAGAATGAGAGTCAACCAAAGAGCATTCAAGGGCACATCCAGTCGCTTGTCGACCTTGGCGAAGAATCTCGAAGCCGGCAGTCCACGGTCACGGGCGAATGCATAAACCATCCGGCTGCTTGTCGTCATGATAGTGACGCCAGCAAACTGGGCACCTGATCAGCCTTTTTTCTTTTTTCTTTTTCTTGATAGAGGACTTGTGCACAAAGTAAACTCACCAGCAAGCAGACCAAAGGGAACATCAAGAGGCAGATAGAGCCCGCCTTGTTGCCTGTGGCGTCGTAAAAGATCTGCAACATAGGACCAGCGGCTGAAGAAATCACGGCGTCGAGGTCCTTTGAGACAAAAAGGAGAACGCTGAGGTATACGAATCCAGTGACGACGCCGATGAGCACGCAGGCGATCATGATGCGAGGCCCTTCGACCACGGGGTTGTTCAACTCTTCGATGCAATGGCTGACGGCATCAAACCCAGTCAAACTACGCAAAGGGAAAAAAAGAGAGGGATCAAAGTCAGCGCGTCCTCTCAGAATCGGATGATCTGCAACACCGATATGTAAGAAGTCCGAAAAAGAGATACACTTACCCCAAACCACCTTGCAACAGTCCCAAAAGCCACGCGAGTCCATCTGGCCAGCCGGTCTCGTTGATGAAGGTGCGATACACCACATCGCCTGACTGATAGTTCGGCGACGCGCAGGCTAGAACGGTAATCGAAATGACCACCCAGCCGGTGATCGACCAGACCAATGCCGCCTTGGTGACCCACGGGAGCAACCTGGTCATGAAGGCGTTCACCAGGAAGGCAAAGATGTTGTACCCGATGTAGATGAGAAACTGGTGCCAGCGGTGCGGATCATAGGACGGTGTCGTGAGGGAGATGACGCCCAGGATGAGTTGGCTCCCCAGCAGACCTGCCGTCGCGGTCAAAGCAACCCAGCCGGCGGTGTTGATCCAGCCGGTGATCCAGGACAGAATCGGCACCCAGCTCTTCCAGCTGATGACGGCCACCCAGTGATACTGGCCACCCGCAGTCGGATACCTGTGGTGCTGTGTCAGCTTTCATTACTTAGAAGGGTCCCAGCCAGTATCGCATGACAGAATGTGATCCGTCCGGCGGTGGCAGGCCCTGGCGTACATACGCAGAAAGAAACTCGGCGAGCGATGCCGCCAGACACAAATTGCAGATGCCCGCGACCACCAGGCCCCATATAACTGCATCGGGACCTCCACTGGGCAGGGCCAATGACATACTCGCTCCCAGGGCAGTCCAGGAGTTGAGAATCGCAAAGGCCAGACCCAGCATGGAGAACAGGGAGAAGTTTCGCTTCAGCTCCTGCTTCACCCCCAGTCCTGCTAGCATGGCCGCATCTTCTTGAATCGACGTCCGCCTTCGGGGTGTCCTTGAGGACCGGCGGCGTTGCTGCTGCTGCTGTCCCTGTTGATGCATTATGGCACGGGAGCCCTCCGTCGTCATTGAACCGTCCTGTCGAAATTAGATAGACATGTACAACAATGCTCCGTAGATATGCGTCCCAGCTGAAGAGAAGGAATTGGCACTGCGAATCAAGCTAAGTAATGGGAAATCCTGCCACGAGGAAACCGACTGCTAGGGAAAATGAACACGCGCCAGGTTTCAGCTTCAACAGCAGTCGCAGATGCAGAGAGGGGTTTTTTTTACGTCAGTGCTGGCGGAGGAGAAGGGCGATCCCTTTATTATGCGTCGTCAGGATCATGCCGGATGAGTGGACACTGTTAGGTAACAGGATGAGGCAAAGAACCACCATCATCTCTCCCAAGAGAGCAAGTCGATCCTTGTCCCAGGGCGCTCGAGACTCGGAGATCAGATCAACGACGGCCCACCAACTCCGTCGCGATGCTACTCGTGCGAAGGAGGCGAGGACAAGGCTCAATGAGCTACGATGGATGGATACACGGCAGGGCGTCGAATGGCTTTTTGGCCACAAGCAGAAAAGCTTGAACACGAAGCCAAGGCCAGTAGCCTCTGCCTTGGCCAAGGTTGGTTCCTTCGCCTGTTTAACTAACTACAATACCTACTGTACTGACTAGTCACTTATTAGTCTACTGGGTACGGATACCTTGTGAACACTCAGGCTTACGGGGACAAGACGGTACGGCGTAAGCCGCAGAACGTGCGCCATTCACTGTCTTCGGTGTCAAGCCACCGATGCCACACCATCGCCCATCATCCTCGTGTCTCCTGCTTACGGACAGATGATATGACGGTACGCAGCATGTACACTTTCCTTTCCAGTGTCGCCACATAATCGCCTTTGTCGAGAGCATAGTAAAATTGCCTTGGTGAGATGTTGAAACAAGCCAGGCTCCGAATACTCGATGCACCTCGATGGTAGATGTCTCTTCTGCTCTGCCCTGGTCCGTCTCGGGCTACATTCAGCCCGCATGAGTCTCGGCATCCGAAGACAAACAAAGAACAAAATGCACGCATCCATACATCATGGATGACTTGAACAGCCGGCACCAGCAAACAAAGAAGAAGCGTGTCACTGCCTTGCCGGACAAAGGCAACACCAGAAGCGCAGGTGGAGTCTGCACAAAGCGAATGTTGCTACGATACGTCTTCGTCTTCTTTGTCTGGGTATCTTGCGTCTGCTATTTTTGTATCCCGTCTTGATATTTCATCAGGAATGGCCACCAGGCTTCTGATGCAAGCCGGATTCAACGTCTCACAATTTCGACCAAGAGTAGAAACCCGTTCGTCGTCACTGACTGACACACAAGAGCAAAGCCCATACATCCAATCGTCGCCCATGTGCGAGTCCCATACCATTTATCATCTTTGCGGCCATGTCAAAATCAAGACCATGGTCCAGTGTGCCGAAATGGTCGAGAAGCTGGTTGCAGCGAAATCACAGGTAACGTGCTTCGCCCATCAAGTCTGCGACGATGTTGCCGATACCTCTCACGCCTTTCCGGATCTTTGCGCGAAATGTCAGCAGAATGGAGTCGTTGGCGACGTCATGGAGCAACAGCCAGGCATGAAACTGGAAATACTGCGATCCTGGAGACCGCAGCAGCAGCGTGTGTCGGAAGGCACGGTAGAGACGGGAACAGAGGCGCAGACACCAGAGGGCATGGAGGTAAAGACAATTCGGGGACAGGAGCTTCACGACGCCACAGCAGTGTCATCGACACCACAGACCAGCAGCGAAGCATCAACAGATACTATCCAGACCCCGACGACCATGGCATCGAGTGCATCTTCGCCAGAAAACATCCCAGAGCTTGGCTCCCTCAAGACTCGGATCGCTGCATTGATGGACAGGACGGAACAACTGTTGTTGAAAGTTCGTGCTCACAAAGCATCGCAGGCAGATTCTAAGCAAAGTTCCCGGGGAGCGAGTGATCAATAGTACATAAGAGACCCAACAATAATAAAAGAATAACACCGAAGGAACCTCTGTCAGCATATGTATTTTATGGGAGACGGATTTACAACATTCAGGAATGAGGTGCCATGGAGAGGTATGCTAGTTAGTTAACTTAGTATGGCACTCCGTATAGATAAGCCTGATCGGCAGAGGGCGCTACCCAAGGGCTTCTTAACTAGGATGCATGACGCTTCCAATGAAAGGGCCGTGCCTAACTTAGTTAGAAATCCTTATCACGCCCGCAGCCACGCTGCCCACCGGCCTATAACCTGCAGCCTCCAGGGCCTTAGCGAGCCCGAACAGCAGTCAACATCGAGGCCTAAATGGCGCCGATCAAGCCTAATGCGCCCTGAAACTGGGCACTTGCGTGGAGATTGATGGCGTCATAGAATCAACATCGACAGCAACGTATACACTTGCAAGTTGCACCCCCCGTACTGTGTGCACTGGGCGAAGCTTGTACTTTTGGAAATTCCATTCAGCCCTTGATCGCTGCTTGTCTCTTGCCTAGTCAGTCCCTTCTCCAACCAAGATAGGACCTTGACATGCTCAGCCTTCATCTGGGTCATTGATTCAGCGTCGCCATGGTAGGGAAGCGGACGTTTCAGCGAGACGGCGGCAGGAATGACAGCCAAGGGCGAGACTATGACATTGAGTCTGGCCCCGTCACCCGGCGCTTTGGAGGGTTCAAAGACGCCGTGGACTATGTCATCGACCGCAGGACCACGGCGTCGCTGAAAAAGCAACTCAAAGAGGGCGTGGAAAGGGACAATGAATTCGAGAAGTTGAGAAAAAGTGACGAAGAGGTAAGTCAGGGTTCTTACACAACAAAACCTAACATCAGAAAACCACGGTGTCTGACGTACAGTGTGCCTACCGTAGCTCAAGAGGATCAAGAACAAGCAGGTCCGCAAGTTCTACGAACATCAAAATGCCTGTCTCAACGACTGGGCCGAAGTCGACACGATTGTCATGGCCATGGCGGACGATGTGATGGAGAGCATGAACACCGACGCAGATCACGACGGGGTAAGAGAACGAGAAGGCAGACTCCAGACCGTCAATGAACACATCGAGGACATGTTGCCGGACCATGTGCAACGGCAGCGAGCCAAAGCGGCCCGAAACGCACGGTGGGCCATCAACATCAACGTCGTTGCAAACATCATCCTGGTTATCGCAAAGGGCGTTGCGGCGCTGAAGTCGTCGTCGCTCTCGCTGATCGCCTCACTGCTCGACTCGGCCCTCGATCTTCTCTGCACCGTGATCGTGTGGACGACCAACCGCCTGGTGTCGTGGAGATTGGCGGCGCTCGCAAAGAGATTCCCCGTGGGACGCCGGCGGCTCGAACCCATTGGCATCCTCGTCTTCTCCATCATCATGGTCATTTCGTTTCTCCAGATCCTGCAAGAGTCCGTTCAGAGGTTGCTGCCTGGCGGGGATCATGCGATCGCGACGCTGCCTTCGATGGCTATCGCCGCCATGGCTGCCACGGTAGGGGTCAAGGGGCTTATCGGGCTCGGCTGCATTCGCATCAAGACCACCCAGGTGCAGGCCCTCGCACAGGATTGCAAGACGGACGTCTATTTCAACACGCTTTCGCTCCTCTTCCCGCTGATCGGGAAGCAGGCGGGCGTGTGGTGGTTGGATCCCCTGGGCGCAGCTCTGCTGTCGGTCTACATCATATACGACTGGGCCGACACGTGCGTCGAGAACATGACCCGGCTGTGCGGGTTGGCTGTCGACGAGCATCTGCAGAACAAGCTCGTCTTCCTCGCGTATCGTTTCAGCAACTTGGTGTCCGGAGTCAAGTCGGTCACTGCATACTACACGGGCGACGGCGTCTGGGTCGAGTATGACATCTTGCTGGAAGAAGGAACCCCTTTGCGCCGAACACATGATATCGCGGAGACGCTCCAATACTGCTGTGAGGCGTTGGGTGAAGTCGACCGAGCTTTTGTGACAACGGACTGTAAGTCATGGAGCATCGAGGGGGAGCGCTACAGACTGCTAATTGCGTTGTATAAACAGATTCGGTTCAGAACCCGGGTGGTCATACGAGAGATATGATGTGAAATTCTCAGCTCAGCATGAAATTGGCGTAACCACCCCTCGTATGAAGTTCCCAATGCAGTCGATGGATTCCTTTTTGGACATGAGCATGGCGAAGGCGTGTAGACAAAATTGATGGAAGAAGTATTTGCTAGATATTATATTCATCGAGTCTCTCTCTTCTCAATACGTCATACTAGGCTGAGATGATGAATACATATCATAGAAAACGACAACTTTTGCTGTCATGGTCTCCATCCAGATGCGGTGGTATACCTGTAGGTACGAGTGTGAGTACGAAGTGAATACGAATACGAATACGAATACGAAGCACCTCAGGTACCCAGGGCCCAAGATTAGGTGCCTGGGTACATAGTAAAAATGCTGGTCCCCGCGTGTCACTCGGAACTCGACGCGTGCCGACCGACGTGCGGTTCTTTCTCCTCGCAACCCATTTCGCTCCTGCATTGACTCGCTTGCCACCAAAGGCTCTCACAGACTCAATGTCGGAGCCTCCGAGCTCCATGTCCCGCTCGCGCTCGACGACCTCGTTGTATGAGTCTTCCGGCTACGGCGACGAGTCCGAGGGTTCCAGCTCCGTGGACGAATCTTTCAGCCTCGAAAACACGTCTTTTGTAGAGCCATTTGTAGAGAAGGCTCTCAGCATTTACTCCAAGGGTTCCAGCTCCATGACCTACACCCGGACCGAAAGACAGTGCATCCTCCTCCTCGCCCTAGTGGCTCTTCACGTGGTCGGAGGCCGAAACAGAAGGGCACGGAGTGCGATGGCCACTCCATCCCGCGTGGCGCCGCGAGGTGCCGTCACAAAGCCGACAACCCGCACGCAGAACAAGCTCTCCATCTCGAATCCGGCGGCGGCTGCTCGCTTACTGCAGAAGCAGCAGGAGCAGGAAAAGCAGGAGGAGGAAGAACAGCAGCAGTACGAGGAGGAACGGGCGAGACAACTGCAGGCCCAGTCACGGGAACAGAGTCAGTACGCGCGCGACAGAACAAGGAGATGGGTCGAATCACTCGCCCGCCATGGTCCAGAATCCCAGGCAACTTTGCACCACTCCAAACCGGACTCTTCTCAACCAGCAGCAGCAGCAGCAGCAGCAGCAGCAGCAACCACTTTACGGAGAAGCCCGAGAGCCAACAATAGTCGCAAGCAAGAGCAGGAACCACAGCAAGAGACCGGCGTCAAGAGAATGCAACAAGAGAGCCGTGTCAAAAAACCGCAACAAGAGACCCATGTCAAACAACCACAAGACACGGAGAAGAGATTGAAAAGATTTCGGAGCAAACCTCCCATGTCATTCCAAATCAAGCTTGAACGAGCAAAGTCTCAACGGATGATCGTCCTGGGTCGCAAACGCATCGTCAAGGACGATGCTCCCTGCGAACTACTGGAAATTGTCGGATCAACGGGCAACGTGTATGAAGTCGTCATCGGTCGCATGCCGAGCTGCAACTGCCCCGACGCACTCAAGGGCAACGAATGCAAGCACAAGGTCTACGCCATGCACACGGTTCTTAAAGCACCCGAACATCTTCAGTACCAAATGGCCCTTCTGATCAGCGAACTTGAAGAGATCTTCGCCAGTGCACCCCCGATCCCATCAGAGGTCGCGGCGAGTGACCTGGAAAAGGACTCGCAACAGCCTGGTAACAATCGCAAGTCTACCGACGGCGAATGTCCAATCTGCTACATGGATCTCGACCCGAAGAACAACAAACTTGTGTGGTGCAAGGCACAGTGTGGCCACAACTTGCACCAGTCCTGTTTCGACCAGTGGGTAGCTAGTATGGCGGGCAGAGAGGTACGCTGCGTATACTGCCGCGCGACGTGGGAGGTTGACGTCGGGGACGCCGAAGCCATCAAGAAAGCTGGACGCCACGGCGAAGATGGGTACATCAATGTTGCAGAGCAGGTTGGCATGTCGGGCCACAGAGATTATTCAAGCTACCACCGCCCATGGGTACGGAGACAATTTGGTGGATGGTGATGATGTTGATTATGACGACGATGATGTTGATATTCTTGAGGAGGTTTTTTCCCCAAAGGAGGAAACTTCTCACAAATTGCTCTTTTCCACCTTGCGCCATGAAGCCAGCCCGTTGTGAATTGTGATATTGTGTGTGGTATTTGCGTCGCATGGTGGAAACGAATCCACAAGTGTCTATGGTCTGGGTGGGTTTATGATTTTTTGCTGCCCTTGTCCAGGTTTAGTTGTTGATCATACCTTGGGTGCACGACACGGGGGTAAATCAGCGTACGTTGGGTACGTACATGTACATAATATGAAGTACATGAGCCCATCATACAAACATATTACATGGAGTCAGTAAATCAAAGGCACCTACACACCCAACCTGACCTACGGAGTACCCAATCTGTTCCAGACGATTTTTTTTGTTTTGTTTTGAGAAAAAAAAAAAAACCATTTCATTCAGTCATTCGGAATATTCGTCAAACTAATTCGATCAACACGATTTCGACTGTGTTCCTCCTCTGTTCTTTGTTCTCTCTCCTCCCCTCCCTGTCCCTCTCTCTTTTGCTCTCTCTCTCTCTCTCTCTCTCTCTCTCTCTCTCTCTCTCTCTCTCTCTCTCTCTCTCTCTCTCTCTCTCTCGTTCGTGGTTATCCCTCAAGTATTGCGGTTGTGTGGAGTTGGTCTGCCAGTTGGTGAGTTGGTCGTCCCTCACTATGGCTCTGATAGATCAATGAATGATGGCACGAGGCTCTCTCAACATCACGCCCCAGGTTCTCAAGTTCAAGTTCAAGTTCAAGTTCACCACGCTCACGCTCACGCTCAAGGTCAGAGTTCAACTTCGAGCTCAGTCCCAAGCCCAAGCCCAAGCCCGAGACCAAGATCGAGCTTGCATTGCAATCAAAATCACAAACTACAAATACATACGACACACATGCTTCGTGATCGCGCCCATACAAAGCTGGGATATATATATATATATAGAGAGAGAGAGAGAGAGAGAGAGAGAGAGACACTTGTACAGGTCAAAAGTAAAAAAGAAAGACCACCACCACCAGCACCAGCACCAGCGAAACGACCCCATGTTCCGAACTACCTTCAGTGGACAGCAGAACATGTCCTCTTTCATCGTGATGATTTCAAATCGCCACGGCGTTGTGGAAATAAATACCTCAAGGCTCTGGTTCGACTTGGAGATTGCCATTCCTTCCCACCGGCCAAAAATAACAGATCACAGCAGAAACACCAATATTCATTCCCTCGCTTGATCGCAATCAGAATCTCAAACAAACAAACAGACAAACAATCATCAAATTACCATCCAGGGGGTATCATAGGTCTCGTATAGAAAGCGTCAAACGCCGACGCCAACTGTGCTCAAAACATATCAATCACAACCACAAGCCCACCACCAACAAAGAAAAACGAGAGACAAAAACGAGTCCCCAGTTAACTCTGAATCGGCACGGGTTTCTCTTTCTGCAAAAGATGTGTCCAATTGAACAAATCAAATTTATCCTTGTCCTTGGCCGATTGCGGCATGTCAGGGTTGGGACTTTTGTTGGGTTCTCTCGGCTCCAAAATCAAAGATCTTCGGTAATGCATCTGGAAGCTTTTATCACCGGCCGAACGAACTCTAACCAATTGATCTTGCATCCATGTCTGTAACTCCGAGATCTCAGCAAGTCTGTAGGGGACTTGGAACCGTTGGAGATCGGAGATGATCTTGGCCGTATTCATATGTTTATCTAGGTTGATGACGGTTATTTTGCCCTGATCCGTCGTCAACGACCGCGTGCCTGGATATGCCGTATCAACCATGGTGAGATCGGTTAAGTAGACGCCGATGAAGGGCAGGCACGGCGGGAGATGGGACTGGACGCGTTGACGTAGGGTGGAATAGTTCTTGGACACGTCTATCACCTTGCAAAGCTCGTCGAACACGGACTTTGTCTTTTGCGGAACCCCTTCCCAAGTTTTCCGCAGTCGCTTGATGTTGGTTGAGTCCAGTGCACAGACTATGGCCATCAGTGTATCATAGTTGCGCAATTCCAAACATTTGTTGGCAATCTTGACCCACTGCTTCACGATTGCTGCCCTCCTTTTGGGCTCCTCAAGCTGCAGGATCGAATCGAACACCAAGAGTGAGATGTCGGTGGAGAGTGTCGACATGGCCCTGACATTGACGGCGAGGGAGCTGCTGCGCTTCGTCCATTCGGTCCCAAGAAGTTCTTCTGGCAAGATGGAACAGAAGATCTTGGACGTTTTTAGCGTGATCTGACGGGCCAGCTCGAGAGGGTCAAAGTCAAGAATGCTAACAGTCGCACCACCCATTCTCCACGTCTTCAAAGCACTCAGTTGGCTCTTCGACATAACAGGATTTGGGAATGGTGTACTCGGATCGATGTAGGTCGCGGAAGAAGTGGTCGTTTTCCCCATGGCCGAAACGACCCTGGGAACGAGGGGCTTATTTGAAGATGAGACTTGGTCAGCTAGTTCTAAAATTCTATTCCCGGCCATGGGAAGGACAGGAACCATGGACTCTCGGGCGAACCCAACAATGACGGGAAGAGCAGTATCATCGCAGTCATGCCTCCAGTGAGACTCCATCCATCCCTTGAGTACGTTGTACACTCGGAGCCTGACTGGGCTAGTGATCCTTGGATTTTCCGCGACATAATCAAACCGGACTGCAAGGGCAGACGCAAACTCTTCTGGTCGAGCAAAAAGACGAAACGTAAGATAAATGGTGCTGACAAAAGACGCGTCCGGGGTCGAATCATGTGCCGTCAAGCGTTCGACCAAGGCATTCAGGGTTCCACCGACCACGACTCCCTCCGGATTAAAGATGAGCTCCTGGGCAAAGGTGTTTGCCATGATTTCTGCCTCCGCGTCGTCGTCGTCTCCGAGTGAAGAATGATCATCGGGCGGGAATTGCGCCGATAAAGGGCCTGTGACCGAGCCACCGCCGTACATCGAGGTCACTCGCGTGGAGGCGGTTGACAGATTGCTTGGGTCCGACCGCCTGTGAGTGGTATCTAGACTGCTGTCGCTACCCTTGCTTCCAACCATGGGCAGGACCGCCGACGTACGCTTTCTCTTGTCGACGGGAGGCTGATTGATACCAGGGGCACGTATTCGAGAATCCGGATGTAAAGATGGTGCTTGTGGTGGGACAGGGGAGGATCGAATGATATCCACAATGACATCGTCTCTGGGAGGAGGAGAAACAGTCGCAAAACTAGTCAACGGGCCCTCGGCCGTGTTTCGAGATAGAGGAGGAGTAATCATGCGTCTGGGAACCGAGACCGGTACATTTTCCGTCAGCCGGCGGGAAGAGTCCTCAATAGCCGCGCTCTGCGTCGGTGACCTCAAATTTACACTGGAACGAACCCCTTGGCTGGTAGATTCGAGTGTACTGGAGCTGTCAGAGCCCCTGCCGACCAGCTGCGCAATATTCTCGATTTCGAAGTCACCAATCTCTTCCAGCGTCGCTTTGGTGCGAGCCACGCACCGCCCTGCAGCACTTACACACGCGGTCGCAGCTCGAACAAGATTCTGTGCCTCTTCTGGAAGATAGACTAGCTCATCGTCCATGGAATGAATGGGTTTGAAGACCTGTCTGGCGGCATGTACTAATTCGGTAATGGCATAGTACATGGCATCTTTGGCCTGGACCAAGGGGCGAGAGGTGCTGTAATCTCGATCGATGACCGTCTCAACAATGGCGAAGAGCTGACGACAAGAGCGGACAGCGTTTTGGGTGGTCATTAGAAGCTCGGAAGAAGACCTCGATTGCATGTGGGAGCCCAAGAACGAGGCCAGCACGGTGAGAAAATCATCATAGGACTGGTGCAAGTACTGCGAGATGAGGTTGGAGTTCTTCTGGCTGGTAGCGCGCGTATAAGACATTCGGTGCGTCGTCGACGAGCGCCGACGAACTGGAGTGTTGTGTGCCACAGGACCAGCACTGCTTCGCCTTGACGGCGCGCTAGACATGGAGGCGGTGGGGTTCGAGTCCCGGAGCAGGATGGTTGAGTGAGGTCTTCGGGACCTTGGGGACGTTGGCGGTCCGGAGGGCTCAACGCGTGAGACCTCTGACCTAGTTGGGGCCGACACGATGGCAACAATCTGTTCACTCCACACGTCGAAAAAGGAGACTGCTCGAGTGACGATGCGGAAGGCCTTTAGCAACATGTCATCGAGTCTGATGTCCAAGTCCTTGTGCGAGGACGAGACGGTGACGACCTGTTGAAGTTGTTTGGCGGTCCGCACGAGCAAAGCTAGGTCTGAGAGCAGGCTCTTGCGAGATCGTCGGATACCATCATGCTGCCGAACAAGAGTGGCATCCCGCGTCAGGCACTCGGATCGTTCCAAAAGTGCGCGGACCCCGGCGACCAAGCCTCGCATGTAGTCCTGATTGCGGAACAGGTTCAGGTTAGAATCACTCCCACACCTGACAATGTCCCAGAATTCCGTCAGGGCTTTCAGGAGAGGTCGCATGGCGGCATGATCGTATGATTCGCAGTAGTTGGTGGGCAGCCAACCACGGGCACCCGTCTCCAGCAGCGTCCCATCCGCCCAGCCGTTGACATGCACCGAATGGACCAAAATGAGATCTCCGGCGTTGAGAGGCAGGGTGACGGTGGTCGACGAGTGCGGCGAGGGCTGGAAGGTATAGAGAGCGCGGAGATAGTTGTGGAACCTTGCATGGCTGGAGGCCGAGTCGTCGATGGTGTCCGAGGCCAAGGTCGCTGTCGGACTGGGTTCGTTATATAACGCGCCGGGCAGGTTGTCGCTGCTGTTTCTGTGTATGCGCAGCGGCGCCACGAACATGCTGGAGGGTTGATTCGGGCGCATCTTGCCGGGGAGGTTCGTCACACATGTCGCTCAGCACCGGGCGGTTGATGCCTTGGACCCGGCCATTGTTTTTGGTCTATTCCGTGGCTGTCACGTCGGAGGAGGTACTCGGAGGTAGTCTTGACCTGAGCGTGTTGGGGTGCGTGAAGCCAGGCGGGTGCGAACGGCTCTCAATCGGCAGGCTGGTGGTACAGTCGAGTCGCAGTGTGCAGGAAGCCGGCCGAGGGTTGTCTTGAGGAGAGAACTGTAGCGTCTCGTGCAACAACAGATGTCAAACACCCTTTCAAGGGGTCGGGGAGTTTAATTTGTGAAGCGAGGGGCGGCTGTCGAGTAACGCAAGGATCAGAAGGGCGTTGCAGCTCGCGTCAAAACATGCGGCTGTCAGTCAGAGTTTGCGGATTGAAGTGTGTTTCTTGTAGGGGGTAGTAGAGGACGGCACTTGAGGTTGTTTGTGCGAGCATGAACAGCTGGCGAAGCTGAAGAATATGGAGAATGCGAGGTCGCAGGAGGATGAGGACGAGGAGGAGGAGTAAAAGACTCACGGGCGCGACGGGACGAATAAAGCCACAGCAGCGCAGTTAAAGTTACGGAGTTCGGACGCTGGTGGTGTTAGTGATGCGGTTGATGGTGACGCTGAAATACAATACTCCGAATACTCGAAGCTGAATAATCCAACTCTACCAAGGCTACTACGAGTAGGCACTGTAGGTACCCAAGCAGTAGGCGGCTTAGGTATCTACGTTAGGTGGGTACGGAGTACACTTCCTAGGTAAGCTTTAAGCTCCCAAGAGCCTAAACAGCCTAGAGGCATGACTACGATACCTGTACTTCAGGTATCTACAGTACCTTATAGCTGGGTACCTCCCAAGGAACCTGAACCACTAGTTAACTTAGACAGGTTTCACAGGCGACACCGGGGACCAGATCCCTGGATTTAACCCCGTCCATTAACAATTGACAATTATTACGCCAGGTTATTTACCTACTAGTTAAGGGTGCTCAAATGGATGACCGCAGCTGATGCATTGTTTCTTGTGGATAACATACAAAGAATTGTTCTCCGCTACCGACCTAACCTACCCTCCAGCAGGCTTTCTAGTAACTAACTTGGACCTGAGGGCACCTCTAGGCGGTTGGTTCCTTACACATGCCGCTGGGCGAAGTGTTTACCTAATTTTTGGTTTTAGGCATAGCAGTACCTAGCTCCCTAACGTACAGTAGTTTAAGCTTTAACCCCAGATCCCAATTCCCCCGGGCACTAAAATAGAGGCCGGAACCCAACACACGGTACCTGAAGCATGGAGACTGAAAACTGTGCCAGGAAAATCCCCCAAAAGGCTTTGCCCCAGATTGTAGGATCTGCGAGTCTAAGCTAAGGTATCGAGAGTATGCATCTTGTAAACACGACGTCGGTATGTTGTCACCAAACACGCTGCAGTGGCTTCTTCATCTGCAGCTTTATTCTTCTCTTCCCTGGGATGGGGCTTTACACAACCCAAAAGAACCAAAAGTGCCAAAAACCAAACAGGCCAGTGGTATTTACTGATACCTGACTATCACAAATCGAAACAACTTTTGGAAGGACTCCAACCATTGATTGTCCCATTCGCTGCAATCTCTTGTTCATCGAACTTATACTACCTTACTCAGGCACATGTACCGTCGGACCATTGTGGATAGCGCCGGCCTTCACCTCCCCAAACTCATCGACACTCTCCGTGACTACAGCATAGGCCCCAATGGTACATGCATATCCCAGCGTGACACCGGGATGGATCACGGCTCCACGTCCAATGGTCACACTCGGTCCAATACGAACAGGATGGGCAATCGACTCGGACTTGCAGCCCACGCGGTCGACCAAGTCCGTCAACACCGTCGTCGTGAAAATGACGACGTCGCACCCAATGTGCGTTCTGGGCCCGATGTCCACCTCGGCTGAGTCATCAATCTTGCAGTTCTCCCCGATGAAGACGTCCTGGTCGATCTTGAGATTATACCCATAGCTGCACTTAAACGGGGCCTCGACGACGACATCGGCTTTGAGCTGCCCGCTGATGGGGATCGGCGAAGGGATGCCATAGCTTGTGTCTTTGTTCGGATCTATCACCATCATCAACAGCTCTCGGAGCACTTCTGCATTTAGCCCTGCATCGATGTCGCATGCAGTGTTGTATCGCGCCAACGCGCGTTTGCATCGAGCTCGCTCGTTTTTGAGCGTCTGATCGTAGTGCTTGAACGGCGACGACCGCGTCATCTTGGACCGCTCAACGTCCTCCTTGCCAAAGGTCCTGGGGGGTATTCGCTGAGAGTCGGACGGCATTCGTTGAGAGTCGGACGGCGTCCGTGTGTGCGTCGTCGTCTCGCTTGGACGTTGAGGACGCGACGTGCGCACGTCTGTCCGTGGACCACGGTGCGGATCAAAATGCCGGAATTGACGATCTTGTAGCTGGGAAGCATTGAGCTGTGGCGTAAGTGGTGGTGGTGGTGGTGGTGGTGGGATCGTCCCCGATGGAGCCAGCGTGACGCTTTCGGGTCGCCCTTGTTGATACTGCAAAGGGGACACAGACGAAGGGCCAGGGTACATGCCCTGACTGGCTGGCAGCGGCGCCTCTCGTGGCGCTTGTGTATATACTGGGGGAGGATACTCCGGCTGACTGAGTTCGGGAAGTCGTGGGAGCGGTTCACCATGACGAGAGGGTGGGTGTGGTGACGGAACCCATGGTGGCGGCCCACCATAGTACGGTTGGCTTCCAGCTTCGGCATGCACATGGGTGACTCCTTGCCCATGAGGCGGCTGAGCAACAGTCACAATATGCGGTTGAGGGACATTTACCGCATGTATAGCCAGAGGAGCAGACATGATCTGTGGTTGAAGGACATTTGTCACCTGGCTTGATTGAGCCGGGAGCATGCGTCCACCATTGTTATCGATTGGGGCGCCATCGGAATTTGGTTGATCAACTGGTGCATGGCCATTGTGAATGGGTTGCCCTGGTGCTAAACCTGATGCTGAACCAGGTGCTGAGCCTGGTACTGAGCCTGATGCTGAGCCTGATGCTGGGCCTGATGCTGGGCCTGATGCTGGGCCTGGTGCTGGGCCTGGTGCTGGGCCTGATGCTGGGCCTGATGCTGGGCCTGATACGGAGCCTGGTGCTGGGACTGGTGCTGGGCCCGATACTGGAGGCTCTCCATAACCCGACTGCTGGGACCCTTGACTTCGGGCTCTTCTGGCCCATGTTGTTAGATTTAGCAGTTCGTCCTTGTAGCCCTTGCACCGGAATCCTCCCCTTCTACAATTGCGGCCTGAGATCCAAGGTGGTTAGCACTTGATATAGGACGAAAGGAAGGTCAGACTCACAGACTGGCTTTTCCTCGTCGCACTTCTTTTTGCGTTCACGGCACGTCATACAACCTGTCTTTGTCCGATTGCTGAAATTGCGTTTTCGTTTCGGCGCAGCAGATCCAGGAGCCGTCGGTGCATCCGAGCCATCTGGATCTGTGCCATTCGTGGATGCACCATTGACATCGTGGCTCGAGTGAGAAACTTCGATGGTGTCTGTGTCCATGGCATCCACCGTTGGAGAGTCGGGCCTGAAACTGGGGGATTCAGGCTCGGCTTCATGCATCGGTGAGTCGCTTTCAGGTGATGGCAGACTAGCACTCTGCTCAGCTTCATTGGCGTGCTCATTGTGCTCGACCATGGCATGACCTGAGCTACCGAGTGCTCGTAGTGCCCGAGTAGCTGTAGTAACATGATTTGTATACCCATGCGAGATATCCACACCATTCACCGTGGCCTCGTCAGCGCCCGAGCCTCTGCTTCGATGATGACGGGCGGTGGAGCTCATTCTGTGTCCAGCGAGGGGGTCTACAGGCAAACAATGTATTGCGCCTGGTACGGAGTCTACTGTGGTGTCGCGAGTGAGAACTAGGGGCAGCAGTACCTGTGATTGTAGAAGCGTCAGAGAAGTCCTGGGAAACCACGTTGCCACACAGTGGGTTTCACGTCAGCCATAGAGTCGAGGGATGGCATACTAAGGCCTAGCCGTTGCTGCCTGGCTTCACGTAGAAGGTAGCCGAGAATTCAGTTGAAGAACACTCCGGTTTGGAGGCAAACCAAAACACCCAGGCGCTACAACGGTGACTAGTTAATGGTGCGCGGACTTCGAAGGGCTCTCTATATGTGATAGAGGAGCTGAAGAGGCTCCCTCGACCCAGGTGACAAAGAGGGCACGATCGACAAGAGGAGCGGAAGCGTAGAGTACCAGGGTGACTTTGGTACAGCAAGCTTCTCAGCCAAAGCAATGCAGCACCTGCTCGACTGATGCCTCCTGGTGGTATGGCGGATGGAGGGTGTGTTAATAAGTCCTGACCCCTCGGTGATGCTGAGCGTACTCGCGCGGCAGATGACAGCCGCTAGCCGCGAGAAGCGCGGGCGCCAGAAGATGGTCCGGTCTTCGGGTGTGTACGGAATCAGCCGTTCGACACACTGCTCTCGCAGAGGTACTTTTGCCAAAAGAGATCAAACGGTCTTTGAATGAGATGCCCACGAGGCGTACAGAAGTTGAGCAGTGACAGCAGATAGAGGTAATGCTGTCGACCGAGTAGAAGAAAAAGAAGAGAGAGCGAGAGGAGAGGGCGGCATGAGCGAGTCTCTAGATCTAACGCAAGCCCAACGAGACGCGGCCTCCCTAGCCCAAGGAGAGTAGTGTCACTGCTTCCCGGCGCTTGGAAAAGGCGCTTGCCGCCAGTGACGCCTCGACATGCCAGTGGTCGACAGTGCCCACGCCCACGGGGGCATCGACGTGGGCTGACTGAACGTGCAGAAATGGCATGTCGGCTTCGCGCCATTCAAGTGCGAGTGTTCGCTGTCCAGGCGGCAAATGTGGGCGCGGCTTCTCATTCTCGATCCGCATTGTATCCGTACTTTCGCACCCGGACTTCGAAGACGTACAGTACGAGTACGAGTAGATCCCCAGCGCCCAGTACGGATGCTGTTGGTCGCCGTGGATGGTGTCCGCAATGGAGCAGGCTTCAACTCTCTCGGTACTAAAGTAGCGAACGGACAGTGCCGGCGGCATTTTGATACAAGTCATCGTACATAAAACCTAGAAACAGCAACAATCACAGTACGGAGTACGCACCGAGAGAATCATGGAAGGCAACATTTAGAACGCTCGTACTTCGGAGAGGCCTCAGGAGAGAGACCATGGCCCGACCGCCTCACCCTTTCGAGGATCCGGACATGTCAACCAGGAGCTCGATGCAGTCCTCACAGTCCGAGACACAACCAGGGTGAACGACCAGGGTGAAAACCGTCTGCGATGGAAAAGACTTGAGGAGGGGGTCACAGGCTCAGCTGCTTCGAGTGTAAGGATTGCCCCTGTAACCTTGCGGGAGGACTCAGGACTTACCTGCCTTGCGAGGAGGGATACGCTCTCGCTCGCTGTTCCATCTTCCAATTCGCTTTGCTCATTGGCCGCGGATGTGGCCCATTGTGTTGTGGCCATCACCTCGCTTAGAGCCAAGTCACGGCGAGCGTCCGCGCTTGTAGAGGTGGCGTTGGGGACTCAAGACACGCGCAGACGCTTCCACCTGTACCTTAGACGCTCGACGCGTAACCGCCGGAACGAAGGAAGGCTTGGTCCAGGTGATCAATGACGGGCTAGTGCCTGAGTCCTAGACACAAGCGAAGAGGATGGAAACACGTTAGATACAACATATTGTAACGAAGCCCGCGTTTCTCTTGTTGGGCGAGAATAAAGTCATGCGCAATTTACTCCAGATCTAGTCCAACTGTCCCATGCCGCCCCAAATCCAATGTGTGCGTTGTTGGTGGCGTCTCCTATGTACTCATGCGCTCTGGTGTCAATCTGTCTTTGCCCGTCCAAAGCCATCTCCAGCAATACGGAGCAGGTTGGACGCCCGTGAGCACATTGAAAAGGGAAATAACATTGCGACAGTCCAGACACCAATTGGGTACATTCATCTAGGGTTAGGGTGTCATTGAACATGATGGCTGTACGGCAGGACCGAGACTTCATCATCTCCACCATGAGTGGTGGACAATGGCCAAACGCTGATATCCACGTAGCGCCTGCATCTGGGCACTTCTCCGTCGACTTGCCTGGAGATGCTTGCCCGGATACAGGATTGCTAGACCAGATGCTGCCCCGTAAGAGATCAATCGCAAGCTTTGGGTCCGAAAGACAACGCGTGACAATAGCTGCTGGGAGAGCGCTAACTCGCAAGTAGTGGGATGAACGAGCCTTCATCGCTGAGGTCCAAGAAGGGTCGAAACCTGCATGGACAATATACTCGATTCGCCATTTGTGGAAGTATTCCTGTCGCTCTTCAAATAGTGCTGCTTCGGCTTCATCAATCTCAAAGACTAGCGCCGGATTCAGGATCGCAGAAGGGGCGTCGCAGGCTTCTTGACACAGGCGTTCGTATTTGACGCGTTCGTCGGCTGCATGCTGATCAATGAGCACGACCAAGTTCTTGCCTTGCTCACCAAGACGAGGGTCGAATCCTGGGAGGCTGGCAAGCACAAACTTACGATCAATCTGACCAATGACAACAGCTTTGGCAAGAGCATCTTTGGTCAGTGTAATGTCACGAACGCCCGAGGTCTCAGAAATTCCCATGGCAAAAGTTGCCCTGCTCGAGACGCATGCAGGGTGATCCGTTAGAGTGGGTATCGGAGTTTCTTTCTTTTTATGTCCAAGGATCCCTTTGTACTTTTGGGAGCGCAGTTCAGCTTCTGGATTCTCGGGCCTGTCAGCTCCTAAGGTGGCGATCTTGGTATGCCTGAGCTTTGGTCGCTGTACAAATTTGGGACTGGGTCTTTCAGCTTCCAACTCGCCCAAGACGGTCCCAGTGACCGGATAGAGACGAATAGACTGGCCATTCCGAGGATTTTCCCAAGATACCGGCCCAGCATCCGCCGTTTTGGTGGCTGAAGAGGCCAACTTTTCGGCCTCTGCTTTCTCGTTGATGCTGATTACCTGAGCCCAGCCCTGGGGGGTTCCCGTAAGCTCCGATATCGATGCAGGATTCGAAGCGTGCGCACGATTTCCTCTGAGTGTGGAAAACTTGAGCCCATTCCCAAGATCTCCGAGTCCTGCAGCACCCCCTGTCTTGATCCTAGGCCAGTCGTTGAACGGGATGCCACTGGAAGGCTTATCTTTGTTTGAGGTTTCTGGGTCGGGTGTTCGCGTAATGTGATTGTTTGGTGGAGATTGCGCGAAAGACTTAGAGGGTAGTACGGTATCCCCACGGATACCAATCATAGTAGGGTTAAAGCCATTCTTATCCAAAAACTGGTAGATCAAGGTCTTCAGAAGATAAGTGAGATTCACGGTTTGCTCTGAAAGCTCTGGTAGTCCATCGCGCTGCAACATGTTCCCTTCTTGGCCTTGCAGTGGTTCAATGCAGATATAGAACATCAGCCAGCGATCGACACCTTTGACAGGCCTGGACTGTAGCTGATGACGTTGATGGGTGCGACGAGAATGGCGTAAATACCCGTCAACACCAAAATCTGAGTGCTCCACGGTCTCATTGACTGCATTGAGTAGTAAATTGCTCCTTTCCCCCCGGCAGACCGGCAAGTGCCTGATAGAAATGAACTGGCAAGTCTTGGAAGCAGCAGCTTTAACGGAGACGGCAGCGCGAATCTTCAAGTTGCCCGAGACCAAAGACAATGTACTCCATGACGATTTGCTCGGATCAGAAAGGAGTTTAGCTTGATGCAGCGTCGACACAAGTTGCTGGAGATATTGGCTTGTTGGATCAGATCGGTGAGGATCCTTGTGCGAATATATCTTGTCGCCGCATTTGAGGGACAGTCGCAGGCTCTCTGGCCCCTGTCTCGCAAGAATGTAGCCCACGGCCACTAATCTTATCCGATCGAATGTCTTTTGTATCTCGGTCGGACGCGAATAGCGAAGGGATATATGCTTCGTACGCACTGGAAGATCTCCGAAGAGGTTGCGCACCTCTACCCGGGTCCCTCTCCGCCAAATCTTTCCATCTTCTTGATCCACGCATTTCTGTCGGAAAATTACTCGCCCGCGATGCAGCGTCAGTTGATTTGCGCTACTCTCTTGTGAATGACGAGACGTGATAGTCAAGAGGGACAAGGACGACAGATTGGATAGGAACCGGCCAGACGAGCCATAACACAGGTTCGAGGAATTGGATTTGGAGGTGCCTAGAATCTTCGTCAGCCACTTCAGCGAACCATTTGGACTTGCTTCATACAGAATGGTTGGGCTAGGTGGCCACCTTCCATGAACTCCTGGCCCGGGATTCCCACTCCATTGTCGCGAACAGAGACGTAATTCCTGTTGAAATCAATTTCGATGGCGACGTAGTCCGGGGTAGCATCTAGGGCGTTTCTCAAAAGTCCTTCAACAACGTCTTCGTATGAAGCCACATCGTGAGCTGCTGAGAGGCTGCAGCGGAGTTGTGGTGGAAGAGGTGAAATTGAGTGGACAGTGGTCATCATGCACAAAGGCGCACGCGGAACTTGCGCGGATCATAAACCAGGGTGACACCATGTCTGTCGCCAGGAAGAGGCCAAAACTGATCAAGCATGTCGACAGGTACGAGTAGTTGCGACCTGGTACTCCGTAGTAGAGCCCTGGTTGCAGACGTGATGGTAAAATGAAGGGATTTGTGGACGGCCTGGGACATGCGCGGATTCCCTGTCGACCTTAAAGGTTTGAGTCCTTGGAGGTTGGGGCCCTTTGGGCATAGTACACACTAATCACTCAGGCAAGTTAGGCGGGAGCTGGAGGCCTGAGTCGCCGCTAACGTAGCCAACTTAGGCACCTGCGTTTAAGCAAACCTTTGAACTTAGGCCTCGGCTTGATTATGCCGACCACGCCAAGCGCCACTCCAACCTGGGAAGGTCAAGCGATGCACTGTCAACTTCAGTCAATCAATTCATTTTCAAGAGGACGACGAGACAGATACCTTAGTCAACAGAGAAACTCCTGGACCAAAGATTCTGGATTTCTGTCTTTGCAGAGTCCCAAGACTCCTCTATCATGACCATCTAGCAATGCTTCCAGTGCTGTCGATAACAAACTGTGCAGCCGACCCAACCCCGTGCAGCAAACATGGCTATCAACAGATCCCGAAAACTGGTGCGCTACTGCCTGTCACGCAGACTTTCAGTCCAGGAGTTTGGATCACTCTTACAGGAGTATCGCAATGAGGTAGATGGCAAGCTGTTGTTCAATGCGCTGGTCGATTGTCGGATTTCATTCTGCGCGCCAGGAGATCCCTTGCTCTCACTATATCTCGAACATGTCGAAATTACCGGCATTCTCAACGTCTCAACTGCACTCCTGATCATCATCAACAAATGGAACAAATCCAAAGAGTCACAAAGCCTGCACATTCTAGAGTGTTACAGTCGACTACTCCAGGACTTTGTGATGGTGATATTGTCCCCAAAGTTCAAAGCGAGCCTTGACGACGTACGAGCTTCCCTAGAGCTATCCTCGAGGTGGCTGGCATCCTTGGCTCCTCAGGTGTCTCATGAATTGGACGGACCCATGGCGAAAACTCACATGGTCGAAGCACTTGCATTTCTCGTTGCTTCCTTAGCCTCTACCACTGCTGGCTGCGAGGCTCTTGCCGTCACCAATTCTCCGGACAGTGTGTCAAGGGAGCTGCCGTCTCGTGTACAAGCCCTTCGCATCTCAGTCCGACAATCTCTGGATTTAGCTCAGTACTCCACGTTGTCGAGCCATCTTCTCAGCCGGATCAATGGTGTCCTCGACGTCCTGAATCAAGACGCGTCCTTGGGTGGCGATTCCTCTGCGCAGTTGCCAGATATAAGAACGATGCAGTTCGAAGCTCGTGTCCCCGAAACTCATATGGTCGCCTCCAGAGCGGCGACAATACTTCATCTTACGGCTATGGTGCGTCACACTATACCGGATGAGCAACAATACTGATAAAACAGCTCTCAGCAGGATCAACGATCGACGACGGGGCTTTGGTCAATTATCTCTGCACTCGTCATCAGGTATGATACTCTGCTGATGAGTCTGATAATCTTGGCTAACTAAATACAAGAATGATTACCAGGCCGTTTTCACAGATCTCTTCATTTTGTCATTTCACATTCTGAGAGAGCAATTCTCGAATACAGAAACCACCCTTTGTTATCAACAATGTCGAGTGTTCCTGCAAAACAAGTTGCCTAGTCTCCTCTCCATGATATCAGCTTCGTCTTTCAATGGCTTCGATACCGAACAGACCATTGTTGAGACATGGCCTCTAGCGCTGGGACAATTATCAACCCCAGAGCTCATGTCGGTTGGGTTCCGGTTTATTTACATCTGCTCACTCCATCGTTTGGTCTCGCACTCAACCAGTATACAGCTAATTGGAAATGACGACTCAATCTCCGGCTTGAGCAAAGGTCTCTACGCGAAAGATGACCTTGTGTCACAGGTAATCTCAAATCACACGAGGGGGCCTAAATTGGTCGAAGAACTTATTCGAAGTGATGGAAGTGCTGGTTCTATTAGTCATGCCCTGGTTGAAGTAAGCCACCTGCATGTGCCTGATGCTGTCACATACTGATGGCTCTCAGATTATGCACAACTATTGTCGTACAAAAGAAACTCAGTACCTGAAAGACCTCTCCAATGCAATCATCCGAAAGCCAGCTGCAATCAATTGTATTACGCTGTTTGTTCCTCCAAGCTTTTGGCTCGGCCCTATATGCATGCTGTTAGACGAATGGCGATGGAATGAAATCCACGGTGGGAAGACCCATCACACTCGAAGTTTTGCTAACAGACAAAAGGCGAAGCCCAACCTGTATACGATGATTTTGGCGCTGCATTTCTGCTGCTACAAGTGTGTAAGGCGCGCCTGAGCCTGTCCGAGACCGACCTCGGCATCCGTAAGAGGGATGGTTTTCTGTCCGAATTTTACAATAATGCCAATGCGGATATTGACTTGGAACATCTCTCGGAAGAACGGAGAACACACCTTGGGAATTGGATTAACGCACTCTACCTTGCAGAAGGCCTGAGCGACGAGCTGTTCACCAACTGCAGCCCACATGACTTCTACATTTTGATACCAACGCTACTTAGGCAATCCATAACTGCGTACCACCAAGAGAAACTTACCAAAGAGTCTCTCAAAGCTGGTCTTGAGTGTAAGTTGATTAGATTTTGACGCATTTCAACTGACAACAGACAGATCTTTTGGAGCCGTTCCTTCTTCCATCCCTCTTTCCAGCACTCAACTGGATCACCAGAGTGCTTCAGGAGGACACTCTCGATACCTCCTTTATTCTAGATGTTTTGATCAAGGTTCCTGGAAGCCCCGAGTCACGAGATATCCATGGTACCATCCTATCCATGTCCGCAGGCAGCCTTGGCGAACAAATAAAGTCAAAGCAAATGCATGATGACGGCAAATTGATGGCCATCAGCGAACAATTAAATCACTACCCGGAGTTCTCTTTCTCGGTCAAAAGTAGATGGTTCAATGACTACGACCGGATCTCCACCACCCTACAACAAAGCATCATAACCATGATCACTAGCAACGAAGCCGTAACCAGTCCAGACCACTCTACCCCAGATATCACAACTATGGTGCATACTGCCGTCGGCGTCCTCGGCGCTCAAGGAACTCTCCGCATACTTCTAAGAGTGCTTATTCAGCTTAGCGATAGCCATGAATTTCTCTCCGCGGTTGACACTATCTCGACCATTGTTTGTGTCGGCGGTCGACAACTAAAGGAAGCTTTGAAAGTACAGCACCAGAGTTTGGGACGCATTCTCAAAAAAGAGTCAATACTAGCGGAAGCGGTGGTTCGGTTACATAGACAGGTCGAGGGTTATACGAATCTCCTTACCGTCCAGGACATGAATTTGAACGAGTTTACCTTCGCCCAACATCTCAGCAATATCGACACGGCGAATCCCAACCTAGATGGTGTTCCAACTTCAGCCGGACCGATGGATACCCAAGTAGATCAAGAACAGGCTGACGGTATTGACCAGGTTCTCGACGAAGCTGCCGCTCTAGGAAGCTTGGACTCCAACGATGCAGACATGAACTTTGACGCTCTGTATGGGTTACAAAACAACGACATGGACTTGAATGACCTAGATCTTGATATGTTCTAGCAAACTTTGTTTCTCTACAAGCACTATTAGTGTAATGTTTTGTCTCTGGGTGGAGAGCTTCTGAACACTTGAAAATTCCCTAACGCAAACAAAAATCAACGCGTAGACGCTGCAAGGCCAAGGATATGGCTTCCCGCTGTCCAGATCCGAGATATTTCAGGCTTATCAAGAATAGTAGCAAAGGATGGACCTGCAGTGTTGCAGGAATATTAATTCCACGAACTTCTTGGTCTGCTCCCTCATTCACCCCTCGAGAAGGCTGGGCCTTGCTGTGGCCGTACACGTCGACATCTCCGAAAGCATAGCTCAATGTCCCCAGAAAGTCTTGAACAGTCTCCTGGAGGGCGTTTGTTTGCAAACGTACCAGGTTGCTGCAATCCAACCTTCTACAACTCTTTGTCTCGGCTAGACTTGGGCTCCCGAGCAGCGCCAAAGCATCGATCAACGCAGCATGTAGGCAGATCTTGGAAACAAAATATCTGGTCCAATGAAAGAAACCGTTCCAGGAACGAAAAAGGTAAAGCCGAAAAGGAGAATCAGCGACCCAAAGACCATGCCGTCTTATTGGGATGCTTTCTTCGCCGGCAACATGTTGTGGCAGCCATTCGGGTATATCACACCATCCAGCCACTTTCTCTTCGAGTCTCAGGGCAGCTTTGAAGTATGTATCAACCAAGGTGTGTCGATCCAATGGCTTCGTGTGGCAAACAGAGATGAAATTCTTGATCCGAGCACGTAACTTTGAAACGCCGTGGAAGAAAGTCCGCACTCGCAAAGTAGCGTTGGGCACAACGTCTACGGCTTTTGGGATTTGAGCTTCCAGCATCAGATACTCCTGGGAAGGCTCTTCACTTGCAAACAACGGTTTCCAATGCTTGATTGAAGTTAGTTTGTTAACTTTATGAGCACGATCAGGGTTCCCTTTACCATGGAAGAGAGAAGGAGCTGATATAAATGCCGGCTTTCTGGAGTGGCGAACTGCTCATCACCTCGCATACGTAGCAGCATTAATGCACCGTCGATATGAGCTTGATGCGCCGGATTTCCGCTCCAGTTGACGTGGGTTGAACTAGTGATACTGGCAAGGACCTATTGCCGGTTAGATGCTTGCTAACACTCCGGAGAACTTCTCCTACCTCTCTGAGACCTAACAGCCAGACAGCGACGAGGGTCTCATCTTTGAGACGCTGATCAGGATCGGCCAAGGCTGTGTTGGTTCCTGAGACAGCCTTTGCATACTCGAAATCGACAATGTTGCTCATATCAACTGTGGGTGATCGATTTGCGAGATTCATGATTCCCACAGCCCGCATGGCAGCATACAGGTATGAATGACGGCCAGCTTTCAAGAGGATCGTGGGGAGGAATGTAAAAGAGTCGTTGCCATAGAGAATTCGAGAATGAACATCCAGCTGCGCGAGCGAATACCAGACAGCTTGTTCTGTCACGTCTTTGAGGACATTGCCCATAGGTACTGGAGTTTGCGGATATCTTTTAGAGAATTCCAGAAGCGAATCGCTTTGAGCAGTGTTGCTCTCATCCGACTCGATACATACGGCCTTAGCATCGTGACCGTGTGGTACCAAGCTTTCGCTCGAACTGCTCCTCGATTCTCCCGGCGCCGACATGAAGACAGTTGGTCGAATGGAGCCATAATCGGAGGATCGGTAACCCGGACAAGGTCGCTTGAGCCTGGCACAGTTGCGACAGCCAGGTTTGCCTTCGTCACACTAGCTTTCAGTAAGTCCAATGTTTCGCACAGAACTAGTCAATCGCTTCCAGCCCACCTTCACCCTCCGCTTCCGACACAGACCGCAGCCTGTACTTGGACGTCCGATATTGCCCATGGAGACTGGTTGGGGTCAGACCAGCCCTTGGAGGTCGGGCAGTTGCGAACGAAGCCCTTCGGGTAAGGCGTATCGTTGTTCTATCTGGAAGACTGTCGTTTAAGAGCCAGCCGCGACCGTGTTGCATAGAAGCCGATAATGTGTAGAGATCGAGGTTTTAAGGACGTGCCGGTGCACCAGTAACTTATCCTCGTGGCTTTCTGCGTCCTGCTACGCTCAGGGGGGTATATCCTAGCGTAGCAACCATCGCGTGTGTTGCATCTGCGTACTCGGCTGTGTTGGCTTGATACGGTGCAGACACTTCTCAGCTCGTCGACACTGAAAGTGCTCAGCAGTGATACCACCGTCTCTGGGGCTTAGATTGAGAATGTCGTCGGGGGATTTATGGTAATGTGAAAGCTGAATCAGCATTGTCTCAAGAGATGAAGAATAAAGTCGCCAACAGCTGCGCCTCGCATGGCTAGCCATGATGAGTTAGTAGAGCCGACAAGTCGAGACCACCTCGAGTCCAATAACAAGACGGCGGTACCTGAGGGCATCTCAGCCGCGCCGCCACGTGTAAGAAAGACCAGGATTATGCGAGAGAACTCGGTTAAAAAAAGCTCAGTAGCAGCCTCGAGGTCATGACCAATATCAGATGTGGAAGTGCTGGTGGAGGTGTCACTTTCCATCCTACCGCAACTCTGCATAGCAACTTCGGCACACTCTCATTTTCTAGTATCCAGGGATTCTGCAACAGCTGAGACGACCTCGACCTCCATTCCTAACTGTTGATCTTGAGGGTCATGATTTGTGAGCAGCGGAACCACCTCATCACCATACAGGATAGCCGTCATGTACGTGGTGGCTTGCGCTACCGGTACAGTTACTGTTTATCACTAGAAGATATCCGGGTAGGGTTCTGATGAGCATCTTGATGCTTGAGAACAAGATGTGACAGGAGGAGACCAGGACATGTATGGACCAACGAACGGATGTTCAGGGCACGAACAAAGCCGACATTTCACTCATAGCCAATTCCGCCACTCGAAAAGAGAGCCAGAATGGTACACCCAACAAAAGCCCCGTGATCTTTCATCTTTCCGTGTTGCTCTCAAAACGAGAATTTCGTGCCGACGGTTGATGGGGCGAGCTTTCCTGGCATCAATTTCTCGATCTCGAACTTGGCTCGCCAACCCGAACAGTGACCAGGCATCAGGATGTCAGGGTTGAGATCTTTCAACTCAGCCACTGTTTCCTTGATCCAAGCCTCATTTGGACCGACGAGGTGATAGCCTCCGATCACAGCATGTAACTTGGAAGTTCCACCAAGCTGCACAGCGTGCTTCACCACGTTGACTACTCCGGCATGGCTACAGCCGGTGAACACCACAAGTCCTTTACCTGCGAACGGTTAACTGGCATCAGACAATAACGATCTTGTATGGGAACATACCCTTGACATTGCACATTAAAAATCGCTCGTCGAGAATGAGCTCGTCGCTTTCCCAAGTACTGGTATCTGGATTCAGTCTCACGCCTCGCTTGAACCCGACCTCGTAGCTGGTTACTCGGGGAATCTCCCCAGAGACCAGGAACATGTCGTCGAGAACCGTGTGCGCCTTATCGTTCTTGACCACAGTAGCTCCCGCGGCCTCGATTTCTGCGAAAGTCGGATCTGCCTCCAGCGACACTGGTCCAGCTGGGCCCAGGAACCCTCGATAATGTGGTCGATCCGGGTGAAGATCAACGACGACGGGACTGTCTGAAGCCCTTGCCTCGTTTATCATGGAAATGGCTTTCAACATTCCACCAGAATGATCTCGATGCCAGTGGGAGAGTTGCACAAGCTCGATCGATCCTATATCTGCTCTCAACCGCCTTGCGTTGAGTTCCCAGATGTGATCCTCCGGAGCCGTGTCGAAGAGCATCGTTCGCCGCTTGTCGCCTTTAGTTGCAGTCTAAATATCATAAGCCGCCGTTGTGCCAGTTGGTCATTACTCTCACAATCATCAATGATAGGCCATGAGCTCCACAACACAAGTTGTCCATCCTGATTTCGTATCCAGCACCGCCTCTCTCTGCATGCTGGATTGGTCCACGAACTGCAACATCGGGCATCTGGCCGCCGACAGTCAATCCGGGTACTTGGTAGGACGAGATGGGATCAAGCTCGTTATCGACGATGACCAGCACCTCCAAACTATCGACTTCGGCGAGTTGAGCCATGTTGATACTCTGAGACTGCTGCATTTGTCAGAGTGTTGAACACTGATTTGAAAGTGTCAAGACTCTCCCAGTTTATGTTCTATGGTGGCTGACGGTCTCGGGTTTCATATAAACCCGACGAAAGCCAGAGCCTGGTACTTCGTACAGGTGATACGGACGAAAGATAAAACCTGGATAGATGAGACGGTTACATCTTGTAGAAGTCCTGAACCAACCAATTAATAAGGAAAAGTGACATGCACGGGAAGCCCTACATTGGGGGCTAGTTTGCTGGTACGCCTAAACGCTCATCAGGCCTGACAGGAATGGGGTCTGGGTAGTTGAGCGCGCTTCGACGTTCAATCGTCTTATTTCCATTGTACTTAACTATTATCCAGTCTGTCGTACGACATGTAAGACTGACAAATTTCAAGAAACCGGCCATGTCCATTTCGCCACACTGGCGCATTTCCTCTCTTAGAGAGTTGCCGATGCAACAAGGACACATTACGGCTTAACGTGATGCGAAGCAAGACAATCCTTACAAACAATCAGCTCAGTGCACCTCGAGCAACCATGCGTCGTCAAGTCGTTCGTTTGACATTGATAGGCCGCCTTGGAGCAGAACGGTGGAATCGGCGACCACATCGGCGACCACATCGGCAGCGAACCAACCACGCGGCAGCGGCTTGCTCCCTCCCTGGGGAAGAATCTCCTGCCAATGCCCAGAGTCAACGTCAAAGACCCATACATCGCCCAGCATTCTGCCTGCACCTTGGTGTCCAAGACTGCTCGGGTCGCTCTCTCCGAACATGGTCAGGAGCGTTTCGCGACCACGGATTTTCAATGGCAGCAAGCAGCAGACGCTTCTTGGTGAAGGACCCTCTCGGCCATCTGCGGCAAATCGCACCGTGCTCCAACTGTTATCGCCAGGGCTAAAGATGTCAAGAGTGCCGCCTTGCTCCTTGGTCCCATCGAATCCATTCATGCGCCAGAGCTTCCCTGAGGCAAAGGTGATCGATGCTCCTCCCCGCGGCGGATCAGGTGCTGCCGCACACTGCCGCCATTTCCTCTGAGAGACGTCAAATGCCCACAAGTCGGCCAGCCGATCCTTCGCCAAACACCCAGAGTGCAGATATATGGTATCGTTTCCATCGTTTGCAAGAGCGTGATAGCTGCGGCCGGGAGGAAAGGGCGACTCACGATCCTGAGGCGTGATTTCAGACCAGGACTGGGTGGCAGGGTCGAAGCTCCAAAAAGCACCATGCTCCTCAATGGGTGCCATAGCAGTGCCCCCGCGCCCTGAGAAAACAAACATCTTTCCTTGGATGACTGTCGAGGCCGTGCCCACTCGTGGCTGTGGTGCATGCGATGCCGTGATGGCGGAGATGGGAATTTGCTGGACAGACTCATCTGGTTGTGGAAAGAAGTTAGTATTCTGGGGGGAAATTTATGCCAACCAAATACTATCGTAACAGTCAGCACTGACCTTGACCGATCGAGAAAGAGTAAAGGCTCGAATCAACCGGCTCACGAGGTCTGATCTCGCCTCCATAGATGTAAGCCGTCTTCCCTATGACTGCCAGTGTTTGTGACGAGCGGCAAATCAGAGGGTCGGACAAACATCTCTTCCAGGTTCCAGATAACATTTTGCCAAAGCGAGAGTCAGCTTTTGCTCAAGAGCGAATGGATGACCTCCCGACCTGCTGTATTTATGAGTGCACAACCCTGAGCGAGAGCAAGAAAAGGCTGAGAGCGTGGCCATGTTTCATACTCTCTGTACCTTGTGGATGGTTATTCATTTGCATACGTCAATTCTCTTGGTTCCACTCATTGCCGTGCCTGTCAGGTCTCGCCATGTCATATAGTGGACTGGGGCTGCAGAGAATCAACAAGCTCTGGAACAAGTAGATCCTCCAGAAATTAGACTTCGGTGAAAATTACAAGTCCTGTTTCGTGTGGGCGTATAATATGTCCCAATGCGGGTAGGACGGCGGCGGATCCTTATTTCAGCTCAACATTGGTGGCTGTCGCTCTCTTCTTCCTCGTCGTCCCTCCATCACCTCCAACAATGGTGATCGAAAGAACATCTGCTGCTAGGCCACGCTCTGGCAAGATTCGTCGTGGCCATTCCGGTTGCAAGGCGTGTCGGCGCAGGGGAAAGCTTGTGCGTTGCACCTCCACCGTCCACATTGCGCTTTGCTGACACTCACTAGTGTGATGAGGGCAAGCCGGCGTGTCTGGCATGCTACAGGCTCTCATTACACTGCGAGTACGGACGAGATATTTCCTTCCACCATTACAACGGCGCGAAGGCTCATGCTGCCAGTTTTAGGGATTCATTGGTGTATCAAGTGGCAGAGTGTCACGGAACCGCATCCTTGATCAAGTGGCAGGATCCCTCGTACGAGCTGAAATTCACGGGAACCAGGTCCAATGCGATACCACCGGTCGCGCCATTTGGTGAAGACGACATCTTGGGCGTCTATTTCAAGCACTTCGAAAGTCATGTCAGCAAGGTGCTACCAGGAGTGCCGGCGGGATTTTCCAAAACTATTCGGTCATCGGCCGCATTGTGCTATGCTGTCCTCTGCTTATCAGCGTCGAATTTGGCCATGCTTGACGCACGTGTGGACCATCGTCAGATATCTCAAGATCAAAGAAGTTCGGTCTTTAGCCCAATAGCGAATCGAGCACACTATAATCGAGCACGGGAATATCACGATCGAGCCGTGCTCTCTTTAGAGTCCGAGGAGATTAGCAAAGAACCGTCTAGCTGCGCGTCGGCGCTGGCGGCGAAAGTTCTCCTGGCCATCTATCATCACGCGTCGACTGATCACCTGAGATTCCAAATGGCTGTGGAGGATAGCAATCACTTCGTTAACAAGCACGTCGCCACCATTATGCAGTCAGCGGATGCGCGGGAATCACTCCAGATGTGGCATCGCCTCTCTGTATCATCTCGGACCTCGCGCCGACCGACTCTGCTCATTGAGGACGAGGCCAATGTCTGTTCCCGACCGAACCCCGCCTTGCCCAATACTGTTGAGCAGCTACACCTGACCTGCATCTTGGGCATGAGTTCAGATGATCTGATCTATGACATCCTGATCAAGACTGTCGAGCTTCGAAGGAGAGCCGTAGTGTTTCGCGCCGTCTCAGGTGTGGCCAATGTGTCAGACCAGTCGCAGGGCCTTGGACGTCTTGCTCACCAACACCTGGACAGGCTACTTGGCAGGTGGAGTAGCAAGGAAGAGTACGAAGAAGCAGAATCGACGTTCATTCAGGGTCCGCATCTGATAAGCCTCTTAAAGACTCAACAAGATAGATTGTCAGTGTGGAGATCCAGGCTCGACGTGGCTCAGCTTCCACCCGAAATATGGAGCGATCCGGACTCTTCACGTTGTTCTAAGGACTCGAAAAACGAATCTCGAACGTTACCCAGCCATAGGGATGCGATGAATGGTCTGTACTACTTCCTTTGCCAAATCATGATCGCCACACTTCGGGGAAATGACTCCCTGCAAGACTCACCGACAGAATCGGGTCAATCGTATCTCCCATGGGTGGAGACGATGGTACAGATGATGGTCTGCATCATTGATACACTGGAATTTTCCACATCAAGTACGTCTGACGTTTATACCTTTAGCTTGACGGAAGTCCTCGTCCAACTCTCTCTTACCTGGCATTCAACGTCTACTTTTCGACATATCCTGGACACTACGTGGCCTCGGCTAGAGGCCGGAGGCCGTGGCTTCGAACATTCCCACTGTCCCACCCACTTGGCGAAGCGTATCATCACTCTTCTAGCCGATCTGTGGTCCCAAGGGCAGGCTGTCACATACGCATCTCTGGCAGTCGAGGAGAGTGTCCCGAAGCTGCAGTTGCTCGCAATCGGCCAACCTGTCGACCTCGTGTTGTGCGGCCACGGTGCCGATGGCACATCATTCATTACGAGGACACAATTGCCTTGAAATTGGAGGAAGTCATCGATTTCAGTCTCTAGAATCATGAATTACGCATATCGGCAGGCTCGGCGGTGTTTATACCAAGAGCCTAGTGCTATTTCAGAGGATCAATATGAAATGGGTGGCTCAATTTCACTTCTTTACAAGCTTTGAGCTCAAGACTCTATCGCGAACTCCTGCCGTTTCTTTGCGTTCTCATCAAACGGCTCTAGTCCAGCCTTTGCAGGTCCAATCAACTGCACACCTTCAGCACTGAATCGACTACCGTGGACAGGACAATCCCAGGACTTTTCGTCTGCATTCCAACACACCACGCCTTTCATATGGGGACAGAACGCGCTCATCCGGGTTATCTTCCCGTTCTCATCTTTGTACACCGCCTGTGGACTTTGACCTATCGGGTTCAACACGCCTCCTTGGCCGAGGCCGAGCTCTTCGATGTCCGTGATGTCGGCTTGGACCAGGCGTTTGTATTGTGTGTTGATCTGTAAGTCGTGCTTGACCATGCTGGGCAGTTTAGACGCGGTGGTGGACTTTCGCTTCGGGTCATATAGGCTCGCCCAAGGATTCTCAATGCCCTGGATCTCATCGGCAATCAGTCGTCCCGCTATCACACCGTGAGTGAGTCCATTTCCGGAGTCGCCGGTGACGACATAAATCCTGTCATTCCCAGAGTTCTTGCCGATGTACGCCATGTAATCGACCGGTTCGAAGATCTGCCCGGACCACCGATAGTCAACGCTGCCGGCTTGTGTAAAGCGCTCGCGGACCCAGGTCTCGAGTTCCCGGTATCGCTCGTCCCATTCGTCCTCCTGGCCAACCTTGTGGTCGCAGCCGCCTACGACCATGTAGTCCCACTGATCGTCACACTCTGTCAAGCGCACATATTTGTATTCTTCGGCGGAGTCGTAGATCAGGCAGTCTTCTACCGCCCCTTTGGGGACGCGGATCGCAATGCAATATGTGCGGTGATACTCCATTTCGGCGACCAAGCTGAGCTTCTGGAGTGGAACGCAGGTTGCTTCGACGGCATGGTCGCAGGTTATGGTGTGCCCGCTGAGGGTTGACACCGTGACTTTCTTAGACCCCAGGTGCACGTCGACGATTGGGATGGTCAGACCATTTTCGGTGCAACTGGACATGCGCGTGCGCGTGTAGCACTGGAAGTTGGGTTGGTCTTTCAGCCATTTGAGGATGCCCAGCAGATACTTGGTTGGATGGAAGGTGGCCTGCTCGCCGACGACGTTTCCACCTCGTTGGTCAACTTTACCGTCCCAGCCCTTGATTGTCAGATCTTCGACGTATTCGACGTCGAGACCAATCTCCTTCCCCACCTTCGCTTCTGCCTTTAGTTCGGCCACGTCGTCGTCGTGCTCTTTGGTTCCTCGCGGGTACTGTGAGATGTCGTACGCTTTAAGTTGGCGGTACTCGCACTCGATCCCAAGCTGACCAGAGAGAGTCCCAATGTGCTTGATGGCCCAGTCGTGAGACTCGGCTGCGGCCTTAGCCCCGTCACGACCGAAGAGCTTCTCAATGGCCGTGTAGCCGTCGTCAAGGTCGGATGACAAATGTCCTGACGTGCGGCCTGTCTCTCCTGTTGTCGCAGGTGTCAGCCCTGCATCCTCTTTTTAGTGAGGGTGAACGAATGGGGGTTGAGTACCGGATAGGATGTCCCTGGCCTCAATCATGATCACATTCATTCCTCTTCTCACAAGCTGCTCGGCGATCGAAATGCCCGCGATGCCTGAGCCGACGATACAAACATCCGTTTCTACGTCTCTGTCCAGCTGAGGGAAATGAGGTCGATTAGAATACGGTTCTTTGTGCACCCAGACAGGGTCATTCTGCCCTGAAGTCTTCATATAATGACTTGGATCCGAAGACATGGTTATATGGCGATGGGGAGTCGTGGTGATGTTCCTGATTGTCCGCTTCGCAACAGAGTACCGAGTGAGAGGAACGTGCAGTGGCTGTGAGACTCTCGAAAGCACGAATGACAGTGGAATGAGATTTCGAGACACATTCAGTAACAAGGAGGACTTGCAAGAAAACCCCATGACTGTTTCCTCAGATCATCATGTTCCTGGGCGAAGGTGAAATCCAGGCAGGTGATGGAGGCCACTGATCTGTGCTCATTCACACGATGTCATGGATAAAAAGATTCAAGTCTTGAATCCCTTGCCCATGGTTATTGTCCGCGAATCAGGAACGTGGCATTGCCACGAAAAGACAATGCCAATCGTCATGTCGTGGTTCCTGACGTAGATGTATCACAGGACCTGAGATCGTACCTCGTAAAAGAAAGGGAGATCATGCAATCATGGTCAAATACAGGTGGGCAACGGTCGAACGATGCGTATCATGCTTACATCATGGAATCATGGCCCAATCACAGGAACGTCTCTCACCTCCAACACCCCGGATTGTGGCTCTTGCATTTGCTTATCGGATAGATGTTCCGAAGATATTAATCTTGCACCCTCTGGTAGATGCGCGGGTGCGAACCTGGGGAAGGATACACAATATGAAGACCACTTGTCTTAGATTGTCTCTTCCGGTCAAAACAAGAACTGACGATATCTGTGGTAGGGTTAAGTGGCTGCGGCTTAAGGCATTGTGGGAAACACGTAGATGGGAATATCTCATCAAGATAAGTCCATCAACATGGTTCTTCTCTCTTGCCGGTGGTGACTCAGTACTGCTTATAGGGTATTCGACGATTAGCTTCAGCGAGTCAGATGGCGTCCAGTGTCTTGGAGTCTATGAGACCAAAGCCTCGTAGAATTTGGGGAGGGGATGCCTAAATATGATAATCGGCCTGATAACATCACGCTGCCCGCTCCGTATCGTGACGAATATTGCGAGCCGAGGTCGAGGGAATCGAGAGGCGCAAAAAGACAGGCCAGCGGGAGCAAAGCATTTGTCAGCAATGCGGTTCTCGCGGGGAGCCCAGTATCAACCTGATTCCCCAGAATCTTCTCCGCCGGGCGACTGTCCATGTGTTTGCGTCGACGTCCTGTTTCGAAATGGGCTTCAGCGAGACTTTACGCGCGGCGGTGGCCCCAGGGCCGGACCGGAAACTTCCTGGCGCAGTGGTGATGGCTGCTGATGCTTCTGGTAGTGATTGTCGATCGTAGCATGGCGAAGACACACTAACGATTTTCAAGGGGAAATCATCTACGCCCAGGCCGAAGGGCAGACGTCGGTTGATCCAGAGAACGCAAAGCCCATGTCAATCGACACGACCTTCTGGATAGCATCGTGCACCAAGCTAGCCACGTCGATTGCAGCGCTACAAGCAGTCGAGAGAGGACTCCTGGACCTGGACGCTGATGTATCCAAAATTCTTCCAGAGTGGAAGGAACCCGATATCCTGACAGGCTTCTCCGATGCCGGCGAGCCTCAGCTGAAGAAGGCGACGAAGAAGATCACCCTGCGTCAACTCCTGACTCATTCCAGCGGTATGGGCTACGACTTTTTGAGTCCGCTACTAGCTCAATGGAGACAGTTCCAGGGAGAGCCGAGTGGTCCCTCAGGAGAACCTATCGTCTGTTGATCTTCGTGTCTATCTAGTTCGCATTCTGACAATAAGCACAGACCAAACGACTACTCCTACCGCTAATCTATGAGCCAGGAGAAGGTTGGTCGTACAGCATCGCAATCGACTGGATAGGGAAAATGATTGAGCGAGCCAACGGAAATATTCGCCTTGGTGACTACCTGAAGCGTCACATCTGGGAGCCTTTGGGAATGACTTCAACCGGCTTCCGTGTCCCAGAAAACGATCAGATCGCCAGGAACCTTTGCCCGACAACAGAACGAAAACCGACGGGTGAACTCGTCCCATCCGCCCCGTATAATCACCCGGACCCTGTCGATGATTTGGGTGGAGGTGGCTTGTACAGCTCTGCCGCCGACTACATCAAGATATTGATCTCGTTACTGAAGAACGATGGGACGTTACTCAAGCCGGATTCTGTCAAGATGATGTTTGAGCCTCAGCTTGCAGATCCTAAGCACCTGCTGGAGCAGACACAGCATCCGATAGCTGGCCCCATCTTCAGAAATGGAGTCGAGTCAGAATCGTGGAATTCCGGATTGGGAGGTATCTTGACGACCGTAGATGTGCCCGGGGTGTGTAAGAAAGGCACCTTGTCCTGGGGAGGACTTCCCAACCTGGTACGTTGCCCTCCTGTGCCCCTGTCTCCCTGATCCTGCATCTCCTGTAAGACTGTTCAATGTGCTGACACCACACTCTCGCGATGCATCAGTTCTGGTGGATTGATCCGGCTGCCGGCAACTGTGGTATCTACGCCTCACAGTTACTTCCACCAGGAGATCCGACATCGGTCGCTCTCTCTGTGGAATTCCGCAAGGAGATTTACTCTCGTTGCACATCGTGAGAGGGGGATTGAAGGATCCGCCAATCAACCAACTTCAGGGACCATGAGCAATCCGAGGAAGCGGCAGACAAAGCTCCACATGGGCTTGATGATAAGCTTGGTGACCGTTAAGATAGCTAGCATTACGCGGACTTTTGCAATGCGAGAAAGGCGGTCTCCAACATCGGAGATAGCTCCCTTTACACCGGACCACGACAGTACCACGTGTAGTATCCTTTAGACTGAGTGTGCCTTCTACAGGAGTACTTCATCAATCCACCAACCGTTTCACCCAGGTGACCCCATGCAACTAGACGCCTCCTGGGCCGACCATCGAGGTGATCCTTTTCCGATGAATGAACGACTCGGGGTCAAGCCATTAGAAACGAATCGCGCCAGATGCTGAGCAAAAACTACGGACGGATGAACAAACCCCGCTCTCTTGGGGTACTTTGCTTGGGAGGAGCCGTGCTACGCTTCAGGAATCGAGTACACACAGTTCTTTGGTTGCCAGACGTGGTCGAGATCGGCAGTGAGATGGTGGATCCATCCCCGCATCGATGAAACTCGCCTTGACCGGCCCCAGGCCCGACGGTTCTCTCCGTGCGAGCAATGTCCACCCCCGCAAGCTTGATAGACATGGCCAAGCTCGAAGAAATGCTACAAGTAACCGTACATGGTGTTCCTGAAGCAGGCTTGTTGTTGGAGTAACGTTAAAGTTCATCTTGTCCGAGGTAATGCATACTTCTTCCACGGAAAAAGACGACCCTCTCAACATATATGGAGCCATGTGTACGATTTGACACTGATCTGGCACTTTCCAGACCCCTGGGTAGCACCTCTGCAATATCAATAAACGCTCTCTCACTCTGCCGGTCGACTACAAAATGATCTCCCTGGTGCAATTTGGTGTAAGCAGCTCGACCGGATCAATGAACCTGTTACTTTTCTCTCCGCTAACACAACGCTTAGATCGTTCTCTTCGTCGCGCTGGGAAGTATAACCTACGGCTATGGATCTAGTATCATAGCGACTACTACAGGACAGCCAACCTTTCTATCGTACTTCGAGCTCGATACACGCTCAAACTCGGACGAACTCCTGGGGGCGATCAACGGTCTCTTCTCCGCTGGTGGCCTGTTCGGCTGCATCTCTTGTTTCTGGATTCCTGACAAATGGGGTCGAAAGAAAGCAATACTCTTCGCCTCTTTTGTCTCGATCGTCGGCAACGGCTTGGCTGCAGGCAGCGTACACATTGCCATGTTTATGATCGCTAGATTGCTCACTGGGTTCTCTGTGGGAGCCCTGGTCAGTCTCATTCCACTCTACCAGAGCGAGATTTCACCTTCCCGGATTCGTGGTCTCCTGGTTGGTATGCACGGCACCGGCATCGCCTTTGGTTATGTTGCTGCCAGCTGGATCGGCTTTGGCTTTTACTTTGTCAACGCCAGCGGCACCCAATGGAGAATGCCACTAGCTATTGGTGGCCTGTGGCCGCTCCTTCTTGCGACAGGCGTCGTATTCATACCGGAATCTCCCCGTTGGCGTAAGTTGAGTCGCAGGATGATGCAAGACCTGTCTAACTTGTTGTTGTAGTCTTAGTCAAGTCTCGTCCTGAGGAGGCCCTCAAGGCCTTTAAGGCTTGCCGAACCGAATCGGGCCCACATAATAATGAGCATGCGATCCACGAAGAATTTCAACTTTTGCACTCTCAGGTCTTGGAAGAGTTAAAGGACCACGTACCCCTCAAAGAATTCTTTACACGGCCAGCTCTACGCAAGAGATGTTGGATTGGTTGGCTTACCATGGTGGCTGGTCAATGTACCGGCACAATTGTCATCAACAGTAAGAACATCGGAAGACCCAAAATTGAAGCCTTTCACTGATAGATACGAATGATAGACTACGGCCCTTTCCTATACCGCAACCTCGGCTTCAGTGTGGTCAATCAGCTTCTCATCCAGTGTGGGTGGATCACGGTGTGCCTATTTGGCAACGCATTCAATGCAACGGTCATCGATTATTTTGGGAGAGTACGGATGCTACGTGCGTATCGTCACGCAAAGGTGTATTCGATGAGACTAACCTCTCCCCTAGTCTTCGGATTCACCGGCGATGTCATTGCTCTGGCTGGCGAGTGTGCCAGCGTTTCAGTTTACCAAAGGACCGGCTCTACAGCAGCTGCGAAAGCAGCTGTGTTCTTTCTGTTCCTCCACATAGGCTTCTATGGATGGACTATTGACGCCAGTACCTACATCTACGCCACTGAAATCTTTCCCAATCCTCTCCGCGCTCGCGGCATCGGCATTTCCTGCTCTGGGTTGTTTATGGCTGTCATTGTATTCACGAGGCAAGTTTGAAAGAAGAACGCCATTCCAACGAATTCTCCATTTCTAACCAGTGACAGCGCTGCGCCAACTGCATTCAATAATATCGGCTGGAAGTACTACCTTGTCTTCACCATACTTACAGCCATTTGTGTCGTAATCATCTGGTTCTTTTTCCCTGAAGTACGTGGCTCATCCTGAGACAGAGTGTTGATAATCTGCTTACTATGATACAGACCAAAGGCCTAGCTCTTGAGGACGTGGCCGAGATTTTCGGGGATGGAATCGTGCTTACGGATACTCGTGAAGAGCAAATCCACCAACAGTTCAAGCAGTCCCATTACCATGCAGAGGTTCTTGAGGAAATAGCAGACGTCCCGCCCGTCCATGTCAGCGAGAAGAGCGAAGGTGGCAAGCCCAAAGCTGAGCACATCCCCTGAGTTCCAAGCTCATCGACGCTATTCTATGGGCAATGTTAGCACGGTATGGTCATCCATATATGCCGCGGAGAGGCCATCCTACATTCTCGATAAACCTGAGAGCAATGATTTTGAAGTTGTTACCTAGACAAGAGATCCCGCGACTATTCCATAGCTATAAGATATGCTAGAGGCGTGGGAACAACACCCGTATCAATATTCAACTCGATAAAACCATACACAGTCTGCGCCAGCCCTAAATCCTTCCCTCTTTCCCCGGTCTTGGGGATCTGGTAATCACTCGTTTCCGTCCATAGAAGTCTCAGGTATGTGAAGCTCAGGTTTCCGGCCATCAAAAGAGCCTCCGACTGCTTCAATACTGCTTATCAGGATCACCGCACTCACCATTGTGATATATGTTCCAACAAATGAGCTGACGGTATCTTGGGGCTTCGTGCCCGCAGGCCATCTAAATTCACCATCACACATATGGTCCCCATGTCGCGCCGCTACTTACGGCTGGTGGGCTGCCATTTCTATCCAGACTGCTAGGTCTCGAGAAGAACACGGAAGTGCTGGCGCGTCCACGGACTGCGAGTCTTGAGAACGATCCTTCTGGATATCAGACGAGCACTCCTTCATGTCGAAAATCCGATGCCACCTGGCACAAGCCACTTGAGAAGACCGGCAAGGCCAGCATTTGATCAAGACTAGCGGATGCGGTTCCTCATGAGCGCCACGGCTCCTGGCAGTATTCCATCAGGGATAGAAAGTCCCCATTCCACGTTGCGATGGTCCTACGACAAGTGGCACAAGTGTAACCTGCAAGGTTCAAATTAGTCAGATTTATACTAAAAGTCCCATGGTCGCTGGGGCATACTTACCAATTCTCTAAACTCCGTCGCTCGTCCACCATGTCCAAAGCCTCAGCCGCCTGGGATAGGCCAGAATCCTTAACAATAGCTTGCAAACTGTTCCTGGCATACATCTGCGCCGAGACCGGGACAAACATGGAGACAGCAACTGCTGACAACGGCCAGATCAGCCACCTCGCCATACTTTGATTGGAATGCCTCCAGGATGGTAGACATTGGAAGAAGGGTACGCTGCTGAGGACGTCGAACGCCATTGTCTCAGAATTTCTGGCAGTCATTTCGAGCAATCTTTCTGGGAGAATAACCTCCTCGGAACCAACTCCGCCTATCGAAACATCTTGCATGGCGCTTGCGGCGCGATAGACCCATTTGTTGACAAACATTCTCATCATACGTAACACGTTCCAATGTCGAGCAGCTTGAGGCGATTTATAGTTGTGAGCGACATTATTATATGCCAGTGTGGGCACTTCGACAGGCGGCAGGGTTTGATATGGGGATATCTCCTCAAGCTGCTCCAGTAGGTGTACGAGAAGAGCGTCCAGCTCGAGTCCTTCCCGTACAACACCCTCATTACCTAGACTTTCCTCACCACTAGCCGTCATTCGAGCCAGAAGATTCGCCATCGCGTCGGAAACACGCCCCATCCCAACCTCGGGACCGTCATCACCCGCGATCTTGCGCCAGTGCACCCATAGCTCCGATATGGCTGCTGGCGTCGCAATCCGACGCTGTGCGCATGACGCGTAGATGCCATTGCTAACGTCAAGAAACAGGGCACGACCTAGAGCCGACTCGAACTGACTTGGCCCGCGGACCTTGAGGAGCTCGGCTGCGCCATTGACATGCACTGTCCAGCTATTCAGAGAGTCGCTGCGCTGGAAAGCCACAGCTTCAAAGAGAGCTAGGAGCAGAACAGACGCTAAGGTCGAATCGTTGGCTACGTGTGTGGGTGAGGCCAGGGCTAGATTGACCTCCTTGAGAGCGGTGGCGTAATTCTTCCGCGCAAGTTTCATGAGTGATGGCTGTTTAAACTCGAATGACAAAATTGCTAAAGCAGGGGCGAGCAACGCTGGCATTAAGAGCACATCTGCCGGAGAACAGACATTAGCTAGGATCGGAAGGCAAGCCATAGGCCCTGCTGGTGCGTAGCAGAACAGGAAAAATGCGGAGGCAGCGTCTTCTGGGGCGGGCGCAATGGCCAGACCAAATGAAAGACTGTCAGGTGGGGTCGTGGTTGGCTTAGTTGGCTTAGTAGGGTGTTCATGTACTGGCGGCAGTATCGCGCTCTCGTGCGGCGTTAATTCTTTGGTCAGTCTATCTCTTTTGGCGCGAAACCGCCTGATCGTTGAGACAGTCTGATCTCTAACGACGATGGTGTCTGGGTCTCGGTACCCTGGACATGAAATGCGTTTCCGGGCACATTGACCGCACCCTGGTTTTCTCCTATCGCACTGTTGAGGAGCGAGCGGTTTAGCCTTGTTTGCCTTGCCCAAGGAGGAGGAGTAGTAGCTAGACTAACCTTGCCGCGTTTCTGTCTACAGGCGTGGCAAGCTGTAGACGGACGCCCGCAGTACGTCATGGTGGGCGCTGTCCAGGTTCTCTTCTCGGCACACCAAAGCGAGAATCACGTCGTCTTTGAGTGCGCGGGGGATACTGATGAAGGGGTTCTGTTTTCGATATCGCCCAGTCTGAGTTTTCTGCGGCGGACATGCGGTTTGACTCAGGCGGCTGAACCTCGGCATGCTCACTGCATGCCCCAATAGGACTAGCGCAGCTTCAGCCACTCCGCCTTGTTAACAACATCCTGATCACAAACTCCTCCACGTAGAAAACTAAACCTCCAGCTAAGCTAGAAAGGTGCGTCCAATTCGAACTGCGCCTTATAACTTTTTAGTCGTACCTCGTCGGCACAGGCATCCAGGATTCTCTTGGTGGTGGCTGATCGCAACCCTCCTGTGAGAACGACGAAACGGTAGAGTCAATCCACATTGCATACGTTTCATGACTGCCACTTTTCCGGTGATGGCAGACTTGATTAACAGTGCGGCCCAAGGGTCGTCAGCCTTGCAGGCCTATATATCTGGCTGATCCCCCATTGAGGTACTGCGAACCAAGGACGAGCCAATATTGTTCTCATCTAGTCCTCACGATGCATTTTGGCTCTAGTTCTATCGTTGCTGTAGCGGAACTCGTGGTCTACGTACCTTCGATTATTCTTGCCTTTGTCGTTTGTGCCCGACATGGCTTTAGTCGGAGCTCAGGGTATGTCTGTCCTTTGCTGTTCAATTTGTCGCCCGTCCTGACTGGAAACTGACTCACTGACCCCAACCACAGCTGGTACTATACCTTCACGCTATGTCTGATCCGAATTGCTGGAGCAGTTTGCCAGCTCATCACTCGGAAAGACCATTCTATCGGCCTTCTGAAGACAGTCTTGGTCCTTAGTCATATCGGATTGACTCCGCTCCTTCTGTCCACTCTGGGAATGCTGTCGCGCATGTGCGTAAACGGAGAAAACAGAATACAGAATAACAATGGTTGGCTGACACCGCTACAGAGCCGACTGGATCAATGCTCGATCACCTTCTCCGTCACTATCGATAAAGTACTTTCGCCTGGCTCAACTGTTTGTTGTCCTAGGCGCAGTCTTCGGCATCATTGGAATTGAGAGCAGCAGCAGCAGCAGCAGCGACGGCGGCGGTGGCGATGATCACAATGCAGTCAACAACTCGCCCACCACATGGTCCAAGGTTGCCGTCATCTGCTATGTGGCCACGTACGCTATGCTCTTGTTCTTGATGGCTAGATCCCTGTCATTCAGACGCCAGCTTCCTGGAAAGGAACGTCTCCTAGTTCCTGCAGTATGGGTGGCATTACCTCTCGTGTTTGTCCGACTATTGTATCAAGTTCTGGTGGTTTTCGTGCACCGAGGAGACTTTAGGCGGATCAATGCGCCTATTGTGGTCTTGGTTCTCATGTCTGTTGTCGAGGAGTTTCTCGTGGTTTTCATTTTCCTCTTTGTGGGACTGAGACTAGATAAGCTGGAGGAGTCTGAACAGGGGCCTATCCTATCGCGTCCATGGAAGAACAGAGACAGGAAACAGCGAAGAGGTGGCCGTCGCAGGAGGCGCCAAGACAAGTATCAGGAGCCCCTGTCGAGTTATCAGGCGCCCGTGCCTATGGAGTATATGGGAGATAGGCACGGAATCCCATGAAAAGCGGAAAGAGGTCGGAAGAGCGTACATACCAAACCCGTTACGCTCTATGCTGTTCACAGGATGAGTATTCCAACCGCAACTGTGCTGGCAGGTTGGAAACCCAGGGTCTGAGTGCGGACGTGCATAGCACCTTCGAATTTTTACTATTGCCTACCTAAATAAATACGTACGACTTGGTAAAACTGACGTTGAAACTCCAAATCTCAGAGAGCATTTGTGGGTATCAGTAATTTTTAAGGAATTATCCATTTGCCGAAGCGTCCCTGTCAATGTTTGCCTGACAGTAACGCTTCTGGGTTGGCGAATTGGAGCTCCGTCAAAGTCTCCTGCCATAGTTGCTCTATCAACTTCTTTCCCTCTGGCGTGTAGAGGAAAGGTGCAAACCTAGTAAGTCCATCATTAGCAGCTCAAACCTCTTCACTGGGAGACTTACGGATGGATCTTCCAACTAGTAAGGAAGCAACAATGGCTCTCCTTACCCTTCACCGCCACAGCGTCAATATAGGTGGACGCACCGACTTGAACTGTCCTCCCTGTGACGGCTGCGAGGGCCTTAGCCATGATGGCTCCAATCTTAGGCATGTTGTTCAGGTTTTCTGTGCCCTTGACGTAACCCGGATCTACAGCGTTGACAATAACGTCGTCGGCGGAAAGGTGTTCAGACAGCTTCCACAGGAACAAATGCATGAGGGTTTTGGAATTATTGTACCAGGGTGTACTGCTAAATTTACCCTTGTCGTCGAAAGAAGCTAGAATGGACTGGTTTGGCTTCTTGGGATCCAAAGGAAGCTTCCCGGTCAAGGAAAGTCCTGAATTGACAATGGTCACCTTGCCTGGTTGTCCTCCAGCAGCTCGCTTTGCGCGCAGGCTTGGGATAAGGAGTAGTGCCAGAAGGACCGTTGAAAGGTAGTTCTAGATAAGGAATGAGTTAAAAGCATTCTTGGGGCGTCATGTGGTTGCGTGGACTCTGTAGCTCACCACTTGCACGGTCTCTTCGTGACCTGTCTCTTTGACAAGCGTGTAAGACCCCTTGACAAGGCCTGCGTTGAGAATAGCGATATCCAACCTGGTCAAGTCTGTTTCGACTCTGTGGGCAAAATCTCGAACGGAGGAATAGCTGCACATATCCAGCTTCCACACTTCAATCTTTGCCTTCGGAAACTGAGCACGAAGTGAAATTGCAGCCTTTTCGCCCTTTTCAACGGAACGGACAGCAAGGATGAGGTGGGAGAGATTCAAAGCCAACAACTGTTTCGCGCTTGCATACCCGAGGCCGCCACTGGAGCCTGTGACGATGGCAACTTTGGACGAGAGAGTCAGCTCGGGCGCAAATGCGGGCTGCTTTTCGCAGAACTGTGTCCTGTAGAAGAAAGTTGGGAAGAAGGCCTCTATCCGAGGAGATAGGGTCTTGGAAGCCATGGTGGAACGATGAACTAACTAGTCAAATCAGCATGTCTTGTAAGTCATGGTCACAGGAAGGTCGCCTGCTTATAAGCACAAAAATTGATCATGTCAGTGAGTAATTACTTCCCAGGCTAGAGAATTATCGCAGCCTGTTTCCCTAGCGCGTTGTTTCATCTCCGTGTGATGGCACAGTACGCATCTCGTAGTCGTCGGGCCATTATTGAAGAAGCATGCTCGACTGCACAACGGGCTTGTATAATCAGGGAACCCCCACGAAGAATCCTACGCCTTACCACAACGGGGATACAATGTCCTGCCGAGAAAGGTTAGCATCGAGAGGTTGCTTCTACAATAGTGCGGCAGGCCCCCTTCAAGTGGCCGGGACGCCTGAAAAGCCAGCGCTGGAAAACGGGTAAATAGCCTCGGTGTGCCGCTTGAGTCTTATTAGTAAGAGTTTCGCGGTGGGATATTAATTGAGCCGCCATGAGAAACTAAAGTTTTGAGTGAGCGTCGAGATCAACAACCACCCGCGACCGGTTTGATGCCATCACCGAGCCCTGAGCTGCTAATTGACTTAGAAATGACCTTCTAACCACTGGATCTAGATAGCCCGAGACCACTGAAACAGAAAATGGGCAAGTTGACTGTGTGGGCCTGATCAACAACTTCTGAAAACTCTGGGCCCGTGCTCTGTTTGTCATCTACGCTTGTTCCCCTGCTGAGAGGTTTAGTCATCCACGTACGTCCCAGGTTTCACTTTTGGCACTTGCTTCAGACTCATGGGCTGCAGTATTCCGATGACGAGCGTACAGTTCGTGTCAGCGAATGCTTCTGATGAAGAGCAGCAGCAGACCCGCCGGGTGATTCGTCGCCATGTAATGCTCGGCAAGAATCGAGGACGCCCTCCAAAGAATCCCAGACAGCCCAAGATCCCAGGCGCCAGTATCCTCAGCAATGACACAGCTGTGGACGGAAATTATCAAATCCAGTCAAGAATAGCACCCCCAATTTCCTCTGATCTGTCACTACTGGAGTTCCCCGACAAAGTCGGCTTAATTCTCAGAGAAGTGACCGTTCGATTCTGTACCACCACGTCGGAATATGTACATTTTCTCGATCCCTGTGTCGACTTCAATACCAGCGATGATAGTGCTGTATGTCTATGGTCGCTCTTTCATGATGCGCTCTATATGAACATTATGGTGTTTGGGGCTGCTGCATTCACAAACATCGCTTTCCAGCAGGCTACCTCTCAGCCGTGGAGGAATGGACGTGAAGACGGAATGCAGCATTACGGTCAAGCACTACGGTTGTTGAGAGAACGACTCGCCGAGGTTGAACACCCATCTTCCGGTCTGCAGACCCAGGGTCCCAGTTTATACGACACTGCGGTAACGGTCGTGCTTGTTTTTGCCATGCATGCGCTGACGATCGGAAATTTCAATCTAGCACGTTGTCATCTTCTTGCATTGAGCAAACTAGTCACTATGAGAAAGGAGGGACTTGTTTCGTTCCGACAAAGAACAAAACAGATGATAGAACTCATGAGGTAAGTCAATAGATCCGAACCCATCCACTGTCAAAGTCTACGCAGGGCTGCTCCCTCTGTATTTGATGCCGCGAGATTGGGAGTAATTTACCAAGGCGATGCCCCGTGTAAGCAATCATGTTCGATAGAGCTGATGGAAAGTAGATGCGATCTCTCAATATCGCTCGCAACAGGCCAACTGCCGGTTCTACTGAAAGGCAATACTACGATCTCAGAGATAGCGCTACAAGATGATTCAATCTTGCTTGGCAGACCAGTTATTATTGAGGACTTCAATCTTTGTCAAATCTGGAGCAGCCTTGACCGTTTCTTCGGCCTAATCAACAACGCATCTGTGCGAAGCAGCAAGCTTCCTGACGATCTGCTTCGAGATACAATATACTCCGTTGTATATGGGCTATTCCACGTGTCTTGCGTCCCAGGCTCCCAGGACGAGTTAATTCGACTGACCATGCTCTCCTTCTGCTCACGAACCGTTCTGCAGTGGCCAATAGTTCGATTCCCATTTCCCTGGCTTAAGTCGGCGGCGGAGAAAGCCATAGATCGAATCATGCAAAGGGGACTTTCCATCATAGATTCAAAAACGAGACTATGGGTTTTAATTATTCACGGAATTGCCTTTACCCCACAGAGCCCAAGTGATGGCGATCGATTACAACAATGGCTGACTGTAGTCGGCGAGCATCTTGACTTGACAAACTGGGCGATTATACGGTCGGCCATGAGAGGGTATCTCTGGGTCGACATCATCTGCAACGAGGCAACGCGGAAATTACTTGAGAAGTTTCAGGTCGGTCGAAGTCGGTTGGAGCAACTTGAGGAATAGCAGATAGAACAGACAAATTGGAAGGGCATTCTTTAAATTAGTGGTTGAATGTTGAATGGGACACTAGCGAGGTGTGTCATTTGTGGCTTTCTACCTACATCTATTTCGTCTTGATACTGTCAGATTCAAACGACGTGCGTCCGCCTGCAATTTGCGACATTTAGGCCACACCATTCGGCGACAGGGAGGACACAGATCACGTTGAAGAAGGATACACAGGAACGAGTCGCACTAGCCTATGTTGTAGTAAGTGATCCCTTGCATACCGATGTTGCACCCAAGAGGAACTACGTTGACGGCCATCCACGGCAAGCGCATCGAGTATGGAGAAAGATTAGTTTTGACGTCTTCCGTGACGCGCTCGACGCCAGGGTCAGTGCAGACGATTGGTGGCCATCATGATAAGCAGACAAAGGTCCATCCCCAAAGTAATGGCTTTTCTCTGAGTGGGGGGCGTGCTGATATTTCTACCCGTTAATAGAAGAGTGGAGGAGCGCTGTCGCAGCTCAGTAGAGCCTTCAGGAAGGCCATGCTTGAGGTCAATTTATTTAAGGTGAGCATAGCGATAAGAGAATTGGATGAAGGTCGTATTACCTCCTGATAATTACCAATTACCTGTTGCACATGGAACACGTTAGGAAGCATTTCGCAGAACTGTCCGACTTTGTTTCCTGACAACGATATCAGGCAGTATCTATGTGGTGTCTATTCTAAGACTGCTGATAAGTGGATTGGCCTCTTGAGGGTAAATTGATAAGATGGTGGCAGGGCATTTGCAGTTTAGCGCCTCGAGCCTGTCTGTTCGTCATTAAATCTTCCGTTTTGAGTTACAATATCTTCGGACCACGCCGGTAATGATCTGCTGTCACTTTAAGCGGCCCTATCGGCTTTCCAAAAGAGGGCAATATGTGCACATACCGCGAAGTAAATGGAACTTCTTGATAAGGCTTCTTGCCCCATCCTTCCTTCGTATGATCAGATCTATGTTCACAGATTAGGCAAGTGAGAGGCTAGAACGATCGACTAGATAACGGTCTGCATCGCGATGAGAATAGCCCGCACGACTAAACTAGACAGGTTAAGTTGTTTTCCCCATTTATGCTATCTTGAAGGTAGTAGCGGGATCTAAATGATCAACCTAGTATCTACGGCGATTTATAGTGGGGTTGGAACGCTATATGAACTAAAAGGACGTTACATCAGTCGGAAAACCATATTACTTAAGGTTTATAACACTTGTTCGTTCTCTGGGGGTGGTTGATAGTACGATACAATCTCCAGCAACTTCACCAAAATGGCCGTAGTAGACTTTGAAGTTGGATCTGGCATGGGTTACCGCAAGGTTCGGGAACCAGAGGGTCTAACGTCTTTCAAAGAAGTTCCTATCATCGACCTTTCGGACATTGACAGTCCAGACGAGGACAAGCAACAAGCTTTAGCTTCCAAGATCTATGATGCTTGCACTCAAGTCGGATTTTTCTACATCAAGAACCATGGCATTTCCAAGGACTCTGTGTCCTCCATTAAAGAGCAGGCAGAGCGCTTCTTCAAGGGCCTCTCATTGGAGCAGAAGTTGAACCTGAGCCGCGAAAAGAGTCAGTTCCACCTTGGATACGATCCATACCGAGGTTCTCGGAAGGGTGGTAAGAAGGCACATCCATATGAGAATATCATGTTTGGACGTGAGGTTAAATTCGACAAAGAGTACAGAGATGTCGTGGATCCCAAAGACGATGCAAAGAATCAGTGGCCCGAAGAGGACGAATTGCCGGGGTTCAAGACTTCAGTTGGGAGTTATTATGAACAAATGACAACCCTCAGTCGCAAGCTTGCCGGCATTTTTGCATTGTCTCTTGAGCTCGATAGGCACTTCTTTGAAGAAAAACTGAAAAAGCCAGGCTCACTGCTGTCATTGAATTACTACGCAGCTCGGACAGAGGACAAGCCGGATACCACAGCCAGTATCTTGGCCCACACCGACCACGAACTGTTCACTATTCTGTTGCAGAGTGATGCAATCAACGCTCTCGAAGTCGTCAACAGCGAAGGAGTATGGGTGCCTGCAAAGCCAATTCCAGATACTTTTGTCGTGAACATTGGGGACGCACTTTCGATCTGGACTAACAACGTATTCCTCTCCACTTTGCATCGAGCGACTAATTCTTCAAATGTTGAACGGTACTCGATCCCTTTCTTCTTTGGCCCTGACTACGACTGCGTTATGGAGACTCTCCCTTCATGTGTTTCGGAGGCTCCGCCTTTGATTTATAAACCTGTCACGCAAGCGGAGCATTATCTTTCAAAGATGAACACGGCATATGGTGCCAGCACTCTGGTGACAGCCTGAACCATTAACCAGATAGTACCAATGAATTCGTGCTCAGTGGCTACCCCCTTGAGCCGTAAGCTACCTCTTGGCCTGGCCTCAAAAGGACCCTAACACACATTTACTAGAGTAACTTTGTACCGACGACCGTTGTCTTTATTGTTGCACCGGCAGAACTAAGGGATCATTTGTCAACCACACGTTCTGTTCACATAGTATTTCACAGATACTTCAGCATATCCTTCTTTGCTCGTGAGACGTTGACTCAAACTTTCTCATAGGTAACGATGGGAGAGCAGAAGCACCAGCGAAAGCCCTTCAAATGGAGGGTACAACATTATTACCCTTTATGCGAGTCGCATGTTCACCTCGATTTCTGCCTTATGTTGCTTCCTCGTGATAGATTATCGGGAGCCGTCCGTCGAAGGTGATAAAGTGTTGGTAAAAACTGATGCTATCGCAGCCCAGCCACGAAGGGGATAATTGACTTTGTCATTATGGCTGAGTTGAAGTACTAGCTTCAGCCAGCAATTTCCCTTACCTGAAAGATTGGACATAGCGACGAACAGATGTGTAGTGACTTTGGAGTACCAGGGCTTGGAAACATTGACCGGACATAGGTAGCTTTGGTTAAGGATTCATGGAATATCGGGTATATGTGGGCAACTCTCATTTATCTCTAGTGGGGGCCCTTGGGACTGTAGCCTAACGTGCCAAAGTATCCGAACGCGGATGAATCACAGAGCCCGGCCGTATCTAACATCTTGTCGTTGCAGAAGTAAAGGAGCGACCTGCCGCTATATACTAAGTACGTACGTACCCACGAGCATGTAAGCCTCACTATCTTAGCCCACGTAGCAGTCGGGAACAAGTATAACCGAACCCGGCACTAAACTCACCAAGCTGGAGTTTTTCCGGCTGTGCGACTCGGCGTTCATCCTGGATGTTATTCGCTTGTCATCAACTTTTATCGGCGCATAATTAGTAATGATGGGGAAGACACGGGGAACAAGTGGGAGGCAATTTAGTGACTCTGGGCATTTGGCGGGGAACGACCAGAACTTCCATCGCCTCGTTCAAACTTCAAAGCTGTAGCTGTAATATCGAGTCTACTGCCACAAATCAACTTGACCAGTTTCCTCATTCAAACCCTGTCTGTCCCTGTTCGTCAAGCGCATTCTTCTAGTCTCTCAGCAATGAACGGATGCAAGATTTAACCAGTTATGGCACCTTCGACAGCCTCCAGCACGCGACGCCGGTGTAACAACGCTTGCGGCAATTGCAAGCGTCGCAAAGAACGATGCGATGGTGTGAAGCCTTGCCAAAGGTGCCGAGCAAGAGGAGTAAAACATGAATGTCATTTTTCTGCCCCCGTGTTGCGTCGAGTTGTTCTGGACTCTGGCGCTGAGGCCTACGAAGCTCCGGACAGAGACACATGGAATAAGGACAGATTGAGTCTCATTCTTGGAAGATCTTCGGACAAGGCGCCGGCGACTGCCAACGCTCCAAATTTGAAACAGCATAAACCTCAGATCACGCCTCTGCCTAGACCGTGGAAACGAAGCGAGGGAGGATTTATATATTTCGGAGGTTCTTCAGCTTCTTCCCTGCTCCAAAACGTCCGACACCTTGCAAAGATCGCAGTTGGAGACTGTCCATTTGTCAGCTCTTCGTACAACTTATCTGCAGGGCCTCCCGTTGATGAGAGGCTCCCCTCGACCATACGTGGGAGGCTCGTTGCGCCTTCAAAACCAGATATCGTGAGAGCCAAATCACTTGCAAAGTGGTATTTGTATTCTACTGCCTGTTTTGGGGCCCTGTTTGATGAAAGCTTCTTGATTTATGAGCTTTCCGCTTGGCTTTCACACCCTGACGGAAAACAGGATGGAGTGACCTCTAGACTTTTCCTCATTCTCGCCCTAGGGGCGCAGACTTGTCCAGAGGAGAACGATATTGTTGCTCAGGAATACTATACTTATGGCAGGGCTTTGACCGTACTCGACACAATAGGGGACTCGAGTGCTGTCTTGGAGACTGCACAGTGCTACACTCTCATTACGATGTATCTGATAAACGCGTCACGTCTCAATGCAGCATTCATACATCTCGGGCAAGCTGTCCGCGCAGCACACAGTCTGGGACTACATCGCACTGATCTCGGTGCCGATTTTACTCCCTTCGAGCGCAACGCGCGAGAGACCCTCTGGAAAGCCATCCGTGTCCTCGACGTTTATCTCAGTGCCACACTTGGCAGGCCTTTGGCGACTTGTGAATCTCGACAGACCGACATGACAACGAACTATTCTCCGACTGTGGACATGTGTATGATATATGAGTCATTGCTTACGGAAGTATATGCAAAGTCTTCGACGTGTGATGAGATTTTACAACAAATCATCGATCGCAATCGGCAATGGGCAGCTCGATTTCCTTCCGGTCTTCAGAATGATGGTGTTTGCGCCTCTGAACAAATCGAATCAGGAGATCATTTCCTGCCAAACGTTGGCCTATTTCATATCAAGCAGGCTTTTTATGGGGTTACGATATTGTTGACACAGTCACATTTGGCCGGAATTGTCTCAGCAAGCACCCAATCTCCCGACCACAGACGAGTCTACCCAGGGTCACAATCGTCGCAGATGCTGGGACTGGCGTGCGTGCAATCAGCCATTGATTCCATTGAGCTCTTCCGATCATTGCTTGTTGCTGATCAGGCACCGAAGCACCTCCCACTGGTTACAAATTCGATCTTCTACGCCGTCCTTGTGCTGGGAATGGCGACCTTTAGTGACCTCTATGCAACGCTGCCAATTGATGAACATCTAGGCACCGCCTGCAAGTTGCTATCAGTATTCGACAAGCACGACTGGCTATCGAGGCAGTATCTTGGAATCTCGGAAGACCTAAGCGCAGCTTGCAAAACATACACTGAGAAGAAGTTGCAAAACGAACTCAACACTCGACGAGCCTTAGTCAGCGAAATATTTGGAGCAGTTGGCTCAAATCAAGACGTCGGACTGGGTCAAGCCAATCTTGAACCTGGAATGTTCGAGAAAAAATGCCCTTCGGTTTCCATTCGTGAGGAAGTTGGCCAGAATCCATCCCCAGCTGCCACTCTTCCCGACCAAGTTGGTACCTCCATGGATTTGGTGATCGGGAGTCTCACCATAGACCCCTTGGAATTCTCGGATTTTCTCGAGGATCCTTTCCTGATTGATACGCAGGATCATTTTGTGCTACCAATTTCAAGCCTCCCCACGCAGTAATCGATATCAGAAAGCGTTTGATTTCTCAGGGCCAACGTTCTTGTTCAATAGCTATGTCAGTCGTTCCGTTGTGGATATACATGAGGGATCAAGACTCCTAGTCCATCCTATATAGTATACTTCTCTCTCCGAAATTTTAATTGCCACAATAACAAACTCTGGCAAGGGTTCTACTATTGATGCACAATACCACCTCGCGCCACAGACTCCATTGAAAAACGCATCAAGTGAACTTGGTGATATCCGACGAGGAGTGCATGGTGTATGACTTCGGTAATGCTCTCTAAGAGAGCCCGCATTGTGGTCTCGAATCTTGTTGGATGTGCTCTGCAACACCGTTGGGGGCCGTGCATAAGTCGGTAGCGTGCCAATAGGATCGTGCATCGGAAGGCCTGGGGAACATATCGGCCCTCCAGTAGGATTACGCATCGGATATCCATCCGAAAGCTGAACATTGAACTCGAGCTTTTGGATTGGCTGGAGATGGCTCGGTCGCTCATGCTCGGGATCTGACACAGCATCCATATTTCAGGCAAGAGTCTCGCATGACGCTACCTCAAAGGAAAGGGGATCATGAAGTCAAAGTCTAGTTCTGGCCCAAGGTCGATGTCGCGTTTCGGAACGGGAAAGTCGGGGAAGCTCTTGGTCTGGAGAAACCCCAGTACTGGCTGCCTGTAGGATTGGGGTATTTAACCGTGCTTGTTCCTTAAGACGTTGCAGGTTAAAGTGAGCGCGACTTGCAGGCATTGTGGTCTTGAAGCTCCTGGCAGCATTGATTGTTCAATTGGCCGTTCCAAAACAAACCAGTATGCCTTCATCTGAGCCTTCGCATCTCCCAGCCGCCAACGGAAGCGCAACACCCCATACTTTGTCGAGCAATGGCGTCGGCATTACAGGGTATGACCCCAAGGATCAGCCAGTCGAAAATTTTCGCCCTATGAAAGTAATAGCGATAGGTGCAGGCTTTTCAGGTATATATCTAAGCATCCGCATTCCAGAGTGGCTCCGCAACGTCGAGCTGGTTGTGTATGAGAAAAATGATGGACTCGGTGGTACTTGGTGGGAAAATAGATACCCTGGGTGCGCTTGTGATATTCCTGGTACGTGTTACTCTTGTAACCGTCGGTGGCTGACCCACAGACTGTATTTTTTGGCCCTTTCATGGTCCCACAAGGACCCTGGTGTTTTCCGGTGTTCATGGATCGCTGACATTGTACTGTAGCACATTCATATGTCTACACTTTCGAAGAGAACCCTGGCTGGTCGAAGTTTTACGCACCTTCGCACGAAATTCAAAACTACCTTCAGAGAGTTGCGGACAAATATTCGGCTGGACGCTTCATAAAACTAAATCACAAGGTGGTTGGTTGTACTTGGGATGCTACTCGTGCAAAATGGTCTGTGATCGTTTACTTATGTTTTCGGATATGCATATGATACTAAGCCCTTACCAGGAAAGTTGACGTCGAGAGGACAGACACCGGCGAGGTGTTTTCAGATGAAGCAGATGTGATAATTGCTGCGAGAGGAGCCTTAAATGACTACGTCTGGCCGCAGATCGGTGGACTATGGTCATTCAGAGGAAAGGTGGTACACTCTGCCAATTGGGATACATCGTCTGTTCCCCAGGCCCCTGATGAAGTAATAAGGAATCTGCCAGCTAACTATCACCATAGGTTTGACTATTCCAATAAGAGAATTGGAGTCATTGGGGGTGGCAGCAGTGCCATTCAAATTGTGCCACAGCTGCAAAAACTTGCTGGAACACGACTGAGCTGTTTCATTCGAAGCAAGACATGGATATCGACTACGTTCGGTGATTCCGCTATGCAGAAGCTAGGGCTTGATCATGAAGATTGTACGGCGATTTTTACCTTGCTATCGCATCATTAACAGAGGACGAGAGAATACTAATAGACTGAGTTAGTCACGAAGGAGGACTACGACAAATACATGTCTGATCCGAAAAAATACCACGAGTTCCGCAAATTGATCGAGACCGAAGGTAACGCTATGCATCCATTTTCTTTGAAAGGCTCGTCATTGTCGGAATATGCCCGGGAGGCTTTTACTCAGCTCATGAAGAGTCGCCTAAGCAAGAAACCAGAATTGATGGACTTCCTTCTCCCCAATTTCGCACCAGGCTGTCGCCGCCTAACACCTGGCCCGGGATTCCTAGAAGCTTTGACCGAAGACAATGTCGAGTTCATCAACACACCCATTCAGGCGGTGACAGAGAACGGTGTGGTGCTCGAGGACGGCCGACCTATTGAGCTTGATGTTCTTGTCTGTGCAACAGGGTTTAGTGCTACAAGTGCACCCCCTTTCCCGGTCGTTGGCATGAATGGGAAAACCCTAAGTGATCGCTGGGAGCCATATCCGGAGGCCTATATGAGTGTGGCTGTGGACGACTTTCCCAATTACTTCACCATGGTAGGTCCAGGTTCTGGTGTGGCCAGCGGCAGTCTTACCAAGATCATCGAGAGCGTTGGCGACTATGTCATCAAATGCATCCGAAAGCTACAGAAAGAAGATATTAGATCGATGCAAATTTCTTCACGCGCAATTCACAGCTGGGTCAAGTTCACGAAATCCTATTTTGAGAAGACAGTCTTCCTTGACGATTGCCACACCTGGTACAGGAAGAACAACCGTGTTGTCGGTCTCTGGCCAGGCAGTACGGTTCATGCTGTCGAGGCTTTACGATCACCTAGATGGGAAGACTTCGAGTACGACTATGGTGAAAACGGTGTGAATGACCGGCTTTTGAGATGGTTAGGTAACGGCTGGTCTGACCTGCAGCTCACTGGGGGCGATATTTCTTTTTATATCGAGCCCGAGTATGTCGATAGACCATCTGCTCCGTTCCCGGAGACGACCGAGAAGTGGAATTATCGTTCCTTCTCACACTGAGGGACAGGGACTGTCGCGAGATGCTATATTTTCGCGTAGATGGGTGATGTATCTAGCAACTTAGTAAGCAAGGGACGCGATAAGGAAGGGACGCGATAAGGAAGCGTACCACCTAGCATAACAAGAAGTACAATTCCGATAGGGGGAAGCCCACAAGAAGCATTCCCCTTCCAATTCAGGTAGAGACGGCTTCTTCGCTCTTCAAGCCATGAGTTGTTGTTACAGAGGACAGTTCAATAGGCTATATTGCATCAACTGTCTCATCACCAGGCTATTCTCGGTCAAGGTGCTGACATATGGCCAAATCAGTGACTCTTGGTGGGAAAAAAAGACTGACTGAACGAATACAACTGTTAGAAGCAAGGAGTGCAACTATAGGCAACGACCTAGAGTCAAGGGTTGCACTTAGATCTGGGCTGTCTAACAGCAATTGTACAGAGATCCATGATGAAATACTCCCCAATTTAGCTATCGAACATCCTAGTATCTGTACTTGTGTTCCTTGGGGTGTTTGCCTAGACGATTCAAGATGATATACTGGATGTTGGCGAGGCCAGCCGCCACCATCGAAAAGGTGATCAATATTAAAATGGCCAACCATCCCTTGGGGTAGTATGGTCGATCCTCTTGACGGAATAACTGGGCGCCGATGATGCCAGCCACGTTGGCCCCAATGATATGGACCGCCATGGTGATCGACCGCTCGCCTTCTGTCACGCAGTTCAAAGCAAGCCATGAGCCGTGGACAGCATCTGTGTTTCTCAATTTTAGCCAATGGGATACTAACGGTCGACTAGCTGGCTTGATGAAGGACGGAACCTACGTGAGTTGCCTGAGAACATCATGCCCACCGTCAACACTGCGAACCTTGTGGTTCTATCAGGACTATATATCAGAAGTCGATTGGCCAGCTGCGATGGAGATACAGCGGTCAGCAATGAAGATCCAAGGGGCAGAGCAGATATGGAAGCAGGTTTTGGTACATACGTTGAAGGCCCAGTAGGCCAGAAGACTGAAGAAAACCAAGCGTCCGGGGATCTTGAATTTGTCTCTGGAGATGGATCACGGGTTGTTAGCTGCTGCTACTTCTCGCTGACGTGGCCGCCTCCAATTTCACAGAGACTTACGATAAGTATCCCGTGACGAGGGTACTGACGACCAGCAGCCACGCCCCGATTGAAATCATGGCGTTGGCATTGAGGTTACTGTATCCCATGCTGACGACCACCAGTGGCAGGTAAGAACCCAGACTTTGGGCGGGTGCAAGGCATCCGATGGTTGCGATGACGTGAGGGATCAGGCGCCAGTTTGTAAACTGCAATTTTCACAGGTGAGTTATTTGTCGAGGACTCAGCGAAGAGATGACTAAAAGATACTCACCACCCTGCGTAAGTCTTCGCGTGGCACATGCTGTCCAGATCTTCGGGCCTTCGATGGGTCGTCAAGAATGAGCCGCTGAAGGAGGATATACCTCTCGCGCTCGTTGAAATATTGATAGCCAAATAGATTTACAGGGTTGGCGTTGTCTCGAGGAAACAAGAAAACAAATATCGCTCCGCCACCAATGGCCATCACACCCTCGATCTTGCCCTCAGTCAGTCGCCATGTGCTGTAGTTTAATTGACAAGGGAAAGACTTGCCAGGAATATCCACTGCCAGCCAGCCAGTCCAGACTTTTTGTCAAGTTGCTTGAGGCTGGCCTCGTCAGTAAGGGACCGGCGATTGTCAGCAGCTAGATAAAGATGCTCAAGGCTTACATGCCGTACGCCATCAACCCTGAGCACGCACCGGACACCATGCTGCCCAAGAAGTAGATTGAAAAGCGCTTGCCAATCTCAGCACGAGTGTAGTACCGAGTCATGGTGAACAGCCCTCCCGGAATGAAGCCTGACTCGCAGATACTGCGAGGATGGATTAGGGATTGGTATGTCAAAAGCGGCACAGCGTAGTGCTTATCAAGACTTACCCTAACAATAGACGGGTAGCAATAAATGCACCCAGGCCTTTCTGGAAGATTTGAAAAGTGCCAACAAAGCCCCTTGAGGTTAAGGTGGGATTAGCTTTGTGCGAAGAGGCGAGAGAGAGCAAGGCGCTCTAAGGCCGGGACTGCGACTCACCATGCAATGATCTGTGGTCCAAGCCAAACCACTGGGCCAAGTTTATAGAGCATCATATTGCTTGGAATCTGCAAGTCTGAGTTAGCAAGACCTGGGCGATGTAACAACGAAAATGAACGCTGCTTTACCTCAAACAAGACGATGCCGACTGACAACATCTGTTGTCCGATGTTGAATTGGTTCTGAGTGATGCCGACATCTTGGAAGAAGTTGTTGGTGAGTGCACTCCCTCTGTTTGATAAGACCAATTAGTCGGATGTAATGTGTGTGCAGGAAAAAGGAGTCTCAGGCTTTTCCCATACATGTTGCCGCGATTCAATTGGAGTGTGAAGAAGGTGAGGATCATGAGTGGCATAACAATGAGGTCGATCCTAATCATGGGAGTGTCAGTCCGTCAATCAATCCACCATGGAATGGTCGTACGAGACCTCCATACGGCATTGCTGGCAATGGTCAGTCCTTACTTGCGCACCAGTTTCTTCTCCTCTAGGTGTTACGAATCGGCCTGCGAGCAGGCCGCATACAAAGCTGTGACGACAGCCAGGACAAGAGAGGAAGCTATGCCGGGAAATCACGTGTGAAGAACCACGGCACGGATCACGTGATACGCTCAGCCGGCTCAGCCCTGGGGACGCTGAGCACCGCTGAGCACCACTCGGGGATGCTCAGACATGCTCAGTGTGCTTGGCCTAAGCACCACTGAGCGGGACTGAGCAGTGACGGATATATATACACGGTCGTTCCATAGCTTTACCACGTAGTCAACTTCGTTCACGATCATACCCATACGTTTTGGACTATGATCACTTCGCTCTAGTACTCGCTCAAGTACTCCGTTCTCAGCGACCTCGCCTCCTATACTTCCCACTTATCAAGGAACGATACGTGCAGTGACACCCCGGGTGGAGCGAAACGTAACACTAGGTTTGTCCAGTCCGGCTTGGGAGAAACTTCGCGGTCGGTGCGTATAGCAGTGGCTAAGATACCCTCATCGCCAAAGGGACCCTTTCCCACCACAAGGTCGGCCATAATGAGTTGAGCTTGCTCAAAGATCAGCTGGCGTGGTTCTAGATCCAATCCAGAAAGATGAGAATGCCTGACTACCTGAATCTTGGACCGGATTTGAACCCAACTTTATACGAGGCCATCTGAATGGACTGGCCTCGCTGTGGTGGCTATACCAGGGCATCACGTCACATCAGCCTCTCAAACTTTCTCAAATCTTTCTGCATTCTTCTCCTCTTCCGTGTCTTGCGCAGCTCAAGAATTGTGTTATCGATGCTAAAGTGACGAATCCCTTAGACCGAAAAGAATTGCGTGAGTGGATGCATCTAGCTCCCTTTGACCTCACTTTGAACAAAAGGTCACAAAAGGACATTGGTGGATCTTGACTGAGTAGGAGGTGGTTTGAGAAATGAATACTGCATGTATTCTGAGTACAAGCCTTTACAGGTTTCGTACGTCTCAATACACGGCCGAGGCTCCGCTCTGCTAACACGTCAGCAAGGACCACCACTTCTCGGGATACGGGACGTTGAGACATTCCGCTTTACTACCCTTCAGTCCCTAATTCGACTATATACATACGGCATGCTGAAGGTAGATTTTAAGTTTCAATGCAGCCCAGTGTGATATATAAGCTCAAGGTTGCTCCATACAGGTCGGGCGAAGACAAGATTTTTTGATTGCTGGCTGACCTGACCAAGCTCCAGTTCCATAGTCAATTGGAATCGCACCCGGGACCGACTGCACCATGCACACGACGTGGCTTCTGACGGCCGGGCTTCTCACCGTCCATACAGTGGCGGCACTGGCAGGGGACGAGCTGCAGACACAGCAGCAGATTCTTACTCCCACGGCTGGCGGTGATGGACGTCGCCAGCCTAACATCATCCTGATCCTCACCGACGACCAGGATTTGCACATGAATTCTCTTGACTACATGCCTCTGATCGACAAGCATTTGAGAGAGAAGGGAACTCTGTATAAGCGGCACTTTTGCACTACGGCCATTTGCTGCCCTGCACGAGTGTCTCTCTTGACCGGCAAATTGGCGCACAACACCAACGTCACTGATGTCTTTCCACCTTATGGTTCGTACTGAGCCCCGGCTTTTGATTCTGCTCTTACATCTGCGCTTGAAAAGTGGTTATCCTCCAAACTGACTAAACTGAAAACGCTGCCAGGCGGATATCCCAAGTTCGTCTCCGAGGGTTTCCAGAAGGCGTATTTGCCAGTCTGGCTCCAGCAGGCAGGGTATGACACCTACTATACGGGCAAGTTATTCAATGCCCACGATGTCAACAACTATAACAACCCATTCCCTGCCGGCTGGACGCAATCGGATTTCCTCCTGGACCCATCCACGTATCGATACTATAATGCGACCTTCCAGCGAAACCGGGACCCGCCTGTTAGCTACGAGGGTCAATACAGCATCGACGTAATTGCTGAAAAGGCCAATGGCTTTCTGGAACTGGCAGCACAGGGCGACAAGCCCTTTTTCCTCGGCATTGCTCCGCCAGCTCCTCACACCAACGTCGAGTTACATCTAGAACATATACCTGAGGGTCCGATCATCATCCCACCAGACCCGGATGATATCGCGAAGATGGTGACGTTTCAGCCGCCACTGCCTGCGAAAAGGCACGAACATCTGTTCAAGGATGTCCGACTGCCGCGGACGCCCAATTTCAACCCAGAGACTCCCTCCAGTGTAAGCTGGATCGCGGAACGACCCCGGATCGCAGAGGAAGAGATTCCGTTGTACGATCACTTCTATCGGCAGAGACTGCGCACATTGCAGTCGGTGGATGAGCTGGTGGACGGGGTCTTCACGAGACTGGAACGACTGGGTCTGCTCGAGAATACCTATGTCTTCTACACGACAGATAATGGATACCATCTTGCTCAACATCGACTACCACCCGGCAAGGAATGCGGGTTTGAAGAAGACATCAACATCCCCCTCCTGGTGCGCGGTCCGAACGTGCCTCACGGAGACACCGAGGCGGTTACAACCCACACGGACCTGGTTCCCACCTTCCTCCGACTTGCTGGGGTCCCCTTTCCGGATGGACTGGACGGGACGGCGATCCCATTGTTCAAGCCAGAGTTCAAGGAGGCAGAACAGACCCGCAACGAGCATGTCACAGTGGAATACTGGGGCATGGCCACATTTGAAGGCGGGGGAAAACAGGACGTGGGCCACATGGTATTCAACAACACATACAAGGCGGTTCGTGTAGTGAGCGATGAGTACAACTTGTACTATTCGGTGTGGTGCAACGGAGAGCACGAGCTCTATGATCTCAAGGTGAGTTACGAGTTCTGGTTCCATGAACATGATGCAAATACTGATTCTGTTCCCTAGACGGACCCATACCAGGTGAAGAATCTGCTTGCTCCCGGGGATGGCACCGCTACGCACCTGGGTGTCTCTCTCGAGCAGCTCGTGGCGCGTCTGGACACGCTGATCCTCGTGCTCAAGTCGTGCAAAGGCCGAGTGTGCGTCAAACCGTGGGAATCGCTTCATCCGCAGGGCAATGTGCGCAATCTGCCTGAGGCGCTGTCGACCCGCTTCGATGGGTTCTACACCACTCAACAACGGGTGCATTTCAACCGGTGTGAGGCAGGTTATGTGATCGATGCTGAAGGTCCCCAGTTTGAGACGCACGGACGGGTTTTCGGGAACGGGATTCGATCGAGTGAGTGGTGGTAAGGAAGTGCTATTTGCCAGCGTACCCTTGGTTGCAGGAGGAATAGATGGTCTGATCTGAGCGAAGCGAGTCTACTAGGTAGCACTGAGGTCAATAAAGGAGTGTAATGCCGAGGAGAGGGCACTGTGAGTGCATAATAGAGCGAGCGTACTCACCCTTGTCCTGGCTTAGAATGTGGAGCATGAAATCGCCCGTCTCTCTCCTTTCTCAGTCTGCCTTATCTTCACGAGGTCCCCTAAGCTAAAAAGCCATTGGAGTATCTAATGCAAGTCTCATGTGTCTCGGCTTTGGGTCTTTTGTGCGTAGCACATGCCCGTGACCGGCCGATGGTTCACCTGGTGGGGCACAAGGGGGCGGGGATTATGCATGGGAGAATGCATGGCATTGTATAGCGTCTATTTCGCCATATAGTGGCACCATCACATCATTTCTTTAAACAGCCTTTCGAGGAATGCACACATTTGCATGCGTGAGGTTTTCCCCATTCCAATATCGATATTGTCCATGAGAAGGACGGCGAGATCCAGATCCAGCCCCTAGTCCGGGTCCGAACCCCAGGTTCGGGTCCTGATCCTTGATTCGGGTCCTGAACCCTTCGTTCGGGTCCTGAGTTTGGTTAAACTCGAATCTAGGTGGGAGTTGACCTTTTGGTTTGCAAATCGATGCAAAGTCTTGCTGATACCGGCACTTAGGTCGATAATACATAATACGTGATACATAACTCGTAATACAGGATACACCATACACGACACATGGTACCAAGTACCTATTCCATCGATTGCATACCACATACTGTGTGGGTCGACTTAATTGACTTGCTTTGTTTCGGTGTTTCTTCAGTGTCTTTGTGACTGAGAGCCCTGCCCTCAGTTCTCAGTTCTCAGATCCCCTCGCACTCCCCTCGATACATTGCATTGCGCTGCATACTCCTCTTCTTTTTCAACCTTGAGCACCTGGTTACATAGCAGAAGAATAGAGCAATAGAACAATGGCCGGCGCCAACCCAAGCCGCGACGGCAATAACCACAATCTCAGCGAGACGACCAGTATTTCGTCAAAGAAATCAGACGTCCTCGTCACAACAAGAGCGTTGGGGTACTCACCACCCCTCCCCAGCTCAGAGCGCTCTAGCTTAGAGTCTTCTTCATCATGTCCATCATCAACAGAGTCGCTGATGTCCCAAAGCTCCTCAGAGTCGCGTCGAGGATATGAAACTTTCCCCCCTGGAAGAAATGAAGATGATTTGGAGGAGGCCACGCCAGCAGACATGGACAAGAACAAAAGAGATGCCAATGGGAAGGGCATTGTTCGGATCATCATGGTCTTGACTATTGGTACAAGATAAACTCATATCAACTTGCCTGTATACCTGCTTATGATTCATTACTTCTACTGACAATGCCACTCCCCAACTTCAGGTGTCTTCATATTCCATGCCGACAGCTCCCTCGTCATGGCTACCCATCCCACCATTGCGTCCGAGTTTGATGCATTACATTCATCGAGTTGGTTGTTTACGGCATTTGCATTGGCGGGAGCGGCGACTCAAAATACAGTAAGCACCTTATAAGGGAAATCAGAGCTACTATCCGTTATCTGACATGTCCGGATAGGTGAGCAAGCTCGGCGATATCTTTGGACACAAACGGGTCATATTGACGTGTTACCTGGTATTTGCTATTGGTTGGTAAGTGATTTTATTCCCTTGACTTGTACCCATTCGATATTTGGCGAATGATCTGGACTAACTAGTATGGCTAGCTCGGTGGTGTAAGTCTTCACATAGCTGTGAGTGTCGGTGTCGACCAGTTCATTTAACCTGTTCTCTTCCAGGGGTCTGGGCCAGTCCATGCCGCAGGTGATCTTTGGTAGAATCATCTCCGGCAGTGTAGGAGCCGGGATGACAGTACTGGTGTCGCTGATCATCACCGCCCTCGTCCCAATTCGACAAGTCGCCAGCTGGCGAGCATTCGTCAACATTCTGAGCACCTTGGGCCGGAGTATTGGAGCACCTCTTGGGGGATGGCTTGCGGATAGAGTCGGCTGGAGATTCTCCTTCATTGGCCAAGCCCCATTGATGCTCGTTGCAATGGTTTGTGTTTGGTTCATCGTTCCATCCGATGTGTCGTCGAAAGAGGAGTCACTCCATACCGGGGATCAAGAGAGAGAATCACGACAGCTATCTCTGCGGGAAAGGCTCGGTCGACTCGACTTCTTAGGTGCTCTGGTCTTAGGACTTTTGATTCTCTCCCTGTTGCTACCCCTTGAGGTAGGGGGTGTCAATATATCGTGGCGACACCCGGCCATTCCTACGCTAATTCTCAGCTCAGTGATCTTGTTGGGCCTCTTTATCGGGATTGAGAAGCGATGGGCCAAAGACCCTGTCCTGCCTCTGGAGATCTTCTCCAACAAGTATGCTGTATATTCTTTCGGTATCATGGCGCTGCAAGTGGCGGCCCAGGCTGGGGTGAGTCGATGCATATCTTGATGTTGGGTGAGGGAACCACAACTAACTCTCTCGCCATGTCAGCTTATGTTCTCCGTGCCTCTCTATTTTCAGGTCACGGAGCGGTTATCTAACACACAAGCAGGAGCTCGCCTCTTCCCTGCCATCCTTGGTAATACAGTCGCGAGCATCTTATCTGGAGTGATGATCCAGCGGTAAGCCATGACACAGACCCGCATGTGGAAGCATTACCGCTAAGACAATATGGCTGACACATATATACAGGACCGGGAAATACAAAAATATTCTGATACTCGGCACTCTGCTCTCGGGAGTGTCCTATATTCTGGTCTTGTTCAGGTGGAATGGCAATACCAGCTTGGTCGAGTCTCTATACATCATTCCGGGGTAAGTTGGCTCTTCTTCCCGGGGGTTGCACACATCACTCGAAAGGAAACATTGTAGCCCCTATATCTAACACGATACTATCGATAGGGGCTTCGGAACTGGCCTTGTTCTAAGCGCGGCCTTCATTTCACTTCAAGCCGCCGTCACTAAGGAGACCATGAGTCCTGCGATCTCGGCTCTCTATCTCTTCACAGGCCTGGGTAGTATCCTCGGACTAGCCTTCTTAAACGTCATTCTACAAGGAGTTTTGAGATCAAGATTCGAATCTAGACTGGTCGATCTTGGTGTAGACATAGCGAAGCGAAAAGAGGTGTGTGAACCGGGGATGACATTCGATCAGAGTATAAAAAGACTGACAATAACATTATCATGAACAGATCATCAGCAAAGCAACCGCGACTGTGGACTATATCGATCAACTTCCCACTCAGTTAGCGCAAGCACTTATTGGCTCCTATGTACACGCACTCAAATGGATGTATAGTGAGTCATGACTATTGTAGAATCATTTACTGTATTCTAGTTCCCACGATCTACACTGACTAAAGTTCTCCTACAGGAGCGTCATTACTTTTCGTAATAGTTGGTCTTGTGCTTGCATCGCTTGTGAATCAGCATAAACTACCATAATCAAAATAACGATACATAATCGTTGTATAGATATCTATATATGCATACAGAAATACAAAGAAGAGGGATCGATTCAGTCCTTTAATCTATCTCTTCTTCATGGAGTTCACTTTAGCACGATCGCTTTACATGTACTGATTTATGGCCAGCATCTCCTTCTGCAAACTCTTAATGGCACCATGTGCATCGACGCTAAGTCGATTCCAGACGTTCCGCTTCTATCTTTCGTGACTGGAGATATTCTCGCTTGACAAGATGAGAGTGAAAAAGAAGGTGCCGAGGCTCATGACCGCGTAAAATAGCGTCTTGCTTTTGCGCAAGATGTTTAGCCTCCAGGCCCGTCCGGCTGGTGTCATCGCAGAAGTTGTATACCATGGTGAAGTCCATGTCGAGTTCTCTGAAAGTGTTGGTGGCCGTTATCTCACCGAATGTCGACTCAAGTGCGACATTCTCGTTGTGCTTTGAATTTGGAGATCTGATGCTCCCAATAGTCATTGTGTGCATCCATGCATCGCGCCGTGTTCTCTTTCTTGCTACCCGGCGCAGAATCCGCGGTGTCTGCGTCGGGCAGAGGAGGTGGGTCAAGACCGTGGCGCGAATGGCCGGTCTTGAAGACCTGGACATAGTCCTATTCTCACCGCCGGTCTTGGCCAGCGTCTCCGACGAAGAGCGAGTAAAGGCAGCATCGCTCTACTGCCCGATCAGGTTGAGACACGAGATGTGAGTTTAGCGACGGCGACGGGCTCAGTTATACTTGTCCCCGACTGTTGCATAGATAGCGCCAGGTCCCTCTAGGTACCAGGCACCAGGTACTGTACGGAGTCTTTTAGTGTCTAGCGGCTTGGCAACACTTACAGCTTCTTCTCTACTTAATTAAGGAAGAAAGCTTTCTCCCTCATGATGCATGCTTATGTCCCCCACTACAAATTGCAAAACACCCGTAAGGAGAAAGTCGCTTTCATTGACTGCAGTACTCTTCATGAAATCGATTGGAAGAGTTACTCCCCATGCCACAGGATGACGAAGGCATCACAGCACATGAGTATGGGTTTCATGACGCCGCACAACCAAGTTTGGCTACAGGCCTAAGACTGCGGTCCGCATTATTCTTGATTGCTGTCACTGAAATTACTTCGAAGGGTCGTCGCGTGTCCAAGAAGGTGCACTGCCGTTGCACTCGACTAATCGATCCCGTTGCCTACAATGTACATTTACGTTCAAGGTTACACGAGCTGAGATATCGGTTGGATAGTGCACCTTGGTATTTCCGTCAACGGACTTCAATGAAATTTGGCTCGGCTGCAAGTTTGGTGACATCAGCGATTGCTTGCAGTCGAGATAAGCTGACTGCAGAACCTATGCGTACGCGACCTTGGCCAAAGTCAACAAGTCCAGTCTGTATTAGCTGCGAGGTTTCGGCATTACCCCATTGTACAGGCAGTTTGTACCGATGACCTTGCTCGAGATGGATAGTACTCTTTTCTTCGACAGTGCCGGATCCCAAAAATGCAGAGCCTGGTTTCTGAATCTCCATGTTCGACACCACCAACTGCTCGTTAATGAACAGTTGCCCTGTGCCATGCACAGATAGGCCGAAATCATAATCCGCTGACTCATCTGGAGTGAAGATACCTTCAATATCTGCATACCAAGTCTTGTTAACCTTTGGGTTGGCAAAGTCGATGAACCATATATTGGCATCAGTAAGGTGTCGTTCCTCGATCAGAGTCCGAGGGCTTGATCCATGTGGCTCATTGAACACTTTGAGAAAGAATCCGACTTTTCCATCTTCGGTTCGCAGACGGGATCCCATTTCTGGAAGAAGCTTATGGGCGTATACTCCTTGCGTAAAGGAAACATCAGCGGTAGACTGGAATACGGTGCCATCAAAGGGTGTGACTGCAGAATATAGCCTCAACGATGCACTTCCACCTCCACATTATCCCGCAATCTTTGCATTGGGTCCAACAATCAGTATTGGCTTTTCCTTCTTGAGAGGCAAATTATTTCATTCGTTCTTCAGTAGAACAATGGCCTCGGCAGCTGCCTGGCACATTAAAGCCCGGTCTGATGGGCGGTTCAACTCAATCTCAGGTGCGTTTTCTGGTATGCTCGCTGCGAGAGTTTCTTTTATCAAGTTTAGCACATTTCGTACGCGGTTGTTTAACATTGCCTCCTTAACTTTGTTGGCAGCATGGATCAGAGCTGGCCCCCGAAGCCTGGTAGATCCAGGCATTTCTAGGTTGAGTGCCGCCTCAATTGCTTCAGATGTACTGAAGGTGCCGAACCAATGCTCATTACCAGCCCATCCCAACCCACTCTTTCCGAAGAATATCCTCCAAAAGTCGTTTGTTTTGGGATGCATGTGTGCCGTTGACCTTGTTGTATGCTGTCATGGCAGCGCCCGGTTGACCAGTTTGATGGCAGTTTGAAATGGGGAAAGGTAAATCTCGCGCAACGCACGTTCTGTAACAATGGCATTGTATGCCATTCTCTCGTGCTCTTGATCATTGCATACAAATGCTTCAGAGCTGGAATGATATCCTTATCTTGAACACCTTTGCAATAATTACCAGCAATCACTCCTGATAGAAAATGATCTTCTGAATATGATTCATTGCCTCGTCCTCCCAGTGGAGACCGTTGGATATTGACGATTGGCCCTAACAAAACGTGAGCCCTGGCCTTGGCCTCATCGCCGAGAAGCCGACCTAGCTGAGGAGCGAGAGCCTCATCGAAAGTTGCTCCAGTTGCAGTACCACAAGGGAGACATGCTGAAGGCGTCCCATCAAAGAATCGGGTGTCTCTGAAACCATTCGGTCCATCCGAAAGCCTGATGGACGGTATCGACAGTCTTGGAATAGGATCTGTATGCCAGAAGTCTTTGCCTGCTGTGAGTGCAACCTTTTCGATCAGTGTTAGTTGTAAGAGCAAAGAGTTCACGTCCAGCTCTCTCTGCCTGTCGAAGCTGGTAAACCCACAGCCTCTCCTGTCATAAGCAATTTCCCTCCTCTGGGACAAAACATCTTACACGAGGAATCATATCGGCACCAAGATGGACATGAACCAATTGCGGATTTGATCCAGACTACCGTTACTGAGCCGAAAACGTATGCACCCGTCGTGGCAGAGCATAGCATCAACAATGTGTCGGCCTCATATCTAAGCACACTGCTCTATGTTGATGTTCCAGTCTATTTCGACCATGAAAAGCATCTCAAACCGAACGAAGACCCGTCGGCTCCAGCGGGGAACGTCAATCTGTTGCCCTGTTCAGCACCAGGTAGTGGTGCCAAAGCATTACCGGACGAGCGACCAGAATAGTCTCTCTTGCCCCGTATCGGATCATTGACGTCGCCTCTGAGCCATTCGGACTTCCTGCATTACTTCAAGCTGTTCTTTGATCGCCTCTACCCGATCTACTCTGTGCTGGATAGGCCCACTTTCCTGAAGACCTTTTATGTCCAAGAGACCCTTCAATCGCCAACTTCACTCCCTGATTACTTACTACTGACGGCCCTCTCTGCAGCTGTCATTTCGCAGTTAAACTTATCTGATCCCATAACACCGCTTGTCAGTTCAGGGGATCTCGGTTCGGATCCCTCCGGCCCCTTTGATAACAATCAAAAGAATACTGTAGCACCTTCCGACCTTTTCGTATCTGAATGCCTCCAGAGCCGCGAAAGATGGCCTTTCGTGGAAACAGCGGACGATCGCACTATTCTGACCTCGTTTTTCTTGTTTGCATATTACGGCAATAATAACCAGCCTCGGTCGGCGTGGTATTATCTTCGGGAGGTTACTGGTTTTGCTCTCTCCTTAGGCTTGATGACATGGCATCATACAAGAGACTGGATCCAGTTGAAGCGCAGCTGCGAAAGCGACTATATTGGCTATTATTTATTACAGAGAGATATGTAATGGCATAGTGGTCCTTACTAACAAGAATCTAGCTAACATAATCATATATAGAGCTTACGCTCTCCAGCACCATAGCACTGTCGTACTGAGACCCTCTATCAGTTCCCTTATATATTAGACTCGGATAGCCCGCGTTTGATGCATAGATTCGTTACATTGGCGAACATGTTCCAGAGTGTGGACAACAATTTCGTCTCATTGTGGAAAGATAACTCCTCTTCAGCCACCCCACAACTGCCCGAGGATATTGGCTTGCACCCTGTCAAGATCCCTAAGCTGGATAAGACTCAGCATATAGACATTATAGTCACTCGACAGTGGCTTCGTGTCCTTTCTTGGCAGATACAGCATCGACACCATCAAAGGCTTGATAGACGGACACCACAGGGAATTTCCGAACACCCATATAGTCGAAAAGATCAGCTTCGCTCGCTTTACCCTTTCACCATAGCCAAGGGTATGTTAGCCATTGTCTCGGGGGGTGAACAAGAACTGCTTGAATCGCACGGCATAGGTATAGTAAGTGTCCTTTCGTACTATTGGCAGTTTTTCCACCACTTGGCAACCGCCTACTAAGTGGTCATAACACTCGTGTATACCACCACAGGCGTGCTGACAGCCGCGCTGCGGCAGGAGCAAAAGATTTTCGACTCAGCTGGCTGTCTTTCGGATGTTCTTGCCTCGTGCGTTGATATCGAGTCTGTTCAGCTCTCAGACGGGCACAATATGCTCCATGGCTTCATGCTTCTTCTTCTTGCAAATTTCAGACATTGGGAATCCCCCTACTTGCAACCGCTACTGAGCAGGGCAGCAACCATATTATCCGCAGGCTTATTAGTTCCCAATCAACTCACAATCACTACCGGAGAGCAGAATCGGCATGACGGAGACGGAACTAGGTATCTTGCTGTAAATCCCAGCCGCGCAACCTCCAGCTAATGCATTGTTGCCGAAGAGGGCAAAACAGGAGGATCATTCTTCCCTGGGTTGTTGAGCAGGATTCAATGTGTCAGGACTGACGCAACCGCCCTGACAGAGGTAGTCATTACCCAGCTAGTCATTACCCTCTCGGATCTCGTAAGGTGATTTCGTCACCAGCACTACCACGGGTAGGACCATCGGCACTGTAGCAGCGAAGCATCTCAAACCCACCATGATGCAGCTCGGTGATCAAAGTCCCATGATCGTAGTGGACAATGCTTACTTGCAAGCGGCCACTCAAGATACCGTTCAAGCTAGGTACTTGTTGCTACCCCATCTTTTCTAACTTACCTCGTAGACTCACTGTCACAGCATTCGCTCATCATAGGCAAATAGTTTTCGGAACTGAACATCTCATCTTCCCTGCCAGGATGGCTGAAGAGTTTACCTAGCTGTTGGCCGAGGAGGTCAAATAGTATTAATTGGCGTGCAATTCCGTCACAGTCGACGATGCCAAAAAGGCTCAAGCGATCTTGGAAGAAGCCGTGGCCGAAGGAGCCATATTTTTGGTTGGTAACACAGAATTAATTGGTCACATGGCTCTCACGCCATCCGTCCTTTCCAGTGTCCAGTCAAGATCACGTCTGGCTCGCGAAGGGTCAGTTGCCCCGTCAGCCAGCTAGTGGCCAAGGACGATGAGAAGACACTCGGGCTGGCAAGCCGCACTGAGCACGGACTGTCCGCCTCAGTCTTTACCCGCAGATACGCCAGAGATTTTCACTGGCTAGAAAAATTTGAATTCAGTCAGAATCAGATCGGAGACGCCCACATCACGGATAGCAACTGGTACCTGTTATGCTTCTTACTCTCTGATCTTGACTGGGTGCTTTCAACATGAGAAGGTTCTCCTCACTGTTAATGCAGGCATTACAATTTGACACGATACTACTTGTCAAACAAGCTGAACTGGGTCTTTATATCGCTCAGCGTGGACTGTCTCGGCGAATCTTCGAAGTATCCCCGAAAGTAGTCAGAAAAGCTCGGGACGACAAACCCACAAATGGCAGCAGTGTAGGAACGAGAACAGGCTGCTACATATCCGGAATCAAGAATCGGGCTATGATTAAGCAGCTGCGCTCAAGGGATTGGAAAAGGTCGATCACTTACGGTGCAGCATCTGTGTGGTGGCGTTCAAGAATGCCGTGGTTTCATGCGGTCACAGTGCCTGCAGAGAATGCTTATCATTATGGCTTGGACCAGGCAAAGGCTGCCCTTGATGCAGGCGAAGATTCGGAGAAAGCGATGTTCGGGATGTTTAGCTTGGGTCCAGAAGCAAAACTCGGAACGCCCGGGGGAATGACGCGAGCCGGATGTGATTCGCTGAGCATCGACAGTGAGTAGAACATCAGGTGCACACAGCTGCCGAAGAGAGAGAGCAAGACGGCGCAAGGTTATAAGGACAAATGCAAGAGCTGTTGAAACAAGCTATTGACCGTGTCACCGGCTCGTAACATTCCTTCTCTAAGTTTACCTTCCGTCGCTTATTTCTGTTCGTTTCTAGATATGGCGGAAGCCCGCCCTATAAGGGAACAAATTTAGGCATCGAGCGCATAGAAGACGCCGATAACAGGGTAATCAATAATGGCCGTGGTTGGCCGTGACTCGGGCTTTCCCGGTCTACCGAGATCGCCGAGGTACCTTGCCGCACATACACAATATCAATTTAAGGCGCTGCACAAGCAAACATAGCTGCGATAGCTGTTGGTAAAGCATTAACTACCTGTGTCTGTTGACCACAGCAACCATGGCAGCCAGACGTGTACTTCTTACTGGTGGAAGCGGCTTCGTTGCCTCGCAAATTCTAAAGATTCTCATAGCCCAAGGGTATTCTGCGATCTCGAAACTCCTTGGAATAAAGAGTACTGATATAAGTGTGTAGTTACTCTGTGCGGACGACAGTCCGATCACAGGTCCGAGCAAACCAGGTCAGAGACGAATATCGTGATGTTTCCAACGACCGGCTTGATTTTGCCATAGTCGAAGACTTAGATGTCGAAGGGGCTTTCGACGATGCCGTTATATCTGATCCCCCATTCGAGGCTGTGGTGAGTTGTTTGATAGTGGTCCATTTATAGTCTCAACTAACGGGTATAGATTCACACTGCTAGTCCCTTCCGCTTCAACGTCACAGACATCCAAAAGGTGATCGCTTGAGCGGTACACAATAATCGGTCGACAGCTGACACAATTAGGAACTTATCGACCCCGCAGTCATGGGCACCATCAGTATTCTGAAGGCGGTCAAGAAAAATGCCCCGACAGCAAAGCAAGTAGTCATGACCTCGTCGTTTGTTGCCATGGTTGATCCAGCAAAGGGTCACTGGCCGGGGCATAAATACTCAGAGGAGGATTGGAATCCAACCACTCTTGATGAGGCGCTGCAAAACCCCATTAGTGGTTATCGAGGTTAGTTCGTCGACTTTTTAAATCCGATCACGGCGTCAGACTGTAGAGTGCTAAGAGAATTCAATAGGAAGCAAGACTTTCGCCGAGAAAGCTGCTTGGGATTTCGTTCGTTACGAGCAGCCTAACTTCACACTCACCACTATCAACCCACCGCTGGTGTTTGGACCGCTTGCCCCCAACGTCACGTCGTTGAATGGATTGAATACATCCAACGAGTTCTTTCGAGACCTTATCTTGGGTAAATTCCAGGATCATCTTCCCCCAACCATCGCCCACATTTGGGTTGACGTCCGCGATCTAGCCCAGGCGCACGTTCGAGCGCTAGAGGTCTCAGAAGCAGCAAATAGCCGGTTCTTTGTGGCGGCCGGAATGTTCAGTAACCGCGAGATTGTGAGGATTATACGCTCTCGTATGAGTGAGTATAGCTCCCGGTTACCACCAGAAAGTATAGAGGGTGGAGATTATCCACAAGGTGGCATTTATGGTATAGACAATTCACGCACCCAGAAGATCCTTCGCGTGGGATTTCGATCTCTAGAGGAAAGTGTTATCGACACAGTCAAATCCATCGAGGGCCTTTTATAGTGTAAGAACGTCTCTAATGTTGCGATTCTACGTTAGAATGTCGCTGCATAGATAGGTTTCTCGATGCTAAGAAGTAGAAGAGGTCGATATTAAAGGACGATAAGAAAGAGATCAAAATGTGGTCCATTCTGTCTTTTAGAACGCGCGTCTGCCTCTCCAAATCGTCCAAGGTCCGAATGTTATTAATTTCCGTTTATGACCACTTGTTGCTCGTCTTGATACATGTCTCGTGATCATGGGGTTAAGCACAACACCGGGCAAAGTGGTTTATCTCCGCACGGAGTACTTTAGGTATTGTGCAAAGGCGGCGAGTTATAGTATATATACTATAGCACTGGCGAGGAAAGACGAGGTCTCTATTGACTGCCGTTATCCTGGATTCGTGAGTAGTGACCGAAAACTTATGAGTTTATTGCATTATCAACTCACCTACACACGAGGTGAAGCGATTCTTTGGATGGCACCATGGCAGACAACAAGAAGATCATTCTCATCACGGGTATGTGTCTTGGATTCGACCAAAGAGCATTGCAACAGCGTTATTCTTCAATTGTTTCGCTAACCAATACTGTCTTTATCTCTAGGAGCCAATTCAGGCATCGGCCTCGATACAGCTCACGCCCTGGTGTCTGCGTCGGCAAACAACCATGTCATCATGGCGTGCCGCGACAAATCCAAGGGTGACAAGGCTCTTGAATCCTTGAAATCATCTCCATCCTCATCCTCCTCCAGCGGCGCCGCGCTACTCGGCACACTCAGCCTTCTGGAACTTGACATCACCATGGACGATAGTATCTCCGCAGCAGTGGCGACTGTTACGGCCGACTTTGGAAGACTGGACGTCCTGATTAACAACGCAGGTATAATGAACATCAGGCCCTCCAGCCGTCGGGCTGATTTACTGAGCACGTATAATACCAATGCCGCGAGTCCTTTGATTTTCACGGAGCAGATGCTGCCTCTTCTCAAGAAGAGTGCGGACCCAAGAGTCATCAACGTCTCAAGTGGATTGGGGAGTGTGACGGACAAATACGACCCCGAGAGCCAGTACTACAAGGTTCCAGGCGAGCCATATCGCATGTCCAAGGCGGCGATGAACATGGCGACCGCGTGCATGTACGCGAGCTATAAGGACTGGGGCTGTAAGGTATGGAGCTTCGATCCGGGGTTCGTGGTGACGAACTTGTCCGGTGTAGAAAACAGGGGCAGACGGGTTAGTATGGGGGCAGAGAGTTCCGAGACCAGTGCTAAAGGGCTGAGGGAGATTGTGGATGGTTTGAGAGATGGTGAGGTTGGGATATTTATTGGACGAGAGGGTTCTACATTGCCCTGGTAAGTGACAATCATTTTACTATCGACTAAAGGTAGATACCTAAAGTATCTAGTTACCTTATAGAGATAGATAAGTGGTTTGCTCACTATATATAGAAGATATGAATGTGGACATTAAATAAACAAAGAACACAAGAAAACATTGCATTTTCATAGCTTGACTTTAGGCACACCCGCTCCCCCAGAAGGGTTTAAGGGGAAACTAGTTCTTCCTGTTCATTAATGTGGCCCGTTTACTCAGTCTAGTGGCTTTACTAACATTAGATAGGCAAATGCGGAAAAGTTGTGGGCGTTCAGCAAGTGAGATCACTAACTGCACTTACGATGACGCTCAATGTCATGGAAAGGTTTTGTTCATCAGCGGCTTGCTCCATCTCGTAAAGTCTCTACAGGAGGACGCTGCTCCCAACTATGGGGCCTCTTGTTGCAATTCTCTTGCGAAAGGCTGAATACATTGCCGTATTGGAGAGGACCGAAGCCGAGGCAGCATGAAAACATGGGTCAAAGTGCGTTCGGGTGGACAGCAGTGTCATCGTTAGGATTTGACATGTGCTGGGATCAGCCGCCGGGTTCCTGGGTTGGGCTGTGCTCTGTCTCTAGGAAACCCAGAACCCGCGTGGGCGGGTTGAGCATGCTTGAAACCCAGTCCAGTCCACTCCATGTCAAGGCCTAACTGGAAGTACGAGGGCTGAACCGTACTAGAGAACAGTGTACTGTGGGGTCTACTGCAGTAACGAATACGGGATTTCTATGGATGTCTGGGTCTGATGACTACCAGAATGACACAAGACTACCTAAAAACATGGCTACTGTCAACTACACGTCATTTTCAATGTCCGGGTATTCGTAGGAAGGAAAAAATGGCTCAGCGCGATCAACCAAGTAACGGATGAATGTATCCAGGAGAGCTTATCTGTGGTCGAAGGAAGAAGCTTTTGGAGCCATCGAAAAGAGACTCAAGGGAAAAGATACTCAAGCTAGGTAAAGTCGACACCAACACAAATCTCTCGCTTTCTCTGCCCAATGAAATTATCTTTCCCTGTAACAAAATCAAAACAACGCGAACCCGACATTAAGAGTTCGAATATATTACATTTTTTCAACTGCGGTTGTCCTTTCAGCTGATGCACGCTTCAGTGTCATTCTCGACCTACACAACCCCGCGGTTGTGCCAAGAAACGTTTACGAAACAACTAATCTCTTCTAGAATTTTGTGGTGTCGGACTAACTATATAGATCCACGCTCCAAGGCCCGCACTACACCAAATTATCCAGCCAAAGTATACTATACCGCATCCTGCTGCTCCTCTTTGCCCTAAGCAGGGAGCGCAGGGGCAGACCTGAGGAGAAGTCCAGACCAACCCGGTCTCGACCTCGGCTAATACGAGGTGCAACAACGCTCTTGTCCAGCTGATATGTCCTGCACACATGGTACAAAAGCAGGCTCACAGACGCGTTAAGCGATCAAAGTTAGGCTTACCACCAATTCCCAATTGCTCGAATCCAACATGCCCATTCCAGTCCTCGTCACCGTCTACCCTGAGTCTGACAAGGTATTGCGCGTCGAAGAGCTGGTGAAGTGGGTAACCGAAGAAGTTAGGAAAAACGAACCTGCGGTGTCAGATTACAGGTCGTACAAAGGTCGTGGCGATGTGCCAGAACACACCGTTTTCATGATCTTCTTCCAGTAAGTGACCTACATTCGGGATGCCGAAGAGCGAGCTGACACTATAAATATAGTATCGAAAACGAAGAAGAGCTGCATAAAAGAAAGTCGCTGTCTCACCACCAGCATATTGCTAAAGTTACCAACGAGGAGCAGCTCATGAGGAGGCCTCTGAAATATACCGTGTTGAATAGTCTTACGGAATGGTCTCGTTAAAGGCTTTTTGGAGCTCCAGATACTATCGACAAAGCTGATGACAGTTCTCTCTGCCCTCATCAGATCAAGTGCGATCACTTTCTCGTACTCAGGGTCCCAGCCGGCGTTCAGCTTTTGTCCTCATCATTGGGGCTCCGAAATCATGCAGAGACCACCTTGTATATCTCATACTCGACCGCTTGTGTACCATCACCAGGAATGACCCAATGTCCATGCCCAACGAATACGTTCTCCTCCATCCATTTGAAATCCTGACTGCTCGTCTCGAACACTGGCGTAGTAATAAAATAGTGATCCTCTGATCGAGTAGTTTTGGCCTCGGGACTCCATTGCATGACTAGATGGGTTGCTTCATCCACTTTCAAGATACCTGGGTAGTGCAGATAGAAATACTCTCCTGCCTCCGACCGAGCTTGAGCGCGGATATCGAGATGAGCTACTCCCCTTGAGGTGTCCAAGAGCAGCCAGTCACCACCTCCGTGGATGAGATGAGCTTTAAGTCCAGAACCCTCCAATGTCCCATGAGTAACCGTCGCAATGTAGCGGTGTGGGCCGCCCTTGACTGGCCCAAGAGAGAGAAAATCTTCTTTGCTCAAAAAAGCTCTTAGTTTAAACGCTTGCTCGAACTTAGGAGCCATGGTGGAGGACAATAGTTTAGATAGAGACTTATTGTTGCGGTATGGAGATCATAGCTTGCTTGGGCAGCACGTCGAGGTGATCTCATCACAGCTACATATAGGAGAAGCCTCTTCCTAGGTTCAGAGCCGTGATGCCATGTACTGGACCGATGAACTCAAAGTAGCATGAGCTAACGGTGGGCACTCGACAAAAACGATGCTAATTGTCAGGCTCTCCAGATTGCACTATGAAATCCTCCCCGCTGATATCTGTGTACTTGACTGGTTGTCCTCACGCCACGCCTTTCACCAAGGAGCGCGCCAAGGTGAGAGCTGAGTTCAGCTGAAACAAAGTACGAAAGAATCCGGATCAGAAACGTGAGTCTCAGTGAATCTTCTTTCAGCTGTTCGGACCGGACTTGGCATTACTCCTACATTCGGGTTGTGAGCAAGGCTAGACCAAGTCGTTCTGACGCCACCTCGGATACGTTGGGCTTCAGCAGAGCACGAGCACCGAGGCGGTTAAAGGAAGCCTACTCATGGGAAGGCAATCCAGTTGCAAAGCTCTGCAATCCCCTAGGTGTCTACAGCGTTGCCATCTTCTACACAGCTCCGTGACCAGCTAACTGCTGCAGAATCACGATACCTGTCGATGTCGGACATCTGGACACCGACTCCCGGCTGCAACCGTTTCAACGTTTTCCGCGACGAATCTGGCGTCCCTGGCGGTTGTTGAGGCTCAGGTTCAAGACTGAAACGAAATGGATATTCGGTCTTGAGAAAGTCTCGGATCTATTGACACGATAAACGTCGCATCGACACTGTTTATGTGCGCTGCAATCAATAATGCCTTGATACGCGAACCCAAGATGGTCGCCCATAGTACAGAATATTCTTGTCCATTTTGCGAATGAACTTCTCCGCTTTCTCTAGAGCGCCTCGAAAGGCCTCTTGGACTGGGGCATGAATATTCTGGAAGTCGCCCTGCGTTGTGCTGATGTCCGTCATAGATCATCAAGACTCCGGTACATCGCTAGATTGTTGGCGGTGGCGCTGAAGAGACGACATTAGTGTATTCCCAGAAAGGCTTCAGGACACTTTCAGTTTATCCTAATACAGCCAGTCCTCCTCAAATGGCAGGAGATTCTCGGTCTCTAGAGGGTCCGGATGTATTCAGTCAAGTCCTTTTGTAGTTGGAGCGCGTCTGCGATAATTGTGTATATCAAATTTGTGCGAGTCTCAATATTATAACTAATGACCTTTCGAGGCGACACCTCTCGCCGTTCCCATAGCCGCTGGGGGCTCCGAGAAATCACCAGCCAGTAGTATGCGAATCTTCACCGCAACGTTCTTCCCTATGAGCACATCAGCGCTCGACTCGACTGGCCACAAAGCTTTTGTTACACTCAAATGATCAAGCGTGGCTTTCACCTCTCTCATCGGTCCCAACATCAGTTGCATCAACATATCCTCGAAAATAAGATTGATAATGTACGCAAGCCATCAAATGAAGCTTGTGTGGCCGTGGAACCGCATCAGCGGCCGCAAGCGAAGATCACCAACCTCGTTGGCGTAGACTTTCGACAGCTCCGCATAAAGCACACCACATATGGCTCCATTATTGCAGGCGTTGTCACTAGTGATGGTGAGAGGCTTAGACGCAATATCGAGCTCGTAAAGCATTTCGAAGACCACCGCCGCCATATTCTCGCCGGAATATGGTCCGGGTAGCTCGACCAAATCCAGTAGCGCTGCCCATGGTTCAAAGGTCAGCGTCATCCAATGCCCAAGTACGGCGATAATATTGAACTGGTGTTCAGACTTCCATCTATCGAGAGCGATGGCAATGATGTCACAGGTTTGAGGAGGCTCGCGCCTCAATCCCTGATGACAACCTTCAAACTCATTCTTGAGACGACGACGAGTGGTGTCGGCACATCTCAGAGGTAGCTGGACTCCTGTATCACCAACGATCTCCTTGAAGCTCGAGTGCTCAACCTCGATCAAGCCGATGTGAGACTGGAAGTCGAAGTTAGCCAGTTTGCAGGCAAGTCGGGTCTACGCTCGACCCGAATCTTCGAGGCAAAGGTTTGCTGCCGAATTAACTGCTAGACCGCAATCAGTCCGCCCTCTTACTTGAGAATATCCGTCAGACGTGCTTCCAGCACATGTTTCTGTTCGCAGAATCCAGAACAGTCTGCGGTATATACTGTAAGACACTCGGCTTTCTCCATGGCGCCAATGTTGACGACAACATTGAGGTGTCCCCGGTGACAGCTTGCTCGCACATGATCACGCTGCAGGTGCGGTTGTAGCAAGCTGGCAAAGTACACACCGCTTGTTGTCGTGACTTTCTTCAGCATGGAAATGTTATCACCAACCAGCGGTTGTCATCCGTGACAGGATCAGCTCGCCTCGCTGCCAGGCGAAATGCCTTCTACCTAGCCAGATGCGCATCTTCGCACGGGTCAAGGCCACTCCCAAGGTCATAATAGAAAAGGCGATCTCGGGATATTCTTTCATTTGGTGTCTCAAACTTCCCTCCACGCCACGACAGATGTATCGTGCAACATGTCGTTGAGCTTCGTTAAGCATGAGATCAAGATTGCGTACTTAATCTCCATCCGTTGACCATTGCTCAGGAGTTAACGAATCCTGCCATTGCCTCAGATATGGTCCAGAAACCCAGTATAGATGATATTCGCCTCATTGTCTGGTGAGGTCCTTGTGAAATCACGCACAAGGTCTGCCAGGGCAAACATGTGGCCTATTGAAGCTGACAAGAGACCAAAGAACAGCCTGTTGTGCAACACTCAGTTCTAGGCGATGTCGGGGGGCTAAATGGGATGTATTGACGAGTCTGACCTCCAGGACTAGGAGGTCGCTGTTCTATCTATTTATATGGCAAAGGAGTGAAAATTTTCTCGTCTTGGTGGAGAGGTTTTTCTCCCGGGCATCGGCGGCGACCGATGAGGTCCTCGTCGGGGGCCGGCGTCCTTGTGTCGGGGAGGTCCTGTTCCTCCATCCTGAGGACTATGATATAGCGAAAATGTGACTAAAGTGAGTGAATTCATGGTGTTGCAAGGTTTGCAAAAGGAGCGTTCTAGGCGGCGAAGTTCCGCGGAGGCGTTCGGCGCAAGTATGGAGGTTGTAATGACCCCGTCACAACTCAGCCTTGTTCAACACAGCCACTGTTGGAAAAGAGCGGCTATGGCCCGGGGCTGGCTGACCTTCCAAGGTGGTATTGAGCAGGCTTGCCTTGTACCAACCGGCTCTGCTAGGGAATCCCGCAAACCCTTGATTGTCATACTCCAATACCAGAGTATCTTCCGTCCTTTGTTGGGATTTGGGGTGGTGGGAAAGCAGGAGCAGATACCGGAAGAAGATGGTCCATCTCTGAAAGCTGAGAACAATTCAGAAAGCTCCTGCAAAGAGAGGTGGAAGGACGCTCGTGCAATGTATATCATCTAATAGATATACCTGCGTCTGAGACCGTAGACGCCACCTCTGCAAGGCCATGCTTGTCCTTGTAGATTCCCATTCCGGCTCCGTGCACTCGTCAATACTACGTGAGTGAGTCGGAAATACAACCCGGTTACAGAGGTGCTGAGACTAGAACGAGCGTCAGGTCTTCCCTCCGTACATGCAGCGGTGGTTGACCGTTCGAAAAGGTTCACTCGTTGGGCTGATGGTGATACGAGTTTATTGGTAACTTTTGTCGAGACTTATACAAAGCAGCAAGTCTGGGCCTCTCTGATTGCGGGATGCGTTGTAGGTGGCTGAGTCTAGATTTGGCTAGACAGGAGACATGGTAAGCCTCGACCGCGGCTGAGAGTAAGAAACGACATGGGTAGGACTACAAGATCAGTAAGTCATACCACCATTGTTATCTCAGTCGTTCACCAACGAATAATCAGGCACAGAATCGAGGCTGGCATTAGTTGGTAACATGATTGCGAACCATACTTGCGGCTGAGGGGGACACTCTATGACAAGGCCATTGGTATGCAGCGTACTTCAATTGTTCAAGGGTTCCTAGTCGCAGTTCAGGCGTGTTGTACTGAACAGGTGCTAGTCTTCTGCGATCAGAGTCCACACAAAAAGCATGGTGTTGAAATGAGCTCACATTGAGAGCAACGGGCCTGCACTGAGAAACATCATGCATGCCACCCAAGAACTAACCGCAATAGAGTGCTTTGCTTGACAGTAGATGTACAGTAGCTCTTCACATTGTCTCAAACTCAGATTGACGCATCTTCCCTTCTTTCCATATCATCCTTGCTACATGTCAGCCGCGTCTGTCACGACCATTGGGCCCGAATAGTTTTTGCTTCCAACGAACCACCACATTGCAATAAAGATGGTAAATCCTCCAGTGACCAGGCTCGAGTAATTCATATCCTCGGCTGTTGCAGGCATTGAGTACGGAAAGCAGTAAAAGACCATGAAAACAACCATGTAGACACAGGCAACGACATTGACGACATAGCCGAGCCAGCCCTTCATCCAGAAGGCTCCGGGTTGGACGTTGTGGCGTTTGGTCAAGACGTTGGGAATGATGGCGACGAGGAATGAAGCCGTGGAGAGTATGACAAAGGCGCCAATGAAGGCGTCAAAAGCGGCGACGGAGCCGACGAATATTCCGCCCATACAGATGGACACGGCTCCGCAGGCTAACGTGGCGTTGAATGGGTTTTTGAAACGCTGACTGACCCTCCCGATATGTTGCCGGCCTGGAGCAGCACCGTCCCTGGCCAGTGTCCAGAGCATTCGTCCTGCCGTCGTATAGCAGCCGATCGTGGCACAGCCGATCGGGATGAGGATTACGATCACCAAGCCCATGGCACCGCCGCGGGAACCAGTCGCCTGTTGATATATAATGCCAAGCGGGAAGACGGAGTCGGCTTCGAATAGACCCTGGAAATCATTGATGGCATAAAAGATAGAGATCATGTACACGAGGGCCGTCACGAAGCCAACAATGATCTGAGCTAGAATCGCCTTGGGAAGGTTGGAGCTCGGCCTGTGAGCACTGTCATTAGCTTGACTGCCTCGGGTGGGCATGTATCGTGCGGAACAAGACTTTACCTTGGGATTTCTTCTGCGAGGTGCGTGAGGCAGTCAGGGGTGCCGACAGCAAAAGCACCGTTGAGCATACCAGTCAAAAACACCAAGCCGTTGCTAGAATACCCTGTACCATTGAACCATTCTGCCCAAACAAACTTGCTAGAAGCATGACCCTTACCGTTGTATGATGGCATGATGGCGCAAACCATCACCGTGACAAAAATCCCTCCCAGCATGAAGAAGCAGCCAACCCTGCTAATGCCAGCCAAGCCCCTGTTGCAAAAAAGCACAATGGCGCAGCAAGTGCCTGTGACGATCTCGTAGACTATGAAAACCTGCCAGCGCTGGATGTCCAAGTCCGGATGATAGAGAGAGTAGCAGAACAGGACCCCATTGCCGATGATGGCGCAGTTTGCAGACGCACCGAAGATCCAGGCTAGCAGGTTCCACCAGCCAGCGAACCAGCCGCAGACACGGCCGTATCTGGGACCGGCAGCGACGGTCGTCCAGTGATAGACTGTAGAATGTCAGAAAACGCAAGTCTGATGGAGAAACCGATGAGACAGAGTATACATACCTCCTCCAGAGGCCGGTATGGCCGAAGCAAGTTCTGCGATCGAAGCTCCGACGAACCAATAGCAGATGGAGACCGTGATGCTTGCGAGGAACAATCAGTTCTCAGTGCTAGTGAAGAAGATATGATCTTGGTATTCAAGCTTACAACTTATAGATAACCCCTGTAGGACCTCCGTTGTATAATGCCACCACCTGGAGTGAGCGCGCTTGTTAATGACGGACAACGAATGTGGAGGAGAACGAAACAATATGAGTTAGAGCCCTTACAATAGCGCCACCGAGAGCTGTCCACGTGTTTCCTGTCACTATACCAGCTGAGATTATGCTGAAAAGGCCAAACTGCCGATCAAGCTCCTGCCCATGACCAGAGATGTTGATCTGGCTTGACCTGCGCGGGACAATCTGAGACTGCTTCTCGTGATCGCTGATGCCGACGCCGACCTCCTCGAGAGGCCCTTTGGTGGAGCTATCCTCGCCCTTCTTGGTGTTTTCGAGATCCATTTCTGGCGGCCTTGGGTAGAAAAAGTTAAGTGCACGACCACCGCTGCGTATAGCCAATGGAGGGGAAAATTGTCTGCAAGAAAAGTGCTCCGGTGCTGGCAGTCTTCAAGAGGTGACATTCTTCCGCCCGGGAGGTCGCCTCGATGTTAAATACTAGAGACCATGGTGAGAATGCAGCTGGTGAATTCCTTCTGTCAGGCCAGAACGCAAAGTTGATTGAGTCTTATCGTTCAAGACCATCGGGTCCGTCAATATAGCAGGCAGCCGCCAGCGACCCTTATCGGGAGCATGAGATATGATAGCAGGCATTGTCTTTGAGGTTGGGAAGCAGGAACGGGCTGAGAGCCTACCGGTTTGCGAAGATTGTACATAGGACATTAACCTCGCTAGGCTTAGAGCCGCATACTGGACTTTTGATAAGGTACAACCTTAACCTAATTAACCAACCATCTAAGCTTTCGCTAAGAAGAACGCGATGCAGACATCGCTGACACTTTCCACTCTTCCATGCGGCCGTAGTCACAGTAAACGTAGTAATGAGGCGTGCCGGGCTTTCCGCGAATCGGTCCTTTATTTTTCTTGCTCCGGCTTCGGCAGAGAAGTCGTCAGCGACATGAGCAAATTGGACATGTACGTCCGGCGTCGACCATCGAGTCGTTGAAGGCCATTCATTTCCACAGTGCTGGAACGTGGTACAGGACAGGAGTATGGCAAATCGACAATATTTACTATCTGTAGGTCCTCAGATCGCGCCCTTTCGCATTGAAGCCTGCTCGCGTGGTCGCTGACTCCTTCCCCCGAAACTCTGGTCGTTCTTATCTTAGTCGTGACTTCGATTGCCTCGAAGACAAGGTTCGAACAACAATATGCGAGAGAGTGAGATTTAAAACAGCCGTGCCTGTCCTTCTGGAACAAAGCTGGGATGATATTGTCGCTTTCCTTCTCTTTTCAAAAATAACAATGCTCCCATCCTCCTCCTTGATTGACTTGTTCCAAGGGTGGCCGTCTCCAGCTCTCCTCCCCGTCTCTCTTATCGAAACGGCCTTCGAAAAAGTACTTGCAGATCCTGAGCTTTTGGTGTCATCCCTTCTGTACGGTCCGGATCCTGGGCCGCCTTCACTCCTGAATGCTCTTGCTATTTTCCTGGCCAAATTTTACTCTTCGCCGTGGACTTCACCGTCACGGTTGACGACGACGGGCGGTGCCAGTCAGGGCCTGTCATGCATCCTCCAGGTCTTTTCAGATCCGATACATACCCAGCGTGTGTACATGGTCGCCCCAACATACTTCCTTGCCTGTCGTATCTTCGAGGACCATGGTTTCGTCGGACGCCTAAAGGCGGTGCCAGAAGATGAGGAGGGTCTTGATATTGACAAGCTAGAAGAGTTGATATCGCAAGAGGATCGGGCAAAAGGACCACCAGAACTACAGGTGAGTCGGCATACACCAAAGCATATCTGGGCCAGTAAATCTGAACAAGTGTAGCCACTGCCCTTTAAAAGGCCGCTTGCCAACCAAAAGGTCTTCAAACATATCATTTACTGCGTTTCGACATTTTCAAACCCCTCGGGCAAGAGCATGTCCATTGCACGACGTGAGCAACTAGTCCGCCTAGCTCGCAGGCACGATGCTCTGGTAATCAGCGATGATGTTTATGACTTTCTGACCTGGAAGCCAATGACTCGTTTTGAGGCTAGTATGCCTCGGCTGATAGACCTAGACCACTTCCTGGATGGCGGACCTTCTTTACCATTCGGCAATGTCGTCAGCAACTGCTCGTTTTCTAAGATTCTTGGGCCTGGTTTGAGAACAGGGTGGACGGAATCCACGGAGAGATTTGCAGAAGGCCTGTCCCAGTGTGGCTCAACTCGAAGCGGAGGATCTCCAAGCCAGTTCACCGCCTCCATGATTTCGGAATTGCTTCGTTCAGGAGCCCTTGAAGCCTATCTCAGCAATGTCTTGATCCCCACATATCAAGTCCGATCCGCTGCCATGGTGGCGGCCGTGCAAGAACACCTTGTCCCTCATGGCGCGGTGTTAGGATTGATGGAACAAAGCTGCCAAGGATCTCCACCAGTCGAAGGTGGATATTATGTTTATCTCCTTCTTCCAGAACCAATCGATGCAGCAAGATTCGCCAATCTGGCACGGCATGAGGAAAATGTTGTTGTCGGAGCGGGCCACGTCTTTGAAGTTTGGGGTGATGAAGGAAGTGTTCCTGCCCAGAGCGGTGTGCGGCTTTGTTTTGCGTGGGAAGAGGCCGATCAAATTGTCGAAGGTATCTCCCGGCTGGGAAAGGTGTTGGCAAAACTTGTGGCGGAGAGCCCAAACTGCTCATCTCCACCGACCGGAGTAGGGCGTCGTAACTATCAAAGTTTTACTGCTCTCACCTGTCCTTGAGTAGGAATGTGCGTAGATGCGTTTCTCCAAAAGCGAATGCCGGGCGGATTTAGGGATCGGCTTCATTCTGATTTCATTCTGGAAGTCCATACAGCAAGAATGCGGTTTCGGCTGCATCAAAGAACAGGCATCCGCGGGAACCTCAGTGGAGCCTTCGACGTCCTTCAATCTCCAAGCTTCTTGGACCACCTTCCACAGGTAAAAGATGTTTCCGATGCGATACTTCAACATGTGACTCTACCATCGGCGCCAGACCTGACGTGGTGTACTGTTAACGGCCTCACAGGAAGTGACAAACCCCGGCCAAGCGATTGTGGCAGAGGAATTGAAGTCGTAGCCCGCCACGGCTTTCAATTTCTCAATTTCAACAAGGTGACTAGCCACGCGATCAGCGCACAATGCCATGTCAGCCGGAGACCATGGAAGGAGGCGTGTATGAAAGTACAGTCGAAGAGCGTGAGCAAACGCAATGATGTGGTGCTTGGCAAGCAGAAGCGTAAGGTTCGTTTCCGAGTCTTCGCCTGAGAAGAAGTTTGAAAGCGATTCGGATTCAATAGACCGGTCGGAAAGGTCGTTGGAAAGGTCCAGACATGAAGTGATCAGAGACGGAGGGACCACAGGAGTATCATTGGTGGCGTAGTAAGAGAAGTGTTGAGCGAGGGTGACGATACGTTCTATATAGTTTACCAATACTGGAGTGATTCCGTAGGTGAACTCCAAGCCATATCCGGTACCATAGCCACTGGTTCGAGAGTTTGAGGTGCTACCCAGCTCACCGGTCCATGGGAGAGAGGGGAGGTCAGTCGCAGTGGTCTTTGCCAGTGTTGACAGAAAACAAGCTATGGTGACCAGTTGAAGGTTGATGCGTGAATCTTTTGTTCCACTCGATAGGTGTTGCGCCATTTTACCAATTCCACCAAGGTGAATCCAGTATTCACTCATAGAGCCTTCCATAACCTTCAAAAGAATGATTGTTAGTAAGGGCATCGCAACTCCCTGGGATCTCCTGCATGATTCCATCTTACATCCATCGTGACTAATGTGAGCATTGCGGAGAGCACCGACTCCCGATACGGCGACGCGGACTGATCATGTTGTGGCAGGCTTTTCCTGTCTTGACAACTCGCAGGCAACGCTTTTCTCAGTGATGCAAATGCCTTGGCTCGAAGATTCCTTGCCATGACATCGAAGTAAGACTCTCTTTCAGAGTAAGCACCCTTGAAATGCCGAAGTCGCGAAAAGCGCATAGAAGACTGCAACGTCCGGCTCACACGATACTAAGTCCAAAGCCGAACACACCAAGCTGGGTGAAACATTTGAAGCACCATTTATGGCTTTTGGAAAATAGATTGTAGAATCTGGGTTGTCAGAATGCCGCAGAGCCGGCAGAACGTTGGCAATATTGCGGGCATAGTTTTCCATTAGACGATTTATCGTTGGGTCTTGTGAGATTGTCCTGACAACACTGAAAGTGTGGAGCGGCGTTCGGGCGCGTGTGGGAGGCATCTTATACAGGTACTGCCAGTCGGAGACTTCCGAAGCATGTGCAGTCATAGACAAGTCACTGGATTTGCATTGTTGCAGGTTGCCGATTGCTGCTGGAAACTCCAAGCTTTCAGGCTTCACGCCGTTACCAAGAGCAAGGCCGTGATGGTCAAACCAGGACTCGCTTGATCTTTCAACAGAGACAGGGTTCACATGAATTACGTTGAACGGATCGTTCGACACAGGTATGTACATATAGTCGGTATCTTCATAAGCTTCAGTCTCAGCAATTTGTCGATCTACCTCATCAAGCTGTAGAGACCATGAATGCAACCCTGATAACAGCGACTATCAGCATGTTCTCATGCGTTTGCACAAGTTGCCGTCTCGAATTATGCGCGAAACGAAGTCTGTGGGCCTACCTCCCAAGGACATCGCCTTGCGTTTGATAACAGAAGGAGATACTGTGTCTTCATTAGTGATCTAGTAGAGTTGCACATTGTATCCATGGCATTTGATGTTGGACTTCTGCCAACGGCCACATTCTGGACGGACAGCATCGCAAGCGATCTTCCGAGATCGACATGTCCAACAGCTACGGTAGGATGTTAGACTCAGAAAAGAAATGGGTGTATATATGGCTTTGAACAGGATTTTAGCCCACTGGTTGTTCTGCTGCAGAGTTTAGCTTCGGTCTACACAGCTGGGTCTCTCAGGGTCCCACTAGCAAGAGCTCGGGCCTTCCGCGAAACACTGCAGAATGCAGCTGGAATCGATTTATCTCTCTACCAGGTAAGCTCTATCACGTCGTGTATATCTTCCAAAGCAGTGACAGTGGGACCAATAGATTGACTCAGTCGAGATATATATCCGCATCATCCGGTATGCCTACAGCCATAGTGCATGGACAACAGTACAGGATGAACAGATTCCTGTCAACTTCAACCAACCTACGATATACACAAGAGTATGGCTGGAGTCCGATGAATGGCTCGATATCCTGCTCAGCCGTGGTCTCATTTGGCAAGCGATGACGTTTGTCAAAGTATGCACGACAGCTATACCGGCTAACGAAGCGGAGACGCTTTCGTAAGACTTCTTACGGCAGTTCAAGCCCAGGCTTTGTCAGATGTCCGAGAAGTCCAGAAGTTGGCATTTTTCGCAGCAAGATCTCGCTACTTCAAGTCGAAAGAGGAGATTGAGCGAGCTGCACTCGATTTGGATCAGGCGAGATCTCTTCACAAAGCTCTTGAACAACGCAACCCCACCCTAATTCACGAGACAAGATTTCATTCAGAACTCATCTTTGCAGAGATAGAGCTGCCCACCACGGTCACGGAAGCTTGGCTCCGCGACGTAAATGATGCTGCCTCTGCAGCAGGTCGTCGCGGAGATATCACTGTTTCTAGCTTGTTCTACGACAAAGCCATCACTGCTTGCACATCAAATCACCACACGGCGGCTCGTCGTGCAGCTCTCAACGAATCCGACCGCCTTCTGAAACTCAGCTGCGACTTTCCCGGACTGCTAGTCAATCAGAATTTGGTCTGGGGAATTGATAGAAATCATAGATCCGGGGAACTCATGAACTGGTATCAATGGTTTGACAGCGAGGTTCTTGGGATACGGCCATTCACGCCGTATTTCCAGCCTAGCACAGACGAAAACAGATCATTCGACAATCCAATGGCGTTGAGACACAGAGCCACCATTGAGTCGATGTTACTCCATGCTACTGGCGACTTTGTGGGTGCAGGCCTCTTGCGGGCAGAATTGGCAGAGTTGAACAAAGATATTCCCATCAGAGCCCTCAGTGACCTGGGACAGAGTCAAATTGATCTGGAGTGGGCCGACAAATCCCGTAGTAACGTCAACGACGTCATGGATGTTCTGCTTCAGAGGCTGATAAATGCCGCACAGCGAAACGCGATAGGCGAAGAGGTGTTGCAAGTCGTTCTGCAAACTCCTGGAGCAGAGTCGACAAGCTTTATTCCGCTTGAAGACGTTACAGCGGAAAGACTTGTTGCTATCTGCTACGGTCCACCTCTTTATGAAAGCCAATGGCAATTGCGCTTCACGGCAATCAAAACTTGGCTGGGAGCAGATCCAAATTTTCCACAACAAACAGCAAATGAGACCTTGCTAATGATGCTTCTGCAGCATCGACAAAATTACATGCCTGTTGGCCTTCCAACAAATAATCACACCGCGGTAGTGCAGTCAAGGATGCACACCATTCAGCGACTTCTCGACTACTTGGCGACATGCAACGCAGAAGTCAAGGCCATGAACTATCAACTGCACTTGCGAAACCGACAAATACTTATTCAATGTCGACTTCAACTCTTTTGGAACGACCCCACCGACACAAGTGATATTTGGTCTGCTTTGGCAGACTGCAATGAACTTCTTGCGGAAAGTAATGCTTCGGCTATCCCGCTTGAGCCACGGTATCTAGCAATGTTGCATAACACGCTCGGACAGCTCAATATGGTTCTCGCACACCAACGACATCTGGTTGTCATAGGCTTTGAAGAGTATGAAGCTGCAGACAAAATCTACGAGGCGTTGCGCAGCGAATTGTCCGTCATTGGCAATATCAATGCTCAGCTTTTAAAAGCAAGATGGCGTGATACGGTCACCGACGGGCGTCAAAACGTTGCAGATGCGATATTCCGTGCGCGGCTTGAGTGGATGGTAGGCAATGCACTTGGTATGCAACCGAAAGTTCAGGCTGCGGCAATGAATCTTTGGAACTGGGTTCAAAGATCGAAAGCCCGAGCACTGACTGACGGAATTGCTTCTGTTGAGACAGTACCTCTTGACATCACATCCACAGTTCGAGAAAGCTCAAATCACCAAGAAATGTTCGAACGCTGGACGGACATGACGCGACGTGCAGCTGAGTTGAGGGCGGCAACACCTAATGCACCAGAGCTTTATCATCTAAAGAACAGCCTCGATCAACTTGAGCATCAGATGCAACAGATTCCTGCTCTTGATTCCGTCTTAGCATTCAGGTATGGACGAGCAGTAACTCTCCAGCAAATGCGCCAGTGCCTTGCTGGCTTACCAGAAAGCGTTCGATCGAAGATAGTATTGATAGATTGGCACTTCATTCTTGGCCAGATTATCGTACTCGCAGTTAGACATGATGGTCCTGTCCAGGTGAAGGCACTTCCACCGCAGCCCAATCTCGAGAATCTGGCTACGCAGTGGGTCCAAAAATACTTGGTGGACAAATTAACGCCGGGTTCTGCCTTCCGCGAGCTACAAGGACTGAATGGCTTGATAGCTCCCATTACCGAGTTATCCAAGCCTGGAGACATCCTAGTTTTCTGTGCAACAGGAATCCTAAATCGGATCCCCATGCACGCGATACAAGTCCCTAAAGCTTCTTCTGTCTCTGGACAAGCAGGCTCTGGTGATAAGGAACTTCTTCTCCAGCGCAACCTGGTCGTTTATATTCACAGCATGTCACTTTTCCGCTTTTGCGTCTATTCACGAACCGAAGACCAGGTTGAACAGGCTTCAAAGGTCGCTTTGTTTTCGACCTTGAATTCGGGCCGGAGAGCTAGTGATATGCTTGCCCGCTTCTTCAACACACGTTCGTGGCAAGGGGAAATAGTCGATCGGACTCTTTTCTGTGAAAAGTCAGAGAGTGCTACATTTGTTAACTTCTTCGGTCACATCCATCCACCACCTGTGGGTCCGTCCCCGCAAGCGCCAATTCTAGCCCCTGAACCATACTTGCGAATGCTCAACTCGCATTTAATGTTTGGAATTGAAGACGAGACTGAGGGATGTACTGGAAACATGGAAGGAGAGCCGCAGCATGACAACGAAAGCATGATTACAGCCACAGGTATCTGGAGGGACGTTCGTCTTGGAAATGGAGCACACGTCAACATCATCGCCTGTGGCAGTGGCGTTTCTTCTGCTTCTGCGTCCGAAGATTTCTTCGGCCCCGTGCCATCGTTCTTCTTCGCCGGAGCAAGGAGCCTGATTGTGACCTCTTGGCCTGTTGCGGGCTATCACGCTGCCACCTGGACTCAACACTTCGTTGAAGCGTGGAGTAATGATATCCCTCCAGTGTCTGTCGACCGGAGCGGCTCCTCAGACCAGCAAGCTAGACGTGGATGGCATCTGGCAGATTATTACAGACAATCAGTTCTTCAACTCTATGAACAGTTAGGCGAGCAACAGTTCTTTGAGTGGGCCGGATACCAATTCTATGGATATGCTAGGCTGATGTAGACTTATTACAGTTTCAAACGCAGAAACGAAAAGGATCGGCAGGAACACTTGGACACTGAACGTAAAATACTCTGTCCATTCTGTCAAGAGAGAAAATGGATGAGTATGCACCGCCAGATAACCTGTTGGAATGGAAGACCAGGGTGAGATCCACTCGCCAGAACCGCCGGACACTTTATGGACCCATTCCCAATGAGAGATGATACTCCAAGTAAGTCAATACGGAAAGAAGGGCAGGTAGATCAGATTTCTTTGGCTCACGATGGCTCACTGTGCACGGTTGGCTCAGGCCGAATCAGGTTCAATCGCACGGGCTCGCTCTGGTCCACGGGAAGCTCAGGTTTTGCTCAGCCGCAACTCAAGCTGCTTGCTCATTGCTCGCGTTACACCCTTGCGTAACTCACGATCAAATCCAGAAACAGCTTTGTGTGAGAGTAGATTTCACTTAATTGTTATCCGCTAGTTTTCGGAGATAGAGTCTTGGCTCGTCCAATAAGGTGGGGCACTGACCAAAAAGCTACTGTTGGTTGGCGACCTTTTCGGCGATAGAAGGTCCTTGTGGGTTCATGTCACTGATCTGTTTTCGGCGATAACGCACCCGGGTTTCAAGTAGGGTGACATCCTGATCTCCACACCGTTCTGGGACTAACTAGAGTGGTGTGGGAGTATGATCGACCTAGCCGAGCTCTGACTTCTCTTAGGTATAAATGAAGCGAAAAAAAGAAGAATCGCTATCGAGACTGTTCGCCTAGGCTGTTTTTCTACCCATATAGTTGCACAGCAGAACAGGAACCACTTCGACACCTCGCAACTCCAGCTCGTCTAACCTATCCCATATTGAACGCGCCGTATGCCAGCTCACGGAAACTACACGACCGAAAAGGTCCGCTATCCGTCTCACGGCGAGACGATTGGTGCGGTTCTCTTCCGACCTAATGGCGTCGCTAAACCTCCTGGCATCGTCCTCACCGGACCCTATTCGTTCATTAAAGAGCAGGCACCGTATCAATATGGTACTCGTCTGGCCGACGAGGGTTACGCAGCGCTGATTTTTGACCCGCGCACTGTGGGTGAGAGTACGGGAACCCCGCGGCGACTCGAGAACCCGAAAATGAAAAATGAGGACGCCGTCGCCGGGCTCGACTATCTCGTCTCGCGCGGCGACGTTGACACGTCCAGACTGTTCGTCGTCGGAATCTGTCAGGGCGGACCTCAGAGTCTCGATATTGCGTCGTACGACGACCGAGTCAAAGCCGCCGCCTCAGTCACGGGCTACTACCGTGATCACGAGACGGACATTTACATGGTCAGCGTCGGATGTGTGGCATGGAAACCGGGCGTTGACATCAGCACGCTCAAGATGCCGACCTCGGAGCAAGGGGAAGCGCTGTTGAAGGCGCGTCTTGAACGAGCTCGGAAAGCCCGAGAGCTGTACGACACTACCGGCGAAGTTGTTTACCAACCCCTAGTCGATCCAACGGCTGCTGATCCAGACACCGGGGCTCTAGCGGGTCTTCCGGGCCCCACGGTGTGGGCGTGGTACGGACCGTGGACCTTAAAGGGATTCGAGAACCGTTATGCCGTCATGAGCGACCTCGACCATTTCTCCTACACCACCGTCCCGGGCGTAGCGAAGCTCAATAAGCCGGCCTTGCTTATCCATGGAGACAATTGTATGAATCCACCAGCAGCTAAGAGACATTTTGAATCCATTCCGGCTGTAAACAAAAAACTTATCTGGAACAACGATATCTCCCACTTTCAGCATTACGACCAGCCTGATGTGGTTGACAGAAATGTAGGCGACATTGCAAAGTTTTTTGCTGGCGTTTAAGCCGGTGGTATGTTGCAGAGCTCAGTGCCAGCACTTTCTAAATCCAAATGTCAAAGAAATTGGAATTTGTTCGTAGTATCACCTCCTAAGCAGCTGCAACTTCCCTCCCTCACACTTAACTGAATTCGTTCATGAGGCTCCAGAAATTGTTGTCTTGGTAAATGCCACCGAGTTCTGCACTCTCCAACCAAAGGTCGGGGCCCTGGTAGGCTTCCTGTGGATTTGGTGCGTATATATTTTGATAGATTAGATCTTGTGTCGGCCGAGGAGGCAATAGAGTGTCAAAGTTAAAATTATGAGGATGCAATGCCCCTAACTCCGTTCGCTGGTAAGAAGGTGACGATAAGTCAACGTCGATATTGCCATCAGTAGAATCTCCGATTAAATGCGTATCGGCACTATAGACATTTGCTGTCCCAGTGTGCGAACAGTCTCCGCCCTCGCTCTTGTTGCTCAATTGCTGACTAGCTTGCTCACCAGATTGGCCTAGATGTGAGAATAGCTTCTTCACAACGCCATGCGCCGACCGAGCCATGGTATTATGCTCGCCGATCATGCTGAGCACATCAATACCCCAGCGCACATCTCGCACCAGTTCTGGGAAAATATCGAGGTTTTCATTCGGAAATAGCGTAACAGTGGCCAGTGAAATGACCATCGCGTCAAACAATGGATAGACCATGCTGAATGAGATATACTGCCGTGGTTCTGACAGATAATGTAATCGCCTCTGAACGGTCAGGATCTTCAGTGACGCCTTGAGTGCCTCCGTCCGACTTTCAGCCATAGTGAATATGTAAGGGCGATGTAGTGAGAGTAAAACGAAATAAATTCCACTCGTCAATGCCTGGCGTGCTGCAGGTAACCAGTGACAGCCTGTTAATTTGTCAAAGTGTACATCGGGGTCTTCGTATCGACACCAAAGTGGTAGACGGTCGACGTTCTCCACAATGGCGGTATGCGTCTCTCGAACAATCTGGTAGTCTTCTGTTCTTGCTCCACGGTTCTCAATAGCATGGACTCGTGGAAAATATCGATATGCAACGCGGTAGCCCACATAGATCACACTAAATGGGGTAGGAGGATCTTGAGCCGACCTCCTTCTTGGCGGCATTCCACTCTCTCGTTGCGCGAGGTCTTCAGGAAGATTAGGTGAGTTTTCAGCAGCCATCATTGTTGCAATTGGTCTCCCTAGCACGACAGCCATGTGAATGTCCCAATTGTGTAGCACAAACCAAAGCTTGCGTCTCGTCTCTTTCTCCCACCGAGTATCAATGCTTACCGGCGGAGTTAGTGAGACTGATTCCGCATGAAGCCCTACTTCCTGCGCGTCTCGGACGGCGATTCCGAGAACATGCCAGGCCTGGATGGCATTTCCAGTGTTTTTTAAGAAAGACGCACGTAGGAGCTCTGCCTGCACAGCCACGACTGTCACTTCTTTTTTGGCAATGCTCTCCAGGATGGTAAAGCCAGCTTCGGAGAAGTCGCGCGCCAAATCGACGAATGTCATCTCTGAGGCGTATTTCAGGGATTCAAGGCTTGCACAACTTCCGTCAGTGACAGGTTGATGTATCAGCGCATGGGCCATAACCTGGAAAAGCAGGCAAGGAAATGCAAAAACGTCGCCGGGCAGGACAGTCGTCGCGTTGCTCTGAGCTGAGTAAGGAATGCGTCTCCAAGTCTCCAGTTGTTGATGGAAAGTGATCTCGTCGATTACATCGTAGTGCCAATTGATATCCGAGAAAAATTGCCGGACGAGGATGTCGATATACTCCTTTGATGGTAACTGACGGATGAGGGATCGATATTTGTGGTCCAGAGCTATATGCTTACTACCCAAGGTAGAAAGAGGGCTCGAGGTGGATGAAGACGCGACGCCCACCATTTTGACCAAGCTGAGGGAATTGTATTTACTGTGAGTGGAATAGCCCAAGACATTGACGAGGTCCTTGTGGTCCTGCGAGGACATCGGATTCGTCTCTGTTAGTGATGGCGAGTGCGCCGATATCGTCAAAGGTTCGCTTCTGCTCTCACAAAAGCCAGGTGCTACTACATTGGATGCGGCGCATTGGCCATGTCTGCTGCCATCACTTTCATAGCAGCAAAGTAACTATGGCCAGTTCATGAGATTACGTTGAGCATTTACAAATGGAACCCTACCGGCTTCGAACGTTTTATACAATTCTGACAAGGTTGAAGGCGGTCACACTATATTTTAGTATCAGCATGACTTCTCGCCGACGTCGTCATTAAGCAGCGGACAGGGAGAATTGAGGCAGAGAAATATTTGATACGAGCCTTCAACTCACCACTAACCTTTTGTTTGCGGCGGTGGCATTCTGTGCAAGATCTCAAAGAACGCTGTCTCTTTCGGTAAGAGTGTTGATTGGACAACATTGCTCTCTTTTCCGGCGCCTTTATGAAGTGCAACAAATTGTAATTCCGAAGTACAACTTAGTGAGGAAGGAAAGTCGCAAGCTAGACGGAAGAGAATAATACTACGTGATCAGAACGAGTTTAAACTAGCTACGGAGGAAATCTTGGTACCTTGGCCTCGAGGGAAACGCCGCTTTAAAAGCGGTAGCGACCTAATGTGGTTGTGGGGGCGTGAAGAGAATTAATTCACCAACTAAAAGTGAGGGTGCGATCTGCCGCTATATATACGTAAGAGCATGTAAGCCAATGTAGCAACCGGGAATAAGTAGTACCGAACCCGGCGCTAAATCACACTAAGACAGCTCCACGTGACATGACCCGGCTGTGGTTGTGGCGGCGTGAAGAACTTGCTTGACTAACTATAAGTGAGGGAGTGACCTGCCGCTATATATACGTAAGAGCATGTAAGCCAATGTGGCAGTCGGGAATAAACAGTACCGAACCCGACGCTAGAATCACACGGCCTTCGCAAGGTGTACGTACAGCTTGCATAGGGTCAGGCCTGCCAGGGCGCCGTAGGGCGCCATAAGAATCTGAACGAAGAAACCCATTAGATTAAGAATCCCATGCTCGTATTCCAGCGACCTATATAGCTACCGGCAGATATATGCATTCAAAGTCTTGGTCTCCATGCATGCAGGTCGCTGATCTTCCCTCCAAGGCCTATGAGGCGGTTCCAAAGCCTATATTTCACACAGCGCTTTTCAGAGTGAAAATAGATATCTCGACACGGTGCAATCCGCTTCGCATGTCCTGTCAATAGCTTCCAGCTGCCGTCCGCCCTGACTAGTCTCTACCGTTTGGGTAGCACTACACTGGCCTCGATCCGCTCTCTCACAGTCTACAATAACTGTTGATTCGTCGACAGAGGATCCCAAGCAGTCTGGGATATCATCAACAACAGATACTCGAGCCTAGCGCTGCTTGTAGTTCGACTTTCAACGCATTTACTGTGGCAAGCTATTCCCCCGCTGAAGAAATACGTCGCTGATGTTGGCGGGGACAAGCCACCGCGGCCACAGCCCGTCCTCCATTTGTACGTCTTTGATCGTTACTTTTCTTTCGAACTACCGGAGCTCGAGTATCCGAGAGCCTTGAAGGAGTTAAATGATGCCGTGGGCGGCCATGATGGCTGGTATAGATTCCTGAAACCCAGAGAATGGTTTCGCTTTTGTCCAGGCACGCGAAACAGCGTAATTGTGTGCTCAATGTCAGTGCGGAAGGAATTAGTGCTCTCGATGAGGTCATTCGAGACTCTGCAGACCTTTCTCTCGTTAAAATGACCCTGCCAGTATTTAAAAAATACCTTACAGCACGGTTCTCGAGCCTAGTTGTGTTACATCTAGGGCGAGCGAAATGAAGTCTAATTATATCGCTAGCCATCTCCGGAGTCATTGTTCTTGATCAGAGGCATGCGAGCATGAGACATCCTGGTCATGATCGGTGTCGAATATGGCGATGTGAACCCCAATACAACGTGATAATGTTGTTAATTCGAAGACTAGGTGTTCAACCATGCTTATTTCTCGTCACGGAGAAGATATCTGTCTACTGCGGTGTGTCCAACAGAGAGAGTTTTACGTTATATCGACAGGCATCAGGGAACCCACGGCGCAGCAACCCATTAGAGCCCGATCCTGACCAGGTTTTCAGCCAGCGCTCCCACCGCTTAGGACCACAGGGACAGTCCAGACCGAGTTATTGACCATTAATAACGGTCAGTGTTGACGTCGGTCGCGTTACTGCAGGTGGTTGGCATGACAGACTTTGATCTAAAACGAGTCAAAAGCGTTTCTTGAAGAAGATACTTGGGGCGATATAGTTCGCATTACTATTGCGAAGTTTTATGGAAAGTAGAGTTGGGCAGCGAAGGAAATTTATGCGCTGCTTGTAGAGGGTAGGCAGCTGAGATAATCAATGTAGGAAAACGCTATCCCACTCAAAACCTTCCATGCCATCTGTCTGGTTGAGGAAATCGTCCAGAGCCACCTCGTCAGAAAATATTGATGTCGGCATCGGCATCGGCGATGTTGTGTGACCCGGTTCCGACAAATAATCTGGAAGGCTTCTAGCTGTGACCGGGGTATTCATATCGCTCAAGGGCAATCGGCTTGGGTTTTGCAACGTCACCTGTGCTGTTCTCTCTGTCGAAGAACTCGAGGAGTGTAATACTGGAGTATCTAGAGTTGACTTTCTCAGCAGGTCAACCAACTTGTCAATTCCAAACACAATGCCGCTATTGGATCTGTTCAAAGACATTTCCTTGTCTCTCAAGGTCTTACTGATCTTGATCAGCTCTGCTTTTCGAGCTTGGGCGCGAAACATATCGGTCTCGAGCATACTGTCCATCGACAGAAGCAACAGTGCGCTAAAGGTGTGCTGACGGATACTGTATGAGTTTACGCAGTGACAAATTCCTGATTGGTCGATACTGCTGCGAAGCTTCAAGATCTTCTCCGCGTACTGGAGGCATACTGTTCGAGATTCGGAAAACTCGGGCTCGTGCAGCTTCATCGAGAGGAATGGACGATGCAGTCGGACGATTCGTGAATATATTCCGAACAACAAGGAATGTTTCTGCGGTGCCAGGTATGGGCGACTGAGTGCTAGCGCATTGGCCTTGTCCTTGTTTTCTTCGTCCATACGGAAGAACCACGGCAGATCTTGTTCGAAGCGTCTCAATCGATGGCTGAATTCATAGATAAGATTGCAGGGCTGGGACTCCTCTATTCTCCCAACATTTTGTATCGAATCTACGAGTTGGCGACAGAGCTCGGCAAACTTGGCTCGCTGAATCAAGAACGATGTTGAGGTTGGTTGATCTTCTGGAAGGCTCACTGGCGGGTGTGTATTTGATAAGACTTCATCGTCGAGATTGCCAGGGTATGTGACTCGGGCATGTGCTGGATTCACAGAGTACATGCCCTCTTGGTTACCAGGAGTACTGCCGGAAATCCTAGGCTTGGTGAGACCATGATCAAAAATGCAATGTCTCGGCAATGCAGAGTGCTCACCAATCTGAAGCTGCTAGATGCCACCAAATTCTCCGTTTTAATTCCAATTCAACAAAATTCCCGTCCTCACCGCCGGTACCAGCATCTAACCTGTGGATTCCCATGTATATTGCTTTCTGGTACGCAATACTCTTGAGAGAATAGAACTCTGCTGATTGGCCCTCAGAGTTCCATGCAAGAAGAAGCATGATAGATACCGACTGAAGAGACAATAGAGAGGTAGAAACTATTACTCTTCTATCATATATCAGGTCGCTTGCGATCGTCTTCCATACAGCGGACCACTGCGAGCTGTCGATGAGGCTTTTTGGTGCTAGGTGGCAGTGTGCATGGCATATATGAAACGAGCTGGATGCGAAAATACAAAACAAGAAGGTAAGCACTTCTCTGGAGACTTCAAGAGATTTGGCCAGTAGCGAATAGCTTTCTTCTAAAAGTGTGCGAGCAGAAGATACATGAAGCTCACGATGCATGCAGTCGACAACCTGGACATAGTGCTCAAAAAGCAATCGTGCAGTGTAAATGGTCGGGAGTTGACAGATTAAGTCGCTGGCATTAGAGCTGGAGTTTGTATGGATATTTGGGCCACATCCAAGCTTGGCTGTGCTAGCTGCCGGATGTGGCAAAGGAATTCTGATATTATCCTGCGAGGCCATTTTGCTCTTGCGCGATTCTGTGGCCTGGCGAGGCGTTGAACTTGACACCGTTGATTCGAGATCTTCCCAATCTTTGGCGTTGTAGCTCGCGTTCGCTATGCGCTCATTGCTGTGCTCGCTCAGGCCGGGAGTTGTGCCGTTTATGGTGCTAGCTATTACGGTATGAGTAGATTTCTCCAATCTACTCAAGCGCCCGTAAATATCTGCGATATGCCTTAATGGTGATGGTTAGTTTTCGGGGGGTTTTTATGCTTGACGGAACATGCGGAGCGTGCAGACCTTTCTAGTAGGAAAATCCTAGTCAGACTTGCATGCGTTCCATTCTCATAATCAAAGACTTCTGTGTTTCTCTGGGCTTAATGTACAATCAGAAATCGACTTCGAGACCGAGGGGAATAATAGATATGGGAGGAGGATTGAACCAATCTCAATGAATGGATCAGTGGGATGAGGACATAGAAAGATCATTCTTCCTGCACTTACCCACAACATACTGACAAGAAAGTCGTCTTGAGGCACAGTTGGAGCAAGGTCTACTTTTATCGCATCTGATCTTCTTCGCACGGCAAAATTCGCATGATGCTGGCTGTTGCCACGCACTTCTCTTGGGAGTAAGACTGTCGGTACGCGACCGCTTCATGGCGCCGAGTTATTGATGGGCGACTGGGACTCAAGTCGAGGTGTTCACGACATGTTCGGTATGTTGAGTCACGAAGACACGAGGATCCGCTCAACTTACTTCAGCTCGGACCTCCGAAATTAGTGAGTCGATTCGGAGGGCCGGGCCGAAGTCCATTTGCCCGCGGACCTCCGAATAAGATGTTGCCGTCAACGAGCTTGGAGCAGAATAGCTTCGCAAGAAATCTTTACAGGCTGGAAGGTCTGACAGAAGGTGGTGATTTTGTGACTCATTCAGGTATGTGAGGAGTGATATATAGAGGTTTGGGCTGTACGTACCAGCATGTAGCTCTCGATCATCAATGCCTGCTTGTTTTCATGCATAAATCCTAAAGTCGAGACGTCTTTTTACCATTAACTCCTCGTAGCTAGTGGTCGTCAACATGGAGGAAAAGACGACTGGAGAGATTCCGCCCAGGGAAGACACAGTCCTGGCACACCCTGTCCTTGAGCATCCGGTCCCGGAAACGCAAGACTTTCCTGACGGAGGGATTCAGGCCTGGTCGACCGTATTAGGCTCCTTTTGTGGATTATTTGTCAGCCTTGGCTGGACGAACTGTAGGAGTAGGATCTTTCCCTTCTCAAAACCAGGTTAATACTTGTTATCAGGTGTCGGGATATTCCAGTCTTATTACGAAACTCATCAACTCAAAGGCCTATCTCCAAGCCGAATATCTTGGATACCCTCGATATCCATGTTCACTGTTTTCCTGATGGTTCGTATACCACTCGAATAGCTTTTCCAGGAATTTCCAACACCTTGTGGTTGACTGCTGATTATCTAGGGACCGTTTGTGGGAAGAGCATTTGACCATTGGGGCCCACGATACCTCCTTCTGCTGGGCTCGTTCCTGCACATCTTTGGCCTGATGATGACGTCCCTCGCGTCAAAGTATTATCAGTTCATTTTAGCTCAAGCCATATGCAGCCCCGTTGGTCAAGCTTTGGTCCTTTACCCATCCTTCGCAAGTGTGGCAACTTGGTTCCGAACGAAGAGGGCTTCAGCGATGGGCATCGTGGCAACTGGATCGAGTCTGGGGGGGGTGATACTGCCAATTCTTGTCAATCGCACCCTTGACAACGTTGGCTTCGGATGGGCGATGCGAATTTGCGCATTTGTTATGTTTGGAATGCTGATTGTGGTCAATCTCACCGTCAAATCGCGACTGCCTCCAGCACCAACCAGTGTCGGATTGATGGCTTTCTTTCGACCATTCGCAGACCCTCCGTTTCTTCTTACAGCACTGGCGGCATTCTTCTACTCAATGGGAATGTTCATTCCCATCACATTCATGGTGACATACGGAACATATGTGGGGGTGACCCCTAATCTCGCGGGATATCTGGTCTCAATCTTCAATGGAGCAAGGTAATCTTATGCATAAATCTCTCTCATCACGAGGCATTATCAACACTCACTAACAGTCTGTGTCCAAAAATAAGTGGCATAGGTCGTGTACTTTCAGGATTCATCGCCGATATGGCAGGAAATTTCAACGTTTCCACCTCTGCAGCCTGCCTTTCAGTAATTTTCACCTTTGCGTTATGGCTTCCGAGCCACTCGCACGCCACAGCCATATTATATGCTACGTTGTTCGGGATGAGTTCTGGCTCGTACACATCGATTACTCCTGCTCTTCTGGCCCAGATTTCCCCGATTACCGATATCGGCTTACGATCTGGAATACTCTACGCATGCACATCTACTGCTGCGCTGACGGGAAGTCCCATTGGGGGCGCCTTGATTCAGGCAGCTGGAGGAAGTTATTGGAAGCTGCAGATTTTCACAGGAGTCACGCTTGCTACGGGAACGGCTTTCTATTTCTCGACCAAGATGTACTTAGCTGGGGGAAAATTCTGGCACAAGGTTTAAGCAATATCATCTACAAAAATGCCAAGTGACCTTGAGCCCTCTCGGTCGACCCTAGTGGTTTAGGGTTCGACTATAGCGACAAAGTTTAGGTGCACCTTGTAACGCCGGTCGTGGTAGCGCCAGATTTCCTGTTGCGCCACATCTCAGCCTCGTAGTGGTTACTCAGCCTTGCGCTATTCTACAGGGCCCGAGTATTCCTGGTAGGAATACTGCTAAGGCGCTAAAGATGGGCCAATAAGTTCATCAGCTTGCTTGGGGCAGAGGTAGGAAATACTCTATAGGAATACCTTTATCTGTACGTGTTAGGAATGCCTCGAGGAACAGGCAGAGTAATCACACAATAGAGGTACGCTCTAGTGCCAGACTCTAAGTATAGGGAAGTGAAGTTCCTTATGCAGGTAGCCTGCGTGAAAAGTGCGAAGCTTAGGAGTCCGCTAAGCTAGATGGGTGTGAGAGTTTTCTTGGTGCGCACTCTTCATGAGTGTTGCCTCCTGAGTGCCTGTTAGAACGCCTGTCCTGAGTTGCGCTCATGACAGTCGGCCGATAGTGTTACTACACTCGACCATGAGTCGCGACGATGATAACGTAGTGAATAGGCCACCATTATTTCCGCCCGACCATTTAATCAACTTTAAAATGCCGACAGTGAGGATTAATATTTCATGTATATTTCGACTTCGTTGGTGTCAGAAGGTCCCGCAGCAGACCGATGGTTCGTGACGTAAACGCAAGATTTTATTGCCTGTGAAAAGCCTTAATCCCTTAGAAAACGCCGACTACACGAGACCTCTCAGTTGTCGAGACTACACTGTCCTTCACTCTCTTCCACCCGACTATTGTCTGCCCCGGTCGTCCCTCTCACAGGCCGCCTCGCAACATTCAACCATCTCGTTTGAGAGTTTCTGATCGGTCTGAACGGCTTCATCCAATAGACCCCGCGATAATCTAGCTGCCATCTTGACTGGCTGTAGACAATCCTTGCTGTCGCGGAAGATCTGATCCACCCCTTCTAGGCTACATCGGTTCGTCTCTGGGAAGAATATGTAAACACCTGTCATTGTGATTAGCCGACACCAACCAACGACGACCCGGTAGCTTACATGGGAGGATGAGGAACATGTTAGTGCACGCGAACACGATATAGTATCGCCAACCGATTGTGGCAAACGCCGTCGGAGTGATTTCGGCAATGAAGAAGCTACTCTGATCAGCATGCCTGATCAGGGTGTACGAAACCCAGTACAAGAGCGTGACTCACTTGAATATCCACGCACATCCTGTACTCATAGCGGTTATTGGAACTCTAGCCATGAGCGGGCTGATCTCGCTGGCGTAAAGGAATGTCAGACCAAGGAAGCCGATGGGAAAGAAGAGACTAAAGAGGAAGATGAAAGCGCATGCCACGCCAACGCATGCCACGTTGTGAGATTGGGAACTTGCACCAGCAACAATGGCCATGCAAGATCCCATCCCGAGCGCTGAAACCATCATTAGTTTCCTTCTCCCGAACTTGTCAACAGCCAGCACACCGATTGGTGAGCAGCATGTCTGGAATGTAAAGACACATGCACTGAGTACCCTCGCGATGGTGGGGGAGAGCCGCAGGTACTGTTCGAAGATAGTCGACTGATAGAATCCGAGCGCATTGATGCCACTCATTTGCTGAAACATTTGACCGGCGCATGCGAGAATCGTCCGGTTAAGAAGACGAAGTTCTCCGTTTCTGAAGAGCTCAATAAATCTGCATTGTCCGTCCCTCGCCATCGACTCTGATATTTCGCGGAGGTCGGCGTCGACTTAAGTGTGAGTACTGTCCACGCCTTCTAGAGAAGCAAGAACCTCCCGTGCTTCCTCATTCCTCCCTTTCAAGATCAACCATCGCGGGGACTCGGGAAGAGTCGAGGATCCGATGATCACCAGGATCGCCCACAAAGCACTCAATGACAATGGAAGCCTCCAGCTCGCCGAGCTGGTCACAAACCTCATTCCGAGGTTCACCCAACCAGACAAGGCCAGTCCTCCGCTGATGAAGACACTCTCCAGAACGACCGTCGCACCTCGGTGGGCAGATTTCGAGCACTCGCTCTGCCAGTTGGGGGCAGTGGCCGAGACCGCGCCCAGACCAAGGCCAGTGATCAGCCTGCCAACGACGAGTTGAGGCAAAGACATTGACGTTGCCTGCAGAATTGTTCCAACAATGTTGATCAACGCGCCTAGTTGCATGGTGCGTATGCGACCGAGACGATCTCCCATGTATATGCAAGACAGCGAGCCTAGGAAAGCCCCCAATGTGTATGTGGCAACGACTGTTCCTTGAATCCTCGAGTGGTGCGCTCTTGTTGATCCCTCGGTATGCACCGTGTCGATTTCCGGAAATGTTGTAACCCACGATGGGAGATTGAGTAAGGGCCCTGCGACCCCATTGTTCCAGCCAAACAAGACATAAGCTGGCAAGATGACGGCCCAGACTTGGGCAGAACGTAGCGCTGGCCCGCGCAGGCTGAAAAGATATTTTCTTGCCATTGCAGTGATCTGACCTCAGGACGTGGAGTGCATGGGGCCCCGAAGAGCGTGGAGAGGCACAGAGAGGTATATAAACCGCATTTTATCTCCGAACCAAACCGATATGTTGGAACGCATCGGGCAGTTCCGAGGCCGCTGTAGGATATCCCGTCAAACTCTATGCCTAGCGCAGTTCCGCTCGCGATACGGCACTTCCGCACAACAGACGGCATTGCCACTCGATGTAGATCCCATGAGAGACTAGTGACCGTATCACAAGCAAGTTTTAAGGTGTTGGAGATGCTCTAATCACCCTCCCTGCAAACACAATTCGGCTGGGACATTCGCAATTCCCCTCCTAATAGCACTCAGCAATGGCCACGAAAGCGCTTGCCCAGTGGGCAGTCAACCTCACGACAATGCCGTCTTCTACGCGAGCAGCAGCAGTGAGATCACTCTACAACTACATCGGCGTCGCCATTGGAGGTTCCAACCACCCAGCTGTGAGGAAGGCATACCTGGCTCTGTCCCCGCTATTTGGCAGACCAACATCGAGTCTTCTGGGAGCGCAAGACTCCTTCAGCAACTCATCTAGAGCTGATCCAGAACATGCTTCTTTGTTGAACGGGATAGCTTCTCATGTACACGACTTTGATGACACCCATCTGGCAACCATCATCCATCCGACAGGCCCAGTAGCTTCTGCGGTATTGGCATGGGCCGAACACCAGGGCCGGGTTAGTGGTGACGAATTACTGCTGGTGCTCGTAGCCGGCATCGAGGCGAGCTGTAAACTTGGGCTCTCGGTTTGGCCCGGCCATTACGACATTGGGTGGCACATCACTTCCACCACGGGAGCGGTGGGAGCTGCAGTGGGCGTGGGGAAGCTCATGGGGCTAACGGAGGTTCAAATGGCACATGCCATTGGCCTCGCCGCTGTTCAAGTCACCGGGCTCCGCGAGATGTTCGGAAGTGATACCAAGTCATTCCACCCTGGCCGAGCCGCCTCCAACGGATTGTTAGCGGCGCTGCTGGCTCGAGGTGCCTATACCAGCTCCAGTTCAGCTCTCGAAGCGAAGCGGGGATGGGCCAATGTGGTCGCAGGAGGCAGTACACCACGACTGGATGAGCTCGTTGCCACACTAGGGGAAATGTGGGAAATCGAAACCAACTCCTTCAAACCCTTTCCATGCGGCATTGTATGCCACCCCGCCATTGATGCAGCAATTCAATGTCATCACGAGATAGCAAACTCGCACGAACTCTGCCTATCCGACATTGAGGCACTTGAACTGCTCGTCCATCCGTTGGTGGTGGAATTGACGTCGAAAGATACCCCCAGAGACGGCTTGGAAGCGAAATTCTCAGTCTTCCATGGTTGTGCCGTGGGTCTTCTCTATGGTCGAGCTGGGCCTGCAGAGTATGCAGACGATATAGTTACAAGCAAGGAGGTGATTTCAATAAGGAACAAGGTTGGAATCATGGCAGATACTACCTTGGGTGCCGACGAGGTACATCTTAACATGAAGCTCAAGAATGGCGTTGTCCTAAAGAAGCATATTCTGCACGCCGTAGGGTCCCTTCAAGCGCCCATGACGGATGACCAGCTCACAACGAAGTTCCTGTGTGAAGCTTCACGTGTGCTGGGTAAGGACGGAGCAAAACGAGCCAGCAACGCGGCGTGGAAGATCGGCGACCTTGAGGATATTGCAGAAGCGCTGCCCTTATTTAAGCGATAGTATGTTCGGCGCGGGCAAAGTGCGTACTACTCCCAACTAAGATCTATTCAGAAATGAAAATTGTTGTTCAAATGATCAGGTGTGTTAGGGTCTGGGAGAAGCTCGTAGGTGCAGCTCAACGTAGCGCTAAGCCCAGGCCTGACATTGGCTGAGCCCTGCTTGCGACAGTTCAGTCTTATCAAGGCCACCTTCAGACTTGCATAATTTCTCGGCCATCATAAGTCTACTGTAGCCTATGGAGGGCGCTACGAGAAAGACCCTTCCCACCTACTCGGGTGCTGTTTGCAGCACGAGTCGTGTGATTGAAGGGTCAGCAAGCAGTTACGCTGATTGAAACATGAGCTATTGACTTGGGGTGATAAGTCACCCGATGTTCGTTACACATACAGACCAGGGTAACTCGTGTTCTCCTCGCTAGGCAGCCGATATGGACGAATACCAGCTTTGTCGCTGTTCAGAGAATGGTAATACATTGCCTCCAGAGAAGTCTGGTGGAGTTTGTGGGCGAGCTGTTGATGGAGAAGGATATGAATAAAGACAGAGTTAAGAGGGCGGGGAGACTTTTTAATGAACTGTGTATGTTGATGACCATTCGTTCTTCTGTGTCGCACAGAAAGCTGTGTGATCTCAGCCTCGCAAGAAGAGTATATTGTCTACACAGAAGACACCGCAACTGAAATGTAGCACCCCAGGTGAGGTAATCCATGATCGCGAGTATATAAAAACTTTCGCCCAACAAGACTACACGAAGACCCCGCTCCTCCTCACTTCAGAAAGGGCGTACGACGCCGTCTTACTCAAGGGGTAACGGTCTAATATCGCTATCCCAGCGCGAAAAAACAATGCAGGCTTCTATCTCCCATCGATATAAGGAGCCCAGATCTCCCCGGACGCCGTGGGACTACGAATCTCAAGGAGAGGCAGCCAGAAAGCGCTTTGCAGCTGCAGTGCTGAGACGGGCCGCTTCAATTGGGCCGACGTTTATCATGGTCCTGGTGAAGGCAACACCGAAGCTGACGAGGTTGTTGACAGTGAGCATGTTCATCGTCGGGTCCGTCTTGGTGTTGGCTGTCTAGTACGAGGAAGCCGTTGGAGATGATGACAGCGACGACATCGTATGCAGCATTTTTGGTGGTGTTCGTTGAGACGATACGTCGAATAAGGAAGGGTGGTGATGGTGGGAGGTGAGGATGTACATCGGAAATAGTCGGAGCACGTGATGGGATGGTGCCCACGTGATAGACCCTTGAAACTATTGGCCAGGAAATCCCGCGGCATTGCCGATGGGGGCACAACAGTCCTCGTCGGGACTCCCTTCAATGTTTCTCTACCGATATTCTTGGATTGTCCCCAGCCTTGCGAGCTTAGTTGACATGTCGCTTGCACGTCCCAATAAGCGAGCTCGAAGCGCAATTGCTTGTCGACGGTGTAAGCAGCGCAAACAGCGATGTGATAACGGATTTCCCGCCTGCGCCGCTTGCGTTGCGGCATCCGCAACGTGTTCCTACGAGAGTAACGTATACCCCGAGGAGCATGTCGAAACACTGCGGGCGCGTGTTGCGGATCTTGAGCGCCAGCTGCACACACAGAAACAGCTCCAGGGCCATTCTGTAGCCACCGTATCCCCCGCAGTCGACAGTTCCAGTGGACGTCCATCTGGATTACAGGACTCCCAGCCTGTAGCACCCCTTGATCAATGTGCTGATGACGGATACGAGGATCCAGGAGGGGAAGACCGAGGAGAGGACGAGGCAAATACTGCTTTCGACATGCTATCTCCTGGAGCATCGTATCTGGGCTTCTCGAGTGGATTTCCTCTGGCAAGGAGTGTGCATGCAGCGATCGGTCCCACACCGCTGAGTCATCGCCAGTCCAGTCGAACAGACTCAGCGCGGAACAGTAGGCCTTGGAACATCGCCTCAGACTTTTTACCGATTACCAGACCGAAATCTGCAAATTCACTGCAGCTGTCTCAATTCTTGGACGCTTACTTGAGCAAGGTACATCCCAAGCATATGTTCATTTCATCCCGCCGCCTCTTCCGTTTGCACGAATCTCGCGAGGCCTTGTTACACGCGGCCCGGCCTCCAAAGAGAAACGCCGTGCTATCCCGGTGCCAATTCCTCCTCCTACACATGGTCTACGCCATTGGTGCTCGCTATATTCAGCTTTCAAGAGAACAGTCTCGGTTCAGCTCCGAAGCGCACTATGCCCTTGCTGTCGAAGACATACAATGTCTTTTCGAAACCCGTGGTCTCGAGTCGGTCGAAGGTCTGCTGATGCTTGTCATCTTCCAACTACGCTTTCCCTCACCTCCCGGCATCTGGTCCGTTGTTGGTACAGCCATGCGACATGCCATCAGCATCGGCCTGCATCGGAGGTTCAACGGCACAAGTTTGGTTATGGACCAACGTAGGAAACGTGTCTTTTGGACCATCTACATGCTTGACCGCTCCATGGCTCGGACACTTGGTCGCCCTGTCTGTATTTCGGACAGAGATATCGATGTCGACCTTCCTGCTAACGTTTCTGTCGATATTGAAGAGGAGGAAGAAATGGTAGCAGCGCTACAAGCGGACCCAGGGCCTACGCCCATGGCTGCAGCAATCCATCTCTTTCGACTATCACGAATTGAATCCAAGATCTATTCCACCATCCATCGCGTGGACCTACCATTGTCCGATCTTAAGCCTGCCAAGGTGGCCCAGCTCCGTCAACAGTTGGATGACTGGAGAGATCAAATACCAGTGGCGGTGCCGAGCGCCAACGACTATGACGATCTGCCCAACTATTATGTGAAGCCAAACTACTACGTCCTGCAATATCACAAGGCTATGCTACTGGTACTTTTACCGTGCCTACCCAGGTTGCCCGTTACGCATCCTGACTTCCGCCTTTGTATCGCGTCTGCGGGCCAAGTAGGTCAGCTCTACAAGTCGCTTCATGACCACCAAAGCTCTCTTTCCTACTCGCTGATTGCTCTGCACGCAACATTTGTTGCGGGGTTGACGCTGATTTACTGTTTCCTTGCTGATAAGACCATTTTCGACTTACATTTCAGTAGCGACATCCGTGCTTGCAGCACGGTGCTTTATGTCATCTCTGAACGCTGGTCTGCTGCACGAAAGATACGCGATGCCTTTGAGCGAATGATCAGCAACACGGTCGAGAAGGATCAATTCCGCAATTCAGAGCAGGGAGCCTCCCAGGGTGGCGGACAGCTTATGGACGGCCGTTCGGCAGACGTTTTAGAAACAACGGCCGACCACCATCAAACCGACGTGCTCTGGTCAGAGTTAGCAACCCTCATTCCGCCACATACCGAGGAACATAGTACATCGTTTGTACCTATGGCTCGAGACAATCCTTCGGAAGACTTGTGGGCCACTCTAGGGTCCTGGTTTGGTGAGACAGAAGACTCCTGGCTGGAAAGCAACTGGGACACGACGTCAGTCCACTAGAATCTTACAAATCAGACAGTATACCGACCCTGTCAAGAGAAGAGCCTTTTAAGTCGAGATCTGGAGAGACGCGTCTTTGAAACGTCTTCCCGTCAGTCCGGATCAGAAGATGGTCGAGGGAATAGCGGCTAAGCGAGGTATAAAGGAAGTCACTGTCAAGACATCTCATAGAGTTATTTTGGCCACAGGAGGGTTCGCCAAGAATCAGGAAACGAGGGCACAGTGCCTGCAACAACCCGCGAACCCTGCATGGTCATCGGTACCAGCACACGACATGGGGGATGCTATCCGAGCGGGCATGGATATTGAAGCCGTGGCACCTCAATATCCGACGCCTGGCGGGGTCCGAGTTTCTTTGACGAGACCACCAAAAGGCTGTACTTTGGCCTCTGGGAACGGTCGCGTCCCTACTCGATTATCGCAGATAAGGCTAGTGAAAGGATATTTAACGAGGCTGAGTTGTATGTTGATGCGGCTCATGTGCAACATGAACGGGGCAGGTCGACCTAGGCGATCCCCGTCACGATGGGACCGCCAAATCTGTTCGCCAGGCGCCGCAGGAGGTATTTCTACACCGAGCCAGTGCTTTAGAAGATCTGTGTGACAACATCGGAGTTAGTAAGAATGGTCTCGCTGCGACCATGCAAAGATTCAATGCCATGGCTCACCAAGGCCGCGACGAAGACTTCGACCGTGAAGGCTCAAGTTATGATCAGTACCTTGGAGACACCTCTGTCCAGCCAAACCCCAACCTTGGTCCCATCAAAAAGGTGCCATTCTACGGAGTCAAAGTGTTTCTAGGCGACCTGGGAACCAAAGGTGGACATCTAACAAACGAGAACGGACAAGTGTTGGCTGCGGGCCAACGGCCCACTCCAATGCTATATACCAGCGGCAATGCAACCGCGTCGGTCATGGGTCGGCGATACAGAGGCGCCGGGGAAACACTTGGTCCCACCATGACCTTTGCATGTCTTGCTGTGGACCTCATTACGAAATCATCCAAGGTGTAACGACCGGTTCTATGTTTGTAGCATGACCTGCGGAGCAAAGGACAGTAGTCCGCGGCGCGCGGTGTCAGCCAAGAATAGCAGGCAATCCAAGGGTTGCTGGTGAGGACGGCCTACGGTGCGAAAGCCAATTTGTCAGTAATGAGCCTTACAAGGTTGTGGAATTCGCCCGTACGTAATGACCAACATAGTCCTTTCATCGATGGCTGCCTTCGTTGTAATCGCGTTACCTTGCATCGACAGCACATCAGTTCACTGGCATAAGATTTCGACTTGTGGTACCACAATGACCGTGACCAATTCAGTTCAGAAACAGAGATCCAAGCCAAAGAATGCCGGTGGCGTCTCTTCGAGTAGCTATTCACGGCTTCTCAAGAGTCACGGCTGTGAGACTATCACCTTTGGCGAGGCCTGAATCTTGCCTATACGGTTCCAGCAGACTCCGCCTGATCAGTTGGGCAGAGAAGATATTCACGAAGACTTCCCGACAGCATTCGTTCTACCTGGGTAATCAGCGTGGTGTCCCAGCCTTGCAGCCACCAACAGTCGCCAAACACCCGGAGTCGAGTGGCAAAGTGCGCTATGATGGCCAAAGGCACCTGTCTACGTTGTGCCACCAAGGACACGAATTCTTCCGACACCATGACCGGCCATGCAAACAGAATAGTCAGAACGGACTCCTGCTCTTCCTCATGTCGTGCTTTGGCTTTGAGCAAGACGATCTCGAGATGATCGAGGGCCTCCAGGCATGTGCTCCGTTCGGCAAAAGGAACGTCAAACTGAGATAAGGATGCTACCTGCTGTTTTATGGTGGTGATCTCGGCAAGGTGGCCAGGTACGTCCGCGGTTAAACCAACGGTTACCAAGGGGGCCAGTGGAGACAGTTGCACGCCATAAACCGTGTCCCACGAGGTGCGCAACACCGCACTCACACCGCGTATCAGTTGCATGATGCCAATGAGGGATCCAACGGGATCATGTGGCGCGTCGAGGGCGCCGGCGCCAAAACTGTGAATCACGAGCAGGCACGCGCAAGCGAATAGTGCAGGTGTGGTTGCGTCGGCGGGATTGTTGATCAAGCTCTTCACAGCGCTGAGTGAGGGCTCAAGATGCCGGAAGGACTGGAGCAGGAAAGACTCTCTCTCGGCGGGATGTTCGTAGGCTAGATGGAGGGCGGAGATGGCAAGGATGCCGCGGAGGAGGAACGGGTATTCGAAACCAATCTGCACCACTGTGTCTTGCCATATCTTGAGGACCTCAGGACCAATGCACTCGTCAAGGACACTGGCAGTTTTGGCGACATAATGAAAGAGGAGCTTAAGGTCCAGCAGGGGCAGATCACCTGGATCAGTTCGACGTTGAGGAGTGCCGGTGTCGTTACTTGCTGCGCAGGGAGATCCTGCGGAAGAGTCTGTCTGATGGCCTCCTAAAGTTGCCTTTGGGGGCGGAGGCGCTTCGCGCCAGGTACACGTTCGGTCAAGGCGCGAACAGTTGCTGCACCGTGGTCTTTGCTCTGGACACTTTGAAACGTGCACAAGTCAGTGAAATAACAAGATCGACGCCTAAGCAGATTCGAGCAAGCCATTACCTTGACATGCCGTTTCTTACATGGAATGCAGCCGTCGTGTGACTTGCGGTGCGACGTGCGTGTTGGGCCCATGGCGAGGTGATGCCGCAGAGTTGATCGAAGCAATCGAGACGCTAAAAGAATTGTCGACTTCGAAGGCGCAGTTAAATACGCTCTTTGAAGAATGAAGCTAGCCACTTTAGACATATCACGTGATTTCAAGGAGTATCCGATTGGCCCCTGGAGGCTCGAAGAAGCTATCCCTGAAGAGCGGGTCCCAGAAAGAGCGTATTAAATTTTTGAGCTGCGCAATCGACTTGTATTCCCGAAATTGTCTTCGTCTCTCCAGAATTACGGCCCTTCTTTGTTGTAGTAGCCGGATGATATATATCGTAGAGATATATATAGTTTGGTCTCACCCTTTCTTCATGTTCACCATGGATTCTCTTCAACTAATTCATTTACCCGTCCCTTCTTTTCTTTTGAGGCGCTATGGACCGACATGTTGGTCATCTGCGGTCTCGCGATAACGGTTTCGACTTCGAATTGTACCGTTATGTCCCTTCTCTGGCAGCGGCTATTGTATTCACCGCCGTCTTCGCTATCCTTACAGCCCTTCATTCTTGGAGACTTTACCGCTTGCGCGCACTGTACTTTACCGCGTTCACTATCGGTGGCCTTTGTAAGTATCAGCTAAACCCTTTACCGATTCAGACCCGGGTGCACTAATCATCGAGTCTACAGTTGAAACCGTTGGCTATTGCGGGCGTATCTGGTCGCACTTCGACGATCAAGCCGTCGGTGGCTTCGTCATGCAAGCGATCCTCATCCTGGTTGCCCCGGCCCTCTTTGCTGCGTCGATCTACATGATTCTGGGTCGCTTGATCCGCGCTTTATGCGCCGAGCATCTGTCTCTTATGCCGGTGAGGTGGCTGACCACTATCTTCGTGGTAGGCGACGTCCTGTCTTTTACACTGCAAGCTGGTGGTGGAGGTATTCAGTCTGCAGGGACGCTGGACTTGTTCAATCTCGGGGAGAAGATCATAGTGGTGGGGTTATTTCTGCAAATCGCCTTCTTTGGTTTCTTCGTCGTCACAGTTGTTCTATTCTATCAGCGACTCCGGGCTCACCCTACGCGCGAAGCCCGGCACAACGAAATCTCGTGGCGGCGACATCTTCTGGTCTTGGTCGTCGTTAGTATCACCATCTTGGTGCGGAGCATTGTCAGGGTGGTCGAATATCTGCAGGGAAACAGCGGCTACGTCATCGCCCACGAGGTCTTCCTGTATATCTTGGATGCCGCGTTGATGGCAGGAGTTATGGCTGTTTTACTCGTCTACTACGTTAGCGACTTGAAAATAGCTTTGGACAGGATCAAAGCGATATCTTCGCCTTTGGGAACCGACTATCCACTGGAACTACTAAGGAGAGAATGAGCCCTATTCTTCAGGATCGAGTGTTTCTACTAAGAATACTTCTATAGCGCTAAGTATGGACCAATTTATTTATTAGCTTGCTGAGGGTAGAGATAGAAATAGACCATGTATTATAATTTGCTCCAATAAAGGTGTCACGATATATACAGTTTCCTGATAAGTGGGAGATATCGAGTATACCTGTCATGAGCGCAGCTCAGGACTGGCGACCAAACAGGCACTCAAGGGGCAACACTCCTCAGAATCTCTCTCCCTTATGCTTAGAGTCTTGTGCGCTCTAGATAGGAATATCTCGGCCCTCTGTTGTGTTATCACTCTGCCTGTTCTTCGAGACGTTCCTAACACCCTCATTGTGGTGCAGATTAGAGACGGATAGCTTTACAAGCGAAGATCAAAACGATCGAGAGAAAGATTTGGCGAGCTTGGTGCTGCTAGATATAACATGGCCAAGCTGAGGAATGTAGCAAAGTTCGTACCGGCGTTTTATAGCATGATATATTTACGATTAAATCTAAGGACTTGACAGTGATACAAAAGGGGATATACAGAGCATTTAGAGGGCATACCAGGGACTCGCGCGTCGCCTCGGGACATAAACCGCCCCTTGCTTCGCTATCTCTTAATCTCGTTTAACAGTACGTTGTGCACCACAACAATAAACTTATAGTTTTCCATTATGCATGTCCAGATAGATAATTCATGACTATTCGCCTTGTCTGAGGAATGACCAGTGGCCGCTGTGCTATCCCTCTTCCCCTTTGGGTACGGGTAGTGGAGACATGAAGCCAACCCAATGCCGAGTCAACTTTAACGCCAAACCTCTTATGTTATACGTGTAGTTTTCCTGCTCCTCAACGACCGGATCAAATGCCCAGGAGCACCAGATCCCTTCAAAGCCAGCCGGCGTACCACGCCCGAACCATTTCGGAGCTTTTAGAGCGCAGCTGTGGACACTGACTCTAACACCACCATCCTCTTCTAGGCGAGGCAGTTAGACACCGAATCCTATAAGAGCTCTGGTTTCATATCCGCTCTACTCTCATCGAACATCATCTTCAGTATATTCTCAAAACCATCAGGCTGTTCGGCTGAGAGACGAGACCATGTACCCTCAGCCCATAAAGCCTATACGGGAGAAGTGTACAAAGCGAGGAAATGTACTTTATAGGCTGAAGGAATGATTCGCATTCCCAGCTCTTTCATCAGCATCCTGCGCGGCGCCGCAACCTAGAGCCGCTAAATAAGTGCGCTATCATTTGGGCTTTGAAGAGACTTAGGGACAAAAATGGTCGTATACTCGGAAGCCGAAAAATGCCAGAATTACCACAAGGATAACAATGCATAGATGAAGATAGTTTGCTTAGCGCTAACAGTGGCGGCGGCAAACGCATCTACAGACATTCTGGAAATCGACAACGGGTGCGGGCAAGGTATTTTGTTGTTGCCTACCTTTCCTAATGACTTTTCGAAAAGCAAGGCCTAGTTGATTGATCCCGGTTTCTTGTCTAGTCTGCCAGATAATGCCCTATCGCTGACCGAAAGGCTAATATCGCCCTTACCTTTAGAATCTTCGAGGCGTGTTCCTGTGCGAAAGAGCGCAATTGCGTGTCATGGTAAAACAGGAGCCCCTGATACTAAAGCACTCTAAGCACTCTTCTAGAGGCGTCATCACCAATGTGTCATCGCTGGCCGGCCTGATTGCATTTCCCAGTCTTCCCGCATATGCAGCAATGAAGCATGGAGGTGGCAGGCTTAACGAAATCCGATGCTCTTCAGTACGGGCCCGGATACTTAGCAGGAGAGAGATAGGGATCGTGTGCGATCGGCCCCGGGATTTGGTCTTCTCTTTAAATTCAGGTATAGCTTGACAAGGGTGTGCTGTAGAAGCCTGGCCATTGTCTCTCAGAGAAGATTATTTTGCCGCCCAGTAAAGCACATGCTCACTAGGCGTTCATGCCACATGTAATCTGAATCCGAAACTATGGAAAAGTGATAGCCTTGCCGGATATTGATATCCACATGACTCCACAATTAATGTATTTTGAGGAGACAAGTATCCAGTTGAACAACTGTCACTATTATATTTATCGCTGATGATAAAGAGCCTGAATTGGTATTGTACATAGAGTCACGTCTATAGCCTATATGCCAGTATACCTGTATATAGCGCGTCTATCTGACATGACCAGGAGATAGCAATACCAAAAGTAATTATCACTTTACTGGTCATCAGTTCACTCTTTCATAAATTCAAAGGCCATAAAAGGCGGCACACGCTGGATTTCTCTGCGTTATCAACAGTCAAATGCCAGGCCCAAACCCCGACGCACTTAACACGTTCATAATCAGGACCCTCGACATAGTTTCCCCGACGCCACATCCTCAACCACAATTTCTCGTGACACCATGATTTTGACAGGAATACTTGCAAATTTCGCACTGTCTGGACCTAGAACGTCCCTGAAGTCATCGCTCTAGAGAGACTAAGTTAGATTGTTGCTGAGTAGCTAGCGAAATTGGAATCATCGCTGGCCATACATACCTTCATGAAAGCGATAAAATTGTCCCATTCGTTTTCTGCGACGTAGAACTCGGTTGCACCATCCCAATCAAGTTGCTCCATCTTTATATCCCCCGAGGCTATCCCTTTTAATTCGGGGGTAGAATGAGACTGGGTTATGATCCATGGTCAGAAATCCAACAGAAATCATTCTGGCAACCAAAACAATACACCTACCTGAATATACTTCTTGACACCGCTACCGGGCCACCCTTTCACGCCACAGTTCACTCCCGCATGCGTGTTGGCCCAGTAATCATAAAACTGCTCATGGCTAAGGTTTGGGTTTTTATTGAAATAGAAAACAACTTTGATGTAGCCTGCCGAGCCGTTAATTCGAAGTACGATATATACTGAGAGGAAGTCCCAGACTTTCGAAGGGCGATTTAGGCGACATTTTTGAATTCTACGTCGGAGAAAGGACTTGTTCTCTGTAACAGTGGAGCTTTTTAACATTCAACATATCACCTCCTTAAACAGGTGTCGCAAATTTGTGGATCAGGCAATATCCGTCCATTTGGCGGAAAGTCGCTCCCAATAGCCTATGGTTCTCCGTTTCATCCTCCCGAGCACTGATCCGCTATCTAACTTCGCTAATATATCGCTTCGTATAGGTAGTAAGTGATCGTATTGACCTGGTCGTGAATGGGTTCGCCAAAGTTTGCTCAAGATCCAAACAAACGGTATTCCAGTTCTATACGCGTTCTCGTCTGGCCACTATCACTCTTGACTTCCGCACAAGATGTTTCTCGAAGGGGGCCCAGAAAGGAAAGATCCTATCGCCTCCTACAGCCGCTACAAGTCGGAAGATGTTGACGTTGCGCCACTTGGAAGGCCTATTCGCTTCGCGTTTGCCCAAAAGGAGGCGCCGAATCGATTTCTTAAAGCCGCCATGAGCGAGCGGCTCGCGTCATGGAGTCCTCAACAACTGAATCTACGTGGCATTGTATCTCCGGAGCTGATAAACCTGTATCGACGATGGGGTGAATCGAAACTTGGATTGATATTGACGGGGAATATAATGGTCGCTTACGACCACCTAGAAGCCCCTGGCAACCCTGTGATCGATGTTAACGATCAGTTCTCTGGTGTTCGGTTCGAAGCTTTCCAGGAATTGGCAAGAGAGACTAGAAAGCATGGCAGTCTTTTGATAGGACAGGTCTCTCATCCAGGACGTCAAGTTCCCGAAGTGATCAACCCTAATCCAATCTCTGCCAGTGCTGGCCAGCTAGAAGGAGAAGTCTTGAAGATGCGGTTCGGCAAGCCTCGTGCGGCGTCGATCGAGGAAATCCGTTCTATCGTCGAAGCTTTCACACACGCAGCAGAATATCTGTACATGGCAGGGTTTGACGGAATCCAGCACCATGGCGCTCATGGTGTGTTATTCCCTTCGGTATCCGGACAAGCACAAGAAGTTAGTCTAACCATATCAGGTTATCTCTTGTCTCAGTTTATCTCTCTCGACACAAACCATCCCACCGATAGTTACGGAGGCTCTTTTCAGAACCGAGCCCGAATTGTTTTGGAAATTGCCCAGTCTGTTCGCACCCGTCTTGGGAAGGTCGCCAACTTTGTCATCGGTATAAAACTGAACAGCGTGGAGTTCCAAAAGTCCGGCAAGGGTATTACTCCAGATGAATGCAGGGAGCTCTGCACTATCTTGGAGACTCAAGGTCAATTTGACTTTGTAGAACTCTCAGGAGGCACGTATGAACACGTGGGCTGGGAACACAAGCGTGAATCCACTATGAAGAGAGAGGCATTCTTTCTCGAATTTGCCGAAGCAATTCCTCCTCGACTTTCGAAAACAAAGGTCTACGTGACTGGAGGTTTTATATCAGCTGGCGGGATGGTGAGGGCGCTGGATTCGGTAGACGGGATTGGCCTGGGAAAGCCAGTTTGCCAGGAACCCTCACTTGCTGCTGACATCCTAGCAGGCAAGGTGACGGGCTCTATCGTTTCGAAGATCGACCAAAACAACTTTCAACTGACAATTTTAGCTGCTGGAACACAGCTTTGGCAAGTTGGAAATGGTATTTCCCCGTCAAACTTTGAAGATGAAAAGGAGGTTAAACGCTTCCTGCTAGCACTGGAAACTTTTGAAAAGCAAAGACAGTCCGATACAGAAAGAAACCTGTACGGCTTCGTGAACTTTAGGTAGCGTTACTAAAGACAACGCTTATAATTTAGAATATAGCTTCATCTTACTAATCGTCGAAACTTAGGTTGTTCTTTCTCGATGTGGCGGTCGAGAAGTTGTTGAAGATATATTCGCAACGTCACGATGCCCAATCGTGCAGGATCAAGTAATTACTCTTTCTCTGGAGGAGTGTGGAAGTACTGAATCTCGTCCTTTTGTCTCTATTTAGATGTAATGCCTTTCGTCAGCTCATTCGGAGGTGGATTTTTCACCAAAAGGAAGCCCTGCTTCAGCTTCGTAGTATCTTTGTTTGATGCCAGCAGCGCCATGCCCTTTTCTGAACCCTGGTTGATCAAATCCGAGTTCGTGATGATGCCGACCGTCCTTTCTCCCTCTCTATCGAAAGTGCAAGATTTTTGATAATGGGTTGGTTGGCGATATCATTTTCTGTCTGGACCACAGTGAGGAGAATGGTTCGGGGATCGGAAATATAGCCGTCCACAATCCTGTGGACCATGTCTACGTCGTCCTCAGTCTGCTCCTCATTGGAAACAAAGATCCAACCTGGTACATCAGCGATACTCAGATGCAAGCCGACAGGGCCATGGACCTCGATGCGAAGCACATCGGAAGCAAACGCTGGTCGATCTTCGCTCTGCGAAGGGAGCGGCTTATACAGAGTCTGTAATTATTATCGTTGAGATAAGTCATCTCGAAACATTGCATCGACTTGGGTGTGCTCCAATCCCTTGTCTCTCTGCAACGACTAAGAATCATCTGACTCCAGGTATGTGAACCACTGTCGACGGATAGTTTTGTTCTCTTAAGGAATATGGTTTGGGGGAATCTGTGGATCTCTGTTGCAGGTTCTCAAGATTTAAGAGACTTTCTCCGTTGTGGAAAGAGACCGGTCCAGGCTCCATTATACCTGAATTAATCGCATGTACACCCTCAACTAAGTATCTGCCATTTCCCCCCTACATGGGAAACTACCTCTGCGTGGTGTAGAGGACTAGTACTATTTCACCTTACGCTGAGGCTAAATAGGAAGCAAAATGTTTCCTCAGTGAATACTCTAGAGATTCTCTCTCTAGATATTCACTGAAACAGCTCCCTTTATAAGGAGCAACCACAAACAATCCTCAAGTTCAACAGGCGACAGCAGCAACAAAAAGTGAGCGCTAAGACATCAAATTTTCAGTACGCACAAAGAGAAAAAACTTTTCAATTCACTATCAATCACACAACTTGCCAAGGAATCAATTATCTTCACACAAGAATTCAATAATCAAAATTTGCTCTAAGGGAGTGCAGCCACCACAAGTGAGCCTTTTAGGCGTTGTTCCACCTAAAGGCCCTTAGCTATAGAAGGAGTGAGAAGACTAGTGGGGTTATGAGAGCGGGCAGAGTAAGGAAGTGTGAGAGAATAGTGAGAAAAAACGGGAAGTCACAGAATTGGTTGTTGTTAAGGAGACATCAAAGTTTAACAGGAGTAGCCTGAACAAATTATAATCAATTACACAGCCAATAAATGCCCGGTATTGAAGGTAAACTAACTTGCAGAAGGAAAACAAGAGCAGGATTTATTCGCCAGAGGGTTTTCCCTACTCAATAGACAATAGATAGAAGTGCCCCGATATAAGCTTATCATAGCTTAAGGTGTATAGAAATCCAATCCAATCCAATCTGCCATTTCTATCACGACAAGTCGGGGTAGTGCCACTTTGATAAGAGGCACGTGGAGGAGGAGGAGTGCAGGGGTTCCGGCGATCTGGGCGCATTGGACCAGCACGCTGCTGCTTTAACCCGGCCCAGAGGTCTCAATACCTCGCCTGGTATCGTATCGTACGGCGCCGCCTTTTGGAAGCTAACTTTTGGTCTTACACGCGACATTTGACACCAATTCTAGTAGACTTGCCACTAAGCCCAGAATGGACTGCCGCCGCGCTAGGCATTTCGACGACATAAAACATTACTGAGACGACAACTGCATCTGGACAGCACGCAGCTTTTGATGATCAACCCCGGCTACGGAATGCGACAACAGTTGGTGGAGTATCGGTCGTTATCTATGGGGAGCTAGCACTCAGAGTTGTTCTCCTGTCGACGGGACGACGATAACCCGTCCGGGGCCGCGGCTTCTGCGCGACCTCTGTTGATGCAGTAGTGCTCACAGGAGCGAAGGATGTTTTCTCATTTTGAACTCTACCGCGACTGTTTGCTCGAAGCTGAAGCCAAACGAAAATACAGTCGCTCTTGGACAGGCTGTCTGCCGTGTGAGTGTTACGCTACTTATTACTCTCCACAATGTTTCACGGTCGCTGCTGACTGTATTGAACCACAAAAGGTCGCAAGCGCAAGAAGAAATGTGACGAGCAGCGGCCTGTCTGCGAGAGGTGTGCAAAATCGGATGCGTCTCGATGTCGTTATAAATCCCCTCTCAGATCTCCCATATCCTCGCCGTCACTTTTAAGCAGTGTGACCGAGTCCAGCCAGCGTCCAGCTCGCTCGCCGTCGCTGAACTCTCCCCCTCTATTAACCCCGGGTCCTGCAGACGATTATTTGCCCAAAAGGGTATCCAGGAGCGTTATATACTCGCCACCTGGCTCGATTCCATGGCCGGTCGATGATATCCCGCCGTGCTCACTCACAGACTTATTTTTCGTCTTCAGCCGATCAGCTCATGCCGTTGATCTTGGGCCAGAATCCAGCATCATCTCCTTGACTATTCCACTCGCACCCCGGTCTCCTTCCATATTTCATTCCATGGTCTCATGCTCCTCCATTGTCCTCTCCCAGAAGCAGGATACCTGGCAGCAAGTCGCCATCCGACACCACTGCGAAGCCCTCCGAAGTCTCACTTTGGAGATGTCGGAGGGGAGCATGTCCGCCAGTGCGGTTGTAGAATCGTCCCTGGCGGTAATCATGATGCTTCACATGTTCGAGGTAGGCATCTCGATGAAGTCTTGACTCCTGCAAGCCAGGTGCTGACACTACAACTCTCTGGGCAGAGATTTGATTCATCTTCCAAGCCGCGCACATGCGCTCACTTACTGGCTGCCCAAGCCATTTTCCTCGAAGCATGTTCAACTGAACTGATCAAAACGAGTCTGGGTGCATTGCTCCTTGAGGCATTCGTCTATCGCATATCAATAAATAGTGTTTTTCATCTGGAATTGGTTAAAGGATACGACTCGATGGGAGCACTGACAAGACTACTCATGAGTTCACCGACGATGAAACGTGGAGAGACTGCACCGTTTCGGCGGTCCCTGTGGCTCGGGCTGCCACCGGACGTATATGGTTCCCTGTACAAGGTTTCATGCCTGTTGCGGATGACGCCACTCGACAGCAAGCAGCGAAATGAGGGGATTCGCCTCAGTCAACAACTGAGAGATCTAGAACTTGACGAGCCGCTGGATGGTGAATCTGACCAAGATGATTCTGCTGGGATACATCAATTAGCAGCTCGGGTACGGCACCTGCATCTCGCTGCTGCGCAACTCATCTTGTGGAAGATCTTGTATCAGGACATCAAAGCAAGCGACGGTCGGGTGCAGCAACTCCTACACAAAACGATGGCCCGACTTTCTCCTTTCCAAGGGCCAGCGCCTCACGTCACAACTGTGATGATTTGCCCCCTCGCGATTCTGGGAACAGCCGCAGTTCAACCCCGAGATCGGGAATTCTTGAAGTTCCAGTTGAACAGCTTGCGGAGTATGGCAGGTGTGCAAGAGCTAGACTCTGTTCTGAGCTTCTGGGATGATGTATGGTCTGAAATTGCCGAAACAGTCGCCGGTGGCGATGCAGCTCCCGACATCGAGCCCCCTCAGCTTGACGTCTGGTTCGACGAATCTCGGTTAAGACGTGTAATCCTCTAGCCTTTGGGAGTCACCGGCATTCTTGGGCTGGACGATAACCCTTTATGTCATAATGCCTTGATAGGCCTTCCTCACTTCCCTTATCTTGGAACTCGGCGTTGAATCCTCCCGCTTACAGACAACATCTACCGAGAACTCCCTAGCTTGGCGGCAGACCCGATTAGGATTGGCGCGGAACCTTCGACCTACAATAGACCAGATGCCCGAAAGCGGAGCCCAGCAACGACTCACATCTCTCTTGCTTTTGATCTTCTGGACGGAATTCCCATTCAACTTCCTTCACTCTCGACGCTCATCCTACCCTACCAAGCTAATTCTATTTCCGTATGTAGAGCTGTGCTCAGGGTCTCAGAAATCGGCCTAAAGATCATTACCGCTCTTATCACTTTCTTTTCTTTGGTCACGACTGTCAAACAGCACACAAGAACGATGGGTTCAATGGGAATCAGTGAGGCGCTGACGCCTTGGCAAGAAATAGTCGCAGAAAAGCAGAGCGCAGTAAAGAAGCTGGTTCCATCCGAATGGATTTTGCCGGATGCCCTTTGGCAAGATCTGACTCTTCCTCTAGAGGCCAATCCAAATCGCATCATCGAGAAAGACATTCCACGTCGAAGTGGCCTTATGTCTACTCGAGAACTTCAGATTACAGAAGCCTACACCACAGCTCAACTGCTCTCCGCGCTGGCACAAGGAACCTTTTCATCACTCGAGGTCACCACAGCTTTTTGCAAGAGGGCCGCTATTGCCCAGCAACTCACAAGCTGCCTCACCGAAGTCTTCTACGATTCTGCACTGAAACGTGCCAAGGAGCTCGACGACTATCTCGCGTCTCATGGGAGACCTTCGGGACCACTACACGGTCTCCCGATCAGTCTCAAAGACAGTTTCAAGCTCAAGGGAATCGACTCCAGCGTCGGGTTCGTGTCTCTGGTCAACAAGCCTGCCGAGCAAAACTCTGTGCTCGTCGACATACTTCTTGAGCTGGGAGCCGTCTTGTATGTTAAGACAAACATCCCACAGACGATGATGACCGCAGATTCCCATAACAACGTATGGGGTCGGACACTGAACCCGCATAACACGACCTTGACTGCCGGTGGCAGCACCGGGGGAGAAGGGGCCTTGATTGCCTTTCGAGGTTCTCCCCTGGGCATAGGCACTGACATCGCCGGCTCCATTCGCATCCCGTCTTTGTGCTGCGGAATCTACGGTTTCAAGCCATCCAGCGCGCGCATTCCATTTGGGAATCAACAAGCTCCGGTTCCAGATGAATTTTCCCTCATTCACTGTTCTGCAGGACCCATGGCAAACTCCTTTGAGGCACTTCAGCTCCTCACCGAAGCTGTCATCTCTGCTCGCCCAGCACGAAAAGACTCCACCTGTCTCGACGTTCCCTGGCAGACTTTGGCTCCCCTTTCATCCTCGGAAAGGCTCAATATCGGTGTCTTGACAGAGGATACTTCTCTCGCTTTTTACCCACCGGTCAAAAGAGTCTTGAACAATACATGTACTCTGCTAGCTGAAAAAGGCCATAATCTAGTCCCCATCGGCCCTGAGAGGTCTCACGTCGCCAGTCTTGCGGAACTATCAATGGCAGCATTCACGCTTGACATAAAGGGGATGTTTGCGTTTATTGCAAGCTCAGGAGAGCCAGTCGTCCCGTCCGTGGCAGCGTGCGCGGCTCCCTCCCAAGGAGAAGCGCTGAAGTCGTTCTGGGCCGGCTTTGAGCAGATGGACATGTACCACAAGATTGCCTCCTTGGAAGCGCAGATACACAGGCTGAAAGAGGAATGGAGGAAACTGTGGAATGAGTTCAACCTAGATGCTGTCATCTGCCCTGGAGCCCAACACACCGCCGTTAAGCACGACACGTATGGGTTTCCGCCCTTCACGGTGTTTTTGAACGTCTTGGATGTAGGTTCCCCTGCCCCTTCATCTTTACAGGAATTGAGAGTTTGGGATATCTAACTTGTGCAACGCAGTATCCTGCTTGTATTATCCCTTTCGGAAAAGCCTCCAAAGACCTGGACCCCGAGGCAAAAGACTTTGGAGATGCAGGATCCTGTAAGATAAGCTCCCTCCTTCATTCTCCGTTGCGTTCCATTCCAAGTTATCAATATCATCGGCAAAAGGTTGCATGGTCAGCTGACAAGGTGCGTTGAAAACAGACAATCCGGAAGAAACCGACCAGGCTCCAACTGCGATTCAAGTCTTCACCAGTAACATGAGAGATGAGGTGTGCCTGCAGGTTGGAAAACTGATAGATGAGATTTTGAACCAGTCGCAAGGGTAGACAGTAGATGAGCAATTTCGAGTCTGCGCGACCATGACCATTATCCCGTACATGATACAGCATCGGCGTAGAATAGGATCAGTGCTACGATCGTCTATCTTGTCTAGGTGTTAATCTCAAGCTAGGTAAGGCGGATGGCAGTCTAGCAGGGTCAATGCGGAGGGAGGCCGCGTCTGGGGCGTCGATAGTTGCATGAATAGAGCTTCTGTATGGAATCGTTGTGCATCACGGATTGGCACTGTTTGTCTTGTCCATGTATACTATCGCCAGCATCAGCGTAACGTGCCATGGGTCAATCTCTCAGCTGAGGAACTGATGAACGCCAACTAGATGAAGGGTAGAGATACTTCGGTCTGGCTGCTCGAACGCTTCCGTGTGGCAGGATCATGTCTCCAGACATAGATATTAATATTCAATGATGGCTATCGCTCCATAGTTCCGGGATGGCTACGTGATTCACAGATCGCTGCACGGTCCTGGTCATCCACTAGCAATTCCTAACCTCAGTGTCCTAGGACATGCCTGTTCTTCTCAGTGCTCAGCTTCAGCGCTGGTCGTTATCTTGACCTCCAAGTCTCTCTGTGTCTTCTCGAGAGGAGATTCTACCTTGTCGGTCATCAATCTCTCTACTCCCTGTAGTAACGCGCAGCAGACAAGGGAGACGACTATCATAGGAACAGTGCTAGCCCAAGCCAACTGGAACCCTCGGGCGTAGACGACCTGTCCTGCAGTCCTCGACGCCCGAATGATTGGCAGAGTGGCGGACGGTAGAGCTTGTGACAAGACTCGGGCAAGGAGGGCTTCGGTTGGAGGGCCGTTGCCCCCTGCCATGACACACAATAGAATGGGCACCTCTTCGGGTGACAACCCTGCGGCAATGGATGCCTTGGCGACGGCGGTGCCGTAATGTGACTTTACGTGGCCGAACACTATGGTGTACAGAACCGCCGAGCCAAAAGCACCTCCTATGGCTCGAATCGAAAATGCCAGACCTGTGGCGGTGGAGAGAAATGCATGCGGTGCAGCGTACTGCACTACAGCAATCAGCAAAATAAGCGGCCCAGCTTGTCCGACACCGGCAATGGCTGAAATGCCGAGGGAGACGTAGTTCCAGTCTCGTTTCATGGCGGCAAAGGCGCCAGCCGTGGCGAGGAACAAGGTGAAACAGATCACCAGCGGCCATTTGAGGTCTTTGTATCTAGTCGAGTACCAAATGATGACGATCGAGGCTATTATGGTAGGGCCACTGTATACGAGTTGGCGCACTCCGATGATCAAGGAGTCCGTTTCCCACCCCAGATAGAACGTCATCTGGTTCATGATGGTGTTGACGGCGCTGTAGTATATCCAGCCTTCGACCATGGTTATGAAGAGTGCGAGCGGGAAGTTGAGTCCCCTTTCGAAGAAGACATGCGCTAGGAGGCCGTCGGCTCTGCCCTTCCATTCTAAAACTAAGTTAGCCAGACGTAAACTCTTGAGTCTGTTTTCAAGAGCCGTACCATAGACACCACATAGCAAGAGGCAGACGATGCCGATAGTCAAGGGCGCCACTACATGCGGGTTGGACCAGGAATAGAGGCCGGACGCCCAGTTGAGCGCCATCAGGCAGCAGGTCGCACCACCGATGTAGAGGCATGAACCAACTGGATCGCAGGCCCAGATAATCTCGGTGATTCTCATCCTGGGGATCTCCCGATCGACTTTGGGCGGCGAGTAGAAGATAAAGAAGCTCGCAGACACAAGGAGTTGCAATGCTGCCTGCACCCAAAACATGTTCCGCCACCCGCCTGGAGTCCTACAGAAGGCACCAGCGGCAAGACCAGCAACCCTGCTCACGACTTTAGTACTGTATCTCATCTATAGTGCAGGTAGGGAATGGTCCACGTACAGGCCGCCACTTGCACCACCCACGAAGCCAATACCGCTGGCCAGGGTTCGATACTTCAGTGGTAAGATTTCTGCTGGAATGGTCCCGACGACTCCGATGGTTGCCAAGGTGACGCCGTAGAGTACGCCGCCAGCAATCAACAGATTCATGTCGTGTGCTCTGGCAGACATTACAGACCCGGCGAAGGCGACGATTGGTGTGAGCGTAACGAGCATCTTTCGGTCCAGGACGTCGGACAAGCGGCCAATGATGGGGTTCAGGACAGCCTGGATCAACAACGGAGTCTTGACAACAGAATCTTGTTCAGTGTTCCTGGTACAGAAGAATAGCCAACCGAGACCAACCTGTAGTACCCAGGCAGACATAGCCTGGTCGCCAATATCCTGCACGATGAAAGCGATGACCGAAGGGGCTGCGACGGTGGTAAAGATCTGCATGAAGAGCCTGGTTCGACATGTTATCAGGTAATGCCGTCCGACCATCATTGTCAATACTGACGTGAGAAACGCTGAGATGAACACCACTAGCCAGGTGCGCCATCCCAAGAGAACATCCATCTCCCCGGCGTCGGCCAGCTCAAATAACCGTTCATCTGCAGCAGTGGTTCCTGATTTCGCCGCAGACTTTTGCTGCTCCGTGGTGTTAGGCTCTTGTGTAGAATTCATGTTGAGACGGATGTTTGACTGCTGACCAAAGGAAAAGAGCTGCCATGGCCGAGACCTGTGACCTACCCATTCTTTTATGCACACTGTAAAGCCGCAGTGTCTTGGGAAGCCGGGTTTGGTCCCCCTGTGATAAGGACGGGGTATGTCGTCCGGATGGGGAAGAAGCTAGATCTGTCCAAGAAAGACTCGGCCACGATAGTACGCGATAAGCACAATCTTCGGCAGGTCCGGCGAGAAAATAGACTTCGGTGACATGTCTTTAGACCAGCTTTTCGTGTTTGATTAAATACAGCTAGCGATATGGTGGATAGCAGAAAAAACAGGTCATGAAGCAGCAGCAGCCCCATCCCTCAGGCCGGCGGCCTCCTATAGGGCACCTGGCAATTGCTGCCCGCGACTTTCCCATGCCATATCCAATGTAGCGAATAGTTAGATACTATTAGAATCAGTTAAAACTGATCAAGAGTAATCAAAAAAAGTTTATAATATAAGCTATGACAGGATTCAACCAGATCTAACTAGAGCTGGCAGGACCTGGCTATACTGAAGCACAACCAGCACGAGAACCGTGACAACCATTATCTGGCTGTTGTCATATCTACTTAACTGGGCTTCGGGCTTTGGTTTTGAACAGGCTGAGTTGCGGGCGTCACTAATGACCGTCTTTATAAATCCAATACTCACACCTAGCGCCAAGCGCCCCCGGTAGAACGTTGAGTTCCTTACAACTTTGCAACACCATCAATTCACTGGCTTTTACTATATATAGCTATATCCTCAGCCTTCACAAGGAGGATTTCTCTCCGTCTAGAACGTTGTCCGATAGAATGTCGCCCGGAACGACGCTCGATGGCGGGCGATGCCTCTATGCGGCATGCTGTGCGGCGGTGAGAAAACCCTCCCTCGAAAAGAGAGAGTTCACTCCTTTTGCCTATATAATAAAAAGATATCTCCCTCCTGGACAGGGAGGTCGGACTCGTCAAGATATACTATTTGGCCCCCAGTTATTGGCTAGCACTGTTTATCGTATAACACTTGGGCCCTCCCGTCGTTCTCGAGTTTAACTGCGTGCACCAATAACTTCCTTCCACCATTGTCGATATATACTTCAATGAGGCTGATAGGATATACCTGAAAGTGACAAGTCGTATCCCTTATTTCTCCTGGCTCTGGTATTTATTTGCAGTACCTAAGTGTCGTGCGGCGTGACTTATTCTGGCTGATTTTACAGGTTTAGCTCATCGGTGAAGGTTATCCCAGCTTTAGCCGCAATGATATCGGCGCGACGAGTGTGGGGTTGGGTTCAAAGCACGGAAATCTGAAAACTCGAGGAAAGTGTGAGGTTTATGCCGTGGTCCGAGCGAAGGCATCGGTGTTGAGCGCAGGCTTGTGCTGACAGCCGTGGATATGAGTGTGAGATAACCAACTACCATGGTCCGTACGGCCTAGTGAGCCTAGCACCACGCAACCCGAATAGAATGCCAACCTTTAAGGAGTAAGTTATTCCTTGAGCTTCTATCTCCTAAGCAGAGAATGGAAGCTAGGAGGCCCATTGCTCTAGAAATTTATAGACCCTCGAATATTTACCGCTTTCAGGTCCTCCAGGGTGGTCAAACGATTACTGGCAGTGGTAACTATATATATAGAGCCAAAGTCATGGATATATATATACTTGAGATAATTATCAATGATTATGACTACGTCCTTATGACTTAAAGTATAAATATAGGTTTCCAAATTCACCTCGTTTTACTTGTCCCAGTACTTACAATGCTAATTGTCCAGGCTTATTTGGTTGATATCGACGTCATTTATATGACCTAGTGAAAAGCGGAAGCTCTACGAATCCTTCGATAGGCACTCGAAAGCGGGTGCCTACGACTGTCGTGGGGATGTACCAGTTGAGCCTAGTCGTATCCGGCCTTGACCGTTCAGCATGGTCGGGAGACAACAAAAGAATCGTCTTAAGGGGAAAGACAAGTGTCGCGCCTACGATCTCCACGAGTGCCATGGTATATGCCTATTTGGGAACCAGCCTCGTGGGCTCCTTTACCTCGCCTCGGCCACTCCCTTATTGATAGTTATTCGCACTGCTTTTTAATCTATCTAACGCAACCCTGTATGATATGCTTTATATCCCCGGAAAATGATACAAACCCCCCATGTTTAGGATTATCCAAGCTTTCAGCTCGCTGTTTAGCAATGCCCGCATTCAGGTCTTCAACAAATTAGGAGAGTGTCCGCTCAAAGTACGAGTTTGTTAATGTCAAAAGTGAGTTCACTTTCCCTCCCCTTGCAATATACTCGCGCCCCGCCGAGGATTGATGCCGGGCCGATAATTCCGGGGAGGGAGCTGCTATCAGTATCACAATATGGTATTTATATGTATAAAAGGATCTATAATAATACCATTAGTAGCTATGTGATTCTCTGCCTCTCCTCTCACTATCTGCTCTATATACATTCCCACCGGCGGTCTTTCGATATATACGAGTTGGAACAGCCTCCTAAGCATGATCAGACTCCTGAACGTGATGACGGTGGCGTGTTTGCTGCCTCAAAATCTCAGACAGAAGCAACGACGACTGCCAACCCCATTCCTGAGGCGAAGGTCACTTTTAAGACCTGGATTGTCATCACTGTGGGCCTTCAGTTGCATTTTGGGTTCTGTCAGGGCACGCAGTCCACTTCTAACAGTTGTCTTTATTACTCGAGATATAGATCCTGCTATCGAGTATGGTGTCTCATTCTGGTTTGTTCCGACCATTAATGCAATAGCTATATTCATCGCGACCAAACTCGGCAACCCTTAGGCGTCAAACTAGTATGTCCTCTTATATCTCATCGCCATCTGTAACAGCTTCATGCTCTTCGGTGTAAACTCGGATCTATTCGGCCGATGAAACTTCATCACAGCGGGGAATGTTATTTGCTTTGTAAGTTTTACTCGAGGCTTTTAAAATCTGATCGTTCACACGATTAACAGCCGCTAGAACACTCCACCTTCGGACGCCGAACAGTCGTCGAAGCTTCGGTCTTCATTTTGGCGCCATGATGGCCGGGTCGGCTCGCAAGGCCAACGTCGTGACCATCGGCATGACATTCATCGGTTTCGGGCTGGGCAATGTCAGCTTGCTGTGTTTGCCGTGGTATGTTCTAGTTCTCACCCAGAACAAACAGAAATAGGTCGCTGATGAACAAATCAGCCCGAGCTTATGCCCAATAAATGGCGCCATATAGGTTTGTATGTTTGTCGCCGGCATGAAATGGGAGACTTATGGCGTACAGGTGTTGTAATTGCTGATTCTGCGGGCCACTTCACGGTGGTGGTAAGCAGAGGCTCTCGTGCTGACGTTAAAGTTTGCATACCGTGTAACAAACATGTGTTCACAGTTCTAGATCGGTTCTATTGCCGCTCGCTACGCGAGTCTACACGGTAATGCATGGTTCTGGCTTTTTTACTCGGGTGGGATTGCTCATGTGAGTTCTATATCTTCTGAAGGTGTCTTTAATGGATTGAATAACACTACTAAAGGCAATCTCTAGTATCGTGGTTGCACTTTGGTACTTCCCTCTCGCCCACCCTCGTGGTGTGCCATGAAGAGAAGCTCTTCGAGGAGCCGATTGGATAGGTGCGACTTTGTTCGTTATCGGGGGTCTAGTCACTCTCACAGGCGTGCTTCTAACCACCACCTACCCAAGTTCAGATATCTGTGTTGTGACCACGAAGAGCTACTATATTATAGTAAGAATAATATAGCAATAGAGATAGTAGAGAAAAGGATAACGTTATATATATATATATATATATATATACAGTCATTATATAGCCTTACTATATAGTCAACTTCATTCATAATTATATCTATACATTTTAGGACTGTGATCACTTCGCTTAAGACTAACACTTATAGCTACTGCGCTCTTAGGTTATACCCTACACCTCCCACTTGTCAGGAAACCATATGTGCAGTGACACCTCTGGTGGAGCGAATCGTAACAGGGAGGTGCGCAGCTCACTCATGGATTATATTCCTTATTATTCATGGTAATTGTGGCTCCTACCCCACCTTTAAACTATATATATCTCCGAGCAAGTGTGCGCCTACTCCTGTAGAGAGTCGGATTCATTCATAGAGATACCTTCTGAAAGAAATTGCGTTTACAAAACGCCATGATGCTCAGAACAAGAATAGTTTTGTCTTGGGTCTATGACCCCACTCTCCCCTGAGCTGTAGGTGCGCTACTTGATGCGGAAACGGAACAGTCATCCTTTTTCCCTCGTTTCTGGAAATTTCATATCCCCATGGAAATTTTGAAGTTTGTAGACCCTTGTGCGCCTTCTTTTGGGTTGTCAATGAAAACAAGTTCCGTCGTGTAAAATTACGACACGCGGCCACAACGGTCAACTAAGATCAAGACAGCCAGAATCTGTTGTGTTAAGCAACGTGAGACTCATCCTTCCACAGGCTTCTCGCAGCCCTTTGGCAGGAATTTTGTCATCACGGCGAAGATTATACCCAGAGGCAACAGAACCGCCCAGATGAGTTGTCCATTTAGTATGTGCCCTTTGATACCCACGGCAACCAGGCTGGAGAAAGTACCCGGAGATACAGCCCGAAGTCCACTAGTAACCATGAGCGCTAGGGCGTTGATTGTACTTAATGTTGTGGGAGAAGGCGAAATGTCGTTCAAAGCGAGCTGAACAGCCGTATAGGACATGGCGATGCCGCTCAAGAGGACAACAAAGATGGAGCCAACTGGCCAGAAAACCCTTTCGAGATGATGGCGGAGGAGTATGTTACCTATTGGAAATGAGATGAAATACACGGGCCAACAACCAGCCGAAGCCTGAATCACTCGAATCGTGCCGAATCGATGCTGAAGGTACGGGAATACGATAAGTTGCCACAATGCTTGAGCAAATCCCGCAATGCAAAAGTAGACGGATATTTGGTACGGCGAAAAACCGAACCCTCCCATCTTCACGGGAGTGAAGAAGTAGACTGGAAGAGTAGCCGAGCACGCGTTGCCCAGGAAGTAAGCGTAGTTGTACACACAGAGCACAACCAGAATCCCGGGATACCGGAGGAGACTCCACGTCGAGATTCTTGGCTGTTTTGTGTTGTATGATGATGGAGCCCCGAGAATGCCGTCGTCCTTTGGAAGCGTCTCTTGGATGAAGACTGCGCATGTTATCGAGGTTATAGCTGCAACACATCCACCAACAAGCGTAGGGAGAAGATAAGGGTATTCTTTGAATAAAGTAAAGTTTCCGAACAGCCTGGGATATTCCGTCGCCGGATTGGAAAGGACTCCTCCTATTGCCGGGCCAAGGAGAATACCAAGGTTTCCTGCGAAGGAGAAGAAGGCAAAGGCACGGGCTTGCGTCTTGGGTGTGCTATTCTCGGAGATCATTGTGCGCACTGTTATGAGCATCCCACCAAACATGCCAGACAGTGAGCGCAGCAGAATCATCTGCCACAGATTTTGAGACAACCCGAAGAGGGCCGTGAAGACTCCCAAGCCCATCAAAGAGACCACCAGCACAGGCTTTCGACCATAGCAGTCTGCAGCCTTTCCCCAAGGAATCATCAAGATCATTTGGGTGAGAGAGAACAAAGACTCCTGAACGAAGTCAGCTGAGATGTCTACAAGGTATGAAGTGACATTTGGCTCTTACTATGAGACCACTGTAGAATCCCACATCCTCGATGGGCACACCGGTCTCGTAGATCATTTGATTGATGAATGGGAAAATGACGAAGCATGCGACAGGCTCGACAAGCCGGCTTGCGGAGAGCAGGAAAATTTGCAGCTTAGGTAAGGGTCTGTCGAGCTCGGCCGGCCGCTTGTTTGTATCATTGTGGTCAGGAGGTGTGTTCAGGCCTGATCCGGCCTCGTCGTGCAAGAGACAGGTGTTCTCGTCCATCGACCGTGAAACAATACTGTCGCGATCTACAGCCATCGTGTATGCTTTGACGTGAAGGCAGTGAGGAATCGCAAAGTCGGTGTCGTAAATGTGCAACGAAAGGGAAAATGTTCGACCCAGCCGCTAGATTGAACTGGCGACGCTCACTTTGAGATCACATCTATGACCAACCGCAGGACCAAAGGCAGAGGCTCGTGTGGAACACACTCGATATGGACATTTCGGAGAGCAGTGACCGTGGAGACGCCAAGCAGCAGGAACTAATTCCGGCAGTATTATTTCCGCAAATCTGCCCTTGTAAGACTTTTAACGTATTATTGGTAGCGAACAATGGATGGAGGCTGAAGCGCAATTACAGAGCCCGTTTAGCTCGTGCAAAGGAGCCGATCCATCATCAGATAGAGCCATGACATGGCGAGCCTTGGCTCAAAAATATGCACCACAATCAGCCTCTGCAATTCCGGATCCGCTAGTCACAATTCAACAGTTATGAACAAGGAATAACTTCCTAAGACTTTAGTATAATGTCGGAGCCAGGGTATGGCTCAAGAAACCCTGTTCCTATCGACAATATCACAAGCACTACTCTAGCTCCTCTACGGCCATCGTGTTGAGCTTATTTCTATGTTCGAGCAGTGATCTTTCTCGTTTTAACGGCGCCGTGCGATGGCTTCACTGACCGGAAAGGTGTTTGCGGTGATCGGTGCTTCGCAAGGCATTGGCTTGGGCATTGCCGAGGTCCTTGCCTCTCGTGGAGCGGCCCTGCTTTTGGGATCTCGCAACGATGAGAAGCTCCGAAACGCGACAAAGAAGCTGCGGAGCCAATATCCTCAGGCGCAGATACAGGCTCACACATTGGACGCTTGCGATAGAGCTTCGGTTCGCACTTTTCTCCAGCAAGCGCACAAACACTTTGGCCACCTCGATGGCTGTGCAAATGTCGCCGGTGTCATGGGTGCCAACATGAATATTCAGAGTATTTGGGAGATGGAAACGGAAGAATATGATTACGTTATGCGCGGCAACGCGACGGCCATTTTCAATTGCCTGGCAGAGCAGCTCCGGCCAGGCGTTTTGCTAGAAAGCAACGATCCCAAAATCACCAGTAGCATCGTTAACATCTCAAGTATCACTGCTCTGACGGCATTCCCCCGAAGCGCTCCCTACAATGCAAGCAAAATTGCGGTGGTTGGACTGACGAAGACCGCTGCTCTTGAAGCTGGGCCGAGGAATATCAGGGTGAACTGTATTGCACCGTAGGTTTCCCCCTTGAATGTGAGAGCGTTTCACGATCTGGGCTTGAGTGGTTTCTGACTCAGCTCGTTTAGGGGTCTCACTAGAACACCCATGAATGAAGATTGGATGGCGACACGGGAGAAGAATCCAAAGTCGATCGAAACGCCCCTTAAACGAGTGGGATGCCCCGTTGACATGGGTAACGCTGCAGCCTTTTTGCTTAGTGACGACAGCAGCTTCGTCACCGGGACCACCTTGGTAGCTGATGCAGGGTGGACTGTATAGCGAGTCTCAGGATACCAGAGGACTAAAGAATGACTACATCTCCAAAGCCAAATAGAATACATGATGTGCTTCTTCCAGTTGACCGTAGCATCAAGTACATTTACGAGGTAGTCTGGCGCTCAAGCTCGCCATTTCTACAAGAATGTCCAACCGATAATTAGCCTAGTACAGACGCTGGTTCGACTCAAGCCGGGGAAATTGTCTTCCGGGGCTGGCGGGTGGAGTAGGTTTGCGGGGGAAGATTTAGGCCCCGACCATGCTGCCCATACTCTGAGCTAAAATGTGCTCCTAGTCCCTCCATTCCTTCTCCCTCGACCTGAACCGATAGAAAGCACTCAGGCCAAGCCCGATAACATTGCTCGTGATGGAAAAATCTCCTGTACCCCCGGAGCCGAACGAAGTGCCGAATGGTCGCTCACCTCTACAGAACGGTGCAAATCGGCGAACGGAAAATGAGGGCAATAGCGAGAAGCCGAAGTCGAGAAGGGGGAGATACAACTCGCGTGCATGGTAGGATAGGATTATTCAAGGGTGCAACATCCACTAAGCATGATCCGTTTAGCATTGCTTGCCAACGGCGGAAAGTCAAGGTAGGTGTAGAGCCCAGCGAAAGTAATGAATGCGTCTCACCAACTGACAGTGCATTGTCGATGGAACTAGTAGCTGCCAGCCTTGTCGAGATGGTGAAATGGAGTGCGTTTTCCGCACTGGTTCGCGGCGAAAGCCTCGAACTCACACGAAGGGCTTAGATTTGTGAGTATTTGGTGTTTGTCGTTCGACGACTGAATCCGCCAAGTATGAAAAGCGAGATGACGGGGCTGATTTGGAGATCGTTTCGCTTTTCAAGAATAACGGACTGCTCGGTCGACGCACAAAACGATTCGTCGAACCTTGGATTGACAGGACAGCACTTTGACCAGCCTTCAGAAGTCCATAATCGACCAGAAGAAGGAGATAGTGGTGCACAACTCATCGCAGGAGAGTATGTGTGGGAGTATGCATCATTTTCAGGGGAGCAGAACTCTCCGACAACTGCAGAGGGACAGTCTCAGACCGTCACTGACATTATGGAGCGTCTTTCGCGGCTGGAAGAGTCGGTATCTTGCAGGGAAGAGAGCGGAACATTTTGCCATCAAAACAGCTACAAAGATGATTGTGATAATGGCAAGCTTGTTCATGATCAGAGATCCAGCGACGTTGTTGGCTCACACAATAACAGTCCCGGGTTGTCAAGCTCGTTTTCAATACCAGGGTCTATGGACGTCGAAAAAGGAAGCAATTTACTCCCTTCCCAAAAAAGTCGACCAACGTTCAACGGAGGGGCCACAAGCTCCTATCATGTCATTGCAGTCCTGGATGATCATCTGCGTGAAACCAGAGTGCATGCAGATATAGAACCAGCAGCATTTTCCGCTTGCGCTTTCGCCAATAGTCATGATCTCCCCCCGTGTTGCATCGCTGAACTTCGCTGCTGGGTCCGGCGTACGCAGCGGAACGACAGAGAAACAGTGTACAAGACACTCAAGCGCTACTTCCTCTACCTAAATCCTCACTGTGAGTACCAGGATCAGTGGGATCCTAACTATGATGCTGCGGAGCGGCTGACATACTCGCATCCACAGATCCAGCCCTGAATGAATATCAGTTTTTCCAAAGTTTCGAGGAAGCATTTAGTCAGGATGGAACTATCCAGCTTAACTTCAAGGCTCTCCAATACTACGCCCTAGTCAATATGCTGCTTGCACTGATGAAGGTACTGGAAGATTACTGCACAGATTCATCCATTCATCCTGGTTGGCAAGAATTTAGCCGAGCAACCCACCTTCTACAGCATATCACCTGGCTGGGCCAAGGGGATCTCATGACCCTGAAAATATTGCTTGTCGATACCTTGTATCTGCTGTATATTGGGGAAAACAATGCTGCATATGATGCCCTGTCACGAACAGTGCGTCTACTTTTCCAGAATGGCCTCCACGGCGAGGCGGGCTGGCAGAACTGCACACCCTTTGAGACACATATGAGACAACGGATCTTTTGGTCAATTTATTGTCTGGATAAAACCGTTTCTCAATCATGTGGATTACCATATCTACTTCGGGATTCCGAATGTCGAATTCGGCTCCCGGCAGCTGTTGATGATAAGGACATAGGGCATAATGGTGAGATACCCAAAGAGAAGCCCCAGAAATCGGCAATACCGTATCAACATGGCATCGTCCAATGGGGCAAGTTAAGTTCAGAAATCTGGAACGTCCTATATAGCATGGATGCGGCATCTTCAATAAGCCCGGAGTTTATTGTCACCATGGACGCCAGGATTGAGCTGCTGAAACAGGAACTGCCATCCTATTTACAGTGGCAATCCGAAAATATACCCTCAACTGGAATCGGGCTCACGGAGCCTTATATCCATCGACAGGCAGCAATTCTACGTCTGGTAGGATGCCCAGAATGTTATGCGTTTGTTGGGAATACTGCTAATCTACGTCCGTTTTCCAGAGAATCAATCACTTGAGACTTTTGCTTCGACGACAAGAGTTGCTAACATTCGACTTTCGCTTGAGAACGGCGAAAATATGTTTGAGTATTGCCACCGATACAGTCAACATGATTCATACTACCCACAACTCGCCAATGCATCAAGAATTCGAACGATACTCTGATGTTGTCTATATTACCGGTGCTATTGTCCCCTTGGCAAGCATAGTCATTTGCAAGACTATCCCGTCGGGCAATCTTAAGCAATCTGCAAAGCACGCCTTCGAGAAAGCCATCGCAATTCTCCGGGACATTGCTCCGGGGCTTACCCTGGCGCGCAACAACCTCAAGAAGTTGGGTCGTATTATCAGTGCTGTTGAGAGAACATCACAACACGTTGTCTCTAACAACTTGGCAGGAATAGACGCAGACTTTCGGCTTCACACCGGCGAGAATAATGAGCTACAACAAGCGACAAATAACAACATCTCTTCAGCTGATCTACCAGAACTACCTCGAGATCAATTACCAATGGCCATGGATCAGTTTGGGAATGACATTGCCGGCGAGGAAGTGAATTTTGGTTTCCCTTTCTTGTCGGAACCGACGCCTCTCTCATTGCGGGATTTGATGGGCGACACCGACCTCGTCAACGTTATGAGCTGGAATCAAGTATAACGCTCTAAGGTGTCAAATATTGTTCTTGCAAGTGGAATAGCTAATATTATGGCATTGTAAAGATCAACAATTGGCTAAGCACAGCGGCCATCATACGACCTGGTCCGTGCACAGAAATGGGCTAGGTCAGATGTCGTGCAACGCTCACACAATGGGAGTTAAATGGGATGTATTGACGAGTCTGACCTCGATGACTAGGAGGGCGAGGACTATGATATATATAGGCAAAAGGAGCGACTATTCTCTGTCCGAATGAGGCCTCTTTCGTTGCCGCATCACAGGCCGCAAGGTGGCCTTTCCTGACGCATCTTGAGTAGTTGCAGCAAGCGCTCCGATGGTTGGCAATGAAATGGCCTACATATTGCTGTCAACATGATATAGTTCAATGAGTGAAGTGATAGTTGTGAAATGAGTGGGTTGAGTGTTGCGAAACGCGCAATAATGAGCGTTCTAGGCGGCGGAGTTCCTCCGGAGGCGTTCGGCGCGAGTATGGAGGTTGTAATGACACCGTCACAACTCAGCCTGTTCAACATCAGATGACTGATGCTTCCTCTCTGCAGGCTACGATTGAGACATGAGAACTCAAGACGAAACGACGGTGTTTCTAACCTCAAGTAGATTCCATGGCTACCAGAGGAAACAAAAAGTGAAACTCGAATGCAGTAGATATGTGAAGCCCCATTAGTGTTAAGCCTGCATGAGGCCTCTGTCAGAACCATATCCGTAGCCATACCGTTTCGAATTCCGGCGTTCGCATACATGTAGGACAATTCCGGTCGGATACTTCCAGCACCCAACGAACCAATGGCCATAACACTGCTCTTCTGCATAGGCGGGTCGATAAAGTTCTTCTGGGGTGCACAGTTCGGGCGGAGCCAATTCTCGGGTGTAGTTATGAGAGATATTTCCAGTTAACATTACTGTTAGGGATCGAGCGAAGGTAACATTGGTGAGGGCTGTTGCCAGACAAGCTAGTTTAAAATAACATACGGCGGATTGCCTGCTGACAACTCTGCACCATTCCCACCCCTTCCTTTCTACCATAAACGTCGATCGAATACCACCAACGATGCGTAGTCTCGCAAACCTGGTGGCTCTGGGCACAGCAGCTCAAAATGTCATCACTAATGTGCTTCCCAACAACACCGGGCACCTCTTCGAACCTTCTGCTGGCCCAGTAGAAATGAAATTTGAGGGCCCTTTGTTGCCTGATACCTACAACCGACCACTTTTCAACGACTATGGTTTTGTTCTAAGAGGAAATACTACTGAAGGCGAAGATTGGAGCATGTGGCTTTTCATGTATCGCCAAATTGGCAACTCTGAATTTATAATGCCAGAGGATATCTTTCAGCTCAGTCTCATCCATGGATCCTTCAGCGAACAAGACAAACAAGTCATGCATGACAATGATTTTTCTACTAAAGGCCAGTCTGTGGAAGACTATAGACCTACGGGAACAATCAAGACAGAGTACTACAATGACTATGTTTCGTGGTCATATGAGGGCTTCAAGATGGAAAGATATCACGACCATTGGGAAGCTCACGGCACTTACAACAACATCACTGTTAATGTTGCCATGTATCAACGGGGCGACATGGTGTATCATGCTGGAAAGTTTGACGCCCTTGAGGACTGCGATGCTTCCACACCTCACAAGAATTTTGACTGCTTTGGTGCCGCAGGGGGGATCGTTCATCTCCACAACGTGACCGGATCTATAGTCACTCAAGAAGGGAAAACAATGGAGCTGGATGTTGCTTATGGTGTCCACGAACGCATAATGAATGCCGGGGTTGTTCCTCCTCGGGTCGAAGAAGGGGCTGGAAGAGGTGCAAGCTGGTTTCACTCTTGGGGAAAGAATGTGTCTTGGTGGTCATTCTACGAGGATGCCGGTCCTTACGCAGTTGGCCTGACCAACGTTGACAACTGTACTTATTATACCAGTGGACTGCCCAACGTGACGATTGAGGAGCAGGCGTCTTGGATTGACCCAAGATCCCACTTTCTTGTGCCGTCCAAATGGCGTACGTGGCAACGCTACGATGACGGCTTTCTCGAGTCCTACGGCACCGGCTATGCACGCCTGTACTATTACTGGCTACGCAACCATGGACTCATCACCGTCTACCAATATTTGGGAGATAGTATCACCACCTTCACACGCAAGGACGGCTCGGTGGTCACTGAGAATACAATGGCCTTCTTGGAGTTCATGCGCGATACCATCTCTTAGTTGGACCGCATGGACCGCGCTGACGGATGTCTGGGTTACCTTTCCTGTGACGACTTGAGAAGGCGAAGAGGTACAAGGAAAAACCTAACCTTCCCCTTGGTTCTGTAGAGTAATCGTGATCTGGTCAAAGTAATAGTCCGGAACCATTGTCCTGTACTATTAAAGTTACCCATTTGGATAAGAAGCTTTCTGGAAGTTGCTGCTGGTGCGCATTCTGTTGCAGAGACGAGTTTGGGACATGGGGCCTCCCTGAGACGTAAGCAGCATGATTCCGGGGCAACGGAGAAAAGCATAATGCGGTCAAAAAAAGGTATCTGCGGAGATTCACAGGCTTGCGGGAGCAGTAGGCTGTCAATTTCCACGGCGCTACCCCAGAGTTGCAAAACCCCAGTCTGACGGATACAACTTCGGAGTGGACTTGATTGCCCGAATTCGGAAGTATTATTGATCTCTGAGGGACTATCTTCAATTCAAAGCCCAGCAATTTGGAGATGACCCAAGTCAGAGGCTCGCATTCAGAATTGCTGTGCTTGTGAGTGAGCAACCTTACCAAAGTGTCTTCGAGATACTGACCGATCGTGTGGACACCAACCTATTGTCATCTGCCGCCCATCAGATCAATAATGTCGCACAGTTTAATGACCGACGCTGACCATATCCGAAATTGTATTGCATCTTATGCCAAGTGCCTCGACTTCAAGGACTTTGACGGTCTGGCTCGAGTCTTCACCCCCGATGCAGTCAGCGTTTATCCACCACCACTCCAAACTTATCGGGGGGTGGGCGAGCTACAAGAGGGAATGGAAAGGCTACTAAGGAGTTTCAAATCTCAACATAACATAACAACTCAAACGATTGAGATTACAAGCCCCAATACAGCCTATGCCGAAAGTTACGTGTGGGCTGGGCACTGGCGACAAGACATAAAGGAGGACAATTATGTGTACATGATGGGGTGCTATCAAGACAAATTGCTCAAAACAAATTCAGTGGACGGGAAAAGTTGGAAAATTCAAGGCCGTAATGTCATTCCTTTGGGGGTGCCCCTTGGAAATGTAGGACTTTTGGGACTATAGCCCATGGGAAGACACACCTCTACACGCGATTTGGAGCTGAGATTTACGCGACAGAATATTAGTAATCCACTTGCCCAACTAAATGTCTTTTCAACCATTAACCAACTGGATTAGAGGTACTGGTCTCTTCCAACAGTTTAGACTGGAGTGCACTGTGATAACTTGAAGCTAGCCATAACTCGATGATTTGTCAGAGTCTGGAAATAGTGAGTCAACCCCCCTGAATTGGTTGCCTCGGAAATGGACAGTGGAATTCTCACTCACTCATAACCTCATTGAATCTTCCCACCGAAAGGAAATCTGCAATATCATTACGCAGCAAAGGATGCTGAAACGCAAAATGAAGCTTTTCATGTAAGTGCCTCGGTGATATTAGCGTTTTGAAGTATGACTAACTCATCTGTGAACATCCATAGTACAGGGGCGACTGGCTACATTGGGGGAGACAGTCTTTACCTCATCTCCCAGACTCATCCAGAATGGGAGTTGACTTTACTTGTTCGAGATGAAGCCAAAGCGACAAAGATGCGCAACCAGTATTCCCAAGCACGCATAGTTATCGGAGACTTGGAGAACTCGGAACTTCTAATGGAGGAGTCACGGAAAGCAGACATAGTCTACCGTAAGTTCCACCTCCAGGGGAGAGATGCACACTTCCAACGAGGAAAAGCTAGCCTAACCGGGATCCTACGCAGACTTCGCTCATTGCGACCATGAGCCCTCAGCACACGCCATTGCTTGTGGTTTGGCTCAACACTCACCAGACTCTCCAGGCTGGTGGATCCATACGTCCGGAACAGGCACAATATGCTACCCAACCTTTCGCGCCAAAGACTTCGGACTAAAACGAGAAGAGGTCTTCAACGACTGGGACGATATCGGCACATTGACCAATGCACCGGATGATGCTCCCCACTGGCCGACTGAGAAGATTGTCCTCAAGGCTGGGACGGAGCACGGAGGCAGAGTTAAAACCGCTATCGTCTGCCCGCCATGCATATTCGGCCCAGGCCGAGGACCGGTGAATACGCGTAGCATCCAAGCGTACGAGCTTGCCCGAGAGATCTTGATCGCAAAGGAAGGTGTACAACTCGGACCTGCTACCAACATCTGGACTGAAGTTCATGTTCAGGATCTGAGCATGGTGTACCTTTTGCTTGGCGAGGCCGCTGCACAGGGTGGTGGGAGCGCGACGTGGGGCAAGGAGGGATTTTATTTTGCTGAAAATGGAGAATTTGATTTCCAAGCTTTGTCCAAGGCTGTTACTGAAGCTGCATATGACAAGGGATTGATTTCATCCCCAAAGATTCGCATCATGTCTGTGGAAGAATCAGAAAGATCTGGGATCATGCAACGTTGGGGCGGCATGCTCTATCTCATTGGCACCAACGCAAGGTGCCGAGCGATACGTGCTAGGAAATTGCTTGGATGGGCGCCAAAACAACGGAAGCTTCTTGCTGAAGCACCTTGCATCGTCGAAGCCGAGGCCAAGGCCCTCGGGGTGGTACCAGGGGGGCGAGTTGCACAGTGAAAGATAGCCCCAGAGATTGAATCTATCAACAGCAGATAACGTGTGACAATGACCATCTATGTTCCTGGATCTGAACAAGTGCCAGAGAGTTCGATAACTATTCCGATTCCGATTCATGTAGCCTTGCTCCGGAGCCCTTGGCTAACATGGAGCGTAGATGACCAGGCACAAGTATTTGCCGATTCTTCCAGGGACCTTCTATCAGAGGTCGGTAGAATCGTCTCCGTCCAGAGTCATGGAGACAGGTCCATCGGAGGGCGCAGTGAGCGTCATGTTTCGGACGAAACTGGAATCGCAGAAGGAATCCCACGAAAGTGGCTGCATGAAAGAGAAATCAACACCACTTTCATGGTTCGAGAAAAAGAACGGGCTGCCCTCTGGAATGTCGGTGGTGGTAATCCCGATATTTGATACACCTATAGAACTCAAACTCGTGCCCAAATCATTATCGACTGCGGAAAGGGTCCGCCCGAGCATTCGAGGTGGCGACGCTGGCGGGTCAGTTAACATTTCGTTGGACAACGTGGCGCCATTCTCAGCATGTGCACTGGGGCCAGAGCCCTGTAGGCTCTGCGTTTTGAGCGAAGTCTGGTCTGTCACTCTCTCCCTTTTAGCTTGTGGCTGCTCTTGATACCCGGAATTGCTGCTGCTGCGCTTTTGTCGGCACCGAGCATATAGGGACGAGGGGTGGAAGTCATCTTCTTCTTCATCAAGCAACAGATCCCAGTCATTGTCATCAATCATTGCCTGAAGCACGGCGGCAATTCCCTTTGCGTTAGCCTGGATGCTGTCCATCATGTGTAGTGTACCGATCAGTGAGTAGAGATGTTTCAATGGCTTGATTCTTTCTTTCGCATCGCTCATGCACAATAGAGACGCCACCAAGGCTGCAGCTGCAATGCTTGCGTGTTCGATCCCAGTTACAAAGGTTGGAAGTTCCTTCGAGCGACTGTGAGACTTGTTTAAGATCCTTGAGACTGACATTGCGTGGTCAAGGCATTTGCTCCGACAGTGCACCACACAGTGGCCTTTGAGAGAAGTTTCTAGACTGCTGGAGCTGCCACTCCTGGTGCCTCCGAGGTAAGAGTCGAACGTAGCAAATGGTTTGTGCAACAAAATAAGTATAGTGTGATATTGCTGACTTGTTCCAGTTGTCAGTCTCTGGATTCAATTTCAATAGAGAAGGTACGATGACTTACTGGAGGTGAAACAAGCTCGTCGGAGCTGATGCCCAGTTGCTGGGTTGCCACTTGAGAGCTTCTGGGAGCTTGGAATGCCAGATCTCTAGCTCCTGATCCAGAGACATTAATGTCGCGAAATCTGTGGTCACATCATCCTTTCCACGGGGCATTATCTTCCCTCCTATCGAGAGCAGTGACACCAAATGACCGTATATTTGACATTCTAAACTGCTTAGAGAGCTGATGTTAAGCTCAAAAGGCGATCGTACAGACTTGGATATTTCGTCGAGATCAATTGATGGTGGTCTGCCGGAATAAAGGCTCCAGATGCTAAATGAATGCTACGTTAGGTGGATTAATCACAAGGTGGGAGTAGAGGAAGCCTCACCGGTCACTGATCACACAAGCCCACAGGACAATTCGTCGGGTCTGCAAGTCTCTTTCGGATACTTCGAGGCCAGTAACGTCCAAGTGCAGACCGAAGTCAAACGTGAGTCGATGGGCCAAGCCTGCATTGGTCAGTCAGGAGCACAAAGACTTAGAAAGTAGATTCCGACTTACTGCTGTACAGCCAACCTGCATTTTCACGTCCAGCCATGCATTCAAGCCGGCCTAAGAGGAGCAGAGCTTGAATACTACGCATCCCCTGAGGCCGGTCGACCTCAACCACGGCCAAGCGACGCAGCTCACGTTCAAGGACATTCTCGGACAAGTTTGGCATTAAGAGACTCTTAAGCTCGGGTCGCCCCTTGTCTGAATAGCCAAAACCCGTGGCTAAGATACAAAGATGAAGAAACGGAGAGTAGTTGGCGTGTTGATTGCTTGTGCGGTCTTTCATAAAAGCTTCCTTATCAACCACCGGGAGTATATTATTGCTCTGAGTCCAGTAGAGATTCATAAGGTACTCCTGAGAATCAGGAGGTACCAAGCGGATCGCATTGATACATTCGTTGTCGAACGAGGCTAGAGTGGTTTTGTGAATCATGTTGGCATAGAGATGGACAGCGTTGCTGTTTGGTCTAAAGTAGCGCCGCTGGCCATTGGAGCCCTCACGGCTCCAATGACCACGGGTTATCACGACACTGTCCACAAGTTCTCGACTAGAAGGTGTCTGTGGAGGTTTTGACGATACCGAGGATACGGGCGGGCTACCCGAGTTCGCAGTAGCTGGCATGGCTCTGTATGATTTTTCCTGAGACTGATGCCTGCACCGTTGTTGCTGCTCTGACATTCTAGTGAGTGGCGCTCGTTCATTTTGGTCATCTTTGCTGGGGAGTTTCTGCGGCATCAGTTTTCCTTCCAGCAGCGCGAGTCGCTGCTTAAGGGCGGAAACCTCCACCTTCGATATCTGGCTACGCATCATCGAACGGGGTCAGCCATAAGGGCTATCTCGAGTCCAATATCAGAGGACCTACCGTTTACGCCCATCGTTGTCGTCGATAACGCACGCTATGTCGTTCTGCCGACAGTACTGGCATCGAGATTCGCCCTCGGTTTTTAAACACTGTGTGGTACAACGCGAATGTGTTAGCAAGGATTTAGAACCCGAGTCACACGGAGAATACTTGACGAACTCTACTTCTGCGTAATCGGCATGTGGAACATGCAATCGTCGCTCGACTGCGCTGGCGCCCAAGGTCACTCTGACTCCGAGGGCTCATGCTGCTGAGATATAGGGACTTGACTTCGAATGGGAATCAATGGATGGTCGCTCCGCACAGAACAACTACGGGTGTGTGAGATTGGCAAGGATACGGAAAGTTTTGTTGTATTGTCCGCAACAATTAGGACCCTCGCGAAGCTGTGGTGCGAAATTCTCGTTAGGGTCTGAGGTGGAAGAGGAGAAAGAAGTTCAGCTTTCTGTCGCGCGGGGTTAGACAAAGCTGGGGACTAGCCAAGCCGTGGGGATGCGGGTAAGCACGGAGAGGGGTGCGTGTGGAACCTCAGGTTCTTGTGGCGCCACCACAATGAACGAAGTCGCAGCCACATTGGTGGGTCAGGAGAGGTAAAGACTAGATGATTGATAGACACGGCCGGAATCCCGGAAATAGCATATGACATTTCACTTTGTGATTCGTCGTGTTGGCTGCATAATACTGAGTGCCAAACTACTCGGGGAGTTGAATTCCCTCAAACCGTCCAACCTCCGTCGATGCTGTAAGTTGCCCCCGTGATAAAAGTACTATCATCAGAAAGCAAGAAAGCTACTAGTCTCCCGACCTCTTCAGCCTGTGCAGGTCTCGCGATTGGAGTGGAGATTTTGAAGCTGCAGTCGGGTTGTTCCATGAATTTCCGCAGCATGGGTGTTTCGACGGTGCCCCTGAATATTATGTAGTTAGTTTTCGTTGTCTGAACAACCGCCCATACCCGGAAACGGAAGCGACGTAGTACTCACGGAGCTACTCCATTGACGCGAATGTCTCTGGGTCCAGCCTCGAGCGCGGCTGTCTTGGTGAGGCCAACGACAGCGTGCTTACTCGCGACGTAAGGGCTGGCGCAATCGAGGGCCTTGAAGCTGTTGACGCTGGCCATGTTGACGATACTGCTTCCTTCTGGTAGGACCCCAGGCCTCAATTGCTCTGCTAGACAATTGAAAACTCCTCGCGCATTGACAGCCATAACGAATTCATATTCATCCGTATCTAGCTCCCACGTCTTCGAGACACCCATGCCTTTCCCTGTCACGCCCGCGATGTTGGCAGCGCCATGGAGACGTCCAAACTCTGCCTTGGCCTTTTTCATGAACTCTCGTACGTCAGTCCGATTCCGAACGTCCAGAGAGGATGTTTTGATGGAAGCCGCAGCTGTCGCTGTATGAATGATACTGGGGAGGGAAGCCTCGAGAGCGGCGGCGTTAACGTCTCCAACGTATAATGAAGCCCCTCTGGACGCCAGGACTCGTGCTGTGGCCAGCCCGATACCCGAGCCACCTCCAGTAAGGACGAAGGCCTTGCCTGCCAACGAAACCATCGTCGATAGCACTGTCTGTTACTTCTATCCGCCTTGACTTTCAGTAAGGTACCTTGAAGATTCCAAGACTGTGAGACTACAATCAGCACGTTAAAGTCAAGATAGGGATGTGCTGGTCCGAAATTAAACACGCTCATATTCCGTTCCGCCCAATTCCCGGGGAGGACGTGAGATTCCGGTGTGCACCCATATACGGTAGCTGGTTGCGAGTAATGTGTCTGCACATGCCTTCAAAATTGTCTTCGCAAGGAGGGAACAAGGTTTGACTCGGGTTCGCAACTTCTCATCTTCAGTTTCACCTTAAGCAACCGGACGCTCAAGCGTACTAAGAACGAAGTCCCCTCAGCTATATATGCTCTCTTTCAGACCCTTAAACATATTCTTCACATCCTCGGCAATGAACTCGGGGTTCTCCCATGCTGCAAAGTGGCCTCCATATTCAGCTTCACTTTCATAGATTACATCTCCCAGAGTTTGTGTCCATAGACTAGGAGCATCGACAATCTCTCCGGGCATATGAGCAACCCCATATTTAACTTCTGGAACCCAGCCAGAGAAATAGCCCTCAGATAGAGAAGGATCTCGAGCAGAGTTAAACTCAAAATATATCCTTAAACTGGCACCTGGACCTGCCGTAGAAAACCAGTAAATAGACACCCAGGTCAAAATCTCGTCGTCTGTCCAAGGGTAATTGTCGGACCAGTCGTGAAGCTTCTCCCAGATCCAGGCAGTCAAAGCAACAGGGCTATCGGCCAGAGCATATGCAAGAGTTTGCGGCTTCGTTGACTGTAACACGCTATACCCTGTTCCTGTCTCCAGAAATTGTTGATGGCGGGATATACGATTTTTATCGGCTCTGGATAGAGGGGTGGTTAAAGTTTTGATATACTTCCACGGGTTCGAGAGAAGTGTTGGTGGTTTAGCCGGTACCATGTTAATATGTGAGGCTCGACAAGATTCAGGGTATAGCATTCCAATGGCCCGAGATATAGTGAAGCCCCAGTCTCCACCTTGAGTCACTTGAGACTCCGAATTAGTAAAACTGAGTCAAACAAGTAAGATCGGAGGCTAACCATATGAATGATAACCGAGATTCTTCATCAACTTATGACAGATCTCTGCATATTGTTTAATTCCAAATCCTGGAGTGCTAACTGCTTGGGAGAATCCAAAGTTGGGCAGTGAAGGAGATACAACATGAAATTTGGGTCCGGGTCGACTTGAGTCAGTTAGAAGTGGACACATCTTGGAACTCTCCGAAAAATGACCGGGCCCTGATGCATAGTTTCAGCAATACTTCGGTAAACGGAGCTTATGTAACTCACATCCATGAATAAACAGAAGAGGTATTGCTCGTTCAGACTGACACCTCCAGTGAGTAAAGTGTATGTCCAGAGTTCCATGGCCTCCATCTACGGTGATAGGAGCGTGGAAGTGCGGCTGGAGGTTTAGTTTTTGCTCCTGGATTCTCCAGTCGAAAACATTTTTCCAGTACTCAATCAGTCGGCGTATGTCACTCAGAGGCACTCCATAATTCCACCCTGAGCCCTCTAGTTCATCCGGAAGTTTTGTCCTTGCCAACCTGGACTTTAAATCATTGAGTTGGTCCTCTGGTATCGCTACCCTGTAGCGCTCCGGACGGTTGCTAGAAGTGTTACTGCTACCAGGGACAGAGGCCATCAGTGCTGTGTTCACAATCGCAAGCATACATGAGTTTTCTGGCACTCAAAACTGACGCGAGGGTGGGACTGTTGGCTACCTGCTCAAGTGGGGCGAAGTCGTCCCCTAATTTTACATAGTTGGCTCTACAGGAGGGTTAGCTTAGGCCGGGTTTAGAGAGCCTCTCGACAGCCTCTGTCAACCCTTTGTGCCAGCTAAGGCGGGTGAACTCTGGGTTGTCAATTTCTCCATTATTAGCGTTTAGCACCATATTTCGACCGATCACGCGGCAGTCGAAACTGGTTATTGATCTTCCTTCGGAAGTTTCTGCTTATCAGCTATGGTATAGACACCTTATGGCCTAATAACTACCACTGCTGTAGGCACAAATCAGAGGCAATGTGTATCTGTCGAGCAAAATGGAGCGGCGTATAATATTGTACATCACGGTCAGGAATTCCTTAAACCGTATTATTACCGAGAGAACCTCTTGTCAATTTATGGCGTTTCATTTTCGCGTTATCAGAATGCGAGACCTGCAACAACTTACTCATGTAGCCTCCTTTAGCTCTAAATCAGCACGAAGCAGCTTCCGTAATGAAAGTTATTGGACGAAGAGTTTGAATCACAATGACTAGAACGAGCAGAACTTCGACGCAAATTCGCACTTGCGGAAGACTAGATCAGCAGGGGATTTGACAAGGAAGCGACAGACATCAGGCACAGTGAAGACCAGACCACCAGATATCAGCTGATCTAGACCAGGCTCTCAGGATGAAGAAGAGTATCGGCTCTTCATTTCCATAGGAGCCCAGACCGGTTCTTCGTCGGAAATCCCGCCTATAGTAACGTGCTAGGGGATTTCAGCCGGAATTCTCAAATTTTGACAATGTCTCATAGGATATCAAAAGAGAGAGAGATCCTTTCGTCGAAATTGTCCCATGTAGTAGTATTCTACGCAATCGTAACCTATAGAAATTCTTGTCCAACATGACCAGCGTTCCACCAAACATGTCTACACCAGAGCCAACTGTAAATGGTAAGCCAAACTTTCTTTTCCGAAGGAATGTAAAATTTCTGATATACACACAGGCGTGCATGACTCCGCGAGCAATGGTCGCCCCAGCTTTAACAAGCTCGATACCGATATAATTATCGTGGGGGGAGGCTTTGGAGGGATTTATGGAATGTACAAGTTCCGTAAACTCGGTATGAAGGTCAATTTGATCGAGGCTGGTGCCGCATTCGGAGGAACGTGGTTCTGGAACCGATATCCTGGAGCTCGCGTTGACAGCGAGACTCCATATTATTGTCTTTCCATCCCTGAAGTGTACAGGGATTGGAACTTTTCGGAGCGTTTCCCAGACCACGTAGAACTTCGCGAGTACTTCAAGCACGCTGACAAGGCACTGGACCTGAGCAAAGATACCTATTTCAACACCATTATAGTTGGAGCCACTTACGATAGTGATTCAGGGAAATGGAAAATCAGGTCAGCTGACGGAGAGACAGCTACTTGCACATACCTTGTGATGGCTACGGGTTCGTCCTACAAGACGCATTCCCCAGATTTCAAGAACATGCCTCAGTACAAGGGCCTCATCGTGCATTCCGCCAGATACCCTAGCAACCTCGATGTTACCGGAAAGAGAATTTGTGTTATCGGGAGTGGAGCGACTGGCTTGCAGATTGTGCAGACTCTTGCGCGCGAGGACTGCGAAGTCACAGCTTGCATTCGAACTCCGAACCTCTCACTTCCAATTCGACAAAGAGCTCTCACTATTGAGGAGCAAGAGATGAACAAGAACTTTTACCAATCGTGGCTTCATGCGGCAAAGGGCTCTAAGTCGGGATTCCCCTACGATCCTGCTCCAAAAGGGTACTTTGAATCCACTCCCGAAGAACGACAAGACTGGTGGGAGTTGTTATGGAAACGCGGAGGTTTCAGTTTCATGGGAGGCAACTACATGGAGATGATATTTAATAAAGATGCGAACCGAGAGATTTATAAGTTCTGGGTCGAAAAGACACGGCAGCGCGTCAAGAACGTCGAGAAGAGAGATATTGTGGCGCCACTGGAGCAACCTCACTGGTTCGGCACCAAACGACCCAGTCTTGAAAGAGATTACTACGAGATGATCGACAGAGATAATGTGAAGCTCGTCAGTCTGAAAAGAAATCCCATCGATCACTTCACCGAGACAGGGATCCGTTTCGGCGGAGAGGCCAGCTTCGACGCCGACTTCGATGTTGTCATTCTCGCGACAGGCTATGACGCTATCACCGGGTCCCTTCTCGACGCCGGGATCGTGGGAAAAGATGGTATCTCCTTGAACGAACGATGGAAAAAGGGAATTTCAACTCATCTCGGACTCACAATACCTGAAAATCCAAATTTGTTTATGGTTTACTCACCACAAGCGCCGACTGCGCTGGCGAACGGCCCGCCTCTTATAGAAATCCAGGTGGACTGGATTGCGGCTGCCCTTGAGGCGATGCAAGAGCAGCACATTAAATCGATTACTCCGGATCCAGCAGCAGCCCAAAAGTGGCGAGAACGAATCCAAGAGGTGTGCAATTTGACCCTCTATCCCGAAACAGATAGTTGGTGGAATGGAGGGAATGTCCCTGGCAAGCTCAAGGAACCCATGTTGTACATGGAGGGCGTCGATACCTACAACTCTGTCATAACAGCCGCATTGAAAAACTGGGAGGGATTTCAAGTAGTCAAGGCCTAGGATCGGCAGGCTGCGCTACAGAGAGCGAGGGCTAATGATTTATTGACTCCATCAATGTCAGGACCTTCACTGTGAATAGCCCTATAGTGATATAGTGAAATAGTTGATGCAACGTAGTCTATTTTGACAATCCTCTGTAACAACGACTTCTTCGCTTCAAGCGAAGAAGTCGTCCCTATGTAGTTCGGGAGGGCAATACTTGTTGTAAGCTTGCCTCTGTTCGGAAGTGTACTTCCAGCTATGCTAGATGGTACGCTTCCTTACTTCGTCCTTTGCTCACTGAGTCGCTTGATCTGACCGTTCCCAGCGAGATCTAGGCGTCTCGTGACAAACACCTTCGGAATATCTCCTGTGGTTGTCAGTATTATATAGGAATATGTGAGAATTATGACGCTTTGTACACGCATCTGAAACCACAAGTTGAGATCATTAATCAAATCTAAAGTTTTGAAACAGAGATAGCACTCACCGGTCTTCTACGTGCGGCCACGTGCCTATCGTCTCATTTATTTGTTAACTTATAGGAACGCGGCTTTATCGATCAGCCCATCAGGTGAATTTCAATACTAGCAATTAGGGCTGTACATGAAACTCACAAGTCAGGCATACAGATTTGATGCTCACACAGGAAGCCTTGTAGCGCTCCCATTTCTGGCATTTGAAAAGGTTGCACAGTGTTTTGTAGTCCGCAATGGTAGTCCTCAAGAAGGAAGCTAGGAGCAGCTGAGCAATCGACTTTATAAGGTGCATTTAGGGTATCCAACAAATGCAGGCACTTTGTGGCATGAACGGACTAAACGAAACAAAGAGCCTAAAGGTTGACTGCAAAGTGAGTCAACGCATGTAAAGGACACTTCAAATTCATCTGTCCTAGCATGCGACAACAAGAGGGGGAACATAGCCCCAACTATGTTATATGTGTTTGCCTTCACAGGTGTTCCCAACGGAGCGTACCATAACCGAACTCACTTCTGACAATGAGCTGGCAAGTAATGCCAGCAACGTTCGCGACGTATTTTAGGCTATCGGGGTCGTAGCCGTTGCCGGTATTTCCTCCTCGTGATGAATTCGGACTTCTTTTTCGTCATGAATCCGTGCCTCGGCCGCGTTATGCGCGATTGTTCTTGGGACGTGATCGGTCAAAAGGTAATCAAGATCCCGCAAGGTCAAGGTCACCAGGAATGTTGCAGCTCCAAATGCCACAGCGGCGTAGTAAGCCACTTTGTAAGCATCAGCGTAGGCCCAACGTGAAGCATAAGCGAGCTCCCCAATGACTGAAGCATCAACTCCTGGGATCTTGAGCAAGGATGAGATTTGACCTTCTGAGAGCTCTTGAATGATGAGAGGAATTTCGGAGGCGCTGATATTATGCGAGGCGGCAACAGCACCGATGTGTATGGCTAGCTGTTCAGGGACCTTGTCTATATTATGTGGAATCAGTATGACCATCTTACCAGACTCTTGAAGTGTGCGATGCTTACTGTGAATAATAGACAGGAACACAGCACTACCAATCGCCCCAAAGGCACTTCTCAGGCCACCAAACAAGCCTGATTAGTGAAAAAAGTCAGAATCAACACTTCACAAGTAGAGCAAGCTCCACCCGGAAGACTACTTACTGAATGCCATTCCCAGATCCTCATCCTCCACGAAGAGTTGTGAGAGTGCTGCCGGGGCTTGTTCGAACGGACCTGTTACAACTCCAGCTAGACCGGACATGGCAATCCCGAGAGCGACATCATTGGGAGTGCATAGAGAGGCGATACCCAAGAAGAGAGTGAGGAGGCCCGCATAAACAACCAGCTGCCATTTTGCATACTTGAAGATGCCGATGAGCGGTGAAACAAAACAGTCCCCAACCCATATGCCGATTCCTAAGCTCGTGGTGCGCCAGGCATTGTTTGACCAGTCAGTGGATGTTGCATAAACATAGTAGACCTCTGTGGAAAGTTATTAGTCTGATTAGCGGTGCCCACGGGAACGCAGCTCACCACTTGGCCAAGCAACACTTAGGCCGAAAAAGATCAGGCCGCCCATTGCACCACACACCACAATGCCAGCAAAACCTCTCAGGTCCTTCAGTAGTTGTACGCGCATGAATTGTCTGCTTATCGGCATGTGAAGCTCTGATAACGGGTTAGTTTGGTCAGTCTCGCACCTGAAGATTCATCAAACCCCAAGCGAAGAATCCGATTGATGCAACCACACCAGATACTAAAGGTCCTAGCACCTTGGCTACCAGCTTGGTTAGCAACGGCCATAACAGAGGGAAGATGGAATTACCGGAGTCCCATGGATACGGATTTCCCCCTAAAGAAATACCTAGGACAAATAATGCAATGCTGGAAACAAAGAGGAAAAGACCGATGAAGTCAAGCTCCTTGAGCAGTTGCAGCCTGGACTTGGGAAGTACGGGTTCTTTTGGGTGGTAGAAGAAGAAATGAAGCCCGACAGCGCAGGCTACCCACTCATCAATCTTACGGTACTGACTTTGTCGAGGGTTCCAACATACCGCAAGAGATTGAATAAATGTAATAGATCCAGCGCCAGGAGGCTCCCTCGAGCACAGCTCTGCCTGTATTGATAGCGTCAGCTTTGAATGGCACTCTTTTGTATGTCTATGTACCGAGGAAAGAGCCGATGGCTAGAGAGGGAAAGCAGCCAAAAACAACGAGTCCTAGCATAGCGAGTTTGTGTCTATTAGGTACCAATTCTAGTCAAGGTTAGCTTGATGCGTTGAGTCGAGGCTCGAGTTAAATATTGCTTACCAGCCGACATGAATTGCATTGAGAACTGTCCTCCTGAGGAGAGGCCCAGTAAGACCTTTTCAGCATTAGCAAGGTTTGTTAAGCATGGTCCAGACTAGGCGGACTTACGTTCGATCCAATGAGAACATCAATCCGCTGAGCTCTGCCGGCAACTATGCCTGTTATCGGTGTTAGTTTCCTATGAGCAGGAGTCGGCAGCAAAACGCGCCTCCAACAAGACCTAGAGCATTGAATCCTATCATCCACCATCTTCTTCCGAAGATGTCGGAGAGTCGACCGACGAGTGCGTATCCCACCGAGTTTCCCATAGTCCAAACGATTGAGAATAGAGCTGAGTTGGAACTTCCACCTGGGATGAGAGATCAGTGTGCGCACTGTGACAGTACACAAGTATGAGAAATGAATGATACCTATGTCTTCTTCTATAAAGGGAAGAATGCCTGCTGGCAGAGTAAACCCCCAGATTCCAGCGAACTGCCCCATGATCATGGCAAAAATGACCATCATCTATAGCAGATTTCGTTAGTGACAGTATCAACAGAATTGGAACAGGCCATAGCTACCATGCGTGGCTCCATGACCAATCCCAGGCCAACGGAACGGACATGCTCTGTAGCCTCATCGCCTATCGCTGCGCTGAGGACGTGGCGTAGCTTTTGGTCGTCCTCAATTGCGATCTCACCGTGAGCAGTCTAGCAGAGCATTAGCCAAGGACGTGAATTATTTACGAAGGACGTCAACGCACATCGATTGTGTCTTCAGTCATGATGGTTATTCGGAGCTTGTAGGAGAATCCCGGTTACGAGGAGCTCATAGCTGAAGGAACCATACGGTTTTTAAAGGGAGAGATGTGGGCAGGAGTTAATTCCGATTTTTTATGACCCAAGGCTCTGAGCGTACGGAAGCCCCGTAAAACCTTCGTTTCAACAGTTATTCAATGGAGGAACATTTGGTGCTGAAGGTTCTCTTTAGCCTTGTGACTGCGACCCAACAACACTTGTGAGGGAGTGCGGATAGCTGTGTCTCATTGCGCAGGTCTGACTGAGACTAAACTAGTATCTAATTCTATCGACTTCAACAAACGATGTCTTCAGAAGCCACATATGGGCATTATGTACAGGTCAACCTGGGTAATTGTCCATCTTACCCCAGAGCAGAGGGGAAGATTTCGTGGGGCCCCTCTAGTTAGTGTGATAGGGAGATGGGGCGAAGTGCTGCTCCCTACCAATAACGTAAGGGTGAAGGGGTTACTTAGCTAGTAGTCCGAAGTGCTGCTCCCTACCAATAACGTAAGGGTGAAGGGGTGACTTAGCTAGTAGTCCACTAGACAAAGCGCCTTTCATCAGCGGTGGTCCTAGGCTGAAAAAATTATTCTCGCAGAGCATGGACCTGGTGGCCTGTGCAGAGACGATGAAGAGCAGCCATGGCACCACCTTCGCAGCAGAGAGAAATCCGTTCTGGGCCTGCTCCGTAAGCAGCTAAGCAGTGACTGAATTCCGTGCCGGAAATGGACGGGGAAATTGGTGCCTGGGAAGTCTGACCCTCGTGCAAGTCAAAGCGGCATATCCCAGTACCATTATCAGAAACCAGGATCCCCGAATTCAGTAGTGGTAGGTGTACGATTTGATCCAGCCGCCGCCATGTCTAACGCTAAAAAATTTGAAGCCACCACTCTAAATGGAGGATCCAACCAAAGCATTGATGTTGAGTCTTTACAGCGAAAATATGAGCAAGAGCGAGCGAAACGTTTGCATATCGATCAGTGTGCCATAAAGCCCACTGGCCGCCCCGCGAAGATCGCCAACTATCTCAAAGACCCCTATGTTGAACCAGGCTTCAGCCGTAGTCCGGTCAACGCTGTTTACGATATCACCATCATTGGAGGTGGCTATACAGGACTACAGATTGCAGCTCGCCTTGTTCAACAAGGACATGAGAACATATGCTTGATTGAGAGAGGTGGCGATGTCGGTGGAACTTGGCAAGTAAAATTTTCTATCGCCAGCCATCATATGCTAACACACCCAGGTACTGGAATCGTTACCCCGGGATCCAATGCGACATCGATGCTTATATTTATATGCCACTCCTTGAAGAAACAGGCAACATGCCCACAAAGAAATACGCATCTGGTAAAGAATTGCATGACCACGCTAAGAAAATTGCAGAGAAATACGAGCTCTATAGCCACTGCCTCTTGCAGACTGAGATGACCAGTGCTACCTGGGATGAGGGTGCTCACCTATGGAGGATCATGACGAATCGAAACGACAATATATTCACAAAATGGTTCATTCCGGCCTCCGGCCCCTTTCATACTCCGAAATTTCCCGAAATACCCGGCATTGATTCCTTTGAGGGTATAAGCTTCCACAGTAGTCGCTGGGACTATACATATACAGGAGGCTCGGTAGACAAGCCCGAGTTGGTTAACCTTCAGGATAAGAGGGTAGGAATTATCGGAACCGGCGCTACGGCCGTACAGATTGTGCCGGCAGTTAGCAAATGGGTCAAGGAGCTGTATGTATTCCAGCGAACTCCGTCAGCGATTAATGCACGAAACCAAAAGAACACGGATTATAATTGGGCCAAGGCGCTACCGTCGGGATGGCAGCGAGAAAGGATGCAGAACTTCACCACGATCATCAGCGGCGGTGAAACTCAGCAAGATCTAGTGAACGATGGCTGGACTGAAGCTATCCGCTCAACCCCGGGTTTCTTCGGCACCGGTGGTGATGGAGCTGACAGTGCAGCCATGGCCAAGCGTCAGCAGCTGGCCGATTTTAAGAAGATGGAGTCCGTACGAGAGCGCATCGACCACGTTGTGAGAAACAAGGCCACTGCGGAGGCACTTAAGCCATATTATCAGCAATTCTGCAAACGTCCGTGCTTCCATGATGAATACCTGGAAGCTTTTAACAGGGATAATGTCTACCTTATCGACACAGGAGGTTGTGGAGTCGAGGGCGTGACTCAGTCTGGCATCGTCGCCCGTGGAAAGGAATGGCCTGTCGACTGTATAATATATGCAACTGGCTTTGAATTTGGGGGAGACTTCACAAAAGACAATGCTCCTATTACTGGCGTCAATGGTATTTCTTTGTCTGATAAGTGGAAGGACGGACCCACGACATTCCACGGCTGGGCGGTCAGCGGCTTCCCTAACCTTTTACTCATGGGAGTGGCACAGTCGGCACCAAACCCTAACTGGACGCATAGCATGGTTGAGATGGGTAGCCACCTGATCTACATCATCCAGGAATGTGAGAAGCGCCGAGTCAAGACTATTGAGCCATCTGAGGAGGCAGAACGTGGCTGGGTCGCGGATGCAGTCCAAAAGAGCGAAACTCGTGCCGACTTTCTCAAGAATTGCACTCCGGGGTACTATAACAATGAGGGCGAGGTGAATGAGAAGACATTGCGTGCCCAGCCATACAGTGGAGGTGCCTTGCTCTTTAACTCCATAATCACAAAATGGAGAGACGACGGTAATCTTGAGGGTATGTTGTTGACGGTTGAGAGTGAAGAGTGAGGAGCAATCCGAAGCCAGATAGACTCGTATAGACAATAACGGAGCCCATCAAAAATTTCACTAACGCACCCGGGGTCACGTTCAGTCACGGTCGCAGCTCTACATTTTACCCCAATCTGCCCTTGCACAATCAAAAGTCGAGAGCCATTGATAAAGTCCACAAATTTCATCGTCTACACTATAGTAGGAGTAGATGTGGACTCACTAGGTGCACAAGGAATGTGATGAACTAGATAGCGTTATCAGAGATATCAACCACTAATATAGAGCTTGGATAGACTCTTCATTCACCTTTCGATACGCTCTGATATCACGTCGTCATCCTCATAAGAGGTCTGAGTCGTTGGCGAGCCTCGCCATCGCTATATTTTCTGTTCTGGAAATAACGGTAACGCATCTAGGAAAGGAAACTAGACAGGATCTCTTCTTCGTCGGAAAAAAAGAGGTCGCAATAGATGACGTGAACAGAACAGACTGATTGTCAGACTATCTGTCGTTTGTTTGCGTGCTATTCTGTCTTGATAAACACCTCTGCCCTCAAAGATGACTACCACATCATTGACCTATGCGCCACCTCCGTGTAGACGCTTCTCAATGGATACACATTGGCCGATGGCATTGGTATAAATTTCGACACTATTGAGCCGTATGGCCACCATCAACCTGCAGGTCATCAGCTTGGATACGACTTTATCTGAGGGTTCTTACGGCAATGACCGCGCCAGAGACGTAGGTTGCCCTGCTTGATACTTTTTCTGTGAGCAGGATGTACTATCTTAGTGTCGAAAGGCTACGCATACCGAGAAAAGTCGCGACATCAGCGATCTCTTGAGCCGTGCCTAGCCGCCCCATCGGAGTGAACCTTTGAGCATAATCCAGTGAGAACTGTCGATGCTCTGGTTTAATCAATGGTGTATCAATGATACTGTGTTCGAATCAGAGAAAACAATCACGAGAGCTAGAACACGTCATGCCTACCCTGGACAGAGAGCATTTACTCTGATTCCTTGGTTTGCGAAAGTTGTAGAATCCGATCTAACCAGACCAATAACGGCTACGTTGAATTGTTAGCCGTCGGAGATCGAAAGTGATTCTAAGATCTTACCGTGCTTCGACATTGTATAGGGCGTGGAATTTGGAAACCCTACCAGTCCACAGATTGAAGCGACATTGACAATAGATCCTTTCGAACCAGGGCGTCCGTCACTGGGACATGTCAATCCTGTAAGGCCGACCGAGACTCATTCGATGGACCTACTGGGAAGGTAAGGGCTCCTGAGTTAACATTTGAGCAATCTCTGCTCGCTCACAAAGCCAAACGGCTCTGGCATTGATGTGTTGGACTTCGTCATACTGCTCCGGTTGCAATAAAGGTATGAGGTTCTGAGCGCCCGTGATCCCTGGCCACGTTCTGATGTGAGCGTTCGTACCTTGTCAGGACTTGAGAGCCAGTTATAAGTTATACAAACCTGCAATGTTCAGACCATAATCAAGCCTGCCGAATGTCGACACGGTAAGCGTGATGAGCCGTTCCACAGTATGCGCATCGGTAATGTCTCCGGCATCCACCACAATGTGCACATCGGCCCTAATGCTTTCCCCCATCGCTTTCGTGCGAGCAAGCCCTTCACGGTTGATGTCGGTAGCTACAATGCGCGAACAGCCATCACGAACGAGCTGCTGAACACAGGCCTGGCCGATGCCACTCCCTGCACCCGTCACAAAGGCAACCCTGCATCAGTGGGTCAGTCTCGGTTCAAGAGGTTCGGTGCATTATCGAACAGTCTCACCCGTTCAATTGAAGGCTCATGATGAAAGACAACAAGTGACTGAATGGAGGACAAATAATCGGACCTAGCCAGCATGTTGGTTCTCCTTATGTCGGCAGCTGGTGTGGGCTTGCACAACACCTTCGTACCTCAGATCGTAATCCCGTGTGGACGTGGTCTTTCGGAATTCTGGGCCAACTGAACCCGGGGACACTGACGCAGTCTGTTTCTCGGGAAGTTTGAACGCCTGACTACCCATCAAAATTACCGAGTACGGTCAAGATATTGAGACATCCCCGGAATTGGTTATGCCCAGGTGCGGAGTCCCTGGGTCCGTCCGGAGAAAAAAAGATTCATGCCTAGGGAGTTTGAATACTTTATGTCGATACAGTCCTACAACAAGAGAGAAAATATTTTCCTAGTAATCTCTTCGAAACTCAGCGCGTCTGAAGATTGAGTAAGTAAATTGTTCCGCTATCATGTGTGAATCTTACCATCCTGGCCAGGATGTTGGAAAAAGGCTCCTGCCTCATGTAGTGTCGTTCTTAGGAGAAGCCTTTCCAAACGATATCTTTGTCATACATCACACAGATGGCGGATCAGACTACAGTCGCGGATGGAGCGAAATCAAGTTCATGCAGCTTGCTAAAGCCGTCGACTGGACTGCGTGGTGGCTTCATAACAGAATCGGTAGCAGCGATTCCTGCGAGACGATTGCCTTTATTGGTTGCAATGATGTACGATATAGTATCTTTACCCTCGCCGCTCAGAAGGCGGGTTACGCGGTACGTGCTATCTTACATCTTTGTCTCTGATGTTCGGCTAACTTGGAACAAAGACTCTCCTCCCGTCCCCGAGGAACGGACTTGATGCACACAAACATTTAGTTAAGGAGACTCAATGCAAGCACTTCTTTTTCGGAGAAGAACAACGCCTGAGAATAAATGTATTGAAGGATGGGCTCGAACATGTCCAGTTCTGCGAGATCCCGAGCTTGAATGATATGCTTCACGGCGAGTCGAAGATGTACCCGTTTGACAAAACCTTCGAGCAGGTCTCACATGAACCTGTGGTCATCATACATAGCTCCGGGACTACAGGTAAGTGGTCAGCAGAGGTTTCAAAGGTGTCAAGTTGGTTTGCTAATGTGGCCTTTACGGCATTGTTTTAGGGCTTCCAAAGCTCGTTCCACTATCAAATGGATATCTCAGTGTCCAGGACCGTCAGTCATGTTTGCCACCAAGCAAGGATGGTCGCTGGGCGATCTACTCACACCCTGACCCCAGCGAGAGAATCTTTTCGATGACCCCAATGTTCCATCTCATGGCGTATTGGCAGTTTCAAGAGTCAATCTTCCATCGAGTACCAGTGGTCCTGGCTCCCGAGGTACCACTAACAGCAGACATCCTAAACGATATTCACCTTGTTGCTAAACCCACACTCACTTCATTTCCCCCGTCAATGTTGGAAGATCTGAGCGGAACACCGGAAGGTATCAAGGCTGTTTCTCAATTTCGAACACTGATGTTCGGAGGGGCACCGCTCTCTACCGATGTTGGACAAAAAATCAGCCAAGTTACCGGATTATGCACGATATACGGTACGAGCGAGATCGGGGTGCCACCTATCCTCAAGCCACAAGCGAGAGAAGACTGGAACTATCTCGAATTTCATTCTGAATATGGGATCGAGTTTGAGCCTACGGACGGTGACCACTACGAGGCAGTCATTCGACGTCGTCCGGGGAATCTGGCTGCTGTGTTCTACAGCTTCCCAGACGTTGAGGAGTACCGTACTCAAGATCTATTCACTAAGCACCCTAGCAGAGAAGGACTATGGCTTTATCGAGGGCGAAATGACGACGTAATAGTCCTGAACAATGGCGAAAAATTCAATCCTATCCTCGTCGAGAAGTGTATTGAAGAGCATTCAGCTGTCAATCGAGCGGTGGTTATTGGACAGGGTCGCTTCCAATCACTGCTTCTGCTTCAACCGGAATGGGGGAACTGGCATTATCTCTCGACCGAAGAGTTTGTTGAGGATGTATGGCCAGTGGTCGAGCGAGCAAACAGCTTGGTGGCTAACCATGGTCGTGTAATGAAAACACATATCGTGGTGGGTTCCAGGACGACCCCATTTCAAACGACACCCAAAGGTAACATTAAACGGAAAAACGTCGAGCAAGATTACTTCTCAGAGATCGAATCGGCGTACTCCCGGATCAAATATGACATAGGTGTGCGCTTGTCAGAGAGACCGGACTATGATGAGGTTGAGAGTATGGTGTTCAAGGCAGTCTCACAATTATTGACTGTGTCCAATGTCTCCGCGTCATCAGATCTATACTCGACAGGTCTTGATTCTCTCCAGAATCTTCAGCTTGTCAGAAGGCTCCAAAGTGCTGTCCGACCGTTTGGGAGAGATAAGGAAAGTCGAATCACACCCGCTGCTCTGTACAGTGTCCCAACAGTAGCAAAGATATCAACATATGTTTTGGACATAATCGAAAACTCCGGGACGAACAGGGTCGACCCCAATGACCGCGATATTAAAGATATTGGGACCACGATTCAAGACTTGGTTGAAAAGTATATCAAAGATATTCCAAAGCGGTCACTGTCGCTTCCAGACCGCCTGGGTCGGCGGACAGTCCTGATCACCGGCAGTACGGGATATCTAGGATCTTATGTTCTTCATCATCTGATTCAAGATGTGACAATCACTCACATTTATTGCCTAAACAGATCAGGAGATGCTTTCTCCAAAGCTTGTCAGAGCTTTGTGGAGAAGAGCTTGGACTTTTCTCGTAGTGCTCAGGCAAAGGTGACTTTTTGGCAATCCTCGTTTGGTGAAAAACAGCTTGGATTGTCAGATGAGCAGTACGATACATTGAGGGGCGCGGTCGACGTTGTGATCCACAACGCTTGGAAGGTGGACTTTAACCACCAACTAGAATCATTTGAGGATACACATATCCGTGGCATTCGCAATTTCGTGGATTTTGCAATCCAGAGCCCCAAATTGCCTCACCTCGTCTTTATCTCATCTCAATCAACAGTCGGCAGATGGGCGGATCACCACGGACCTTCTATTCCCGAACAACCACACGCCAATCCAGACGTGGCCGCACGAACCGGCTATGGCCTGTCCAAGTACACCGCAGAGCGAATCCTACACACCGTCTCCGAGAGGACTGGTTTACCAACTACTATCATCCGGATAGGACAAATTGGAGGGCCCCTGGCTGGCACAGGTGCTTGGAGCGTGCAAGACTGGGTTCCCACCGTGATAAGAACCTCCAAGACCATGCGACAGGTACCCCTGAGTCTCTCCTATATTCCCATCGACTGGATCCCAGTGGTGAGTGATTACATGACCTCCTTTAAGCAAGACCTGTGAGACTTGTGCTGACATAAATCGTACCTCGTTAGGACTGTCTGGCAAGAATAGTTTCTGAGATTGTGGAAACACGACTTTCCTCGGAACTCGAGATCCCATGTGATGTTTTCCATCTTGTCAATCCACGAAAGACAAGCTGGAGATCCCTGTTGCCCGCAATTCACCGTCAATTTGCCGCTCGAGCTGTTTCGTTCGAAGCATGGGTGGAATCTCTACGTTCTATCGAGATTACCGACGACTCAGTAACCGAGATGCCGGCTCTTAAACTACTGGACTTTCTACAAAATATGGCCGCTCAGCAAGATTACAAACCCCCACCTTTGGAGACGGTTCGAGCGCAGATGGCCAGTCGGACTATGCGAGAACTACCCCCGGTAGATGAAGCACTTTTGGAGCTATATCTACGCCAGTGGAAGCTATAGAAATTCCCGTATCTATGTTGCTACTATATTTGTGCTTAGACTTGATCAATGAATCAACTGCGATAGAACCATGTGACACTTACCAAAAACACACACACCGAACTATTCCATGCTCGATGATGAGGTAAACGTCTACCGTGTTGAAATACGCCAGGCAGATTTCCGCACTGCGCATGCTTGATGTAGCTTTGAGCTGCGTGATGGCACGAGTCATTTCCGCGCATTTCCTTCACGGTCGGCTCTCGGCAAGCGTATCCACACCGCAAGTCAATCATTGTTCCATCATGTCAAACAATCTTTTTACATCCGTCAATCTCTACCCTCGTTATAGTGAAATGCAAATAACCCCCGACCACTACTAGAAGCACCCCAGCCACTCAATTCCCGTCGCCATGAAGTCCGGACATGTATATGCCTCGACGCCCGAAAGCATCGAGGTCAAAGTTCTCGACCAACCCATTCCTACCCCCGGGCCAAATGATATAGTCATCAAAGTCATAGTTTCAGGCACAAATCCAAAAGATTGGAAGCTTCCCGTCTATTGGGGTGGTGGGCAAGGGATGAATACCGGGGATGACATTGCAGGCTATGTCCACGCTCTGGGAAAGGATGTTACGGGATTTCGCGTTGGCGACCGAGTTGCAGCGTTTCATGAGATGACGAAGCCGTTCGGCTCTTTTGCAGAGTACGCTCTAGCTTGGGAAAAGACAACATTTCATTTACCTTCCCACACGACATTCGAGGAGGCGGCAACCATTCCTCTTGCTGCTATGACCGCCGCGCTCGCCCTTTTCCATCGTCTTGGCCTTCCTGAACCCTGGGTGGGCGATAATTCGCAGGCACGCCGCGACGCCCAAGCCGGGGGTGTTCTTGTTTATGGAGCTGCGTCTGCGGTTGGAGCGTTTGCTATCAAGCTTTTAAAGCGAGCGAACATTCATCCTATAATTGCGGTTGCTGGCAGGGGCATTCCGTTCGTGGAATCCATTATCGACACATCCAAGGGTGACACAATCATCGACTACCGCAAAGGCAATAAAGCAATCGTGGACTCACTGAAGGCAGCAATTCCTGCTGGAAAAAGGCTTCTGTACGCTTTCGACACCGTATCCGAGAATGGATCCTACCAAAACATAGTGCAAGCTCTGGACCCTCGGGGAAATCTCGCCCTGATATTACCTGGTTTATCTGGGGAGGGCATTCCAGACACGGTAAATTGGGGGATGACTCCTGTCTCGGCGGTTCATGGCTTCCCTTTAGACCTGGGAGACTTTGGGTACGCTTGGTTCAGGCTCTTTACCCTGGGGCTGAAGGAAGGCTGGCTCAATGGTCATCCACATGAGGTTATTCCTGGCGGACTGAGAGGGGTGCAAAAGGGGCTGGAGAACCTCGGAGATGGTAAGGCCAGCGCTGTTAAATATGTTTATCGTATCGAAGAGACAGAATAGGAAAAGTTGGGATCTCTAATCTTGAGACCTCGCCAAAGAGAAAGAATCGTGTATACATGGACGCCCCGGCATCACGAGTAGGAGGCTCATTCGTCGGGCGAGTTAGCCAACTCCTGCTATCGAAGTTTTGTGTCGAATATTTGAATTGGAACATATCCAAGTGGGACACATGAGGATGTGCAATGTAGTGGAGCACGAGTGTTCGTAGGTTACTGGATATCCCCGTCAAGGGAGCGTGGCCTATCAGCCAAGCAAGCTGAGCAGAACTTGTCGAGTTACTACAGTACAACTTCGTTAGCGATAACCGTCGACCTCGTGCCGCAACGGATGTGGGCTCACCGGATCTAGTTGCCGATAAGACGGAAGAGAAACGACATCCATTGATCCTTACCGGCTATCCTTGCGGAATTACAAGCAGTCCATCTTGCCATATATTTCGCGTTTCTCCAACCTCCTCGGCTAGTGCTGTAGCACCACGTTCAGTGACACCATATTCCAAACGGCGAATCATCCTACGAAGGACAATCACATACCGAAAGCAGAGTCCCAGTTCACCACAACGTTGCCCCGACAACTTCAAATCCGAAATGGATCCTACGATCTCTTCTGCACCTCCCGAAGATGAATTTGAGGTCTTTGCAGATGTACGAAGTGAACCCGTCCTGATGGTCTGCCACATTCTTCAGGCTGACATTTATGCCAGCTCTACGCAAAGCCCGGTCGTGGCGACGACCTCGAATGCGCTCTGCGTCGAGTCATTCGCAGGGTGGAGAGTGAACCTGGGACATTGATCTACGCTATTGCTCGTGATGGAGAGAATCCCAACCGATTCAGAGTTTTTGAGCGTTATACAGGTCGTGAAGCCTTTGAGAAGCATTTCATGTCGCCGGAAGTTAAAGCACTTATCGATGCAGACGCAATGGAAGACCCCGGAAGCCCGAAATTCTTCAAAGTCCTAAAAGGATTGTAGACAAGACAGTGGCAATATGCAGTGTGGTCATTGCGACCAGAGCAGTACCAATAGAAACAACAACAGTGTTGATTGAGCGGGATAATTCGCCGGCTGTCAGTCCGGAGCTGACCCAAATTCCACCCTGTAGGGTACTCAGCAGAAAATGTCCCGTTTGATGCCTTAAGAGGACATCAGCTCCTAGCCTGAGAGGTTGAAGGAGAACCCCTCGGGTAGTGGGAAATCATATTCTTCGTGAAAATGCTGGATCTCTTCATGGGGAGTTTACAGCCCCGTTGACAGGCAGATAAGAGCCTGAGCTCCAAACACATGAGGCACACTACTTATTAATACTATTATTGTTGTTGTTGTTCCGAGAAGATATTCTCCAACATCAATCCGAAGGCAATTTATCTTCGCCATGGTTTGAGTGAACATTATTGGATTAGGGATCAACTCTTTGCGTTTCCGGCCCATGTCACGGAACCCCGGAATTCCAGACAATGCATCATGAGGTGCCGTGCTGCGCATCTCCCATGTACGCTGGACACCTATTTTACATCGCGCGTAAATGATCTGAGACTAGCAGTCGATTCAGTTTACAATACACGTTTAAGCAGCGCGGTCATAATTGCTGATATGGCTCTAATCCGTTCAGAAGCGCACAAGATGCGCAATGATCAATTCAGAACCATGTTTGAATCGGTCGAGGCAGCAAAAGCATTCATTCCTCCAACGGCAGCCACCGTGAAGGCTCGGGCAGGCGCTCTTGGTGTTCCACATAATGTAACGGTCATCCCAAACGGCAAAGGCGCGAAGCTGCACTATCTTGGGGTACCAAATGCCAACAAATTGATCCTCTACTTTCACGGTAATTGATTCAGTCCCAACTTGTACGTCGTTTGAGCTTAAAAAAGTATCAGGCGGTGGTTTTGCTCTCCCTCCTACGGAAGGACACGTCACTTTTATGCTCCAATGCGCGGATAAAATTGCCCAGAGCTCAGGGCAAAGAGTGCAAATAGCGTTCCTCGAGTATAGTAAGTAATGGACGGTTACATTTGACGGCGATGGAAATCAGAACTAACAAAATTCTCAAGCTTTGTCCCACGTGGAGAGATATCCCCTACAGCTACTGCAAGCAACTGAAGCATTGAGACTCATCCTTGATTCGGGGACGAGACCTTCCGACGTATGTGTCACCATGAGTACTTCCTTCAAATGAGTGACTAGTGATTCTAAGCTCTGCGCGCAGATTGTCGTCGCGGGAGACTCAGCGGGGGGAAACATGTGCTTGGGGATAGTTTCCCACATCTTACATCCCTTGGAAGGAATTCCACCACTGGGCCTCCGTGAGCCGCTTGCCGGAGTACTTCTGATCTCCCCATGGGTTTCGTTCGATGAAGATGCTTCATCGTATAAAGAGAACGTTAACTTGGACATCTGCTCGCCTGAATTGCTACATGCTATGGCGGATGCATATGTTCCTGCAGTGCGCAACAACTGGACTGATCCATATCTTGCAGAATCCTTCTGGTGGAAAGGGTTTCCTGCGAAGGAGGTGCTGAATCTTTGTGGCGGACACGAACTACTGAAGGACTATGTTTTATCTGTTGGCAGAGCGTTGTCGCAAGCTGGAGTCGACATTAAAACGGTGGAATGTCCCTTACATGTGCACGTAGAGTGTATCCTAGACGCTCAGGTCGGCCTGAGTACGGGGGAAATGGCCGAGGAAATCTGGGCCTGGCTACCCCAAGCTTTCCAATGAATGCCACTAGTAGTATATACTAATCTGAATTGAATCAGATGCCACTGTCTGCCAAATGATCCCAGGTATCACTGCTGAGCACTATGCATATGGAATCTAGATATATAAGTATTTTGCTTCTAGACAATTTGTACAAGACGAGACAAGGCGACTGTTTGAAGATTCGCTACAGGGTTGTGATGCAAAGACTTATGAATGGTGTCATGAAGATGGCAGACCACAACCTGGGTGCAGCTTGGAAGATCGTCTGGAGGGGAACTCAGGTCGCCGGCAGAGCTCGCTCGACTGAGCCCTGATATATCGAACCTGGATCTGTGCCAAAGCAGAAGCTCACCCTCGTCTTGAAAACATCACTCATGGCTGTTTGATAAGCTTGGGTCCACCAATGATGGACACCGTCCCTATGGGTGGGTTCCCTGACGATTGGGAATCTAAGAGGCCAAGTCAAGTAAATCCGTTCTGCCGTTCAAGTCAGTGCCCTCAGAGCGAGATGTCACAGCAGTCGATGTCATAGTTGTATTCCTGACCTAGGTCGACTACGAGGTAAAAGTCGCAAAATAACGGGTATATTTGAGCAAAGACAGGTGAATGTCGGTCCAGTTGACTAGTTAGCTAGAAATACTTGCCGGTCGTTTGCCGTTAGTATTAAAGACATGCACTGCCACGTGAGTCTTATCCGACAGCAGCTCAAGGCAGAGTAGTTTCATGGCTAACAAGCAGCTGGAGTGATGCGGAGCGTAAATTTTGCAGTCACAATGTTGATCGTCCCTCGGCATACGAGTCTCCCCCCGGTACCACCCAAACCCTCGAGCATTTACGGATAACGGGCCATAATGTCGCCCGAAGTTCCCGCTGTTAGTACGGATCTTTTTGGATTTAAGTATTCTAACGCAACTACATTTCCCTTTCACCCCTATTGAAAGCATAGAATCATAGTTGAAGAAGTGGTCCTGCTGCTACCAAGCATGGCGCCGACGCTGGTTTCATTTCACGATCGAATTCATGAGCTGCCCGACTTTGACGACATACCCATTCAAGAAGGCGTACCCCCTTCGGCAATCTGGGGCTTATGGGATCAGAATGGTCAGAAGGATGAACTGGGAAGCCTGAACCTCCTGACACCTGCGGTCGTCGGTGAAGCGGCCAAGGAGGTTCGTGCAGGCGTGTCGGTGTCATTGAAGTGAGTGAGAAGAGCGCCCAGCATGTTTGAACTCGCCGATCTTTACTACCTTCTATTTTCCTATCGAAGCTATTCTCGATGGCCACCAAAATATCTTCTTAGCCCAGTAAGGCTAACATCGTCGCGTTTTTGGCCTGTCATTCTAGTCTAGCTCTCAATCAGCCCTCTGTGGCAGTGTTTCGACGTCAGGCTCTCAGCCACACGATTAGGGACAACAGCACTTTCAGCTCATCCCAAAGCTTTGACGACACGGTGCTCTTCAACACTCAGTCTGGATCCCAGTGGGATGGACTTCGTCACATTGTTCATCCAAATGGTCTGCTCTATAATGGTGTGACAAAGCATGAGATTGTGGGCCCTGAATCCACCATGAGGCTCGGGATACACAGTTCGTTACAGCAGGCCCTTCTCTGTCAGAAGATAGAACACGCTTCCCTAGGCGTCTCAAATGATCATGAAAAGGCTGACAGAGGCGTGGTATCCAGGATGGCACGATAGAGGCTGCATCACTGGCCGAGGCGTATTGATTGATTTGGTGAAGTACTCCCAACGCCACGATATCACATACGACCCAACGAGATTCTTTGCCTTTACTGGTCGAGATCTGCAGACTGCAGCTTTTGAGCAGGGCGTCACTTTCAAGCAAGGTGATATATTGACTGTGAGAACAGGGTTCCTTAAGTGGTATTACGAATGCAGCGACCCAGCTGAGAGAACCTCCTGGTTTCTGGATTCCGCACGAGAGTCAGTGGGAATATCTGCAGACCGAGAAACAATCGCCTGGGTATGGAATCATCATTTCTCTGCAGTCGCTGGGGACAATTTGGCGTGGGAAGCCATGCCTATGCCCGATAAAAGCCCCTGTAAGTTCTGATCTTTTCAGTCTCTTCTTCAGAGTATCAACGATTAACGAGAGACTAACACAATACGGAACCTGACTTGGACAGCATTTCACGAGTACCTAATACCCTCGTGGGGAACTCCTATTGGTGAACTCTGGGATCTAGAGGAACTATCCAGCCGATGCGAAGAGCTCGGAAAGTATTCATTCATGCTAGTCAGCGTGCCCTTGAATGTGCCTGGAGGAGTGGCATCACCACCAAATGTGGTGGCTATTCTCTGATGTTAGAAGGCTAAAGATAGCAGTCACACAGTGAGAGCTAAATGACAACCACAATAGATGCCAGGAGCCAAGTCTCAGATACTTAGACCCATCAGGGCTCGTGATGTTAACATAACCTCAGCTACCAAAGCATATGACCCAAAATACGAGCCACCTATGAAGACCGTAAAAGAGAATGCTCTACAGAGCCTCAGGCTTGTCCAACTCGTACCTTTGAACGTGAGAGCCGGGTTATGGTCAGATCCACATTGCTGCTATACTGCATGCGAATTATTGAGTTTTGCCAGGCTTGGTGCTATTGGTGCGGCATCTCTGCTCTGGGGTCGGAAATAAATGGCCACGGAATGTGAATTTACACCAGGAGGATCTGAATCTATTCCTTCATCCAGCACGCAGCATTAGGTTCCGAAATTGCTCGACTAAAAGTATACTCTCGGGACTTTCTTAAATCCACGCTGCTTGGCCGTCACGAATGATGATGAGAACCTGTCTCATAGGCGCTAGCAGCAATACGAAAATCTGAGCCTTCAGCTTACTTCAGGTCCGTAGAAGGTCTTCGATATGAGTCAATCCACGTCGGATGACCGAGTTTCTGCACTGAAATGCCGGTTCGAAGATCAGCGTGGAATCTGGTCCCCGGCTTGGGAGTCCGTAGCGAAGCTGAACCCAGGCTACCTGGAAGGATACCTCAAGATTCAATGGGCGTCACAACACCGAAACCGACTACCACCCAAGATCCAGGAGCTATGTTACATAGCTGTCGCCTCATCTGTAACTCATATGTATCTACCCGCGGTGGAAGCACACATCTTGGCTGCCTTGAGGACGGGCGCTACGAGCGAGGAGATCTTCGAGGTTCTAGGCTTGAGCTACCTCCTGGGAGTACACACTGTGACCATGGGCTTCCCAATTCTCCAAGAACTTGTGGAGGAACTTTCAATCCCGGCCGACACAGTCACTCCTGAGCAACAGGAGCTAAAAGAGATCATCAAATCGAGATTTATTGCAACCAGAGGCTTTTGGCCCGAAACCTTCAAACCCCTACTGGATTTGGACCCGGAATTCTTCGAACAGTATACAGATTTCTCATCGTTCTCACCAAGGTCGAAGGTTCTCGAGCCTAAATATCGTGAGCTCATCATTACAGCCATTGATGCTGCCACGACCCATCTTTATTCGCGAGGCACGAAAATCCACATGCGTAATGCATTGAAGATGGGCATTACCCCAGCTGAGGTTCTAGAGATGCTCGAAATTACAAGTTTAATGGGCATTGACGGCGTTGTCAATTCAGCGCCGTTGTTGGCAAAAGCGAGAGAGTTGGTACCAAAAGATGGGTCAAGTTTGAGTACATGAAAGGGGCGAAAATGTTGCGATCAGGAAATGGGTTGGTCAGGCCCCTAAACCCTGCCGAGGCCCTGTCTAGCAGCACTCGTCCCAAGCAGGTGCCCGAGGACCAAATTGCTACGTGCTCTACCATATTAGTTTCTTAGTTTCTTAGTTTCTTTGAAAAGTACACTCTTTCACCCCTCGGAAACCTCGATAACACATCCATTCAGTCAGAAAATGATGATGGAAATTTGGATCAGTTGCCTTGCTGCTCAATTCCGTCACAGAACCTTAGCATGGGCGACTCCCCCAAGAGCCTGTATATTTCCGGGATTAAAGTGACTACAGCCCGAGCTTGTTCCGCGCTTTGCAACGAAACAATAGCCCAAGCCTGAGACCGAGTGACATCCGCAACATGATGTTCATGACTCTCGGCTTTCCTAACCCCGATTCGTCTTCAAAGAATGGCACAGACTCCGAAGACCCGTTCCTTTGTAAACTTGACACCATATTGAGACCGAGGAAACCTTTCTAAGTTTCTCGACAGATCACAGCGCGACTTGCCTCTCGCATGCATGTGGCCAACACCTAGGCTAGCAAGATATCATAGCGCCATGACTGTATCGCCGCAAAGCGGGATATCTTTTCCGAATGGGATGGAGACTCGATTGTACATTAACAACGAGTTTGTCCCTTCTAGAAGTGGTCAGAAGTTTGACGTGATAAACCCAGCTACAGAAGAAGTTACAGCTTCAGTTTTTGAGGCAGATGGTGCAGATGTTGATGCCGCGGTGCAGGCCGCAAAGGCTGCATTTCCATCATGGTCGGCCCTTGGTGGGTTTCAGCGCGCCTCCTACTTCTACAAGTTGGCCAATCTGGTCGAAAGCTGCAACTTTGACCTTGCCAAGCTGGAGGCTGTGAGCATGGGTAAGCCCGTGGGCAAGTACAGTACGTCTCCACCAGCTGAACGCATTTGGTGTCACTGCATATATTGACCTGCTTGATTATCAAATAGCCGAGGGAACGAATATGGCCCGTTTCATCCGATATGTGGCTGGAAAAGCAGCCGACGTCAAGGGAGAATCATCACTTCAGACAGCCGGGTTCGTCAATCTCACCTTTCGGCAACCCTACGGAGTGTGCGCGGCCATCATCCCATGGAATGCACCCGTGACAGAGTTCTTTTTCAAGGTTACGCCTGCAGTGCTAGCAGGAAACACGATCGTTCTCAAGTCATCGGAGAAAGCGCCTCTCACAAGTCTCCTGCTGGCAAGATTATGCCAGGAAGCCCAGATCCCAGCTGGTGTGATTAACGTGCTGAGTGGCATGGGCCCAACCTGTGGGGCTGCTATGGCCTCACACATGGATATTCGAAAGATATCCTTCACAGGGTCTGCCAGAACTGGAAGAGCGATCAAGCAAGCTGCACTCGAGTCCAATCTAAAACATGTCGCTCTCGAGCTGGGGGGCAAGAACCCATTGATTATCTTCGACGATGCAGACCTTAGCAAGGCCGCCAACGCTGCAGCCTCCTCGATTCTCTACAACTCTGGTCAGGTCTGTATCGCCAGTACCAGAGTATACGTGCATGCCTCCATCCTCGAGCGGTTTTGCGATCTGTTCACCTCGTCCTTGGTAAAGCAAGCGGCCAACCCCATCAAAGGGAATGACCCGTTATCGCCCTTCACGGTCCGAGGTCCACAAGCAGACAAAGCTCAGTTCACAAGTATCATGAAATATATCACCGATTCACGGAAGGCAGGATATAAGATTCTGACTGGCGGAGACCGCGAAGGCGAACGAGGGTTCTACATTCAACCAACCATCATTTTGAACCCTGAAGAAAGCAGCGCCGTCATGCGAGAAGAGATCTTCGGACCGGTAGTATGTGTGCGTAGTTTTCAGACGGAAGAAGAGGTGATTAGTCTTGCTAACGAGACCGAATACGGCCTTTACGCGAGCACCTTTACACGTGACCTATCCCGGGCCATGCGTATGGCGCGCTCATTGGAAGCCGGCATCGTTGGTTTGAACTGTACCAGTCCCATGATGACGCTGGACATGCCATTTGGAGGTGTGAAGCAGAGCGGTGATGGCAGAGAGAACGGCCAGCACGCTCTGGACGATTGGACGGAGCTGAAGACGGTGTACATCGGGTTGTAGAGCGGCAAAGTAGCACAAGGCAAGCAGCTGGGGTAGATGAATCTGAAAAGAGATGTTCTAGAGACAGTAATGTCACTTCCACTACGCAAGAACAGAATTCCCTTTCCAAAGTGTAAATCTGACTTTGAAGTAGTACAGTGTCAGGATACGTGAGCCTCTACTCTAATCTTGTCATATCTAAAACAACGCGACCGTGGATGCGTCCAGCGTGCATTTCGTCGAAAACCTAGATTTGTCTCATCCTGTCTGTCAGCCGATCCGTACATCTGAAGTTGCATCATGTCACCATAGAGTGACCAGCAATGGTTTGTAGGAGATGCAATTTAGAGCAAGCATTATCGCAAAGTTCCTCACCTGGCTCAGATGGCTCATCGGTCGAACCGTGACCTGGGGATCGATCTGACCTCGAGCTAGTGGCTGGAGACACTCGACTGCATCTTTGCGGTTGCCGATCATTGTGCCTATCCACAGTTGATGTTAGACGGAATTGTCCAAATAGAAACAAAACAAATTCAGTGACGGGATATCTCGTGGATAGAGGGAAACAGTTGAACGACCGGATAATGAGTGGAAATGCCTCACCCTTGATGGTCAACCTATTCATGATCATATTTGACGGAGTAGCACAGCTTATAGGTGCCGACGAACTCTCAGGTAATCCGACACAGACCACCGTGCCGCCATATCGAACCATGTCTAATGACTGATCGTATGATTTCGCTGACGAGTTGCACACGAGAATGGCGTGTGCGCCACCGTCTGTAATCCGCTTTACGTCGTCGACAAGAGCCTTGTCACCATCATCGCCGCCAAACTTTGTGAAGTCAAGGAAGGCATCAGCACCGATACTGCGGCAAAAGTCGGCCTTGGAGGTATGGTCGATGGCCAAGACGTGTAGACCCATGGTCTTTGCATACTGTATGGCTAACGAGCCCAGACCGCCGCCTCCACCCGAGACAGCAACCCAGTTGCCAGGACTCAAATCTGCACGTTGTAACGCGACGTATACCGTTATGCCGCCGCAGAGTAGAGGGGCTGCTTTGGCCGAGTCGACTCCTGGTGGAATAGGCGTGGCGTATTGGGCATGGGTGACCAGGTATTGTTGAAAGGTGCCCGGGTGGCCCAAACCTGAGACTTTGCGGAGCGCGCATTTGCTCTCGTAGCCGTAAAGGCACATGTCGCAAGTCAAACAGGATGACGCTATCCATTTGATGCCTATACGTTCGCCCAGTTTACGTGCCGTTACGCCAGGTCCTAGCTTGACCACAATGCCGACCCCCTCGTGGCCGCCAATCTGACCCTCAGGTAAACGCACATGACCCAGTCTTTGGGTGGCTAGCGAGTAATCTGTGTGACAGACGCCTGAATGAGTAATGCGGACCAGGATCTCGCCATCTTGTGGTTCTGGCACTTCGACATCAACAATTTTCGTCTCTGTCGTGCCGGGTTGCGAGTATATTATTGCCTTGGCTTGCTTAGGCACCGTAAAATCAGACATGGCGATATTCTGCTATTTTGGACCGTTGGTAGATGTGACAAACTTTTGTGTTAAAAATCGAACAAGTTAGATGAGGTTTCTGTCTTCTACTGGAATGGAACTTGGCCAGGATATTTGCACGATACCTACTGGATATGGCCGGATTGACCCCATTGATCAACACTGTTCACAAATCGGATCCATTCAGTGAGGAACCAGGATGTCGAATTCCGATGCATAGGTCCGGCGTGCGACAGACGTCGCTCATTGGAATTCCGGGATTCGCGGGGGCGTCTTGATCGATTACGGAACCATCAAGTGCTACTCGTGAGAATTTGTTTGCCATGGCGCCCTCCCAGAATACCCAAATAAGCATTGAAGAGGTTCAGTATAACAAACCTTCGTACATAGCTGAGACCCGACGACTTTCATGGACTAAGCTGGAGCATCTGAGAGACATGCAACGACCAGGATTTGAGCAACTTCCCCTCAGGACGGGTGACCCCCCTTTCTCTGCCTGGTCCCTCTACGGGCCGAACGATCAGCTGGGCACATTGAACCTGTTGACTCCAGAAGTGGTGACAGACGCAGCCCAAGAGATCAAAAGCGGGGTACGAATAGGCCTCGACTCTAGGATAGACTACCTTGCCAGGCCACCACATAACAGAAAGCCCTTGACGCACACCGTTATCCACAAAGCTCCTCGAGCCGTGCACGATGATGAACTGAACTTCAACAGTCAGGTGTGAACCCACAGGCACTCGCTCAATGACATCCGCATGGTGGCTGACATGGCACGGTTGTAGATTTCAAGCCAGTGGGATGGCCTACGTCATTTCGGGTATCAGAGCCTAGGACTCTTTTACAACGGAGCCAAAGTGAGCGAGTTGTCAGGGCCCGAGGCGACGCCGAATCTGGGAATACATGGTATTAGCCCCTCACCGCTATCATCTTGCTTGACTATGACATGAGTTTTCTGATGCTGAAATACCAAGCATGGTGTGCCCAGGGCATCGTTGGCCGGGGGGTTTTGCTCGACTATCTTCACTGGTCCAACTCCCACGGTAGGGCATATGACAAATTGGGCGACCATAGAATCACTGTACAAACTCTTCAATCTATAGCGGACGCGCAAGGGGTGTCCTTCCGGAAGGGTGACATACTCATCATCCGAACTGGGTTTCACGCGGGCTACGACTCCCTGAGCGACGAAGAGAAAATCGGATGGGCCCATCAAGTACCCACGAAGCACGTGGGAGTCGAGACATCAAGAGAAATGGCCAAATGGCTCTGGGATTCCCAGTTCAGCGCCGTCGCGGCTGATGCGCCGGCCTTCGAAGCGATCCCAAAGCGATCGAGCGGGATCAACGATTTATTCTTGCACGAGATTTTGCTGAGTGGCTGGGGAATGCCGATTGGTGAGTAGATATCCTATACAAATCTGTCAGAGCAAATGAGAGTGGTAGCGATGAAGAGATACAGAGGGACAATGTGGAAAGAGCCAATTTGCTGACCCCCTCGCCAGGTGAAATGTGGAATCTTGAACATCTCAGCCAGCACTGCCACGAGACAAAGCGATACACATTCTTCTTAACTAGTATGCCTCTGCACGTTGTCGGGTCGGTAGGAAGTCCAAGCAACGCGGTAGCCATCTTCTGAGTGTGTATATTGACCGAGAAGGAGCCTCGCAAGCTCACAAACGCGGCGGGATTTGATCCAATCTACTAGAACCTCACTAACCAGGCTGGTTTGGTGGGCTATCTTCACCCTGAGCTACAAACCTTGCTACTTTATTCAAAGGGGTTCTCGTAGCTGCGTCTGTCGGCTAGTAAGCCTACCTCGGTGCGTCAGATGAAAATAGTTAGCACTGAATAAGTCAAACACCCCTTCCCGGTCACGTATCCCGCCGGAATTACAGGAATGCGCGTAGACACGTGGCTATGACCTGACCAGCTGGCTCATAACGTTAGATGTTGCGAGTACTAGAGTTGCCTCGCCCTGTAACACTGGTCTTAAAGCTCGACAACTTCCAGAATTTGAGATCTTGAACCCAATTCTTTCACCCCCGGGATCTATCAGCTGACGTGTCAATGGGGCGATCGACTTCGAGATGGGCTGCCCGGGGTACACGGCCCGTCAGAGTTGCAAATTGCTCGGGCGGTAGAAGTGAGTGTCTCCTGTGTGCGCCGGACTAGCTTTCAAACCGAGACTGAACTCCTGATCCGCAACCATATTCTGGGACTTACTGAACTCGTAGATGACCCTGGCTATCAGATGCTACGACAGGCAGAACAAGGGGACGTGGATTTCATCACGGGTGACTACCTTGCTGGTAAGGAAATGAATGAAACACCTACCTGCTCTTTTCCTCTAATCTCCTCTGTATTAAACTACAACAGAAGTCAGCTTGGCTGAAAATGCTGAAGCGATGCGTGCAGGAGAGCACGATGGATGGTTCTCCACTTGCTGGGACGGGATTGAACAGAGCATCGACATCATCGTGGAGAAGAGGATCAAGGTGGTCGTTAACGGAGGAGGACTGAACCCTCGTGGCCTCGCTGAAAAGGTCCAATTATTGGTATACACTCTTCTAAACCTCAGGATGTGCACTATTGACGATGGTATAGGCCAACAAGAAGGAGAAAAACTGCCGAGTAAAGGTTGCATTTGTCTCCGGAGATGATCTATTCGAAGAGACCAAAAACCAGATTCAATCGACAGGGCAATTACCACCACATCACGACTCAGACAACCCCAACGTGATCGTCGACAAGCGTACGTTTGCAGTTGAGGATCTGGATCGCAAGCCGCTCGTGGCTGCAAACGCTTACCTTGGCGCTCGTGCTATTGTTGCTGCTCTCAACCTTGGAGCAGACATTATAATTTGCGGCCGAGTGTCAGATGCCTCTCCCGTGATTGCCGCGGCCTGGTGGTGGTATGGGTGGCAAGCGACAGACTATGATCGGCTGGCAGGGGCATTGCTTGCCGGTCATCTTATTGAGTGTTCTGGGTACGTGACGGGGGGCAATTTTGCGGGCTTTGACGCCTTTGACCTAGATTTACTGGTCGACATCCCGTTCGGCATCGCTGAAATCTCGGACGACGGCACCTGCGTGATTACCATCCACGATACGGGAAAAGGGATAGTGAATGTGGACGTTGTTCGTTGTCAGTTGCTGTACGAATTACAGGGTGCCATCTACCTCAACAGCGACGTGACAGCCGATGTCAGTAATGCGGAAGTCCAGCAGGTTGGGAAAAATCGCGTCCGACTCACAGGCGTCAAGGGCAGTCCTCCGCCAGCCACGACAAAGTTGGGCATTTTCTATCGCGATGGCTATCAGTGTCAGCTGTTACTCAACGCCACAGGCTACAACACAGCGCTTAAGTGGGAATTGCTCCAGAAACAAGTCAAATATGTCCTCGAGCAGAAAGGACTACTACACAAATTTGATGTGATTGACTTCCAAATGTAGGCACCCTCAACCTCTCCCTCAAACTCTTTAATCCGGGCGCTGCAGTGGATATTGGCTAATACGGCGCGAGGTACTATCAGTGTCGGAACGCCTGAGACAAATCCGCGCACGCAGTTATGTAGCACCACCTACTGTCGCATTTTCGCTCAAGCAAACGAGGCCGCAACAGTGGCGAGCCTTCGAGGAGCCTGGGCTGAGTTCGTGATGCAACATTTCTCAGGTGAGCTTATTATTATTCTCGGCCTGGCCGACCGAAATGTGCCAAATACTAAGTTCTTGTCGGGGTTATAAAGGTCTCCACTATGCCCTAGACTTCCGCAGTGCAGCCCCGATGCGATACATTGCATACTACCCTGCACTATACCCCCAAGACTCTTTGAGGGAATTTGGACATATACTGAATTCAGACGGCTCCATCAGCCAATCTATCTCCGCTGATCATCCGCCCGAATACCAATCCCCTGGGAAGAGACTAAACTATGACACTGAACCGAGTTTTGTCCCCTTGAGCACCGAAACTAAACTGGTTCGTCTAGGGGTTCTGGCCCTCGGACGATCCGGCGACAAGGGAGGCAACATCAACTTTGGCATCTTCCCCAAAGTATCCAAGATCTGGCCGTGGTTTCAGGGCTTTATGTCACGTACGCGCTTACGAGACTTGATCGGGGAGGATTGGCGAGACGAGTACTTTATCGAGAGAATGGAGTTTCCGGGCATTCACTCGGTGCACTTTGTCATCTATGGCATTCTAGGCCGTGGGTCGAGCAGTACAGTAGCATTGGATAATCTGGGAAAGGGTTTTGCCGACTATATTCGGGACAAGTGGGTAGAAGTACCCGTGGAGATAGTGCATCAGATTTCAGAATGACCAAGAAGGATGATTGTTACAGTAAGGTCCGCAGAAACAGCCTGTAGACGCCGTTATTGTACTCTGTGCCCCTTGGTGAAGTCATAACGCAGATACGACTCGCAGAATCGGCATTCAGCTGTACTTCGCTGTGTCTAGGTAAAATTAACACTTTCAGGACGAAGCTGAATCCCTAGAGATAGAGAAAAACAATACACCAGCTTTTGGTAGATCAGCAGTCTCCTACAGGATCTTCCCTCCCTGAGCTATCTAGCCTGAAGCTTTGCTCCGAGACTGTCAATTGAAATCTGCGTGCTGAAGGTTTTCGTTTCTCAGTTCGCATACCATCCAGCCGCCCCTTCCCTTTGGAAGCCGGGCATGGCCAATTATTTTGTGCTCTCAACCATGCTTTCCTGCGGGTTCCCTATGTCGGACGTTGGGTGTAACTTCTCGTCTATGGATGGCCGCTCTGCTTGAATCCCCCTGTAAAGGCCAACAAGATCATGGTCACCAAACATCTCTGCAACTTCTTCCAATGGCTTATTAAGCGTATTGGGATAGAAGAGGATTTGGCAGATGCTAAAGACGATGGCATTCACAATAAAGACAATGTAGAATCTCCATTGAATATTTCTGAAGGCTGTCGGAGCCACCTGGGTCCAGAGGATGTTGGTTAGACAGTAACAAGCCATACAAACCGTTGATCCCTTTGCTCGTAAATGTGTTGGAAAGAGTTCACTTGCCTGTGGGTTATAATGATTTAGTAAGTGAAATTGAGTAGAAATGCGAACTCATGGCAAGATAGTTTGGTACTCACGTAAAAGTACCCTGGTCCATCTAGGAAAATCGTATAGACAAAGGTGTACATGTAGATAAAGGCTACGCCTGCGGCGAGGCCGGCAGTGTTAGTACTACCCACGTACTTCGCTGTTATGACGGTTTCAATAGCGAGAGGAATCGCGGTGGCCATGGTGCCGCCTCCGAGCATCCAGTTCCGTGGCACTTTTTCCACGAAGAGCATGGAGATGCTGATGGCCAGGAGAGCCACGAGAATCTGACCCCCCGAGAACTGAAGCGACGTCCCAGCGCTGAAATTCAAGCCTGCGTAGATGGATGGAGCGTAATCTGAATGGTGATTAGACAAAATGAGTTAGAGACATAATAAGATGGAATGGGCAAATGAATAAAACGGGAGTTGGGACTGACTGGTAATTACTTGAGTGCCAGTGCTGTAGAGTATAAACAAGACGGAAGCCGAGAGGAGTAACCGACGTCGATAAGATGGTCTGGTGAACAGGATACGCCAGCTGGAATCCAATGAAGCGTCGAACTCTACCTGGCTCCTCATGATCTGAAATTCGGCCAGAACAAACTCGGTTTCAATATCGCTCTCGTTACGATGCAGCCGTTGAACTATGCAAAATGCTTCCTCGCTTCGACCATTCATCAACAGCCAACGCGGGCTTTCAGGTAGAAACGGCGTAAAGATCAAGGTCAAGAGAGGCCACAAGACTACAAAGGCTAGAGGTGCGCGCCACTCAGCATGCGATGTCGACCGATAGTAGAAGAAGCCGATCCCTGTGTAAGCTGCAATAAGGTATGAAAGAACGGCCATCCAGGCATGGATTTCTGCAAGTACACCTCGACCGTGAGGTGGTGCCACTTCTGTGATCCAGAGAGGTACCGTAATAAGGAACATTAAGCCGCTGTACGTAATTATGGTAAGTATTATAGGCCATATCATAAGCTAAGCATTGGACTTGCCTCCAGCCCACGAAGAAACGGAACACCATGAACATTCCTACTTTGACCGAGCCCGCGCACAGTGCACCGGAGATGATCATCAAAATAGCGGCGATAATGATAGTAGGCTTACGCCCAAGTCGGTCATTGCTCCACGAAGCAAAGATACACCCGAAAAATCCGCCGGCGTAAAAAAGTGAGTTGATTGCACCCAAAATATGAGAAGCGTCTGGATTATCAGGACCCAAGTTCATGTACTCGATGAATGAAGGCTGGCCTAGATTCAAAATTGTCAGGAGTCGCGCTAAAACTTGGACATTCCTTCGTTCCATGGGAAAGTAGAAGACAGACTAGCAAGACTTACCCAGTGTAGTGGCGATGATGGCAGATCCGAAGCCAAAAGACATACTTCCAAACCCCATGGCGAAGCAATAGATGACCAATCGTTTAGAGCAATTGATCTTCTTCTCCTGCGAATGCAGAACCTCGATGGCGTGCTGGGTATCTTCCTCCGCCATGGTAGGCACATTGACGACGTTGTCGTCGGTATGATGGGCCATCGTCGCGTTAATAGACTGATGTATGCTCATGGGAAATTGATTGAGAAAGGGAAGCGTTGGTTTGGTGTTTTGCTACTAGCTAAGACCTGGAATTCCAGGAGTTTTACACTTTCACAAGGATGTTGAACTAATGGATACTCGCTTTAATCATGTGGCTCAGAAGTCCCCACAGCTTGCCAACCCCCGGACACGAACCTGGGGTTCCAGCTAATCCGTAGCTTAAAGCAGCTCAGAGTCGACCCACGTGGCATTTTTGTCTCACACGATCCCTATGGGAGCGGTTTACCCCCCCATACGATTGGGCATTGAATCAGTTTTCTTAGCCGAAGAACGAGTTGGGGAAATGACAGATCCTCCACGCCCGGAATTGACTGCAGAAATGACTCGGAATTGACTGCAAATCTGCTGGTGGTGGAAATTGTCCAGGTCAAGGGACGTTTTGTGGTATTCGAGTTGGAGAAGGTTAACCAAGACGAGCAGTGGACTCAATCCTAGGCCTTGTTACGAACCAGCGAACGGATACAGCATGCGAGTCCAGTTGTCATGTCCTTCGAAGATGAACGCCATTGATTTTGTTGGACTAGGCTGAGTTGAGGGCGCTGTTAGAGACCGTCTTTACAAGTCAAATACTCACGCCCAGCGTCTTAGTGTCTCCTGCGGAACGCCGACGCCCTCATGTTCCTTACAACTTTTGCAACACCATTAATTCACTGTTTCTAGTCATATATAACTATATTCTCGGCCTTCACAAGGAGGATTTCTCTCCGTCTAGAACGTCGCCCGACAGAACGCCGCCCGATGGCTCCATGCGGCACGCTGTGCGACGGCGAGAAAGCCCTCTCTCGAGGAGAGAAAGTTCGCTCCTTTTGGCTATATAATAGATCGATATCTCCCTCCTAGCAAGGAAGGCCAGACTCGTCAATACACCCCATTTGGCCCCCAAATATCGCCTAGAACTGGGCGTTGCATAACAGATTTGGAGGCTGAATTTGAGTCAGAGGTTATACGGACGGAGACAAGGAATTTTGGACGAGGAACCGTTGTAAAGATAACCTCCGAGCTGCAATTAAACAACGAGGCAGCGTGTGGTTAGAGAACAAAACTCCTCTTGCGGCCATGGATGTTAAGCGCATGCGGTGAAGGGAGCCATCTACAACAGCATCTCAACTGTTGAGGTTAAGGAGAATATCGCATCTGATTCGCCGCCAAGATCAGTCAGAATATGAGTAGAAGAGCGAATTACACAATGGGTACTCGTCGAGAAAGCCTGCCAAGACCGCCTTTTCGGTTGTAGATTCACATTATAATTATTCAAGGGGTCGCTCCCCGGACATTCCGTATGGTTCTTTGGAAAGCCATCTGAAAATCACTACTCCGTACTGCCGGTTTCGCTAACTAGGGTAATCATCCCAGAGTGGACTGATGGTGAATGGAATTAGCCCTTACTTTCCCCGATGTCCTCTCTACGCTAGAAGCCGGAATCGCGACGGTAGTTACCATGCTTTTGACCGGAATTGAGAGTTGATTTTCTGCATCGTCCTGGATCACCTCGTATCCGCCATTAATACGTGGAGGCTTGGCTCTAATAAGTACGCAACAAGGTCTTCTAGGCATTGATTGCTTACAAGTCCGCAGAGTTTGAGATAGATTCCTTGGTTTGATCTTCACGCCTTAAGATGGTTTCCAATGATACGTGGTTCGGTGCTGTGTCCGAGGAAAATGTAGAAAATCCCCGGCTAAAAGACCTCCCTCCCTTATACCACCATTGCGTCGATAACTTCCGGCCGGTTAAAGTGATTTGTATAGGCGCCGGATTTTCGGGCATTCTCACGGGCATCCGCTTTCCCCAAAGAATTCCTAATTTGAGTCTCACCATCTACGAGAAGAATGAAGAAGTTGGAGGGACATGGTGGGAGAACAGGTCAGATAATCTCTTGTTACATTATCGACTCAAGTCTTACTTTCTGACCGTTTCCCCAGATATCCTGGCGTTCGTTGCGACGTCCCAAGCGCCGCGTACCAGTACACGTTTGAGAGTAACTCCCAGTGGAGCGAATACTACTGTACTGGAGGCGAGATTGAAAAATATCTAATCCGTGTCGCCCACAAATATGGTGTCTACAAGTACATCAAGTTCCAAACCGAGTTTTCAGGGGCGACTTGGTCAGAAGATGAAGGTAAATGGGAGGTCAAATTGAGAAATCGGCTCACCGGAAGGGTAGGCCTTAAAGGCATCATGACTTATTTGTCTTAAGCTAACTGCAGTCTAAACAGGAGTTTACGGATATCTGCGACTTTCTCATAACTGCTACTGGGATCCTGAATAAATGGAAATGGCCCGACATCGAGGGACGAGAGACTTACGGCGGCACGCTAGTTCATTCGGCCAATTGGGATTCTGAGCTCACAATGGACCGAATGAAGGGTATGAAGATCGCTCTTATCGGCGCCGGTTCGTCGGGCATTCAGATTCTTCCAGAGATCCAACCGATTGCAAAACATGTTGACCATTACATGAGTGGCAAAACATGGATTTCTCCAATTGGTTTTGGAAGCCAAGAGCTTGAAAACAGAGGTGTGACTGGTAACTGTATGTTGTCTCCTTGGAGAGTGTTATATGTTATATCAAAACGGGTTGTTACTGACTGACCGCTTCTAGTTAAACATACTCAAGAAGAGTTGGACTTATTTAAAAGAGACCCCCAAGCCTACAAGGCATTCCGATCCAAGATCGAAATCATGGTGAATGCTGCGGCCCTCGTAACTTTATTTGGCACGTCAGCTCAAAAGCAGTTCAAGGAGGTCAACCGGGAAGCGATGAGAAAGAAACTGGAAAAGAAACCAGAAGTGATGGAGGCTTTAGAACCCAACTGGCCTCCTGGCTGTCGGCGTCTTACCCCTGGGCCAGGTTATTTGGAGGCGCTGGTCCAAGACAATGTCAGCTTCATCCCCACCAAGATCAAACGCTTTACCCATAATGGAATTGAAACTGTCGATGGAGTTGAAAGGGAAGTCGACTTGATCATCTGCGCTACGGGGTTCGACACATCCCTAAAACAACCAATGCCGATACGGGGTCGGAATGGCGTTTCGCTCAACGAAGTTTGGGATCCGACACCCGAAGCATACATGGGTATCTTTCCACCTCAGATGCCTAACATGATGCGGTATATTGGGCCTAATGGCGCAGCTGGAACAGGTGGACTCATCAAAGTAATCGAGAGCGCCTGCGAGTATATGATCAAGGCCGTCCAAAAAGCACAGCGTGAGTACATCAAGGCGCTCGTGCCCCGGAACGAAGTTGTTGCCAAGTTCTCCAAACATATAGACCAGTACTTCACCAAGACTGTCTACACACAGCCGTGCCGGTCGTGGATGAAGCGAGGCAAGGAAGACGGCCGAGTTGTGACCATCTGGCCTGGCTCAGCCCTCCATGCCTCTTATGCCTACGAGAATCCGCGTTGGGAGGACTTTGAATACACCCCCATGCCAGAGACGGAGGACAACCCACTCTACTTTTTGGGGAACGGACTCACGATACTGGAAGAGCAAGGCAAGCACACTGCAGATTATCTCGATACAGTTGACAAGCCCCCTGTCATCAATCCGGAGGTGGATATCGAGGCAACAGGGGAGCAAACTAAAACTGGCATCAATGGGGGCGCAAGCAGTCCGTAAATGTAGACATTCTAAACGCTCCCAGTTAAATTTTCTGCGGTTCTCAATGAAATCTCAGTCTTTTCAGGCTCCTGATGTAATACAGAAGTACAAGAGTGCTTCACCGCACTATCTATCCAACATCGCACGTGCAGAAAGTGGAAACCAAATTTGGAGAGACGTCGGGCGTATGGTACTTAGTCACGAGAAAGATTTGACACTTTGAAGAGTAAGACCAGATCATCATAAATGGTTGAGAGCATTGGATTTCAATCGGTGGCAACTTCAAGAGCTGGAAATCCTCTTTTCCTTCCAAATCAACCTAACTGGAATTTCTGAATCTGAAAAGAGAATACCTGACAAGAGAGAGAGGAATACGCTGGCCCCCAAAGCTCAGCCATGGAACGAATGTGGCAGCCTACCATAGTTGCCCCTAATTTGCACCCTCACTTTACCTGCTCTAACTCCAACGAAAAAGCTCCCTTTGTACGTTCAACTTCCTCCACGGCCTTGGACGCGACAGTCTCTTCAGAACCGGAACCCTCGGAGATCTCGGCAATATCTTCCAGCGTGCGTTTGTTTGTTTCCGGGAAAACTAAATACTGAATAACAAGCAAGGCGACTAAAAGGACACAAAAGACGATATAATGGCGCCATCCAATATTTTTGAGACCTCGAGGGTTGACAAATTGCGCAATGATCAAGGCCACCTGATTCATGGCCATGGATGAAGCGAGGCCGCGAGCACGTAGCATAAATGGGAATACTTCGACCAGGTATGAGATAAGGGGCGGGATAAAGGAGAAATCGTAGCACAGGTAGTACAGGAAGATAAAGGCCACCATGGAGCGGCCAACTGGGACATTCTTGGACCTTTGAAACTCGGCTGAGAGCACTGTCCAGGCGATTTAAGTGAGCAACATACCTGAGGTTGCGCTTAGCCAGAGTTTTCGACGTCCATTACAGTCCACAACGCTGGCAGCGATAATGGAAGCGATCAAGTTAAAAAGCTGTAGAAGTGCACTAATCAGCGTCTGGGAGCTCTCAGATATAATGCCAATGGTGTCGAGGACGAGTGTGAGGTAGTAGACAATCACTGCAACGCCACTCCACGTTTCAAACCAGCCGAGACCAGCGCAATGAAGGTGCGTTTGCGGTTGGCGGGCGTCCGGACAAGGTCGACGTACAAGGCCTCGGAGTTTGTGTGCCTCTCGATCCAAATACTTTCCTCAACCTCCTTGATTTCAAAAGTGACAAGGGCTGACAACTCGTCTCCGTCGCCATAATATTTGACGAGCGTCTTGCGCGCCTCTGCAACTCGGCACTTGGACACTAACCATCTGAGAATCTTAGTTCGTTTCACGTAGCTCCTGGTGAAGGAAACTACGCACCTGGGCGATTCGGGTACTAACCTAACGAGGCAAAGCTGCAGCTGGGGAGTGGCAGCCTGGAGAACAGAAGGGATTCTCCACGACCACGTGGAATTCAAGCGAAATGTGCCGTAGGTGGTCCAGGCTGCAATAACCGCTCCAAGATGCTAATCTCACATTCCCAGTTAGCCCAACTAATCTCTCAAACGGGAACTTCGTCCAAAGATGGCTTGTCTCTTACGTAAGTGCAATAGTAGAGCGCGGTGAATTTACCTCAACGGTGGGATATGACAGTTCAGATATCAAGATAGGGGCTGCCTGTACCGCAAATGCCGTGGCAAATCCAAGAATGAGACGTGATATAAAGAACATGGCCACATGTTAAGCAGCACCTTGGATCGCAGCACCAACAACGAGAAGCATGAAGCCAATTATCATTGGGAGCCTCCGTCCATAGCAATCGTTCAACCATGCAGTGATGAACAAGCCGAAATATTTGCCAATGGCGTAGATGGCGTTCATCAGGCCGAGAACTGACGGGTCCGGGTCATTGAAATACGCGCGCAACTGGGTCAGGGATTGAAGCCCGTTCATCATGGAGCCTAAGGATGAGGAATGCTTGGTTATAACTGGATCATGGATATTGAAATTGGCGGTCCGGGGATTGTCCGGCTTACCGTCGTAGCCATATGCCGCAGCAGATAACCATGGGAAAATAAGAATGGCGTTCAGCTTGAGAAGATGTCGTTTGTGATACCAAGGGACTCCATCCTGTGGTAGTAGCTATTGTCTCATCGACCATGTCAGACTTCATCATAACCGGTAGAACTCGCCAACGAACAAGTCAAATGAGAGCTCACAGCAGCAAGTTCTGAGCCCACAGAACGCAAAGCAGTATTTTTGGAACCCTGGCCCATGATCCTGGCCAACCAATACCGAGAAGAGACTCTGTAGAATGGAGGGAAACGACAGAAGCTAGAAAATACGGAGGTTAATGGACTGAGTCGCTCTTACAACGGCTCAACCACAAGATTTACGTACAGAGTCGTCCTTTGCGCCACGCCCCGGATTGTGGGCAAAGTGGAGCTGCGAGTGGAGCTGCTGAGGCCATGCTTATTCCGAGGCCACTTGAATTCTTATTCCTTACGCAAACCCCTTTGACTCGGTTGGCATCGATATGACTCCGCTCTGCTCTAGCTTGCCAGTGAACTGTGTGACTGATGTGACCAGTGTGATCCATAAATACCTGTAGCGAAGGGTTACTTGTTCTCGAATTTGTCTCGAGCAGTGGCTCTGCCGAGACGGGGGTGGGATCTAGGGCAAAAGAGCAGCCCTACTTCAACTTCCAACTTGACGGGGAAATATGAAGCTTACGTCTGTTCCCCATGAAGACAAAATGTTTGAATCCATGTAGCTCCAGCCATCGACGAAAGCAATTCCAAGCGCAGTAATAGTGGCGTCCAGTGCCTTTTCCGTGGCCCATCAGTAGGCCAGCTTGAGGCACTCAATTCCGTGGTCCTGGCTGATATTTCCCACCAACCAAAAGACTCTGAATGATGACTGTGTTACAATTACTGCCACTGCTACCCAGACCATAACTACATCCCGTTTATGGCAGTTGCATCAAACTTCATTCTGCGTCTTTGGAGAGGTCGCTTCTAGAGAAAATAACAACACGTAGTCAAGACCCTTTAATCATCCACGCCCAAGTCTAACTTCCTGTTTGGCTTCAGCATGCCTTCAAATCGAGAGCCGTCCATCATTCCCTTCGCCGAACTCGAGCCATCGTGGCACGTACCGGGAGCGAAGGTCGGAGGAACACTACGCTGGTTGATCAGTTGGGTGGGTGGACGCAAGGGCTTTGTAAACTCCAATCCTGAAAGAGCAGTGATCAACGATGAGATTTCGGTTGGTCTGATGTACCTTCCCGTCGGTCAACGACAGGAGGGGTTGCATTATCACACTGTGACCGAAATTTACGTTATTGTCAAAGGACGTGTCGTTGGGTACGACGGCTCGAATACGTCTCATATCGCAGGCCCGATGGACTGCATCTACATTCCAGCCGGCGTACCACATGGTGTTCGAAATGCGGGCATGGAAGATGTCGAACTGATCTGGCTACATGACGGGGTCGAAGCGTCTGGGATGACCATCTACTGCGACACCCAGCAAGATCTTGAGAACGCCCCCTCTAAGGCACCTATCCAGGTCGTGCAGCTTCAAGACCTAGCTCCCGTGTGGTCCAATCCGCGAGCCAAAGAGCCAGAGTTCTTACGATGGGTGGTGAATTGGATCGGAGGCCCTGGCGGGTTTGAGAACTTGAACCCAGGCTACGCTGTCGAGAGCGAGAAGATCGCCTTGGGCCTGACTGTGCTCATGCCAGGCAACAAACAGGTGCCTCATTGTCACTCCGTCGCTGAAGTCTACGTAATTCTGAAGGGCAAAGTACTCGTGAAGCTCGACAAGGAAGGCAAAAAAGCAAAAGAGCTCGCATATCTAGATTGTGCCTATTTCCCAGACGGCGCGGTCCATTCATTGCGCAACCATGGCTCAGAACCAGCATATATCATGTGGGCGCATGATAGAGCCAACCGATCTGGCGGAACCAATTACGAAAACCTTGAAGGACAAGAGCTAAGCACTCCCCAACCATCGACAAATGGAATAGCTTAAGGTTTTAATACTCAGATTTGAGGGACATAACTGGGGCGTCACAGTACATGTAGATTCAATAATAACTGAGAAGTTGTGCAGTTCCCAGATCTTGAGTCCCTTGATAAATCGAAGAAGCTACCAAGGCCAAGTACGATAGGCGACCCGTATGGCCCAGCGGTTACAGGTCGCCGAACATCTTTGCCTGTACAGCTGTTTACTCATGAGAGGCTGCAAAGGCTCCTTATTCTCTATTTAAGGGCTCCAAGGGAGATCTAGACTATATCGGTACTAGGCGACTATAGGAAGAGACAGAGTAGGCGAGGGAATGATATACCCCAGATTCTGAGGGAGCCGCGGCTTAGCTGGAGAGAGAGGCCCTTTACTTATTGGGCATCTCTTGAACAAAATAGATAGAAGGAATATGCTCCTCTCAGCCTGTAGATGCAAACCCCTTTTCGATATGGGACGGCCAGAATCGCCTGGTTCAGAAACATGCTTTGCCGCTATTTGATGACATTCTTGGTGCGATCGCTGTGAGCCGTCCAAGCATGGTGCATTTGCGGCTACATCAATCAAGTCAAAAGCCGGGAAGAGGCTTATTCTTGTCGAGAAGCGGGGTATAACAACCACTGGAGAAGTTTTTCCTTGGGATTAATAACCTCACTTGCACCTACATCGTCGAGGCAGTCTCCGGGGCCACCTTAATCAAGAACAAGGAATCTTGTGTCTCTCAGAGTTCGACTTACGAAGGAGCAGCTGGTGATTCGCCTGCTACGGCCGCACAATATTAAATGTAATATTGATTACTCCTCTGATGTCAACCGTGCTGATTGTGGAAAATGATGAGGTTGTACTTTTGCCTTGACCAACTCCGCTGTCATGGAATTGAACATTGAACATCCCGAACAGAGGCCTGCAACATTACAAAGCATTACAGGATACTGTTATCCGTACGAGGTAGGCAAATTCAGATTTCCGCCATCTGGTCGGCAGAAGGTGAATAGTCAGGAACTCAAGCGGAATTGGCGTGTGATTCATGGCCGAGTGTAAGTAGGGACTGTCTGCTCTATATGCTCTCAAGGGGAGTTTGCCAAGCTACCCAGCGCACAGCCAGTCTTTTCCTTTGTTGAGAAAGGAACACAGTGCAAACTGATCTATTACCATTATATCTTGCATAAGCTACGATATCATGTCTTACACGTGCTTGAAAGGCAAGACTTACATCGTCACCGGTGCTGCGTCCGGTATCGGCCGAGAGATCTCGATTCGATTAGCAAAGCAAGGTGCAAACATTGGCCTGGTGGACTTGCAGATGCCTGACCAAGTGTTAGCCGAGGTCGTAAGGGCCGGTGCGAAAGGGTTCGCGGTGGCGGCCAACGTCTGCCACTCGGACGAGATTGAAACTGCCTTTGGACAAATTGCACACCATTTCGGAGGTCTCGACGGCGGGGTCAACTTCGCGGGTATCATTGGAAAGAATTACAAGCTTGGACAAAAGGAGACATCATTGCAAAATCTGCAAGACGATGACTGGAGCAGCGTCATCAACGTCAACCTGGGTGGAGTGATGAATTCCATCCGGGCAGAGTTGAAGTTGATGAAAGGTCCCGGGGCCATTGTGAACGCTGCCAGCCTTGCAGCACAAATTCCCACCCCGTACAATTCGCCCTACGGGGCGAGCAAACAGGGTGTCATCTCGTTGACAAGGGCTGCTGCTCAAGAGGTGGGAGCTAGGAGGATCAGGGTGAATGCAGTGGCGCCGTAAGTTTCTCCCCGGTTTGATTTTCTTCTGTATCAAGATACCTGAGAGTTCAATCCTATTAACATCCATCATCTGTACATCTTAGGGGATTTGTGAAGACTCCGATGTTGGAGCAATTTAGCAACGACAACGACGTGATTCAAAAGCGCGTCATCGAGCCGAGGGTCGCGCTTGGGCGCATGGCGGACCCAGAAGATGTCGCGCGCGCAGTCTTGTTTCTTTTGAGTGAAGAAGCGGCATATATCACAGGGCATGTAAGTTTTTACCTACCGACTCCACTCGCTTGAGCGCGTCTCTAACCTCTGTCAGGTTCTAGATGTGAACGGAGGATATAGCTAGGAGAGGATAAATCGTACATGAACTGCACTCCTTTGTCGGAAACAAGGTCGGAAAGTCGGAATTGGTTTTTCCTCCCGCCAATATCTGTGCTCTTCAAAACAGAATACGGGTAATAAAATAATTCAGTATAAGCTGAAGCACATCCTCCGTATCTATCTGTAAATTGGTTGTACTCCGTATAATTGTCCAGGATGGCATCAGGTTTCCCGTACGAAAGTGGGTAGCTTCCTTCTAGGCCCTCGTTATATCCTGGTCTCAGATCCTCTTTAAGCGGGTATTGTATATTGGAGATAACATATCGACAGGCTACATCAAAGTCACATTCTATTTCAATAAGAACCCAGCGTTGACCCATAAACAGTTCTACGAATATTGGTCAAATGTTCATGCCCGGATCAATTGTGGTGTTGAAGGTTGGCCATGGAGCGGAGTAAGAAAATATATTCAAGTACGTGTAAGGGTTAACGACTCCCACTATTATGAATCCAGTATCTTAACCCGTCATCACCTATACTGCTAGTCTCACTCTCCTCCTGAGTTGAACATAAAGGCTTCAACGGACCTTGCAATGGATCACCTCGCCTGGGATGGAGCGTCGGAATTCTATGTCGCCGTTGATGAGTGGGACAACTTTGTAAAGTTTATGAATGTTTGTTGTGGTTATACATTCATGTCACATCCTGCAGACACTGACATTTCCTCAGAGCGATAAGTTCAAGACCGTCCTGGCTCCGGATGGCGCAAAGTTCGCAACTCCCCCTATGAAGATTATAGTCTCCCGAGAAATTGTGGTGGAGGATGTTGCAGCTGGAAAATTATGTCGAGGATCCTGAACTACTGTATAAAGATATCAAATCATGCAATCCAATGCATTAGGATCATCATCAAGCAGCTCGATGACATCGGATTCGCTCTCCCAGACACAAGGGAGAATCAGAATCAAGACAGTGGGTGTCGCATACATTGAAGCCTCTAGCGCAGGCAGTCTAGAAGGAGGTTGACTGTATGCAGACTACGGCTTTATGAACAGTGTATCTACACTCTGTCAAGCAGATAGCCAAGTCTCTAACGGGCATGCTGCGGCCGCACCCGCGCGCACGAAGCTCCGCGTCTTTTTTACAAAAATCAGCGCTAAATTCCCGAATACGTCTTGCGTTTTTATCATTTTCACGTTCACGCGTGTCACCCCTCCAACTTGTAACCACCATGGCAACACCACGCAGGCCTCTAGGCGAGATCTCAGGCAATAGCCAGCGAGGGAAAGATCTCACTCCCATAGAGAGAGCAAAAATAGAAGGAATGCACCCCGCGAGGGCCTTATATTCCCAGATATTCACTACACTTAACTAGCCATGTATAACCGTTTATAATATCATTAAATTAACTAAAAAAAGAAAGGATTATGTCTTATACAAACGCCCTAGATAATCTGTTTTTTGTACCCCTAGATAGAAGAGATAACTTCTATATCTAGCGTGACACTATCTAATGTGGAAATACAATAAAATTATACAATAATTAATAGTGTCTAATATAGTTGATAAGTGAGCTACACAAACAAGCCAGCTATACACCCAACACAACACCACACCCTTTAAACTCTAAAAAATTCACCACAACGCACAAAATCAATTGAAACTACTAAGTACCCTCTTTCTCAGTGATTTCTATAACCTCCTAACAAGTCTATATATTATATCTAGTGTTTCCATAAGTACTATAGTGATAAGCACACACTTCTATCCTTTATATTATAACAGGAATAGAAGGGGAAGCACCAGGTGCACAGAGCTGTAGTCAATCTTGCAACATGAGTCAGGAACTAAGAGACGCTCGTGGAACACTCCTTCTTTCTTCGCAACGCTTGATTGTCTGCTCCGGGCCACGCTTGACGGTGCGCCGAAGCGCGCGCTGCACCTGGAGTCTGTAGAGAACACTGTGGACTTGGTTAGGACTTCGCTGTCGCCGCGCATCACTCTGTACGCGGTCTCTGTACACACATGTTGACTATGCACACCTTTCTGTATGCACTCTGTAGTTGCTTGTCCTCAATCGATTCAATGAGTACATGCTACTTGTGTGCGTGTACTTGCTTGTTCATGTTCATGGCTACTCATGCCTATTCTCTGTCTGTCCGCATGTATGAAGAAAAAGATGAAAAGAAACACTTGCCTAGGCCCCTTGACCTAGATGCACGCTTGCTTGGCCCAGGGCCCACTGTATCCTGGCCACCTCCCTAGAGAGGGACACACACCTCCCGACTCACTACAATATAACTAGAAACAGTGAATCGATAGGGTTGCATAAGTTGTAAGAAACGTGATGGCGTCGGCGTTCCGCCGAAGACACTAAGGCGCTAGGCGTGAGTATCTGACTTGTAAAGACGGTCTCTGACAGCGCCCGCAACTTAGCCTAGTCCAACAAGGTGATAATAATGGGCACGCCGGTGATAATGTGAACACTGTAGAGAGCGAGGTCATTATATTGAAACATGCCCTATACAGTTAGCAGAAGGAGTAGATAGTGCTCCAGAGTCTTCTAGTTAAATACTTTTGTGGTGAGGAAGGAATTTATGTGTAAAGTGGCTGGGCCTGGTATTCTGGTGGGGAGGTGCGCAGCTCACCTGTGGATTATGTTATGTCAATTCCGAGTCTAAATCCTTTGTTCCGCATTCCGTCTGAAGACTTACCTCATGGGGCACTGATAAAGGCTGCGCCACCTGCGACGGAATAGATCTGGAGGAGCAGGGAAACAATGACTTTCTTTTCAAAGCACACGTAAACCATATAGAAACCCGGCGGGAGTCGTTCAGAAAATTTTTGCAAGCACGGGTGAAAACTAACTCCCTCAGACACAATGCCGGTCGCCATCATTACAGGAGCAGCTCAGGGGATTGGAAAAGCCATCGCTCTTCGCCTCTCGGAAGATGGATTCAGTGTAGTTATAGGTGATATTGCTCCTCAACTAGACGCCATGAAGCAATTGGTGGCCCAAATTGTTACCAGCGGACGGAAAGCTCACTGTGTTACTGTCGACGTGTCACGGCAAGACGAGGTTGAGGCTCTGGTTGCTGAGACAGTCAAAGTCTTCCAAGAAGTCAATGTCATGATTGCCAATGCAGGAATTCTAGATACCGCCGGGGTACTGGACATTAGTGTTGAGAGGTGGGAGAGAACAATGTCTGTGAATGTTCGCGGAGTTTTCTTATGCCACACCATTGCAGCAAAACAGATGGTCAAGCAAGGCATGGGAGGAAAGCTGATTGCCGCTTGTTCAATTTCAGGCTACCGGCCCAGCGGTAAATGCCCTGCCTACTGCACGAGCAAATGGGCGGTCCGAGGATTTACCCAGACCTGTGCTCTGGAGCTTGGTCAGTATGGGATTACTGCGAACGCCTACTGTCCTGGTTCAGTTCCCACACCAATGTCGCTGCAATTTGCCGAGCGCCTAGGGAAAGAGCAAGGGGTTTCTGACCCTGAAGAGATATATAAAAAGTCCTCGCACCGTCTCTCTGCTCTTCCTGTCGACTTAAAGACCGAAGATATCGCTGGTTTGGTGAGCTTTCTTTCAGGAAAAGACTCTAATCATATCACTGGGCAGAGTCTAATCTGCGATGGAGGTTAGTATCTATTTCTGTGTATAATCGACCTTTTCCACTAAACAGATCCTCCAGGAATATCTTTCTCTTGACCATTTACAAAACAAAGGAAGAGAGAGTGGTTATGCACGGGGTGGAAGTACTCCACTATCGTTGCAAGGCCGCTACCAGGAAAAGAGAGAAAACAGTATTGTGGAACTGCTGGATTATACACACTACCTGAACACAGCTGCGTTGCCTGGCTCGAGTATGAATTTCCATAGAAACGCCAGCGTCCGTCACGAGAGCGCATCCCACCTGCTGTCGTGCAACGCTCACACAATGGGAGTTAAATGGGATGTATTGACGAGTCTGACCTCGATGACTAGGAGGTTCGAGGACTATGATATATATAGGCAAAAAGGAGCGACTATTCTCTCGTCCAATTGAGGCCTCTTTCGTTGCCGCATCACAGGCCGCAAGTTGGCCTTTCCTTGTGAACTCGAGTGGTTGCAACAAGCGCTCAGATAATTGGCAATAGAATGGCCTATATTTTGCTGTCAACGTGATATAGTTCAATGAGTGACTCGATAGTTGTGAAATGAATGGATTGAGTGATGCGAAATGCGCAATAATGAGCGTTCTAGGCGACGGAGTTCCTCCGGAGGCGTTCGGCGCGAGTATGGAGGTTGTAATGACACCGTTACAACTCAGCCTGTTCAACACCTGCTCCTTAGAGAGGTAATAAACTTCAAAGTCCTATGACCGTGGCCTGGAAAGCTACTAGCTAGCTATGAGAAAAGTGCTGTGGAAGGTTACATTCACTGAGGCCAAACTTCTCATTCAAACCGCAACCTTCCATTTCACAAGGACAGCATAGATGTTTAGTGGTACTTGTTCTTCTCTGCATTAATGTCGTTTTCCAAAAACACTTCGGCTAAAAGAATCAATCAGTTTTTCTAGATCCACAAGAAAGGAGCATCAGGCAACCACCACTCACTCTTGGGAGTCATCTTGGGAGTGATGTCCTGGCACAGACAGATTGCAATGAGGCAGACGACACCAAACCCAAGGGAGCAGAGACAAACGTTGCTACTCTTGATGATTAGCATTCGGGGGCCCGATGACAAAGCACCGGATCTTACCGTATAGCTATGGTGTAACTGTCGAACAGCGAATTTCTAGCAGCGGCAAGAATACTGCCAGTCATATGAGGCACCTTCTCGAGGGCGTCAGAACCTTGATTGAGAGCTATCATCAGGGCCGGCACATCCGCCGCAGGGAGGCCGGCTTTGATTGCCGCAGCCGGCACCTTATGCTTTGATTCATTTCTTAGAGAGTTGGAAAGGACTGTTGTGTAGATAGACGAGGCAAGCCAAGCACCAGTCCACTTGCCACCGCCGCTAGAGTACATAGAACAGTTAGTCGATGATTATCGGAAGGAAAATGTCAAGAACACTTACGCGAGACCGCCAGATACGCCAAGCTCGGTCTGGGGAGCACCAAACTGCAAGAACGTCATGCTTAATGGTACCTGATAGCCGAATCCGAATTGGCAGAGGAAGCTGAATACCATCATCAAAGCCATGTTATGCTTCGTCCCGAGTGCCAGCAAGGTCCCGAACAAGACACTAAGGAAGATGGCAACGAAGTACTGCGTACGCCAGTGCCGGATCTTTGAGCTGTACAACCAAAATTAGTTCAATTATATAATGAACGTATTCCGCATGCTTGGAACACACCCGAAAAGTCCGACGAATACCTGTCCTAGAGGCAAGCCTAGGTTTTGCGGTAGTATAATGGCGAGCGTGTACGATAAAGAGCTGGTTGGAGAAGTCCAAAATACCTCAACCTGCTGAGTGTAAGCATTTTTAAGAGATGCGAGCGGGATTTGGGGAGCTCAATATCACCTGTGTCAAGAAAGCAACATTAGTTGCAAAATATCCCATATTTGAGATTGTGCCAGCAATGAAAGGGAAGGTGAACTCGCGGCCTTTATCTTTGGCGAAGATATGCGGCGGGGTAAGAGCAGCCCTCAAGGGCATGAAATGCTCATAGAGCGCAAATGCGACAAGAACACCAAATCCAGAGACTAAAGTTCCAAATACTTTTGGATCAGAAGCGGGTATGGTGGTCGTTTGCACAATTCCCGAAAACACAAGAGAGCCCCCAATCGAATACAGCATTGCTCCACCATAGTCCAGATTTTTGATCGCCTGGTGCCAGGGGATACCGCGAGGATGTTTGGGTGGATAATAAACCAGGTAGAGAGTGGCAACAATCCCAGCGACGCCGATGGCAGGACCATAAAAGAGCCAACGCCACTGCAAATTCATCGTCAGGCAAATTCAATTTACAATAGAGGAGATGCCCACCTGATCACCGTGCCTGATGGCATATCGGCCGGCTACTGGACCAAGAACAACATCAAGCCAGGTTCCGATATCTTGAGCACTTGTCAGGCACATCATGCAATAGTCAGAATTCTTTGAATTTGTTTCTACCAGATATTACAATGCCAACATGACGGAGTCGATTCGGCAGGAGCTAGAATCCAGTCAGTTACCACCGAAATGCCAACCGTTTTGCGGTATACCTCGGGTAATGCGAATGCCGCCAGCTGAGCCAGCCCTGCTCCCTATTTTAGGAAACCAATGTGGTTAGCCCAATATATCATCAGAAAAGGGCGAATGTTCTTACAATTCCTTGAATAACACAGCCTGCCATGATCATCTTCGTGTTTACGCCAGCGCCGATGACAAGCAACCCGGTAAACACTAAGATGTTGCCGACAATAAGAAACCACCTTCTCCCAAACAAGTCGGAATTTGATGCGAACAGTATCTGAGAACTTGCATTGCAAAATAAGTACAATGGCATCCACCAGGTAACATCTGAGATCGAGACAATCCCAACTTTGACAGCGACTTCGCTCTCGATTGCCGAGAAGACGGGAATGATCCAGAAAGAAAAGCCATAAGACCTGGTCGGGGTTATAGAGTGAGCAACACTTTGGTAAAAGATTCTTACATTGATAAAGCCTTGATGTGATCCTAATTAGTTTGGTTTTGACCCGAGAAGGAGATGAAAGTCACTCACAAATACGACCAACCAGGCCTTGATAGTCATTTTGACTTCCTCCACTTCCTGGAACGTACTGTCTTCACCGCTAGACGCTGGAAAGCTGACTGCATTGGCCGCCTCCTCCTGCTCGGTAACGATGAATTTTTCAAGTTGGCATGTGTCCTCAGTTGTGGATGCCATTTCTTCCACCTGGAGAGTTGCGTGAAGATCTAAAGAAAGTTGCAGTAGCCCGTCCAAAAAGGCCCATAGGATCTGCGTCTCGATGGTGTCGCTAGTATCCGGGGGTAGTATCGGCTTTAGTTTCTCGCTCCTATATAGATTTACTTGACTTTGTGGTTTAATCTCGATTCCCCAGACTTTCCATGTGGATGTTTCATTCCGTTTAATTCCATCTCTGCTCGGGGGGGGTGGGGGGTGGGGTTGACGGAATTCAGCACGACCTATGGGGAGCCGTGTTGCTTGCGAGGGATACCGAGGATAGTAGATCAAAGAGCAATACCAGCAATGAAACACGCGTGAGTCTACCATAGGAGGTGGATAAAGAGCATGATTAAAGTAGAGCTTCAACTTACGATTTTCCCCAGTTTCTCTGCTCTTGCGGTATCTCACAGCGGCGCAAGAAATGTGGTCAAGAAAATGAACCATTCCCCTATGTGACCGATTTCCGGTAGTTCCGGTTCTCGAGTGGAGTACATACAGAGTGGCGGCCTCAAAATCAGGCACCACCTCTGGCCAGATAGAGCTCCTAGAATGCAATCTGTATGCAAAGCCACCATGACAATCGACATACCAGCGAGCACAAGCACATGTGATGTGTCAATTATCAACTCAACTTGTGACTCTATTGCGCGTCCACACCTGTTGATTGATCCCAGTATCGAAGGCTATAATTGGCTTAATCTCCCTACATGGGTTTTTTATATCAAACATTCAGCCACAGGTCGACAACTAGTTTTCGATCTCGGTAGCCGAAAGGACTGGGAAAACCATGTGCCCAGCATCCGAAAACTGATAGAATGCCATGTGCCTGGCCTCAGAGTATCATCTGACGTGGCAGATCTCCTTGCCCAGGGTAACATCGACACCCATAGCATCGAGGCTGTGATACTAAGCCATGCACACCCTGACCATGCCGGATCTCCACAGACACTACCGCATGGTGTAAATCTGCTGGTGGGTCCTGGATTTACAGAAAGTTTTCTCCCCGGATACCCATCGAACCCTGACTCGGTGTTTCATGAATCCGAGTTTATAGGGCGTCAAGTTATCGAGGTCCAGTTTACGAATGATTTCACAATCGGGTCGTTGCAGGCATTCGACTACTTTCACGACGGGAGTATGTATATCTTGAATATTCCTGGGCATGCTGTAGGCCATATAGGTGTGCTTGTTCGGACTACGAGTGACAGTTTTGTTCTCCTGGCAGGAGACACTTGTCATATGCCTGGAGTTATGCGCCCGTCAAAAGCCATGCCAATGCCCGACACCCTTCCGGAGTTTTGTATCTTCAATGATAACATCAGTCCACCTTGGCTAGGCTCTGATTATACGTGTTGCCACCGTGCTCCACAAGAAGCAAAGTCGGTAAGTCCAAGTGATGAAGTGGTATTCCATTCGCGATGAGCCTGCTGACTATTATTCTAGACACCCTTCTTCACAGTAACATTATCCGAGCATTCCTATTATCACAATCCAGTTGAGGCACAAGCATCGGTCGAAGCAGTCATGGAGTTTGATGCAGATCCAAATATTCTAGTTATAATCGCTCACGATCCTACGCCTCGATCCGTCTGCGAGTTCTTTCCCCATGGCACGTTGAACGGCTGGAGAAGCAAAGGTTGGAAGACAAAGATGCATTGGGGATTCCTCAACGAACTTCCGTACAAAGGAAAGATTCTGACAAAACTGCTTGTGGACGGACTGTACACTCACGGCAAGAAGCTGAGAGGGGTAGAACTTAGACAGAACTAGAGTCTGCATCGAGTCGCCTCTATGTTGGACATCCAAAGGTGCACAGACTTAACAAGGGGTTTATGAAAAAACCCTCGTTAAAATATTCAACATAGTCATCAATATACTGCAACTCTACCACAGGGATATTTTCGAAGTCGATTTTTTTGGCTCGATCAATCAGCTATTCTCTTGTCTATTTATATACTAATGTTACGAATCAGCCTGGCCACCGGCCGCATACGAAGCTGTGACAACAGCCAAACCTCCACGAGGGGAAGGATTGCCGACAAACACGGGATCACGGGCAGGCTACGACCCCTGGGATCACGTGACCTCTGTTCCTCTGTTCACTATGTTCAGACATAGCAACAGAGAAGGCAGAGGAGGCGGTATATATATACACGGTCATTATATAGACTTACTATATAGTCAACTTCATTCACGATCATACCCATACGTTTTGGTCTGTGATCACTTCGCTTAGAACTATCGCTCATAGCTACCACGCTCTCAGGCCATACCCTACATCTCTCATTTGTTAGGAAACCCTACGTGCAGTGACACCTTCGGTGGAGCGAAACGTAACACTTTGACTACCGCTTGACTGGAAGTATAGACTATATCCAGCTCCCGAGCACCAACTATTAGGTCACCCTCACCAACCGGATCTATTTAAGGAACACTAACTAGTTCCATCATGTCAACCGCCAATACTGTCACTGATAAGGACTTAAAGGTTAAGGCCTTTTATGGGGATCGCGCCAAGTTAGGTATATTCATCACACAGCTCAGTGCGTTATTTAAACTCAAACAGACTACGTACCCCAGAAACGAAGACAAAGTCCTCTACGTAGCCCTCTATATAAGAGAATCCGCTTTTCATTGGTTCGAATCGATTCTAATGAACCATTTAACCTCGCTAGAAGCCTAAAAGGATAACGAGACTAAGGAAATCTTTGCCAGTTTTAATGTCTTCGTGCAAAAGTTGAAACAACTCTTCGGGACCCCAGGTGAGAAACAAGCAGCATCACAACGCATTCATCAACTCAAGCAGACCGGGTCTGCTGCCAGCTACTACGCTCTCTTCAAGAGGCTTGAGGCGAAGTTAGACTGGGAAGATAATGTCTATATCGCTATATACTATAACGGTTTTAAGGATATTATTAAAGATAAGTTGGGGGCTAAACGACCAACGGATTATAAAGAGCTCGTCGACAAGTCAATCGAGATCGATAACTAGCTCTACAAATGAAGGCTCAAAAAGAAGGGATATCGAGGACGAACTGGAGGCCTATTTAGTGGAAATAAGAGCGAAGGTTATTCTTATGGAGACCTAATGAACCTTGACACTATGAAAAGAGGTCAGTCCTTACGACTGAAGAGCAAATTCCAACGTAAGGGGCTGTTAACCAAGAAGCGAGAGCGACAAAAGAAAGATAACCTATACTACACCTATGGTGAATCCGAATATCGGGCTAAAGAATGCGATAGAAAGCCCTTAGAACTATATATAATGAAAGCAAGAACCGATGCAAGAGAAGAAAAGGCTAACACTCCTGCAAAAAATTGGATGAAACATTTCGGGGAAGGAGTGGCGAAGCTGAACACTAAGGTTCAAACTAGGGAGGCTAAATACTAGGCGGCTCTCGAATCCTCCGATAAAGAACCCGAGCGAGCTAGCAACGTTTCAAGAGCACAGAAGAGGATACTTAAAGGGACCTGAACAAAGGGAGTGACTCTGAGGCCACCTCCATGGACGAATAGTGAAGAGATTACCATGATCGCAGGTGTTATGTTTCGCTCTATCTGGGGTGTCACTGCACATATTGTTTCCTGATAAGTAGGAAGTATAAAAGGCGAAGTCACTAAGAACGAAGTACTTGAGCGAGTACTAGAGCGAAGTGATCACAACCAAAATGTATGGGTATGATCGTGAACGAAGTTAACTACATAATAAGTCTATATAATGACCGTGAATATATAGATCGTGGAATTAGTGGCTCCCCTAGGCTCTGTGGGCTCTGTAAGCAGAGCCCGCAGAGCCATAAAAGCTATTAGGCTCTGTCCTCTTTGTATCCTCGTGACAGAGCCCACGGTCTTGGCTTGGTCACGTGATCCCGCTCCTTCGACTTACGTGCAACGAAGGTAATAGCGCTGAGTGGCTATCGTCACAGCTTAGTCTATAGCCTTATAAAAGGCCTGGTTCGTAACACTTTCTCCCTCCTAGATTCGTTTGTTGTTCTCAATGTATATAAGGTGAGTCTCCCCTGTATATCTATTGTTCTTTCTTCGACCATGGCTCACCATGCCACAGTAATGTCTCTGTAAACGCCTCGATTCCTCCACCTCTCGCCGACTGAACATTGCCAAACGAATCCGTTCCGTTGGGGTCAAGCAAACCGGAATGAGTCGATATTCCCGTTATCAAGAGCAGAACTTGGTCTACTACATGATCAAGGGATACACGAAATGCAATAACTATACCGCGTCAAATGTACAGTATTGTGATAGTTATTTCTCAGACATTAAGTTCGACAGTCTGAAGCGCCAGAAAGAGGCGCTCAAGAAGTCAGTCAAAGATCAGCGTGCCGAAGTAGCTCGCCTGGCTGCCGTAGCTACATCCGCCTTTGCCGCGCTGGCCGCGGCGCAAGAGAAGGAAATGAAGTTAGATGAGCGACTGGACAAACTGACCGCCCGTTAGTCCGAGATGTTAGTTTAGGAAGCCGAGGCCCTGGATATATTAGGTGACCTGGAGGACACTAATGACTAAGAGCTATAGATAGCTTTCTCGCTATCTAAGCCCTTCGCCTGGGGTGACTCAATGGTGGATTTCGATTTTGCTGGTCTCGGTGATACTGCCGAATTATCTCACGTATCTGGGTAAGGTGTTCTTCTGGTTCCTATGTGTTCTCTGAGTTGTTGTATCCTAACCACTTTGTTAGATAGAGCCGTTGTTCTCTCTCGACTTTAACGTCTAGGATGGCTTCTATATTGTATATTGGTTATTAGGTTTCCTTATATATTATAACAGAAGTAAAGAGAGAAGCACCAGGTGCACAGGGCTGTAGTCAATCTTGTAACATGAGTCGGGAACTGAGAGACGCTCGTGGAACACTCCTTCTTTCTTTCGCAGCACTTGATTGTCTGCTCCAGACCACACTTGACGGTGCGCCGAAGCGCGCGGTGCACCTGGAGTCTATAGAGAACACTGTGGACTTGGTTAGGACTTCGCTGTCGCCGCGCATCACTCTGTACACGGTCTCTATATACACATGTTGACTATGCACACCTTTCTGTGTGCGCTCTGTAGTTGCTTGTTCTCAATCGATTCCATGCGTGCGTGTACTTACTTGCTGGTGTTCATGGCTACTCATGTCTATTCTCTGTCTAGTCTGCATGTCTGCCTGAAGAAAAAGAGGAAAAGAAACACTTGCTTAGGCCCCTTGACCTAGATACACGCTTGCTTGGCCCAGGGCCCACTATATCCTAGTCACCTCTCTAGAGAGGGATATACACCTCCCGACTCACTACAATATTAAAATCGAACCCTATAAAATCAAAAGAAAGCTTAGATCAATGAACTTTGAATTGAAATTATTTAAAGAGATAAATATCTACCTAGTTTTCCATAAATCACTCCTTAAGAAAGCATTATTAAACGCCAAGTTAGGATCGGTACTAATACATAAAGAAACCCGATAATCAATGTATAATATCGAAGAAATTCGAGACTATAAATTAGTTAAAGGAAAGATATATTATCTAATTAAATAGTTAGAATATAAAGAAAAAGAAAATTCTTGAAAATCGAAAGAAAACCTTACTCGATAAATAGTAACTAAGTATTATTTAATTAAATGACTTTTTAATTAATAGACTTGAAGATAGGTGTTACGAATCGGCCTGCGAGCAGGCCGTATACAAAGCTGTGACGACAGCCAGGACAAGAGAGGAAGCTATACCAGGAAATCACATGTGAAGAACCATGGCACGAATCACGTGATACGCTCAGCCGGCTCAGCCCTGGGGACACTGAGCACCGCTGAGCACCACTCGGGAATGCTCAGACGTGCTCAGTGTGCTTGGCCTAAGCACCACTGAGCGGGACTGAGCAGTGACAAATATATATACACGGTCATTCCATAGCTTTACCACGTAGTCAACTTCGTTCACGATCATACCCATACGTTTTGGACTATAATCACTTCGCTCTAGTACTCGCTCAAGTACTCCGTTCTTAGCGACCTCGCCTTCTATACTTCCCACTTATCAAGGAACGATATGTGTAGTGACACCCCGGGTGGAGCGAAACGTAACACTTTGACTACCACTTGATTGGAAGTATTTAACACGATGTCCAGCTCCAAAGCTCCTATTCGCTCACCATCCCCTACTGGGTCGGTTCGGTCCGCCGCGCTAGGCGCACCCACACCAGGACCCACCTCCACTGTCACCTCCAGCTATAGCAACTATGGCAATCACGGCAAGGACGATACCAAGGTTGACGTGTTCTATGAATCTCGTGAGAAGTTGGGGCTGTTTGTCACCCAACTTATCGCGACTTTCAAGTTGAACCATATCAGGTATGTCACCCATGAAGACAAGGTCTTATTCGCGGGACTTCACATAAGGGGATCAGCCTTCCATTGGTTTAAACCCATCATGATGGACCACATGACGTCCCTCGAAGAACAAAAGGACCCGGAAACTATTGCCATTTTCTCTAACTTCGCGACATTCATGGAACGACTCAAGCAGATATTTGGAACTCCAGGGGAGGAGCAGGCCGCGGCCCAACGAATCTACCAACTCAAGCAGAAGGGGTCGGCCGCGCAGTACTATGCCCTATTCAAGAGGCTTCAGGCCAAACTGGACTGAGACGACAATGTACTTGTCGCTGCCTTCTACACTGGCTTAAAGGACAACATAAAAAAGGAGTTGGGATTGGAGAGGCCTAACATGTATTAGGGGTTAATCAATAAAGTCATCGAAATTGATAACTGGCTATACAAGTTAGGATTGGAGAGGAAAGGATATCATGAAAAGACAGGTGACGCGTACTATAAGGGCAAGCGCACTAACTATTAGTCTTATGGTGATTCGATAGATCTTGATATTGTTGAACAAGGCCAGTCCTCATGACCAAAAGGCAAGTTCCAACACAAAGGGCTATCCAATAAGGAGCGAGAACAACGCAAAAAGGAAAACCTGTGCTATAACTGTGGAAATCCGGGACATAGGGCTAACGAATGCGGTATAAAGCCCGTGGGACTGTATATAATTGAAGCCGATATTGAAGAAGAAAAGGCCGACACTCCAATTAAGAAAGAACTTAAGCGCCTAAGACTTGAGAGTAAAGAACAGATCCGGGGATTAAGAAGCCTAGAACCCAAAAGATAACAAATGATGAAGGCATACCTGGATGGCCTCAAGAAAGACAACTCAGAACAGGCTAGCCGCGCTGAGAAAGCACAGAAGGGGAACTCCGAAGGAGCCCAGACAGAGGGAGCGACCTCAGTACCACTGTTAATGATCAATAGTGAAGAGATTATCAACACCGCAGGAACCTATCCTGGCCGAGGTTAGCAGGATGAAATAGCCACGACACGAAAGACTGATGAAGAGTGGCCAAAACACGCAAACTTATTATGGATAGCCTATCATGACAATAACTACCCTATTCACTACTCTGATAAGCAGGGTGCAGGATAGTTCCCTCACGGAAAGAAGCGCAAGAATCGTCGAAGCAAAAAATCCAAGAGAAAGGAAGTCGACTGAGAAGAGCCTAAAACAATGGCCATGATGGAAGTGAGATCATCACCATACGAAATAATTAGCGTTGGATACGGGTTTGCACGGATCAGGACCTGTTATTGGGAACATGGCACCAATGGGGCCGTGTTTAGCCCACACACTAATGTCGAGCAAGACTGGATACCACTGAGGCTGGAAAGGTGCTTCTGGCAATATAGTTTTGAAGAACCTTATATTCACCTGGCAGGAGGAGAACGATATTAGTTCTTGTTTAAACTGCTATGGGAATGGACCCCGAGTCAGATGAACTGGGAAGTCGTAAGCACCTATGACCTCATAAGCAGAGCGGAAACGCTGGTGATGGTATAAACACATTATTGGATCAGAAGAGGGGACAGAATCTTCTTAAGCCTATATCGAGGAAAATAGCCAATAGAGTATATCCTTATCATGCGTATCTATCAAGAACCTAACTGTATCGGAGGGTCCCATCTATATATACACGATATATAAGGAATGCCTATAATCCATTATTTTTCATTCGACGACAACTCCAATAAAGAAAATAACGAACCCAGCGACCAAGAAGAAGACGAAACGTTCGTCTGGGTGGAGTTCGACACCCAGAGAACGACTGCACCAACAACAGAGACACGACACGAAGAAAAATACAGAATAATTACTAATCATAGCAGTGTGGCAGTACTCACAACGAAGTACTGAAAGAATATACTATGCACCCAAGTGTGTAGAAGGGGTTGCGCCACGAAACATAAAAGATTCGATCCTAAAGGAAGTCTGAGGGATAAGGAAGACTTAGTACTCGTGACAAAATATGAAGGAATGTATGAAGGACCCACTCACACACACGATGTACTAGGGGAGGACCGTTACGATTTTATATTCGATGAAGAATCGGACTCGAGCGACTCTAAGCCCGAGTGTGACATCGTGTTGTTTCACGGGTACTGTCACGCGGTTATCGAGACGCTGAACTGGATCTACTACGAGGAAGGAGTACCCGGGACGTGTATGGTCAATAATGGGCTCAAGCTGAACTATGCTCAGGAGTAGGAGGAAAGGAGGCCAGTATCTATATAGCGATGCTTCAGGTGCCTAGGCCTAGCTCCTTATACATATTAGACTGATATCAGAGAACCCTACTTCTTCTCATTTAAAGAATGTGACGATCTAACCCCAGAAGAGATTGACCAAGACATGGCGAGACACTATATCGAAGAAGAAAGGACGAGGGACGTTATGGTCATAAGAATATATCATTAGGTCCAGACAGCAGAAGGGGTCCGGAGGTACAGCCTCTACACTAACTTAAATGCTCACTAGGTTTCTATAATCTTATGCTTGTGTCACGACAAGCGATATTCGCATGAGAGAGAACATATACACGATGTGATTAGGAGCGAAACATATTATCTACTATATAAGTCGGAAGATTTTATGGTAATCGGTACCCCTAAAGAATTTAATGAGAATAACTTGTTCAAGTTTGTCGTTACCAAGACAACTAAAATACACCTCTGGTTCTTAACCCCGTTTTGGAGGCCAGTAAAATGTGAGCGGACAAACTGTCTGAACGGAGCATCACATTATCACCTGGAGTTCGACCCCGAAATAAGCGAAAAGGACAAAGTCCTCGTGTTAGCCAAAAAGTGGTGTACTGACACGATATGCACCTATGCACCCAGAATACACGCATATCTCACGACGAAGAATATGATCGAACCACTGATCGAGGTGCTTCTATATGTTTTCGGAAGCAAGGATATAATCATAAACGATGTGCCAAAAAACTAGGCGAAGAATCTATCATGAGGCGAAAGGTCCCGCGCAACAGAAAAAAGCCTCGGAAACGCCATATCAACATGGTATAGACTCAGCGTTCAATGTCATTGGTCTTCAGCGCCAGACTAGCTGATGAGCCTATTT